AATAAGATGTTACCATTTTTTTTTCCTATCCATATATGTTCATTGATTTATTTATTTTTAGATAAAACAGACTTGAGTACAAAGATAACTATTCGAGAAAAACTTCAAGAAGTTGAAGAAAGAGTTGGTATATTGAACTTGGTTGCTTCACAGAAGAAGAAGGAACAACAACACACAATAATAAATAATGAAGAAAATAATACCAAATTAATATCAAGTTCATTTATTATTTTATCTCGTATAGCATCTACTATAAATTCAGTCACTAACAAAGCTTATCAAGCAACAGTATCAACAACTGCAAATGACTCAAAGGAGATGTCCAAGTTTTCTTCCAATAATCTATCTACAGTATATATGGATGAAAGAGAAGATTCTATGACACGTTTTAAACGTTTTGGGCAATACATAATTAATGTTATTGTTACTTGCGCTATTTTAATAAAGCAAAGCCCTCTTCCAGGTAAGTACCAAAAAAAAAAAATCATAGCATTATCTCGGATAAATTCTAATAACAAACAATAAACAGATTTAATTTCGTTTATATTTGGTTATATAATTCAACTATTCTTATGGATTGATACCCAATATCATATTTTGGAGAAAGCTCAAGATGCTAGTATTCAATGTATCAAATTTGGTTTAGAAGCTGATGAACGTTATCATGTACATGAATTCTTAACGGAGGGCTTTTATATGTTGGTTACAGCAGGTTTAAAAGTTGCAATAGCCTATAAAGAAACGCCTCGTTATAAAGACAATCCCACTACCAAATATCAATATACGAACTATCAGAAGCAAACAAATTCAACTAATAAAGTTGATAATAGCATCACTAATATGTGTGATTTATTGTCGAACCATAAGAATAACTCCCAATGCACAAAATTTCCTATCACTAACTCAACTTCTTCTACTTCTTCTACTTCTTGGGCCTGGCTATCATGGTAAAAAACTACCTCATTGCCTTAAATGCATGTCTATTTCATTATATTTTATATTGTATATTATCAAAATTAATAAGTCCGTTTTTTTTTTTTTTTTTTTTTTGTTATATATATGTGTATATAGATGTGTATATAGATGTCTATATGTATACATATTTGTATTTATATAATTACGGCCCCTTGAGAAAGATATACAGTAGGGGAAGGGGAACACTAAATGGTAATAATCATAATCATCATAAAAGTCATGGCTCTTTCTCCAAAAGAATAATAAAGATAATTAAGGTTTTGAACATAAAAATATGGAATATATTTGTAACTACTTAAAGAACTTGAAATATAAAGCATTTTACTACAGACCAGATATATAATATTATTTATGATAACAATGAGTTGTATATGCATATTTATATATATATAAAAAAAAAATAAGGTAATTATCCTAATGACACTTTTACCTATTATGTCAAGAAGCTTCAATACTTTAATAAACTTTGTTCGTATACTCGTGTTATAAACAATACAATTCATAGTCAGTAACTGTTATACAAAGCATATATCAAGTGCATTTCTTAATATGCAATATAGACTTCTGATACTTTTCTCATCTTTAAATTCATACTTTATATATATATGTATGTATGTATGTATGTATGTATGTATGTATGTATATATTATATTTTATGTTTAAAGAGACAGTATAAAATATATTACTTGTAATAATAAAATATAGAAATTTAGCTTATTACACATAAAAAAAAAAAAAAAATAAAATAAAAACAAAAAAAATAAAAGGGTTTATTTATTAACAAATGACACCATTCTTCAACATAATATCAATAAGCTCACTTAAAGGCTGGACTTCCTTTTTATCAAGTAAATCAAATTCCCTTGCAAAAGATATAAAATGAGCAAAAAGAGAATTGAAATGTGGGTCTTCATTTAGACATAATACTTTATCATAATGCTCATGATAAATATGTGCAAACAATTTAAACATTTGACTAAACATTTTTTTCACAATCGAAGGTAATTCACGTGGAAAATCGGACCCTTAATGATATTAACAAAAGTAGCAATTTAGTTGTCATGGTTATATTATGTAATAGAAACATAAAAAAAAAAAATAATTACCTGCTTTGGTTGGAAAAACGGATTCATCATCCAGAATACTTTGTAAACTGCTTGTCATATAATCAATGTATTGAGGAGCTGGTAATCTCACTTTTTTTGATATAGAATCTGACCATGTATATTCAATGCTGTACATATATACACATATATTGATATCAGTATGCTATACTCATGATAGATTTTTTTTTATGCGTAACTTTTATATATGTTATGTATTTACCCTGGACCAGCAGACATTGTTGGACATGTCTGAGAAGTACAAAAATAGGTAATAGATCCATAAAATAAGTTTATATGATTAAAGAATTCAAATGCTATGAACATCTAATTAATGAATATAAATGAAGAAAAAAAGAAAAGAAAAATGCTTTACTATTATATACCATGAAATGCTAGCCATTCATTAATGTCAACATATCTCGGTAATTCCGTAATGGTCTTAAAATTGCCCCTCACAAGCATATTATTTACATTAAAGTGAGATAAATATAATGGTTTTGGTTGATGCTGTGAATAATTACTATTGTTGGTTGCTAAAGATGACGATGACGAAGATGCTGATTTATGTTTTGATGTCTTATTTCCCTTTTTACCAAAGCTAATTATTATATGTGTTAAGAGAGGAGAGAAAAAAAAAGAGAGAGAGAGAAGGGGGAGAAGAAGAAGGGTTAATATTTTACTTGTATTTACACTATTACTGTCTTCCTTGCTTCTTTACCTAAAGCCAAGAAAATTCATCATTTTACAGTGATAAAAAGAAAAAGATACAAAATATACATGGACACAAATAGAGTTTATTTTTTAATTTTTTTTTTTTTTTTTTTTTTTTTTTGACAAATAAAAAATTCTGATTTTTATTTATTTTTTTATAAAAATAGAACTATTAAACATTTTTTATTTATTTCAGGCTAAATAACGGCACATGTAAGCCGAAAAAATTCAAATGTATCCAAGAACTTTGCTTTTTAATTAACATGATTAAGGAGGCAAAAATAAAAAAAAAATAAAAAAGTAATTTACTGTTGAAAGGGTAAAAAACAAAGTAAAATAAGTAAGAAAAAATCAATGGATATATATTATGTGGTTGGCGAACTATCTACCTTGGAATTGGAAGAGAATATGGTATGATAAATGTAATTATATTCTTATCTAATGAACCAGTTTTTCAATAATAAAAAAATAAAATAAAAAAAGAATAGCTAAAAGGTTTTTATTCAAAAGGGAAGAAAGGAGGAGTCTTGAACTATTTTAAGCATTTGAAACTAAAAATGCATTTGTTTACAATGAACAGTTTTCTTCTATATAATAAGCTATGAGAGATAATGGAAGCATTAGGTAGAAAGCCAACTGAATCATTACTATTTAGTTATTGCTAATAATAAATATACAGATTACACCAAATAATAAAGAGTAGCTTTAATAGATTTGCTTTTTTTTGACTTTTTTTTTAATATTGTATCGTTCAATATTACTTAATTAATAGAAATTGGTCATTATCAATATTAATTTAATATGCCATTTCTATAGTATTCTATGAATACTTTAAGTTGTTCCTAATTTCAGGCTTTCATAAATGATTCAACTGACACCTAGTAGCCTGAATGTTGTCTACAAAAAGGCTTTTCGGTATTTAGTTTGCTGTTGACTATCGTTCGGAAGATAATTGGAAATTGAGATGTGGTGTCAAAATTCACATTTACTATTAGGAGTAGCATAACTGCAAGAGACCTCAAAAGCTAACTATTCTTAACTTTCTTTGAATATTTTATGCGATTTATAAAGAAAGGTACAATTTAAATTTATCAAGGTCATTATTGGCCTACAAGATCCCCAAGTTTTGCAGTACTGTATATGCTACTCGAAAACAAAAAAAAAAAAAAAAAAAAAAAAAAAAATACTTGGTAATAATAAATTTCGTATTTAGCGCTATATCTTTTAATTCTATTGGTAAAAATACTGCTATACCTTGAATATTATTACAAATATTTAGTTTTTCATGTACAAGACTATGTAGAAATCAAACTATTATCTTTATAATGAAGATTTATTTATTTACATTGACTCTTTTCATTTGATTTCTATAATATTCATATAACAAGTTCTTTTTTTATGACTGTTTAAACAAAAAAGTCCAAATATAATTGTCCTCCTTAGTAGTCTTCGTTATCTATCTTTTATTTTACTTTTAATTATAAAGTAAAAATAAAATATGAATAAAGAACATTTAAAAGTTAGAAAAAGTGTAAAAGATACTTCTATAATATGATAAATATATTTTAATGGATTTCAACAAATAAAGTTCTGTCGAGATGGTATAAAGCAATTGTAGCTGAAGATATGTTATAAAACTCATCACAGGTATATATTCCATTGAATCGTATTCAGTTGACTCATCAAACTGGCTGCAAATCTCTCATGTATTCCAAAATGTATCATATCCTGATTCTTTTTGACTAATCCTTAGCTAAGGTATTCATTCTGAATAAAGATTCGATTTAAAACTTTAAGGGGAATATTTTTACAGTTGATATTTTCATTATATCATCTTTTTTTTTTTTTTTTTTTTTGAAAACTATGTTTAAGCAGCTTTCAACTTTGAATTAGTAGAATAAAAAATTAAAAGGCGAATATTCAACGATTAGCAGTTTACGTCTACAAGGTTAAAAATATGGCATATGAATATAGAATAGAAAACATAGGCTTTGTTGATTTAAAAATAAAATAACTTATATTAACACTGATTACTAGTTTTGAAGTAATTTATTGTTCTTTAAATTATTATATTATCATTGCCTTTTCTTTTATCTAAACATATCTATAAGATAGTCATTTCTAATATCCATACAATACAACGTATAATTCTTTTACATTTGTCATTAGTTCTAGACTAAAAGATTTACATCTTATTTTTAGAACTGAAACTTTCTTACTTTTTTTTTTTATAAAGAAGATAATGCTTCTTTATCATAAATCAAACAGGTCTATCTTCAAATATTGATTGGGTATAGCTCAAAAAATTGCTATAATATAATGTTGCATATATTAGTATAGATATGAAACATACAATAATATAACAGATAGTAGGCAATGATGTGACTGATAACTTTACAGTCAAACTATATACCTCATGTATAAATGCATGTGTGCTTTCTGTTTATATAAGCAGGTAAAGCTATACATTCCAACTATTTTATATCATAGGATGCTTTAGAGTATGACGTATTTAGCCATATAACAGTAACATTAACCTAGCATCAATAATATGCTTTTTTTTTTATAACGGCGCAATATGCACACACAATTTTCAAATATTCGATATTATTCTTTTTTTTTTTCAACTAAGTAAAACTTAAGACTAAAAAAAAGGGGGGAATCTATTATGATTAAAATTTAATGATTATAATTCAAATAAAGTAAATAAAACTTTAATTCCATCTTTTTTTGACGCGTTTTTTTTTTTTGTGTGTGTGTGTGTGTCTATTTTTTTATGATATGATTCCATCAATTATTTAATAAAATTGAATGAAATTACTTGAGACCATATGAATTAAATAATTGTTGTCTATTTCTTATTGTTAATCCTTGACAGCAGTTTCTCCAAACACATAATACAATAGTTTTGGTGTTAAATTAATTTGTTAATGGTCGGGGATACCTAACATTTGTTTATAGCCTATTCTGCATTTTGATTGATAACATACGTCCTCTCCATTCTCCCCGTCCCCCGAAGAAACAGACCAACAAATACATTCAATTTGCTGATCTTTTGTCTTTTCACTTGAAAAATCAAAATAATAAACCATAAAGTCAAAATTACTTTTTTTTTTCTGACTTTAAAAATGACAGCAGCCGTTAAAAAAAAAATTAGTCTTTCTGCATATCACAGAAATGTAATAAAAAAAATACAAAAATGCAAAAATACAAAAATAACAATATAATCTGAATGTATTAGCTTGTATATGAATTCAAAAGAAGAAAAAAAAGGAGCTGGATGAAATAAGAGATATATACAATCTCTTCTATTACGAAGATGTTTCAAATACAAAATATTCTCATACATATATTCCTGACCCACATATTTTAAGATGATCTTCAATAATAATAAGAAATGTAAGTTTTCAAGTCCGAGAAATGGGGTTTCAGTTATTACCAAAAAAGTAAATTTAAGCTTTTCTTTATCACGAAGAGAAATGTTTACATCGACTACAACTTAAGGAAAGAGAGAACGTGAGTAAGGTAGTCTCTTAATTATTGCTCTTATAGTAAATTCATAAGAAATAGGGTTTAAAACCTAATAAATGATGAAAAAAAAAGTTACAGAAACCTTCTTCGATTATCATCATTATGATTGTATTATACAGTAAGATACTGCTGCTTGTCTCACTTGATATCAAAATAAGATAAACTTTGAAAACAATAATACATATACACTGACCTATTTTATTTTTCTTCTTATATAAATGTATATATTCTAACAAGCTCAATACTTAGCATTACATAACAACTAACAAAATGTCATTCAGATAACTTTTTTAATGATACTCATTATTTATTGCAGCGTAAAAATACAAACAATATTTGATAGACACCCTAAAAATTACAGTAAGAATTGATGATCCGAATATTTGTTGAGTAATAATAATAAAAAAAAAAGTTACGGGCCCTTCTTTGCTATAATATATAATGGGCTTATCTCCGATTCACTTAGAAACACGTATTGTACCTTATTAAAGAAGAAGAGGAAGGGAGAGGAAGATAAAAGATGGTTTTTTTTTTCATATAAATATAGGACATAAATTTTCATTCTATCTCATATCTTTTCATATTTAATTCGTTTCTTTTCTCTTTTTTTTTTCATACAACAACAAAAAAAAAAAAAAAAAAAAAAAAAAAAAAAACGCTGGCCGTACTGCATTAATTAAGAAATATTTACTTTACATTTAAAATGCTTCGTATTACTTCTATCTTTATGATTATAGCCGCTTTATTGGCTTTCTTCACTATCACTCAGGCTGCTGTTATCGAAAAACGTGGGTCTTATTCTGGTCATGCTACATTTTATTCTGTTAAAAAATCTGGTAAACCTTCTTGTGGTGGTAAATATAACAATAACGATTTAGTTGTCGCACTTTCCCATAAGCGTATGCCTAAAGGTCATGGTAAGCCCTGCGGCAAGAAGATTAGAGTAAAGGGCCCTAAAGGTTCTGTCAGAGTTAAGGTTGTTGATACTTGTGCTGGATGCAGCAAGAATCATATTGATCTTTCACCGAAGGCTTTCGAAAAGATTGCCAAGAAGAAAACCGGTAGAGTTGACGTTACCTGGTCTTTTGAGTAAATCAGAGGGGTGGTCTTTTTTTTTTCTCAAGTCTTTGCAACATCTCTTTTCTAATATCTTTATACATACATATATATATATATATATATATACACTTATATTCCTTCGATTTTAACATAGCTAGTATTATATTCAGCATATTGTTTATGTACATATATTCCCCTTTTTTCATATTGATATTATAAAATAAATAAATTTGAACTGTGTCTCGATTTACTTCTTGGAATATTAGGATGTGAATTAAAGATTGTTTGGGGGAGAAGAGTAGCCTTTTTCTATCTCCGTATATATCGCTTGTTTTTTTTTGAGAATGTTTTAGATATTACAACTACGATACAACAGTTTGTAGTAATCAGAACAAACACATTCACTTTCATAGTATTTAACTTTATTTAATAGCGTTTGTTAAAATATCTTATCATCATATATATATATATATATATATAAATATTTGTTATCTTTCAAAGTCTGATTATAAAGAAAAAAAAAAGACATTATGATAATTGACGTAAATATTTAGTATTAGAAGATAAGACGAAAAAATCGGAAATGTGTCTCCTTGAGATCCTTCATTAATATCAAAAAAGGATAATAGGAAGATTTATAGGTCACACCATGTATGTAATAAAAAAATAAATAACGATAAATGCCAATAAGATAGCTATAATGTGTCATGATATTAAAACAAAGCAGCCCAAGTAATGTCAATTGTACAACATGCAAGTAACTATTACTACTAATTATAATCTTCTTTATATATTTGTATATCAAAGTAAGTGTAATCTAACTCAATATGACTCAGAATTAAGGCTAAATACGACAGGCATAAGCCATATCTATCTTTTTTTCTTACATAGATTTTTTTTTAAAAGAAAAAAAGAATATATTCATTAATAATATAATAGCTATTCCAGATGACACATAAATTTTAAAGCTCAATATTGTCTTTTAACTATTCGATATAGAAGAGTCTTATAATCATGCAATTTCTTAGTCAGCCAATAACTGAGTCAATATATAAAATATAGAATAAGATGCTATCCTATTGCACAAAAAAGTAATGTATGCATATAACACGAAGATAGTTTTTGTTATTTTATAGTTCTTTTATCACAGTTATAAATTAAAAGCGAATACGCATACGCGTTGGGGGATTATTCTTTTTTTATTATTTAAGCTTTAGTCTACAATCTCATATTAAAAATAATCAGAAATATGTTAGATCTGGTCCTTTTTATTTTCTAGAGCAAATACAATTATGGTGGAATAATACTTTAGATGAAAGTTAACTCTAGTTATGCATATAGTATATAGAATCAAGTACTAGTAATTTAAACCACCATAAGTAACTTATTATTTTAGTAACTTTACAGAATATTCAATCTCAAACTTATTTACAAATTACGTTTAAATAACATTCATAAAACCCATTTGAGTACATAATAAAATAAAAACCTTTTAATAGTCAAGGAGGAGAGGAAAGGTAACGAAGGGAGAACTATGTTTTCAAATACTAGATTAATTACTACATAACTATTCGGTCAAGCTAATACAAAGAGAAGAAAGGAGTTACCATGGTGAAGGTAATCATGTTCTTCAAAAATAAGTATGCAATATAACGTAGACCCAGCAAGTAATTCATACAGGAGTAGAGAAATTGTTTCATACGATAAATAGCTTCTCTATGTTTGTTAGGAAGGTGACAAATTATAAAAAAATCGGCCACGGTGCTAGGTATTTGTAATCGGTGGTGTATATCCAGATAGACAGTAACATGAGACCAAATATGCTTATCATTTGGATGAAAGATACAAGATTTTGGGATACCACCAAGCAACTAACTAAGATGCTAGTGTAAAACACAATTATATTTAGCCCGAGCCATAGATAACCAAAGGACAGGATCAATGGTGAATGACAGGTGGGTAAAAGAACCGAATGAGACAAGTGGAATCGTCTATCAAGCTGGTCATCTAGGAAATTTCGACAAAAAAAAATTGAAATGTACTACAGCCGATATTATCAGCATTGGCTGTACAGAATTGACATAATATGTATTTGGAAAGTTTATACCATTGAGAGTTATTGACTGGAATACGTAAAAAAAAAAAAAAAAAGGACATGAATTTGATCAATAGCATATCATCTGGGAGGCTTAAGGAATGAAATAGAGGTTTTGCTTGTATACAGGTAGACTCGCTCTTTCATTGTGGGCTAGTGGACCAGATAAGAGCCACCACCAAAAATATGTCCAAAACAGTGATTTTGACAAGATTCAAGCTTTTTTAGGAGAGCAGTAAAGATAAAACTGACAGCTAGACTATATTCAAGTTGGAATTGGACAATTTGAGCATAAAAATGATCGGAAAGAAGACGTTCAAATCTTTACAAATTACAGCATTTTTGAGCAAAACTGACATTAGTTAAAAAAAAATAATAATACATGAATAAACAAACACTATAAATTTAAATAGAAGCATAAATAGAATTAGATGAAATAAAACTAGTTTTTAGACATGTTCACCTATAAAAATCAGAATTTTCTGCTAGGAAAAAACATGCTTGAGACGGTGATATTGTTGTTTTTTGATGAGAGAATGTAGAAGGGTGATCTTGACCAGGTATTATCTCGTTAGAGGTTTGATAGCTATTTTTTCGCAGCATTTTAATCACGTTGACACAGCATTCTGCAACTTTGACAAGCTAAGAAGACATCATACTAGCTTATTTTTGTAGATAAAGAATTCCTTTCAAAGCATGATGAATAATAGGTCTATTTTTCTTATACAAGCAAATGTGTTAAATTAGTGTTAACAGAGCAGGAATACTGAATTAATTTAGTAATTCTACATTTATTTATAGTGACTACAACTAAATCACTACATCTTTATCCATTCAACACATCTTTCCACAATATGTTGGTAACTCCTATTTAAACAGTTTTAAACTTGACAGTATCTTTATTAGACATTCTATTCCCAAAGGCTATAACTGGAATTTTCAAATTATCTTTATAAAAAAAAATAGTATCTAATACATACTTCCTTTGTTTACTATACACTGAGCATATGACAGTTTACAAAATAATTGAGTTTATTTTTTACCTGATCTCTTTTATAACTTGGGAAGTTTCAGAGGGGTTTTTATTTTTATTTTTTTTCTAATCTTTTTGTATTTTTTTCTTTTCTATTTTATTTTTTATCTCTATTTAATAAAATATTAAGCATTTATTACCTAGCATGTTGTGTACCTTGGCACAAGAAAAAAACATACGACTGAAGTGCTTGATCTATTAAAGGATAATTTCTTTTAAAAACTTTTCCAGATAATTTTAATATGGTTTATCAGTAGTGTGCTCATTGGGTTTAAATTTCATTAAAATGTATTTGTGCCTTCATTTTTGAATTCCGTTGTAGATCAAGTTTCTCCCTTTTTATTTACTATATTTGTATATATACCATGATTATTAACTACTGTTGTTATTACATAAGTTTACTTTATATACATTAAAGAAAAAAAAATGTAATGCTCAATACATGCTTATTATATTACATAAAAAAAATATATACATCTAAATGATAAATACAACCTTAAATCTTTATTAAAGGAAATTATATATAAAGTATTCTTTTGTCTTGACGTAGTAGTACTTTTTTTTATACGAGTCTTTTGATTCATCATATACAGCTATAAACCTGACATTATACATATAAACGATGATATAATAAGCAGATCAGTTATCCATGTGAAAGTACATGACACCACATGTTTTAATAACGCTGTGACGTTTAGTGGAATATTTTCAGTGTACAATACTATCTTTCTGTACCATTATCTGATTGGACGGGTCAAAGAGAAATAAAATAAAATCTTACCAACGAAAAAAAAAAATAATAATAGAACTTTATTTTCTTTTTATTTTATTTTATTTTATTTTATTTTAAAAAGATTAATACTACTATAACTGATATAGATAGATCAAACAATATTACAGGACGATGAGATCAAAGACTCATAAGGAGCATCAAATGTTAAACGATATGAATGCTTCAGTATCATCTAGTAGATCAATATCGACTCAATCATGTAAAAATCGCTCAAGATCTCAATCCATAAAAGAGACAGTGAGCCAAAAGTTTAAAGAAATGGAACATGCAGATACAACTGGATTTATACAATACATGGATGACCAAGTTCACGACACATGGGATAATGCAAAAGCAGCTATGGTTGGAGCACAAAGATTATTGCAATTTCATGAATTACCCAAAGAATGGCAAGAAAATGAATATATTTTGTCTGGGTATTGTCCTTTTTTTTTTAGTATAGTTTAGTTTTAGTTTTGGCTTTAGTTTCCCTCTTTCCTTTAATCCCAACCCCTTACACACATAATTAGTCGAATATTCCCCCCTTTTATTAATTACTATCATATCATGGTGCACTAAAGTTTTGATATTTCTTATTATTAGTTATCGTTTTTATCAAAGTAGTCAAGCATGTCTTCGGTCTATATTTATGTTACATAATGAAACGATAAACATATGGAGTCATTTAATTGGATTTATATGTATGCTTTGTCTCAGTATTTATGGATTTAATGTAAGGAAGAATTTTAATATAACAATATATATTCATGTATTTATTTATTTATTTATAGATTCATTTTCCAGATGCTACATTGAATGATTGTATTATTTTTATAACATTTTGTGCTGCAGCCTTAAAATGTTTATTTTGCTCATCCATCTATCACACATTTATTTGCCATGCGCATCATCAAGTAAAATCATTTACAGCAACTTTAGATTATATGGGTATTTCATTTCTGATTACAGCCTCAGTTCTTGTAACAGAATATTATGGATATTATTGTCGTCCCATTATACGTACTCGATATATGTTATTTACAGCTGCTATTGGAGCAATAGGTGTCCTTGCACCTTTTCTTAAAAGATGGGATACAAAGGAGTTTAGACCTTTTCGTATTGTTGTATTTGTATCTATGGCTGTTTCTAGCGCTTTACCCGTATTTCATTTAGTATATTTAAATGGATTCATGAGAACATGGTATTTTTTTGAGTTAGCTGCTATCAGTGTAGCTATGTATAGCCTAGGAGTTATTGTTTGTAAGTTCTATTTTTTTTTAAATAAATATATATATATATATGTATATATCGTACATGTCCTTTTTCTTTTCTTAACTAATATATATATATATATATCATATAATAGATGCAAATCGATTTCCTGAAAAATTTTATCCTGGAAAATTTGATTTAGCAGGATTAACAAGTCATGCTATATGGCATATGTTTGTATGTTTGGGTATATTTGTAAGTTTTATTTTTTCTTTTATAAAAAAAAAAGGAAAGTAAAACTGATATATTTATTCGTATGTAGTTTCATTATTTAGCCTCTTTGCGCTTTTATGCTAATAGATATAGTTACGGTTGTAATATTAGACCAAGACCTTAGATAACTTATTATTATATATATATGAATATATAAATATTTATTCATATCTTTTTCTCATGATATTATACTTGTTATAAATTTATTTAATAATAAAACGGAAAATATGTAATATTGTATAATTTAAATAAAGTATTTGCTATTAAAAAAAAAAGAAAAGGAGGGAGGAAAGGTAATCCTGTTATTTCATATGACAGAATGATGATTTGAAGCAAAATTGGAACTTGTTTCAATAAGATAATCAGTATGATCAAGAAACAATTGTAAATCTTTAAAATAATCAGGACCAACTGTAATAGACGAAAGATCTTCTACATAAAAATGATCTTTAAAGTCTTGCAGAGAAGGAGATTCATGATCTTCTACAATAATTGAAAAGTATTTTCGTTTCTCATAGATTGGGTCAATCATATTGTAAGAATATAAGAACTGAAAGGCCTTTTCTTTAGATCTAGGTGACGGCACTGGAAAATAGATACGTAATTCACCTTGACGAGCAACGACTCGAAATTTACCGTGTCTTTGCAAGTTGTCAAGTAATTTCAATACATAGTTGATATGAATTTGATATTCATATGCCATCGCTTCTATCCCATCAATGAATGAGCTAGTTAAGCTTTGTGTTGACCAATCATGATGATTGTTATTCAAGAATTGTAAAGTGTCCAAGGTGATTAGGATATAGACAGATGTTGATTTATCATGTTGAACTTCTTTATTTTTTATGGACGCTGTCAGTGGTAGTAGCTGATCATTCATTTTTTCCACATGATGCGGATTAGGTTTAACACTATGTTTAGTGTCAGTAATATATAGCTTATTATTTGTTATATCGTTATTATGTAATGAAGATAGGTCATCATGATGAAGAATAGATTCCAATAATGGCTGATTGTTCATATGACAGTAATGAGTCTTTTCGGTTGAACAAGAAACGGGCTGATTTTGTTGAATCAATAAATTAGAGGTATTATTATTATTTGCCTTCATATTTTCATCTTCTTCTTGCTTAATCATACACTCCTCAACCTGAGTAGAAGCAAAAATACGATTATAATAAGACTGTATATATGCGCTATCGCTACTTTCTTCATCAATAGATGAATTCGATAAGGAATAGAATAGAGAAGATGTTTTAAACGATTGCGTTTGCTGTTTCTCATTTAAATCTGACTGCTGATTCATTTTATTACCAGCAGATGAAAAGATACGAGTAAAAATTGGATTGCTTTGCCCATTTGCCATCGGATTGGCTGTGTTTTGAAATAGGTTTGCATATGGGTGTTTAGTAGTTGAAAATTGTCGAGCAAACGCTGGAGTACGACCTATGTTAGTAGTACGAGAAAATCCCCAAGTTGTAAATAGAGTGGTAGGGACACTTCCAGGAGCAGAAGAAGAGGAGGACATCATCATTGTACGAAATTGTTGTTGTTGTCGTCCAATAGAGGATGTAACCCCTATGCGTCGATGAAGTGTAGGGGAAGAAAACACTTTAACGATAGGAAATCGATGCTGAATCAGCTTAAGGAGTGTTTTCTCATTTGCAGACATACTCCATTGAACTGTTGCCTGAAAATTGTTTTGCTGCAATAATGTACGATGAATATTTGAAAACCCATAAACTGCTTGCTGCGAGATAGTAGGAAAAAGATCTGTTATCTGCTGCGATGATGATGGATGATTTGATATTGTAACCAGCTCCGATATTTTTGTTTGCAAAAAATGTCGAAGCTGGTGAAAAGATACAAATATCTTTGATGGTCGTAGCATTCACTGCTTGGGATATTTTGTACTTTATACAAACAGCTTAATAAAAAAAAAATAAAAAAAATAAAATAAAAAAAAATAAAAGGATTTGAAATTTTAAAGTTATAAATTTCTTGGGGGAGAAAGAAGTTCATGTGACGTGCTAAAAGAATAACAGATATCCAATTATATGCTAATCTACTGGTGGTGCATTAAAATATAACTATTTGTTAAAAAGAAATTTGATATATTCAATTTATAGTTTTCTTATTTAAACTTGAATGTTGAATAATATTTGGTCTTAGATTGAAAAAAGCGTTGTCAGGGGTAAATTTTATTTTATTTACGCTCATGCCAACGAATATGTCAGATAAATAAATAAATAAATAATAAAAAAAAGTAAATAAATAGATGAGATGATTTTGAAAGTAATTAATTATTCATAGCATTTTTTTTTAAGACCACTTTCAGATTGGAGGAGATTATTGCCGAGGAGGTTAAGATTGATCGTCAATAAAATTAGTTCAAAAGAGGAGAAAGCGATTTTATTTTATTTTATTTTTTTAAGCTAACCGATTCAAAAATATTTTCCAAAAACTTCCAAATCGAAGATTTTCATTTATAATAAAAAATTATCTAATGCTTGATAATTAAACTACATTTTATTTCGTACTACTTCAACAAGGAAGAAAGTTCTCAAAGATTATTTATGTTTTACGTTCATACTAATTATTACCTTATAGTCTTCTTTAAAAAAGACATCAAAAAGAGCAGGGTACATATGAATGAACTACTAGTATTGCATATTATCATGACATACTTTTTTTTTCTCTTTTTTTATTGATTGATAATTGTATTTCGTTATAATATTATGATGAGTTCGGAATAATAAATAACTTATATATCTATTATATATTGTAGAAACTGGTATCAATGCAATAAATATTTTGAACTCGAAGCTTTTTATAAATGAATTAAATTTAGTTTATTCTTTTAGAGGAAAGAAAATAATAATAATAATAATAACAGAATTATTATACGTAATCATAAAATCTATCCGCAAATAAAAATTTTTTTATTACATTTCGTAACTAATGTAACACTTTAGATTTTAACGAACCCTGATTTAAGTAGTACAAATATGAACTATATTTATTTAAAGAAAATTAACTTCAAAAGCGATCTACGAAAAACGATCGATAAAAAACGAAAAACAAAGGATTATATTTACTATATGAATGGGAGACTATAGTTTAGTTGAACTGTTAACTTGTGTTTTTATGCAGTATATATATAATTCGAAAAACCAAAACAAAATAAAAAAAATCCCATTACTAAATTATTCTTAAGACTATTTAAGGACATTAAAGAAATAGTAGGCTTATTACGCTTACTAACTATTATATTTATTCAAATAATTAATCACAGCCTTATTCTATTTCATTAAATGAAACATTACATATACTGAGCCTCCCCCCTTTTTTTTTTGGTTATCTTAAAAAGAAAAGAAGAAAGGAAAAAACATAACAGTAACAATTCACACGGCGTGATTCATTTTCAACACAAAATTATAATATCTGATTGTAATAATAATCATAGCCATGATAATTATTTATCCCGCATATAATCTATAAACGACAGTTCTTTTTTCTTCTTCTTCTTCTTCTTCTTCTTTGATAACATTTATATAATTTTAATATTTATTTTCATATTTCATAGCAATAGCTTTTGGACTTGTAGGAAAAAAAAAGGAAACGCCAACAAGTATAGAGAACAGCAATTGTACGTTAAAATTATAAAATTTAAATGGATACAAATATACCAGCTGTGCAAACGTATAATGGAGGTATCATATTCGTAAGCTATTTGATTTCAATTATTGGTGCAATGACAACGCTAGAATTACTACAACGTAGAACCCATATTAGAGGATACTACAATTGGTTTGTTACAATTTAGAATTGTCTTAATATGATAGCATATTAATGCATATAAATATATGGATGTATATAATAGGTTTTTGTTATTTGCTGCAGCTGCTTTGATGGGTGGTGTAGGTATATGGTCAATGCATTTTATTGGCAATAATAGCCTCACAATTATACTTGAAAGTGGTGATAAATATCAACTTTCGTACTCGCCTGGTTTTACATTTTTAAGCTTAGTCGTTGCTATCATCACCATGTTTCTAGCATTTGTGTTTGTTGGTATTACGGAGGAGATAAAGATCGGAAGGATCATCCTAAGTGGAGTTATTGCGGGGGTATGATATTCTAATTATGTATTATACAATCTGTCAAAAATATATATATATAAATATATAATCCGTTAAAGCGGAAGAAAGAATAATGATAAAAACATTCATATTCTATATATATAATTATATTTATTCATGTATTTGTATTATTTCTTAATTATTTTTTCCTTTATTTTTAGGGTGGCATTGTAGCTATGCATTATTTAGGTAAAAATGTATAACTTTTTTTTTTTATCAAAATCTTATATTTAGCTTACATTTTATTGTTGATCTTATTATTTTACATTTGCCAAATTAGGACAAGTTGCTGTTGATTTCTTTGTAATGAAAAATAAAACTCCATTTGTCATTGGGGCCTTAATAATCGCTGTCTGTGCAGTCACAACGGCACTATTTATTTTCTTTAAACTACGCGAACAGTGGGCGAACCAATGGTATAAACGTCTCGGTTGTGCAATGCTAATGGGTGCTGCCGTTTGTGGTACGAATAAGAGAATTCATTAGTTTTTTTTTCCTTTCTTGCATATCATTGACTAACAGGATAATCCTATTATACATTGACGTTATTCTATTACTATTACGACAGGTATGCATTATACAGCTTTGGTTGGAACAATATATTACCCAGGGAATTCTGATTTAGGTCCACCTACGCCCATTCTTCAAACAGCAGCCTTAATTGGAATTGTCTCTGCTATAGTTGTAACAGGATGTATTATTTTATTTTTCATAGTTGCTAAAACTAAAATTGAAAATAACAAGTTACCTTGTGAGAAAAAATCATGTAAGCGACTTATATTAAATACAGTCTTTTTTGATACAAATGGAAGAATTATGGTTAAAACTGATGGTATCGTCCCCATGAAAGAGGTCCTGACAAATATTCCGGATGTAAGATAGTTCTTATACATACATATATTATATACATTTTTAAATAATATACATGGTTTTATTTGTGTTGTACAGGAATTTTTTGACACATTCACTATAAGCCATCCTCTTTTTACCAAGCTCTTTGAAACCTCAATCCAATGGTGTAAAACTACGGATGAAAAGTATGATACATTTGTCAATCTTAGCCCTCAAGAACCGGATAGTTATTATACAATCGCAAATAAAGCATTCATCAAGACAGCAACTGAATTTGTAGATGAGCTTCGATTATTATCCTTATCAGATCTTGGATATCTTTTTGATTCGATTTTAACAGCAAACACGATATCCAAAAGCAACTTTTTCTCATCTGAATTAAAGACAAAACTCACTATTGAAAGAAGTAACAGTATGGCATCATGGCTTTTACCAAATCATAATTCAAAAGAAATACCAATCAGTAATGCTCATACAGATTCATCAAAAGGTGACAATAATGGTAATAAGCAAGGCCCTCATCATCATTCCACACCATCTACAACATCATTATCCAAAGATATGACCATTATTGACGTTTTTCATGAGTACTCCTCCTCTAATATTCGGTCTAGTAATATCAGCAGTAGCAGCAGTAAAAAGCTTTCAGTTCAGAACTCTGAATCAGAGGATCGACATATATTCTTGGTTAAAAAAATCTATTCAGACAAAGACTTGATCGATTTATTATCCGTTGGATTTAGATTCGCAGAACCGGTTTTCATAGCCAAAACAATGAGCGAAAAATTAAAGATACCCTCTGAATATATGCTAAATTATTTTCATGATATGCTTCAAATGTCAGAAGCAGCGGCTACCCTATACACGCCTAATAATCCATCCATCCATTCCTTACAAACCCACGAGGGCCAGTTGAATAGTAAAAAAGAAAATATTGAAGGAGGGGTCTTTGTAGGTCTTTTCGTCCTAATAGAAGATGAAAATGGTATACCAAATGAAATACCAAACATCATGATCGATAAGAGCTCAAGATTAGCGTTTCCAATAGTTCCACTTACCTTTGAAGAAGATGAAGAAGAAAATGATGATGACTACAAGACGCATTCAAAACGAAAACCAGTTGAATTAACAAGATTGCAAAAAGATATTCTTTTGAATTTGAGTGGACAGTCTTTATCAACCATCTCCTCTCTTCATTCTACAGATTCCATATTCTCGCATGATATAGATATAACTGAAAAGCAAAATGATGTTTCAAATGTGTCGCCACAACAGAGTTTTGGATCAACAAAGACGATAGTAGTCGATCATAATGGGTCTCTTTCTTTTTCATATGAGCATAATACTGATTTAGCCCCTACCCAAGTTTCATCTTTGAAGAAAGGGAAGGATCAATTTTTAAATGCTCTTATAACTGCTACAAAAAAATTAATTGACGTATCTAGCTACGGTAAACATTTGTCTTTGTCAGCCAAATTATATAGAGAAGTATTAGATATCCCAGCTTTTAGTTTACGAGCTGGCCCATGTCAACTTATTTTATTTAGAGCACATGTCAATACACCTGGAACCCGGTTTGCTATTAATCAAACATGGACTGAATCAGTTAAATGCATTCCATTCCCTATTTATTGTAATTTTGTGTACCATATAACGGATATTGCAATAGAAAAATATCGTGCTGAGCAAAATAGAACTAAAGCACCCTCTTCTTATCTAACTCAACAGCGTCTGTACCAATCTACAGCTGCGCGTAATCAAGATTTGTATAAATCAAAGAGTCATGATGCATTAGACGGTGGAAGTCAAACAGTCAACATAGTAGAGAATAAGTTGGCTCGGTTTACTTCTTATGACTCTTCGCCAATAAGTGAACATTCATATAAAGAAACCAACGCGTTACAACAGCAACAAATACTCTCTTCATTACCTCCTCCACCTCGTGTAAAGCGAAGTAAGTTTGGGTTCCCAGCTAGTATCGGCTCATTAGATATAAGTTATATTAGTAAAGATATTTTACCAAACATGATGAAGACTACAGACGTAATACCATTAAATTCTGTTAATATACCAATGACAGAGGCATCTATAGTTTTAAATTTATTGCCATTGAAAGATAGGTTTTGGTGGCTACGCAATATCTATGAAGATATATACCATGCATAATATATTTATATAGTGGTTAGAGATCCTTTATTATTATTATTATTATAACTTACTTTCCTTCGTTTCTCTACTTGCAAATTTTAATAGCAAGTAAAATAATTTTTAATTTACAGGTTCTCCCCCCACCTCCTATATACATTTTTTCCCATTATTATATTTCTTTTACATTTTATCATATAGAATCAAATATACATATTAATCATCTTTAATGATGAAATAGATAATAAATTTTGTAATACATTTATATTCGTTTTCTTTTTCTTTTTTTTTTCTTTAGGAAATGAACCATATTCCAGCCATCTGCCATCTCACTTAATTCTGGTTGGTCAGCATAATTTTGCAACTAGGACAAAAAAATAAAATAAAATAAAATAAAAATATAAATATAAAAAAAGCTATTGCATCCATTTTCTTTTTTTTAATAATAATATAAAATGTCAAATCCCCAAGTTATTTTGGTAAATATATAAGTAAATATTCCAAGATAGAGACTGTTATTCACACGTTTTAAATAACAATAAGCACTGGTATCCTAGTTCTCCTTTCTGTCAGAAAGTTATATGGGCACTTCAATATAAAAAAGTTGATTTTAAATTAGTTCTTATTTCACCTATTGAGCCTCGTCCTCTTCGTCGTCCCCTTGATGGTGGATATCGTAGAACTCCAGTTCTTCAAATTGGTAACCATACATACTGCGATACAAAATTGATATTTGATGAATTAGAAGCAAGGTAAGGAAGGAAGGAAGGAAGGAAAAGTTAATAAGTGGGATGAGGATGACAAGTTTAGTGGAATAAATAAATATGATTAGATTCCCTGAACCCAGCTTTTATCCAGTGGGTCCTGATGGTAAAACTACCAAAGCCCAAATTAAAGGTCTTGCTCGTTGGACAGATGGCCCGCTTTTCATGTCAATCGTCTCACAAATCCCTTGGGAAGTCGTGGGAGAAGTATTTGTTCAAGATCGTTCAAAATTTATTGGAAACTCAATCAATATTGAACAAGCTAAATTGGCTAGACCTTATATGGTTCAAGCTGTTCAATCTGAAATCAAGTTAATAGATGCATTTATATGTGAACATCATGAAGATGGTAAGCTTTGGGCTTTAGGAACTCAGACTCTATCTTTACTTGATCTTCATTTTGCTATGGCTACATGGTTTTCCAAGAATTTTGTAGGGGATGCTTGGTTTAACTCTACTGTCCCTACCTTGACTGCTCATCTAGATAAAGTCTTGGCTACTGTTCATTATGCTGATCTTGATAAAATAAAAACGATAGAACCTAAAGAAGCACTCAAAATAGCTAAAGAAGAATCATGGACCTTGACGAATTCTATTCATGATGGTTCGTTAAATATTGAATTAGGCCAACTGGTTCATGTATCACCTACAGACTCGGGTTTAATGCCTGCTAAAGGTGCCTTGGTTCATAGCACCGAGTGTGAAACAGTCATTGAACATCAGGAGGAAGAATACAACTTTACCTCCTACACACATTTTCCTGTTATTGGTTTTGTTGTCCTTCCTCAAACTTCCAAACTTTAGTTGTTTAAATAAAATGTCGTAATTTTTATTATTATTAATGCATGCATGCGCCAATAGCTTTATTTTATTTTATTTTTATTTATATTTGTATATTTTTTTTTTTTTTTTTTTTTTTTTTTTTTTTTTTTTTTTTTTTTTTTTAAAAAAAAAGGAACAAATGATCATATAATTATCTATTTTTTTTTTCTGTTTTCTATATTAAAGAACGTTTACACTAAAACACTCACAATTTAATTTTTGAAATGGTTTCTTTCAATGATACACCGATGCTTAACTTGGTTACTTCTGAAAGTAAGCTAAATAATAAGAATAATAATAGATTTCTTTACTCTAATAAAATTTATAATTAAAAGATCAAAGTTTAAATGTTCCCGAATTTCCTTCGCATAATGGACCTCAAAGACTTGTCGCAGCAGCTACAAAACAACCTCGTACAAGGGAGAAGGTTCGACTTGAGCCTGGTCATTCACCTTTAGATTGGGCAAAATTATGCTCTTCTGGAAAAGATTTACGAGTAAAAAAAAAAAAAAAAAAAAAAAAAAAAAAAAAAAAATACTGTTTTTTAAATGAAAACATTACTCATGTTAAATATAGGGCGTAGCGCAATTAAATAAATATACATTAGAAGATCTTCGAGAGCATCGAACACCTGAGGATGCTTGGACAGCTATTCAAGGAAAAGTTTATAATATTACACCTTATCTTAAATTCCATCCTGGTGGAGTAAAAGACTTGATGAGATGTGCTGGGAGAGATGGGACAAAATTATTTAGTAAAGTATAAACTGTAATAAAATAAGTAAATAATGATATGACTAACATGTAGTTTATTCTCTCTCTTTAGTGGCGACTCATTCTTGGGTTAATACCGATTATTTATTAGATAAATGTTTAGTTGGATTTTTAGTTCCTTCAAAAGATTAATTTGTATATAAGATGATGAAATATATTTTTTAACTGTACTACATATAAATTAGAGGCTGTTTATATTATTTATTTTCTTCTTCTCTTTCTATTTTATGTCTGATAATAAAAAGGAGAATAATATAATCACTTTTTGGAATCCAAGAGTAGATCCAAATTCTATTAAACAGTCAGATAAATTTACGTTTTCAAGACCGAGGTATACGCACTGTGATTTATTTATTTATTTAATAATAAGTGACTCATTTCTTTGTAAATAGACAATATGATTTCTCGGAGGTCGCTTGGAATAAGAGAAGAGATTTTTGGTCTCAAAAAGAACCTATGGAAGAAATACGATATGGAAGAAAAGATAAATAAACATTACCAAGCCACAAAATAAAACAAAGAATATTTAAATGTGAGAAAAAGGACACTTTCTCTCTTTATTATAACGCTTTAAGAATGTAGTATATAAATATGTAAAATGAAAAAAAAAAAAAAAAAAAAAGATTCTATATAATAAAGAAATCTTAATAACAAAAATTATTACATTATTTCTTTTCTCTTGCTATTTTTTTTTTCTCTAAAGAAAATGTAATTTTATATATTAAGAGTGTTGAAAGAAAGAAAAAAAGTAATAAATGAATGAGAAGGTGATTATATTTTATTCGGGAGCATGAGAGAAGAGGTAGGAAACAGATTCACCATTATGAGTTCTACGAATAGCTTCAGCAAGAGTAGGTGAAATATCAATAACATCAAGCTTAGGACAAATAGCCTTTAAAAAAAAAAAAGAAAAAAAAATAAGTCTAATGCTTTTGTATTATATACATTTAGTCTATTTACCATTTTATCTTGATGAGGAATTGTATTTGTAACAACAAGTTTTTCAATAACAGATTCATTAATGACCTTGATTGCTTTACCAGAAAGAATACCATGTGCTACAATAGCATAAACCTTTAAAGCACCATTTTCAACCAATGTCTTTGCTGCTAAACCAAGTGTACCACAAGTATCTGCCATATCATCTACCAAAATTGCAATTTTACCAGCAACATCACCAACTAAAACCATACGAGAAACTTCATTAGCTCTCTTACGTTCCTTATGAATCAAAGCAAAATCAAGTTCAAGTCGATCAGCAATTGATGTAGCACTAATATGTATTTAAATATATAAAAGCAGGGTATATAAATATATACAGATTTATATAAATCAATAAATAAATAAATACACATATCTATTTTCTTTTTCTTTTCTCAACTTACCGTTTTGCACCACCAGCATCAGGAGAAACAATAATCGCATTCTTCCAGTCAGGAATTTGTGTACGAATGTACTTTATCATTGAAGGTTCACAATACAAGTTATCAACGGGAATATTGAAGAAACCTTGAATTTGAGAAGCATGCAAATCCATAGTAATGACATGATTTGCACCAGCTACAGTTAACATATTAGCTGTTAATTTAGCAGTAATAGGAGCACGGCTCTTATCCTTCTTATCTTGACGAGCATAAGGGAAACAAGGAATGACAGCTGTAATACGACGAGCAGAAGCTGTCTTACAGGCATTAATCAAAATTAAGAGTTCCATCAAATTATCATTAATTTCACCACAGCCAGATTGAATAATAAATACATCTTCATCACGGACGGATTCACCCACAGTGACAGATGTTTCTTGGTTAGAATATTTCATTACAACTGCCTTGGCCAAATCAATACCAATACGTTTAGCAACAAGCTTGGCAAGTTCGGGATGTGAGTTACCAGTGAAAATTTTAATAGCGTTATCAGACATTTTGTATATGTTTTCTTTCTTTCTTTCTTTCTTTAGTTGGGTATTATGAAGAAAAATATTAAAAAAAAATTTTTTTTTCTCTAGGCGTTTAAAGGTTGCTTCCTTACAAAATACAGTTCCAATAAACAGGAAAATAAATATAAATATGTATATAAATATAAAAAAATGAAAATGATAATAATAATAAAAAAGAGAGAGAGTGCAGAATTTACAAACAAGTAATTGTAATGTACTTCTTCTTTTTTTTGTTATTCTTCTTCGAGAGTTTCGATTTTTAGTTTGTGAAAAAAAAAAAAAAAAAAAAAAAGAAATTTTGAGGAAAAAAAAAAAAATCTTTAAGCAAGTCCCAATTCAATCTCAGTGGTGACTTTGAAAGCATTTTTCTTTTAATTTTACTACCTACTAAACCATCTTCCCCGAAGCCTTTCTTCGTTCATGATGAAAGTTTACAACAAGTATTTATTTATTTATTACTAAAATAATTGATGTTAGAAATATTAATTTTAATACAAAAGAAGAAATACATAAATATTATAATATATACATTTGTTGGTGAAAAAAAATAAAAAAAAATATGATAGAATTAATGAAAAAAAAAATTTTTTTTTCTTTAATAAATCAAAAAACTGTGTGAGTCATACAATAACAGCAGACAATAGTAGAATTTATCTCTACAAAAAAATAAAAAAATAAACACTGTACTGTTTATGTTTATTGAATCGTTCCATATAAACTACTAATAGTCATCATAAACAACTGCTGTTATTTGCTTTATTCCTTACTGCCCCTCCCGAAGAATTATTATTATTTTATTTCTAAATAGTCATCTAGAATGACCGTAATATTTCGTAGAGAAAATAAAGTTTAGCCTATAATATTTTAAAAATCACATGCAATCATTTTATTATCATATTTTACATTTTCTATAAAGTGTCAAGTTAGAATCTACGCTTAGCTGCTCTTCTTGCTGCTGCTGCTGCCTGTTGTCTTTCACGAAGAATACGATCCTTTTCTAATTTATCTTGATGCTTTAATTGTTCTTTAAAATTTTCCATAAATCCTTTTGTATTCTTTTGAAGTTCTTCAGGTTTCTTGACAAGTTTTGGAATATTTAAAAATTCACGTATAGTTGGATTTTTCAAGGCAAGGATTTGTCCAATAGAAAAGAAATTAGATGTAATCCAATATATAAACACACCCTAATAAAAATAAATATTTAAATACAGCCTTTTTTTTTTTTTCTACATGGAAGAAATAAAACAAACTTTACACTGGGCATCCAGGCAGTAAATGGTACCATGACAACTGAAAGACCACGGAAAAAGTTCTTCATGCCTTTACTTTGTGGATTAGCGGCACCTGCTTCAGTTCCAGCTTCTAAAACAGCCATAACACCAGCTGCACTAACAACAGGTAAAATATAATATGGGTCCTTTGCTGCTAAATCAGTAAACCACCAAAGACCTTGATCTTGTAATCCAGGAACAGGAATTTCAGCCATACCACGAATGGCCATGAAAAAGGAAATCATAACGGGCATTTGAATCAAAGGTAAACCCATTGATTTCAGTGGGTGACATTTATTCTTTTTAAAAAGAGTCTGAATTTGACTTGAATACTTGCTAACAGCTAACGTGTCTCCTGTTGCCTGTGCTTCTTTCAAATTATTCATAATACGTGTCACTTCAGGGTTAATATTCATAAGTTTTGCGTTATTTCGTTGAATCTTAATCATGAGTGGTAACAGTGCAGACCGGATAATCACTGTAGCTACTGCAATCGTACCCCACCATGGTAATCCACTATAGACATGAATGTATTCAAACATAGCCTCTAATCCACCAACAGGTGTAAAATTACATAATCCAAGTGCTTTAAACTCTCCAATACGAGATGCAGCATCAACAATAGCATCAGGTGATGTTGTTTGAACTGCTTGTTGAAGAATATCATGAGCAGAATCATTGGTATTAGCTACATCAGATCCAAGTGATGATATATCTATAGTATCTTCTTTACTAGAGTCCTCTGTACTTAAATGTCGTAAAGCAATATGATTCATTATCGTCATATTTCCTAGAAGCCTTGTACCATTTGACTTGGCTGCTCTTTGTGCTATTATGCTTAAAGGTTGAACTTTTATTGAGCGTGTCATCAAACTAGTTGATAGCTATTTTCCCAAATAATAAATAAAAAATTAGATTCTAAATCATATCCCTCCCCCTCCCCTCTTATTTTTTTTTTTTACTATTCAAGTCATTTCCTCTTTTTCTTGCACACACATACTCAAACCAACTATTAATTATGCATTAACTTACCATGCGAGTTGAATGAACATTAAGCCCAATGTGTGATAAAGTCCTACTTTTTGTGACCAATAAAAAAAAAGGAGAGAATCATTTAGAAATGAACTTTGAGTTATAACATGTATTTCCTTACTTTTTAGAAACTAATCGACTGGAGATCCTGAACATTATGTCAATGTCTTAATATTTAATGGATATACAACAAAGGGAAAGAGGGGAAAAAAAAAGGAAGGGTCTCTCAGTGTAATACCGGAAAAAAAAAGTGGGGGAAGAATACTAGGGTCAGACAAAGTTAGGAAGTTCAGTGTATTTTTTTTTTTTTTTTTTTAAAAAAAAAAGCCTGTCAATTCAAGTCACGAAATAGCATACTTTATATGGAAATGAAATAGTTTTGGCCCTGTATTTTTTTTTTTGTTTTGGCATTTTCTTTCAACACTTTTGTATATATTTCCTATATTGTTAGACGCATATACATACATACATATATATCATGATTTCAACTACTTTACGTCAGTTTATTAAAAGTCGTAGTCTTCAAAGAAATATATTAGCTTCAAAGCCATTAGTTCATTTTGAAAAAGGCATCATTCAACCGAGATTAGGTACAAAAGAAACAAAACACAATTCCGGGGTAAAGAAAAAAAAAAAAACTAATAACTTCTTTTTTTTTTTCATCTAAGGTCAAAATAGATTTTATAATACTGAAGTAAGGCCTATCAATTTTGAAGCTAAATATGCTGATAAAATTAAAGAAATCGCAAAAAGGTATGATATGAAATGTAAATCAATGTCCCTTTTTATGCTTTGTTTTAAGAAAATAAATAAATAGAGAAGGACTTACAGTGGAAGAGTTAAAAAAGAAAATGAAAGATGAAGCAGCAAAAAAACTAAAGGCTTCACAACCTATTAAAAAGACAATTGTGAACGAAACAACAAAAAAGGCTTCTGCAGATACAATTGCTTCTAAATCAAAATTACCTTATGAATCTTCGGCACCTGTAAGTTTAAAAGACTATTTTCTTCCCTCCCTTTGATATTCATCTTTTTTTTTATTTTATTTTTTTGTTTTTATTTTAGACTTTAGATAAACTAGTAAAGCTTGATTTGCTTGAAAAGGAAACACCTGAAAATATTGAAAAGATTTGGAATGCAGGCCATGCAAATAAAGACTGTATTACTGCTGTCATTCCTAGTGATGTCTATGATAAGCTTTATAAACGTAGTCAACAATATCCTATGGTAAAAAAAAAAAAGATAAAATCAATACTACATTTATTTTATATGCTTATATGTATATACATTTATATGCATATACATATTGATAGTTTGTTTTACCTATGCCACGTGAAGAAGGGGTTGAATTCTTTTTCCTTCAATTTAATTTCCATCAATGCAATTTCACTTCTCTCTTAGAATATAAAACAAAGGGAACTGAAGCAAGACCTTTTCTAACTTTAACTCATTTTCCTGAACTTCAAAAATCAAAGGGGATTGTTTTAATGAAGGGTGAGATCAATAAGGATCCTCGTATGCTTGATACTGCGAATGCACAATTTTTAGCATTTGCCCTTCAACAATTCTATGTCACAGGTGGTGAAGAAAAGTTGAAGCTTGTTGAAAAATTCCATAAGCAGCCTGCTGAATTTGATTTCCAAGATCTGATTAAGGCCGTCGAAACACTTGTTTAAATTGCTTGTATTTATAAACAAATTATATCTATAAAATATGTATGTAAAGTAGTGTATAATAATTTATTTAGCACTCTACTATTCTATAATAACAACAACAAAAAAAAAGAAGAGATAAATAAATACATAATAGTTATACTTTTCTTTTCTTTTTTTTTTTCGATACGATGACTTTGTTCAATTTGCAAGTGTTTCTATATCTATTGCCTTATATGTATATATATCATTTTCAGAACCTTGACTCATTTACAAAGCTTGTAATAAATCATTAATTTAGCAGTCGCGATAAACGAAGTCTTGTCTCTCCTTTTTTTTTTTTTTTTTCTTTCTCTCATTTTTATACTTTTTAAAATAGATAAATAAATACATGTATATATAATGTCGTTTGTTCAAGAGAGACAAAGGCGTCCAAATGCTGGTAGTCGGTAATAATGAGAAGAAATAGCAACAATAAAAGACAGAAAAAAAAATTAATACTACTATTAGAATGCAAGCATTACTTAATCAAGAGGTTGAGATGGAGGAATTATTTGAACATGAAGAAAATGAAGAAGAGGATGAAGAATTTATTAGCAAAGGTTAACTTAGACTATATATAAAAAAGTAAAAGATTGAAGATTTAACATTTAATGTAAATAGTTGAAGAAGAGGAAGAAGATAAATTGGATTCCGATTTTGATCTCGAGTCTTCTGAAGGCGAACAAGAATATGTTGAGGAAGGAAAACAAATGGATAAAGCACTTGCTCAGGCTGAAAGAAAAGTAAATATTAAAAAAGAAGAGAAAAAAAAAACCCCCCACCTAAAACAAAGAGAAGAATTTATTGATTGTTTATTAACTTGATTTAGACACGTAGAACAACTATATTCAAACCTCCAGTATCAACAGGCAATACAGTAAAAAAATCTACTGAAACAAAGAAAAGGAAATTAAAAAACACTATTCCTGAAGAGGAGCGTAGTACGCGATACTCATCTAGAAAAAATACAGTATTAAATCGAATACTTGTCGAAGACCAAATTAGAGAATATAAAAGGAAAAAGGTATGGAAAATACAAGCTTTTAGAAAATGAGTATTGATAATTAAACGCTTTTCCTTCCTTCCCTCCCCCGTTTCTTTCTTTCTTTTTCTTTTTTTTTTCCTTTTCCGTATTTAAGGCATTACAACCTAAAAAAGATAAGCCTGTGGTTAACAAGTTAACACAAGAAGAGCTTTTAGCAGAGGCAGCTATTACAGAAGAAAAAAACAAAAATTCTTTATTAGAGTGGCAGCAAAAGGAAGCAGAGAGAAAAGAAAATGCAAAAAAAAAAGATAAGAAGGAGATTACAGGACCTTTTGTAAGATATTACTCATTTAAAGAAAGTTTACCGCAACAAGAACAATCTGAAGACTTGAATGAGAATGAATGGATGGGAAGAAATCTTATATCGTTTGTATCCGAGAAGAATGAAGATGTAACACAAAGTCATTTATCGTCATTAGATAAAGACATGACAGATCTTGATAAAAGTTTGGAATATATGGATTTAATTGAAGAATTGAATGGTTGGCTTACGAAAGCCCCAAAACCGAGTAAACCAGTACTATGTTTAGTTACTGGTAACCATGCTAAATATCGAGATCCACGTACAAATGTGCCTTACTCAAATAGAGAAGCTTATAATATAATACAAGATTGTTTACACCATAAAACAAATTGGTCTTCTACTTATGGTCTATATTTAGGAAATTTGCCTTCAGCAAACGGAGTACCAGATGAATGGCAGTCAATGATTTAAAACTGTATAAACAACAAGATACCCTTTTCTCTCTCTCTCTCTCCCTCTTTGTACATGCATATTATACATGTATATTTTTTTCACAGGTTATATATATTTTTTTTTAAAGTTTAAGTTCTTCACATTGTAACATCTAAAGCAGCATAAAATGTTGGTTTTATTGGGTTTTAACAAACTATTAGTCATTTTTTGTATTTGTGATTTGATATTATCTCCGGTAACAGTTACACTGATAATTCCTTTATAGTTATGATTGTTCTGCAAGAAAAAAAAAAATACACGTAAATTGTGGAGATTGATTCACATGATATACAATCAATTTTTTTTTTTCCTATTTTAAAGCAATACTTTTCTAGTGGTAGCAATAAATAAAAAGTAGGCATTTGTTTTCATTTTTTCTTTGCCTTTTTTTTTTTAAAAAAAAAAAAATAAAATAAAAAATATGCTGGACAACGAAAAGAAATCGGATTTTGATGTTGTAGTGAAGCAAGAGGAATTAGAAAATAAAGATATTGAAAGATCAATTGGACAAAATAGCGACTCAAGTTATATTCCTCCTACACCTGAAGAACTTCGGGCAGTTATCTGGAAATTAGATCTTCGAATTATTCCATTTCTTGGTCTATTGTATCTGTGTTCTTTCTTGGATCGAGTCAATATTGGTAATGCTAAATTAGCAGGAATAACAGACGACCTTCAAATTAGTGCAAGTGATTATAATGTCGCTCTGTCTATCTTCTTTATTGGTTATGTAAAGTTGATATCATTATTTAGCAAATACATATAATAAAAAGTATTGACTGTAATTTATAGATTATTTTTGAAGTTCCTTCTAACATTATTTTAAAGAAAATTGGTCCAAGTAAATGGATTCCTATCGTTATGATTTCATGGGGAACAGTTGTAAGTAGTCTTTTTTTTTTAAAAAAAAAAAAAAAGAAAAAGGAAAAGAAAAAAAAGTTACTGATATAATAATATAATTATATATGCATATATATTTGTACATGTATACATATATAATAGATGGCAGCGATGGCAGCATGTCATAATACAGCAGGCCTTTTAGCTTCTCGGTTCTTTTTAGGTATTACTGAAGCAGGTCTTTTCCCGGGTGTCATCTTTTATCTAACTTTGTGGTACAAAAGAAGAGAACAAGCATCTCGAGTCGCTTTCTTTTTCTCATGCTCTACACTAGCAGGTGTAAGTATACACTTTTTATTTTTATTTATTAAAAAAAAAAGAAAGGTTCTTTTTTCTAACAAATTGATTGAATCAATTTTTAGGCTTTTGGTGGTGTCTTGGTAAGTGACTTTTTTTTATAATTTTTGATTTGATGAATTTCAATATTCATTATTATTACTTGCTGTTGTAGGCATATGGTATTATGCAAATGGATGGTATTCGCGGACTTCATGGTTGGCAATGGATTTTTATTATTGAAGCTATTCCTACTCTTCTTCTTTCTATCGTGTCTTACTTTTTCCTACCTGATTTTCCAGAGAATTCCAAATGTAAGACTAATATATATATAAATAGGTGTGTATATGTGAATGAAAAAAGTTAATTCTTCTTCTTGTTGGTATTATTATTAGTCATCAATGAACGTGAACGTGAAGTGGTAGTCCATCGCTTAAAGGAAGATGCTGGACCATCGACAGAAACTCATTTCTCTTGGACTCAACTTCGTGCTGCTTTTACAGATTATCGTGTTTATGTCCATTCTCTTATTTATGTTTGTGGTTCAACACCACTTTATAGTCTAAGTTTATTCTTACCTAGTATCATTCAAGGCATGGGTTTCAACGACCTTCGTGCTCAAGCTATGTCAGCGCCGCCTTATGCTATAGGTAAAATACACATACACACACGTGTATATGTATACATATATATATATATATATATATATATATATAGCATGTTCATAAAGCTAACACTATATTTATACATATATATTTATATACACTTTATTTTTAAGCCTGTTTTATTACTATCTTGGTTGCTATACATGCAGATAAACATGGTGAACGTGGTTGGCATATTGCTATTCCAGCAGCAGTAGGTGCTATTGGGTATGGTCTCCTTTATGGTCTTCGTCATCATGGAGCAGTAGCTATGTATATTGCAGCATGTATTACAGTTACAGGAGTTTTTTCACATATTCCAGCCATGTTAAGTTGGTTTGGTAACAATATTGGTGGACATACAAAGCGTGGAGTAGCATCAGCTATTATTATTAGCTTAGGTAATGTTGGCGGAGCAATCGGAGGACAAATTTATAGAATAGATGACGCGCCTTTGTATGGTCGAGCTAATTTAATTGCAATGGGACTTATGTGCTGCGTAGTTCTATTTTCTTTACTATTTAAATGGTCTTTGAATAGAGAAAACAAGAGAAGAGATGAACTTACAGAAGAAGAATATAATTATGAAGCCTCTAAATTTGAACCTTGTGATAGACATCCTGGTTTTAGATACATGTCTTAATAAGAACACTATATATGTATATATATATCTTATTATACATCTTACATTTAACAGTTATATACAATCATATTATATATATTAATCATCATAGTGGGGAACATGTATATTATAGAATAAAAGCATGTTGAATGTTATTGTATAATCACTATGTTAAATGATGTCATACCCTATTTATAAATATCATATCTTTTTTTTTAAAGGAGTAAAAATAGGCAGTAGAGTTGAATATAATATGAGACATAAAAATCTGAAACTGCCTGTTATTGTTATTATTCACCATCAAATGTATTATACATGACGCGTATTTAATGTAAAATGGAGTAATTCTTCTCCTTTCCTTTCCTCTTCTCTTCTCCTATTATTTATGTATATCATTAGCAAATACTGTTAACCTTTTAAAACGTCTTGTTGTATCTATTTATTTATTCAATCTTCTACGGTTAGACGTTTCTATAAAAGGTAGGCTGAGTACACGTGTGTAACTCAGCTTATGTTTAGATTTCTATATTTAATTCTATTTTTATTTTTTTCTTATCTTTTTCTCTTGTTTTTTGTTTTTTGTTTTTCTTTTTTTTTTATTGTTTTTTATTGTTTTGTTTTATTTTAGCTTTATTCAACATCTATGGAAAGATCATTAGCCAATCAAACAACATTAATAGATTGGAAAATAAACAAACCTATTGATGAGAAAACATTCATTTATTCAACTAATAAAATGTTAAAATGTCCAACATCATCAAGTATCACTACTGACAACACCTGTGATATGTTAAATGAATCTAACCAATTATCACCTCCTATTACCCCTACGTCTTCTTTAAATGAAAAGAGAGCTTTTCATACATCCTATATAAGACCAGTAGAATATCAATTAACACCTGAATCATCACGTATTGATATGAATGAAACAAGTCTAAAGAGACATTCTACTATCAGTAGCAATAGTGGTATGAGTGAAGTGATAACGATTGTAACCAATAGTTTACATAGAAATCATACAACTGGACATGCAATAAGATCTGCAAGACAACAACTTGCAGATAAAGAACGTTTAATTGCCTTACAACGTTCAGAAGAATTCCAACAATTATTATTAGCACGTAGAAAAGAATTTGAAAGATTATCGACTCACAAGATAGACGATGAACAAGTATTAATAGGCACACGTATCTCAGAGGGACATCAAAATTATGTATTAATGTACAATATGTTGACTGGTATCCGTATCGCTGTGAGTCGTGTGACAGCAAAAGTAAATCGACCCTTAACAGATGACGATTATACTGCAGCACATAAACTAGCCTTTGATGTAATGGGTGATGAATTAACACCTGGTGCTAAATATGATTTTAAATTTAAAGATTATGCTCCTTGGGTATTTCGTAATTTGAGAGAGAAATTTGGTGTAGATGCAGCAGATTATTTGGTAAAAAAAAAAAGAATTGATATGTATATAAATAGCTTTGTTGTCATTAACACTAATAGAATAGATTTCTTTAACAAGTAAATATATTTTATCCGAATTGGGCTCTCCTGGTAAAAGTGGAAGTTTCTTTTATTATTCAAAAGATTATCGTTTTATTATCAAGACTATTCATCATACAGAACATAAATTTATGAGAAAGATCTTAAAAGATTATTATAGGGTATATATTTATAACAGCTATAAACAAAAAATGACATACATAGTTAACTATCTATTTTAGCATATTTGTGACAATCCAAATACATTACTATGTAGATATTATGGCTTACATAGAGTAAAATTACCTCATGGAAAAAAGATTCATTTTGTCGTTATGAGCAATGTATTTCCTCCAAACAAAGATATTCACGAGACTTATGATTTAAAGGTATTATTACTATTACTATTACTATTACTATTTACATTTCATTCTATGAATTTAGGGTTCTACACTAGGTAGATTATTACCAGAAGAAGAAATACATAAAAATCCTAATGCAGTTATGAAAGATCTCAACTGGGAAAAGAAACAACGTAAACTTCAATTAGGCCCTGAAAAGAGAAAACTCTTTATCAAACAACTTGTTCATGATGTCACGGTAAAATAATAATAATAACAGTATATACATATACGTATATATATGTATATATATATTTTACTCATATGTTATTTTATACTAGTTATTATCAAATTTGAATATTATGGATTATAGTCTATTAATTGGTATACATGATATGTTGCGAGGAAATAAAGACAATATTAGAGATACCACTTTACAATCATTTCAACCAAATACGAAAGCACTTCAACGTCGAGTTAGTTTATTGCAGCGTAGAACAAGTCAAGCACAAGTCATTCGTAAAGCAATTGCAGAAGCAAATCCAAATAAGTTAGATGTATCTAAACTACCAGAAGAAACATCAGAGTAAAGAAATCTATTCTATTCATGATATAACACATGTATTTACATTTATCTTATTTATTATTTAGACGTCGTAATTGTATATTTTATTCTGAAAATGGTGGATTTCAAGGCACAGATGAAAATAATAGGCCACTTCCTGTATTATATTCTTTGGGTATCATTGATATCTTAACTCCATATGATATCAAAAAGAAGTCTGAACATATTTATAAATCATTAACTCAAGATAAAGATGCTATTTCAGCTGTCAAACCAACTCAATATGGAAGTCGATTTTTAGAATTTATGGCTAAAGCTGTCTTGGAACATAACGATGATATTCCTCAAGAATATAAATTAAAGAACAGAGTAAAGCATTTATTGCATTTCAAGTAAATTGTATACTTTCCCTGCATCACTATTTACCTAAACATTTTTTTTTCTTTTTTTTTGTATATTGGAGCACATACCCTTTTTTTCATTTGTAAAGTTGTTTATTTATTTATTTATATATTTGTTTAGAATAAAAAGAATATTTTCAGAGCCAGTTTTTTTTTTTTTTTTTTTTTTTTTTTTTTTTTTTTTTTTTTTTTTTTTTTTTAGCTCTCCTAAATAATAAAAGTTTTATATGTACGTGTTTTTTTTTCTTTTTTTTTTAGGATTGCTTAAAAAATGTCAAATAACAACGAATTTCCTCTTCAAAATAAACAAGCTGCCATCAACATTAATGGAGTTCATACAGAGATTTTACTCTCTAGTTTTTCAGATAAAATATTTATAATAATTACACAGTATGGAAAGATAGGTAGCATGGTAGGTTACTCAATTCATTCAACTTGACGTATACATTTCCTTGCTTTCTCTTCTACCTAAGCATTGGAGTGTCAATATTAGTTATTTTTTTTTTATTTTATTTATTTATTTTTTTTTTTAGATTCAAACTAGATTCGATGTTCCGCCTCATTTAGCCATGAATCCATCTGCGATACCTACAACAAGTCAATTCTTGATGGGTGAATCAACAGGAGAACAAAGCGATCTTTATATTTTATATGCAACATCTATATTACAAGCTATTGGTGCCATGAATCCACACGAGAAAAGACCACTCTTGTTAGGCATCGCTTTAAAACCTATACAAGACATGTCGGAAAGAAAGAAAATATTTCATCAGATTATTGATCAAATAATGGCTAATCCTGTTTGGTAGAATTTAAATAATACAAAAGCTATTTATTACATTTATTAAAACATTTCATCGAAAATTTTCTTGTCTAATTTTCCTTTTTTCATCTTTTTAAACATTCTTTCTTCTTCTGCTAACTCTTCCCAATCATCATCATCTTCTTCTTCTTCTTCTAATTGTCTTTTCTTCTTTTGTTCAATTTCTAGTTGTGCTTGTTTCTTTAGGTATTCTTTTTTAGCTTTCTTCTTTTCTTTACGCACTTGTCTACGTTCCTTTGCATCTATTTTCTCTGACCATGCTACATTTGCCTTTTTCTTTGGTGGTAGTGATGGTGGTTGTGATTGTTTTGATCTCTCTTTATATTCCTTTAATTCCTTTAATCGTTTTACTTCTCTTTGTTTATCCATGTATTTAAATGTGTCCCAATTCATGTCTTCTTCTTCTATAAATGAGTTTACATAGTTGGCTTGACTCTGTTGTGCTTTTAATTCAGGCATCTTGGGTAACTTTAACAATCCAAATCCCATCGCTAATCGTCCTAAATCCAAATCCTTTACACGGAAGATATAGCTGGCTTCATGCTTTGTATAGGATCTTACCCAGGATACAAATGCCTTTAGTGCACGATCATGAAGATCACGATCTGTTTTCACAATCGATCTAATCTCCTTGATAAACTCGAGTAACCCTTCATCTTTCACTTCAATCGAGGTAGCTGTTCTTTCCTCCGAGTCAACAACTTGACTGTTATCAAAGGATGTCAAGTCAGGTAAAATGTACTGTCGTCGTTGGATGGGAATCTTTCTCAATCTGAGTAAATCCACATACATCTCCTCACGTCCTCGTACTAGAATAGCAGTCGCATGTCCCTTTCGACCGGCTCTACCCGCTCGACCACATCGATGTGAAAACGCCTTGGGGTCCTGAGGTGGATCCAATTGAATGACATAATCCAGATCAGAGATATCAAGACCACGTGAAGCAACATCGGTACAGAGTAAGACAGCTGGGATGGCAGGTGAAAGCTCAGTAAAGGACTTGTAGGTAGCTGATCGTCGTTTGGTATCCATTTGACCATGGAGTGAATGGAAAGAAAAGGATTTTAGACTTTGCATTCGACTCAAGATTTTATAAAAATAATCTACCATGGCACATGTAGCGAAATAGACAATGAATTTACGGGCTCCTGTCCCTTCCTCTGCTTCTTCATGTGCTAATTCACTTTGAAGGATACGGGTCATCAAAAGTAGTTTTTGATCTGCATCGCAAACAACGTAATCAATGTCTAGGGTGGTCGGTGTTCGCTGTACGTTCCCTTTATGAGCTAAATCTTCTACTTTCACTACAATACGTACAGGATTACGAAGACCTGCACGAACAAGTTCTGAGATGGCATCTGTCATGGTGGCGGAAAATAAACCTGTACGACGTTGCTTGGGTAATTGTGCAATAATATGACTCAATTGCTTCGAAAATCCCATATCTAATAATCGATCTGCTTCATCCATAACAAGTACTTCAAGTTCTTTTGTATTGACTAAACTACCCGTTTTCGTCAGCAATTCTTCTAATCGTCCAGGTGTACCAATCAAAATACGAGGATGTTCGTTTTTAAATGAATGCATGTCTTCCGCTAATGAACTAGATCCACCAATATAAAGTCCTAATCCAATCTGATCTTTACGTTCATGATCATCTACAAAGGATTTGAAGACAGAATAAATTTGTTGAGCGAGTTCTCTTGTAGGTGTAATGACGATCGCTCCAATCTCATGATGCTTTAAAGCTTCCTCTCTACGAAGTAATTTTTCAAGGATAGGAATAACAAATGATAAGGTTTTCCCTGAACCCGTTACTGCTTCTACTACAACATCCTTATTTTTCATGAATAAAGGAATAGCACCTGCTTGCACAGGTGTCATTGTTTCAAAACCTAATGAATCAATCGTTTCTAATCTATCATGTAAATTAATAAATAAAAAAAAAAAAAAAAAAAAAAAAAAAAAAAAAAAGAAAGTAGGTGATTAAACCAATGTAACTTACATTGATTCACTTAATGGAGTTTCAAGTGAGCGCCAAGATCCTGCAAGATTAGGAACTGCTGACATTATTTATTAAAAATTAGAATAGCAACAGAGGGGAGGGGAGGGGGGAAAAAAAAGAGAGAGAGGAGAGAGAGAGAAAGGGAAAGAAGGTTTTTTTTTTTTTTTTTAAAGAAAAAAAAAACTCTTAATAATGCAAAGAAAGAATAAGCCACCACTATAAACTTATTTACAACTAACTACTGCCTTAACCGGAGTTTTAAATGACCTGAAAATAAAAATGATAAATAACAGAAGGTAAAGGTACACGATGATCAATCACCAAGCCATAGGGCAATACATGATGAAATGACCTTTGTAAGTTATTCATCTTGTCAATAAAGTTTTTAACTATATTGACATAATGAATAACACTCAATTTTTCAAGTCCCTGTCGAGAAAGTTCGATAAAGCGTGCATAGATCTGACTCAAGAGATCATAGAGCTGACCCATATTTTCAATCTGACAGGCCTCGAGTTGTCGTTTAATTTCATCCTGTGTAGTCATTTGTCTGTTTGAGTTTTGAATGTGATCTGCAAGGCATTGACAAACATAATGAGCTTTACCATACAACATGAAAAAGTAATCACTAAATTCACCCTCTACTTCAACAAAGGGAGGCTGCATGGCTTCGTTCTTTTCGCTTGCGATAGACATCATACCAGATGGTCCTTGAGTCTCATTAGCTAGAGAAGATGGGGACAATGATATAGATTCTGTAGTACTAACTGCAGAAGCAGCAGCAGTAGCAAACTCTGGACCATCCTCCAGTGTAGATAACAAGATGGGATCTACTACATGATGCTCTATTTTTCGTTTTTTGCCCAGTTTAAGATGTGTCATAAGAGCCATTGAACTGATCTTGATATAATAACTCTTTGATTCTGTCTCTGTTAAAAAGACACCATGAAGACGAATCAAATCCCCTGCTCTTAATTGATTCCTTTTGATATACTCTAAATTTTCTTCTCTATGAACTTGACATTGAACTGAAATAGATGAAAGGGCTACGTTAAAGATAGCCGTATCTTTATCAATGATTGGATCTGATGTAAGATGTGTCTCGGTATAAATGACTGTCATCGTTAAAAAAAAAAGAAGAAGAAGAAGAAGAAGAAGTAGGATAAAAGCTTTATAGTTATTTATTACGAAGAGAGAATTAAAAAAGTAGAATGTTTTTTTTTTCATTTCCCTGATTTAAAGAACAAAGAAACCCCTTTTTTTTTTTTTTTTTTTTTTTTTTTTTTTTTTTTTTTTTTTTTTTTTTACTATTACTATTGTTATTTTATTTGAGTTCAGATAATTCTTGAATTCGAGCTTGGATTTTAGGTACATCAAGTAATTTTGCTTCAATCTAAGAATAATAATACAAATGAATGAGTCTATTCGATTATAAATTATTCTTTAATTTTTTTTTTACAGCATTCTTTTCTTCTTGAAGAGCTAATCTCTTTTGAGCATCTAGTTTAGTAAAGATATAACCTCCTTGTCCATCATATTGCAGTATAAAGTTATGATATTTCCAAAGTGAAGGACGGTGAGAGACAGTTAAAAGAGAAATTCCGAGGGCAGTAGCATGAGTGTACATAATCTTTTCGATATCCATACTTACTGCACTTGTACATTCATCCAGAATAGCATAGCGAGGTGAATGATAGAATAATCTAGCCATAGCAATCTAAAAAAAAAGGAATAAGTCTCTTTCTATATACATATATGTATATATTTATGTCTATTGTTTTGTTTTCGTTCTTACACGCTGTTTATCTCCACCTGATAATGCAATGGTCCATTCTTTTTCTGTATCCCATCCACCTTCTCTTTCGACAATATGCTCAATTTGAACAATCTTCAAGATATCTAATAATTGGGCATCACTTATATTTTTCTTTTTCATATCTTCCATTGTATCAGGATATAAAATTCTATATAAATGAATTAAAACGTGTACGATAGTAAATAAAGCATAATAATCCACTTTACTGATCCCTAAATGTACCCAATGAAAGATAGGGTCTTTGAGGAATATAAAATATATCTCGATGACTTGGACGATGAACAGTGCCTCCATAGACAGGCCACAATCCACCCAAGATACGAAACAACGATGATTTACCACAGCCATTAGGACCTACGATTAATAAATGCATCTATACGTCATAATATCATATGAGATGACTATGACTATTTTATATAGGAGGAATACCAAAAATTGGGAAAAAAAAAGGATACATATACATATTATTCTTACTTACACCAGGTTTCACATGAAAAGTTAATTGAGGTACAAGAACATCACCATTAGGACTCACGATAGGTACATTTATAAATTCAATATTTTCACTTTCAATCACTTCTCCACGTCCCTTTAAAGTTTCTTTATTTAAATCGGTTGACATGGTTGAAACAAGATTCTTTTGATATCTTCCTACTTTTACATCTTCAAATACCTCTAATAAATCATTTACCTAAATACCGTAATGTAAATAGAATAATTTACAAAAAAAAAAAAAAAAAAAAAAAAAAAAAAAAAAAAGAGAGAGAGAGAGAAAGAGAGAAAGACTTACTCTGCTCGTGTAACCGGCTAATTCAGTAATCTCTTTATAAGCATACATGATACGACCTACAGCATCAGATGAACTCATCAATAAACGACGATTTGTGACAAAGCCTTCTGTTCTTCCACCTACAGAAGACATGGTAGATATTCCGGGAATTTGAAAAAAGACAGGAACTGAACATAATATCAATCCACAGGCACCCCAAAAATACTTGATAATGAAATCCTCCAACATACCATAGGGGACACGTACACGAAAGACACGATTCAGATGACGAATAAGTGAATGATAACTCTTGTCTAATTCCCTCTTTTCAATCCTTTGACCCTCCAAGAGCGCTACCTCCTCGGCGTTTTCCATGAGACGTGAATGTCTAAATCTAAATTCACCCTCTAATCTTTGTTCCTCTGCAACCATCTTACCAAAGGAGGGAGTATATTTACGCATGATGGCAGATGATATATGGATGATGACAGAACCCAGCAGGACACCTTCAAAGCCAACGTTCTTTGATAATTGATAGTTATAGATAAATACATCCAAGATAGGCTTGGCTAAATTGGAATAAAGTTCAGCAAGTGAATTTGAGAACTTCATTGTATCGACAGTGATGCATTGATCGACATTCTTGATACGATCATCCAAGTTACCCACTGCATAAAAGGTCATATCCTTTAAATATTTATCATGAATAAAAGTCGTAAGACGTGTACGAAATTGAATAGAAAGTTTACTTTGCAGATAACTAAGCATACTATTTGTATAAGTAGCAGGAATAGCTACCGTCATCCACCAAATGATACCCAAGATAAACTCCTTAAGTTGTCCTCTTACTAATGCACTTACAATTCTACCGTCCAAAGAAGCAATATAGACAGATAAAACAGTCCTAAAGACTAGTCATCATAATGATAAGATTATATACGCATCTATATATGTATATCTATCTTACCTAAAAAGCCTGAATGAATCACTAATAACCAAAACTCTTTTGATCGAATCCCAGGCATAACAATTTTTAATATTTTATAAAGATGCTTAAAAAATACAATATCCACCTAATATTTATTTATTAGAAGAAAAGAAAAGAAAAACATAGCCTTTCTTTCTTTCTTTTTATTTATTTATTTGTATTAATTTACTTGGACTTTTTCATTCTTCTTTTTTGTTATTGTTGTTGTTGTATTCTTCTTTTGAACTGCTTTAATTAATTTTTTCAAAGATAATAAAGAGCGCAAAAGAAAGATGATCAAGATGGACTGATGAATCGTTGTACGATGTTTTCTATAGCTTTTTAATAATTGACTTAAATGAGGTAGTATAAACAAACCCCATTCTGATGATGCCAACTTGGAATAAACTGCTGGCATTTTAACAAAAGAAAAAAAAAAGTAAGGGAAAGGGAAAAAAAAAAAAAAAAAAAAAAAAAAAAAAGATAAAATAAATTTACACTAGTGTTTTGCATGTGAAAATTGAATTTTATACATGTACCAAAAAAAGGGGGAAAAAAGAGAGGGGGGAGTGCATGAAATCATGCTTATTTAGAATTATTATTGACTATTTCATTTACTTGTTCTTTATATTGATTTGGTATCCAATCTTTTAAGCATTTAAACGATTCTATAATCTAAATAAGGAATAACTTGTTTAGCTCTTATTTATGTGTGTGTGCGCATAGATAGTTTCTTACTTGATGTTCAAATTGTTCTTTATATTTAACTTCTTTATATCCATGATTCTCTTGACATATCTTCCAAGCTTCTAAAATACTTTCTACAATAATAGGCAATTGGTTTCCATAATCTGATTTCTTTTTAGGTGTCGTTAAAGCTAAACATGCATTAATTCTGACTTTAAAATTCTTACAATGCAACAAAGCTTTGATTAAGGCTTGATAAAGTGGATTTGTCCAAGGATAGATGTCACCTATAGGGAAATAAGGATTCAACAGCATATTGCTTGCTGCATGTGATGCATTCCAACGTATCTTTAATGAAGTACCCGCTTCAATGTTCTTAACAAGTCCTTGCATAATTGCATTTCGAACTAAGGACATCATACGTGTATTCTCAAAATATTCTTTTGGTGTTATTCTTAACAAACTACCAATAGCTCGTACTGCATTTGAACGCAATTTTTCATTATCTACTGCTCCTGTGGTGACGATAGATAAGAGATCAATCCATTCTGTAGTTGACATGTATTCACGTAAATTGAAATCCGACTTTTCACTGTATATATAAAGAATTAAACATGAAGTGTGTTTTATATCTATCTATGTATATATACCTTTCTAAAACAAGGGCATCACACAAGTTGGCAATGGCCCAACTCGCTCTGATACGAACAAGGATAGCTTTATCTTCTTTTTGTGATAAAATTGATTTTGCCATATCTGATACAAACATAGGATCTTCTCTTAAAGAAGGAAATAAGATAAATATCCCGAGTGCTCTACATGCTGCTCCTTTTACATGTATATTTTCATCTACAACAAGTGACAGTAGTAAAGTGATGATTAATCTTTGATGACGATACTAAATAAAAGTATATACATATACAAATCAGTCTTTTTTTTTTTCTCTCTTTTGCAACTATAAAATATATATATATATATATACATGTATATGCTAATCGTTTACATGAAATAATTCAAATGTCTCTTGTGGCATACTTGCAAAGCAATCACAAGCAGCTGCACGAATGAAAGGTTGCTCATGAATAGATGCTCTCTGTAAATAATCCTCTAAAATCATCTTCCACCATTCAATATCCTTTGATTGTTGTTCTTTAGTGACTGCAAAAGATTCAATGAATTTTAAACTCTCTGTAGTCAGTGGTAAAGTCTTGAAGGTATCAAGAAGTTTATACCATAACTCTGGCATGGTCTCTTGATAATAATTCTTTGTAAGTGTCGTACATGTATGCCATCCTTCCTTTTGTTCCTCACTATCATTTAATGTCATTGCCTTTAATAATACATCATCAATAACATCCTTTTGCACAAGTGGTTTTAAATTGTCTTGTTGTGTTGTATTAAAAATAGACGTGATTACTTTTAATATTAAACAACGTAAACCTAAAAAAAAAAAAAAAAAAAAAAAAAAAAAAAAAAAACTTGATTAAGTAAGATAATAATTACAAGTTTTTTCTTTCATTTTTACTTTCTTCTTTCCAATGGTTTTTGACTGCATAATAAAGGGAAGGTAAATGAGATTTGGATAACCTTTCATAAGAACAGTTCTCAACAAGTAAATGAATAGCTTGCATCATGGGTATCAATACTTGATTACACGTCTCCTTTTCCAAGGCATAAATAAATCCTTGATGTAGATCATGAATCATAGATCCAAGGTTTTCAGATAATGAAGTAAAAGATGATTTATGTTTTTGACTTTAATATTAGTTAGTAACTTGTGTATATGTAGACTGTCTATTGTTTTCCTTTTCCTTTTTCTCTCTTACCTTTCTAATGCTAGACTTAAATAGTTCTTTGAGCCATTCAACATCGCGATTAATGCATGGCAAACAGCAGATCGAACATGAATGATAGGATCATACAATAGAATGGTAAATAAAGAATAAGGTTGATTATCAGTTCTAAGGAAAGGTAATAATTTTCCTTCACTATTGGTGTTATTAGATAGAAAAATTGAAAATGTATCGGGTAAGAACTTGCTCCAATGAGAATAAAGTACTTTAGGTGATGTAGTTGCAATAGCCGATAAACATAAAAGTGCATTAATTCTAATCTTTGTATAATCTCTTTGTCGACGAGGTGATAGCTCAGGTGTCAGGGTAGGTGAGTCCGATAATTCTGATTCTGAACTAGTCACGAGTGACATGGATTTCATTTGATAGCTTAATGAAGCTGTTGTCGTTCTCCAAGAAAAACTAGGTTTTGTTAAAGGAGTGGTTAGAAGCTTGTTTCTTCTAGTAGGCATCTTTGTAGATTGAATACTATAAGTGTGTACATTGACTTGCATAAAGATAAAGGTATGAATGATATCAATCATATCACATAAAGGATTGGTCACTAATGACTTGTCTTGAGAAAGTAAAAATTGAAGTGCTCTTAGAGTTGAACTTGCTATTTTACGTATCGATGCATCATCATTCAAGATATCCGTTGTCGGTGCTCTGACCAGAAGAGTTCCCTCTGATGTACGGTCTACTTTACAAAGATTACTTAATAAGCATGCATAAAATTCTTGAAAAAAGGCTTGTAGCTTTGTATTGCCTGCATTTGCACAAGCATTGCCAATACAATTAATCGCCATTCGACGGACTTGTAATGATGTATAAGAGGGATTTGCAAACCTCAAAAGTAGCGTGGATAGACGATTGGCAGAACGTTGAGTATGATTGGCTGTTTCAAATACGAGTGAACTCAAGGCTCTTAAAAGATCTACTTTATGATCGTCACTCAAATCGTTAGTATTGTCTAAACCTTCAAGTAAGTAATGAATAGTCATGTCGAACTGAGAAGAGCGAAAATTTGTAACTCGAATCTAACATAAATAAATAAATAAAAATACATGGAATTAGTGTCGTTTAATTAAAAGTATTTGTAACTTGTCTTTTTTTTTTTTTTTTTTACTTGTTTTGAAAATTGTTTATACATGAATTGATAAAAGTAGCGAGAAAGTGTAGTTTCATGACCTATTGATTTACAACCACTGACTATAATGTCAATAATTTGCTAAGAATACATATATAAGTGATGCCTTTTTTTTTTCCAAGAAAAAAAAGATTTTCATTCTACTTACTTGATCAGAAACAGATTTGACATAGTTTATCGTTCCAAGTAGCTCTAATGTTGCAATAGGGCTTGATTCTTGTTGTAATGAATCTGGAAAAGCAATATTTCTATACTGATCAAGCAATGAATAGAAATGATCTAAATTTTTTGTACGAGCCATCTTTACGAAAGAGCTAAACAAAACTGAAAAAAAAATCTGCTTTTTAAATATAAAAAAAAAAAAAAATAAATAATAATGATAATTTTTCTATTATAGCAAATTGGTTTCTTCTAATCCATGTAAAATGAAAGAGGAAGAAAAAAACTAAATATTAAAAGGACTAAAGTATACACACAAATGAACTATCTTCTGAGTTCAAACGGTTAAAAAATAAAAAATTATTAATTGTTACGTCTTTTTTTTTTTTTTTTTTTTTTATCCTTTCTTTAATAGACTTAAAATAGCAGATAATAGAGAATACAATGACTTCGAATCAACAAGAAAAAGTTTTGGAAGAATTCAGAAGAGAATGGCGTGAAGAAGTAAAAGAAAAACATAAACATGATAGTAAGTCTTTTATGACAACAAAAGATAATAAGGAGCCACTGCATAAACCAAGAGAAGAAGAATCAATGGTTAATTTGAATGAAAAAACTGAATCGTTAACGATTCAAACAAAAGAAGAAAATAATAAACCAGTTACAGCTATGGATCATTATATAATTGCAATTGATAATGAAAGACAAGGAAAGATAGGGAAAGGTACTAAGGGAGAAGGTTATTATTGTATATTTATTATTCATGACATTTTTTAAATTTACTATAAGCATTGGAAAGTTATCGTCGAGCATTTAAATTAGACGCCAATATTGACTTTGTATATAAAAACCATTACCAAACAACTATTTTACCAAAGATTCAAGCAGAACAAGATCGACCTCAGAAGATAACAGATGAATTTAAGCATATTGTACCTATTGGTAAAGAATTTACAGCCCCTTCAGCTACTAGAAGAGACCCTTTACAAGACTTAATTGAACAGTTTTTAAACGAAGAGAATGGAAGCTTAGATTATATACCAAATTTAGATTACAAGCCTGTATTGATAGCCAAATTACCAAGTAATATACAGATAGGAATTAGGGTAACATTAGAACTAATATAGATCGATAGGTGAAATTATGTTGAATATAGTGCGTATATTGGTGTTGCATTCAGTTTCAACTATTCCCTATTTTGCACTTGTTTGTAAAAAATTCTTTTTATACAGTAGAGATCCTTCAGTATGGCAATATGCCTGTATACGATCCTTTAGAAAACCTACTATGACATTGGAACAATCACGACAATACCAAATGGAATATGTCAAGAACTACAACGGTCATTGGCTACGTATGTTCATTGATCGTCCACGTATTCGATATGATGGAGTCTATATTTCTACATGTCATTATATTCGACCTGGTATATCAGAAACATCTTGGAATCAACCTATTCATTTTGTTACTTATTATCGCTATATTCGTTTCTTTCCTAATGGTAGAGTGCTAAAGCATGTAACAACGACTGAACCTGCTCATGTCGTTCGATTATTACAATCTGAATATAATAAGAAGCAATGTTTTCATGGTAAATTTAAGGTAGATGATGAGGGTCGTATCTCGATTGTTATGAAAGATTCTACTTTACCGAGAGAAACATTTTACTTGACATTAAATATCAAGACGACACACCGAGGAAGACATAATAAATTAGTTTGGAATGAATACTACAGTACCTCGGACAGTTTAGAAGGAAGAGGAGACCATCATTATGATTTAAAATTATTGAAATCTTATTTCTTCAGTCCAGTCAGAAGTTATAAAGTACAATATCCAAGTGAATTTGATAGTAGTAGTCCTTTTAATTTAGAAGATGATCATGATGACTTGATGATCTTTTAAAAGACATGTATAGAGAGAGAGAGAGAGAGAGAAGCGGAGTTTAATTTAAAACATATAAAAAGTTTATATTTCCCCACATTCTTTTTTTTTTTTTTTTTTTTTTTTTGCTTTTGCTTTTGCTTTTGCTTTCTTGTTCAATTCTTTAAAATGAATAAAATTCAAAGTGAAATAGAGACCCATTCGTTGCTAACAGAAGCATTGTATGAACATTTACAAGCTACTATTCAACTAACTAAAGTAGCACTTGAGTTAGAATGGACAGTTTTTACACGTTTTATAGTTGGGGCCATGATAGCCACATTTTTCTCTATTATTTACCTTGTATTTACACTACGTAATTCACGCCGACCACTCGTTATCTGGGAGAAATTAAATAAACCGTTGATAAAACTATTTCGACCCAAGATTTTTGCCTTTTTATTAGGAAATATGAATCCATATTCACGATCCATAGGTAAGAAGAAGAAGAAGAAGAAGATAAAGTGGTTATAAACATTATCTTTTACATTTAACAGATATGAGAATTTCAACCTATTCTCGAGGATTTTGTACAGGTTTAATGCGTGTAAGTATTAAAGATTTATCAAAAAAAAAAAATTATGTTTTAATTGACAAAAAAAAAATTATGTTTTAATTGACAAAAAAAAAATCATAGGATAGACAAAAGAATCGAAATCCATTTAAAAGGTATTTTATTATTAAATAATAGATGCTAACATTGTATATATTGATTTTTATATGTATATAATTAAAGTATACATGCTACCGCTTTAGCTACATTTGCAGAAACAATAGGAGAATTAGGATTGTCAAGCTGTTTAAAAGATGATAAAGAAGAAATATCACTTATTTCTTTAGATTTACAAGTAATAAATCTAGTTTTATAGAGAAAATAAGATATTGATTGTACTGTATTTTTTATTAGTTTAAAAAGAAGGCAAGAGGTTTATTAACAGCTTCAACAGAATTTAAGTTACCAGAAGAAAATATGAAATCAAATATTAAAATGAATGTTGTCATTAAAGATGGAACACTTGATACAGTAGCAATTGCTTCTTTAGTTTGGATCATTGAAAGCAATCAGCATGTAACTTGAAATAACATCAAAAGTAAGAATTTCTTTTAGGTTATGCAAGACAGCCACAAAAGAAAAAAAAATGGTGCTACTATTATCTCTTTTCCTTGTTCTATTCTATTTATTAGTAAAGAGATATTTCCTTTTTTTTATATATATATATATTTATACATATATATATTTGTATACATTTATAAATATTCATTCTTTCATGTCCTCTGCTGAAAATACCTTATTGACTCAAATTACAAAATTACCTATCAATACAATAACTACTTTTTTTCTTCTTCAAGATAAAATATGCGTATTCGAAAAGTAGTAGTACATCAATAAAAAAAATAATTTGTAACTTGTTAATGCTTCTATTGCATGTAATATATGCTTTAATTGTTCAAAAGTAAGTAACTATTCATACTTGGAAAAAAAAAGAAGAAGAACAAGTATTACTCTATTTATATAGTATTATAAAAGGAATTGTCATTGTCAAGAAGAGGAAAGAATTTACATGAAGTTTAGATTCCCGAACAAAAAAAAAATAATTAATTCATTCATACAGATCTTCAGAACTATGAATTTTCGATAAAATAGATCCATTCCATGCATAAAGATGAATTAGATCAAGTAAATTGGCTCAAGAGAATTGACAAAAGTATCATTTTTTAAAGAATGTTCAAGTACTTTATATAGAGCACAATAGAATAATACCAGCCTATGATGATAAAATCACCTTCACCAATTAGTAGTAGTGACATACTATCAACACAACATTCATACAGAACAATATTTCTAGTCAACAACAAATATTTGATAATCATCTTATTGAACAATACTGAATCCACTATTGTCGTTGAAACTATCTATTGTTTGGACTACTTTTTCATAATAATAAAAGCCTTTATTATATACCATGTTTCTTAATCATGACAACTACGATTAAGAATTATTTTATTTATAACAAAAATTTAAACAACCCATGTGAGCACATAATACTGGCAGTATTGGATTGCCCGGATCAGTTCGAGAAAGGATAAAAGTGTACTAAAAAAAACCTTTTGATAGGCAAAAGGGTAAAAAAGAAAGAGAAGGGAAGAGGAAAAGCAAGATATATCAATAAATACTAGATTCAGAGTTACGTAACCAGTTTACAAGTTTTGTACCAAGGGGGGCAGTTTCTGGAGGAAGTTTACCATGATGGAGATAGTCAAGTTCAAAAAGTAGAAGGCATATAGCAGGCCAACGAATCTTCCAGGTGGGAAAGTCAGATGAGTTGGAAGCTGATGCGATTGGTGGCATGCGTTGTTGTTTATTTGGCAGCTTATTTAAGAGGAAGGACAAAGGGTCGGGTTCGGTCAACGGCATTTGCAATCTTCGATGCATATGTAGACACCATATAGCATGAAATCTTGTGAACAAGGCATTAGGGTGATAGATGCACGGTTTAGGGGCACCACCAGGTAACCAACCTAGACGCCAGCGGACTATTCGGCTGCGTTCTGCATTTGACATAGGTAACCAGAGGATAGGATCGATACCTAGGGTAGGACGGCAGGCAGACAAGAGAACGGCATTCTTACTGTTTCGTCGATCACCAAGATTATCTTTCAGATATGCTTTATAGATACCAGCAAAAGCACGAGGATCATAAATATTATCGTCAAAAGAAGCAGTATACCGTTGCCAGATAGGTGTTTTCGAAAGCTTATACCATTGAGAATGGCTTGAAGAGGGGCGATCATGACAACTACAGTTTTTACATTTCAAATTCAGAAAAAAAAATTTTTTTTTTTTAACTTTCTTCTAGAAAAGGCACTTCATAAAAAAGACCCTGTCACTGTTACACGGATGTTGATTGGATATTTTAACTCTATCTACAGTCACGTTTAAACAAAAAAAAAAAAATTTTCTTTGTTACCGATAAACAGGAAAACTATAAAAGGACTCGAAAAGTAAGCAAAATGAATTTTTTCTTTAGTGACCGTACTCTACAGGATCTGTATACAGTACGTTTCAATTCTATGTTTTCCAAACTAGATACAATCTCCAAGTTAGTCGATGATTTTTAGTAGACCTTCTTTAGAGTGAAGTGTGGCGAATTGTTATCTCTCTGAGTACTTTTCGTCAGTTGATGATCTCGCCTGTCTTTTATTCCAAGGACATGGCACGGAAGGAGCTACAAGTCTGATAACTTAACCTTTTCTTTTTATATATTTATATTATAAATGAAAATGAAAAATAAATAAAAATCCCTAATATATTTCCTTCTTTAATAAGAAGGAGAGTGGGGAGAGGGTAGCGGCCTTCAGAATCTATAAATGATAGAATCTGATGCCTCTAACCTCGTTTCTAATTCTTCATTCCATCTATACATTAAAACATTTCAACCAGCCAATGGAAGGGAATTTACTATATTCTAATTTCTTTGTTGTATAATGAAAATAAACTTGATTATTGCTTTACTTTTGTTATCATTGGATGGATGTTTCCCAATGGGCAATTTTTGTGTTGATTTGTTCCGGTCTTGTTGAAAAAAAAAATAGTAATAATGGTGGATGCTTCGGTCAATTATTTACGCTATTAGTAGAATCAACTGTTATCCTAATTGAAAGATTATCATTATAATTAGTTAGATCTAGTTTTATTGTGCTTCCATACTATCGATCTTGACTATTTTTAAAATCATTAATGGATCCATATAATCTTGTATCCTCCTCTCTCTCTCTATTTCTTTTTTTTTTTCTTTTATATATCAATTATATTTATGTTGTCGTTGGTGAAATAAAGTTAGGAATAGTTGGCTGATGAATAGATTCATCTTCAAGAGTTGTTCTTATTGTAGGTTTCCAAGAATTGAAGTTGACTTTGTGAGTGTTGAAGTTGAGTTACAAGTAGTTTTCTTCCTTCTAGCATCGAAAGAACTCTAGTTTTCTCTTTTAAACGATGTATTTCTTTATTGTTAATATAGAAAAGAAGAAAATAGATATATATCTTTAGTCTATTAACGCAGATATTAATAGACTCTAATGATAAAGGAAGCAATGTTAGCTTAAATATACAGAAAGCTGTGATAGCAAGTAATAATTAGGAGTAGTGGTAGTAATAAGCAAACATAAAATTTATTAGCCAAATACATAGAAAATGGTTTTCTTTTATATCATTCATCGTCTGATTCACTGTGGATTTCCTCAAATCTTGAATCACTTTCTCGCATAGCTTTAGCAATTGGATTTTCAACATCAATAATACCAGTCTTCTTTAATCTTTCAAACAGAACAAATAGTCTTTCAGCTTCTCTTTCTTTTTCTTCATCTGTCATATCTTTCAAATCTTTCTCTGGTTCTGAAGACATATATTGTCCTGTAATAGGATTAATATCCTTGCCATTTTCTTCTTCTCTTTTTGGTGGTTGCATAGGAATGCCCTTATTAAACAAATATCCAATTGCGTTACCATAGCCAACTTGCTGCGTAAATTTATTTGCTATGCTTGCATACATATTATTAAGAATAAAGATGCATCTTTATATACATATCTATTTTCATATTTACCATCTTTGTCACATAATATAAACAAAGTCTCGCAGGTCGCATCTCGAGTTTGTGGCATCATTGTACTTGTCATTAATCTAATTAAATAGGCTGATAAACTATGACCTTCATGTACAGGCTTGTGCCTATCTCTTTTTTGTTTAAAAAAAAATAATAATAATAATGATAATAATTAATAATAAATATGGTTTTTTTTTTTTTTTTTTTTTTTTTTTTTTTTTTTTTTAAAAAAAACAAAAGCTTACTTTTCATTTGGTAACATTGCTTCTACCATTAATTGTTTTAATAGTGTGTTTCCTTCTGCTAATGAAGTTAATACTAAGAGTAAAGGTGCGATAATGGAGTCTATCTGTTGAACACCATCTTGATCAGGATCACCTTCAGGGATAAGAGCATGAATGGCACGGTCCAAGACATCAACCAATGTATTTACTATAAATTGAAATCCATGCTCATCCTTCTGTTTATCATACAACTGACTTATCCACTCAGATTGAGCTAGCCAGACTTCCTCTATAGTGGTATAAGAAAATTGCATCAACGCATGAATGGCTTGCGAATGAGGTGGGATTAATGGCTGTGTTTTAGCATATGGTGTTTTAAACAGTAAATGAAAGATAGGTGTCAAACAATTTTTAAAATGCTCTGAGGCTATTTCATTACTGTTCTGTCGAGCATCAAATAGCATCAAATTAAAAAGAAGTTTTAAAGCTTCACTTGTCACAGTCAAGGGATTTATAGGTACGCTTGGGTCAATCATCTGTCTGAAGTGCGGGGTTTCTAATTGATGAATATTTTCAGAGAGTATCTTTGCAAATCAATAAATTAATTTTATGTATGTGTGTAGGTTGTATTGGTTTTTTTTTCTTTTTTTTTACCTTTTCAATAGAATGTGATATGTTAGATTGAATTAAATCTTGAATGATATCATATCTATCAACAGTCATAAAAAAGAGTATGCGACATATCAAGAATTGAAAATCAATGTCAAGTCGTTGATCTTCGAATTGTAGCAAGATAGACTGACAAGAGCTTATAATATTTTCCTGTTCCAAATAAGTTTTCGTATCATTATTAAGAAATATGCAATTTGAGATACATTTAAGAGCTTCACAAGCAGTTGGTGTAGGTTTAAATTGACTAGATTCATCAAGCCCAGCAAGTTGAACTAAGGTTACTATCCCCTAAAGAAAAGAAAAGTAAGTACTATGGTTTAATTTATACAAGTATTTATGATGCAAAAACTACCTTCTTTGTAAAAATTGGATCTGATCCTTCTAAACTTCTTCCCAAAGTTTTAATGATGGATACACCTTGAGTTTTTACTACCCTCACCCCCATAAAACAATCATTCATTTCTCGATTCTCCTCTATTTGAAGTAATAAATAAAATACCTTTTTCGTTCCAGTCTTTTGTCTTCAAGTCTTCAAGTAATAATATCAAGAATTCACTCTTTTCTTTATTTGAAGAAACTAAAATTATTAAGGTTAGGGGAAAATCCTTTCCTACTCAACTTTTAGAACTTTATTTACATTGATATTCTTTTTCGACATTGCATAATAATTCAACTAAAGATGAGTTCTCAACATGTCGACATCTTTGGTAATCATCAATTATCATGATTACTTGAAAATAAAAATAATTATAATAAAAATAGAATAAAATAAAATAAAATAAAATAAAAAGCGTGTTCAAGATAAATGAAAATTCAAAACGTCTATTGGCTAATGAAAAGAATATAATAGTTTTTTTTTTTTTTTTTTTTTTTTTCAGTTTATAGCTTTTAGTTGTATTTCTGCTTGAAGAATCATTTAGATTTACGTAACTATTTGGCTTTTACAAAGTTAATAGACTTCTCCTATTTATCTTGAGGAATTTATTAGTCGTTCTTTTACTGCCAAGTTATATTTTGACTTTGTGATACTTTTTATCTACAATAAAGTCGAATGTTGTTCTATTGCCTTCCTTTGTCAACTTATTGAAACACAGGGACAAGTATATCTGTGGTACAAAAGATATTTTCCATGGGATGGGAAGGACTTGTTTTAAGAAAAAAAAAAGATAAATATTTCAACATTATAAGATATCATCTTAGCTCAATTTGAAGGATGAATATAACATGCATCCATCTTTTTTTTTTCTTCTTCTTCTTTCAAAATAACTTGTATACAATACAACGTAATAGACTATCGTATTTATTAAAAAAAAACCCTTCTAGAAGCAGTAATAAATTTGATCTTTTTGATTTATACGCCTGAAAATAACAGCTAAATTATTTTGAGAATCAAAGAAGAAAAATGACTATAGATAAGATACATTTATTCTCATGATATAGTATTTTTTTTTCCTTTTCCAACGAATCTTTAGGTTTGTTCACCAGAGCACTGCTTTAACTGTGTATAATATAAATGTAGAATCAATAGTGAAAGTAGGAAAAAGGCATTTCCTTTTTAGATCTCTATAGTTGTTAATGGTATTTAAAACTTGAATTTATTTCTAATGCATCTACCTTCCTTTACATTTATATCTTGTATAATAGTAATCATATACTGTATCTTTTAAAGTTTTTCATGTCTATTAAATCTATGTTATGTTTGTCTTGTAATAAAGACTTTAAGACTGAGTGTCACGTTGAAACTTTTTATTATTGTACTTTTTATAATGCATTTTTCTAAAAGGCCCAGATGTACAACAGCAAGAGAAAGTTACCAAATGGGAAAGTCCTGAAGCTGTTGTTATTAATGATGCTATCTATTCTTATTTCAAACAAGATACAAAACAAAAAAAAAAGATTCTTTTTAAAACAGAAAAGTGAAGGGAGGGGGAAAAAGTACAAGAGAAGAAGATACTTACCTGTAAATCATGTGACTAAAATAGTCATACAATTGCTGATAATGGAATCCCTGAATGATCTTACAGTGTCAAAATTCATCCGAAAGAGGATACTTTACAATTTTTTAAAAAAAAGAATACATATTGTAACAATCATTTAGATCCTTTTTGACACAAAGTGATCATACTGTCCTTCTTTGCTTCTTTATTTATTTATTTGTCTTTGAATAAAAATTCGAATCTACCATTTATGAGTGTAAAAAATTATATGAATTACGATAAAGATAAGCCTGACTTCTGTGATTTGTAAGTTAGGATGGTGAAATAATTGCCACACTAATAACCTATTGCTTTGAAAAATAAAATTGCTATAATAATACCTGATTTGATGATAAATTCCATACATTTCACTCTCTACTCTGGTATTAATTTCCCTTGGAATGCAGATATTTTGGCCATAAAAGCCTCCTTCCCTCCCTTCTTCCTTCCTTCTCTTTTACATTGCTAAACAGATTTGGTCTGGTAAAGATCAACTATCATTTTTCACACGAGAATCACAACAAAACGCCATGTTAAACATGTTTAGTTTCATAAACTTAAAAAAAGATGCATAAGGTATTGTTACTAAATTCTATTAGTATCATCTTCTTCTCTTATTTCCAAACATTTTGTTTGAATAGTTTCAAATAAATACTGTACCGTCCCTATTTATTTATTTTTTTAGTCGCAAAATTTTATCTGTTATACCATCAACTTAAAAATCTTAGATAAGTTCACCCTTTTCCTTTTTAAAATAAATTTCTTATAGCATGTAACCATTTTTTGATGTCTTTTCTTAGCTTGTCTGTATAATTTGTACAACCCTTTGATCACCTCTTTTATCATAAAAAAATTTGACTTCACTGCCATCCCATCTAGAATAGATATGTCTTGATTGGCTCTTATCCTTTAACCTCTCACAAATAGTATTACCAGTACACCTTTTTTTTTTTTTTTTTTTTTTTTTTTTTTTTTTTTTTTTTTTTTTCGTCCGTAAATTTAGAAGAGAGTAAATCATTGGTCATCAGTAATTATAATTTACAGAGCGAATCCTGAATAATTGCTTACTTACGGCATTATTGTCACCAATATTACATTACAAAAAATGCGTGTTTTCTTAATGACTTTGTCTTATTATTCTTTATTGATAATAATCCTATTTTGTTATTTACTCATAAAAAAAAAATCCTCGTCTTTTTATTATTATGATTACTGCTGCCTTACTCTGGCTAATCTTTAGTGCATATTCCTAGGGATAACTTTATTACTTATTTCATAATTGTGACGAATATTTACAAGGTACCAGTATTTCTTTAGCTTAATGATTTCTTAAATAGCAACCCACAGTTGTTGTTTTTTTTCATAATTAGTATAATTATTATTTCTTTTTTTTCTTTTTTTTTTTCTTCATTCTTTCATCCTACTTGAGAAATTTTTGATTTATGAGCTGACTACGGCTAAAAGGATTTTGCCTTTTGTTTATCATAAGCTTATTGGTTAAAAAAAAAAAAAAAGCTTAATTAGTAAAAATCAACTTTTAAGCATAATAAGAAAACGTATTAGTTTCAAACTACACTCTGCACAGTAAGGTGGATGGGGTTGATAATGCAAAAAGAGATGGATAAGGAAAAATAGTAAAATAAATAGGACTGATAAACATCTAACTTCACTATGGATAAATAATTCGTCGCCTTTTAATATATATAAAATATGTCAATTCTAAATAGCATTTTTACTAAAAAAGGTTTGGAATAAAATAAGTATTTATTTAAGCCAATAATAATGAATATGAATCAACTAGTGTATATAAAGTAGAGTATCTCATAATTAATTATTTGCAGTTTCTATTTTAACCATACATCATTAGCCTTTTAATTATTTCTCTTTACATCATATTGATTCATTGACAGCAGCACTTTGAATAATCTATTACCATTATTTAATGTTATACAAGATCAATCTAAGCATTTGTTTGTATAACATTAAAAAATAAAAAAAGCTCCAATATATATTGGTTATTGTAAAAATAGCCGATCATACGGCTGTTTACAAAACATAAGACCTTCCTTTGTTTCCCGAATATAATAGAAGAACGTGTATACTACAAATAGAATAGACAAAACTCACTTGTATGAATATATATTTGTGCGTGTATATATGTAATATACATTTATTCATTTGATACTTTGTCCAAAAAAAAAAAAAAAAAAAAAAAAAAGTAGAATACTGTAACATACGTATATACAAAGTCTTGTACATATGATACAACAGACATAGTAGAGTAAAGAAGCTTTCTTTTATATACACAAATATATATATAACAATAATAATAGTGGCTCGTGCTCCTTTAATCCGATAGGTACTTTTTTTTTTGATTATCCATATTTTCCTTATTTTAACAAGCTGTACAACCGTAGAATGTTTTGGATAAATTCAATCCTCAAGTGAATTTTAACAGGTGACGTCTTAGCATATAATATTGGTAGTGTTACACTAATACACGCGATGAATATATTGCAGTAATGCTCACACAAAAAAACGTGGCTTACTTTTTTTATTTTGTATATTGTCTACGTCTATGCATAAATACAAAATTCTATATTTGTATATGACCTCTACCCTTTTTCTTCTTTCTTTCTCTTTTTTGATGTTCAGCTCCTAAATTTATAATATAACATAAAAGGTTTAGGGAGGAAAGGATACGTTTACTTTAATACGTTATGAATTTTGTATTACGATGATGTGAAGACTCTACGACTATTATGTTCGTCATTGTACTCCGACTCAAGTTTTGCAATATCGATCTTCTTTCATTAATAGTTATACGATAAAAGGTTGAATGAATGCTGATTTACATCTAATTTATTCTCTATGTTAATCATTGAATTCTTTGTCTATAATCAGTTTTCCTAAAGAAAACAAAAAAAAAAAAGACAAAAACAAAAAAAAGGGTCACATACAGTAAAACTGACATAGGGTTTTTATTTAAGGGAGCATATAGGGTTGACATTTTTTAAGCTGGCTGACCTCAATTAAATCTATGGGGATGGTGGTGAGAGAGAGAGGGGGGGTACCAGCTCGGACCCTCATGTCTTTTTAGTCTTATAATAGCACTTTTTTCTTTTCTTTTCTATTATATGTATGTATGTATATATTTATCTTTACATATACATATCTTTTTTTTTCTCTTTACTACTTATAATAAACTATAAAAGACTTGTATAGTATGCATGTATGTATGGTCCTGTTAGTCATTCTTCTATTATTCACGAATTTGTGACTCAACCTTTATAGTCGTGTCATTCGAAATATAGTTTGTGCTACACTTTTTTAACCTTAAATTTATAAACAATTATGAGCCTTTGCCCTCCCCCCCTTTCTCCTCCCCGTGACATTTTTTTTTTTTTTTTTTTTTTTTTTTTTTTTTTTTTTTTTTACATATAAAGCGATATCTTTTTTTCTTTTCACTTTATTCCTCTTTTCCTATTTTTAATATAAATTATAGTATGGATATTCGAAATTTACTTAATGACCAAAATCAAACGAATGAACACTATGCATTATTAAGTACAACAACAAGTCATTCATCACCCGAAAAACCTTATGTATGCAATTGGGGAGAATGTACAAAACGATTTTCGAGACGTTCTGATCTTTCAAGACATAAAAGAATACATACTGGAGAACGCCCATATCACTGTGAATGGAATGGTTGTGGGAAACAATTTATCCAAAGATCTGCTTTAACTGTTCATTATCGTACTCATACAGGCGAAAGGCCTCATATGTGTGAATATAAATCGTGTGGAAAATCATTTAGTGATGTAATATATATATTCATTTTTATCTATGAAAACGTTTTAACTTTTTTTTACTTTATTTATTTACATATATAGTCATCTTCTTTAGCTAGACATCGACGTACACATACTGGAAAACGTCCTTATGTATGTGACGTTAAAGAATGTGGCAAATCTTTTACTCGGAAAACAACTTTGTCTAGACATCAAAGAAGTCATGATCCTCAATGGAAAATGTTCAAGTAAAGTGGAATAAAGTCTATTCTATATATTTTTTTTGTATACTTACTTTATTATATGATTCTGTTTTTTTATAGTATCTCAAAGACAATGAATACACCTTCTACTTATTTACCCACTTCACCTGCCACAAGTTGTGATTCAGATGATACAGCAACACTAACTAGTCCTAAGAGTACTTCATCTATTATGCTTTCACCTATTACATTTCGTCCTTATGTTTCTTATTATACCCAAAACTATGAATCAGGACAACTTGTTTCAATGAAACCATCTCTTATTATGCCTCCACTTCATAACCATCATTCAGACTATTTTCACCAACAAACTTGGATGGAAAACTCTTCTTATCATAAACAGGACCTCTTCTCTTAACACTCCAAATCAAACAAACATCTTTTACCCCACTATTTTGAGCAGTTAGAATAACCTCTTCTCCTCCCCTTTTTATCATTATTATTTAGACGTATTATATTATTTATTTATTTTATTTCATTCACATTTACGCAACTATTTCTTTTAAGCTACTATGTATTTTTATATATGAGCAAGCCTTTTATGTAATTTATTTTAACTTTATGCCCTTCCTTCTTTATTTTATATACAATTTTCCTTTTATGATAGAGTAGCTTAATCCCATTACAAATATAGACCTTTTTATTTATTTATTTACCCCCACTTTTTTTTTAGATTTCCCAAGAAATATACATGTATAATGCTATTTAATAATATGAATCATGTCTTTTATTTATAATGTTTTAATTTATTATATTAAGGTGATATTTGCTTATTAAGAATGTATAATTTCTCTATCTACTAATAATGGGCAAAAGAGAATGATAGTCACGTGATATTGACGTCAACAAAACCACTTTACACTACGGATTATTTTGCTCAAGCTCAAAATTGTAATTCCTTTTTTTTTTTTTTTCTTTTCTTACAAGTAAAAGTTTTATTTTCTTTTTTTTTTTCCTCTTTTCCCCCCTCCCCTTTTTTTTTAAATTAAGCATCATATACATTGTAAGTAATTCATCTTTTAAAACATGACTTTATAAATATTAATTTTCATGTTTGTTATTTATAATTTTAAAAATGTAGATTAAATAAAATGAGTGAATATTGGTAAACTATTTTTTTTTTTTTTTTTTACATCATATTTTCTAATTACTGAAACTCGCTTATTTATTTGTATTCAGTCCCGTCTATGCACCTTTCTTCGGTACTATGGGTTGTGCCGCAGCTATTGTCTTTAGTTGTAAGTAGTCAATTTTTTTGAGCTCATTTATAAAAACATCGCGCTTTTATTTTTTCGACCTTTAGTTTGGGTCCTTTCCCTTTTATATTTGTATAAATATATAAAAAAAAAAAGAAAAAGGAAAAAAAAAAAGAAAAAAACAACAACAGAGACTTTGTTACACGATTTATTTAACATTTTATTTTATTTTTTTTTCTATTCAAGGTCTTGGAGCTGCTTATGGTACAGCCAAGTCTGGTGTTGGCCTTTCTGCTATGGGTGTTTTGCGTCCTGATTTAGTATTGAAATGTATTGTCCCTGTTGTTATGGCTGGTATTTTGGGTATTTATGGTGTTGTCGTTTCTGTCCTTTTATCGGGTGGTCGTAAGTTATCTTTATCTCCTTTGATGTTTCATAACAAAAAAGAAAAAAAAAAGGGAGGGACGAAAATCGCGTTGTTTTTTTGTTTAACATATCTATTCTTATTTAGTTGCAATGAAGCAAACACTTTTCAGTGGTTTTATTCAAATGGCTGCAGGTCTTTCTGTTGGTCTTTCTTGTCTTGCTGGTAAGTTAATTTTATATCTTTTGTTCTTTTATAGTATGATAACCACATGTTTTTTTTTGTTATTATTAGCTGGTATCGCTATTGGTATTACTGGTGATGCTGGTGTTCGTGCAACTGCTCAACAACCAAGAATGTTTGTGGGCATGGTAAGTTTATACATATTACATACATATAACATATACAGTATCTAACTTTTTTTTTTCATTTTATATGTATAGATTTTGATTTTGATTTTCGCCGAAGTCTTGGGTCTTTATGGTCTTATTGTTGCTTTAATCCTTAATACTAAGGCATCTGGACAAGAAAATGTCTGCAACTAAAAAGCAAAAATCAAAAAAAAAAGTATTAAGAAAAAAATCAACTAGCGTTATAGTTTATTCCTTTTTTTTTCCTATTTTCTTTATATATCAAGTAAATCAATATAAATATACACAAAAAAAAAGTTGATGTCTTGAATATGAATAATTTACATGTTATATCAGTTTGATAGTATTGTAGCATATGTATTATTGATGTCTTTTTTATTTAAAATTGTATACAGACAAGAGGGAATCATTCTAAATTTTATGCTATTATAGTATATTGTAATCGCTATTATTGTTACGCATAAATATGTCAATGTATATAAAATTAAGTATAAATTTGATAGGAAAAAAAAAGATAGAGTAGAGAGGAAGGATAAGGAGAAAGAGAGAGAGAGAGAGAAAGAGAGGGAAGGGGGAAGGGGGAGGGGGAGAGAATACAAATGTATACATGTTTATAAAAATATATATATTTATATACATTTATATTAAAAGAGGGGAAGTCCGAAATTATTATTATTTTTTTTTTTTTAACTAGGACTTTTAGATTTGAAATCATTATTAAGAGCCTGAATAGCAGAGATGGTACCAAAGATGAGACCGACGATACCCATCAAGAGAGTTAAGAAAGCCAAGATATAATCATACCAAGGTTTACCTCGAAAGCCAGTCAGTTTATAATAAAAGAGGACGGGGAAGATGAAGATTAAAGCGCAATTTGAAAAGGCGCCTAATAAAGACATGAAATCACCAAAGAAAGGGACAAAGATGGCAATGACGGCAACAAGGACCATAAGTCCGCCACGGAATAAGAAACGAAGTGTCCATTCAACAACAAAGGAACGATGATCAGGACCAATCTTGAGCATCCTTTCAACATCGATGGCAAAGGAAGTTAATAAAATGGGGGTAGCTAAAATCAAATGGATCGTAATCAAGATGATGGAAGTTGTTTTCGGTCCACCTGAAGGTATACTATCATAGACTGGCGATTGAACGTCGACGCCATAGACCATATAACCTGGTATGGATGAGCAAAAGTAGAGAATAACGCAAATTGTAAGACTAAATGTCACTACTTTATCCCAATCTCTACGTTTCTTCAGTGATTGTTCAACGTGACAAAAGACAGGTGCACCACCTAAATAGATATGTGGGATGTTTAGCCTTTCTCTCTCAGTTCATAAAAAAAAAAAAAAATTGTATATTACCAAAACTGAAAGCAATTGAACTCAAGGCAATAGGAAACATATTCCAAATAACAGAATCGTGATGAACATGTTGAGCTTGATTAGGAGCATCTTTGACAGCGACACCAAGGACAATAAAGATGACGATGACAGTTGTAAGAACACCAAAGTAACTTAATAGACTGATTTCTTTTAATGATCTGAAAAATAAAAAGGGTATTGCCACAATACATGAACAGATGATAACCCAAATAGGGAAAGTCAATTCAGCTGAAGTGCCTGCAGCAACATTATGAATATTTAATCCACTCAATAATAAATAAAGAACAGGGACACCTATCAAGGTAATGGCTAGAAAGAAGAATGAAAGCCAACCACCAATTTTACCAAAAGCCTCTGTCGCTACTTCTTGATAGGATGCTAGTCTTTTTTCAGGATGATAATACATGGATCGTATCAAAATAATACCAGTATCTATAAATGTATGTATATATATATATATATATATATATATATATATATGTTTTTAATACGATATACAAATGTGTGTGTGTGTGTGTGTGTGTATGTGGTTCACTATATAAGAAACTTACAAACTGATAAAATCCAACTAAGTCCAAGAATGAAAAGACCAATCCATCCACCTTGTGCTAAGGCATAAGGTAAACCAAGTGCACCTGTACCAGCAACTACACAAATAATACTTAATATACCGTTTAAAGTAGATCCTTGTTTAGACCGATCAATTCCAAATTCTATATGTTCATTCTGGCTTTTACTATCTTCTGCTAAAATATCTTCAGAAGCTTTTTTTTTAAAAAAAAAAGAAAAAAAAATGTCAAAATTAAAGGGTCGGTATTATGTAATACATATATATAACATGTATATTTTACCTATTGGATCAATATTTTTAAAATTTTCATTTGTTACAATATTCTCTAAAAGTTCAGTTTTGCTCATAACTGTCATTTCCCTTCTTTTTTTTTTCTGATCTGATCTGAACTGATAATAAATGAAAGGAAAAAATAAAAAAGAGATACTTTATGGCTGCAATGAATAAAAAAAAAATTTTTTTTTCTTTATTCTTTTGTTGATGGCCGGGGATGTAAAACAAATAAAAAAAATAAAATAAAATAAAGAAAAAAATAAAGAAAAAAGAGAACGGATGGAGAGTCAAATAATAGGCTCTCTTAGAAGAATCGGAGAAAAAAGTGTTTAAGACATTTGATTCTGCTATTCGTAAATCTGGTTCGAAAAGAATTTTTTTTTTTCTTTCTAGTATGAAAAAAGAAAAAAAAGAAGGAAGGTTTTACATGGATTTTTTTTTTTTTAAGAATCAAATGGAACAATTTATGTGTACAACTCATAACATAAACAACTCTATTTTGACATATTATTTTGTCTTACCGTCGTCTTAAAGCTTTATTGCTGTATATATAAAGAGAAACAAAATTGACTTTAATTTCTTTTTTTTTTTAAAAAAAAAACATCTTAAATGCGAATGACCGAATCAAAAATATGAATGGTAGTCATAAGCTGCATATAAATGAATAAGAGAATATAGCAGTTAAATATGGATTAGCAGTTTTTCTTTTTTGGATAAAGCCATGATGCCTGTTTTAAATAGTTTTATTATTGATCTATATGTGTTCTCAGGAATAATGTAATAAAAATAACAAGCATATAAAAGTCATTTTGTTCCTATAAAATATACATTATTTAATTTAAAAAAAAAAAAAAGCAACATTATTATTTATTTACTTTAGAAGAAATTTGTTTAAATAATAAAAACGCCGCTAATGTCAAATTCATTTAACTCAGCATAACAACTATTACCATAGTAGTAAATTGAAATAACTTTCAACTAATTTTTATTTCTTTTCTCTTTTTTGTAGTGCCAACAAATGAAAATCATTTTGATACACTATAATAAAGGAAGTTGTTCTATAGGGAAAAGAAAGATTATTTCGAAGAAGATTTTTATTGTTACTATTGAATATTCTTTACTGCATACAAATTGTTAAATTTAACAAGACTATATGTACTCGCATTAATTTATCCTATTTGACTGACTCAATATATTTTGTTTAAATGTAGAAATTTTCTTTCTCTTTTATTTGTTGTATTGCATCAATATTATGATAATATATGTTTTTTTTAATGAAAGGTGTATACCCACAAATTAGCATGTATATATATGCATTGCTTGACTAGTAATAGGTTTCATTATTTAGTTCTATTACAATATAACGGTGTATAACATCTTCTATAAAACTACGTAAATATTCCCTTTGGGAGTAAGCATTCGATTTACGAGATTTAAGAAAAGGGAATAAAATGGTCTAAATAAAAGTAGAATAGACTCCTCTATGCACACTACTGCGTTCATAAGCAAATGTATAATCATGTTACTACACATTAGCTTTTCTTTATATGTGTATACATATTTAGCCATGAAAATTTTATTTTAGCATGTTTTCAATATTATACAGATACAACAATTTTTCTTTTTTTTTTAAAAAAAAAAAAAAAAAAAAAAAAAAAAAAAAAAAAGAGTAGCGCAAATAAAATTGATAATATTTTGTCTGATGCCTCCTTTGTTATGCATCTTTCATATTAGCTAGTTTTTTAATGTTTGATCAAGATAAAATTCTCATCATATAAGCAATAGATTAAATTGCACCAGTAAGTTGTATATATTTTTATGAGAAATACTTTGATTTGATATGAAGCAATGTGAATATGTCTTTTGATAAATGAATAATAGTTTGTCTCTTATTGGAAAAAAAAACAAGCTGTTTATCGAAGCACGTTATCACATGAAAGAAAGCTATTTTCATTTTTGGCATGTTCCTATTGAATCAATTGAAAGTACTTTTTTTTTTTTTTTTTTTTTTAGATAATGATCAATATTGAATTTGATAAACGACGTATACAAAATACTCAAAAGCATTTTATTTGCAAGTTTTCGTTAAAATAACGGATTTATTCCAATATATCTTGTAACCCACAAGTAGAAGTCAATGTTGAAATTTTTCGGCAATTATACATCATTGCCTAAAATTAGTATAACTACGTAATAGGTTAAAAATGTATAGTTTACTTTCAATAGCAAAAAAAAAAAAAAAAAAAAAAAAAAAAAATACTTACAGTACTGTGAAAGTTACTGTTTTTATTTCTTCATACAATAAATAACAAATGTATTAAATAAAATCGTTACTGATTATATCAAAATGAAATAATTGTTGTTTTAAGTAGAGACATTCTTGCTCTATTATTCTAATCTTTATCCTATTTGCATATAAAAAGCAGATTATGTAATCTAGAATTATACCATAGAATTAGGCTTGGACTTATTAACCTATAGCCAAACGGGGGGTTTTTTTTCTGAGATAAAGCTTAAATCATAACTAATATCTCTAGAAATTAGTGCTTTTCAATGTGGCTGCTTTTCTTAATGTTTAATATCATGTTTAGAGTAACTGCTGCAGCAATTGTATTAAGAAAGTACATGTAAAGATACTTTATCTATTGAAACTAAAGTACTATAAATTGAATTGATAATGGAGACATTACTATTAGTCTTTTCAAATATACATATATACTAGTATTTGTTTTTCCTCATTCAAAACATTTCTTATAAATGATTCTAGCAGTAGATTAATGAATGACCTTCTTTTTTTTTGTTCATATTCTTTATATGTATTAGGATTAGTTATTTGAGGATGTTGATATAAGTTCAAGTATGCTAGTTTTGCTTTAGATGACAAGGATCACTCATTTTTTATCCATCCATTGAATCGTGTTATTGACCATATTCATAAGAAAAAGTGTTATACAAGAAAATAACAAAATAAACAAGAAAAATTAAAAATATATGCTTAATGTGATTCTCAAAGATGACTGTTTATTACTTTTAAGCATTCTTTTATTTTGTTGTTAATTCATATGCAAATAATAATAATAAAAATGCTGTATTTAGAAATATGCTCCCATTTCCCCTTAAAAATAAGAATGCAAGCTTTTTATTATTACTGTTGCTGCTGTTGGTCAATTCCATATCTTTCAATCCCCGCATTATATGTTATTTTAACCTTTATGGTTGAATTCTAAGGTTCCACCAAATAAATATATAAATATTTATATGTATAAAAAAAAAAAAAAAAAGGGAGTCAATTATTTTATTGCTAAATATAAAAATTTTAAGATAGATTTTATTTTATTTTATTTCTTTTTTCTTTTTTTTTTCTTTATTTATTTACTAGTGTTTTAAGGTCATTTTCCTCATTTTATTCATATATAAAGTGCTAGAGTTTAATATAGGATGCAAGAGGATTCTCGTATAGATTTAACATTCTTATTAAACTCTTCTGGCCAATCTCCGTCTGAAGATAGCATAGTCAACTTTCTTTCAAGTAGATACAAACGTAATCAACCATATACCCATGCAGGTCATTCAAACCTTATTGTTGTTAATCCATATCAGCCTTTGGAAATACTTAATGATGCTACACTTCGGTCATATGCTGATGTAGGTTATAGAAACTTGGTTGAAAATAAACCTTTTATGCAGCCTCATGTATATGATTTAGCTGCTAAAATTTATTTTCATATGCGAAGGACAGGTGAAGATCAAAGTATTATTTTAAGGTAAAATAGTTGTATACATTTATAAAATCAAATATTTATATCCAAACCCAAAAAAAAAAAAAAATCTACAATATATGAAGCGGGGTTAGTCCGAGAAATAAATAGGGCAACGTTATTATTGGATAATTTATTAATAGTAATTTATATATTAGTGGTATTACTGGTTCTGGTAAAAGTACAACAAAATCTCATTTACTTAATGAACTTCTTTTATTATCAACTCATTCTAAAAAGGAAAATAAACTTCAACAACAAATTAAAAGTTCAATTGTTATTCTTGAAGCATTCGGTCATGCAAAGACAACTCAAAATAATTCAGCTTCAAAGTTTGGTATGTTTCAAGAGCTTCAATTTTCTGAACGAGGTCGTATTGTGGGTGCAAAAACATTAACATTTGCATTTGATAAAACTCGAGTCACTTTTGCTCCAAAAGAAGAACGTTCATTTAATGTCTTTTATTCTCTTTTGGCTGGTACAAGTCCAGAAGAACAAACTGCTCTTCATATTAATTTTCCTCCAGAATCTTTTAATTATCTTAATCAATCCAAGACAATCAAGGTACCGGAAATAAATGATGAAATCGCCTTTGCCGACCTCAAAAGTTCTCTCAAAATTTGTGGGTTTAAGGCCAAGACAGTAACACAAATCTTTCAACTTCTTGCTTGTATTTTACATATTGGTAATCTTCAATTTCAAGAGGGTCATGATGCTGGTAATATAGCTCAGGAGGCTTGTTCAGTTAGGAATATGGACGTGCTTGAAGTCGTCGCTGTCATGTTGGGTGTCTCACCATCCAAGTTGGAACAATCACTGACTTATAAACTGAGATTGATTCGAAAGGAACTTTGTACAATGTTTTTAAATACCCAGGGTGCGACTGAACAAAGAGATGCTCTTGCTCGGGCCCTTTATCATGTTCTCTTCTTATGGATAGTCGAATCCATCAATACTAAAATATGTTATAATGATGGTGAGCCTGCTAATTTTGTAGGTATCTTGGATCAATTTGGGTTTCAGAACTTTAAATCAAATGGATTTGAAGAGTTTTGTGCAAATTTTGCTAATGAACGTGTACATCAATTTATCATTGATCAAAGATTTAATGATCATGAGGGTTTAAATGCTAGCATGATTCGTGATGGTGTTTTACTTCCCAAGGTGATTACAATGGATAACTCTGCTTGTTTAGAACTCTTGATAGGTAAAGAGCATCATTATTATCATCATCAACAACAACAACAACAAGATCATCTTTCTACAAGAGAAAAGGGTGTAAACAAATCTGCTGCTCTTGGCTTAGGCGGTATTGTGGGTGTCATGGATAGAGATTGTGCTAAATACCAAACAGGTGCTACAGATGCTACGAATGCTAATTTTTTAGCCAACGTTCAACGTTCCTATGGATCTCATTCATCCTTTGCCAAATCTGGACATGCTTATTCCTTTGGTATTCATCACTTTTCGGGAACTGTTCATTATACTGTAGATTCTTTCTTGGAGAAGAACTTGGATGATTTATCACCCGATTTTGTCAGTCTCTTGCGTGACAATAGCACGAATTCATTTGTATCCACTCTATTTGAAAGCTCAGCTATGGCTACTGAATCTCACCCAAAGGATAATACAACGATCGTAAAAGCTCAATTAACGAGTAAGCCAACACGTGCTCCTTCCATGAAACGACCTAATAAACGTCGAAACAACACAATTAGTGAAAAGTCAACATTGACTCCCGAAAATGGAGATGCAGACGAGATGCGTAAACAAAAACTGATTAGGGATGCAGAGGAGGCCTATCAAAATATGCAGGTTACCACTGTCATGGATCAACTCTACATGACAGTACGTGATCTCTTCTATACTATGTCTGACACACGTCTTTACAACATCATACATATTAGACCTAATGATTCACAGAGTCCGGATTTATTTGATTCAAAACGAGTCAAGGCACAAGTGAGGGCGTTATTGTTACCTGATTTAACACTACGATCTTCAGTCGATTATGCTAATTATTATACCTATGGGGAGTTCTTGGTGCGTTACGAAAGACTCGTGACCTCATTACAGATTGATCCGTCCAAGTCCGAACATGATCAGGTGGCTGATGTACGAGCGATCATGAACTGGTCGGACGAAGATGCCTATTTAGGTCACGAGATGATTTGGATCGCCTATAGAACTTGGAAAGAATTAGAAGATAATTTACGTGCGGCAGAGAAGGAAGAGCGTGATCGGGCTAAAGGACTTGATCCTAAACAAGAGATGTTAACTGCTGCTGCTGTTGCTGCTGGTGGTGGTGTTGGTGTTGGTGGTGTTGGTGGTGTTGGTGGTGTTGGTGGTGTTGGTGGTGTTGGTGGTGGTGAAGATCATAATCCAAATATGATGGCTATGGATAATTATTATCAAAATAGTCAAGATCGTCTTTTGCCAATTGGATACATGGATGAAGGGCATGTTCGTGCTTATGAAGATGGTGCTAGTTATGTAGATAGTGAGGATGGTCTGAAGCGTGATATGGAAGGAAGTCAATGGGGTGAAGAATCTGAATGGGGAATGAAAGGATTATCAGATGGGTAAGATAATATATATATATATATATATATATATAAAAGGTGTTTTTTTTCTTTTTTTTTTTCTAATGTGTATAATGTATTCGATAGATTCGGCCCTAATATGGATATGAGTAAAATGGTAGAGGATTATCAAACACCTCAACATGAGTCAGTTGAAGAAATGCCAATTACAGCAGTTCGTATTTGGTGGGTTCGATTTGTTTGGTTAATGACATGGTGGATTCCTTCTCCATTTTTACGTTGGTTTGGAAAGATGAAACGAGAAGATGTTCAGATCGCATGGCGTGAAAAGGTGACACTATGTATACTTATCTTTTTGTTCTCTTCTTTTACGATTTTCATTATTGTTGGATTGGGTGAAGTCATTTGTCCTGGTACACGTAATATGTATTCAACCGCCAATGTACAAGCTCATGGTATCCCTGACGATATGTTTGTAAGTGTTCGTGGTACTGTTTATGATATTACAAATTTTGCCAAAAGTCAACATGGCTCCTCCCCTTATATTGGTACACCTGATTTGATGGCTGAAGTAGCTGGTATGGATGTATCCTATTCAATTCCACCGCCTTTGACCGTCGCCTGTGGTGGACTTGTTAGTTCTCCTACAATCAAAATTATTCCAAATAATACGATCATTATGACCAACTTTGTCCATTATTCTGGTGATCAACGTACTCTTCCTACTTTGGCTAAAATGGGCGACCCTCAATGGTACTGGAATTATTTCTTACCTACCATGAGCCTTTACAAAAAGGGTAAGGTTGTGATTCCTATCAGTACGCTTCATGATGACTATCAAGGCTGGAGTCGACTTGCATTGGCCATTAATGGCCGTGTCTATGATATTAATGATTACATGTCAACAACTAAAATTTACGATTCTGGGTCAACATCTAATGATTATCATTTCCTACATCCCACTGTAGAAGAAATCTTTAGTAAATTTAGTGGTACAGATGCTACTGATAAATGGAATCAATATCGTGGATCCATGACCCCTGAACAACAAGAGATGAACATGGCTTGCTTGGATAACTTCTTTTATATTGGTGATGTGGATGAACGTGATTCTTTCCGCTGCCTCTTTACAAATTATATGTTGTTAGCAGCAGCCGTTTTGATGTGTATCGTGACAGGTGTCAAATTCTTGGCCGCTCTTCAATTTGGTGGAGCTCCAACACCAGAGGACCACGATAAGTTTGTCATTTGTCAAGTCCCCTGTTATACAGAAGACGAAGAATCGTTGAAAAAGACAATTGATTCATTGACAGTTATGAACTATGATGATAAGCGCAAATTATTGTTTATTATTGCTGATGGTATGATCATGGGTAGTGGTAACGATCGACCTACGCCACGTATTGTACTTGATGTTTTGGGATATGATACCAAGAATGATCCTGAGCCTCTCATGTTCAAATCAATTGGTGAGGGTTCTAAACAACTCAATTATGGTAAAGTCTATTCAGGTCTCTATGAATGTGAGGGTCATGTTGTCCCTTACGTTGTAGTTGTCAAGGTTGGTAAAGCCTCTGAACGTGCTAAACCTGGTAACCGAGGTAAACGTGATTCTCAAATGATTTGTATGAATTTCTTGAATAAGGTTCATTTCGACAGTGAAATGACACCACTTGAACTCGAAATGTATCATCAAATTAAGAATGTCATTGGAGTTAATCCTTCATTTTATGAGTATATCTTGATGGTGGATTCAGATACAGAGGTACTCCCTGATGCTCTTAATCATATGATTTCTCGTATGTTGCACGATGGTCGCATTATCGGTCTTTGTGGTGAAACTAAGCTTGTCAACGAGGATCGTTCTTGGACAACCATGATTCAAGTTTATGAATACTATATTTCACATCATCTAGCCAAAGCCTTTGAATCCCTGTTTGGCGCCGTCACTTGTTTACCTGGTTGTTTCTGTATGTATCGTATTCGAACACCTATTAAGAATGAGCCTCTCATTATTTCTCCCAAGATTATTCATGACTATTCTGATAATCATGTTGACACACTTCACAAAAAGAACTTGTTACATCTTGGTGAAGATCGTTATTTGACTACCCTCATGATGAAACACTTTCCTCAATATAAAATGAAGTTTACCCCTCATGCACAATGTAAGACTGTAGCTCCTGATCGCTGGCGTGTCCTTCTATCACAGCGTCGTCGATGGATTAATTCGACCATTCATAATTTGTTTGAAGTTATCTTATTACCTGACCTCTGTGGCTTTTGTTGTCTTTCTATGCGTTTTGTAGTCTTGATTGATTTGATTGGTACATTGACGTTACCTGTTTCTGTTGTTTATTTAGTATATTTGATTTATGTCATTGCCTCTAAATCAGGTCCTATTCCTGTTTTAGCTTTGGGTATGTTAGCTGGTATCTATGGTTTACAAGCTGTCCTCTTTATTCTTAAACGACAATGGCAGCATATTGGTTGGATGATCTTTTATATCTTGGCTATTCCTGTCTTTTCTTTCTTTTTACCTATCTATTCCTTCTGGCATTTTGATGATTTCTCATGGGGTAATACACGTGTAGTCGTGGGTGATAAAAAACAAAAGAAGATTATTGTTGCAGATGATGAAAAATTCGATGAGAAAATGATTCCATTAAAGAAATGGAGTGTTTATGAACAAGAACTTTGGGAATTAGGATCAACTGGTACTAAAGAGACTGGAAATACTTATAGAAGTCATCAAACATATGGTAATCAATCAGGTTTATTTGATAGTCGAACACAATATGCGGGAAGTCAAGCAGGTGATTATGATTACTATCGTGACACTAACGTCTCTGTATATGATAAGCGAGGTACAAGATCACATAGTCCAATGGGTTTTGGTGGTGGTTCAGTAGCAGGCTCAGATTATGGAGGAGTTGGTACACAAGATTTCATGATGGCACCACCAATGATTCCATCTGCAATGTCAGTACATAGTTTTGGACCTGATTATAACAATGGAAGATTAACTCCAATGATGAGTACTAATAGTTTTATGTTGAATCAACCACAACAACCACAACAACAGCTAATAAATCAAAATGACTATGATTTACCAATGAGACCCATAAGTCAATTCTCAGTGCCTTTATCTCAAACAGGAAATATGATATTACCACCAGGATTCCCAACAGATGATGAAATTCTATCCGAAATTAGAAATATTCTCCAGACCGCAAATTTAATGAGTATAACTAAGAAACAAGGTAAATTTTAAATGTCTTATTTATTTAGTTTACAGTATGATTTAACCATTCTTCTTTAGTTCGTGAACAATTAAGTGCTTTCTTTGGATTTGATATGACGCCTAAAAAAGAATACATTAATACCAGCATTGAATACATTTTACAAGGTCGACTTTAATTTTACATATGTACACATAACATTTTATATAGCATATTTTAGTATCAATAATAATGATAATAATAATAATAATAAAAATAATTATAAATTTTCATTATTTTTTAATGCAGCAACAAAAAAATTATGTATTTTACATAATCAACTGAAACATTATCACAAAATAAAAATGTTTTTTTTAATCTTCCGCTGCTGATATTTTTGTTGTCTTGTTTATCTTTTTTTCTTTTTTTTTTTTCTTTTTTTTTTTTCATACATTTATATTTTTATATAAATATAAATAAATATATGCATACACATCTATATATAAATATTTTCCTTTTTTTTCATTTTTGACATTATAAGCTAAACAAAATAAAATGCCTCCTTCTTTGAATCATGATATAAAAAAAGAAAAATTGAAAGATGCTTTTCTAGGCCTTCATTGGGCTGCTATGACTGGAAATGTTGGTAATGCACATGTAATGACTTGGACAATGTTTCGGCTCATTTACCTTTTTTTTTTTTTCCTTAGGTCTCATTAAATTCGCATTAGATCACGGTGTACCAATTGAATCCACAGTGAATGGTTTTGTACCATTACAACTTGCTTGTGTTAGTGATAATAATATTGCTGCTGTACAATATCTTATAGATAGAGGAGCTGATGTGAATGTTCAAAAGTAAAGATACACACATACACACACACACACATAAAAAAAAAAAAGACGTAATGATATATAATACACCAGCTGACTTTATATATCTTATGTAGATGGTCAAAGAAGCATAGTATTGATAAAAGTCAGGCAGTACAAGGCGCTACAGGTTGTACAGCACTTCATGTGGCTTGTACTAATGGTTGTATTAAAATAGTTGATTTACTTATTCGAAATAATGCACGTATCGATATTAAAGACAAATATGGATCTTCGCCGATGGATATTGCACAAGCTAAACATGAAATCGAAATGTATAAATTACTTAAAGCTGCAAGACAGAAACAATTACAAGAAAATTATCAGAAACCGCATGAGCAAGTTTCAAATAGCAGTAAAGGATTAAAATCAAAGGAGGCGATGACGCACAAACGAACTTTGTCCGAAAAACAACAACCCCGAATTAGAAGACCAAGCTTACCTTCTATTTTTGAAGCTCATTTCCCTCATACTGTCCCCTCTTTTATGAACTTAACACCTGCAACAGCAGCAACAACAACTACAACAACGACAGACATGCTATCTCCGACTAGTAGACGGAGTTTTTCTATGACGCACAGACCAGAAGAGATTACAACATATACTCATTCTTGTCCTGTTACACCAAGAACTTCATTGGAACATTTTAATAAGCGGCGTGGACGTGGTGAGATATCACCTCGTTCCTCAGAGGAGTCGTCCCCTTATATCTATTCAACTTCTCCTTCCCAAAATATTCATTTTTCATTTACTCAATTAGCGGAAAATTTGCAACAACAAACGATTCGAACAACAGCAGATGGTCAACCTGATTGGTATAGTGTTGGTGTTATTAAATCTTATGAGGATGATAATTACCTGTTATCTCTAGAGAGACGTGCATATAATCTAGAATGTAGTGAGCATGGTGAACTGGAACGACGCTCCTATGAATTACCATCAAGACGATCGTATGAGCAATCACAGCGATATTCAGGTGATGATTCAACAAATAGTAGTCTATTTCGTAGTGATTCAGGAGATTTATCAACGGGTGGAAGTGCTCATCAGTTACGTACAACAGCACTTAAAAATGCAATGGCAGCGCATAACAGTACTAACTCACTCTTAGCCAATGAATCAGAATCGCCTCCATTAGAAAATGAAGAAGAAGGATATGATGGGGATGACGGAGGAGAGGAGGAGGATGACGATGATGATGATGATGAGCTTAATGAGCCTATGCCACGCCCTTCTGTTATCGTCGATAGTGGACCGGAAGCTGATCTTGTTCGATACCGATTTCTTCATGACGAACAACACCACCGCCCACAACAACAGCCACATTCTGCTATTGAACTGAAAAAGGGTTGGCTTAATGGACTCAGTAGTAATAGACGACATTCAACTGAAAGTACAGGACGAAAGAGTCTTGATTTTCGACCGAGCCTAGATAGTATTACTCATTTTGCCAAGCGTAATGTACCAAGCTTATTGAATCATACAGATGATGATTCATCAAATGAAGAAGAAAAACATCAATTAGGTGGATTCTTTTCTAAATGGACAACTTGGTATAAAAAAGGTTAAAATAGGGTATTTGAACATATATAGATATATCTTCTTTTTTTTTTGCGTGTGTTTGTATGTAAATAATTCTTGTAAAATATATAGTATATACATATATATATATATTTTTTGTAAATAATGTTATATAAATAAATCATGGTACAAGTCTTTTTTTTTTAGTATGTATTGTAATCTTTATTTATAATATATATAAAGAAGGGATTTCTTTTTATTATTAATAATAATACTAAAAAAAAAAAAAAAAAAAAAAAAAAAAAAAAAAAAAAAACTCTTTTTAACGATTTTCAGAATTTTCAACTAACAAAGCAAGCTCACGAGGAGCATCAAACTGAGGCATGACAACCTCAATAAAATGAATTTTATCAGGATCCTCATTTACTTTAGTCATAACTTGTTCAAACTCTTTTTGATCCTTCACTTGTACTTGTAATCCAATTTTGGATGGGAAACCCTTTCCAGACTTTTCATTATGTTCAGCTCGACCTCCACCAAAGTAATCCAACGTTTTGTCATAACTCCACATTGGATAATTATTATAATCACGATGTCGTCCATGAATCATCTTTTCAATTAAATATCCATCATTGTTTAACAACAAGATGGTTGGAGTTAGACCATGTCTCATAAAGACGGCGATCTCTTGACAAGTCAGTTGAAAGGAACCATCACCAACAAACAAAAAGAGACGACGTTGTCGATCCGCCATAGCAGCACCCAAAGCAGCTCCTACAGAGAAACCAATCGAACCCCACAAGATCTGACTGATAAATATCGTGTCTTGTGGACTCTCCATGTTGAAGACGCCAAACTCAGCTGTCCCTGTATCGGTCACGATGATGCTATTGGCGGGTATATACTCGGGCACCTTATTCCATAGATAATGGTGGGTAATCTCCTTTTTGTTATCCTCCGCAGTAATGGGCGGTGGTCTTGCACGTTCCTTTAAATCCAGTTGCATAGGGATCTTGGGCAAATTGGCCGTCAGATGAGGTAAGAGCTCAGCCATACCTACACCTGGATACTCTGCATAATGTATGATTGTGCCAAAGCTATGTAATGAAATAGTACGTTTCCTTTCAAGCCCACTATAGGAAAAATTACCTGTATTGAAATCAGATTTGATAGATCCAAGCTCAATAAGTAAGTCGGATGCCTCTACTTCCTTTATCACGGCCTTTAGAGAGACGTTACCACTATAACAGCCACGAAAGTTATAGACACGACCTTCATCAATAGCACCTTTACCCATGGGTGCTGTGAAAGTTGGAAAACCGGATCGTCTGACAAAATCGTTCACCTGTGACTGAAGACGTTGTCGAAGCACACATCCATCTACAATAATAATAGGTCGTTTAGCATGCTCAATCAGTTTGAGGATTTTCTTCAGGACGATCTCTTGAACATCTTCTGGATTAGGTGGTAGCTTCAAATCAAGTGGTGTATCAAGTGCTGTGTCAGATATCTCTACTTGCTTGGTCATCAAGTCTAAAGGGAAAGCGATATAGCCAGGCCGTTTATGAAGATAGGAGGTTTGAATAACGCGGTTAATTTCTTCAATCGCTCTCTCCTGAGTAAGATGCGTAGAGGCGACAGTAAGGTGGGAGGCGATTTTGGTAAAGACTTGGAAATCACCATTACCTAATGTATGATGTAAGATAGCATGATTAACTTGAGAAGATGTGATAGGTGTTCCAACAATATGAATAACAGGTAACATTTCAGAATAGGAGCCGGCAATGCCATTTATAGCAGATAATTCACCTACACCAAAAGTCGTGACAACTGCACCCATACCTCTTATACGAGCGTAACCATCTGCAGCATAGGCTGCATTTAATTCATTTACATTATTTCCCCATGTTAGTTCTTTATCGTCCTCAATTAAATCCAAAAGAGGCTATATATTAAAAAAAAAAAAAGAAAAGTTTTTTTTTTAGCATTTACAAGAAAATATTATAAAAAATCAAATGTCTATTGACCATATTATAATCGCCTGGGACACCAAAAATGGTATCTATGTTAAGTTCTTTAAGTCTTTTAAGTAAATAATGACCAATTGATATAAGAGGCATGCTATATGAGTTTGTATACGCTTTGTATGTATGTATATATATATATATGTATATATTATAAAAAAAGAATACAAAAAAAAAAAGAGAGAGAGAGAGAATAAAACAAGATTATATATCATAAAAGCTATTTACTTGATTTGGTTTAATTTAGTTGGTTTTGATTTATAAAAGTAAAACTCCGTCTATATGTAATGTACATTCATACGCGAATTATGATATCAGTACTTTATTATATACATGTACGAAAGCACATATATAGATTAAATCATCTTTTATAAATAGATGGAAGAACTTTTATATGTAGTATATTACGATAAGTTGAGAAATATTCTATTCTAATGTAACAGTAAATACGCTTGACAAATTATTTATTATATAAAAAGTCTTGATGATAAATTGGTTTCCCCAATGTATAATATTATTCGTCTACACGAAAGAATATAGATATATAAGCAGAACATATTTGAGTGTGATAAAAAAAATAACAATAACAACAATAATAATATCAAATGAAAAACTAATATGGTAAATTTTTATAAACTTCTTTTTTCATAATAAAAAAAGATTAAACAAATAAGCTCATTCATTGTCTTCCCCTTTTTCTTGTTATAATACATATTCATTATTGAAAACAAAAATAACTGTTTGAATTGAAATATGCATTTGTTCATTTCTGTGAATAGAATGATTAAGCGGTGATCGATATATTATTTATAACATTAAATTCAGTATACAATAGGTTTTTATATACATATAAGAGTAATAATAGTTATCATTTTTTACTATAATAAATTCTATTGAAAATTCATGCAGTTTTTTTTTTTTTTTTTATTCAAATTTAATATGCTCGATAGAAAAGTATACTAATCTTTGTCGAATGTCCCAATAAATGGAAATTCGCCTAAATTTTATACAGTTAAACCATTTTTATATCTGTTTTTCATATCATAAATTAAGAAGCGTTGAAAATATTTTTAAGTAGGAGACGATGCAAATTTATCAAATTAGTATATTTGTAGATATATTTGTAGTAGTCTTGAGTATATACAACTATAACTTTTTTCTTCATAACCCCTGATCCGAGTTTTTCTAGAGACTTCTGCATTTGCTGGATAAGATTATTCCCGTTTATTATTTCTTGCAGAAATTCTGTGGATGAAAATAAAAAAAAAAAATCTAAACCTTTATTAAAGCTATGTAGCTACTCATTCTTAGTATTCCATAGTGATATTTTGCTATATTAATTCAAGGTACACATAGCAACGCTTATATAACTATGTATAATGATTACCATGGTAATAACAATGTAATTCCCGCTCATCATCAAATTGTAACTCTTGTGAAGAATGTATAAATACAAAAGAACTCAGAGAGAGAAAAAAAAGTATATATAAATATGATATCAAGCATAATAGATACTATAAATGAAATTTTACAATAAATAAAATAAATGGCAGTAATAGTTACATTTTTTTAAAATGCAAGTGTTACTGCCATATTTCAAACTTTATATTGGATCATAAAAAAAAAAAAAAAAAAAAAAAAAGTTCATTTATGAAAATACAACACAATAGTAGCAAAGATATACTCATTTATTATTTATAAAGCGTTTGTTTGTTTTAATAATTTTTGGATTGTAGTTTTATAAATAAGGATAATTGTTGTTTATATTAATCATAAATACTGTTGTTTACACATACACACGTGTATTTTGAATAATAATGAAAAGCGGGGAAAAAATGAGTAATAATAATCAACGATTTTTTTTCTCTTTATTGTATTATACATATTTATTAGTAAATTATGATACGGTATAAACTTGTTACAATAATAACAAGTGATAAAGGTATTTCTTCTTAAATAATGGCAACATCTATAATATCTTGTATTTCCTTTCTTTCTTTCTTTCTTTCTTTCTTTTTTTGTTAGCTTTTAGTAGTAACCACAGCGGAAGCAGCAGTAGCAGCATTTGTTGTTGCTGTTGTAACTGTAGATAATGGATTTTCTGCAATAGTAGAAGTAATAGTCGCAGTTGTAGTAGTAGCAGTTAGTGTCGCGCTAGCGGTTTTATTATATCTAATAAGAGGACAATCATCTTCATGTGAATATATTGTAACATCGACGCCACATTTAGGACAAAATGTATATTCTGTTGCAATAGATGATAATAATGGGTTAACGTATTGAATTGTAGAAGTTGACATAATTATCAAAAGTATCAAAAAAAAAGGATGGAAGAAAAGAAAGATAGGAATTGGAAAGAAGCACAACAAATGCTATAATTTATATACAAGTTTTTTTTTTTTTTACTAAATTTGGCATGTTGCTAAGAAAGCACCACCAACTTTTATTTTCTGGGCTTAAATCTTTATTTTAGAAGTGCGCAGATAATGTTTATGGTGATAGATAAAAATAATGCCTCAAAACGGTTAATTTTTAATTATAAACAATTCCGAAAATTTTACCAGATGACAGACCCCTTTTTTTTTTCATTAAAATGCACCAATGAATGCATTTAAAGTAATCAGCAATAAGAAAATAAATAAAAAAGAAATAAACAAGTAATCCTAAATCTGATCTGATCTGTAACAATAAACAATTATTATAGGCAAGCCATAGTATTTTCAATGATATTATTTCTATTATGTTAAAAATAGGTTAAATTAAGGGAGAATGATTTATGCTTAAATGTATAAAAGCTTATTTTTGCTTTAATTAAAAGACAACATAAAAATAAAATTATACATTGTGGCACTGTTACTTTGTCATGCTTTATTAATTGAATTATATTATTACCCTTTTTCTCTTTATTATAAGCATCTAAAAGCAAGGATAAACTCAGAGTTTCAAATCTTTTTACTACATTATAAAAAAGTCAGGTAACAAGTTTTTTTCCTTTTTTTTTTTAATGGTAATAAAATATTATGTCTAAACTACAAAGCATTTTCTAGGTCCGTTTACATGATCTTGGCAGCAGCAGGTCAAAAACTCAACAAAAATGCTGCGCATTCTCATCAATCATTATACAACTGAGATTAAATAGTAATGGTACTGAATATTCCATTAAATTTGGCACAAAAAAATTTTTTTTAAAAAAAGAAATATTCAGATTTATTCTTGTCTGCCTCATGATAAATGTATATTATTTCTTTAACTCACTGGTAAAATAGTTTGGCTTGCTAGCTATAATTAATACCATGAAATAAAAATAAAAATAAAAATTGGTGTACCGTTTCATTCCATAAAATTCTTTATAGATTTCTTCTTTATCTAAGAATGTACGCTACATTCATCTTCTCTTTTTTCGGGCGATTTATCAATTCCTTCTAAGAAGCTATTATTATTATTATTATTATTATTTTCTTTCCCTTTCTTTTTTCTGTCTTTCTTTTTTCTTTTCTTTTTTCTTTTCTTGTTTATTTGAAGCATCCTACGTGAAATAAAATTATTTAAAAGTTATTTTTATTAATTGTCACATTATTAATTCATACTATAGATTGCTGGATTTGCCTTTTAACTCGGAATTATTTGGTTATGTGTTACTTTATAAAGCATCTGGGAAGCTTATGTTCAATATATCTTCATGTTTTCTCTCTCTCTCTTTTTTTTTTTCTTAGGTTCTATTAAAAAAAAACATATATGCTCGTTGATTTGACAAGATACATTTTTTACTTTTACAAGTTCTTTTTTAAGTAATTGCAGTAGTTGAGGCCTATAAGTTTTTAATAAAGTAGGATATGCCTAGTTTTAATAGTTGATTGAAGAAGAGCTGAATATATCTTGAATTAAAGCCACAATTGATTTATTAAGAAGAAAAAAAAAAGAAGTATTCTTATTCTTTAACGTTTCGATGATTTAGATAATATAAAACAGGATTGATATTATGCAGGAAGTAATTAACAAAAAAAGAAAAAGAAAAAGAAAAGCTTTCTGACACACGCTACACTACTTCATTTTATTATCTTTATATGAATATTTGTGCCTGATTGTATCACGTTATAGATATAGTTAAAATATACACATTATCAGTTCTCAATTACGCAGCTTGATATCAAGCGAAAGAAGAGAATAATATTTAAATACATGCGTTAGTCCCTTTACTCTTTTGTTACTTGGAATGAGCAACTGTAATAATGTTTGGCCTAATCACATCACCATTCCTTGTCATACTTCAAAAGTTTATTATAATGTTATTTGTGGCCTGTAGTTCGATTGTTCGGATGTCACAAATTATTCAGCATGAGAAACTAATATCAAATATGTTGAAAAGGAAAATGATTAATTATTTAAATTAGCCAAAGTAAATAGTTTTTTTTTTCTTTTACATTTGTATGATCATCAAAGCCTTTTTCTTCATAGCCGAGTAAGGCGTAGAAAGGGGAAAAAAAAGATTAATTCATTAAAAAGATTGATTATTATCATATATACACGTATAACTACATAGATATTGCTATTTTTTTTTTATTTCTTCTCATTTATTTCATGGCTTTGAATCATTATTTGCATCTAAAGTCTCAAGAAATAGCTATGGGCATTGATTCTACTAACAATAGTTCTGCTATAGTTGAGGGTGTAGATTTCTTGAGAATCCTTGTTTACGACTAATTTCACTTCAAATAGGCTACTAATAAGAAGTTTTGAGCAACTTAAAATTGAAATGTGCCGCCTTAATAATTGAGTAGGAAGGACTAATTAACGTAGTATCCATAAGCTTACTGACGAGATTTCAAAAAAAAAAAAAAAAAAAAAGAAAGAAAGAAAGAAAGAGAGAAAGAAAAGAAGAAAGATATGTAATTATTATAGATGAATATCTACTATAATTGCTACGTTAAATCGAAGCATAATTTTAGAAAATCCTTCAAGGATAGTTTTATATTGGGTAATAACAATTATTATTATCAAAATCTGTCATACTCTCTAACAGAATAGAGTTTTTAATTATATATAAAAGGGGGAGGGTAGGGGTGGTGATAAGTAGTGTCAAATAAGTCCTTTTCATTTCAGTTTCTCCATTTTTTTTTTTAAAAAAAAAATCAACAGAAAAGTAATAGTCATAAATCTATAATTGTTATATGAATTAAAGTGCTGAGACTGTATACATTTATTCTTATTATTTTTACTCTTGTTTTGTGATAGTAACCAAGAGTTATCAATTTTTTTTTTGTAGTTCATATGATATTTGTCTTACAAGAAAAAAAAAAAAAGAAAAGAAAAGAAAAACCACAGACAATGTTATTTATATGGAGTTTCTTCTTCGTTGTAATGGGCTGTCTTCTTCTTGTTCTATTTGAAAATGGTATTGCTTTTGTATCGATTTTGGTATCCAAGAACGTTTTATTGTCTTTTGTTGTTGTCCATGATTTCTTTTTTTCTTTATTACTTCAGCATAAGTACCGGGTAAGGACATACGCCTAATTTTAGATGCAACATACTTTTTAGGTATCACAGCAACCTGATCTATCATTAAGTTGATAACAGCAAATACGAAAGCCCAAAATAACATGGAAGAAGGGAAAGGTGGTGTGATGGTATCTGCCGATGAAAAGAAATCAAAGATCATGGTTATCAACGAATGTGGTATATGTAATAAAGGTACAAGTAAAAGTAAAGTAGTAGTCATATGATGTTGTAAAGAGGGGTCAACGACAATGACTGTTTTAGTATTAGTAGTAGTAGTAGGTTGTTGAGGAACTAAGTCACGCGAAAGTGAGTCAATCATGGCCATAGAAGTATCGAGTCTTTTAAATGATTCCATGACAACAGGATCTGTTACTATACTACTATTACTATTTCTTTTTGAGCGCGGTGTAATAGACTTACGAGGAATAGTAGGAAGTGTATGTGGTCGATGAGAGGTAAAGGTATTATTATTCATAAGTTGATGTCGAGATGAATGTTTCTTTAATTGAGTTGATGTACAACCATTATTATAAGTAGTAGTAGTAGTAGTAGTAGCATTCATAATGTTAGATGAATTAGTCATTGTGGGTGAAATGGGAAAAGTGACAGAATTCATATTATTAAGTCTACGATTCATGATTGAAGTACGATTTGACTTTCTTGTTGTTGTACGTGATATAATGTTATATTCAGTAGGCTTTGATGTCTTTAATAAATGAACGCGCTCTTTTTCAATACCGTATACAGCATCATTTGCTTCTTGTATTAAATTAGACAAAATATTTGATATACGATCAAATGTTTGTTGTTGCTGTTCTTCTTCATCATCATCTGATAATAATAAATCAATAGCAGAATCAGGTCTACTATCAGTAATTGTATGTCTGCGGGGTCTTTGTTGTTGTTGTTGTTGTTGCTGCTGCTGATAATAATTATCTGTATTTATGTCGGTATTTGATTGTAGTAGTGGAGCCGAAATTGAAGGTAAAAGTTCGGAAAATTCTGATGACTTGTAAAATAAATGTTAAAAATTTCAACAATTTGCATTTAAAATAAGCTTACCATAAAAATTAAAATAGGCTATAAATACAAGAAAAAGAAGAAGAAGAGAAAGAAAAAATGACAAAGAAAGAAAGAAAGAAAGAAAAATAAATAAATAAATAAAAAAGAAAGATTTGATTATGTGTTCCGCTCTTTTTTTTATTTTATTTTTTTTCATGTATTACCATTTTATGGATGACGAGGTATAACAAAGAGTAATGTTTCTTTACTATTATTACTGTTATGTGAATAACACATGATAAGATAGCATTCAACGCATATATATTACATGTCATTTCCTTTGAATTATGTATATAATATACATGACTTCATGAATATTCATTCAAGCATATATAATACTTTTGTGGCACATCAAAGTATAAATCAGTTAAGCTTTGATAAAATAAACATGATCGTATCTTCTACTATTTCATTATGTACTATGAATACAATAGTCTTATTTATTATATATACTTTGTCAATTATTATCCTATTTTCTATAAGGTTAAAAGTTTTTTTTTTTTTTTTTTTTTTTTTTGTCACTCCAAGGGTAGTAACATGAATATATTTACAATATTAGCTCGTATAAAATGAACTTAATCTCATATATCATCTGCTATTGTTATTCATATTATATCTTTACATGTTTTATGATAATAATGCGTCAATTATTATGTAATAATAACACTACTCGTAGTTTTAAAGCTACGCAAATAATTTGCCATTATTGCAATAGTTAAGTTTTTTTTTTTATTATTATTAGCATTGATATTTCACCCTTTTTTTACTCGCTTTTATCTCCTTTTAAGAAACAATAATAAATATCTTTCTTATGTCAATTTCCTACTTTTTCTTCTTCTCTTAATAGTTTAAAATGTCTAATTCAGTTTCTCGAAATCAAAAAGCCAAAGTAAATTTGCTACACAAAATTTATTACACAAAAAAAAAAAAAAAAAAACTAAAAGAAAAATTGCATGTTTTTTATAATAGCTGGCAGCAGATTATAATGAATTATTAAAGGAACTCACTTCTCCTAAAATAAAGACAGTTGGATGTTATTCACTTGGAAAGACGATCGGAAAAGTAAAACGAAACAAAAAAAAAAAAAAAAAAAAAAAAAAAAAAAAAAAAAAACAAAAATGTGTATATATTGCAGGGAGAGAGAGGGGGGGTGGGGAGGGAACAGGCAGGAGGGGAAAGAAGCAAGGGACATTTTTTTTTCTTTGAATTATTATGGCCTAACAGGAAAATAATAACTTTATTTAAAGGGAAGCTATGGTAAAGTCAAAATAGGCATACATAAATTAACTTGTCGACAAGTTGCCATAAAACAAATTAATAAAAAACATGCTCATTTAATGGCACGCGAAATTCATCATCATCGTCAACTTCATCATCCCAATATTGTTTCATTATATGAGATTTTATCTACAGAGAATACTATTTATATTGTTTCGGAGCACTGTGCTCATGGTGATCTCTTTGATGCCTTGTTACAACACGGAAAATTTGATGAATCACAAGTACGATTTTGGTTTTCACAACTGTTGGACGCTATTCACTATTGTCATTCATTAGGCATTATTCATCGAGACCTTAAGCTTGAAAATATTTTATTAGACGAACATGATAACGTCAAAATTTGTGATTTTGGATTCGCTCGTCAGACAGATAAGAATCAATTATTGAAAACTTTTTGTGGTAGTTTAGCTTATTCTGCACCAGGTAGTATATTATTTTCTACAAAAAAAGTTGTATATTTGTATTTATTCATTACAATAATAACAGAGGTAGTTCAGCATCAAAGTTATTCTGGCCCAGGTATTTTTTTTTTCTTTAAACAAAATGTTTCAAATTCTATGCTTAAATAGGATCATAATTATAGCAACAGATATTTGGTCATTAGGCGTCATTCTTTTTGCACTTTTGGCTGGTGAATTGCCTTTTGATGATGATTGTGAATCCGTTTTACAAAAGAAAGTTATAAATATAGAATATATTATACCCCCATTTTTCTCATCAGGTAATATATTACATAAGCAATAATCTATACTATATACCTAATACATATAAATATGTATTTATATAAATATATATGTATATATATCAGAGGTGGCTGACCTTATTTCTCGCATATTAAAATTAAACCCATTTGAACGCCTAACAATTAGTCAAATTTTTCAACATCCATGGCTTAGTCATTCTAGCGGTGCATCTATTGTAGGACATCATATAAAGATAACAAAACAACAAGAACAAGAGATAGCCAATTCTCTTCTAAATAGTGGATTTAATCAGTCTGTTATAGATGAAATGCAATCCAGTCATTTTGGTATGCTTAGTACTATTTGGAACATGTTACTGGAATCATCCGTTTTAACTATGACTAAAAAGACTTGTGATAAAACGATAACAGCAGGAACAAATGAAGGATGGATTGATACTTTTAAATCATGGTTTGTCACTACTGGATACAAACAAAACAAGGACAGCGACGATAAGACATTACCATCAAAGGATATAATAACATATCCCGAAACAAAGACAGGTGATGACAATGATAAAAAAGAAGATCAATATCTTGCAATTTCCTTAACTTCCAACCAGAATAAAGGAACTACACTATCTTCTGACACTGATCATTCTATTAGTGATGATGAACATAGCTATACTGATTCATCATCTAATACTTCAATTGAAGAGTATGAAAGTTGTAAAGAGAATAAATATGAACCCATTCATTATCAAATGACAGCTATTCATCGTGTTTCACCCATTGTAAGAAACCTATAAGGGTCTACCCCTTCTCCCCTTTTTTTCTGTTACTATTATTATTAAATATATTTATTTATTTTATTATAGTCAAGTAGAGCAAATATACTTATACCAAGATCAGGTCTGACTATGTATGAACGACAAACTAACTTACGAAGTAGACTTGAAAATAAAAGAATCATTGAAGAAGAAGAAGAAGAAAACGAAGATGAATAGACTCAATTTGTATACCCCTTCTACCGTCTTTTACCACTCACTTTTACACACACACACACACTCTCTCTCGCTCTTTCTCTGTATATTATACAAACTCTTTTAATAACTAATTACCCATAGACAATTATTGTATCCAATTTAGACATAAATAAATATATGTATACATATACAAATATGTATGACATCTAATCAAATCACTCTATTATTTTTTTTAATAAAATCTTTCTTTTTCTTCAACTGTATAACCGCCATTTCCGTCCAGATGAACCAGGATACGATGTAAATCAATAATTTCAGGACGATGACTCACACTAATCACAGTAGTTGTACACATTAAAGTTTTATACAAGTTATTCGCCATTTCTTTATCCATTGCACTTGTTGCTTCATCCAATACTAAATAAATAAGTTTTTTTTTTTTATTGAATGCAAAAGTCATTATTTTAAACTTTTTTATTATTATTATTACTTATTTACCTGCAAATCTTGGCTTCCAATAAAACAGACGAGCAAACATGAAACGTTGTTGTTCACCAGGTGATAAAAGTTTTTTATTCCATTCCTGTTGACTATAAACTGTATCATACGATTGAATCAATCCAGATAAACGATTTAAATGTACTTTTTCGAGTAAATAAACTATGTCTTCATCTGTTATATTTGTACCTATATAATGGTTTTAATAGACCGATCATAAAAAAAAGAGAGAATATACTTTTAGGCAATGTAGTATTATAAGGATACAAGATTTGATCTCTTAATGAACCATCTATAAAATAAGGTAATTGAGGTAAAAACATCATATTGTTACTATCAAGATGGTTTTGTTGATGATTATAAGAAATAGAAATTTTTCCTTCTTGACATGGCCATATACAAGCTAAAGTTCTAAGAATAGATGTCTTGCCCGATCCTATATTCATTTTTTTTTTCAATTTGAATTATTATAAGCTCCTTTATCTTTTTTTTTTCTCTTTATTTCTTCTTCTTTTTACCATTAGGCCCTATAATAGCAACATGCTCTCCTTCATAAATCTTCAAGTTAAAATCACGAACAATCAATCGTTTATGTTGGGGTGTAAATAAAGTAAGATGTTCAAATTCAATCATCGTATCAGAATCACCTTTATAATACACATAATCAAGTTTTTTTACTTCTTCTGATATTTGATCCAACATTTCTAGTAATTCTCCTATACGGGCTGTATAACCAGCTAAATCAGATAATTTACTAGATTGTTCAATAATAGTCGAGAATAAGAAGATCAAATACATTGCAACAAAGGAGTTCTTGAGGAATGAAAACACACATACACACATATACATATACATATACAGAATAAGTGATAAAGTGTATATGTATATATATATATATATTAACGTACCGCACTTATAATGGAGCTTAGTTCAGTTGCGTCTTTCCCATCTAACGCACCAGTAAAAATAGGTATAGCAATGATCAAATAATTAAGAACAGAGCCAAAATACGAGAAGCTTTCATTCACCACTATAACATCAATATATATATATATATATATAGACATATATACATAAATATATTATATTTATATTTATACTTATATACATATACATATACATACTCTTTAATGGAAGCTCCTTATTAACGATTGTACGTTGATATGCTAATAACGTATTTAAATTACGATAAGCATACTTGTGTTCATTCTTTTCTCCTTCACAAAAAGCAATTGATTCTACAAATTGACAAAGTCTAACATGAAAAGAACGGAAGGATCCTTCTTGTAATTCTTTATAAAAGACGGCATTGACAATGGGTTGAATAAAACGACGACTAACTACGGATCCCAATAAGAAATAAATAAAAATAATGAAAGGACCTGAAAAGCCTGTCACCTTCCAGCATTGATAAATATAATAAATCAATAAAATAGGGGTAATAATTAAACTTGTAATAATTTGCCCTAATGTTTCGGAAAATTTGTCAATATCTTGTGTAATTCGTTGATCCCTAAGAGGAAAGATAAATTTTTAAGTTTTTTTTTTTTTTTGCTTATGTAATATATATATGTATATAAAAGGAAGGGCCCCAATTAATTGAATATTTTACGGATGATCTATTTCTTCTTCATGATTCATTACTAGTGTATACATAAAGTTCTTTTTAATATAACAATCTTGAACATGAAGAGTTAATATTTTTCTCGATTTTAAACTGAATAATCCGCCTATAAAATTCAGTAAACTTTTACACTATAGAACACATGTTAACTTATAAGACAATAAATGATAATATAAAGACTTAAACGGTAGCAGTACTAAAGACAAGTATGAGGCAGGGCAAAATATATTTCGAAAATTCAATAGCATCTCGACTTGTCAATATTGTATAAAATCGACTTGGCATCAGACCTACATAGTAAACCAAAACTTCATATCCAATAGCAGTCACAACAAATACAATGTAGAGCCAAAGTAAGCTTTTCCTCCTAGTAGTTGTTGCCTTGGTATCAAATAATATTTTTAAAAGTCTATGTAAACGTTTAAAAAAGAGTCGATCGAAGCGATAATCTTGTTTCCTTGATACTATTTTTTCTATATCATGTGATTGATTCTCAAAACCATGATTCAAAATAGGTTCTTGTGATGAAAAAGAATCTAATCTCTCCTGTCTCATCTCCACAAAAAAAAAAAGAGAAAGAGAAAGAGAAAGAGGACAAACTGTCCACCAATAAAAATTTTATTTTGGTTTAATTTTAAATCACAGATAGTACACTACCACCACCAAACTTTTCAAATTTTAAATTGGAAACTTTATCTTATCAACTGCCCATGATGCAAGTACAGCAATCATATTAGGATATACAAATACACTCTTTCTCTCGGGCACACTTTTTTTTTCTTCTTTAAAAATAAATAAATAAAAATAAATAAAACTAATGCTTTCCGATAAAGAACTTCTTTATCTTATTTATTTTACAACAATACCTTATTTCATTTGCTAAAGTACGATAACAGTAGATTTGTCCTTTACCCATAAAGATTTTTAATTTAAACATCAAATTACCGAAAACAAAAAGTATAAATACATCATCATTATTGCCAATAAAGACATGATTCATTCTAATTGCTTTATAAAGAAACTTTTCTACATTGCATGACTTTTTTTTTTTTTTTTTTTTTTTAATAAATAAATAGAATAGATAGGAACAGTTTTATTTATAAAAGTTGCTTCCTTTTATTATTAAAAAAAAAAAAAAAATTTTTTTCTCCTCCTTTTCTTTTTCTTTTATTGCAAGCAATATGCCAACAACTGACGCGATAATAGATGAATCATTTGATATTTTTGGGGATGTTACACCTGAAGAAGAACGATTGTTAGAAGCCCGTCAAGAACAATTCAGACAACAGCTTGAGACCAAAATAGCCCAATTCTCATCTAATCCCATCGATCGTACCCTTCAACAAAATCGCTTCATCTTTACTCAAAGACAACGACAACACCACTTTACTAAACCTGTTCAACGTGCTCAATTACTTTCTCGAGAGGAATGTCGCTCGATTTTAGACATTTGTTCGAAACAAGAGGTAGGATGGACGACTGATCGTCATTCTGCATTCGCAACAACCGATATCCCAATCCGTACTGCTCACGAGAGTCCATTGCGGTCCCTTGAAGCCCTGGTGAAAGAACGTCTCTTCCCAGAGTTAGCAGCGTATTATGGCTTTAAAGTCAGTGATTTAGAGTTTAGAGATATCTTTCTAGTCAAATATACTGCAACTGGACAAAGAGGTCTTCGATTACATCAAGACGGATGCTTGTTCTCTGTCACAGTTTTGATTAGTCATGAGGATGACTTTGAAGGAGGTGGAACGTACTATAAAAGTATCGATGATATTGTTTATTTAAAACAAGGTGATTGCGCTTATCATGATGCACATGTTATGCATAGTGGTGTAGATATCTCAAAAGGTGAACGTTATGTTTTAGTCGGTTTTATAGATACTTTGGATACAATTGAAAAAGATAAAATAGCATTATTACGTTCATAAGTAAATAAATTATTTTATTTTGTTTTGTTTTGTTTTATTTATTTATTGTGTCATATTATTATGTACATACATATCTACTAGGAACACTATATAGATTAAAAGTCCTTAACACCTCCTAATAAATTAGACACCTCTGCTCTTGTCATGACATTAATAGCCCATTGTACATCACTGTCATTTTTGTTTCTTTTACTTTCTAATGATGCTTTGAATCTATTTACTTCTGATGAAAGATCTATGAATTTACCTATATCATAGAAAAAAAAAAAGGAAGAGTTTGTATTTACTTACAATGGCATGTATTTTATTTTCACCCTTACATGACTCTTCCAGTTGAACACCAATAAGATAATAAGATAAATAAATCGTGCCTGGACAAAGTGTGCCTGTCTGATCCAAGACCTTTGCTTCTTCTAAAGACATACCTGCTTGTAATGCTTTACATTCTTGTAGAGTACGATAATTTTTTATGATTATCTTGGGCTTTATCACAGGTTGTATAAGTTTTAATTCAGTAGAGTTTTCAATCAATGAAACTAACTGGGATATATTATGTGCCATTTTTCTAACCCTATACAATAATAATCAATAAGAATAATGTTCCTTTTTTTTTTTTTGTTATGCGCATATATGAATTTACCAAATCTCGTGACTGTTATTTGTACTTGAGCTTGTTACAATGGTAATAAAATGTCGATATCTTTTAAAATACGAAACTGGATTAAATAATTTTTTTAATATTTCCTTTGGGTTTACTTGATCATCTTGTATTCCATTTAAAATGATACATGCTATTATAGAATAAGTATGATTTATACAAAAGAAAGGAAAGAATTTTTTTTTTTTTACCTCTTTCAAATTCTCTTGACATAATTTTTAAAGTTGCCTTTCTAACATAAGGAGTCGTATTACAAACAGGATAACAAGGTGAAACGATAGGCATGATGGCATCTTCAAATTCCATTAACGATTGATATTCAATCCTTGCACCATGTTTACCAGGAATACTGCCGGTCAACATCACAGGCGCCGGCCATGGCCAATCCCTCCAAGTCTCAAAAAAAGTCTTTAAGAGGGAACTAATCGTGATATCCTCACTTGAATTACGTATTAATTGATAGGCTTTTACCAATAATAATGTCCAAGAACTTCCATTCAAGTAACCAATTGGCTTACTGTAGATTTGACGTTGGTTTGCCCAATACTTGACACATTGAAGACAACGTTGAAAGATACTGATATGTTGAGAAAGTATTTGCGACTTGATGAACTGATTGACACGAGGTCCATCCATGCTAGCCACACAAACAGGATCAATATCATCTAATAAAGAATCGTCGAGAAGATTGATACCTGGATCGATTTTAGATTCTCGAAGTCGAACAAACGAAATATCTATCTTTAAATTCATAGAAATGAGATTCATTCTAGTCTACATGATGATAATAAGCTTAACTTACAGAGATTGAATCTACTGTACATTTGATAATGGGTACACTAGCTTGTCGAATGACCTTTTTTATATAAATAAGAATAAATAAATATATACATGTATTTATATATATAATCTTACTTCAACATCACGGATCGTAGCTAAATGTTTCAAGTTGTCTGGAAAGAATTTGTTGAATGCATTTCTTTTCACGAGCCATGGACAAATCAAGACAAGATCGATATCTGCATTACGAAGATAACCTCCTAGTCCATAGGATCCAAAAGGCAATAATATACAATTCAGGTCGGTTCGCTTATAATCATTTTCTTTTATGACATCCCTTACAAAATTACGTAATGTTGATTGCAATAGTAATAATACTTTTTGTCTATTCGAAATTGATTCAATTTAAAGAGGTTAATGATATATATATATATATATATACATGATGTCTCATTTCGTATTCAACCTTTTTATTATCTCTTCTTTTGTTTCGATTATGCTATTTGTTTGTAAAAAATCTATCCAATGCTCATCAGAAATGTTACAATTGGTCATAAGGTATATTTGAAGTTGCTTAAATGGTATATTTGTATGGGTTAAAAGGAAGAGGGAAAATAATGATAATAATAATAATAATGATAATAATAATAAAGAAAAAAAACTTTTATAATACAGTAATGCGCGTAACTCTTTTACTGTTCCTTACAAGTATCAGCCAATCATATGCACTATTTTCCTTTAATGAAATTAGCTGCCGTCTGGTTTATTTGTTTTTTTTATTTCTTTATTTTTTTGGGAAAAAATAAAAAAAATATACACATATTAAAGTTTATATCTAATCCTATCCTATCATCATGAAAAGGCGAAATTTTGTTAAGCAATTCGAATGTGAGTAAACCTCATATAGAAAGATCTATTTGACTTTAATTGTTTGATATGATATTAGGCATTAATATAAAATAGTAGAAGAATGCAAAAAAGTAGTAACATTTGATGGTTAACTTAAAGCTGTGTATGAACATGTATTTATTTACTTTATTTCATTTTTTTTTTCAATTCATTTGACTGTTATTAAATAACCAGAATAACTACTTACTCGTTATATTTAAGACACTAATAGAGTAGAGGTCATTATTGGCTGTCAATAAAAAAAAAATATACAAATAAGAAAGATCAAGAATATATCGTTTCAAAAAAAAAAAAAAAAAAAATTATAAAACACGTCTGAGATTTCCGTTGTAATAATGACAGGGATTTTTTTTTATATCCTTTAATCGTGAAAATTTATAAATATAACTTGTGCTTTATTGTTAACATGTTCTTATATCTTGGCATTATCTGTAAAGCATCATGACGTATAGTTTCCTCTTCGTTTGACTGATCCTTAGTTTTGAATATACTTCTTTTATTACTTTTTAAACAAAAAAGGATGTATAACAATTAGCTGAGTCGAGAACTGCAAATGAATGCCTATTCTTCTGCATACATATTAAAAAAAAAAATACCACATATAAATATATAATATTTGACAAGTAAGAATGCTTATACTCAATATTATGTATATTAGTAATGACAACTACTATTGTTTTGAATGGAAGGTTTGACAGGTACTTTTCTTTTTTTGCAGCTGAATCATCATGGTATAATTATTGCTGCTATCAAAGTTTTTCTTTTTCTCTTCCCCCCCCCTTAAAAATATGTTGTACATCTAATCTAAAACCGAAACCTATAAATGATTATAAAAAATAATAATGATTAACCCTAATTTTATAGTGTATCTCTTTATAAGCCTTTTCTCTTTCTTTCTCTTTCTCTCCCTCTCCCCCCCAAAAAAATAAATAAATAAATCTGATGTTAAATAAGATTTTATCCCGCCACTGTTGTTATACGGCGGCAAATCATGGCATAATATTGATTTCAAAAAAAAAAGGTTATCTAGCAATTTTATTAAGGAATTAATATTATATGATATTATTAAAGGATTACATTAAAAGTGAAATAAATATAATTAAATACTTAGAAAAGAAAAAAAAAGAAATAAAATGAAATGAAATGAATTTAGATTAAAGCAGCAACAGCAATAGCAATGGCACCAACGGCAGCCTTATTATTTGCAGACATCTTAAAGGCACCAGAATGAAAAGAGCTGGTTTCAGCAAGAGCAGCAGCAGAAGAAGTTAAAGAAGAAGGATGTTCAGTAGAGGAGTGAGAAGAAACAGAAGGAGAATGAGTGTGGGAGGCACTGCTATTCATGGTTAATGAATGCATGTTAGACATACTCATAGAAGCAGAATGTGTGTAGGAGGCATTAAAAGCATGGGAGACTGAAGCAGTGAGGATGGATGAAGTGGTAGAAGCGGTAGCAATTGAGCTAGTGGCATTATGGAAGACAGATGAAGGAAGAAGAGTAGTATGATTGAAAGTAGCGGTGGCATTATGAAGAGAGGTAAAAGTAGAAGTAAAAGCAGTGGAAGTGGCAGTAGTAACAGTGGTAAGGGCAGTAGCTTCAGTAGTAGGAGTAGCAGTTGCTGTAGTTTCGGTAGTAGTTTCAGTGGTAGCTTCTGTAGTAGTTGTAGTTTCAGTGGTAGCTTCTGTAGTAGCTGTAGTTTCAGTAGTAGCTGCTGTAGTAGTTTCTGTAGTAGCTTCTGTAGTAGCTTCTGTAGTAGGAGTAGCAGTTACTGTAGTAAGAGTAGTAGCTTCTGTAGTAGTAGTAGTTTCGGTAGAAACAACACCTTCTTCATGCTTGATAGTAAAGAGACCAGAGTAAGAAACATTAGGATTATTACCTAATTCAAGAGCATAGTCATCAGCAGCTGGCAAATCAGTAGGAACATTCCAAACATAAGAGCCAGCATTAGCATCAACATCTTGGGCAATGGTAGCAACATACTGAAGGTCACTAGGAAGACCTTTAGCTAAAACAATCTTAGGAATAACAGAGACTTGTGGGTTAATCCTAATTATCATAAGTTAGTTTAACTTCAATTACACCATATATATATAAAAAAAGAATCTCTAATTTTTGAATTATAAAGAAAAGAAAAGAAAAAAATAATACTTACCAACTGATAGTAGCGGGTTTACCAGCAACATAAACAGCGCCCTTAAGAGGAGAAGTTATACTGACAATATTATATTGAGCAGAAACAACAGAAACACCAAGGGCAACAATAGCAGCAAAGATAGACTTCATCCTATTCTCTTTATATATAAATGTATATATCCAAAAAGATGCTAAATAAAAATAAGGAAATAAAAGAAAAGATCTCTTTTTTTTTTTGTTGAGGCTTTTCTTAGCTTTATATTTATATGAAATATTTTGGCATCATCATCGGATAAAGAATCTGAAATTTCTTCTTCCAAGAAAAAATATAAAATTAGACATGACACTATTTTGTAGATTGAATAACATTAAAACTCCGAATAGTTTCTATCTTTTTTAAAATAAATAAAATTTTGTATTTCCTATCATGGCATTGTTAAAAGATTGACTATTAGTTAGTTAATGATTATTAATAACCTCTTCTGAAACAAGACTTTCCATTATTTATTAACAACAAAACACATATGAAAAAAAAAAAGACTATACAGAGATAAAAAAAAGAAAAAGAAAAAAAAAGGGCTCTTAAAATAATGATTGAATAATACACTCTTGCTCCCCTTTTTAACAATTTTGACGTCTTTATGTGCCTCAAGAATAAATAAATAAATAAAGGAAATCCATATTTAAATGTTAAACACTCAATTACGTTTTTCTGTTATAACACACTCTTATTTTTTGTAAGCATATAACATTCACTACTACTGCTGCTGCTGCTGCTGCTATTACTGCTGCTGCTACAACTACTACTGCTGCTACTACAACTACCACTACTGCTACTACCACTACTACTACCACTACTACTACCACTACTATTGTTGTTGATGTGCAACCTTACTATTTTTAATTATTTCAAAGTTTGGATCTTTTTTTTTATTATAATTATTATTATTTTTTAAGAAAAAATTTTTTTTATTTATTTCTATTTTAGCCAAACTTATTTTTATCTTTATTATATAATAATGGTAAAATATCGTACAGGAAAGCAAAGAGGATATGGATTTAACAAGACAAGAATAGTCAGGGAATACAACGGTAATAATAGCAACTATGAGCACTATAATAACAGCAGCTATGAGCGCTATAATAACAGCAACTATGAGCACTATAATAACAGCAACTATGGGCACTATAATAACAGTCATAACAATGTTCAAGAAGGAAATACAATAGAAGAGGAAGGTTAGATGATTCGATTACTATCACAATAATCCCTTTCTAATTTTATTTTTATTTTTTTTTTTAGTTTTTATTGTGAGAAATGAATCTAATGTAAATTTTATACCACCTACACCCTCCTTTAAACAAGCTTCTTCATTTTCTATGACACAATTGATGAATAATAATAATAATTCTATACAAGATTTTAATACTCGGCCGTCAAAAGACATTAATGAGGACGAACAAGCTGGATTCTTTTTTGATTTATCAGCACAACAAAATACAGAAAATAATAGAGGATTAGGTTACAATAAAACTGATAAAAAACAGGCTGCTTTCTTAAAACATAAAAAGAAAATCATTCAAGATGAGAATGTATATATTGATGATGATGATGAAAATGATGATGTGTTATCCATTAGTAGCAGCGAGGATATTGAAATTATCAAAGGCCTATCTCATTGGGCTAATAAAGATATTTTGAGAGATGAAGCTAATGATAATAGTGAAAGTATCGATGCTATTAATCAAGACAACCAGTTTGAGATGGGCGATTTAATCCAGATGCTTAAAACAATGCTTATTAGTGATATTTGTGATAATGAGAAACCAAGAGTAAATACGCAAAATACATTCAGGAGTAATAGAAAATCAAATCCTCCACCCATGTCGATTAAGAAGTAGTAAAGTATACACGTTTATTATTGCTATCATTTGCTTATACTAATAGAAACATTTATTTATAGTATTACAGAGAATCTTATTAAAAATAAGGATATAAAAACGTAAGCTACATAATGTTATAGGAAGAAGAATACTTTTTCTCTAATCTTTCTTTCTTTTTCTTCCTCATATATATACAAAGGCTTCGATTACATAATGTGACGCCTTTTGGTCTTAATACAATCATCCCAGAACTAGCTGAACTCTATAAGCTTCAATATTTTACAGAAACCATACCCAATCATTATAATAATGGTAAATCTGATTCAATTGTTATTGTTGATCTTGTCAGGACAGAATTTACATCTAAACCGGATTACAGAAAGAGAAAGGCCCAACGTAAAAAGTTCCTTGAAAAGCATAACCTTCCAGTAGAATCATTTATGAAATCCAACAAAAAATCAAATCCAGAATTAGGTCAATCCTTTATAAAATCCAACACAAAATCAAGTCCAGAGTTAGATCAACGACCACAAAAGCAAAAGAAACAACAACGTATAGTAGAAGTAGCTTCCAATTCGGCTCCCATTTCTTCATCCAATGTGGGGCATCGTATGTTGGCAGCTATGGGATGGAAAGAAGGTGAAGGTATTGGAAGTTCAAATTCGAATGGCATTAAAGAGCCCATCAAAGCTTATGTGAGAGTAAACAGAAGAGGTTTAGGTGCATAGCATATTATTATACCAATTATATCTATATGAATATATAGAATAAAAATTTCTTTTATTATTGTTATAAATAAAAAAGTAATTTTGATTCAATCAATTATTGTACAAAAGAGATGTATAAGGTGAGCGAGCAGTAGTGTTAAAATTGAATCAGATTCAAACTCTGATACTTGAAAGGACACAATCATAAAGCGTTTACTTGGCACTGTTTAATGATACTAGGCTTTCGTGGAATGATGCCAACGATAAAGTCAAAACTTCAATCTTCAGTGTATTGTTTTTCTTTCTAATGATTGAAATGAGTGTAATGATACATTTATACACATAAATACGCTTATGCTCAATACATTGATAACAAGAAAATGTCGTCAAGTATCGACATTACTACAAACTAGCTTTAGAGGATAAAAGAAAGAAGACTAACATCTTTTATAAAGAATACCACTATCATGAAAAAAGGGTTGTATTTAGATATAATACTAAACCATACTCTTAGTCCCTTCCCTTATGTAATGTAATCCTTTAGTAGGAAAACGAATGATTATCTCTTTCAACCAATCATTAACGTTTACATAAATAACTCATATTTCTATAAAGCATATGATGAGGGCGATGAGCAATTTTAATTGGCTTACTAATTTCCCTATTATTGGAAGCTTTTTTTTTTCTTATCTCTACGCAACATATTTCACACCCCCGCTTTTATTTTCCTTTTTTTTTTTTTTATTATTTACTTTGTTTTTTTTTTCTATTATTAATATTTTTTGTCTACTTTATAACCATTTCTCTTTTTTTTTGTTTTTGTTTTTTTTTCTTACTTTATAAACTTCAAAACAAATTAAAAAAAAAAAAAAGTAAATAATCTAAATCAAATTGAAATGTCTCAATCGCAGATGTTTGGAGCGTCATCTTCATTTCTGTCTTCAAAACAACCTTTGAGACGCAATTCAGCACCTAGTTTAGATGATTCTTATTTTACAAACTCTACCATTACTAATGATAGTCGATTATTTTCATCAGTTGAGTTATCAATGAAGCAACCTGTACCATCACCAACTAATTCTTCCGCAGCTAGGACTCATCAACACCGTCTTAATGCAGCACAGGAACAACGTACTTATCGAGACAGTTGTCAACGCCTCATGTCCCACATTCATTCTGTCATGGGGATATGTCAGGATCTTAAACAACACAAGTTCCCTATTATTTATCCTTTCTCACAACGTAAACCAGTTCGCTCTCATACTTTAGACACCATAGAGGCTGTCCACACTAACCCATTCTCCAACAATAATCGCTATCTCAATCATGACCTTAGTATCTTATCACTCGATCTTAAGCTCGGTCATACCTCTACTGATCTTAGCTCACTTGAATCCAAATCTATTTCTACTCTTTTCTCAGATCGTCTTGAACAATCCCTTAAACATCTTCAGAACTTACACAGCCGTGTTAAAGATACTGCCTCTAAAGTTTTAGTTACTGGTGATCTCAACTCGGGTAAATCAACTTTTGTAAATGCCCTTTTGAAACGTGAGCTGTTGCCGGCTGACCAACAGCCTTGCACCAACTTGTTCTGTGAAGTTTTAGATGCTGTCCTTATGAATGATGGACTGGAACAGATTCATGCAATTCCAAACGACGTCGAAGTCTATAATCGATTAGATCCTTCTACCTATCATGTTATTGAATGGCGTCATCTTTATAAGGTGATTACAGAAGACTATGAACATTATAAGATGTTAAAGGTCTATGCAAATGATGCACGTACTGCGCAAGAATCATTGTTACATAACGGTGTCGTAGATATTGCCCTCATTGATTCACCTGGTCTTAATACAGATTCAGTCAAGACAACTGCTGTTTTTGCACGACAAGAAGAAATTGATGTTGTTGTCTTTGTAGTGAGTGCAGAGAACCATTTCACATTATCTGTAAGTTGAATATTTAAATTTATTTATTTCTATTACAATGTTTAACTTTCTTTCTCTCTCTCTCTCCGTCTCTCTCTCTTTTTTTTTTTTTTTTTTTTTTTTGTTCTTTTGTGTGTGTATATACTTTTTTAGGGTAAGGAATTTTTGTGGAACGCAGCTAATGAAAAGACCCACATCTTTATTGTTGTGAATCGTTTCGACTCGATTCGTGATAAGGATCGTTGTAGACGTCTCATTTTAGAACAAATCCGTCAATTATCTCCTGCCACTTATGCTGATGCTGATGACCTTGTTCATTTTGTATCTGCTGGTAATGTGGATTTAGAACCCGGATCTCGTCAAGTGGATAGCCCCGACTTTGCACGTCTCGAGCAACGTTTGAGAGCGTTTGTATTAGAGAATCGCACAAAATCCAAGTTGTTACCTGCCAAGAATTATCTTGTCAACTTATTAATGGATGTGCATGTAGTAGCTGATGCAAGTTGTGAACATGCTCAACGAGAAGCTGCGCAAGCAACATCACAGCTCGAACAAGATTTGCCTGCCTATCAACAACTTTTGAAAGTACGAGATTGTTTATTGGATCAAGTTGAACACGTTGCTGAATCGACTGTGGCAGTTGTCCAGCGACATGCTAAGGAAGCCCTTAGTCATGCCGTTGAAGGCATTCGTGATGCTATTCATATTGAATATCCAGGTATCCTTTTGATTTGGCAGTATGCACAAGATGTCGCTGATTCCATGTCACAAACACTTCTTCAAAGTTTAGTGGCAGAGGAACAAGAGACTAAGAAGACGACAGCGACTTGTTTAGATCAATTGCATCGCATGGGGACTGAACATTTAGGTCCTTATACGATGACTGCGAATGTGAATCAAATCAGTGCCCCTAATCATAAGATTGAGGTCGCGGTTGAATTGACAGACTTCTTTGATTTCATTGTGGATGACAAACTGTCAGGTACTGCATTATCTGTTGGTGCTGCGGCCATGTTAGGTGGTCGTATGTTGGGTTTTAAGGATGCCATGACAAGTATGTGGACCATCTCGACTCTAATGCCATCCCATCATGTACGTCGTTGGGTGACCCCCGTTGTGGGTATTGCATCACTTGGTTTGATCGTGTATGTCGTGAGTGATATGCGACATGCTGTTGAACGCAAATTGGTTAGAAAATTTAAGAAGGCTGTACAAGAATCAGGGTATATTGAAAGTCAAGCACGTCGTTTAGGTCGTGAGAGTCGCAAGGTATTGAGAATGGAAGGCTGGGAAATTCAAAACCGTATTCAAAGAGCCATTGAAGCCAAGGAACAACAACGACATGAAATGGAGATGAAGGCATTGACTTCAAAGGAGATGGCCGCTTATTTTGCAAGTGTTTTAGCCAAATCAGATGGATTATTAGAAAAAGTAGAGATGGTTCCGACTGATACTATAAGTGCAAATAATGCTTAAAAAATATAAATATATATATATATATACTATATATGTATATGCTATATCATTTTCACTGCTATTTTATTGCTTTTTTTATTTTATTATTATTCTTATTCTTATTATTACCATTATTAAATAAATAAATTTTACATTATATATTTTATTTATGAATAACTAACTTTCCAATGGATTCAGGATGTTCCAAGTCAAATTCTCTTCGAAGTGCAGCGTAAACTAAATCAATTAACAGTAAGACTTGTCCAAGATTATAAACTAATGTAATAGCATAAAAGAAGTTTGCATTTCCACTGCCTGCATAAATCCATAAATGCCAAAAAATAGGTGCCAATACAGAGGCATACAAGAATAAATTAGAAACTAAAAATCCATACCTGCAATCTATAGATATATGCATTTGCATATAAAGGTAAAAAAAAAAAAAAAAAAAAAAAAAAAAAAAAAAAAAAAAAAAAAAAAAAAAAAAAAAAAAAAAAAAAAATCAAATAAATATAAAATACCAAAAAAAAAAAAAAAAAAAAAAAAAAATCAAATAAATATAAAATACCAAAAAAAAAAAAAAAAAAAAAATCCTTACATTTGAAAAGTTCATCATGCATAGAGACTAGTGATAAATAAAAGGCGGCATCACCGGCAGATGGATAACTTTTAAATATTGCCATAATACTACAAAGTACCGTCATTGCAAAGATGGGTTGTTTCCTACAAATAAAACAAAAGTAATACTATTTAAAAAATGTGTAGAAAAAAAAAAAAGGCTATTACCTTAGACGTATGCAAATGGGTGCAGTAAAGATAAACATGTGGAACTGAAATGCCACCATAAAAAATGATCGAAATTGATCAAATATTTCAATAAAAAAATACCAAAACATGCCTACATTGGGTGTTAAATCTGATAAAAATAAACTGTATAAATCATATCAAAATTAATTCTCTCCTTACTACTCTATTATCGTTGCTTCTGTTTTTTCCTTTTTTAACTTACATGATACCATAAGTAGCTCGAATAAAACTCCAGGACCCCACATAGAGCCTTGACATAGCAAATAGTCCAGTCAGATAGACTACAAATGAGCCTACGATAGATATATTGTTATTTAATATCATGATTAAAACAGGAACTAACATAATGGGATAAAGGCTTTGGTAAGCACCCAGGGCAATCCAAAACATGGCTTGATGGCTGTGTCCCTTAAGAGCACTAAGTAGACTAAGGACCATACTAAAATTAGTAAAGATGATGGTTGAGCGTGATACACAAGATAAGATGGTTAAAGGGTTAAAGAGATAAAGTGCAGCTACTGTACTAGGGGAAATAGTAGTATTTTCTTTGAGTTGAGCGATACGAGAAAGCGCATATGCAATAATAATATCAACTGTACTATACAAAAAGGGGATTGTATTAGAAAATGGAAAAGACATTATGAATGAAAATAGGCATAGTAATAAAGGTAACTAAAAATAAAACGTAATAATGAGTTTATAGGATGTAATATTATAAATATTTCTTACCTGATGGAAAGCATCACCATCATAAGGAGGTACATTATGATTATATAAATAAATGCCTTCTGTCACTAAACATTAAAAATAACATGTAAGATTTTGCAATGGCATTTTTTTTTAAAAAAAAAAAAAAAATTACATCGCTTAAAACTTGTAATGGGAGTTGAGAGTTCAATACGATCAGCGAGTGTATTTGCGACTGAAGGAAAATTAAACATGGCTAATCGAATAGCAAATGCTGTAATGTAGATGAGGTTTGTCCTCTTTAGTAATGTCATATTCCCTCTACCCCTTTTGTTTAAAAAATAAAATAAAGAAAAAGAAATATATGTAAATGAAATAAAAGAACTTTTTTTTTTTAATACACATGCTGTTTTTTAAATTAATAATTGATATCATTTATTTATTGATCTCGTTTTTCAACATATACTTTCATGCCTTCCTTCATTGGTAAGGTCAATGAAACTTGATATGTAATATTCTGATTTGGTACTAATTTAAACTTGTATTGTTTAACTAAAAATATCATAGCCACCAGGGCCTCAAGTGTTGCTAAATTTTGACCAAGACAGACACGAGGTCCAGCATGAAAGGCTGGCCATTGTCCTTGAGACTCACGTTTCAATTCACCATCAGGTGTAATCCATCGTTCTGGTCGGAACTCTCTTGCATCAGGACCCCAAACAGCCTCTGATCGTCCTTGAGCCCATGGACACCACATAACATAATCTCCTTTTCGGATAGCCGTACCGTCTGGCCATACATCATCATTCAATGCAAATTTTTGGTTAGCAGGAACAGAAGGATATAATCGTAAAACTTCATAGAATCTATTTGTTTATTTATTAAAAAAAAAAAAAAAAAAAAAAAAAAAAAAAAAGGACATATCAGTACAATAGATGTATACATATAAAGAAGGGGAGAATATAGATACTTACACAGCGTGTGCGTATGTCATTTTTTTAATAACTTCATATAATTGAGAAGCATCATTTGTCAATTCATCTGTTATATATTCATGAATCTCTTTCAATAAATGATTCTCAACTCGTGGGTGCAACAATAACATATAAAAGGCCCAAGAAAGGGCTTGTGCAGTTGTATCTCTTCCTGCAATTACAAAATTTAATACAATATCTCTTAATTCTTTGTTGTTTAGAGGCTGTCCATGTTCATTATGAGCATTCATAAAACGAGATAAGAGATCATTGTTGTTATTAGCTTCTGGATTTTGGCGTCGTTCTTCAATAACTTGATGGGCAAAATTGTCAACTGTCTTCAAGTGTTGTGTGGTTGTCTTTTCACCAGGATTAATAAAATTTTTAAAAGCTGCAGTTAGTTTCCAAAATGGATTAACAAAACGTTGGAAGGAGTCGAGTTGGCAAGCATCAAAGGAAGCTGCAAATGGTACCTTATCTTTGCTTTTTAAGGCGTCCAATTCAACGCCAAATCCAAGTCTATTAGAAATAATGATAAATGACATTATATATATATATGTGTGTGTATATACATATTGATTTGTTTGTTTGTTAAAGTTACAGGATAAATGAATCTAATGTAAACCTAAACATGACATCATGGAAATCAATAATTTCATGACCATTTACTGCTTTATCTAAAATGTATTCAGACATCACATTAAGCTCCTTTACAAATACCCTATAAAAAATATATATATATAGAAAATATTTATTTAGTACTCGTAATAATTTTTTTTTTCTTCACTAGAGGTTCTAGATGATATATACTCGGTAAAACGATCTCGAAAGTTTTTCACGTTAAAGATATGACTTGCTGTTTTTCTTTGATATTTCCACTGTTCTCCGTTAGCATTAAAGATACCATGGCCTAATAAATCACCTGTAGCTGTGTTAAATTGGGGTCCTTTTACATAATTCTCGAAATTATCTATTTAAAGTATATATATTTATATACATGTATATATATAGTATTAATTAAAAGGGGAGAAAAGGAAGGGGCTATAAGTATCATATCTTACGTTTTAAAATATGTTCAACATTTCGTGGGTCAATTGTGGCTATTGCTCGAGGCATACCTAATGCTGAAGTAGTCCTATATAAGCCAAAATAATAATAATAATAATAAAACCCACCAGCACCAATAATTAGCTATGTATATATATATATATTTATATATATTGAAATAAGGTCTACTACATACGTTGTAAGTGAATTTAAATTTGTAAATCCAGACAAGAAAAATTCATGTATACGTTCTGAACTAGCCAAGATAGTTGGAAGACCACCAAGTAATGGCCATCCTTTGTTGTAGGCAATTCCTTCACGATTTTCATCAAAAATGGCACAATCTGGATATTTGATGACTAAAGCAGTAATAGTAAGCGCTGCAATACCTAGTGTACGATTGATGACTGTTGTAGTATCCATTTAATTAAATATAAGAAGAAAAAAAGAAAAGAAAGAATAAAGCACAAATATATACTTTTTTTTTCTCTTGTACTAGTAGCAGCTGTTTTACAAAGCATATGATTTATGCAATAAGAGGAAAAAAAAAAAAAAAAAAAAAAAAAAAAAAAAAAAAAAAAAAAAAAAAAAAAAAAACTCTTTACTATTTTAAAAAATAAATAAATAGAAATATATTGCATTTACATACAGCTCAATTTAAATATACGCATATTTATACATATCTCTTGAAGTAAAAAAAAGAACCTTTATTATACTGAATCGCTACTAAAACACAATAAGCTTGAAAAAATTGTTTATAAAAGGAAATTTAAAGATTAAATAAGTCTCAATGCCCAAAAAAAGTATAAATTACTTGTAACATAAATCATATATTGTACATGTGCTTATATAATATGACATTTTATTATTTGTTCTACATTACTATTGAATGGATTCTAATGCTTTTTCTAGCATATTATATAATGTTTTATTCTCCTCTTCAGTGCCAATCGTAACTCTCAAACATCCTTCACATCCATATTCTGTGCCTCTAAAACGAACAACGACACCTAGTTTTTCGGCCATTAATGAGTAAATCTTAAGTGCACGTTCATTATCTGCTTTGCCGTTATTGTTTAAAATTTCCATAAGAATAAAGTTGGCATCATTACCACCCAAGACACGTCCTACCCCTTTAAGTGTTTGCACCTTTTCGATTAAAAGTCCTCGTTGAGCAATAAGTCGTTTACGATGATCATACATCTTTGTCAATCCTTCGTCTGATAATGCCTCCTTGGCAATAAGAGCAGTAGGTGTACTAATATTATAGGGTGCCTTGGTATTATTGAAAATTTGAATCAAGTCGGGGTGTCCAACAGCAATACCCAAACGGATACCAGCCAAGCCAAAACTCTTACTGAGTGTTTGCATCACAACCAAGTTAGGGTATTTATCAACCCAAGCAGCTACAGAGCCTTCTTCCTTTTCTACGAAATCAACATAGGCTTCATCAACAACGACTAAACCTTGGAAATCTGATTCAAGAACGGCACGGATACTGTCATGACTGAGACAAGTACCAGTAGGGTTACCTGGTGAACATAAAAAGATAATCTTTATTTCAGGATTTGCTTTCAAAGCACTAAACAACTATATACAGATATATAAGTAAAAAAAAAAAAAAAAAAAAAAAATTAGTTCATACATATAAATACAATTAAGTTTTTTTATATACTTACATTATCTAAATCTAATTGATAAGCGCCATCTTTAACATTCAAAGGTGACTTGACAACTTCAACATCATTAATTTGAGCACATACGGAATACATGCCATATGTAGGTGGTGTAATCAAAATCTTATCCTTGGTAGGTACACATGCAACACGAATGACTAAATCAATCACTTCATCTGAACCAACACCCAAAAAAAGATTTTTAACGGAATTAAGTCCACGCAATTTAGTAAGAAGTTCTTTGACTTGAATTTGATAAGGATCTGGGTATCTGTTGAGATCGCCCTGAGGATTAGAGGCTAAGGAAGGACCATAGGCATTTTCATTAGCATCTAATAAAATACCTTCACTGTAATCATCACGAGCACAACGATAGGGCTTTAATGCTAAGATGTTAGGGCGAATAATTTTTGAAAGATCGAATTTTGACATTTGTGTTCAAAAAAAAAAAAACGAATAAAAAAAATTAAAATAAAATAAAAAGGACATCATTATCAAAATAAAAATCGGAAAGAGGAAAAAAAAAAAGTAGTATGAAGGATGACTCATTTAAAACTACGCAGTTTTTATCTGATTGCGGGAAAAGTCTAATGGCGTTATCGTTGTTCCTTAAAGATAAAGTATTATTGACTACCCAAGCTCTATTGAATAATAAAGTAATAGATTTAAAAGGTTTATAATAAAAGACTTTCAACTAAAGGTATATGTATACATATTAGGATAAAAGAGTTATTAGAACCGTCAGCCTATATAAGGAAAATCAAAGCTGTAAAAGAAATGAGTTAAAAAAAAGATTAAAAATAGAATAAATGACTAAAACAAAATAATGCTCCTTATCATATAAAACAACAGCAGTTAAAAAGGAGCTGCATTCATTATGATAAAGTAAAGAGAAGTTACATAAAAGAATATTTTACTTTAAGTAGGGAAAATTAAAGATTATCTGATTGAAATAAAAATAGCACGTATGCCTCTTTTTTTTTTGAATATGATTTATATAAAAGCTGCTGACGATAGCACCGCTTTACGGCTTATTAATACAGAATCTGACAACAAGTAATAATAATTCGATGATCATCAAAATAAGGTAATCAGAGTTAATATTTTTATTCTTTCAATTCCTATTACTTCACCAAAATCATTTCATTGGCCTATCTCTAAAATAAAAGGAGAACATTATTTGCATTCATTTACAATAATAATGATAATAGACACTAATAGTAGTCACTCGTGCAACATTTCATTAAGGATATAAAAAGGCACACATTTTTAATTCCCCCTCCCCTTTTTTATTTTCTCTTTTCTTTTTTTTTTTTTAATCAACCAATCAGCCGTAGCCGTGGAGCCCGCCTTGTTCACCACGTTAAATACTCGAACACAGAGGCAATATGGGGAGCCTGTTTTAAGTCGGGCTGTGAATCGCCCCGTCTGCATAGTGCCTCCGATGGGAGAGAGAGAATTATGTGCTACCTTCTATCAGCACAGAATCATAAGATAGTGAAGTAGTTTGAAAATAAAATAAAATAAAACATTAACTACAAACAACATTGGCTCATCATATACAAAAGTGTTAGACGTCTGAAGACTGTTTCGTAAAATAGCCCTTCTTGTTATAATAAACATTCAAGAGGTTAAAATGATATATGCATTATGAATGATACTTTCACTTATAACAAAAGACATTAAGTATCTGCTATATTGTTATTGTAATTAAGACCATTGAATAAACTCAAAATTGACAGTGTACATATAAACTATATCTTTGTTTCTAATCATTAAAAAGAAAAAGGTCTTTTAACGATATGTTTCTTGATTAAATAAGCGGATCATAAAAGTGTTTTAATTTAGATTCCCCTGAAACTCTCATAATCCATTTTAACATGGCAAACAATAGTATTAGATTGTTGACCATCATAATTTAAAGTAATACTTTAACATCAATTAACTATAACAAAAAAAACCAGTAGGTATACTTAAGCAGTTTCTTTCAATAGTTGATTACTAATATACAATAAATTGATTCTTCTTCTACTTATTAATGTCATGAATATATATTTACAATTAACACCTAAGTTTACTTTAATATAAAAACATGGACGTACAAAAATTAAAGCAGATTAGTTAATTGGCTATTTGTAAAGAGAGAAATAATAGCTTATTTCAAGTCAGGGTATTTAATATTAACTTATTGAGAACAAAAGGATTGTACTTATGAATTTTTGCGAATATATCAGATATAATAAATGAAAAAGTTGTGGGTTATCGCGACGTTTGAACACAAGTATACGATTTGACAAATATGGAAAAAGATCGTCCTTTATCGATGTTATAAAGACTGTTTATAGGTAGAAAAGTAATTACTGTTTAAAGGGATCCTTTATGTATTTATATAATTTAATTTGTCGTGAATTTGATGATCCAGTAAACCTGTTTCTTATTTTTATAATGCTGAAAATCATTTTAAGGGCTTATTATTTGCAAACGAAAATAGAACTCAACAAGAAATAGTTTAAATAGCTGTAAGGCCAGACAAGAATTTGTTTCTTTTATTATCATCAAAGAATTAAAAGACGTTTGATAAAAGATGTCTGAAAAAAAAAAGAGGCAAACTGCAGAAATCTTTCTATTCTTTAAGCTTTATAAATAATATTTAACAATTTGAAAATCTATACTATTCCCTTCTTATTCCAATAATTTTGAAATAAATGTTTTAAATACAAAAAGTTAAGGAAAGAGAAAACAGAAAAAGACAAGTCTGTGAAAATTCTGCATGGTTTATTAAGAAGAAAAAAAAATAATATGGAAAAAAAATGACAAGGGCTATTCATTTTTTTTTTTTTTTTTTGCATGGTAAGTGGTATTAATAGAAGTATGATTTGGACAAGTGAATACTAGTATAATAAAGCTTTATGTATAAATATCGTCTCCGAACAATTTCTGTTTACGTTGATATTAATTCACAGTGAATATTCCAGCTATAACCAATACTAATTAGTTACATGCTACTATTATTATTATCCTCTAAGATATTATTACATAATACAATGTACATACTTATTATTAATGCTTGAATACTCTAACAATAACTATTATTAAAACTGAATATAGAATAAATATTAGGCTGTAAAGTGCAAATACACCAGCTTTATTTTATTATTTAATAAATGACGGCTTATTCTTATTAACTTAGTTGTAAAGAGGACTACAATCATAACAATAAATATTAAGTATATGAGAATGTTTAAACACAGTTGTTGCAAAATAACTTAAAATTAATCATTGTTATATATATTCTCCTCTAATGTATGTGATTGACAAGCGCAAACGTTAAATGCATTGATCATTAAAGGATTAATAAATGAAAAGTGTAATTTATAAATGTAATAACATTTATCATTTTATAATAGAAGAATAATATATATTCTAATTCAACATCAAGTAAAATTGTAGTGGCCCATCAAGAAAGATTAATGCAAGAAAAGAAATACATTCCACAACCTAGTCGAATGCTGATGGGTAAATGTATAGCAAACTCGTTTAATAAATTCGGTCTGCTTAAAAAAACCCTCTTTTATTTCCAATAAAATTAAATAGCAGGACTTTCAATTTTACCTATTCTAATTGGGTCGAACATCGGCTAAATATTCGGCCCGAGTGTTAAAGATAATATATATACATCAAAATGAAAATTTCCATAAAATGGGGAAATGGTGTAGTGGCTATCACATTCGCTTTGCATGCGAAAGGCCCCGGGTTCAAACCCCGGTTTCTCCATTCGTTTTGTCTTTTTATTTTTTACATTGTTTTGTTTTTTTTTCTTTGTTGTGGAGAAATGTATTAGTTTGTCCCTGAGAGCATTGTATCATTTTGTTTCAGTGTCGATGGCCTCTGCAAAGTTTAGACCACTAAAAAATTAATTGTTTCAGTTTTTTGAAGCCAGGTACATATTAGAATATTTTGAAATTGATACTATATAGAAATACTTTTAAGCGAGTTTATTTTATCTTATTTTTTTGAACGAGATAGAATGATAAGTATTAAAACTATTTTAGGTTGTCCTCTTTGCACAGTTATCATTGCTGATCAATTCCAGCATTATCAATCCATCTAAATTGCTTACTTTCCTTATGTTTTCTTCATCAAGTTGACACTAAAAAATCCTTAAGAATAACAGTTATGTATACTCTTCGATACATGGTGTGCTTTTATTGTTGACTTCTTACTGTTTCGTTTTAACATATACTGTCCATGTTGTTGTTCTTTTTTTTTTTTAAAAAAAAATCTTTAGTAGAAATATAGCTACTTTTAAGAATATATTATACAAAGCTTATTTCTAAAAAGGATAATATGATTTATTTATGTAAGGTTTTTTCTCATATTTACTTTGAAGTAAACAAGTAATGTTTGTATTATTATTTTCACTTTTTAATTAATATGTGAATACTTTATTTAGCCAAACATTGCTTTCATCAATGAAATAATCAATTTGTATTGTTACCAATATATTTGTAGTGATAGTTTCTTCCTTTCTTTTTTTTTTTTTTTAAAGAACACCCCTGGGCAATTTTTATCTATAGTTTATCAATATGCACATTGGCTTTAAAATTCTATTACTAATAAATATGATTATGAATGCTACCAGCAGAAATTACTGCTATGAAGATATAAAGTTTTCTTTCCGTCTCCTTCCTTTATTTTATCATTTATTTAAACAAATGTATATGCAGTCGTTTACATAAGTACTGTACAGTAGTAAAGAAACAGCTTTACTTTAAAGTCTAATTATATATTGAAGCCTTTCAGTGTTCATATATAAAACTACATTTAATATATCATATAAATATCTATATAACAATAGGGAGTATATTTGATAGGAATATCCAGTCTAAAAAAAAAGATAATAATAGGCTGTAATAAAGATTTATTTATTATAGTATTGAAGCTGATATAGACTGTACAGTATACAGAGATACATATAAAAACTTGAGTTAGTATTTCAAGGCTTAAAGATTTGCCAATAGTATTTACTAAAAAAAAAAAAAAGATCCCCTTAATGTCTATATTATAAATTTAATTCTGTTTTCATTTTCCTTTAATATGTTATGAATAAATATAGTAACATTCTACTGAAAAATTAAACTGTACAAAAAAAAAAAAAAAAAAAAAAAAAAAGAAGGTTATATGTATGTATACATGGGTGAAAACAGAATAATAATATATAGGTATAACTCTTCATTTTTTAAATCCTTGTTGAACTGCTAACTTATTAATAAAATTTATCCAAACAGATGTTGAATTAGGCAAATCCTGTAACTTCTGATACTCTTCGAATACAGATCGAGCCATATTATTATCATTTAGACCTTTCATTAACGCATAGTAGCTTCGGGCCATTAACGGTCTATCCTTTTTAGATGTTTTACTCGTCCAAATCTTACGTATCATTTCACCATCTGACATTTCATGTGCTGCCCAGATCATTAAATCAAGTGTATTAGAATCTGGTTCTGGCATCTCAAAAAAAATTTCCTTTGCTATTGAGTAGCCTGCCGCTACTCCATCTCCAAACTGTATTAATGTTTTAAGCATTGAATTGTAATGCGTAGTTGATAGTTGTACATGATCTGATTTAAGCGTATTCCAAAAATCAAGTGCAGCTTTTGGCTGCTTTAAATAATAATATGCCATAATTGATGTTGTAATCGCTCTTGAATCTAACCAATTATGCTTTCTCAATTCGTTACATAATTCCTGAATTTTTGAAATTTTAGCAGAACCTGTAGAAGCATATGCTTCAATGAGTACCGTTAAGGCAGCTCCATCCATCTTCATGCCAGCATTCTGAATACCTTCTATTAGCTCAATTGCATACCAGGATCCTCGACTTTTTAAAAACATGGAAGCTAAAATTGTATAAAGTACAACATCACCGTGTATAGGTTTTTTTAACATAGTACGAAACGTTTCATAGGCTTTATCAAATTCAGATGCATCTGAATAACCTTTGATAAGACAGGCATAATGGACTACATTGGGTAATATTGCATAATGTGACATATGCTGCATAATTTGCTCTGCAGAATCCATTTTGCCACGTTTACTATATCCATAAATAAGATGTGAGAAAACGTAGGCGTTTGGCTTGATCCCTGCATCAATCATATCTTTAAAGATATGTTCGGCGGTAGATATGTCATCAAGATAAACGGCGTTACGAATTTTGAGAGCATAGGTGTAGATGTCAGGTTCTAACTGTGTATGTCTATCAAGTGAAGCTATAATATTTTCCAAATCCAATGATGCTAGGATATGATCTTGATTCCTGGGTTTATAATATAGTTTACCTACAGTGTGAAGAATAGTATTGTAGGTACGCGTTTCTAATCTACCATTATTGACCGTCATAACTTGCTCCAAAAGATCTATAAACCCTTTATGATCGCCTTTATAATTCGTCAGTTGAATATTAGACGAAACTTGATCGATTAAGTCCGGCTGATTCGCTAATAAAGATCGTAACTGTGGCTTTAAAAGATCTGCCTCTTGAGGATATTTTAATGAACAGTTTAACAATGCATTATAAATAAAAGAATTAACTGGAATTCCCTTTTGTCGCATTACATCTAAATACTTTAGACATTCTATAACTTCTCCCTTTTCAGCATAATGCCCAATGAAGTTACCATAAGTAACTGTATCTGGATCTAACTTAAGTCTAACCATGCTATCATACATAATGAAAGCTAGATCGTTATTATTATTTGCCAAATAATAGTGCATAAGCGTATTGAATGTATATGTGTCAGGCATCACTTTATATGCTACCGTTTTTGATTTAGCCTTTTTCTTCCGTTTACCACTATTACCACCTTTTCCCTTCTTTTTTGGCATAAAAAACATGTCTTTAGTCCGTTTAATTTGCTCATCATTGTTTGCCCTCGTATAACACTTTAGTAGTATATTGAGTATTTCTGTGTCTGGTTGATATCCCATATCAATCATAGATCGATACAGGTCATTCACAGATTTGATTGTTTCAGCCATTTCCTCCTCTTGCTTCATATGAACCAAATACTTTATATGATCGGCTAAACCATTTAATAATCGCTTGAATGTCGTCCTATTAGGATTTATCTTGTCCAAAAATTCTTGTACCTTTTCCTTCCCATGTCTTGTATGACATCGCTTCAAGTAAAACTCCAAAAGTATATGATAGGTGGTACGGTTATGTTCAGTAATTTCTTGAGCAATTTGTTCAAACGTCGTTACATCATCCATATTAGCCATTAATAACAGATTATAAAAAGTTGTGTCTGCTATCTTTCGTCGCACTACAACATCTTGTTCAAGAGCTTTTATTTTAGCTGCCATCAAATGTTTATTATCTTTAAGATGTTGTACATAAACAGATAATAATTGGTTACAAAGCTCAATATCTTTGGATGATTTTCGAAAAATGCGCTCTGCTTGAGGGAGTTGATCGAGTAAACCATAAAGTTCAATAATAAGACCAGTTTCGTGCGTGTCCCAGGTATTATGAGTTGCTAAAACATTTAACCTTTCAAGATAGATTTGCTGAAGTTTTCCAAAATTAAGTTTAAGGCAATTTCGATTCTCTAAGGTGTCATTTAAAAGAGAATCGAGTAACATACGAGCTGTGAGACGAGGCAATCGTGTATGATTATCATCAAATAATTTCCAAGCTTCATCATATTGAAAGTGCTGTAGATGACCATGAATGGCCATGGCTATAGATGACGAAGTCAGATGTTTGTTGATTTTTGAAGCAATTTGAATAGGAATTCGCTGTTTGCCAGACGATTTCAATTGCCGTAAATGCCGGTGTAGATCTATATCATGTGTTGCTATGAAAATAATAATAATAATAAAAAAAAGAGAAATGAAACAGGGGAAAATATGTTAATAAGAAAGAAAAATTAAGACTTTTTATGCTTGGTTTTACCTAGCTTAGATCTTACTACTAGACTAGAAGCCTGTCTTAGTTGATGGTAAGAAAATAGGAACATTTTCCATTGCTGTAAAATACGATGATTAGTGTTTCGTAAAGCTTCTAAATGCAGGTGTTGACACCGCATATGAACCATGGTCACTTATTATAAAACCAGCAAAAAATAAGATACTCCAAGTCTTTTTTTTTTTTTTTTTTTTTTTTTTTTTTTTTTTTTTTTTTTTAAAAAAAAGAAAACAACCATTGGGCAATGTTTATTCAGCCCTAGCTATGATTTTTGATAAGTTGTTATAAATAACAGGCTTCTTAATATTGCGGGGTGTATTTAATATTACAGAAATTAAAAAGAATTATTCCCTTTTTCAGCCCTTGAAGAATTTATTACATTGTTCCTATCCAAGTCAGGTCAAAAGAAATGAAACAATAACAAAAGAAAAAAAAATACTTTGAGTAATAAGGATAAAAGACGTTAAAGGAAGGAGATATTAAGAGCACAAATATTAGAGATACTCGTCATTTTTAGGGCAATTTTCACCACTAGAATAAAGAACAAAATAAATTCATATTTTAGACGACTACAAGTAATATATAAGCACTTTACATGTAGGGATCTACATCTTAAAGATAATAATTTTGTACAGCTAATATTGTTAAGTTTATTTACTGAATTTTACAAAATATCCTTAATGAGTTCAAATAGATATAGCAATTTTCAGAAGACTTTTATCAACATTAATACCCCATTTTTAAAGTATAATAGGTCCGCACGGAGAAATATGCAAGAGTCACAGAATAATTAGTCTTATTGAGAGAATCTCTATTATATGTATTAAAGATTTGAAGAAGTTTGAATTCTTTAATACTAAGCAACATTGTTATTAAATAATTTAAATATACTTGCAATGAGTCCTTAGAATTATTAACAAACATATTATTAATTGCTATGAATAGCACTAGTTATTAACCCTTCATAGTTAATAATGATTAAGTTTTGTCTCTTGAAAATAAATCCGATAGCTTAACACATCAAAAATAATATATCTTTTCCTTGAATACCTCTTTTTCTATAGATAAATTAGCAGATGATATACTAGTATAATTGCTGATAAAAGGATAGCCGTGATATTTATTTGGTCTAACTTCAAAAAAATAATATAAAATAAAATAAAAAATGCAATAGAAGGAAATTAACCTACAATTATTACGACTTGCCACAATGTTTAGAACTTGGGATTTTTTTTTATATAGAAGCTATCAAATAGAAAGGAAAGAAATCGGTGAAGGCAGTTGTAATTGGTGATACATATGTAGACAGTGAATAGATTGAAACTTATATAATAAATGATTGTAACGGAAAGGATAGGGTGAAAGGCCACTATATAATAGCCATCCAAGGCGTCAAGGGATATAACAAGTGCAGTTTTAGTTCATCATTGGCAGTTACAGTACAAAATCACTTGTCAAGGCATTACAACAAGCTGAAAGGTATTTGGAATAACGATCTAAATGTCTTTCAGTCAAATTGTGTATAAAGAAGGAAGATCGAGTAGACGTGAAGAGCTGCTGGTATAAACTATCAGTTAAAGGTATAGACCTTCTCTAGAAAGAAGATTTGAGCAACCAGTACCTTTGTAAGTAATTGATGAGAGTAAGATTGAAGATGTATCAAGAACCTAGTAAGCAAAGTGTCCTAAGAGAGGTACAAAGACCGGATGATGTTCTGGGCTTGACGTATACTTGTACATTTGTAACAGCTACAGCCCATTAGGAGATGACAATTTTAAATAATCCATTATTACACCAATCTCTACTTGATGTCAAAATCATGTCTCTAGTAATAACATTTATTTTGTATAAACATATTGCTTTTCCTGATACAATTTTTTGTATTATTAAATCTTTAATATATTAAATGAAGCTTTCACAGGCTCTTGTCTTTTATTTTTACATCTTCCTTCTTTGCTTTTTTTTTTTTTTTGTTCTTTTTTGCCTATCGGAACATATATAAAACTTTTTACAAAATATGTGTTACACTCATTATTCTTATTAATGATATGGAGGATTTGGCTCTTAACGAGAACAATAGAATCTTATTTGCAAACACTATAAAAGTAGATGGTTATCGATCGATTTTGTTTCCAATAGAAGAAGAAACGATACAGAGGCTGATTTGATGAAAAATACTGATATAAAGCTAGAAAATTCTGTACTTGAAGAAATACAGCATGCATATCGGCTCAAGCTTCTCGGCCCTGGAGGAAAATGTGTATTTACTGCTGCAGCTGGAATGAACAAAAAAAAGACCACGAGATCAGACGGTGTGTAATAAAGATATTATCACAAGACAAAGCCTACCAAATATGAATAGAAGCTGAAGATAATCAAATATGAGACTGGTACCACCAATAGACTTTCTCAAGAAATACTCATCATGTCTATGTAAATTATTTTGCAGCGGTTACAGCCCTTAATTTATTATATTATTCTTTTAAAAATAACCAAAAACCACTTCCATTTATATTAAGGGAGACAGAGAACATCTAAAGAAATGGAGAATATATTTATTCATATAGGCACCAAATACAATAAACAGAAAAGAACAAGCAAGAAAAAAAATACCAAAAGGAAACAGAAAAAAGTTACCACCTCTAAATAAGTAACTGATTTTAGCTTTGACAATCAGGGCTTATCTAATCATTGTCCTAAAAGAGTCAAATGTGGAAACTTGCTGATTTTTGAAGGGATAAAGAAAAAGTACTTCTAATAGTTTTTTTGTTCTGGGATGTTTGAAAAAAGAAATCAATAAAAATCAAGAGTAGCAAGTGTGGCGTTACTGGTATGCTCTAAAGAACGCTGAGGTAAAGAGAAACCGCCGGAGACTTAATCGCTGTTACTGTTGATAAATGCAAAACGTCAAGAATATGCAATGAATGGAGAAATAATACTCCAGCTAGTATTTCGAATACGAAAAGTTATAGTGTTCTGGTATACAATAACTGTAAGATGCTGTGACATCGCGATAAAAAACACTTTCTAGAATATGTTGTCTATTTTGCTTTTTATATGGAGTGCAAAAGATCAGCCTTAGGTTCATAGGAAAAAAGTAACCCAACTTTTTTTAATAGCTGTAATAAACAAGGTTTCCGTTTTGCGTATTTATAGTACTACAAGTAAAATATCTGAACGTAAGCCTTGATTTATCTGAAAACTAACTTTTTTATCTAAATTTAATTTTGGTTTTTTTCTTATAAAAACAATATATGAATTCAAAGTATCTTTATAAAATCCATTGACGTCTAAGGCAGCTATCAGACAAGTGAAATTCAAATACACATTTGTTATACCATCGAGCTGCTTAAAAAAAATAATTTAATTCGTTGTCTACACATGTACTGTCGTTTATATCCTCTTTTCTCAGTTGTTGATTCAATATCCTTTCTTCTTTTATTAAACCATCTTATCCCTTACATTATATTTCTCTTTGGAAAGAGTAGAAGGAGACGAAGAGATAAAAAAAAAGGAGAGAGGTAAAATAAAATTATAGGAATGTAATAAGAAAAATGATTTATTAGCTTTGGTTGTGAAAAAACCATCGTAGGAATTTAGAACCAGGATTCTCAATAGGAGGGAGGAGTTTATCATGAAATATATAATATAATTCATGAAAAATGATGCATATTTCAGGCAAGAAAATAGTCCTTTTTATTTTAAGATTTTTACATGAATTTCTACTTTCTATTTCACTATTATTTTGTTGAGCTAATTTATACAATCCAATATCATTTAGACACTATGTGCTCACGAAGATCAAAATTTAAGATTATAAAACAAAATAAAATTACGGTACCTTTATTATAAATTTGAAAGCCAGATGAATTAAATAAAAATTAAAAAAAAAATAGCTTCATTTTCAAAACTGTGAAAACACTTTATTGAAAGTTTATGAATTATCAATATGTAAGTTATTAAATTGCTGCTGAAATTGTATTGAACTTCCTCTTTGATGTCTTGTATTATTCTTTTTAGCTCCTTCAATCATTTCCTCTAGTTCTATAATTCTAGCTTGGTATCGATTTACTTCTTCTCGAAGTTCCTTTATGTGATCAACTGAAAGTTTTAAAATAGTTCCTTTGTTGATCGCCCTTCCATTGGCGCCTACTTGACCTGCAGAAGCAATGGCCATAACATTTGAACTTGTGGGAGCTGTATCAATTAATCTTTCTGGTAACAAACTACAAAGCTCTATGATATATGTGAGTTTTACTATTATACATCAATATATATATATATATATATATATATATTCGTATATATACTTCACCATGGATTCGTTCATTAATATTATCCCTCCTTCTTCGTTCCACTGCATTATGCGATTCTCTTCTCCGACGACGTTTTTCAAATATTTCTTGAAGACTATAAACATAATTAATAACAAGAAATATATAATCAAGGAAAAACTAAATAACCTACTTTCTTTGTTGTTGCTGAATTAATTCTTCACTATTTTCTTCAGTTAAAACAGTTGAATTAGAAGGTGAAATGATAATTAAATCATCTCGATTTGTGGTAGTCGGGGATTGTCCAAAGGACGATGTAGAATCAAAACTTGTACTACCAAACCATGCTGGTTGATTATTAGGTGGTGAATTCATAGCAGAAGCAAAAGAGGGACTTTGTCGTTGATTATTGTAATTAAAGAAATGATTGTTTCGTACAACAGGAACAGCACTAACAGTTGTATGAGATGTCATAGAGTTGAATTGTTCATTATTATTAGTAGGCGATTCAAGATGATATTCAGATTCTGGAGGTGAGTACATTATCTTTTGAAAGAATAAAAATATTAAGGAGAGAGAAAAAAAAACAAAACAAAAAAAATACGAGTTTATTTTACTTACGTATTTTATCGTTTTTATTAGAAAAAAAAAAAAGGAAGAAACAAAGAAAAACAACAAAATGAAATTATATAAATATATTTTTTTGTGAAACTTGTAAACGGATAAAACTTGCATCATGCATTAGGAGTACAGTTATTCTATACTCAATTTGAGTACCTTTACAAAATTTTTGGAGCAACATTCTAAAGCGAATTCAGTATAATTCTTAAACTAAATTCACTTAAATAAGAGATTATATTGTTACATTTCATCAACTGGGATTAGCCGAATTACAGGAATAATCTAGTAGTGCTTTTAAAACATTATACTAAATAGAGGTTTTGTTATTCTAGTCATAACTTTCAAGATTCAACTGTATCAGTAATAAATCTCTATACGATATGAGGTCGTGTATCTGGTCATTTTACACATTTTTGTAATAAGGTACATGCAGTCACAGCTAGTATGCAATGAAATCTAAAATAGGAACTGGACATTATTATTGTCATGGAAATATACGAAGAGTTTCGAGAAGGTAAGCAATATAGTATATAATATCAATGGTATCGTAAATGCTTAATCTCTAATTAATCTATTCGTGAACTTAGTAATCTCATCATCATTAAGTCTAGTTATAGGAAAAAGATACTGTAGAGTAGAATCTGTCGTATTTGATCTTACTCCTTCATATATCAAATTAGATTACATTTATTTTATAGATTACTTGAACAGTACTATTATAGCAAAAAAAAAAAAAAAAAAAAAAAAAAAAAAAAAAAAAAAAAAAAAAAAAAAAAAAACTGTCTTTTGCTCTTTTGATACTATCATATCAATGGTAGATATATTATTATTATATTATCATAGATGTTTACTTGACTGCTATATAGAGTATTATGTTTCATACTTCCTATTTATTTCCGTTTATATAAAACATCAAATTATTTTGGCATCTAATTCTTTACATCATTATAATCAGCTCTATGAGGCTTATTTCCATATTTTGATCGTATATCTGTATTGTTATTAGAATTCATATAGAGTCTGTTCACTGGAGATTTTTATTACTAAATTTTATAGAATTACAAAAGTAAAACAAATGAAGACTCTAAAGGAAACTAGAAATATATATGTAAATAGCCTGCTAAACAGTTAAAGCTATGTTACAAAAAAAGGGGGGGGCATTCGTGAAGATAAAGGATTGAAATCAATACAGCATTCATAGAAGACATTGGAGCGCTAATTAGCTCCCAGTACAAAGTTGCTCTTCAGGAGTAGCAACATCCTCAGTGAGTTATCAAAGAAATAAATGTGTTAGTGGTTTTTAAAGAACTTATGAAGTTTATAGTAAAATCCAAGCATTATTTTATATCAATCTAAATAACACTCCTTAATAACAATTATGACATATCAAAATAAAAAATAAAAAAAAAGACTATTAAATACTTTCGTATAATAAAATTCAAACAGTTAAGCCCCTTTAATTTATACGTTGACTTGAAAGAGTTTGATTATATGAATCAATCTATTAAAGATCATAAATAATACTTACATAATTTTAGCAGTCCAAGCACTTGAAATCAGTTTAAATATAAAATAGTTGCTTATTTATTAATCAATAAGAGTATTATGGATTTGGCTTCAGAACTTACGCCAAAATTTTCTAAAAGGTACTCAAATTGAGGATAAAATGGCTGTAGAATAATGTATAGTTGAACGGGGTAGTCTTATATAGTGTAAATAGTTTGTAGTAACTCTTGTATAACTTATTTTACCAATAGTTTTCATTTGAATAGATAACAATTTTTTCTTCTTTTGTCAAATACTGACTTATTTGCTCTTTGTCTTTTTTCCATGGATTAAAATAAAGAGTTGACATCATATTTGATTTACTTGTATTTACAGTGGGTATAATCTGTTGCTGAATATCTAAACTAGTAATAAATGAGGCAAGCTCTCTGAAACTCGAATGCTCTGAATAAGGTACGGCATACAATCTAACTTTTTCTCGATTACAATATGGAGACAGCTGAAGTTTTCTATCAGTGGGTGGTTTAAGAATATCAGCTAAACAGGGTATAATATCCATCTCTTCTTCTTCTTTTGATGGTGGTGGAGGTCTATGAGTAAATGATTTGTAGGCCCAACCTGTAGGCTTAAATCCAATTAAATAATCAAAGCTTGATTTATATTCATCGAGATAATTTGTCATTATCTATCACCAAGTATTAATATTATATATAACTTATTTTTTTTCCCCTTGTTATCGTAATATCTTACATCTGCCTTTATATCTCTTAATGGTACAACATGTACTTGCGCTTCTTTTGGATCATTTGTTAACATTGATTTTAGATCTTCATCTTCTTGACATAATAAAATGCGTTTCTTCTTTAATGGTGCGTATATTTTACATTTTAACATTTTTGCAACATCTAATTTAGAACACTTAAGTAACAAATTTATGATTTATATCTTTGAAATACATGTATACTTACTAATAAAAACTCGTTCTTTTCCAATAGTATATGTACCAACAACAATTAAAACCCTTGATTTACTATTACTACTTGTTATCATAGAGTTTAATGACTGTTTTTGTTTAATAAACCAGTTCTCCAATACTGAAGCTCTTTTCACATTTTGTGCATTTATTTTTTCTATTTGTTCTAATTCTTTCTGAACTGCATCACAAACAGCTTCAATACACTCCTCTTGGGCAGGAAAAGCATATTTAGCATTTAAATATGTTGTATCCAAATAAAGACAATCAATAGGTTGTTGACGTAATAAGGGATGAAGACAAATACGCGGTGTGGCTCTAAAATCTCCCGTATGTAAATGTCGTTTTTCCACTTTGTTAGGCAGTTGAATTATAAATAAAAATAGGACAGAACCTGGACAATGATTAGCATCAATTAATCCCACTTTAATATTATCTGTTATAGGATGTAAAGTATTTAAAGGTAAAGGTTTAATATAACGTGAATCGACTTTGAGTTCTTGTTTTACAAGATTGGCTGTAACCTGAGAACAGTAAATAGGACCATAAGACCAATTACTACGGAGTCCTCCATAATGATCAGAATGAAAATGTGAAAGGAAATAGCCATCACAGTTTGGAATAGGTCCATAATTAAATGCATCTACAACAAACTGAGTATCTACATAAAAAAAAAGTTATATCTATAACTCCATGTGTGTTTTTTTTAATAATATAATCAATGGGGTACCTTTAACGTATTTGTAAAGTGGACAAATCTTCTTATTATTTAATTGAGAGTTATTTATAAATTTTGTTTCAAGTACTGTGGTGTTCTTGGCTGAAAACACACTTTTCCATTTATCTGGTGTTATCATAGTACTGTTTGATTTTGTAACTACTGTTGACTGCATAATGTTTTCTTTTTCCAACATTGTTTGAGTGTTGTTAAAAGAAAATTTTTCTTTTAAAGAAGCAATAGAGCATTGTGAAGGTAAGCTTGAACTTATGTCACTTTGGGTTTCTTTTATATCTTTTTCTTCACTCATTATATTCTCTTCAAATATAGCCTCCAACTCGTCATTTCCTAGATCGTTAATTGGATCTTCCTTTTCCTTATTGTTTTCAATATGTTGTTGTTTATCAAGGCAATAGTTAACATGGACTTCCATAGACATTGATTCTGTATATATAAATGCTTGACATAATGGACATTGTTCCTTTTTAAGAGTTATTTGATCTTCAAAATGTTCTCGAACAACCGAATTCTTCTTTTGATCTTCGTTTGACTTTAATCGCTTAGAACTTGAAAAAAAGGAATCCAGAGTAAAATATTTTGATTGGACTGTTTCATCTTTTGTTTTATTTTTTTCAATGGATCGTTTCATATAGTAACTACAACTCTTTAATTTATTTATTTATTTATTTATTTATTTTTTCTTTTTTATATAAATGTATATCTTCTTGACAATAAAGGTGTCCACAAGTCACACCTTATATTTTATTGGTTTAAAATTTTCTCCTGGATTCAATTTGACCAATCATACATTTTCTAAGAAAATTAGTATACAAGTTAAAGCAGTCCAGACGAGGGAGTGAATAAATAAGATAATTGATACAATGACTGTATAATAATACTTACTAACTTTTGGAATGAAAATGAGACCGGTATTTATCTATTTGCCATATAGACTACACTATTCTCAAAACAGAAGAACAAAGTAACCCATCAAGGATTTAGTAGTATTTACATAAAGAGAATAAACGATAGCAAGCATATTCAAACAAGTGAGCAAATGTCAGATGTAAAAAAAAAAAAAAATAGTGAAAAAAAGAAAAATCCAAGATTATAAAAGAAATAATTTCTTGAAAGTCCTGGTAGTTAATAAAATAAATAAATAAAATAATAGCCATATTTTCTGTACGTTTGATAAGCTGTATACTGTCTGATAGCTGCTTGTGCATCGTTGTTTAGAAACACGTCGATTACTCTTAAGCTGCTTTTCTTCCTTTTGTAATAAAGCCGCCATATAAATAATGCAATGTTATTTATAATCTAATATTTAATTTATAATGTATACAGGAAGCTTAATATAGCCGAATATGAATGATATAGCTTTATTTTTTATTTATTTTTTTTTTTTTTTTTTTTAAAGTATCAAGGTTATTCTTGTTAGCTGAATTCAAGATTATAAATTATTCAGTTTAACTTTTATACATAGTTATTCTTGAGAGTTTGATTGCCATCAAATTCACAGCTTCCTGTAAATCCTTGATAGTTAAGTTTAAACCGTTTAAATTTTTTGCATCGTATATCAAAGCATAGAACTCTACCATCATATAAAGCTGCTGATTCGAAATCCTCTGCTGTGCATTCTTTTAATTTAAGGTCTGTGCTCCCAAAATAAAACCTATTTTCAGTAGGCATATCAATTTTAATACATAGATCTGAAAAACGATCACTGTCCTTGCCACTTCCAACGTAAGACAGGATTTCAAACGATGTGTAGGGCAAATTTAAAACCACAACATGTGTTTGGTCTTCGCTGTTTTTATCTATTTGAAGATTGTGATGATCTGTAGTCACATCTACTTTAAGCACTTTTAAATTACGAAGTTGCATTGATAGCTGGTAATAAGCGTCGGTTTCAATATAGCAGCAATCTAAATTCAACTCGGTTATAGAATTATTAATTATAAGCTGTCCTTGGTTACAACCATTAAATCTAGCACTAGAGATATAAAGTTTCTTTAGATTCGTACAAAATTTAAGAACTTGATTATAATCAAATACATCCGGAATGTTAATTGTCTCATCTTCATCATCAAAATTAAGATCGAGAGTATCTACAACATTCCCTAGTCTCTCTAATGTGTCAATAACAGATGTTTGAATATCCTCCTTGTTATCCTTGTAAGCAATATGATGAAAGGACAAATTGTGCAATCCTTTTTTGTTTCTATTCCCTACCAAATCTATAGTATTATAAATATGTTCTCTTCTTCCTTGAATCGTATTTTCGATAAAGGGATAGCCTTTCATAAATAAACTATAGCTCCCAAATTCGAATTCATAATTTAAGTTGCTATATCTACCAGTGGCTGCCAGCTGATTCACAAAGTCTATCATGTTATTAATTGGGATATATATAGAGAATGTATTAAGCTGTAATAAGTAATTTATAAGCTGTAACATGGTATTTTCACTTAGTTTAAAGAGATCGGCTATAAAATACATCCGACGAAGCGAAGTCATGTTAAAGTTTCGATTCAATTCTAATTTCCTGAGTCCTGGAAATTTATGTATAATATATTGTATACCAGCATCACTGCAAATGACTGAATCAATTTCCATTTCTTGAATATTGGGACAAGGTTCAATCAAAGATAAATCAAGTTGCTCCGATGATTCTGTAGCAAGCATTCTTCTATCATTCAGCATAAGAGTATGCATAAATTTTTCGGTATCAGTTTCTTCTGTCTCAATCAGTAATTTTTTGATGGTAGCAGTTGGTAAATCATTAAATATTACATCCATCTGGTATAAATTTTTCTGATTTGTAACTATTTTCAGTTTTAGCGCTCTTAAGCAATCGAAGGTATGTAAAGATTCATATAAAATATTGTTTTGAAATTCGTATTTTCCTTTATCTAATAATTGTCTACCTAGATTATCATATATAGTAAGCTCTTGAAGTGTGCTACGGAAGACAAGTGCAGTGCTTCTATAACATGATTGTTCTTCTAACTCATAATCGTATTCGGGAAGGGCAGTAAGACGTTGCCAATGCCCAAGTACTCTTTCATCGTGTAAAGACGACCAGAACGCCTCTGTAGTTGATTCTTCAAATAATTCAGTATTAGGACAAAACTTTGCAAACGTTTTATACATTGTTCGCTCAACTTGAGGATTTTTGGTAACATTATATATAATTATTTTTTTCACGAATCGCCCTGGATTGTCTGTTGAGGTACTGACTGTGTTGAGAAAAGCAGCTAATTGCAAATCAGACTTTAATGTAACGTCATTATATAATTCGCTCTGTGCTGATCGACTCCAGCCTTTACAAACTTGTTGACATTGACATAATGTTTGTGCATTTTGGTCATCGGAATAAATGTGCTTAAATATAATTTGTAATATTTCAGGTGATAAATTATCCCAATTCACCATTTCAAGTTACAAAGATGAACAAGACAAAAATATGTGAATTATTAATTATTTCAAAATAAAAATGCATCCCTTAAAAAAAGGGGGGAGAAGAAGAAGAAGAAGAAGAAGAAGAAGAGGCACATTGTGATAGAATAGCAATACTATTATGCAAGAATTATTGATAGTGCTGACTGAAGCTGAAATAAAAAGTCTCACCTTCTCCAACTCAGTTTGTGTGATATATTTGCATTATAAAAAATGTCAGAGATACACATGTATTCTTATTCTCCATTTAAATAGTATTTGTTATCTTCTTTACAGAATATTTGTTTCTCTCAAATGCATACGTTATGAGTACATAAATAAAATACTCTAATTTAATTTTATTAAATAAATAAACTAATTGAAAACTTTCTAAATTTGCCAAACAACATTGTCAAAAAATCAAAGTAACAAATTTGAAGTCAAGATATTATACAATACGTACACGGAATTTCCTCCCTTTTTTTTTTTTTTTTTTTTTTTTTTTTTTTTTTTTTTTTTTTTTTTTTAATCAAGAGGAATGCCTGTATATTCTTCAAAACCTAAAGCCAAATTCAAGTTCTAAAAAAAAAAAAGGTTATTCATGGTTTCCTTCCAAATTACTTATCAAAATTTAATTTACCTGAAGTGCTTGAGTAGCAGCACCCTTTAGTAAGTTATCAATCGTACTTGTAATCACCACACGACGACCCTCAGGATGAACATTAAAACCACCAATACGAACATAATGTTTACCAGCATTATCTCGAACGAGAGGTTCACCAGTTTCTAAAACCTTTACAAGTTTCTCATTTTGATAAAATTCTTCAAACACAGTTTTGATATCTTGGCTTGTCATTGCTTTATCTAATGGAGCATTGATAGTTAGAGCAATACCTTGGAACCAAGAGGCCACATGTGGAATGAAATTAACAGAGATGCCAAGTTGATAAGATACCTCACGTTCATGAATATGATTTGTTAAAGAATATGGGATTAAATTGTCCTTTAAAAAGGTAGGGTCATTTTTAGGGGAAGGTTTCGTACCAGCACCAGAATAGCCAGATACACCAAAGACAGTAGGAGCGGCATACTTATCAAGGAAAGGTAGAAGAGGACGAAGGGACATTTGAGTTCCAGTAGCATAACAGCCAGGGTTAGCAATACGAGTAGCACCCTTGAGGTTGTTACGATTAAATTCTGGTAGTCCATAAGCCCATGTACTATCGAATCGGTGATCAGCACTCAAATCAACCAAAACTTTCTCAGATGATTGGGCAGATTGGACATCTTCATTTATTTGCTTAACAAAAGGTGTACATACACCATTAGGTAAAGCAAGGACCCAAGCATCTACTTCTTCTTGAGCCTTAAGATCTTCAGGTTTCAAATTAACATATTGTAAATCAGCTTTTGTATATCCATCTAGTCTCTTTCCTTCTAATTCACGTGAACTCACGTGTGATAAATTTAATTGAGGGTGACTATTGATCAGATGAATGAGTTCACGGCCTGTATATCCACGGGCACCAATCAATCCAACATTTTTGGGGCGTGAGGCGCTGGTGAAGCTACGACGAGATTGGAATGAGTTACGATGGAGAGTAGAATATTTTCGGATACCAACAGGAACAGTTGCTTTCTTACCAGCAATACTATTGAAAGTTTGTTTCATCTTTTCAGTGTCATCAATACCATAAAAGAAAGTGATTGAATTGTCATGACTGTTTTTAAGGGAGCCATCAGCACGTTCAAAGTGCCATGAGGGATCAAGATTACCATCCTTTGATTTTGTATCCAATTTCCATGTCAAACTTTCATAATCTTTACGGATAGAATTCCACAAATTTTCAGGAACATTATTCAAGACAGCAGTCTTAGTAGTCAAGAGCTTTTCAAGAACAGCAGGCTTTGAAGGATCAGTAGGATCTTTAGTGATAATAGCTAATATTTGTCCTGGCTCATCTGTATAAATAGCAATATCCTTTTGTTGAAGAGAACGAATATAGCTAGCAACTGAGCTCTCATTTGATTTGATTGAGGAATCTTCAGCTTCCATAATGCGACGAATTTTATCAGGATCCACTTGATCGAGTTTATTGTATTTAAAGAGCTTATGACCACGACGAATCAATGTTCCAGCACCAGAATCAGTGAATAACTCCTTATGTAGATGACCAGCAGAAATAATAGCCACTGATGAGGATCGAGGAAGTCCATCTAAAAGCTCTTTACATTGTTTGATCTTGAGCTTAGTACCATACTTAACCCAAGGTTCTTTGAGAAGGTCTTCATATTCCTAATATAATAATAATATGAGTTACATACATAAATTCATTGATGATAAAAAATTATTATTATTATTATTTTATCACATATATACCTCGTCCAAGTTAATCACATCAATTTTTTTACCAGTAACACCATGATAAAGACCATTTTTTTCATTCAAAAAGACAATCTTCAAAGGTTCCAAGACAGTAGCTAATTCAGCAGCAGCAACATCAGCATTTACATTCAAAATTTGACCAGATGGAGTTTCAGCGAGAGAGGTTAAGATAGGAAGAGCACCAGAACGAATAGAAGATTCAATAACTTCCTTATTAATGCCTGTGATTTTCCCCACATATCCATACTTGTTCTTATCAAGATAGTCAGCTACAAATACGCCGCCAGGAATGGGTCTGGCGCGTGTTCCGTGACGTTCAAGGGCATCTACAAGCTTCAAGTTTTCAGCCATAAAAACCTTACGAGCAATTTCAAGTGTTTGAGCGTCAGTAATACGAATACCTTCTTCGTACTGAGGTTCGACCTCTGCTTCTTCTAATAAACGATTTAATTGGGGCCCTGCTCCGTGGAGAACAATAGGATAAAGTCCAACTCTATTTAAAAAGGTCAAGGCAGATGCAAGTGTTTCAAGCTCATCAGTTAAAACAGCACCACCCACTTTAATAACAGCAAATTTTTGAGATTCTACAGATGAGAAATGACGAAGATATTGCTCAACTTCTTTACGAGAACCGATATTATACAACAGTTTAGTAATGGTTTCCTAATATTATTAATTGTATTATTTTAAGTTATTGAAATTTAACATTTTTTTGTCTCTTGTCTCTCCCTCTTTTTTTTTTTAAATAATAATAATTTAAAAAAAAATCAAATAAATTATCTCAAACGTATCATTATAAAGAAATACACACCTTCTCTGCTTTATTAGTATTTTCATTATAGTATTGACGTCTTTGACTTAATTGTTGTCCAGGTGCAAGAACAATAGGTCTAATTGTTCCTTGTACGATACGAGAAGTAACACTAGGTATCACTGCTTTTCGAGCAATAGAAAGCATGTTTTAAAAAAAAAAAATCTCCAAGTCAAAAAGCTAATGAAAATGAAAATTAAATATGTTTATATTTGTATTAAAAAAAAAAACCTATCAAAGCCAGCAGCACTAGGCCTTTAGTATGCTTGTGACTTGTATTCGGAGTTAAGTAACATATATCCCTTCCATTGATGACTCACGAAGTGTACAATTATATACAGGAAGAAAAAAAAATAATAACTCGCTTGCTAATGACTCCAATTGAGGGAATACATGTATAAAAAAATAAAAGTACCTAAAATAGTATATTTGTAATACCTATTTTGTATTTCATTTATTATCATTATTGTTAGCGTTTTCTTTCTTCTTTTTTCCTATTATTACTAACTAACTATGCATAAAAACGAATAAAAAGACTTGACCCCATCAAGGAACCCACCACCAAGGTTACCTCTAAGATAGGTCCCAAAGGTTCTCTCTCTCTCTCTCTCTCTCTTATAGTGACTCTATCTTCTTCTTCATCCTCTTTGAAGAGTATCTCTAAGGCCTCTTCGCCTCAGGGGTCTATGTCCTATGCTGTCGTTACCGTTATAAATAACGTACAACGCTTCTGTACCCAACGTAGAGTGACTGTCGACCCTATTCATTCCCCTCTTCCGCTCACCACCACTCATATCTTCTTCGTTAGTGAGGATACTATGGATATTAACGACGACGACCACCTCTTCTGTTTCACCTCACCCCTCCAGTTCGGCTACTCGTAATAGGTAAGCCTTCTCCTTCCCTATCTATATGTATAATACTATTCCGAATGTAACTATTAAGTTGTAACAGAGCGTACTAATATACATCGTTTATAAATAAAGACATATTTTCAATAATAACAACAACATCATTATCGTCATCAAGGATACAAATTTGTATAATAGTAGGATATACTAAGCATACCTAAAAAGATATATAGAAACTAATTACCTATAGAGTACTATCTATGTATAGGTTTTACTATGCAGTGCTTATACAGACAATCAAAAGAACTTTATATACATGTATGTATAAATATATAAATTCTACTAATATCAGAAATCTAATGGTAAAATATCAGTTATATATAGAATGCGATCATTTCTTAGGAAGACAGCTTGAAAAAAAATTTTTTTTTTGTTATTTCATCAAGATTATCCAACATGTTAGTGCCAGTTGACCAGATTGATATAAGCAGTTAAGAGTTTATCCAAGAGCTTTTTTTTTTTTTTTTTTTTTTTTGTTTTTGTTTCATACAACTATATTTATGTTATCTTCTATAATGCGAATAAATTATTGCTGAAGAGAAGGAGAGTAGTTTACGTAAATTCGATATACTGCATCACGAATGCTGTTTCAATTGGTTATGGTAATTTAAGATATGTAGAGGATCAATGCTCCAAAAACTTAATAACTTAATATTGAAAATGTAGTTATTTTCTACTATTACGTAAAAGAATTCATTATGATCTAAGCAAACCTAAATCATTCAAATCTATTGGCTTCATTTACTCGGATAGCATAAATAATAAATAATATTTTAATAGAGAAAGGAGAGATATTGATTTCAAAAAAACTAATCATAAGGTAAGCCATAGAAATACAACAGCTTATATTTGGAAACTGACGAAAACAGAAAGTGAGCAGTATACATAAATAAACATTACTTCAATATAAACAAAAAGAATGGTCTTATTTTCTTCTTTATTGTAATATACATGTATAGTCTCAAAATCTCTTTGATTCCATTACAATTGCCTTGAAAATTTGTATAAAATAAATATCTTGCATTATCATAAAAATATTACTTTCTTGTAATTACATCGAAACCGGTTATATCTGTTTAACCAGCCTTGTAGCTATTTAAAAAAGAAATAGAAGAAGAAAAAAAAAGGGGAGATGTTAATAAATATTACTTTCTATAAATCAAAATATCTCTTACAATTGCCACCAAGCACCTATTTCATAAAAAGAAAAAAATTAGAAATTAAAAAAAAAAATTATTTAGATAAATAAAAAAAAATAAAAAAACTTACCCAAGAAAGGAGCAGCAAAACCAATACCCAAATATAAAGTCATCTTGATAGCAAGACCAGCTCTGTTTTTAGTGTTAAAAGGAATATTCTATATACATATATATGTATATAATATATGTTTCAAAATTTAGACATTAGCATAATAATTAATGGGTCGACTTACCTGACCGTTAGAATTGGAAAAGTGATAAAGATCAGAACGAGCAATTTGGCGAGTGGAAGCACGCATGGTGGAACGAGCGAGAACGTTGGAGATCATTGTGATGAGTAAATAAAGAAAAGAGTGGGGTTAAAGGAAATAATAATAAATAATGCGGACAGGGGAATATAAAAAAAATCTGTTTATTAAATTGAAAAGGCCGAAAATCATGACATCAGCCGGTGTTGCTATATGCACTACATTCTCGATAGTAATAATAAAAGTCACGCATATTATCTTCAGCAACAATAACAGACTGTCGCTTTTTCTTTTACCCTCCCCCCCTTTTTATAAATTAGCCCAATGATTATCATTCATCTTTCAAATAGTTCTTAATTTGGAAGTAACCATCTACACGTAGTAACTATTTAACCTTTTTGTCAATTCAAAACAAATATCCCCCTTTTTTTTTATTTATTTTTATTTATTTTTTTTTTTTCACGTTTATCATATAAGTTTCATTATGGTTGATAAGTAAGCAAGCAAGCTATTAATTTATATGCTTTCAATTCGCTTAAATACATATTATACAATAGGAAGATTCTTTTGCTTGGATCAGGCTTCGTTGCTGCACCTTGTGTTGATTATCTAGTTCGTAGACCCGAGAATAAAGTCACTATTGGTAAGCTAATTCTAATATATATGTATATATTTATATACTGAATAAGCACTTATCTGTAAACTATATAGCAAGTAGAAGACTTGCAAATGCTCAAGCTTTATCCAATCAATTCCCTGGTACTGTTGCTGTTTCTTGTGACATTAATGACGAAGAAGCTATCGAAAAGTTAGTTTCTGAACATGATATCGCAATCAGGTAGCTATTTAAGTACAAGAAATTAACAAGTGCATTTTTATATTAAATTGTAATCATTATATTTTAGTTTGATTCCTTATATCCATCATGCTAAAGTTATTAAAGCTGCTGTTAAGCATAAGAAGCATGTTGTCACTACTTCTTATATCTCACCTGCCATGCTGGAATACGATCAAGCGTAAGAAAATGATAATCTTATCTGAATCATTTTAGATTTTTTTTTTTTTTAACAAACGCTTTTTTTTTTTTTTTTTTTTTTTTTTTTTTTTTTTTTTTTTTTTTTTTTTACAACATTTATAGTGCTAAAGATGCTGGTATTACAGTCATGAATGAAATTGGACTTGACCCAGGTATCGATCATCTTTATGCTATTAAAACAATTGAAGAAGTTCATAATGAAGGTGGAAAGGTAACTATCATTCTTATTTATATATGAAGACGGAAAAGGTGATTTATTTCAATATTATACATCTATTTTTAAACAAAAAAGCTGAAAGAATTTATTTCCTTTTGTGGCGGCCTCCCTGCACCTGAAGATTCCAATAATCCATTTGGCTACAAATTTTCTTGGTCAGCACGTGGTGTTTTATTAGCTTTAAAGAATACTGCTAGATATCTCGAAAAAGGTAAAGTGGTAGAGGTCTCTGGTACAGCTCTTATGGATTCAGCAAAGAAGTTAAATACTGGATATCCAGGGTTTGCATTTGTCGGTTATGGTAACCGTGATTCCACACATTATGATGAACGCTATCATATTCCTGAAGCAGAAACGATTATTCGTGGTACTATTCGTTATGATGGATTCTGTCAATTCGTTAAAGTCCTCATTACACTTGGCTTCTTAAGTGAAGAAGAAGAGGCATATTTAGATGCAAACGCTCAAGATAATATTACTTGGAACCAAATCCTTGCCAAGATTCTTAACATTCATGATACCTCTGCAGAGGCCTTACAAGCAGCTGTTATTCAAAAATGTGATCTTGACCATAATGATCATAAAGCTCAAATCTTGGATGGTATGCGTTGGTTAGGTTTCTTTTCAAACGCCCAAGCTCAACGTCGTGGTACTTTACTCGATACTTTCTGTGCTACTCTTGAAGAAAAGATGCAATACGGTGAGAATGAACGCGATTTAGTCTTTTTACAACATCGTTTTGAGATTGAACTTAAGGATGGTAGACATCAAACACGTACCTCTACTTTAGTTGAATATGGTAAAGTAGGTGGGTTTACTGCTATGGCAAAGACAGTTGGTGTTCCTTGTGGTATTGCTACTCAGCTTATCTTGGACAATCAATTAACAGCCACTGGTGTTCTTGCGCCTATGTCTCATGCCATTAATCAACCTATCATTGAACTTTTAGAACAAGAAGGTATTGGCATGGTTGAAAGAATTTTGTAAGAATAAAAGTGATAATCCAAATGGTTAGAAATGATATTATAAATATACACTTTAAACTTGCTCAATTTCATTGTGTCATATTTTTCCTTATCTAACAAATTATGAATAAAAAAAAAAAAAGATTTATTAACAAAAAAAAAAAAAAAAAAAAAAAGTGACAATGATAGAAGAAGAAAAAAAAAATGGGGATATTCCATTACATGATGAATTTATAAGCCTGATTTTCTTATCTTTTTGACTTTTTTGCCACCTTTCTTTTGAAAATCACGCCAGCTATTTACACGTCGATCTCTTGAATCTTCCCATTCTTTTGCATCTTCAGCTTTTCTTTTCTTTTCCTTTTGTGCTTCCTCTGCCTTTCTCTTCTCAGCTCCTTCAGCTTCCATTTCCTTTTTTAACTGACGACGCTTACGTAATTCCATTTCAATCAAGATCTGTTTTATTTTCTCTTTAATTTGCTTTTGACCTTCCGATGTCTGTAAAAAGGGGTATTGCTGTTCATCCACGACAGTAACCGATTCCAGTGTTGCTTTTAAACGAGGCTTATCTCCTTCTTCTGTTGATGATATGATCGTAGGCGGCTTTACTACCACACCTGTCTTGACTTTATATCCATTTTCACGTAACACTTCAACACGAGCCTCTTCAATCACAGTCAATAAAAACTTGAGTCGTTCCTCATCATTTAATTCAGATTCAGCCTTCTTTAATAATGAAAATGCTTCCTCTGCTTTCTCATGTTGTACTTTATCTGGATGAATCATTAAACTCTTTCTACGGTAAATGGCTTTAATCGTTTTTGGTTCAGGTTTTGTGTATGGGAGCTCGAAAATAGCAAAGGGATCTAGTTTGAAACAGGATAGAACACGTTCTATCTCTAAATGTTTTTCTGATTGAGAGAAATATCTATCGAGATCTTCATCAGATGTGATGGCAGACATTTTAAATAATAGTATATATTCGTATATTTGTATAAATATATATATATATATATATTTTTGTAAAAGTAAAATGATAATAATAATAATAATAAAGTATTCTATTTCATGCTGGTTGTGACTGGTCATACAATCGATCTCATTATCATGGATAATTCTATTATTATTGCACGCATGCTACAAGTAGTAATAGTTATTGACAAGTGTAGATTTTTATTAAGCAGCAATATAAAATTCTATTTTATTTTATTTTATTTGTTTTTTTTTTAAAAAAAAAGATGCTGTCATCCTACTCATATAACAATATAACTTAATTTGACAAGCCCTCCTGCTGTGAAGGTGGGTAATTCTACTTGTTTATCACAATCATCATTTTAGATACTTATTTTTTAAGCTGACCAATCAAATATCCTGTAAAGTGTGACTTTTAGAATAATCGGGTTCACAGTAGTAGTAAATTTTTTTTCGTAGTAATTAACCCCCCTCCCTTCTTTCAAAACGTAATTATTTTATATTTATTTCTTTTTCTCTTCTTTATTGTAATTTGTGTTTGCCAATTAGTTTATTTTATTTTTTTTTACATTAAAGAAAACGAAAAAAAAAGCTGACCTTTGTTTATTAATTGAATCATTTCTTCCTTCTTCCTTTTTACATCTATATTTTTTTTGTAAATATTTTTATTATTATTACAACCTTTTTTTTTCATCTTTCTAATTTCATACAACTTTTATTTTTTTTTTAAATTCTAGATTACTTTCCCCATGTCTATTGACATTAATGGTAAGCTTTCCATTCTCTCTCTTTTTTTTTTTTTTTTTTTTTTATATATACATATATACAATACAAATGTACATGCTTTGTTAGTACAAAAAAAAAAAAATAGAAAAGAAATAAGATAATATGAAGAAAATATTAACTCGTAAAAAAAAAAAAAGAAAGGAATTTCTATCCTATTTCTTCTCTCTCTGTGTCTTTCCTTCTCTTTTTCTTCCCCATTTTAAATAATACGTTTTTTATGAAAAGTCTTTTTTTTTTTTAATATAAATATGTATATATCTATTTGTATATATACATGTATATATATTTAAGATACCCTTTAAATACCAGCATTTATGTTAAACCGAAAAAAAAAAAGAAATTTTACTCTGAAGTTGTTGTTTTTATATTCGAAATATGCTTGGTTCCATATTTAAGGATCCCTCCTCCCTCCCCTTAAAAGAAAAGAGAAAGAAAGAAAGAAGAGGAAAGAAGAAGAAATATGGAAAATTTTACGTATTTTTTTTTTTTTTAAAAAAAAACTTTGTACTTCTTTAAATGGCATGAAATATTAATTATTATTTTATTTTATAATTAAAAAAAAAAAGATAAAAGTGCTTCTATAATTGATGGTGACACTAGCATGACTGATGTAGTTTTAGGTGCGTTGCTTTAGATCATGTATTATTATTTTACCCCCTTTTATGATTATTAATATATTCATATTTATTTTAGATAATTCAATAAATGAGCAAGGTAAAGTAGCTTTAAATAAGCCTATCGTACTTTATTTATTCTCATGTTTGTTTCTAGATTTAGAAAAGCTTAAGTTTGGAATTAATTCTAATATAGAATTACAACATTATATGACTGCTATTACTAAATGTTCATTTGATAATTTAAACTATTTTACGCCTTTATTAAATACAACAAATACTGATATTTTAAATAGGTTTGTTTTAATGACAAGTAGAATAAAACAAAATAAACTAATGATAATAATCCTTTTAGTATTGGGAAATCAAATGAATTTGGTAGACTATTACAACAAACTCTAGTACAAGCCTCTAATAATTGGAATCAAGATTTAATCAAATTAATCTTAAAGGTAAATAAATATACACATGTGTATACGTGTATATATATTTTTATAATAATAATACTATTTTATTCCAGGTCCTAGGAAATATTCCATTTGATCTTCAAGTGTTACTTAAAAATACACTGGGAATTGCAGTAAAGGATATAAAGAATATGGCAAATGAAAGAAATGATTTGGAAATACATAATACTGCGATATCATTGATGGATAAATGGAAAGAATTAAAGAAGACGAATACTACCAACTTGAATATGAACGGGAAACGTGATAAATGTAAAGAGTATAGTGTTCAGTTATTATGAATATAAACTAATTTTTGAATAATAGTGTCTACTACTGAAGAAAATAATGAGTTACCACCAGCTAAAAAAGCAATTAAATTAGCTATTCAAAAGGAACCACCTTCTAAACCAAAAGCAATTATAAATTCAAATTTCTTTTCATCCTTGATAGAACCTAAAAAATTGACTTCTACTACTGCATCTTCTTCTACTAATACTACTACTACTACTACTTCCACTACTTCCACTATCACTTCCACTATCACTCCTACTCCACGTCCTATTTATTCTGTTGATCGAATACTTGAAACTATTTCTAAAAATGATAAAAGTAATGAAGTAAACACAGATGTTGACATGATAAGTTCTACTACTCCAATCACTACTAATACTAAGCCTAAAAAAAGAGTTCAATTTAAAGATGATCTTGTTGAGATTAGAGAATTTACAAGTTATCCTGGTGAACGTACACGATTTTTTGTAAGTGTTTACACATACTCTTTTATATATATATATATATTAATGTGGCCCTTATTTTTATTAGGGTCAAGAAGAAGAAGAAGAATTTTATAGTAAAGAACAACAACAAACTCCTCCTCCCTTTTCTTTTATGCAGATTGAATGGTATTCACCTTTTGAACTCATATTGAATACTGAAAAGAATTCAAGACTTATTATATCAAAAGAAATTCATACGGAAGAAGCAAATAAACAAGAAAATCGTGAAAAGACTGAATTAGCAGCAGTTTATACAAGCTTACAGCATATTCCACCTTCACCTACTGAACCTGATGAAATACCTGATCCTAATCCAGATTCTGCAGTCACCACGATTCCATTAAAGGATATTAGTAAAACGACTGATTCAACCCGTATTCATTCTACAGCAACAGCTTTTAGTCAACCTATGACTATTCCTACTCATACAATACCTATATCATCGTATCATCATAATCAATTTCAACTTTCTTCTTCTTCTGCTGCTGCTGCTGTTATTCAACAAAATCCTGTCAACAGTCCTCCTCTTCAACAACCTGATCTATCTTCAGGGACAATAGAAGCTTGGATCAAAAATAATCCAGGGTAAAAGAAATTAAATTCAAGAGATTCTTTTCTCTTCTTACTTAAGCTCTTTCTCTTTTTTTTTTTATCTATAGAATTTTAGAAACTTTGAAGCAAATTTCATTTTTAGCAGATGGAGCTAATATTGCTATACCACCAGAACAAACTCCAATGAATAATTATCAACAGCCTTCTCTTACTTATCAATCACCAGCGCCTTCTACTACTACTATTCAAAATGTATGTAAATGAGGATATAGTAGGATAAATAATTATATACAATCATAATATTATATAATACACATACACACATAATAATAAAATATTATTGAGGGTAGGGTTAGGGTAAGCTCATCATTTTTTTTTTTTTTATTATTTATTTATTTAGGGCTGGAATCCATCCATTAAAATGACACCTACTATTCAAAATGTAAAGTATAAACACTCATTTATATGCAAAAGATCTAATAAAATGTATACGTTTTTTTTTCTTTTCTTTTAGGGTTGGAATAATCGTGCTAGTCCAATACCATCTTCTATATCCAATACCGTTCAAAATGTAAAATACATATTTATTAAAATTGACTTTTATCCCGTAGCCTTTAAAAATAAATTAACCTTTCTCTCTTTCTCTTTTTTTTTTTTTTTTTTTCCTTTTCTCTTTCTTCTTCTTTCTTTCTTTCTTTTCATTTTCCTTTTCTTTTTCATTTTTTTTTTTTAGGGCTGGAATCGAGCAGACAATTCTAATCCATCCTTGCGTAAAAAGGCAAAAGAAAATAAGGGACGACCTCCTCGAAGACCTAACTATGCAACACCTCGTTGTATGTATTATTATACGAATGGAGGATGCCGTAGAGGTGACAGCTGTCCATTTGTTCACGATTAAAAGAAAAAAAGAAAAAAGAAAAAAGAAAAAAAAAAAAAACAATTCTCCTCCCCCCATTAAACTTTCTCATTTCCATATTTTGTATATAAATATACATTATATCATGTTTTTATTATTATGATGTTAAATAAGTAGTATTAATATTAAATAAATAAATAAAAAAAAAAAGAAAAGATTTGCAGTAATAGATATATTGAATGTTCTCTTAAGCTTTCTTTCTTTAAACTTGCTCTTAATGAAAAAAAAATGACTAGCATACAACAACGAGCATGACTTTGTTGATAACCTTTAACTCGAGAAAGGATACCACTCGACATATATACACATACTTGTATGGAAACACATAGATGCATGCAACTGTTCAAACAAGTAGCTTTTTTTTTTCGTATTATCTACCTTCCCTCTTAAAGGAAAATAAAATAAAATACAAAGAGATAATGTTACGTTGTCCAACAATCAAAAGAATGGAACACAAGTTGTAGTCGTGATGGTGGGAGTCATATAGAATAGTTGTACAATAAATTATAGTTTAATATGATGAATAAGTTTATTATTTACAAAGAGAAAAGGAAAGGAAAGGATAGGATAGGATAGGAAAGGAATGTGTGATTAGAAAGAAAGAATCATATATAGAACATATAGTACATAAATAAAGAAAATGAATGGTTGTCGTCGTCGTTGTTCATCGTTATATTATAAAAAGAGTGAGAGAGTGAGAGAGTGAGAGAGTGAGTGAGAGAGTGAGAGAGTGAGTGAGAGAGTGAGAGAGTGAGTGAGAGAGTGAGTGAGAGAGTGAGTGAGAGAGAGAGAAAGAGAGAGAGAGAGTAAGTGAGTGAGTGTGAGTGAGAGAGAGAGAGAGTGAGTGAGTGTGAGTGAGAGAGTGAGAGAGTGAGTGTGAGTGAGAGAGTGAAGGGAATGAGGGATAAAATGTATGTAGAGTCATTTAATTGCTCACAAATAGATTTATCGTATTTTGATTACCTCTGCTTTCAAAGGCCATTTGGACATCTTCGTTTGAATTGATAGTAATTAAATCACCATCTTCATCTTGATATTTTAATCTGAGACCATCATTCGGCTGTAAGGTAGTTACTAGACGTATTTTACTTTCAACTTTATCCATTAATTCACAATAAAGAATATTTGTTGTACACATCACAACATAAATACCATCGTTATAATTTAACTTTATTTTCACTATAGGTCGTACTCGAGGATGAGGTGGTGAAGGTGGAGTTTGATAGAGTGTACGTGAATTGATAAATGGTAGCTGTGGCATTTGTGTTTCTTCCCTAGTATTATTATATTGAATATTAGGGCTACTTTGGGATCGAATTCGAGGAGGAATTATGAATTGTTGTTGCTGTTGTTGTTGGTAATAATAAGGTGTAGCAGTGACTGAATGAGATTGACTACGATTCATGTGTTGAGGTGGCATTGGGAAATTATGTCGATACTCTTCACTATTAGTATCATTAGCTGCTATAAATTTAGTTGCGATGTCAACTAAAGGTGAAGAGTCGCGTATCGTTTTACGTGAAGAAGGAATGTGATGATGAACTAAATTATTGGATTGTAATATGCGTGGTGATGTTGTGGGTGAAGAAGGATTTGAAGGTGGAGGTGATACTGGATAATGATTCGTGTGTGAATGTTGCGTGCTTGTACTAGAGCTTGTACGTAAAAATGAATTGGATGAAGAAGAGGGGGATCTGGTAAGATAACGCGGTTTATAGCTACTAGATGAGGGTTGTTCAGAAGTACGAGATATCATCTTTGCTCTTGTTCCTCCTCCAGAATTGAATGTGAATAAATGAGTTGAAATAGAATTAGAACGAGGTCTTTGTGTTTGGTCTTCTTCTTGGTCTTCTTCTTGGTCTCCTTCTTGGTCGTCTTCCTTTTGCTCTTCTTGAATATCATTTTCATCTATACGAAGTGAAGCAGATACATTAGAAGGCATTGCTGCATATTTCATTGAAGTAAGTTGAGTATTAGAAACATTTGATTTGATAGGTAACATGGTCCTTTTGATAGTTGATTCCCATAATTTAACCTGTTCTTCGTTATGAAATTTCAAAATCATATAATGAACTTCAATGTCTTTCCAATCAATTCGAAGTATCCAATTCCCTTCTCCACTTGACAGATTATCCATAGAAATGATTTTATGAATCATAATTAATTTCTTTGCTTGTAAACGTGCTTTCCTTCGAGGATTTTGTTTCCTCGTTACATCCCTTGTCTTTTTACATAAAAGCATTGTCCTTTTAAAGAAATAAAAGTACACTTCTTTATCAGGCTCATCTCCTTGTTGAATAATTAACTTGTCATGCAACAAAAGACTTCCAAAATTATCCATTTGAGCAACACTGATATCCTCCACTCTACTCTTGAGTTCATCTACCACCAGACTATTCTCGTACTCGCGTTGAGTTTCGTTCACTTTTTCTGTCACACGTTTAACAGATTCTAACCCATCTACCATCTCCTTATAGTGGGGCCAATCGGGGTTCATTGATTTGATTAATTGTTGTAATAATAATGGATATTTACAAATACGTTGAACAGGTTTGATAAGCATTGAAGGTAACTCATAAACTGGATTTAAAATATTTGCTAATTTTTGTAATTTAGGCGCTTCTTGAACGACTAAATCTTGAGCTGAAAAGAAATTTGCACAATAAGGTTCATAAACAGTAAATTGTTCTTCCATTTGATTAAAGAGTTCACCAAAGTTTTGTTCTTCTGCTGCCTTTTCTCCTATCTCTTCAAGATGGATTAAGAATCTTCTTTGAAAATCAACAAGTGTATTTAAATTGCCAAATAAGTAATGAATTGTATCTGGGTTTAAAATCTCCTGCGTCTGTAATTCACACATATAATTCTTCAATAAAAAAAAAAAAATTAATTTCATTTTATTAGTTTTTTTTTTAAAGAAAAAAAAGTCCAGTTTTACCTGTAATACTTCTAAATCTTGAACATATTTCCTTTCAGTTTCTAATAATTCATAAACTACTTTATCTCTTGTATCTTTTGGAGTATTATTTAATGAATCTCTATTGGCTGAATTAGAAAAAGAAAGAATCCCTTTTTGTTCAAATAATTGTAATATTAAATCGATTGTATTGATAACCTTTTTAATACATAAAATGTTAATTCTTATTCTTCTTATTCTTCTTATTATAAATTTACCTTTACAAATCCATTTGTATTATCTTTATAAAGGTCTGATAATGTAAATAAATCTTCTTCTTTAAAGGAAAGTTGATTACGACAAGCAACAATAAAATGATAAACCATTTTTTTACATTCATTAAGTTGAGAAAAGTTAAATTCCAATTTAAGTGGTTCAGTTGGATTTAAAGCGTTAAACAATGTAACTAATGGAGCGCCTCTTCTACATAGTTCCCATAATTTAGTAAGTGGGTCATTAGTAGTAGTAGTAGTAGTAGTAGTAGTAGTTGTTGTTGTTGTTGTTGTTGTTGTTGTTGTTGTTGAACCTGGTGATTCAGAAGGGGAGTTGAGGCTTGAACCTGAGTTAGAACAAACTGAAGGCGAGTTTTCAGATTCTAAATAATCGGCCAGGCCCTCAACAAGAGATAATTTGTCTAATACAGAGCGACAAGTATGATAAAGTGAAGTTCCTGAAGAAGGTTTATTTGTAATAGATATTGAAGGTATTGGCGTATTAATCATAACATCTATTGAAGGTGATCTATTATTATATCTTGATGATACCATTCTTTATTTTAATATGTAAGCATAGACACACGCACTTTAATTAGTAGTAGTAGTAATAGTAGTAGTAGTAGAAGAAGAAGTAGTAATATTAATATTATAAATAATAATAATAATAATAATAATAAAAAGAAAGAGAAAACTAAAACTAAAACTAAAACGAAAAAATTAATAAATTTTATTAAATAAATAAATTTATACATATTTTTTTTTTTTTTTTTTTTTTTTTAAGAGCCTCTAAGGGTTACTACTATTGTATGTGGATCCACACAACAAATAGATTTTCTTTTACCTCCACAAGTTTCCTTTTTTAAGAAAAAAAAATAACTTTAATTCAAATAGCTTTTTTTTTTTTTTTTTTTTTTTTTTTTTTTTTCAATTCTAATAAAGTCAATGTAGTAGTCATTACAAAGCCATTTCACATGTTATAAAATAGTTTTAAATAACGAACATGTATCAAGATTGTAAATAAACAAGGAAAATACTTTATTTCTCATTGACAAAATAAAATCATTAAAGTATTGTAAATCATTTTACAATCTAGATCTATATTGAATAAATGACTGCAAAGCAGCTTTTTATCTTCTTCAACAAAATCTGATGATAGAGAAAACCTCGTACGCATTTTTATTTATTCGAGTCGTGTATAAAAGAGGAAGAGCTTTTTTTTTTTTTTTTTTTTTTTAATGTGTGTGAGAATAGGCACAAAATGGTCACGCACTATTTAGCTTATTATGTATGTAACCATCATTCTTAAATGTAAATTCATTTTATGAGCAGAATCATTGATATATGTAAATAAATAAATAAATAAAAAAGGACTATCTTAGTATTATCTTCCAGAGAAATAGTAGCTAAATCATATATGTATATATATATATATAAAAGAAGAGTTAACCTGTATTTATATACTTTTTGAATCATTAATATATAAGCTTTTTTTTTTTTTTTTAGTTTTTTTAGTTAGTTTTTGTGTCTACATTATTGTTATCTCAACAAGTCATCACCAGATGTATTACATCTTCTTTTTCTCAATAAAACTTTGTCGCACTTTAATAACGAGACACTATTTTCATTCATTCAAATAGTAAAGGCATCTGATAATGGTCGTTTTATTATAAAAGTCGGCAAAAAATTAAAATAATGATCATAAAAGGAAGCCCTGATAGACATTATTATCTTGTTTGAAAGAAAAAAAAAAGTTATTATATATACACATATTTGTATTATTTTTCATTACAACAACTGTCGAACTAATTCTAATAGATTTCACCGAGACACACTCGAATATAAAAGCCATTTCATAATTATTGTTGTATATAAATCGTATAACCCTAACCTAGACAGATAAATTGTCTAACAAGGCAGATTATAGAAAAACATTTTGATTTATTCTTCAGATAAAAAAAAAAAAAGTATTCACATGTTCGGTGAAAGATGAGGAAGAGGGAGGGGTGGATAATTGCCACACAGCAAGTATCCAGCTATTGTCAGTCATTAATTTGATACTGTCCGGTGATGAGAGCACTATAGCTGACGGATTGAGAAGTAGAGATAGGTGTAGATTAAGGGAAGGATATAGGGGAACCATACCGTAATTGTCCATTAGAGAGTAATCATGATTGCTCATAAATATCCTTTTTGAAGACAACGAAAAATCAAACTCTATAGTGGGTTCAAATAAGACTTCATTTGATTTTAGATGTATTGACACACATACAGAGAAAGAGAGAGAGACTGCTCTTTAGAGGAAGCCATGAGGCATACTTTAGTAGCTCAATTGTTATCCGATCGTTAAAGAAATCCACGCCATTTGACCCTCCCCCATTGTTGTTGCTGTTGTTATTGTTTTATAGTTTAGAAAATGAAAGGTTGGATCATCTAATTGCTCTTCTAAAAGAGATAACATGTTTCGTAATTGGTTATTATATTGTTCTTTTCTTGTATGTGAGGAGATAATTTCTCGTTAAAGATACCATTTCCAAAGAGTTATTGCTAATTTTATCAATGAAAGGGGCTCGAGTATTACCTTCTTTGTTGGACTATAGTGTACATACTATCTTGTCCATGTAAATCACATTTCACATGTTGTAGAGATAGGAAGGCATTTGTAATGTAAGAAATATTACTTTGAGTTCTCTCCAGCTGATTGACAGAGGGACTTCCTAGTGTACCCAATGACTAAAGGCGATTCTGTATTGTTTGTTCCTCAGTCACAAGCTGCAACTGCAACCCATGTCACAGGTATTGGCATAATTAGTGCGTTGTGATGTCTACAGAAGAAAGTATTGACCATCCCAAAGATTTTTTTTTTACCACCATTGTAGTTCTTGAAGACATTTTGATGCTAGGGATTGTAGTTTGTCCCAATCGGATAGAGCATGTCATACTTGATTCTTGATTCTTGATTCGTAATGAGTGTTGAGTGAGTAAGTAATATATCTGAATGGGGGCTAACGCAGTGGCTGTAGCTTGAATGTGCATGGATAGACCGGTGGATAATGCAAGCTAGTTAGGTTAGATTATTAAGTATTTTCTGTATATCGTAAATCTTTTTCCTACCAGTAAATGAGCAGTCATTTGGTGGTTTAGAGCCTGAAAAGATGAGCGTCTAATTGTAAAAGATGTAATCTTTATTGTGTCTGATTTGTTGGCTATTAGATCTACTATATCTAAAAAAAAGCAGGTTTTATACTCATGTCTTTGTTACTTGTCATAGTGTATCCTTAACCTAAGATACCATTTGTTAATTCAATATAATTCTCCTGTTTCTGGTGGCATCCCAAATGGAACAAGAAAATACAATACCAGGAAGTTTGTTTATTTGTAGCATGAAGGCCAAAGAGAGCACCTATGGGTCTATAGGCACCATGCTTGTCTCCAGTAATGGTAATCTTACTCTTCCTTTATTATCATCAAAACACATATCAAATGGTCCAGAAATCCCTTTAAAAGCTATTGATTAGCTTGGTTCATTCATAACTAAAAATAAACAAGTGTGAACCTTATTGAAAAAAAAATTACAAAACATACATTTTAATTTTTCAAAGAAGTGTTATACTATGATTAAACTGGCTAGATATAAGTTTCCTTACATTATTAAAAATCATTCAGTCTGTTTTAATGAACGTTGCTTCCAAACCTTGTAGAAATAATGGCATGAATATAATTGATTTATATTTAAGAGAGGAACAATTATACAAACCTTTTATATTGACCGAGTTGCTCCAATCTTAAAAATATTTGGAAAAATATATACATATTCAGTTTTCCCATAGCCAAAGTCTTACGCATGACCAAAGCGCAAAACGTGCAAAACGCGCACGTGCAAAACGCGCAAAACGTGCAAAACGCGCAAAACGCGCAAAAAGCACAAAAGCATCCTGGAGATACCATTGTCAATGAGAACAATAAATAATCAGAACATTATATTTTTATAAAGTAGTCAAAGTGATGGGAGTACTAGTCAAGAGAGTCGGATAAAATATCAGTAAAGTCATACATTATCATTCTGCTGTTTTGTTTTACGTCAAAAGGTTTTATTGTTTGCATTAAACTTCTATATTTCCACTACAATTAGAAATAGCTGTGACTAATTTTGCGAATGTTGCACACGGTGTAGTTCATTCTACGTCATTGTTGGACATCTATTCATATCACACTATAAAAAATAATAAATGTAGCGTTAAATTCACGGACAAAACTTCAAAATAGTGTACACCCTTTGTAAAGGAAGAAAACACAATTCCAAGAAACAGATCACTTAGTGATGCAATTCCAAGAGTTGGTATCAAGAGAGGTTCTGCTGGTCAAATGCACAGCCTACTGACTCAAGTATCTCAATGTTTTTGCAAAAGGTGAGCAAGAAAATAAAAATTACAAGTCCCAAAAAATATTTTATTGACGCGTTGCGAAAATTAAATAGCCGCTCTTAGCAACGCTCCTTTTTAATGATCGTTTCATTTGCTTTCGTGAATCAATGGATAAAGACTGGGAAACAGAAACGAAGCACGCCAAAGAAAGTAAAGTTAAGCGCAGGACGTCATCATTGACATCAACCAAAAAGTGAACACGCATTAAGGCTGCTGATGTCTAATGATGCATTAACAATGTAGCCAACATGTATGTCAAAACATTTGCAATCGCGTTCAAGCACTCTGACCGCCAGCATTGCCATACCCGTTATAAATTGATTTTGGAATCTCATATACAAGAAGAGTACAGAAGTGGACTTCAGGACGAATTTGAAGCATGGCGAAAAACCATAGACTGTACTGAGTTTTGGGTTAACCAACGACGCGCCGAAGCTTTAGCAAAAACAAATGACAACTGCTCAGAGGCTGCAAACAATCTCTTGATTCCCAACACTCAAGAGATCAGGTCATCAGTGGTGAAGTGCTATGTACCTGAACCAGTGCCTGCTACTGTGATTTTGCAAGTACCTTCTACACCAGTTGGCAATCCGTTCACGCATGTCCCACCAATTCCAGCAACCACAGGCACGCCTGACTCATTGTCTCCGATTCAATCAGCGGCATACACACCTTTTTCAACTCCAAACAAAGACAACCTGGATACATCAGCACCAGCATCAGTAGCTACTCCGACAGTCCATATACATGACAATTGTATTATTGGCCTCGTCAGTACAAAATTCTAGCAGTATCAGTGCATGGCAGACAGTATTCCAAAGCCTTTTCCGTTGGAACCCAATATCCAAGAAATCTAATATCCAAGAAAACTTGTCTTTGGCCAACGTTCTATTTTTGGCTCCGGAGCAACACAGAGATGCAAAGATGACAGTATTTGGCCAGGAGCTTCTTGATGAAGTGATGTCGCATCAGACAAAAGTGCTGCTTGACAAGGTGTCTTCCCCTTGCTCAGAATTTGCCCCAGCCGACTTTATGAACATTGTTGACGTTGTTTCTGCAATTGATGCAAAATCTATGAGTCCCAAGCAAGCAAAACTCCAACTTTTGACACTGGCCTCTACAATGAATGATTTACGGGCAAATGTAATAGAAGGCATTGCTGATATGTAAGTTTTGTGTATGACATTTGTTCAATATTCATCAGTTTATTTATCTTTCATCTTTATTCTCAACCTGCATTTATAGGATTGTCAATATGCCACAAAACCCTTGTTATGATTGTAGTCGTATTTACAACTAAGTTAATAGAAACAAACTATTGTTTATTTAAATAATAAAGAGGTTATTCATATAAAACTAGTGTATTTGTACTTTACAACATAATATTCATTCTACATTCAGTTTTGACAATACTCATTGTTAGAGTATTTGAGCATTAAAAAAATAATTATATACGTCATATTCTGTAATAATAAGAATTCAATAGGTTTATGACCGTTATATTCAATTACACAATTATTTATACATGTTATACATATTATATATGCATCTATAATATTAAATATTGTTATGTAATAACATCTTAGAGGATGATAATAATAGTAGCTTATAAACAATGGTATTGTTGTAGCTAGAATATTCACTGTAAATTAATATTAACGCGTTGATTACTCCAGAAATAATATCTTATTACAAGCTGAATTGTTTAGAGATAATATTTACACTGACAACATTTACACTGACAACATTTACACTGACAACATTTACACTGACAACATTTACACTGACAACATTTACGCTGACAGCATTTACGCTGACAACATTTACACATAATGCTTTATTATACCAGTATTCACTTATCCAAATCATACTTCTATTAATATCACTTACCCTGCGAAAACCATATAAATGGCCCTTGTCATTTTTTCCATATTATTTTTGTTTCTTGGTACAATTTTTGTATTATTTTTCTTTTAATAAACTATACTGAGTTTTCACAGACTTGTCTTTTCTTTTTTTCTCATTCCTTGTCTTTTGAACTCAAAACAAACAGCAAGCTTCATTGTGTCGACGTAAAGTGATTGGATGGTTGTGCTATCGTCTCCAGGTTTCACTTCACCATAGCCCAAGGACCTACCAAACTTAAGCTGGGAAAGAGTGGAAATGATCGCGTCAGGACGTATTTGTGGCGCACTTTCCTCCACTTTATTGGGCCAGCGCAATATAACTTTCTTAGTTATAACCGCAATCATTGACGCAAGCAAAGGATTATAGAATCGTGTTTGCAAGTCGACCTCACCATATGAACCCTGGTCCGCGATAGGTTTGTTTTTGTTATGATTGGTAGTTATCTCTATAACTAAGTTAATAGAAATAAACCATCATTTATTTAAATAATAATGAGGTTATTCATATAAAACTAGTATATTGAACTTCACAGCATAATATTCATTCTACGTTCAGTTTTAATAATAGTCATTGTTAGAATGTTCGAACAATAAAAATAATTGTATACATAATTCAAACAGGATTATGACTGGTGTATTCAATTACATAATTGTTCTTGAGTAATACATATCATATATACATTGATAATATTGAATATTGTTAAGTAATAAGATCTTATACAATGATAATGATAGTAACTCATAAATAATTGGTATTGTTGCAGCTAGACATATTCACTGAGAATTAATATTGATGTGTCGCAGTCCAATAATAATGATTCGTTATGCTTCTAGAAACGGCGACAACTCAGGGAGAATAAACATAAAAATATATCTTATTGATTGCAGAATTATTCGAAGACGATGTTTTTTGTAAAATGCTTTATTACAGTAAAACTTGCTTATCTGAATCATATTTCCATTGATAACACTTACCTTGTAAAAACATATAAACAGCCCTCAATTTTTCCATACAATTTTCGTTGTACAATTTTTGTATTATCTTTAATAAACTATACAAAGTTTTCACAGACTTATCTTCTGTCTATTCTTCTTCCATTATCTTTTGCTAATCAAAACATGGATTTTGCATCAATTGCAGAAACAACGTCAACAATGTTCATAAAGTCGGTTGAGGCAAATTCAGAGCAAAGGGAAGACACCTTGTCAAGTAGCATTTTTGTCTGATGTGACATCACTTCATCAAGAAGCTCCTGGCCAAATACTGCCATCTTTGCATCTCTGTGTTGCTCCGGAGCCAAAAATAGAACGTTGGCCAAAGACAAGTTTTCTTGGATATTAGATTTCTTGGATATTGGGTTCCAATGGAAAAGGCTTTGGAATATTATCTTCCATGCACTGATACTGCTATAATTTTGTACTGACGAGGCTGTTTTGAGTGTAAAAGAATAGGAAAGACAAGTCTGTGAAAACTCGGTATAGTTTATTATTCAGGAAAAAATAATACAAAAATTGTACAAGAAAAAAATAATATGGAAAAATGACAAGGGCTATTTATATGTTTTGCAAGGTAAGTGATATTAATAGGAGTGTGATTTAGATAAGTAAATGCTGCTATGACAAAGCCTTTAAGCACGAATTATGTCTCCAAATAATTCTGCATATAATAAAATATGTTTTTATCTTTATTCTCCCTGAGTTGTCACTGTTACTAAAAATATACTCAATTGTTATTTCTGGGGTAATCAACGCGTTAATATTAATTCATAGTGAATATTCCAGCTATAACAATACCATTATTTATAAGCTACTATTATTATCATCCTCTAAGATGTTATTACATAACAATATTTAATATTATAGATGTATATATAATATGTATGACCTGTATATAATTATTTTTAATGCACAAATACTCTAACGATGAGTATTATTAAAACTGAATGTAGAATGAATATTATGCTGTGAAGTACAATACAATAGTTTTATTTGAATAACCTCTTTACTATGTAATCAATGATGATTTATTTCTACTAACTTAGTTGCAAGGACGATTACAATCATAACAGAAATAAACAGTATCTTTGCTCTTGTCTTTTAATTTAATATCTTCTTTAAGTCTTATTTGCATTTTGACTTACCCGTTAACCACAGAGAGTTGAATCCGGTTTATACTTACTTTTTAAATTGACAACCAAGTTGTAATGAGCTGACTTATAATGTCATGTTTCATAATTAAACATGTGGATCATGAATTTATTTAAGAAATTCTATCCTAAATCTCTCTTGATCCGCTCCATCTAATAATATTAAAATCACTAACACTTCATTGTCAACAACATACCTTATTCGGTCGTAACTAACACTTTTCTGATTCATATCTTATCCTCAGACCTCTTTAACAATTCTTATAAATACCCCCATCAATTTAAATTCATAAATAAAATAATTGACTTTAGAACTATTGTTCGGTCTCGTTGACTCTTTTTGTCTTAATATTATTTTTTATTTTCTAATATTTTTTATTTCATATTTTAAAAAAAATATCCCACAAGTTAGTTTGGAATTGGAAGCTAAACGAGCAATAAGCAGCTTAATGTTGGTCACGTGACGTGCCCAACTCTACCACTGTTCCTGCCAATTTTGGAGCCATAATATCGAAGTTTCAATGACCGACCAAATATGGAAATGAAACTTTGCGGTGCATAGACTTCCTATACTCCCAGTGACATTTGTTGGCTCTCAACCTCAAATAAAACTTCGCAAGAGAACAAGTAAGTTTCATTATATTGAATTAATAAAGTAAAAACTGATAAAATGTAAATTAAGGTCAAAAAAACTTATCATTCAAGAAATATAAAGAATATGAAGAAACAGGGCGTACCACTGTCCAAGAAAAACAGTCCACTGAACAAGGTGATCACTTATAATTTTTTTTTTGACAACAACATTCACAGTTTTATCTGTTAAAACTACTCCTGTTAAAAAATACAAAAGTAAAGGAAAGGCAATCGATACAGCTTCTACTACCAAAGAAAAAAAAGGTAAGGTTTACTCCCACTATACGATTGCAAAGCCAAGTCTGTTCAAAAAGATTAACAAACATTTTGGAAACTTGCAAGAAAGGTAGTAAAGGATGACAAAGAAGAATATAAGGAGAGTATTCCAGAAAATCCTAACGAAACAGATTTTAAAAAATGGTACTCAATTCTTTTTAATTTTTCGAAAATAGATATTAAACGAAATATTAACACTGATAATGATAACAGATTATTTTGGTAAGTCTTTTTTCTTATTACAACTTCCAACTACTAAAACGTATATCGACATAGGGATTTAATTCAAACAAATGGTTATTCTGTTGAATTCCACTTTAAAAAGAAATCCAAAAAGTCAGAGAAGAATACTACTACTGATAAATTGATTCCTATGAATTTGGCTGTTGATGTCAAAAACAACAATGCACTTATTTGGGCTATAGATCTTCGACAAACTGATATTTTCACTGCTGTTGACTCTAGTACTTCTGATAAGAAGAAAGAGATCCCTACTGCTCCCAAAGACAACCAGACTACCGACTTATCTAAGAAAAGAATTATTGCCTTTGGTGATGCTAAATTTGGTAGCTCTATGAAAGAAAAACTTCCTGCTCCTACTAGAAGGATAATGGATGCAATTAAGAAAATATCTAAAGAATTGAAAAAAAAAACACTTTTATCTATGTTGATGAATATTTGACTAGTCAAACATGTAACCATTGCAAAAATCGAAACTTAACTAATATTACTACAACCAAATCGAAGCGTAAACTCCATGCTGTACTCAGACGAAAACGATATTATCTTTATTATTATTACAAGTATATAATGCATTTGGCAATTTAATCGTTATTGCTATACTAAAGGTTCTTAGGTATATATAAAGGTACTTGGGTGAATCACGCTGTACTCAAGTGTAACTCTTGCAGTACGGTATGGAATCGTGGCGTGATGGCTGCTAAAAACATAAACTACATTTTTACATACATGGCACAACATAAAAATAAAAGACCTCGTGAATTTCAAAGATCTTCTTAAATATATGCGATCTCTATAACGGTTTCGCATCCCTTACTTAACAGGTACGTAGTATATATTATATTATTATCTATCACTCTCTCTAACCTTTTCATTTTACTTTTTTTTCCAAATAATTTCTTTATTTTTTGTTTCAAATAACTCTAATTGATATTTCAATTATTTTTTATTTATACTTCAAAAAATTTGAAAGATACGGTATATAGGCTTGTGTTATATATTATGTTAACAATATTGTTTATTGGGAGAATAACAGTCATTTACAAAGACATGCAGTCAACTATGTAACAAGTCTTCATTTAAATGAATCCTTTCAACAAATAATAATAAAATTATTATCTGGATATAATAAAAGGAAGCTTTGTCAAATGAGCCTTTTTAAGGCATTTGTATATGGATACACCAATGAAACAATAAGGAATAACAGTATTTATACAAAAACGATTGTTACTAAAAAGGATATCATTCCTTAATAGAATAAATTCACCATATTTTTCATAGAATTCATATTCACGTCTCTTTCTTCTCAATACACGCTCAGTTAATAAGCTTAAGCCTGTAGTGATGCCTAAATAGTATCCAGCTACTATAAAGTTGGGTATAACAATTGTACTTTTACTGTTGAAGAAAGGGTAAATTTGAATTGTTTCTTGGCCTTGTTTAAATAATTTCATCAAATGATATCGAGTATAGTAAAAAAATAAACCCCACAAACTTGAACTAACTACAATCAAGACATTATGAATGTGTTTCTGATATCGAATAGTTCTCTTCTGTACTGCTTGAAGTGATTTACATTCTGATCGAATATGAATAATGGGAATATTCTTTAACAAGACTTGTTGTAATTCTTGTGGATTAGCAATACCTACAGTCAATATGGGCTCGGGGCTAAGTTTTATTTTTTTATTAATTTGCTTTTCTTCCCATCGTTCTTGTGCAATGTGAATAATCCGTAAAATGTCCTTTGATTCAAGTTTAGATAACCGAGAAGATATAATGAAAGAATTTGGTAAATTGATCATCTAATGATGATTAATAAATGTATAATAATAATAATAGGTATGGGTGTGTGTATGTAAAAAAATAAAGACAATACAGAAAATAGACATATTCTTATTATTATTATTATCATGTGACTCTATTTGAACGCATGAATGAATTTTTTTGTTAGTAGGGAGTAACTGTCCCCTTCCCCCTTCCCCTCTTTTTTTTTTTCTCTCTATTTTATACATCATGTCAAAAGATGAAAAAAGAAAAGTTCATCCATTCCATTTTCATTCTTTATTTAAAGAAATCTTATGGGGTAAATAATAATAATAAATCAAAAACAAAAAAAAAAAATAAGAAGCTTAAAAATATATCTAAAGCAAATAGGACCATTGTAGCTGCTTCCTCAGCTGCTATTGCTGGTGTTGTTTCAGGATATCCTGTAATAACATGAAAGACATGCACATATTATTCATTATATATGTATAATGTTCTCTCCTCCCCTCTTTTTTTTTTTTTTTTTTTTTTTTTTTTTTTTTTTTAATAGTTTGATTCCATTAAAACAAGATTACAAACACAAAGCTATAATTCTATCACTACATGTATTAAAATAACATATAAAGAAGAAGGTATTCGAGGCTTCTTTAGAGGTATTAGATTTAAGAACAATTATAACAAATCCTTCTATTCTATTCTATTTTATGTATGTATAGTTATATTATTATTTATATAGGTGTCTTGCCGCCCTTGATTACTGTTAGCATTATAAAATCAATTTCATTTTCGGTATATGAAAATACCAAAGGACATTATAAAACACTGCATCCAGCACAATTTATGAATAGTCCTTCATTAATATCTACCATGTTTGCATCTACTTTAGCAGGTTCAGTAAGTGGTGCATTTATTGCTGCCTTAAGTTGCCCGTTTGAACTCGTCAAAGTACAAAAGCAATTGGAGTTCTTATTATTGAAGGCGAGTAGTGTATCAACAGGTACTACTGTGATGATGCATGATAGTATGGAAAACAATAAACCTCCTACAAAAAATAAAAGTAAAAAGTTCAATACAGGAACCAGCTTACAACTGTCTATTAATAACATAGTAGAAGATAATAAACAATTCTCGAGTACATCTAGTTGGTATTCAGCAAAAGAAATTATAAAGAAAAAAGGAATATTCGGTATTTACAGTGGATTTACGCTTCATCTGAGTAAAGTATGACTATTATATATGTATTTATAGATACGTACATAGCTACATTATATGCAACAGTAACTGACAAATTTTGCGTAGTGAGAGACACAATAGGAACAGGTGTTTATTTTGGTGGTTATGAAACGATAAAATATATTTTAACTACCAATGCATCAACAGCAGGCCCACTTACCCAATTTCTAGCAGGTGGTCTATGTGGTCTTATGTGTTGGATTGTTATCTTTCCGCTTGATTTAATCAAGACATTAAAACAGAAAGAAATTTTATCGTCTAAACCCAAATATACCCTTCAACTCATACAAGATATTTATAAACAACATGAATTAACTGGATTTTACAAAGGCCTTACTGTCACCTTAATTCGTGCTTTCCCGATTCATTCACTAAATTTCTTGGTCTACGAGCAAACATTAATACTCGTACATTATCTCACTCAAAAATGATCTATTTCAGGTCCCTTTTTTTTTTGTTCCTGTTTCCCAGCTATAAATAACTTGTTGAATATTTCACTAGCATTGACACATTGAAGGATATAATTCTTGATGTTATATATGTGTATAAATATATTTTTATCAAATTGATAATAAGAATAAGATAATTATTGTGAAATAGGTTAATATTTAATTCATGAAGAACAATAAGTAAAAAAATAAAATAAAACATAGTTATTTTGTATAAATACCATTATTGACTTCTTTCAATACCTGTATTTGATTTAATGTTGTTCAATAACATATATGACCTTTTATAATCAGAGTCAAATTATTATAAATATTATTTTGTTGTCGACCTAATTCCCCTAATGCATAGTTTGCTTTTGTAAATGGACTCTTTAATGTTGAATATATTTTACTCATCAATTCCGATTATCTTTTTGAACATTTATTTACTTGCTATTCTCTTTTATTTTCTTTTTTATCCTTTACTTTTTAGTATGCAATTGCACTATTAACTCAATAGTTTGATTAAAATTCTTTTGAAGAGCAATACAATGTAATTCATTCTGTAACAAGTAATTCCATCTAATTAAAATGATTCATTATTGATATTAAAATATTTGTATATAAGTCAATAATGTTGACAATTAATACTAAAATATGATTACTGCTGTGGGTATCGATAGCAAGTTGTTGTAATATAGCTTTGGTGCTATCATTGTTGATATACCAAATGTTAACTTTCTAACAATGATCATTAACTTTAATAGAAGTTAATTAACTTGTAGAAGAGAATCCAATTATCTTTTGATGTCAGGGTTTATGTTGAATAGCTACTTATTTCGTATAATAATAAATGTACTCATCGATCATCAAAAGAAAAAATAAATAACACTAATAAAAAGTAGTAGCAGTACCCTTCCGATTTTTTTTTTTTTCTGTGCAAGTATGATCGCCTCTAATATTTCTTTTTTATATTTTTCCTTTTTTTGTATATTATTATGGAGATTTCTAGACAACAGTTTATACAAAAATTACCTACAATTGAAAAGGCCATCAGTGAATGTGACTTTTTAGCTGTAGACACAGAGTTATCAGGTTCACTTTTTTTCTTTCAATCAATTAAAAAAAAGGGGGGGGGAGGAGGGATGGGGAAAGGATCGCGTTAATCTAACGTTTATAAAATTATTGTAGGTCTTCATCGCCCACCTACCTCCATTAGACTTTATTCAATGGAGGATCGTTATAAGGAATATAAAGAAGCTACTGAACGCTTTTTGATCATTCAATTTGGTCTTTGTACCTTTACCTGGGATGAACCTACAGGTCGTTATATCGCAAAGCCCTTCAATTTTTACATTTTTCCTACTAGTATGACAGGTCAAGTCACTACAAATCGACTCTTTATGACACAAGCACAGGCATTTGATTTTTTGACAAAACAATCATTTGATTTTAACAAATGGGTCTATCAGGGTATACCTTATTTAACTATAGAAGAGGAAAAGGAATTTGTATCGGAGGCAAGTAAGAAATTGAACGAGAATATACCCGATATTCCAATCGATGAACAGGAGCTCAAGTTTGTCGAAGAGGCTCGAGAAAAGATTCAAGAATGGATAAAAACATGGAATGGTAAGCCAGTGGAGACAACAACAAAAACAGTTAAAGCAGAGGATATAGATGGTGTAAATATTACAACGAAGAATGCATACCAAAGAAGACTTCTATATCAAGAAGTTCGAAAGTAATAATAATGATAACATTAATAATAATATAAATCAATGAGGTATCTTAATCAGCATTGTTTGTAATAGATTTGATGGCTTAACTGCAATTGGCTTACAAGGCTTTATTCGAGTCGTAAGACTTTCCAAAAAGCAACAAGAAGATCGTTTAAAGGAAAAGAAGGAAAAGTTTGAAAAGGACTGTGAAATAGCTATTGGATTTAGAAAAGTAATCGATATGATATCTAAATCTCGTAAGCTGGTTATAGGTCATAACATGCTTCTAGATATCTGTCATATCATTGGTCAATTTGTTCAACCTTTACCTGACACCTTGTTAGAATTTAAAACACTAGCTCACAAATTATTTCCAAAGTAAAGAAAAAAAAAGTTTTTTTTTATGTTTGCTTTTGATAACCCGTGTATTGAATGTTTCTCTTTCTATTCTTGTAGGATGATCGATACTAAGTATATTTGTATTTCAATGCCTGAATTCCAAGTAAGTATTTTAATAACAAGGAATAATAATTATAATACATAACGGATGTCTAACGATATTAACAACAACAATAAAAGTCTATTTTTGGTACAGGGACAGCATTAGAAACAGTGAGATTTGAAACAAGCAAAAGTATGTTCAAAAATCCTCATATTGATATGCATCCTGCTTTTCCTCGTTATCTGACCGATATGGCACATGAAGCCGGTTGCGATGCTTATATGACAGGTTTTGTCTTTTTAAAACTTGTCTCCTTTCTTGATAAATCCCGTCATCCAGACAAATATAGTCTTTTTGACAAAGAAGAAGAAAATGATACAAAAGAAGAAGAAGAAGGAAAGGAACGTAAAGTAGATGCAGATGGTTGGGAAATAAGTGAATCTGAAAATGAAGAGGATTCGGAATGGGATAAGCCTATTGAAGAAGAGGTCTATAACTATGGCTCCATTCGAGTCGATCTAAATAATGAAATTTTGTCGGATATAATGAATAAGACAGCACTCGTTCGTACTGCTTTTAGTTGTTTCGATTTTGTCAGCCCTGAGCCCTTAGTGAATCAAACAAATACTTTTCATGTCCTTGCCAAAACAACCACTCAACATTTCCCTAAAGAACTTGCTCATGATTTTTTTTCTAGGTATGGAAAATATATTATAGAAAATGACTGTCATAACCCTCAAGCTGCATTTGTGGTCTTTGAAAATTTAAAGGAAGATCCCTTAAAAATTGTAGGAGATAAGTTTGTTATTACTCCAATATCAGAATATCTTTTGAATAATAAAAAGTAAATACATCTTTTTATATATTTATTTATTTATTTATTGATAATTTGAAATTCAAGTTGTTGATCTTGTATTAAAATTCTTGCAAGTCCATTATCCACTGTACCATCGGGAATGCCATCTAATCCTGTATATCGAAATAAATCAGCATTTATCATAAATCTTACCATGACCGTCTCATGAGCTCTCACGAATACTTTTTGAAAGCCTTTCAAAAGTTTAGCTGGGGGTGTGACGGTACGGAAAGGCTGTTGGATAAACATCAAGACAGTCTCCATACCATTGATTGGGCTTATGTTTGTGATATTTACAGAAATTTCCTTTTCAGTGTCACCTGTAAACAAGATAGCCGACTCCTGATGGTCGCCATCAAGGGTAATATTGCTGTATATAAATTGTGAATAGCTTAGACCATGTCCAAATTCATAGAGAGGGTCCCAAACATCGCTGACGGGCCTCCAATAGTTTAAGTTGATATCTCCTGAATGCTTTGGATAAGTGTATGGGAGACGACCTGAAGGATTTGTAATCCCAAATAAGACTTCACCAATTGCTTGACCTCCCCACGGACCTGGTAGGTAAGCTAGCAAGATGGCATCTGAATTAGTATCCACTGAGCCTAGTACACGAGGCCTTCCCTCTAAAAGAACTGTGACCAAGGGTTTATTATCCATTACTTTAGAAAGTCTTTGAACGTGTTCGATTTGTCCCTCTGGTAAACTCAAATCATGAATATTTCCTGGCACTTTTTAATTATATGTATAAAGTATGAATGAAATGATTTAAATATATATATATAACTTACTTTCTGAATATACATGTTCTCCAATACAAACAATGACAGCATCAAAATTCTTTACTTCCTCAAGAACTAAATCCATATCTTGATCTATACCATGGACATCGAATCCTTTGAGGTATTCAATATAAACATCTTCAGGTGCTGAGTTCTTAATACCTTCTAGAATTGTGATACCATTACCATAAAATTGTTCATCATTAATGTCTCCATGCCATTTATCTTCAGTAGGACTAAAAAAACATATATATCATTTTATATATGAGCACTCCTTCCTCAACATATATTATTGTCTTTTTTTTTTTTACCCTTGCCAAAATATGGTCCATCCACCTGCAAGATGACCTATATCATTACCCATAGGCCCAACTACTAAAATACGAGTTATATTCTTATTTAGTAAGGGCAATGTCCTGTTTTCGTTTTTGAGTAGTGTAATCGACTCTCGAGCTGCCTGAAGTGAGAGGCTGATATCATTTATATTTTGATTATAGGATTGTAATTCTCTATCCACCTTCCAGCCTTCTGTCTCCAACAGGCCTAAATCCTTTTTCAACTGTAGTAAACGACCAGCAGATTCATCCAAACGATCCATCGAGATCACACCCTCCGCGAGAAGACTCTTAAAGGCAGTGAAAAATGATTCAGCGTCAAATGGGACCATAGTCATATCAATACTCGTTTTTGTGATCGCAATCTGAACGGCCTCCTTTAATGTAGCAGCTACCCTGTGATGTTCATGCAAGTTATATATCTCTTGCCAATCTGTGATTAACATGCCTTTATATCCTAATTCCTCCCGAAGCATCTTGCGTAGATACCTCTCTGAACCTACTACAGGTTCCCCATTAATATCATTGTAACTTTCCATAGCAGTTGCAACACCAGCATCAATAGCTGCCCTAAATCCAGGAACAAAATAATCGTAAATCGTACGTTCCGAGATCATGACCGTGTCTCGGTCTTGACCACTATACGGTGCCCCATAGGCGATAAAATGTTTCATACAAGCTGCTACTTTAGAACGGTCGGATTTATAACGTCCTTGATAACCTCGAATAGAGGCTACACCAAGAACAGATGATAGATGTGGATCCTCACCAAAATTTTCGAATACGCGTGGCCATTGTTTACTGACAGGAATATCAATAACGGGTGCAAAAGTCCTAGATATAATAAACGGAATAAAAAAAAAAAAAAAAAAAAAAAAAAAAAAAAAAAAAAAAAAAAAAAAAAAAAGAAAGAAAGATTAAGTCTTCCCGCCGCCTTTTTTTTATTTTTATTATTATTTATATATCGTATCGTACCAGTGTACACCTGAAGCACGAGTCTCTCTTGCAGTGATGACAGATGATTCATAGGCTAATCGTGGATTAAAAGTGGCTGCAATGTTGATTCCATGGGGAAATAGTGTACCTTTATACATATGTTCAGGCAGAGATATTGATAAATATATATATATATATATATTCTCTTTGAAAAGGTGATTTACTTACTATTAGCTATGTAATGAGCACCATGAATATTATCTAAACTATGAATTAGAAAGAAAGAAAAGAAAAAACGTAGTGAGAAGAAGAAAGGTGAAAAAAAAAGAGAGAATTTCGTTCAAATATTTATTTATTCTTTCTTTATCATATATGATATTTTACCCATAAATTATAGGAATCTTGAAAGTGGAATTTACTGATAGTGTTATTTCTTGAATTTCTTCAATCAAATCAGCATATTTAGAAGCATTAAAAAGAATTCCATTACTATATATATATATATATACAAAAGAGAAAATGGTCAAAAAAATAAAATACATATCGATAGGAAATATGTATGCAAGAGATGAAATCAATTATATTTATCGTGTCATAATTACCTAGATAATTGGTTTAAATAGGAACCAACATAAAAAGTTTCAGCATAATACTTTACTGCCGTATGATTTAACGTGCCATCTTGAAGAAAGATAACATCTTGATTGAGTTGGATCATTTGTCCAATTTTTTCATCCGGTGTCATAAGTTTTAACATTTCCAGAATATCAGCATCAATCAGAGATCCAGGCTTATCATATTCCTCAGGGTTTAGATCACCATATCTATGACGATCTTCATTTGAATTCCGAATAGCAAGACAATGATGTAAGAGAAGAAAAGAGGATAGAATGAGTAACAAATAGTGATTCATCAAGATAGAAAGAGAGAGAGAGAGAGAGAGAGAGAGAGAGGAAAGAGAATATCTAATATACGTTTGTATAAATATATAATAGATCATTTAATAAACATTAACGTATATGCATATATAACCGTTTATTAAACTTTATAAGATTGATAGGTAGATATCAAAGAAAAGTATATCAGTTTCTGAATAATATAAAGATGAATCTTAAAAAGGATTTATTGGATCGCAGGAACGATTAAATGACAGCTATGCATCACACCCATAACGAAGGATAATTATACTAATTGTTTCATTATATCAGCAATCGTGACATTAGTAAAGGGGGTTACATTAAGACCCTATAATTGGCAAGAAAATCAATGTTACGCAAATAGTTTACGTTGCAGTTTATATTCTTTATAGAAGATATGATTGATCTTCCGAGTATAAATGTAGTTATTATCAGTCTCATAGCTATCGTTATAAATATAAGTAATAGCTAAACTTTCTTCTGTAATCCCTGGAGTGTCTGAATTGAAATAAAAATACTACTAAAAATAATTACAGTGCTTCCACTCTCAAATCGAACATTTTTTTTTTTTTTGGACTTGGTGTTACGTTTTTTTCGAAAATAAAATCGAGCATTTCACCAATTAAATCCGAACAAAATTTGAACTTAATTTGGAGCACTTCTCGAACTTCAATTAGAACACACTGTGAACCTAATCTAAAATCAATATATGGTAGAGAATTTCCTTTAAACATAGAGGGATTTTGCTATTTTTAGAGTGTTGAGCAATGCTGACAAGGTAAAATGAAGGGACATTATTGCATGATTCAGTTATTCTATGTGCAAGTATTTCAGATTCCATAAGTTGCTTTTCATCTATTTGGACACTCATGTTTTAGTATTTAGTTGAAACCAGCTAAGATGAAAAAAATAGTGCTACCTGATTTCAAACCTCTTGCTTTCATCTACGACAAGAGAAATCAGTCTACAGAAATTTATTGTGGACCTCTTCCACTCACCTCTTTTCTTTACCTTTTATCTTTTATCGAAAGTACCCCGCTTTATCTAGCCCACTGCTCACCGACGTGTCTAAAATTTTAACTTAGAATAAAAACTTGCAAATAAAAAAAAAATGAAACTAACTAGCAACCAAATTTCGTTCTTATGTTGAAGAATATGAGATTAAGTATAAACATTATAAAAGAAAAATTTTCTTTAACACAAAACTATAGACAAACCAACGAGTATTGTTAGTAGAAGCTACTCAAATTAACAATATAACTAATGCAATCATAAATAAAGATCAAGCTGTTTTTAACCAAACAATTAGCATTATTCTTGGTATGTAATACGTAATACGTATGATAGATATACCTACAAGCAGAGACCATTTGGTTAAATGAGTTTTTAGTATTTTTTCTACTACTACACAATGTCTTGAGAAAAGACCATTGTTATTAATTGAACTATCTAGTAGACAAAATATAGATAAAAATGATTTATTGTTGGTTTTTCTTCTACCTATAGTAGGTAGACTTCATTGTACTCCATTATTTATAGTTTAAAAACAACCCAAGCGCCCAACCATCATCGTAAATACGCGCCCAAGGAATTGGTTCGCCTTCATTTAAATTGGACTGTGATTGTTCCACGTACCCCCCAATTGCGAATAGTGCTGGTGTTGGTAGTGGTGTTGTTGTTGCTGGAAGTTACAGTATTCAAAGATAAGGAATCATCTGAATGTAAAATCGCTTCATACTTTCGCTTGTATGATTGAGAGACTAGTTTACCATTCTCAAACAACAGAGAAAAGGCAAAATAAAAAACTAAAAAGCAATTATATCCAAACATTAGTAGAAAAGTGGAGCCACGCTTATTCTCAATAGTAATACAATCCTACACTTGGGAAAAAAATAATAACTGAACGTAAAAAAAAGACAATGAGAGGTTCTTCTGTTGTTCATTAGATGTATTAGTTACATGTACACATTTTACAGTTATTGAAGATAAATGAAGGTCTTGCATAAACAGCACCCCCTTGTTATAATTGCACTATAATAAAGACTGATTAATACTTTTAGGATTAAAGTTTAAAAAGTAATTATGAGCATTGGTTACATGATAATTTTTAGGATTTGAGGTTTATATCAATCTCAAATTGTTATGATGATATTAAAGTATGTGTACAAGACCACAGATAGTGCCAGTTGATATCGTAAGTAATGTCTTGAAATACTTGAAAAATGAACAGGCAGTTTATACAAAGGCCACTGAAATCACACTAACAAAAGAGTTTGTTAATAAGGCTGACGACATTAAAAATTAAGAACGCAATGGAATGTGCTAAAAGTACTGAAACTGATCCAAGCCCAGAGCATTACACTCGTAAGGAAGGACTCAGTAAATGGCCTCAAACACTGACAAACAATAGATAACATCAATAACCTATCATCTAGGTTAGAGTGTGCTGAAACTGATCCAAGCCTAGAGCATTACACTCGCAAAGAAGGACTCAGTAAAGGGCCTCAAACACTGGTAATCTATAACTGGGTATTCAATATTATTGGCACCAGTGAGACAACCATCCCTATGTTATATTATAAGCATACATAATATACTTATCTTAAACGACTTGCTTGTGTAATCTTTTTTTAGTGGAAATAAATTATAAAAAGTAAACAACAGCCTTCATTTTAAATCCTTATTTCGTCACAGAATAAGAAAAATGATAATGCCAGCAAAAAAATAAAAAATTGTCACAAAAAACGCATCCCCTTATGAGCTCGCACTTTAAGAGGTGATAAAAAAAACTGAGTCAACTCACTACAGTAACAATAAGAGGTGAACATTCAACACAATCTCAAAAAGCTGATGGATATTCGTTCCATGTTCATTCACCTTAATGACATCTAATTTGATGTTACATTGAGCATTGATTCAGTATTATCAATGTTGACGTTTAATACAACATGTCTTTAATTATTGTATTTTTCAGCAAATAAGAGAAAATTTCAGAAAAAATAAGAGAAAATTATTGGATAAAATAAGAGAAAATTATTGGACAAATAAGAGAAAATTATTGGATAAAATAAGAGAAAATTATTGAACAAATAAGAGAAAATTTTAGGTCAATTAAGAGAAAGTCCAAGAAAAATTAAGAGAAAAAAAAATGGCAATTAGTAGAAAGCACTTTTCTCACTATTATTAACAAAAAATGGATATTGACTTTGATATGAACGAAATTTCTCTACGCGACGATGACATTGAAGCTGTACCTGAAATCATTGTCAGCGTAATGTCAATGATGAGAAAGAAGTGGGAGTACAACATCACTGCATCAGCCATGGAGTTAGATGAAGATGCGACGATGGAGCTGAAGGAAGGGTACGAGGGTGATGAGGCCAGCAATAGCTCGGATAAGGAGGAAAATGAAGCTGATGTACAGGGTAGTGAGAGCGATTTGAAAGAAGAGAAGCCTCTCAGAGATCTGGCCGAAAAAAAAGACGCCGCTAGCAATGCTAGATGTGTGTACACTCAGCAAGATATCAACAAGCTTATTTCCCTGTTAATTGAACAGGTTCCTGTAAAAGATGCAGCTTTAAAAACAGGAATAAATGAGAAATCAGCTTACCGTTTCAAATCGCAATGGCAGAAAACAGGGGAAATACCTCAACAGAAAAAAAGAGGGCGCAAAATGGGAACTGTCTCTGAGCTTACTGAAAAACACACAAAGTTTATTACCGACATTGTTGATGAGTGTTCAACTGCAACTGTAGCTGGAATACACGAGTTGTTGCTCAAAGAATTTCCAAGTCTCTCCGTGAGCCCATCCGCAGTATACAGACATCTTAGAACCAGCTGTGCACTATCTATGAAGAAGTTGGAGAAAATTTCATCTGCTAGAAACTCGGAAGAAACTCTTAAGAAGAGAAAGGAGACCATCCTTCAATGGCTAGCTGATAAAAATATGGACTTTGAGAATAATTGCGTTTTTTTTGGATGAAGCAGGGTTCAATTTACACATGACACGCACTCGTGGCTGGTCCAAGATAGGAGAACCTGCTAAAACAACTGTCCCTGCTTCAAAAGGCACCACAATAACCATTCTTGGTGCCATCTCTAGCACCGGCATTATTGACATCTCTTTGAGAAAGCCAATATTAGTTTCGGGAGCTAAGAAGAGAAGAATAGATGGGAAGGTTGTTACAACGACAGCTAAGGTTGGAACTAGGACTGAGCACTATTTAAATTACTTGAGTAATGTGATGGATGTTCTTGACCGAAATAATATGAAGGGCTTTTACTTGGTAATGGATAATGCTCCCATACATAAGCCAGCTACAGTAAGAAACTTAATAGAAAGCAGAGGCTATAAGTGTGCATATCTTCCGCCGTACTCACCATTCCTAAACCCAATTGAGCTATTCTGGTCGAAGGTGAAGTATGGCGTCAAAAGAAGCCCTTTCGAAACTGGTGAGACACTCACACCCAGAATAATGGATGCCTGCTCCAAAGTAACTAAGAAAGACTGCCAGGGCTGGATTCGCCATTCTCTCAGATTCTTTGAAAAGTGTTTAGCCCTGGAGAAAAACTTATGAGATTTAAGTATAAGTAAATTTTTTGCTAATTGCCATTTTTTTTTCTCTTAATTGACCTAAAATTTTCTCTTATTTGTTCAATAATTTTCTCTTATTTGTTCAATAATTTTCTCTTATTTGTCCAATAATTTTCTCTTATTTTTTCTGAAATTTTCTCTTATTTGCTGAAAAATACAATATTATTCTTTAATGTGATACAATAAAACTTTGTAGGACTGGTTATTCACAATTAATTAATTCCTTTTTCTTGTTACTGGTGCATAAAACGATCTAATCTTCATTCATTTTCCCAATTGAACAAAAAAAATGTCTTTTACTTTAAGAATTGAACCATACCAACCTATCCCCTTGAGCATTGTTGTTTCGGAGCAATTAATGGAGGTTGCTTTAGAGAGCTTCGTTGAGAAATATGGAGTACTTTGGAACGCAGGTAAACGATACGCCCACCAAGAAGAAAGTAGCTCTGCCACCAGCAATGAAGAAGGATCTACTGTTAGGAAGCGAAACAGAACTGTGTTCCATATCTGGTACAAAGCATTTTCCTGCCATCGCGCAGGTGGCAAAGCAAAAAATTCGTCACGTACACTTGGAGGTTCGCCTGGACAGAGCAGATCTATACAAAAAAAAATGGATGTCCAGCAATGATGCGACTTACTTGCTTTAAAATCCACCCAGCAAATGTAGTATTTACTTTTGAAGGATCCCACCACCATGATATCGGCTCTTCATCAAATTTTGCTTTTCTTCCTGTATCTCAAAATACAAAAAATTTTATCTTTCAGCAACTAAGGGAGGGTTATATGTGCCGAGATGTCCGTCTCTCTATCCAAAGACAGCTAACATCTTACGTTCAACAACATTTCCAAATCAGTGTTAATGGCGCAGCTCTGAATGAAATTGTTCACAGAGACCAAGTATTAGACCCAAGTGATATTTATAATCAATACAAAAAAAAATCAAGAAAATACTTACAGGCGTGCAGTAGATCAAAAAGAATCTGTCAAATTGTGGTTAAGAGAATTGCGAGAAGACCAATATTTGACCTTTTTGGGCACCCGTTTTGATACTGACTTCACTTTTGGCTTTTTTTTCGCAGTGGCAACGAAACATCCTAATGCAGTCTCCTTATTTATGCTTGGATGCAACTCATAAAACGGCTAATATCGAATCGATAAAAGTCTACTTTACACTGTTGTTGTCCGTCATCCCAAGACTGGCACAGGTTGCCCGGTTGCCTTTTGCTTTACCACTGACCATTCTGTTAATCCTCTTCTCCAGTTTCTCTCTTTTTTAAAGAACAACGACTAAACCAATGTCTTGAAAATTACCATTGATGTATCAAATGTTGAATTAAACACAATCAAAGAGATATACCCTGAAGCACAGGTGCAGTGGTGTTTATTTCATATAGCTTGCACATGGATGGATAAGATAAGAGAGTATGTCAAGACTGGGGGCTCAATTAATAATGGTATTGTACACAAAGTCATTATCACAGGCTTAAAATCGATGACGTGGAAACGAAGCAAACCAACATTTACAGCAAAGCTAGCAGCTTTCATTCAGCGATTTGGCGAGTATACTAATTTGATCTGCTATTTAAAAATTTGCTACTTTGACAAAGATGCGTTTATGCGTTAGACAGCTTGCTACCAAATAGAAGTTTACACAAATATGGAAACCAATAATTACGTTGAGAGTTGGCATAATCAACTGAAAGCAACATATTTGCGAAGAAAACAGAATAGATTGATTTTCATTCTTGTGAAGGATATTGAATATGACTATCAAAACAACGTGAAGAGGTTGATGTTGAATGTTGGTAGGATGAGCTCTGAACAAAGGCGAATGAGAACCAGGCAAATATAAGTAGAAGTAATAAACTCAGAATCCATTAAAGATATGATACAGCTTGAAAATGAATCCCTATATTCAGTACAACCCTTCTCGAACAGTGATATTTCCTATCAAGTTGAAGTTGTTAATCATCAAATGGCCGAATGTTCATGCAAAGACTTTAAATACAACAGGATTGCATGTAAGCATATATACCTTCTTCACCGTTTCAAGAACACGATTCAACTCTACCAAGGTATGTAAAATACAAACACAAGGGTGAACCACTAATGAACATGATTAAATAGTTTTTTTTTTTTTTTTTTTTTTTTTTTTTTTTTTTTTTTTTTTTTTTTTTTTTTTTTTTTTTTACAGAGTTAATTTCAGCTGAAGTTAATGAGGAAACGGGTATTAGTGAAGAACAAGAAGCATCCACTTCCATTGATCGCCAAGAAGTCGACAATTTGACGAATAAGATGGCCAATTTGTTAGCTGTATATCGTGCATACAAAGATGAGCTACAATTGTTATGTGATGATGAACTTGCACAGGTCGAATAAGGTGTTAATTTAATTATGGAAGCCATCAATAGAAATAGAAGCAACCAAAATCGCCTAAATCAAAATTTCTCAACTCAAAGAAGATAATTGCACGTCTACAAAGCCTTGTTAGTTGTTTTCTTGACACTTCAACTGTTTATTTATAATTCTTATATTGCATCGCAACATCTTATTTGAATAAACATCTTGCATCAGAATAAAAAGAACTTTTTTTCTGCAACATTCCAATGAAATGGAATATTACAGTGACCGTCTTTCTCTTAAAGTGTGAGCTCATAAGTAAAACTTTCTTATCCTGCACTAAACAAACTACGGAAAAAATACCAAGCAAATAAAAATACGTTTTCTTAAGGAACATCAATATAAAATGAGTTTTTATAAGGGGCAAAAAAGTGATAATAATACTTATTTAACGCTTTATATTTGCTTGATTTTCTAACATGTTCTGTAGTGCTTTCTGAGTACATCATAAAATCAAAAACACCGACTTTGAGAGGATTTATTTTGCAAAATAAAGATGCGTTTAAAAAATGGCATGACAATTCCATGGACACAAACGACTTTTTGGAACTATGGTCCAATCGATTTTGTGAAATGTTTAGAACGATCAAAGCCAGAAACATTAAGGTAATGTGGACGGTACATGCTGGCGTGCTTGTCAAAACATATAGAGAAGGCGTAATAACATGTTTTTTTCTGAGAAGGAATCGAAAAAAAAATGTCACGCTTGAAAACATCTGTAGAGAAATTTGTAATACAATCGATTTGCAGAGGGAAAGAGTAAGTTATGTCTATCTGCTTGAAATCTTAATTCTTAACAATTTTTATTTAGGACAACTTAAAGAGACACATAGAACATGAACTTATATTAACGCATACAGTTATGACGACGCGTTTAAACAAACGTTTGCGTGACGAAGAAGATATTGATGTTATTGAAGAAGAAGATGTGGAAGAAGTTAAAGAAGAAAGCCTGTCAAGGCAGTCAAGTCAGTCAATGTATGCTTTTGAAACTGATTTGTCTGAAGATAACGACGTGTTGGAGCCTGCGGTATGTAAATGAAACGAAATTAATTCTGCTCCTTATTTACTTGTTATCGTATATAGTGGATGATAGACGGTGATAACGTGAGCAGAATCTTAGTTGACTTTAGCTCACGCTGTTATACAAAAAATCTCTTGGGCCAAGCTTTGACTGTAACTGAAAAACTTGCTATCAATCGTATTTATTTGATGAATCAACGTGATGACAGTTTTCATTATTGCAGTGAGCTGAATACGATGAAAGATAAATTGACCGCGTATTTTGAACTAAACAAATATTACCACAAGGCTTCGAATAAGGAAGTCGAGTTTGTGAACAGTGTTGCCTATGTAATTGTATTTATGGATGATCTAAATATAAAACTAACAACGATCCTCTCCTTTGCATAGAGTAAGGCTAAAGGTTTAGATAAGGAAGCTAAAGACTTGGCAAGTGTCCAATTGTCAAGTAGTGAATTAGAAACGTATGCAACAGTTTTGTTCAATTTGTAAGTAAGAAGTGTTGGGTACCACGCATAAGAAAATAATAAGACTTTCTTTTAGAGCTTCCAACTATAACCATTCATTTGATCTTGCCACTGTTGACGAGTCACTTTTCATTGAATTAGCCCTGAGCCCTTTTGTAAAAGCTGCCTTTCAAATGGACTATAAATTACAGCGATCTGGGTAAATTTGGATACAAAGACATTACCAAATTCATACAATAGACTAACTCTACCCCCTTTCTGCAGACTTTTTACATCTTTAGAAGGTGAAGTTAATCTCAGACCGGATATGAAGTTCCACATCACAATCAATGGCATTCAATATGACTGTCTTTTGATTGAAGTCAAATGCCCAAGCAGTACCAGTAAAGATGATTTGTTTAAGTTGTCGATAGAAATGCAGTTCATTTTAAATCGTTTAATAGAACACGGTACTAATAACTGTACTATTTACGGTGTGTTAGTGTATGGTAAATAGCTATGGCTATTGTTTATAACCAGAAAAGAATTGAATATTTGAATTTAGGTTTTAGTTGTTCTGTGTACAAGATGGCATTAGTTGCACCCAAGGTATATCTAATGGTGAAGATTAGACAATGCTTCCTTCCTCGCTGTTCGGAAGATTTTCATGTTGTAGTTAATACTTTGTCTTCTTTTTGCAATTGCGAGATTTGGTGTACGAAGAAGTGCAGTCAATAGCTGCAAATAAAAGAAACGTAAGTGATATTCTTGGTTGGATTGCTAAACCAATTATAGATATCGAGCAGTAAAAGCAGTAATTACCTCTTCTCCCTCCCCGTTTTTCTATAAACCTTAATAAATATTCCCCCAAACCCTTAGTTAATATTCCAATATAAATAAAAACTTTTTTAAAAGGAACAAAATACACCAGTTAGCAGTTATTTCGCGTCTTTGACAGTACCCAAATTTTTTAAAAGAGTAGTTTTCATGGCTCTTCCCAATATTATAGTTGCCAAAGCAAGAGGTTTGAAATCAGGTAGCACTATTTTTTTTATCTTAGTTGGTTTCAACTAAATACTAAAACATGAGTGTCCAAATAGATGAAAAGCAACTTATGGAATCTGAAATACTTGCACATAGAATAACTGAATCATGCAATAATGTCCCTTCATTTTACCTTGTCAGCATTGCTCAACACTCTAAAAATAGCAAAATCCCTCTATGTTTAAAGGAAATTCTCTACCATATATTGATTTTAGATTAGGTTCACAGTGTGTTCTAATTGAAGTTCGAGAAGTGCTCCAAATTAAGTTCAAATTTTGTTCGGATTTAATTGGTGAAATGCTCGATTTTATTTTCGAAAAAAACGTAACACCAAGTTCAAAAAAAAAAAAAAAAAAAAAATGTTCGATTTGAGAGTGGAAGCACTGTAATTATTTCTTTTACTCTTAATGTATAAATACCAACATATTTTTCAATTATTGTTGCAAAATAAAAAATATAAAAATGTATATATATTTTTTTTGTTAATTTATGATCTTGGTTTTACGTTTTGTGTTCCTCAAAATTATACAAAAAAAAAACATTATAAATTAATATAGGAAAAAAGAAAACAATATGATTGACTTTTAATCATAGGATGCACTAAACAAGCACAAATTTAAATTTACACGTAAGTTTATATATAAACATACTCTTTACAAGATGGTTACAATGTGTATTAATAGTCTGTTATTTAACACATTGCTGCTTATTATTATTATTACTTCAGTATTTGCTCACAGGGTCAGAAACTACATGTCAATACATGAATAGTATTCAAAAGATTAATGTAGCTACCTTGAGCAACTTTTATTTTATAATTAAGTTTAATCATTGGTACACAACTGATACAATCTAACATTATTAAAAAAACGTGCTCTTTTTTTTTTTTTTTTTTTTTTTTTTTTTTTTTTTTTTTTTTTTTTTTTTTTTTTTTAATTAAATATTTTTTTTTCCTTAGGCGCACAAATACGCGTGTCAATCTTTCTCTATAACAATATATAAGAAAATAAATTTTATTATAACTTTTTTTGTTGTTGCCAAAAGGGATTAAATGAGTATCCTTTGAAAAAGGATATATTCTTCTCGCCAGTATATAGAAGCCGATAGTATTCCTTTTTTTTCACTTTTTTTTTTTCTTTAAAGAAGAAAATAAAATAAAGCCACACCAGACAAGTCGGATTAGTTTGGACCACTTACTCTTCAACACAACGACAAGACCTTGAATTGGTCCTACTCCTTTAACCAAAGGAGAAGAAGGAGGAAATTATTGTTGTTATTTGTAACTATCCCTTTTCCTCCTTCTCCTCCTCCCCTAAGGACCAGAGTATATACCTGTCAAAGGACAGGCGACCATATGGGAAGGTGATTAAAAGAAAATGTCACACCTTCCCTTTCTCTCCTCTTTATACACGTCTTTATAGGAGAGTTGAGGACACAACTCCAAAGGGAAGGAAGACACAACAACACCATTCTGGTAAGACAAGTTGTTCTTTTTTTAGAAGAACAGCTTCTAAAAAAAATGATCCTTTATTGAAAGGATTCCCAAACGGAAGAAAAGAAAATCTTGTCCAAAGATATCCTTACCAGTTGGGCAAAGGAGGAAGAGACAACCGCGAGCAGCAATAGCTTCTTATAAAATATTCTTATCTGTATACTTCAGAGTGACTTTTACTATGACAATTGGATATAAAAACATATTTATTAAAGTTCATTTTTTTTTTTTGAAGTTTTATAGAAGAGAAAAAAAAAGTATGAGAGAGGAAAAAAAAAGTTACGAAATTCTAAATATCAAAAGATCATCTTTTAGTTATGGTGTTGATTTTCTATGTCTGCGTCACCAGTCGAGTTTCAAAATTTAAGGCACACCCGTAACATAAGTTTGAAACTTTAATTTCAGACATAATGAAACGATTTGAAAATAATTTTGAGACCCAATAAAATAAAATATCTGAATCAAAGAACAAAGAATTTCACTCCTTCGTGTGGTTGAATGACCACTTGATTATATTTGACAATTAATTAAAATATGAGAATAGGTTTATTAATACGAATTACAATAAATCACATTATACAAATATAAAATACTAGTAAACAATTAGTTAAATAAGAACTATGACATATATATATTGTGTAATTACCCTAGCTTAACGAGTAACCTACTAGTGGAAGGAGTAATGATAATAACAAGCAAATCTGTATAATAACGAAGATAGTTGTAATTATGCTAGCAATTATTCATTTGCAATAATAACAAACTGTAAAGCATTATCTTGATTAGGTCACAAATCCTTAATATTAGTATACCTTAGGGCTAGTTTAAATTATCTTAACTCTTCGGCTTTATTTCTTTCTCTCTCTCTCTCTCTCTTCATCCTTTTTACCTCGCGCTTCTTTATGATATCTCATTCAATAATCTATGCGGAAGCTGAAAGGTTAATTCAAGCAGGAAAAAAAAAGACGACACAACACACAAGGCTTATCAGAAACTACCTAAAAATCGTATAAACAATATGGTCATGCATCAGTAAAAAAAGCACTGATTGCCCTCGTCATATTTTCATTTTAAACATATTAATACAAAGAGATTTTGAAAGATTGTATCAAAGATATACAGTATCATTGACTTTTGCGTCATTCTTGTTTAATAACAACAATGTATAATTCTTTTAGAAAAAAATAATTCGTTTGTTTTCTTTTCTCTGTGAGATTGTTATTAAGGCCCAACTTTTAGTGAATTACTGGATCTGTAACGAAATATTTATACATATATATTTGAATAAAATTATTTATAGGATTATCTACAATAATATTACTATTCAAAAAATTCAAGCAAAATATCAGGGCTTAGGAAACCTTTTGGAAACATAGTATTATTTAGCTGGTCTCAATGGAGTCTCTTTTATTGTTCAAAAAGGTGATTAAAGTAATTATGAGGATACTATTGGCAGCTGCTTTATATATGCCGTACATATATAGATGTAACTAATAACAGTTATTACTATACCTAATAGGAACTTGATATAAGGGATATCACGAATTTAGTTTACAATCCTATACTGAATCACGTATGGCTTCAAACTACCGAACAAATACAAATTGCTAAGGATATATTCCATAGCAATGATACAATATCAAGTCTAATAACAAGGCTTCAAATCTTACTAAATACTAAAATCCGTCCCTTAAGAAACAAACTTACTATGACTCCCCCTTACAAAGTCAACTCTTACTGGATTTTCTCATCCTATTGTACTTTTCCTCAAGTATATTCTTACAACTTAAGAAATTTTAATTCAATAACAACAGCGACAGTAATATCAGCAGCAAGATACGATAGCTCAAAGCTTTTTGCTTGATTCCCTCGCCCAAGTATGAAATGATGATTTATAAAAATCGATAGTTAGAATATATATTGATTTCGAAAAAAAAAAAAAAAAAAAAAAAAAAAAAAAAAAAAAAAACTGCATACTAGAAGGTAAATTATTTAAGATTTAGAATATATACTATAACAAATTTAACAAAAGCTTGCAAGAATTTATTGACTAACCATCTCAAAAAGGACAAAAAATTAATGAACAACATATATACATTTATAATTTACTTCTGTAGGAGGATTCAAGAAGAAAGATCTCTTAGATCTTATAAAATTTGAGTTACAAGATTTTGCAATTGAAGAAATAAATGAATATTTTAGATTTTGTACAACAAATCCCAGAAGAATCGATGCGTTTATTTCATATCATGACAATGATCGAACAAGACAATTGTCAACCATTGAATATTATAGTATGCCTGACAGTCCAAGGCGAAACAAAAAAGAAGATAGACTTAAGTAGCAGCTTGGATTCAAGGAAATCGAAACAAAGATTTCATCTCTAAAAAAAAACAACACCTGAGGAACAATTTCGTTGGTATGCTCAATACTTATGCAATGCTTGTTAAACAAGAAATTTAAGGAACTTTGTTGATCAAGACGAAAATGCTATTCATTATATATTAAATTTGTAACAGAGACAGTCTTGACAGTAAAGAGTATGTTCTTTATATCAGAGTAAATTTGGTTGGGAAAGGATTGATCTGCTATCTTTTCAAGAGATCAGCAACAAATCATCATAACAAATGCGGTTGGTTCTTACTTTGGAGAGCTTTCTTAAAAATGTTTACAGGTAAATATTTATATGAAAATGCATTTGTACTTTATTCAAAATTTAATCTTCTCTTTTTTCCTAAAATAAATCCTTTTTTTTTTTGGTCTAATTTGTTGGATCGTATAGTCTAACTTCGAATGTTTTATTGGTCTCAAAACTGTTTTCGAATCATGTTATTATTTTTAAAAATTGTCTGAAATTGAAGTGAAAACAATGTGGTTTGAAACAGTTTTAGTACCAAACAGATGGAATTTTAGATACCGCTAAAATGATCGTTTATTTAATTTGATACTATAATAAACATTGAGATTTATAAAACTTTTAGCTAACTACTATAAAAAGGATTTTTTTTAAAAAAAAAACATATACATTTACTACATATGTTAATATGAACATTATTATTGCTAAACTGTATAATCCTCATCCGATTTTTTTTTCGTTTTGGTACTCTAAAAAATGCCCCTGAAATCATCATGAAATACATTTTACTTTGAAGAAACGCGTGTTTTCTTTCAGTATTAGTGAGAATTTCAACAGGCAAATTAAAAATAATTTTTATTAGTTTTCTAAATTCTGTATTATTAAGCTTCTATTTTATTTTTCCTTGGTTTTTAAAATCAGTAAAACTTAATATCAAAATAGAATTTGTAATTCTAAATATTGAACGTATAGCTTTATCATTCTCTCAGCGAAACAAGTGTCAATGAGAATTACACTATAAGATTATTATGTAATATTGTTGTTATCATTCATGAAAGAAAAAATTACACTAAAATTCCTAGTCTATTAATAATATGAATATTTAAATCATTGTATCTAAAATAAAACCCCTTTTCTACAATGTACCTTTATATACATATATGAATAATACCCCTTATCATGTCTAAGAGCACCTTTTTTTTTAATTTGCTATTTAAGCTAGTAATAAAAATGACATTATACTTAAACAAAGAAACCAAAATTATATAAATATGTATATATATGTATCTACATGAGTCAGAAAAAAACAAAAAAAGGCTGCTTTAATTTACACAGATCAATAAAATGATAGACGAAAATTTACCTTCAGAACTCTTATCTAGTATTTTTAAGAACATTGAAACATATTCTGATATAAGTCAATGTCAACTCGTCTGCAAAAAATGGTATTTACCCGCTCAGAAGAGGCTATATCAGAATATTTTTTTATTTTCACCAAAAGACGCGATCAAATTTTCAAATACAATCTTGAAGTCTTCAACAACATATTCAAAATTAGGTTTATTGGTTCGAAATGTAACCTTATTAGATCGATGTGCTACTTTTGAAAACTCCTATGATAAAGATCTACCTGAATGGTTAGATGCCTTTGTAAATCATCTTGCTTTCCTTTGTCCTCATTTGGAGGCACTATACTGTGGAAATATACATTTGAAGTCATTTTGGGAAAAGATCAAGAATATATTGAGTACTCATACATGCTGGCCTCGGTTAACATATATAGAACACCCGCAGACAGTCGAAGCAAACGAATATTATTTGTATACAGCTATTGCTGCTCGACATACTCTCAAAAGTCTCGTACTTCGTGATAGCTTTGGACCCTTTCATAAGGTTAAATATAGAGATTTTTTTAGTAGCTGCTTGTCAAATGTAGGGGACACATTTGTAAATTTAGAAACACTCGAATTACACAAAATGACTCAGTCACATGTAGCCCAGTTTGATCTTATCCTCAACACTCTACCATCAACCTTGAAATCACTGTACATTATTATGGATTTACCTGAAGTGTATGTAATGACAGAGACGCAACAAAGTACTCTAGGACGTATTTTAAGACGCCGTAATACAAACCCTGGTATCTTTATCACTCTCTCTGATTGCAATACCAGTTATAGTATTAGTAATTGGGCAACTCTTCGGCCGCTTGATAAAATTACACAAGTTGTCGGTAAGGTTTTACTGCATAATAATGATTCTTTACTTTATATCATGTATAAGTTTCCTCATCTATACCATATTAATATGGAACTCCAGCCTGTAAGTCATTTAAAACAGACTGTTGAGCTTTTACCTTCTCGTATCTTGCAATTCTTTAAATTTGTTACTAAAATACCTTGCTATGATATCCACTTCTATATGGCAAACATCAAGGACACTGCCACACACATCTTTAGTGAATCATTCTGTGGGATTGTTCACTTTGGTTTCCAGACCTCTATCAAACTTCCTAAAATTCGTATTCATAACAATCCGCATAACCCCATGCAACAGGTCTTAAGTATGAGTTTACCTATCATGCAAACGACTAAAATAAATGAATATATTCAACAAATAGAACTGATCCAACTTTTGGGCAATCGCTGGTCCTATTTCATTTTATCCTGTGCACCATTCTTTAATGAGAGTAACCCCCATTTAAACCTTTCTCAAATATGTGAGCCCTCACTATTCCATTTCATTACAGGATACTGTATTGATCTAGTTTTACAACATTGTCCTAATCTCAAATACTTTGAATGGAGTCATTCACAGCTTCTACAATGTGATCCTAAAAACCCATGCATTAATTGGTCCATTCATACTTTCGCAATTGCCTCTTCCTGGGTGAATGAAAGCGTATTTTATGGTCTATCATATCGTCTTCAAGGCCTGAAGGACTTGTATTTAAGTGACTGTCGCTTTATATCAGATATCGGTAGATGCAGTCCTTGGCGAAATAACACAAATTGTGTCTATCTCAATATGCCATATACGACCTTTGATTGCATTCATATATTGAAGACATCATTTGATGCTTGCTTTGTAAAGCTATCCATGCCTCATAGTAATAAACAACATTTAATTTTTATTCATCAGGAAAGTACAGAGCTAGCTTATCTTGATGAAACAGAGTATCAAAGACTTTCGAATATCTATAAAGGTGCAATGTATGTGGATGTGTATTGCCGACGTCTTGAAAAGCTCATCATTAGAAATAAGTTTTTTGGTAACAAAACTTTTGATATCGAAAATATAATTCCCAAATAAATATAGATAACAATAAAAAATCTTTTTATATAACAACGTAAGAATTTTTTTTTTTGTAAATTGTGTACCTAAGTGATTAGATTAGAGAATTAATGTTTACATATAACTGTTATTTTTTTCAAAGTATTTGTAAAAAATGTTGATAAATTTTTGTTAAAATTATATAGACATATAATAATAGAGTAACAAATATAAAGAATGATAATGTAGCATTATATGAAAGGATATAAAATTATAAATAGTATATTAAAAAAAAAGAGACATACAATATATATCTTTATAAAGTTATTATCTAGTTGAAAATAAGTGTGGCTTTTTACACTTATAATACCATATAAAGAAGGTTTCTTCTGTTCTGCAAGACAGCGAAGAGTATATGAATGATTTTTATTGCAAATACTTGGAGATTGTTTCTTATATTGCATAGGTAGCAAGATGTAGTTCAGCCAGTGTACAGTGCCTTTAGCATAGAAGGTTTCATAGTGCCCTTAGTATTATGCAAATATAAAGGCTCTTGTGTTATTTTACACATCAAATCTGCTCTAGACTTAAAATTGGAAGATAAACTTAAATGATCATCACTGGTCTTAGATCAGTGAAGAAAGAAAGAGAATAAAATTACAAAAACAAAGAAAAGTCAATACTTAGCTCTCTTTATAGTTTTTTTTTCCTTCTCCTTCTTCTACTAACAAATACCCTTTGATCCATACTATAGTCTATATTTGAAATATTTGATCTAGAGAAAATAACAGTATTCAACCTGAATCTTTCAATACAACAACGATTTTCGGATAGTTAATTATCATCACTTATACATACACTTCAACATTTTCCCTTTTATATCTCAAAAGTGGGTTTTCTTTTCTTTCCTTTTTTCCATAGCGATCTGATCAGGGCAAAACAGCATATAAATGCTTTGTGCTTATTGGTCTTTTTTAAAAAAAAAATTTTTTTTCTTCGTTAATCGTATTCAACCTGAATTTTAACTCCTAAGGTATAGCTATGATTCGACTTGATTGAATTTCAGCATTTTACTTTATTTTGTTAAAGATCGCTACACTGTTTAATGGTTAATGTGATAAGAATAGTATAATGTATATGATCGACAATGATGCGACGCTGCTTCTAATGTTACTAGTTCATTATAAATGATATACATAGTTATTCTGATGAATTATATACGAATTGTATAGTATCTTTTAATTATAGTTAGTTTTCTCTTTTTCTTTTTTTTTTTTTTCATACCTAAACCCGGTAGTTATTGTATAAAGTTATAAATGAATATATTGAATAATATAAACCAATATAATTAACACAAAAGATGCACATATACACTTTTTAAATATTGAATACTCTTTTTACTTTTTTTCTAAATGATTTATTATATGTATTAGATCATCTTTTTTCTAATAGAAGCATATGTATTAGATATAAAATTACGTTAACTTTATATATAATGAGACGTTTATTCAGTAAAAAACAAACAATCCACAAATAGCTTAAAGCAATGAAAAAAGTTTAAAAAATTTCCCAATATCTGTAATAATCCCTTGTTACACTACTTTTATTTAACTTTCTACCTTATCTTTATCTTTATTTTTATTTCTCACAATTAGATAACAACAGTGTCTATCGACACTATTACTTCACTATACTACTAAAGTTTTAAGTAAAGTATATAATGACACTACTGCATAAATATGAATAAAAAATTTATTAAGAAATTAGCCAGTAATTAGTAAATATAGTAGTATGTACATAGTTATTCTTGATTATAAATAAATATTATGTATGAATAAATAAAAAAAAGGGGGGAGGGAGTGGAGGGGTTAATATTTCTTCCCTCCTTTTTTTTTCCGTAAAGGATATGGTACAATGGCTATTATGAACTAGACATTAAACTTAATAATTGCTTCTTTGCTTGAAGACCATGCTCATGTCTTCTTTTTCCTAATATTTCAGGGGAAGGAAAAAAAACAAAGTTAATTATATTTTCAATTTTAAAACTATTATGTATATATATTATTTTACCTTCAAGATAAAGCATTCCCTCAGCATATGTTTTAGGAAAGATTTGAGGTACCACCTTACGTTGAGTGGTAAAAGAGAAATGAAAGGTGTTGGTCACATCTGTTGTATTTGTCTTCATATCTGTAACTTCAGCTGTAACACTAACTTGAAATGAATCATCTTGCGAATAAATCACTTTTGAAGACAAATTCAAAAGAGAACCGACGGGGACAGGTTTCTTGAAAACAATTTCATCTAATGACAAAAGATGAACAGGTGTCTTACAAAAGACAGATCCTGTTGCATGAGCTAATTCATAAGCGCGTCTCATTAAATATCCACCAAAGACCTTGTTATGAATATTACGATCTTGAGGTTGCATTAAGAATACACTTTTTAACTTTGTATCTTCTATCCAAGCAGATGGTGATGATAACTGATTAGCATTTTTCATATAAAGATCATGAAGTGTTAAACGTTCATCATCAGTGGGGGGAACCTTATCAAGAGCTGATTCACCTATGAGCTTCTTTCGTGATTTACACTCTTGTGCATATTCAAAGATTCTCATTTCTCTTTCGTTATGTGCAATTAAAGGATTGATATGAACAGATTTTCCTGTTGTAGAGTCTATCGCAACCATCGTAAAGCGTCCAAATAAAACTGTATTCGGTGTCGGTTCAGCAAGAAAATTTTGAGGAGGAAATGGTGATGATTCTACCATATTAGAGTCATATTTAGGAATAGTTTCAACTTTAACAAACACTGTATAAAATATAAAATTTAGCCATCTTAGAATTCATAGATACACACACACACACACACATACATACATACATATGCGTGCGTGCGCCTTGTTATTTTCTAAAATTATCATTTACCTTCCATGCTACTTTTACCAACATAAGCAACATGACCTGAAAGCTTAAGATCTTCAACTGTATTTGGCATAAGTAGTTCCATACGATCTACACTTGCTGTAACAACGGTTAATGGAGGAGCACGGGGATTAAAGGTATCAATGTGTTTGTAAGAAATAGCACCTGCTAGTGCGTCTAAATCTTCAAGAATTTTTCCTATTCTAATTTTACCACCTGTGGTAATATACTCATCTAATAAAGCAGGTGAGGATTTAAAGGGTAGGTATTCTTCCATATAACTATCCATCATTGTTTTATTTATAATTTGATGCTGATATTGGTTAGATGGAATATTGAGTGGTCTTTTGTTTTCCTTTTCAAGAATTTTATCCATCCAGAAAGTGACAGGACGAACTGTATATACTTTTTCTAAAAGAAAAAAAAAAGAGAGAATGCAATGAGTACGTAAAAGTATAATTGCTTCATAATAAATAAAATAATAATAATAAAAAAACCTTACTTGCAAAGCTAGGATCATATTGATCAGTTTCAATTAAAGATGGTTGTGCGCCACGTATTTGACGTGAACTAGTTGCTAAGGTAGCTCTTTGTTTATAAATCAACTTAAAAGCTTGATTTGATTTAAGTGGCTTAAAAAAAATAGTGCGTAACATATCAATACAAAAAAAAATATTATATATAAATATATAGGATCTAAGAACTCTAATGAAAAAAAAAGAGAGAGAGAGAAGGAAAGAAAAGGCTAAATATAAAGTATTTATATATGTCTGTGCAGAAATCTTATTATTTTCCAACCTAATTTACATGGTGGAACCATTTCCTTTCTAGGTCTTTACTTATCAAATTAAATACTTCCTTATCCGAGGCCAAATAATCTAAACAAGGAAAGTAATCCGAAAAGGTCAAATCTGAACGCTTATTTATTATCCAATCATATGTAAGCTTGGCCTTTTCTGTTCCTGTCAATATTTAAACTCAACAGACCCCACCCTAATAAAAAAATTTATTGACATGGAAATATGCCAAATTTAGAAAATTTCACTTGGTAAAAAGAAAAATAAAAAAAAAATAAAAAGCACATTAATTACAAACATATTATATGCAATAAACGATTATCGTTAGAAATACAAAATTTATAGAATATATGTTTAATAGAAATAAATTATAATAGACTAGCCAATTCTTCTTTTTTTTATATATATATATAAATATTCGAGAAAAGCAACAAGAGCCACTCCGAAGAGTTTAGTTTTTCTGCTTTGTTCTCTTGTCATTTTGGACAAAAAAAAAATTTTTTTTTCTTTATGATTATTAAATCGAATTTATAATAGAGTCACACTACTTGGAAATTTTTTTCTAATATCTCATATATAAGCTTATTCATGATGATCGTAATAATAGAACTGCACTTCATAAAACATGAATTATGTCATTAGACCCTGGATAAAAAAATCTTATTCATAATAAGCATCTGTGATATTAAAGTATCATAGAACAATTATTAACTATAATATTATTACTGTTATTTGATATATAATAGACGTTAAGCATGTCTTTTTTTTTATATTTATTTTCAATAAAATCGAACGACACTATTTTTTCTAAGGTATATTTTATTATCATCTTATTTGCTTATCAATACAAAGTCAAGATATGTAATATTCTTTCAGAAATAAAGAAAGGGTAAAACTAAAAGATATTTGTAATTTTACAATAAGAATAATGCTTTTGGTCAAGATGTCATGTCTAATGATTACATTAAAAAGGAGTGTATATAGTGTATAGTCTAGCGAAAATAGAAATAAATACATTTCACTAAATAGACTTAATAGTTTTCTCCGCAATTTTTTTTTTCTTTTTTCATGATTTATTCATAAATAAAGGCTGACGTCTAAAAAATGTAATGTCAAACACTTATTTGAAATAAATCTAAAATCCGAAAATTTATGCAAAATTCTTTTTTTTTACTTTTTTTTTTTACTTTTTTTTTTTTTTTTAATCATATAGTAAAATTTTACAATGTCATCTTTTGTAAAATATAACTCGGAGGATCAAACGAAAATGGAGATGGGTCAAGATCCAAAAAAAGAAAGAGGAAAACAAGAAGAGAATAAACAAGAGATGGAGCATATAAAAGAAAAGAGAAATGCAAATAAAAATGAGAAAGACGAAGAAATGAAAGATGAAATGAAGAAAAGACCTGGAAATACATTGGATGCTTCTGGTCATGTCCACACTAAAAATGAAGATCCTAACAGGCTACAAAATGATTCTGAATTAAACGCTTATACTTCTCAACAAGAGCGTTTAGGGGATCAACAGGCTCCTAATCTTCAGCAGTCTAACCTTCAGCAAAAGAATTCTCAACAATTCAATTTAGAACAGTTTAATGATCGACATTATGATGTAGAACATCCTACTGCTCAACAGCCTATCGATCAGCCACAAGTGAATCAGCAGTCTATTGCTCAACAGCCTATGGATCAAAAACCTATCAATCAATATCCTACATCTGGTGAGCAAGAAACAATCACTACACGTCCGGAAAATCATCGTGTTTCAACGAATCCTTCACCTTTTAATCAAACATTCGATTCAGCTCTATCTGGATTCAATGACATATTTAATACAGCCGATCCTAGCATGGATAAACAACGTCAACCAGGCACAAAGCTTAATAATACAACACCATTGGAGCCAATATCCCCGAATGATCTCGTCTGGAACTTACAATTAAAAGCATTAAAATATATTTTTATCAGTTGTCTCGTTTCCTATCTTTTAGGAAAATGGCGATTTAGTATCACCATTGGTGTTCTATCTATTATTACATGCGGTTGGGCTTATTGGAATTTAGGAAAAGAAAGCTCTGATGCTGTTGAATGGCAAATAGAAAAAGAGGAAAATATGAGAACAGTAAGTTATGTTATGTGCAAAGGAAGAATAGCTTGAAAAAAAAATTCTAATGTATTATTTTTAATGATGTAGTTGTATACATCAGAAGGAGAATCAGTTGAATGGCTCAATTATATGCTAGAAAAAATATGGCGTAGTATAGATCCTCAAATATTTGCAGATATTGAAGATCTTCTCGAAGATACTTTGCAAAGTGTTGCTCCTAGTTTTATTGTAAGAAGTTTTTTTTTTCTCATGAATTTTAAGAAATAAGTTAACATTTTTTCTTTTATTTGTTTATAGAAGTCAGTAAAGGTTTATGATCTTGATATTGGTGTACAAGCTCCTCGTATTCAAGTGTAAATCAAAATATATAATTTTTATTATCAAAATTCATCATGTTAACGTCATAAGTTTTTTTTTTTTTTTTTTTTTAAAAAAATATAAATTTATAGAATTCGAGTCTTTCCTCCTTTACCTGGTCAACCTGAAGAAAGTATTGTAAAGTAAACAAATTTGTTCTCGAAATTGAATTATATACATATAATTTTTTTTTTTTTTTTTTTTTGTATATATTCTAGTTTGGTGAAGCTGCATTTAGTTTCCATGCTCATCCAGTAGCGTCATTGGTCACTCATCGTGGTCCAAATTCAACTCCGCCAGGATTAACGATTTGCTTCCAAACAGCCGTGAAAGCGCCTTTAGAAGTCAAAGCAGAATTGACAGCAATATCAGGAAAAATTCGATTCAAACTTTTAACATCGCCTGAGATTCCCTTCATATCTAAAGCTACGATTGCCTTTACAAGTGTACCAAAAGTTGAAACGGGTGTCATGCCTTTATCTAAACACCTAAACATTATGAATGTAAGTAGTCAAAGGGATCACATTCAATAATATGATGATATATATAACTTACTCTATAATCTGTATATGTTATATAGCTACCTGCTATTAAAACACTTGTGAACGAAGGTATTAAGCTTGGTTGCGCTGATATGGTGGATCCAAAAAGTATGACAGTAGATATTCAAGCCTTGCTGGGTGCTTTTACACAAGATACATTTGCAATTGGTGTTGTTAAAGTGTTAATTAGAGAAGCTACTAGAGATAAAACTGCAAACTTTCAGGGTATATACAGTTTTATGATTTATATACATACATACATACATGTATATATATATATATATATATATATCAGTATCACTCATATATTAGTATAGACATGGAGGATTCTTATGCAACTTTATCTTTAAGTAATCAACCTAAGAAGACTGTCTCTAGTACACGTGTATTAACTAATGATGAAAATCCTCGATGGAATGAGGATCTTTATGTTCTCGTTTATAAAGGTATACGATTTATTATCTTTAAAAAGAAAAATATAAACAAATATTCATCTTGTGTTTATTAGATGACATTATATCTGAAACAAAAGTGGATATTAAAGTTTGGGATGCAGATAAAGTCAAATTTGATGACATGTGGGGTTCAGTTTCAATGTCCGTAAAGGATATCGTTCAAGGGGAAATAGATAAATTAGGGAATGTTAAAAGTTGGTGTCAAGACGAATGTGTCATTTTTGACGGGTAAATGAATTGAAGCAAATAAAATACATACATATATTTGTATGTTTGCTAAATTTATTTATTTATAGTTGGACCCCTATTGATGGTAAAAATGAAAACAACTCAAAGATTAAACTGAACATGAAATTAAGTTTTCATCCAAAGTATCCTACACCTAACATGGAAATTTTTACAAGTAAATCAATGAAACAAAAGAAAAAGTCGGAGGAAGCACAAAAGGAGGAAGAAAAGAGAGATAAGGCTATCTTGGATATTCCTGTTGACCCTACACATACAAATGGTATTCTTTCTATTTTAATCCATCAAGCTGTTGATTTAGAAATTGGTGATCCTGAAGTTTTACCTACAAATGAAGAATTTAAACATCCTTATAGTCCAGATAAGGTTGTTAGCCCTTATGCCGTTCTTTACATTAATGACAATAAGGTCTATCAAACTCGTACAAAGTTAAGAAATCCTAGTCCTGTAAGTTAAAATATTGATATTATTTTTACCATCAATATATACATATATTAATATTAATTATATGTAAAAAAAACACACACACACACATAGCATTGGAATGCTGTTTCTGAAAACTTTATTAAAGATTTTGATAATTGCAGTTTCCGAATTTCAGTCAAGACAGCTTTTGATCTCGAACGTGATGCTGTCCTAGGAACTAAAGTGATACATTTAAAAGATGTATTCCGTGGACAAGAAAATGCTAAATTTAAGCAAATTCAACAATGGATCCCTCTTGCTAATGGTATTGGCTTTGGTAAAGTTTTATTAACAATCAAATATAAGCCTGTCAAGTTGACCTTACCTCATGAATTACAAGGATGTGGTAAGTTTTCTATTTATTTATTTTTTTCACACTCACTCACTCACTCACTCTGTACACCCTATGGATTAAAATAACGTGATTTATTTATTAGATGTTGGTACACTCATTGTTGAACGTTTAACCTTAAATAGTTTCAAGTCTCCTCTCAGTCAAGACCATGCTAATTCTACCAAAGTTACCCTTTCACTTAATGTTAATCCAATTATCAAAAAACGTCTTAAACCTAAAAACATTTCAAAACAAGAGAATGGAGGAAGGATGACAGAGACTTATGGTTGGTGCAACCAACATTATTATTTCCCTTTAATGATGCGTTATCGTACTGCCCTCTATGTTCATGTTACCCAAGGTACTGTCACGAGCCATAAGTGTACAGGTCGATTCTGGTTAAAAGATATGGTCGATCATGAATGGCAGGATATTAAGGTTGGACTGTACGATTATGTTAGTGAAAGTTCTAAAGAATCGAATCGGAATGAAGATGCATGGTCTGAGGAAGGTGATTATGGACAAGTAACAATTCGTATGAAGATTTCACCTGGATTTTCGCCTGTCCATACCCATTTAAGATCCTATATCAGGGATATGGTAGGAGCTGATCCATTCTATAATGAGGCCTTAAAGTTCAAAGCCCAACGTTGGATTAAAGAACAAAGTAAGAAGAAGGCTGAAAGAGGTGAAGAACCAGATGCTGAGGAAGATACAAACTTTGATTACGATCTTCAAAATGCTGTCCAATCGGAAAAAGAAAGAATGGATTCCACAACAAGGAATAGAAGAGCATCAAGTCTATCTTCTGAATATGGAGAAGAGACAGCAGAGTCTGATATGGATGATTATGAAATTGAAGCAGATATGTTTGATCAAAAGAAAGATGTAAAGATTAGTAAACATGGAGTACTTAGAAAGGTTGCATGGGGAATAGATAAAGTGAAGCATAAAGTAGATGTGTTGAAAGAAGGATTCAACTCAGAAACAAGAGCTGATAGATCCGTAATAAAAGAAACTTAAGTTTAATCTTATTACTCCTCATTACGTATTTTTTTATAATTAACACGCATGTACAACGCGAGGACAAATCAATTTTTACATGGCTAAAAAATAAACAATTTTTTATTTACTCCACAACCTTTTTCCTTTTTTTTTTATTTTTCTCTCCGCAAAAAAAATAAAAATTGGACATTTTCTTTTGCAAATACTAAAATGTAAATATTAAGCAAGTAAAAAAAAAGGGGGGGGCTGTACTATCTACACTTGATAAAAGCAAATAAATGAAAGAATAATTCTTCATTAAACAAATCTTTTTACTCTTTATTGATTTGCTACAATTATTCACAAATGGTGTAATTTATCTGAATTCAAAATACAAGCAATAGAATTTCAGGATACCTGAAAGATACTAAAAAAAATAAATGAATAAAAATAAATAAATAAATAAATAAATAAATAAATAAATAAATAAATAAACATTACAATCTATTTCTTTTTCTTTTTTTAATTATTTTTATTATAAAACTATGCTCTCTATACGTGCCCGCCTTTCAACCTTTAAACGTTCCTTTGTAACAGTTGCTGCTAAACAGCCTCATATTGATCAAAAGTTTAAGGTTGTTGTAGTTGGTGGTGGGCCTGGTGGCCTTTCAGGTAAAATATAAATATATACATATATATACTTGGTATGTTTTATTTTTATTGTTCTTTTCTCATTCAATTACATATAGTTTCATCCACAGTTTCAAAGTTATTGGGGGAAAATCAAGTAGCCGTTATTGAGCCTTCTGGCAAACACTATGTAAATAATAATAATAAAGAGAGATAGGGGAACGGACAAAATGGGAAAAGAATTGTCCATTAGATAGTAGGAATATAAGAAACTAATATGCTTTCTTTCTTTTTTTTTTTATAGTATCAACCCTTATGGACATATGTTGGTAGTGGATTAAAAAACTTCAATGAATCTGTTAAACCTATGGCTGAAGTGATGCCAAGTGAAGCAGAATGGATTCAAGATAAAGTTACAGAATTCGACCCTGATAATAACATTGTGAAGTTATCAAATGGACAAATTGTAGGATATGATTATTTAGTAGTAGCAGCAGGTATACAAATCAATTGGGACAATGTAAAAGGTTTAAGAGCTGCGTTAGGTAAAGACGGTGTAACTTCAAATTATGATCCTAAAAGTGTGCAAAAGACCTATGAGTTTCTTCAAAACTTTAAAGGTGGAAATGCTCTATTCACTTTCCCTAATAGTCCTATTAAATGTCCTGGAGCCCCTACTAAAATCACTTTTTTGGCTGAAGAAATCTTTCGTCTTAATAACGTCCGTGATAAAACGAATGTCATCTATAATACATCGGGAGCAAAAATTTTTGGTGTTGATCATTATGGACGTATCCTTCAAAAATTAGCTGATGAACGTAATATCAACGTTAATTTTCAGCATGAATTGATTGAAATTGATGGTGATAATCATCAAGCTGTGTTTAGAAACAATGCGAATCAAGAAGTAAAGACATTTGAATATGATTTTATTCATGTCGCACCTCCTCAGGGACCACCTAAGTTTATCAAAGAATCTAAATTGGCTGATGCAGTAGGTTGGGTCGATGTAAACAAAGATACACTTCGCCATAACAAATATAAGAATGTATTTGCTTTAGGTGATTGTTCTTCTCTTCCTACTTCTAAGACTGCTGCAGCCATTACATGTGAATCTGGTGTATTAAAAAAGAATTTAATTGCTGATCTTCAAGGTAAGAAGGTTGAGGAAGAAGCAAGTTATGATGGATATACGAGTTGTCCCTTGATTGTGGGCCGTAATCAGCTTATTCTAGCAGAATTCTCTGGTTATACTGGTAAGCCATTGGAAACTTTTCCAGTCGATCAACGCAAGATTAGTAAAGCTGCTCAATTCTTGAATAAAGAAGTAATTCCTGCCCTTTATTGGAATGGTTTGTTAAAGGGAACTTGGACTGGTCCAACTGGTATTCGTAATTTACTCCATCCTATTCGTCCTAAATATGATTAAAGACAAAAAAAAAAAAAAAAAAAAAAAAAAAAAAGAAATGGTCATTTTACTTCTCCCATACCCTCCTTTCTTACAATTTTTTTTTCTTCCTATTTATGCTCTTACCCTATTATAATAAATATAAGTATATGTATTTCAATTTATTAAAATGAATGTACATATATGCTTTATATACAAGTAATTTATAATAAATAAATACTTCTGCTAGGTCATATTTTTATTTTCCCTTCACAATAATAGACTGATCATTATTTAATTAGGGAAATACAATAGTTTTTAATTTAGCATATTACTAAGTCTTTCTTTTTCTTTTCTTTTTAATATCTAGTTGAAATAATGGAAATAAAGGAAGGAAAGATGTTATTTTATTTGGCCCAATTTAAACTCTTTTGTTTCTTTTCTTTTTTTTTTTTTTTTTTTTACGGGTTTCGAATAAATTGCGTGCGAAACCTAGTAGGTTAAGAGAACCCAAGACGATTTAGCTTGATTAAAAAAAAAAAAAAAAAAAAAAAAGAAAAAAAAAAAGAAAAGACCTTTAAAATATGATAAATTCATAACACTATTTTACCCCCATTAACGATTTGTACTCTTTAACCATCTTGTGTACTTATCGGGGTTTATTCAATGAAAGTATAAAATTTTTGAGCGTATTTGTCGTGTTCATGGAAAAGAAATAAAATCATTTTCTTGACTCGGTGGAATGAAAAAAAAAAAAAGATTTTTTTTTATATAAAATCTTGTTTTTCTTATTTTTCATTATTTTTTTTTCCTTTGTAACTTTATTGTTTTTATTTATTTTATCCCATTAACATTCACACATTTCAACATTTGTCAAGATGGCCCTTAGACTTTTAACTACTACTCGTGGCATTGCTCGTTCATATATGCCTACTATAGTTCGTAAGTCCGCTACCATGACTGTCTTCCGGGGTTTTGCCAGTAAGTCTTTATTTAAATTATGATAGAGAGCATAGTTTTTATACATAATTATAGCAAAGAAATATACCCTTGACCATGAATGGATTTCTGTTGATAATGGTGTCGGCACCTTTGGTATTACTGATTATGCTCAAAAAGCTTTAGGTGATGTTGTATTTGTTGAAACTCCTACTGTAGGTCAAACTGTTGAAAAACAAGGTAAAATAAGATGATATGGTGGTGAGTAGGGGAGAAGTTCGCATAGTGTTGAACTTTTTTTTTTTATTATAGAGCAAGTAGGTGCTATTGAATCTGTAAAGGCAGCAAGTGATATTTATTCGCCTGTTTCTGGTGAAGTGCTTGACGTGAATGATGAATTATCTAATGAACCTTCCTTAATTAATTCTAGTCCAGAAGAAAATGGTAAAGAAAATAAATTTTATTACAAAAAACTACTTTGAATTCTAACCTCTCTCCCCCTCTTTTTTTTTTTTTTTTTTTTTTTTTTTTTTTTTTTGTTTTTGTTTCAAAAGGTTGGTTGGCAAAAATTAAACTTTCAAATGAATCCGAACTTGATGATTTGATGGATGAAAAGGCTTATATTGCTCACTGTGAAGCTGATGATGACCATTAATTGTACTTTCTTCTATTCTCTATCCTCTCTTTTTTTTTTTTGGTTCCTTAATAAAGAACCATAGTGTATGGCATGTATTATAAAATAAGTACATTTAACAATTTATATTATTTTATATTTGAGAAAAAAAAAAAAGTAAACTTCACTCAGTTCATTGTTTATTGTTTTGGGTTAAAAATAGCTTAAATCTTTGAATGATAGTTTACACATAGTATCCTTTTTAACCTAACAAGTTTCTAAATATACAAATGTATAACAGATTTATTAATAGCTGGTTGCTTTTAAAGAAAATTATCTAGAGTTTAAGCTTTTTTCAACCTTCAAAGGCTGGCAGAATGACTGGTATTATTGATAATTAGGTCAAAAAATTAGAAGAGGATCCTCAATGGTACATATATGAAAAGAATCAATCATATCAAAAGCTAGCTATAGAGAAAAAATAAATAAATAAATAAAGTTTACATTATAAACTATTTTGATTAATATCCTTTTCGCTAAAACAAAATATCTAGTTGATGTTTTAATAGAAGCCTTTGAAGGATGTAGCTTAAAATCTATTATTGTCGAAGAATTTATATCCAAGAAATGTAATGCGTATCTATATTCCATCCTGTTGTGAGGATAAAACTAGATTTCAAACGAGATTTGAATGGATATAAATAAAATAAAAGATGAACGTAGATATGAACTTTTCTTCAAAATTGTATTTTTATTCCATGAAGCCGAAAACTATCTGTCAGGCTCATGATACTCCGCTTGTGATTACTTTCTCAGTTGCTAAAGCGGCATCATTCCATATTGTTCTTACATTAATTTCTTCCGTAGTAAGTATTGTATATATATATATATATATATATATATATATATATATAAATATTGAACTGAAGATTCCTCAAGTTCCAAAAAGAATAAAGATAGTTGGGGCTCATAAAAGAAGGGTGACCTCTTCAAAAGTCCAAGTTTTTAAACGTACAGTAACGTAAGTCACTACTTGAACTTTGTTTCAAAGACGCTAGATTATATAGATAAAGTGTCTAAAATGAAAAGGATTTTACCGTGTTATGGATAATACACCAATTCATAGCTTTAAAGAAGTTGAGAAAAATGATTATAGCACAACGATTATAAACGTGTTTATCTTTCTTCTCATTCTCTCCCATAGAACAATTTTGGGCAAATGTCAAAGGCAAAATAAGACGTACTTATTTTAATGAAGAAAAAAAATACTAAAGTAAATGAGCCCGTATAATGCTTATAACACGATTTTTTCCCTAAATCAATAAAAATTACTATTTGAATCATTTTGAATTTTTGCTAATTAAAGTTGACATTTATTTTTGTCTGTATTCATTTCTCTATTACTCCTCTTGATATATTAATGGTTATCCAAATTCCCTTCTTAACACTTTATTTCTTTTTTTAATAATCTTTCACTATTTTTACCTTTTGTCTTAAAAGGGGTTTACATTACTTTTCATCGTTATTTTTGAACCAGTTAGGGCAATTCAGTAATTCTATAAATTATGTGTCCATTGGTCACTTTTTTTTCATATTCTTGTAAATAAAATTCTTCTTGATCGTATTACTATCACTAACTTACTAGGCTATAATTTAACACTAGAGCAAGTTGCTTGCCTTGCTTTGGGAGTAGATATAACAAAAGAGAAATAAAAAGAAGGCTAAATGCATACTTGATGATTTAGCATTCAATGTCGTTTTTATTATTGGTATAGCCTCGCCGTTCTTCAAAAGTCTCAGACAGAACCAGTTCAGAAATAATGAAGCTGCAAAAGTAACATCGCTGAGATGATGAACAACGCGATGGACCTCCGTTACAAATAATGTTCTTTGGACTTGATTGAAGTTTTCAGCCCTCAGCATAGCTTTCAATTTGGTTTTGATGACAAACTTTGTTCTTCTAGCTCTTGGACCAATGGCTTCAGTCTCTGCCGTTGCAACCCTAAATTCAGTGGTAGAAGATTCCTGTCGAGCCTTCCTCTTGACTTCGGAACGCGCTTGTTTCATTTTAACTTTCTCAGACAGATGCACTGGAGTACTAGAGGATTCACTAAGTGCACTTGGAGTGAGACTAACAACTTTCTCAAACTCTTGTATCATTCCTGTATTATATTACAAGAGCATTTAGTAAAAACTTCAAAAGTGTAATTCAATTTTCATTGACATACCTGAAGATTGAGTAGAAGCCTGTACAGGAGCAGTAGCTGAGTGTGCTGTGCGAGCAGTACGAGGTTGAGGAGCAATTGGTTCTTGAAAATCATCATCTTTTTTCAAAAGTAATAATAACAGTAGAGCGAGTAATGTGAGGGGATAGGCGTATGGAGGCAGAAGAACTAGATTCACCGGACTCAGCGATACGTCGCATTTGTAAAGATAATCTTGTCGCTTCTTTGATATCGCGTTGTTCCTTAGTTATAGTGGGGAGAGGTGGACGAAAGCCAGTTGGAGCTTGGAAATCTTCATATTCTTCGTTCTCAAAAAAAGTCGGCAAGAATATTTGAAGTAACATCCTTGGCTAAAACATGATGCTACGATTAGTATTCTTTGTGTATTTCAGTTATATATACATCCAGCATACCTTTTTCTTTTCCTTTCTTTTTTTCTTGGCCTAGGACCTCCAAAATCTTTGCCCCCCAGAAAGATCTAAAAGTATATAGTAAGATATATGATATACAGCTATACGTCAAATCTAAATGTGTGAGTGAAATGAAACATTCACTTTCATTGTTGGGAATAGAAGGCGGCTCTGATTGTCCCTCCCTTCCCTTTTCTCCCTTTTCTTATTTTACTTTAGATTTATTTTACCGAAATTGCGATCATTTATTGATAATCTGCAAATTACAAAAAAAAAAAAAAAAAAAAAAAAAAAAAAAAAAAAAAAAAAATTATTTTTTACATCTTATTCGAAATAATAAAGGAAAATTGGTTTCACGATCAGAGTCGCCAACTCTTGACCAATAATTGATGGATATCAGCATAAATGACTAAAATAGGAGAAAGGGGATGTCATTTAAGTTTTCATTCTATAGTATCGGTAGATAAAAAAGATATATATATATATAAAACAAAAACAGTGGGTTAATCTAGATGCTTGTGTGAGTGTTTATTCAATGTAAACTGACCGAAGAACTTTATTGATCCAAGATGATATCCTTTACATACATTTATCGTTATTTGTTACTTGTATGAATATAATCATATGAAACTGTCAGTTTTCTGATCCACTATTATCATAACATTGGTACCTGCACTACATACGGAGCCCAATATTACAGAGTATAAATAATGATTGTAACCAAGACTTGGTGGCTCTAGGTCTTTCTTTCTTACGAACAATGAAAACCCTACATTCTACGTATCCTAATCACTTTACTTGGCTTTATTATTTCAAAAACGATAGTTCAATCACTCCATCAAACTCACAGAAATGTTCCTTATTGTCCTAAGTAATTCAAATCTGGGATATTCTCCATGAGGATTGTTCGTTCCGGGATCATTTTTGTATCAGTGTCCCACTTTCATATTGGTGTCCCATTTTTGCATTGGTGTCCCAATCCAATTTTGAAACGACCAAATTTTTTCTCATTGGCCCAACCTAGTTTCTTTGACTGTAATTATTATGATCGGTACCTGAGTTCAGTTTACTAGATGGATATAGTTGTTTATTGAGATATATGTATATATTAATATAAAGTGAAAATAGGTATTCAAAATGCGGAATTAACCAAAATCAAATATTATATTATAGTCTTTAAAATTCTCGTTTTACTGGAACAGAGTAAGCAGCAGCAGTAGAGAGAAAAGCTCCGTTTAAATAAAAAGAAATGAAAGTGGGGAGGGAGGGGGAGGGAAAGGATAAATACTCAAATTTATATAATGATATACAAGTGAGGTTCTGAGGATAATAATTCAACTCCTGAGAGTATCTTTCATTTGGAATTTCCATGTCTCTTATTAAATAAGATTGTGAAAGGAAGTACATAATGATCAACCTCCACGATTGGCTGCTTCTGGAAACAGTAACCTTTTTATGATATTAAGAAGCTACTAACTAATTGGATCATTACCCTCTTATCATCATTAAGTAAAAATGAAAAAAATGAATAAACTGGTGTTCTATTTACACTTGTAATACATATCTTTTCTTTTTTTTTTTTCGTTTGTTTAAGAATATGAGTACTTGAAGGAGCATCTAATCATGTAGAGAAGGTTCAAAAAAGACACATGGGTTAGTCAATAAACACAACTATGGTGACTTTGTATTATAAAAATTGTTTAATGATATTATGATGGAAGAAGCACAAAATATTAAAACTGTTATAAGAAAAGATGGAGGGTATGGAAAAAAAATGAAAGAATAGAAAGTCTTAAAATAATAGTTTGAATTAAATATTATGTATGAATTAAGAATGTAGAAATTATATATCTTTTTGCAACTTGTAAATACTTACATAGTTTAAAGATATACTTATTTTTTTTTTTCAGTAATAAAATTATCTATAACAATAAACGTATTCATTTTAATTATTATTTCTACCATCAGTGATTAAAGACAAGACTCAAAGGAAACCCATTTCCTTACAATGACTAAATAAAATAGAAGATTTTCTTTGAATACGAAAAAGAAAAGAAAAAAGAAATACAGATAACTTTATAATAATAATTTCAACTATGAAAGGCAAAAATAATATTATATGGAAAAAAAAATGTCTTAAGGTAACATATTAGTCTACTTTAAAAATTTAATGAAGTATAGTCTCGAAAATATCACAATGAAGAAGTGAGAAAGGTGCTTTAGATTTAAAAGCCCCGCGATTACCTTCATCTTCTTCTTTCCCCAACAAAGAAGGATCTGTATTTTTTTTTTCTTTAATTCTTAAATACACTAGATGAATGGATGACAGAATACTAGCAGCTGTAAATTCTTTATATAGAAGAAGTTATACATAAGAAAAAAAAAAACTTCTTAAAAAGGTTACATCCTCGAGCACAAACCTCTATTCAACACACACACACACACTTACATATGACCTGAAACCTGAACTTTATATATAAATATATTATAGTTTACCATTCTTTTCTTTTTAGAATAATTCAAAAATCACAATTATATTATTGAAAAAAAAAAAGGTTTTATCTAAGATAAATGTTAACTATTGAATTTCGACTAAATGATGTCTTTAATCATTTAATACCAAGATATATATATTAAAACTTATACAAATTTAAGAGTAGAAAAAAAAAGACGCATATATACTTACAGTACTTGTATTTTGAGAGTATATTTGTATATTATATAAAGAAGAAAGGGGTATACATATTGTAGTTGCATTTTCAAGTTCAGAGTAAGTTAGCCCCTTCCTAAAATCTTACTTAATATAATCTTATTTATTTGTATATACGTAATATTGCAGTTAATGTATGCATTCTTTAAACAACTAAGGGAATGTTTGTCAATTATATAACAGTACATAATTAAACCACCACCACCACCACTACCACCGCCACCAATAATAGTAAAAAAAAAAAGAAGAACAAATCAAATCAGAAAACTGCTGAGCTTTTTTTTTTATAAATATGTATATAAATATGTGTACAGTGCGTCCGCCGTCAATTGGACAATTTTTTGAAAAAGCTGGTCAAATTTTTGAATAAATTTGCCCACTTTTTTGAAACTCAATTGGTCATTTGTTTGAAATTCATTTGGTCATTTTATTTAAATTCAATTGATCTTTTTTTTTTTTTTTTTTTGAAAATTATTATACTTTATATAATGTTAAGGGAAAGTTATAGAGGGACCTTATTTAAGCAATTACTAAATTGGTTTATGGAATGTTGAATAATATTTCGAAGATGCTCAACAGGTACTTCTTCACTAGCCTCAATAATTCTTGAAGTAAGCGTTTCAACATCATTAAGTTTACTTCGCTTTACTTTTCCCTTAAGAATGGCCCAAAATTGTTCTATTGGGTTGAGTTCGGGCGAGTAGGGAGGAAGGTATAATGGCTTATAGCCCCGACTTACAATTACAGGGTCAATTATAGCAGGAACATGAATTGGTGCATTGTCCATAACAATAAAAAATCCTTTCATTTCTGGGAACTCATCCATAATATCCATAGTATCGTTAAGAAACAAAAGATAATGATCGCCAGTAGTGCCACTGGGAATAGTTAATTTATCTTTAGGAGCCTTTCTCTTTTTGGCCCCTACAACTTTCCTTCTCTTAACATTTCCAGATTCTCGCATACTCACATTGACGACACCATTAGCTGATATTGCACCAAGAACAGTATGTGAGGTAGCCTTGGTGGAGGGAGTTGTGGTAGTTGCTTTCGTACCGCGCTGTGACCAACCACGACTACGACGCATATTAATGTCAAACCCGGACTCATCAACAAATATACAATTGTCGAGATAATTGACGCCATTGCTGATCAATTTCTCAACCCACTCAGCACGAGCTTTAAGATTTTTATCATCGTTTCTGGCAAGAGGGTGTCGGTTAATAAGTTTGATGCTGAGATTACATTCTTCCTTCATGAACTCGGCTACTCTTGTTATTTTTATTTGTAAGCCAGCAAAGTTGGCTGTCAAGCTTTCAACTGCGTCCTGGATTGTTGCAGTTGAGTCATCATCAAAAAAACTGGTTAGATAAACTTTATGAGCTTCGTTCAGTTGACTGACTGGTCTGTTGGGATTCAGATTCGTCTTTTTGATAGGAATCTTCCTTTCCGGATCATCCTCGTAAGCCTTTTTCCATTTGCGCGCTGTGTTATAATTTACATTTGCGGCTATGGTCGCATCTTTTGGTCTCATGAGTTTTTCTTTCAAAAAATAAAAGTAACGTCTACGGTCTTCCATTGTATAAATGTTATACTCAAGAGGTCTTTCTTTCTTTGGACTAGCCTCTTTCATGACTGTATCGTCTGAACTGATCGTTTCAAATTGGAGATCCTTGTTCTTAATGTATTTTCGTAGATCTGTTAATCTTTTCAAACGAAATGACTTCTCTTCAACATATGCTTTTGCTTGCTCGCCCTGTTCATCAATGAGATTACCAGCACCATCTTCATAAAAAATATTCATGCTCATTTGAAAAATAATCTCGAAATAATGGTATAAAAAAAAAGTAACAAAATATACCTCAGATAAAATGATCAAAAAAATGATCTATTGAATTTAAATAAAATGACCAAATGAATTTCAAACAAATGACCAATTGAGTTTCAAAAAAGTGGGCAAATTTATTCAAAAATTTGACCAGCTTTTTCAAAAAATTGTCCAATTGACGGCGGACGCACTGTATTTTTGAAGCTAGTTCTATTGTGGCAATCGAGTGGCGCAAAAGAATATTAAGTAATTTATAAATCTTATCACCAATAAAATACTTTTTTACATATAAATTGATCAAAAAAAAAAAAAAAATTTTTTTTTCGATTTCCCTTTCTTTTTCTTTATCAGATTAAATATATTTCATAAAGAGGAAGTTTTTTTCCCCCCTTCATTTTATCACTATAGAAATGGTCCTTCCTTTAATTAATAAGATTCAAGTTCGTCATGCCTCTGTTTTAACTCAACATTTACCACCTTTACCACATTGTCTTCATAAACAACCTTCTCATCAATATCAACATATCGTGACTCCTGCTTCATTACCAATTACTGCTTTATCCAATAATGCATTTAATCCAAGTTACATACCAAAGCATCATAAAGAAAGATTGACTATGGATGAGTTGTACAAGGTTCTTAATAACTCTAAATCTTTGTATAAAGTAATTCAGGATAATTACTTATATGAAGGTGAATATATTCACATTAAAGACAACGACATTGTTCATACGAAGGATACCATTGATTTAGAAGAATTATTAGAAGAACAAAATAGATTTATACAACTATTATTAAAAAAGAAATTAAAGAAATAAATGCAAATATAAACAAGTCTTTATATATAAAGAGTTCCAACAAAAATCAAGGGGTTATTTTTATTTTTTTTACAACAATGAAAAAAAAAAAAAATTAGGGGAAGGAAGGACAAGAGAAAAAAAAAAAAATTAATTCTCCGACAACCACTCATATGCAGCTGTTTTTTACATCAGCAAATGTAGTAATAAGAATTCGCGTTGTTTTGTTTTTACTCCTTCTATTGCTGTATTATGTGTGTAATTATTTTCGAAATATCTGACATTTAATTTGATAAACCCATATAATATGTTAAAAAAAAAAAGATAATGATAGTAAGCAAAAGGTGGTAGAAGATATACATAATTGGTACGGTAAATAAACACGCGAATAATATAATTTTGATTTCTTTTGTGTAATAGAATGTAAATTTCTTGCGTAGCTAAAAATACATGTTTGTATGCTTGACATATTCTTTTTTTTTTCACTGCTGCTATAAAGGGGGAGGGGTCAATATGTACATGATTTTATTACATCTTTATTATGTTATCCATTTATATACAAATATATACACATAAATATGAATATAAATTCATTTCATTGTTTTCTTTAATGTCTTGTTTAAAAATAAACACAAAAAAGCAGAGTTGTGATATAAATATACACATAAAATAGTTGATAATCACATAAAGTAAAAATAGTAGAAATGGCTGAGTTCAATTTATACATATATTAATTCAAAGAACTACCAATTAAATTTATTAAAGTGTGCCTGCGTCATTAATTTTTTTTTTTATTTTTTATTTTTTTGAATTTGGTTACGCTTACATTTAAAAAAATATATTCCCTTTTTTTCATTTTTTTCTTTTTTCTTTCTTTATAATAAAATAAACATCTAATTAAAATGGAGGACGAAGTTGCTGCTGTAAGTTTTAATAAATAGACTTTGTTTTTATTTAAAACACGTTGATTAATATTATTTTACGTGTTTTAGCTTGTTATTGATAATGGTTCCGGTATGTGTAAGGCCGGTTTCGCTGGTGATGACGCACCTCGTGCTGTAAGTAGCTCTTTTCCCATCTTGTCATCATTTTACTAAACTTATTTTTTTATTTTTATATATTTTTTTTCTTTTTCCTTTTTTTAAAAAAAAGGTCTTCCCTTCTATTGTGGGTCGCCCTCGTCACCAAGGTGTAATGGTTGGTATGGGTCAAAAGGACTCATACGTTGGTGATGAAGCCCAATCCAAGAGAGGTATCTTGACTCTCCGTTATCCTATTGAACACGGTATTGTTACTAACTGGGATGATATGGAAAAGATCTGGCACCACACCTTCTATAACGAACTTCGTGTTGCTCCCGAGGAACACCCTGTTTTGTTAACTGAAGCTCCTCTTAACCCTAAATCTAACCGTGAAAAGATGACTCAAATTATGTTTGAAACCTTCAATGCCCCTGCTTTCTATGTTGCTATTCAAGCTGTTCTTTCTTTATATGCCTCTGGTCGTACAACGGGTATCGTTCTTGACTCCGGTGATGGTGTTACTCACACTGTCCCCATTTATGAAGGTTATGCTGTGCCTCACGCTATCTTGCGTTTGGATATGGCCGGTCGTGACTTGACTGACTATTTGATGCGTATCCTTGCTGAACGCGGTCACTCTTTCTCTACAACTGCTGAACGTGAAATCGTTCGTGATATTAAAGAAAAGCTTTGTTATGTTGCTCTTGATTTTGAACAAGAAATGCAAACTGCTGCTCAATCTTCTGCTCTTGAAAAATCATATGAACTTCCTGACGGTCAAGTTATTACTGTTGGCAATGAACGGTAAAGCAATTCAAACTGATATACACCCTTTTTAATTTTTTTTTAAAAAAAAACCCAATTGTGTGTGTGTGTGTGTGTGTTGTGTTGTGTTGTGTTGTGTATATGTGTATATGTGTATTTTTATTTTTGCTAAACTTACTTTATATAATATAGTTTCCGTGCACCTGAAGCTTTATTCCAACCTTCTCTCTTAGGTCTTGAATCTGCTGGTATTCATGAAACTACTTACAACTCCATCATGAAGTGTGATGTTGATATCCGTAAAGACTTGTATTCTAACATTGTTATGGTAAGCAAAAAAAAAAAGTTTATTTGGAAAGGCGCAGGAAATAAAGAAAAAAGATGGTAGCAGAGAATATAATTAACTCACGCTATTTTTTTATTTATTTATAGTCTGGTGGTACTACTATGTATCCTGGTATTGCTGACCGTATGCAAAAGGAAATCACCGCTCTTGCTCCTTCTTCCATGAAGATCAAGATTGTTGCTCCCCCAGAAAGAAAATACTCTGTCTGGATTGGTGGTTCCATCTTGGCTTCTCTTTCTACTTTCCAACAAATGTGGATCTCAAAGCAAGAATACGACGAATCTGGTCCTTCCATTGTCCACAGAAAATGTTTCTAAGAAAAAAGAAGAAAAAACCAAGAAATTTTGTTTCGGGCAAGATTTCCTTTTTTTTTTCTTATTACAAATTTTTTTTTTTAATACAGGTTTTTAAAAATGAATTAGCACATTAATCTTATTTTAAAACATATAGTCCTTTTTATAATTAGTGTATAATCTATTCACTCTTTTCTTTTTTTTTTTTTTTTTTTTTTTTTTTTTTTTAAATTTACACACTGGTGTTCTAAGATGCATTTTAACTTGTGTATTTAAACAGATGATATTTACTACCTTTAACCTGAATTGTGACTTGATGTTATTCCACAATTTTGCAAATTAGAATGTCTAGAATTTATGCTTAATATGAGTTGTAAACGAAACATGCTAAGCTGGCTACTGTTTCGGAATTCGCTATTTATTATTAAAATAAATAAAAAAAAAAGATAGGCTTTTCAGCATTCTCACACAAACTTAAACTATGCATCTTTTCTTTCATATTTTGTAAGCCATTAGGTATCTTTCATTATCTAGCAAATATTAAACACATATCTAAATGAACATGATTAGCTTAGTTATTTATATATTATTATTAATCTCTTCAAGTGAAAGAAAATACAAATACATATAGTTGCTTGATTATTAGTAACTGCTTCTGGTTATATTCGTTCATTCTACTTTATCGTCATTTTTGATCTTTTAGTTTTACATTTATTAAAACTTGTAAGGCTTCTTATCTTTGATATATAATTCGATGACTTGATACCAGTAATATATAATCAATTCTAGAAGTTTCGGAAACCCTTAGTTCTGTATTTAAACTTTATATATGCATTGTAAGCAATGATGTCCCGTCATATTCACCTGTTATCTGATCTTCAAATATCATCTACATTTATTCATAGTTGGCAATATTATGAATCAGTTTTGCTAGTCATTTTTTTTAAAAAAAAAATGGTACGCTATTTTTTTTTAATGCTTCATCATAATGGCGAAAAGAAACATATTCGTTGATATAACATATAGTGAACAGCATAAATATGTAGTCCTTTAAAACAAGTGTATTAAAAGGCTATAAATTAAACATGTTTTTATTTTGAAATGTATATTATTAGAATCTATCTATCATTGATTGTTTAAATTGTGTATCTCTTTATAGTTTCGTTAATAATCCAAGCGCAGCATCCATATCATTTTGTGTCTTTTCGTACAGACGTTGTTCTTCTTCTAGTTTAGTTGTCTTTTGGCATATATAAAAGAAAGAAAGAAAGAGAGATAATGAATAATGTATATACAAGTATTCAATAATAATAATAATAAACTTACATCTTCCATTTGATCATTTTTCACTTTGATTATTTGTTTCTTTTTAGGTGCTAAATGGTGTTGAAGATCGTCCAAGAGGTTATCTAGATCTTCAGTCAAACTAGCATTTTTCAGTTTTTCAGACTTTGTTAATGGCTTTTTAGGTTTAGTAATTTTGTTCTTTCGGGTATAAGGGGTCTTTTTATTTAACGAATCTTTCTTTGCTGCTTTTCCCATTGTCAGTGATTTATGTATAATCTATATACTTTACTATGGATTTTTGTGAAAAAAAAAAACAAAAAAAAACAAAAAGGAAAACAGTCCTGACTGACTTTAAAACATCGAAGGAAAAAAAAAAAAAAAGACACGATTCATTCCTCACTTTTTACTTTCTTTCTTTCTTTCAAATTATGACCGAGCTTGTATGGAACGATACACATACTATCAATTCACAACATAAATATTGCTACTGTGGTAGAGATCGTAACCTGTTAGAAATCACTATTCAATGCCGCTGTAGGTAGTTTTATTATAAAAAAAAAAAGATGAAAAAAGAAAAGAAAAGAAAAAAAAAAAAAAAGCAAACAGCATCTCATGACTCTCTACGTTTTATTTTATATTTATTCAGTATGTAAGAATTGGTTTCATTCAGAATGTACAACTATTTCTAACCCACCCGATCTACTTTTTACAACTAACTATAATTTTGTTTGTCAGAATTGTAATAAAGAGGGGGACTTTGATATATTTGAAAGGACAACAGCTGGTTGGAAAGACATTTGTTCAACTGCAATTGCCAACTTGATTTTAGAAGAAATTCTTGCACGCATTGGACATAATGAAACATTATTTGATAGTAAAAACGCAAATTTGATGCAAGAATGGCACCCTGAGGAATATTATTTTAACAAGAAAGAAATTATTCCATTTGTTGATAAACACTGGCAGAGTCTTTGTACAGAGAGAGCCAGGACAACTACATGGTACATAAGATAAAAACATGTAGATAATAAGGGTATGGTGTAAGACTCATTATTCTTTTTTTTTTTTCATTTAAGGTGGGCTACATTAGGAAGTTGTCTTTATTCATCCAAGGAAACTTTCATGTCGCGTGATGAACGTCAACGATCTGCAGCTTCTGATTTTCGTCTTGTTGATGCCAATCTTTGGCACATTCGACCGTCATTTATCCAATATGGAGGAAAATCATTACCACGTACACAACAAGATCTTACAACTCCAATGACAACCCCCTCACCTAGGTCCTCATCACCAACTCCTCTTTTTAATGTTTTACCTGCTGTCATTTTCCCACAATCCTCATCCTCATCAACGGCAGATCATCCCTCTAATCGTTTTGGGTTCAAGTACACATATTGTGAGCCATCTATTTTGTCCTTGGTAGGGTATCAACAAGTGGCTAATAAAGATGGATGCACTTTGAGTATAACTGATAAAAGCCCTTATGTGTTTGTGGCTAAAGATGGCTTAACAGTGACAACAGAAAAGGGATTTCGTATGTGTCGTGCGAATGTAGGTGTTAAAGAAGGAGCATGGTACTGGGAGGCTATGATACAGAATGCGGCAGGACCAGCCAACGATAATGGACCTCATGTACGTATTGGATGGGCACGACGTGAAGGTAATATAAATACATGCATATATACGAAAAATACTAAGCTTATTTTTTTTTTTTAATTCTTTAGCTTGTTTAAATGCACCTGTTGGATATGATGCTTACGGTTATGGCTATCGTGACAAGACAGGCGATAAATTGTTTTGTTCAAGACCAAGTCAATATGGAGAACCATTTCAAACAGGCGACGTAATTGGACTTTATATTTCATTACCAACTAGACCTTTCAAATCAGTTACACGTCGGCGTATTCCAATTGCGTATAAGGAACATTTGTGGTTTGAAGAAAAGGATTATAGGCCAAGTAAAGAGATGGAAGCCTTAAAGGACCCATACAAGGAAGTGGATTATGAACCTAAAATCTTGAAGGGATCTTCCATTACAGTCTACAAAAACGGGATAAATCAAGGAGTGATGTTTACTGATCTATTTGATTATGAAGACTTTGGAAGTTGGCCAGAGACGATTATGGCTAAACGACGACAACGAGCAAAGAAAAAGAGAAAGCAGAGTTCAAAACAACAAGATGAATTAAATGGACAACAAAGATGGACAGAGGATCCACCTGTGGAAGATGATGGTACATTAGGTTATTATCCCGCCGTGAGTGTCTATAAAGGAGCTGTGGTAACGTGCAATTTTGGTCCTCATTTTCAATACCCACCTACAGATCAAAAAGAGGACTGGAAGCCGTACTGTGAACGATATGATGAATATATGGCAGAGGAGTGTGTGTGGGATCTATTAGACGAAGTGTCAAGATCATTTAAGCAACAGAAAAAAGTAATATAATGTACATGACTTTTTTTTTTTGCAACTATTTTGTTTATTTGTTTGTTTGTTTGTTGTTGCCTTTTTTTTGGAATTGGAGCTTTTATTAAAGCATTAGAATGTATATAATATAAAACAAAATTATTAAAAAAAAAAAGACTTGCGGGAAAAGATGAAGGCTTGAATGAATCTATTCCAAAAGGTAATATAAGAAGAGAAAGTAAGCTTACAAAATGATATTGGCTTGTAGTAGCCAATAGGATGAGCAACTATCTTTGTTTTATCTATTGAAATTAAAATCGTACTACATATACCAGATTGCGAGTAAACGCGACGACGCTTTCTACATATCCAATTTCTCTTCATTTAAGCCGATTTTATATATATATATATATATATATTCAGCCTGTTTATTATAATAGAATGGATGTTAACTCATGATTATACAATCTTTATAGCCAGAGCCTATGCAAAAGAGATAATAAATAAATACGTAGATAGTATTTATTAAGAAGTTTATGTTTCAGACAATAAATCCAATGTAAAGTAAGGATAGTTAAACATATATGTTAGTCATAACGATGTGTGTGTGTGTGTGTTTTAAAGTGATTTGAGCAAATAGTTTGGTTTCCATTCAGCATCACTATCCAGAATCTTTTTAATAATGTGTCGAGGTTCAAGTGTAATCAGCTTATTAAGCATATGTTCATCCTTGGTTATCTCTTCCTTTTGAAGAACAAAGATTCGATAAGAGTTCCTGTAAGCGTCAAACTGAATTTCTTTAACTTCCTGTTTGTTCATTAACGTTAAGAAAGCCTGAATGTATTCCTGTACTAATTCAGCTGTTGTTACAGGTATTGTTTTATTTACAATGGTATCAAGACATTCGAGCATTCTATTGTAATTATCCTCAAATTGATCTGCATACAAAGTTTTCCGATGCCTATCTGAATTATAAAGGCCTTTAGGCAAAAAGTTGTCAGAATCATAATCATTATCTGCAAGAATCCCTAGAGTAGTCCATACTTCATTCGTGATTCCTAAAACGCTAAGAATATCGTCCTTCTCGTAAAGAACATATCCTCCTTCATTAAGAGGTTTAATAACAACTTTTATTTTAGGGTAAAAGAGTAGGTCAGAATCTTGAGTGACGACAATACCTCCTAAACGGCCCACTGCAACCTCTGCTTCACCATCCCCAATCATGACTTCCCAACCAGTTTTACGACATAGCTGAACAAATGCTTTGGTCGCATTTTCACTAAATCTAAACAACTTCTTGGACAAGTACATCAGCTTGTTACAATCTCCCTTTTTCTTTATTCTCTTATCAAGAAATTTATCTAATGCATTTGATATGTTAGCTTGAGTATTTAATTTTAATTGAAGCCGCTGTTGATGACCCTTTCTTCGTTCAAGCGTGCGTTCTCCATCAATACAAAGGATATATTTATGCTTGTTAATAATAGTTGAGATCTCATAAAGAGACCTCTTAGCTGCAATAGCTAGACTACCCTCATTATCTTCATCATCACATAACCAAAAGTGTTTTTTAAGGATATCATAAAACGTTCCAACCACATCCACATAAATCTTTTCTTCAAATTTAAAAGATCCAAGCCTATCCCTTCTTGTTCCTTTAATATCATTATACTGCAAAAATGCCCATGCGCCATTGACTCCCATTTGAAAAAATAAAATAAAATAAATAAATAAAATGAAATAATATGAAATAAAATGAAAAGAAATAAAATGAAAAATAAATAATGAACAAGGAGACAGAAGAATAAAATAAAAGTATCACCATTTATACCAGCTTATAGTTGTCAATATCTATAAGCATTAATTGCTAAATTTGTGGGGGAAAAAAAAAAAAGTCAAGTGCTTGTCACTTATAGAAGAGTTTATTCTGCTTCCTTTATATAATTAAATTAAATTAGATTAAATTCGTCTGAGGAGAATAACCTATTGATTTAATATAATTAATTATATCTTGTGGACGAGCAATTAATTCGCTTGAAGAATCTACAGTCGTTAATACTTCTTCTTTTTGAAGTGCAAAGATTCTAAAGGAATTCATATACGTAGAGAATTTAATCATCCTACCATTCTTACTATTCATCGAAATTAAAAATTCTTTTATATATTTTTTGATTAATTTAGCCGTATTTTTAGTTGTGGACGTGATAGAAGACTTTATGATTTCATTATAATTTTCTTCAAATTGATCCACATACATGCCTTTATCAAGAAAAGAATCCTCTTTTTCTGGCATAAATGGATCTATATCATAGTCATTTTCGGCAAGGATCCCTAAAGCGGTCCATGCTTCGTTTGTAATCGCCAAGGCCTCTAATATATCACTCTTTTTATATTCAAGATAGATTGTATCCAGTCTCCCACTCAGAGGCCGAATAAGGATATCTATTTTGGGATAAAATAACATATCTGAGTCGTTTGTCACAACTGTTATTGTTGTTGTTGTACCACTACTACCACCTAATCGACCGACTGCTACCTCTGCTTCTCCATCACCCATGAGGATTTCCCAACCTTCCTCCTTACATGTCCTTGCAAACAACGTCTCTACATCTCTATTGATTCTGAATAATTGTTTAGTTAACGTTATCAAGAACATTAAATCCTTATAATTCGTTTGTCTTCTCCTTCGTTGCCTTGCTAACTTTTGTTGTAGTCGATAAATTTTGACTTGATTCCTTAATTTCTGTTCCATCCGTCTTTCATGCCCTTTCATACGTTCCTTTGTACGTTCACCATCAATACAAAGCACGCACGTTTCTTTGTTAAGAACAAGAGAAATGTCTTGTAATACCTTTTTCGCTGCATCTGCCTTCTTTTCATGATCATTTTCGGAACATAGCCAAAAGTGACATTCAAAGGTCTCATAAAAGGTGCCTACAATATCAACATAGATCTTATCACATTGTATTTCGTTGAGATTCGTTATTTCTCTTCCAAAGATACGTTTTCTCTCGAGGAATTCCCAAGCTCCCTTGATTCCCATTGTAGAGCACAAAGAAGAAGAAAAAGGGAATATGTCTTTTTTCACTACTTTATATATAAATACATACATATATTGTTTAACTTGATTAATCAAACTTATACATATACATATATAAAATAGCTACGTGATAAAATCTATATAATACTTTTTTTTTTATGCAATCAATAATAACCTTCAATCCAATACATGTATAACTATTTTTTTTTGTTATTTTACTTTCCAATTAGACAATAATGTATACTTTTGCAGTACCTAGCTTTTCTTTTCTTTTCTTTTTCTCTTATAAAGATATAAATGGTTTACTGCCATTTTTAACTAGAGTATAAATAAAAGTATGATATATTGACCTGATTTAATACTTTAAATCAAACTTTTATTTTGAACTGTACCTTCTTATGTAAGCTATATTCATTTCTATATACCTTAAATTATTAACATTGAATTTGTCCTAAGAAGGGGTTTTTTTTTCTTTTTAAAATAATAATAATAGTAGTAGTAGTAATAATACTAAAAAGGCAAAAGAGGGATATAGAAATACAGGAGCGTGTTATTGAGTTTATAACTAATTCAGCAGCTATTGTACTAGTTTATAAAGAAAATTGGAAGAATAGATTATGCACTAAACAGTCTAACTCTTCAAGAATGATGCAGATAGTGAATCAATTTAGAGGCGTACTAAGATTTTTTTTTTTGAAAAGCGCAAGTAATTCCAAATTTAGAAAAAGAGCCTTTTTTTTTTTCGTGACAGCATATACGTTGTAGCTTTTTTTTTTTTCTTTTTTTTTTTTTCCTATAAATTACAGATCATTTTTTTTAAAAAAATGGCAGATGAAACAAATACTAATGACAATAATAAAAGACCTCATGAAGAAAGTCCATCAGTAGAGCAGGAGCAAGAATCTGGTAATGAAAACAACAAATGCCTTTTTTTTTCGTATTTTATTAATGTTTTCTTGTTGATTTAGATGAGGACATTGGACCTGTTTTACCTCCTGGTCCTAATGAAGAAACTCCCAGAAAGAAAAAAAGAAGTAAACAAGATTATATAATAATAATAATAATTTCAACGAGATAACTAATTTGTTTGGAAAAATAGCTTTGGCACATGAGAAACTTTACTTAGAACACTTACCCAATGCCGACATGTACGAAAAGAGTTACATGCATCGTGATGTTCTTAACCAAGTAGCCGTTACAAAGTAATGATGAATTAGAATTCAACATTAGTATTTCATTTAAGAAACTTATTATTTTTATATATGTATACATGTGTTAGAAATGATTTTATTATAACAACTTCTGTGGATGGTCATTTAAAATTTTGGAAAAAGACAGGCACGGGTATTGAGTTTGTTAAACATTACAAATCTCATTTATCAAGCATTGTCGACATTAGTTTATCTGCTGATCATGAATTATTGGCAACCATTTCAGATGATATGTCATTAAAAGTTTATGATATCACTAACTTTGGTAAGTTTTTTTTCTTTTTTTAGGGTAAATGCTGAATAAATAATAACTATTGTTATTAGATATGATTAACATGATCAAGTTGAAATATAAACCAAAAACATGTTGTTGGATTCATCAAAAGGGACAAGCGCAAGCACTAGTTGCCGTGTAAGCTTAGTTATATAGGATCATATAAAAACAATATTTATTTATGTTTTTTTTATATGTATTAGCTCTGAGACAGAAAATTCAAATATTCACATTTATGACGGTCGTGCAGATGGGAAGCCTCTTCACACATTATCTAAAATGCATTCAAAACCTGTTCATATTATTGAATTTAATTCACGCTTTAATACAGTTATATCAGTTGACACGGTAGGTATGATCGAATATTGGTCACCAGAAGAACCTTTTGCTTTGCCCGACTATCTTGGTTTTGAACTAAAGTCGCAAACTAGCTTATATGAATTCCGAAAGGTATAAAACAGTTGCTTTGCCCTCCCCCCCTTTTTTTTATTATACAATAATAATAATAATTTTTTATTAGAAAAAATCTGTTCCTACTTGTTTAACCTTTTCACCTGATGGAACAAGTTTTGCCACTATGAGCTTTCCAGATCGTCAAGTCCGATTATTCAAATTTTTAACAGGGAAATTATATAGAGAATATGATGAGAGTTTGCAAGTCATTAGTGAAATGCAACAAGCTGGTACAAGTATTTATAAGTTAGATGATATGGAATTTGGTAGACGATTGGCTATAGAAAAGGAATTAGAAAAATCGAATCAAGCTAAATATGTAAATGCCATATTTGATGAGACTGGAAATTTTATTATTTATGGTTCATTACTGGGTATTAAAGGTAAAAGATTAAAAAAAAAAGAAAAAGTAGATTATGATGACATATGTATTCTAATCCGATATATATACATATATACATAGTTGTAAATATTAGAACAAATAAGGTAGCACGCTTGATTGGTAAATCAGAATCAAATAGATTTGTTAATCTTAGTTTGTATCAAGGTGCACCGAAGAAGAAGGGAATTTATACTTTGGTATGTTTAATATGAATATGTATGTCATGTGCATCCATTTAATTTTTTGATTATACATTAGGCTATGGCTGCATCAGATAATGCCGTACTTAAAGAAAGTCAAGAACTAGATCCAACCTTATTTTGTACAGCCTTCAGTAAAAATAGATTCTACATGTTAACACGTAGAGAACCATTTGAGTAAGTAAAGAGGCCTTCTCTTCATTCATAAACTATTAAACCATTAACATAATTTAATTAGTAATTCTCAAAAGGGAGAACGTGATGTGTTTAACGAAAAACCCTCTCGAGAAGAGCAAACAGTTGCTGCCACACAAGAACGTAAACAAGTCCTTGGTACCTCTGCCATCATTCGAACCACTTCTGGTGATATTCACATTCGTCTCTTCCCTGATGCCGCTCCTAAGGCTGTCGAAAACTTTGTAACACATTCTAAAAATGGTTATTATGATAATTTAATCTTCCATCGTATTATTAAAGGTTTTATGATTCAGACAGGTTGTCCCTTTGGTGATGGTACAGGAGGTGAATCCATTTGGGGAGATGACTTTGAAGATGAATTTTCGAGAGAATATAAACATGATCGACCCTACACAGTGAGTATGGCGAATGCAGGACCTAATACGAATGGAAGTCAATTCTTTATTACAGTTGCACCTACGGTAAGTGTGTTGTATATATACACAAAGATATTGCATATCTTAACATTTGGACTTTTTTTTTTTTTTTGTTAGCCTTGGTTGGATAACAAACATTCGGTATTTGGTAGAGTTACAGCTGGTATGGATGTAGTTCATAGTATAGAAAATGCAAAAGTAGATAAATCAGATAAACCTTATGAAGATATTAAAATTATCAACATAGAAATTCGATAAAAAAAAAAAAAGAGAGAGAGAGAAAATAAATAAAAAATTTATCATGTTTATTATTCATCATTTTCACGAATCACTAAACGTTTACCCACTTTAGGGGAAGTCTTTTGGGGTAAAGTGTCATGTCCATTATCGAAATAACTATAACCATCTTGATACCATTGTTCTTCGAGAGCCAAAATACGTTGACGATGTGAGACACCTCCTGGATATTTTTCTTTAAGTAACATTGTTCGAACATCTGTTAAATAGTTTCGTAAAGTGTGTAGTAATCGATCTGTTTGACGATGCTTTGAAGAAGCTACAAACTAAAATTTTTATATTCTACTGTTAATATACAGATGTGTGTATATGTATATAAAGATGCTAATTTTTTTTTTTTTTTTTTTTTTTTTTTTACCGAGATACGATCTTCTTTAATAATATAACCAATACCAAAACCATTTGAAACGACAGGTCCGAATCCAAACAATCTTAAAGCAGGATTACCACAGTTAGATGTACTAATAACACTGTGATTAAGGGTTTGCCAGCCTTTATCAGTAAAGATGGAAGGCTTTTTATGTTGTTGTTGTTGTTTATCAGCAGCATAGAGACGATCCCAAAGACATTCAAGGGCATAAAGATGACGATCTTGTCCTTGTCCTTGAGAACAAGCACGTGTGATTGCAGTATGAGCTTTAAGAGCTGCACGAAGCGCTTCTAACTTTTCATCTTGACTGCTAGTAGCATTATAAAATTGTTCAACAAAATAGTTCGACTCAAGGGTAACAGAACGAATCGCTTCTGTTCGACCATGTAAAAAATTTTTGGTCATAGCAGGTTCATATGTACATTCAGATTTTCCATACAGACCATAATAAGCTGCCTGAATAGCTACCTATTTATTTATATAAATCATGTGAATAAATATGAATATGTATAAATATGTATATAATTAAAACCCTGTCATTTTTTTTTTTTTTTTTTTTTTTTTTTTTTTTTTTTTTTTTTTTTACCTGTACAAATGCATCAGGGCTCATTTTCATATCTGTGATAAAGTTTTTTCCATATTGATCAAATTCCAACACTTTGACTTCATTTTGTAAGATTAAATCACTCATTCTTGTCTCTGCAAAACGAATACCTTGTTCAAGAGCATCCGTCATTTTCCATTCAATCTTACGAGGATTATGATCAAAGTAAGAGAATGAATCTGAAGTAGAACTTCTACGTCTTTCTTCTTTCTTTCTATAGTTGTGAAATATAGATTGTGTTTGACTATTAATCGTCTTTGCAAAACGTAAAATGGTATCCGTATAAATATCAGATACATAACGTAAAACTGTATGACCATCTACGCCTATATTTTATAATGAAGGAAAATTGAGTTTTTTTTTTTTTTTTTTTTTTTTTTTTTTTTTTTTTCACCTGTATGTTCAAAGTTTATTCCCGCACTACCATTTTGACACACAATAATCTGGGGAAAAAAAAAAAAAAGTTACACATGACCATAAAGTGAGACAATAAGAAAAACTTACTTGTAATTTATCATACCATCTATTGGTACAAGTTCCGACCTGAATACCTTTTTCAAGCTGATAGGTACCACATAACATGTTATTACTCAGATCCTCTAATGAATTCGGTTCCACATGATCTAAGCAGACCACAAACAAGGCCTCATCAATCACTCGAAGTGCCTCACGATTGACTTGATCGCTTTGTAAATTCTGACGTAATTTAGCCCAATTACGACGATTTTCCGTAGTCAAGATACCTACTGCCCTCTTAGCGACTTCACGAATGGGCGTCTCGACAGCGTCCCTTAAGATAGCCTTTAGACTAGCCGCGATCTCCTTCTCAGTCAATGCAAGGTAGCCCTCATCAAAGACCTCAAAATGATAAATTTGAGAATGAGCCATGACGATGATATGTCGACTCTCCAAATGAGGGGTAGTGGTAGCAATATAACAGCTGTCATGGGTTGGGATTCGAGCTGTACCAAAGAGTCTATCAAATTGAGACATGCAAAGAGGTGTACCACGAATCACGTCTGGTTCCAACTGTCGTGTCTTGAGAGCATGAATAAAGGTAAGTGTCGAATAGATCAGAGAGGAAGCCCGAATGACTTGATCATTTCGTTGTGGGGTTGGATCATCTTCAAGTAGAAAGAAAGGATTCAAGTTGAGCACAACTGGATCTCTAAAGTGTAAATAAGAGTCGTACCAAAACTCCTCAATGTAAGAGGATTTATCAGTAGCATAAGCGGTAAGTTTTGATTGGAGCTCTGGACCCTCCTTTTCAAGAAAGAAGGCAACAGCTCTCTTGGTAGCCTCATGTTCTTCTGTTGTCTATGATCATGATATATATAAGAAAAGGAAACTAATTTTAAATACAAATATGGAATATTAATAGAAGGCTAATTTACTTACTTGTAAAGGTTTTAAGGCAGCAAGGTAACGTGTTGCTGTATCTTCAAGTTTTGGAATAGGAAGCTTTGGTAATTGCTTTTGATATTGAAAGGTTTTTCCATCACTTGATTCTGTTCTATTTTGCTCAAGGTGAATTGTCATTTTTTTTTTTTTTTTAAAAAAATAAGATAAGAAAAAAAAAAAAATAAATGAATAAACTAAACTAAACTAAACACTATTTTATTCAAAAAAAAAAAAAAAAAAAGTGTGGGGAAATCAAGTATCATTGGTTATTGTAAATTGAGTCGATATACATTTGTGTCTCTTTTAAGAAACCCTAAATTCCTATAAAGGCGATTTGCAGCTTCTCTTTCAGGTCGACTAGTAAGGTCCAACGTTTTTGCGCCCACTATTTTTTTCGCACGCTCAATGATATTGTTCACTAATAACGTCGCCACTCCCTTTCCCCGAAAATGGGAGTCAACCACAACGTCTTCAAGATGAACTCGAACTCCTGTCATACAAGCTAAAGTGATCATGGATGCAGTTCCAACGATCTGTTCATCCCAAGTTGCAACTAATAAAGTAAGATTAGGATTTTGAATGGCATCAAGAATAGTTTGTGATGTGATGGAAGAAGAAGAAGAAAGCTGTTTTAAAAGAGATAAGAGTTGGTCAATAATAATTGAATTAGATAGTGAAATATCTTTTATTGTTAGTTGTTTGATGATTATATCGGGCATAAAATAATAAATAAATAAATAAAAACAAGAACAAAAGAAAATTCTTATTTTAATAGAATAGTTATTAAAAGTCAACTATTCAAAAATTACTATTTTTATTCATTAACATGCACAGCTACTAGCTTCTGTAGTTTCAGATGTATTAAGGTCTACTTTTTGCACTGAAAAAAAAGAAAAAAATATTAGCATGTCACTAAAATGAGAGGTTCATTCACTTTACTTTGTTCTTTTCCTCCTCCTATGCCTTCATTATTATCCATGCCAGGTAAGGCTTGTGCAATACGTCTAAATAATGTCTTTACATTATGTCCTGCCTTTGCACTTGTTTCAATAAACATAACATGACACTCGTTTGCCTTCTTTTCGCCTTCTTCAACAGTTACTTCTCTAAGATGTTTAAAGCATAAATACTCATCATCATAAAATACAGTTGTATGCCATTTTACCTTTTATCATTTAAATCTGTTTTATTACCAACTAAGACTATAATCACTTCTGATCCACGTTCAGCTCGTACATCTTCAATCCATTTCGAAGTATTTTGAAATGAAGCACGACCTACCCAGGTAAAAAAAAAAAAAAAAAAAGTATCAACATTTTAAAACCTGTTTAAATAATGTTTGTATGTATCAACTTTACTCGAAATATCATAAACGACAACTGCTACAGATGAATCTCTAATATAACTAGGAATCAAACTTCTAAACCGTTCCTATATTTGCCACCAATATACACATAGTTAAATCATACTTACAGTATAGCTTTTTAATGATATTATACCTACTTGTCCTGCTGTATCCCATAATTGTAAACGAACTGTTCTGTCCTCTAAATACATTGTCTTTGATAGAAAGTCAATACCGATTGTAGCCTAAAAGAAAGAGCCCATAAAAAAAAATTCATATCATTCATTTGTGATTGTAATTTTGAATAAATGTTGTAACTTACTTGATATGTATTATCAAAAGTATCATACATGAATCGTGTAATGAGTGATGTTTTACCAACTGTGAATTTCGAGATTTTATTTTTTATATACAAGGCGATTTAGATGAATACATACATGTATGTATATATATATATATATATGTATTTACCACTTTGTTCTCCCAAGAATACAAGTTTAAACTTTCTTAAGGGATTGCTAAATTCTTGGCTTGCCATTATTATGTATTAATTGAAATAAAAAAATATAAATAAGAAATGAGTAAAAATAGAAATTCATTACTGCATGTTCTTTAGCAGGTTTAATTTATCTATTATAATACCACTCCGCTATTAAAAAAAAAAAAAAAAAAAGGCTATTTGTTAAAATTAAAAGGCATATAGACTTTATTAAGGAAAATAATAATAATAAAAAAAAAAAAAAGGGGGTAGGGGTTAAGCGTCAGTTAATTGTGCTTGTGAAAGTCTTGCTTCTAAACTACGTAATGCTTCTTCTTTATTCATTAATTCAGCTCTCTTTTCTTGAATTTCACGTTGAACTTTTAATTCAATAGCACGAAGCTGTATAAAAGGTTAAATATTTTTTTACATGATACATAAATCTATTGGTAAATATACCTTTTCTTCTTCTTTTCTTAAATGTTCTTCTTTCAATCGTACACTTTGTCCAGCCATGTCATCAACATTCATAGAAGTATTTCTATAACATAGGATGATAATATTAGAAAAAAAAAAAAGAAAGACGTATGATAATTCTTTTTATTTTATTTATTTACCCATGGTTTCCTCTATTCGCAGTACGACTAAGCTTTTCAGTACGATAGTTTTCGTATAAAATATCATGCGTAATTTCTTTAAGATCCTGTAAATGAGAACTAGAGCAGTGTTCTTTATTAGATAAATAGATAGATAGATGTAGTTCATGCTATACCTTAAAAGGGCAGATCTTAAACGAGCAAAATCAGAATGCTCAGGGTTATCAACTAATAATATACATTGAGATTGCTTATATATACATACATATTTTAGTATGTCTATTTATTGCATACCTTCTACAGCGCCCCATGGGTATTGTCTTCCACGTACAGACCGATTATGGACAGTAATTTCTTCATCACTACCAATAATAGCAAACGGTAAAAGTGTCTATTATAAATGTAATACTTTACATAACTATTTCTCTTTTCTCGCTTTTATATTTATATATATTACTCTTAATTCATTATTTTCTTCAATAGTATCTTCATCATCTTCTTCAACATCATAAGGAAAGTTATAAATACGAATATTATAATGTTCGATATCTTCCATAATCTACATACACACACACACAAAAAAAAAAAATTAGCTTTATATACAAAGAGAAGAAGGAGAATCTCGAAAGATTCACAGAGATATATTTACTCTTCGTTTGAAATCTGAAAGCTCTTGAGGAGTAAGTGAATCAGCACGACCAATAACAGGGATAACATTGACTCGAGGACTCAAGCGTCGCATTAATTCAATATCAATTTCACGTAAACTAAATAGACGAATTGAGTACATTATGTTTGTATGCGTACAATTAAACAAAACAAAATTACGCGTGACCAGTAGGTGAAATGAAATATAAAAGTGCATGAACTCGATTATCACGGAAGCGAGGGTTACGTTTAATTCGAGATTCTTCTGCTAAGATATCATCATATTGAGTTTCTAAATAGCCTACAATCTCCTGAAAACTATGTATATATATATATACAGTATACAATATCAATTTTTTGTTTCTAAATATCATCACTAATATACTATGTATGTACCATTTTTCATTATCAATATTATCACCAAATCCAGGCGTATCAACAATAGTTAGGGAGATTCTATTAGAGTTTTATAGTAGTTAGGAGGATATATTATAAACATACAGTCCTTGCTCTACTCCCCCTATATAAATGTATATAAATGTATATATATATATATTTATATACATTTACATACACATATACATATACATATACATATACATATACATATACATATATATGTATATATATATATATATATATTTGTATTCTATCTCTCTCTCTCTCCCCTTAATACATAATAATTTAATTCTTAAAATTACCTAACACCATCCTCATCTAATTCTGTAAAAGAAAATATATAAACATATACACATATAAATATAATAATATTAGGTAAATCAAAAAAAAAATTGTACATCTTTATCTTTAACATACCCACAGATACTGGTTTGATTGTAATTCCTTCTTCTTTATGCGCTTCCTCTGGATTATCACATATCTTTTTTGATAACACATTTGAATCACATAATGTATTTACAAAAGTAGTACGGCCTGTTCCTGATGCACCTATTTGCAAGAAAAGAAAAAAAATTAGGCTTCTCTTTTTCTTTTCTTTTCTTTTTTTTTTGTAAGCAAGATAACTTACCTACAACCATTAATGTAAACTGGAAACCCTTTTTGACATTTTTTCTTCGTCCTCCTAATCTCTAAAAGAAAGGATAAAGACACTATTTTATTAGTCTCTTTGTTTTGATAGAGATGTATATCTATAATGCATGCTTTTTAACTATGTATTTTTTATTTTTATTTTTACATGTGCCATTCTTGCTTGAAATATTAAAATAAAAAAGTAATAGTAGAGAGAAAGGAGAAAAGAGAAAAGAGAAAAAGAAAAAAAAAAGACACTCTAATTTGAAATATAAATTTTTGCTTTAAGGGGGGGGGCTCAAATTGATAACTTAAGGGTTAATCTCAAGTTGACTTCAGAATATTACTTTTAGTGCATTATGTAATTTCTGCATTTTTTTTTTAAAAAAAAAAAAATCAGGAGTATTAATACAGGTTCTATGTTTTATTTTACATCTTTTGCTTAATCCATTCTCCTCGTTTATATAAGCCTTGTTCCAAACACGCTTCTAACACGATCTTAGCATCTCCTCCATACATTTCCCATAATTCACATGCTGTCAATGCATCCCTCACTGATCGATACGCCTTTAAACATTCATTAATCAAGGCTACTTCAGACGTCCAATCGATGTCGATATCCATTCCCATCCATCGACGTACTCTTGCTAATGCTTCACTATCTTGATATTTCCCACAAAATCGTACAAGTTCTATATACATACTTGTAATCGTTTCTGGCTTTGTATTCGTTGTATAGTGTCGCATATCCTTGAAAAGTGTCATCATGGCTGCAAGTGGTGTCCTTGGCTCATCATCTTCATTTCCTCCTTCTAAACTCCAATAAACATCATCATGACTCCCATTCTTGGTCGTATCATGATGATTCACCGTCGCTAAAGCTTGTATCATCGTCACATAGGTTTCTTCATTCAATACTTGTGAATTCGCTTTCTTCTTGCTTTGATGATCACGTAGTTCGTAATAGATGCTCATGGCTTCATCAACTTGTCCATCGTAGATATAGGATAAGATTAGATATCGATAGACGATAGGATCAGGCGCTGTGTGTCGAAAGGTAGTGTCATAAAGCTTTTGAGCTTGCTGAGATCGTCCCTGATGGGCTAATTGTTTTAATAAAGCATGTGGATCAGTGTGTGTTGTCATTGACATGATCGCTTCTCCATCCTTAGAATCAGGTAAGGTAATAAATGAACGATGATAAATGAATTGCAATGGTCTTATAGAAAAACAGCGAATCAAACATGGACGTTGAACTAAAGAACGAATTAACATAGACATGAGAAAAGAAAAAAAAAAAAAAAGAATTACATACATATTCATTTATAACTTCTTTTAACCCCCCGGAGAATAAGGTATCAAATTCATAGCCCGCGCCTTTCTCTCTTTCTCTCTCTCTCTCTCTTTATATTACAATTTCTTATATGCAAATTTTTTATTAACAATAATAATAATAAAAAAAAAAAAAAACTTCTCTAATTGTTTTCTTCAGGCTTCATAGCAGGGAACAAAAGAACCTCCTTAATATTATTAGAATCAGTCAAGAACATGGTAAGTCTATCAATACCCATACCCCAACCACCTGTGGGGGGTAAACCAAACTCAAGTGCTTGACAGAAGTTTTCATCAATAAGTTGAGCTTCATCATCACCAGCTGCCTTTTGCTTGGCTTGTTCTTCGAATCGATCACGTTGATCAAATGGATCATTCAATTCAGTATAGGCATTACAAACTTCTTTAGTAGCTACGAATAATTCGAAACGTTCACAAAGACCAGCACGATCACGATGCTTCTTAGCAAGAGGAGACATCATTTGAGGATGACCGGTAATGAAAGTAGGTGAAATACAGTTAACTTCCAAATATTCACCAACAAGTTTATCGAGCATACGAGCATTTGTACGAGGTTCAGCACATTCAATACCGTGTTTCTTTAATAAATCAGACAAGAATTGGTTGGTTTCGGCAGTGTGAAGTTGATCTCCAGGAGGGAATTTGCAGTCCAACTTTTCTTCGAGTGTTTGAATCATATCAATACGCTTGAAGGGAGGGGTGAAATCGATATCCATGACAGGACCATCAGGACCTTGAGGATGATATTGAACTTGGTATTTACCAAACAGAGACTTGACCATACCAGATAACAATTCTTCAGTCATATCCATCAAATCGTACATATCAGCATAGGCCATATAAAATTCACAGGTAGTAAATTCAGGATTGTGGGTCATATCGATACCTTCATTACGGAATTGACGACCAATTTCATAAACACGATCAAGACCACCTACAACAAGCATCTTCAAGTAAAGTTCAGGAGCAATACGCATAAACATATCAAGCTTCAAGTCATTGTGATGAGTAATAAAGGGCTTAGCAGTGGCACCTCCAGCAATTGTGTTCATCATGGGTGTTTCAACTTCCAAGAAGTTACGTTGGTCCAAGAAAGAACGAACATAAGTAATGATCTTGGAACGAATTGCAAACTTATCACGTACAAAGTTGTTCATGATCAAATCCAAATAACGTTGACGATAACGTAATTCAATATCCTTGAAACCATAATTGGCTTTAGGTAACATACGAAGACAAGGTGACAAGAGAACAACCTTCTTGGGGAAAATTGAAAGTTCACCACGCTTAGTCTTACCAGGTACACCTACAACACCAACAATATCACCACGACGCAAGAGGTCATGCACTTGAGCATAATCTTCACCTTCATGATCTTGAAGAGAGGCCATGATTTGAATCTTGACTCCCTCACCATGTAAATCATAGAAACGCAATTTAGCGCCAGAAGCACGCTTGTTGTGAATACGACCAGCGACAGAAACAACTTGATCATCAGCACGTTGGCCAGTTTCGATCTTGCTGAACTTTTCAATGAATTCTGGAAGACTTAATTCAACTTGGAATTTGTGAGGATAAGGATTAGGAGTAGGATTCTCACGAAGTTTGTTGATAGCCTTTGAACGTAATTCAAAATATTGCTATAAATATAATGTAGAGAAGGAAGAAAAAAAATTTTTTTTTTCGTTAGATGATGACAAATCTCTCTATTAATTATATTATATTATAGATGTATATATTTACATTGGGGTTCAAATCCTCTTCACCTTCTTCAGCATTCTTGGGCTTAGTAGTTTCCTTGGCAGGAGCAGCAGCAGCCTTAGCAGCCTTAGCAGCTTCCTTAGCACGAAGCTTCTCACGTCTCTTGAATTCACTACAATTAATAGTATTAAGTTACAACTCATTAGTTTAATTATAAGTTATATAGATGCATACGACTTGGAGATCATCTCTCCAGTGACGGGATCCTTTTGAAGGTTCTTTTGATCTACTTGTTCAGACATCAGGTCGTATACTAAGAAAGAATTAAAAAAAAAAAAAAAAAAGGATTTATTAAAACAGGAGAAAAGAAAATTTTTTGTTTAAATTTTTTTTCAATCGGACATTCAATAATTGTTTCTTCTTTGACATATTCAAAAATGATGCCAATATAGTGGTTGCTTGATAAAGGCAATAATAAACTTTTTCTCTTTTTTTTTTTTTTTTTTTTTTAGTTTTACCTCTTTTGCAAAAGATAGATTAAAAACAAGTAATTTCGAGTGAAATAAACAAAAAAAAAGTATTATGAAAAAAAAAATAGCGACTTTAATAGTCATTGAGCAACAACAATAATTTTATAAAGAAATTTTATTTTGATGAAGATAGATAATCTGGAGAAAATTTTGTCAACGAATTATAATCGAGAGATTATTTATGTTGGTTACAGCCGTATTATACCAAATTGTATTACATAATATTATCGAACTTGAATCTAGCTGATTTCGTATTTATTCACCAAAATAAACTACTTTAAATTTGACTCTATAAAAAGTATACAATAGAATAAAGAGATGATTGTTTATCAAATACCATAAGAATAAAGACAGAATAGATTTGATCCAACTTATAAAAGCTTATTTACGTCCTTGAATTCTTTGTTTTGCATAACAAATACTTGTAAAGCTATTGACTTTGGCTTGGCGATGTACTTAGAAAGCACTACAGCAGAAGAGCAAGTTAGAAATTAAAGCAAATTTAGAATACTAAACGAGTTTTTAATTATCACTTTCTTATCCCTTTACAAAATTTAGAATTTTATTTTGATTAGAAGGAAAGCTGCAAAAATTAAAGTAATTGTAATTTTGATAAGAAACCTTATTTTTTTTTCAAAGGTTGTTGTTTGTTCATAATTCTCTATGTTTGGTTCAGTTAAGAAAGCCATATAAGCATTTCTATGTCATATGTGTTTGTATAATGTAGTACTTATAGTGATGATTATGTTACTGCTGTCAATAATATTGAGTACCTAGTTACAAATTACCAGTGCTGGAGTCGTTTTTAGATTATGCATCAATCATCAGTGTATTTTAATTAAAAATACAATATATTACATATTGACCTCCTTTGTAGTTTCTGTGATCGAAATACTATTGCAAGTTCTTTGGAAAGGGTAAGAGATGCTCTCATTTCTGCCTTTCCTAATTTTGATTTCAATTATTTTGTTAAGTCTACATAATCACCTTATTAAGCAGGCATCACTTACTCTTAAAAGACTAGATAAACACCTTGCTCCTAGAGCGCCCGAGACAAACGCTCCAACTTTGTAGAGAAAACATATATTAGTATAGAAAGCAGGTCAGGAAGCAGCAATGAATTAATATAAGAATTGCGTTTTTTTTTTTTTTTTTTTTTTTTTTTTTTTTTTTTTTTAATGAGACCAAATTTAATCTTGTATATAAAAAGAAAACTTGATTAGCCAGAATGAGGATTGCTTGCTAAAATAGTTGTTGACTCTTTGAACAGGAGTATTATCGACTCCATTAGCAAAAACATAAGGGAGGGGAGGGAAATTGATAATTTGATCAAATTCAAATAAAAAGAGTATAACTTCAAATAAGAAGAGAAAGAGTGAAAATAGCAATACAGTTTGGTACTAAAGTAAATACTAGAATTAGTAAACAACAAGGAATGTATTGTCTTTGGTTTGTAAGCGATGTTATGGACACTTTAAATATTTGTGTAATGGTTACCTGATACTTTGTTAAGGATAATACTATCATTCATGCATGTTCTGGTATAAGAAAAATGGGATTTACAAATGTTACGTATTATTATATAATATTAAAAAAAAAAACGTGCATACAACTCCTATTTTTATGGTTGCCATGGAAACCACTCTGTACAACGGTTCATACGCAGTCCAAAACTTGTATTTGTATATCATATTATTGTCTTACACATTTTATCAAAGTATACACAAATGCTTTTTGTTTTGTATATAAACTCTAACTTTTATAATCATTTCCTTCCCTTTTTTATTCATACTTAAAAACCCACCAAAAAAAAAAATGACTAAATCAAAATCAACAAAAAGACAATCTTTAAGAAGTCTAACTCAGAATTTGACTATGCTCAACAAGAATAAGGTATAAAATCAATATGGAGAAGAAATAGCATATATATGCATATATATATATATAATATGGTTCTAAATATTTTATCCTTATTAGAGTGGCAGGTTGCTTAAGACACAAGATCAAGTAATTTTAAAACCATCTAAAAAGCTTGGAACGCGTAGTTATACTAGTATATACCTTTCAAAACATATACGTAAAGGACGTATAATAAAAATAAAAGGTTTCAAAAAACATCTTGTATGTATGAAAACACATCTATAATTAACATATATATATAAAGAACTAACCACTTTATTTGTATGGTTATAGGATAGTACAATCTATTTAATTTCTCGTGAAGGGTATGAAGATGATAGCTGGGAAAGTGAAGCAATGATTGAAGACCTTGATATCTTACATAAGTATCAACAGAAAGTGTTTACTGAATCCGGTTATATTGTCAATGAGAAACAATCTAATATGAATATTATCCAAAATGAAAGACCCTCTCGTCTATCCAAGATCCGTGCTATTATGGCAATAAAGCAAGCTGTTCTTATTGATAGTGATGAAGACGATACTGATAATGAAAATAAAAAAAAGTTGAATAAAAATGATAAGAGCAAACGATCTGGAAGAAAAACCAAGGCCCAAATCCTTTTGGAAGATCAATATTCACAACGATTGAAGAGAAAGAATGTTAGGAGTCAGATAGATGGAGAGGCTCTTATGGACTCACTAACATATATCAAAGGAAACAATTGTTGTTTATTATGTTCGACTAATTCTTATCGCGGATACCTTGAGACTGGTTCGTATGATGAATTCAAATATATGCTTGAAAGTTATGAAAAATACCCTTCCTATACTCATGAAGATAAAACCAATGGTCTTGATTTAATTGAATATTCGTTTATTCTCAAAAAGTTTGAATTTGCTGAACTTGCCGCTAAGATCAGTTCAGATAAGACATTCAATAAACGGCCCAATGTTCCTAAAAAATATTTAACTTACGATGATAACACAGGCCATAATTATGGAGTAGGTACTTATTCAAAGCGTGCTTTTAGGTAATTCATTTTGCAATATTATTTATTATTAATCAGCATAATGTCTAATAATATACATTTATATACTAGACAAGTACAAGAATCAAGAGGAAACCGTCTTGGAAACTCTGCTTTTTATAAAGACAGAATGAACAAGACATCCATGAATTTAGAAGATAGCATAAAGAATTGCGAAATCCGTCCATTTATACATTATATAACAAGAGATGTATTTAAGGATGTTGATGTTATTGAGAATTTCTTAGTCCGTATACAAAATCCTTCCTTATCAGTTTATTTTGCTATTATATCAGGAAATCGCATATTAGCTCATATGTTGATTGAAGAAGCAAACAAAGTTGAAGGAAGAACTACATTTAATCATCTTCATCACGAAGTTCTTAAGGTAATGTTGAATTTTTAGATTTAAAAGTAAAAAAAAAAAAAAAAAAAAAAAAAAAAATCTCATTTTTCTTCCCTTTTATTATTATTTTTCAAAAATATTGTTCATAGTTTGATGCTACTCAACCTCTATCAAACTACAGGAAAACACAAATATTAAAATCTGCATTTGATGCTTGCAATGTGACACCTTATCACTGCTCTGCTATCCATTCATCTACAACTTATCTTGCAGAGTTTTATGAAGCACTTGATACTGCTGAGAGATTACAAACAGATTTGTATGGCAGAACCGTTGCCTTTTATGCTGCTGTAAGTGAGACAACTGCCTGTCTGGAATACCTTCTGTCAAAAAACTTTAATATGATTGTTTACGATAAATACAAATTAACTCCACTCATTCAGGCAGCTCGCTTTGGTAGAAGCCATAACGTTGAGTTTCTAATTAAACATATGAAAGGTGATGATAAGAGTATAGACGAGGTCTCTTCTTCCATTTATACATCTACCGCAGTTAAAAACAGAAGAACAGCCTTACATTATGCTGCCTTTTTTGGTCACGCTGATACTTGTAAAGTATTGATTGAATATAATGCGCCTGTGGATATTATTGAAAACCTTGATAAACAAACACCTTTACATTTTGCAGTAAGGAATGGTCACTATGATTGTGTACAGATACTGATTGAGGAAGGCAATGCTAATCCAGAAAAGGTAGACAAGTATTTAAGAACACCATTGCATTTAGCATGCATCTTTGGTCATTTACAGATTGCATATTACCTTTTATCCCTTGGCGTAGATGCAAATTCAACAGATAGTTCTGGTAACTCACCTACTCATTATGCTGCTGCATTTGGTTATCAAAAAATATTGAAACTTCTTATTTATTATGGATTGGCAAACCCAAATACGAGCAATTTATGGAGGAGTACTCCTTGCTCAATTGCAAGCATGAAGGGACATTTAGGCATTATTAAATACTTGCTTACATTGCCTGATAATCCAATCAATGTCAACTTTAAAGATCAAGATGGCTATATTATGTTACAATATGCTATTAGCGAGCCAGTAAACTCTGAATTGGATATAGCAGCCAATTTAAATAAAATCAAATTACTGATATCTATGAAGTCAAATGTCAACAGTAGTGATATTGAAGGTATGTGTAAAAAAAAAAAAAAAGGCTTTTTCTAATGCAATATATATATATATATATATTATTATTATTATTATTATTGTTATTGTTATTGTTATTGTTATTGTTATTGTTATTGTTATTGTTATTGTTATTGTTATTGTTATTTGAACAATCTATAGGTTATACTTCTATGCATATATTAGCTCAAAATAATTCGTTTTGTTGCTTATATCCCAAAAATTGGAGTACATTTTATCCTCAGAAACAAATAGGCTATTTTGGTTTTAAACCACAAAATCAACTAAAAAGAGTAATGGATGATATGGAAGGGATTGAGTATATTTTAAAGATTGCCAGAATACTAATTGAAGCAGGATCTGACTTAACCATTCAAAACCTTGAGAAGGAGACACCTTTATCTACGGCAATGAAGCATCATAATCACTTTTTAGTAGCATTACTAATTGATGCTGGTGCAAAGTTTTGGGAAGACACATATGATAAGGGGAACAATTTTTTTCATTACTTTGGTAAATTGGCTGCGTATGCAAACTCTTTTCAACCACATTGTGAAGAAGATGCTATTAGACAAGAGAGATTTGTAAATGTTGCAAAAATGATATGGAATACTGTTGAGGCTAAATGGATGCCAGATATACGTTTGATAAATGCTGTAAGTTTTTATTTTTTGTTTTGCTTTGTTTTTTTTTCCTCCTTATTAATATATACAAATATATATATACATATATCTAAAATATTATTTGAAATTAGATAAACGCATTTAATCATGAAGGATATACTCCTATATTATATAGTGTTCATCAGGCGGTTTATAAACAGAAACAAGCAATGATACGTGAGAAACAACTCATCTATGCTTCAGTTCCTAATAAATCTTATGGCTTTTCTGGATGTTCAGATGATAGATGGTATCCAAGTGAAAAATTTAATGCTTACAAGGAACGACCTATTCAAGTTACTTTGATGTTTGATTTTTCCATTTTTGTAAGTGTATATGAATTACATATAATGTATATATATATATATTATTGTACTTAAAGGATTGTATATATAAATCAATAGATTCAACTGATGAAGAGCATAATCATAGTTGCTAAACCAAATTTAAATGCTACTATAAAACTTCCGAAAGATTACAAGAATAATATTTCTACTACAAAGAAAAAAGATTATCCAAGGTTCACAGGATTTTCAGCTCTTCATTTAGGTATATTATTTACTAAAATAAGCCAATAAGCTCTATTATTTAACCTTTTATTTTATTTTATTTTTTTTAAAAAAAAAAAAAAGCTTGCAAGACACAAAATGTTGATTTAATAAGGTTTCTACTACAATATGGAGCAAACGCTAATTCTAGAATAGATATTGAAGGATGGTTAGATGATACTCCCATCATGGTAGCTTATCACCGAAAAGAAGATCTTCTTCAGGAACAACCTAATAACAAAACTGAAACTATAGAACTCATAAAGAAAACCTTTACTATCATCAAACCTGATTTTAAGCTTTCATTATATCAAACAATTCAAACTCTTATAGAGTTTAATGCATATCCATATATTACAAATGCTTCCGGAGATTCTGCATTATTTAGGGCTTCAGTTAATATGGATGTAGAAAATCTTCAACTGATGTGTAGCAGGATGAGGAATACGATGAACGGCAATGAATATGATAATACCAACACTAAAAACAAAATGAACCAAACAGTGCTTATGACCGCTATCAACTCTATCCAATCGTTTGATAAAGCTAAAGAACATATTTATATTTCAATCATAAACTGTCTTTTGCAAATTAAAGCTGATCCCAATTTTAAATACAAAGATAGTGATACAATTTTGATGAAGGCGATCAAGATACCTTATCCTTCTCTAGTAAGAACGCTACTTGAAAATTCCAGAATCCATATTGATCATAACTATCAAAATAAAAGTAAGTATTTATATATTATTAAGTTATTATTTATTTCTTATTTACTTGCCTTTTATATATATATATATATATATTTTCCCCCTCTCCTCCTCCACTATCAATAATAGAACATGAAACTGCCTTGTTAATCGCTTGCAAGTTAAATGAGGTGGATATAATTAATATTTATTTAGATTATCTACATAACCTGAAGGAAGACGTATCATTTAATGTAAATCACTTTGATGATGCTGGATGCTCCCCTCTCTCATATGTTTGTAGAAATGGAAATAAAAATGCAGCTCAACTACTTTTAAACCTGGGTGCTGATCCTAATTTTTGCAAGGTTCAATCTATTCCCCTCATAGAGGCAATCAAAAGTGGCCATCTTGATCTAGTCAAGGTTTTATTAGAAAGAGGTGCCATCGTAATAGATCAGAGCGATATAAATGGAAACTCACCTTTACATCATGCTGTCTTGGTTCAGAAGCATCGCATGACAGATCTTCTGCTAGAGTATAATGCTGACTTTAAAGCTGTTAATCATAAAAATCAAACACCACTTCATTTGGCTATTGAAATGACTAAAAGGCAGACAAATCGTTCTTTCCGAGTAGAACGAAGCTTGATTCAAATGGGTGCTGATGCAAACGTACTTGATTATTTAGGTAAATAGGTGCTTAATTAGAGGAAAATACATAATAGAAAAGAAAGAGGAGGGGGAAATAAACTAATTCTTTTTTTTTTATCATTCATTAGGTCGCACACCACTTCATTATATATTTGTCAATAACCAGACAATTCCACTTATACAAAATAACTTGATTATTTCAAAGAAAGTTAATCAAATGATCAAAGAAATACAAGAGCAAAAGGAAAAGGAGAGTATTCTAAATGACTATATCAATCAATTTGACCTTGTTGACGATGAAACTAGCTCAATAGGTCAAATTAATGAATGGATGAAGAATGCAAAAATGACTCAAATTCATCAAGAATATAAAGCAAAAAAGGCGTTAGAGATTAAGGACGATGAAACAATCTTCGTATCTGATGAAGAAAAAGCCAGTTTAAACAAATATCTTGATTGTGAATGGGAAACAGAATTAGATATTCCTGAACGCTCTGATCCAATAGATATACTGAAATATCTTTCTGGTTGTAAAGCAATCAAGTTTGATATTCAAGATGAATTTGGAAGAACTCCATTGCATTATGCTGCATGTATTGGTGCTTTTAGCTGCTCAACATTTTTGATAGAGAAAAAAGTTGATATTAACACCTTTGATTTAGACAATGTAAGATTTTCCCCCTTTCTCTCTGTTTAATATAAATAATTATACTAACAATGATATTTAAAAAAAAAAAGAATGGTTCATTTCAGCTTGCACTACGAAATAATCATATAGACTACTCGGTTATGTTATGTAATTATGGAGCTGATATTAATAGCAAAATTACTTTAAAAGACGGCAAAAGAATTTCGACTTTTGATTTTAGTTTATCAATGAATTTAATCAATATTTCTTACTTAATATTAGATAAAAGCTTGTCCCTTCTTGGTAAGATTGGAAATATAACATTATTAACATTCATGTAGACTTATTGATTTCATTCCTTTTTTTTTTTAATGAAGAATATATTAGAGATGCATTGAAAAATGGTAATATACACTTGCTATGATATAGTTATTATGTACTTACATGACATATTTATTAATGTGTGTTCTCCCCCCTTTTTTTGTTTCTTTATCCATAGGTAAATTCCATATGGTCGAAGTTCTGTTGTATTCAGTAGACACATATGCACTTTCAAAAACATTAAGTGATGAAGAACAAAACATGTGGCATATCTTGGCTAGTTTTAAACCATTTGATAGGTAATATTAGAAGAAGAAGAAGAAATAAATAAATAAATTATAACTCTCATAGTTACCATTGTATTTTAAATTATATAGTGAAATATGGCACGACTATCTTGACAATTTTATATCAAAAATTGCACTTATAAACCTTGGCCTCGATAGGGACAAGTATGGTAGAACACCTTTACACTATGCATCCAAGTATGGACAATATCGATTGCTTCAATATTTAGTCGAAAATTTCCACATTGTTTTAAATATCATTGATGAAGATGGAAAATCTGAACTTGATTACGCAGTTGAATCATGTGAAATACAATGTGTTGAGGTATATATATATATATAAAGATAAAATAAATAAACCTACATGAACTTATTTCTTTCTTTCTTTATGAATACAAGATACTTTTGCACAAAGGCTGTCACGTAAACAAGCCAACTCATATATCAAAACATAAATCTGTACTCCTAGTTGCTGTAGAAAAGTCTCAATATGAAATTGCAAATTTACTTTTACAGAATGGAGCTCTAACAGATGACAATGATAGTGTTAATGGATGGTCTAACTCAGTCATGATAGCATGTTTGAAAAAGGACTTAAAAATGCTACAAATTCTTATAAATTATAATGTTGACCTAAATAGACCTAGCCCCATTGAACGAACAGATAAAGCTGGAAATACATATAAAGTAGTTACCTATCCTCTTATCGTTGCTTCTTCAAAATTATGTGCTACATTCTTGGAGGTAATTAGCATTTATATTAATATATCGTGAAACGTTTCTTGTCTTTATATATGAACATATGCATTTAAATACATATATATGTATATACATATGTGTGTATATCTATTTTATAGGTATTGCTGAAGGCAGGTGCAAATCCAAATGTATATGAACCTGAAACTGAAACTGAAAAAGGAATGTCTTGCTTCATGTATAATGTTGCGTTAAACTCTATTGAAAACCAACAGGTAATACAATCATTTTTAACAGATAAAGTCTTTCTTTTTAATGTATTTATTCCTTTTTTAATTTATATATGTGTATGTTATTATAGATGCTATTAAAATATAATATCAATTTGGATCTTGTAGATCCGTATTCTATGCGTACACTGTTTTATGAATTCTTTTTTGAAAATATGAGCCCTAATCAATGCCTGCCAAATAATATCAATAGAACTGAAAGACTTGTTTTTCATGACTCCATATATCAGGAAATGCTTAAATCATGCAAACCCAATGTAAATACGATTGATCCTATAACGGGAATGACTCCATTAGAACTTGCTATTATTAAGAGAAATATATTTCTTGTCAAGGTACATTTGTTTTTGTTTATTTTTTTTTTTAAAAAAAAAAATAATAATGGTTAAAATTATTTATGCTTATTTCTTCCTTTTTTTTTAATTTTTTTTTTTATAGCATCTGATTTCATTAGGAGCAAGTCCAAATATTGAAAGCTGCTGCAATTACTCTAATGATATTTCGACACAACGTATCATGAATCCTTCACGGAAAAAGCTACCAGCATTTTTACATGCTATTATGCAATCGAATTTGGAAATTTTAACAAGCGTTTGTGAAGCGTCTACAGAAGAAATCAACTGGATGTGGCACGATGATGAAGGCAACACTATATTTTCATATATGATTGGAATAGTCAGTGGATATTCCAATTTAAAAAAACCTACTCTAAACTATATAGCATCTCAAATGGGAAATGAAATATTCAACTATCTATTACAGACGCCGAATAATCATGGTATAACAGAGATACTATATTCAAAATGTATATTAACTTCTTCTCTCTCTTTCGTTTTCTTTTCTTTTCTTTTTTTTTTCTATTAGGAATTTCTCCTATTTTATATGCTTATCATTATCATCAGAAAAGTCAAGTTCCTTTCAATTATAGCACGCTATTATCACTTTCAGATCCTTCTTTTGAAAATTTTGCTGTTGAGAATTATAATGCAGAAAAATTCATTCACTCTGAACAAAATTTATCCAAAGATATAGATATAAACTACATTTCAGCATCAAACGTAGAGAAGGATGCTCAAATTGAACGGAAAAGACTTCAACAATTAAAGAACATTGAACAAAACAAAAAGAGAGACTCTTTAAATAATGATACAGTAGATGACGCTTTAAGGGTAGACCCTTATTCCAAATTAGACAAAGTAGGTTATATCATTGTAGATGAGCATCAGGTTCCCTATGATATTATGCTTATGAAAGTAGAATTACAAAGTTGGGGATGTTATACAGACACTTCGTAAATATAATTTGACTATATTCTAGTTGTACGTTTGAACTAATTCTTCTTTTTTTTTTTTTGCTTTCCTTTCCTTTTCTTTTTCCCTTTTTTTTTTTTTTTTTTTTTTGTTAGTTTCTATAAGCTCAGTATTATCTACAATAAAATACTAGATATTTATATCTTGTGGACTCGATGGGGGCCCTTTGGAAAAGAAGGACAACATCAAAAGACACCATTTTTGACTAAAGAGTCGGCTATTGAAGAATTTAAATTGATATTCAAGTCAAAGACTAGAAATAGTTGGGACCATCATCGCAGTTCATTTGTAGCTAAACCTGGACGTTATGAAATTATGCAAAAATCGAATCATCCCAAGGATATTATTATTGAAGACTTTGATTTCCTCAAATCATCCAATGTCGTGCCTACTAAACTACCCTCTGACCTGTTTCATCTTTTAAAACTTATCTGCAACTATCATTATTTGTCACGAGTTTATATGGATACTAACATTGATATGCCACTTGGGCAAATTCCTTCAAGTCAAATTGAAGAAGCACGAAAAATTTTAAGCGACACGCTTGAAATGATTCAAGTATACAATGAGTTACGAAAGTGTTATTCAGATAAATCAAAAATTATGGAATCGAAAGGTAAAGAAAAATTATACATGAAGAAAAAAAAAAAATCTCATTTTTTGAAATTAAATGTCTCACAAAAAAAAAGTTTATCAATACAAGATTGCCCAGAAATGCGTAGAATACTCTCGTATTTTACCTCAAAGTGTAGACTCAAACCAGCCGATTAGGTCCCTGTATAATAACGAGCTTATTCTATCAGAAATATCCAAGGTCGATGATTTAAATTATATTGGGTTTGCAGCTAATATCATTCTTGCAGCAAAGCACAATATGAATATCATGCATCCTTTAGATTATGCATATCGTGCACTCAATTGCTCTTTAAGGTCTATATCATCTAATAGAAATCTCTCAGAATATCAATTGGTCAAAAGCTATATGGAGTCAACGGCAAATGAAAGTTATGAACTGGTTCATTTATTTGCTATACAACATCATCATAGACAAGAAGAAGAAGAAGAAGAAAAGTTAATACCTTTTCGCCGTTATGAAAATTCACCTCATCGTAAACTTTTATGGCATGGGTCTCGTGTAGGTAACTTTATGGGAATACTAAAACAAGGACTAAGATCAACACCAGCCATCTCAAGCTTTACAGTAAGAACAAAAAAAAAAAAAAAAAAAAAAAAAAAAAAAAAAAAAAAAAAAAAAACGAAAAAATTATGATATTTATAATTATAAAGGGTTCATTATTAGGGAATGGTGTTTATTTTGCAGACACATTTTCCAAGTCTATAAAATATGCTAAAGAAAATTATGATGATAAGCTATCTGGATATATGATTCTTTTATTATGTGAAGTTTCCTTTGATGATCAAGTAAATCAAATAGATCCTCTACAACTTGAAACAAGAAAAGGTCAAGGAAAATATATTCCAGATCCTGAAAATGAACTCTATGATAAAGATGGGGTAAATTAATTAATACTGTTATGAATAAAAGAGATTTACTAAAAAAAAAAATTCAAATAAATAGGTTAGTATACCCATAGGCCCATGTATTCCATTTGCAGCAAGCAACAGTATTGCACCTAATGACGATCATCATCCTCATCTATTACACTATAACGAATATTGTATATTGAATACAGATCGCATTAAGCCTCGATATCTTTTGATTGTCAAAGATTCAAACTGTTGTTATTTATGTTCCAAGGCAGCTATAGGAAAACCTCTTTTTCAACATGATTTGTCAAGCTACGACTATCATGATTTCAATATGTATGAAGCAGAAATCATCAAGGCCTCGTTGACTAATAATCTGAATAAGTCACCTCAAGAGATTTTTAATGAAAATATAAGTCATTTTTATAAAGAAGAATTATATAGTAAGTCTCTCCTTTTTTCTTGGAAATGGGTTCAAAGTATACAATTCAACTAACTTTATACTACTTTAGAGAAACATTGGGATATCCCTATTGAATTACATAGGGAAAGCAAGATATGCAATGATTGCGCACATAAAGTTGCATCCATCATATTAGAAGATTATTTTAAAAATAATTCACACTATGTCTTAAGTAAGTACACACACATACACTCTCTCTCTTTCTCCCTAATATATACCTAATTTTATATATAAATAGACTACCTTCATAAGAAGCCAGCATGTAAATATGGTAAAGAATGTCGTAAACAACATGATATTAGTCATGCAAAGGCGTACAAGCATTGGTTCCTAGATAATATGACAAACAAAAAAAGTGTATCCTTCATTTCAGAAGAATTGGATGACATGGACATTGATGATAGTATGCAATTTTAAAGATAATATATGAATAATAAACTATGTTAAATATAAATTTACAAGAATAACTTGGTTTATAATATATGAGATATGCTTATAATATATGTATGGATAAGCTACATTATTTGTATATGTTAGCTATATTTTGTAAAGTCTTTCTTTAGAGTCCCCCCCTTTTTTTTTCTTTAAATGAGGAAAGGCTACTTTAATCTATGACTTAAACTCTCAAATAGACGCATGAAGAAACATACTATTAAAGATCACGAAAGGGTTTGTTATTATGAGTATCAAAAACTGGTGTCATCACTAATGTACAAGATCTATGTATAAATGTTTTTCATTCATGCTTAATAAAAATGAGTCATTCAGTTTTATAATAATTGATACTTTATGACTTGGAATGATAGAATTTAAATAAATGTTGTTAGTAATCATTAAACAACATTTCATATATATAATCATTAAATCAGATTTCTTTTATATGTATATATAAAAAAAGAAGAGAAAAGCAAGCAAGCTTATTAATAATTTATTTCTGCTTCTTTGAAGGCAACGATTCAATAATTCTATCAATTTCAGGTAAAAGTTCTTTTAACTTTGTCCATTGAGCCATAGGCAAACAAATACCTATAATAGTATTGTTAACAAAATAAAATAAAATGAATCGACTATTATTGAGATCTTACCTTTGCCAGGACGCATTTTTCCAGTATTTTTATCTTGATATACTTCTCGAATATCAATAGCAGCATCACCTGAAGGGAATTGACGAACAATAACTCTTCTCTTATTTGTTAGCTTTTTATTACGTATTAGATATTGTTTTCTTTACACTATGTATTCCTTTTATTACCGGTAATATAGGATTTCCGTCTTCATCACGAATTATCTCTACTTCCTCTTCTCTTAATCTTTTTTTATTATCAGGAGATTTTCCCTTTTCTGTATTCTTTTTTTTTTTTGGTAAAGAAATGGTTAATTGCTATTATGAATATAAATAATTTACACTGCTACCTCCTCTACAAATTCCTCTTCACTATCATCAGTTTCTTGTTTCTTACTAGGCTATTGAGAAATACGGTTAATATAAAGTGATTAACACATTATAATTGATCGAACCTTATATTCCTTGTCAACTTCTTCGTCACTGTCTGCTATGAATTTGTCTGTTGGCATCTCTTTGATCGTGAAACAAGAAAAAAAAAATAAAATAAATGAAATGAAAAAAAAAAAAAAATAAAATTTATTTTATACTGGTAAAGTGACGACTTTTGACAAAATAGTAGCAAATAGCTCATAAACATACCAACAACGAAGCAAGCAAACAAAGTTCTTTAACTTGTCTTCTTTACATATTGACACTTGTAAATAGCAGATACATGTATTTTTTTTGTAATGTAGAAAAGAAAGAAAGGATATACATTGTGTCCACTTTATTAACTTGTGTCTGTATTGTTATACATGATTTTGCATTAAAAAGTGTATAGACATTTAAACTACCAGCAATAAAATAAAATAAAAAAGCCCGCCATTTTTTTTTTTTTTCTTGAAAAAAAAAAAAAGCTATTTTTTCTCTTTTTAGTTATGGATTCATCTGAACAAGCATCAGCATCATCTTCGCATTCTTCTACTACAACAGATTTACCTATAATCACTTCTTTAAAGCCAAACGAATATATCAAAGGATTGAATGAAGAGCATATTACCCGATTAACAAAAGATGCATTTAAACATTTTGTAGATTATACCAAAGCCGAGCTGCAATGTAAAGAAATAAATTAGATTAGAATTAAATAAAACACGTCGTTAATATTATTTATTTTATAGTGACAGTGGATGATTGTCAATTATTGGAGACTATGAATAAAGCAACAACAGAAAAATATGTTCAAATGAATCAAATGAGTCAACGATTGATGAAAGAAATGTCAAAACTACAAAACACTTGTAATTGCACATTGAATATATACACATGTATAGATTAACATATATTTTAATAGATGCTGATTTTTCTGATTTTATTCAACAGATTGAAGACATTCATGAACAATCGATACAAATGGAAAAGACAGCAAAAGCATTAGATGAATATTCCAAATATTTAGGTAAAAGAACAAGATCCTATAAAAGAGTTAACATGTATTTATTCAGATATCCATTTAGAAAATAAACTGTTGACAGCTATTAACAAACAAGGTCTCGAATAATGACTCATGAAGACAATTTATGTGACTTCAAGAAAGTAACTATGATTTGGATTGAATACAATCTCCTATCCAAATTAGCCAGACCCTTTTTTTTTGATATGTTCATTTATTTTAATTTTTTTTTTTTAATTTTTTTGTTTTGTTTTGTTTTTTTTTGTTTTAATATATAAATATTTGTGGAGTATAAAGTAAGCCTTTATTTCCATAAAGAAGTGTCTTAGAAATGTATTTTAGTCTAAATAAGATGTCGTATTTAACTAGACTCGGTCAATTTCAAATTTTGGTAAAGAAAATAAAGTCAATTCAGGGTTTTTTTTTTCTCACACATTAAATATAGAAACGTTCTTATGCTGTATCGAGTAATTTAATTCAACCTGTAAAACAAGTAAGTTTGACTCTTCTTTCCAACTTTTTTTTTTTTAATAACTTTGAATTGACTAGTTAACTCATCCAGATGATAAAATACCACAATCAACCCTTGATCAAGTTGAAGAATATAGCAAATATACCGTTAATACTTACGCTCGTCCAAGCATTATTATGAAACGTGGTCAGGGATCTTACCTGTTTGATACAAATGATCGTCCTTATTTAGATTTTACAGCAGGTATCGCTGTAAATGCTCTAGGCCATTCTGATCCTGAAGTGGCGCAAGTTCTTTATGATCAAGCTCGTACTTTGGTTCATACGAGTAATCTTTATTATAATACAAATGCTGGCGAACTCGCTAAATTGATTGTTGAAACTACTGGAGGTTGGGCCAAGAAATTATTCTTGGCTAACTCAGGTACTGAAGCGAATGAAGGTGCGCTTAAGTTTGCTCGTAAATGGGGTCACCAGCAATCCTCTGATAAATATCAAATTGTCTGTTTTACACATGCTTTCCATGGTCGTTCCTTGGGTGCTCTTTCAGTGACTCCTAATCCAAAATACCAAAAGGTATTTGAACCCCTTTTACCAGGTGTTGTGACATGTCCTTATAATGATACAGAGAGAGCTCTTGAGATGATCACAGACAAGACATGTGGTGTTATTCTGGAACCTGTTCAAGGAGAAGGTGGCGTACATCCTGCTGCTCCCGAATTTTTAAAAGCAATTCGTGATCAGTGTAACAAAACAAATAGTTTACTTATCTTTGATGAAATTCAATGTGGTCTCTCTCGTACTGGCAAGTTATGGGCTCATCAACATGTTGATCTTGAAGGCTGTACACCTGATATCTTGACAATGGCGAAACCATTAGCTAATGGTGTACCTATTGGTGCTATCTTGACATCAGAGAAAGTAGGCAATTTGATTAAATTAGGTAAGTTATATATATACATGTATGAAAAGGATAGAGTAGTAGTGTATTTATTCATTTATTTATTTATTTATTTTGTTATAGGTGATCATGGTACTACATTTGGTGGTAATCCTTTGTCTTCAGCAGTTGCATTGAATGTCTTGAAACGTATTACAACACCAGAATTTATTGCATCTGTCAATGAAAAAGGAGAGTATTTAGCTTTCCTTTTAAAACAATTACAATCCAAGTATCCTAATTTAATCAAGGAAGTAAGAGGTAAGGGACTTATGTTGGGTGTTGAATTTCAACATGATCCTACACCTCTTATCAAAATGGCTCGCGAAAGGGGTCTTTTGATTGTTACAGCTGGATGTCAAACCGTGCGTATCATCCCTCCTTTAACTATCTCAAAGGAAGAAGCATTAGAAGGTGTAAATAAATTAGCAGGCGCCGTTGATGAATTTGCTGCAACTTTAAAATAAATAAATAAATAAATAAATAAATACACAGCAGCTGGTTTGTATACCTTTTTTTGTACATTTAAGAAAAAAAAACATATAAATAGCACTCGTCCATATTATTTTTTTCTTCTTCTTCTTCTTCTTCTTAATAAACTATGCAGAGTTGTTTTCACAGACTTGTCTTTATCGATTCTCTGTTTCCGTATCTTTTTGCATTTAAAACAGCCATTAATGGCTCGATCAGCTCCAATTGCGAATGTAAACGGCTCTCCTTGCCTGAGTTTCCTTTTTCCGTTTCTACTGCAGTTTCTGCACAACTCACTTTTATTTCGATGCAAGTCAATAGCCTCAGTTTTACAGGATTTGCAAGTTGTACCGATCGGGGCAAACAAATATAAAATGCGTGAAAAAAAAAAGAGGGGTGCTGTCTATTTTTACATTGGCATCTTTAACTTACTAGTATGTTCGAGTTTTGCTACGAGAGAATAGTTATTTCACAACTTGAGGGCAATCAAAATTCAAAGTGAGGGCAATCGGAATTCAAATTGAGGGCAATCAAGGGCAAACAAAAAACGCCAAAATACCCTTCAGACGTGCTTGCTAAAATGTGGATGCAGTTTAGTTGTTGAAATGATTGGTCATCATCATTTTATAAATTCTATCGATGTCCCTTAAAAAGAAAAAAAAAATACAAATTCCTACAAATTCATGATATTTTCGTGCACCTAGATCTCTAAAATTTGAAATTTTCCAAAAATGTATAATTTTTTTTTAATTAACTGTGCCAAATAAAAAATGCAAATGTAAATGTAAATATATACCCGCTATTTTTTTTTTCTTGCTTTTGTTGCTTTTCGTTTTCTATTCTAAAAAAAAAAAAATGGTTCGAGATACAATAGAAGAAATTAACTTTTATCGCCTTTTATTAAGTTGTGAACATAAATTAAAGCAGCAACCCATTGATGTTTGGGATCCTTCCGAGAAGAGGAAATTGGCTACAGTAAAATAGAATGAAGTGTAATATGGAATGCATCCATTTTTTGATTTTAACTTTATATGTCTTTTAGTATGTAAAACATCTTACAACACTTGAAAAGAAAATACAGCCTTCTCAGTATGTATTAACGGACATTGAGTGTTGGTGTTGTTTTTATCCATTTATTTCTAACCCTCTCAATTATTTAGTATAAAGTCATTAACGGATAGAATGAAACATTTAAATACAGCAGTTAGTGAACATACAATGGTAAAGGAGTTTATATCCAATATGTATATAAAGAAGTGGATATTAATTATTTAATGTTCAATTTTAGCATATGGACGTGGAAAAAGGAACAATAGAAGCACGATTAGTGAAAAAGAAACATTTAGAAGAATTAAAACAATATGAAAGGCCCGATCCTGAATGGTTAATAGATTTGAAGCAACAACAAGAGACATTAGAAAAAGTGGAAGAGAAGAAGGTAAGATTATCATTTCAATACAATTTTTTTTTTTGTTTTAGGTACGATTAGTATTTTTATGTTTTATATAGAACTTGTTGGAACAAGAAGGGATGAAGGAACAAGATAGTCCTACATCTGTAATAAAAGAAAAAGAACAAGCTAATAATGAATTACGATTAAGAAATACACATAAAGAAAAGAATGCAGAGATGGAGACAACAGCCAATATTGAACATGTTTTACAACATCATCGACAGATTCATGATGAATTAACAACAGATTTAAGTAAGATGGCAGAACAATTAAAATTAAATAGTCAAGCGTTTGGAGAAAGACTTTCAAAGGATGATGAAATTTTAAGAGAAGCTTCAAGAGCAGTAGAAAATAATTTAGATAGAATGAGAACCGAAAAAGAAAGATTAGATGTACATTATTCCAAGTCCTGGAGCACCAGTTTTATGACTTTGGGAGTTGTTTTATTTGTTTGTATTATGTTTATACTTGTCTTTTTTACAATTCGATTCTTACCAAAAGCCTCTTAAAGAATAAAAAAAATAAAAATGAATAAATAAAAAAAATAAAAAATAAAAAAAAAAAAATAAACCAGAGCTTTATGCAAAATAGGGATTACAACAAATCTTAAAAGAAAAAAAAAAAAAAAAAAAAAAAGAAAAAAAAGTGTTATTTATCGTGAATCTTGATCTTCATAAAAGTTCTTTAAATATTCTTCAGCTTCTGAATATTCAATTTTAACTTGTGGTAATAAAGGAGTAATGCGTTTTAAAGCTTCTTCTTCATCAATCGCACCTGCACCTTCTTCATCTTGACAGTTACCAATATTTTGAATCTTTTCGCATGTTGCCTTTACTTTTTTTAAGCCTATAGCAGCTGAACTACCTTTTAAAAAATGACCCAATCTAGACAATTCTTTCAAATTCTTCTTTTCTCTAAATAAATAAATAAAGTTTAATATTTACAAGTCTATTTATTTATCAAGTTTTATTTACAATGCTTCATCCATATCTTTAAATGTTCCCTCTGCTTGTTCAAAATAATTATTCACAATACTATATGAAAATTCATGGTCATCTTCATCGTCCATATCCAATAATTGTTCAAATGTATTCATATCAATAAGATCATCAGGATTTACAACTTTATCATTATCCTCTATATTTCCCAAGTCTGTATGTGTCAAATCAGGTGATGATGATGATGCTGTAGTAGTAGTAGTGGTAGTCGTAGTTGTTGTTGTTGATGATGATATATTACTAGCAGACTTTTAATACTTTTGTCAGTACCTATAATACATACAACATTTCATAAATATAGAAACCTTTAATTCCTTCTCTGCTTCTTTAGATGTAGTTATATCAGGGGAATTTTCGCGACTTGTCATTATATTAGAACTATAAATTTTATGTAAAAGAAAAAGAAGGAAAAAAAAAAAGAGAGAAAAGGAAAAGGAAAAGAAAAAGGAAAGGAAAAAGAAGAAGAAGAAGAAGAAGAAAAAAAAAAAAAAAAAAAAAAAGGTAATAAAAAAATTTTTTTTTTTTTTGTAGTATAATGATCGACTAGCTTATACGTCATTAACAACTAGAATACGAAATGTACTCTTAAACACCCTAGTTCCTTCTTTTTTTTTTTTTTTCTTTTTCCCTTTCTCCTTTTCTTATACATAATTATGTTATACAAAAAAAAATTTATATTTATTTCATTATAACAAGTACATACATGTTTTCTATTTTCTGTATTCTTATTCTTTTTATTTCATCGAAAGTATTCTTTTTCTTCTTCTTTTAATGTTTATTGATTATCTAATTATTGGGCTTGAATTTTTTTTTTTTTATTTTGTACACAACGTGTCTCTATCATTTTTCCTTTTTTTTTTTTTTAATCATTTCTTCTTTTTTTTTTTTTTTTATTCTTCTTTTTATTCTCCATTTTAAGCTTTAAAGTCTTTTTCTTTTTTTTTTTCTTGTAATATTAAAAAAAATACATTAACTTGATCTTTGTAAACAAACTAAAAAGAATAAATAAATAAATAAATAAAATGAGGTTACACAAATTGTGTCATATTCTACATTTAAGAGAAAATTAAACTTTTCTTCCCCGCGCTTGTACTTGTGCTTACGATTTTTGTGCAAGTGAAATATTGATTCTTTTGTTGGAACCATTTCATTAAGCCGAAGACAAAAAAAAAAAAGAGAATTCAAAAAGAATATAAACATGTATGTATATATATATATGTGTGTGTGTATGTATGTATGTATTTATTTAGCTTTACAGATTTAATGAAAAGATAGATATAACATTATTTATAATGATCATTACTATTTATTCAAGGTGTACTTAAGATTTTTTTTTTTGGATAATAATAATAATAATAATAATAATTCAATTTGATTGGATAGAAATAATTGAATGGTATGATCTGGATATCCTTTACAAGCACCGTTACAACAACAATGATACAAGATTGCCCAGACTAGTTCAATATTTATATATATATATATATATAAAAAAGGCTCTTTCTTGTTGTGTTGTAAGAGACACAAGATAGAAAGAAAAAAAAAAAAAAAAGAAAGAGAATTATAACAAGAAAGTGAATGATGTACTAGCTTCGGTTGTTAAATAATTACTGCAGCAACAACTTAGAAACAGGATTTTTTAATAGGAGAGAGCTTATTGTAGAAAGTTGTGCATATTTTAGGCCAGATGAAATAAATATTATGAGGGCATCTGGATACAATAGTATTTTAGACTTTTTTTTTTTTCTTTTTTCCAGATGATGGTAATTGTGGATAAAATGACTAAATGAGACTTGTTGTTGTTACTATTATTATTTAAGACTTGTTGATAATTAATATTGTCATTCCAGATCAATAAATATAATAGCCTTCATCTTGTTATTAACAGCTGTGTTGTTAATACCATCACCATTCTTCCAAAATGTACTACATGTGTATACAGTGTTTGCCAAAATGATGTCGCATTTTAAGTAAACAGTGTCGCACTTTAAAAATAAAAAGTGTCGCATAACCCACAGTTATTGGGACAAAATTTTATAAGTTTTTAGGAAAATATTTTATTGGATTTACAACATCTGTTCTTTTGCCAAACGGCGTGGAAAGAAAGAGACAGAATGCCTTATCCACCCTTTGCAATCTTTTAGTGTCACTTTAGAGCTAGAGCATGGTTCTAAAATTCTAGTTGTAAGAGTATCCTTCCTGTCAATGGGGGTTCTTTTAATACCTGATTTGACTTTTGACCAAAATTCTTCAATACGGTTTAAAAATGGCGAGTAAGGTAGCAAGTAAACACATTTATAACATCTGCCAACAATATACTCTTGAACTTTTTTGCCTCTAGGTCCATGGATAGGGGCATTATCCATTACCAAATAAAACCCTTGAAGATTGTTATGATTGTAGTCGTATTTACAACTAAGTTAATAGAAATAAACTATCATTTATGTAAATAATAAAGAGTTTATTCGAATAATACTAGTGTATTGTACTTCACAGCATAATATTCATTCTATACCCAGTTTTAATAATAATAATAGTCATTGTTGTGATTGTAGTAGCCTTTATAATTAAGTTAATAGAAATAAACCATCATTTATTACATAATAAAGAGGTTGTTCAAATAAAACTAATATATTGCGCTTCACAGCATAATATTCATTCTACTCTCAGTTTTGATAATAGTCATTGTTTGAGTATTCGAGCATTCAAAATAATTATATACATTATATTATGTAATAATAATAATTTAATAGGATTATGATTGTTATATTGAATTACGATTATTGATACAAGTCGTACATATTATATATACATCCATAACGTTGTATATTGTTATAGAGGGAAGATACACTGTAAATTAATATTAACGCGTTGCTTATCCCAAAGACAATAATCGTGTATATTTTTAATTTCAGCAACAGCTCAGGCAGAAATCTGCATACTGCATGCAGAGTTATTCGGAGACAAAATTTGTGCATATTTGTGCATATTTGTGCATATTTGTGCATAAAGGCTTTATTATAGCAGTATTTATTTATCTAAATCACACTCCTATTAATATCCCTTATCTTACAAAAAACATATAAATAGCCTTCGTCATTTTTCCATATTATTTTCTTCTTGTACAATTTTGGATTATTTTTCCTTCAATAAAACTATACAAAGTTTTCACAGACTTGTCTTTGTTTTGATAGCAAAAAGTTAAAGAAAGAGGAAAAGACAAAAGACAAGTCTGTGAAAACTTCGTGTAGTTTTTTATTAAGAAAAAAATACAAAAATTGTACAAGGAAAAATTATGTGAAAATGTAAAGGGTTATTTATATGTTTTTGCAAGGTAAGTGATATTAATAGAACTATGATTTGGATAAGCAAATATTGCTATAATAAAGCATTAGTCATAAATATTTTCTCCGAATAATTCTGCCTACAATAAGATCTATTTTTATTCTTTTCTGCCTGAGCTGTCGCTGTTACTAAAAATATTAAATTATTATTTCTGGGGTAAGCGACGCGTCAATATTAATTCACAGTGAATATGTCAGCTATAACAATACCAATTATTTATATGCTACTATTATTATTATCCTATAAGATATTATTACATAACAATATTTATCTTTATAGCTATCTATATATAATATGTATGACTTATAAATAATTATGTAATTGAATATAACAGTCATAATCCTATTGAATTATTATTATTACATAATATAATGTATGTAATTATTTTTAATGCTCGAATACTCAAACAATGACTATTATCAAAACTGAGAATAGAATGAATATTGTGCTGTGAAGCGCGATATATTAGTTTAATTTGAATAACCTCTTTATTACGTAATAAATGATGGTTTATTTCTATTAACTTAATTATAAAGGCTACTACAATCACAACAGTCTTTTCTTTTTTCTCTTTCCTTATCTTTGTACTCAAAACACTATTAACTTAGTTGTAAATACGACTACAATCGTAACAAGATGGTTACTGGTTCTTTTGTACAAGTTTCTATACATTCATTCATTCTCAATCTGTTGATGATTGTGCCGATTCATCTCGGGTGAATGCTCAAAACGAAGCTGTATCTTATATCCGTAAAAAGACAAGGTTTGGACTAGAATTTTTTGAGTTGACTATCCGATTCAGTAAAGTTGAATTGCTTGCCACATCCGGCTTTTATGGTCCTATTGAAGGCCACACCATCACCGCGTTTTTTGGGTCCTCGATTTGAAAATTACCAACATCAATCACAGATACATATAATACTGTTGCCTCAAAAGAGGTATTTATACCAACAACAGCAAAAGCATTCACAAAAGATGTAAGACTTTTAAATCAAGACACATTCTGCAAGATAATGGATATTCTTTAGCAAGAAGTTTAAGTCAAAAGGATATATTCTCCCCCATCATCTACTTTCATTTCTTGTAGAAAATATCGTACAAAGAGGAGCTTCTTTGTTGTTAAGAGCTTTTACGTATAAAATTCTACCTCAGGAAGAAATTGCTGAAGTAGATTCCAGATTTAAAAATTCTGTTACCAAACTAACAGCATCAGGCAAACTAGTAAAGAAATATATTACGGAGCTAAATAGCAAGGATCAGCTCGTAATCAGTGAATATGATCATGTACAATTAAAAAAAAGACATATTGTACATTTATGAAAACACACTTGCTGGTGCCATTAAAAACAGAAACAAAACATTGGCATTAAAAGTTGAACAAGAATATAATTTATCAAACGAAAAATAATAAAGTACATATAATTTATTTAAACTAAAAAAATTGAACTTCTCCTAGTTCTCAAAGTAATACCAAGTACTTTGATTAACAGAGTCAACCACGAGAAGGTGGAAGTTCATCTGACTCCAAAAAAAAATAGCCCCCAGATCTCTACCAACAAAAAGATGTTGGGTGGTATTCGTCATTCAACGTATTGTAAAAGCAACTGTGGTAAGCCACTTGAACTCATATACAGGGGTGTGAACAACCTGTATCAATCCACTTTTGCAAGAAAACTTCAAGACCACATTATCATGCTCAGACTGCGGCCGTCTGGCCTAATACGGACGTTACCCCGTAGTAAAATAACGCACTGTGTAAAAGTCCTCTTCCGCAGCAAAGAAGAAAAAGAGATTTTTTTTTTTTCCTTCGGTATCTTTTATACTCCGTATAATCCGCCAAAAAAAAAAGAAGTCCCAAAATTAATTTTATTTAAAGTCCTTAAAATGTCATGATGAGAGGGGCAAAAAAACTATCCCAAAAGTAATTCAAAGTTAGTGCCAATAATTATAAAACCTTGTCCTAATAATTTTCAAATCCAGTCCCAATAACTGTGGGAAACCCAGTACCGTCACCGTTTCTTTCTATTATTAATCTTGCCATGTGCTGCTCAAGGTGATTAATCCAAGGTGAGCAAGAACATGCAAGAAAATATGTTATGATAATGTGATAGATAGATGCCTATTAATATCAAAAATATATATCAATGAATCCTCAGCACATCTTTCCTTTTTTCAAAATCTGCTTTAGAATGTGAACACTTTGCATTTTATATGAATACGACATCTTTTTTCTAATGGTTATGCGACACTTTTTATTTTTAAAGTGCGACACTCTTTATTTTTTTTGATGCGTCATTATTTTTTCGCAATGTGCGACAATCGAAATTTCTTTAGTGCGACATCATTTTGGCAAACACTGTATAAATATATTTTTTTTGCGGACTTGTTTGCTGCTCTTCAATGCATCCGTATTATACCGGCTACAAAGTCTTGACGTTTTTTTTTTTTTTTTTTTTTTTTTTTCCTTTTGGAGGAAGGAGGGAAGAAAGGTAAATAACTAATAAAATCAGAATTGTTATACAGAATCAAGTAAAAAGCATCTTTATGCTCGGACAATCTTTCTAGTGTTTATACTCGTCAAAAAAAAAGCTTTTTATTTGTAGCTAATTACATAATAAATAAGTATGATATTAGCAGGTATAATTCAAGTGCATGAATGCAATACCATACTATTTAGAGTTGAGAAAGTATACATTTATAGACACATTTTGAAGTTAGTAAATAAAGCTTCTTCATCAAAGATAAATAAATGACATAATATTATATTTATTGATAAAATAACCTTTAACTATATAAATTTAATGTGTATATCATATCATAAATAATGTTGTATAGTTATTCCCTTTTATTGTAAATTTTCTCCTCTTATACATAAATATTTATATTTATTTATTTATATACATTTCTTTTTCTTCAAACAGAGGTCAACATCCAAAAAGGGGGTATCCCCAATCGCCCTTTTACTTTATCATCTTGAATCAGTTTAAGAATATCATGCGCATCTTTATTATCATTGTCCTCTTCTTCTTCTTCTTCTTGATCCGAAAAGTCCCATCGTTCTCCAAAATCAGTGACATGTTGAAACATCCATAATCTATCCTTTTCAGTACGCTCTCTAATTTCAACGTTCTCAATCAGTTTCCCATCATAATAACTATGAGTAAAAGCTGCATGCGCCATGTAAGCCAATGGTCGTAGTCTGGATTTCACGAATTCTGCATCATCCAGATCTAATTGAGGTAACGCCTCTGAATACCGTTTAAGATGAGATACAACTGTATGTGAAATCTGTGCCTGATTTGCAGCCGTGTAGTGCCAAATATCCTTTGCGATCCCTGAATTCTGTATACCCCGTGCTAATAACACCCAATATTGTAAGTTGAGTGTCTCATAATGCAACATGGCTCGCCATTCTGTTTGTACGCTTGGTGTTGTTGTTGCTAATAACAAACGTCCCCTTGTCGAACTCTCTTGGTAAGGCTGTTTACCCTCCGTCGTGAATTGCTTCCCGATACGCATACGACATCGATTAGCGACCCTTAGGAACAATCGTACATCATCCGTAAAGGCCGCCATCGCTGTCACTTGCAAATCATACAATACTCCACGATGATCCGTCATCTGGGCTAAATGGATACCAGTGGGTGAAGTCACTAAATACTCTAGAAATTCCGCCATCATCGCTTGCAAATCAATGTATTCCTTATGTGTGAGTTGCTGCAGCTGGCGTAGGAGACGGATAGAGTCCAATAAGGATGATACATCTGTTTTGGTCAAATCGGACGTGTTTAAAATTCGATTATGATTGCTATATTTTGGAACTACATGAGAGACACGACTTAGGCTAGGAAAATAATAGCCTTGGTCAGAGAGAAAGTCGAGTAGATGGCTATCATCTGGTATACGACGAGCCGTGTTATATTCGTCTTCATCATCGTCTTCTACAGCATATTCATTAAGGAAATGAACTCGGATCAGATTAGCTGCTGCACGACCATACTTTTCCTCTCCTGTAAAATAGTTGGCCATTGTCAAAATAGTCACATTTTTTGCAATAAGACCTAATTCATCCTTGATCTCTGAGTTGCTATGAGAAGAAGCGCTACTACTACCTGATGATGATGATGATGTTACAGATGAAAGAGGCATTAAACGTTGTATAATTAATTTTAAAATTTCATCCGCTTTACTCTGAAGATGGTCAACAGCATCCTTGATTTCATAACTATTAGTCCAATGATCGTAACGTAGTTGATGCATTGGTTTTTCATTATAGATAAAGGGTCGATCATGTCGAAAATGTTTCCGAGCTATACTTTCATCTAAATTATCTAGTGATGACTGAATTGCCATCAAACGATTAAAGGCACGTATGGATGATGCTTCCTTTTTATTCTCTTCTTGAGATGGATTACCAGAGAAGAGACGAAAAACCCAACCAATATTCTTAAAGTTACCTTTGTCCTTACTATAAGGTCGCTCAATAGGCTCCCAGGGAACAGTAGGACGGTTTAATCGTCTATTTTCTAAAGCACCCAATCTCCATAACAACTCCAACTAATTCAATATGTACGAATATATATACATATTCATATATTAGATCGAAATGAAAACTCTTACAAAAAAAACGAATCAATTACCTTGCTTCGTCGTCCATAACGCATATTCAAGTTATATTCTTCTGTAGCATCATAACGAAAGATAATTTGTGGCTCTTCAGGAGTCTTGGGTCGTTCATCTAAACCATTTAATAAGACTGAATTATTCAAGAGTCGTGTCATGGGTACGACGAAATACTTTGTGTCCTTTCCGTATTTATCGAGTTGTGATTTAATTTCTTTAAAGGCATTTTTACTAAGATAGCAGTTCCCATCAAAGGGCATGATCCATTTTGCATTGGCTATACTGCGACCATGTCCAATAGCCGTATTACGTCCACCATTCTATAAATATATAACATCAGATTATTGAAGGGAAGAGGGAGAGAAAGAGAGAGAGAGAAAGAGAGAATATTTATATTTCTTGAATGAGCTTACATTATTCATGGCATATAAATTCTTTACATGATACGTATAATCTAGAGCTCTTAGTTTCGATACTTTTGAGAATCGTCTGTAATCATCCGAATGAAAGAAATCTGCATTAGGAAATTTTTCTAATTGAAAATCTAACTGCTCATATTCCGAAGCGACAAAAGGTACTCTGATATAATCCATATGATAACTATCTAATAGTCGAATGATGGTTGCTTCATTGACAGGATCAATAATACGATTCAATAAGAATATCTTACGGGTATTTGGAAACTCGGGTTCATGATCCAAAATAAATTGCAAATTAGACAATGTTTGACCTTCTTTATGACGAGGAGGCAGGTCATTACCAATGATACGATAAAGAATTATTTGATCTCGTTCAATGTGGTTGGCTTGATTAGATTGTCGACTAGATGACGACTGATTGTTTTCATCCAATCTGAAAAACGGAATGTAAGTCAAGATAAAAAGAATAAATAAAAGGGCCATGAGCCCCTTTAGCCACGGCCGTTGAGTAGACCTTTTTGGAGGTTTTTTTTCTTTGTTATAATGGTATTTTTTTGTTGTAGATCCTAACTCGAGAGATAACATATCTGGTTGAAGAAGGCTGTGGCTTTTTCGATGTTTTGAGGAAGAAGACGACCGAGTTACATTATGTTTTAAAAAAGGTGGTAACATTACTAGGTCTATAAAGAAATAAAAGGAGATTTTAGGGAGGAATATAGTCTATTTTTTTTTTTTTTTTTTTTTTTTTTTTTGGGAACAAATGGGAGGAGTAATAATAATAATAATAATAATAATAAAAAGAAAAATAAAAAAGAAAAATAAAAAAGAAAAATATAAAAAGTTTAGTGTATAATTCAGTCTAGACCGGAAAAAAAAAAGCGGAGAACTAGTTGAAATAGTCAATTAAAAAAACTAATATAGTGCTTTTCTTTATTGTCTATAATATATTACAAATATAATACTTTTTTTTTTTTTTTTACATAAGCTCTTTGTTATACATTAGCAATAATATAAACAAAAGACTAGTAAGCAAGCCTAATTTAGCAAACTTTATATGTCGGCCTTTTTTTTTTTTATGAATATATGCATGTATGTACTATAATTATTATTAAAATTAAAGTTTTTCTTTTTAACAGTAAAAAAAAAGAAAAAAAAAAAAAAAAAAAAAAAAAAAGTAAAGCCACATAAAAGGTAATACAATACGTTAATTACTTGCTTTATTAATATTAATTTATTGTTGTTGTTCTTGCTCAACGAATCCAAGAGCATTTTCTTTAGTAATTGCGTGAACTCGAGATACCTTGCCTTGGAATGTCACACCATAAAATTTATCTGCGTTAGCTAATAATTCAGGACGGAATGTGGTAGTAATAAATTGGGCGTTATTTGATAACTTGTGGATCATATCTAAAAAAAAAAAAAAAAATAAAAATAAAAATGTCAATATGTATATATGTAATGCGTACTATTTAAATTACCTGCTACAGCAGCTCGATATTGAGCATCTAAATTAGCATCAATTTCATCAAAGAGATAAAAAGGTGCAGGGTCACATCTTTGTATAGCAAAGATTAACGCTAAAGCAACAAGTGACTTTTGACCACCAGAAAGTTGTTGCATAATCATACCTTCATCGGATTTGCTATTAAAGGATACCTATATTATAATACAAGTTATATTTAGATATAGATTTATATAAACTTTTTTTTATATATATAACCTTAATTGAAACTCCAGTATATCGATCTACAGTAAACGACGTATTTCCTCCATCTAACTGCATATCTTGATGACTATCTGACTTCATCACTAATTCACCTTTACCTGCAGGAACAAGTAACTCAAAGATCTTGGAGAAACTACCTGCAACATTATTAAATGTACGTTCAATTGCTTCATTTTTACGGCGATCTAAAGACTCAATCAAATTACTAATAGACTGTATATATATGTATATATATTGTCAGTATTTCGATTTATAAAACATATTTATATGTATCTATTTACCTCGCCAGATTTATCTAATTCTTCTTTACGTTTTGTCAATTGATCACGCTGTTTTGTAAATCGTCCATATTGTTCAAATGCCTTCTTATTTACATGTCCATATTTTTTCAGTTTTTCATTTGTTCTATGCAACTTCTTCAATAACTTTTCGATTTTAGAAGTGTTATATTTCTCAAATGCTTCGTCAGGTAAGACACCCAAATCACGAATATTGGCATTACATTCTTCCTTCTTTTGTGTTAATAACGAACGTTTTAATAAATTTTCCTCAAGTCTCTTTTCTTCACGACTCATTCCTTGTGTAATTCTCATTTGAATTTCCTAATAATAAAATTTTAGTCTACCAAAGTTTTATAAATTATTCAAGTACTTTACAATAGCTTGTTCCAAAACACTATTGATTTTAATATCATCTTCTTGTAATCGATCAATTTCATTATCTAATTCACCAATACGATTCGATAAACGAACTAATTTCTTTGTTACTAACTTCAGTTCATGTTTTCTTCTGTTCAGATCGCCCGAACTACCATGAGTGAGGACACGATCTTTACGGCTCAGTAACTCTTGCTTTTTACGCAATAGCTCATTTTCTAAGCTTTCTTTTAATCTATTCATACGGGTTTCAATCTACAAAAAAAAACCGTATGTTAGATAAAAAAAAACATATGTTAGATAAAAAAAATAGCTTTGACTTATATTACTTCGTTTCTTTGTTCTGCAGTCTCTGTTAGTTTCTGACCCATCTCTTCAATTAAACGACTATTACGAGCCAGGATCTCCTGCTCTTCCTGTAAAAGTAATTGTGTCGGCTCTGATGCCAACTCATTTTGGTAGCTAACCAGTTGCTTTTCCAATAATTGTCCATGAAGACGTACGTTTTCCAATGCTCGTGTCTTGGATGTCAATTGAGTTTTAAGTGAATTTTCTTCCTTTATCAATCTAGCTTCGAGTTGTTGTGAGTCATCCTGTAATTCAATCTTCTTACGCTGAGATGCCAACTTTTGAAGTTCACTAATGAGATGTGTCACTTTTTGGTCTAACTGAACAATATCAGATTTGATTGTCTGGTTACGAGCTTGCTCTTGCTCAAATTTAGCTTGCCAAGTACGTAATCGTTTTGCAGCGCCTAAGCGTGATCGCTTGAGATCAATATAACCACCTGTCATAGCACCACGGCCATCAACTCGATTGCCTTCAGCAGTAACGACTGTCAAATGGTATGTCTTGGCATAGCTTGCGCCTACTTCTAATGTACGACATAAAATTATACCCCCAAAAACTTGTTCAAAAGCTACTTGGTAGCGTGGATCAAATTGAAGTTGACTAATGAGTGAGACACAATCATCCTTTTGAGGGTATTCTACCTGACGTGATTTGACACGATTTAAAGGAATAAATGTAATACGACCCGCTTTTTCCTTATTCATAATTTCTAATAGTTTTGTGGCAGTATCATCTGTGTCTACAACAACATGGAATAAGCTATTGATAAAAAAAAACAACATGAGTATAAAAGAAAATATTTGAGTTGAATATGGTTTTTTTTTACCTTGCTCCAACAGCAACTTCAACAGCAGTTTCCAGTTCAGGCGCAACCTCAAATAACTCGAAGACAGGGCCGTAAACACCTGTTAAGCCATATTCTCTTACAATACGATGAATGGCAGCTAATCCCATACTAATATTCTTATCCATTGACCCTGCTAATGTTCTTTCAGCTTTACGTATTTCATCATGACAATTACGGATAACCGAATCCATACGAGCCTCTTCACGCCATAACGATTTACGCTTTTCGACTGCTTCATCACGCTCTGCTTTTAATTCGGCTTCACGATCTGATAACTGTTGACGTTCCTCATAACGACTATAATTCTTTTCCTTAACTTCTCTCATACGATTTTGTTTGACTAAAATATCTTGTTGTAATGTCATAATTTCCTGTTCAAGAGATGTCAATTGGGATTGACGGATAGTCAAATTATTGGTAATGTCTGCAATTTGAGTTGTAAGCCAAGTATCACGCTCCTCCTTACCCGAAAATTTGGATGATCTTGCCTGTTTTGCATACAAATGTTGTTGTTCAGCCTGCAATGTACGCATTTCTAACCTCATTTGCTGACCCTGTTCTGATAACTGTTGATATTGAGGTTCAATCGACAGTAACTCTTGTTGTTTTTGAGAAATCTCATTTTCTAAGGCCTCCAACTGTTCTGACATTAATGTCTGAAACTGCTCATCAGACAACTGAGCATCCTCCAAATCCTTGACCATTAACTCGAGCTGAGCACGTCTTTTCATCAGTGATTCTCTTTCATCTTGTAAATCCTTCTTTTCTGACTCATGAAGTTGGATAGTTTGTTGAATATCACGTAACTTGGTTTTGTGTTGCTGCACTGTTTCCTCATTTTTGGTATAACTTTCACGGAGACTTTCACTTGTGTTAATATGTCGTCGTCGTTCTTCTTCAAGGTCATCAAGTCGACGATTGGCACTGGCTTGCTCACGTGCATAAATAGTATATTCAATTGATCGACGCTCTTTATCAAGGTCTTGAAATTCAGAGAGTTCAGTTTTTTCAGCTTCAAGTTCATTTAGTCGTTCTTCAATATATGCTAGCACTTCTTCTATTTTAGCTCGTTTAAGTTCTAATTAAAAAAAAAATGGAGGTAAATGAAGTTAGGATTTTTTTCAAAAGAATAAATAAATAAAATAGTTGTGATGGTTCTTACGTGTTTCTTGCATAAGCTTAGTACTCTCAGCTCTCTTTTGTTCATAAACTCTTGTACCAGCAATTTCTTTGAGAAGCTTAAGACGATCCTCATCTTTAGCAGTAGTTAAAGAAGTAATACGACCTTGAGGGACGATGTAATAAGGATTTGCACGAGAAAAGCCTGCACTCTCTAACAAGTTCATAACATCAGATTTACTACAAATAAGGTTAATATATACATAATGGAAGTGAAGATTACTCTTACGTGATAGCTTTTCTGTCTAATGAATATTCATCAAGGGTTAAGCCAATACTTCTGCGCAAAATAACTTCATCTTTTCCTGTCTATGTATAGAATAAGTCAATATATTTATATATAATATTGGTCAAAAGAAAAAAAAAAGGAAGCTTACAGGGAATCGATTGTCTGAATTGTCAAAGATGATTTCAACAAAAGCAGAAATAGTAGCAGCACCAACACCTTCCTAGAGTTAAAATGTATAAAAATTAGCATTAATTGGTAGAGTATAACTAATAAGTGATTTTACATGGAGTAAGGACTGTCTTTCTTCTTTACTCAAGTTTTGATAAGCGTCACCAAGTACAAATCGAATAGCTTTATATAAAAAAAAAGTCATTGAGTTTGAGGGTGGTAATATATATGTTGTTGATTATACCTACCGGCAAAGAAATTACTTTTACCAGAACCATTTCGACCAACTAATATAAATACATGTATAAAAAAAAAAGATTTGTTGATTATTTATTGTTGTTATTATTTATTTATAATTCTATACCAATGACGTTGTGTTTAGGACTGAATGGATCAATGGTAGTTTGGTCTTTATAAGACTTAAAGCCTTGAATAATGACCTATATTAGTCAAGTTAGTTCAGGATGTTATTAATAAGGTAGTAATTAGTACCTGTTTAATGTACATTAATTTAAATGTTCAGTTTTTAAAGAAAAAAGGAACGCGATTATAGTCCGCGCGAAATGTTATAACATGTTTTTTAGAAGACGCGAATTTTTTTTTTAAAAGGATATTGAAGGTACACAAAAAATGAATTTAATTGGCTATTATTGCAATAATCCTTGGTTTGACTCCAAAAATGGCATTATAATTGTAGACTCTTTTTTTTTTAAAAAAAATGATTATTTTCCAAAATATTATAATAGTAAAAATAACTATAGAATAGCTGCACAAATGTATGAATGTTACAAATCAACAAATTAAATTTGCTTTGGAAACATAATCATTTAAATATAATATTCCGAAGAAATAATTATCATGTATATTGTAAACATGCTTAATTAAAGACCATCAAATGCTATACCTGTTTAATAGACGAACAGCTTTCTTTAAGAGTAAATACATTTAATGTATACAATTAAAATAAATGGATAGTATATTTTGAAAGCTAATATAATGAATAAGAAGATGCGAATTCTACAATGCTTTACGAGTTATAACAATAGCATCTCTTCTTGAACATTCATAAATCATGCTATAAACATAAGTGTCACTAATTAATATTGCTTAGTCTTTAAGAACACATTAACTTTTATTGGTAAACCATTATTCCCAGTGCTACAGTCAATCATCTTACAATCTTATAATGATCATTATTACGTTTTAGAATATAAAAGTAGAGGTGTTTGCCCTATATATCTTTGATTATATGTTTACCACTATCAGTTTTGCCCTTTTTTTTTTTTACACATATTTTTATTTTATTTTTATCATATCTCATCTTCAATAATAGTCATTCTTCTTCTTCTAGTCCACTCTAATGACATTTCATCCTCCCATTCTTCCTTCTCTATTTGATGACTAAGGTATCTATTTGCTTGTAATTGATCTGGCACTTGTCCCCATTTTAATTTTTCCCAATCTTTTTTCCAAGTATTTATCACAGATCTATTTACTGCATCAATATGTATTATAAAAGATGCAATTATTCTTTTAATTTTCTTACTCATCGTGTAGCCATATTCCACTTTGTTTTTGAAGTTGAAGTATTGAATATTTACTTTCTAATTCTATGGCCTTTGCTATAATCTCTTCTATATCCATATCTTGAGGAATTCGAGTAATGAGTGAATGAACCAAGTCTTTATCTGCTGCAAGTATTTCATTTCTACGTAATAAAGTAACCTATAAAAGCCTTTGACAAAATGCCATCTATATTTGTTAAAACTATTTATAAAAACTATACTAAATATCATATTTACCGCGCTAGCAATATATACTGGCATCATGGCTTGGCTTGATATAAAGACATCAAATAATCGAATCACTTTTTCGTAATTTTCAAAATCATGACTAAACCACGTCAGAAGCCAACTTAAGGCATAATAGGGCATAATATTTGCTCTAAAAGAAAAGAAAAGAAAAAAGGGGATAAATATCCTTCTTTAAATAAATACTTGGTAACATAATATGACATACTTTTCTAAAAATAAAGTTAATCCAGGATCTTCATATTCTATTAAAGAACTCATAAGTTGAAGTTGTTTAGATATCGGGTCAAAAGAATCTAACATAGCATCTCTAATAAAGAACAAAGCGACATTTTCTGCTGCTGGAATGGCTAATTTCTTTCCAAGAACTAATAAAAAGCATGTGCAAATATCATGAAATCCCTAAAAAAGAAACTTTAGTCATTTTTTTTTCTCTTAAATAATAGATTTGAATTACTATATACCTGATAGTATTTTAATGCTGGGTTTCTCCATAATATTTCGACTATCATACAATGTAGCTCTTGTTGTTTATGTGCTTTAAGTACAGGTGAAATATCTAATAGTAATGGCGTTATTATTGTTTTATAACTGTCTTTTTTTTTATAGCTACTATTACCTTGAGGATAATAATATAACGATCTCTCTACGTCTTTAGTGATTTGTAGAGGATCAGCCAAGTCTTTTTCTATTATTGTTATATAGATCATTTAATAAATTTATTCTTTATTACGACTATTATCCTTACCACTTCCTTTTTCAGCAATATAGGGTCCATGATGGGTATGTAATAAAATTGGCCTAAATACGGTATTAACAATAGATATATAGGAATCGTATACTCTACGAACCCTACCACACGTATTTTCTAAGCTTATCATTAACAAATCCTCCTGGACATCGAGCCAAGATTTTTAATCGGTCAAGATCATTTTCCATTATAGCATTTAAAATGTCTTCTGTTTGTTGTTTTCGGCGCATGCTTTTCGCTAAACCAAGCAATAATTTACAAAACTATTAAGGGTCTAAATATTTATATTTACTTACCAACCGATAATTTTGTTCCCATCCTTAATCCATGCATAAAAAACGTTATAAAATATTAGTTTTTTTTTTATTTTTTTTGCTCTTAAAAAAGGAAAAAAAATTGTGTTTTAAAATACCTTTTTTGCGTATCCAATAAAAATTTACAAGGCTTGCATATCAATTCTTTCTACATATTTAGATTAAACTAGACACATCCCTAATTACATCCCTTCTGTGGAGTCAATAAGTCGGACTTTATTTTTTCAGATGAGCAAAGAAGAAAAAAAAACAAAAACAAAAACAAAAGGCATAATGTACCCTTCGTACCTTTTTTTATTTTCCTTTAAATAAAATGATTGCAAATATACTCACAAAGTCTGCTCCTATTCTGTCACATTTGAACAAGAGAGTAAATTAAGTTTTAAATATACATCCATATATAAAAGAGTATAAAACTAATTTGACATATCTGTTAGTCCTTTTTCACGTCATACAATAATATTATTAACTCTTGGTCTGAATCACCCCATGCACAGTCATTGATTCCGATGGTTATCGAACAAACAGTAAGAACAATATAATTCTACTGTTTTTATTTTCTATATAACATGTCAAATTCTAGGGGCGGGGTGAACGATCTTACGATATTTTTTCTCGATTACTAAAAGAAAGAATCATTTGTTTAAATGGACAAGTAAGGGGAATAATAAATAAAATTCATGTTATTATAGGAATGTACTTAAAAAATGTATAAAATAGATTACTGATAATGTTGCCGCCGTAATTGTTGCTCAACTTTTGTTTTTAGAAGCAGAAAGTACAGAAAAACCTATTAATTTATATATCAACTCACCAGGAGGCAGTGTAACTGCTGGCATGGCTATATATGATACGGTAAGTCATATACATATATAGATAGAAGCAGGTACCTAACAATATATATATATATATATATATACATGTATATTTATATATATATATCAGATGCAATATATTCAGTCACCAGTTTCTACCTTATGTAATGGACAAGCTTGTTCTATGGGATCACTTTTACTAGCAGCGGGTGAACCAGGTAAACGATACGCCCTACCAAACGCTTCTATTATGATTCATCAACCTTCTGGTGGAGCAAATGGACAAGCATCTGATATAGCCATTCATGCACGTGAAATACTTCGTGTAAGAGAACGATTAAATAAGATATACAAGAAGCATACCGGAATTCGTGATATAGAAACTATTGGTATGTATATTATATATATGTATATGTATGTATATATTTTTTTTAAAAAAAAAAGGAATCTTACATTTCATATACTAGAAAAAATGGTTGAGAGAGATTACTTTATGACAGCAGAAGAAGCCATGAATTTTGGTTTGATTGATAAAGTACTCGAGAAACGCGTAATAGATACCAAGAAAGTAGATGATCCCAATAAAAAGGAATAAAAAGCGTTGTATGATAAAATTATCTAAATATGTGCTTGAATCTAATATGAATAAATTTATTGTATATATGCATGATATTATAACATGCCATCAGAATGAATTATATATGTATTGTAGAGCTACTTTTCCCTCATTAAAAAAGTAGATGATATGAAGCCATTTTATATATTGTACCACATTGTTATATGATACTGCTATTGCTTTTATTAAAATGAATATTTAAAAATCACATGCAAATAATATAAAATAGATCTTGATTAGTTAATATGAAAGCGATATATTCATTATACATATTCCATAATATATATTGATGTATGCATGTATACATACAAGTATAGGCTTTTACAATAAGAAAATATAATGTATGCCTGGATCAATTTAAGATACTATATATATATATATATATATATATTAGAAAAGAAAGTATATGAATATATATGATAAATATGTAGACAATTACTACGACTACAATCAGGACACCAGCTAGTCTCAAAATATCGTTTATGAACTAAGCAATAGTTTTTACATCGACTTTGGCAGGCAAATTTTATAGTTACGCTTTTGTGTTTAAATATATAACTGATTGACATAATTTATAGAAGAAGAAGAAGAAGAAATAAGAAGAAATATTTATAAAGGTAAATTCTTTTTTTTTTCTTTTCGATAATTAATGTAGCAACCAGCAGTGACTGGGGATAGAATAGAATAAAAATTCCTTAGATTGCTATTGTAATATGTGCCTTTTCTTTTATTTATTATTATATGTCTTCATTATTTATTATTAAATATTATTGTTATTGTTAATATAATTACATTATGCAGAAGAGATTACAGTTAAAACCATAAATCTTTTCTTTTAGGTATTCGACTTGAATAGCATGTACTATTACTTTTTGTTGGAACTATTGTAGTTACTTTTTCTGTTGAAATTGCCCCTTTTGCTTCATTAATTCTAATAGGTATTCTGCTACTACTGTCCTGTCTTAATTTTCTTGTAAGTGGAGTTGAAATGGATGGCTCTATTGTTAATGTTGAATAAATTCTGGAAGCTTTTAGTGTTGCTGCTGGCTGTTTATTAGTCTTTGTAGATGATACTTCTCGAGGAATCATGGTTAGCGGCAATGATAATTGACCAAAGTCTACTCTTTTCTTCTTTTTTGTCAATTGATGTGTTAACATTTCCTGTTCTTTACTGATACATTTTACCAATAACGCTTTATTCATTTCATTCATATTATCTTGCTGTATTAAACTTGTTGTTTTATAGTTATTATTCTTTTTTTCATTCTCATCATTCGTAAAAGCATGATTAACGATCGTCTTTTCAGAAATTAGACTACTATCATCTTTAGTTGTACTACTGTTAAATAGCTTCTCATTGTCAGTCGTTTCTTGCTGAGTGTTTATAGTCAATAACACATTTCTTATAATTATATTAACTTGTATATTCAAAATAATAAAGTATTATAAGTATATATATACATATACATACCTTTTTTTATTACTAGCATTGACTATACATTCCTCTGTTTCCTCTATCTTTGTTAAGGGTAATTTATGTTCTATCTTCTCTTCTAAAATATCTAGTACAGAATGATTTGGCTGTATAGGCATCAATAAATGTGGAATATTAAATGAAGATATAGCAAGATCTTGTGGACGAGGTAAGCTTTGATCTACCAACTTGAAGTAATGATCATTGTTATCATCATCATTCACAATTAAGCTATAATAGCAAGCTGATGTAGTATCAATAATTGGTGGTAATGGTTTGTTTTTATAGTAAGTAGATTCGTTCTGAGTAAGAATTTTCCTTGAATTCTTTTTAAAGAATAACATTATTTAGTAAAAGAAAAAAGAAAGCAAGTAAAGCATTTATATTTGGACTTTTCAAGGAGAAATAGGATGATGCTGTTGTATATCCTTTTTTTTTTAGAAAAATTATGAAAATAACCAGCTTATACATATAAACAAAAAAGGTTTTTTTACTGTCGGCTATAGACAGATTTTTTAAACAATTCAAGCTGTTATAATATAATTTCAAATTTGATCTTTATACAACTCTATATACTCTCACTTTTTTTTCTTTTAATTATTTATACATACATATACACACATACATACACATATGTGTATATATAATTATAACGGAATGAATAAGCATCAATAATATGTGAAAATGACCATATATATTTGCATATTTACTATATTCAATCCATCATGATTTAACATGTAAGTTTATTTATAATACTGTCATATTATGCATGTATTTTTTATTTTACATAAAGTATATTAAAAAATAGTTCCATCACTCTATATAATGTAAATAAGAAAAACAAAACAAAACAAAAACTTAATTTTTTAAATATTCTTTACCTTAATAATAATGGGTGGACCGCCATTATTAGGTCTCAATCTTGCAGCTATTTCTCTTCCCGCTGTCCATGTTCCTCCTTCAAGTACCTGTGCCAAGTCCAACTTTCTATCTAACTTAATTTCAACTTCTTCTTTAATTCTATCCAAGTAAATTACAGTCAATGCACGCCATTCAACGATAGTAGGATCTGACCCTTCAAAGATCGGTAATCCATCCTGTCTCTCCTTAATCTTAGACTCCTTTAACTTGAGCAATCCATAATCAACCAATAGCCCCCCATTACGGTATTCTGGTAACCCCGTTAACAATTCTGTTCCTGTCACTCTCAAACCTAAATAAGTCTCAATAACTTCAACTAAAGAATAGGTTAACCATTGTGAGAGTTTATGAAAGGGGATAAGCTCATGATCATCAAGGTATGGCCATACATCCCCAAGAGGGATTCCATTTAATTTGATACGACTGGGCCATATATCGCCCAAGCTCATTACAGCTTCCCAAATCTTGTTAATATGTATGGATGACTCATCCTTTGCAGAGGACAAGATATAATCTATTCATCATATAACATCTAGTAAGCTATTTTTTTTTTTTTTTGGAAGGGGAATTATTTGTTATCTCTTTCTTACCGATGAGATGACCAGGTCGTCGTGATTCATTGTTTGCAATAGGAAAATAGGTAGGTTGACTATCCAATACGTTTGCTAAACTCTTTAGAAGGTTTGTACGGCCTTCTAAACCAACCATGAAATTCTTGTCTGTGACCTGAAAACCTTTCTGCATTTGTTCAACCGTTAACGACCTTAATCCTTGTACTACAATACAGGAAGTCAGCGTGTATTAATTACTTCTTATTCTCACGTATCATTATTACTTACCATCAACAACAGGTTTCATATCTTTGGAAAAATATCCTTGTACAAACATATCAAATGAAGCTAATGCAAGGCCCTCAGATCTCCCTATCCTTTTGCCATCTTGCGACCTATATTTCCAGTCAGAACCCGCACCTGCATCCAACAGGACAGAGACCAAAACAAGATCAACAAGGCCTCGAGTGGCTTCTACTTTATCCGTTTTTGTTTCAAACTCTGCAAAAAGTTGATTATTAGGATCAAAATGGCGTAACCGTGAATGAGGTGGAATAGTGTTCAGGTTTGGATATCGGTTGAGCGTAGTCGTTGTAACATGCTCTACAATACGTGGTAAGGCAGCTTCATCTATTTGGAAAGAGCAGCTAGGATGACCAGATCTAACTTGGTCGTAAACTTTGCGACATTGTTCACGAATAGCTGGTAAAGTACGCAAATATTCTTCTGGTGGGAAAAGAGTCATAAGTAAAAAGAAAAAGGGAAGTAAATAATTTTTTTTTTTTTATGCAGCACACAAATTTAATTTATTATTCTCGAATTGAAAATATTCAAAGTTTATTTTAAAGCTTCTATATTTATATTTGTATATATACACATGTCTATATGTATGTACAAACATATATGCATATAAATTACATGATTGTAACCCATCGGGTTCCCTCTCTTCGTTGCTCAACTTGAATAGGAGGTAATGGCCAACTTTTGGGTCCAAAACTAGGAACAACATATACTAATTTACGATCCTTTTTGTCCCCAATAAACCTATAGAAGAGTAACAATAATAATAATAATTAGTATATACGCTCAATTCATCTTACTATTTGTCACTTACTTTGGAAGTGGGAACTCAAGTGGCCGGCCAAACGAACAAAGATCCTTACCAATTTTTGCAATCCATTTAGGCTCTACCGCTGTCACACCTTTCATCCACATTTTTCCTCCTTGACTCTTAAACAATTCACTATACACTAACATTTCAGGTGGTTCTTGACCGTACAATATCGAATTTGGATGCACAAAGGCATCTTCATCATGCCACAATAACCTATAAGGAACATTTCTTGCATTCTTATATCGTTTCGAACCTTGTCCTCCACCTGTCTCTAATACATCTTGTCGTATTGCCACGGAATCAATAAAGCCTGCTGTTAATACTTGCTTCAAAACTTTAAGTTGTGTGGCTGTTGGAGGAGGCATCTTAGGGTCTAAACAGACATCTACCTCAGGGAAATTCGAACATACTAAATTAGTAAGTTGACGTCGTAATTTACGAATCTCTTCCATTGCTTTGGGTCTCAAAAAGTTATCCTGGCAAAACTTTAAAGTAGCGCCAGCGTATTCGTAGGCACCCACAACATTAAGTAATTTCAAAATATCGCTAGAAGGATCTAAACCGGCATGCTTCATTTGTGCTGTATAGTACTTTTTACGAATCAATTTGCGTTGCTGTTTTTCGATATAAGCAGGGTTATTAAGATTTTGAAGCTCCTCATCATCATCATTATCATTCTCGTCCTCTTCGTCAGGATGTTTATCGTCCAAATGGTAGTCTTGAATGAATGGATCACCTACAGATAATGCGGATACGATAGCAATTACGTAAGGCAAACAATTGTGCTGTTGACCAATAATAAGCCTAAATAACAAAAATGAATAACTTTCATATAAACGGATAAATAGCAACTTACATTTTAGCAAATCTGGGCGTAATAGGAAATAATGACATGGTTTGTCCAAATTCTGTAATACGCTTTGTTGTCTTTTCAATAGCACCAAGATATCCCAATAACTAAATCCACAAATTAATGATTAATAAAAGTACATTTAATCCAAGGTCTTTTCTTTTTTTTTTTACCTTTTCTGCTTTTATTAAGTTTTCTCGAGGTGGAGGTGTTGGAAATGGAAAGTTGATTACATTATCGATATGCATTGCTTTCATATTGAGTACAACACCTTCAATTGGCATACGATGTATCTCAGGTGTAGAGAACTGCTCAAATTCATGATCAAACACTGCTGAGCTATAGAGTCTGTAACAGTGACCTGGTCCTGTACGGCCTGCACGGCCTGCACGTTGCCCAGCAGAAGCCTTAGAGGTCCACCCAATCTCGAATGATTGCACACCAGTTTGAACATCGTATCGACGCTCTTTAGACTTACCACAATCTACAACGTATCGAACACCAGGAATAGTCACTGAGGTTTCGGCAACATTTGTAGCTACTACACAGAGTCGTGTACCTTCTGGAGGAGGTTCAAATACACGTAACTGGGCTTCAGTAGGCAACATTGAGTAAAGTGGAAGAACATGTAAGGGTGCATGACTATCATTCACTAATTCATCATCATCAAACCCTTCCAGGATATCATCATCGTCATCTTCTTCATCTGTATCTAAATCAAAGTCCTCAATTTGCTCATCTTCTCCTAATTTTATAGCCTCATCTTCAATATCTACTTTCCCAACAGGTATTTCCTCCTTTTTTGACTCTAATGCAATTGCCTCCTTTTCCTTTTTACGATCATTCTTCGAAGCCTTAGCGGGCAAACTAGGATATCTTTGTCTTAGTTTTTTACATAATTGATTGATTTCGTTTTGACCTGTCAAGAACACCAAAATAGCACCTGAAGGCAATCGTTCATGAATTTTAGTTACTTTTTTATATGCTTCAGCCACATAATCCTGAGGTGTACGCTTATTAAAATGAATTGAAACGGGATATTGACGAGCATTAACATTAATAACTGGTGGTATTTTAGCAAATAGCTGTGTATTTTCGGTAAAATCAGAAACACGTAAGGTAGCTGACATGATTACTACTCTTAAGGGTTTAATCTTCTCACGATCCTGTTGACTCATCTCAGCTCTTAATTTTAAGACACGGCTCACAACACCAATCAAAATATCTGTATTCAAATTACGTTCATGTGCTTCGTCAATAATTAATGTTGAATATTTAGTGAGTAATAGATCTTGTGACATTTCACGTAAAAGGACACCATCAGTCATGAACTTGATACGAGTTTCATCGGATACTGTAGCATCATAACGAATTTGATATGAAACTTGTTTGTTTGATAAATTAAGTTCTTGAGCAACTCTGTTGGCCATACTGACAGTAGCGACTCGACGTGGTTGTGTGACACCGATAAGGCCTGGGTTATCACTATCCGGATGCGACCAACCAGCTTCATAAAGGAACTGGGGCACTTGAGTTGTTTTACCAGAGCCTGTTTCACCACAGATAATAACGACTGTATTATTACGAACAGCTTCCATAATTACTTGTTCTTCACCGCAGACGGGTAATTGAAGACGTGCAGCTTGTATTTCAGGTAAACGATTAACAGAGACATAAAAAGGTTTAGACTGGTCATTGACAAGATCACCTTCACGATGACTCTTAAGAATTTGCTCTTTGATATCATCCACTTCGGCTTCATGACGTTTAGTAACAAGTTCTTCAGCTGGAATATGTTGTATAGCCTCTGCTATGGCTTCGATATGTGTTTGTCGCTTTTCATCTTCCAATTCATTATCAACTGGTTTTTTATCATTTTTTACATCTTGTTCGTCCTCGTCCGATGAGGTATCATTAGCTGAATCTGAACTGTCAAACGAAGTATCTGATTCCATACCCTTTCTTTGTTTATATCGCTTTTTTGCAATAGCCGGGATAGTAGACTAAAACAAATAAGAATCAACATTTAAAAAATATTCTCTTTTTTTTTCTTTTGTTTGTATACAAATAATATATACCTTCTTCTTCTTTCTCTTTCGTTTAACAAGTGGCATATTAGGCCCGTCCTTTAAAGCACTTCCCATAATTGATGTCTGTATAGTTTGCTGTTGTTGTTCCTTATTTATTTCAAATAATTCAGGCTTTTCTTCCACTTCCTTTTCAATTAATAAAGGTACATCCGTATGTGTTGGTGTTAACCCTGCCTTTTGCTCCATCAAAGTCTGTTTTAGTTGTTCACGCAGTGTTTGACCTGATCGACCAATTAATTTAGAGGACTTGAGCAAATCAGAAGACCAAGAAGCAGTACTATTAAAAAATATGCTTAGAAAAAAAAAACTGAAATACAATTGTATGCGTGCTATGTTTACGAAAGTTTTTCCAAAAGACCCGTACGGGCTTCCTTTTTCAGCTTTTGTTCAATATATTTCTCAAGTTTTCTTCTTTTTTTCTTGGACATGTATTTGATAGGCTATGTAAAACCAATAAGTAAATTGCACAGAAGTAACATATGATATCTTTACCTCTTTGTAGGATTGTGTAGTATGTTTCTTTTGCTCGACTGATTGGTCATTCTGACCTGGAATAATCATTAATTCATTGGTATCACTAATAGTTAAAAAATAAAATAAAATAAAAAAAACAGATTAATTATCATGCTAATAAACAAATGTTGATTTTTACTTGTCAGTTGTAGTAGCTTTAGCGGCATTAGGTGTTATGATCGATTGTTTATGTTCAGGATCAAACATTTGTGGTGCTAAACCACCACTTCGAGCTTTTGGATGAGGTCGTTGTGTAGGCTTCATAGAAGAAGCACGAGCTTTTTCATTATATCTTGGTCTTGATTTTCCCATACTGCAAAACGATTGATGAAACCAGATCTATAAAGAAATAGTTTTTTTTTATATATATATCGAAAAAAAAAGTAAATATCATACTAGCTGCATTTTTAAGTGTGTGACTTGTTTTTAGCTGTAAAAAGCCACACTTTCCAGTCAGTTTCCTTTATTTTTCTTCAAAGATCTATAACAATGTCTGCAAAAAAAGAAGATCTTTTTGGTTTAGAAAATGATAGTGAGGAAGAGAACAATGTTTCATTTGATGAAGAAGAAGAAGATAGCCGATTCTCAAGAGCCAATCTTCAAAAGAATACATTAAATGACAGTGATGAGGAAGAAAGTGATGCTGCTGATGATAGCGATGTTGAAGAGCCTGAAGAGATTGAAGATCATTACGAAGAAAAAGATGAGGAAGAAAAGAATGATGACGATGAACAAGAACTCGAAAACAAACCACATGAAGATGACAAAAAAGCTGATGATTTTGAAGATGATGAAGGCTATGATGCTCCTGAGGATCTTAGTGAATTTGGAGCCCAATCAAAAACTAAATCTAAATCTAAAAAGAAGATAAAGAAACTAACACCTGAAGAACTCAAAAAATTCGAAAAGGCGATAAAGAAAACAGGTGTTTGTTATCTTTCACGTATTCCACCATTTATGCAACCTAGACAGCTTCGATCGATCCTATCAAAATATACTGAAATTGGTCGTATTTATTTAGTGCCAGAAGGTAAAGAAAAAAAAAGTCTACAATATTATTTATATAGTAACCCTTTGTTATAGATCCCAAAACTACAGCACGTCGTAAAAAGTATACAAGAAATAGACGAACAAATTTTATTGAAGGCTGGGTCGAGTTTAAAGATAAAAAAACAGCAAAGGCATTAGCCGAGCATTTAAATATGAAACAAATTGGAGGAAAGCGTAAAAGTGTATATTATCATGAGATTTGGAATATTAAATATTTACCTAAGTTTAAATGGCACCATTTGACAGAACAAATGGGTAAGTGTGTAAACTATTATGTATAAGAAATTAAACTAATTAAAAAAAAAAAATACTAGCTCATGAAAGACAGGCTCGTCAAAAACGTCTATTGACTGAAATTGCTCAAGCTAACAGAGAAAATAAAGTATATATCCAAAACGTACAACGAGCCAAAAAGATGCAGCAAAAGCAAGAAAAGAAACGTCAACTTGAGGACAACCCTGATGAAGAAGTACCTATTAAAAGAACATTTAAGCAAAGAGATAAAGTTGAACGTGAAGTGGACCTCAATGAATCTGGTAAAAAAGCTTTGGATAAAATTAATGATAATCATTTGAAGAATGTATTAGGAAATATCTTTTCCAAGAAATAAATAGTTTTTTTTTATTAAAATTAATAATTTAAAAGATTTCTTGACAGCCTGTCTTTTAATAACTTTGATAAAGCTATACACAAATATTAAAAAAAAAAAAAAAAGTTAGTATATCTATATTTTTTACAAGTTTGTATACTTTACATCTTCGATAAAAAGTTGGCCTAGTAGCAGTCAAGTAAAGCGAATATGATCTTGTTTGGCCATCGTCTAATGCAACTGATCTCAAGAATGGATAAGCTGCGGCTGGATCAATTAATGCGTAATTTAAATAAAGAACGCCACTCCAACCGCTCTTTACTGTAGGCGCAATTGCTTTAAGTCGTTGATCCCATTCTTGCGTAACAAATTCTGGTATACGAATATAGTCTGCTAAAATGGGTGTCATAGGTAATTGTTGAATACCATGAATAAATTCCAAGTATCTTCCAAAATAAGTTGTCTATACAAATAACAATAGGTTACTTAATACTATATATGAATTAATTTCATGATTATTTACATAATCTAATTTTTGCTCAAAGAAGATGCCGACTACTTTATTTTTTATCATCTCAGGAGGTCGATTCAGGTTACCGTCTAGCATCCAAAAATACTCATATGTTGTACGTTTAATCATTGCCAATTGTAAGTTTGCCAAGTTCTTGAGTGCTTCATTCTGTGTTGCTAAACCCCATAACTTGCAACCCCAATAAAAATTCACTGCCTAAAATAACCACATTAATCTTTCAAATTTTCTTTTTATTTTTATTCTTTATTTTTTATTTTTTCGTGTTTATACAGTTACCTCAGGTACTGACTCCTGATCACGTCCATCTAGGGCTCCATTCACTTTAATACCACCTGCCCAACTATGTCCTGCAAACCAATCCCAGCTTCTAAATTGAGCAAACCATTCGTCTTGTACCGGATTATTTACATCTCTAATCAATGCCTCTGTCCATTGTTTAAGGTCTGTTGATCGCCATGTAGGATCTAAACTGTTAAGGATGGCTGCTGTTACAATAAAATATCCTTGATGATAATGGTGGTCGTTGTAGTAGCTATGTCCAAATCCTGCATCCCTATTCCCTGTACCTCCCATTGAAGTTGGCAGTCCAGACGTAGCTACAATCCCTTTATACCGTTTATCATATTGAAAACTAGCCCCTTTGACTTTATTATCTAGAAAAGGCCCCATTACAGCTTTAAGTTTACTAAGCGCTAATTCTGCTAGTTCTTCATTAACTAGGCCTGTTGTTTGTGGCTTGTTCAGAATAAGTGCTAGTAGAGCTAGTTTTTGTAAACCTTTTCCAGCAAAATAAGTATCGTCTAAAGTAATTGTATGTTCTGTATAGTTGGTGTTGCGGATTTCATCAGCCAAAGTCGTCAAAATTTCGTTACGAGTTGTAGTATCAGGTACAGGCTGCTGGGGGAACCAATCAACAGCAGGCAAATCTGATTCAACTAAAGTCCAAGAATTGCCGATCACTGCTCTCATGGGGCCCTTAGATGACGAATTAAGGATAATATTGGTGATCTTTTGAGCACTTGTAAGTGTTTTAAGATGATGAGCATACGCATATATTAAAAGATCCTTGTTAGTGTCACCTTGTTTTATCCAATCAATACGATAATTTGCACTATAAAGAAATATAATTCATAATAAATCAATGATCATAATACTCTTAAATATAATATTTGTATATCTATTCTATTACCCTCCATCATCAATTGTTACTTTTCCTCCAGTCGCCCAAACACCATGATATGCATCTAATGTTGCTTCATCTTCAGGACGAGGTAGTTTTGTGACCTGTATAACTCCATTATAAGGCTCAGTCGCAACTAGCAAATTCATATTTGTCTGCTTTAATGTAATTGGCTTTCCCAATACGTACACCAACCATGTTGATCCATTATTCAATGTTATCTTAAATTTCTGTCCTGTTGTAACATCATTACCATCAGCTTTTACGTTTATGATTGCATGTTGGGTGAAAAACTGGGGTGTCAATGTCTGATATTGTGCAGTGATAAATGCACTACCTCGTGTAATAGGAAATACTATATTACTACCACTCTGGCTTGATAATTTCAATTGAGCACTCAGCAAGTCCCATTGTGTTACAAGTGGTGAAGGCCTTGAACTCCATTCCTTTGCAGAAATTCTAAAATCTATTACAGCAGAGTTGATGGCGTATCCTGCAGGAGTGGCAGGTACATTATTCATGGCTGGATATCCACCAATAATTGGCTGACCTGGTTGCGAAATTGACACACCCCAATTAGAGTCACCATCCAAAACTCGTAAAATATAAGGATCAGGTGTGGTAGGTGCTATATTGTTTACACTAGGGTAAAAGAGGTTACTAATCCATGAGCATGTAGGCACAGGAGTTTGTTTTGCAAAATTAGAGTCTGCGTATATTGGTGGGAAAGGATGATCAATAACAGGAAAGACAGAAGGAATGCCACTGGCAGTAATGGGCATAAAGACACGATTTAAGTTAGAATGTGATGCTTTTTGAGAAATATCAAGTAAGAGTGAATTAAGCAGGTTTGTATTATTAATTTGGTTAATATTTGATATAGCAGCATAAGCTTTATCAAATATAAGAAAGAGTAGCAATATATACAAATTGCTACTAAGAGCAACTGAATATTTCATTTTGATAAAAAAAAAAAATACAAAAAAAAAAAGACAAAAAGAAAACCAGGTATTTTATCAGTATAACTGTGCTTGCCAAAAAGATATAACATAGTATGAATTAAAATTTTATATGCAGACTCCAAGGTTATTTTTATTTTTTTGTTTTGTATCCGTTAACTTTCCAATACATCCTTTAATGACGTAGTTGCAGAGCCACGTTTCTTTGGTAAAGGTGTATTTTCTGAAGGCTTCCAACCAATCTAGTTATAAGCAATTTTTAATAAATATGGTATACTTATAAATAATTTTTACAAAATTACCAGATAAATTATTTGAAATGTTGCTGGAATTGTACCGTCTGGATTTCCATGTAACTCTAATTAAAAAATATTAAAATGATATATGCATTATGCCTTTTCATTCATACCTTTATATATAGCAGCAGCAGCAATAAGTGTATCTCTCTTAATAAATGGTTGTCTATTAATTAAAAAAAAATTAACTGCTAGTTCATTCTTATTATATATATATATATATACCTAGTCAACACTGCATTGCTTTCTCCCATAGCTCTCAAATCCTGCATTAACTCAAATGCACTTGGATAATTTACTTGAATATCTTCTACATCCACTGTTATTAAGCTAAATCCTGCCCTACTTAAAAGCCTTGACATATTGCTTGATTCAACCATGGGTGAAATACGTGGTGAGATGCCATTTTCACGCTCATTCTCAGCCAACTGTAATGATGTCCGTAGTTCAAAGAGAGTATCACCGCCTAGCATGGCACCAATAAAGACACCATCTGGTTTAAGAGCTTTTTTAATTTGTATGAGGGTACCTGGCAAGTCATTTACCCAGTTTAGTGACATACTACTGACAACGGCATCTAGGGAATTTTCCGGGAATGGTAAATGTTCTTCATCGATTACACGACGTTCAACTTGAACTGCCAAGGTATTAGTAAATTTAAATTAAAAAAAAATATATATATAAGGTAACAAGTATTTACCTTCATAAGGTATATTTATATCTCGATTTAACGCTTTTTCTACGGTTAACAAAGGGTTAATTTCAATTATGTACTTGGAATTCAAAGTTTGGATTACCTGACATGTCACACATTATTAACTTGTTCATCTTCTCTTTTTTCACATGCTTAATAATGTGTCCACAACCAGAACCCAAATCAACTACTGTATTAAAACTACGATTAACATCCTAAATAATAACAAATTAATGTACCGTCTATTTCCATGCCATTGTAATTTACCAAAAGTCGATCTGCTACTCGGGCTGCTACTGTATCCCGCAAATAATCCACAGTTCGGCTTTGTTCAACATCAAGAGCGGCACGATCTCTTTGAAGACGTTTAGCATGACGATCAAAGACTTGGAAAGGCGCCGTTGTATAATGACGCCTAATAGATAATGATCGAATAACAGTGGATAACATTAATGTAATAATAAAACAGACAAAAAAAAAAAAAAAAAATCTGGGGTATTGTTTATTATTGTTTAATCTCAGTTTAAGTCTATCAATATTTATTATTATGTACAAGCCTGTTTACTCATCTAAAAGAATTGATTCCATTAAATAATATTTTTGAAGTGGCTCAATGACGTGCATTAATCCTTCTCCAGAAACAATCTGTTCTAATTCATACAGTGTCAAGTTGATACGATGATCTGTGACACGGTTTTGAGGATAATTATAGGTTCGTATCTTTTCTGATCTATCGCCTGACCCAATCTGCTTATTACGTGACTGACGGCGCTCCATATCAACACGTTGTCGCTCTTGCTCAAAGATCTTTGCTCGTAATACTTTGAGTGCCTTAAGTTTATTCTTATGCTGCGAGCGTTCATCTTGCATTGCTATTGTAATACCCGTAGGTAAATGGGTGATACGGACCGCACTATCAGTTGTATTTACATGTTGGCCACCCGCGCCCGATGACCTGTAAACATCTATTCTTAAATCAGAATCTTTGATATCAATATCTACTGAATTAGGCTCTGGTAGAATAGCGACTGTTACTGTTGAGGTATGTATACGACCCTGTGTTTCTGTTGCTGGTACCCGCTGAACCCTGTGCACTCCTGATTCATATTTGAGAAATGTAAACACATTGCGTCCACCTATACTCACTGTTAAATCCTTTAATCCTTTGGCTTCTTCTGAGCTGGAAATTATCTCCCATTTCCAACGCTGTAGCTGTGCAAATCTCTCATACATTCGGCTAAGATCAGCAACAAATAACGACGCCTCATCTCCGCCTGCCCCTGCACGAATTTCTAAAATTGCACTTATAGCATTATCAGCTGCATCCTTTGGAGCTAATTCTTCTAACAGATTTTTTTCTACTTGTTGGAGAGCCTGGGTAATGTCGTTAGACTCCTCCTGGGCAAGCTTTGCTAATTCTGGATCCTCTGATAAATTCTGTAATTCTGCAAGATCCTGACGATGCTTTAACCATTCATCAAAGAGAGCTTTTGAAGTTGTAAGTTTAGCCAGTTCCTTTGAGGCTGAAGTAAGTTCTGCGGGTGATAAGTTGATATTATTGAGTTGACAGAGTAGTGTATCATGGCGATCGGACAATGCTTTGAGACGAGTTTCAATTGGTGGAGTAATTATAGAAGATGGCAAAAAAGCTAATAGAATAGATAATGAGTATTAATTTGTGTATATAATATTTGTTTCTTACCTTTTGTAGAATATCTTGATATTTGAATAAAAGCTCGCTTAAACATTATTTATGTAGTGAAAGCAAGGGGTACAAAATTCAAAACAAAGAGAATATAAGCTATTAAGTCACACAGTCTACCAATAATGGGCTTTTTTTTTATTATTTACTTATTTATTTATTTTTTTATTATTTTCTCTTATATAATGCCGCCGATATAATACGCCCTTATAGCAAACAATATATTTTATTTTCTTTTCTCTTATAAAATTAAATTATGCAAGAAAGTGCAGTGTTTACAAGTTTAACATTTGAAGAAATCTTGGACGATTTATCTAGGTATTCTATATAAAAAAAAAAAGGCAAAATAAAAAAATAAAAAAAAAACTAAAATTTGAAATTAGTCGTTTTATCATCAACGTACCGGAAGCAGAACTTTCTTCAGTAGAGCGAATTTGCTTTCAAGTAGAACAAGCACATTGGTTTTATGAAGATTTTGTTCGAGAATTAAGACCTGAATTACCCTCTTTTCAACTTAAAAGTTTTTCTGCAAGAAATATCCTTTTCTATATTTATAAAAATATATTATTCATTTTATTTTCATTACTATTAACTTTTGTTTATTTATCCTTAACGATTATTTTTACTTTTTAAGCATTGTCCACTTTTACATCAATGGGCTCATGAACACGAACGCGCTTATGCAGATTTTATGCAATATCGTTTCCGTATTCCTGTTTGTGGTGCCATTATATTGAATACCACGTTAGATAAATGTGTTTTGGTTAAAGGATGGAGTTCAAAATCGGGATGGGGTTTTCCAAAAGGAAAGATCAATCAAGATGAAGAATATGATAAATGTGCAATAAGAGAAGTAAATGATGATTACAAAGCATTCTGATTATATGTATCTTATTTACTTGATTTATGATTAGGTTTTAGAAGAAACGGGATTTGATATTGGTCCTTTATTAAAAAAAACAGATTATGCTGAATTAACCATGCGTGAACAACGTATCCGATTATATATAATTCAGGGAGTACCCGAAGATACGCAATTCATACCAAGAACAAGAAAAGAGATTAGTGTAAATATATAGAAGATAAATATATATATATATAAATATATATATACGCTTTTAATTAACTGTTTGTAATAGCAAATTTCCTGGGTTAAATTAGAAGATTTGCCAACATATAAAACTACTGAATCATCAACAAGGAATAATAATTCAAATCTAAACTATGTAAAATCAGGGCCTTATCGTTTTTATATGGTTGTACCATTTATAAAGTAAGTAAAAAAGGAATAAATAGATGCATTCTGATGACTTACGATGTTTTAAGTAAATTGAGACATTTTGTAAATCAACGTAAAAAGGCTTTAAGAAAGGAAAAAGGGAAATCTCCTCGACCCAGTAAGCCTGCTGAATCCTCCCTTAAATCGCTTTTGGGTGTTAATGAGACGAGTTCTGCGACACAACCTACTACAGGACTTAATTTGCTTGATCAACTCTTTTTACCTAACAATGCACAACAACAAACTCTACCACTTGCTACTAATGCACAACAACAGGCTCTACCACTTGCTGCTAATGCACAACAACAGACTCTACCACTTGCTGCTAATGCACAACAGCATAGAGCTTCATTTGTTGAAGAATTATTAAAGTCACAAAATAGTGTAAATAATGATAACATGCGTCGAAACTCACTTTTAAGTGTGTTGCAAGGCCGTAGTAACAATAATATGCCAAATACGTTTCATCAAGAGCAATATTTTGGCTGATATAACGATAATGATAATAAAGTTAATAATCATCATTACAGTCCTTAAATATCATTTTATTTCATAAAGAGAAGTTAAGTTACATATAATTGATAGGAGTTACTTCAGTGAATCAAGCTTTTACAAAGGTGCTTGTTAGTGCTTTTTTTTTTCCTTAAAATTTGCTTTTTCTATATAACATTACTCTCCTTTTTTTTTAAGACGAAATAAACTGAACCTTTTTACTCTCTCCTTTTTATCGTAATACTAAGTATTTTAGACATAGCTATGCATTAATTAATAAAAGAATAGCTGGTATTTTTAATTATTCATTGTATATTCAAAAGGAGAAAGGCTAATCCAGATAAATGCATAATCTAAAGCAGTTTTACGTTTTTTCCTCTTTTTTTTAAAAAAAATCAACAACATAATAATAATAATAATGAAGATTGTTGTTGCTTATTGTAATAGTTGTTTCCTGAAACTAATAGTATTACTTCTATTGGTTTGTTCTTGGGTAGTCGTGTCAGAGCCGTTTTCTTCACTTGAAGCCCAACAGCTTCAACTTATTCAACAAGCTTCTAAATTTGAAATTTTGCAAGACTTTAGAAAACCTAAACGAATTGCATTCAGCGCTTTTTTTGGTGGAGCATCCCATGTCAACTGGGTTCTTACTATTCTTGATGAGTTGTCAACTCGAGATCATTCTACATTTTTTATTACAAACGTATTATCTTAAAAAAAAAAAAAAAAAAAAAAAAAAAAAAAAAAAAAAAAAACTAATACAATACTGCTTTATACATAGGAAGAACATTTAAAATTCGGTAAATCATTTCCCAACATTGAAACCTTATTGAGTGATACTTGCATAATGTCTCCAGATCAACGTCCTAATATGGTCAAGATGTTTAGAAGCGCTCCAGCTATGGAAAGCTTACATGCTTTGATAACCGTTTTAAGTTCAGCATTTGAAGATTGTAAATTATCATTGAGAACATATACACTTTATCTCCTTTTTCTAAACATATTTTCTCATTTTTTTTAGCTTTTCTTCATCTGATTCATTATTTCAAAACATATGAAATTGATTTGGCTTTATGCGATCACTTTAACTCGGCCTGTGCAGAGGCATCTCACTTTTTGGGTATCCCTTATATTATTACTTCATCAACAGCCTTAGGTCCAGATACGGCCACTCCCTATATTAACAATGAATTTCACACCATTCGTCATCCTACTATACAAACAATGTCCTTCTGGGAACGTTTTGACAAAAGTATTATTAAACCCTTTGAGATCCCTCTTAAACTTTACAAAGTGTTGGCAACGCATAAAGAAAAATTACATACATTGGGTATCAGAGATCCACCCATGAATCCTGAAGATCGTTGGAGATCAGCTGTAAAGCTTGTGAATAGTTGTTTTGGCTTTGAACCTGGACGGCCTATAGGCCCTCTTGTTGAGTTTATAGGTCCTATTCTGCATACCAAGACTGCACCACTCACACAAGATCTTGTAGATTTTTTAGATTCACATAACCGCGTTGTTTATGTTGCCTTTGGTCAACATGCGATAGCTACTACCGAGGATCTCAATTTAATCATGAATGCATTACTAAACACTTATAAGAATGGTGATATTGATGGCATCATCTGGGCGACCCGTCATCTTAACTTCCCGCCTTATTTTAAAATTTCTAATGTGACCTATGATCTCGGATCATTTTATGGGAATCATAGTGATATTTTATTTTTATCGTGGGCGCCTCAGCTTTCAATTTTAAAACATGATGCAGTTAAAACATTTGTAACCCATGGTGGAGCAGGGTCACTCTATGAGGCCCTATATGCAGGCGTTCGTTTAATTATATACCCATTTTTTATTGATCAGCCTGGGGCAGCTTTAACAGCGCAACGCAATGGTCTTGGTCTTAAATTAGATAGTCGAGCAACACAACAGGAGGCGAATGATATCATAAAGCAAGTAGTCTCTGATGTGAATCATACCTTTCAAAAAAATGTAGACAAATTTAAAGCTTTAGTACAGATCAGAGCAAATAGAGGACCCCAAAGAGGGGCAGACGTGGTAGAGGAGGTCTTATTTATGGATGGGCAAATTAAATATAGATTTGATGTACGTGAAAGAATGTCATTTGTGAAGGTCTACAATATAGATGTCTATGCCTTTATGTGCATAGTAATTTATAGTATAGGAAGAACTATCATAGGATTATGCAAATTTTGTCAAAGGAAATATAGTTCCATTCATCACAAGAGTAAAATATTGTAAAATGTTTCATTATATGATAAAATAAAATAAAATAAATAAATTATAAGTTTATACAAAGCTTTACACAGAATTTATTTAGTCTTATTTTGCAAAGAATTGGGAGTTGAATATCTATACAGAATAGATATTATTCTGTCTAGTAGTGTATGTATACTATATACATGTGTACATTATGCTAGCAGTAGTATCTGTCTTTAGCTCCTTTGATGAATGTCAGCTAGTATTATAGATCAGACCCAAAGCTTATTTAATTCGTCTCTATTGCTATCATAATATGTATTTTAACCCTGTTCATTATTTTCCCTTTTAATACATATATTTATATATGTATATAAATTAATAAATTATTAATAATAATAATAAACCATACAAAGACGTCTATTTGTTAAATTAGCCTTATATTAATATACCCTTCCTTTACTCAAAAACAGGATGAAACATTTTTAATTTATTAGTTCTGCATAAATTTATTTATAATGATTGATATTTTCTCAAACCGGACTCAACAGCTGCAGCAGCCCATTCCTCTGCATGATGGAAACCATCTTCGGTAGTAGCTCTGGCAATTGCTTGTTCATCATTATAACAAGTTAAAACGCCAAACATAATAGGGACACCTGTGTCTAATTGAACTCTCATGATGCCATGAGTAACTGCATCACAAATATATTCAAAATGTGCAGTACCGCCCTTGATCACAATACCAATACATATGATAGCATCAAAAGGACCCGTTTTGCGATTACTCGTCTTTTTAGATAAAGCTGGAGAACCTAACAAGTCATCGGCAGTCTGTGACGCTTGTTGCTGGGATAGTTCGATGAGTTGTTTAGCTGCCATGGGTAATTCATAAGCACCAGAGACTGTATCCTATAATAATAAAGCAGGAGAAAGAAAAGAAAAGAAAAGAAAAGAAAAAACAAGGAGAGTTAGATTAAAGACATTAATGTGTCTTACCAATAAACTTACTGTATAAATGTTTTCAGGTTTGACATTATACTTTTCAATTAAAGTTTCATAAACCTTGTTGTAAAGTTGATCAACAAGGGTGTAATTCCAACGTGTATGGACAATGGCAATGCGAAGAGCAGAACCATCTAATTTGACCTTTGGGGCTGCAACACCTTTCTTAAATGTCTTATCGCTCATTTGTATATTATGAAGAAAAAATGTAATTTTATTATTTGTAAGCGCGGATATTTAAAACAAAAAAAAAAATAAAATTTTTGATGTTGTGTATATGTATCACATATTTCAACTTTTGATCATATTTTCAAGAACCAGCAATTTTTTCTTTTCTAGATAGAGCTGACTTTTTGCATATATCTTGATAGATTTTAAAAGATCTTGAGTACTATTCGGTTTGTAATAAGCTTCAATATCATTTTGCAAGTTTGTGTTAATTCTTTCAAAACGGATCTTGCAGTTATTCTCATTAATGCGAGCCTGAAATTATAATTGTTAATACCTATGTAAACTATATCGTAATGCTGCTCTTACATCCTCTAAAATGGCAATAGCTTCAGTGACCTGATCTCGATCAATATGGATGGACGACTTTAATCTTTCCATACTTCTTAAGCTTGATTCTGTGTACTTTTGACTTGACAAATAAATTGATAAAGTATTTAGTCTTCTTTGCATTGCATTCTATTACGTAATAATTAAATTTTATACATATTCATTTACTTGATTATTACCTGTGTAGATTCACAGTTTTTTATCTGATAAATTATTTCATCCTCTAGAGTGTCATTCATAGCCAATTCCTTTTATAATATTAGATTATATATGATAAATACAAATATATATATATATGTGTGTATATATAGTTGATCTAAAGACTTACTTGAAATTTACTTAGGTCATATAATTGCTGATATCCTTTAGCAATTGATTTATACAATCTAGAATAATATCGTTACATTAGTATTGGGTTTTTTTTTTTTTTTTTTTTTGTTTATAAATATATCATACATAAATAAGTTTGAGCTTCTTTCTAATCCACCATAAGATACCCAAGCAGACGACAAATTCAAATAAGTTCGAGTCATACCTTTGAGTAGAATATGTAAATCCTCTTATTCATTATATAATTGTTGTATCCATTACCTCTTTGTTCTTGTTCAACCTTATTCACCTGTGTCAATACTTGCTTTAAGTTATGATGAAGTAGGTTCAATTCTTTTAAGCATTGTCTAAATTCAGGTCCCATATCACTTTCAGTAGCATGAATCATAACTTGACCACTTCTAGTTCTTGCCAAAAATGAAGATTTGACTGTGAGCATATTGGGTCTAAACTGTAATATAATTTTAATATGCATATTATATATCCTCCGCATTATCTGTGTAAACTTTACACTACCCCAACTTCACTTTCAACAAATTCACGTAAGCCTTCTGACATTTGAACTCTTTCATTCTGTGTAATTCTATTCAACCAAAGCTGAATTTTGTATTCTAATGCATTCTCATTACTTTGAGTAGTAGTTGATTTTTGTTGCTCATTTTGGATGTATAGCCACCATTGTCTACTCAATAACTCACCTGTTCGCTTATCAAATCTAGCTAATGGACATGCAGGCAATGCAGGTATTAATACATCATCCAATGTACTAACAAAGTAATCATGGAGTTTTTCTAATTCACTGTAATACCTCGGAATACGACGATGTTTATATTTTATGCTGTTTGTCTAAACACATTTACATAAGTAAAAAACAAAATAAAAAACGACAATTTACGTGAGATTACTTGGACTTCAATCCAAAATACAGGATCTTTCCGTTTATAGTCAACATTAGTAATGTAAAGCTCCATTTGAGATGTCCTCTTTTTTTTTTTTTGTATACTTAATAGATAAAAAATGAAAATGAAACTAAAAATGAAAATGAAAATGGAACTAAAAATAAAAAATAAAAAACAAATTTTGAGGTCATTAGCACTCAGAAAAAAAAAAAAAAAAAAAACTACTATAGCCAACATAAGCCTTTTTTTTTTTTTTCTTTTATCAAAATACTTTCAAACAAGTAAACAAATGATTATTTAATAGTTTTTTTTTTCTTTTGTTTATTATAACTACTTTCTTCTTCTTCCATTAAATTATTGTTTCTTGTTGAAAATCAACATCAAAATTTAATAATTGGAATGAAGTTTTATCAGGACTAAAAAATATAAAGTTAGTAAAACTACCATAGAATATGCAGATATATGGTAATTACATACTTGTGAATAGCTACAACACATTTACTTTTATCAAAAGTGACCCACCAAACACCTTTTACATCTGTAACTAAATCATACAAATACCTGCCCGTCTTTATATCCCAAACTTTTAAACCACCTTCTGAACCAGAAATCACTTTTTCATCATCATGCTTGAAACATGTAATGACTCCTTCATGTCCAGCCAACACATGTTCACAAATCCCATTGTTAGGATTCCACACTCTTAATGTACAATCTGCAGCTGCACTCACTAAATAATTCTGTGTAAGACCCAAGAGACCAACCAAGATCGAGTGCCCATTCAACTTATGTAGACAATTACCTGTAGCCAAATCCCAAATAAAGACTGAGCTATCCATACTGCCACTCATACACTGATTGCGTGGTGGATCGATTACAACTGAATAGACATTGCTTGTATGCCCTTCCATACGATGCATAAGGCGACCAACGGATAAATCCCAGATGGCTACTGTATTATCGTAACTACCGCTTACTAATGTGTTGCCATAAGCAGCAATTGAGCGTACTGAATGTGTATGACCTACTAAAACATATTTGTGCCATGGATTACTGACTGGATCTTCTTCACCTACGAATGGCTCTTCACCTCCATCAAACTCTTCGACATTAGGTAATCGCCAGACACGTATTGAGAAATCTCGAGAACCTGTAACAATTAATGGCTCCTGAGGCTCGATTCGTCCATTGACGTTGACGGGCATTATAATTTGCAGACATCGTACTGTCGATGTGTGTCCTTTAAATATGTGTGTACATCGCTTTTGATCAATATTCCAGACACGAACCGTTCTATCAATTGAGCCAGATACTAATGTATTACCGATATACTGTAAAGCCCAGACACCTCCGTTATGTCCTCTCAACTGCGTCACTACTACCTGAGGCTCTTTAGCATCATATATATTGATCAAGGCATCCGTTGCGCCACTTATGATTTTATCATTATCAAACTGTAAACATGTAACAATATTGTCCTTATGGCCATCAAACTCAATACGACGAAAGCGGCCTTTACGCCAATTCGATTTTAACGTGTATTGACGTCGATATTGTTCACGATATAATCTATTATTCAACTGTATCTGAAATCCATCACGCATCAATAGACGATACCAGATGTTGATGTCTCCGTTAATAATGCGATGCCAAGTTTTAGAAACTAATGATGCACGTTGAAGTGAGCAGACATCAAGATAGCTAATAACATGTAGTTTAAGTTCATAAGGAAGACAAGCTAGAAAGTCACGTTTAAGGTGTGCGGCTATAGTCTGTTGAATGAGTTGAAGGGTCGATTTTGAAGAACGTTTAAGGAGCTCAAAGAGAGTAATGGACTGAATTGGAGTGGGTAGGAATTCGAATTGTTTAGCCAGAGTAGGCATAGTGTTTATTGGGGAATTAGTGTCATTAAAAAAAATGACTTGTTTTGAAGATGGATCCTATATAATAGGTAATAAAAAAAAAAAGAAAAGAAAAGATTAAGGACATAATAAATAAATATTTATTTAAATATATTATTTTTGGTGTTAAGTTTACTTTTTGGTGCTTATAGGTGGAATGAATAGCTTTCAAAGAAGAGGGTATAGAGGCATTCGATAATGGGTATTCAGATATTTGAGAATTAGATGAAACTAAGCTTTTGTTTGAATTAATAGTGAGTTGTACAACATTTAGTTGTTCATTAGATGGCTCTTGCATGTTCCAAGAGTAAAATAAAAAGAAACACTTTATGTATTTCTCATATACGTCATGCATAAAAATATTAATAATTCCCGCCCCTATTAACTCCTTTTTTTTATTGTTATTGTTATTTTTTATTTTTTAATATGTATACATGTATATAATAACAACATATTATTTAATTGCTTGCATTTATCTTAATTCTACTTGAGAGAGAGAGAGAGGGATCTAAATGTTATGAATCTGAGAAAAACGCAAGTAACTTGGGATAGAACTAAGCATAGATTTGTATGTGTAGAATAGAATACATGATTTATAGGTTGTTAAGTCGATCTAGAAAAGTATATATTTTTAAAGAGCGATCATATACAATGATATTATTGAATAGCTAAATAAAGAGAATTGTTACAGGTCAAATATCTTTAATTGATTAAATACTACAGTTTGACACTTTTTTGGTTATATATTAGTAAGCCATTTAAAAAAAATAATAATAATGGCTAATTTGTTGTATATGATAGTCATATATTCTTGTATTCATTTTTGAATGCGCTAATACTGCTTAAGGTATGCTCACTGTAATCCTAAATTTGAGATATTAAGAATTTTTTTTTGTTCAAAGAAAGAATAAGGCTTACCAGAATACACTCTTTTAAAATACATACATATTAGCATAAATATAATCATTAGTATTTGGTACACACACTATATGATTAATACTCTGTTGAAATACTAATCCTATCTTCCAAAGAAATAATTTAAGCTCAATGACTTGGGGTCATACCCTTACTTCCCCACTTTTGAAGATTGTAGTGGTAGTTTTATATATATATATATATATGTATACATATATATTAAAAATAAAGCGTTGCTTGGAAAGCTTAGCACTACATTTTCAGTCTTCACTTAGGTGTGTCAATAAATTGACAAAAAGCTCTAATACAGCCAATCAGAGCTTGCAATTTTCTTAAAAAGTTATCGATAACCTTACCGATTAGCGATAACCTTACCGATGAATTGAAAAAGCTCTAATACAGCCAATCAGAGCTTGCAATTTTCTTAAAAAGTTATCGATAACCTTACCGATTAGCGATAACCTTACCGATGAATTGAAAAAGCTCTAATACAGCCAATCAGAGCTTGCAATTTTCTTAAAAAGTTATCGATAACCTTACCGATTAGCGATAACCTTACCGATTCGTTTTATTTCAGTCTTCTGTTCAAGCTCCACTATGTCAGGTAAGTATTTTTTTTTTCTCTTTATTTACAAGCAACTAAATTAACACTCCATTTTTGAAAGATCAAAATCTTTTACAATTCATAATTCCAGAAAAATATCGACCAGGAACAGATTTGATGTCGAAATTAATATTGCAAGATAAAAGAGTGATGAATCTAGTATTGGAATCACTCATTGGTAAAGATGCCATTGATTGCTATGTTTCTAGCCCATGCGAATGGATTGATGGTCGCCATGCCGACATTTTGTATACTCCAATTTTACCAGCCTCAGAAGCCCTCCCACCTGTTATCATTGAAATTCAAAACGTTGTAGATAAGCCTTTTATTCGTCGTTTAATAAAATACTGCAGTCATGTTATTGACACATATCAAGTCGAACCTGTTGCTTTGACAATATGTGTAAATTCAGTAAGAAAAGAAGTAAAAAACAAACTTCAAGAAACAAACAAAGCAACATATATGAAGAAGCTTGCAAGCGACGATTGGGCGCAAGCTCATTATTTTATAAGCGAAGAGACAATTAGGTCTTCTCTTGAGGCACCATTATCCCCAATGGTTGCCTTAAGTTATGTTATGATTAAACAGCAAGTGTCTATAATTGGGTTGGAACACAGAAACGATCCAACTGTTCAAATGTTATATAGTATTGCTAAAGAAGTCCTCGACCATCAGATTCATAAAGAGGAAAAAATTATTGATGTATTGTTAAATGTCTGCCATAACAATCGCGATCAATATAAACGAATTATAGAGGCTTTAGAAGAAGATTGCAGTGCAAAGCGGGCACGGTTATATGCTGATGATGGTTTACTGTATGCTGAAGCATGCATACGTAAATATAATCATCGAGGATCATGCTCCACGATGAGCGAACCATTGGATTTGCCAGAAGGAGTGACAAAAGAAGGCAGTAGCAGCAGCAGTAGCAGCCAAAATCCTTTGCGGGTAATAGAGCCTGATCGAAAGATGACGGATTTGGAGTGGGCAGGTGAGTTCATCAAACAATGCAAAGATGATAAAATAAGGATGAACTGGCAAGTTTGCTTCGCCAAAGGACGAGAAGCTGGTTTTTTTGAAACCTATGCAAATGCTCAAAGTTTAAAGAGTACTTACAATGGTCAGAAATTGAAAAAATAAACAATTTGATACCATATTATTATACTTTTTATATTGTGTTTCCGCTCTCAATTTGTCTACTATAAAAAAAATCCGTATAAATACTAAGGTGATTACAATGGTTCTTCATTGAAGCATTTAATAAATATATTGATTGAGTGGAATAAAATTTAGTATTTGTTCTTTAAGAAGGTTTTTATTGCTTACATCACGTATGCATAGAATAATGACCTATCCAAAGCGGTGATCGTATGGTAAAATGAGAAATGGCATAACAGAAAGTATATAGAAGTGTTTTCAAAAAGATTTCTGTTTTGTTTTGGTTGGAGTAATTTCATAATTTGTCTTGTTAATTGTTTTCTAGTCTTGCAAAGCTTTTTCTTTTTCCAGCTATCAATGTATGTAGATCCTGTCAAAGGGAACCGCTTCAAATGTCATTCGGAAATGAGGTTTCCAGATGGCAGCAAGGGCAGTCAGTACGATAATAGTGGGGTTGACTGTTGGAGATAACTTGCAATAGCCGATACGATTGTCAAAATCCAACACTGATAAACTTTCAATGAGGTTCTTGACGGTAATAGTAAGTCATAGAAATTCAAATATGAGTTCATGTCATATATGCTGTTTTGGAGGACACTGGAATAGCATGTGGTTGGGCGTTTCTTCAGTATTTGAATAATAGGAACAAATGGTAGAGATAGACTATTTATTAAGCATGTGAGACAGTAGTGCATGACTTTGGATTTTTGCTTTAATCCGGTGATGGATTACATTGAAGGTCACATAGCTTAAGGAGAGGTTCCAGAAGTTAGCCCAGTTCATAGAATAGATCATAGCTAAATGAAACATTGTGTATGCTTTTATTCATTCTTGCTCCCTTTCTTCAAGGTTTAAGTATGACTTTGTACCCAAAATCCTAAACATTAAATAAATATTTGGGGGGTATACATACGATTTGATTTATAAGATGAAATTTGAAAATACTTGATTAAATACGCAAAACTGACAAATTGCAGTGTTAACACTTGCTATAAACCAGTTGACTGGCCTCACTGATACGCAATTTAATAATATATAAATAAGTTGTATGATAGATTAGCAAACGATTTTTTTTTGTTATAAATGATTTCTTTTTCTTTTTTTTGAAAAAAAAACATTTTTTATTTTATATGCTGGTTTCTTCATCTGGTCTGTCATCTCCCCTCCCTTCAAGTTGTATTTGGTGCTGTAAACAGGACAATTTAAAAGTTGGGTGCTTTAAAAATACACGCACTGTAAAGTTTACATTTTACTCTGCGCCACAAGTTTGGGCAAGTGTAGAATATTCTATTGCTTACTTCATTATTGATTGAGTTCTATGACGGGGAGGCCGTATCAAACGCAACAAAGAGGATGCCAACGATGACGGTCGATAAGGTAGATTATGGAAGGAGAATAGACCTGATTCTTGAAAGTAAAGATGAAGAACAGCAATATGAACTCGCAGCAAATGAGTTCAAATGAAGCAGTGCATCTAACGATGTTCTCAAATACCAGCAAAGCAATGACATTCGTATAAACGCATGCATTAAAAACGAAATTGACCTGCTCCTCAACAACAACAATACACAAATCAACTACCTGGACTTTGACGGTAGACATGCTTATATTTTGCAGCTATTCAGCTTTGAAGGTTGCTTCGTTACGTTCAAGGTTGACTCGTTTAAAATCCCTAAAAACCTTATTGGTTTGAGTAATTTCCGCTCCTCTTTGATAAACCTCTACTTATGAAAGAGCACCATGATAAAAAACAGTCAAAGCATTCTTGGTGTCATCTCTAATGAAAACGCCGATTATGATTCGGTTGATATCACAAGTGAAATTCCCCCCGTTATGTGCATCCCCGCCCAGAAGGCGATAAGTAAATCATGCTGAGGCGTATTCGTCCCCATCAAAGGGTTGTAAGAAAAAGCAAACAATAATATTTTATATGTAAAACATGATATATACGCAAATATTATTTAGTTATTGTAAATAAATATGGAAAAGAACTACAATAAAAAAAACACCAGGTGTAAATCCAATAGTATAGCGAAATATCTTGATCAACTCTCTTTAAGGATTCGGGGGGCACCATCAACATCAATAGGCTTCTTTTTTTTAAAAAAAAAATTTGAAAATAATGACGGTCTGTTCTTAATAATTAATTGTGTGGGGTTTTATCTAATTAGATAACAGAAAATTCAGTTAAATTTTATCTAACCAGATGTTTTTTTTTATTAATGTGGGAGTTGGTATTTTGACTAATTCTGCGTGACTGTAGGATCAGAAACAGTGTATGGCAATTGGAGAGCTGGATGCATATGACAACAGGTAGCAGCATGGAGTCGAGTTAGCATATCACGAGGGCGATAGACACACAGCTTTAAAAGACCAACAGGTAACCAACCCATACACCAACGAATTAGTCGACTCCGCTCAATATAAGACATCAGTAGCCAGAGAATAGGATCCACGACCAATTGAGTACGACAAACAGAGAGAGGGATATAGTTTGACTACTAAAAACAAATATATATTATGGCTTACACTGATGGTGCAAAGAAAGCCTAAAAAAAAGAGTGCCGTGGTTTTTCGAGTTGCCGTCCTCATAACATGTGCAGACATGCTTAGAAATACCACAATTATGCTTAGCTCCATGAACTTGATTCGTCCTGTGATGGAAGGTAAATAAAAGATAAAAGACAAAATAAAAAGAGAGAAAGGGAACAAAAGGAAGTATAGTTTGAGACTGTTTTTTATTCAATAAATAAAGTTAAAAGAAAAGCTAAAGAAAGAAGTTAAAGATTATTTTGTGTCTAAACAACTGCTTGTATTTATATTAATGAATCCTGAATCAAAGAAATAAAAATAACCGTCAAAGAACATGAGTCATGAAACAGTGTTAGTATTCGGATATACGTCTTGTTGATTCAAGAGACTGATGTATGGATTATCTATTGGGTGTTATAATGATCCGATCAAGTTTTAAATAAAAAATTTATTGTTTAATCTGAGTATATGTTCCTGATATCTTTTATGTTTTATTTTATTGGATCAAAGACGACCTGAATCCTTTATCAAGGTTATAAAAATAAATATTTAGAAATGATACGCTGTCTTATAATTGATACATCTAAACAATTGAATGTCAATAAGTTTTATATTATTTACAAGATGTTATCTACAGAGTTTTATTTTATCTTCAGGCTTATATTTTATCCTGTCTTATGTAATTCATCTACTATAATATTACTTATGATTCTATCCAGAGCTTGTTCTATAACACCTTCTGAATTTTCTTGATTACTGTATATCAATTAGGATTGATTAGGTCAGTAATGTTTTGATTCAATAGAAATCCCTGACATACAGATTTATCCACAAACATTTATTATACCTATTATGCTACTGTAAAAAGGGCCTGTTGAACTAAAGGGTATTTAGATACTACGAGATAGTTATTTAATGTCAGAGGAATATACTACAACTAACAAAAAGAAATAAAGACAATGTTTTTTTTTGTATGTTTTATTGTTAATTTAATGCAAGATACAATCGAAATAGCCACCTTTTGAGAAAAATAAAGTCTTATTTTGAGGTATCAAAACCTGCTTATTGAGGTCTTATTTCTCGTCTCTCATTTTAAGAAACCATCAACTGGCGTTCCAATCATTGTATCTTTTTTTTTTAAGACAAGTGATCAATTTATTGAGACACAGTAAACTATTTTAAGCCAATCTCTCCTTCCAATCATCTGTCCCAATAAATAATCTTAGTATGCCGTATCTAATCTTGACAATCAGGGACAGTAGTCTATTTGAAAGCTTCAGCATAGTTACAAGGTATACCACATTGCTCTGCTGCTTTCAGTATTAATAAACTAATCTCTTGAATTAAATTAATAAAATGGACAACCTGGCCCTCTCCATATTTCTTGTATCTCTGAGATATTATGATGGCTGTTAATATGGTAGAGGTAAGAATAGAAGACAGAATAAATCTGTGAAAACTTTGTATAAAACTTTTAAAAGCTTTCTCCGCTTTTCAACACTTTTGCTAAATTTTTGTCTTTTTTGGAAAGCGACTCATATACAGCATAACTACAAATATTACAAACTTTATAAACAATTCCAAACAAAAACTATATAACCTGCAAACATCTAAAATGGCTGCTGCCCACTAGAAGAGGTCACAAGCCCACGATGCCTCTATTAACTACTGAACAAATCGACATTCTTATGGAACAATTTAACTCCGTACGCCAAGAATTGCAATGTACCAATTGCAAGCATCTCGACACTTTCTATAAGAATGGCCATAACTCCAAAATGGAACCTCCTCAGCCAGGATTTATTTGTAAATCTTGCAACAAAACCTACAATGCTTATAACATGCTCCATATCGTTGACGAAGTCTATGCTCTCACCACTGAGTCGAACCTCACAGAAGACATGGAACTTTCTGGACCCTCCATCCAAGACTCCAAAGACATACTTGCCGTAAACTCTGACGCTGATTTACAGTCCGTCGTGAACCGCCTAGTAGCAGAACTTCAACAGACCAAAACTGCACTCCTAAATGCGCAAAATGAGATCCAACAACTGCGCCAGCAATTTCCTGACCTTTCACAGAAAGCTGCTTCTATCGACCAAATAAAAAGTCAAACTAATACCCACACATCAAAAGCTACCTCTCCATGGGGAGACGAACGTCAAGTCCAACAACTTAAACAATCCCTTCAAGCCAAACATGAACTGATTCACAAACAAAGGCAACAATCTGCTGCCCGATTTCTACAAAACCCCTCTGACAATCAATGTTTCCAGTACGTATATATTCATACCAAGGCTAGAATTCCTATCAAACAGCTACGTAAAAAGTTAGGTCGATTGGAAATCAATAAATACCGTATTCTTGACGTTCACTATCCTACTCGAAACATTGTAGCTTTACTTGTCCATAACGATTATGTTGAGGAACCTCGGGGACAACTGACAAAGTTCCAAATTACTATCAGCGATGATTTTAACCCCTGCGACGGTCGTATTTTAAAAGATCCTAAGCTTCAACATGAATCCCCTGAACAGCGAGATCAATTGGCTTTCTCTTTCCACTGTGACAGAATTGAACGAGTTCTTGGATTTATCCGCTTCCCTGTCAAGTACTCTGTTGCTCGCTATATCTACGCTCAAAATTGGATTTCCAAAACTCGACTCGATGAAATCCTTGCATCCGTTCCATCCTCCGACAGTACTGACATATATTGTACAAAAAAAAACTCTAAACAAAAGTTTACGAATGAGGATGTAGACATGAGTGACTCCGAAAACAACGATAAATCGTTATAATGGATACTATTTCCATCTCTCTGTTTAACGCTACTGGTTTACCAAAACAAGCTACAGTAGGCGGAAAAATGGTCCGGATGTTTTGAGAAAAATGACAAAAACACTTATAACTAATGAACAAATAAAGCAAATAACACAGAACAAAATGTATTTAAAAGAGAAAATTGTCCAGTTTTATTGACGTAGATTTCAAGAAATATGATTGGTTAAAATATACTAAAATTGGAGGTTGAAGTTGTAGTGTACATTCGCACCATTTTTCAGGGTACTGTGATATTTCTTTTAAAATATCAAATAAAAATATTAGAAAATAAAAATAATAATAAGACAAAAGAGTCAACGAGACCGAACAATAGTTCTAAAGTCAATTATTTTATTTATGAATTTAAACTGATGGGGTATTTATAAGAATTGTTAAAGAGGTCTGAGGATAGGATATGAATCAGAAAAGTATTAGTTACGACCGAATTAGGTATATTGTTGACAACAAAGTGTTAGTGATTTTAATATTATTAGATGGAGCGGATCAAGAGAGAGTTAGGATAGAATTTCTTAAATGAATTTATGATCCGCATGTTTAATCATGAAACATGACATTATAAGTCAGCTCATGACAGGTACATCAAAATTTCCTTAGTACTTAGTATAACCACCCTTAGCATCAATTACTGCCTTTATTCTTGCTGGCATAGAGTCAATATATTTTTGGCAATCCTCTTTTGTAAAAGTAGCCCATTGTTCTTCAATTCTTTCCCATAATTCATGGACTCCTTTAGCCTTGGTTGGATAAGCACTAAGCTTCAACTTCAGGTGATGCCAAATATGTTCTATAGGGTTTAAATCTGGGCTTTGAGGTGGCCAACTATAAGTAGACTCAATATCGAACTTATTATCCGCTAACCATTGCTTTGTAAGCTTCGCGGTATGTTTAGGGTCCTTATCTTGCTAGAAATAAATTTGCTGAGGGTCATAACCATACCACTCAAGGGTATCTTTTAGAGTAGTATTCAAGATATAAACATAGTCTTCCTTTTTCATAGTACCATCTGTAATCTGACAGGCATAACCAGGACCATCATAGGTTATACAACCCCACATCATTACACTACCATTACCTCCTTTAACATTTAAGTCCAAATGATGAAAGGACAATTTGTCATCAGGACTCTTCCAATAGTATTTGACACTGTCATACCCCCAAACGTTGATTTTTGTTTCATCTGAGAAAACCATACGCCTCCAGTCATCCTTAGTTCAATATTGGTGAGCTTTGGCCTACACTAAGCGCTTCTTTTTATGCTCAGGCTTCAAAAAAGACTTCTTCTTTATAGCTGTTTCAAAATTCATGGACTTCATAATCTTGAGACATGCTGAATAGCCTAAATCATGACCAGTAGACACCAAATAACGATGAACATTGTTGGCAGTTCTTAACTCACCTGTTACTAACTTTTTTCTAATATAAGAACGGCTAGTTGTACCTACAACCATCTTTCTACCACTAGATGTAGCCTTTCGTTCAGGGAAAAACCTTTTCTTATAGTCACAAATTGTACTCTTTTGGCACCTGGAATACGTTTCATGATTTCAGAGTATGAACAACCTAATTGCAATAAAGATTTGATGTTATTTTGCTTATCTTATGTAAGTGAACGAGCCATAATGATGTAATAATGTAATATAAAGTGTAAATATAATAATCTGAAAAGAAGCACGCAATACTGATGATAAAAAATAACTTTTTTTACACTTTTTTTATGAAATTAAGTTGCCGAATATTTATTACTGCTGATTGGATAGTATAAATGATAATTTATAACTCATTACAGGTCATAAAACTGCGGATTTCCATTTTTCGGATGCACCCTGAAAAATGGTCCGGATGTACACTACAACTTTAACCTCCGATTTTAGTATATTTTAACCAACCATATTTTTTGAAATTTATATCAATAAAACTAGACAATTTTCTCTTCTAAATACATTTTGTTCTGTGCTATTTGCTTTATTTGTTCGTTAGTTATAAGTGTTTTTGTTATTTTTGCTAAAACACCCGAACCATTTTTCCACTCACTGTATTTAATACCTTTTTTCTCTCAAATTCATTACTAATCTGAACAATATTTGCGCATCATTCTCATTAACACATAGATCATTACATACATTAGAATGAGACCAATTCCTTACGATAAAAAGATGGATATTTTAGCAAAAATTAATGCTAAGGAGCCTTTAGGGATATTTTGAAGGCAATGAGCGTGTCAACTAGGACAATTAGCAAAATTGCCAAATAAAATCAAGTTGAGATTAACGTAAAAGAAGGTAGACCAAAGACGATTATCCCGTTACTTGGAAGATTGATTGCGCGATCTTTTTATACTGGTCATTTTATCACTGCAGTGGATGCTGCCCGGAACTTACATGGTCAAGGGTATGATATTTCCACACAAACCATTCACAGATTCCTAAAATCGTCCGACTTGGATTCGAAGATTAAGAAATCTGCATTACCATTGACGAATGAGCGTAGACGAAATCGTCTAAAATGGGCCAAAGCTCATAGAAACTGGATGGTTGAGGATTGGAAAAAGGTCGTCTTTAGTGACGAAAGAAAAATCAATCGTTTGGGTTCAGATGGAAAGTAATGGACATGGGTTAAAAAGAGTGAACCTCTAAAAGACCGTAACGTCAACTTTAAGTACAAAGGTGGGGATGGAAGCTTAATGTTATGGAGTTGTTTCACACAACATGGTCTTGGTTTTATTGCCAAGATTGAGGGCGGGATGGACTCGTAATCATATTGTGAAATATTAAAAGGTGACTTTATGGAGACGCTCAAGGATTATGGCATTTGTAAGAAAGATGTAATCCTTCAACAAGACAATGATTCAAAGCATACATCCAAATATACAAGAAATTGGTTGAAAAGAAATAAAATAAATGTCCTTGAATGGCCATTATACTCATCTGATCTAAATCCAATTGAAAATCTTTGGTTTTATTTGAAGTGCAAGCTTGCTGCCTATGATAGGCCACCAAAAAACATGGATGAGTTATGGGAGCGAGTTGCTGATGTTTGGTACCATAAAGTTACAGCCGAACTATGCTTAAAACACATAGAAAGTACAATAAGATGTGTTGAAGCAGTAATTAAAGCAAAAGGTGGTGCTATCAAGTACTAAACATAAAAGGTACGTTCTTCATTTCATTTTTCAATAAGCTATTAGCATTAAATTTTTATACGTATAACTTTTAATATTATTTTTTCAAATAAATCATCATATAATGAATATATGCTATAAGTATCATTAAAAAGAGGCAACTTCTGTCTTTCTGCTAGTATCTAGTATATACTATAGAGTACTTTACTTAATAAATAGACGATTTGTTATTGCGAATTTGCATAAATTACTTAAAGTTTCGAAACATTGCCACACTTTTGTGAGTCACTGTATTAAAAAATTAAAAAGTCTTTACCACAACTTGGTAACTCCCCCATATTGGGCTGATACTCAGCCATAGTTCAACTTCTTGTGCAGGCTTAATTTTCCATCATTTTTTACTCTATTTTACTCGATTTTAACTTCAATATAAAAGTAATTCTACTGAGTATGGCTGGGATTACTGCAGGTCAACATAATAGCGTTATTTCTCTCTTGAAAACTGGAGTTACCACAAGAGAAGTAGCTAAAAGGGTTGGAATTAGTCTTGGTACAGTAACCAAAATTGGAAGACAAAATTGCTCTAACAGAGATAAGAATAAAGGCAGAAGACACAGTATCTTAACTACAGCAGATAAAAGGCATTGCGTGCATTTAGTAACCAAAGGGCATCTAGAAAATGCGGTTCAAGTCCAAAAACAACCGAAAATGAATTGTGACATTGATGTCAGTGTTAAGACTATTCGTCGCCATTACTGAGCCTAAAGGAAGCTGGTTTGCCGTCTTTCGAAAAGGAAATAAGCCTGACCTAAGCGATACAAATGCAAAAAGGAGACTAGAATGGTGTCTTGCACATCGCGATTGGACTATAGACGACTGGAAGCGTGTAGTATGGTCTGATGAAACAAAAATAAATAGGTTTAATTCTGATGGACGTGTCTCGGCATGGATACGAGACGGTGAGACCCTTCAGCAGCAGCATGTCAAGCAAACACGAACGCATGGTGGAGGCGATCTAATGTTTTGGAGTGCCATTACCTACGCAGGTGTAGGTTGGATTTGCAAGATCGAAAAAACAATGCACCGTTATGTCTATAAAAGCATTTTGGAGGAAGATTTGTCATATACTATTCAGCATACACGTGAACAAATGAACCGCAGACATGACCAAATCATTTTCCAACAAGATAATGACTCAAAGCATACGTCAACTGTAGTCCTAGAATACCTCAATAGACAAGATTATCAGCTTATGGACTGGCCTGCACAGTCTCCTGACTTGAATCCAATCGAAAACATGTGGTATTTATTAAAGATTCGTCTAAATGAATATGATACGCCTCCAAAAGACATGAATGAGCTATATGAATGGGTAGTACATATATGATATAAGGTAATCACTATAGAAGAATGCCGAAAGGTTATTGAAAGTATGCCACGTCGTATAGAAGAGTATATCAAGGCGAAAGGTTACTGGACGAAGTACTGAAATCTCAATTTCTTCATAATTAGCAATTTCGTTAGGGCCTCACAAAACTGTTCACGCTGTATACTATAACTTGAAAGCCGGTTCAATAATAATTAATAAATTTTTTCTATTAAACTTTTCTATAAATAAAATGTCTGACTCTTAAGCTCTCTAGAAATATAAGTTTTGTATACTGCTGATATATAATATAATTAATAAATGTCACTAATTATATAGAATTTGCAAATTCGTGAATAGTTTTCTGAGTCACTGTATATTGGACTAAGAATACAGTTTTAGTTATAAATCATTAGTTTATTGCAATAAACTGATTTACAGGCCAGAACTAATTATATGAACATGTTCGTAAGTCACTGTATAAGGTTGACGATATCCACAAATGTATAAGCGATGTAAGCATTTCCTTACTCATTGTACACACAGAATTTAAAGAAGGATTATTTATTTTTGGACTAGCTAATCAAACAACGTAAGATTTATTCTAATATGGATGTCCAACTAGTGTGGTATTACCCTTTATCCATAGTAAGTTAGTTTTCATATTGTTGTACTAAATTTTCATGTATATTTTATTTCATGAACTTGCTCATATAATCTGAAAGAACCCTCTTTTGGTTGCATAGCATTAAGCGGACTTTGAATAAGACAAAAAATCCATGAAATTACAGTTAATAGACCTATGCCCAAGAAGCAACCTATGCCAAAGTTCGTGCATTAAATTTTTTATACTGTATGACACAGTCTTTAATATATAGTCCACTCATGTCTCTTAAATCTATAGTATAGAAATTACTATACTGTCTACAGAAGATATGCAAAAAATTAAAAATTTTTGATGAGAACATATGCATATAAACTTGCGCATACTGGGTAAATTCGTGTTACGTGACCTTCTCTTTCTTTCGTATTTAGTACAATGAAATTCAAACAAAGCCAACGCTGAATTAAATGACATTATGTATATCAGTACTTTCCACGACAAAAGTGATAAACTACCTTTTCCACATATTGACGGGTTTGGTAGAAATAATTTATTCTTCAGTCTAATAATTAACTGTTAATGACGAATAATCTTCAGAGTTAACACTATGGCGGAAGATATGATAGAAAAGGTACCAATTTTGACAGTTAAAATATGGTAGGAATGATATTCTATAAGCACCCAAAAGGTAGCTTTTCTACCATATTTTTTTGGTAGCTTATATACGATATGGATTGCTTATTTATCATATTTTTATAAATATAAAATAACGCTTTATTTTTTAAAACAGTACAAAACAATAGTGGGATAATGCTTATCTGCTTATCATACATGTGTTTTTCATATAAACACTGAAGAAGATTCTAAACGTTTAAACTAACTTACCTTTTTAAAACTTGGACTAAAAAGAAAAAGTAATTTCTTCATGTTAGCAAGATGAAATAACAAAGAACTTCCGGCAATTCGTGTATTTGCCTTTTCTTTTGTACGAGTCAAGTAGCGTATAGAGCTTTTTTTTTCTAAGAAAACAATGACTAATGAACAATATAAACGAATGTTAGAATTGAGTGCAAGATTATAAATAGCATAAAAAAGAACTAAAAACAAGATGGAATCTACTACCTTCTCAAATGAAGAGTCTTCTATACATAATAATGAACGAGATTGAGAGTTATTTTAAATAAGAACCATAATGAATTAGGCTAAAGAGAAAAGTGAAAAAAAAACTTCATGCTTATTACCATCATGTTTACTTACTACTTTGTTTATAGGCCAGATCTATCCATCAACCAAGTGTCTTTAGTACGCTAAATAGCTTTTCTGGTTCTCCTTTCTTCGGCTTGGATGAGCTCCATTTGATCGCTAGAGGCATCGGCAAACAAATGTACGACATGATTACCGTTGATCTCAACCCTAGTCAAAACACTGTCTTTTTTTATACCCGACAGGATGGCACAAAGGTGGTGGAGAACTACCCTTTTTATATACCCCAAAGAAGCCTTGTAAACATTGGAAAAAGCATAACAGAGTCAAGACAATATATCCCTACCTCATTTCAAGGCAGTTTTGACAATGTTGTTGCAAAAACCGAAGGAACTCGTGCTGTGGATTGGCTGGACTTTCTGCTCTATATTATTCCAACTTTAGTTACCCCATTTTTACCAAATAAAACAGTCCAAAAAGCTGTATTATCGCTAGTGAAAGGTTGCTCTTTGGCCCTTCAATGGGATCTAACTGATGAGTTGATCAGTGAGATGGATGGGTAAGACTCAAATTCTATAATATTACACAAACTGATTAGTAACCCCTTCTACACTAGGCACTTTAACGACTGGCATAAGTACCTCCTTCAACAGGTCAACCATAAACATATATCGCGCAGCGTATTCAGACCAGTACAACATTACCTAGTTCATATACCTTTCATGATAAAAAAGCAAGGCCCTCTTCGAGCGTATTCAACAAGGTCAATGGAGCGATCGATTGGGGTTTTTTCAAAGCTGATCAAGTCGAAACGTGAGGGTGGAAAAAACGCAAGTAACGTCATTGAAAGACTGGCGATCCACAATCACGTCAACCGCGTTTTAAACATTGCTGAACTGGCTAATCTGATTCAACCCAGACAATATACCGATGCCAGCTACATGAATATACCCGATGATGCTAATGGTCCACAATTATGGGAGCCTTTCATCCCGATTTCTGAGCTGAATGACGATCAATTGGTGGAAGGTATACCCGGCAAGAAAATTGTCAAAGCTATAAAGAGATTCTATACCCGCTTAAATAATCAAAGATTCCCCACTAATATACCCAGCACTTCTATAACCCTTGCATGCCGCCTTTTGGTTTCTTCAACTGTATATTCATCTTGTATGTACAGGCGATTAAAAAAAGAAACCAGTAGAGGGAATCAGTACATTATGTTTTCATGTTTAGATAACGCGTAAGTTTAAAAAAAAACTAAAACAACTATAAATTCTTATTTACCGAACATATTATTTTAGAAGAAGGAAACGTTGGTTTGTTGGTTCTGTTCTGTTCTATTTCAAACATGAGCTTTCACAATCAAATGTAAAATTTCTCGCGTTCATTGAAGTCATGAGTCAACATACCACAGCTTCGCATGACTCATCTGTCCCTCTAGTAAAGCGAAGCAAGCCAATAGAAGAACAAACTGGTAATACTTCTATTGTATACCCAAAATACGCTGTTATCAGTGTTTATGACATCGATAGGCAAGCTGGTCTTGTACAATACCCTGGAGTCGATAACCAGTTTTATGTTATATCCCCGTACTCTGTTTTCGACATTAATCTTCGCACAACAGTTGGTAACATTTCTTTAATTTAAATTATTAAGCTCCAAATAAAATAAAAAAAATCAGCTCAAAGCTTGTTTGTTGAAAAGAAAAAAAAATTCAATTAAAAAATTAGAAGCCCGTTTTAGCTCTGACAGAAATTCAAGCGCTGAAATATGGTAGCTAAAATACCAATTTGGTAGCTGTTACCAATTTTTTTTTCGTAAAAAATTAAAAATCATAAATCTAAAATGAAGTTCATGGCTTAAATGAAGGGAATAAAAAGAAAGTCAAACATATAAAAATAATCTATATACTTTTTACTATTCACCTAGTTGCTTCTAAGCTTAATTCTAGGGATTTAAAAAACATCTCACCATTGCTAGCCATCTGGGACGCACCCTTCCTTAAATGTGATTGGCTGGTTCAAAAAAAAATTGGTAGCTTTTCTACCAATTTTTCCTCATTTACCATAATTTCCGCCATAGTGATAGGTTTACATTCTCATCAGTATAATCAACATAGAAGTTAAAAGTATATACAAATTGCTTGGTTTCTTGTAATATTCATTTTAAGGTATGAAATAATAGATGAGGATGAGAGATAAGTGAACAAAACCGGTACCTAAATAAGTACTGGTTTTTTTCTATTTATTTGGCGGCCTTTGAAGTTTAAATTTGCGGCTATTGAAGCTCAATTTGCAGTCTTTGCTATCCAACTTTGCGTTGGTTGACACTAATTTTGCATCATTGGAAAACCGCAAATTACAGAATGCACAAGTGTATATTGCTTTTATTTAATCTTTTTTCATAATATATTTCAAACTACAAGGCTAATTAAAGGAGGAAAGGGGATATAAAGTTACAACATTGACTCCATGTTTAAACACCTATCAAAAAACGATATGGAATGTCTAATCTAACCTTCGCAATTGGAAACGGTAACTTTCCTAGCAGCTTCGCTGATTCGTGGAATCAAAGTATCCTTCTCAGTAACTTCCCCTCTCCGAACATTTAGCTTGATCTTGGACCACATTTCTTCAATCGGATTCAGGAAAGGGGAGTATACTGGAAGGTACATGCATTCATAGCAACGACGAGAAATTAATTCTTGGACTTCAGTACTTTTATGAATGGGAGCATTGTCCATAATTAAATAGCGGCCATTCAGACCATTTTCATCCAGAGCATCCATTGTTTTTTCCAAAAATTGCATATAATGACTTGTTCTAGTACCAATACGACCGTTCACAATTTCAACACCGGATTCAGCCAACTCGAGCTTTCTTTTCTTGGAAGCTACCGCTGTAGGCTTACGCACCATCAAATTGACAATTCCTAATTCGCACATCGCACCAATGATACTAATAGACACACCACGTTGCGCGGAAACTATTGTTTTAGCAGGAGTCCCACGCAAAGAACGTCCAAAGGTTCTCTTTATATGCAAATTGAAGCCTGCCTCGTCAATAAACACACAGCTTCTGAGGTAATCAAAATCAGACATCCCCATCCACTCCAAGATCTTCTCTTTTCTCTTCTCCAAAGTGGAAAGCTCATTGCGAGCGGCAGGAAGTTTCTCTAGTTTCTTCATTGTAAGACCGCAACGCTTGGTCAAATGCTTTGAAATTGTGGAGACAGTAATCTCTAAACCAGGAAAAGCATCCATCACAGCTTTTCTTGCTTCATTCAATGTAGCATCTGCATGCTTCTCATAGAATTCTAAAAAAAAGATGGAATGTTCCTCAAAAAGCTTTTGGTTTCCATACTTTCGTTCCTTAGACTTGACAGGCTCTGTAACAACAATCTCCTCGTCAGTATCGACCTCCATGCATTCTGCCAGTCTCCTTTCCTCAATAAGCAAACGGGCTTTGCGAACGTAATCTTGCGCAGTGCGAACTACAATTCCTGTTTCTCTGGCAGCCTCTGAGGCAAACATATGTTTTTGAAACACCAAGCGAAAGAGATCATTAATCTATTAATTGAAAAGGGAATTTGTCAGTCTTTTTTATGAAAAGTATTAGAATGCATAATGGCATTACCTGTTGTTCAGTGTACTTGCGATATTGACGCTTGATTATTTGATCAGCTCTAGGTATCATTCCGAAATATAACTTTTTAGTAGTAGCAGTAGTACAGTATTTTCGGTTGAGTTTGGGACGTTTTTAAAAATTTTTGGGAAATTTTGAAAATCATTTTGAGACCTTATTTAATTTTTTTGAGAAATAAAATAAATTACATTTAGACCATACTTTAAAAATTAAGATTCAGCTTTTAGACAGTTTTTTTTTCTTGAGACTGCATACTAAATGGACTACATTAAGTACAACCCAGAAACTGAACCCTTGCCATATGAGATGGAAGTTGATAACTATGAGTTTGATTTTGGTACATTGAGTAATTTAGTTCATTTTGAATCTTTAAATCAACAAGTAATCGACCCTCAGCCAATGGAAGACTTAGTGGAGGAAATTACAGTTGACATGAGTAAAGTCAAGCTCAGTACGAGGAAATATAAAAAATATGGAGCAGACCAGATAGAAAGATTCATCAAGATGCTCCAAGAAGAGGGATTATCTGTCCCTAAAGCAGCTGCAGTATGCGGCATACCTCGTTCAAGTGCTTATAGACTTTTGGACGAGTTTAATAGTGGTGACGGTCACGTCCTTCCAGGCACAACAGTCAAACCAAAAACTATCAAACCTAAAAAACTTTTTCAAAAACATACCGAATTCTTGATTGTTCTTTTTGATAAAAATCCATCAATTGTTCTTGAAGAAGCCAAATCGCAGTTATTAAGCAACTTTCCAGAAATAGGTGATATTGCTATTTCAAGCCTTTACACTCATATTCGAGAGAAATGTTTTTTGAGTCTCAAGCAAGCGAGCAAATACACTGCAGAAAGAGACTCACAAAGGACTTTAGATCTTCGATACCATATAATAACTCAGTGGAAAGAAGTAGGTGTTGATTTTTTGAAAAACTGTGTGTTTGTAGATGAAGCAGGTTTTCATTCACAAATGATGAGAAGCAGACCTTGGTCGAGAGCTGGTGAACCAGCGAAAGTAAGGGTTCATAATCAAAAAGGTGTGAATATCAGCATCATTGGTTGCATAACTGTAAGAGGGATCCTTAGTTTTTCTAAAGTTGAACCCTTAAAGAAACATGAAGCTGTACAGCTTGAAAAAGAGTATCATCCGAATGAGCGTGATTCAAAGAAGAGGAAAGCAGATACATCAAACCAAAAGCCTAAACCTCTCAAAAAGGGTACAACTGCAAAATACATCATAGTAAATTTGTTGTTGATGCCATAAATGCTCGAGGCTATAAACCTATATTCATGCCGCCATATTCACCTTTTCTAAATCCTATCGAAGAGTGCTGGTCCAAAATCAAGAAAAATATCAGACGAAGCCGGCTCGAAAAAGGAGATGAGCTAACCCCCCGCATTGCCGAAGCATGTAAAACTGTTACTACGCAGGATTGTCAGGGTTGGGTTAAACACGCAACTTCATACTGGGATAGATGTTTGCAAAAAGAAATTGGCTTGAAATAATGCTACCTCTTTCCCATTTTTACGTCTTAATAAACCTTATTTACGTCTCAAACTGATTTTTATAAAGTCCAAAAAAATTAAATGAGGTCTCAAAATGATTTTCAAAATTTCCCAAAAAATTTTTAAAAACGTCCCAAACTCAACCGAAAATACTGTAGTTATTTTGTGGCTGGCTGTTTTTGAAGCGGAGATACCAGTGTTAGGTTCGACAGTCTCAGGCTTAAAGTTGGATATGATAAAAAACTGTTGCACATCGTTATGCGGCCCATCTTTGTTAGAGGAAACCCAATCCATTTGGACTGATTCGACAAAATCGTTGCGCACATGACCACGTTGAGCGTTGTTGTTTTCGCTAAAATTTTCATATTGGAAACCAGCAAAAGCTTCTAAGAAATGGCTATTGGGATTTGAATCTGCGCCGGCATTGTTCATATGCTTGTAGCAGTGTTCATCCATAATAATTTGGAGAGAGTTTGACATTTTATAAGAAATATAAGGTGTGAGGAAGTAGGTTAGCTAGAGAAGTACTATAATATTGGAATTGTAAAACGAATCGTATTGTTTATATACATATATATATATGTATAACCGTAGAACTTCTTATGTTGCATGTTATTAGAGTCTGTCCATAACCTCAGTTACATCATCGCACAGTTAAAAAACATTGTGAGCACCAGTGTAGCTAATGTTGTGAATACAGAAAATGCTACACACATAATAATGATAATCTCATAGAACCAATAAAAGTTTATGAACGCAAAGTACGAATTGTAAGAAGTAACACAAAGCGCAAAATATTTTTTTTCCTTATTCTGTTCATTTCTTATGTTCATGACGTATTTCATAATGTATGCTCACTTTTTTTTTCTGATTTTGGCTTCTCTTATGTTCACTGTGTTCACTTCTTATATTCACTGTGTTCACTTCTTATGTTCACTCTGTTCACTTCTTATGCTCACTCTATTCATGAAGTATTTCATAATTTGTGCTCACTTTTTTTTTTTAGTCCTTACCACATTCTTATTATATGTTCACATATGTTTACTTTTTATGCACACTACTTTTATACTCTTATGTCTTGTACGTTCATCACGTATTTCATACATTGCTCTTATATTTATTATGCTCCAAGTATGTTCATTACTTATTCCGTACTTTATGTCAAAAATGCCATGTTCGCACGGAAGAAGAAAGTAAAAATTAACATCCCATTTAAAAAATATTGGTTCATAAAAAATCAGACGTAAAGAGGTTCAGTATAGCATTGTAGTTTATTTATGGTGATACCAGACTCTGTGTAATGGCGTCATTCATAACCTGAAAAAGTTGCTTACACATCGGTTGGAATTCTGTTCTGGAGATAATAGAACAAACCTTATTTCAAGCAGACAAACATTGCGCATAAAAGCTTTCTACTTTACATTAAAAATTCTAATTGTTCGTTCATTTGCTCACATAAAGATTCGCATCATAATGGCTTTTATTACTTCTAATATCCTCGGTAAAAGAAGACAAGATATTGCTACTGGAGAACAAGCAAGTCAAGCTGATCGCACCACAATGCAAGACAATCGAAGCCGCTGTCAGTTTATGGATTTGAAAGAAGCTGTTTCATCAGGTTGCAGTCAAGCTTTCCCTAAACCAAATTCAAATCCCCATCAAAGAGAAGAAAAACATTCACACAAGATAACACCCACAATGCTCTATATCTCTATTATGACCAAGGTCTGAGCACAAGAGAAGTATCTAGGATACTAAACATGAGCGTTGGTGCTGTTCAGTTACGAATCAATAAAAATAAGCATAAATATCCTAATAGACGTAGAAATGCTGATATTACAGATGAATTTGTAGAGCGGATGCGGCAATTGATATTGAATAATCCTGACCAAAGGGTTGAAAAAAAAATAGCTGTATTTAGTAAATGCAAATAGTCAAATAAAATATTTTTCTTTGCAGTAATGCACTCACGTTTCTCATTGTGAAACCCAGTTTACAAAAGTATAAATAAAGTGCGTTTGTTTTGATCCACACTTCAGCTAAAAACTAAAGTAGAAAAATGAATACTAAGCAAAATCTAAAAGACCTTCTCACCACGTATGTCAATGCTGATGGAATTCCTGAAATTATTGCAGGTGAAGAAGAATGGGAAGAATTTGAAGAAATTGGGGAAGATGGGCCAGATCCTGTCAAAGCTGATAATTGTGCTGAACTCTTGCATTCTTGGTTCAAGATCCGTACTGAGATACTTCCTTCATCGCTCGCAGATCTGTTTGGAATTATAGCATCAAACATTTGCTATGGTGATTTTCTTGCGGTTGTATTGGATGGCAAGTATTATGCCATTAGTGACTATGTCACTACGGTGTTTCGTTGGGGAATATATGAGCTGAAACAAGACGGTAGCCTCCAAACTACCAAATTGTTGCCAATTGATTTACATAATGACTATGTACCTGGGATCGCAGATGAGATCCTGAAATGCAAAATCCAAATAAATTAAATAAATTTATGTGACTTAATTTTATTCTTGCAAATCTGTTAGATATATATTTTATTGAAACGGCCAATTATTATGACTTGGCCACAACGTGTGGTTACCTAATTAAGTGATCTTATTGGATAAAAATTCCTAATATTCTGGTGTCAACACCTGCGATTTTATTGGATAAAGACATCCAAAGACCCACTTCAAAATGTGCAAAATTAGTGTCAACCAATGCAAAGTTGGATGGCAAAGACTGCAAATTGAGCTTCAATAGCCGCAAATTTAAACTTCAAAGGCCGCCAAATAAATGGAAAAAACCAGTATTAAATACAAATTCAACTAAAACTACAGTTCGACAATAAAACCTTTAACGAGTGTAATGAGACCCCTTCGAGGAGCCTACAATAAAAATGCAGACCCTGCCCTCACTGAGGAACAGCTGTCTGAACTCGACATTAACTTTTCGACATTTCGAAAACAATTAACATGTCCTGCATGTTTCAAAACCACTACTTTCCATAGACATGGGTCTTCAAATAAAGAACCCTTCCAGCCTCAATTTTCATGCACCTCCTGTCATAAAGCTGTAAAAGCTTTTGAAATGTACCCTATAGTCCGTTCTGCTGCACAAAATCAACAACCGTTGTCTATAACGACCTCCAACGTGGAGACTATGCTACCCGAATTGGAACCTACTACTGCCAGCAACAGCCAATCTGAACTTATTAAGCAGTTATGCCAAACTGTCGAGCAGTTGACTGCAGAACTCTCTCAAGCACGTAGTGAAATCCAAAACTTACATGCCCGACTTAACAATATGCCTGCCGTTACAACAACATCGGAGTTTCCCACCCTCCAGGAATCCCAAACCCAGCTTACTAAATTCCCAGATGCTCCTTGGAACAACAAAGAGAAAGTACAAGCACTTAAACAACCTTCACTTCAACAACGTGAACAACGCCGTCTCCAACGAGAAGCTGCAGCCGCCCGCTTCTTTCAACCACCATCATTGAACCAAGGTTTCAAGTTCCTCTACATCCCCACAAAAGCCCGAATTCCTGTTGGCACCTTACGCACTACCTTTCGAAAACTTGGTGTTAATAATGCTCGATTACTCGACATTCATTATCCCGCTCGTAATACAGTTGCCATTCTTATCCATAATGATTACGAAACCGAATTTACAGACCTTCTACGCCACCATAACATTACAATCAAAGCAGATTTTAACCCCTCCAGTGGTAAGATCCTTGCAGATCCCAAGTACTCCACTCTTACAACTAATGAAAGAGACGTCATAGCGTCAGACCTCCAACAAATCCGTCTGGAACGTGCACTTGACCATATTCGTACACCAGTTAAATTCGCTGTTGCCCGTTTTTTCCTTGACAAACAATGGATTTCTAAACGAAAATTTGACTCACTCAAGACCGATCGTAATACACAACTAAACAATATCTTTGATTCTCCTCAACAACAATCAACACCAACATCGGACGGTATGATTACTGATGACACCGAAAAAGAAGACGTTCCCATGGACGGCACTCAAGGAGAACAATCCGGTAATACTACTTTTGCTGCCTCTAGAGCTGATACTCCTCCTCGACATTAAATAAATGAGTTCTTTACGAATTTCTTTATTTAATGCTACAGGCCTTCCAAAACAAGCAATATCTCCTATACTCGAACTATCTCAAACCTCTGATCTGCTTTTCGTTACCGAAACGTGGCTCTTATCACCAAACCGCTATCCTACTAACTGGTCTCAATACCATACATATGGCAACCCAACAAACTCCTATAATGTTCATCGGGGAACTCTTGGCCTTGCTCTCTTGGTTAACCCACAATGCAAACTACCTATCTACCAAGTCACTCATGAACATCCTTTATTAGCTAAGTATTCCTTATCAACTATTATCTCATCTAAGATACTGGTTCACTGTCTTTATTTACCCCCATCATTAAAAACTGACGATATAACACAAATACTAGATTTATTACCGTTACATGTTTCAAACACTACCACTACTATCGTTTGTGGGGATTTTAATGCTCGAATGGGTGATGTTACCGGTGACAGCCGAACAAATGCTACAGGCCGGCAAGTTCTTAACTGGATGATTGCGCATAATCTTATACTATGGAACGAACGTCTTACTTATGGAGAACCTACGTCTTATACATTTCAAGGTACAAGTATCATTGATTTCTTTTTTAGTAACCATGAACTAGGATCACCTAATCTTCAAATTCGCGATGATCTATCTCTCAACTCCAATCACAAATTTATGACTTTCTCATTTATTGTTTCCGATCCTCTCATCAATACTCCACTACCAAAAAGAACCACTTGGAATCTTGGAAAACTCAAACACCTAAAGACCAGAGACAAGTATAAGAAAGTGTTCCTTGAAAATTTTCCCTTAATTCTTCCTCCACATTCATCTCTTTCTTTTACTGATAGAACTACAGCCTGTCATTACATAGATTCCATACATAACCAATTGTGTGACGCTATCATCTTGGCTCTCGATTCAGTTTGTGGCCGGCGCTCTCCTCAGGAAGACGACTACATGAAGGATTTCTGGACACCTGAAATGACAGCAGCTTTTAACAGAAAGGAATATCTCTATAAGAAATGGCGGAAAGCACGTGGACTGAATAGTCTATCGTTGTGGATCCAACACCAAGAAGCACAGGCATTATTACGACGATTAGTGACTAAACGACGACGTGAAACATGGAACCGCTTTTGTGAGAGAATGGCCAAGGGTGATTATACAAAAGCAATTGCGAAATTTAGCAAGATTCGTAAAAACCGGAAGATCAAATCAACCTTTTCAATGCCTGAAGGACCACAAAATTCCGCCGACGTCATGGCACATCATCTGGAGCAAATTTTTGCAGGCAACTTGTTACCGTCTCGTAACTCCACAACTACGACTCAGAATCAATCTTTCAATGACATTCATACATGTCCTATTGATATTGATTGCATTAACACAGCAATTAAAGAACTTCCCCGTGGTAAAGCACCTGGTGTGGATCATTTCACTGTTGAGATGCTACAACCATTGACTGAAACCTTGACTCCTGTACTCCTATACATCTTTCGATTATGCTGGCAATGGTCGTACACACCTCTCTCCTGGCGTGTGGCCCAAGTAATCCCGATACACAAAAAAGGCTCTATCTCCGACCCAAGCAACTTTCGTCCCATCAGTTGACGTCCACTTTTCGTAAAATACTTGAAAAATGCCTATACACTGACCTCGAATGCCAGAGTCCAAAACTTGACATTGCCCAAGGAGGTTTCCGTAGCTCCCGGAGTACACTTGATCAAGCCCTCTGCCTCGTAGAAACATGTTCAATTTTCCGTCGAAAGCTTAAAGTCACTCCTACTCTCGCTTTCCTTGACATTAAATCCGCATATGATACTGTTGACCGGAATTTTATTTGGCAATCCCTTCGACCGTACATATCTCCAGCACTGCTTGGTCTAATTCAACATCTCTTTGACGATGTCTATATAGAAGTTCTAGTTTCGAACGCTACCTCTTATCGGTTTTCACCTACCACTGGCGTCCTACAAGGTTCCATTCTATCACCGTTTTTGTATTCCATTTACATTAACCAGTTGCCCTCTCTACTTCGTCGTCAACCGCTTGATGACGTGCCTCCAACAGATGTCTGTTGTTTTGCTCGATCCATCAATTGTCTCCTGTATGCTAATGATGTTGTACTTATAGCTGACCCTACTGATCTTGAGGACCTGCTGCAAAAATGTGAGGAGCATAGTCAACGCTTAGGTTATCGCTGGAATCCACTGAAATGTGCTATACTGGCTCCTAGTTCTGATAGTCGTTCTTATTCTCTGTATGGCACTACACTACCTCGTCAGACATCCTTTTCCTACTTGGGTATCTCTATTAGCCCTGGTGGTCTCTTGAACACAGCTGAATTAGTGCAGAACAATATTAATAAGGCGCTTCAAACTATGAATCAAATGACGTCCCTCGGTGTCAATCACAAAGGTTTTGATCGGCTTCTCTCTGTCCGTTTTTACACTCAAATAGTACGTGCTCAGCTTGAATATGGCCTCGCTATTAACTCGGTCTCTGCTACTCAAATCACAAAATTAGAAGCATGTCAAACACAATGTATCCGAAAAATTTTTGGCGGTAGTACTCGGTCCTCAACTAAAGTTATGTTGCACTTGGTCAACCTGCCCACAATGAAGGAACGTGTTCACCTCCTGCAAGCTAAATTCTTACTTCGGTCTATCTACTCTCCGAACGATACTCTTGTTTCCAAGTTTTTACCACATATACGCCCCTCTTCAAGCCATTCTCAATGGTATAAGCTTTCGAAAACACCTATTTGGCAACGGTATACTGCTTCATTTGACGATAATATTTATGATCCTCGTGCTTTTGCTGGTATCTGTAAAGCATACCTGAAAGATAATCTTAGTGATCGACGAAACAGTAAGAATGCCGTTCTCTTGTCTGCCTGCCGTCCTACCCTAGGTATCGATCCTATCCTCTGGTTACCTATGTCAAATGCAGAACGCAGTCGAATAGTCCGCTGGCGTCTAGGTTGGTTACCTGGTGGTGCCCCTAAACCATGCATGTATCATCCTAATGAATTGTTCACAAGATCCCATGCTATATGGTGTCTACATATGCATCGAAGATTGCAAATGCCGTTGACCGAACCCGACCCTTTGTCCTTCCTCTTAAATAAGCTGCCAAATAAACAAAAACGCAGGCCACCAATCGCATCAGCTTCGAACTCATCTGACTTTCCCGCCTGGAAGATTCGTTGGCCTGCTATATGCCTTCTACTTTTTGAACTTGACTATCTCCATCATGGTAAACTTCCTCCAGAAACTGCCCCCTTGGTACAAAACTTGTAAACTGGCTACGTAACTCTAAATCTAGTATCTATTGATATATCTTGCTTTTCCTCTTCCCTTCTCTTTCTTTTTTACCCTTTTGCCTATCAAAAGGTTTTTTAGTACACTTTATCCTCTCTTGAACTGACCCGGGCAATCCAATACGCCAGTATTATGTGCTCACATGGGTTGTTTAAATTTTGTTATAAAAAAATTTTTGTTATAAATAAAATAATTCTTAATCGTATTAAATACAATGTTTTGCAGCAGCCAATGAAAAAGCTTCAAAGTTGAGTAAATAAAATTAATAAACTTTTGACTATTGGATAAAATGATTTAGTGATCAATACAAACATTTGACAACAGTGGTAAAAAAACTAAAACAAAAACAAAAACAAATACTATTTGGTATCTTATGGGTTTATTACTGCTACTTACCTTCTTTTAGCTGCTTAAGGCTTGCATAAAAGAAAAAAAAAAGGGGGGCTTCGTATGTCTTAGCATTTCTTAGTCTTCTGTTTCTTTAAAGGAAAGGACATAGGTAGTCCATACCATCAAGTGATTACTATAATTATTTTTTCTTCTTTTTCCTTTTGTTTGAAAAGAGTTACCCACTATGAGGAACTCCATAATTTACCATTATATTCCCACTTCTAACGGCTTTCTGTGTGTGTGATTTGACTAGAGTTAATTGAACAAGAAGATCAGTCAAATCAAACAGAAGTGTTCATCAAAACATTGTATCGTTTGGAGCGACTTGTAGATGACTATATGTCTGAGGATGAAGAGGAAGAGACTCCCTATGGCATGGAGTTAGTCATGGATGGAATTGAACTGGAAGTTATGCAACTACCTCGTATGATCTGGACTCCAACAAAGTCTAAACCACAACAGGTTGCTCAATTTATCATCTCATCTCTCTACTTCAGAATAAAAACTGTAAAATTCACGAAGAGCTTGTTGTATAGTTTTAGTTTAAGAATATAAAAAGACAGAAATAAATCGTGAGACACAGGCACAAGTGAGAATAGCTTTTACTAAATATGTATATAAAGAAGAAACTATCTATTCTTCTTGTATAAATCATCTGGCTATTTATTCATGCTTTTCTTAGTGGCTATAAAGAATATTTATAGATGCTATTTCATTGTCGTTGTGTTAAATATTAACCTTTTTATGATACTATCAACAGTTATGATCTAGTATTATATTTGTCATATAGCTAGTTCAATCTCAATTAAGGGTTCCATTTGGAGGTTTTACATTACACTTAATAATTACATAGTTTATGATTGACATGATGATATTGTTTATACAACATTATTCTGTAATGAAAAATGCAACATTTATGTTTTATTATATCTTTATGATGCTATGTACAAATACAACAAATATTTCATAAAGGCAACTTAGGTATTATCATGGTTGTAAGATTTATAACTTGATTCAATAAGATAAATAGTCATAATAGAATGCATATAGTGCACTTGTATGATAATTCTGTCTATAGACATATTAAGAATATGTTTACTTTTGCATAGAAAAAAAAATTAATAAAAGCCCTATATCTAAAAAATATACTTTCTTCTATTATTGTTCTGTTGAATATAAATTTATATCAAGTTAAACTGGAGTAAATCAAGTATAATGCAAGTACGCGTAATAATTGATTCCACTCAGAGTACACCTATTAGTTATATACAAAAGACATGTGGATATAGATCTATAATAACTCTTAATAATCACTCTATAATTACATTATCACATACAATTTGTTATGTTTTTATCTTCTTATTACTTATCATCCATAACCACAAAATATATGAATACTCTTACATTATTAACCCTTATTTTGTATACGAAGAATTGAATTAACACATTTTTATCTTAATAAAAACTTGTTGACAACTCTCAACGTACTTCTTCTGTCCGTTTTCTTTTATTTCTATTTTTTGTATTTAACTTACCTAAACCACAACAGTTCCCCTTTCCTGCAAGTGACAATTCTCACTTTTATCTTCCAGCAATACCATGTCCTTATGGATCCGCCTACTTTTGGTTAAACCATTCTTCTACTATACACCCTCACCACAACCTGTTTATCCCCCTTTCCTTTGTCGTCTTTGTTCTATTGCTTGTATACAATCTTGCCTCACCTCTCTGCGATGTGCAACGTTTTAATAGATTCTATTTTATTCTACCAAAAAAAAACAAGACAACGACAGTAAACACACTTCAGATGTTGCTAAAGAATATCTTGCATCTCAAGAATATCAAGTAATGAGCTGGCCTGCACAATCTCCAGATCTTAATCCTATAGAAAACATGTGGAGATTATTAAGAATTCGATTAAATGAATATAATACACCACCTAGATGCATGAACGAATTGTATGAATGTATTATCGAAATATGGTACAATAAAATTACTGTAGAAGAGTGTCGAAAGATAATAGAAACTATGCCTGATCGTATTCAACAATGTATCAAAGCCAAAGGTTACTGGGCTGACTATTGATGCCAAAATTCTATATTTGAAATACTTTTTAACGTGCTCACAAAACTGAGTGAATGCTATCGTTGACTTTAAAGCTTTGTAACGTAGCAAATACTTGATATATTTTTTAAGACAAATATATTAATAAACTCGTAAAAACCTCATCTTTTATTTCAGTATATTTACAAATGTATCATATTAAGAAATATTTACTATATAAACGAATATGTAATAAAGTAGTAAACATCCGCTCAGTTTTGTGAGCTACTGTATATACATGTATATCATGATAAATAGCTGAAGGCAAATATTAATCTAATCCTAGTTAGAGATTTTTGATACCAAAGGGAAAATATTTGTAGAAGCTATTGAAGAGAATATGATATGGATAAATATGATTGGACAGTCGACTACCTCCTCCTCTAGCACTGAATATTAAAAAAAGCCTCTATGTCACAGTCATAATGGCATGCACAACATATATAAATCGTACCATCCATGCCTCTTAAGAACTTACTACGACTGCTATGTAGTTCCAACTAAAAAAAAAGAAAAAAAAAAGGAAAACAAATCATCTCCTGATTAATAGTTGGTAAAAAACAATACAAGAGTGCCCAGATATACATTGTTTTTATTGAATACGATTTTTAAATTTTATATATGTGATCTTAATATGTATATTCATATATATAAAATAATTTATCATCTATATACATAGCAATAATAGAAAAAATCATTAAATAATGATTGTCCCCCTCTTTTTTTTTTTTTTTTTTTTTTTTTTTTTTTTTTTTTTAAGTATGTTGAACTGTAGCGGCTGTAGCAGTAGATGATGATTCAGGTTGTGGTGAATGAGGTATAATTCCTGAAAAAATATTGCTATTCGATTGCTGCTGTTGCTCTTGTTCAGAAAATCCTCCTTGTCTACGTATCTTATCCATAAATCCAATTACACGTGCTAAATCAAGATCAGGTGGATCACTTTCAATAGCTAGTGTCAAAGGCTCAACAAGCTCATCAATTTTATCAATTGGTAAATTACAACAAGCTGCAATCAATCGTTTACATTGTAACTCTCGCTCTACAAATTGAGCTTCAATCTTATGAATCTCTTGTTGTAATGCAAGGTCGTTAGCTGTATAAGCTTTCACTTTAGCTTGGAGATCATTTACATAGGCTTCAAGCTGGTCTTTTTTTGTTTTTTCGTCCATTGTATCATCAATAACCAGTTGAGGAACACCAAAGTAAATGGTATCGATATCCTCATTTTCATCAATACGATCAATATCTTCGGGTGAAGGCATTGCTTTATTACCTTGTTTCATGATATGTTCAAGCTGATCCCATCCTGTCTGTAGAGCAGCTTCAATATTACGTGTCTTTTGTTGTACTTCTGATAATTGTTGTGATTGTGCTTGCCGTTCTTCTAACCCTTTACGTGTGGTTTCAAGTTCACGTGTTACAGCATTGAGTTCTTCATCGAGTCGTTGTAATTCTTGTTCTTTAGCAGATATTTGCTCTCCATATTCTTCATCTAATGCATCTACAATCTTTTGTACGGCTAAACGTATTTTATCGAATTATTAAGTCATCCATTATAAAATGAAAGACATACTTACTTGCTACAATTTCTTTTCCTCGTTGACTGGGTGCATAAGGTCGCTTGGAATACGATGAAGTATTAGAAAATATACGTTGAGGATGACTTGCTTCCTCCATTGGAGAATCCTAACATGTTTAAGATTAATACATAGGCTTAATTGACAATTGTATTATTTACTTCTTTCATAGTAGTATTGTAATCTGTTAAGCCAAGACCTATATTATTTTGTGCCTTTTTAGTTGCACCTGCTTCCATCAATATACTTATCAAAGGTTGGCACTCTAAACGTGCTGCAATCATCAAAGCTGTATCACCCATATCATCCTGCGCATCCAAAATTAATTTTGGATTCTCTGAACACGATACAACATAGTCCACTAATGTCTTCATATAATAAATCGCGGCATGCACACGACCTTGAATACCTGCTGTAAGAGCTGCATGATGAATTGCACTTCTTTTTCTATTATCAAAAATATTGACCGACTCTTTGAGGAGATCAAAAACACGATGAAAGCAATGGTTGTCATAGTTATTGGTCACCATTACACCTCGTATAAGTGGTGTTTCACCTGCAAAATTACGACAAGCAATATTAGCACTTCGTGACACAAGTAATTCGACTGTATTGACGCGCGCCAAGGCAGTAGCCCAATGTAGAGCAGTATTTCCTTGTTCATCAATGACCATGTCAATGTTGAATTTGTTCGTAGTTGAGTGTGAATCAATACTGAGTAGATCAGGAATTTGTTCTGGTTTATCCGATAAAAAAATGGACATTAAAAGGTTTCGGTTACGCTCATCGGCAGCAGCTTCATTAATGGCTTCGATAGGGGCAGGTAAAGGTATTTGAGTTGAAGGAGATAACATAGATGATTCAATACTTGAAGATAAAGCCTCAGATTGTTGATTTATTATTTTTGTTTTTTTACGTGCAGGTGAAGAGGAATGTTCGTCGTGATTAGTAGGATTACGTATTTTTATTTGCTGTTGTGTAGGTAAATGAAGGTGTAAATGTATCTGTGGCGATTCTTGTACTGGTTGTGCTGATACTGGCGTAGTTGTCTTCATTAAATAGATAAATAGTAATAAAAAATAAGCGAATAATCATGTATATATGTGTATATACATAATGTATTTTTTTTTTTTTTTTTTTTTTTTTTTTTTTTTTTTTAAAAAAAGGTATATTACTGTTACCATTGGTTGTGATGTCTGATGAGCGGATTTCTTTCCAGCAACAATCGCTTGTTCTTTTGTAAGTAAAGTATTTAATCCAGTTTGAGAATTAACGCTATCCATATCAAAATCCATAATGGGCGCTAATACTTCTTTCACACCATATTTTTCTGCTATTTCTCTACTTTTGTTAAAAGGGATCCTATAATTCTCGATAAACCATAACATTCAATTACATGTAAAATAAATTCTATTAGTTTACCAAGTGCCTTGATATTTTCCATATCCTCCCTGTACTTTTTCATGTTCACCGATTAAAACTTCTTTCTCTAAAATTTTAGTTCTTTTTCCTTTTTCAATATTTGCAACTTTTAAGATTTGTGTTGCATTCATAAAGGAATCTGTTTGTCTACGCATGACTGCAACTCCATTTATAATAGTTTCAAATACAGGTACACCTGAATAAACTGCTGAATAAATCCTTCCTGTCTCTGCCATGATTTAAAATGTATTTATATATAAACTATAGCAAAAAAGAGAGAATACATGCATGTATTCGTATGAGGTAATTGTAGTGTTTTCAAATTCAGTTTTTTTTTTTTTTTTTTTTTTTTTTTTTTTTTTTTTTTTTTTTTTTTTTTAACACATATACAAATATGTATAATAGACAAATTAAAATTCCATCTACAGTTAGATAAGCCAAAAACACTACATAACATACATTTCATTACGACTATATATCATTAAGACAATTTGAAAACACTGTATAAAATGGTATAGTTAGCTATTCTTTAGCCTTCCAATATTCTATTGAACGATAGTATCTATTTGTTTTTTAAATCATGTATATCACGTTATTGAAGCATATCACCTGCTTTGTAAATTAAAATACTTTGGTCATGGATGTTTTGTAAATCCTTTTTGTAGTAACCATAGAATAATAACAATTTATATTCATTGATAACAGTTACTAACAAGTTATTAATATCTTTTATTCTGCTCTATACTCATATTTATTTCCCAAATTTAGATCAATATGAAGTACGGAAAAGGGGGCTATAATAGAGAATATATCAGAGGAAATAGAGCCAGCCAGGGGAATTATTCTAGAGTTGATAAAATTTGTCTTGAGGGATTTTTTTGTAATATATTTCACGAACATATAAGCCTCAATCTTTTAATTTCTCTTTGATATATTTTTGAATAATAAACTTTCCTTAAGCTACCTAGCATTTAACTATGCATAATAGCTTTAAATATTATAACTATTGATACTGGACCGTTCATATAAAGTCATATTTTCTTGTTCACGTATTTCGTATCATTGTTGCTATGGATAACTATTGAATGTATCATCAAAAGTAATTTATTGCTTTATATATATATATACTAGTAATAGCTACAGTTATATAAAATGGGGGTAAGCATATTAGCTGTTAATAGAGTATGATTATTTCACATTATAAGTCTATTAATATTAATAAAAATAGGAAAATTTTATACTATATTAGATATATTATCATTAAGTTTTATCCAATAAGTTTATTATACGTATTGAGTACCATAGCTTCCTTTTATACAAAAATTTATAAGTAATTTAGTCTTTATTACGGCACTGATATCATCATATCAGCATTGTCAACACAAGGGACATAATGAGATTAGAATAGTAGTTTTTGAAAGTCTTTACTTCAATAAGAAACTATAAATCCTTAAGATATATCAAGGATACTATGATAGTGCAATCATAATCCAAGATGATATCAAGCTAATTAGTCATCAAACAGTTGGAACAGATTATATTCTGACTAGAAATATAAATCTTATTATCCATCTATAGAGTGAATGAAGTATCCTACAAAAATTACTCAACATTTATTAGTGTAAATATACTATTAAGTAATTTGCGGTTCACAAGAGAATAATTTCTTTCATGAGCATTTAGTTAGCAGACTACAAAATCAAAATACCTAGCTTAATTATTCAGGGCTTATAATTCAAAAGCACTAATAGAGTAGTTAATAACACCAACAGAAACATGAAAAAGGCTGCTGGATACTAAAATAATGTAAGGTTAGGATATAGAACAAAGACTTCTTCATCTTTATCAACGTAATAGTTTATCCATTTATTTATAAAGTCTTGTTTAGTTTAATTTCAATTATTGGCTTTTCATATAGTCGAAGCAATTTAAGGTATATAAAATAAAAACTTATCAAGCCTAAAAAATGATCAGATTTCTTTTCTAGCAGTAAATTATGGTTAGGAAAAAAAAACATTCTAAGGCTCATTAGGATCAAACTTTAAACTATAGACATATACACCAAAGTTGAATTTATAAGTACTGTATTTTGTGAGATAAACTAAGAGAAATAGCTTTAAGTTTTACATAGTTTGAAATGGTTCAACAAATGCTTGTGATGAACACACATTATATAGTACAATATTATTAATTCTTTGATAACTGGAAGTAGTTTATTATAAATTAGATAGATAACTATCTTTAAAAAAAACAAGTATTTTTTAGTAACATTTCAAAGAAAAAAAAAAAAAAAACCTCATTGTCGCATACATAATTCAACAAACAACCATCATTAAAATGAATTATATTTATAATTATAAAAACAATTTAAAATTTTTATTAATATTTATTTATATAAAGGTTACCAAAATCTTCGTTCATCATTAATCAATAGTCGATTAATGAATCCATCCCCCACAGGACGAAGACCTGTTTTGGTAGCGTGGAGGGCCCCCAGATCCCAAAGAAATATAGCCCTCAGATCCCAAAGAAATAATGCCCTCAGATCCCAAAGAAATATAACCCTCAGATCCCAAGGAAATATAGCCCTCAGATCCCAAAGAAAAGGCCCTCAGATCCCAAAAAAAAGCCCCCAGATCCCAACGAAAAAAAAAAGAAGACTATACTCTTCCATAAGGAAAAGCGAATACACAGTAGGCGTAACTGCACCTGTAATAAATTCGCACTTTTATCACGATATAATATCTCTCGATACTATTCTATCACGTCACGGTGGTCGCAAACATAGTATTACCTTAAGATCCCCTTTGTTTTTTTCATTTAGTGTTATATTAGTCTATGACCGTAAACTAATATAACTGAAATAAATAAAACGCGTTTTTTTGAAGATATAATGAGTATACATGAAAAGGGTTCTTTTTTTAAATGCAAAAAAGGACACCTCTAAAAAAAAAAAGCAGCACCATTTCATAACTTCTTAGGGGGGAGACACTGTCAACTAACCGAAGTTCTAAACTAGAATTACCCTTGTCTGATAAGATTCAGATAATATGCTCTAATTTAGATCACCTAAAAAGCTAAGGCCGAACCCGTCCAACCTGGACTGCAATTCAAGGGGTGGGTTTGGGTTAGAGATGTATATCATTATACTTGACGACGCCTATTTATTTCATATAAAAAGAGAAACACCAAAGGAGGAATAAGGATAAAAAAAAAGAAAAAAGAAAAGAAAAAAAAAGGAAACGTAATATTTTATAAATAAATACATAAAATGATGACGTAGCGAAAGGAGGAATGTCGGGCTTTATTTTATTTATTTTTTTGAAATTTATTAAAGGAGGATGTACAATAATTAGGTACTATTACTTGCAAACATACACTATAAAAGCAACGACAAGTATATATGAGTCGTAAAGTAAAACTCTATTAGAAGCAGTGACAATCTGAATATGTTCATCACTCCTCAGTCAGTAGCAATACATTAGTACTTCATGTATTCAATTTATAGAATAAATAATATCAACCGATTATCATTATTGTTTTATAGATTTGTCTTTTTAGCTATTTTTTTTTTTTTTTTTTTTTTTTTTTTTTTTTTTTTTGTAATAGCATTACAAAAGGCAATTATTGAGCAATATAAGAGCGGGGCAGACATGGATTTTCCCAAGAATTGTGTTTTCATTGATGAAGCAAGTCTCAATTTACGTACTCAAAGAAACCATGACCGTTCATTAAAAGGCACACCTGTAAAAAGCACCGTACTAATTGAAAAGGGGTTACATTTACAATTTTAGGTGCAATTTCTCAAGCAGGTTAGGTATCATAAATATTGGAGTTAAAAAATCAGAATAAGCTTCTTCTTAAAAAAAAAAAAAAAAAAGAAAGGCAGATGGTAAGGAAGTAAAAATAAACGGTAAAGTTGAAACAAGAACTGAGCACTTTTTGGCCTACCTAACCAACGTAATGAATACACTAGATAAAAATGATATAAAGGATTAGTATATTGTGATGGATAATGCACCTATTCACTAGTCAAAAGTAATTAAAGCATTAATCGAAGAACGAGGACATAAGTGCATATATTTACCACCATATTCTCCTTTCTTGAATCCAATTGAGGAATTTTAGTCAAAAGTAAAAGCTGGTGTTAGAAGAACACCATTGAGGGCAGATGATTGTCTCACAAATAGTATATGTGAATCGGCTGGGAAAGTAACAAAAACAGATTGTGAAGGATGGATTAAGCATTCAATGTCTTTTTTTCCAAAAGTGTTTGAATGAAGAAAGAAATCTTTAAAATGGTAAGTTATTAGTCTTTGGGGGCTCAGCTTTCAATAGACGTACTTCGAATTCGTTATAAATGAATAAGGAGAAACAAATTTATTTTTATAGTATATATAGAGGTATCAACATATTAATATTTAATCATGTTCAGGTGAATCAAATGACCCTAAATCCGTCATACCTTTCTTATGGTCATTTTCGGTCAATTTGATGATGCTGGAATTGATGATTTCTGATAATAATTTGGGTGTTTCTCCTGAATTATATCTACTCTTCTTTCTATTGTTTTTATGAGAATTTTGGATCTTCTTAATGGTATCCAATGTTTCTTCTAACTTGCACTAGAAATAAATATACATATTAGTAAGGACTTTCTGTTTTCAAACTGTTATATAATGTATATACCTTAAAAGTCCAATAATAATTTATTGCTTCTTGTTGATACATTTCTTTATCTTCAAGCTTTAGCTTAATTTTGAGCACTCCTTTTCTCCAGAAATGAAATACCTCCTCTTGGTAAGAGAGAAATCAAAGCTTGATTTCGTTGTCTATCAAGTAATAAAATGGTTAGATAATACTATAGCTATAATGGAATGTATATTACCTGCTGCATGAACGAAATATATTTTTAATTGTTCAAAGATATCAACTGATGCATACTTATATTGATCAGCAATTGTCTTTAGCATTGCAAAACAGCCATAATTTGCCTTATGGTGATCAAAGTGTATCTTTCTGGTTTTTTGATTCAAATATTCACCAGAGACTTCTACTACGCAAATTTCAATATCATGGGCTTCTTGAAGTCGCACCACGCCATCTGCCTTTTAAATAAATCGGTGATCTACACCCTTTTCTTTTTAGCTGCTTGGTCATGGATATAAGCTCTTCTTTATTGTCAAAGAATACTAATTTTTCCCAATTAAACTTGCTATGATTAATTGAATTGCAAATAGCTTTTAAGTTTGGTTCAACAAGATAACTATTGAAAATCTTTTCACTGTAATTCAAAGGCACTTTAATCTTATACAACTTCAAACTTAACAAAAGGATTCACTAAAGTCAGATATGCATATATATTAAATTAAAACAAGAGGCTACTTACAATGCTGCAAAGAGTTCTTCCAAAAAAAAAAGAAAACGTAATGCAATGGTAGCATCTTCAGTGTCGGGTGTATCTGTGCTATTCTTCTTATATTCTTGCAAACAGTCCTATCAAATGAGTAAACCAAAATGGACATAAATTAAAAAAAAAAAAATGGATATTTACTCTATCAATTACTTGGTCAATATATGGACACACTTCTTGGTTGATTGAATGTACTTGTTGAGCGCCTAGAAACATTGTCACCACTGCATATGATTCCATGTCTAGCAGGGCTGCAAAAAAATAGAAATGCCAATATATTTTATTTTTATTTTTTTTTCGGATACTGTTTATTAAGGTATACCTACACTTATGGATAGTCTTATCTAGGTATCCCCATCAAGACAGGAGGATTCTTAGATGCAACTCAACTCATACAAAATAATACTAATAAAGTCCTACAAACAATGAACCAAATGGCATTTATTGGGGTTAATCCCAAGGGATTTAATCGTTTATTCGCTACTCGCTTCTATACGCAGATAGTCCGACCACAACTCGAATAGGGTTTAACTATTAGTTTACCCAGTGCAAAGACTATCCAATAACTGGAATCTTGTCAAAACACTTGCATAAGACGGATATTTGGTGGCTCTAGTCAATCATCAGTAAAGGTGATGCTTCATATGGTAGACCAACTATCGATGAAGGTTAGGGTGTCCATTCTGTAGGCCCAATTCGTTTTCCGTGCTATTGATTTACCGGATGATACCTTGCTCCCTAAATTACCTCCTGAGCTTCAAGCCTCCACCTTCAACATTCAATGGTATAAACTCATTCAAACGCCATGCTGGAGACTCTGTACCGCTAAATCCATTCCGTTAAACCAACATTCCTTTTGAAAACATCGTCAAGAATTTCTTGAAGAGAGTTTTCAGCAACTACGTGACAGGACATGTTCAGTTTTGTTTTCCGCTTGCCGCCTCAATTTGATTATTGATCCGATACTCTGGTTACCCATAACACACAGTGAGTGTAGTCGAACTATTCGATGGCATCTTGATTGGCTACCCAGAGGAATACCTAAAGCCTGCCCATTTTATTCTCATGTACACTTTAGTTGGTCACACGTCACTGAATGCTTGCATATGCACACTCATTTATTCTTGCCACGATCAATCGCAGATCCCCTTTCCTTTCTTTTAAATCATCTCCCTCAGCATAAGTACCAAAATTCGCAGGATGTTTCTACCTGGTTCTATTGTTGGCCAGTTGTGTGCACCATTCTACAGGAAATGGATTACCTACTACACGACAAACTACCTCCCTCCACTTCTTGATCCAGGCAGAAAATTATTCAACTAGTTGTCCCTTTAACCTTGTTAGCAACATTCCCCTTTCTTTCTCATCTTCTCTTATTCCTTTCCTTTACCTTTTTACCTCTTGTCCTGTAAGAGGGTTTTTAGATACTTTTTTCGCATAATCTGAACTGACCTAGACAATCCAATATAACAAACATATTATATGCTCATAGGTCGCTTTATATATTTTAATTTATAAAAAAAATAATAATAAAACTTCCTATTTTTTTTTTCTTCCCAACACCCATAAAAAAAAACAGCAACTTGCTGCTAGGCTTTGAAACGCGACAACTACCCACATATAACGAGGGATTTTACAAGCTATATGGTAGTACGCAGGAGAAGAAGGTTATGGAGACACTTGGCAGCTATCCAAAGTTGCAACAATGGTGCCCGTCTGTGTGGTGGTAGATTTTATCGTTTTGCTGCTGCCTGACGGTAATTGTTCTCAACCTTCTTATTTTATGGGTCAGGTAAGATGGTAAAAAAGGATACAGCTAGGCTTTGAAACGTGACGCAACATTCCGACATATCAAATGGTCTTTTGAAAGATATGCCGTACTGTGCTGCAAGATATTGTTTTGGACTAGACAGCTATCCTTGGTTGTGACAAATGCCCCCGCTTGCGTGATGGTAGATTTTATCGTTTTGCTGTTGCCTGGCGGTAGCTGTTTCATACATGCTAATGCTTTTTTATTCATTTTGTATTTTTCAAAATTACAAAAACGATGATGGAAGGTCAGATATGAAATTGTATATTTTTTTTTCCTTTTAACAGTACTAATAATTGTTTATTTGATTCCAGCAACAATACGCATTAATGTTAAATGAATATCTTGGGAACTGACAATATCAACTTTAAACAATGCAAGTTTTAACTTTTGGCAAGTCTGATTGCTCTCCATGGATTAACTATTCATTCGGTCTCTCATTCTACCTGCTTTCTTTTGATCAATTAATTTTGATATGTTTGTACATTATCAGCATACTTGTAAATAAATACTATACAACCACTAAGCATTTTACTATCAACTTTAAATATATTAAAGCTAATAACAGTGGTTCACAATCATATGGTTGTATTATAGTTTATTTGTGTTGTTTACTTTTGTTAGGTATCTTTCTTGACGTTGTGTTAATTATGAGTACAACATTTGCTGATAGGTTGTTATACAATTTAAATAATTGTTGTTTAAAAACAAGATATATAACCTCTTGTTCCTTTTGGTATACCTTTTCCATTCATTTCCCTTGAGATTTCTGGGGACATAGTAACTGATTTTTCAGTGGCTTGCTGTCGCGGTTATTGTGCATGAAAATAAAATTTTTGATTTCCCTTTTTCAGCCCATGAAGGGGGTTTTTTCCCTCCCTTCTCTAAATACAGTTTTGAACTGGACCGGGCAATTTTAGTAAGTGCTCATTTGGATTTTTATTTAACAAAACTTAAAAAAAAAGTACATATAATACATATAAGCAATTTTGACTTTTCTAAGGAAACTAACAAAATAAATATTTTTTATTTCCTTATTACTATTAGCTTTCTTTTCTTCTTTTAGAGTAAGAAGCTCTAAAAAAAATAGTTTATAGAAATCATAACGTGCTTCATAAGCAACCCATACTATTATCAGGGATATTTAATTGTATATAAACAGCTACAAAGCTAATTTTATTATTGTTGTCCTACTTTATTGACTCTTTCTCTAAACATGATTACACGATTCTTTTTCGACAAGTCGTTACTGAGAAGATTCATTATTATACAAACAGGTTTTTTTTTTTTTTTTTTTTTTTTTTTTTTTTTTTTTTTTTTTTTTTTTTAAAAAAAAATTATTTGTTAGCTAAAAATAGTAAAAAGAGGGTCATGATCCAATTAGTCAGTAGCTTTATTAGGTAATAAAAGATTACTATTTCCCAGAAGCAACCAATCGTGGAGGTTGATCATTATGTGCTTTCTTTCACAATCTTATTTAATGAGAAACGTGAAAACTCTAAAATGAAACCATACTCTCAGGGGTTGAACATTTACAGTAGCCACTATCCTCATCACTTTACTGGAAAATCATTCTATAAATTTGAGTGTATATCCGTCACTCCCTCCCTCCTTTTTATTATTTATTTAAACAGAGCTTTTCCCTCTCTGCTGCTGCTTATATAAACTGATACAAAGCTCTTTTTATTTCAAGGTGTAGAGGGACAAAAAGAAAAAAAAAAGGCATTTAATAGAGAATCATTAAAGGAAAAAAAAAAAAGATTGCTTGATAATTATATTTATTTTAGTAGAAAGAAATCAGGATAAAGTATATGCTTATTATTAATAATACTCCTGTTTTGTGAACAATAAAAGAATGACACTCCATTCATTTAAGCTTAATAGGCCATTTTATTACATACAAAATTGTTCACTTCCTTCAATAATAGTGCTGGTGTAAAATGAAGTAAATAAAAACCTGGAACTAGTGATATTAAATACTTATTTTATTTTTTTTTTATTTTTATTTTTTTATTTTTACATAGGTATACATTTATACAAATATTTTATTTACAAGACTTCAGGTAAATAAATATTTTTTTTTTTCCTTAGAAAAAGAGAAACTAAGACTGTTTGTTGATATAGTGTCTTAGTAGAGTTATTTTCTCCAGACGTAGGTCATTCAGATATGTGGAGATGAAATTTTCACCTAACACTCTGTAAATTCCTACCATTGCATCTTTGCTTGCTGCTCGTACATATACATCAGAATGATTGTAACTCTATAGTTATTTATAAAAGAAGAATATTAATAAATATGATATTAATGATCAAGTAAAATCTCTATTACATCTACTAAAATTTCTGCTAGTCCCTTGTCTAAAAACGAAGATAGATTTGCAGCTGCTACTTTTGTTGCAATAATGCTTATTTCGGTAAGCAATACACCTAATGGAATTGATTTATCTAAGCTTATACAGCTAGCACTATATTGCTGTGCCAACTGCAAGCTTATATCTGGACTAAAATTTGAGAATAATGAATTTAGAATATTTTTTGCTGTATATGAAATCTAAAAAAAAAAAAAAAAAAAAAGTTAATGATTTTTAATTTCATTTTGCTTATTTTCTTCACGTACCACACAGTCGTTATCCTCTAGTATATCTAAAATCATAGAGCATAGCTCTTGGATGATTATACATTCATTATTTTGACCTTCTTTCTTAAAGATCTGATTTTCCAATTGTTTGAATAGTAGAGATTGACTAGTCAATAACTTTTGAATAATTTTCAGTGCTCTTAAATGACAGTCTTTTACTGGCTTAGATTGGATATAGTCAATTAACTGTTGCAACAAAGGGAAAAGCAAGTTCTGTTCGGTTTTCTTTTTCCATACAGATAGGAGTGACCATTCAATTTTATAAAGCATTTGAATATCTATATTTTCAGGATTTATCTTGGACGTATTTATAAAAACTTGAAGTAAATCCTCGTAGTTATCGTTATGTTTCATCACTTTTTGTTGTTTTCTTCTTCGCGATTCTTCTTGTTCAAGTTCTTGTTTATCTAAAGCAGTACTTGATGATCTCTTATTGCTAGCTTGAGGAACAGAATTAACGATAGTATTATTATTCAAATCTGGTCCTGGGTTTATTATAGGGTTGCTTGAAGTAAAGTCATCTACGTTACGATTTGTTTGTTCACATTTTGCTACGGTTATAGTTTCCTATAATTAAATAAATAATAAAATTAAGATCAGTTAATAAAGTAAAGATTATATAGCTTTCTTACCTTTTGAGCAACTTTATTGTTAGGTTCTTTTTCTTCTTTCACTATTGTCTGTGACTGTGATGCAACAAGAGAAGCTTCCTGTGATGCAACAAGAGAAGCTTCCTGTGATGCAACAAGAGAAGCTTCTTGTGATGCAACAAGAGAAGCTTCTTGTGATGCATTAAGAGAAGCTTCTCTTGTTGCATTATGACTAGCACAAGTATCTTTTTGTTGCTCGTTTGTGCTTCTATCTACTATTGAAATATCATTATTTACTATTGATAGTTCTGGTGATTGCTGCATGATCAGATTATCTGTATTAGATTCGTTATTGTTTGAAGTTATGGTAGTAGTGGTATCTTGTATACTGTAATCATCTTCATAAAAAGCATTATTATCATTTGTATTAGTCTTGGTATCATTGCTTTCAATTTGTTCATTCATATCTGACATGAATTCATTTTCTTCTTTAGGCTCAAATGAAGACGTCTGTTTCAAACTTAAGAATGCACTTAGCAAATTCATTTGGAACTTGTTAAGTGTGATAGTCACTTCTTGAAATATATGCTCATTAATGGCCTTTAAATAGTTAGTCATATTAGATAAATAGCTAGTTTCTTTTTCTGATGTATGCGGAATATTCATTATAGTATCTACAAGTAAATGCATATACAATCGTACATTTGCCTCTTTTTTGAACCAATCGGTTATAGGTTCATTGTTCAATGAAATATTTAGCCATTTGGAACCCTCTAAAAGTAATTCTTGATCTTCATGATTATTATCTAAGACAACATCATTCATCCATTCAAGTATGCCACATTGTAAATAATCTAGTTCCGAAAGAGTAAATTGTTGTTGTTGTTGTTGTTGTTGTTTATTAATAGTGGCTATATCTAATTGATTCACTGTATTTTTTCCTTTCATATTGTTTACAGATTTTAAAATATTTAATAACTCTTCAGGAAGAGAAGGATGATGACGTTTTAAGAATAACTTCATTCTTTCAAGTCCTTTGCTATAGAGTTTTAATATAGACTTATTCTTTTGGGAATCACCATTAGCCTTTAATTCTTGATCAGCAATGATCAAATATGGAATAAAGCTCTTTAAGGGTACGCAAAGAACAAAAACACCAGCAAGAGATTCCCAGCTCATCAGCGCCTTATATAGCTTCTCTTTATTGTTGCTTATTGTCTGACGAGGTAGTTTTATCATTCTTTTCAACAAATGTTCAATAATATCCTTTGATGGAACACATGTAGGTAATGTAGATAAGGAGGATGGTTTATAGATGATATCCTGAAGCTTCTCTGAAAGCACTTGAAGGCCTTTACAGTTGTTGGCAGGATCACGACTTTTTAACATGGTTAAAATACGAGATGCAGAAATAGCAAACTTGTTACGTGGTTCAGATTGAGCGCGTCTTGGAGGAATAGTTGATGCAGCTTGAATTGTCTTTACTTTATGAGAAATATCTGTAGGTGGAGTTGATACATTAGATGTAGAAGATAAACGGCCTTTAACAGACTTTTCATCGTCTACATTTATCAATTTAGTTATGGTTTCTGTTGATTGAGCAGAGTATTCTGATGAAGATTCTGGCCCAAAAGGACTATGATCAGAAGGAGACCTTTTTAATATAGGATGATTTGAAGTTGATGATGAAGGTTGAGATGACGATAACGCCTTGGAGGTATTATTTGCTATTTTTGATGAAGGAGAAGATAAGGATGAAAGTGATTTTGAGCGAGCTCCAAGTGTGTAAGGTGAATATCTTCTAGACGTTTTTGATGTAGCTGTAGCTGTATTGGGAATCTTTAGTTGGCGTTGCATGGTAACATCGAATGTTTTAGTTAACCTAAAAATACAAATTAAATTATAAATTATTATATAAATAAATATGTATTTTTTTTATTTATTTTTTTTTTTTTTTATTATTATTATTATTATTATTTATTTATTTATTTAAAATTTAACTCAACTTACTTTTGTGCCTGTATTGGCCAGTATGTACCATAAATTGTATAAATCTGTTTAGAAACATCCCTAACAGCTGGGGAAGCATCTACTAAGCCCTTCATTAAGAAATTATTAATATGCAAGTTTACTTCAGGCTTTTCAATGATAGATTGAACTGTCTCTTTTGATCCATGAGTTGAAAGCATTGTTTTCAAACAATTTGCTGAAAATTGACGAACTTGAGTACTTTTATCATTAATTGTTTTACAGAGCATAACAAAAATTCTGCTGTAAAAATTTGTAAATAAGAAAAACATATTTGCAGCTTCAAGGACTTTAGAAGCAATCAGCTTTTTAGAGTTATTGCTGAGCTTTAATAAGTTGATTACAATTATTTCCATTGTATAAAGATCAAGACCATATCCTATAGCTTTGCCAATATCTGAAATTAAGGATAAGCCCTCAATTACTACTGAACTTCTTAAGGTATCAATCTATAATTATTTACTTTAGTTTAATACATGAACTATTGAATTTTATGTATAACTTACTGATTTAATGTAACTATATATTCCGTCATGAAGACATTTGGTAATGTTAGCTCTCCATTTGCGTAAATAGTCTTCATTGTTGAGGAGAGAACGTAAATCGCGTACTGCTTTATCTCTTTTGTTCCAGTTTTCCTCATTTTCTTTCTCCTCAAAAAGCTTGTTGGTGTCACTAAAAAATGCTTCAAGTTCTTTCAAAGAATTGATCTATAATTGAATTATGATCATTTACAGATCTTATTTAGTTGATGTACATATGAGGAAAGAATATGTATATTTATGTATAAAATAAAAGCATATACCTTAATGTTGTTAGTCATGATTTCAAATTTAAAGTAAATAAATAAATAAATAAAGAAATAAATAAAGAAAGATAAAGCAATCGATTTTCTTTATTTTATTTTATTTTATTTTATATGTGAATATAATATTTTTTTTTTCTTTTTCTTTTTTTTTTTTTCAGCTCAACTCCTTATAAAAGGGGCATTTGCTGAATTTTAAAAATGACATACACATGGACCAAGCATCGGTTTCTAATCTTTTGTTACACATATCCTTTTGTTTGTTGTTAATTATCAATAGATACTTTTGATACAAGTTAATTTCTATGCGATATACACACACATAGTTAATAAGTTCCTTTCTTAAAAGAAACAAAGGATGTAAATGACATTTGTTTCTAACGTATAGAAGAAATAAAAAATAAAAATAAAAGTGTTAATATAGCAGAACGGTAGTTTTTTGTTTATTTATTTATTATCTTTAACATACATGTGTAACTATTAATTTGTATAAATCTAGGCATTTAAACTTATTAGCTTATCTTTATGACAAGGATCAACATGTTACATTATGTATTAAATAATCAGACCCCCCTCCCTAAAGAAAAAAAAAAAGAAAACTAGAAAAGTATTTATTACCTCAGCACTCAACAATAGCTTAGTTTTTCTCGTACTCAGGAATTGTAAAGGGTTTGCTTTAGATAATATTTGCGTGTTATCATATATACAGCATGCATTTGTAGAGTACAACAAGAATCATTACTAATAACAGCATGTGAAAGATGATAAGACTAACTATTTGTGTAAGCTTATTGAAACGATTATGACATCAAATAAATACATATTATATGTAGTACACTAGATAATAAACCGGAATCTATTCTGTACTTGGCTATGTCTAAAGCAATATGTTAACTTCAAATTAGTTCTATTCTTATAAAGGCAACTGTGCCTATTTATCTACAAGTTCAAGGTAAATATGATCATTTCGTTTAAACATTTTTATGATGTCTGTACTCATATCTTTATATCATATCAACTCAATTATATGTCTTTACATATAAATAGAGTTTTATATGATATCATGAACTTGAGCAGCTTTTTTTTTTTCATATATTGGTATATAAAAGTAAATAATAGACTCAAGAAAAAGAAAAGAAGCAACAACGACCATTCATATCAATAAAAGAAAGGTGATATTCTATATTCAATTTATGCCATTAGGACATACTTTGTAATTTATAGACAATAATCTATGATTGTACCTTCTAATTAAACTGAATTGATAATAGTATCAATATGAACTTTTCTATTCTATTCGTTATCAGTCTTCTTAAACCAAGTTGTTCAGTATACAACTATAACTAATGCATTAACTTTATAGATTTAGAAAAGACAATTTCTTTTGCAATTATGTTTTACATGTCTTTAGTTTTATTTATTCTATGATAATAGTTTACTGCTTATGTTCCTTTAGTTGTAAGAAAAAGAAAAAAAAAAGAAAAGAAAAGAAAGAAAGGATATCTCTATTCTGAAATCTTACATATTGTGAGAGGAAATCTAATATTGTTGTTGTTGATCTTTTGGTAGTCGAATAAGTGCAAATACATGTATTAACCGATACATGCTATGGAGCGTATAATAGCAATATGATTGATAATTACTACATTAAAATAAACTATAATCTTATTGTATTTATATAATCTAAATAAATATTATTATCTTTATGCGATTATACTTTTTAATTACACTTTAGAATTTATATATAAATACTACTATTTAGTTATTGCATATATATAATATTTTGTTACCAGTAAATCAACGACATTTTGATTATATTAAGAGATGCAGTATTAATATTTGATCAGAATACTATCTTTATACACCATATAACTATTGTATGCTATGCTAATGCTTTTTATTCTTTATTTATTTTATTTTTGAAATGCGGGTTAAATGAAAGGATTATAAAAGCCACTGAATTGCCATCTGGCTAAAAATTTACTAAATAGGTTATCATTAAGGATAGGAGATTCAGAGATGATTGGGGCAAGGGAATTTGTTATTATCAGTTTGCCAAATTGGTATTTTGAAGGAACCTTTGAAATTGGCTTCATAAAAAGGAAGCAATCGTGCTGCAGGGTTAGTAGTATCATGATGAGCTAATTTACCAATCTATACCTCAAGGGATACTGTCTCAAAAGTCATATCATCAGATAATACAGGAGCTTTCCAACAACGAATTTTGAATGTGCATAGCCCATTAGTACAGCAACATGAGAATTTAAGCACTGAAGGAATTTCAGTAATTATTCCCACTATTTGAAAGAGCTAAAGCAGATACACTTGAGATGAAATGAACATAGATAGGTTTTATCTCTCAATTAGAGAACTTGATCAACTTATAAAAAGGTGAAATGCATCCTCTATCATAATAATCAATCGCTATGTTAAAGTCAAGGTTCTAAGCACAGTGTTGAATAATGGTGATTTTCTGTTTGAGTTGATGATAGCGGTTTTCACTAAAGCCAAGATAGATATTATTGAAACACATTAGAAATAGCTCTGCACAATATGTAGAGAGAAGAGAAACATCTAAAGATCGAGACTCACTCAAATTCCATAGTCAATTTTATAATATAAGTATACATTGGTGAGTATGATAAACGTTTTCGAATTATTTCTGTATAATCAAATTTTGAATTTAAATGGTTACGGAGAACACAATTTATTGCATGGCATATAGCGTTTTATATACCGAATTTTCATCTTCAAGCACGACTAAATGAGAATATTAGCGTAGCAGTGACACTTGTCAGAAACGAAAGTAGAAGTTGAGAAGTTATAGAAAAGAGGCCAGGAAAAAATATGAGTTCTAGAGGAGATATTCATTTTACACTCTAACGTCAAAGAGTTAGGATTCACTGAAGTTGGAAAGGACACAGTACTTCCTATCGATGACAAGTGCCTTAATGATGGGTTATTGAAATTATTAAAGACGCTAAGGGACATTTTCTCTGTCTTTGTGGAAACAAATCTTTCTTAAATCAGTCAGCTAGTTTCTGCGGGGTTTCTTATAATAGGTGAGGAGAAAATAAAATGGTAGTTAATTAAATCAATGTAATGTTAACTAAAATAAATTCAACCAAGCATACACTCGTTCCAATGCCAAAGGGCGGTTTTTGGTATCCCTACTTGAACTCACTATGCCTGAGGATATACTGACTGACCAATACAGACACAGTATGACTTTGATTACAACGATCTAGTTTGCCATCTGGAAGTACTACTGGAAGTTATGTATTCACAATACATCGTTTGTGGCCGATGGAAGATAGGAGCTTAATCCTCTGAACTTGGAGTCTTTCCATAATCGGCACTAGCTCTTCAGTTAATCTAATCGGTGATTATTGGATTAATATTGTCTATTACATACTTCTGATGACTTAATAAAAAAAAAAAGAAAAAACTCAAAATCCTGTAACAATATAATGTGTTAACTATTTTTTTCTAATTGTTTAGTATCTGCAATTCTGTAGTGACAATTTAGTTTCCTTCTCGCCTTTGCATAGAAATATCTTTTATATTTAGCTTCAACTACTGCAATATTGATCTTACTTTCTATATAGCTTCTGCTACTCTTAATTAGCTTGATGATAGATAATAAATGAAGATGCTTGTATTTGTTATAACAGATAACTTTTTATTTTATTTTATTTTTTATTTTATTTTTTTTTTTTACTCCAGTATCAAAATAACAAATATTTGTTACATAATAAATCCATTTATCCCTACTTGGTCTACAAGTTAATATGTATATTTTAAATAAATAACTTTGAAATATTTCAAGTATTAAGCGTATATAGTAGACTATGTTATTTTAATGAAAAATCAACAATAAATATTCCCTAATTATCTAACTACTGTTATCTGGCCTAATTAATGAGTTATTGATTTGCATTTGGAAATCTGTGGCAATTTAATTAGGGTATTTATTTTGAAGTTGTCACACAAACTTGTTACTTTTACGTGCCCCTCCAACTTCCTAGCCTTTTTCTTTATAGTTATCAATATGTGGTCCTTGTAGCTCATCGATGGCTTGATATGATTCTTTGATTAGTTGCTAACAAAAGATATTAATGGTAAATAAAATGTCAAAATATGGATTCAAGTATATCTTACTCTGAAGAATCAAAATAGATCAATCAACTTTCTCGATTTTTCCTCTGACGTTTTTGATTCTGTTGGCACTTCGACTGAGCAAATACAGTTGGTCACATAAATCTTGCTTGCTGGCATAAATGCTCTCCAAATCCTGATCTTTGTTGCTGTAAAACACCGTAAAATAAAAAGAGCCAATTTTTTTTTTTTTTTTTTTTTTTTTTTTTTTTTTGAAAATTTCAATATCGCCATAGTAGAACTTTCGCAGCATGATGACAAGGCCGTACCCAGCCTTGATATAATCTTGAGTTTCCTTTGGGTCATTTTGTTGAAGTAAGGGGCCTGTTGTTTCCAAGATTACTATTTCGATCTCACTTTCTATATATTTGAAATGAATACCATCAGCACTATAGAAATGTCGATTGACATTATAGATCGACTTTAGTTTTTCGGATACAGCGTCTAATCTCTTTTCAACCCAATGAAAACTTAGTCTTCTGAATTACTTTTGATAACGAGTTCAGAATTCGCCATAGAATATAGTAGTTATAACTTATTTCGTTATTATAAACATCACTATCGTCAATAAACAATCCATTGACGCTATAACTAGGAAAGTTAAATAGATGCTACAGGATCTGAATGATCGATTAAAGACTTTCAATGACTGCAGAACGGCATGAAAAAATTTCATGAATGGATTGTTTAACTTACAGTAACTCACAAAAGTGTGGCAGTGTTTCGGAATTTCAAGTAATTTATGCAAATCCGCAATAACTGATCATCTATTTATTAAGCAAAATGCTATAGAGTACATACTAGCGGAATGGCAGAAGTCTCCTCCTTCTGATGATGCCTATAACATATATGCACCATATGCTATTTTTATTGCAAAAATAATGTTAACAGCTACATGTATATAGATTTTATGCAAATAGTTTTTTTTGAGAAATGAAATGAACAACGTACCTTTAATGTTTAGTACTTAATAGCAGCACCTTTTACTTTCAGTACTGCTTCAACACGTCTTGGCATGCTTTCTATGTGTTTTAAGTATAGTTCAGCTGTAACTTGAATTGTACCAACCATCAGCAACTCGTTCTCATAACTCATCCATGTTTTGTTTTTTTGGTGACCTATCATAGGCAGTAAGCTTGCACGTCATATTAAACCAAAGGTTTTCAATTGGATTTAAATCAAGCAAGTAATGATGACTATTCAAGGATATTTACTTTATTTTTATTGAACCAATTTTTTGTATATTTGGATGTATGCTTCGGATCATTGTCTTGTTGAAGAGTTGCATCTTTCTTACAAAGTCCATGGCCCTTAAAAAATATCATATCCTTGATCATGCAAGTTCCGGGCAGCGTCCACTAAAGTGATAAAATGACCAGTATAAAATGATTGCGCAATCAATCTACCAAGTAACGGGCTAATCTTCTTTGGTCTACCTTGTTTTACGTTAATCTCAATTTGATTCTCTTTGACAATTTTGCCAATTGTCCTAGTTGACATGCCCATTGCCTTAGAAACATCTCTATAAGATTCCTTAGCAATAAGTTTTGCTAAAATATCCATCTTTTTAACATAAGGAATTGGTCTCATTCTACTTTATGCAATAATCTATGAGTAATGGGAATAATGTACAAATGTTGTTTAGATTAGTTACGAATTTGAGGAAAAAACGATATTAAATAGGAAGTAAACCTCTTTGTTAATTCAATAATGATATTTTAGCTGAAGAAATTAGGTTGGGCCACAGAAAAAAAAAATGGGTCGTTTGAAAATATTTAGGACACAAATTTTGAAAATGGGACACTTTTCCAAAATGGATCAGTGCTTTAAAAATAAGACAGCCAAGGAAATTTAGGACACTTATTTAGGACAACTATTTGGAAACAGGACAAGGATATTTGTAAGGGAACCTTTTTGTCCGGTCAACTTTTTCAGGTAAACTTTTTCAGGTAAACTTTTTCAAGTCAACTTTTTCAAGTCAACTATTTATGCAAAAAAAGATTTTCACGCTATAAAAAAAAAAAAGAAAAGTTTCTTCTTTCAAAATTCAAAATGGCTACGCCTATATTTTTAACACGATGCCATGTTTGCAATGATCATGATTTCTCCAGTAGGCGCAAATGTAGAGATCATTATAAATTAAAGCACTCTATAATCATTAAAACAGCAAATCAAGGAAGACCACCCAAAGAAACAAATTTGGATTTCATTGAAAAAGTGAATTTCAATTGTCCAGCATGTTCATGGTATTTTAAGACAATCAACGAACTTGGTAGCCATATCGATTTACATATTAAAAATCAAAATTATGCTGAAAACTCAAACTTCAAGGAAGACTCAGACTCAGACTCTAAAGACTCAGACTTTGAAGACTCTGAAATGAATATGAACCAAGAAGACATTGTTACTGTATCAAATTCTGTGCCAATTTTCAAATCCCAACCAGTTCTAATGGTAATGGAAGATTATAGACGCAACCATGATGAAGCCTTATTACATGCATGTCAGCGAGCCAGTGATTCTGAAGAAAACAAAAATCTGGCAAGATATGCTTTAAAAAGTTTAAAATTAGAACCTTTTTCCATCATAAACGAAGATGGAGAAGAAGAAAACGCTCTCGCACATGTCAATGTCATTACTAAGGCTTCACAATCAAAATCGTCATCTATTATACCTATTACTCCAATGAAAAGATCTGCAAACGAAATGGAAAAAATTACCTTATTCTGCAACAATTGTTCAATAATCAATCCTGTACCTTTATACAAATCATTAACATCACACGCTCCATATCCTAAACTCTTTGATACACGAAATTACATTGAATTATCTGATGATTTATGCCAGCTTTTAAATCAAGATTGGAAACTCTCACCTCAAATGAAGTTTGTTGCAGCACAGTTATTGGCAGGTTGCATATTACAAAACCAACTAAATAGTCAAGTTATTATTGCAAACATTGTCGAAGTTTATGGTCGTAAAAAAAGCGTTGATATACACCGTGAGCCCTTTGGTACTAAAAAAACAATCAACACTACCAACCTCGTTACCACCTCCTGTTGTGTCTAGATATGATAATGTTTACCCCGTCACCTTAAATAGTCAACATGGACCTAAACTTGTCATTGGAACTCAAACAATGAATTATTTGGTAACATCCTTTGTCCGTTTGGACAAGGAAGAAAAACCAAGTGTGGGGGCTGTATCAACATCATTCAAATTGGAAAAATTAGAAGAATCTTTGTCAACAAGAATTTACATCGATAAGTATGTCCTCAACAAAGCCATGAAATTAGCAGAGAATAAAGACGCTAAAGCTGTGACAAATTATAATATTTTAGACCAGTTAAGACAGGTAAGCACACATTTTAAGTCACCTTCAACATATTATTTGTGTCGTGCGTCTGGGTTTGTAACTAGAACGCATCAGTGCCAACCGTACTCTATCTTTACATTATCAAACTTTGATCGTGGTCGATGCCCCTCTGCCGAAATATTCTCAAGTATTGCTGATAACGTTTTGCAATTAGGTGACAAGGGAAGATTGCATAAGAGCGTAGTGGAAAATGGCTTGTCAAGTGGTAATAAAGAAATCGAAAAAGTCATCAACGAAATTCTCAAGCTTTATGGCGATAATAGACAGTCTATAAGTATTATTGGAAATACTGAATTGAATCCTCTTTTGGAAAAATTGGCTGCTTTTCACCAATCCTACATCAATTCAGCAAATGATTCAGTAGCAAAGGCTATTACCGACTCATTTCAATTATTCAAAAAGTGAAAATACAAGTATAGACTCATGAACATTGTTGAAGAAGATCAAACACTATGATAAAGTTAAATTATATTACATATGCAATGAGGGTTATTTGTTGTTTAAGCTTAAAATGAATGAATAAAAAAAATTTTAAAGCTGTTCAAACGACCCATTTTTTTTTTTTTTTTTTTTTCGTGGCCCAAGCTAATTTCTTCAGCTGTAAATGATTTAAAATTATAAAAAAAAAGGTGTTTTTGTTAAAAACAAAAATAGATTAAGAAAAAAAAAGATTATGCAGTGAAATGGCTAAATCGTATAAAATGACATAATCACTGTCGAATTGAACATTTATGCGTGTAAATGAGGTTAAGAAGCTATAAAAATAATGTAAATTTTATTGATGTATCTTTATTCATTTATGTTGTGCACTAAGGAAAGCCAAAAAATCAGAAAACATTGCCACACTTTTGAGAGTCACTGTAAATATAAGCGAGGCCACTTTGACCAGTACTTCATCCGAGGAAAACTCATCCAAAAGAGCCTACCAAACACTTGGGGTGCTAATAAATATCACTGTTATAGAACAAGCTCTGGATATAAGCATAAGTAATATTATAGTAGATGAAGTACATAATACAGGATAAAATATAAGCCTGAATATAAAATAAAACTCTGTAGATAACATCTCGTAAATAATATAAAACTTATTGACATCCAATCGTCTAGATGTATCAATTATAAGGCATTGTATCATTTCTGAAATATTTAATTTTATAACCCTGACAAAGAATTCTTCAGGTCGTCTTTGATCCACTGAAATAGACATAAGGAGCCTATAATCAGATCAAACAATTTGAATCTTAAATCAGACTATTATAACACCCAATAGATAATTCATATAAATCAGTAGCTTGAAGCAACAATACGTATATATCTGAATACTAACACTGTTTCATGACTTATCTTTTTTATTTCTTTGATTTAGGATTCATTAGTATAAATACAAGCAGTAGTTGTGTAGACACAAAATAGTCTTTATATCATTCTTTTTACAATGAATAAACATGTCTCTTACTATACTTCCTATTGTTTTCTCTCTCTTTTTTTTTCTTTTTATTCCTTCTTTAAATCATACCATCACATCGTCTTTGTTTTGAAATCTAGTCGTCAGCTCTTTTAGAACACATATTCTTATATCCCAATATTATTTCGATTTATATATAATCTCACCACACCCCTCAATGATATATGGCGTTTAACAACTTTAATAAAATCTTTTATTATTACTACTACAGAAAAAAAAAGCATAATTAAAATGATATGATTATGTACACAAGTTATTGATTGACTGTGAATGGACAAAGTCGCTTTCTATTTTTTGTGCTGCTAATAAGATCTCTAAACATCTCCTCATTCATACCTGCACGCATGTTTGCCTTTAAATTAGGAATATCATTTGCTAATCTACAATGATTCTTGTATAAATGGTGAACAGATAAAAGGTCTTCACAAGTGGCAACATATGCTCTGAGTTGAATAGCATCTCTAGGCATACTTATGCTACAAATTTCAATCATTACATAAAGTCCAGAGTCAAGCAAACAAGTATAGTAAACTGTCACAATCAAGCCTATAAAAGCAAGTTTAATTAGAAGCCCAAAAACCAGCTTTAGCAAGAACTTACCAACAGCATGAACACCAATCACTCCTTCATAGAAATTGTTGTCAATGGATTGTTTAGAAAATCGACCAATTCTAATTAAGTCCAAAAGACTCGCATATATATCGTCTTTTGTATCTTCTCCCTTTACTTTATCCACAGTAACAGGGCCATTCCAAACAACATTGTTCAATATTCTTCCTACAAAGTCTGGTCTTTGAGTTGAACTGTTTATCTGAATATCACACCTGTAAATATCATTCATTGCTCAGTTCTTCGTATATTCAAATTCTTTTAAGTAATAGCGTACCATGAAGATTGCTTTCCTGAATCAGGATCTTCAATGATAGTGCGAAAAATAGAATCAACGTAAGTTCCACACAATGTTCTTTCTTGGATTTTTCCAGTAAATTTTGTTATTGGTATTCTTTCCGTACTAATGGAAAAAAAAATGCGTCAATACATAAGCAAAACGCGTATTATTTTTTGCGATACTTACAGGTTTCTTAGACCAATCAAAATGGAATCGACAGCAGTATCAACGTTTTCTGAAGTTGACAACATAATACGTTTAGAAGCTTGTCTTGATCCAATTTTTCTTTCGTTAAAATCCTACATAAGAGTCATGGTTAATTGCGCTTCTTGCCTTAAAGCTTAAAACAAATGCCTAAATTTACCTTTGCAATCAATTTCAACTCTCTTTCCAAATTTACATCAAGTGTTTCACTCTCAATGTTATATTTTATTTGGACGTGTTTTGTCAAGCTTTGAATCATATCAGCTTCTAAAACATTTTTCATATCTTCGCTTATCTGGTCTTTCTTTAAAAGCATAATATTGTCTAATGCTAGGATATCTTGTGCGTCTGTTTCTACCAGTAAACTGGTTTGACGATATTTTTTGGCAACCAGAACTTGATATTCTACCCACTTTTCTAAAACTACTTTTCCGTCAATAGCAAGACTATCTGCAGGAAGAACACGCTTATAATTCACATCGAACGATTGCTTATCATTATTTTGACGCTGGGTTGACTTCTTACGCGAAGATTGAAGTACTGGAGAAGTGTATATTATGCCTTTGAAGCTGTTCACAGAATTATTAATGGAGCCTATATTTATAGTTGAAGAGTTACTCGTTCTTATAAAAAAAAATATAGTTAGAATATTTTGTTTCTTGACACATAAGAAAACTCTACTTACGTTGCATAATTTGAAGGTTCTGACGATGAGGTTCGACACGACTCAGTCATGTGTGGTGGTATTTGAGCAAGATAGTTTTTTTTCATAGTCTAAATATCGTGTTAGTTTTATTTTTCTGCTTAATCTTTATACTTATTTTACTTACTTTCCAATCTTGTTTCCATTTGCTCGCTTTGTCATTAGTGTAAAAATCTAACTCACTTTTTAATGCATCAAACGCACTCTCCAAAGAGCAAATTCCTTTTTCAGCACGCTTGGCCTCAATGGCTTCTTCAAAATTCCAGTAATTATAGACAGTTTTTTCTAAGTATGACATTGTGAAGAGGAAGAAAATTTTATGGAATTATGAAAAAGGTGCGATTAATTCAGGCACAATTAATTCAGGCACAATTAATTCAGGAGCGATTAATTTGTATGCGCTACGTCATCGCAAATGACGAATTTATTATTTATTTTATCAGACTTAAAAAATTCCGTTGTAAGCAATTTTTAAACTTGTATTAAACGTGCCATTTTGGCTTGGTCAATACTTATAGCTGCCAAACAGTAGTACTGCATTACTCGGGTTTGGTATGACTCTACACGTCTTGTGCTCTCAAGGTCCTTTGGTTACTTGGCATCTTTGATGCTTGGGAATCATAGATCTGACTTACGGGGCAGCTTGCAGCAATGTTGAATAGAAGCATTTCTTGTTTCCCATTGCTGATTCAGAGACATCCAAGACTTTTTGTTTTTAATAACAAAGTTAGGCGGAAAAGATGTGTAGCTGCGTAGCCATTGGTCTGACATGGAAGGTTCTGTAGTTTGTTATCGATTTCGATTTCGATTGGGAACTATGGGTCTGACTTACGGGGCAGCTTCCAATACAGTTGAAAAGTGAAAATATGATGTATTCGTGCACATAGGTTCATCCTGTATTGTTACTTGTCATCTTGAACTCTTGTTACATACAAGACGGGAAAGAAAGATACTATGCCACTCAGAGATTAATACAGACTATTGTTTTGGCTACTGCTTTATAAGTATTGTTCCAAGTCAGTTTGGTATCCAGGCTGAAGAGGTCAAGTATGATGTTATGCATTTTTCCTTAAAATCAGAATAATCCATTAACTGTGTCGCATCACTCTCACTTTATTTATAGGTTTAGAAACGATTATTCTTGGCCAACTTGAAATCCTGTAGTGCAAGAAGAGTGATCTTGGGTAAATACCTTTATGATTTGGCCGATTTTCTGCGATTGGTTCAAATGCCTTAAATTCAGTAAACGTCTTGGAAAAGAGTTTGAATAGCGAATCCATTTAAATTTATTGTTTATGTTGATTTAAAAAAAAAAAAAAAAAAAAAAAAAAAAAAAAAAAAAAAAAAAAAAAAAAAAAAAAAAAAAAAACTACTACCCTTTGAACGTTTAAAAAACTGCCTTTGTGTGATATTATAAAATAAAAATAATATAAAGACAAAAGAAAGTCAACGAGAGCGAACAATAGTTCTAAAGTCAATTATTTTATTTATGAATTCAAATTGATGGGGTATTTATAAGAATTGTTAAAGAAGTCTGAGATAAGATGTGAGTCAGAAAAGTGTTAGTTAACGACTGAATAAGGTATGTTAAAGATAATGAAGTATTAGTAGCTTTAATATGATTTGATGAAGTGGATCAAGAGAGATTCAGGGGAATCTAGATAAAATTCCTTATATAATTTTCTGATCCGTATGGTTAATCATGAAACATGACATTATGAGTCAGCTCATAACAGTCAAACTTTCAACTACATCACAAACAGTAACCTGTGGATCGTCATTCAACGAGGTCCAAGATGTGAGTTTTGTGCTCCTCTACGAAAAAGGTAATCAAAAGCTTTCTCAGAAAAACTAAGAGGTGACATTTTGTTCAGCCCAGACAACATAAATTATTGGGTCAACTGTACAAGTAATATCATCACTTTCTGAGAGAATTATGATGCCTCCCTTCGTCTCCCCCCTCCCGTTTATTTTGTTATACATATAAAATGTATGCATGTATGTTTGGTTGGTTGGCTGGTTGGTTGGCTGGATGATTCATGATACGAATAGGCAAATAGAAGTATATCTTTATGATAACATATTTTATTATTATTATTTAATCTTAACTGCAGTCCAAAATGCACATTCATATACATACTTTAACATACCTTCAGGGTTTGAAGTATATGTAGTAGATATAGTGCTTTCCTTCTATTTAACAATAAATACATAAATACACTTAAAAATATCAGCTATATCAATTCCTCTTTACCTTAAATTCAAATCCAAGCTTCTTAGCTACTTCTTTTACTTGATCAAGACTTAATTCAATTGAAGAATCACCAGAACTAGAGTCTTCAAAATGATATAATAAAGGACCTATATATTTATATAATATAAGTAATATCCCAATCTACAAAAGCACACACACACACACACGAATTTATCTTACCAATATTAATCCATGTGCCATTGTCTTTTAATGCTTTATATATGACTTCCATATATTCTATAATATCTTTAGCTGTGTCAATGAAGAAGCAGGTCACAATAGAATCCCATGCATTTTCTTGTTGTACGCCTTGATAGACTTCAATAAAATCACCTGCAACCATCGAAAAATCGACTGAAGGAGGCAAATTGGCAGGCAACACATCTGGTATCAAAATAGGTGATAGTTGTTGTGCATCTGATTTGATATTAGAGAATGAATGAATAAAAGGATAAATTTTGTATTGATTTTCTTCCTTGATTCTATTAAGAATAAAATTGGATGCAAATAACTAAGACTAAAATGTTAAAATTTAAAATGAAAAATAATGCATCTAGGAGTAAATATTTCTTTTTTTTTTCTTTCTTTCTTTCTTTCTTTCTTTTACCATATAATATGAAAATTCATTGCCTTTATATGTATGTATGTATAAAAGAGTTTAATATACGTGTATTCATCTTATTTATCTACTATTTATTTACCTTGGCAGCTAAATCCTATAAAATAAGAGACAATGTCAATCAAGCTTCTTTTAAATAATGTATGCTCAGTTTAGTTTTTTACCTGCTTTAGCTATATCAAATGCTAATCTACCTAAGCCTGCTCCAGGTACTAATATGCGAATCTTACCTCTATTAAAAGTATAAGTTATTTTTTCCTTAAAAAAAAACAAATAAATCAGTAAAGCTTACTTTTCTTCAAAAGATGTGTCTTTATAAATTTCATTCAATTCTTTAATAATAGGCTCATAAGTGGCTTTACGTTCCTTTTCTCCCTATTTATTGCAATATATAAATATATACATGCATTCTTCGTCACTTTTTTTTTTTTTTTTTTTTTTTTTTTTTTTTTTTTTTGCTTCCTACCTCTTTTGACCAATCTCTTACAAATTGTTTTAACGTACTTCTCACTTTATCCATATCCATAGGAGAAACAGGAGGTCTACCATTTAATTGTTGTTGTGTGTTCTGAATCGAAGTCAAAGGTGCATCAACAAACATGGTAGCACTTTTAACAATCTCACGAAGAAATATCATATTTTGTTCAATACAAACATCGACTTCGTTTACTTTTTGCAAATAGTTGGGAATGAGTTGTTTATGATGTTCTGGTAAAGCAAGATAATCGCGTCTCTTTTTATGATTATGATTGAGAGAATGACGTTTATAGTAAGCAAGTGCAGTAATAACTTTGATTAGGTGTAATTTTTCTGACTCAATAGGATCTTCTACTTCGTGAAAATGATCATGTTGGTGATGATCATGGTTATGTTGATGTTCCATGCTATTATCAAGCAGAAAAAAAAAAAAAAAGAAAAATGTTAAATGGGCTTCTTATTTTATTTTTTTATTTTTTATTTTTTTTTGAAATTTTACGGTTGAGTCTAAAAAGCCACTTCTCCTTGTGGAATTTGTTGACCGGAAACTAAAAAGTGAATGCATTTAGACACACTAACTGGTTTTTTTTTTCCTCCTTCTCCCCTCCCCCCACACAGATATACACTCTTTACTTTTTCTTTTTTCCACATCATAAATAATGAACTACAGTCGAGGTGGTCTCAAGCAACTAAACATACTTCAAAACCGTTTTTCTTTGTTGAATAATAAAAAGCTTTTGACTACAACAACTGTATTGGCGTCGAGATCTATGTCTTCACTGAATAACACTAATAGACGTCTACTTCAAACCAAAAACTGGCTTTCGACTTCCAACAACAACTATAGAAAGGTAAAAAAAGAAAAAACATGAGTATATTAATATGAAATATAACTCATTTTATTTATTTATTTATTTATTTATTTATTTATAGATGTCCACTGCTTCAAATTCTGTTTCAGGTGTTGATGCTGCTCAAGTAACTCATTACAATGTCATGAGTTTAAAAGCTTAATTTCAATTAATATTCATTTTTTTTTATTAGGCTGAAATCCTTACAAAGAGTAATTTAGCAGTTCGTGAAATTATTTTAAATAGACCCAAAAAATTTAATGCTCTCAATCTCTCCATGGTGAAAGCTATTACACCCCAACTCCAAGTAAATTCTTACCGAGACCGAGTTACACATAACAGTGCTTTAACACTTTTTTCTTTTGTAGGCCTGGGAAAATTCAGATTTAGCAAAAATAATCTTGCTCAAGAGTTCTGGTGGAAAGGGATTTTGTGCAGGGGGTGACGTAAAGAGTAAAAATCCTAACAAATTTTACCCCACAGATAGTATATACTAACAAAAAAAAAATTATTACAGCTGTTGTTGATTTAGCCGAGAAAGGTGAATTTTCAACTGCCACAAAATTTTTTGAAGAAGAATATCAATTGGATCATTTAATTGCTACTATGGATACTCCTTTTGTGGCTATCATGGATGGTATCACAAGTAAAGTACACACACACACAAAAGCTTGTTGCTTTGTTGGTCAATTAAACTGACTTTATTTTTATTTTTTTTTTTAGTGGGCGGTGGTGTTGGTCTCTCTGTTCATGCCCCATTCCGTATAGCTACGGAAAATACCTTATTTGCTATGCCAGAAACAGGTATTGGCTTTTTACCTGAAGTAGGGGGTTCTTTCTTTTTATCACGTCTTGATGGACAATTAGGTACTTACTTGGGTCTCACTGGTAAACGTCTTAAGGGTCTTGATGTATTATATGCTGGCATTGCCACACATTATGTTCCTTCTTCTCGTTTATCTGCCCTCGAATCTCGTCTTTCCGAACTCGAAAATGCAACTCATGATATGGTAAATGATGCTATTGAAGAGTTCTCTGATGAAATCACACAACCTTTTAGTTTAGCAGGTGAGACTCGTAAGGCAATTGACCGTTGCTTCAAGTACGATACTATCTCTGAGATTATGAACCAATTACAACAAGAACCTGACTCTGAATGGAAACAGGATACACTTAAATTAATGAACGCTGTTTCACCTACTTCACTTAAAGTTACCCTTCAACAGCTTCGTTATGGTGCTAGTCTTAGTTTAGGCCAATGCTTCAAAATGGAATATCATCTCGTTCAAAAATTCTTACAAGGACATGATTTCAAAGAAGGTGTCAATGCTACCTTGGTCACTCGTTCTAAACCTCAATGGAATCCTGCTAACCTGGACTCTGTTGATGATACTCAAATTAAAGAAACTTATTTTAATGCACCAAGTCCTAGTCGTCTAGAATTACTTAGTTCTCGTGATTTTAAACATTATCCCCATCGTAAATACATGTTACCTTCTGAACAAGATATTAAACGTGTTGTGACAGGCGAGGCAGTTGAAGTCGGTAATTATGCCCTTACACGTAACCAAGTGATTACTCATTTTAAACATAAACATGGTCTTTTACAAAAACTTAATGATGTTATGGATCGTAAAACAATCGAAAAAGATCAAATCTTGAAATGGATTTATTAACAATAATAAACAGAAAACAAAAAAAAAAAAAAAGTTACTGTTTGTTAACTATTTCTTGAACCATATTTAGGATGTCTTGTCTATCGTAACCCAATAATCGAGCAGCTGAAATAAGAGCACTAAGACTTTTCATAAATAGACTACGACCTGCTTCTTTAAGTAATGGATCTTGTGCTACAGGAGATTGGGTACCGGATAGAGGATAGGCACCAGGGAATTGTTGTTGATCTTCTTCTTCTTCTTTCTCTTCTTCTTTTTCTTGTTGTTGAGCTCTTAATCTTGATACAGCCTTTGGTAAAGGATTAATTTGTGTCATACCTAATGAAACATGATTACGATTCATAGAACGTTGTTGTTGTTGTTGCTGTTGTTGAGGTAATGATGCTTGTAACATATGAGTAAGTTCAGAAAGGGCAGCTGTGTGAGCGTCCATCAAGTTGGGTACACTAGGCACAGTAAACAATGGATTATAAGATTGATCATATTCTTCCTCCAGTTCTTGGTTCATTGTTAATTGACTTGTGCTATGCTGTAAGGCGTCCATTGATTTCAATACACGCTTTGGCGTTTCATTGGGTGTTAATGTACCTGGATCTTGAGACCATCGAGTATAATAGTCATCTTCAGAATCATCGGATTCCTTTATTGTACTATTATTATTATCCCCTGTTGGATTCCTTTGATAGATAGTATTTTTTGTTTGTAAAGAACCTTCATCACTTGACCAGTCTCCCCAATAATCTTCAGGTGCTTCTTTATACCCCTTTGAATTCTATAGAGAAAATGAGTTTGTTATTTATACATGTGTATATAATTTAGCTCTTCTTCTTCTTTACTTGTTTCTCATCTTACATCACATTTGTCTGCCATTGTAAATATTTTTTTCGGTTGCTTTGTACGAGTAACACGAGTTAAAAAGATACGTTCAGCGTCTTCAAGTGTCCTTGACCAATTCTCAAAGATATCCAACCATTCCTCTTCAGTTACTCTCTTTGTATTATGATATTTGATGTCAGAGATATCACCACTACCATCTTCCAAGATGAGGACAATAATAGAACGAGGTACAAATTCGAGAACTGCTTCAAGCGTTTCGACATCCTTGCGTTTGTAGTAGATGGGGGCCTGATAGATGGTATCAGCTGATGCAGGATCACTAAACAAAGTTTCAATTTGTTGCGCACAGTCATCTTGTTGCCATTGAACGACCTTGTTCCATTCAGATGATTCCGGTTGTCCATTTTCCAATAGCAGTCGAACTCGTTGTCGTAAGAGTCGTGACGAGATGGGTAAAAGGGCAAGGAATTGATGTTGATATCTTTTTTCGAGTGCATTATAAGCTACTGAACGTACAATGTTATCGTTAGCATAGTTATCAATAGCTTCCATTTTTATGTGAGAAAATAATAATAATAAAAAGAGGTTAAAAACACACACACACACACAAATAATGAAAAATGCGGGAGTATAAAGGACTTTTAAATTTTTATTATTATTATTATTATTATCAACATCAATAACAATTAAAAAAAAAATGGCTTCATTGTAATGAGATATTTACTTACTACAAAACAAGCAATTATTATTATTATTACATAAATATTTCTTTTTTCTTTTTCTTTTTTTTTTCCTTTTTTATTCTTTAAATAATTAAATAAAGGTCTATCATCATTCTAAATTTTTCCTTGAAGCAATTCACGTACAAGTGATTTACCATAAAGACGGAAGGTGTTATAAAAGGTAACAAAATCAACCGTAGAGAACATGAAATCAAACATGCCAAAGGGTAACATAGCAGGGACCCAGCCACGAGCATATTCAAGAGCCCAAGCACGATCAGGGATACGATAATGTTGTGCGTCACCACGAGCCAAGTGATGCATTTCACCCGGCTTATAGACGGCTTTGTCCAAATCACCAGCATAGGCAGCCCATTGCTCACCTTCTAAGATAATGAAATAATCATCCGAGATATAACGACCTGTATGGCCCTCTGTACCTACAGGTGTACCGAAAATGATGACATATTCCGTAATAGAGGCGTGTAGGATCCACATTGAACCCATAGCACCACCTGCATTATTGAAAACCCATTCCTCTTTAAGTGTGATATGACCAGGATACTCCTTTTCTAAATCCTCTGCAATATGTGTAATCATCTCGTGTGTATCTTCGCTGTATTTAGCGATATTACGTTGTGCAATCTCCTGAAGTTTATATTGATCAAAGATATACCATCTATGTTTGATTTGGTCCAAGCCAACAAAAATGGCAATAAAGAGGGTCAGTACAAAAAGAAGCTTCATAAAGCAGCTTTTACTTTTCTTCTTTGTGCAATTCTCACAGCCTTTAGCCATTTCTTTAAAAAAAACAACAAAAAACAAAATACAAAAAAAAAAAAAAAAAAAAAAAAAAAAAACAAAAGATTTTCAAATTTTTTTTTTGTTTTTTTTTTTTTTTTTTTTTTAATTAACAATCAAAAGCGGAGTTACTGACAGCTGTATAACACCTTATTTTTTTTTTTTCATCTGCTAGTCAATCCGGTGTTATTGTTATACATGATATGGCGCAAAAAAAAAAAAAAAAGTTTTATTAAATGATGAAGCTTATTTATTATTATGTAATGACTGAATTTTTATTATTCTTCTTTTTTCAATGCTGATTTTGCTGCCTTCTTTTTGTTCTTCTTCTTCTTCTTTTGTTCTTTCTGTCGTCGTTTTAATGCAGCAACCGTAATATCTTTACCCCATTCAGCGGCTTCTTCAGGTGACATTGTAGGAGTTGGTAAAACACGATGATATCGAAGTGTGCCCGTAGCTTGGTTTTTAAAAACAGACTGTTGCAATCTTTGCTTCTCTTGTTGAACCTCCCATTCATTTCCAGGTTGATATTCGAGAGATTGACTGTGTCCAGCAGGTAAAGGTACAAAGGTTAAAGCGGTCATTGTATTATTTGGATATCGATTTGGAAACAAGAGGCAGTCAAGATCGATACCTGACTCTTCACATGCCTCTCGAGTCCAATAGGTGCCATAGGTGAGATGAGAGAGACGCTTAAATTGGACGGTCACCAAGATGATCAGCAGAGTCCCTACAATGAGTTTGAAACGGGGTATAAATAAAGTAGGAAGAGTGACGGCTAGTAAACCAATTCCAAAGTAAAGGGCACCTAGTAAATCCGATAGAGACCTTTGTTGATCTGTGGTGGGGATAAAACGAAGTCCAATAAGCCATATCCACATACCTGATAAGAAAAATATAAAATCATCCCCAAAGAAGACTGCATTGAATTTTATCTGACGTTGTGACAGGAGAGCGGTGAGGCCAACTAAGCCAAGACAGATAAGAGTACAGGAAAGTGTCAACATAGGCAACCAAGTATTGATAACGATATGAGAAGAATAACCGGTCAGTTGTGACCATATATGAAAACCTGTATGTTGAAAATACAATTGAATAGATGATTCTTGATGAGATTTTGTATTAGTTGGTCTTGTTTCAAGACGATCATAGACATTAGTTGAGTATTTGTACATCAATTCATGAACTTGCTTGATTTTTTTTGAAAAGGAAATAGGCTCATAGCTAACTAAGGTCTGATTTTCCACTAAGAAAAAAAATAATAATTTATATTAGTTATCTTTTGGTGCTTTTTTTTTTTTTTTTTTTTTTTTTTAAGAAAAAAATAAGAGAGAGAGAGAGAGAGAGAGAGAGAGAGAGAGGGTCGTTCTACTTACGTTGTATATGGTAGGATGATTCTACAATCCATGATGAGACATGTGTTCCTGCACTTAACATACACGTTACTTCTTGTTGTTGATCCTCTTGATAGACTGGATGACTAATTAACGTACATCTTCTTGCGTGTTCTAATCGAAATCGCTGATTAAGAGATTTCCAACTTAGCGTCGTATCCTTTGATGGCGTATTCTCTTCTGTTAATACTTTCAGTGTCCAATAATCATTTATATCTTCGATGAGCTTATCACCATAAGCTGTTACCTCACTATGATCCCTCTTAGCTGAGAGTTGAGGTCTGTGATTGTGTGAATGTAACTTACGAGTTGATGCTACATGTTCCAACCGAATACTGTCCATGTTATGAACATATTCAAGTGGTTGAGAACTATTCCAGAGCTGGTTCGTTTTGTGAACAGTCCAGAGGTTGTTCACATCAATATATGGGTAGAGTGTAACCTCTTGTTGTTTGGAACCCCCTTTTAAACTCTTTCTATGAGAATGAAGATAACCTCCAACTGTGCCATCATGTCGAATAACGATTTGAGAGCCATAGGCAATAGGAGATTGCGTTAGTTCAGTTTCTGTACCTACCAAACTATGTTTAAGATGAGGACTAAGTATGAGGTCGTGGTCACCTCTGTTTGGTATTAACCAGAAATGAATCTGAAAAATAGTCAAGTAGATCAAGAAAGGTAATAGAGTTATCGTTATCACTTGAATGAATAAATTTTGAATACTATCTTTAATCTTGTTATATTTGTTACAAAGTTGATTCCATGTGTTTAGGAGGATAGATGTCAAAAGGATAGGAATAGATAAGAGTCCTGTCCATTTAGAACTCATTGCACAACCAATCATTATACCTGTCATCATCATTTGCTTTCGAGTATAGAAACAAATAGCCAAGGCAGTAAAGAACAGCATATAACTATCTGGTGTAACATATCTTGATTGTGTAATAATACCATTTTCAAAGACGAGCATGATGGCTGCAAATGTAGCAGTGAAACAAGAATGCCCTATATTTCGAATTGTTAAATAAGATAAAGGAATTAAAAGTGTTCCTAAAGTAGCAGAGATTTGACGTAAGATAACAATAGGAAATTCAAGAAAAGGTCTATGCAAGTAACATAAAAATAAATATAATAGTATAAAATGTATAGATCTACATAACAACACTTACTGTCCAGCATAAAGGAAAACTTCTTCTTGATGATACCCTGCCAATCTTGCAATAAAATAGGATACTAGACTAGACAATGGTGGCATTTGTCCAATAAAAAATTGACCCTTTAAATACCAGTTTATTTGTTTAATTGTTTCCAATTCAATCTCTGTGATATAATTTGGCACATTTAAATTGATAATACGCAGGTAAAAGGCTAAACAAGTTAAAACAAGTATCCAAACAAGATCTGTTTGTTGATGTGAAGACTTTCTATTAATGTCTTTAATAAAACTTGTTTGTTGTTTAATAAAAAGCATGATAAAGGGGAAAAAAAAAGAAAAGAAAAGAAAATATATGTATATGCATACTATATACATGTGTATATAATTTTTGTTTTGTTTTTTTTTATGATATGCATTAAAGATATGTGTCAGTAAAAACTACAATAGTTTAAATAGTAAATAAACTTGACATGACTAGAGTTATTTCTAGATATAATTGTAGATCTTTAATCTCTAATATACGATACGAAAAAAAAAGGGGGAGAGGGGCTCAAAAGTTATAAAAGACAAGTAGATTTAACTAGTTCATAAAATAAGTCTTTTGAGAATAACTTTGCATAATAAAAAAAGGAACTATAAAGCAAAACTAGTTTTACGCCAAAAGCTAAAAGTAGGCTTAGAATGAATGACAGCGATAATGGTTAATACCATAAGATACATTTATTATACTCTTTGAGCAGATTCATACAAATATTGATTATTTGACAAAAGAAAACATGACCTTCTTGGTTTGTTACGGTTATTCTTTAATAAACTCTAAAGAATTAAATGGCTCCTATTCCATATTAAAGAAACAGTGTTACAGTAAAGCTACAAGAGGAAGATAATAATAGTAATGTATGTATGTATATTTATATATGCATATACATTTCTATTCCTTTTTTTTTCTTATTTATAATAGGAAAAAGCCTCTTCATCATCATTATTAAAATTATTATCATCGCTCTTACTACTAGTTTCTACCTTATTGATAGAGTTAACCATTACAACAATTGATCTTGTCAAATACTATGCAAAAAAAATATAAATACACATATACAATAATATTATATACAAGAACAATGTAAGTATGCAATAAAATATTACAAATATATACATGTATATTTATATATTAATTTTGCACTTTTATATACGAGTTTTAAGAGTAAATAAGTGTTTTATGTAGAAAGGGCTATTAGTATAAAGGTTTTTTTTTTTTTTTTTTTTTTTTTTTTTTTTTTTTTTTTTTTTTTTTTTTTTTTTTTTTTTTTTTTGCTTTCAACAAGGATATAGTTCTTTTTTTTTAAGAGGCTGAATAATAAACTGGGTTTTTATATAATTGCTTCTTAGCCTTATCAAAAGCTTCATTTTAATGGCCTTTTATTTGATAATATTTATGTACTTTTTATTATTATTATTATATCAACTAAAATAAATATAGCCTAAAATAAGTGTGCCCGCTCCAGTAATTGTGCCTATCATGTATTGTAAAATCTGTAACTTGACTCCCTCCATTTGCTTTTTCAGTGCTAGTATTTCCATTTCAATTTTATCATTTGTTTGTTGTAATCGACTATGCTGTTCTACTGTTTCATCACGAACACGCCCTTTATCCAGGTTTAAATCTAAGCGAACACCTGCATGACTACGAACTATTTCTTCACGTAGTGTCTTTTTTAATTTTTCAATCTCTATCTTTAAACGTTCATTTGCTGATTTAACTTCTTCAACATCACGTCTTTCTGTTTGTTGAACCTCTTGTTTTAATTTACCAAAATCTTCTTTATAACGAGAAATGGTCTAAATATCAAGCTACATATGAGATATATGTTCTTTATTCTCGAGAAGTATAATTTTACAAAGTATACCTTCTCTTGTTCTGCTCTACTGACAAGATCGCTGGTGACATTAAAAGTACTAGAAAAATCAAATTTCTAATAATATTAGAGAGCGGATTATACATGTATATATTTTCTTTTCCAACTTTATATTACCTTTCATCAACTACATCATCCAAGGCATGAATAATTGTTCTAGCCTGACTATTTGAAAACCCTTCCTTTTCAAGCAATCGAGCAAACCTTTCAGCATCAAAATAGGGTATATTTAGCCTCTGTCCTGTTTTTATATTAGCAGCTCTTGTCCTTAGCCATCGTGTAGATGATTGCTGTGTAGTATATAATCGTTGATAATCTAATATAATAAAATTTAATTTTACATGGAGGTTCAAGGATTTATTTTTGTTTTTATTTATTCATTTATTTATTTTATTTTTTTAACTTGCTTACTTTTAATTAACTTGAAGACATGATCCTTACATTGAAAGTAATTCATTATAAAAAAAAATAAGATTATAGTTCTTTTTATTTTTATTTTTTCCTTTTTAGCCTTATTTTACGTCATCTTCCCCTCTTTATTTTTTATTTTAATACACTACATTTTCGGTCTCAGGTCTGGTTATTATAACGTTTCGATAGTTCATGCTTATTTTATTTAACAAAGTATTAAAATAAAAAGAGATTGCATTAGTTTCATATCAAGTATAATTGCAAACATATGTTTTATTTCTTGCATATTTAGAGTCGCTATTGCATGCAAAGTATCCTATTCTTCTCTACCGCTTTTTTCTTTCTTTCTTTCACACACACACACACGCACTCTCTCTCTCTCTTCTCTTGCTTTCTTTTAGCTTATTGCTATATCATACATTTAGAACGACTTTCTCTCTTCTTCTTCTTCTTCTTCTTTTCCTTTTTTTTGTCTTCAAAGGAAATATCTAAAACCGTTGTTTTGTAATAAATTGTTTCTTGAATGTTATTGCTTCTTTGCTAATCGTCTCTCATTCAATGTTTCAGGACTTAATACCGAAAAGTCATCATCACGACCACTGTATAAAGCGTAATAACTATCTTTATATATTTTAGGATCTAATGTTATATCTGGACTGTTTTCACGAGTTCTTGCTGTTGTAACTGCACAGCTACAAAATAAATTATCATGTGTTATTACTGAAAAATATGCACAGGAACTATCATCTTCTTGAACTGTTGTTGTTGTTGTTGTTGTCTTGTTACAGCTAGAAGTTTTATGTAAAGTGCTTTTGTTGCTTTTTTCATAATGAATAGTTTGTGGGTTTTTATCCATCCTGCTGTAATATTTATTTATTTATTTTTTTGATAAAAATTTGCTATATTCACTTTGATAAAAAAAAAAAAAAAAAAAAAAAAAGAACCTATAAGAATATAAATATTATGTACGTGCATATAGATATTTATTTATAGTTTTTATTCGTGTAATTTGTATATACACATATCTATAAATGTATACATATTTATATGTGAGTGAGTGTACATATTAATCTATATATTGAGAATAGATAGTATTTTCATTTTTTATTTTTTCCCCCAATCAATTTGTGTATATGTAAATATCTCAGTGTATATACTACTACTACTACTACTACTACTACTACCACTACTATTATTATTTTACATGTTTAATTTGGTTGATCTATGTGAGCATAAAGTGTCTAAATGATACTAATTGAATCTCCCAGGTCAGTTCTACAAAATGATGATAATAAAAGGAAAGAAAAATAAAGAGAGGGGGGGGAGATAAAGTGAGGGAAGAGGTGAAAAAAATAAAAATAAAATAAATTTAATAATATGGAGAAACTGAAGAATGAAGCACTAGCTCCATGTTCGTTGTCAAATAACGAATCATCACAACCAGCTTAGAACCAGAATTTACAATAGAAGAGGAGAGCTTATTATGGTATATAACCTGATTTGTGGAGAATACTGAATATTTCAGGCTAACGGATAAGCTCATGTGAAGCCATATAACGTGAGAGAAACGAGTACGGTTTAACAGGTAACTAGTTTAATAGAAAGGAGATTGGATCAGTAACTACGAGAGGAAGATACAAAGGATGATGCTTGTGTAGATAACTAACTGGATGAGATATAGTAACTAATATTCGGAAGGATACTAAATACATGCTCAGTATTTACTACCTAGTAGCTTCCCAAGACGCCAACAGAGGACACAAATTCGATTGACAAAATGACATGGACACCCAAAGGATGCGATCTATATTCTAATAGGGACGACATACATTCAATAATTTAGTATTAGGAGCAGTACAATAATTATTAAGATTGACTATGATGGTATGGATTATGTTCAATAAAATAAAAGAAATAAAAAAGAAAACGAAGAGAGAAAGAAGACGAAAGAGAAGTATAGTTTGAGACTGTCTATTCAATGTAAGAATTAAACGATAAGGATACTATTGCATTTAAATAACTGCTTATATTTTATACGAATGAATCTTGAATCAAAGGATTAAACATAACTATAAAAGAATATGTGCCATAAAACTGTGTTAGTATTCAAAGAATATGTGTCTTGTTGATTCAAGATACTGATATTGATCTATATGGATTATCTATTGGATGTTATAATAATCTGATTCGAGTTTTAAATTGTTTGATCTGAGTATAGGTTCCTTGTGTCTATTTTATTGGATCAAAGGCGACCTGAATTCTTTATCAAGGTTATAAAAATAAACATTTAGAACTGATACAATGTCTTATTTAAACATAAATAGCATGTCATAAAAGAAAACGAATGATAATAGTCAAAAGGGAATATTAAAATGTACAGTTAAAAAAGCATTTTATAACTTGAAGAATATAAGATTAGGAATTAGGGTATAAATAATTAAATATTAAATTGAAATACGCTTCTGTAAAAAGAACAAATAAAATAAAATAAAATAAACAGCTTGTTACTTTTGATAATAAAACCATGACTTAATTCTTTCTCGATAACTCATCTTTTGCTTTTCGTCACTTATATTCGTCGTCGTTTTAATAAGCTTATTATTACTTTTTGATTGCTTCTCTAAATCTATTTCATCATCGTGATTTGAAGAGGAGGATGAAGGTGTTTGCTCTGTATCTCTTCTTATAAAGGTCAGCCAAGGGATATGTTTTTTATATTTTTCATAGTCTTGCTTTATATCACTTGCTGTTGTTACATCTTCTTTTGTTATTATTTTCTTATCCTGTTTTGGTTCTGTCATAGGTATTATTATAGATGATCCTGACGCCTCCATAGATCGGATACCTTCATTAGATGAGCAACTCTGACTATCTTGTTCTGGATGTACAACATGATGTGTGTAATATTCGTGTCGTGTTGGTGGTGGTGTTGGAAAATACTTGTAGTATGCATTCGCCACTGCAAAGACAGCATAGATAACTAATCCTAAGCCCAAGATAACCATAAAGAACTTACCCCCACTGTTATTAGCTAATTTACTAATTGCAGCTGCTACCATATTCTTATCACCCGATTCATTAGATTCTGCTAATGAATCCCAAAAGAAACCTGAGACAGTACCAAAGAGTGCTGCACGACCTCCAAATCCAATACGACCAAAGAGATGTACAATACGGGCTTCCCATGGACGAGCTCCGGGTTCACTTGTCTTGAGGTCCCTAATAAAATTACCACTAATAGCATTCACCATTTGTGTTATAAAGGCAATAAGAAATGCAACACCCAAGAGACCAATACCTGCTTTACCAATCGTGTTATTGGTCCAGCTAGCGGGAAATGTACTACTGGAAGCAGATTTTTGTTGCTCTTCATTTGTTTGAAAGATCATATGGATAACATAGTATCCATAAGCTGTGTAAACACAGCCGCTGACAAAAGGAGAAAGTCGATATCGAAAGAAATTCTTTTTAGCACTAAAAGAAGCATCACTGCCTTGACCTGTGATTGCTTCCCAAAATCTACATATAGCAAGAACATCAAAATTAATTATATAATTTTTTTTTAAGTATATACATATATGTATATATAAATATATATAACATACCTCCAAATAATATATAGAATAAGACCAACAGCCATAACAATTAAAATAGATCTACCAATTGAAGGAATACCACCTAATAACAAGAATGCTCCCTTTGTAAAAAAAAAAAAAAAAAAAATACATAAATACATATTATATATTGATATGTGTAATATCTGCTCTTACCTGAGGTGATTCATTTCCTTGACTACCATTTGGGGTCCAAGCGCCTGTCACATTTGTAATCGTCAATACACCAATACATCCATACACAACTCCTTTTGCGATAAACCCAATTCTGCCAATCCATTTCAATGTGGTTTGATATTTCTTACGTACTCCGCCCTGATAAAACTTTAGATCCTTGTCAGCAATAATTCTACCTGTCTCAAGAGCTGCTGGGGCAGAGATATTAGAACCTGGATCTATAAAAGAGGGCAATGGTGTTTCACTCTGTTTTTGTGAATGGTGACATAGAGATCGAAAGCTATGTCTTCTTCGCTGTGTCCCAAGAGCTTTATCACCGGGTATAGACTGCGGTATTTCATGATCTAATGATGGGGATGGTAAAGTTATGTTGGATTCATTATGTTTTTTCGGTTGAAATAGTCTCATTAAACGTTTGATCATTATTCATATAACCAGAAAAGAAATGATAAACGATGAATTCTTCCATATACGGATATCATTGAAAAAAAAAAACTACAATAATAATGGCCGTCACTATGACGTTATGCAAACAAGCTTTAAATTTTTCTTCGTAGAAGCTTCAACTCATACACACATTAGGTTTATGATGTGTATTATATAAAATATTATAAGATACCTCATCTATTAATAATTTCGATAGATATACTTCCATAGTCTACCCAATTGGTAGATATTTAGCTGTTTAGTGTAATATGTAGTAATATTCTATAAATATTTTTTTATTATGTAATCAGCAGCATTTTATTTTATTTTTTATATTAATTTTTTTTTTCTTATTATTATACTTTCTCTTTTATCAGATTTATGCAATAAACAAGACTTGTGAAATTTAACAAAGCGAAAGCAGGTAACTGAACTTTTTTCGATCATGTAATTTGATTGGATAAAATTTATCCCCAATTAAACTCGACAAAATAATTTACGTGAAAAAAAAAAAAAAAAAAAAACTTTCACATTTATTTATTTCATTTTTTTTTTTAATAATAATAATAAAATGAAGGTAACGATTGCTTCGCGTAATCCGAAATCGAGCAAGTTCCCTATTACGTTAGAGCTTCCTGGAACAGCTGCTACACTTCATGCTACTGATATTAATAAAGCATTAGCTGCTAAATTCCCCGTTTATTATCCTGAACGTCAACGTTTGACGACTAGTGACAAAAAGCCTCTGGAGACTGACAAGACACTTCAAGAACTAGGCATCGATGAAACAACAACTATTTATTTCAAAGATTTAGGACCTCAAATTGGCTGGCGTACTGTCTTTTTAATTGAGTATGCAGGTCCACTCTTTATTCATCCCATCTTTTATTACTGTTCTAAATGGATCTACGGTAATGCCGTCCACCATTCAGACATGCAGAAATGGACTTATTATTTAGTTTTGGCTCATTTTTTGAAACGTGAATTGGAAACATTATGGGTACATCGATTCTCACACGGTACTATGCCCTTCCGTAACGTTTTTAAGAACTCGGCTCATTATTGGTTGTTGTCAGGGGTTAATTTGGCCTTTTGGGTTTATGGACCTTGGTTTGGTCAAGGAAAGAATTTGGCTATTCGTAATGATGTTTGGTTATTTGGATGCGTTGCTGTTTGGGCTGTAAGTTTGAATTAAGATATTATACACATCTATTTTTTTTTTCATTTACTGATTTATCTTTTTTTCTTTTTTGGGGTTGGAGGATAGTGGGCTGAAATTTCGAATTTGATCACACATATTACTCTTCGTAACTTGCGTCCTCCAGGAACTCGTGTTCGTGCTATTCCTTATGGTTATGGCTTTGATCTTGTTTCTTGCCCCAACTATTTCTTTGAATTTGTTGCTTGGACTGCTATTTGTTTTCTTACAACAAGCTGGAGTGGTAAAATAAATACCCAAAAAAAAAGAGTTTTTTATTTAACTGACCATTTTTTATTTTATTTTTTTTTTTTTAGCATTTTTGTTTAATATTGTTGCTACTGGTCAAATGTATGTTTGGGCTATTAAAAAGCACAAGAATTATAGAAAAGAATTTAAGGAATATCCTCGTAACAGAAAAGCCATGTTTCCCTTTATTGCATAAAAAAAAAATACATATTTATTATATAATTTATTGAAAAAAAAAATAAAATAAAATTTATTTTTTGATAAGATATCGTTCTGCTACATCACCAAACTCATCTAGGACGTCGCGAACTGATTTTCTAAAGGTAGCTGATTCTGTATCAGTACATTCCTTCCAAGAAGAGATGGACATACGGATATGGTCTTTACCGATAGCGTAATTTGTACCATAACCTTCAGGTACTACAGCACCAAAACCACCCCAAGCAAAGTTACCAGGAGATGTGTTAGAGGTAGATAATAGCCAATACTGAGAGCCCCAATAAGAGGGGTCCTCAAAGATAGCTGCATCCTCTGAAGCAGTTTCATCAGGTGTCATTTGACAACGGAGACCTAACAAATGACGATCCACACCCTGTCCATTCGTTGCTGCCTTCATATATTCCAAATGACATCCAATCGCTTTCTTTAAATAGTCCAACTTTTCAGTCATCTAATCATATCAACGACATGAATATATATACGTTTGAATTTATTCATGTGTATGGATTTTTACCTTGATATCTTTGTCTTCCCATTTTTCTGTAAACGTGACTGACTCAACTGAACATGAACGTACTGTTTCAGTACGACCTGCTAAATACTTTCGAGTTGATGCAGACTCATACGTTGGACATGGTTTACGATAGAGACGATAATAGGCTAATTGATAAGCCATTTGAAGCCATCCATCAGGACTGACGCTTGCTTGTTTCATCAAATTAGATCCATAATCATAATAATGTAACAGAACACTATCTAGATTAGCAATAAGCTTGGAAGCATTTTGTTCAGCTGTACTAATGCTCTCAGCTAACTTGGTAGATACCTGCCATGCTAACAACTGCGGCTTCTTTAAATTTTCAACTCTAGGAATAGACGTTGTGTTCTCGATAGATTCACTAAAAAAAAAAAAAAAAAAAAAAAAAAAAAAAAAAAAAAAAAAAAAAAAAAAAAAAAAAAAAAAAAATTCCTCATGAGAAATATATATGTATATATAATATACATGTTTACAAAAAAAAAGTTATATGTACCGTTCCAAGATGTAGTCGACGATACGAGATGGAATAACAGCATCAGCTGGAGAATGCTATAAAGAGAAATAATAAAAAACATCAGCGATGATTGTGTATCTCTTTCACTCAACAGCCAAATAATAATAATGATCTATTTCTTTCTATTTATATTAATAATATATACCTCTCCGTTAATACCAGCTCGTCCGTTATTTTCAACAATAAACTGTAATGCTTTATCAAACCAACGATTATGTCCATTTCTACCATGGAAAATATTACGATGAGATAAATCAAGATCTAAAGGTGAACTATAATCGTCCAAACAAAAGACAAATAAAGAATCATCAATATCCTTTAATGACTTGGCATTTCGTGGTTGCTTTTCCATTTCTTCACGAATCTAGATGCTTAACTATTTTAGTAACACCTTCTTTTATATATATATGTGTGTATGTGTCAAGTATTCTACTTTACTTGTCCCCAAGTATCTCGATGTTCAGTTGTAAGGACGCCAATAGGCGCCTGAAGCTGATCCATCCCTTCTACTTGTTTTACTACATCATTTAATTGCCTAGTAAAATACATATATTAAAACAAATTGCTTCTTTTTTTTTTCTTTTCTTGTTGTTCTCCTTACTCTTTAAGTTGCTGAACAGAAATAATTTCACCCTTTTCACCAATGACGTCAACATGAAAGATTTGATCCTTATAGATGACATTCACATGTTTTGCTAAACAGGGCCATTGTCGAACGACACGATCTGACCCTGTGGCAGCTATACGACTTGTTCCAAACATACTCTTGAGTTGATGCATACAGAAGGGTTCACCAGATCGAGTTACATCTGGAGCGATCAATTCAGCATTGACCTTATTTGAATAATCGACAAGCCAAAAGAGTAAACGAGCCGAACGCTCCAGTTGTCTATCCGTCGTTTGACCCTCCTCAGGGGTAACTACAGTTTGACTAACATCAATTGAGTCACGAAATTGATACCACCAGTTGACATTGATCAAGGTAGGCGCACGATACTCAAGGTAAGCCTTTTGAAGCCAAAGACGATCCAGCCAATTAAGTCCAAGAGCAGTCTCTTGACGGTCCAGATCAAGGAGACGTGATTGAAGGCTCTCTGCTAGTCCACCCTTTTTAAAAAATCGATCTATTTTATGAGCTGCTTGCTTATATTCGACACTGGAAAGAAGTGGTAATAGACTACGTTTATAACGATTAGAAGTAGACTGCAAAGAAGGAATCGGAAGAGAAGGAATCCTGGCTTGGTTAGAGAAAGTCTTGTTAGTCGCTGTTGAATACGTGCGACAATTGAACGAAATTCTATAGTTAAAAAATAAAAAAAAAATAAAATAAAATAAAAAAGGGAGGGAAGGTTTATTTTTATTTTTTCTATATCAGTGTAAAAAGCAAGTGTAGAATATTTACCCTGAACGTCGTAATAAGGCAGACATTAAATTACTATAAAGAAATATGTATATAAAAATATACTCTTTTTTTTTTTTTTAAAAAAAAAAAAAAAAAAAAAAAAAAAGAGGAAAGGTGAGAAAAAAAAAATAAAGAAAATGTTTACAAATTTCATGTGATTTTTTTTTTCTTTTCATTAATCATTTTTTTTTGATTTCTTCTGTACTCTTAAAAATTAACCCGGAAAAGTCAATTTCCCTAATTGTTTATTGACAATAGCTTTCAGAACAATTCATCTAGTATAGTTTCAACCCCTTTGAATAGATGCAGCAATACATAATCTAGACTTTAATAGTGTCCTGTAGTAGTAGCATTTAATATTTATAAACTTATCTCGGCATAAAACTCAGTTCTTAAAGATGATCATTACTTTTTGCTTTTGATATTATGGATAGAATGTTGACTGTATAAGTTTAATTGTAATATATAATTTGCTGGAAAGATATAGGAACAGGATTTCTTTTGTTATAACAGAGTCCTCAACTGACTGATTCAATACATAATACGATTAGCTCTTTATTAAATATTTTATAATACAAGCTTAGAAAAAATAAAATAAAGACAATATGCGGATATCCCCTTAAACTAGTTAACAGAAAAATTGCTTATCATAGAATTTAATCGGCTATTTAAAGATTAGAAAAAATCAAGCAGACAGGTCTTCTTCTATATCATGTGTAATAAAACAAGTATTAGATTTATATAAAAAGTATATAATGTATATACGATGAAGCCCAACCTTTTTTTTTTCTTATAAAAAAAAAAGAAAAAAAGACGAAATAAAGAGATAAAATGACATATAAAGGGAGAGAAATAAAAAAAAAAAGAAAAAGGTAATGATGGGTGAGTTTGTTTATAGAGAATAAATTTACAACTAGAAAAATAAAAAAAAAAAAAAATGAGTCAAGACATACATACATCCTGAAAGAAATAAACTTACAATAGCATCCATCTTTGCAAGCACATTTAATACACTAGCAACAACTTCTAATTGCAGATCAGTACCAGGAGGTATATCCACTTTACCATTTGTATTTGCAAAAGGCCAAGAAGAATAGTCATTCATTAATTCGTCTACTTTGTTAAATGCTTGTTCTCTCAATTCAGGCTGAAGATAAAGTAAAGCATTTTCAAGTACATTTGCAGCATAAGCAGAACAAATCATACTAATGGTTCGAACATAAGCAAAAGGAATGTCAGATTGTGCATCAATAGCAGCAGGCGAAACGCGCGTCACGAGCATTGTACAGACCCTTTTGATGATCTCTTCTTTGACAGCAGGGTCAGCAACTGGATGAGTAGCCATATCAAATAATAAAAAATTGCGCTTCTCTGTACGAAGAACACCTTTATCAACTAATCCTTTAGCTAAACGTTCACGCACTTGTTTTAACTGATATCCAATTTTCATCACATTCCAAGTTTCACCTATTTAACGATACCACACCCCATTAGTGAAATGTTTCAAAATAAATAAATATATACACATGTATGTATATATATAAATATATATATAAATATAAATATAAATATATAAAGTATATAAATACATGTACATATTTATAAATTTTTTATTTACCACTCATTAAATCAATCCAATTGCAAACACTCATCTTTTCATTTGTTTTCATCATCTTTAAGGCTTCATCTAATAAAACTTCGCCTGTCAAATTTTCATTAATAACTTCGATATATCTATCAGATAGAGGATATTTTCGACGATTGGCATCTTTCACCATCGCAATTCGTCCTCTCAAAGCTAATTCAATGACAATACATCCACGTAGGGCATAACTAATACTATCATTCCAAAACGAGAGATATCCCTAATAAATAATAAATAATAATAGTAAAAAAAAAAAAAAAAAAAAAAGAAAAGAAAAGAAAAACTAAACATTTAGTTATTTATGAATTAATTTAATTATTCAATGTACATATACACATGTATGTATATGGATATACCATTTTACCTGCTTATCTTTAAGCCCTAGTAACAAAACTTCTTCCATTAAAGTAAGTTTAGGATTTGATTTACTTTCATCAATGTCACGAGGATCATAAGCTACTTTTTTATTATGTTGTTGTGTTGGTGACTCTTTTGTGTTATCATCATCCGAATTCGAATTATGTGCTCCTACTCTTCTTCTAGTAACTGTAGACATTTAAGTGTAGAAAAAAAAAAAGGGAAGAATAAGGAAAATTAAATTAGTAAAAAAAAAAAAAAAAAAAAAAAAAAAAAAAAAGAAGGGGTGTACAGCAGCATTTAATAAAAAAACTGAAATTCGACATTGAAGTAGTCCAATAAATACGTTTAAATATGTATTTTTTTTTCAACCAATTAGAAAGAACAAAAAAAAAAAAAAAAAAAAAAAAACAAAAAAAGAATAATGAAAGGTATCATTGTTAAACTTAAAAAAAAAAAATAAGAATTGCTAAAATCATATTTTATATGCTGCCTATAAGTAAATAAGCTTCTGCTGCTGAAAAGTTAATTTTATTGTAACTACTAACTCATTTCATTGCTTCTATTATATAATATACACCTCCACTTTTTTTTTTTTTTTTTTTTTTTTTTTTTTTTTTTTTTTTTTTTTAAAAAAAAAGGAACATTGTCATTAAAATAATAACGAGTATAGAATTATGTAATGCTTTAAAATTTTATTAAAATAGATTTGTATTATGTGTACATTATGAGTCATGGAAATGATTTTTTTTTTAAGCACTAATCTTTAACTTGGCAAATTCTTCAGCAGCCTTTAAGGCATCAGATAAAGCATCAAGCTTATCACCAGAACCTTGTGCAGCATCATCTTTACCACCCTTCTTTCCTCCAACCTTGGCACTCACAACTTCAGCCCATTCAGAGGCCTTGAATCCCTTTTCAATAAAGCTCTTACCAACAATACAGTTATGTGAAACACGTCCAGTTACACTGTCTCCACTCATGACATAAACTGCTTTATCCTTCAAGTTGGATTTAACATAGTTGATAGCACCACCAAGGGCCTTGGAGTTATTACCTACTGATAACTCTGTAACAAAATAAGCGGCATCAGGATTCTCTTCAAAGTACTTCTTGACAATCTCAGTAGCTTCCTTCACTTGTTCTGCTTTACGTGCCTTTTCAGCATTATCAAATGCCTTCTTGATAGTCGCAAATCGATCACGGAATTGTGCTTTAGAGACAGCAGAAATGAAGGCAGTATCCAATTCCTTTGAGACGACCTTTAATTGAGCTTCAAGTTCAGCTCCCTTCATCTTTTCTAAATGATCCAATTTAACTGCAAATAATTCAGCTTCACGTTGTGCTCTCACCGCTTCATCTCCAGTAACAGCAACAATACGACGAATACCCTTAGCGATACCTGATTCTTCGAGAATGGCAAAGTATTTAATATCACTTGTCTTTGAAACATGTGTACCACCACAGAACTCGATACTGGTTTCCTTCCACTTGGGATTAGAGACATCCTGGATCACTTCATCAATATCATAACCAATAGAGACAACACGGACCGGGTCAGGGTAAGTTTCACCAAAGACAGCTCTTAAACCATGAATGGCCTTTGCGACTGACAATGGAACTTCCTTGGCATATACTTTAAGGTTTCTATTTACAAAATCATTCGAGATCTTTTCAATTTCTTCTAATTGTTTCACATTGACAGGGTTTTTGCATGAGAAATCAAAACGAAGTTTTTCAGGAGCAACAAGAGAACCCTTTTGATCAACCTCATCCTTAAGAACTTCACGAAGAGCAAAGTTAAGAATGTGAGTAGCGGTATGGTTATTTCTCAAGGGGAAACGACGTAAATCATCATAAGATAATTCAACCTTATCATCAACAGAGAGTTGACCATATTTGAGATGACCAATGTGAAGAACATAACCACCAAAGAGTTGACAATCTTCGACAACAAATTCAGTATTAGCATCTAAAGTAATAATCGAGCCAGTATCATATTCTTGTCCACCAGATTCAGCGTAAAAGTTGGTCTTATCCAGCAAGAGACCAAAGTTACGATCTTCAGGAATATCCTTAGTATCATTGAGGAAATTGTGTTCGAAAAAGATAGCCTTGATTTGAGCTTGAACGTTACCGGGCAAGTACTTGTAACGATCATCTGTCTTGGGAACAGCATCATTGGCATCAAGTGCACCAAGATCATGAACATCAAGGGCAACAACGCCTTGACCATTGTCACCTCCTTTCACTTTACGAGACTTATTCTTAGCGGCTTCTTGAGCAGCTTCAAATTGTGCTTCGTTGACTTGTAATCCATTTTCTTCAGCCATGATACGAGTAAGATCGACAGGGAAACCATAAGTATCATAAAGTCTCCAAACGTCATCACCCGATAAGACAGATGAACCGGATTCTTTCGTCTTCTTCATGTAACCTTCAAAGAGCTTTTCACCACGGTCCAAGGTCTTGGAGAAAGCAACTTCTTCTTCGTCAAGAATAGCCTTCACATCATCTGCTTTCTTGGCTAATTCAGGATAAGCTTCATTCATTTGAAGTACTAAGGTATCAACAAGAGATGAAAAGAAGGTACCGATAGGAACATTAAAGTATTTACGAACATAACGAGCACCACGTCTCAAAATACGTCTCAAAACATAACCACGACCTTCATTACTAGGAACACCTCCATCCGAAATAGCAAAAGTTAAAGTTCTAATGTGATCCGCAACAACACGATAGGCAGTATCAATACCATCCTTATCTTCCTCACCCAATAAACCAGTATAAGGTCTAGCGCCTGTTAATTCCTGAATCTTTACAAATAAAGGTTGGAAACAGTCGGTATCATAATTGGAGAGTTTGTCTTGAAGAATAGAAACAAGACGTTCAAGACCCATACCTGTATCAATATGTTGATTAGGCAAAGGACGAAGTGAACCATCTTGTTCTCTATTGAATTGCATAAACACAAGATTCCAGATTTCAATAACATTAGGATCGTCTTGATTAACTAAATGAGCAGCGTCACGACCACCAATACGGTCAAAGTGAATTTCAGAACAAGGACCACAAGGACCAGTTTCACCCATTTCTTTACAAATAAATAAAATAAAAGTTAGTATCAGGAATGATATATCGTGTATATATATATATAATAATAATAGTACCCCAAAAGTTATCCTTGACATCACCAGGAATTAAACGCTTTTCTTCAACACCAAGATCCATCCACATTTGCTTAGCTTCAAGATCAGCAGGAAGTCCCAACTTTTCATCACCACCGAAATAAGTGACATAAAGACGGTCTTCAGGAAGATTAATAACTTTAGTCAAAAATTCCCAACCAAACTTGGTAGCTTCTCTCTATTATAAATGAATATATTAAAACAATCAAATCTAACAAAGGAAAAAAAAAACTTGTTGTTCATTACTTTAAAATAGTCGCCAAAAGACCAATTACCCAACATTTCGAAAAAGGTATGGTGATAAGTATCTTTACCAACATCATCCAAGTCATTATGTTTACCACCTAACAATTAAAAGTAATTTTTTAATTTTATATGTATAAAGATAAACATGTTGTATTATTTTACCAGCACGGATACACTTTTGAGAGTTGCAAGCACGCTTGACATTAGCCAAAGGAGAATTAGGATCAAGAGTACCTAAGAAAATAGGTTTATACTAAAGAGAAACTTAGTTAACGACGTAGTCTCGGAAAATTAAAAAAAGAAGAGAAAAAAAAATTTTTTTTTTAAATCAACCTACCTGATTCATACCAGCATTGGCGAACAAAAGAGTAGGATCATCGTGAGGAACAGTTGAAGACGAAGGAATGAATTTGTGACCATTTTCCTCAAAGTATTTAATGAAGGTTGATCGAACCTTGTTAACAGGCCATTCTATTTGTTCAGTCATTTCTGATATGAAGAGAATCTAAATAAATATATATAAAAAAAAAAGGGGGAGGAAAATAAAAAAAATAAAAAAAATGTCAAATATTAAAAAAAGAAAAAAAAATAAAAAAAACTTTCTGATGTGAACCAATTAAATGACTTGAAACTATTTATGTCGTCAATGGCTCTGATAATATCTTTATAAGGAAAGACTAACATGTATATAAAGGGTACAATAATAGTGTATCTAAATAAACCAATAAAAACAGCATAATAAAAATGAATAGAGAGTATGCATTTTCACAAATATTAGTTCGAGTAAAGATCGTTTGCTCTGGAAAAAAAAAAAAAGAACAAACCGAATCAATCTATTACACAACTAACTGAAATGAAAATTGTGTAGACTCATTATACAGATAGAAAATAAAGACTATTTTAGTAATAGTGTATTACTTGATTCATATCTATTTGAGAATAAAAGTAATACTTCTTTGTCATTTAATTTATATAATGACTATTCATCTACGAAAAATCTTTAGTAATTAGACAATAGATATGACAAAGAGGAAGATATACGACAAGGAAATATAGGTTTTTGTTTTAACCCAATAATGTACATTGCATTTTACGTAACGAAAAGAGAGAAAGCTTTGTATAATTTTAATGTAAATTCCTAACCTTTGTACTATTAATAAATTGAGCAAGATTACAAAAATAGTATAAATGAAGAAATGATTTTGATTCCAAATCAGAAATGTTTTCGAGATATACACCAAATATTTGATTCTTTATTCCATTCTATGTACAACATGTTATTTAGATTTATTAATTGCATTTACAAAGGTTTAAAATAATGACTTCTAATTATAATAATAAAAGATAATCATTGATTAATCAAAAATGTCAGGACCTGTAGGCGCTTGATAGCCTGATGCTGCTTCCAACTCAGGCATTTCATTCAAAGATAAGTATATGATAATAACAGGAACTTTTTTGTTAACTTGAATACTATTTTTTTTTTTAAAAAAAAAATGTCAAGTAAAACGAATTAGACATGTAAAAGTGTCTTTCTTTACCTATCCAAGTCCTTATTATTAACAGGATCCCATTGTTCCACTAGGGAAACGCTTCCTATTTGGGTATATTGATGTAAAGTTCCTTGCATCTTTCTTTTGACCATCTCAACTACAGTTACTGCCTTATTTACATTTACACCTTTACCAACTACAATAATATGATTCTTATGTTCTTCCTTTTTATATATGTATATTTATATTGAAAACATAATATATAATTAGCTAAAATAAATAAAATTTATAAAAAAAAAACTTACCTGTAATAGTTTTAGACAAGCATCCAAGTAAACAGGAATTTTGCTATGACTAATTCTAACTTCATTATCAGCAGGAGGCTTTTCACCTTCATTCGAATTTACATTTTTATTACTTCTACGGTAATCTTCCACTGAATAAAATAAACGTAAGTAAAGTTCATAAAACAGACAAACAAACAAACAAAAAGAAAAAAAAATAAATAGGTTCAGTAAATATGATATGCTTTGTCTCATCTTATTTTAATCATTTTAATGTTCTCTGTTATTACACAGTCCATCAAAGTCATAATTGTAATTTACATCTATATTAGTATTGATTCATGTAAAAGAAGAACTACTTTACGTGAATAAAAATACCAATAGACAATTGTTTAATCTTTCTTTTGTAATATCCACCCAAAAAAAAAAAATCCAAAATCAAACGGATACTTGGGTTCAGGTCAAAAGATTGTATAAAAAATAAAATGAGAAATGTCGGGCCATCCTTTATCACTAACACGCTTTTTTTCTACGACATGAATGATCTAACAATGACCGCAATAGAGAAAAATAAAATAAGGGATGCGCAAATACATGTAACATCCCAAACTTATTTTCGCTCTATTCATGGTTTATTCTTTGTTCGGCCTTACGTTCATGTATCCCACAACTAAAAATACTGAACAAGATTTCGAACATTAAAATTCGGATTGAAAATAAAATATTATTATGACAGTGATGTAAAATATAATGAACTCGAGAACATGATTGAAAATAAGAAATCGAACCTTTTACATACTCATCATGATCTATTTGTTTTTTTGTAGATAATTAATCCATTTTTTATTTAGACTTACTTGGTTGATAAAAACGCGATAAAAGGAAAGAAAATATTTTAGAGCAAGGGAAAATATTTTTTTTTAAAAAAAAAAAAAAAAAAAAAAGAATTTTTGACTCTAATTGCAGCAGCGCAATAGTTACTATGATACACAAGCTATAATATTATTGGATTATGATTTTTTTTTTCTTTCCTTCTGTTATATGTGGATGCTCAAATACTTGAAATTACATGGATCAAGTCAACTAGAGGAGAATATAATAATAAAAGAATTCCTCGAGAAGAAGAGTCAAATAGAAAGGGGAATATTTGCCCCATAAACTCTAACGATAAAGGATATTGGAAATAATTAAGCTCAAGTAGTATATAATATATACTATCCTATATAAAAGAAGAAGAAGTAGGTCTTTGTAATAGATTTATCCCCTTTGCAACTCATTGTAACCATTATAGTGTCGTATGAGAAATTTTAAATAATAACCCAGGCCCATTAACACCATGCATATTGAATAGAATCAAGAAATGTAATAGGATATAAGAGATTTACATATAGAAATTTATGAATAGAGAACAAATAGGTTTAGAGAATATATTTATATGTAATTATTTCAAGTAAAATAAGTCATTATTGCTGCTGATCAAATGTATCATTAATTAGGTTATTTTTGATAGGCAGCGGCTAATAATAACTTACATATATGCATACATAAAAGTCTGGCTGATTAGTTATTCCGTAAACTCCGTACTTTCCCCTAATGCTTACTTGTCTATAAAACTATGTATCAACACTATTAAACAAATACTACTTCTCTTTCAATAGAATTTTATCATTTAAAAAGTAAATTAAAAAATAGAAGTCTATAAATAAATAAAGAAAAAAATAATAATAAAATAATAATAATAATAACGGAGTTAAAAAAATATCATTTTTATGAATTTGAAAGAAAAAACATGTCTAAAAGAGCGGGAAAGAATACAGAAGACATACTTAAAGATAACAATTTTGCAGTAAGAGAGAATTATTTTTGTTTTAGGCATAAAAAAATCTATTAAATAAAGTAAGATAAAATATAGTTTTTTTTTTCTTTTCAGTCCAGTAGGAACATACATGATTACTAGAAGTATAGGATCCAAAAAAACTAATTGCCTAATTTGTTGTATATTTTTTCTTTTTTTTTTTACAGTAAAAATTCCCCTGAAAAGAATTTTTTTTTTTTTTTTTTTTTTTTTTTTTTTTTTTTTTTTTTTTTTAGAAACATGGAATTCCCAAAAAAAAAAAAAGGTTTCTCTTATTTATAGACTTCTTCTTTTAACTTGTTTATCTTTAAATGGGACAGGGAGAAAGTAAATTAAACGATTCTTTTACATTTGCTTATTTATTAGAACCAAATAAGAATGACACTATGGAATACAGTCATACATCATCATTAAATGATAACAACAATGATAGTTTGATACTGACTCGTCCTGAAATATACGGTTTAACTTCTTCTTTACCATCATCATTAAACACAAGCAATAATCATACACTATCTACTATATCATCTTTAACTTCATTAAGTGAAAAAAGTATATGTCATCAACGACCTGACTCTGGTTATAGGTCACCTTCATACAAAGAAGATAGACAGTTGGCAGGGGATTTGGGTTATATAGATAAAACTTATTATCATCATTCAGTTACAAATGAAATACAACCGCCAAAAGAAGATATGAATGATAATGAAGAATATCATCATCACGTTAGAAGAGGTGGAAAAACAAATCGAATTTCATTTGCCGATATTATGCTAGCTGCTTCTGACAAGGCTATTGAAGACGTTTATCTACCATCTAAATCTATACGTAGTCTTAGTCACAATATAGGCTTGTTAACCATGGTTCATAAATTAGACTTGTAAGTAATAATAAAGTAGTATGACATGATATATACATAATAATGTAAGGAGAGGTGGCAATCCTCAGATAGTTATACAATATCTAATCTATCTATCTCTATATATAAATTTATACATACATGTATCTATTTGTATATACACCCACATATACACACCCACATATACATATATGTATATTTTTATATTCATATTCATTTACATTTTATATAGATCTAATAATCACTTGACTGAATTACCAGAGTCAATCGGTTATATGCAGAGTCTAGAAATACTATTATTATCAAGGAACCAATTACTCTATTTACCGGATACAATAGGTTATTTGTCAAATCTTTTGGAGTTAGATGTCTCTTATAATCAATTAAAACAACTTACACCATGCATTAGTTATTTGAACAAGCTAAAACATTTATCTTTGGCCTTTAATCAAATCTCTAAATTACCAGTTGAAATAATTGGTCTCTTTGAATTAGTTTCATTAGATCTCACACAAAATCCACTTAAAGTTTTACCCGCTGAAATATCTCAACTTCCCTTCTTACGTCGACTGCGACTTGAAAATTGTCCATTTCAAAATGAAGGCTTATCTTATCCTTTAAAGCATAATCCACCTTCTCTACTAGAAATCTGTGCACGTAATCTGATACGATCAAAGAAAGGGATAATAGGGTCATCATTACCTCAACACTTGATCCACTATATTAAATCTGCAAAATCATGTACTACATGTCATGGTCCTTATATCGAATCTTATGTTTTACGCGGGCGTTTAATGGAGAAATTAGATATGCAGATTCCACTTGAATATACACTTTGTTCTGCACATTGGTCTTATGCAAATGATCGTATCCTAAGCATGTTTAGTACACAGCCGGAAACTTCTAGTGATTTTATTCATTTGCCCTATCTTCCTATATTACCTCAACAATCTATAAAGAAGAAGGAGAGATTAGTACAGACTAATACCAACAATTATCGCACTAATCATACTCGATCCTATTATTCTTCTTCTTGTTCTTCCACTACTACTATTCCACCTCCTCTTCCTCCACCATTACCTTTAGATACGAGTCATATTTCCTTTATCACATTCGAGAATAATATCTTTACAGGAAATTATAACATGGTCAAATTGAATAGACAACAACAACAAAGAAGACAATCATCAAAATTGGTTCGATTGGCATGTAAATTTAAAAATTTTTCAAATTGACCTCTGCACTAGATCAAAGGAAAACTTGGCTATATCATTGTGTATATTCTATATTTGGCATTATTATAAAATACCCATTGTTTTTGTTGTCATTTTCTCCCCCCCCATTTTATATAATTGTTGTTAAATGCATATATAATTTGTGTACATAAAATACATATTATAGTTTCACGTAAATGAAGCTTATTATTAGTCTATTTCCTTATTACATAATATGAAGCTGTGGCAAATATATCTTTATGTTGTACAAATCAAATTTGCTCTATTTGAATGATGTTAAAAGACTCAGATTATTCTTTTTATGTATAAATATTAAAAGAAAAAAAAAGAAAAAGAAAGAAGAAGTCCCCTCCATTCTTCCTATTCTTACCCTGAGTTTATTTTTAATGGAATTTGTTACAGTAGTATGCATTTAAAGATAAACTTTAATCTTTATTCCTTTTATAATATACATGAATGTCTATTTTTTTTTGTCATAAATTGTATAGAAACTATATTTAAATACAAATTTATTGCCATAGTAATTTATTGCCGACCCTTTTTATTATTATTATTTCTTTGCATCGGCCGCCTTGTAATGTGCATTTAAAAATAACAATGCATAATATATAAAAGTCATGAATTTGATCTTCTCGTACAAATAAATAAATGAATAATATTGTCAAACAACAAATGAGGCATAGTAACTCAAAAGTTATCAATGTTTGGTTAATTAACACGTTTAGCAACTAAGCTTTTGTATTACAAAACTATAAGATAAGAGGTATAAATGAAGAGTAGGAAGAACTAATATATGAGCGAATCATGATCTGTGCAAATAGTAACGAGGGAAAAAAAAATACATACAAATATATATTTATATATATATACATATATGTGTATATAAAACTAGCATAGCTATGATATTTTTCATTTTACTTTTTACTTTTTTTTTTTTTCCTCCTCTTCACTCTGTATATACATATATATATCTTATATTATAATATACCCTCTATACAATGCGAAGTCCTCTTTCGGCTATAGCAATCTCTATCCTGTTTCTTTCTCAATTTGTGTATGCTGCTATTAATGAGCCTACAGAAGACGAAATGACATTAATGACAAGTCGCCGTGTATCTAATATTGTTAAAGGTTATTCTACCACAACTAATAATATAAACAAATGGTAATATAGAGCTATAACCTGAATGATTAAAAGCTTTTCTTTTCTTTTTTTTTTTCTATCAATGATGGGCCATCATGAGCAATCATAATAAAAGAGAGAGAGAGAGAAAAAAGTGCTATTTTATAACTTATTTTTTTTTGAAAAACTCTTTAGGATGACTTCACTTTCATCAAAAGGAGTTTGGTCCGATATTGATATGACTAGTGGATGTGATGCAAGGTATGTATAGAAATCAAGTAGATAAGAGGGATACATACATACATACATACACACACACACACATATATATATATATATATATACATATGTATGTACAAACAATATACTGACATCTATTATATATTTTATAGAAAAGCGAATTGGCCTGCAACAGAACATTTAATGAGAATACGTAAAGTTATTTGTCTCATTTATATACATACTACCCCGTCAATTTTAAAATACGAATAGTTATTAACATGTTTTTTTTTTTTTTTTTTTTTTTTTTTAGGTTTACTTACGAGTGCTTATGTTTCCAATTTTACAGATTCTTCTAGTCTTTTAAATAAAATTAATTTAGCTCTCAATTACTGGCTTGATCATGATTTTAAAGAAACTGACTGTATAGATAGCGGTGGCGTATCTAACTATAACTGTCCTTGCGGGACACCTGGCCTATGGAATAAAAACTGGTTTAATCAAATGATCTCTGTCCCCACCTATATAAGCGATATTTGTTTATTACTTCAAGAACATGGATTAACGAGTAAACAACTCATGGGTTGTAAGGACATTCAAACCCGCTCCTTTGACAGGATTGTGGGTCGTATTCGTCCTGTCAGTAACTGGACGGGTGCGAATCTTTTGGATGTTGCCTCTGTTGGCTTTAGTATGGGCCTCTTGACTCAAAATGCGACAGCCGTCAAGATTGCCCTAGAGTACTTTTATGGAGGTGTCGAGATCAGTCCAAGAGTAGCTGGAGATGGCATTCAAGCAGATGGCTCCTTTATGCAACATGATGGGTTGCTTTACAATGGTAATTATGGTCAGGATTACATGAATGATCTCTTGTCTGTCTTTACAGAGACGAAAGGGACTTCGGTAGCACCGACTTTATTAACTCAAACGGCCTTTGCTACCTTGATGAGCGGTACAGAATGGATGATTGTATCTGATATTAAATTGAATTTGCTTCTTTGGCAATACAGTGTGATTGGTCGCATGGTTTCCTTTAAATATTCTGATAAACAAGCCAGTGGTGGGGTAGCCATCAATTTTGATAGTGTAGCTGAAAGTGCTGAAGGTTGGTCAAAGCAAGGTGTAATTGATTCCATTGTAAACCGTTTAGAGTCCCCTTCTACAGGTGATGCTAATCAAGGTGATCTAGTGGGTACTCGATACTTTTATAATGCAGACTATATGGTTAGTATATAGTTAGTAGAAGAATTTATAGAAAAAAAAAAGAAGAATTCATTTATTAATATATACAAACATACATACACACACACACACACACACACACATATATATATATATATATATATATATAGATTCATCGTGCTCCTAATTATGTTACTACTATGAAAATGTATTCCAGTCGTACCGTAAATTCAGAATGTCTTAATAATCAAAACCCTTATGGTTTTCATCTTAGTGATGGTGCGATTTACAACTATTTAACAGGTGATGAATATGTTGATACATTTGGCGCCTGGAATTGGGAATTAGTACCTGGAATCACGGTAGATACCTTTGGTACTCCCTTAAGTTGCAGTACAGTGAAAACAAAGGGGAAAAGGGCATTCGTCGGGGGTGCAACAGATGGGAATACGGGAATTGCTGTAATGGACTATCTTAATCCTCGTAATGGGAATTTGGCCTTCAAGAAGACAGCCTTCTTCTTTCCTACAGGCTATGCCATTCAGATAGGATCCGTTATATCAAAGAACACAACCGCACAGCTCGTCACAGTCCTTGATCAACGTCGTCGTAATGGTGACATATACGTTGCGGGAAAACTTAGGAATACAAATACAACCTATGCTACTACAGCGGGCTCTAATAGCATCTGGCACGATAACATTGGTTATTATTTCCCTACGACCCCTGAGGTCCTTTACGTCGACTCTAGACCTCGTGCCTCTAACTGGGCTTCGATCGGTATCTCGACAGGGAATGATCAACAACAACTTTGGACAGCCTACATCAAACACTCAGCTAAGACTGAGACAAATCAAGGTCTCTTGACGCAGTACGTGGTCCAGCCTGGTATCAATGCCACTGATTTTAATGCTCAAGTAGCTAAAGGTATAACACCTATCGCCCTTGATTTTAAAGCAAGTTCGCCACAGGTCAATGCCGCCTATAGTGCGGCAGACAAATCTATTGCTGTCGCCTTCTGGACGGCAGGCGTTTATACTCCCCCTTGGGGTTCAACTACAACAATCAAGACGAATCAACCTTGCGTTCTCTTGTTTAGAGAAATAGAGGCCAATACCCTTTATCGTCTAACCGTGGCTGACCCCTCACAAAAGTTGGAAAAAGTCACTCTGACGTTTACTGTGGCTGGTAAAGTGAAATCAACCACGGCTGTATTCCCTAACAGTATCAATGCTGGTAAAGACGTTGTCAAGACCATCACATTTACATAATTATTTATACTTTGTTTTATATTTATGTTATATATATATAAATCATGCATATTATTATTATTATACACAAAAAATCAAATTTATTTATTTATATATACTCTATAAAATGTTTTATTGATGATGTTTGGCACGCTTCTTTTTAGCATACGCCTTTTGTTTTCTATCTAATTTACGCTTAGCAATGAGAGTTGGGTTAGTAATAGCCAAGACTGCTTTATTTGCTTTACGCTCCTGTCTTGTTTGGAGTACTTGTTGTCGTACACGTTGATATACTGCAAAATATACAGTAGGTCCAGCCTTGTTTTGAAGTAAGTTGAGAATTTCAGTACCCAATTGTTGCAATGAATCTATAGACCCAAAGAAAAAAAAAAGGAGAGGAAAAGAAAAAATGTTAGTTAAATATATCCCAACTATCTTTTATTTCATTTAACATACCAAAGCCATCTGATTTATTTTGTTCTTCATTTACTGTACGATAAATAGGTGCTATCACTGGCATTAAATAAGGTGGTAATTCTTCAGTTGTCATTGTATTACACATTGCTGCAAACCATTTAAAAACAGAAGAGCGCTATATAGGATATATTGGATTGATTAATAATTTCATTCATATACTAATAATAAAATAGAATTAAAGTACTTACCAAGATGATATCACTCTTAATTTTACGAATAGCAGCACCACGAGCAGTAAAAGAAGCTTTTCTAAATAACCAATTTAATGATTGTTTATGAGCTTTCTGATTAATCTTTTCAGTAGCAGCTTCATCTTCTCCTTCTACAACTTCATTATCATTCATCTTATCAGTATCTTCAAGGTCTTCTTCATCTTTTTCTTCCTCGTCTTCTTCATCTGACATATAATAAAAGCATCTACCAATAAAGAACAGATTTTTTACAATTTGATCTGCTTGTTCTTCTGTTACATGATTACTCTTCAATTGTTCCAAAAAGTCGCCAGCCAACATTCTTAATGTAGCACGATCAAGGTAACTGCATACGGTTGAGCTTTCATTAATTGTACGTGTCTTTGGATCAATCTCAGAAAAGAAAACACCATAGAGACGAGTAGAAGATGAACGAATCCAGGCGTGAGGGAAAAGCAACATATATTGCATCACTCGCCAAACTACTTCTGTACTTTGCTCATAAACCAATTTAGGGAACGTTTTAATGATTTTTGCAAAGGTATTGATGGCATAGTAGGCTACTTCCCATTGTATATCGACATCCATCGCTTCTTCATCAGCTGCTAGCTCTTCAGTACGGTCTCGACTCTCTTCTAAAATCTTGGAAAGACGTTGAATAAGTCCTGCTGCTTGTGGTTTTAACTGTGTACCAATACTTTCAAGAGCTAAACCATAAACTTGACAAGCTACACGTTGAAGACTGGGCTTTCCTGATTCATCAAGCCATTTATTTAATAATTTATAAAACGTAGGTAATCGTTCTGTGCTGCGAGCTAAAAGGGATTTAACAAGAGCAGCTGCCATTTCACGACATTTGCTAGATTCATCATTCACAAGACGCATTACAAGGGCAAAGAAAATGGGATCAATATAATCAATGAGGACCTCATCACCAAATTTAGTAATGATTTGATACAAAAATTCCATAACCGATTCACGACCACTTTCAAAGACGTATTCAAGATTTTTGATCACAAACGTCATTTGTTGTTTGAGACGGCCCTTACCTTGAGGATAATCCATAAGGAACATGAAAAAGACGGATCGTGCCTGTTGTCTAACTTCTTTGCTTTGGTTGGTTACCATAATATTTGAAATATTATCCATAAGATCGTACATTTCAGGGGCAACAAACTTGCGAGAGATAATAGCTCGAATGAGACCAAAGGTTGTACTTTGACGTTCAAGCTCTTCCAAATCAGGTCGAACAAAATCCAAGATGTATGTTAATTGTGTCTCTGTCAATCTTGTTTCGGTATTATCACGAATACAGACAATCAAAAGTTTTAAGCAAGCCTGTACTGTCTTTGTACGTGAAGTACCTGAAGATTTGAGAATAGCAAAGCATCGATCAATTGAAACACCAACAGCGGATTGTATGTTGCCGATCTTCATGGGAATAAATTGACTCATGATGCGAGCTGATAAAACAACATTAGCAGATTGGTTTGAGTAAAGTGTGTTACCAACTGCATTAACCAGTTTTCTCAGACGTAAAAGGTATTCCTCATTTGTCAGATCAAACTTATTCTTTTTAAGAGCAGATGCAAGAAGACTAAGGCCAAGGAAAACAAATCGATAGGCATTGGCACGATAATGATCCACAGGTTCCGCTGTAGGCCTCTTCATTTGAACTTCGAAATTAAGTTCCTTTTGTGTCTTTTTAACCGTCATCTTTGGTTGCACCTTATATTCTTCTTTATTTTCAGTGATTAAATTATAGGCAAAATCAAGTAATTCAAGAGATTCGAATTCAGGATTTTTCACTAGACCAATCGCAATACGACGTAAGAGATCCTCAACTTTGAGAAGCTTACGATTGCTTTCAGTGTTTGACATAACTTCCTTCAAAGGCATCAAAAGGACATGGACATGCTTGAAATGAATCACTTGAGAAAGTAATTCAAAGGAAATAGGACTACGACGACTCTTGGCTTCCTTTGTTTTACCTGTCATCTCATCTTGATCCTTTTCTTCACCAGCAGTGCCGAAGATATCATTTACAAGAACATCAACAATATCCTCTAGACAATAATCAAGATCTCCTACCTTAACTTGCTTCATTATATCTTGTATGAGTGAGTTAACAGTAAAGCCCAAAACATGTAGTTCATAACCCTTTTGCAGAGACGCACGCAGATCCTTAATGATAAAGTTGAAGTAAGCAGGACCTAAGAAGGCACTAATTTTGACAAGAGTATCACGGGTAACATCACGAACATCTTGAGCACGACTACGAATGATTTGACAAACGGAGGTTAAGAGACCGGGTAAATTGACTCGCTTGGACTTTTCTGGAAGATAACAAAGAAGCTTTGTAATACCAAGGGCGAGTGGCACACGACCAATGACAGATCCTCTAGTTTTATTATGGTTTAAGAGACTATTGAGGTCGGGTAAAAGTTTTGTAACAAGGATATCATGAATCCTTTCTGCTTGGTCTCTTACTACAACCTTTTCTTCTTCTGCTTCTTCATTTTCATTCATCTCTTCTTCTTGTAGTTCACCAGCATCCTTAGCTGCTTGCTTTAAGATATCTTCATTTGTTAAATAATTAATGCGAAGCTTCTGACGCCCCATAATCGATTTTACTGTTTCATCAGATATTTCAATATGTTGAACATCAAAATGGAATGAGTCTAAAATGCAAATAACGGCACGTACATATAACTTTTCCTTTTCATTGTCTTGTTTTACAAGCTTCAAATAAGTTTGAAGTAAATTATAATAAGAATTCCATGAAAGAACTTTAGCAAGAGCAGTAATTGCATTTGTACATTGTCGAAGTAGACCTTCATCTTGAATTTGATCTCCCTCGGTCAAGAAAGCATAAATAATTGGTAAAAATATATGATTGACAGTGGCGATCTTTAATCCGTTCTCTTCAGCATGAGTAGAAAGACGTTGTAAAGCACGGCCACGACGTGAGATTTGCATATGATAAATATTGTTGAAAAAGTTGGATTCTTCATCATTACTCAAAAGAGATGTCATATCCTCAAACATGGATAATTCGGGGAACATCTTGACACAAGATCCTAAAAGAGTAATAAATTCCATACGAACAAGTTCTATACGAGCTCGTAAGCCACGCTTGATAGCAGGATAAATTAAACCCTCAATATATTTTATCATCTTATATTTGACCTCTTCATCTTCTTGACTTTGTGTTGCCTTCAGGAATTGTACCATACAATGTGTTGCTGTGCCTCGAACTGCCATTTCATCAGGATTATGCATACAGTATACTAATTGGTGTAAGATAGGTAACCATTGATGAATGTTAAACTGTTCATAATAGGTATCTGCAATTGAACTAAGCGCATCAAGCATTTGATCGTAATCAGGCTCTGCAATACGTTTCTTTGAAAAGCTGTTCATCATTGTCAAGAGTTCATCTACCTTTGTAAGTTCATCAGGATTAGCTTGAGCAAATGTATGAAAGACTTCTATAAGCCCCATACGGGTTTCACGAGAATGTGCAATGGCGAAAAAGTTAGATGCAGCATTATAGTATTGATGATAAAGGCTCGAACCAGCTTCAAATCCAGGTACAATATGGATAAACTTAGCCCAAATTGTTAAAATATCCTGTTTGGATTTCTCCGGGATCACACGAGAGGGTTTCTTAAGACTGGGTAATAAAAGTGCAACAATAGTTGCCGCTTGCTCACCATTCTTGGCATAAGGTGCAATACGAGCAGCAATCGCAATTTCACGGATAGAGTATGTATTACCAAATTTGGCATCATCCTTAGATTGAGTTAAGCGGTACTTGAGTTCATTCAAAAGCAAATTAACATGAGGGATTATAAGTTTTTCTTTTAATGATTGTGTGCCATCAACATCCATTTCATTATCACAAAGATCAAGAAGAGATTCAATGATTTCCAACAAGACATTCAGCACATTTTCGTTTAGTTTTTCTACAGATAAGGTGGCTATAATCTGTGGTATAACAGAGGGATCATAATCAACAAGATAGTTAGCATATTTACTCTGTTTGGACCAAACTAAGAATAGATTCAAAAGACTGCTAACATCTTGAGAGGTTGTAGAAGGGAAAGCAGGAAGTTGAGGTGTAATATAAGCAGAAAAGAGGGATGGTATAAAGGAGGTAAAGTCAAAGTTGCCACTGATCTTGAAGAAACCAACGATACGCTTCATGGCCAATGCTCTGACTTCCTTTGACTTTGAACTTTGTTCTTTTTCACCATCAACTTCCATGGCATCAGGGAGTCTTCGACTATGTACAAAATTAATCAAATACAAAACAACCTTTAGGAGATCAGGTGCAAAAGGTAGAATATAGGTGGCCAACTGTTTAATCATATCTTCTAACAAGTTCAAAAGACCGGTTTGTTTTCTCCAAGGAATTTGCTCCACAAGACGTTTGCCTTCAGAAACAAACTCGAATTTCGATACATGATTATCCTGATCTACTTCCATACCTGGCAATTCGAGGATCATTTTGAAGGGCTCAAGGGCAAGATCAATAAAATATCGAATCTCTTCAGCTGTGCAACAAGCTACACTACCAAGAATCATCTTTCGGCGTGCTGTTTTACTTGTCTTGGCAGATGCCTTGGCACGTTGAATAAGACGACCATAAAGAATGCGCATCAAGACAGGCATCAAACCCTTTCGATGAGCAGGATCAATTGGACTTTGTTCTTCATTTTGTATCAAGTTACTAAGTTCGTCACGGAATCTGGTATCATCATACAAGAGACGCAGGTTATCAGCATAGGGTTTGACATTAGGATTCTTCCAACTAATAATACATTCTAAGGCAGCCTTTTGCAAATTGAAATCACCCATAGCAATAATATGCATAAAGACGTCATATAATTCAGCGGTACGATATGCAGCTGCAGGGTTCTTATAAACAGCGAAAATGGCAAGCCAGCTTGTCATCCTACTTTTATTTACACGACTTGAACGTTGCAAAATACCTAATTCTTCGTTTATCATTATTGCTTGATCAGCTTCATTGTCATCCTCATTTTCTTCCTCGCCTTCCTCAGAAGTTGACATAAACTCCTCACTATAGAACTTCAAAAATATAGGTACCAAATGTCTTCCTTTGGCTTCTGTAGTTGTTGCTGTATCCTTCAATACAAGCAATAATAAATTATAATAGTTCCAGAAATCCATATGACCATCTTCTTGTTGACTAAATCCAGCAAATAACAAAGCAAGGCTTTGTGCTTTTTCCGTTTGCATTATCTTCCATGATTGATCTTGGACATGAGTAATATGCGTTAAAGTAGGACATTCGAACGTGATATTACCTGTCTTGGTAGCTTTTTGATGAGATTCATTCATGTCATTCGTCATGATTAACTTATCCAAAATATCTTTAGAAAATCCATCTCGAACTAATTGATATTCATGATTAAACTTCATCAATTCATCATGCATCATTGACCAATAGAGTTCAGCATTATTGTTGGAAAAGGTGACTAAGATTTTGCGTGCCTCAACCCAAAGGGGACGTAAATTGACTGTTAAAAGGCCTAAGGCCAAACGAGGAGCAAAATCTTCAAGCAAGTCAGGTGTACGTTTCGAACTGGTTATTAAGTTTAATTTTTGAATTAAAAGAACCTTATCTCGATACTCCTTAAAGGTAGCATTAATTTCCTCCATATGAAGTGCAGTACGTACTAATTCAGAAGGCTCAAGCGTTTTGTGTTGGTCATCCAGCTTCATCATAGGTTGATCATAAAGTGCTAAAATTTTAAGTGTATTTAAGCGACACTGATGTCGATAAGAACTAAGGTTGTCTTTGAGATGATTATAAATAATTCCGAAATTTTCCAACGAGAAAACTTCCTTGTAATTATTGCTAGAATATAAGAGATCCAAGTATTGATAAATACCAGAAAGAATAAGTTCATTTCCTTTATAATTTATAAGAATTCCCTTCATCAGTCTTTCATGCATCTTATTCAATTCTCCTAGTAAAGATGTAGAATGAGAAGCAATAGATGTCAATGATTCCAAAGCAAGACCCATAAGTGATTCCAATACATAATTTTTATGTCCCAAAATATAAGGTGTATTTACAATTGAGTTATCATCTTCATTATTCTTTTGCAAGAAATCAGCTAGTGAAATAAATAATGACATAATGACAGGTGATACTTTATCAACAGAAGTCTGAATTTTGGTTAGAATTCGAAGTGCAGAAGCCAAGACTGTAATTGCAGATATATTTGATTCTTTAGCCTTTTTTTTTAAAAAAAAAAGATGGTTGGTTGATTAATGATTGCTTTTACAAATTGAACAATTTTTATTTTTTTATTTTTTACCTTTAGATCAGTAGTATTTAAAATATCTCTTTCTTTGGTCCAATCGAATGTTTTACTCATGATATCCAAAACACTTTCTACAAATGGCTTCTTACTTTCTAGAGTTGGGAAACGTACAAGACCCTCTGCAGTCAAAGACGATGTCAAGGTCTCACTTTCTAATTCTATTTCATTAAAGACTTCTGCTAAAAATAGAATGGTCTCATAAGGATATTCATCAAATCTATCAGAGGCATATTTCACAATGTAAGGTAAGCAGACTTGTGTATAATTAGGCCATTTCAATTTTGCCAATGAAAGATAAAAGCCATAAATAAAATCGACATTGCATGAATGAAGTATATCCAAAATGACACGACCGCCGCTGATAACAACCTCCAGTGATCCATGGAATAATGTACCTGCTATCAATCGAACTGTTTCTGTATAAAGATAATTGGCATGTTGTTGAGAAGGATTAAAAACATATTTTGCAGCTTCTTGAAGATGACTGACGATAGGCTTGAAATCTTCTACACGACTTCCCTTTCTGACAGTAACAATCATGTTAAGAATTGAAATTTGAATTGCTACCTTCTTTTCATTTGGAACTTCTTCTTTAAGTTCTGTATCTAATTCATTCAAAACAATATTAATCATTGGTGTAAAATGTTGACGATAGACATGGTGAAGGACTAAAAGTGTTGTTTTCTTTAACAAACTATGAATAGGATCACTGGGAAGATCATCAGCTTTTATGTCTTCATTATTGTTATAAGATTGAATCAAAAGTTCTTTATATATAGATTCACCTCTTGAATGAATACGATGATCAATTTGCTGTTGTTTTTTTTGGAATAAAAATAATTAGTATATATACAAATATGAAAAAAAAATGGATATAGATTGGTTTTACCTTAATGGATTCAAAAAATAGCATAGCTAAACCTTCTTCAAATTCTTGAGATGGTTCAGCTTTTAGTGTGTTGAGGATATACTGAACAATCTTTTTCAAATCTGCGCCACGAGTCTTACGTAATAAATAAGCAAAAGCTTCGGCTGTAAAATGACGAATATAGGGACGAGTTTGATTATCTTCACCCAATAAGCTTGTAAACAAACTACGATAACAATTTTAAATATCATATTGAATAATGCTGGTAAATAAACAAATAAAGACTTACTTGAAGGTTTGTTCTAAATCTGGAAGGATTTGTCTTGAAAGAAATTTAAAGAGATAAGCAATACAATTAAAAACACTCTATTAAAAAATAATAATACAAAATTGAGTTTCTTTTGTTTTTATGTACATTTAATTTTTTTTCTTTGTTTATATCTACCTCTAATAGTTTAATATCCTTTTGATATACTAAAGGTAAAATGCGTGATAATAAGCGAGTATAATAAGGGTAAAATTCTCCTTCCAAATCTTTTGCTAATTTTGTGATCAAACTACATGAAAAAAAAAAGAATTAACTTGGTTTATCCACTATCATGTTTTGTTAATCCTTATGCTTACTCTAAAATACCATCTAAAGCCATACTTTCATTAACTTGAAGATGTTTTTCAAAGATTGTAATAATCGTCTCTTTATGGTAAATGATAGACGGTAATGATTTCACAAGCGGAGTGATTTCTTTTAAAAAATCTTTAAAATGTCTGGTCAAATTAAGATCTTTCCACTGTAACAGGGCTTCATAAAAGAAAGAGCCATGATAATCAGGCTCATCTTCAACAATGCGTGATCGACGTACGACATCAACTTTAATTCGTTCAACTCGAGTTTTGAAGGATTGGTACTAACAGTAGAAATTTTAGACGTTAACTATTATTATTTTTTCCTTTTTTATTATTTCTTACCTTGAAACGATTAGTTCCTTGACCAGTATTCAATTCAAGAGGAATTGAATTGTCCTTCATGGTTATTTATAAATTTAATTGATCTTGGTTAATAGAAGAAGAAATAGGTTTGACAGATTTCGATTTTTTTTTTTTTTTTTTTTTTTTTTTTTTTTTTTTTAATTTTAGCAAAGCTTAACTGTGCATTTTTAAAGGAACGAAAAGCAGTCTCGAATATATTTGCATTGAACACCGCCACACTTAAAATCACTACTACTGCTATGATGACTTTAACTTTATTGACAAATAATTATGAGTATATTTAATACGAGAATTCTATTCTAACTCTCTTTCTATTATTGATAATTATGATATATAATGACTATTTTGGTTCATTTTTATTACTTTTATGTATAATGCTGTCAAGCAGTTATCAACTACACATCTTTTTTTTTTCTTTCACTCACTTGGGTGATATTAAAGCAGGGAAATACACATAATAAAACTAACTTTTTATATCAGGTCAAGACATAATTTATGACTGTTTTCGAATATACAATAGTGTACTAGGTTTGCCCTATTAGAATATACCTACTGCAAAAGCATATGATATTATAAATAAATAGTATTAAATAAATTAACAACTTGAAACAGTCTTGCAGTACTCGAATACTCCAAGTTAGTCAAGTTACATATTGTTTGATGCTTACAAATGGATAGGATAAATTGCAACAAATAAATTGTTGTATATTGATAAAATAGTGATGATGTCAACATCAATAATAATTTGAGGCACAAAAAAAAAAGAAGGTTTACTCAACACATAGAATCACGATCTTTTCTCTCTATTTTCTTTTTAATGAAGAAGGAAAGAAGTCATGATGATGAAATACTTAAAGTTAATTCTTACAATAACAACACTATCATTTAGAGAAGTGTGCCATTTTCATTCTACTCAAAAATGGAAATTTAGGAGCATGAAAGATTTAGTATGTCTCAACAGCATTTACCAAAATAACTATTTTGTCCTACATTTTCCATACTAAATATACACACCGCACATGGACGAATATTTATAGAAACAGTTAGTTAAAAAAAAAAGCTATATTACGTAATATAAGTTTTTATCTAGATTTAATTTTCTATCTTTTTTTTTCCCTTTTTTCTTTTCTTTTTTTTTTTTTGTAAGGGAAATATCATATATACTAATAGCCATATTATATCATTATTATACCGCTATTATTCCCTCCTTTTTTCCCCCTTACACAGGCCTTTTTTTTTATTTTATTTTTTATATAATAGAGTAGAAAAGATTTTTTTTTTTTTTTTAGTTGTATAACATTGTAATTAAGTAACATTTCACATTCTTTTTATTTTTTTTTCTATTTAGAATGTCATCATCCAATTACTCTATAGAATCTGAAATGAAGAATTTATCTCTTCATAACAATAGTAGTTATGAACTTCCTGGTTACCGTCATGACAACGTCAATGATGACGACGATCGACCCCTTTCTTATCATCAACAACATGATTTGAACTCAGCACAATTGATGACTCAAAAAAGACCTTTACCACCTAGTCATCAAACTAGCATCCCTAACGATATAGCTGCTATACAATCTCTTTATGACACTTATTTGCAAAAGATTTATTTTGAAGGACATATCTTATTAAAGCAAGGCAATGAATGGTTTCCTTGGTATCTTCAATTATCGGGTCCTACCTTGACCTTATGGGAAGATACATTAACGAAAAAGGCACCTTATGCAAGCTATCAAATTATAGATGCTGTTATCAGATTTTTGGGTCGTGTAGAACAAGAAGGTCATAATAATGTCTTTTCGATTATTTTATCCGAGCAAACCCTTTTGTTAGATGCTCCTGATTATCAAACATTAATCTCTTGGATAGCTGCCTTTCGATTATCTTGTTTTGAATGGGCCAAAATTCAAGAATGTTTCACTCGTCGTCTGTTGTCAAGACCTACGTATGGGGATGCACTAAGTAAATCAAATTTAACAACTCATCTCGAGGGTCCCTTACAGGTGCGATTGGATCCTTTAAGTCATGAATGGCGTACCTATTGGGTAGTTGTATCTGATAGACCTGAGCCCAATAACAGTGATAAGGAAGAAAAGAAGAAAAGCAAGTTGAAACTCTTTGGAGGTTCAAAGAAGAAAAAGTCGGAAAAAAAGGAATTATTTGGACGTGGGCAGTTATTGATATATGAATCCAGCGAGAAAACAAGGCAACCTATTTTAACGCTTGTGAATGTCGTTCAATCGTATATGCTTTATAATCTTCAAAATGCAAATTTGACAGATGTATTTAAGGTAGAGGGTAATAATCTTGGTCAAAATGGGACAAGTACTATTTTGATCAAAGCTGCATCACTTCAAGAGCTTGTTCAATGGACAGTGGCTACATTTGATGCCTTTAAACTGTATGGAAGGCCTAATCGTTTAAGTGATGATCCTTTTAATATTAATTCTCTCAATTTTGGTGAACAGCAAACAAAGCCCGGTACCTTATTTTTGGAATTATCTGAAGTCCTTAACCAACTGAATGTAGATTTTGTTCATGATACTTTGCTGGATACAAAGGCACAATTTACAGGTTGTTTATTACATAAAGTACAACAACAACGTCAACAACACTATTTTAATGCTCATCATCATCATCGCCAGCAACAACAACAGCAACAGCAACAACAACAACAACAACAACAACAACAACCAATGGGGTTAATTCATCAAATTCCTACAGGTACTTCTTCTAGTACCTATTCATCACGTCCTCCTTCTCAAAGAACCTCTGTTCATTCAAGTCAATCTTCTTCTATTAATACACCTATCAATCGTCCTCAATTACAACCACAACAGAAACGGACAAGTAATAATCCTATACCAATCACAATAACAGCATCCGGTCGTCAAGTCTATGCAAGTGATGATAGTAGTGACGATAATGAAGAAGAACAAGAAAGTGAAGACGAGAGTGATGATGATCATGATTCAGTCTTTGAGAAATCAAAATTGAAGGTAGAAAAGAAAACAGCCGAGAATATTCAGCAACAACCACCTTCAAATGCACCTATTCCTACTACTACATCAAATAATAAAAAACAAGTTGTAAAGAAGGAAGATAAAGAGAGTGAAGATGAGTTTGGATTGTTATCAGACAGTAGCAATGAGAAAAAACCGAGAGCGACAGAGAATCGTAATAGTAATAGACCTAAACCTAGAATGTCAAGAACTCAAGTGAGCATAAGTGACTCGGATTCAGAAGAAGAAGAAATAGAGCATGGTCGTTATTCTGGAAATAATGATGATGTTGACTCTGATGATGACGTACCTATTCAACAACACTATCAACAGCGACAACAAGATAGTGTTTATTATGAAGATCACCCTGGAGGACTTCCATGGGATAGTGCAAGTATGATGATGGAACAACAACAACAATATCATCATCCACAAGCTTACTATGACCAAGGTTATCCAGAGTATGATGAAAATGGACCTATCATTCCTCAACTTGGAGATCGTTTTGCAACACAAAATAGTCTATTAGATACATATCGACTTGAGCGTGGCACTGCTCATGATCAAGAAGGATATGCTAGAGCCACAGGACAACCTCTTATTCAAGTCCCTAACAAGCCTCCTGAACCACGTGCAGGTCTCGTTGGCATGATTTCTCAGATTGAACATGAAAAGAAGCAGAAGGAGGCTAACAAACATTTAATGATGAATAATAGTCGTGAACGTATGATGATGATGGAAAGGGAAAAATATCTACTAGAGCAAAGAGCTCAACAACAACAACAACAACAAATGATGCCGGTAAAATCAAGCTTGTGTTTATATTAAAGAAAGACTTTATTGACTTTTTTTTTTTTTTTGTATAGTCTACAGCGAGTATGATAAACCCAATCATGAATCCAAGCGTGAATACATTGAATCCAAGCTTGAATGCATTAAATCCAAGTATGAATGTGTTGAATCCAGGCATGAATATGATGAATCCAATGATGTATTCAAATATGATGCCCATAATGTCAAGTCAAATGTCTATGATGTCAGGACAGATGCCCATGGTGATGAATCCAATGATGTATCCTACCATGATGCAACAGTCTTATCCAGGCATGATGCCAAATATGATGGACCCTCGTCTCTTGCTGTTGCAACAACAACAACAACAACAACAGCAACTATGGCAGCAACAACAAATGTTGAATAGTCGTTTTAACACAAGTCAACAAAGTATATTAGAAGATGAAGATGATGATATTCCTCTGGGAACTAAAGATACAAATACTGCCATACCCCCTACCAGACATAAATAAAATTACATAATAATAATAATAATAAAACATTTAATTTTTTATTATAATAATAATACTAATCTATGTAAATGTTTACGTTATTTTTTTTTCTCTTTCTCACTCTCACTCTCTCTGTCTGTATGTATATATTTATATATGTATATCTATGTGTTTTTGTGCATGTATGTATAGGTGTGTGTGTGTGTGTGTGTGTGTGTGTTTGTAGAATAGACTTATTAGAAAGAAATACCTTCATCATGTAATTCTTTTTCAATAGCATTCATCACCAATTTAGGATCAGCACGTTCAATATAAGTAACACGACGTTCCTTTTCTAATAAACCATGGAATTCAGTAGGTAATACATCCTTACCAAAATCAAATCCAGATGCAGTCTTTAATGACTCCTCAACAGCTTCAGAGAATTTAGCAGGATGAGCAGTAGCCAAACAAATAAAGACTTCATTCGTCTTGACATTATCTCTCTTCATTATCTGTTCAGCAGCATGTACACCAACAGAAGTATGAGGATCAAGAACATAATGGTATTTATCATAAAAGTCACGAATAGTGTCTAAGGTCTCTTTATCTGTCACACGAGCAGCATCAAAGATTTCACGAGCCTTCAAGACAACTTGATCAGAGACACGGAAGACACCATTTTGCTTTAATTCCTGCATCCAACCGGCAACTGTCTCTCCTGCTTTATCATCATTACTTTCACTATCAGATTCACGTGCAAGATACCATAAAAGACGTTCAAAGTTAGAGGAAACCAAGATATCCATAGCAGGTGATAATGTGGCCTTAACGCCACCTTCAGGACCTGTTTGCTTTTCATAAGCATGAGAGGCAAAGAAACGATATAAAATATCATTTTCATTAGTAGCAATTAATAACTTATTAGCAGGAAGACCCATACGATAGGCATAATAACCAGCCAAGACATCACCAAAGTTACCAGTAGGGACAGAGAAGTTAAATTTAACATCAGAAGTATTTAAGGTACGTAAGAGGCTAAAGTAAGCTTGGAAATAGTACACCGTTTGTGCCAAAATACGTGCCCAGTTAATAGAGTTGACAGCACCAAGATGATGACGATCATTAAATTCCTTATTACCAAAGAGTGTTTTCACGATGTCTTGACAGTCATCAAAAGTACCCTCGACAGAGAAGTTATGAACGTTAGCATCAAGGACAGTAGTCATTTGAGCTTCTTGAATAGGGCTGACACGACCATTAGGATGTAAAATAAATACAGATACATTCTTCTTATTACGAAGACCATAAATAGCAGCACTAACAAAATATTAAATAAATTAATAATTACTTGGCAAAAAAAGAAAAAAAAATATGTATTTTTACCTGCCAGTATCACCAGAGGTAGCACCAACAACAGTTAATCTATGTGTTTGACCATTTGTTTCTTTACGATTACGACGTTCCAAGAAATATTCAAACAAGTTACCAACAAATTGAAGAGCAACATCCTTGAAGGCAAAAGTAGGACCATGGAATAACTCCAAGACATGAAGTCCGTCATGAACCTTTGCAACAGGTGTAACATCTTTTGAACGAAAAGTAGAATAAGATTTCTCAACAAGATTCTTCAAATCTTCACGAGGGATTTCAGATTCATCGATGTATAAAGAAAGAATTTCGGTGGCTAATTGTTGAAAGGTGTAGTTGGACCAATTTTGTTGCCAATTAGCAGGCAATTGAGGAATAGATTGAGGAATGAAGAGACCACCATCAGGGGCTAAACCTGTCATAACAGCTTCCTCAAAAGTGTAGTCCTTAACTTGTCCACGAGTTGATCTATATTTCATAATGTTTAAAGGGGAAAAGAAAAATGTAATAATAAAAAAAAAATGAGTAAAGTTATGTTTATGATAAATTTAAGATCAGATTTTTAATCCAATTATACATTTACCTTTTACACAAAAAAAAAAAAAAAAAAAAAAGTGACTCATTTTTATCCAATAATTCATTCATTGGTTTATGTTAATTTAGAATTCAAATTCAACAAGCCGCTTCAATGTTTATGTTATACACATTTTATTTAAATCCAATGAGTACACTGATAATTATCTATCACAGTTGCTCTGGGAAGCTCTTTTTTTTTTTAAAAAAAAAGTAAATAAATTAAAAACCCTTAATGGGCTTAAGAGAAAGGTGCAAATTCATATTACAGTATTTTGGATGAAATCAAGACTAGTTAAAAAAATAGATCAAATAATACAATTTTGAAAAGTAAAAATAGATTTAGTAGACGAAATAAAACTAGTTTTTATACATGTTCACCTGTAAAAATCTAAATTTTCCGTTAAGAAAAAAACGGTATTCAAGATTATAGTATTATTGTTTCTGATAAGAGAATACAGAGATCAGTTATTATCTTATTAGAGATTTGATGAATATTTAATGCAAAATTGCAGTCATATTCAGATAGTATCGCATAGCTTTGGTAAGATAATTAGACGTTGTAATGGCTTGTTATTGCAACATAAATTTTCTTTTGAAGCATGATGAATAGCAAGTCTGTTTTATATAAAAGCAAGTATATTAATTAATGTTAACATCGCAGTAATAGTTTATCACTTTAAAAGTTCTATGGTAGCTGCAGTCAAATCATTACATCTTTGTCTATTCAACAATTCTTTCCATACTATGTTGGTGGATTACGGTAGAATACCTTTAAACTTGACAATGTCTTTACTAAACATGCCATTCCCAAAGGCTATAACCGGAATTTTCATATTATCTTGATATATATTTGTGTCCTTTGTCTACTATGTAATGAGTACAAAATAATATATTTACTCTCGACAGGTCTTTGAATAAAACTATACTAGCACTTGATTTCCGCTTAAAGCATTGCTTTCTAGGATTATTAGAATAAAGAAGAGAAGGGATAAGCAATTAGATTTTTATTGATTACATGAAAAAAAAAGTGTTATCAATACTTGGAAATAAAAATAAAGTAGTAGCATAGTTGAGAAAGATATAATTTATATTAGCACATTTCTTGAAGTATGTATATCTGTAATAAAGTATGTTATAGTCTAGAAAAAGAGGATATATTAACTATAAATAGTAATTAGCTTAAGATAGAAATGCATAACTTTTATTATAGACTTCCCCTTTCTCTTCTCATTTTATATCTTAAATAAGAGTCTTTATTACTATAATATTGCATATTTGTTCTTTGAACAATAGAGAAAAGAATTGGTAATAGCTACAATCAAAATTACGCAAATTAAAGCAGAATGTTAGTTAATTATTCAACATATTCATGCTAGTTCCATCTTTTTTCTAGTCTCTCTATTCTAACACATCTAAAGCTACCTATTTCACAAAAGACGCATTGATAAACTAGTCCTCTTATTGCAACTAATACATCAATAGATTGTAAATTCCTTGGATTAATATTAGTAGATTTCTAGAGTCTGAATTTATTGAAAGCATTCTTTTTATTACTAGATATACGGATCCAATGACGTAAAGTAAAAGCACACAAACACATAGACACACACATACACATAGACCTAGTTTCAAATAACTTACTTAGCTTATACTCTCAGTGAATAGAATGAAAATACCCGTTTTAGAAAATGAAATATAAATAATTATTAATAAGCTTAAGAATGTACTCAAGTTGTTCAAGGGAGGTTATTAAGCTCTGAATTCGTATATAAGAAGCCTTTTAGTTGTATTATAAAGGCCACTACATCTTAACAATAATTATCAAACTTGAAGCTACTTGTTTACTAGTGTCTATTCTAATCTGATATCATTTCTTTTAGTTAAATATAAAGTTTGATATCATAGTTAGATTTTAATTTATTATTTTCACTTTAACTGTCAAAAAATGGTTTTATCCATTAAGCGGATGTTAAATAATATGTCTAAAACAATCAATAAAAACAAAAAATTTTCAAGTCAATAATCCGATCATAAAAAAAAAGACAAATTAATTAAAATATATACTTTTTTTTTTTTTTTTTTTTTTTTTTTTTTCCAAGATAAAGAAAAGTTAAAAATGGATTTTACGTCTATTCCTTTTCAAACTCTTCTTATTGATACAGCAAATGACGAACAACTTTTGGGATATTTAACACAACTCGACCAACAATATCGAAATGCTACTGACATACAGGTTCGTTTTGATAGTCTTCAGATCATGTTGCCGATCTTTAAGGCTCATTTAATACGATTAAGCGATCCAAAACGAGAACAAGACTCGATTGAACAGTTTCTTTTGAATTGGTTACAACTAACAGCCTTACGCTCGAAAGAACATCGAGAAGATAATACTCAACAAGAGTGTATGACTCTTTTAAGAAAGTTATTTGCTTATGTAATGGCACGACATATCCTGTTATACAGTCAAGACGATAACTTTGGAGAAAAGATGATCATCACCACTTTGACTTATTTGGTGAATTTAATGGATACTGAACCTGATTTGGTGGATCTGAAGCCCTTGGAATTCATAGAATCTAATCTAAGTGATCGTCATCTATGGAATAAATATATAGCATCTCAACTAATGACTGCCAATGAAAATGGGCAACGAGATCAACTACCTTCTTTAAGTGAGGATAATTGGCTTGACTTGACTTCAACCATAGAGTTACTTCAGTTATTTGTACGTGATCTAAATGAAAACCAGGAATGGAAAGATATAAAGAAAAGAGACATCTATCCTTGGATAGATTTGATCTTTACAGTTGCTGTATCTATGGTACCTTGTACAGATATTCCAGCAAGAACAAAGCTAAACCATGATTTATTACCAAATCTATTTCGTTGGCAGCAAAATAGTTTACAGCAAGTAGAAATCAAAAAGCAAATTGATTGGTGCGAGGTAAAAGAACAGACAAACAAACAAAAATATTTGAGTATTAATCTCAAAGAATGATCTTTGTAACAAAGCTTATTTTTTATTATAGATGATTTGGAGTCGTACACTTCAAATGTTTGCTCTTCCTGCTATTAATCTTTTAAGATTAGAAATTTATGGCTTAATTGCTCGTTTCTTTGAGTTTTACTTTGGAATCAAAAATGAGACAGATAAGAATGAATCAAATATCATACTTAAAGATCTTCGATTTAATCAGGATTTTTTCAATATCTTACAGGTGAATATACAGATATATATATACATATACATTTATACATATATTTATATATACATTTATATAAATTTTAGAGCGGTCTTAAAAGCAATGATTCATCAGCACGTAAATACTCTTCTTACATATTAAAACGAATTATTGACTTTACCGATAAGCATCCACCTCAACACGATGATAGTAATAAATGGTTACCTTATTTTCGCTGGAGCTCTGAACATGCTTCCCGTTATTTAACCTTTTGGGATGATTGGTTCTTACTTTATGACATTATGCATGAAAATGTCATTCATCTTGTTGATCCTGTCTTGCCAAGATTCGAACTCATCCTGAAGGAAACAGACAGTCTCCAGCTTGATCCTTCCTGGTGGATTCTATTGTTTTACCGAGGCTTTGAAAATGACACACCTTCTGTTAAAAAATGTCTTTTAGAATACATTTTTGGACAACGCCAGCATGACGTTTTAAATAAATTGGCTATCCAACCTAGTTTCATGTTTGATGCACTTTTGAAAGTGGTTGATAACACTTCTCTCTTTCAGGTCCCCACTATAGGGACCATGGTAAGTCCATTTGGTGAACATTTCAAGACCTTCATGACACATTTGATCCATGATGGATTTGTAAAGGGTCAAGAGGAAGAACGAACTAGAGTTTTAAGACAATTGATCTGTCATTTGTCACGTGTTGTGAACAGTCCTTTACCCATTTTATATGCTATGGAGGCCTTGGCTGAGGTAGATGAGAGAGTAGTCGATGCTTGGGGTCCTGAAGAGTTAAAGTCATTAAGAATCCTTGTTGATCGACATCGTAACTTCAAGTAAGAAATAGAATAACATGCATTTATGTTGCTCATGACTATAGCTTTATTTGCTTTGCTTTTGTTGTTGTTGTTTTTTTTTCTAGTATCTCTACTACAAAACAATTTTTGCGTAAATTGGGTATTCAAGCAGTTGTTAAACTTAGTAATACAGCTCTTCTTTCATTTTCAGATATTGCAAAGTAAGTTCAATCAGAACTCTTTCATATATATATATATATGCTTCCCCACCACCGAAAATAGATAGATTGATAGATAATAATATTTATTTTACTACTCTTTAAAGAACTATTTCTTCTCTAGTTAACGAATATCCAGTAAAAACGAATTCCAGAGAATTTAAATTATTACGTTACTGGTTAGAAAACAAAATCTCAAAAGATCAGGTAAGAATAAATATAAATATTTTACTTGAATTTTTATCATAGCATCTATATTAATATGTGTATAATATATATCTGGATTAGTCAATTTCAACTATCTTGGATGGTTTAAAAGAACGTATCAAGACTTATGTGTATGATTTGGAAACTGAGACAATTCCTGAAGCAATATTACGTAATCAAGCGAATGTATTAGTACGCACTTCTATCTTTGTTATTATGGATAAAAATGGACAATTAGATATGAATCGAGCATTAGATCTTTTCTCCGTTTTTTCGAAGCAATTAAAGGATTCTTCCAGGTAAAATATATATATCTTAATAGTAGGCTTGCTTTATTAGTATTTTTAACGTAAAAAAAAAAAAAAAAGTGATGACAACACATTTTCTAGACTTCTAACTTTACTTAATGCCTTATGGGAAAATTGGAGTCATACGTTTGAAGAAACAAGCGGCAAAGATCTTTTGAAACTTATTGGCTTAGACGATACTAGTGAAAGTATTTTTTATATATTGGAAAGAATAGATAAAAACTATCTTATTGTATCAGAAGTTAGCACTACCGATGATGATGTACTAGAATTATATCTGTCATTGACAAAGTATTTCTTATTATCATTGAATGGAAATAAGAAGCAACAACAGCAGCTTATTCAAAACTATTATAACAAATGTCTTGAATTAATACAATATCGTTCATCTATGATAGACCCTAATCATGAAATGTTGAAAGCAACTTATCTTCACTTATTAAGCATAGTATATGAAGTCGCAAGACAGCCAGAATATATCGGATTATTAGCTTGCGATTCTACTATAACGGATATGGTTGTTGGTCTTCAAATGAAACGTACACAAGAAGCATTACGCAACAAGTAAGTATTCCATGTATTAGATACATGTATGTCTGTATTCTATTTTCACTCACTCCTTCTAATTTGCTTTAGGACATGGGGTGATTCTGTATCTACTTTTATTCGTAATAAATGGAACTGTATTGAAAATATAGTTCGTTATGCAGCTATAATTAAAAAGAAGATGGATCAAGATCCATCGTTATCTTATACATTCTTTGAACCATCCACCATTTATGAAGAAGCTGTTGAACAACTTGAATGTAGTTCTGAACAATCAGGAGAATCTATCATTCGTAGTTTTGGTCCCCTTTTAGCTTTCCCTTCTTGGGATAAGACTGCTGAATTAGTAAACCTAGGTGTTGATCGTGCCCTTGCCTTTATGGAAGAATATGCTCAACAATCAAAGACATTCCCTCTCTTATTTAAAGCCTTTATTGATGTCCTTTTCCAACCAGAGTTACTCTCAATTCCTGAGCTTAACAATTCAAATGAGGCTCCCTTGAAACGAGCTCTACAAAAAATATTGGATGTATCAGAGATTAAACCCTTCTTTGCTGCTCAAACAGCTCATTTGCTTCATGCCTATTGGTCAACTTTTACAAACGAAGCTAATCAATCCATGCTTAATTATATACATGAATTAAGAAAGTTACTTGTGTTTGGACCCTTGAGAGATCGTGATGATCAAAAGTTGGAAGCTGCTTTGGCCACAAAAATAGCATCACCTGAAGAAATCTCGGCATCAGAAGGGTAACTAATAACAGTTTGTTTATTTTTGTTTTCTTTATTTATTTACTTGTTTATTTTATTTTATTTATTTATTTATTTTTTTTTTTTGTAAATAGCACTGTGGAATCGGTATTTAGCCAAAATGATTACCTTGTTCGTGTTAAAATGAATGATTTGTTGTTGAGATTAGATGGAAACAATAAGGACCATGTAGAACTTGCAAATCTGTTATTAGATAACTTTTTAGATGTTTTAAACAATAGCGATCTGTTTGAAAATACATTTGTGGCTACTGTAGAACATAGATTAAAGGTATTTTAGTTCATTTATTATTATACACTAAATAAATTAACCCTGTTCAATAGATTCGTATATGTTGTTCGATGCTTTTAATTATTGATTTTGCTTCTGAGGACAAGTTAAATAACTATATGGAGATCATCTTTGATATGATGCGTAAGGAAACAGTTCCCTCTGTTCGATGCTATATTGAATGGTCTATGGTTCGTCTTTTACGTCGTTTCCCTGACCGTCTCCCACTTTACTATTCAAAACTCGATGACACTAGTCATAAGCCCAATTATGTTATTTCCCTTCTTACAATTGCCTTTACCTTAGGTGAAGTTCTTCCTTCTGAACATGGAGAAGTCAAAGACTACTTTGACACTATCTTTGTCCGTTTGGTACCCTGGTTAATCACAAATCATTTCGTGATTCGCTTATTTGCCTTTTGTGCATGGAGACGTAATTGGCAAGCGTATATTAAACGAGGTTATTATAACAAGGATGAACAACATGATCCTTATATTGCTTCCATCTTGAAGTTCATGGAGACTTACTCAGATTGTAAAAAGTTCTTTGATAAGATTGATGCACACTTTTATATGTCAAGATTTGATCCTCTTCAAGACTTTAATATTGAATTTATCTTTCGTCAAATGATGACTGAATTTGATATGATTCATAATGAAAAGATTGGTTCTGTAAAGTAGATTATAAAAAAGTGAAGGATACAAAACCACAAAAAAACTGAACTCTTTTTTTTTTTTCCTTGTATATTATTATTATTATAGAGAGCATTTATTCAAGTCAATTCAAAAGTAGTAGATCGTTGTCCCTTTGAAAACTCATCTCGTAAATCTGTCTATACATGTGCTGATCCTACAGAAAAGATTGGTACATTAGTAGGAGACGAAGAAGAAGAAGAAGAAAGATTAGATAAGAAAGAGTCTGAAATGAATCCCTCTGAAGATGTCTATCAAAAGAAAATCATGCCTTGGGAAATGATGCTTGAAACAGATATGGATATGACAAAGAGTCTAGTTAAAAAGAATAGTAGACGTCGTAATGACCTTATTGTAGTAGCAAGTTTAATTGATAGATTACCCAACTTGGCAGGTCTCTGTCGTACTTGTGAAATATTCAATGCATCTCAATTAGTTGTCCCAACCTTAAAAATCAAGCAAGATCCTGGATTTACAAGTATTAGTGTTGCTTCTGAAAAGTGGATGCCGATGGTAGAGGTAGGACCTAATGATGTTGCTGCCTTCTTAGCAGCCAAGAAAGATGAAGGTTATACATTATGTGGTTTAGAACAAACAACAACAAGTGTTCGATTAGATGATCCAAACTTTGAATTCCCTGAGAAATGCATCTTATTATTAGGTAAAGAAAGAGAAGGCGTACCAGCTGATTTGTTACAAATGTTAGATATAACCATTGAAATCCCTCAATATGGTATTACCCGTTCTTTAAATGTTCATGTCAGTGGTGCCATTTGTATCTATGAATACACAAAACAAATGAGTTGGAAACAGCAACAGATTTTAGACCATTAAGATATATATATATATTCTTTATCCATTTATAATAATAAATAGACATTTCTTATATAAATCTATCTAATGATGGCATTCTATTCTATCATAATAACTAACTTGAACTTATTCGTATTAAGATAGACCATCAGATAATATGTGATAAGATTCAAATTGTTAAACATCATGATATGATAAATAATAATAATAATAATAAAAATAGCCAATTGTTGCTAATGAAATGACAGTAAAACTACTACTATTTTATGTAGTAAAAATAATGTTTTTACATCATCTCTTTATTAGCCTGACTGAATCAAAAGGTGATTACTAGATTTTTTATAACGGTTACTCCACATTTTATTGTTCAAAGCCCGCTAGAGCTTTACCTACTACATGTGAAAATTTAAAATAATATAAAAATACACTATTTTTTTTTTTTTTGTTTAACTTTTTCTTTTCTCCTTTAAATAAATAATTTTTTATATATATATATATAATGTCAGATATTAAAACACCAGGATTCCAAAGCTCTGAAGTTTTTGCTAATATTCAACAATCAGTGAATGCGCTTGAAGCAGGAGAAAAGTCTAAAGTATTGAAACAAGTGAATGGTATCTTTGAATTTGTTATAAAGAACGGTGAAGGAAAGACAGAGACGTTTACTGTTGACCTCAAGAAGGATGGGAAGGTTATGAAAGGGAAGGGACCTGGCAAAGCAGATGCTATTATTTCTATTGCTGACGCTGACTTTATTGATTTGGCTTCTGGTAAATTGAATGGTCAAAAGGCTTTTATGTCTGGTAAACTCAAGATTAAAGGTCAGATGATGTTGGCTACGAAGCTTGATACTGTATTCAAGAATCTTGCTGGTAATAAAGCCAAGTTGTAAGAAAGGAAAGTAAACTTTATTTATTTATTACAAGGAATAAAAATAAAATAAAATAAATGTGCCTTTGCACTTGCGTGTTTCGTGTGAATTTTTTTTAATGAATATGCGTATTCCCTAATTTATCTTGAATCACTTCTAGACTGTGATTATCATCGTCACTGTCATCTTCTTCTTCACTATCTTCTTCTTCGCTACTATCTTCTTCTTCACTACTATCATCGTCAAATGCAGTAAAAGCATTATCACGATTATGATTTTGAAACAAGTCATCATCATCATCATCATCATCATCATCGTCTTCTACTTCATCACCACTATTCTTGTCTTCCTTTTTATTACGTCCTTCTTTCTCTAGTTGGGCTAAATATTCATTTTGTACTGCAACAACTTCAGTTGAATCTTTGCATTTAGCATATCTTGCAAGCAAACCACTAGAAGAATATAACGTAGATTGAATACACAAAAGCAAGATAAGAATATTTTGAGAGAGATTATATTACCCGTTTACTTTTTTGAACGCATGTCCCCATTTAAATTTAGATAACAATTCTTCACCATGTTCAGGAAAGCCGGTAATATAAAAAATAGCAGCCAAGGCTTCAGCACAGTTTAATTTCCAGGGCTTCCCATAATTAACAGGATTAGTGGCTATCAAATAAGGCAAAAGACGATCTGTAGGTCCTCTGATTTTTGAAAATGGGACCTCATCTAAGCGAGCCCAAGAGCAATCAACGACGCCTGCACCATACATTTCGACAATTTTTCTATCTGCTGGAGAAACTGCCTTTTCACCTACAGGACTAGATGAACATATGTCATTTTATAACCTTCCCTTCCTTTTTTTTTTATGTGAGAGAAGCAGTTTAGTTTACCTTGCAACAATACCACGAAAACGTTGATTTAATTTCAAGGTTTTTAACATATCACAACGTGCTAATTTGACGCCTGAACAACGTTTAGGATCGCAATGTTTGAAATCCTTGTATATATATAAAGTTAGATCAAATCCAGTTCTTATATACATTATAATCCTTATTCACATTACCCACATGACAACTGGCATAGGAATGTTGGATGCTGAACTATGTTCATCTATTACATGTAGTTAGATCATGAATGTCTGTTTTTCTTTTTCTTCTTTGCTCATTTACCCTCTCTTTCTTCTATGTAACTTGGTGTACTCATATAGCGATCATATCGAGATCCTTTACCAGAGCTTAAAAAATGACGATCAAAAAAGTTAATTTTTTTCTAAAAAAAAAAAAAATAATAATAATAATAATCAAAATTTAAATGAAACCTTGAATGTGATTTGCCATGACTTCTTGTACTTGTTGATTTATGTCCATGAGACTTTGTTGAACGCCCATTATAGTCTTCTGAATTCTTTTTACCCATTTTATAATATTAGATAAATAAATAAATAAAAAAAAGTTTTTTTTATTTTAATAGCGAAAATAAAATAAAATAAAAATGTTAAACCCAGCTTTTTATTATTACTGACTGGACTGTTGCTAGATTGAAATATTATTTTTATTTTCTGTTTCTTCTACAGACCACCATTCAGGTAAAAAGGGTTTAATTCGAATAGACTCATTTTCAGGAATTTTAAATAACACAGTTGGATCAGTGATTGATTTTTGTACATGTTCTAATCGCATTAATGCTAATCCAATATTGTGTATTCCAGAACCCATTTTGCCTACACTTTTTTTACTCATTCCATCCACAAGTTTAATTTCTGTTTGAGGCAAAAGTACAGATGGAACATCTTTTGATCGATCTACTGATTGAACTTTAGGAACACTAGAAAAAAAAAAAAAAAAAAAAAAAAAAAAAAGAGAGAGAGAGAGAATTATTCGGCTAATCAATTTTCATGCATAAATTTTATAATACTTGCGATTCTTCTTTATGATAAATCTGTATTGGGACAATACGTTTACGAACAACACCTGTATGATATGTACGAATAGTTAATTCTTGCCCAACATAACATCCTTTACGGAAATCAACTAGCCAAAAAAAAGAAAAAGAAACACACACACACACACAATTAAATATTCCTATTCAACTGCATTTTTTTTTTTTTTACTACCTCCATTCATATAATCAAAATTAGATTCAAGTGGTAATGAAGCTTCTGGCCAGATATCATCAGGTCCTTCAGGTAATCCATGCAATATTCTTCTAATTGTATATTCAGAGCGATCCAATTCCTCAAAATTGCCTGCAGTAGGCTGCGGCAACACGGTTTGTACCTCCTGTTCTGCTTTTAAAATAGCTCTGTATCCAAATCCTTGTATTCTAGGATCATGACATCCAATATCTGAAATCCTCACCCTTTCCTTCACTAATTTCGGATCGGAAAAGGAACGTAAACTAGGTCCCCATATCTGCCATAATTTATATTCGTCAGAACAATCACGTATCTTGATTTTAGAACGCAAAAGATATCGTCTCAGATGTTTTATTAGTTCTTGTTTTGATGATGTAGGACATTCGATTAAAAACTTGGGATGTGGAAAGTTGACACCAACATTGACTGGGTAAATAAAAGTGTCATAAAGCATACGTCCCTAAGATAAAAAAGAGAAGGGATTAAAAAAAAAAGAAAGAAAAAGAAAGCACAGGCAAATTAGATGCATTTTTTTTTCTTACAGATGGTGTTAGAAATGCAGTATAAAATCCATCTCCACCAGGTGATATCTTGGGCATATGATTAGTAATCAAGCCTTGTAAGAACTTTGCTGTATCATGTCCATCCAATTCAATTAAACTACGATTGGGCACTAGACAATAGTGGTCACCTTTATGTCGCTCATCTTTCTCTTGAAACTGAAATACATGTGTACTAACAAAGGAACGAGCCAATGAAGTAGCTAAATAAGATAATAAGAAGAAGGAAAAAAAAAAGAAAATAGTTGTTAATAAATCAATCCATATAAATGTATATATAAAGTGTCTTGTACGTTTTAAAACTATTTGCTTGAATGGGAATGTAGGTTGTAAAATACTTTTCGCAAACATAGTGTGAAGGTAGAAAAAGGAAAAATAAACTTTTATTACAGGTATTCAGAATCATGGCAAGTCACGTCTTAAGCAGCCGTTTTTTTTTTTTTTTTTTATAGGAAAAGGCGGGGTATAGAAGGCAAGGGTAAAAACTGATATTTCCTTTTTATATAAAAATATATAAATATATACATATATTCGTATACATATACATTTCAATGCATCACGGTAAACATTTGCGTCGATTGAATCGCCCTTCAGGACATAGAAAAGCATTACTTCGTAATCTTGTATCTTCACTTATTGAACATGGTCGTATTGAAACTACAGTTGCAAAAGCAAAGACCATTCAGCCCATAGCCGATTCCATGATCACTCTTGGTAAAAAGGGAGACGTTGAAGCAAAGAGAAAGGCACTTGGATATCTTAATGTAACACTTGAAGAAATAATAATAATAATAATTGAGTTTAGAATGTTGAATTTCTTTTTCTTTTAGAGCCGAGATGTCACTATACCTAAATTATTTGAAGAGCTTGCACCTCGATTTGCTAATAGACAAGGAGGATATACACGTATACAAAGAATAGGCAAAAGATACGGTGACAATGCACCGATGGCAGTTATTGAATATATTGACGGACCTAATGACCTTAAACGAGAAATGATAACTTCAACTTTGGCTAATAAATTTAAATCGACATCAACTGTATCTGTCACTGAGCTTTTGAATGATGAACAAAAGGTGAAGGATCTTGGGCTGTCAAAATCACTTATTCGAGATTTGAAAAAGGTTCAGTTTTCAAATTCAATAGAAAGCATTGAAAATGAAGTTCAAAACAAGATGGTCAACAATTTATAGTTTATATATGTATATATTATTTTATTGAATAAAAAGAATATATAGATTTATATCATTTATTGTCTTGTATCAGGCACCATAAGATAGCCACTAGCGTCTTGTTGAACATGATTAGTAAGCTCCTCTATGTCTTGTAGTCCTGAAGCAACTTGAAATGAATTTGAAGGTGATACAGAATAATCCCGATAACAGTCATTTACAACTGCTTCAGGAGAATCAATAGTGGGTATAAAGGTAGGTAATAAGGTTGAATCATTCACATCGTCATCTACAGTCATGATGACAGGAGGGTCTTGATGAGCTAAAAGAGGATAAGTAGAGGGTATAGTACCGATAATGATAGGTAAAGAAATAGTATTAGATTCTGTAGCTGTCGTATCATCTGTTACGACCACGGTATTATGATGACGAAATAAAAGAGAAGCACCTTGTTGATGATAAGGGATGATAGACAGATTGACCTCATAGGCAATATCAATCAATTTCCCTAGCTTATTAGTAAAAGTAGGCACTAATTGAATAGGTAAATGAAATTGAAAAACGTCTTGGTGTTCTTGTGCATATTTAGGAATAGAGACGTAAAATGATTCAGTTAATAAAGTATGTCTTTTATGAGTATATTCTACTATTTCAACATGATCATCATTCACTGAAGAAGAAGAGGTAGTTAAGATGGCCACGAATGCAATTTGAACACTACTAATTTTTGTTCCAGATTTATTATTAGTTGTCATTTTGATAGTACAGATGTCACCTACATAAATACATACGTACATATAAATATTTATATAAATATTTATATATATAAAAGGGGATTCTATAAACTATGACAAGTGACGGGATTTATCTTTACCTGGACAATAAACTGGTTTGATTAATTCTGCAGTAATTCCAATTCGTTTATTTATTTCTTCTTTTTGATGAAATAGCCAAAGTTGTGTCATTCTTTTAGAAGGCATAGCATGGCTTGTAATAAAAGGTAGATAGAGAACAGGGACAATGGGTGTTGTATAAGGAGATGGAAGAGATGTCAAGTCTAAGAAGCCTTGTAAAGAGTATTTAATACGATGATGAGCAAAATGATATTTTTGCATAGAAGGGGGATAATTGACATGAGGTAATCGAACAGCAAATAAGTACATATGACTACCATTTGATAATTCATTGGGTTGCTGATGACTCTCTAAATATTACGTAATATTTTACTATGAATGAATATATACACATATACACATATTAAACTTTACTACTACCTTCTCTTAAATTACCCCAGATAACACTATCAATAGAAAATAGCGTAGTCGTTATTTTTTCTTTTTTAGATGTATCGATTTCTTCGCATTTAAATATGACACGTATATTATAAGCAGACAAAGGCTTATCATTCGTAATTGTTAATGACCCTATTATATACATCATAGAATAAGCTTTCCTTTTTCAATATCATTTCATTTCTTTTTTTATCTACACTGTTGTTACCATTTATAACTGAACCAGGGCCATAAGCTATTGCTTTCTCATATCCACCACCAGTAGTAATATAAAAATTACGGATCGATAACAAGTCGGTATTTCTTTGGAAAATCATTGATTAATAAAACGAAGGTCACACAAGAACAATAGAACGGAGTTTTTTTTTAATATATATGAATATAAAAAGAAAAAAAAAGAAACCAAAAAAAAGTGGAGATTATATATGATAAAGAAAATAAGGGATAAAGAAAGATTATAAACTACTTTACTATATAAATATATATTTTTTTTTCTTGGCAAAGTAAGGGGTATCCTGTGATGCCTTCAAATTGTACTAAATACATTAACATTGGCATATGTGTTAAATGAAAAATAAATAACTTTTATCAAAATTCTGTATAATGAGGCTGCTGCTGCTGCTGCTGCTACATGTCACAAATAATAGATAAGATTTGAATGATAAACAATAATAATAATAAAAAAAAGCGTATCTATAAAAGAGTGGGAGTGGGGGAAGGGAGGGAGGAGGGAGGGAGAAATAACTGTTGTTTTTAATTACACAAGTAACTTTTTTAATTTTATTTTTATTTTTATTTTTATTTTTATTTTTATTTTTATTTTTTGAAAAAAAAATGTACATATTCATATATATAATAATTCCTCCTATATAATTCTTTACAAGTGTAGAATCTAACAAATATTTACTTATTAGGTACATTGCATTTACGAATGCAAGCTATTACAAGTTTATTATATGAATATGTAACTACGAAATGAGTGAAATAACTTGATTCATTATACTACAATTTTAAGAAAGAAAGCTTTCAAATCAGAATAAAAGAGAATACATTACATTCAATAAAAGTGATAACCAATGATTAGTAATTTTTATAAGCATTGAATTTGAGTTACTCTTTTTGATATGGATGAATTTTACTAATAGCCAATAATCATTCTTATTATTACTAAACCAATGATCGAGACAAACATTTTCTATAAACTTTATCATAAAAAAAAAAGTATAAAATTGTTAGTCTGTTAATTTGACGAAACATTAAATTAGAATCTTAGTTTGTAAGTCAAGTACATAATTTTGGAATGATGACAGCTACTACTACTACTACTACTACTATTACTCCTGTTAGAGCAAACCCCTCTCCCTCCTTTTTACATTTCTTTAGTAAAATAGATCAAAAGCTTAATTAAAAGGAATCGCCGGGATATTACAGGTAAATAATACATGTATACAAATATAGATTTCAGGGCTACACTGATAATTTGGAACGGAGCATAAGTCTCCATAGCAGCAGCTGCAAACAATATATCACTTACTGCAATCATTATAAATACGACGCTATTTTTTATTTATTTTCTTAAAAAAAATTTTTTTTTATTTTTTATTTTTTATTTATTTATCTTTCAAAATGTTATATTCTCGTATTGCTCGTACAATTGCTACTAAAAAGTCTGCTTATACTCTTGTTGGTGCCGCTGCTTTTCTCGCATATGTACAAGAATGCAAAGATGATGTGATTTTCTTTACTCGATCTACTTCTACTACTGCCAAGCAATAATTGAATTACTGCACTATCATTTAATTGTCAATTCTATAGAAAGAAGAATCACTAGTTCATTACCTTAAACTACTATCATATACAAGTCTTTCAAATTAATTTATTTATTAGAATATAATATTAATATCTTAATCATAATAACTCTTATTGCATTTTAATAAAAAAAAATCATTTTGATTTCAACGTGAACAAAAACTTTGACGTCTTTTGACAATTTTTTCTTTTTTTTTTTCTTTTCTTTTTTTTTTTTTTTTGGAATAATACAATGATTCATTTTAAATCGCCGCTTTAATATATGTAATTATTTATTTGATTGGATAATTCACATTATTGTTTTCTAACAACAACAATAATTTATGAAATTGAAATCATATGAAATCATATTAAAATGCTGAATTCACAAGATTTTTTCACGATAATCAAAAGTAGTAATTATAAGTCATCAACTGATAATACTTATTCTTATGTATGATGACATACATGAGAAACAAAAGACAATATCCGTTCTTTTCTAGATGAATCAAAAGAGGAAAATGGTATGCCTATTTTTATTTGTTGTTTTGGACGACGATGCGAGACTTTTTTTTTTTTTTTTTTTTTTTTGTTAGTTAACTAGCTTTTAAAGGTTCGAAAATGACAACATTTTGTTTGATTGGGAAAACTTTCTATTTGACTTTAACAATCAATGTCATCTATATCGTATCTACTACAAGTTAAAAGGCGGTCAGTCAACATTGATATCTCATGTCATTCAAAAAATAAAAGATAAGCACAGCATCTGTATCTTTTGATTTGTCTAGAAAAGAATAAAAAATGTAGAATGAATTATTTTACTTACAAACCATAAATAGAGCATTATCTTATGTAATCAATGTTTACATAACTATTTTATTTATCCTTTTATAGTGTCATTGAATCTATTCCAGCTCTGGATTCAGCGTATAAGATAAGTAGACGCAGGAGGGAAGAAAACAAACAAAAAAAAATAATAATGCAAAAAATATATATTATCGCTTGAGACGCTAGAAATGCATTTTATACACTTTTCTGCTAGTTTATCAACCAAGTATAGATATCTTGTATGAAAAAAAAAATGATGCAATATAAAACTAACACTAGTGAATAGGTTAATTGATACAAAAAAAAAAAAAAATGAAAGCGAGAAAAGGCGATTATAAAAAGATTTTTTTATTATTCCAGAGACGTGTTTTGTTATAAATAACACCCTGAGTCATGAAAACGTGCGATATTAGAAATATAGTTAAGCGGCGAGAAGACTAAAGAAGAAAAAAAAAGGCATCTATTTTCATTTATATTTTCCATTTTTGAATCCTATCGAAAAAAGTACTGGTTTGAAAGTAAAAGAAGGTATTAGACATGATCTGCTTTCTATTGATGATTAATTTACGCGAAAGAATTATGATTATATCTATGAATAATAAAGTATCTTAGTCAGACGTCGTAGAAGGATGAATTTAGTATTTATGTTGGGATAAACAACTAATATCCAAGTTGAAATAATTGCTTTTGAGCATAATCTGTTATTAACTTGGACTACGGCTGTCCGTGAAGAAGAAGAAATGGAAAGAAGCATTTCTTAGTGCGAAAAATTATTCAAGATAATAGTAACTCTTTAATATATACAAGTATAGTAGTAATATAAATAATCTGTTATATTTTATACATTATGTAGGTTAGTTTTAAGCAGCATTTTGATATATATATATATATAATTGTGGAAGATGCCTTTGTTGTTATACTAATACTCACTCTGCATTATATGATATGATCACACCTTAATCATTTCTCTTCATTATTATCTAACTTACTCACTAACTCACTCAACACGTTTATATCTCAATTTTCTTTTAATTTACTGTATTCAAATCAGTTTAAATATGTTGAACAATCACTAAAAATTGCTGCATAAATTAATCATTTGACGTAAACAAATTCTCCTTAAAATATGTATATGTGTGTATTGTAGTTATCTATTTTTTTTTCTCATTAAATAAGAATACAAAAGCATAAAATCAATATGAATTAGCTTCTTTTTTTATTTTATTTTATTTTTTTTCTTTTATCCAAAAAAAAAAATGACTATTGGTAATAATCGTCCTGGCTCTTCCAGACCTGGATCCCCTACTGTTCATACAAAAGTAGAAGAGGATCTTCATACGATGGCTGGTATTGATTACGATAAAGTTACAATCAAACATAATCCTTCTGTAGCTGTACTTTATGAAGAGGCTTTAACACATGAATTTGGTACAGTTATCTCTTCTACAGGTGCTTTATGTTCCTATTCTGGTAAAAAGACAGGTAGAAGTCCGAAAGATAAACGTATTGTTGAAGAGGAAACGACGAAAAAAGATATTTGGGTAAGTGATAATACTAATAAAATGAGTGATAATCATAATGATCTCACGAATATGAATGTTATTATTTTCAAGTGGGGTCCTATAAATACTAAAATGAGTGAAAGAGTCTTTTTAATTAATCGTGAAAGAGCTATTGATTATCTGAATACGCATCCTCGTCTTTATGTCTTTGACGGATTTGCAGGCTGGGATCCCAGATATCGTAAAAAGATAAGAGTGATTGCTTCTAGGGCTTATCATGCTTTATTTATGCACAACATGCTAATTAGACCTACTGAAAAAGAAATTGAAAACTTTGGGACTCCTGATTTTACCATCTTTAACGCTGGTGAGTTTCCTGCTAATCGTTATACAACTGGTATGACTTCGACTACCTCTATTTCTATTAACTTTAAACGTCATGAAATGGTTATTCTTGGTTCTGAATACGCTGGTGAAATGAAGAAAGGAGTAAGAGAGAGAGAGAGAGAAATATCCTTTTGTTCATTATTTATTATTCATATTCTGATATCAATAGATTTTTACAGTAATGCATTATTTGATGCCAAAAGCGGGTGTACTTTCTTTACATTCATCTGCAAATGAAGGCCCTAATGGTGATGTCTCTCTTTTCTTTGGTCTTTCAGGTAGAAAAAAAAATAGAGCTTGAAAAAAAAAACACAATTATAAATAAATATCTTAACAAAAAAAAAAAAAAAAAAAAAAAAAAAAAAAAAAAAAGGTACGGGTAAGACGACATTAAGTGCTGATTCTAAACGACGTTTAATCGGAGATGATGAACATTGTTGGAGTGAAACTGGCATATTTAATATTGAAGGAGGTTGTTATGCAAAGTGTATTGATTTATCTATGGAAAAGGAACCAGAGATCTTCAAAGCTATACGATTTGGTTCTGTTCTTGAAAATGTTGTTCTAAATGCAGAATCTCGTGAAGTTGATTATGAGGATGATTATTTGACTGAAAATACGCGATGTGCTTATCCAATTGGTAAAATAATAAGATAGATATAAAAAAAAAGCTTATTTAAATACATACATATATATATATATATATATATACATGTATACATATTACATCCATAATTAGATTATATTCCTAATGCCAAGATTCCTTGCTTAAGTGGCCATCCTAAAAATATAATTTTATTGACCTGTGATGCATTCGGTGTTATTCCACCTGTTTCTAAATTATCCTCTAGTCAAGTTATGTATCATTTTATTTCAGGTTATACAACAAAAGTGGCTGGTACAGAAGATGGTATTGTTGAACCTACACCCACCTTTAGCGCCTGTTTTGGTGCACCTTTCTTAGTCCTTCATCCACAAAAATATGCCACAATGTTAGCGGACAAGATGAGCAAGCATGATGTTGATGCTTGGTTAATTAATACAGGCTGGATTGGTAACTCTGCAAAAAATGGTGGTAAGCGATGTCCCTTAAAGTATACACGTGCCATCTTGGATGCTATCCATAATGGTTCACTTGTTGAAAATCAAGAATATGAAAATTATGAAATATTTAATTTCAACATTCCAACTACCGTTCAAGGTGTCCCAAAACAATTACTTCATCCAAGAAGGGCATGGCAAAGTGACCTCAGGGACTTTGATGAGTCTCTTAAAGATGTTGCTAATATGTTTATCGAGAATTTTAAGAATTTTCAAGATGAAGCTAGTCCTGAAACATATCAAGCGGGCCCACGTATTTAAAAAAGAAAGAAAGAAAATAAATAAATAGCAGAACTTGTATATGATCTTTTATTATTATATTGAATAAAGAAAGAAAGAAAAGAAAGAGAGATAATTAGCTTCTACCCTATTTCCTTCCCCCTTGATTTGTGCGTGTGTGCGTGTGTGTGTGTGTGTGTGTATCTGAAGGTGTATTAGAAAATGGTTTGTCCATTAACTTTAGATGGCGTCTACAAAATAAAAATTAAAATGACATGCTATTTATACTTATTTATTCTTACCATAATCTTTAAAAATTCTTCATAGTTTATCATGCCATCACCATCAACATCTGCAGATGCCATCATTTCTTCAATATCAGTTTCAGTAAGAGATTTACCTAAAATAGGAGATTTATCAGCCTTATATTCATATCTATATGAAAATCTTCTTTTTTTTTTTTTTCTTATTACCGAATAAAGAAGCACCCCGCTTTAAATCAGCACCACTTATTTGACCATCATTATCTGTATCAAGTAAATGAAAAACTTTATAAACACCAGCTTCAGAATCAATCTCATGTTGCTATAATAACGATGTTAATATATAAAATATATTTCGATAAAAAAAAAGGGAGGGTGGAGTAGAAAGAAAGGAGAATAGAGAAAGTAGAAGAAGGAGGGAAAGAGAGACAGAGATTGTGGAAAAAAAAAGGTTCTTTACCTTCGTCATAACAGCTAAAAAGTCTTCAAAATCAATTTTTCCATTACCTTTAGCATCAGCAGCTCGAATCTTTTTTTTAAAAAAAAATATAATAAAGAAATAAATACATATGTTTGTATACTTATTTCCTAATGATTCACTTACTTGGGCATTAATTTCTTCATCAGTGACTTCAACTTGAGCAACTTTATATATTTTCTTCAAAGTTTCGGCAGTTAGGCCATTTCCTTTGGTAAGCTCTTCAAACTTGGTATACAAGTGATCAATTTCAGCTTCAGTGATTATGGATCCTGTCTATTATATGCCAAAGGAAAAAGAGGAAATTAACTTTTTTTTTCTTTCTTTTTTTTTTTTTTGATAAATCATTTACCATCTTTTAAATAAATGAAAAGAAAAACAATAAGAATAAGAAATAAAACTTGGGAAAAATTATATTTTTTTTTTTATTCTTTTTTTTTTTTTTTTTTTTTTTTGGGTTTGTTTGTTCACGGTAATGCATATTAATCCCTCCCCTTTAAATCTATAGAAAATCATGTTATTCTATATATAAAACGGTACTACATCACTTCAAGTCTTTCCTTTCCTTTCCTTTCCTTTTTTTTTTTTTTTTTTTTTTTTTTTTTTTTTTGTTACTATAACTATTTCAGAAAAATATTATAAATTATGTATTGGGAAATTTTTATAAAATATTCAAGAAACAAATATGGAAGTTTGATGTCTCACAATTTGTAAAATTTTCCCTTGTACTTAAACGAAAGAGAAAGAACCACATGATCTTGATTCTGAATCAACTTATATAGCTACTTTTTCAATAATTAGGATGTAAATTCCCATTCTATTTTATTTTTTTTTATTTTTTTTTCAAGTAAATAATAATAATAATAACATATTTATATAAATGAAGAATACAACACACAAATTCTAATAAATTAAAAAAAAAAAAAATAGACCTTTATTTTTTTTTTACCAGACAGGAGTACCTTGAGTGATTTCTTTAGGTTTACGAACTTCACCAATCAAAGCCTGACTCAAAAGTCCGTATTCCTCTTGGAAATGCTTCTTCTTGTTACCTGTAGCAACAGAAGCAGAGGGTGCACGACCAGCATATTTAGGTGATTTACCTTGATGATATTGTGTTTGTGAAAGTGATGTGGTGATACGTGGTTGAACATGTTGCCATGCCCCCATATTCATAGGTTCTTCCTGACACCATATAATCTCTGCGTTAGGATACTTATCTGCATGTTGCTTAATTTGTTCATAAGGGAATGGATTCAATTGCTCTACTCGAGAGATGGCAATATCGTTCATACCATTCTGTTCACGTGCCTTAAGAAGTGCATAATAGACTTGACCACTACAGAGGACATGCTTTTTGACTTGTTCGGGTTGGACTAGATGGTCAGGATGCTCTTCAGGCAAGTAGAGTTGGAAGTGGCTCTCCCCTGTCATTTCTTCAAGACGAGAACGTGCCATGGGATGTCTTAAGAGGGACTTGGAGAAGGGCAAGATGAGAGGCTTACGGAATTGGCGACAGATTTGACGACGCAAGACGTGGAAGTATTGTGAGGGTGTAGAGGCATAAACAACTTGCATGTTACAGTCTTGGTGTTGTCTCGAGAGCTTTTCAGGGCTAGGGTAGTGGTATGGATCATCATCACAGAGTTGTAAGTAACGTTCAATACGTGCAGATGAGTGTTCGGGTCCTTGGCCATCATAACCATGAGGTAAAGACAGAACAAGACCAGAGCGTTGAAGCCATTTTTGTTCACCAGCTGCTAAAAATTGATCTACAATGACTTGAGCTGTGTTGGCAAAATCACCAAATTGTGCTTCCCAGACAACGAGAGAATCGGGGTTGACTAAGGAATAACCAAGTTCAAAGCCAAGGACACCATATTCGGATAAGGAGGAATTGGAAATTGAAAGCATACCTTGTTCTGGACTAATATGATTTAAGAGAGTATAGAGTGATCCATCTTTTTGATCATGAAGAACTGCATGACGTTGAGAGAAAGTACCACGTTCAACATCTTGACCAGAAATACGGACATGTCGCCCCTCTGCTAGTAAGGAACCCCATGCTAAAGCTTCAGCAGTAGACCAATCAATATCCTTACCTTCCTTCAATGACTTTTCACGATTCTGAAGGATACGCTTCAAGTTACGATGAATATTAAAGTTATGGGGTAAAGTATTGAGCGCCTTACCGACTGTTTGAAGGGCTTCACGTGGAATACCTGTAGGGTAATGTGGTAAATTCTCCTCAGCTAATTCTTTAGGTGATTTGAATCCAGGCCATGAACTAGAAAGCCATTCACTAGAAGTAGGCTTATAATCCTTACTACGAGAGTAGCTTTCTTCGAGAATATTCCAAACACGTTTCTTTGTAGCCTTGATCTCTTCTTCAGAGAGAGATCCTTCTTCCTTCAATTGGACTTCATATTTTTCAGCTACAGGTGTTTGTTTAGTGATGGCATCATACATACGAGGTTGTGTGAACATAGGCTGGTCAGTTTCATTATGGCCATGTTTACGGTAACAGACTAAATCAATCACAACATCCTTGTGGAAATTTTGACGCCAGTCTGCGGCCAATTGCATAACATACGTCACAGCCTCTGCATCATCACCATTGACATGGAAGATGGGAGCATTAATAGACTTGGCAATATCAGTACAGTAAGGAGTGGAACGACCATAACGAGGATCTGTTGTAAAACCAATCTGGTTATTTACAACAACATGGATGGTACCACCTGTAGAATAAGAAGGGAGATCATGGAAACCCATAGTTTCGTAAACAATACCTTGGCCAGCAAAGGCAGCATCACCATGAATTAAAACAGCCATTGCACGATCTCCATTCGTATCCTTGCCATAGAATTGAAGTGCACGTGTCTTACCAAGTACAACAGGATCCACTGCCTCCAAGTGAGAAGGATTGGCGACTAATGAAAGATGAACTCGTTTACCAGAGGGAGTAGGACGAACGTAATTCATACCAAGATGGTATTTAACATCACCAGATCCTTCTTCAGAAGGTTCAAGAGCGCCACTGAATTCACAGAAAATAGATTCATTGGGCTTACGTACAACATTAGATAGCACATTCAAACGACCACGATGAGGCATACCAATGACAATAGATTCTACACCAAGATCAACAGCACGATCAATCTTTTATGAATATTTATATATTTATTTATATAGGAATAATTAATAAATGATTCTCTCTCTTTTTTATTTTTTATTTTTTTTTTATTTTTTTTTTTAAAAAAAAAAGATAACTTACCATGGCTTTCATACCAGGAATCAAAGTTTCGCCACCTTCAAGACCAAAACGCTTTTCAGAAGGGTATTTGGAAGCAACAAAACGCTCAAAACTATCAGACCAAGTTAAACGATCAAAAATTACTTTCTTTTCTTCAGTAGAATACTTGTAAGGTTGAGGAGTTTCGATACGTTCACGAATCCAATCACATTGTGCACGATCAGGGATATGAATATATTCTACACCAATTGAACCACCTTATATATATGTATATATAAAAAGTAAATAATCTCTCTTTTCCCTTTTTCTCTTAGCTCCTTTATATATATATATATGACTTACAATATATCTTCTTTAAATGAGAAATGATTTCACGAAGGGTAAGAGTAGTACCATTCTTGGTAAAAGCAGGCAAGATACCAGGACCAATGGTAAAAGTTCTGTCAAGATCAGCATCTTTAAAACCATAATATGTATGATTCAATTCAGGAGGGGGAGTAAAAGAATTAAGGCCAGCATGTTGAATACCTAAAGGATCCAAATTTGCAATATGATGACCGCGAACTTGATATGCTCTTGTTAAAAGTTGAATCTTCATATGATCGATGACTTCAGAGGAACTGCCTGTGATACCATCACCGGGCAAGACAGGTAAACGAGCACTAGCTGAAGGTACGATAGTAGGAGGAGGAGAATAGGCTGGACTAACACCATTAGTCATATTTTTAAAATAAACTTGCCAAGATAAGTGCACTGCACTAGGATCCTTTAACCAGGCCTCATACATTTCTTCAATATAGTTTGCAGAATTCCCTTGCAAGAAACCATCTGCTTTTTCTGGTGCAGCAAGACTTGCTTTGTTGGTATGGAAGAGAGCATAAGAAGAACGAATGGGGGAATGACGAGTAATTCCGGGAAATGCCTTAATTGAAGGTCTTAATGTATTTGATAGTCTCGATAACCTATACATAATGAAAGGTTTTTTTTTAAAAAAAAAATAAAAATAAAAGTAAAAGTAAAAAAGCAAATAAATAAATATGTGTGTATGAATATATATGTAAATAAAAAAAAAAAATAAGAAAGGGGAGGGGGTTAAAAAATTAAGGTTAGTTTTCGATATGGGGTAAAAAAAAAAAAAAAAAAAAAAAAAAAAAAAGAATTAAATGCTGTTACTTAATTTTTCCAAAACAAATGGAAAAAAGTAATTCAAAAATTTGGTAAATGTTTTTTTTATTTTCATTATTTTTTTTTTTTTTTTTTTTTTTTTTTTTTTTTGGTATTGATATGCTTATAATTTGGTAGAAAAAATTTTAATTAATTTGGCGCCTTTCTGCACGAGTTTTTGAAATCAGGTTTATTAGATCATTCTTTCTATCTTGTACTTATTTTTTCAGCAGTAACAATGTGATTGAAATATTCAAATTAAAGTAATTGTTAGGCTGTGATGACAAGTTAATCTGATTTCTAAGCTGGTTTATCTGATTCGTAAATTATATTTATTATGCATCTTCATGTTTAAAATTTTCTTATTCTGAAGATATTTAAAATCAATTTGGATTATCTTTCGATAATATGCAACGATTATTTTTACTACAAAGATAGCTGTAACCTTATACAAAAAAAAAAAAAAAAAAATTAAAATGCATCTATGGTTGTCCTTCAGCTACATTCATATTTGAGAAATAAATTCACTAATTTTTTTTTCTCGTTCCTTTTATCCTTTGGACTAGTATTTTCTGATAGACTTTTCGCTCTTGTTGAAGAATAGAGTCATTCGTGGAGATAGGTTCTGACCTCATCCCACTTGTGTTATGCACTTTTTATCTTTGTGTAGGTCATTTTCTTTTATGATTACACGGATTTTTCTTTTGGGATTATATATACTTCCACTACTCTTGTGGCTGCTAATCCTGCTACTAGTATCGAAACATTAAAATATACTTTGTGTTTCGAGAAACTAAGGAAAATGTTGCCCTAATAATTCCTTTACAATATTCACATCATTTTATAAAATAAAAGTGCTTACATCTTACAACCCTTTATATCTTATTTTCAATTAACTCCAGAGGATTATAAAAGTTACAAAAATATGGAAATTTGTACAATTATGTTGGAAATAAAAATAAAGAATCTCATATCTCTCGATAATACCGGGCAAAGCTCTTAATTCACATGTAATAGGGGATAATCAAACAAAAAAAAAGTATAGGATACAAACATGTTTGTTTACTCTCATATTTCATCATATCTCAAACCCATAAAAGAGTTTTGGTTAAAAGTCAAATTTGGTATTAAACATCAGTCTTTTGATACAGAAAACACCTTAATTCCACGGGATTTATGTGGAAAAGCTATCCTAAAGAATTGCAAAAGATGGTTGTAGACATTCTATCAACTTTCTTTTTTCCCTTTTTCCAAAGTTATTTAGATTTACAAGATAGCATCGAAAAACAACAACTATACTCACCAGACTCCTTATTATTATTTTTTTCATGGTAACTGACAAATTGGTAGATAGTCTTCAATTCGTTTCCCAAGATGCAATCAAAGCCATCAAGACCTACAGTCAGCTATCTGCAATTCGTGTTAATCCTAATGGTCTCAATCGATTTTTAGCTTTTTGTTTCTACGCTCAAATCATTCGCACACAATTACAATAAGGTCTAGCTATTACTAGATAGATTAACTATTCATGCTGATAAACTTAAAGCTGCACAAAAGACTTGCATCTCTTGAATCTTTGGTGGTTCCACTTGTTCAACAACAACTACAATTTTCCATTTGTTAAAACTTCCAACCTATACATGAATCCTTCAAGCCAAGTTTTTGCTTCAATCATATAGCTTACCCAAATGATGCTTTCCCCACATGCCTCTTATCGCACTTTCAACATCACAATAATCAGTCCCTTTGGTTTGCATTCATCTCACCAAATCCAGTTTGGAAACGATGTTCTACTCTAGGAGATTAAAAAAAAAAGCCCTAGATAAGACTATTTATGAATACCGTTAAGAGAACTTGAACAATCTTTAGACGTCCCTCCCCTCTCGAAATTCAAAACTGATCTTACAGTGTTATCCTTCTGTTTCTCTTAATCCTATCTTATGGCTACCTATGTCTTTTGTTGAACACAATTAGTGTATTCGGCGATGTTTTGGTTGACTTACCAACAATTATTTCACTTTCTGTATCCGGCACTCATCCCACTTTTTTTTTTTTTTACTAAAACTTGTGTCATTGAATGCCTCAATATGCACTACCTCCTTCAGTTGCCACTAACTATACTTGATCTTATTTCGTTCTTATTCTACCAACCAACCCCATTAAGCGTCATGATCATTACAGTCAGTGGAATATTCGTTAACCAACTACCTAATTTCTTTTACATAAAACCAGTTACCTTTATTATGAAAAAAAAAAAATGGAACTACCATCATCACCACTAGCAACCTTTAATCAACAGCTCCTATCGATTGAATGTATGCGTTCTCAATAGTCGATAAACTTCATTCTATTTATCTAGATCTCCTTTCTCATCCTTGAGGTTATTAAGGATTTTCTTTTTAATTTCCTCATATTTTAGAAAACTTCTTTCCTTAGGCAATTTTGATATGTAGTTTATTATGTACTTGAATTTTATTTTAGGCATATTTGCCAAATTATAAAAGCGCTCAATATCAAAATAAATAAGAATATTTACCAAATTATTCAGTAACTTTTTTCCAAATTATTGTCCTTTTTTTTTTTTTTCATTTGTGACATACTTCTCGGCTTAACATTTCACGTTTAACGGGTAGCTTTTCCGGTTTTTTACGGCTTGCTTAGTAGTAGAAGCAACATGCAGAGCGAAATATATATGACAATAGAACTATTCTTTATATATACATCTATTTATATTGTTTAATATTAGGAGTTTAATTACTCCATACCTATTCTATTAGCATAATACTCACGATTAGTATTGATCTTTTTTTTTTTTTTTCGTTACAACTTGGAATAGAGAATTAAAAATCAGATTATGGATATAATACGGTATTATGTAATACTATATTTTATTAGCCAGAATAGCATACTGTGGTAATACATTATTAATTAACATAAATCCCCTACGTCATATTTTACATCCAATGGTTATTTCTTATACAGCATATACATGTAATGCATATTTATAAAAAGGGAAAAATAAAATAAAATAAGGCATAATGAAACAGAAGCAAATAAAAAGGGGGTGATGAAGAGGAAGAGGTAATATGCATATAGTGGCTTCCCTCTTGTATACTAATGGACATATGAAAATATATATATATATATATTTATATGCAAATATGTATATACATTTATAGAAAAGAATACTTCTGTAGATAGATATAGATATAGATATATATGTATTGCTTATTATAGTAAATCTAAAATAAAATAAAAATAAAATATATAAAAAAAAAGAGAAAGAGTCATACTTAAAATAGGATAAGGGAGAAGGAAAAAAAAAGGGGGGAGGGTGTGTGGGCTTATATAATAATGAAGAAGAAGCAGAATATATGGACGTTGTATGCTATACATATACAAATTTGTATACATATATTATATAGAGGAAAACATATATATTTAATTACCATGGATGCTTATTATCAGTTATCATCGCTGGATCAGCAGTAACAGTAGCAGTAGCAATAGTAGTACTACTAGTAGTAGTAGTACTAGGACTAGCACTAGTAGTAGTACTGGGACTAGGACTAGTCCTAGTGGCAGTAATGGTATCATTTTCTTCTTCCTCATGAATTAAGATGTTTGAGTTTGATATTGAAGCAGTAATACGGTCATCTGTAATTAATTGTTGATTATTATTATTAGTTGATCTATTAACATGATAATTCCGATGATTATGATAATTATTCATATAAGGATGATGACGAGAAGAAATTGTTCGACTACTATATGTTCTATGCTGTTCACCTGATGATAACTTCCTTATATTAGGATACAATGTTGATTTCCCTAATAGAAAAAGAGAATACATCATTGTATTTTAATATTATACATGTATATATATATGTGTGTATGTGTGTGTATGTATGTATGTATAAACTAGTTTTTATATATACCTGTATCTGAAGATATTGTAGGAGACGAAGTGGATGCTGTACCTGTAACTTTTTGCGCTAGAATACAACCTTTGTTATAAAACTTTTCTTTTCTTTTTATACATATACATATAAAAAAAAAGAATGTATACAAATATATACGCTGGTTTTTTTTTTAATATATCAAATACCATAAAATGGAGATGAATCATTTGTTATTGTATTATTTATAGAAGGTAATTTTCCATCATCTAATAGTTGCTCTGTATAGTACATGCGAGATTGTTGATGTGCTCTTGATGGTGATGAATCGTGTGGTGATGTATAGTATGAATTTTGTTGATATCCGTTCATTATATTCCCTGGTCGACTATCAATTTGAGAGGAAAGCATAAAGAGACTATCTTCATTACTATTTGTATAGCTATTATTATTGTTTCGATAACCTATATCAGAAATAAATAAGGAATATATATATAAATAGTGACCATTAAATGTAATAAACATATTAACTTATACCTGTCTGTGTATTTGAAGTTAAATCTTGAGAAGGACGATCCCAAAGAGAGGTTGATAAGCCATAATAAGGCCTATTATTATTATTATTATTATTATTATTATATAAATTTCCATAATTGGTTCGATTTCCATGTAAAGAGCTACTACTGGTATAAAGAAAAGAGGTAGGATCGTCTACAAATAAAGGATAGAGTAAATCTTGAATCTTATATTGTGCAGACAGTATTTTAGCTCTATCAAACGAAATCCTATATATGCACATATAATAATAATAATAATTGTTATATTCCTATTTATATTATATTCTAAGACTATATACATATATACATACATATATATATATATATTATAATTATTACCAAACACCCTTTAGATGCATTGCACCAATCTTTATAACCACACGACCTTTTTCATTTTTGAGAATTCCATCACGTTTACCACGAGACATACCAGCTACATTTAATAGCTTGGTACCATTAATCATATCATTATCTAGAATAAAATCATATAAGAGTATGAATTTACAGAACACTATTATTATTATTATTATATAATAACTACCTTGACGTCTTGCCACACAAATACCATTTGCATCTACTTGATAACAAATAGTACCTTCATCTTCCCATAGCGTTGTAGTTAATTTGGGTCTTCCTATGAATCCATGCCGAGTTACAATTGAAGATGACGGACTTGTACTGTAATTATTATTATTATTATTATTAGTAGTTGTAGTAGGAGAATAATAACTACTACCGCTATTAGTAGAATATTGACTTCTATTTGTATTTGTTAATAGATAGTTATTGTTAGGGTTCTGATGATCAGAAAAGACTTGATTTGTCATATAAGTTGTAACAGTCGTTGGTTGCTGTGATGAAGAAGATGAAGAATTACTAGCAAGATATTGTCTGTCAATTGACGGCAAATCATTCATAGTATTGGTTTGATAACCATCATTTGTATAAGTAATATTATTCATTGAATTATTAGTAGAATAAGAAGAAGAAGATATAGTAGAAGAAGGATGGCTGTTATAAGTATTTTGATTCCAACTAAAATAGTTATTAGCAGTAGTAACATGATGATAATTGTTATTAACTTGCTGATGTTGTACGTTTGACTGAATAATAAGGGGAGAATTGTCTAGACTAGATCGATGATGACACTTATTAGTTTCCATCGTCATTTCATTAGTCCCCACTTTATTATCGTTGGAATGGCAATAAAGTAAAGGCAAAGATGCAGGTTCTCTTACTGAAGTATCACATGTCATTTTATTCATGTAAAAAGGGAGGGGAAAAAAAGAAGAAGAAGAAGGTGAAAGATAGCATATAACGAAAAGAATAAAATATATTCTAAAGAGACAAAGAAAAAACTAAAATAAAATAATTACAAGCTCTCTTCCTCTTTCTCTGTTGCCGTTCCCCTTATTTCCATTATAGACTCAAATGGTATACACATGTACATATGCATACTTACGCGCGTATACACACACACACACACACATGTATATATATAAAGATAGAATCAAAAATGAAATATGTATTTTTAGTGCTTTTTACATGATAACATAATTTTATTCCTAGTTGGAATCAATACATTTACTATAAAGAATTACAAAAAAGAAAAAAAAGATGAGGACAGGAGAAGAAGGGGGAATGAGAATACATTCAAAAATTATAATTTTGAATAAAAGAAAAAAAAAAGGAGGAGTGGATTAGATAAGAACATAAAAATAGTAAAGACTTTTATATAAGGGGCTATACATAAAACAAAATATATACCATAATACACATCATGACTGCATGCATTAATTGTGTACACATACATTAAACTCATATATGTCTATATAGAAGAGTAGTTTATTTTTACTTCTTATACATATATATATATAGACAGAGAGAAAGAGAGAAAGATATATTACACATAAAACAAGTACTTTATAAGCATATACATATTGCTTCTTATTTTACTCTGAGACATTATACTATTAAATAGAGAATGATGTATGTCAAGAATAAACTAAAAGAATAATAATTCCAATTTCTATGCCTTGTATCAATTATTGGTCTTTGTTTGTTTGTATCCAAATGCAGTCATCGGCTTGTATTGTTAAAATGATATGTTCTAATTAGTAGTTGAAAAGAGAAGGAGATGAAGAGCTCTCTAACAAAGTATTAAACTAAAAATGCTTCAATCAACATTGTATCTTCTCTTTTCTCCATAAGTCCTTTTCTTTCTTTTTAAATTGTGTTTTATAGTTATTCTATCGAAAAAAAAAGTATTTATAGTGAATATATTTATATATTTGTATAAATATTTGTATGATAATACAAGACAATAACTAAAGAAAATAAAATAATAGAACAAGTACGTGAAATCTTCTTTTTTTTTTAGTAATCTATCTAATAATGAAAGTGAGTAAGTAGTTGGATATCAAGCTCTATAACGAATATACACTTCACACAGAATATTACACAAATGGTATTATGTATTTTTCTTCTTGAGATAATATAAAAATTATATCCTGCATATTTTTTTTTATTTCTTTTAAATAATGAAAACTGCTGCTTGTTGTATTATTGGTGATGAGATTCTATCAGGAAAAACCAAAGATACTAATTCACATTATTTAGGTATATGCTATTTTATGCTAGAATACATGTAAATATTAAAATTTTTTACATTATAAAGCAAAAACGTTATTTGATCTTGGAATCGAATTAAAATGTATCCGAGTCATTGGTGATGATGCACAAGATATCATTCGAACAGTAAAAGAATTGTCTTTATTATATGACATTGTATTCACTAGTGGTGGCATAGGTAGAGAATCGACCGAAAAATAAATAAATAAAATAAAATAAACTCAATAACCATCTCCATTCTTTTCATTAATAATTAGGTCCAACTCATGATGACATTACATACGAATCAATAGCAACTGCTTATAATTTAGAAATGAAAGTGGATCAAACAACTTTCAATATGATTATGAAATACGGCAACAAAAATTATACTTTAACAGAAGAATACGCACGCCATCTCGCTACCTTCCCTTTTCCAGCAATTTTGTTAAGAGAGAATAAAAAGCTCATGATACCCGTAGTTGTTGTGAATGAAAATATATATATTTTACCCGGTATCCCCGCTTTATTTCAACTTTTGCTTGATACACTTGGATCAAGATTAAGTCAAAACACACCTTATTATAGACTTGAGATTGCTACTGAGCAACCTGAGATGGCTATTGCTACTATCTTGCGTAAAATACAACAACAAGTACAACATGTAGTAAAGATTGGAAGCTATCCTACATGGCAACAAGAAGAAGAGAAAATTAAAGTGATCGTGACTGTAACAGGACAAGACAAGTCCAAAGTAAAAGAAATTAGTCAATGGATCCAAAAGGAAATACGAGGGTGGCCTCATAGGAGTCGTCTCTAAAAAAAAAATGAAACTAGTAGTAGGAAGGAATCCAATAAACTACTTTATTTTTTCCTTCAAAGTCCAAATAAGCCGTTTTAATCTCTCCACGTCCCTGAGTCTCCTTTTCACATATATATTGAATTTGTTGTTCTGTCGTCGTGACAAGTTCTCCTGTCTTTAAACGTCGCGTTCGATTATCATGACTAAAAACACAACAAGGAACGACTGCAAACGCTTTATTGAGCTTCAATGCCAGATCGACAATAGGAATTGTGGCTTGATCTGAATGTAGCCCAACAATAACACCTGTAGTTTGCAATAGTTTCTCATGTTCCTTAATGAATTCATCATTCAGGTAAGTATGTAGATACTCTGGTGTTAATTCATAAGGCCAACTATGTAATTTATTTTGAGCTTCTTTATCATTTTTCCAATCCATATTATCATTGTCGCATGATGTTGTATTCTTTTCGAATCTTAAATACATAAGACGACGTAAACGTGTATACCAATATTGAGGCCGTTTTCTTGGGTTTGGATCTACAACAGTGGTAGGGATACCGAACCCACGGCTTAGAATCATTGCAATCTCTCCTTTACCACCTGCTACATCTAACACTGATGCTGTTTTAGATGACAACTGTTGCTTGAATGTCTTTTGAATCCAATCTGCAAATATAATCGCACGTAATCCGTGGGGTTGTTTCGATTGATGAGGATCGTTTGGATCATAGTTAGTTATTTTGCGATGTATCTCTTTCTTTTTAGATATTATATACATATATAATTAGCATTCTTAATTATTACTTTATATATACATATTTGTATATATCACTTGCAAATTTTATGCTTACTTCTTGTAACCATGCTTTGCGTGCGCTTTCAAATGCTTCACCTGTAGGATGCTGAAATAGACAATCATCGCCTCGAAGACATTTATTTTTATTAATCCAATACTTGCATACTTGTTTTGTAATCGTTTTATTTTCATCTAAACAGCATTCGGTTGGTTTCTTTTTCTTTTCGAGACTTCTACCAAGAGGAGGATCTTGTGCAAAAGGTTTAGTATTTAAATAGGGCTCTATCACCTGAACAGGTCGATTGGACTGCCAAACTGGATAATCTTTTTCAAAACTCTCACTTGGATCTAAGGGATAGCCCACTTGAACGGAAACTACAAAACCTGGTCGTGCAGTTCGAAAGGCTTCCTGAAAAGATACTTCATCTAACGTATTATCGTCTGTTCTGAAAAGGATTTGGCATTTTTCTGAAGGATCATCTTTTGATGAAGGTTGAACGTCAATGAAAAAAAGGAATTTACAGAGTCTTCTCCTTGTCCTCACTTGACCTGTAATGGTTTGAACAATGTCAATCATTATAATTGATAAAAGTAAAAATGAAAAAGCAGTCCGTTCATGTTTTATTTTTTAAGTATTTTACAAACAATAATAAAAAAAGGTCTCCTTTTTTGTTAATATTGTTTAATTTTAAAAAAAAAAAAGAATGGAACCAACAAGAAATACAGAAGTAAAAGAAACAGTAGATTGTATAGTATATAATGTTCTATTTAATAAATAAATAAAAAAAAAAAAAAAAAAAAAAACTTATAATAAAATTACCTTTTTTTTTTCTTTAGTACTTTATGAAATGTCAAACATGTTAAATACAGGATTAGATCGAGAAACAATTGGTTTATGTATTTCATTATGTGAACGAGGTGTTAATCCAGAAGCATTAGCTGTAAATTTACTATATATTCATATACATACATGTATATACATTGTGACTAATATATATGGTCCTTTTCTTTAGACTGTTATTAAAGAATTACGTGAACTGGAAAAGAACAAGCAGAGTAATCAACTTTAAAAGTACAATCTGTTTATTTTATTTCTACTATTGAAATTATTCCTTAATTACCACATGAATTAATAATGTCAAGAAAGGTATTATAATGTTTGTTCTTATTGCTTTATATGAATATAAATATACTTGATAATATAACTGTATAGCTTCTGATTTATAATTAATGTATTTAACAACTATTAATAAAAAGATTATAAATGCATATTCTTTATAGAAATGTTGTTTAAATTTATTCGAAACACCTGTTTTCTTGATAATAAAAGAATGACGTAAATTTTCTTTTTCTAAATAAAAATAAATAAAATCTCTATATCTTCTCTTTTTGTTTTTCCTTTATACACATCTATACATGAAACGTGAAGAAGCCGATAGTCATTCAATAGAAAATAATAATGATAACACTAAAAAAATAAAAAAAGGTTTTTCTTTTTTCTTTTATAAATTATGTTAATTTATGATTAATAAGTATATAATTAGAGCATCCCTTTTTTAGTATGAATTCAACAAAAAAAGCAAAGGGATCAGTAATTCAATGGATCAAAACACTAGATTCAGTATTGATTGCAAAATCTAGAATGTTAAATAATGATGTTAAAACTGAAAAATGCAAAATAGCTGCATTTGACTTGGTAAATATACATGTGCATATATTAATTACTCTTTTATATTAAAGAAACAATTTTTATGCCCTATTTTATATAAAGGACGGTACTTTGATTAAAACTAAAGGTAAACATGTTCATTCAAAAGATAAACATGATTGGCTTTGGTGGGACTCCATGATACCAAAACGACTTGAAAAACTGAATAATGAAGGGTAAACAAAAGAAGGAAAAAAAAAAAATGGCATGTTGAATTTCTTGTCAAGTAACTAGTAAAAAAAAAAAAAAAGTTATCAAATAGTTATACTTTCCAATCAAAATGGTTTACGAAAGTTCAACATGATAAATGACTTTAAATACAAGATGGAAAATATTTTAAGTCAAGTTAATTCACCCATTCTCTTTATGGCTGCATTAGAAAAAGACATGTATCGTAAGCCGATGACAGGAATGTGGGATTGGTTAAACACACATATTTATACAAATATTGACAAGATGCAAAGTTTATATGTGGGCGATGCAGCAGGAAGAGAAGTTGATTGGAAACCCAATAAAAAAAAGGATCATTCATGTGGAGATCGTAAATTTGCAGCCAATCTTCAAATCAATTTTTATACTCCTGAAGAATTTTTTTTGAATGAGCCCAAGACAACACACTTTAGCTGGAAAGGATTTGATGCTAATCAATATTTATCATTAGAATTGCCCCTTTATACACCACAAGATACACCCTTATTTAATAGAGAACAAAAAAGAGAAGTTATTATTTGTGTAGGCTATCCTGCAAGTGGGAAATCAAGATTTGTAGAAAAGTATTTAGTCAAAGAAAGAGGCTATATACACATTAATCAAGATACATTAAAGACAAAGGATAAATGTATTAAAAGATGCAAAGAAGCATTAGAAAATTCAACTTCATCTATTGTCATTGATAATACAAATCCTGAACGTTCTACACGTGCTATTTATATCAAATTAGCTCAAGAGGCAAAGGCTCCCGTTCGATGCTTTTATTTTGGAGATAATATGGATTTAGCTCAACATAATAATTATTATCGTGCGCTTTATCAGCAACAAGATCCCAAAAGATTATTAAGTTCCATTGTATTTCACAAGTTTAAAAAGTCTTTTCAACCACCTACCTTATCTGAAGGCTTTGAAGAAATCAAACAAATTCACTTTGTATTTGATGAATCAGAGAAAGAAAAAGAAATATGGAAGAAATGGTGGACTGCATAAAATCATTTTTATTATATGATATATAAAATGTGTATATGTATTGTAAATGTAGTATATTGTTGTGCAATAATAATAAAAGGCAAGAGGTGGGGGGCCAATCAAATTTTTTTATTTTATTTTTTTTTTATTATTATTCATCATTACTACTTCTTTGGTCACGTCCAAAGCCTCTACCATTTGTAGTTATATTGCTACTACGCCCCCTACCACGTATAGTACTGTTGCCATTTCCTCTTCTACCTCTAAATCGACTACCATGTCCACGACCTCGACCACGTGATGTATTATCTCCATTATAATGACCTCGACCTCCTTTTCCACTCCTTCCAAGGTATGAAGGACTGGTATTACTCTCTCTACGTCTCCAATTACCACTTGCATCTGATGGATTTATTCTTTTCATATCCTGAGCATCAGAAGATGCATTTTCTTCTTCTTCCTTTTTATCTTCATCTGTAGTTACTGAAGGGGATGATGACATAGGTTGTTCAACATTAGCTTGCTTTGATTCTTTATCTGAATCAAGTTTTTCTTCTATATTACATTCTTCTTGTGTTGAATCAATTTTTGGAGGACGAGCAGATTCTTCTTGTTTTATTTCATTTTCTGTAGTAGTAGAATCTTCTTTATGTAATTCTTTTTGCGTAAGAGAGTCTTCATTACGTATTTCTTTTGAACTCTTTTCTGTTTTATTCTCGTTTTCTTCTTCTAATGGTTTATTAGATGCCCAATTATCATTCTTTGTTGATTCTAATGCTTCTTCTACATATAAGATAATGATGTACATTCAATATATTATTATTGTAGGGTACATACCTGTTTTGACTGAATTATCTGCAGTATTCCAACTATCACCTTTTATCGTATTATCAATTACTTTATTCCAACCTAAATGCTCATTTAATCTATCAGCTGTTTCAGGTATGACTTCTCCCCAAGAATCTTCAGGTTTAGTAGCTACTGATACATTCTCATCTGGCCCCTGTTCCTCACTGCTAATAGCCATGTTATTTTTGTTACTTGATTTTTTCTTTTGCTTTTTCTGTTTAGTCTGTGTAGGTAATTGCTCATTTTCTTCCGTCTTTTGATTTTCAGGTTCATTGTTTCTTAACAACTCTTGCTCTTCCCCTTCTTGTTTGTTATTGTTCTGGTGAATAGGAAGGGTATCCAATTGAGCATTCTCATTGACATCTTCTTCGGGCACTGTATTATCCCACACATGTTGAATTAAATTTTTTATGTCTTTAAAAGTAATTTTCTCCTGATCTGGAATGAGTTCATCAAGGCCTAAATCTAATTTCTTTAATAAAGAAAATACTTGCTGTCGTTTTGTTGTTCGAATGTGTGCAGAAGGATCTGTCTTTAGATAAACAGAAGCACCTACTAATTGATCACACAAATCAGTAATAGCCTTTAAATAGTCATCATGAGTTGGTGACGATGAATCCTTCTTTAGTGCTGTGACATGATTGACCATCATCTCGAACAAACCCAATTGTCCCAAACGCACAAAATAAAAGAATTGTAATAAGGAAAGGATTTGTTGTTCATTATTTTGTTTAAAGTCTTTTTCTCTAGTGTCTGTATAGGATGTTACTCTACTTTTCATTGATGAATCCGTCTAATAATAATAAGAGAGTTATAAAAATGGGTTGAAGAAGTTTCTTGTGTATTCTTACAAATTTAGTTAAAGTTAATTTGTATCTTTCAAGACAAGCTTTTGCTATTTGTTTATTTGATTGTTCTTCTAAACTCAATTCCCTTGTCTTTTGTTGTTCTTCCAAGTTATTCTGCAGAAAGAAAGAAAATAACTAATTTTGTACACATAAACAAATGGCAACATTTATTTTTACCAGTTCGTCTTGTAAATTTTTTATTTCATTTTGAATACATTCCAAATAAGGATGTATAGACATTGGATGATGTCTCTTTTTGTTTGATTTCTTTTTAAAAGGTCTTGGTGGTTTTTCCATTAAGAAGAATTATTAATTTTCAGTAGTTGTGTGAAAGGAAAAAATAAAATAAAGTAAAATAAATAAAATAAAATAAATAATTAAATAAACTTTTGTTTATTTTATTTTATTTCTTTTTTTTTTTTTTTTTTTTGCACGCGTCGTTCCTCCATGACATATATTAAAATTCAGCCAATCAATTGATAATATAGATCGTTGTTGTTATGTTTACGACGAATATAGAAAAAAGTTAAATGGAAACAGCCAATTGCTACTCAACATTAGTAGTGTCTAAATTTATTTTGAGTATTTAAACAGTGACATAGATTCCCCTTATTTTATTTTCGATCAAGGAACATGGATACTACAGTTGAAAATCCAAAGAAGAAGTACAAATCTTCTAGAGTACATTTATACTATGTATATAATAACTAGTGCACTTTTTTTTTTAATTTTAATTTTCAACAGTATGTTTATATATAAGAGTGAACAACAAACATCCCTTTAAAAAAAAAGGGACTTCAGGAACAGATAATAGTGGATAAGTTTTGTACATAAATTAGTGTACTTTACTCATCATTTTATAGAAAAAAGAAAAAAAAAAAGCAGTTTTCTGAATTTTAAGTTCAAAGGTTAAATGGGTGTTACAAATTATAAGGGAAATTACTTTTTTTTTTTCCTTTTTCCTTTTTCCCTTTTCTCTTCTTCTTTACTTTTGTTTAATAATGAAGATTCAGTTTAAATTATTAGATCAAAGGAAAGGAATCATCATTTTTTCAAGTTGTATTTTATTCATTACTTGTATAGTCTTTCTTGTTCATTTCTATTTTATGTACGATAATAACACAAAGACGACAGCAGTAACAGATTCTAATTATTTAAGCAATGAACAAAGCTTCTTTGATAATGTCGACGATCAAAGCTCTCTATTACCATGTCCATGTGATCCTTCTTTATTAGAGGATATAAAAAAAGTTGAATCAGAAAAGACAGTGAAGGATAGAACAAAGAAGATTGAAACCCAACTACCGCCAGTAGCAGTCATGAAGAAAGTAAATGCTAACCTTTTAAAGGATCGAGTATTGATCGTTGCTACGGCTAATTATGGTATGCGAAATCATGTCTATAATTGGATTGAATCTATTAAAAGAACAGGTGAAAAGAAATTTTTGATCTTTTGCTTTGATCAAAAGCTCTATGATCATCTCTGTCTAACAGGTCATGAAAATCAAGCGACATTAATACCCGAAGTCTGGTATCATCAACAAGTAGAATCAGACTTTAAAACTTATTTTAGTCAAGAATATAGAGTGATTACACATTCTAAAACACTTGTCGTTCAACAACTTCTTTATCTTGACATTCATGTCCTCTTTTCAGATGTCGATATAGTTTGGCTTAGAAAAGATATTGTTCATTACATGACTCGTCTTTTACAGATTCGACCTGAAACAGGTGTCCTATTTCAACAAGAAGGATTAAATCAACAAGAAATTAACAGTGGATTTTATTTAATGCGTTCCACAGATGAAATGAAGTTATTATTAGCAGAAACAATTGAAATTCAAGATTCAAGTAATAATACTAAAACACAACAAGGGGCCATGAATACTGCTTTAAATCAATTTAATCTTGATATTCGAACATCTCCAATTGTTTTATTAGATATCTTACATTTTCCAAATGGATACGTGTATTATACACTTGACTTACCTAATCAATATGGAATTGAACCCTATATTGTTCATGCAAACTATTTGGTAATCAAAAACAAACAAACAGAAAAAAAAGGGGGTGTACATAAAAGAGAAAGAAAACACACATACACACACACACATACATACATCTCTACCTCTACCTCTACCTCCGCTTCTCCCCCTTTATTATTAATATTATTATTTGATAGGTTGGCGAAGATAAAAAGCAAAAACTAGTATCAAGTAATTTTTGGTATCTAAATGATACTTGGCTGGACCAAATAGATAAAAAATTAAATATGATTTAATATGATTCTACTCGAGCATATAAATGTGTTGTAGTACAGTAGAAGAAGGTAATTCTGTAATATAATAATGAATTCTTTGTTGTTAATGAATTCCTTTGTTATGACTTGAAGGAGTGGAATATTTTAATATAAAAGGAAAATAATAAACGTGATCTTTTAGCATATAAATAGAAATGCTATAACACTACTAGTTCATCTTAATAAACTTTTTTTTAAGCTATTTCTGAAAGCAATCTAAAATAGTACTTTGTTTATTTTTTATTATTCTCTTGTTTTCTCTCTCTCTCTCTTTTATTATTATATCATTAATTTTATTGTTATGGTTAAACATCTATTATACTTGTTATTATTCATTCTAATATCCTCCTTTGTGACAGCTACTAAAGAACATCATGATGGCGGATATATCCTTGAATTTAAATCTTTGTCACAGATATCGTCATTTGTACATAATCAAATTCAGTCACAACAAGGTGATATGACAGTACGTTATACATATGATTCAGATCTATTCAAAGGAATCGCTATAGAGTTTAAAGATAGCCAGAAGGCGAAAAGAATAATCGAATCTGATACAACTATCATTCGTTCATGGCCTATTCACCATCGTATTGATCTGCATGCACCTATTTTACCTCGTAAACATGATTTACCGACGACATTCTTTGTTCCACAAAACAAGGTATAATATTAATAAATGATTTATATACACATATACACATATAAATATACATGTATATTCTATAGACGACAATTAAAATATTGACAGAGATGAATTATAAATTGAGTAAAGAATTAAAATCAAAAGGTTCAGGTGTAAAGATTGGTATCATTGATACAGGTATTTCTTTTTATCATAATAAGGCTTAAACAAAAAAAAAAAAAAAAACTCATACTATTGTTTCTTTCTTTAGGTGTTGATTATACTCATCCTGCTTTAGGAGGTTGTTTTGGAATGAAATGTAAAATAAGATATGGTTATGATTTAGTGGGTAATGATTTTGATGGATCTTTAGCGTCTATTCGAGAAAGTAATGATCCTATTGATAATTGCCCATCAAATTCAAGTAAGTAATCAAGTAGCAGTAGTAGTAGTATTAAATAAAACATACAAATACAATAACATATACACCTTTTTTTTTTCTTTAGCTTCGGCTTCTGGACATGGAACTTTTATTGCTGGTATTATCGCTGCTAAAGATAAAAAATTTGTAATAAAATATAGAATACAAATAATAGATAAAGGAAAAAATGCAAACTAATATATATGTATATGATCTGAATTGAACTGAATTGAATAGAATTGGACTGGTGTTGCTCCAGACGCTACTCTAGGTGTTTGGAAGTAAGTTGAATCTACATATATGTATATGCATATAATGATAATGATTGACATGAAACATGTAGAGTATATGGATGTAACTATCCAGGTTCACCCAATCATGTTGTACTAAAAGCAATGGAAATGGCATATAAGGTATATGTATTTTTATACACATAGATTTGACTCCTTTATTTTCTAATAATAGTAATCATGTAGGCTGGAATGAACATTATTAATATATCATCTGGAGTAAGAGGTGGTTGGAATGAAGAAGTACTGTCTGTCATGGCTAATAGATTAGTATCTAAAGGAGTTCACGGTATAATACATATACATATATGCATATACATAGTTATATATAGGGTAATTAAATATATACATGTATAAATACATTAGTGGTTACTGCAAGTGGTAATATTGGTTCCAATGGTATCTTCTTAACTGCCTCTCCTGCTTCTGGTAAAGATGTCATTGCTGTGGGTTCAACAATGAATCATGTTGTACCTGAATTTATTTTAAAAATTTATACCAATGATACAAAAAAGAAGAAGGATGAAGAAATTCGTAAAGAAAAAAAAAGAAAAAAAAAATACAAAAAAAAAAAAACTAATTTTTCTGATAAATAACATCTATGATAGCTTATCGCACCTTTGTGAATAGTCCATTTTCATTTCAGGATGAATTACCTATTTTAGCAACTGGAAAAGTATTCAATCAAAGAAATGATGCTTGTAAAAGATTAAAAAAGGATTATAATAATACGATTTTATTGATTCATCAAGGTGGTTGTGATTCAATTGAAAAGATAAAACATGCAAAGAAAGCAGGTGCAAGGGCAGTTGTATTCTATAGCGATAAAAGAGATACTACAACTGACGTTGAATTACTTTCAGCAGCTGTACTACCCGTTGCATTTGTTAATAATAATCATGGTGAATCCATTTGGAATACTTTATTATCAATAAAGGGAAAGAAGTCTAGTCACCACGTTGTCATGATTCGTTTTACGAATACACTTGTAGCTTCAAGGGCACCAAAGAATGAATTAGATAAAATGGCGGACTTTTCTTCTTTGGGTCCCACTTATGAACTTGATTTAAAACCTGAATTAGTTGCTGTAGGAACGGATATCTTTTCTACATTACCAACATATCAAAAATCGTACGGTTTTAGATCTGGAACTTCCTTTTCGGCCCCTTATGTCACAGCTTCTATTGCTCTTCTTATTTCTAATTTAAAGAACTCGACTAACAAGAGTCCAGAACTAGTAAAGAATGCATTCATGAATTTTGCTAATCAAGGTAATCATATATTCATACATTACATGTATACAAATAGGTATTTATATGATTAATAGTGAAAAGACCTACTATCTCCGCTCTAGAATATGGTGATTCTCCTATTCGGCAAGGTGCTGGTGTGGTTGATGTTGTACAGACCATAAAGGGCTTTCAACAATTTCATGTATCACCTTCAAAACTCAATCTAAATGATTCAGCTCACTTTCATCCTCATCATGAGCTAACGATCTTTAATCATGGTTCTCATGATCTATCGATTTATCTAGAACATCAACCCTCTTTCACAGTAAAAGGCTATTCTATCCATGATGAATCGAATGGTTTCTATCCTGTCAATGATTCAGTTGCAAACGTAGAGTTCACATCATCATCATCGTCGAATAAGAAGGAGGGGGTGGTGGTTGTACCTAGAGGTCAATCTATCAAGGTATCTGTTGAATTTGAACCACCCTCTATTCACTCATTTTCGAAAGACATCTCTCATGTCATCTACAATGGTTATCTTACCTTTTCAACAAAGACAATGAAAGCTAGTGTTCCTTACATGGGCATGGTCGGTCGTATGCATGATCTCCCCGTCTTGGATCGTTCAAATAAGCCATACTCTGCTGCTGCACCTTTCAAGTTTCCTTCAATTGGATTGCCCTCAGGTAATGCCACATTAGATGATGAAGGTGGTGGTGAGATGGGCGATTTTCAAATACAATATGATAAACGTCATCATGTTGTAACAGGTGGTCCCTATGTTTTGGTGAGACTCTTGACAGGGACTCCAGTGATTCAGATTCAAATCATGCGTGATGATGATAAAGTAGTGATAGGTGATATGCCTATGACAGAGGATCGATTTTGGATGATGCGAAATACACCTCAAGTCACAGAGTATTCAACTGCATATTATGCATGGTATTGGACAGGAGAATATGTACCCAAAGATAGTAGTCTTCATCAAGATAATAAAGAAGTTAAAAAGAAAAAAGTAAAATGTGGAAATTATCGATTCAAAATAAGAGCTTTGCGTGTATTTGGAAAACGAGAAAAAGATGAAGACTGGGATGAATGGATTTCACCTAAATTTAAAGTTGATATTAATTATTAAGGAGTTTATTATTATTATTGACTAGAATAATAATAAAAAAAAATGTGCCTTTATTTTATTGTATAACTTGAAATCTATTTTTGGTCTTGTAATCTATCATTATGATTAATAACAACCCCGCTATCATTACATATATAATTTAGATACTTTAATCTTATTTTTGTCTTTCTTTCTTTATTTTATTTGATTTTATTTTTATTCTTCTTATTTATATAATAAAATCTTTATTACTCGCCTTCTTTTTCTTATTATTATTCTTCTTCAAAATATAAAAAAAAAAATAAAAATGACTATATCATCCTTTCTTCCAATCAATGAAGTCGAACTTCAAGCTTTAAAGGAACGATTTGAAAAGAATGGACAAGGTCATGTATTTCATTTCTTTGATGAACTTGAGATGGAACAACAAGCTCAACTGATTTATCAACTCTTGGATCTTGATGTAGAGCGATTGAATGAAATTTACAAAACAGCTATCAAGGGAGCTGAGGCATCCGTCTTGAATTCCAACACAACCTTTGAACCTTTACCAGAGGCTGTCTTTGACTCTGTTCTCAAGTCCTCACCTGAACAAATCCGTGATTGGGAAACATTAGGTCTTTCATTAATTGCTCAAGGTAAGGTCGCTGTGATCTTGATGGCAGGTGGTCAGGGGACTCGTCTCGGTTCTTCTGATCCAAAGGGCTGTTATAACATCAATCTACCCTCTAAAAAATCCCTCTTTCAACTTCAAGCTGAACGCATCTTACGTCTTCAGGATATTGCTCGTCAATATCAAAGACCATCTCAACTTAAGGATTGTGTCATTCCTTGGTATATCATGACCTCAGGTCCTACTCATGCTCCTACTTATCAATTCTTTGAAGCAAATCACTTTTTTGGTCTCAAGAAAGAGAACATTATCTTTTTTGAACAAGGTATTTATCTTTTTTTTTTATAATGATCGGATTGCATTTTTTTTTTTTTTTTAAAAAAAAAAAGAAAAAAAAAAACTAAAAAAACATATATTTCATAGGTACACTTCCATGTTTGACCATGGATGGTAAGATTATTTTAGAAGCAAAAGATAAGGTAATGTACTTGCATCATAAGGGGAAAGAAGGAGACAACAGATAGAGAGAGAGAGAGAGGAGGGGAGAGGGAAAAATAAGAGAAGGAGGAAAGAAGGAGTCAGGAAATTCATATTTCTCTTTTTTTTTTTTTTTTTTTGTTAGGTGGCTATAGCACCTGATGGTAATGGAGGTATTTATGCAGCAGTCCAAAATAAAGGTGTTATCAAATCATTAAAAGAGCGAGGTATCCTTTATTCACATTGTTACTGTGTCGATAATTGTCTTGCTCGAGTCGCTGATCCCGTCTTTATTGGCTATTCTGTCTCGAAGGGGACTGATTGTGGTGTGAAAGTAGTTAGTAAAGTAGCCCCCGAGGAGCCAGTAGGTGTTGTCTGTGTTCGTGATGGTAAATACAGTGTAGTCGAATACTCTGAAATCTCACAGGAGGTCTCTGAAAGGCGAACAGCAGATGGTGCATCCTTGTTATTTGGAGCAGCTAATATTGCAAATCATTTCTTTTCAACTGAATTTCTGGAACGTGTGCCTCAATTTGCCTCACAACTCGAATATCACATTGCTAAAAAGAAGATCAAGTATGTTGATATGTCTACAGGGGAAGTGGTTGTACCTAAATCAAATAGTGGTATGAAACTAGAGTGCTTTGTCTTTGACGTCTTTCCTTTTGCAAATCACTTTTCTGTACTTGAAGTTGATCGTAAGGATGAGTTTTCACCCCTCAAGAATGCGCCTGGAACAGGTGCAGATTGTCCTGAAACATCGAGGAGAGATATCGTTGCACAACACGTGCGCTTTATTGAAGCTGCAGGTGGTCAAGTAGAACAGGATGGTAACTTTGAAGAGCTCGAATTTGAATTATCCCCTTGGGTTTCTTATGCTGGTGAAGGCCTTGCGGATTTCGTTGCTGGGAAAATAATCAAGACTCCTGCTATTATTGAAACCAAAGAGGATTTAATTCGTTCCTTGAATTAGATTAAGATTTTTTAATAATTTTGTGAAAAAAAAAAGAGCCTATTTTTAGCTTTATTTTATTTTATCCTATCCCTTTGTACCCTCTTTTTTTTTATACCTATTTGTTTTTTTAAAAAAAAAAGAAAAAAAAAAAAAGAAAAAAATTACATAACAATAAAAAGAAAATATTTTATTTTTTTTTTTGTGAATGCAATAAAACTTATATTTACAGTATTAATAAATTATAAATGTAAATGAAAAAAAAAAAATATAAATAAATAAGCTAAATAAATACAAACTATTGTTTCATATCAATAGATTCATAAGAAGGTGGAGGATGCACAGAATGGAACGAGTGTTGGGTAGTAGCATTGATACCGGAAGAAAGCAAATGTTGTTCATTTCGAATTAACATCCAGTCACGACGGGTACATTTACGTTTCTTTTTATATTCCAAATAACAAGGACAGATAAAGAATCCTGGAGATTTTGAATCGACAGTACTGTCATGATCAACGATAGGATCCAGTAAAAGTGCTTCCTCATAGGTAGGTAATGCGTTATAATCTTCTTTTAAACGACAATCGAGTATGGTAATGGGTGTCTCTAAACGAATATGGGTTCTTGTTTGATTGCTAGATGAAGAAAGTTCAATGCGAATCTTGAGGGTATGACGAATGTCGATCTCTGAGAAGGTAGAGGTATGATTGAGGTAGACACAATTGGGTAATGTAAAAATCAAGCGGTAATAAAAGGGCCCATGATCATTTAAAGGGATATGAGCGTTTTTGACGTTCAAGAGACGACGCATGTCTTTCATGGATAAATCAAATCTTTGATGATGGAAGGTTGAATCTGTTAAGTTTGTAATGGATGCAATATTGACTTTAAAATCATGTGTCTCTGAACGAAATGCTTGGAATTCTGGTAATCTATAAACGCGTTTTTCAGTCAAGACAACTGAAATGGATTCGAGGTAAATATTTTTAAGGTTGGGTGAAAGAGAGATGATGATAGGAAATTGAGTACCAGAGGAGACATTTGATTTTTCGATACAGATAGTAGCATCACATATTTCCAATCGACGTTCAGACGTAATGGATGTAGTAGGGAGTGAGTTGGCTGTTAACGCATTATCTGACCAGTTGGGTGTCCTTAATAAAAGAATATCTCGTCGACTTTGAAGTTTTGTAGCCCCCATACCGATACGATGTACAACGGCTGTCACATAATAAAATACTTTAGCCATTTCATCTTCAATTGTTTCGATAAGCTGGTTCGATAATAAAAATTGAAAGGGCCAACGATGAATACCAGCTGATAAGATACCTTCTTGTCTTGGTGTATCTGGATAAGATTGTAATATCATATTTTGCTCATGTATTATCTTTTCATGATAATATTTAGTACCTCTAGCTCCAATGCCTAATACAGAAAGAAAGAAAGGAAAAAAAATTTTTTTCTTCTTCAGTCATATTGTATAATAAAATTAGATAGATTGACTACCTTCAGGCCATAAGCCATGAGATTTGCCAACAAATTGAATGACAACTTGTGAAATAGAGATAGGTCTTGTTAAAACAAGGCTTACTTCACCTTGAAGAACATGTGTAATCTTATCGTCATGGGTGCCTCTTAAAATAACTACCGGTTCAGCGAGTTCAATAGTAAGTTGTTTTGCCCCTGAGAAAAAAGGAACAATCACTGGCATATTCAGTCTTTATATATAGAAAATAAAAAAGAAAAAAAAAAGAAAAAAAAAGGATCTTCGTTCCCTGCTGCTATATATATATGTGTTAAGGATTTAAATATTATGATGCCTAACTTCTAGAACGAATGGACTATATTTGGGTGGTTTTGTTTCCCCGAATAGGCGGAAGTTCAAGAATTTAGTAAAAGAAAAAAAAGAATCCTCTATTCATAAAACTAAAGCAGATAAAGAAAAACTATCTAAAGAAATAAGGCTTGAAAACATTGCTATCATTTTCTAATCATTTCAAGAAACATTTTAATAGGAAGAAAGGCTATATTCAAAAACGCGTGAATGGATATAATTTTTTTTTTATTAATGTAAATAGATCAGATTTCTTCCCCAATTAGAACAACTTATTTTTCGATGTGCCTGAAACCCATAAGTATTGTAGCTTTTTTTTTTTTTTTGTTACTCAGTATTTGATGTACTGCCTACTATTTGGTAAATTTCATTTATAGAAGAATTACTATATTTGTCAGCCCATTTATCATTAGACTTACGATGTCCTTTTTCTTTTCACAAGATTGTAAAACATCATATCCTTATTTTTCTTAATGTAAAAAAAAAAAAGACATTTATTATTAAGGCTATATGAAATAACTATCAACATGATAGAATTAAAGAAATAATATTTACTCTATTCATTAAAAGAGAGCTGAGCAGATTTCCTACTACTAGAAATAAAACTGTCTATTACTTGTAGTGTTATGAGAGAAAAAGAATTATAATCTCAGATCCATATTAAACTAAAGACATACAAGCACTATAACTTACAAGGAGATTATCATACGAAAACTTAAAGTATCGCGTATACTTAGCGTGCTACAAGTGGTTTATTATTTAATACATGAAGATTATTATGAAAAATGTTTTGTATTTATTTTTAAAAGTAAATCAAGATAATTTATTTCATAATCATTAAAAAAAAAGGGTACCAAAATCTTCGTTCATCATTAATCAATAGTCGATTAATGAATCCATCCCCCACAGGACGAAGACCTGTTTTGGTAGCGTGGAGGGCCCCCAGATCCCAAAGAAATATAGCCCTCAGATCCCAAGGAAATATAGCCCTCAGATCCCAAAGAAATATAACCCTCAGATCCCAAAGAAATATAACCCTCAGATCCCAAGGAAATATAGCCCTCAGATCCCAAAGAAAAGGCCCCCAGATCCCAAAAAAGCCCCCAGATCCCAACGAAAAAAAAAAGAAGACTATACTCTTCCATAAGGAAAAGCGAATACACAGTAGGCGTAACTGCACCTGTAATAAATTCGCACTTTTATCACGATATAATATCTCTCGATACTATTCTATCACGTCACGGTGGTCGCAAACATAGTATTACCTTAAGATCCCCTTTGTTTTTTTCATTTAGTGTTATATTAGTCTATGACCGTAAACTAATATAACTGAAATAAATAAAACGCGTTTTTTTGAAGATATAATGAGTATACATGAAAAGGGTTCTTTTTTTAAATGCAAAAAAAGGACACCTCTAAAAAAAAAAGCAGCACCATTTCATAACTTCTTAGGGGGGAGACACTGTCAACTAACCGAAGTTCTAAACTAGAATTACCCTTGTCTGATAAGATTCAGATAATATGCTCTAATTTAGATCACCTAAAAAGCTAAGGCCGAACCCGTCCAACCTGGACTGCAATTCAAGGGGTGGGTTTGGGTTAGAGATGTATATCATTATACTTGACGACGCCTATTTATTTCATATAAAAAGAGAAACACCAAAGGAGGAATAAGGATAAAAAAAAAAGAAAAAAGAAAAGAAAAAAAAGGAAACGTAATATTTTATAAATAAATACATAAAATGATGACGTAGCGAAAGGAGGAATGTCGGGCTTTATTTTTATTTTATTTTTTTTGAAATTTATTAAAGGAGGATGTGCAATAATTAGGTACTATTACTTGCAAACATACACTATAAAAGCAACGACAAGTATATATGAGTCGTAAAATAAAACTCTATTAGAAGCAGTGACAATCTGAATATGTTTATCACTCCTCATTCAGTAGCAATACATTAGTGCTTCATGAATTCAATTTATAGAATAAATAATATCAACCGATTATCATTATTGTTTTATAGATTTGTCTTTTTAGCTATTTTCATTTTTCTTTATATATTTGGTAATAATATACATCAATAGACTTGTTATGATTTACCGTTTACCATGTGTATCAAAAGTTTAAGAATAATGATGGTTTCTTCTAGTAAATGTATATAAGCACAATTAAAAATGAGAGACGAATATTATTGATTCTTTTGCAGTAAGGTTTTGAACAATTTATATATTTAATAACAAGTCTTTGTGTTATCTAGATGAGAACCTATTAATTTTTAAACCGATGCCTCCCAAGTCATAAAGAAAGGGGAAATATGACGATAATGGAGAATAGAAAAGCGTTAGATAATGATTACCTAACAATGTTACCCATTGTTGAAAATTTAATGCTATGATTTATTATTTAGACTGTTGTATTCAATATCTTTTTTTTTATTAAAAGATGTATGTTTTAAACAATATCACCAGCTACCATATTGTACTGTACTGAAAATAATTCACAAATATCTTTATTATGTATATTGATGTATCTTCTTTCAGCTTGATATAGAGCATAAAAAAAGGGGGGGGGGAAAGGGTAGCAGTAATGTGGAGGCAAGTGGTCTTATTCTAAGCGTATACTTGTATCATCACTCTTTATTTAAGTAGTGTGATGTATGATTGTGAGTAGATAGGATTAAGTGGAGCTCTGAATAGGTGCAGAGCATTTAAATACTTTGTTTAAATATATTGGTTGGCATTACAAATTTGATTGTACCTTAATAAATATCCGACTGGTTTTAAAATTCTATAAGATGAATTATATAGTCTTCTTTCTATCTATCTTTTTAATAATGGGCAATATCAGGTTATTTATTAAATAACTCCCTTATTGTGAAAATATTTATATGGAAAAGCCAATAAAGTATTCTTTATATTATACCTATTAAGAATAATGTAAAATCCTTTTGTATATTTTTTTTTAAAAAAAATAAATAAATTAATAAATATAATAAACTAAAATAAGAATCGCTAGAAATAGAGCCAAATACTTTTCCCGGAAGTAATTATGGACAATTATACTATTCATGTTAAATAATAGTATCCATATTGCTACCTACTAATTTTATGATCCTTGGTACTTTTTTGTTTTCTGCTATTTTGTATAACACTCTAAATAAAATGAATAGGGATCATATATCATTGTATCCTTGCTAACTGCTATACCATCATCTATTCCCATGTGTCATCACTTTCTTTTCGGATTTTTATTGGATATTACAAGTAATTTGAGCTACCGATTCGGGTGAATAATAATAAAAAAAACAACTTGTTGAGTCAGCATTTTCTCTGGAATAATAATAATAATTTGCATTTTTTTTTTATTATTGTTCACCTTCTTTCTTTATTTCTTTCTTATTATTTCATGGCAGCTGTTAATAAAGAAACTCTACCTCCTATAGGCCATGCAGCTGCTGGGTCAGCGGGCGCTATGTTTGCATTAACTCTTGTATATCCACTTGACATGTGAGAAGAAAAACAAAACAATAAAAAAAAAATAAGCCATTTAATATTAAATTATATATATTTTTATTATTAAAAAAGTATCAAGACAAGAATTCAGGTACAAACAAAAAATAAAGATCAAGAACATTATACATCAGCTTGGGATGGTATTATGCAGATAGTTCAAAAAGAAGGTTTATCAGGACTTTATGCTGGACTTGGATCATCTTTGATTGGTACAGCATCCACTAACTTTACATATTTCTATTGTTATTCAATGCTAAGAGAAAATTACAATAAAAGATATAACGCTCGTGGAGATACATGGTCGACAGCGATGGAGCTTATTTTAGGTGCTGCAGCAGGTGCCTTAACGACCCTTATTACAACACCAGTATCCGTTATTACAACTCGACAACAGACATTACCTTCCAGTGAACGACAAGGTGTCTTGGAAACGTGTCAATCTATTCTTGCTGAAGAAGGCGTTAAAGGTTTATGGAGAGGTATTCAACCCTCTCTCTTACTTTGTGTTAATCCTGCTATCACTTATGGTAGCTTTGAAAAGATTAAACAAGTCGTTGTTAAAGTTCTAAAGTTGCCTCTTACACCTAGTGTTAATTTCTTGGTAGGTGCACTTGCAAAGACATTAGCCACCATTATTACATATCCTTATATTATGGCAAAAGTACGTCTTCAATGGAAACCATCAAAGGAAATGAAGGATAAGGTTGTAGCATATAAAGACTCATTTGATATTCTTACTCGTGTTCTTAAAACTGAAGGTTTCTTTGGATGGTATAAGGTAAATATTTTTTTTCAAGTCTTTTATTCTGTATACACACACACACACACACTAATCATAATGTTGATTTAATAGGGTATGAGTACACAAATAACTAAGGCTGTTTTATCACAAGCCTTACTATTTATGATGAAGGACATTTTCACAAACTATACTTTAATGGCTTATGCATTGATTAAAGCAACTCAAAGAATAAAATCTAAATAAAAATTAGAATGATCCTCTCTAGATTACCATTTACATAAATTTCCAATTTCTATACACACTCACGCACGCCACTTTTGAACTTGAGGTGTAACAAATCATAATTAAAAAAAAAATATTTTTTTATTTTTATCTTTTTTTTTTCTTTCCTTTCTCTTTTCCTTTTCCTTTTCCTTATTATAATATTATTATTAAAAGAAGACGACAACATGCTGGGATATTTAAAACAGTCTTTATCTAATGTATTAAAAAATGCAAAAGAATATGTAGCTGATGTATGTTTTGAATTCCCAGATAATGATACTCTATGGGCGCATAAAGGTAATAATCGCAGTAAGATAATAAGACATTAACAATTAGATTTTACTTACAGGTTTTTATTGTTATTTTTTTTTTTTTTTTTTTTTTTTTTTTTTTTTTTTTTTAGCTATTTTACTTGTACGGTTACCTGAAGATTTTCGAAATCAATATATACCTCAATTAAATAATCGACATGATAATGATGATGATGATCCGATCACTTATATTAATATCAGTCATATTATTTCGTATGCATTATTTTCTAAATTACTCCACTTTTGGTATCTTGCTGAGTTTTCTTCATTAAAGGAGGATGAACAAGAGATAAGAAGTTTAGAAGAAAGATTAGGTATGAAAGTGATATCAGAAGAAAAAGACCAATGGATAACTGACTTGAAAAGAATGATGGATGAAAGTATATGCAGTGACGTCGTCATTAGTATCTTCCATGCTACTCCAAATACGACTCATCATCCTCAGTTATCAAAGGAGAAGCCACCCTCCTTTTCAGTACATCGCTTTATGCTTGCTAGTCAATCACCTTATTTTTATACGGTTTTATTTACTAAAGAGTTTCGTAAAGTCTCACTCTCCTCTGTTCATCTTCCTTCAGATGTCTTTTCATCTATTACGTTAAAAATTATTCTTTATTATTTCTATACCGAACAACTTATTTTACCTTCACTTTCTACTTTTACTTTATCACCGCCACAAAGTCATCTAAGTACAAAACGATATGATTTGCGTCTCTTGGATCAAGTCTTTATAGCTGCAGACTATTTGGGTCATCCTACTGATACGATATGTAAAGCAGTCTTGACAAGAATGAATACAATCTGCCATCAATTTAAATGTGTTTGTCCTGAATGTGCCCGTCTTTTACCTTTCATGCTCTATTTTACGGATAAACATCTTCAACGACACAAGGATATCGCCAAGTTGAGGATAAAATTAATGACACTCTATAGTGATCCACTTGAACGATTTGTGCCTCTTTGGTCTCAAAGGCCATTTGCAATCCTAGTCAATGCAACAAAACAGGAACAAAGTCACTTTTATCATCATCGTCAACATATGACAGAGGATGGAACACAAGTGATTTCTCAGATATTTATTAATCATCATGAGACAGTACCTACAAAGAGGGAAGACTTTATCACTCAAATCACTCAACAGATATCTTCTAATATTACAAAACAAAATTCGATACGAGTCCTTCATTCTCTTCATCTTTGTCTATCTGCTTTACGTAGTGCAGATCCATTACCGACTTGGTCACATTCTCTTTTGTCTATCGTGATGGATAAATTATTAATACCTACAATCGAACTAGTTGCGAATGATTTTGAATATTATTGTGTAGAGTACCCTGTTTTATTATCTTGTGTAGATGGTATTGTAGAATTCTCTGTCGATTTTTTAGAATTTGTCTTGAAATGGATTTTAAGTAAAGGAATCAATGATAGAAATGCAGACAAATTATATCAGGGTATTGTAAGGGATTTAGGACGTCGACAAGAGGTAGTAAAGAATGTAGTAATCGATCGTGTTCTTGAAGATGCTAAACAAAAATCTATTGAATACCTTTCAAATCATTGGATAGATATTAAGGCCCTGGGTGGCTTTTCAACCATTGATAAAGATATTTTAAAATCGATTGCAGAAGGTAACAAAAAAAAAAAAAAAAAGCGAGAGGAGAAGCCTTTATTTATATAAACTAAACTAAATTTGTTGTACAAGATATTCATGTCCCTGTTCGTATGTTAACAAAGATATCAACAGATAGTAGCGATCATTTTTCATCCATGTTTCACTTTATGCCTACTACAAAGAAAGTCTCTACAAACCTCCTCATTTCACCTTCTTCTTCTATTAAAACATCAAAACATAAAGCCTCATTAAATAATAATCATCATTCACCCGAAAGAAGAGCACGCTCACTCTCTGCAGCAGATGCTACATCATCTTCTATCTTAATACGACATCAATCTAAAAGCGATAGATCAGTAAAGACAGGATATTATTCAGATACAGAAGAGGATTATAACAATCATAACAAAAATAGGATAAAAGAGACATGCTTAATTGACGCGTTATTACCTTTAGATAAAGTCTTCAACACAAACACAAATGAAAATGAAAATGAGAATGATAACCCTACAAATACACGAAGATCAATTCGATTTGCATTACCCGAACTACCTGCAAGAATGAATAATATACAATATCAACATCAACACCAACACCAACACCAACAACAACAACAACAGCAGAGGAAAAAAAAGACGAATTCGACTAATAAACGATGGAGTCTTGTTAGAGGATATTATAGTAGTGATGATGATACAGAAGTATCTATTATACCACAAATTGGACAAAAAGTGGAATTATTAAGAAGACCTTTACCAACGTTAGGAACAATAAAATACATTGGAAATGTAGAGTTTGCAAGAGGTACTTGGGTTGGTGTCGAATTAGAAGCACGCTGTAAGTAGAAAAAATAAGTGTGTGTAGTCTTATTTCATAACAGTTAAAATATAGTAGGAAATAATGACGGATCTGTTGAAGGTAAACGATATTTCGAGACATTTCCACAAAGAGGTGTATTTGTTAAAATTGATGATTTTAAAATAATATCTGATAAGAAAAATAATAACAATTTATAACAAAAATAATAATAATAATTATAATAAAAAAAAAAAAAGAAAAGAAAAAAATTCATTTATTTTTAACTCTTTTATTAATTCTTCTTTTTTTTTTCTTTAAAAAATGGAAAAATATTCTAGATGGAGAGTAGGTTACAAAACATTAGTCATTTTACTTTAACTGACTAATTCATAAAATTTCAGGATGCAGGAACTGGTATTCAGCCTTTTCTTCCTCCAGTGGTAATTTATTTATATATGCATACAAACGTTTTATACATGTTCAATAATATCGATACTTTTTATATATAGCCACCACGTATTGATTCTAGCTTTTTAATCACTTTATCCAACATCATTCATATAATTGTTGGTCCAGTTCAGGGTATTCTTAAAATACTTCTCATCAGCCTTCTATCACTAGTCTACATTTTGTTTGTACCTCTGTTAGGCACATTACTGGTAAATATGTATTTATAATTAAAATAGATGTGCACGTTCATGGATTATTCATATTTCTTCATTAATCAGACGCCCATCAAACCACTAAAAAGAGGGTGGACAAGACTATTTTCAGCCATATTGTTACGTCTTGTCTTATTTTTATCAGGCTTCTTCTATATTAAGACAGAGACGGTTTCTCTTCGTAAAAGGTATTGTTGGAATAAATAGGAACTATGTGTTTATATTTACACCCTTATAAATATAGTCGTGATTCAAAAGGACGTCCTATAGAAAGTCCTCAAGTTCAAAATGGAAGTGTGATTGTAGCTAATTGGACATCTTACATTGATGTTTTATATCTCGCATTTAGGTAAAATAGATATATATACATATAGAGAGAGGAAATAATATTAATAGATATTTACAGATTTGATCCTGTATTTACACAACTTTATACAGAAACAAATAAAGTCAGGGTCATTTCTTTATGGGAAGCAATCCGATTGACTAGTAAAATACCTGAATCAAAGCCTTCCAAGAATAATGAACTATTATATTCAGTAGAGGAATTAGCATTAAAAGCGAAAAAGAATAAATGGGGTCCTATCGTGATATTTGCAGAAGTAATTTATTTTATTTTATTCTATTTTATTACATTTGATGAATAACATTTATGAATTCGCTTTTATTATTATAGGGAACAACAACGAATGGTAGAGCATTATTAAGATTTGCACCTGTCTTTAAGGAATGTGAAAAAGTAGAAAAAAATATGTTTCAACTAATGTCATTCAAGTAAGTATTATTACAGCTCATCTCTTCTTTTCTATTACTTGGTAGTTTATTTTATTTTATTTTTTAGATATGAGTATGGTAACATGCCACCTACTTTTACAGTTGGAAATCAATTTTATCATTTCTTTAAGCTCTGTTCACAGGTAAAAAAAAAAAGGATTGATATGTTAATTCTTTCATTTATTTATTTTTCATGTAGTTCTATAATACACTTCTCGTTAAATCACTTGCAAGGGATGAGCTTTTAAATGAATTTTTATTACATAATCAATCTGAGGACCCTGTTGGTGATGTATTAATCTCATCGCTTGGTAATATATCCAAGCTTAGAAAAACAAATTTAACCATGTTAGACAAACGTGATTTTATGATTTATTATAAATCCCGTACAAAGAAATAATAATAAAGAATTCTATAGAGTGTAAATTTCCTCAATTTATGCAAAGAGACGATGTATACTTTACTACTAATTACTCCAAATATTACCAATATTTGTACTGATAAATAACGAGGAAAATCATAGTCAGACTCATTATTAGCAGGTGCAGATTCACAAGTAGCCACTTTTATCAGCATAAATATGATTTTGCTACTGATAAAATAGAAATTTAGTCTTCTATAAGAGGTTAAAATGTGTTTTGTAAAAAGAGGTCAACAAGACCATTATTCATCCTTTATATTAAGTATTTTGTGTACATACACACATATACATTAAATCTTTGTTTTTGTTTTTTTTTTTTTTAGTCATAATTCGACATTTACCACCTAGAAATAAAGGTCACCTTTAAACAGAAAAATAACTATTTTGAACCTATTCTGGCGTGAAACTTTTATTTTTTTTTTAAAAAATTGACTTAATATTATGTAGGGACATGTCAAGGATAGACAATATGGCGCAAGTGAAACAAGTTATTATTCCCCATAAATTTGACCTTAGGCAGCGGAGGGTGGGGTGGGGGAAGGGAAGACTTTTTACGGATAAATTGTCTAAAAATGGCAGTAGGGGGAGAACCGTCTCGTCTCTATTGTTTATAAATTCCACTTCCTTACCCTCCTCCCCTTCCCCACGCTGTCTAATTTTTTATTTTTTTATTTTTTTTTTTATTTTTATTTTCACTTTATAGCTCTTCTTCTACAAATGTCAACATCTTCACAAAGACCATTTTTATCCCTTCCAAAGACTTATTATATATTAACAAAAGTACAAAATATATCTGCTATTGCATTTTCAACATTTACAGTTGTTCATGTAAGTCAATTACTTGCTGCTAATGTCGGTGGTGTACAATTATCCAATCGCATGCTTATGTTAGGAAGACCGTTTTATCAAGATCAACATATAGAAGGTCTTGTGATAACTGGAGCTGCAGTGACACATGCCATGGCAGGTATGGGCAAATGGCTTATTCGATATTATTGGAGGACACCAAATAACAACAACTCAACCTATTCTTTACATAGTCTCTCAGGCTATTTGTTAATACCCCTTATGGGACTTCATTATATTCTTGTACGTAATTTACCTAAACACTATTATGGCGATTCCTCCTTTATCGATTTTGGTTATGTCGCTTGGGGTTTACAAAATCGCCCTCTTTTCACTTCTATTTTACATGTAGGATTGATCATGACAAGCACTTATCATATCATGAATGGTTTCAAGTATTTAATAAATGGCAATAAGAAAAAATCTACTCATAAACAAAGATATCAAGTCATATTTGAAAGAGGCCTTGTTGCATGCACTAGTTTAGCTCTTATTTCAAGTCTGTTCATCATTGGAAAAGAAACAAAAAAGATACCTTTACGTCTTGATTTTGAAAAAATATATAAACAAATTTACATTTAAACAATAATAAAAGTTTCCATAATTATTATTATTATCATTATCATTATTATTACATAATATGCAAAAATTCTTTCTTTCTTTCCTTTTTTTTCTTTTTTTTTTTTTTTTTTTTTTTTTTTTTTTTTTATTCTGCCATCAATCCTTCTAAACTTATACCACCTTCCATTTGCTCTTTAGCAAACATTTCAAAGTATTGGAAAATAATCGTGACACACAATAAGATTCCTGTTCCAGAACCAATAGCACCAATCATATCAGCCAAGACTGAAACTGCACCTAAACAGGCACCACCAAAGGATGCAGCAACAGGGATAACACGTTTCAATTCCTTATACATGGAAGTATCACGATAACCAGCAATGACAAGTTGTTGATCTTTTAATTGACGTGCAACATCACGAGGAGAAGATCCTGAGATATCAATCCAGACCTTAGAAAGGAGAGCACAGGTAGTCAACATGATACTGACATAAATAACAGTGTGGATAGGATCTAAAAGAGCAGCAGTGAAACTACGAGGAGCTGAAAGATAATAGGCAATGCCACCTACAGCATTTAATTGAGAGGTACCATCAACAGCTTCCCAAGTACCTAAGAGACGGACTAAAAAGTTATCTGTGAATCGCTTATAGAGCATTTGTGAAATCATGAAAATATTAGAAGTCAAAGTAGATTGAAGCATGATAGGCATGTTGGAGGTATAAAAAAGTTTGACAGGATAAGAACCACGTTGACCACGAAGACGGTTTGACTTGACTGGAATCTCAACACGGAATCCTTGAAGATAAATAACGAGTAAAAAGATAGAAGCAGTTGATAAAAGACTCATCACATTGGGCAAATTAGTACGATAAAAGGCTTCTTTAAGTGCACGAGTCTTATCCTTACGTGTCATTAAGAGATGAACAAGGGCAATCAATGCACCTTCGAATTCATCACCACGACCACTATCCATAGTAGTAGGTGAAAGTGCTTTCCAAAAGATCGTTTCACAGATATTTGTAGCAATGAAAAGATTAATGCCAGAGCCTAGACCATAACCCTTTTGTAATAATTCATCCAATAATAATGTAATCAAAGAAGCAACGACAAGTTGAATGATCAAAATCAAGCAAACACCAGCTCCAATATCCTTGGGATTACCATAAAGGCCGGTCAAGACAGATACGGTAGCATGTCCAAAAGCAATAATCATAGCAAACACTACAAAGTTAAAAAGTATATATGAGTATACAATAAGTTTATCTATCTATTTTAGACTCACATTTTTGAGCACCACTGAATAAGGCTCTATCTTCTTTTAAACTATAGTCGACTTCGATAATATTTGCACCAGACAAAAGTTGCATTATCATACCTGAAGTAACAATAGGTGTAATACCTAATTCCATAAGTGTACCACGATTAGAAGCCAGAATGACTCTCATCCAAAAGAGAGGATCTGCAGAATCAGATGACATGATGCCATAAAGAGGGACTTGTGACATGACCAAGAAAATAAATAATGTAACTGCTGTCCACATTACTTTTTGATTAAAAGGAACCTATAAAAAAGGCGTTGAATAATCAAGATCTCTGTTTAAAGTTGATGCTATCCCCTTTTATATTTCCATTATATATTTTTTTTCTTTTCTCTTTTTTTTTTTTTACCTTTCGATCAGGTTGTGCAATTTCTGGAAGAATAGCCATGAATGGCTGAACAAGATGTAAAATCCTGACTAAAGATGTTCCAAATTAAATAATGAATACTCTATCCATTTACAACACAAATTAAATAAAACAATATACTTACAACCCATTCTGTTTTTTTATAATTCTTTTATTCTTTTGGTTTAAATAATAAAAAAAAAAAGAAAGAAGAAAAAAAGAAGAGGGAGATAAATTTTACGTGTATATCAATAATAAAACACTATCTATGTTTGGACTGAGTCTAGAAAAAAAACATGATATAAATTATCCAATCAGATCACTACACCTTTTTATAGAGAAGTGACTACAAGTATTTATAAAAGGTACATACAACAGCCAATAGTAATAAATTATAGATATTATTTAAGCAGATCATTAAAATATGTAGAAATGTATTGATAACCTATATCTATTATATAAATAAAACTTTTTTGGCCCTTTAGTAGGTTCAAAATTTTCTTTTTTTTTTTTTTGTTTTTGTTTTTTCTTTTTTTTTGTTTTTTCTTTTTCTTTTCTTTTCTTTTCTTTTCTTTTTTTTTTTTTTTTTTTTTTTTTTTTTTTTTTTTGTTATACAACTACTAAAAATAAGCCAAATAATGCAGCAATAAACAAAGGCACATTAGAATATAATCTCAATTGAAATGCATTAGAAGTAGTAGTAGATCCAGGAGCAACGCCAGTACCAGTAGTTGTACCTAATTTTTTGTTAACACTAGCATCAAAACTAGGGAAAGTGATAGAATGTTCAAGGTATGGATGAGGAATATTCATACAGGTAGCGACATCAGTAATATGTTTGTAACTCTTTTGAATAGCAGGATAGTGATTAGCAAAGAATTGCATCGTCATATTGTTAATCTCATGTGAGAGAACGATATTACCCGAGTCCTTGAATGTACCATTCGTACCCATTTGGATAAAGTCAAGATAACGTTGATTCACAGTATCAGCCGTGACTCCTGGGGTTGTCCCTGCTGCCCAATCATCAGTATCCAAGTTCCAAAGGATAGCTGTCATGTTTAATTGGGTCGCAATCCATCGAACACGATCATCAAGATCACCTAAAGCCTATATAGAATAAAGGAAGTGAATAAGATAAGTTCTAATTTATGATGAATATAATAACAACCTCCCCCCCTCCCTCAGTTCCTTTCTCCTAAAACTTACAGGTCTCCAATGTAATGGTGTAACACCAGTGACATACTTGATAGCTTTAGCAGTATAATATAATTCAGCTAAAACTTCTTGGTTAGAAAGTGTAGTCATCATACGATGAGACCAAGTATGACCGCAAAGATGATGACCATCTTTATGTCCACGTAATGCTCCATATGGCCAACTAAGCACATTTGATCCAATATAAAACATAGAAGCTCTTTGTTTGTTTGATTGAAGTAAATCATAAAGAGCATTATGTGAGCAATTAGGACCATCATCAAAAGTCTAAGATATAAATATATATATATATAGAAAAAAAAAAGGAGGTTATATAAGGAGAACAATATATATATAATATGTATATACATATATAAAACTTAAAAGCCTGAACTTACAAGACCCCAAGTTAATGGTTCAGGACAAGTATAAATATCTGGATTAATATCGGCTGTTTTCGGTTGAACGCACTGAGTAGCTGACCACCAACAGTCAGGATCCTTTGCAGTGTCATATCCTGTCAAGTCAAGACCACCTGCAGGTGTAAGTTTTCGTACGGGAGCTTTAGGTGCTTTGGTCCAGTCAATTGAATTATAAATTCGCGTAAACTCAGCAGAGGCAACCATATTGTTACTTGTTGCAATATCCCAAATTACAGGCCATTGTGTTTTGTCAATAGTGAAATTAGATTGATAATATTTACATTCAGTAGCAATATCATGTGAAGTCATTTGTGGAATATTAGGGATAGACACTTTAGTAGGATCAGTTTTGCTAGGAAGATTAGAGATATCTACTGTAGCAGTTACAGCAGTAGCTAAGGCTGCAATGAATAAAGTTCGATAATATATCCACATTGCAAGAGATGAATTATAACTCTAAAGTATACACAAATATATTTGTAAAATAAAGAAATTAATACAAGGAAAAGAAAGAAAGAAAGAAAGAAAGAAAAGAAAACGCAAGCTAAAAAAAGGTACTAATTTATTATTATATAAATATCTATTTGTTTTAAGGAGAGTTTTTTTTTTCTTATTTTTCTTTTTGGGGGGGGGAGAGCTAAAGAATAGATAGTTTAGGAGATAAAGGTGTAAACAGGGGGACTAAGGGTCGAGACAAAAAGAAACTAAAAAAAAAACATGTTATACATAACAGGAGATCGACACGCACACCACATGCAAAATCAAATTTGCACTATTTTACTAATTTATTAGTGCACTTTTAGTAGGAAAAAATGATTAGCGTTGCTTAAAATGCAGGCTTTTAAAAAATAAAAAATAAATCTGTGCATAAAGCATACAAGAAAAAGTAGAAAGGCATGTCTGCACATGCTTCTAAACACTCAATAAACTTTGAAGCAGCAGAACCCTTAAAGGTCACTTGTTATAAGAAAAAGTCTGTTGTATGCATCTTTTCAAAATGTTTTAAAGTCATAACTTGCTATTCTACTAGTCCCTATTATTTAACCCCGCTTTTTTTTTTTTTTTTTTTTTCACTATAGTGTTTCGCGTTTGAAAATACAAAAATTAGAAGGCAAAAATTAAAAAAAAAAAATCGGTGTTACCAATAAAAAAAGTCTTAAAGTCTAATAATATTTTTTGTTGGTTAGTAGAACTTATGATTGAATAGTAAAATATATGAATGAACAGTAAAATGTTCTTGTCATCAATACAAATACATATTTTACCCAAGGAAAAAAAAACGGATTTTCTGTTTTTTTTTTTTTTTTTTTTTTTTTTTTTTTTTTTTTTTTTGGACTGATTCACAGCATAAAACAATGAATATGTATCTAAAAAAGAGCTAGTAAACAACCTAATTAGTCCGAAAAATTAATTCATGAGATTTTGCAGTGGTTCAGAGGTGAAAAAAAAAATCCCTTACAGTATTCGCGGTACTCTTGTCGTATTGAGTAAAAAAAACATGTGCTTTTGGTGATGGTGACAGTAATGGAAAGCATCAGTTATGAAAAAAAAAAAAATCATGATCAGTTATGGCTGAACGTCAAACTATTCAGTTGATTAAAGTTAAAAATAACGACTGAATGTTATATTGTTAATAAGAGCTAATAATCAAAAGCCAATATACAATACATATTACTATCAATCTAGAACAAGCTGCAACTGTATGGTTTTGAAACAATACAACAAGGACTTATTGCTACCCAAATAATTATTGTCATAGTTTGAATAAATAATAATAAGGAAATCTACAGTTACATAACAGTAAAGCATCATATATTTTGTAATTAAAAAATAAAAACTATTTCAAGTTCTTTGTGCGCTTTTTTGCTTGATAGTAAAAGGTTTTCAGAGTATTTGACGAGGTATATGATTGGAAGAGGCCTTTAGATTTTTTTTTATTAGTAAATTGTTCTCCAATTTTTATATTTTCCTAGTTTCAATAAATAAATAAACATTAAGCCTGTATTTTTTTTTTTTGTGTGTGTGTGTGTGTGTTTTGATCTATTTGAGATGCGGTCAGTTCAAAATCATCGTCTTTAAACTTTACCTTTTGATTTCCCATGCTGTTTAAAACTTCTTCAACGTACAAAGGGCTCGTTTAATCATAATACTAGGATCTGTATCCTCAAATTCGATTATTTTTTGTAATTTTGATTTGGTTTCCTCTATTTTAAGCGCAAAAAGATAAAGAAAGAGAAAACAAAAAAGACAAGTCTGTGGAAACTCTGTATAGTTCATTGAAAGGAAAATAATATAAAAGTTGTACCAAGAAGAAAATAATATGGAAAAGTGGCAAGGGCTATTTATATGTTTTTCGCAAGGTAAGTGATATTAATAGAAGTATAATTTGGATAAGTGAATACTGGTATAATAAATCATTATGTGTAAATGTTGTCGGTGTAAATGTTGTCAGTGTAAGTGTTGTCAGTGTAAGTGTTGTCAGTGTAAGTGTTGTCAGTGTAAGTGTTGTCAGTGTAAATATTATCTCTAAAATATTCAGCTTGTAATAAGATATTATTTCTGGAGTAAGCAACGCGTTCATATTAATTCACAGTGAATATTCCAGCTATAACAATAATATCAGTTATTATATGCTACTATCATTATCATCCTCCGAGAAGTTATTACATAGCAATATTTAATATTATAGATGTGTATATAATATGTATGGCATGTATAAATAATTGTGTAATTGAATATAACAGTCATAAACCTATTGTATCCTTATTATTACATAATACAATGTGTATAATTAGTTTTTAATGCTCGAATACCTTAACAATGACTACTATTAAAACTGAATCTAGAATGAATATTATGCTGTGAAGTTCAATATACTAGTTTTATTTGAATAACCTCTTTACTATGTAATAAATGATGGTTTATCTCTATTAATTTAGTTGTAAGGACGACTACAATCATATCATGTAGATTGAAACCTGATTCATCTATAAAAGCACAATTCTTCTGGTAATCAGAATTATTCTCTTTCTTTACATTTTTCAATTATACAACTTTCTCTTTCAAATTGTCGTATCAGGATCTCGTTCTTCACGAAGAATCTCAGCTCTCCTTAAATATAAATTACATTTTGTCCTCATATGCTTATAAACTGCATTGACCGAGATTCTTAAATCTGGGAAAGCTTTACCACCACTCTCATTAAATTTATTCCATATTCTATAGGCTAGGCTGTGTTACGAGGAATACTTGCCTTCTTTGCAGCTTCAGGTACAAGATAACCCTCTTCCTGCAAACTGTGAATGAAGTCAGCAATTTAAGCGTGAGAGTAACTTTTTGTACTTTATTTGAACTAGCTGAAAGTCTTCCTCCTCAAGTATCAAATTGGAAAAGTTGTCTTCTATTTCTTCCAACTCATCATCAGCCATGCTATCTTTAGTAGTAACGTTCATTACACTATACTGAGCATGACTATAATTTGTGTCTTGTGTTTCTTCCCTCTCTCTCTCTCTCTCTCTCTAACATTTCTTCATCAGAAGTAGTATATTCATCTACACATTGTTCTTGCTGGTTTGGTTGATATGGAATAAACGACATTGCTTGTTAAATCGGCACTATTTAGTAAAATTGTAAAAGAAAAGAAAAATAGCCTCAGCTGTGGATCTCAAATGGTTTCAAAATAGTCTTGAAATTTTACTAATCTGTCTTGTGCCTGTTCCCTAAAACGTACCAAGTTTTTTTTTTTTTTTTTTTAAATTGTCCCAGAAAAAAAGTACGTCTAAATATCTATTCAAAACCCAGTATTTTAGAATACATTGAAGAGAAGTCACTTTGTGATAACAATCAACTGATCCGACACAACAATAAATCTTTATAAAGCTGACTTATTAAATAGAGACTACCACGTCAAAGTTCATAATGACTTTGCTTGCAACATCAATGGCATATTATGATAACATAATGTTAGTACTCTTAGAAAAAAAACGAAACTTTTTTAAGAGAAAATGTTTAGTGAACCATCTGTATTATTATTTTTTTTTTTTTAAAAAAAAAATTATTCTGTCGAAAAAAAAAAAAAAGGCTGCAATACTGATTATGTTACATAAGCAACAGTGTTTGTCAACTTCGAACAAGTCACGATGTCAATCTTAGATTTCCTTATTTGAATCCAACGTAATATTATCTTAATATACAAGGTGTATTGCATGTTTGCCGAGACGAGACTTTTTTTTTCTTTTCCTTTTGGTGTATATTTTTTTTTTATTTGTACATATTTGACATAGTATATAAATAAATTAACAATGGATAATCTGATAACAGAAAACGAACTTGAAAATGCTTTAGATTCAATGACTATAAAAGAAGAACCAGAAACAGTAACTAGTATAAATAAAACAAATAGCATTTCTCAAAGCCCACAAGCAAAATATAAAAGAAGGTATTTTATTTTATTTTATTTTTTTAAAATAAAATAATCGAGGAATGTCTAAGTTTCTTTGAATGTAATAGATTAGCAACTTATAATCAACATATGGGTATGCAAACATCTCACATTCAGCCTACTGATGACATTTTTAATCCTAATGATCCACGCTTAAAAGAAGTAAAGTCAAAGAAAAAAAGAGTATATTGTAAAGAAAAAAAATAACATTTTAATTCACATATAATAAACTAGGATATTATTGCTATTATTATGCAATATTTACAAGATGAAGGATACCATGCTTCACAGTCAGTATTATATGATGAAACAAATGTAAAATGGAAAGAAAGAGAAGAACGTGCTATGGAAATAAAAAGGTTAAAAAAAGCTATTCTGGGTAAATAATATACTTTTGTATACATTTTGAAAAACTAATCCCTTAGGAATAGATGGAGATTGGCAAGAAGTCGAAAAATTATGTACAAAGCCAATAGTTAAAAACCATAGATCGTTTTTATATTCAGTTTATAAACAGCAATATTTAGAATATTTAGAAAGACGTGAGATTCAAAAGGTAAAAGTAATGATTTTTATATATACGAGTGAGTCTATTTCACTTATATTTTCTTTCCAAAAAAAAAAGGCTTTCACATTTTTAAATAAACGATTAAAACCACTTGAGCATTTTCAAACAAAGCCAAATGAATTTAAAGATATGTGTTATTTATTAACAGCCAAATCAATTCATGAGGCACCTAGTTTTAAACATTGGGAGGGGATTATGGCGTCAAGAGAAGGGCTTGTAGATCAACTGCAAAGTATGCTTGAATTTGAATCTGCAGATCGTACGGGTAATCGACATATCCCACCTGATCGTCTGTTGACTCTATTACGACAAGCAGTTGCTTATCAAATTGAATTCTCAAGGTATCATCCTAAGATTGCACCTACTGTGAACACTCTGTTAGATGATTATACAAGTTTTGTAATACCAAATGCGCTTGGTGCTACCTTAATAGGACATCAAGGAAATGTCAAATGTATAGGATTTATTGGACAAGAAGGAAAACAGATTGTATCAGGTTCAAGGTAAATTTTTTCAAGATAGCAAGGAATAATCATGTATTTATTATTTATAATTAGTGATAATACTCTGCGTATTTGGGATACAGAATCAGCAGAATGTTTAGATGTTTTAAAAGGACATCGATCACGTATTTGGGACTTGTCTACAACTCATGGTGGTGAGTTTGTAGCTAGTGCAAGTGGAGATTCTACGGTTAAGATTTGGAATTTAAAGAATAACACTAAAATAAGCTGTGTGACTACCTTGAATGGACATGCGGGTGATGTTTATTCAGTTAGATATCATCCAAATGAAAGTCATTTAGTGACCGGTGGCTACGACAAGACCGTTAGATTATTTGATGTAAATACAGGTGCTATCATCAAGACTTTTCCAGGTCATCAATTAGCTGTTACCAAGACTATTTTTAATCCTTTGGGTAACCTGGTTATTAGTGCGTAAGTCATTAGAAATATCAAATACATAAAAAACATATAAGCTAATATATCTTGTAGATCTAAAGATAATACAATCAAGTTCTGGGATATTGTATCTGGTTTATGTATCCGTACAATTTCTTCTCATTTAGGTGAAGTGACATCAGTAGAAATGAATTCTAGTGGAACACTGTTATTAAGTAGTTCAAAGGACAATTCGAATCGACTTTGGGATGTCAAGATGGTAAAACCTATACGTAAACTTAAAGGACATCAAAATACATCTAAAAACTTTATTCGAGCGAATTTTGCAGATAATAATTTAATTGTTGGAGGTAGTGAAGATGGAATTGTTTATATTTGGGATCAAGATACAGGAGAAGTCTTGCAGAGACTACGTGGACATAATGGTGTAGTTTATGACGCAGCTTGGAATGCTAAACAAGGAATGCTTGCAAGTTGTAGTGATGATCAAACAGTTAAAGTATGGTGGTATGATGACTCGGTATGTATATAAATATATAGGTCTATGTATACGCATCTAATTGACTTGTTTTATACTAGGTTCCACTTGACATTTAATTTTTTTTTTACCTGTATTTTTATTTTTATTGATTATTATGCAAATAAAAATAGAAAGACTTTCATGAATCAATACCAATTTTAGTATGAAACTTATAAAATCATACAAGACAAAATAACAGTCAATATTTAAAATTCTTACTTTTTCCTTGTGTATATACTCAGTTAATAAAAGAAGATGGGAAAAGAAGAACCTAAATCACCGTCTCCTCTTCTTAACCCTATTTCTAAATGCTTTTGTCAGAATAGAGAAGGACATGAAACAGATATAATACCACCTTGTAAATCAAGTAATCATTGGAATTATGCTTTATTACAAATTTGTAATTCTGTCTTTAATACAACTTCACCTGCCATTACTTCACCTCTTAAACACATTTTAACTTATGAACGTCAATTAAATAGACAAGATGATAGTTCAATAATTAACAAGTTCCGTTATGTGCCCAACTACAAGTTTAATTCAGAACCTTTTGCAGTAAAAGATATTTTTGAATATCGTCAACGACGGTCAGAACACCTCTTGCTTCGTTTAACTCATTCCCTTCGTAATGATGAATTTCATCACTCTATTCTTAGACTTACAAAAGGCGTTTTTATGGTACAACAATTAGAACCCCTTCAATCACCAACGATGATGGTGAGGGATGAAGATTATGATGATGTTTTTTTAACTCAAAGTAAACAAATACCATTCATTGATACATTTTCGTTTAATGGACTCTTTAATGACATGATGCAACAAGCCATGACTACTTCACCCGTTCATATATATAAATCAATATCCTATACAATGGGTATACGGTTTACGAATCCATACAAACATATGCGAGATATAGTTGTGAGAGGTAATATCCCACTTTGGTGTCAGTCTTTATTTATTGTAGAATATTTAAAAAGATTACCTGTTCAACCAAATGCGGTATTAAATGGACTCTTACCATTTGCAAAAGATATTCTGTTTGAATTTAAATTATTGTCAGCAGATCAAGATGTTCCCTTTCCAATATTGATTCCAGCCTATGAAAGATATGCTATGGAATTAAGTGAACCACAAATACTATTCAACTATAATTCTTTTAAATCTAATGATATGCAAATTGGATGGAAAGAAAGAGAAAAGAGGATATTAAATGAAGTACTTTATTGTGATATTTCAGATGAAACAGCAGAATTGATTACTAATTTAGCTAATGAATGGAAACTGACATATGAGGGTTTAATATAATTCGATTTTTATTATTGTTTTAAAAAGAAAAATAAAGAGGAAGGAACATTCATTTTTATTTCACCATCATTACCTTGACCGGTGAACTTCTTTTAGTGTCTAGTATTTACAGCTGCTATTATGAATAAGACTTTAATGCTGTCTATTTTATATGTTCCTTAGAGGTACCTTCTAATAAGATACTTGATGGATGATCATTCACATGAAAAGAAGATTCATCTATTGAATGAAAAGCAGATTCAGACATAATTACCATAGGAACAATAGATAACATATCAATATTATTATTTGCAGCTGCAGAAAATAAACCATCGGGAGATGCAATCTTCATATGTCTCCAACGATTTTTTTCTATTCTATTCATAGTTACTCTTGACCTATCCATTTCAGGAGAAGAAGGGCGTAGAATAGATAAAGCTGATGCTACATGTAAAGTGACAAGAATCAATATAAAATACATAGTAAAATATGAGATGAAAAGATTATAAATAAATAAAGAAGATAAAGACATTTATATTCTTTTTTATTTTTATTTTTTGTTTATTTACTTTTTTTTTTTCTTCTAGCCAAAATTAAAAGATGTATATAAATAACATATAGTTTCGAATCTATAATATTCTCGAATATTAAAGGCTTAATGTAATAGTTTCTGATTTACAATAAAAAAAAAAAAAAAAAAAAAAAAAAAAAAAAAGTGCATTTGAAACATCGACAAAAAAATGAAAATTTTATTATCCTTTTTTTTTTTCTTCTTCTTCTTCTCGTTGTATACACAGTACAAAAAAGAAAATGGTAGAAAATAATCGCTCCAAAGTACAGCAACATAAACAAAGCCCTTTAGGTAAAAAGCCTTTGGAAACATTCATTGGAAGCACTATCAGACTCAAGACTGCATTTGATGAAGAAGTTGAGGGTTTAATCTATACTTGTGATCGCATCACTAATTGCATTGTGATTGATATCCTTTTTTTTTGTTTATTTTTATTCATTATTATTATACTACTAATCTATATTATTTATATTTCCTTAACCTAGTCCTTTTTTTTTTCTTAAAATATATGTGTATATACATTGCTCACATAAAGACAATAAGACTTCCAATCGCAAGAATTGTAATTTCCGTATTATCAAGATATCCCATATAAAAGAAATTTTATTTTTGACAGCAACAACAAATGGAGTTAAAGATTACATGCCTATTAATCAAATATATATTGATCGTTTAAAGCAACGTGAATCCGAAGTAATGAAAGGGGTTAAGAATGAGGTATCCAAAATTGGTATTGGAGTAACAAAAGAAGGACAAGATATATTTAATGCATTAAGTAAAACGTAACGTATTTATAAAGTGCGTGTACAATGCTGCAATGACTTATATTTATAATGTAGTTTACCATGTCGATGGTCAAAGGATACGATTATTGTAATGGATGAAATATTAATTACCCCACCTTATGGAGTTAATGACTGTAAAGCAAATGCAAGTTCATCTGCTTTACTTGCAAGAATTAAAAAAGTGGTAAAAGAAGTTTGATTCATTTTATTTTGATTGCATATTAATTTCTTCATTATTATTTATTAAGCTTGAAGGGGAACGAAAAAGACTTGCAAAATAAACAATGTGTAAAAAAAAAAAAAAAACAAAAACAAAAACAAAAACAAAAACAAAAAATCAAAAAAACACAAAATTATATTTATATTTCAAGCTTTCTTTTTTTCTTTCTTTTTTTCTTTCTTTTTTTTTTTGTGATAAATTATGTAGGCATAATACAATATGCTAAAGAAGTAAGATATACTTGTTGCGATGAGAAATTTATTGTCCGCGTTTAAATATGCTTCAGGCACATCATAATTCACATGCAAAACATATAAATATAAAGAAAAGAAAAAGAATAGTAGGATCACGCGTCTCGTTATTTATAAATCACGTTCATTTCCTTTTTATATTTATATTAATATCTTTATTGCTTTTTGTCTTTTTTTTTTTTTTTTTTCCTTTCTTTTTTCCTTTCCTTTTCTTTTTTTTTTCTTTTTCCTTTCCTTTTACTTTTACTTTTACTTTTTTATAGCAATTGTTTTCTTATAAATGTTAGGTCACTCGTTCTCTAATTGTCCATTGCGTTCTTCTTCTTTACTTATTACACATCATAAAACACAATCTATTGTAACAGCTACAGACGAAGCACTAGACTTGTTAGGATATTCATTGTCTGATTTGCTCGGTAATTCAATTCATATTTTAAACCTGAAACTATCTTCAGAAATCACTTGTATACCAGAGTGCACAATAAAGCATGCAAACGGTCAAATATTAAATTTTCAAGTCTGTGTGCATCAAGATCCATTAGTACAACAAGTCAGCAGTTGTTTAGATTATTGGTTAATACGTTTATTAACAGCAAAAGAGAAACAGAGATACTCATCACCGGCATTAGTCTCTATCTTACGCTTAAGCCCTTATGGTACCATTGAACAAATACAACAACAACAGCAATCGCCTTTATTAAAGCAGTCGACAAATGAGTTAATGGGACGACCTATTATGGCTTTTGTTTATAATGAAGATATACCTTATTTATGTGCTAATCTTGCAAAACTATATTCATCATCAACAACAACAACAACACTTTTCAATTCTTCGCCTTTATTTATTCGATGGTTAAATTTGCCCTATTTAATTTCTTCTAACACTGCTTGCGTTGATAATGCTGAGGAAGAAAGTTTACGTTATGAGTGGATGTCATTTACACTTCTGATGTCTAATGAGCAACATTCCGTTCATCCCATCTGTTTAATAAGACCTTTACAAATACCCTATTTACAAAAAGAAGAAAAAGAAGAAGATTTAAATTTAACGTTATTTAATATGCTTATGCAACATATCCCTTTATTAAATCAGCTATTAAAATATGGTAAGCATTTATATCAACACATTTTAGAAGCTATGGATACATCAGCAAATGAGAGTAAAGCGTATATCAATGAATTTTATAAACATGTTGTATTTCAATTAGTGGAATTAATATCTACAATTTTGATGATAAAGAGTACTCAACATAAAAGCAGTCTTCCTTTAAATAAGCAACAGCAAACGTCTAGTAGTCATCATGATAACACATTTGGAGGTCTTTTATGGGATTTATTTAAATCTAATCTACAACGCTCTTCAAAAATTTTGGAATTTACTGGTTTATTAAATTATTATCAAACAACACATTTAAAGACTTGTATTGAAACATTAAATACATAGTTCATTTAAATCCCCGTCTTTCATACAATGCGATTATTATAAATAATAAACCTTTATTGTTATTATTATTATTTATAAGCAAACTAATGACTGAGCATGTAACACTAGAATGGGTTCTATCAGTTTAGGAAAATACTGCAAGTAAACAGATGTAGTATTTTCCTTTCGTATAAAAGTCATTTTCTATTCTTCAAGCTCATGCAGTAAAAGCTTCAATTTTGATTTGTATAGCATAAAAGCAACATTGTTTGCTATTGTATTATTCATATATTGTTTGACCAGTTAATACCCAGAAAGAATAAAGTAGACTAATTGCATTACTCTCGTGAATTGTTAATACTACACAAAAATTCTTGCTAAACATTATGAACATATAGCTCAATGTCAAAAGAGCTATATACGTATATCTTTTGTTCAATATTCTTTTTTTTTTTTTTTTTTTTAAGAAAAAACCTCTTCATGTAGATTATGTTTCCTACCGAGTATCTAGAAGCAATTTTTAGTATAGAGTAATCAGCAATACATTCTTTCAATTATGTATATATATTCTAACAAGAAGAAAATAATAAAGCGGATTTTCTTAAATAGGAAAGGGAGAGAGCCATTACAATATTTACTGATTTGAAATAAATTAATTATAGTTGTAGAAAATATCATGTAAAATTGTTATACATTACAACAAAAACAGAGGTTACAGACTATGCACAGCATTGATAGTCCTAAAAATTAAAGAATGACTTGTATTATATAAGCAGAAAAAAAAGGAGGGGTTCTTATACTTACAGTTAATTCTTTTTTATTGTTTCAACTCTTTTATTTTTTTGTTGATTTACATTTGATTATATTTATTGTTACTGTCATAGGGTGTACTGATGTTTGTTATGGGTCATTTACTCTAAATTTAAATATACGTATGATATTATGTTTATTAAATACTTGTATACTTGTACTGGTATGACTAATAAATAGGATAAGTCTGTTTTTATTACATATACATAATACAATCTTTTAATGTATGCCAAACGCAAGAATTAAAAAAAAAAGGGGGAAGACTGTTAACTTAATGAACTATAGGCTAAAGTTTAGTTATCAAGATTAAAAATGATGCATATATTAGGACTCTTACGATATCCAAAATTGTAGCTATGTTAATTTTGAATTAAAAGTTTATGATTCTTAGTTCCCTTCAGGATAGTTTTCAATTTCTTTGCAGAAGCCCTATTTTGAAACTATACTTGGTCTGTCGTGCATCAAGGATAAAAGAGTCTATTCTTTATTTACAATACCCTTTCTTGGACACTCTTATGTACTATATTAACAGTTTTTCGCTTGATATCTGACGGTTAATCATCTCTACAATTCTATTACTGGAGCACTGACTTCATTCACACATATTCTATTGAATGCTTGCACATATATACTGATCTTTATAGCTATTACTAAAGATTCAAGACCTTTTGTCCTACCTTTTAAATTTGCCTCAAACTCTCTCTCTCTCTCGCTCTCTGATCTATTTGCTGGTCTATTAGATATATGATTCTTTCCAAAATGAATAATCTGTTTCATGCTATATCCCCCGCTTTATCTACATTTTTCTTTGTTACTTGAATATCTATCTAATACTAATATTCCTTTATGTTATTTTTAAATGTATCTTTTTTTGTCTCTTTAATTCTATATAATAGTTATTTTTTTTCGCAGCTAGTTATGTAAAGAGTACAACTTACTTGGTGTTTATCAATGCTGTTATTACTAATGCCTTCATTCTAAATAATTTTAGTACAGAGAAATAAAATCTTTTATGTAGCAATTAGTCAATTCAACTTAACATACATGTTTTCCCGTATTTATTTTTATTTTAAGAAAAATAAAGTAGAGTATTCTTACATTATATGCAAATAATAAAAAAAAAATAGCATACGTAAAATACGCAAATTTATTAAATAGGTTTACGATTAAGACAATCTTCAAACTTGGATGCAGAATAATTACAAAATTCTCAAAGATCACTGTACAATATTCTATTGAAAGCGTCTGCAGTTCTTGAAGTCAATATCCCTTCCAAAAGCCGCTTTTTTTTCTAAGTTTGCTATTATAAACCGAACAAAATTGCTCGATGGGGTTAAGCTCAGGCGAATAAGGAGGGCTAATATACGCACCTATAGTCTCAGCCCTCAATAAGGCTTTGAATATCCTGATTTTTATGAATAGAAGCATTGTTCATATTCAGATAATGACTTTTAAATACCTCATGACGGTCCATTATATCCAAAACACTTGTTGTGGTTTACAAATAAAAATAAAAGAATAAAAAGAGAAATGAAATAAAACAGACAGAAGAAGTATATTGAGCCTTGTCAATAAGCCTTATTAAGATAAAAAATGAATTAATTCAATTCTGATTGTGATTTTAATGTACAAAATAAGGGTCAATAGTATAAGAGTATCAATATATTTTGTGGATAAGGATGATGAGTAATAAAAAGATAAAAAATATAACAAATTGTATTTGATAATACAATTATAGAGTGATTATTAAGAGTTATTATAGATCTATATCCACATGTCTTTTGTATATAACTAATAGGTGTACTCTGAGTGGAATTAATTATTATGCGTACTTGTATTATACTTGATTTACTCCAGTTTAACTTGATATAAATTTATATTCAGCAGAACAATAATAGAAGAAAGTATATTTTTTATATATAGAGCTTTTATTAATTATTTTTTCTATGCAGGAGTAAACATATTCTTAATATGTCTATAGACAGAATTATCATACAAGTACACTATATGCATTCTATTATGACTATTTATCTTATTGAATCAAGTTACAAAGCTTATAACCATGATAATACCAATGTTGCCTTTATAAAATATTTGTTGTATTTGTGCATAGCATCATAAAGATATAATAAAACATAAATATTGAATTTTCATTACAGAATAATGTTGTATAAACAATATCATCATGTCAACCATAAACTATGTAATTATTAAGTATAATGTAAAACCTCCAAATGGAACCCTTAATTGAGATTGAACTAGCTATATGACAAATATAATACTAGATCATGACTGTTGATAGTATCATAAAGAGGTTAATATTTAACACAACGACAATGAAATAGCATCTATAAATATTCTTTATAGCCGCTAAGAAAAGCATGAATAAATAGCCAGATAATTTATACAAGAAGAATAGATAGTTTCTTCTTTATATACATATTTAGTAAAAGCTATTCTCACTTGTGCCTGTGTCTCACGATTTATTTCTGTCTTTTTATATTCTTAAACTAAAACTATACAACAAGCTCTTCGTGAATTTTACAGTTTTTATTCTGAAGTAGAGAGATGAGATGATAAATTGAGCAACCTGTTGTGGTTTAGACTTTGTTGGAGTCCAGATCATACGAGGTAGTTGCATAACTTCCAGTTCAATTCCACCCATGACTAACTCCATGCCATAGGGAGTCTCTTCCTCTTCATCCTCAGACATATAGTCATCTACAAGTCGCTCCAAACGATACAATGTTTTGATGAACACTTCTGTTTGATTTGACTGATCTTCTTGTTTAATTAACTCTAGTCAAATCACACACACAGAAAGTCGTTAGAAGTGGGAATATAATGGTAAATTATGGAGTTCCTCATAGTGGGTAACTCTTTTCAAACAAAAGGAAAAAGAAGAAAAAATAATTATAGTAATCACTTGGTGGTATGGACTACCTATGTCCTTTCCTTTAAAGAAACAGAAGACTAAGAAATGCTAAGACATACGAAGCCCCCCCTTTTTTTTTCTTTTATGCAAGCCTTAAGCAGCTAAAAGAAGGTAAGTAGCAGTAATAAACCCATAAGATACCAAATAGTATTTGTTTTAGTTTTAGTTTTAGTTTTTTTACTACTGCTGTCAAATGTTTGTATTGGTCACTAAATCATTTTATCCAACAGTCAAAAATTTATTAATTTTATTTACTCAACTTTGAAGCTTTTTCATTGGCTGCTGCAAAACATTGTATTTAATACTTATTCAGGTACCAATTCTGTTCACTTATCTCTCATCCTTAATTATTTAATACCTTAAAATGAATATTACAAGAAACCAAGCAATTTGTATATACTTCTATGTTGATTATACTGATGAGAATGTAAACCTATATAATAAAAAGATTGAAGGGTTTGATGACGTTGAAATTTATTGGAATATGAATGAGAAGGAGCCAGTTATTGTATCTAAGAAAAGAGTCCGAGGTGATCCTATGACTTATAGAAAATATTTAGAGGCTATTCTGTCCTTAGATGAAGATAATAACAAAAGAGAAAGAATAGAGCTCGTTAGCGAATCGCAAGTAAAACAGTTTATTAATGAAGTGTACTGTTATGAAAAGCCATATAATGAATATATATATTTGAAACAAACAATTTCCACAAAGACAATCTATGAAACTGTTCAAAATTACACCATAGTTTTTGAGCAAAAGACAACGCAAGCATTTGCAACCTGGTGTCGTAACAGTAAGTTAAGATTTCTACATGCAAAAGAGAAACGTGGTAATAGAAGAACAAGAGAACTATATGTCTTGGAAGACATTTATCATGGTAAACCTAAATGGCAGAATTAAAAAACCATATCTAATGTATTTAATTGTAGATGATCTTGTTAAGCCAATCTGTAGCTATCTACAAAGATATCAAGATTCTTTGAAACATCTAATTGAACAAGGGTATGAGATCGTAGGATATGCCCGTAAATCTCCTACGGATACTGATATTGATAATAGAGCCAGGCTACTCCAACTAATGGTAGCAAATTTACGTGAACGATCGTTTGCAACAAAAGTATATGTGTCGCCGTGTAGCTGGGGATCCTCGCCCTTTATTAAATGTGATTTCAAAAATAATGACAATAAAATGATGAAGAAATCATCTGATGTAAATGGAAATACACAAGATTTATTACATCATTTGCAATCATCTGATCATAATATTTGTTTGGTCTCAATTGATTTTTCTTGTTTAACCTCTAGAAGTCAAGACATTAGAGAATTAATTGAAATGAGTTCCTCAGTAAAAAAGATTGCAATTGAAACGTTCACCCAATGTAATGAAATGGGTATCTTTAATACTAAACTTTTAATAACAGATAATAGTTTACTCCAAACATTTAATAACTGAAATGAGTTTATTCAAAGATTAAAATAAATTAAATAAATAATCTAAGTAGGAGATTCTACTTCAAAAAATTAATCTGCTGCTCTGGGGCTGTTGTCAGAATATAAATAATTGATATAACTGTGGCTTTTTATAACCTTCCCTAATCTAATGGGTCTAAGATGATGTGTTGAGTTAGTTTGATGTTGTAGCAAATTTCAACATCACGGAAATTTTCAAGCTTTTTTTTTTGTATTTTTTGACATTTTTTTTTTAATATAGTGTACATATACATATACATATACATAGGAAAACATGCATATTACTGGAATCCTTAATATTTCCATGACTGGTTGATAAAATAAACGTTAAAAATTGTTAGAGACTGCGAGCCTTAAATCAAGCGAAGCATTGACTAGCCCTTCATTTTGGTAAAAAAAAATTAACCAAAGCGTAGCGTTAGGTGCTAGTTTTTGGGACCACCGTTATGGCTCGGCCATGCTTCGCTTGATTTAAGATTCGTGCTGCCGCAGGCTGTTTTTTTTTGAACAGATGACTACATGTTAGGCATCAGGCTATTTTTTTTTTTTTATGGAGACCAAAATGGCTCGGATGTTTATTAGTGAAATATGAGAAAGTCACATTAAAGTTTTTGATATGCGTTTTTTAAAAATTTTGAATTTTTTTTTTTTTTTTTTTTTTTTTTTTTTTTTTTTTTTTTGTAAAGTTTAGATGGTAATAAAAAATAAGTTGTATCAAGGGACGAGAGACCAAGATATACGACTAAATGAGGGAACAACGAGGTGGAATTTAAATCGAAAAGTGAGGAATTGGAAACGGAGACTTACCTGCCGTTAACAACTGTTCACGGAACGAAGTTAGTAAAAGGGATCGAGCAACAGATACCACTGTTGTTGTAACAAAAGGTTGCTCATGGAAGATAAAATTAAAATGAGAACGCCAGATGGCAAGGAGTGTGTGGCCGATACAGACGGAAGCTGGGAGTAAGTTATCATCCCTGGAGTCAGGGAATTTCAAAGCGAAAATAGCCGTTGTTAATAGTTCTACAGAGAAAGGAGCAGTAAAGAATGAAGGCCATAATTCCTGCCAAACCATAAGCTTCAAAGGACAGGCAAAAATAAAATGAGAGCTGTCTTCGATCACAGAGAGTGAGCAGATGGGGCAGTACGAAGATGGTACCGAGAGCGGGATAAACCTATTCAAAACCGCCCGACAGGGCAGTTTGTCATGTAGTATTCTATACCATACATTGCGAGAAAGATGAAATACAGGAAATCGCCAAAAAGATGACCATTTCGTTGGGCTGAGGGTTACAAAGCGATTATCGGAAGCGGGGGTGCAAGCCATGCGGAAATGCTTAGTCGAAATATCCTTTCCTTGGAATGTTAGAGCACAGGAATTAAAAAACGGTTGGGTGTCGATCATGTCATGATTAACCGGGGAATACGAAGGGACACCTAAGTGAGCAAAGCGAGCTTCAATGCATGTTCGTATAAAGAATGGAGCCAGCTGGATGTGATTGTTTTGAACATCTTTCAAAAACTTCCTAACTAAGCGAGGGCGACGCACAATTTCTCTGTTAGTAAATGGCCTAATAGTACGAGAGGTAGGTTCAATCATATACACATCACGCACGGAGAGTTTAAGAATTGATTTGCGAATAGGTTTCGTAGGCTGGTGAATCACAATGTTATCAATGGAAAGTTGCATCGATGTCTCCGGATTGATAACTACAGTGGAAAAGTCCTTAGGTAAAATATCCATCGCATGAAAAAGGAGGTATAGGGGGCTATCGCTATGGGAAACCAAAGGGGGACGAAGAGATGGAAACAAGAAACAAAGACGATAGTCCGTCACCAAAGTATTATTAGGAACCAAACCCGAGATGGTCTCAAGAGAGTACATCAGATAGTCCGCCAATAATGGAAGCACAATAGATTTACAGAGGTTGGGATTGGACCAAAATTCGTGTGAGAGATTAGACCGTCGAATTAAAGGAAGAAGCCAACGAAGTTGTAAGGAAGCTTGTTGTATAAAAGGATCCAGTAAACCAAGCCCACCATTCTTTCGAGATAAGGTCATAGATTTAAAACTAATACGAGGAAAACATCGGATACTGACAAATCCCGAAACTAGAGAAACAACAGAGGAAAGGAAATGCTTAGGCACTGAGACAACCCGTAGAATATACCATAATTTGGAAAGTATCAAATTATTAGCGATGGTCACTCGGCCACGGAAAGAAAGAGATCGATGATTATGTATATTGCATGCTGCTTCAATTTTGGTTAAAAGAGTCTGAAGAAAGGAATCTCGTTGAAGTGGTGAATGGAAGATAGGATATCCAAGGTAAATAATAGAATTTGGCGAATTAACATCATGCCATACAGAAATATTGTTCTGAGCCAGAGGAGCACGCCAAATACGATTATAGATAGAGCTTTTACCAGATAATGCAAAGGCCTCTGTCTTGTGATAATTGATACGAGCATTGGATGCAACAGAATATGTGTGGAGATGCCGATTTAAGATATTAAGATCAGTAGGAGAATTTAAAAAGCAAGCAATATCATCTGCATAAGCAAGTAATTTAACGCGATGTTGGATAGTTGTGGGAGCCGATAAGGACGTTGGTAAATTGTACCCAATAAAAGTAGGGTCGTCGAGGATTCGACGGAGTAATGGTTCAAATGCCAGGTTGAAGAGGACGGGAGATAGAGGATCGCCTTGTCGTAATCCACGCAATTGAGGCACATGCTCAGAGAAAAAACCGTTAATGTTAATTTGTAAGTTAGTGCCAAAAAACAAGTTGGTGATACATTTAATTATTCCAATAGGGAAGCCGAAATGTTGTAAAACACGCGTTAAATAAACCGGATGTACTCGATCATAGGCTTTTTCCTGATCCAGCAACAGGCCAATTGCCTCAGAATCGGAGGAGCGTGCATGAGACAAGACCAGCTTCATCATTAAACCATTGTCAGCAATGAACCGGTCATGGAGAAATCCAGATTGAAGTGGAGTTATCAATTTATTAGCACACACAACTATTCGAGCATTAAGTAAGCGAGTAAACACTTTAGCATCGGTGTTGATAAGAGATAGCGGCCTCCAGTTTTTTAAATCACTCAGGTCACCTTTTTTGGGCAGTAATGAGACACACGTTTGAAGCCACGAGTCTGGGAATACACCATGTGAAAGAGCATCATTATATACTTGGAGAACAATAGCACGGCAATCAGGATGCAAAAACACCAAACGAAGAATTTCATAAGGGATCCCATCCTTACCAGGACTACTTTGTTTCGGGCAGCGTTTAATACCAGCCAACAATTCATCCCAGGTAAATGAACTAGCTAACCAGTATTGATCTGAATTTGGGAGGGATAGAGACGATGGAAGTGAACCGAGTAATTCATTAATGGCATCATCATTTACAGGATCAGGAGAATAAAGATCAGCATAAAAGGATTGAGCCGCATTAAGCATATCGGAGCGTGTAGTACACAAGACAGAGGATCTAGGGTGCCGAATAGCCTTAAATAAAGTTTTTTGTTGTCGTTGGGCTACCGTCCTTTTGAGGTAGCCAGCGGACAATTCACCTTTTTCCCGCCATTGAAGACCGGAGCGCAGAGCTAGAGTATCAACACGATGTTGTTGGATCGAGGCTAATTGATGTTCAACAGCACTTAATTGAGGGGATAGTGAGGCTTGTCTAGTAGGTTCACGTAAAAGTTGTTTACGGAGAACAGAACGCTTATTTTGTAAAACCTCTTCGGCTGTCGAAAGAGAATAAGCTTGTTTACGTGAATAATTTTGTGATACCTTTTTCACCGTTGCTTTTATTGCATCCCATTTATATTGTGCACTCAGACCGAAAGGAAAATTTGCGATAGTTTTTGAAATGGCAGATGCGAGGATGCGACGAAAAGTTTTGGAAGAAGCTAATCGAGGATGAGCACGCCATAGTCCTTTTCCAGTTTGATATGATGGAGCGGACGAATTATTTGACGGAAGGGGAGGCTCCAATTGAAGTGTCAGAGACAGGAGCATGTGATCGGACCAGGCAGGTTGGATGTATAACGCCGTCGGAGGAAGACAGGAACGAGATAGATCATGGCTAACAAAAATATAATCAATACATGAGCTGGAGGAGCCACGGTGAAAAGTAGTCTGATGAAATTGATCAGTAGCCAGAATTGAATCTGTATAATATTTATCCAAATAATTTAACCATGATGAAGGAGCGTTCAGAAAATTATGGGAGGAAATATTAGCATTATATGAGTAGTTAAAATCTCCTAAAACAATGTGACGAGAGGGTATAGTCTCAAAAGTATTGTTAGGATTGAGCAGGATTGGGTCTAAGTACGACTGTCGTTGAGTGTAATCAGCAGGAGCGTATAAGACCGTAACAAAAAGAGGATCGAAAAGAGTCTGCGTGTGAGTGATTTTGACTGTCAGTGTTCGTTGGTCATTATCCCACATTGGGTCAGACAAGTTAAGGAGAGGTGATAGACACACCAAGCCGCAATATTGAGACCAATAACTACTTGTTGCTAGAAATTGGTTGTGAAACAAGTCACCAATATCAGACGAGGATGCATGAGTTTCTTGTAGAGCTAAGATATCAAAGGGTAAAGTACGTAAATATCGAATGAATTGACTACTGATGGAAGGGTCAGAAGTTTTTCGTAGACCTCGGCAATTGAGGGTGCCGATTTTCAGGGTAGGAGATAAGAATTGAGATTGAGTATTAAGCGCCGGGGAGGAATCGCTTAAGTTATAGGAAGTTGTAGATTGATTATTCATAATGTAATAAAGGTATAAGTATAGATTCAGTAAAAGGAAAGACGTTGAGTAAGTATAAGCAAGCAGTAGTGGAAAATATGTATAGAGGAAAGGGATTAATCTTCCTCCATAGCATTGGAACCACCCAAACTGTCCGATTCTACGCTAGAAGTATCTACAGGAGTGATGGCAATCAAATTCTCGTTAAGATCAATATTGTGACTATCTTGATTCTTTTTGTTAAGAGGACACTTTTTACTGTTCGTTTTCTGATGGTCAGTACCGCCACATTTACAACGCTTCTCATTAGGAAGATTTGTCAAATAATCCGCCAGTGTAGAATTTGTACCTGCCGTTGACCGAGTAGGTCGAGGATTGAGTCTAGAAGTGTTTATCTCAGAGTTAGCATTCTCCGTTTGTGGATCGAAAAGAGGTGAAACAGTATCATCCTCAATAGTAGGACTAGTTGGTGGACTCGTTGCACCAATGGAAGAAACGATGAGAGGGACATCGTCAACGGATTCTAAGTTTTTAGAATCAGGACAGGGAGGAGATTGATCTTCTGAGGATGCATGAGGAACTATGATACTAGCAGGTCGGGTTTGAACATTGACTTCTCGACGACGCTTACTCGATGTGGTATTGTCTGTTTTAGTTCGGAAACAATTCCTTGCAATGTGACCTACGTTACCACATTGATAACAACGACGTTTTTCGGAGGGTGCTTTAGTGCAATCTTTACGGTAATGATCGCTACCTTTACAGTATACACAGTGTTTGCCCATGTTTGTCCAGGTGCCGAGACAAAAGGTATTTTCTCCTTCAAGTGGAATGTTATAAGTCAAAACGTCATGAGTTTTATTGGCATTACTAGGACGTTCCATGTAGACATGACCGTTACCTGTGGGCCATGATCCAGACCAATCATCCAAATAAATGACAATCTCACGGACGATACCATATCGTGATAAATTGTTTAGAAGACTGTTGCGAAGCTTATCTAAAGTCCAGATGGGAAGTTTGGTCAAATTGATACGTAGTAGAGCTCGATCTGGATGAACTGCAGGAGAGGCATGGAAAAACGTATCTCCAACGTTGATAGGTGAAGCAATGGCTGACTCACAATCGCCTTTTGAAGCTAAAGTAAATTCCATATTGGTGCCTGTAGAGTCTTCGGTTAAAGTTAATCCGAGACCGACTCCAAGGGGGAATTTATGGCTTAGTTCTAAGGCCAGGGCTGATCTCAAGGATGAAAGGTGCTTAGGAATATGATAAAACACGGAATGTTCAGTAGTACCCGTAAGGTGAACAAGACGCTTGGAGGAATCGTTGGAACAATTCTCAATTTCAGTGGAGCGAAAAAGCGACAACTCTTTTCTGGGGTGAGGAGGCATGGATTTTGAGGGTTTTTTAGAATCCAAACGAGAGTCTCGAGATGAAGTTGCAGTGACTGAAGCATAGCTACGAATAGTTGAGGGGGTGTTGTTAGTCTCAGAAAGAGGAGACAAAGAGTTAGAATTTGATAAAGTGGTAACGTTGTCTGGAGGCAACGTCCCAGAAGTGTTTTGTAGCGGAGGAACCATGTAGGCATCAGGCTATATTTTTTTGAACCTTTGCTTCATTTTGACAGAAAAAAAACGGTCCCCCACTAAAAAACATGGCTCGCCAATTAAAAAACAAAGATGAAAGATGTACAGTATATTCGGTTGAGTTTGTGGCTCTTTTAACTTGCAAAGTATAAGGAAAGAAAAAACAGAAAAGACAAGTCTGTGAATACTTTGTATAGTTTATTTGAGGATAATAATACAAAAACTGTATAAAGAAAAAATGATACGGAAAAATGACAAGGACTATTTATATGTTATTTGCTTGCAAGGTAAGTACAAGTAATAATAATAGAAATATGATTTGGATAAGTGAATACTGGTATAATAAAGCATTATGTGTAAATGTTTTCAGTATAAATGTTGTCAGTGTAAATGTTGTCAGTGTAAATGTTGTCAGTGTAAATATTATCTCTAAAATATTTAGCTTGTAATAAGTTATTATTTCTGGAGTAAGCAACGCGTTCATATTAATTCACAGTGAATATTCCAGCTATAACAATAATACCAATTATTATATGCTACTATCATTATCATCATCCTCCGAGAAGTTATTACATAGCAATATTTAATATTATAGATGTGTATATAATATGTATGGCATGTATAAATAATCGTGTAATTGAATATAACAGTCATAAACCTATTGTATCCTTATTATTACATAATACGATGTATAAAATTATTTTTTAATGCTCGAATACTTTAACAATGACTACTATTAAAACTGAGTGTAGAATGAATATTATGCTGTGAAGTACAATATACTAGTTTTATTTGAATAACCTCTTTATTATGTAATAAATGATGGTTTATTTATATTAACTTAGTTATAAAGGCAACTACAATCATAACACAACGGTCAAAAAACTATTAATTTTATATTACTCAATTTTAAAGTTTTTTTTTCATTAGTTCCTATGAAACACTATAATTAATACTAGCTCAGTTCATCCATCTTTTATCCTTGTTTTTATCCTTGTTTTTATCCGTGTTTTTATCCGTGTTTTCATCCGTGTTTTATCTGTCTTGCATATTTAGGAGAATGTCTATTCAAGCGCCGACTCAGTTCATCCATCTTTCATCCATCTTTCATCCGTCTTTCATCCGTCTTTCATCCGTCTTTCATCCATCTATTACCCAACTTGTATCTATTTGATAACTAAGAAATGAGATATACCAGAGATCAGGCTATCTGTATGGCTTTTTATGTCGACTATACGGAAGCAAATGTAAAAAAGTACAAAAAAAATTGAAGACTTGGAAACATTTGACATTTGTTGGAATATCAAGGAAAATGAGCCAATTCTGGTTTCTATTAAAAGAACTCTCAGTGATCCTCTTGGGTACATAAGGTATGCAGATAGCATTCCACCAAGTGAAGAGTCAGTTGGAGAAACGAGAAAGAAAGCTGAACTTGTTACCAATAGACAAATCAAACAATTTTTAGATGAAGTGTTTTCTTCGAAAAAACGCGATAATAGCGTATTATACTCTCAACAAACGTTAGCAACCAATGATGTGTATATCAACTGTTAAACAGTACACATCGGTTTTTGATACGACTACCGCACAATCATTTGCTACTTGGTGTCGAAACAAGAAGGTAGATTTTTTAAATACAAAGGAAAAAAAAGAAAGCAAGTTTACAGAGAATTATCTGTCTTAGATGAAGCTTTTTATGGTAAACCAAAATAAAAAAAAAACAAGCAAGAAAGAAACTTCTAACCTTTTTATTTGTAGATGAACTCGTGGCCTCTATTACCACCTACCTACCAAGATACCAAGGTTCTTTGAAGGCTCTTATACGTGATGGGATAGAGCTTGTCGGCTACGCCCGCAAATCTCCAACTGATGATGATATTGAAAATAACACTCGATTGATACAATTAATGGTTAGCAATTTAAAAGTACGATCTTTTGCTACAAGAATATATGTATCAACATCAAGTTGGGCTTCCACACCTTTTGCGAAGCGTGATTTAAAACCAGACAGCAAAGTGATGGAAAGCCTGGAAAATGTTAATGGGAATACTCAAGATCTTTTGGAGTATATAAATTCTTGTGATCATGATATTTGCTTGATTTCAATAGGCTTTGCTGGATTAACAACAAGAAGCAGTGATTTAGTAAATTTAATTGAAAAAAATCCCGCTATTAAGAAAATTGCAATTGAGACTTTTGCTATAAACAATGAAGTCTTTATTTTTGATGCTCAAAATTTACAAAATAACAAAAAAATATTAGACAGATTTGATTATAGAAATGAATTTTATAATAGATCTAAATAAACTTGTACCCTTTAATTATTGTAAAAATTATTTGGTTCTTCAGAATATAAATGGTATGCTTGAGGCTTCTCACGAATTCTTTTTATTGAGACCAAAACGGGTTCAGTTGGTTTTATATTGTAGCAGATTTCAATATTTCCAAAATTTTCCATTTTTTTTTGCATTTTTCAAGGTTTTCTTCATTATAATCTACATAAAAAAGCATATATATTGCTTAGTTTCTTGATATTTCCATGATAACAGTGGAAAAGCCAAATTTAGTTAAATACACAATTAAACCAGGAAAAAAAAACCCCATTCTTGGAGCTTCATGCTTTAAACTTCGATTACCCCAGCCACATGGTCTAGATTAATATCTACATTAGACAAGTCTCAATGGTTTTTATCAATAGCAAACTGCATTAAAAATATGATTTATCAAATACAACAACTTAATTGAGATTTGAATGAAAGATGGATGCATAGGCAATATATCCTCGGCCAATTAAAACATAGTATTTTCTCACAACTGGAGAAAAGTAGCCTGTAAAGCAGTGTGTGCTCATGTAGATGGATGAAATTTCTCCCTAGAAGCACCCTTAATATGAGCCAATTAAATTCTGAAATAATTTTGACAAGATGGATTGTTGTATTTGTACATAACATCATAAAGATATAATAAAACATAAATGTGAATATTCATTACAAAATAATGTTGTATAGAAATATATCATTATGTCAAACATAAATTATGCAATTATTAAATGTAAAACCTCCAAATGAAACCCTGATTAAATTAGCGATGTGTGAAATATACTACCAGATCATGATCTGTATCATGACTGTTGATAATATAATTAAGAGGTCAATATTTAACACAACATCAATGAAGTAGCATCTATAAATATCATCTAGAACTACCAAGGAAAGTATAAATAGCCAGATAGTTTGTACAAGAAGAATAGTTAGTTTTTTTTATATAATTCTTTTTTTTCCTAATAATATTTATTCTTACTTGTGCCTGTGTCTCATGATTTATTTCTGTCTTAACCCATACAACAGTAGTTGCTAAAAACTCTCTTCTAGAAATTCTTGACGATGTTTTCGAAAGGAGCGTTTGGTTGACTTCCTCAAAAATCTCTCAAAATGACGCGTTTCATGATTCTTTTTACTTCAGCCATTACTTATTCTTTGCTGTAACTTTTAAAATGGTTGGTCCCTCAAAATTACCCCGCGATTGGGATAAAGAATGTACGCTTACTCCAGAAGCGCGAAACATGTTTACCGAATGTAACTACATTTTAACAATGCTAGTTAGCAGCTTTGGCAATCTACAACACCACATTGATTGCATTCCAGAGGATGAGTTGATGAAAAACATTTCTGAGGAGATATACAGCAAAATTAAAGCCGCACTTTATAAAATAATGAATAGCAAAGATCAGTCGATAGCGCTGCCTTCAGGCATCAATATATTTATTCAAAAAGTATATAGTTATTTCTCACTTCGAAAAACGAAAGACAGTTTTATCCAGGAATACAAACGTATGATGGACGAGAATGAGCCAAGAGTTAGCAAAAGAAAGATTACAAAGGAATGAGAAGAAGCGTATGAAAAAGCACAAAGGCTTGGAAATGCGTTGACAATGAGAAGCCTTAATGAATTCCAAGATCAATATATTGATGGTGCAACAGGCTCAACAGCAGAAGAAGAGGCAACTACGCACGTCTTAGGAACAACAAAAGATGAAGTCAATCAAATCTCAACAACAGTAGAATCGACAGCAAATACAACACCTACAAAAAAGGTAACTTGAAAATATAAAATGCTAATTCATGCGATTAATTTCTTTTTTTTTTCTTTCTGACCTGTACCTTGGATAAAAATCAAAAGAAATTCGTTATTTTTAATCCAACTACATTCTTGATAGCACCACATAAACCAAAGACTCAATACGTTAATAGAGAGAAGATCAGAGACTTCTGTGAAATTGGGATGGAGTTCTTGACTGATGATGATAATTATAAAAACGAGAAAGCAATGAATGAATACAGGGGTTACGTTGTGGATCAAAATAAATTTGCTTCATTCGATTCTTTTCCCGGTGTTGCTGAATTTATTCAAGATGTATTAAGTACTGATAAAAAAGATTCCATCAAAATACTTTGGAACCATAAAAAAAGACTTAAGGCTACCGGTACTACTTGGACATTTATGGACATTGTTTGCTATACTCTTGCAGACTTCACCTCAAAGTGCAAACAAGGATTTCGCAATAATAACAACAATGAGCGTACACCTTTTGTCAAATACATTGTCCCCATGTTTTGTTTAAGTATTTCAGTCAAGAATCTAATTTGACAGAGTTCTGCTGGTGCGAGAAAATGATTGAATCACAGGGTTTAGCAGTTTCCGAAAGCAATGACTTCGTCATTAGTTTCTCAGATAGAAAATATGCGGATGGTTTAGGAAAAAACACGATAACAAACAACGAAAAGCTTTTTTATTGAATGTAGCAACGGGTTTGATAATGAAATGACAAGACACTCCCTAAAGCTATTAGTTGAATGTAGTAACTCATTACTCCAATATATTTTGAAACAGAGGAAAAGAGCTAGTATTGAAGCAATGACAAAAAAGCGTACATTTGGTATACAAGTGATAAAGCAGACCCTAACCCTAACCAAAGTTAAAAATCAGAAAAATTGAGGGGAGGGAGGCGAGTGAGACGAGGCGAGGCTGAGGCTTGTAGAGCTGAGATCAGCTTGTATCCCCACATCCTGGGGACTACGAAGCAACTGGAATATCATTTTCGAGATGTTGGCTACCTCTATAATGAATTGATTGGACAATGAAAATTGAATCGTCTAATCCTGGATGAAAATTATGGGATTAGCTTAGAAAGTTACCGTCCAAGTCTACTGCTGAATACTTTTTAAGATAATAATTATATTTGTGATTGATATATCTATGACCTTCCCACATTATATCCATGATATATATATATCTTATATTCATATACCATTAAGTGATCATTCTTGTTTTGATTGCAAAGGATAAGGAAAGAGAAAACAAAGAAGACAAGTCTGTGGAAACTCTGTATAGTTTATTGAAAGAAAAATAATATAAAAATTGTACAAGAAGAAAATACTATGGAAAAATGGCAAGGGCTATTTATATGTTTTTCGCAAGGTAAGTGATATTAATAGAAGTATGATTTGGATAAGTGAATACTGGTATAATAAAGCATTATGTGTAAATGTTGTCAGTGTAAATGTTGTCAGTGTAAATATTATCTCTAAAATATTTAGCTTGTAATAAGTTATTATTTCTGGAGTAAGCAACGCGTTCATATTAATTCACAGTGAATATTCCAGCTATAACAATAATACCAATTATTATATGCTACTATCATTATCATCATCCTCCGAGAAGTTATTACATAGCAATATTTAATATTATAGATGTGTATATAATATGTATGGCATGTATAAATAATCGTGTAATTGAATATAACAGTCATAAACCTATTGTATCCTTATTATTACATAATACGATGTGTATAATTAGTTTTTAATGCTCGAATACCTTAACAATGACTACTATTAAAACTGAGTGTAGAATGAATATTATGCTGTGAAGTACAATACACTAGTTTTATTTGAATAACCTCTTTATTATGTAATAAATGATGGTTTATCTCTATTAATTTAGTTGTAAGGACGACTACAATCATATCATGTAGATTGAAACCTGATTCATCTATAAAAGCACAATTCTTCTGGTAATCAGAATTATTCTCTTTCTTTACATTTTTCAATTATACAACTTTCTCTTTCAAATTGTCGTATCAGGATCTCGTTCCTCACGAAGAACCTCAGCTCTCCTTAAATATAAATTACATTTTGTCCTCATATGCTTATAAACTGCATTGACCGAGATTCTTAAACCTGGGAAAGCTTTACATAACTCATTATGGGCTAGATCCACAGTTGATACAGCATTTGATTCAATGTATTTGATCAAGAACTGAATATGTTCTTCGAACAAGATCGGTAGTCTTCCACGATTGTCATGTTTGACGTTTTTTTTTTTTTTTTTTTTTTTTTTTTTTTTTTTGAACCCATGAAGCTCTTTACCACCACTCTCATTAAATTTATTCCATATTCTATAGGCTAGGCTGTGTTACGAGGAATACTTGCCTTCTTTGCAGCTTCAGGCACAAGATAACCCTCTTCCTGCAAACTGTGAATGAAGTCAGCAATTTAAGCGTGAGAGTAACTTTTTGTACTTTATTTGAACTAGCTGAAAGTCTTCCTCCTCAAGTATCAAATTGGAAAAGTTGTCTTCTATTTCTTCCAACTCATCATCAGCCATGCTATCTTTAGTAGTAACGTTCATTACACTATACTGAGCATGACTATAATTTGTGTCTTGTATTTCTTCCCTCTCTCTCTCTCCCTCTCCCTCTCTCTCTCTCTAACATTTCTTCATCAGAAGTAGTATATTCATCTACACATTGTTCTTGCTGGTTTGGTTGATATGGAATAAACGACATTGCTTGTTAAATCGGCACTATTTAGTAAAATTGTGAAAGAAAAGAAAAATAGCCTCAGCTGTGGATCTCAAATGGTTTTAAAATAGTCTTGAAATTTTACTAATCTGTCTTGTGTCTGTTCCCTAAAACGTACCAAGTTTTTTTTTTAAATTGTCCCAGAAAAAAAGTACGTCTAAATATCTATTCAAAACCCAGTAGATTTATAATTATTGCATTGCCTATAAGTCACAGGAATAGGGAAGGGAAATTTGGGCTGTTGAGATTACTAGAATAAAAGGTTAATTCATCTATAACTGCCAAAGCAGTTACTTCTCATCTCTATGTTCTAGCTGTATCATAGAATAGCTTAGCTTAATTGATACTAACTATGTATCTGCAATTATATATGCATGGAATCAAGCTGAGGATAAACTAATTGCAATACTTGTGTCAAAATAAATAGAAAAGTGTATATACGAGAGAGGAACTCTTGCTTCTAAATTAACCAGGATATCTATCCCAAGTGAAGTGTATTTTCACTTGTTTATTTTATCATTATCATTATTTTTGGACAAAACATATAATTAAAAGGAAACTCTTTATATAACTTTTTATTATTATTATTATTACTTGCATCAATAAACTTTATAGAACAAATACTAAAATACCCTTTTTATCGTTTATTTTATATCCTTATTATTATAATTTATAATAAATCTTGTGCCTCTATCTTTTTTAGAAGAAAAAAAAACTAAGAAAGTTCATTCTTAGGGAAGGCATCATAGATTTCCTTAAAAAAGAAAAAAAATTAAGCACAATCGAAGAATAGCCATTTATTAAAAGAGAATAATAGAATTCTTCAAAAGTTTTACTTTTCTTTCAAAACATAGCAAAGTATTGATACCTTTCAAAAGATGAAGGTGTTATATAAAGGAACTTGTATATAGTTACTATAAGTAGGAGAGTAACTACAATCTTCTAGATGTAAATATATTCAAGTTTATATGCAATTTGAAAGGAATAAATGATAACTGTTTCTTCCATTTTATTAGGAGAAGATCTCATATATCTATTTATCTATATTTGTATAGATCGCCTATTCATAAACACTACTACTAGGACAAAGAATGTATGGAAAAAAATTTTTTTTTTCTAAAGTTAGATAGAAACAATAAATATTTTTGAAAGCAGCTAGATAGGTATTTATATTTAGTTAACATGGCAGAGAAAGCTTTTGGTAAACTAACAATCGAACACGAAGAACAATTTTTTTTTCTTGGAAGAAACAAAAAGATGGATAATCTGTAACATCCCAAAGGATGGTGTTGTTACAAGTGAAATATGGATAACACTTCCATTTCAAAATATAGGTCTTCCTAGAATCCTAAGAAGTTGTAGAATAGAAAACAAGCACTTTTTGTAAGGATGATTTAGAGGTCATATAGAGTAGGATCAGTTTACAAGCATAGTTTCCTTTAAACCACGATATAACATATGACTCAAAATGTATAAATCTTTAAAATCACATGTATGCATAACTTGTATACTGGTAGCTACTAAGAAGGGAATACAGAATCATTCAATTTAAGTGGAAAACTTGAGTGACTACATCAACACAGCATAGAATATGTATTATTGTACCCAAGTAGGTGCAATCATCTACTGAGCAAGATCCAATACTCGGGTGATATAATCTCACAACCGTTGAAACAAAAGAAAAAAAAAAGAAAAGAAACTTGAATATCTGGGTCTGCTAATTACTAATTACAAATTAAACTAAAGCATATTAGTAAACAATATTCCGATGGAGAAAGTATAGCTTTTCACTTGAATTTGGTCGTTTTTCATGAAAACTATGCATGTATATACATTTCTATAATTTTATTCTAATGTAGCTTCTGCTTATTATAACACTACCATAAAGTCTATTTCTACTAACGTAAACAGCTTTGAAAATAAAATAAAATAAAATAAATAGCTCCAAATATGATCAGGTGCAATATCTTCTTGATTTCAATAGTGGCACCCAGTTTTGACTCATTGCATATAGTTAGTTGAATAAATTATTTTCTTCAGAAAATAATGGTCTTTTATATACATTATATTTATTGTACAAAAAAAAAATTATGAAGTGGAGGCAAATACTCGTTCAACAATATGATCTGAATGAATTCTAGCAATATCAATTTCTTTAGATCGTCCATTGCCTAAAAAGAAAAAAAAAAAGGAAGGAAAGGAGAGTTGGAAATAAATTGAATATAAAACTTTGTAAATATAACTTACTAAAATGAACAGCAATTTTAGGTGTAGTAGTTGCATCCAAAGTTTTATTCACTTCATAATTAACATGTGGATTGTTGTATTGAATACGAGGAAGATTTTCTCGTAAAAAGTGCCTAAAAGGTAATCATTATGTGTTTGTTTGTTTGTTTGTTTGTTTGTTTTTTTCTAGTAAAGGTATCAGTTTATATTTACCTTGCTGATGCACTTTCATTCTTTCCCTTCAAAGCAAATGTTAAAGTAATTTTGGAAACATTTGAGGGTAATTTGGCAGCACCGGGCCCAGAAGTTAAATGCTTTAAAATTTCACTAGTTGACTTTGCTGTTCTTAATGACATTTGTCTCTGATCAAAGTAATGTCAAAAGGAGTTTTTAGTTGACCAGGGACATGCCTATTAAGCAGTATAAGGGGGAATTTGAGGGGTGTCTGTAGATATATATAGTCTTTACAGTCTGTAATTGGTCAAAATTTGTATAAATGTATAAATGTAAAGATCTCTAAAAGCTATGTTGTAAAGACGAAAAAAAATAAAAAAAATAAAAAATAAAGGCATCTAAAAGCAGTTTTACAGATAAATAGATCTTTATCAAAAGTTTTGGAGATATTAGATCCACATTAAAGACAATATCGATTAGAACGGGGCTTAAAATAATATTTAGCTACTTTTATTGATACCATTCATCAAAGCACGCCGTCGCGAATATTTACTTTTTTTTTTCTCAATTTTACACGAATGGGTGAATTAACAGAACAAGAAAAGCTTGAACGTCGTAGACTAAAAAGGCAGCAACGTATTTTACAGTCAGGTGAAAGTCGTCTTAACAAAATTACTGGAACTGCATTTCGTAAGTCAAATAAACATGATGTAAATCACTTTTATTGAACTTTTTTTTTTTTTTCTTTTTTTTTTTTAGCAAATCGAATCACACCTTCATCATCACCTTCACCTTCGCCTTCTACTTCAGCTGTGAATAAGTCTGAATCAATAGAGCACAGTAATACGCCTACCCCTACTCGTCAACGTAGACCAAGTGATGATCCTAGCGATGAATTAGGTGCACCACATACATTAAATAATAGCACTCCAACACGATCATTGGCTTCTAATAATACTATGTTCAACGAAAGATCTCTTGCTAATAATGAAGGTACAGCAGACCCTTTCGAACAACTACTTGCAGCCGCTATGAGTAATGCAAACGATGGAGGAGGATTTAATCCTCTCGCTGCATTATTAGCTAGTCAGAATATAAACAAAGGTAATGGTAATGAAACATCAACTAATTTAGAAGCACTACAAATGACGGACAAGTCGGCAAAGTATTGGAATTTATTACATTTAATGATGATGACTATGTTGGGTTTCTACGCAGTTTATGCAGAATGGACACGAGCTGGATCAAATAGATTTGCTTCTTTATTGTCTAAAGATGCTTCTTTAACAAATTTTCCTGCTATCCATGTGGTAAGGAATAAAAGGGAAAATAATGACAATATTTATAATTACTCTAATTTTTTTTTGTTTTTGTTAATACGCATACGTAACATAGCCTTTGTTTTGGTATTTCATTACTTTAGAAGTATGTATGCAGTCAGCACGTTTATTTTATCAACAAGGGAAGATGCCTACTAATTCCAACACCTTGATACAACTCGCTACACAATTACCACATCCCTTTGGTCAACTTGTGACTATCTTTTTGCGTTATAGACTTATTTGGAGCTGTTTTATACAAGATATTTGCATATTAGTCTTTATTATTGGTATTTCTCAAGTCATATCAAACATTTTGTTATCTTCTTAAATGAATATCTACAAAGAGAATAATAATAAACTTTTTTTTTATTGTATATATATATTGCTATACAAAATATATATTACAAAGATGCAATAATAAGAAACCGTAACTCTCTGCTATTTTAAATTTCGGTAATCATCGTAAATACACACGTGTTTACTGTATATATTTTATAATTGAATACAGTTTCAGTGACACGTAAACTTTAACATCCTTATATGTATACATTTTCCGAAGCTTTGGATTTAATTGAGGAGGAGTATTACAACAATAATGATAATCATAATAATACTGTGCTGCTATGATTACTATGGTTACCAGTAAAAAGTAACCACATATGGATACGTTTACTTTTCTTTTTTTTTTAGGTTAAATGAACGCCATTATACAAATAAAATGGCGTGGTTTTATACATTAATTTATATATATTTAGTGCTAAATGTTAATTCGTGGATATCACAAAGAAAAAATTGATACGCCTTCTTAATCGTTCTACTTTAAAAACAAGAGTATGAAAAGTAACTACTATTTTAATTTCATTAATATTTAGAAATGCAAATATTTTGATCAACAGTAATGAATAATATGCTATTGAATGTTTTCTTCTTTTGGGGAACATGGCAAAAAAAAAAAAAAAAAAAAAAAAGAAAAAAGAAAAAAAAGGGGGGCTAAAAAATAATAAAATAAAGAAAACCTCAAAATCATTAGCATTGTAATGTTAGCACGTTTATTTTTCTTTAAAGTTTAATGTTCAAATGGAGCATAGATAATTTACCATACTTAAGAAACACGTTCAAAAAATTACTTTGTAAGCAAAAAAAAAAAAAAAAAAAAGAAAAAAAAAACGAATACGTAATTATATTACTGATTTGGCCGATAGACATAAAAGTATAAGATCCATTTTTTTTTTAAGATATTTGCTTATTTACTTTTCAATTAGAGATTATTTTAGTTCTATTTGGATATTTAAACTTCATTTTAACATGTTTATTCCCCAAATACAAATATAATAGATGGTAGATCTATATGAACAATAAAAAGTATAACATGCTTAAATTGAATAACTTTTATAGCAAATTATTATACATTTTAATAAATAGAAAGATAAATGTTAAATCTTTTATAGGCTAACAATATATTATCCTTAGACATAAAATGGCAAACGACTAATAGAAACTTACTTTTAAGAGAGATATCACATTTCGGTATATTAGCTATAGTTATTATTACTTTTACTTAAAACAAGTCTTCGTATTTCAGGGCATTTCTATTAATGATAGTATAGGCAAGTAATCAGAAATCCAAAATTAAAATCATAATAAATGGTCTAGTACATTGTAAAGACCAATGTTTGAAATACTATCTATTCAAATGATATGATATAAATCTATTTAACAAGAGATTGATTTGAATTAGTGAAGCAGCACTTTATTCTTAACAAAAGACCAAAATTAAATACAGAGAAAAGCCCATAAATTTATATTCTCAAAAATCGATGTGTTTATAAGATATAAAATGTATTTAAATTAATTAGTAAATCAGCATTACTATAATGGATAACAAAAAAAAATACTTATACTCAACATCTGTTTTATCTACTACAGAATATTTATCTTTTCAAAGATCTATAATTGTCTAGAAATTATCAACAACTATGGTCTTTTAGAGTAATACACAATCCATGAATTATTTTTTTTTTATAAAAGCCACGATTTGAAAATATTTCTGCTTAGTGTAAATCATTTGAACATTTCTATTATTGTTACTGCATGTGCATCACAGTATACATATAAAATCAGAAGGTTTATATCTGTATATGTATGCATATATTGCAACTCTATGCCAGTTACAAAGAAATGACGTAAAAGATAAAATAAAAAAAAGGTAAATATTCTTATTGTATAATATCTGACTTTTTATAAAACATTTACGATTTATATTGAAAGGGATTTCATTTTATTTTTTATAACAAAACAAAAACTTAGATGTACACAAATATTGAACAACATTAAATATGAAGTCATGGATCCTAGTGTATTCATCAACTTAAAAAAAATGGCATTTTTCTGTGAGAAAAGGATAAACGAAACTTTATTAACCATAAACAAAACAAGAATACAAGATATGGATATCATGCTTTTTTCTATATTTTTAAATCCATTATTTTTCTTAACGTATAATTTGCCAATATAAGACTTAGCTTTATGATACTAGTACTATTATATCGAGCTCATATTATAACCTACTTTTTTTTTTCCATTTACACAAATGTGATATTTTGATTCCCTTTTTGATGAAAATGCTGATTTTTTTTTTTTGACTCTGGGAAAGATTGGTTACACAAAGGGAGTAGCAAAGAGTAAAATGTAACTAATATTGTAAATATAAATATTTATCAGTTTATTAAAATATATAACTGCATAATATATACAGATATTTTATTTTATTTTGGTTCTCCTTAACATAAGACTATCATATTACGAAATGCGCATTTGTTTTTTTCTTTATTTGAAATAAGCGATAAATTTTAGGCTAGACCCAAAAATCCATATTCAGTTTAAATCTATAATTTGTGATTATAATCTCGATTTTTCCAGCCTAAAGGGAGAAAATCCAAAAATAAAAAATAATAAAAAATAAAAAAACAATTTTTGCCTTTTTTTTCCTTTTATTAATTTGAAAATTATCCAGTTTTTACATTTGGGTAAAAATATTATTTTTTTTTTATTTTTTCTTATATTTTTTTTTTTTTTTTTTTTTTTTTTAAAAAAAAATATTTGTATACATATAAAAAAAGGCCTTTGATAACGATAAAATACTAATAAAATATATACCACATAAATATATTCTTATTTCTATTCTTGTATCAGTTCAATTCTTTTATTGTGTATACATTTTGTTTGTTTCTTTTTTATACATCTAAAAGGGAAAAAAAATAGGGGAAATCTCATAAAATATACATTTATTATTATGAGTCAACAAAAAAACTCTCAGAAACCACAAAAATCAATGAGAAATAATACAAATTCAACAAACAAGTTATCAACAACCCGAAAAAGGTCATATTCCTTATCTTCCTCATCTTCTGAATCACCTTCTTTATCAACTGTATTAAAAAATCCACAACAAATATTTTCGAACTCTTCCTCAGCAGCCAGTTCATCTGATTCTTCTTATTCAATATTGTCAAATGATGTAAAAAAGAAAAGAGTATTATCAATACCATCAGCGACTTTAGCAACAAAAAGACCTACCGTAAATAAAAGTGGTAGTAATACAGATAGCTCTTCTGAAAGCAATACGTCACCATTTCAATTATCAGCTTTATCTTCTTCTTCGTCTTCAACTGGCTCATTTCTTACAACTCCTAAGAATAATAATATAGTATCATCACCTACTAAACTAACTGCTCAAAGATCTGTTCCTGCCTTTCTTAACAAGCTGTACAAGTAAAACTTGATATAATTATAATATAAACGATATAACAGTGAGGAAAGGGAAAAGTATTTTATTAAATAGTAAAATATATAAATTAGTATGGTTGACGATATAACTACAAATGATTTGATTAGGTGGTCAGAAAATGACAATTCTTTCATTGGTATTGTGATATCCAAAAAAAAAAAAATAAAAAAAAATATTGTAACGATAGTTAATAGACATATATATACTTAGTTGAAAAGCATGAAGAATTTGCAAAGACAGTATTACCTAGATTCTACAAACACAACACATTTGCATCCTTTGTACGGCAACTCAATATGTATGATTTCCACAAGGTACCTCATCTTCAGCAAGGTGTTCTTATAGCAGAAAGCGAGCATGAAATATGGGAATTTAGTAACCCAAATTTTCAGCGTGGTCGACCTGATCTCCTTATCTTTGCTACTCGTAAACGTAATCGTGATCGTGATATAGTAAATGATATAGCGAACGATAGTGTCAATGTTATGCATTTTGTTCAAGACATTGCTACTCTCAAACAACAGCAAACTAATCTTGGTAATGAATTGAAAGACCTTCATCGTGATAATGAAATCCTCTGGCAAGAAACGTTAAATGCTAGAGAAAAATATCAACGACATCAAAATACGATTGAAAAAATTCTTCAGTTTTTAACCAGCATCTTTTCTAATAACAATTTAGCCATTAGTATGAGTAAAATAATAATAATAATAATAATCGATAAAATATGTATTTTAAACCCAAATCCATTATAGATAATGCAGAATTACTTCCTAAAGGACTTATTGAAGAAGCTGCATCCTTAGCTGGCACATCTACTAGTAAACTTATGAATAGCAATGGAGCAGATGCAATAAATTCACCAACAATACCTACATCCACTTTGACCGATATTCTATCGTCTGTGTTGCAACTACATAATGATAATAATACGCATAATATGAGATCTCCTAATTTCTCAAATAAGAATTCAAACTTTCAACAAAAAATAGGAGATGATACTACTGATAGCTATAATAATTTTACTCAAAGACAATATCCTCATTCTAATAGCAATATCACTCCCAGCCCTCCACCTGAGAGCACACCATTATCATTTTATGCTACAGATTCTAGTCAGCAACAGACCCATGATATGCATACAAACAAAACACGACCCAATTTGGTTGACTTTTCTAAAACTTTGAATACAGCTACACAGTCAGCTCAAACCATTGCACAAGATATTGATATGCTTCAAGTTAATATTGAATCGTTAGCCAATAATCTTAGTATTGATCCTAGTCAGTTTGATGATGAAAATCTAGAACATTATTTTCCATCACAAAATGATTGTCATAATTACAATATGTTCAATAATACACCATTTCATTCTACAATAGATAAGCCTGTCATAGCTACAAACAATACTGTATTTAATTTCGCAACTACGTACCAACAAGCTAATTCAGCGTTACCCCATCCTCAATCACAGCGTCGACAAAGAAGACCTTTACAAGCACAAGTAAGATCCACCTTGGTCAATCCACTTTCAATAGCTACTACAGCAACACCAATAGCAACAACAACAACAACGACATCATCATCACCACCACCACCACCATCGCTACAGCAACCATCAGAAGCATCTACTTTTGCTATTATGCAACAGGATTTTACGAATCATGCTATACCCCTGATGAAATCATCTGAAATGACTCATAATGAATACAAGCATCATCAGCCTTTTATGACCACGACAATTCCTTCTACTTCATTTATACCTAATACCGTTGGTGTTGAATTTGTAAGTATGGGTGCCAATCAGCGAATTCCCACTAGAGCTAACATTTTACCCGATCATTATTCAACAACAAATAAAGAATCTGATATGCCTGAAATTGTAAATTCTGGTATGAGATAAGACCACCTAAATCTTCATATTATGATGGAAAGTAAATATATAAACACACTGTTAACGTTTTTCTTTCCGTCTACAATAAGTTATTTTATTGTAACGGAATTTGAACTTGAACACATCTATGCTAATTCATAGCTTTTTTTTTTTTAAGTATGTCATGTATGTACATATTCTTTACTATGTTCCCTTTTTATTTAATTATGCTATTCTTTTTTATTTGTAAATAATAAAAAGAAAAGAATTTTTATGTACAAATTGTATTATTTAGTAAATTAGACAATATAAGATAAATATTCAATAAGTTTGAAAACCGAGATATCTTCAGTTCTTAAACTAATATTTGTAAACAAGCTTATTAAAGATAACTAAATTCAAACTTTCGTGTATGTAAATTAACACAAAGATCCTTCAGTACCTTGAGTCAAAAAAAAAAAAAAAAAAAAAAAAAAAAAAAAAAAAGATAAAAATAAAAAGGAATAACTGAAATTCTATTTTATTTCACATTTGGGTCATAAATCATAAAAAAAAAACTAGAAACAGCATTATGAGATTGAAAAAAGAGAATTACCTCTCTTCTGAAATACTATATTCAAGGAAACAAAAAAAAAAAAAAGAAAAATAAAGACGATATTAATTAATTTAGAATTTTATGTGTATTTTGAAGTGCTATGTACATCTCTATCTTTACTTGTGAATTTCCCTACTATAAGATAAGAGACCTTCCTTAAATGCTTATCAATTAAAATGTAAAAAGAATAAAAAATAAATAAATATCTAACAATAGTAGCTATATGATTTATATGATACTAAAAATGAAAATATTTTTATTTTTGTCTGTCTATTTGTATAGATTTAATAAATATACAGATTTAACGAAAAAAAAAAAAAAAAAAAAGGGCAAAAGGGGTTAGACAGAGATACAATTGTTCAATTTATAGAATGCATATTTAACACATATTCATTTATATAGCTTCCATGTGCTATTTCTTTTTCATTTGATATGATAAATGTATAAAGCTTATTTTTGCTACATAAAAAAATATAGTGTGAAACTTTATTTTAATTTATTTAAACGAGGAATGTATACTCCATAATGATAAGCTTATAGATTTTTTACTGACAAAAGATACGTCATATACCACAGTTTATATTTTAACCTATTAAATTTAATTATCTTATCTATTTTTGCTGTTTCAAAGCATTTAATTTACTTTTGCTAATCAAGGTATTATGAATATATTTTGTAGATCTTTGCTTTTATGTATATAAAATCCTATTTCATATGAATATATAGAAATAAAGCTATTGTTTATATATTTGAGATACAGATTGATAGTTTCTACAGGCCTCTTCCCCTCCTTTTTTTTCTTTGCGTATTTTTCTTTTTTTGAGTCACAAGATCTCTTTCCAATTTAAACACAGAAAACTTTTTTATTGGCTTTTTCAAACTTGGTAACCATTTACGAGTTCAACTGAATCAGTTTTAATATCAGACTATCGGATCAGTTCGGTAATAAATTCATAGATAATCATGTTTTCTACGCAAAAAAAAAAAAAAAAAAAAAAAAAAAAAAAAAAAAAAAAGAAAAAAGAAAAAATTAAATTATTAAAAAATAAAAAAAATGAATAAAAATTCAATGATATTTTCAAATGATAAATGTATATTAAGCGTTTTCTTGTGAAACGTATACGTCAAAAATTATAATAAAATGAAACTTTAATGATGTTTCTCCTATTTATTTTTATCTCTCTTCAGGCACTTTGATAAAAAAAAAAGATGGAGAAAAAAGGTGAAGCGGCGATTTTTTCATTTGTTTGTTAAAGGAAATTTAAAGGAAAATTTCTCATTTTTCTATTTTGTTTGGTTTTTTTTTCTGTTTTGCTATTTTTTTTTTTTTTTTTTTTTTTTTTGTCTCTCCCTCTCTCTCTTTTTTTTACTTTATTTTAATACTTTTCTTTCTTTCTTATATTAAAAAAATAAAATAAAAAGTAAACAAGTGAATGATATCAATTGAAAACAAATCATGGGCAAATGTAATTCCCAAGGCACAAGGACTTTATAACCCCGAATATGAAAAAGATGCCTGTGGTGTAGGATTTATAGTTCATGTAAAAGGTAAACGTTCACACAAGATTTTAGTAGATGCAAACGATGTTTTATGTAATATGACACATCGTGGTGCCAGTGGTGCGGATATTCGAGATGGTGATGGTGCTGGCGTTATGACAGGTAAAAAAAAAAAAAAAAAAAAAAAAAAAAAAAAAAAAAAAAAAAAAAAAAACATTAATAGAATCATTTTGTAATGAAATATTTTATTTGTTCAAGGTATTCCACATCAATTCTTTGTCAATGAAGTATTTCGAGAATTAGGCATCAAATTACCTATGGAAGGTCACTATGCTGTTGGAAATTTATTTATGAAAGATGTTGAAGAATGTCAAAAGGTCTTTGAAAAATTAGCAGATGCTTTAGACTTAATCATTTTGGGGTGGCGTAGAGTCCCCGTTGATTCAACTATTATTGGACCTGCTGCTCGTTCAAAGGAGCCAGTTATCTTACAACCATTTATTACTTTGAAGAATTACAATTCTACAAATGAGTTTGATGAACGTTATTTTGAACGTCAATTATATGTTCTTCGTAAACATGCTACTCATACCCTTACCATGAAAAAATGGTTCTATATTTGTTCGCTTTCAAATAAGAATATTGTCTATAAAGGCCAATTAACACCTAAACAAGTGTATTTGTATTATTATGATTTGGTAAATGTTCAATATACAACTCATTTCGCTTTGGTTCATTCTCGTTTTTCTACAAATACTTTTCCTTCCTGGGATCGTGCACAACCAATGCGTTGGTGCGCTCATAATGGTAATATATATGTGTATATATTATATATATATATAAAGCATGTCACTTATTTTTTTTTTTTTTTAGGTGAAATTAATACATTGCGTGGTAATAAAAATTGGATGAGATCTCGTGAAGGGGTCATGTTTTCAGATAAGTTTGGTGATGAATTAGACTTGCTTTACCCCATTATTGAAGAAGGAGGATCTGATTCAGCTGCTTTTGATAATGTATTAGAATTATTAGTTGTCAATGGTGTTTTAACTTTACCAGAGGCAGTCATGATGATGGTACCTGAAGCATGGCAAAACAATCATCTAATGACTCCAGAAAAGAAGGCCTTCTATCAATGGGCAGCTTCACTTATGGAGCCTTGGGATGGTCCTGCATTGTTCACCTTCTCTGATGGTCGTTATTGTGGTGCCTCCCTCGATCGTAATGGTCTTCGTCCCTGTCGTTATTATTTGACCTCTGACGATATTATGATATGTGCATCTGAAGTTGGCACTGTCTTTGTTGAACCTCAAACAGTTGTTGAAAAGGGCCGTCTTCGACCGGGTCGTATGTTACTCGTTGATACTGTCAAAGGTATCATTGTTGATAATACTCAATTGAAACTCGAAACAGCCAAGAAGAGACCATTTGTTGATTGGATTAAGAACCAAAAGATCACCCTCCAGCAGCTTGTAGAAGCTACCAAGGACACTTCGTTTGTTCAATTAGATGATACTACAATCCATACCGATCCTCGTTTGAAGGCATTTGGCTATACTTTAGAACAATTTAATCTCTTATTACTTCCTATGATCTCTGAGGGTAAAGAGCCTCTTGGTTCAATGGGTAACGATACTGCCTTAGCCTGTCTCTCTGATCAACCTCGTCTTTTATTTGAATATTTCCGTCAACTCTTTGCCCAAGTTACAAATCCTCCTATTGATCCTATTCGTGAAGAAATTGTTATGTCTCTTGAATGTTACGTAGGACCCGAGGGTAATATCTTGGAAGTCAATGAAGAACAATGTCGTAAACTGACATTACCTTCTCCTATACTTTCTATGGATGAATTGGGTGCTATTCAATCTATGGATCAACTTTTCCCTGATTGGAAGGTGGCTACCATCGACACTACGTTTGAAAAGGCACTTGGTATACAAGGCTATATGGAAGCCCTTGAACGTATCTGTCAAGAGGTGACAAAGGCTATTGATGATGGCTATAAAATTGTTGTTTTATCTGATCGTGCTGTTTGTGCTCATCGAGTCGCTATCTCTTCTTTGATTGCCACAGGTGGTGTTCATCACCATCTTGTTCGAAATAAGAAACGTAGTCGTGTGTCTTTGATGATTGAAACTGCAGAGGCACGTGAAGTTCATCATTTTTGTGTCTTATTGGGTTATGGTGCGGATGCAATCTGTCCTTACTTGGCTATGGAATCCATGATGAAGCTTCATCGTGAACGTGCCATTCGTGGTGAATATACGATTGAACAGCTTATTTACAATTATAAAAAGGCTATCAACAATGGCATCTTAAAGGTGATGTCCAAGATGGGTATATCAACTTTAGCATCCTATAAAGGTGCACAAATCTTTGAGGCACTTGGTGTTGACGATACTGTCATCAGTCGTTGCTTTGCAGGTACCGCATCTCGTATCAAGGGTGCTACCTTTGATATCTTTGCCTTGGATGCATTGACATTGCATGAAGCTGGTTATCCAACTCGTAATCGAATTCAACCCCTTGGCCTCCCAGAATCAGGTGAATACCATTGGCGTCATGGTGGCGAATCTCATATCGCAGAGCCTGCTAGTATGGCCAACTTACAAGACGCTGTTCGTCGTAAGAATCAAGATGCTTATGATATACACGCCAAGAATTCTCATGCTGCTATTCAACGCTGTACCTTAAGAGGCTTACTCGATTTCAACTATGAAGAATGTAAACCCATCCCTATTGAACAGGTTGAGCCCTGGACTGAGATTGTAAAACGATTTGTAACGGGTGCCATGTCTTATGGTTCTATCTCTTGGGAGGCCCATACAGCCCTTGCAGTCGCGATGAACAAATTAGGAGGTAAATCAAATACGGGTGAAGGCGGTGAAAAACCTGAACGTTCAGAACTCGAACAAGATGGTGTCAAGTTACGTTCTGCTATTAAACAGGTCGCCTCAGGCCGTTTTGGTGTTACAAGCTTTTACTTGTCAGATTCAGATGAATTACAAATCAAGATGGCTCAGGGTGCAAAGCCTGGTGAAGGCGGTGAGTTGGCGGGCCCCAAGGTTTCTGAAGAAATTGCGTCCACGCGTAAGACTACACCTGGTATCGGCTTGATCTCTCCTCCTCCTCATCATGATATTTATTCTATTGAAGATCTTAAACAATTGATTTATGACCTCAAATCAGCTAATCCACGCGCTCGTATCTCTGTAAAGCTCGTCTCTGAAGTAGGTGTTGGTATTGTAGCTGCTGGTGTGGCTAAAGCCAAAGCTGATCATATCTTGATTTCAGGCCATGATGGTGGCACAGGTGCATCTCGATGGACAGGTATCAAGTATGCTGGTTTACCTTGGGAATTAGGTCTTGCTGAAACTCATCAAACCTTGGTTCTTAACGACTTGCGTGGTCGAGTTGTAGTCCAGACAGATGGTCAAATCAAGACAGGTAGAGATGTTGCTATTGCCTGTCTATTAGGTGCTGAAGAATGGGGTTTTGCTACTACACCTCTTATTGCTCTTGGTTGTATCATGATGAGAAAATGTCATTTGGTAAACAATCTTATACAAATATATAAATATTTATATATTCTGGTGTTACTTATTTTTATTTTATTTTATTTTTTTTTTTTTTTTTTTTTTGGTTTTCATAGAATACATGTCCTGTTGGTATTGCTACACAAGATCCAGTATTGCGTTCTAAATTCCAAGGCAAACCTGAACACGTTATTAATTTCTTTTATTATGTTGCAGAAGAAGTACGTACCATCATGTCCAAATTAGGTTTCCGTACTATCAATGATATGGTGGGTCATGCTGAAGTTCTCAAGTTTGATAATAGTTTGCGTACCTTCAAGACCGCTAATCTCGATCTCTCTCCTATCTTGACACCTGCCAGCGCCTTACGTTCCGGTGTCCCTACACATAACGTTGCAAAACAAAAGCACAAGTTGCATACTCGACTTGATAATTACTTGATTAGTGAAGCTGAACCTATCTTTGAAGGCTGTGTGAAACATGTGAAGATTGATACAACTGAGGTTGTCAATACGGATCGTGCACTTGGTGCTACTCTCTCTTATCATATCTCAAAGAGATTCGGTGAAAGGGGTCTTCCAGAAGACAGCATTCATGCCATTTTCAAGGGTTCTGCAGGTCAATCCCTTGGTGCCTTCTTGGCCCCTGGTATCTTTTTCGAACTCGAAGGTGATGCTAATGATTATGTCGGTAAGGGTCTCTCGGGTGGTAAGATTGTCATTTATCCACCTCGATGTAGTTCTTTCAAGTCTGAAGAAAATGTGATTGTTGGTAACGTCTGTCTTTATGGTGCCACAAGTGGTCGTGCATTCTTTAGAGGTATTGCAGCAGAACGTTTCTGTGTCCGAAATTCGGGTGCCCTTGCAGTCTGTGAAGGTGTTGGTGATCATGGTTGTGAATACATGACAGGTGGTCGTGTGGTGATCTTGGGTTCTACGGGTCGTAACTTTGCTGCTGGTATGTCTGGAGGTATCGCGTATGTTTTAGATATGGATGGAAAATTCCATGAACGTGTTAATACTGAATTGGTTGATCTTGAAACTGTAAATGATGATGAACGTATTGCAGAACTTCGTGATTTAATTGAAGATCATCGTCATTACACTGGCTCTGAAATTGCCGATCGTATCCTGAAAAACTTTAATGACTATTTACCTAAATTTGTGATGGTCATGCCAAGGGAGTATGCTTCATTATTACAACGTCAACGTGAACTACAGGCACAAGAATCCAATAAGAAGAAGGCAGTAGATGATACCCCCAAGAGTTTAGTTCAAAAGCAAAGATATGAACCCGCTGTGGAAGACGTTGAGGATAGTATCTTGAATGAAGAAGAGATCCTCAAACGACGTGAGAAGCTTGACAAGTTGAGAGGCTTTATGAAATACAAACGTAAATCCGATCCTTATCGTAATGTCAAAAAGCGTATAGGTGATTGGGATGAAGTCAACGTTCGTCTTAGTCGTCCTCAACTCCATGAACAGGCTGCTCGTTGTATGGATTGTGGTACCCCCTTCTGTCAATCCGATACAGGTTGTCCTCTTGGTAACATTATTCCTAAATGGAATGAACTCGTTTACAAAGATAACTGGAAGGATGCCCTTGATCGTCTCTTGATGACGAACAATTTCCCTGAATTTACAGGTCGTGTTTGCCCCGCACCTTGTGAATCAGCCTGTGTCCTTGGTATCTCTGAGAAGCCTGTAGCGATTAAGAGTATTGAATGTGCTATTATTGATTATGCCTTTAAGAAAGGTTGGATGATTCCCAAACCCCCTGCTCAACGTACAGGTAAAAGAATTGCCATTATCGGTTCTGGTCCTGCTGGTTTAGCTGCCGCTGATCAACTCAATAAGGCAGGTCATGTTGTCGTTGTTTATGATCGTAATGATCGTATGGGTGGTTTACTTATGTACGGAATTCCAAACATGAAACTGGATAAAAAAATTGTTCAAAGACGTATTGATCTCTTGGCCGCTGAGGGAGTTAAGTTTGTCACGAATGCCAATGTGGGTGTGAATGTAGATGTTCAAAAGCTTCGAGCAGAGAACGATGTCCTCCTTGTTGCTACGGGTGCTACATGGCCTCGTGATCTCAAGATCCCCGGTCGTGAAGCTGACGGTATTCATTTCGCTATGGATTTCCTTCAAGCCAACACCAAGAGCTTGCTTGATTCAGGTCTCAAGGATGGTAATTACCTCTCTGCGAAAGATAAAAGAGTGATTGTTATTGGTGGTGGTGATACTGGTAATGACTGTATCGCTACCTCAGTGCGTCATGGCTGCAAATCTGTCATTAATTTTGAATTATTACCTTGTCCTCCACAAGAACGTGCGGAAGATAATGCATGGCCTAAATACAAATTGGTCTTTAAGATTGATTATGGTCATGCTGAAGTCCAAGAGCATTTTGGTAAGGATCCTCGAGAATATTGCATTCTATCCAAGGAATTTGTGACAGAAAACGGGGTTGTGAAAGGTATCAAGACAGTTCGTGTTGAATGGACAAAGGATAGTGCCGGTCGTTGGGCTATGGCTGAAGTACCTAATTCTGAACACGTATTTGAAGCTGATCTTGTCTTGCTCTCTATGGGCTTTGTGGGACCTGAATCTCAAGTAATTAAACAATTAGAAGTGAAGCAAAATGGTCGTAATAATATTGAGACCCCCAAGGGCAAGTATGTGACCAATATTCCTGGTGTTTATGCAGCAGGTGATTGTCGCCGTGGTCAATCTTTAATTGTCTGGGCTATTAATGAAGGTCGTATGTGTGCTCGTGAAATTGATCTACATTTGATGGGTAGCACTAATATGCCTGTGACAGGTGGTATTACTCGTAGAACAATTAGTACAGATACCTCTTCTTCTTCTTAAAGCATATATAGATATCTATATCATTTTTTTTCATTTTATATTATAGAAACAAAAAAAACATCAAGTATATTTATATGTAAATGCATTTGTATTAATATAAAAAATAAAATAATAATATATAATATTAAACAATAAATACATTCATACTTTGATATAATAACACTATTTAGGTAGCAGCAAAAACTTTAAAGTTGATGGCTTTATGTTTTCATAAATTTTTACTTTTATAATAATAAGAGTATTATGCATATTCTATTCCATATACAAAAGGTTAAGAATTATTGTTTGGATTTTTTTTTATTATTATAAATTAACACTAGCTTGTATAAACATAAGGTATAATATATATAGTGTATAATAGATTGTCGTAGCCTATCCTATTATAGGCCATTGTTATGCAACATCCACATAACTTCGAAAATAACACCCATTTAAATAAATCATGTTGCAATACAATGATTCTGTAAGTATTCATTATTTATTTTCTTTAATAATATATACATGTATATCAACATACTGAAAACTTTTTAATTATTTTGGATTGTTTTTACTATTGTTCTTACTACGATGATAATAATAACGCTTTTGGCTTTTTATATTAGTTTGTCCAAAAGTCTCCAAGTTAAGTTTACTTTCTTCTTTAAAATAATTACTTCTAATATGTATTACTTTGTAAAAGAATAGTAGAAATATGAGATATGTGTCCAATCACTTACCCCTTTTTATATTTCTCTTTTGTATCACAAGAAATATCATCAAAAAAACTCCTTTTCTATTTACAAAGGACGTATTAGTAATTATACTACTTTATTATACGCATCAACCATAACCCATACTTTGTCATAAAAGAGTTCAGCCTTACTGCTTTTTCTCGCAATAAATCCTTGATCATTTGTTTGTAATAAATTTTCCCTAACAAATTTATCATTTGCAGAAGCAAAATCAAAATCAACATTTGGAACTACAAGCGTACTTTTTTTATAATGACTAAATCTTATAGCGTCCACTTTTCCTAATGACTCCCTTTTACCCGTTTCCTTTATCTCTGTTTTAATACCATTTATATTTCCTTGACAAGGGGTCTTTTTTGATTCATTTTGAGGGATTACTTCTTTAAATTCTAAATCTGAAACCTGCTTAACTAATGAATCTATAATTGTCTCTTTTACTTTTGTTTCTGATTCCTCTTCATTTCTTATTACTTCATTTTTCTTCTCGTCTTGAGTAGATATATCTTCAATATTAGAGTGAGTGTGTTGTAATTGCAGTTGATGATCCCCAAGTGAATTTGTACTAGTAGGAAGAGAATAGTATTGGTGTTGTAGCATATTGTTATTGACTAGTGTAGGATAATTATTATTACAAAGCAATGGATGATAGTTATCAATATATGGGAGAAAATGGTTATTATCCCCATATAAGCCAATGTTATATGCTTGTTGTAAATAATAATAGGGTGCATTATAGTCAACCTATAAACTTTCAGGTTATGAAATTATATACAACGATTACATGTTTAAAGAATAAATACTAAAAAAAAAAAAAAAAAAAAAAAAAAAAAAAAAAAAAGCTCTTACAATCAATCCAAACTGGGAAGGAGGAGCTTCCAAGACTTGAATGTCTTTGATATTTTTTTGATGAAATAGAATATAACCAAAGATATGATTAAATGGATCTATTTCTTTATTAGGATCATTTCCTTTACGACCTTCTGTACCAAATGATTGTACTTTAAAGGCGCATTTATATATATATAAGTTTCATCTGTTTGACTTGATTTATACTTTTAGATAAAGTTTACTCTTTTACCATTCCATAATGACAAAGTTGAATCTACAGTATTCATGTCATGCAGAAAACCGACATAACGAATTTCACTCACGCTAATGAGCTAATGAATAAGGTATATCAGTATTATTTGTGTAAATGTATCCTCTCTTAAAATCTTATCATCATATTACAGATATCTTTGAGCCTATATAGATTCCAATACTATCACTGTTCATTGAAGATAATAAAACAAAAAGAGAAGGGAGAGAGAAAGAGAGAGAGAGAGAAAAAGGGGGGGGAGAAGAGAATAATTATTTTAAAGCAGCCGACATTTATTTTTGTCTTTCCGCCATTTATTTGTTTTTGTCCACTTTGGTTAAAACAGTTGTCAGAACTAGTTAACTAAAATTGGCTGGAAGATTGCGCCTAATTGTCGCATATCTTCTACACCTCTTTTTGCCCCTCTCTCTTCCTAATAAAACATAACATAATGATGAATAACTTTTTTTTTATTATGAAGATGGATAGGAAAACATTTTTAATGAAGAAGGAGAAAAAGTTTACGATCCGATGGAGGAATGTTTCAACACATGCCGATGGTCCCAACATAGTTCTCGAAACAATAACTAGTTGACAAACTTACTTGAGCATTAAGTGCCCCGAAAAAAAAAATTGCTGAAGAGTCCTCAGTTAAATAAGCAGGCGAAACCTAGTAAGTTGAAGCCATCGGTGAAGTTATACAACAATTACAATGACTTTACCAGAGAAAGATATATAGATCGTGTTGATGGTATGTAATAAAATAAAAGGAAAAGACAAAAGAAAACAAAAAGAAGTATAGTTAGAGACTTGTTTATTCAATATAAAAAGAATGATATAAAGACTATTTCGTGTCTAAACAACTACCTGTATTTATACAAATGAATCCTGAATTAAAGAACATGAGTCATGAAACGGTGTTAATATTGAGATACACGTTGTGTTGATTCAAAGTGCTGATCCTTGGATTATTTATTGAATGTAATAATAATCTGATTTAAGATTTAAATTGTTTAATCCGAGTATAGGCTCCTTATGTCTATTTCAGTGGATCAAAGACGACCTGAAGAATCCTTTGTCAAGGTTATAAAATTAAATATTTCAGAAATGATACGAAGTCTTATAATTGATACATCCAGACGATTGGATGTCAATAAGTTTTATATTATTTACAAGCTGTTCTATACAGAGTTTTATTTCATATTCAGGCTTATAGTTTATCCTTTATTATGTAATTCATCTACTATAATATGACTCATGCTTATATTCAGAGCTTGTTCTATAACACAAAGTACAGCAAGATAAAACTAATATGATGTCTATGTTTCTTGGAAAAGTAGAAGATATATCACTTTTTTTTTATTTGTTTTGTTATTCTTTATTATAATAAAAGGTCATTATAGATATAATAGGACATTTTATATCAATATATATTTTATTTTTAGAGCAACCTTTTATTTGTTTTATATAGCTCAAAAATGTATAATTTTATACTGACAACAATCAAGCCTTTTTATATCCTTTTTTCACTCATATACACACAAATATATTAATGAATGGAGGACATTTAAAAAAAAAGTATAAAGGAGGGGGGGACCAAAATCCAAGATCTGAAATACTGTCAATAAGTCACTGCTCATCATAGAAACAAAATGAAGCCAGTAAAATCAAGGGGCAAACAAGATACATTGTTTCATATAACTTGCAGATTTTTAATTTAATTCATTTTAAGAATATGTTTAAAATAAACGATACAAGAATAGATAGTTTGGATGTATATTACGTAATAAAGATACGTGTAGAAATGATAATAATAAGAAGCCCTTTTTTTCTGTTCACGTCTTTCGACACAAACAGTAATATACCTCATTTTGTTTTTGTTTGTTTCTTTCAAAAAAAAAAAAAAAAAAAAAAAAAAAAAAAAAAAAAAAAAAAAAAAAAAAGAGAAGGGCTCTTTGTTGAATAATAAGAAGAGCTATAGTCAAGTGTTTAATACTAATAAACATGTAAGACTAGTAAAAAGATCATTCAAATTATATAAAGTTGAATGCTTTTATATATAAATCTTCTAATTTTGAGAACATTGAAGATTCTTCCTTTTATTTTTAATGACATTTATGTTAATTGTGTTGACATGAAACATATTTAGAACAATCATATTTATATGCTATATTACATGATTCATATACGCATTGTATTTTATCTAAACGATTTTTTTTAGTATTTTAGTATTACTTATTACATATTGCTTTTCCTTTAAAAGAACAAAAGAGATCCCTTTGTAAAAGTAATGATAGGTTTGTCTTCCAATAAAATGAAATACCTGTTTGCAGCTTTGAATATTTCTTTCGTATTTGTTGTTTTATATAAGAATAAAGTACTCATACTTACTTAGTTTGGATAAATAGAATCGGGATGTAAAACCAGCAACAACAGATCTGCGAATCATTTGGGGGGAGAGAAACCAGTATAAAGCAAAAAAGAAGAAATTTTTATTAATAAGTTGTCTTTGTTCCAAGTTAGAAGAAAATACACGGTTTTTTATTATTATAGTCTCAGCTTGTTTTATTTAAAAAATAAAAAAAAATAAATTCCCTATTGCATGCCAGTGTGCAAAAATTAACAAGAATGAGTGGTGCTTTTTTTTATTTCCTTAAATAGGAGATTTTTTTTTTATGCACTTTATGTCCAATCTTTAATACACGGGGGAAGAGAGAAGAAAATATTATCTAATATCAAGGAATCAAATATAAATATAATAGTTTTTTTTTCTTTTCCTTTCTTTTCTTTTTTTTTCCTTTCTTTTCTCTCCATTTTTATTATCATTACTTGAACTTTCTCTTTTTGCTTTTATCATATATTTATATATAAAATGACTTCTACATCTATTGGTTCGCCTCCTTTAATGCCTAATGAAATGGATCATAATGGCTTGCTTTTATCTTCTACTAAAGATAAAAAGATTCAGACAACTACACCTACTCCTCCTAGTGAAAAGTCAAGTGTAACTGAAGAATATCAAGCACATCAAGTTCTACAAGGTGAATTTGAACCTGAACAACATTTTTATCCTCGTGTCTTGAATGCTCAAATACATCCTTTGATTCAATCTTTCTTTACTTTGGGTAATGAACGTATCATTGCTCGTTATACTCATCTTAATCCTCAAGTAAAAGCTGAAGACTTGAAACAAATTCTTTCTTATAGTCCTCAACATTTTCATTGGGCTGGTAAAATAAATAAATGATGATTATATTCAATTCAATTAAATTCTTCTATATTATCCTTTAACCCTCTCTCTTTCATTCTTAGGTTCTGATTTGTTTAATGTAACTACTGCCTCTGGTCATCGTCAAATGATCGTCATCGAGACTAACTCCTGTCCTTCTGGTCAAAAATCAATGCCTTTACTTTCTGAAACGGATGAGCATAATGAACAAGGTGGCTATCGTTTAGTTATCGAGACTGCCTTTCAAGATCAGTTAAGTAAAGCAGATCCTAGCTTGGGTGGTTTAGCTGTAGTCTGTGACAAGAATATGATGGAATCAAGTGGTTATGCTGCTGTCTTGGCTGATGTAGCTAAAGAACCTGTTTGGCTTGTTGAATGGTATGTGAATGATCCTGATCCTAATCTTAAGTGGGAGGATCGTATACTATATGTTCGAGATAAGGATAGAGGTAAATTAATATATATATATATATATGCATATATGTATATATATGTATGAATATATACATATTTATATACACATATAGTCTAAAAAAAATTTTTTTTTGTCAAAAAAAAAAAAGTATGGCATCCTATTCGTGCTTGTTTTCGTTATTTGACGCAAAAACCGTGGAATCGATTCCCTTTAAAAACAAAAACAATCGTTATGAATCAAATTATTAGTTGTTTGGCGGGTGGTCGTAATAAGATGATGGCAGCAAGAGCTTATGATTTCTATAATAAAGATATTTATCGTACTGGTCTTAGTATTAAAACCCCCGAGACAATTAATAATGTAACAAGGGGAGAAATCCCTCTTTGGTTAAGATCCATGGGTGGTCATGCTGTCCTTAAGGTACCCTATAGTAACGCCGGTCAAGGTGTCTATACAATCACAAATCAAACCGAATTGGACAACTTTATGAGTGAAGAGCATCATTATGATAAAGTAAAATTTATTCATCTTCTCTAGTGGTTTAAATTTGTTGTATACATCTATATTTACATGTATATTTCCTTTTTATGAGTAGTTTATCGTGCAATCTTTAGTGGGTAATGCTTCTTGGTCTAGTGATACTACCACAGGTAAATTCTATCATGTTGGTACCATACCAAATAAGAAGAACAATACCTACGTAAGCGATCTACGTATGATGGTGACTGGTAAAATGTTGAAAAATTTATGCAAATATTCATATACACATGATAATTTTAAAACTGACTTTTATTTTAGGTAGTTCACAAGGATTTCGTCCAATTTGTATTTATGGTCGTAAAGCGAGACTTCCACTTGCAGGATCATTAAAACCAGATGGTAAGTTTCCTTTTTTATTATTCATATATTGGAGCCTATAGCCATACATATTCATCTTTATTTTGTTTAATAAGACGATACGTGGAATATGTTGGGTACAAACTTATCTGTAAAATTACCTGATGGTGGTTGGACAACAGATACATCCAGGCTAATCCTTATGGATAGAAAGGACTTTAATCAACTTGGATTAGGAATTGATGACCTTATTGATGCTTATATTCAAACTGTATTAGCTGTCATTGCTATTGATCGTATGGCTATTCGTTTAATGTCTAATGGTAAATTTGATTATGAGTTATTCGAGAGTTTAAATCCTGATAATGCCTTGATGAATGAAATAAGACAAGCTAATTCTGACTTTTAAAATTACATGATACACATTATACTATATAAACAAGCATGCATACATACATACAAGCAAGCAAACATAGATTTTTTTTTCCCGCATGATGATGGCTGAATAAGAAAAAAATAAAAAATAAAATAATGTGTATTGCTTTTATTATCATTCTAATACTATAGAAGAATGAAATTATTAGATATATAAATAATATATAGTAGGGAAGGTACTGTTGAGATGATCTTATAGTACTAAATAATGATTCAGAATAATAAAGTAAATTTAGCTTGTCATTAAAATGACTTTTTATTAACGGGACTCTTCTTCTTTTCTATTTGGTTTTTTTTTTTATTATTTCTTCATCAGTTGAAATAGCATCTATCGTAATCCATTCTTGATCAAAATAAGTAGCCCTAGAATAGACATCTTCTGCATTATACAAAATTTCATATTGTCCCTTTGATAAGAAATACAAAGAGAAAGTATGAGACATAATACCATTCTCGGCTGGAATCTATAAGTTGCAATGATATAAACGTCAAATGTTATTTATAAATAATACTATTTACTCATAATTACCTCAGGTAAGACAACTTGTTGTAGACCTTCTAAAATCATTTTATCCAATAGATTATATTCTTTTGCACTATTATTGTAACTTTGTACAGGCTGAATTCGTAAAATAAGTTTAATAGGATGCACTAAGAAAGAAAAATGATTCGTGTTATGAGTGAGATGGTATGATGACTATCGCTTATTTATCAATAATAATACTAACATAGTCTATTTCTAATGGTGATTGTCAATCTGATTGACTCATTACATAAGCATTCAAACCTTCTATGATTCAATTTCTTGACTATGATTGGATTGTCGTTTTTACTCTTCAAATCAACTATAAACTCAACATCTTCCTTCTTTAATACACCAAGCTGTATTTCGTTTAAACGTAATGAGGTTCGTAAATTAAGTTCACCTGTTCTTGACCTGGATTGCCAAGTCGCTTTAATCCGTTTTAATAATTCTTCTCTATACCAAAACCTTTCTAAGCGTTCTTCATTCAAGGAGTGTCCTTGAGTCACAACAAATTGTTTATATGGTTCAAAAGAAGGAATCTCTTGTCTGCATATTTCAAAAGGCAAGTAGAATCTTTTCAACGGTAAAATAATTCTAATGATAATGATAATGATAAAAAAGAAAGAAAGAAGAATAGTAAGAATAAGACATATAGACACATATATTATTATTATTTTTTTTTACCTTGTCGTTGATTCAGGCTGAATGATGGTTGTGTATAAAAATGGATTGTCTTCTTTACTTGAATCATTATTATTTATACTAAATTGAATTTCAAATGGAATTGTCCATCGGTTGAAGACATCTAAAGTGATTAAACAATAATTATTTCTATCTTGATCTTCTGTATTGTTGCATGTCACGAGTAAAAGATCTTCAGCTTTTGTTATTTGTCGTTGTTGAACAGCATAGACTTCCTCAGATGCGGGTAAATCCTGTCTTAAATAGACTATATCCCATTTTAAAGGCTCCAAGCTTTGATAGACTGTAATTAAAACGTTTAAATAAAGTTGACGAGTATAAACAGACAAAGATGAATTTGTATTTTCAAGTCCTTGATAACGTTTCATATAACCATAATCCACTTGAATTGTTCCTCCTTGACTATAAAAAGATAGAAAATAAAGAGCGAATAAGTTTTGACTTTATTCTACTCTTCAAAGTAGTAGTAATATTATTATTTTTAGTTTTTATACCATCCTCTTTTCCCATAAACATGGACTTGGATTGTCTTTTTTTCACCTGGCAGTAACAAGAAAGCTTCCTTTTCATCTTGATTCCATGAAAATACATGTGTTCCCGTTGTATACAAATCTAATTCATATTGATCTTCAGGAGAAAGTCCCTCTGATTGACAGTTTGTACGTAAGGTCATAGTAGAGTCTGTAAATGATAGATTCATATAATCGATTGGAATATTTCCAATATTCTCGAACTCAATCATGATATGAGTCCTAAATCATACAAAAATAAAATAAATATGCGTATAAAATACATGTCATCTATTCTATTCTTATTTTATTTTTTCTTACATTTCGCCTTCATAAAGCATAACAGCACCATGTAACAGTGAAGTGGATTTAATCTTTAATAAAGGCTGTTCATCAATCACCGTCAATTCATAAAACTTTTTTGATTTTTCTTCTTCTTCTTTATCTTCTATTTTTTTTCTCTTTTCTTTTTAATAAAAGAATATTTCATTTAAATTTATATTATTTACAATACCTGTTTTCATCTTTGTTAATTTGATTGCTTCAAGTCCACTTGAAAAAAAAATGAAAAATGTGTTGGATTTATTCTATGATTTATCTTCAAGGCTAAAATAGACACATACCTTTTCTTCAGTTTAATAAACTGATTATCATTATTAGTAGTAGTATTCTTTGTAACTAGAAACTCTTGTTCTGTAAATCCAATAATTTGAATAAAGCATCCACAAATAATTAGATTTCCTGTCTCTAAAGGAGTTCCCATGAGTGTGATAGGAATAGTTGTATTGGCTGGTATGGTTATCATATTTGGTATTGCATCGAATTTTATACCCTGAGTGCTACATATATGTATTTATATATATATATATATATAAAAGTTAGATCTATTGTTCTATTATAGTCAATCTTTTTTTTTTCTTTTTCACCTTAATATGATGCTTTGAAGTTCTAAATCAAATCCAAATGGATTTATCAATGTTACATCAAATTCAGAGACTTCATCCTTTACTAATAAAGTTTTATTCTATATGGGAAAGGTTAGAAAATTATAATAGATGAATCTGTGAATTTGTTTGTTACATTTGTATTTGGTTTCTTTGTGGTAAAGGGGTTATAAATAAATGGATCCTGAGTAGTCTTTTTAATATCCAAGATTGTATCATTATACTTGTATACTGCCTTTCTTGAAATGGGTTTCTTGACTTCAATACGAGAGACAAGATTGACATCCCAATAATTGATCTTCATGATATCCGTGTCTTTCTGATTAGTCATTAACGTCACTTGTTGAACTATTGTTGCTAATCGGATTTGTTCTGCCTTTGGTATGAAACGATAGAGTTGCTTTAAGAGTACTGTGGTGTAATAAAGTCGTGAATGATGATCAAGATAAGCCTCTGAAACTGATATAGATTGTTGGAGGATACTCATCTGTATCTCTGGCCAACCAACCGATCTTCCTCCTTGTTGTTGACCACCAATACCATATATATCACAAAGCCTTGGAAGTAACTTTAGAATACCTTGATCGTCATTGTATTGTTTCGAAGTTCGACGCTGTTGTACAAGTAGAGGTAACATGAGTTCAATGCCTTTATGAATTGAATAACCTGCTTTACGATGATATCCAATGATGGTGTAGATAGTAGCCATAGATGTTATAATATGAATCTAACGGGAATGAAAATAAATGGATGAATGATAGGATACTACAACTATATAGATATATATATATATATATACATATATGTCTTTACTTGATTGAATAAAGGCAATTCATGAATATGAACATTCCAAACTTTTGTAACAAATTCTGAAATTTGATATCTTGTAATCCCACATAGTTTACTGTATCGAGTATTTTCAAGAAATGATAAAGTAATGTTTTTATCTTTTGTTAATTTACCCTGAATTAATAAATTGAAGGTACTTTGATCCCATCCATGATTTAAATAGACAGTTGTTAAAAGCCGTGAAATTTTAAGACATGCTTCAATATAGACGATATCAGGTACTGGGAAACTTGCCGTTATACCTACAGAAGCATAATTTCGAAGGATAGTTAAATACTGATCCATGATAAAGGCTATATTCCCTGTAGTTGATGATGAAACTGTTGTATTTCCCTCTGATACAATTAATTTTCGAGAAACTATATGACCAATATCTATTTGTAAAAATTCTAATAATAGAGTTGCACATATTAACCCTTCCATTGCACTGGCTAACCATAAGTAATCAGAAGTTACTTTAGTCGTTTCAATAGCATGATCATAACTATATATGTATTTTTTAAAGAAAAAAAAAAAGTCAGAATTGAAACATCTGCTCTATTCTTTTGAATTAACTTAAATAAATTTACTGGTTAATTGCATCAGGTAAACGACCTGCCAAAAGATAAAAATCACCTAATAATTTTCTAATTCTTCCTGGTGTTCTTTTTATAGTCCTCATACTTTCACCTGTAGTAGATGTAGCGGATGAAGATGATGATTGATGACGATGTAGACGTTGTGGTTGTAAAGAGAATATTTTTGATGTTTTACTTTGGTTCCCTTCCTGTTTGTATTGTTTTGAAATCCTTGATGGTAAAGGAGATTCTAATACTTGTAAATTCTCGATATCTTTTGCCTATAGACATAAATATGAAAAATCAATCCTTATGCATGCCCCCCTTTTTTTTTCTTTTTCTTTACAATCACTGTAAACTGTTCTAATATCTCACTAGCAAAATCACATATCATTGTACTCATATAAAATGACATGTTTCCAACATTAGGTATCATGATAAGACCTTTTGTATTATCTTCTTGTGTTTCTGATGGATCAAAAGCAAAGCAACGATTTGCAATCGCAGTTGGGTACTATTATATGTATATCGAATATATGAATATAGATATATAGCTATTTCTTTTTTCTTTTCTTTTTTTTTCTTTTACTTTGTCCAAATTCTGCTCAAACTGTTTATATCCTTCATTTAGATCCTTCCATTCTTGACAATCCATAATGCCAATGACCTACATATAAAAAATAAACTAGAGAGTATTAAAAAACATATATATATATATATAAATACACAATAAAATAGGGTAGAATTGTTCATCACTATTTTTTTTAAATACGAACACCAAAAATACGACGATGAGGTTGAAAATCTTCTAATTCAGCATGATCACGAGTCCAATGTGTCAGGAATTCAAAGTGCATTTGGCCTTCTTGAAAGACCTGACTACTAAACATGGCTACAAGACAGGTTACACATACGTTATGCTTAATTTTTTTTTTTTTTACCGTTGGCACCCTTTTTCAAGTCAGGAGTTACATCTCCAAGACGAATGAGATGAAAATGTTTGAATAAGTCAACATATTTATGAAATGTAGAACGCTTAATGGGTGAGACAGGGATAAGTAAAACACGTATTTTACAGCTTGAGAGGACATCGATGGACAAGTCCATTTCAATGCTTTGTTGAAAATAAATAAATAGATAGATAAATAAATAAATAAAGAACGCATAATTTATTTATACATTTTTGGTCTTTTTTTTTTTTCCAAAAGAACTGTCTTTTAAATTATGTCTTGTGTGCAAAGAGTTACCCTTCTTATAATCTCCTTTTTTATTACATAATGTTAGCAATAAAAATAAACGATTCCTTCCTTTTTGCTTATACCTTTAAATAAAGCGTTTCGTTCAATATTTTTCATAGATTTTGTTACTTGTTCTAAAAGTAATGGCCAAGGAGTTGTGATTACAGGTGGTGTTGCAAAGAATATAAAATCATATCCTATATAAAAAAAAAAAAAGAGTCATGTTCACAAACTAGTATATACAAACATGTTGAATGTGTATAACCTTTTAACTTTAATTTGGGATAAATAGTTTGTAAAGCAGATTTAATACGACGATCAGCACGAGCTCTAATGACAGCTAGTTTACTAAGTCTCTTTTTGCTCTTGACAATGATAACACGATTCACATTTTCATTATTGGCAATTGCTTTTACAGTAAATGAATCAACATGTTGTATTAATCTTGAACCTTTACTAAATATCGTTCTCAATACTTCTTTTGGAATACCAGGGATTTTCATCTATTTATATGAATATATATGATTGTTGACAGGGGAATATAATGATTTATGTGTTTTTTTTTTTTTTTTTTTTTTTTTTTTTTTTTTTTTTTTTGTAAGAGAAAAATAAATAAAATAAAAGTAATAAAGAATGAAATTTCATTGGCTAAAAATATACTTTGAACTGAATATTTCAAATTCATTTATTATTGTTAGTAGCGTAAGTTATTGATTTAATTTTTAAGTTTAATAGTAATAGTAAAAAAAAAAGAGGTCATTTTACTACTCCATTTGGAAATAAACAATATAACAGTATTAAATACTACCTCTTTTGGCTTATATCGATTGTTTATTACCTCTCTCCTTTTTTTTTTCTAGATTATTATTACATCACATTATATATTTATATAGTAATAATGATAATTAGGTGTATTATATCTTTATATGTTGACTATGCAATGAAGGACATGAACATGTATAATAGTGAATTGCTACTACACACATATTATTGTTCTTTAGTCATTTATCCTTTCAAAGAAGTTTGAATATAAAGCATATATTATACAAATATACATGGAATGATTTAACTGAATTTAAATTATATAAAAAAAAGGCTTGTTGCTGCATTAAAAAAAAAAAGGTACACAAATCTGCTGCTTAAGTATAATACTATTAAGCTAATATTCTATTCTCTATTCCCTATTCTATTTAACAAGAAGAAGGCTTAGTTCAGCGTAGATAATAGTGAGTATATGATATTCCTTTTACTTTTATTATAAAGCAATTAGCAACGTAAATAAAATCTATAACGACGCCAAGTGTAAGACAACAACAAAAAAAGTTTGTAAACGAATTTTACTCCTTACTTTTGATTAATGTGGGAACAATAAAAAAAAATATAGACTCTTACCCTTGGTTCTTGGCCCTTTTTTTTTGTATATTGTCTATTTTCCTTTTCCCCCTGTTACTCTGTCTGTCTGTTACTACTACTGTAAATAATATATAAAGACTAACATGGCTGCACTGTTAAATGGCGTATATAGTTATTTAAACACTACAAATTTACACTTGTTGCGCTAATAATAATAATAATAATAAAAAGTAAGGAGAGAAATTAACTAAATAAAAGATAACATCTTCATGTGCTTTATCTAGCTTTATTTGGCTTTTTTTTTTTTTGACGCCAAAGCACTGTGCAACACATATGATTTTTGACGTTTATTGTTCTCATTAACCATAAAAACACTATAAAACTATCCCTTGCTCTTCCGTTTCCACCCTCCTCTTTCCTTTTTCTTTTTTTTATCATTATATTTTTTTTATTATTATTATAAAAATTATTATTAAAAAAATGACCTTCTCTTGTAAGTATCTTTATCTTTTATGTGTGTTTAAATACTTTTTTTTTTATGATAAAATAACATGTATAACTAACAAATATTGTTATTTTTTTTATATATAAACATTCTTTTATCTTCTTGCGTTGGCTTCCTCTCTCTTTCTGTGTGTATATACAACTATATTCTACGATAATAGATACTTCTCCTGCTTCTCTTCGTGCTCCTCCCACTGCCACCAAGGCTGATATGCCTCCTCCTCTCTTCCTCCCAGCCCGTTTCGGGAACAACGTTTTGGCTGCGTTGGCTGCCTCTGTCCCTGTTGGTCAGTTGCCTCCAGGTTCCATGGAGATGGAGATCGAAGATGATCCCATGGACCTGGTTGATGAGGTAGAAGAACTCGAGGTTCTTCTGTCTCAGATTGACCTGGACGATGATCCAATGGAGGGTGTTGTCTTCGGACACATCTGGTGAAGTTGGGTTGTTTAGGGGTTCAGGGGTAGTCCCCCTAAGGTAAACTGTGTTGGCTTTAGCCTGTTGCTGCTTGCTGGTGCTGCTGCTTTTGCAGATTCGTTTTTCTCTGCTGATTTCTGTGGGTTTTTATTTTCGCGCTTTTTTTTTTTCCGTTTTTCTATAAAAACAAAAAGTTGCCTCAAATTAAAAATTTGTTTTAAATAATAAAAGTAATAATAAAAAAAAAATAAAAAAAATAAAAGTATAAAATACTTTTGTAAAAAAAACCTACTCTTCTTGCATGTCCAAAGAATTAAAATGTATTGAAAATGTGTTGCTTTTGCTTCTTTTTTTTTATTTTTCTTAAAAAAAAAATGACTTTTTCACAGTATAAATTTTATGAGATTTTAATATAAATAAACAAAAGATGGATTATATGAAAAAATAAAAATAATAAAGTGTTTGATAGTTTATAAATAAAGAAGATTTAGTTAGTTGATGTGTAATGGTGAAAAGGGGAAAGGTAGATTAATCACTAACATCGTTAGAGGAATCACAATAAAATAAATAAAGTATATAGAATATTACACAAAGAAGAAAAGGTGTATAGTTTCTTGAGTGTGCATACAATTGAAAGACACAACATGAGACTAGAAACTAGATTTTATCGTCCCTTCTTTTTTTTTATAGACACTTTCTCAGTTTACAATAGAGTTTGTTTTAAATTATTATAAATACTTTCTCAGTTTACTTTTAAAGTAAAATAATCAATTAATGATAAAGACCAAGTTTAAAAAAAAAAAAGAAAAAAAAAAAGGAAATAGGAAAAAGACAACTTAAGGTAAAAACAATTTATTGTAGATCTGAAACTCATTAGTGATGGAAGAAGAAAATCAATTCATGAAATTACTGAAATTTACTTGTATGTTTATTGTATTTTTTTTTTCATACAAACTTGTTGTCATACTCATGTAAATGCCAAAAATTAGAAGAGGCAAATGAACATTTGTTAAGATTGTAAGTAAAACAAATAATATAAAACTATAAGGAAAGGAGGTTCTAAGGTATGAAATTCTTGTATCAGCTTTTAACTGGAGAAATGAAATTTATTAGTAAATACTAGAATATTCTTTATAAAAATAGATGTGCTATTGAGATAAAAACGGCTTTGGAGCAGTTTTATATATATGTCTGTCTGAGAAGGTATATACGGTCAATTAGAGGGAAGAGACAGTAGCATGATTAAAATGTATATCGTGCAGTGACAAAATAGTGGATAAATCAAAATCTATTTAATTAGGTCAATTTCCAACTTAGGCTACAGCTTATTTTGATTCAATATTAGCTTTATGGAATGATTATTCCTTATTAGAAAATAGTATTATATATAATAAAAGATAACTCGGACCGAAATATCAATGCTGGATACGACAATCCTATGCTACCAAAAAAAAAAAAAAAAAAAAAAAAAAAAAAAAAAAAAAGACTGAATTCATCTAAAGTTGTTGTAGATCAAAGTTCAGATACAAATGATGGAAGTTTCATTAGTTTATAACATGATTCATCATGCTGCATTGACGGAATAATCTCAAAGCAATATAGTAGTAAAAGAAAAAAAAACCAATAGGATACTGCTGACAATGTTGGGATCAATGGACACCTTGAATGTATACTGAAATACAAGGTCATTATAATACATGTAATATTGTTCTTGATTGAAACTGTACATATCAATAGATTCATTATAAAGATAAATATAGCAGTAAGGGTCATCTTATTCACAGATGCACGTATACCAATATCTTATTATAGTAGTATCTAAATACAATCATATGATCGCTCTCCTTCAAATATTTAGAGACCATTCCTTAACAAATAGAGATAGACTATATCAACGTCAAGAGACGAAACATGGCATGTGGAGTACTATTTGAATTAGATCATGATGTAGTAAAATTAAAAGTAGAATGAGTGTCAACAATGACAGTATGGGAAAAGTGTAAGATGATCAACAACAAGCCTTCACAATTGCTTCTACTAACCTATGTTTGTCAATATCATAGAATAATAAGCCTTTGTTAAATGAGAAAATTATATAGTATTTACATGGAGGAGCGTATTGTACGATGAGTGCGCAGACACATTGTACTTTAACATATAAGTAAATATACCAATCAAAGAGCTATAGGTAAATTCATCATGTATAAAATATATATTGTCTCGATACTTTCTCTTTCTAGCTGTAAATTCTCGATTGGCCCCAAGTTCCCTGGTGCACTTTATGACATTTTGTGTATTGAATTGATCCAAATACAGATATATACAAAATTGTAATAGGAGGTTCAGCAGGAGAAGAACTTTGTTTAGTAATGATGCTTTATCTAAGAGATCATGAATTACCACAAGCCAAAGGAGCAGTGCTGTTATCAGTTAAACATATATCCATACAGGTTTCATATCTATATTCATTTTTAGATAAACTCATATGAACTGTTTATTATAAATGAACGACTATGAATCCAGCACGCCTTTTATTTAGATGATTCCAAGTCTTGTTCGACATCCGTATGTATCTCCTATCTTTGCTGACCATTTGCCTTCTAGTTCGATTCAATCTGATGGTTGTGAGTCCTTACGCGATGAAATATGTGACTTAACAGAAAAGATTCGAGAATTTAAAAAAAAAAAAAAAAAAAAAAAAAAAAAAAAAAAAGAGAGACAATCCTTCATCATGAAATCTATTACAGGGTAATAAAAAGGGATGACGAATATTGGTATGCTATGTAAGATTTATTTCAATACATATATAAATAAATATACATGGGATATGGTTAAATGTACTTCAAGCAAGGTCATCAGAATGGTGGATAAAATTGGGTATTTCATTGAATGTAGGACTGGTAAAAAGAAACAACAAGTATTATGTAATATTGGCTACTGCTGTCAATTATGCTGCACAAAATGTTTTTTTTTATTATTATTATTCAGGGATACCAACATGAACTTTAAAACTTATTGTTCTGAGATTTAATAATAAAGAGAGGAGTAGAATGTATTTTATTTAAAATATGGCTTCATCAAGATCATCAAAAAAGAATCCGTTTTTAGAAAGCACATGCTCAAGATGTTTTGGCACTTGTTGAACTAGGTCTTCTTCTTTATGTTTGTCCATCTTTTTTGCAGCCATTCCTCCATGTTGTTTAAGATATGTAACTAACCGTTTATGACCTAATGATTTAGCAATATCATAGGGTGTACCGACTTTTTTATTTACATAAGGATTTATATAGGATCCATAACGTTCAATAAGAAGACTTACAACTTCAAGTTTCCCATGACGAGTTGCCCAATGGATTGGTAATTCTCCTCGATGATCAGCTTTATTCACTGGTACCTGACAGACTTTGATAGCGTAAGAAACAAGTTCTTTATGTCCTGATGCACAAGCATAATGTAACACGTTGGCTCCTATTTATTTATTTATTTGGTTTTTTTTTTTTGGGTTAGGTTGAGTTAAGTTGAGTCGATCAAATAAAAATCAAGTATCTATTTACATACCTAGAGCATCTGTCTCTAAATTTAATACACCTTCTGTTATATGAATAATATATTCAACTACATGAACATGTCCATGCTCTGCTGCTACTTGAAGTGCAGTTTTCTTTTTACTTCCTTCTCCTCTAGCTGACATGATATCGCCACCTACTTGAACCATTTTTTGTAAACCTAGTAACCACCCTATACTTGCCGCTAAATAACAAGGTGAGACCTAGAATGAATCAGATTAGTTTTCTATGTATATATATATTTATATATCTCCTTATATTGATCTCCTTTTTTTTTGTATGTGTGTATGTATATTTATACCTTTTCTTCATCTATTTGACTTATACTCATGCTATTTGGATTTGCTCCTTGCTGTAGGAGTAAGTCTAACGAATTTGATGCCTTGGTAACAATTAAGGCGTGAATCATGCCATAGCCATATTTAACAGAACCCATCGAGGGTGATTGTTTCGCTGTATTCGGTGAACCTCCTCGACGCAAAAAATTACTATAAAAATATAAATATGCGTTTATTTATTTTTTAATAATTAAAAAAAAAATAGTGAGTCAATACTATCTCCTTTGTTTGAAAAATAAAAAGAGAGAAGTAAAGAGGGGTTACTTGTGGTGGATATGGTAAAAAAAAAAAAAAAAAAAAAAAAAAAAAAAAAAAAAGCAGGAAAAGTAAATGATGTATTTTAGGTATATACCTTATTATTTTTTCTACAGTTGTATCACTTCCTTGGTTTTTAGCAATTGTATCCCATAGCGCATCTGAACCACCAAATATTAATGGATCTGATTTCGATTGTTGAATCATATTAGAACGAATTATTTGTTTTTTTTTGCTTTCATCATGTGTCAAGTTGTTATTGCTACTATGATGTGACGAATAGCTACTAAAGACAGAACCTGCTGTTGTATTTGAATTCGTACGAGGACGTCTATGAACTATTGAATCAGATGATGATACCATTGAAGTAGGGGAAGCAGGCCAATAGTCTACAACAGAAGGACTTGTAGATGGTGTAAATGGTATCTTTGTATTTTGTTTACATAACTGCTGTTCATATTGTTTCTTAAAGAATTGCATCTCTCGTACTGCCTTTTCATACTTGGTTTGTGTTTCGATAATAATCAGCTTTAATTCCTTGTTTTCAATTTCAAGACGTTGTGAGTGTTGTTCGAGCATCCTAACCAGACGATCTATCGAATTTGTATCAATGAGCTGATATGACTCATTTAATTGCTTTTCATCTATTTCCTCTTTCTTTTTTTGTTTGTTAAAAGATAGAAAGGACGACATGATATTATTAAAAGAAAAAAAAAATATTTTGAAGAGAAGGAAAACAAAAAAAAGAAGAAGAAGAAGAATAAAGACGTTGGCCATTATATTAGGAGTTCATGTCAGTTTTTTTTTTTTTTTTCTTTAAATGGTTAAAAAGTTACACGACATTAAACCTATTTCGTTTAATTCAACTATATAAAAAGCTTAAATAATTCTCAACGTCTTTTCATTTTATATAGCAGCTTTAACCACGTATAATCATTTTGTTGATGTTGGGGGGGAGAAGAGAAATAAAAGTCTTTTTTTTTTTTCAATTACACATAAATTGGAATGCATTTTGTATACCAAGCTTTATAAGATAATTTGATTGGATGGAAAAAAAAGATTCTATTCTATTACTATAACTATAACAAGAGAAACCAATAGAATAGAGAAATTGGATGCTTATTTATAAAACACATTGAAATAGTGGATAACAAAGAAATGAATCATCTTGGTCTATCTCAAATCATTTAATGTATAATAATGAACTTACTACAGATTTCTATATTTGGAGAATAGTTTTTTGAAATAATTAGGCATTATATCCACTTACTGGACATCATGTCATCTATAGAAGGATTGACCTTTTTCTACTACTACTAAGAGCAAGGATATTTCTTTAAACGGTAAATGCGACTCTATTATCTACTGTTTAGATTCCAAGCTATGTTGTGATAATAGACGATACGACCGAGTATATATAATCGTGACGACTGAAAAGAAATACAAGAAATACAAAAAAAAAAAGAGAGAGAAAGATTTATTCAACTTCTTGCTTAGAGAATGTTATTAAAGGAAAGTAAGTTGTTTATACTAATAGAGTATGTTTCTATCCTGGGGCTTATCAACAAATGTAATATATTATAACAAAGAGAAATAATGAAAGTTTTTACAGCCATAAATAAATTGTACCTTGTCTTTTTATAATTCTAAATAAGGCAAGTAATTATCTTGTTTTTTTTAACTGATCATTTTCATGTATAATGGCTAAAAGTTCTGAATTTTCTGGTAGTGATTTACGAAGTTTATGCATCCCCCTATCCATACCTAATATTCCTCCAAGCACCAATCCTATAAATGTACCCACTATTTTAAGAGTAATAGATTAGTACTTGTTTTTTTTTATAATGATTATATGTTACAAATGGTCGGAATAGCTGATCTAGGCTGTTTATGAATAGTCGTCCTTGAATTAGCTAATAATAAAGTAAATAAATTTAAAAAAAAGAAAGAAAAGGTTACATGTATAAAAACAATTACCCCAAAGACGTGCTGACATGCCTAGAGACGCTGCTCCTACAGTTGCTATTAAATCGTGTCAATTTCAGAAAATAAAAAAAACAACAAATCCATTCGATAATTTACAAAAAGTAATAAAGTTGAACATGACTGAACGAATTACAAGTTTTTCTTCTGCAGTAGGTACGTGATTAATGAGTTTTATTTTTATGTCTTCTTTACTGCTTGGCATCCTATAATATAACAAGGAGGGGTTCTAATAGGAAAAAAAAGAGAAAGAGATAAAAGTAATTTTCTTCTATTGGCACCTCCTTCCTGCCCCCTCCCTTCTTTCCCCGCAAAAAAAAAAAAAAAAAAAAAAAAAAAAAAAAAAAAAAAAGATTGTTATTGCATTTATAAATATAAATTTTATTATGTTTATATGATCTTTTATGTAAAATGTTTTTCTTTTTCATAATATATACAATGTTTACTGTATAAATAGAAAACACGTTATCTTGTTTTCTTTTTTTTCGTTGTTTCCTTCTTCTTGTAAATTGAAAGATGAAGACATTATTTATTATTCTTACTTGCTTTTTATTATTTTTTATAAACTATTCTTCATGTCAAACAGAAGCTACTAAATATAATCATACTCAAATCAAGGGAAGTGACTATAATGAAACTACTACTACTACTATTCTGAAGCATCCTATATTAAAACGTACTGTTACTACAACAAGCGTGATTAAGCCTACAAAAAAACCTCATCATTCATCAGAGGAAGAAGAAGATTCACTCTGTTGTGACGATGATGAGGATCCTTGTGAAAGTACAATAGATCCTGTCACTATTTCCTCATCAGTATTGTTAATGGTATTAGGGGTTTATTTTATGTCATTCGGGTTCCCTTTCTTTAGATTAACGATGATAGCGATTGGTTTAATCTTAGGAAGTAAAGTAGAGAAATAAATAATACCAATCAAAAAAAAAAAAAACTAATCGTAGAATATATACGTATAACAGGTTCAGTGTCTTGGATAGGTCTTCAATCTAGTTCAACTCTCTTTGAGTATCCTAAAATTAGTTCTGTTAATTTAGGTGTTTGTTGTGGAGTAGGTCTTGTCGCAGGATTTACGTTTCTTGTACTTTATAAGTTAGCCATGTATTGTATGTGTACTGTGGCTGCTGCTTTACTTACTATTTATATTTGTTGCTGGAGAGAAGACTTTATTATACAAAATGTGTATTACCGTGGTCTACTTGGTCTTGGTCTTATCTTCATCTTCTTCTTGGGTTATGTCTTCTTTGAAACGATTACAGTTAATCTATCGCTTGCGTTTATAGGAGCTTATTCTTTTATCTTGGGACTAGATATGACTCTAGATGTAGGCTTTAGAAAGGGTATTGAAATAATGTCAGACTTTAATCAACAAAGAAATAATCAATTTTATCAATATCATCGTATCAATTCATTTTCAAGACGAGGTATAGATCAAGAAGGAGTTCATTATCAGATTGAATGGAAAGTTCAGTCCATGTTAGGAGCTATTATTGGATTAACCATCTTATCAATAATATGGCAAAGATGGTATTATAAAGGTCAAAGATTTGGTGTTTGTATTGTACGTAATTCGAATGATACCTTGGCTAAATATAAATAACAAAGAAGAAGGAAAAAACGCTATATCAATTTGTGTGTATTCTGTTATCCTAATAGACTTGATTTAAGAAGACATCCTAATTTTTTAATTGATTCAATGTATATTTATATATCCTTCATTACATATAAAATCCTTTTTCTTTTCGTACTAATCAATTCACTATCAAAATAGAGAATTCTTCTTGAAAGAAATAAAATATGTCCCTACTTATATATCTGCTGTGGCAAACTCTTTTTTTTTTTTGATGTTTATGTGAATAAAGACATTATTTCTAATATCTTATTTTCTGATCGAATAAAACAAGCAGTATCTTTTTTTATGAGTAACACTTTACTTGAACTAAAAGGAAGCTTTCTTTAATAAAATCCGTTTTTTTTTTTTTTTTTTTTTTTTTTTTTACTTTAGAATCTTCTAGGTTCCTGCTGATATCTATGAATACAATCTACTCTATTACTGTCATTCCTCTCTAGATTATGTACCAAGTTTATCCTCATAGAAGACATAACGGCTAATATATCTTTCTTTGTTTATCGTCTTAAATAGTCCATACGCTGATATCAAATCCTTGATTTATCTTGGATAAGCTTCTTCTTTTTTTTTTTTTTTTTTTTTTTTTTGCAAGAAAGTTTCATATCTATCCTTTTCTTTATTTGTTTTTCTTTTTTTTTTTTCTTTTTCGTTACGTACGACACAATTAGTATGCATCGATTTTATCAATTCTTCTTTGAGAATTATAATCATGTCAAAAAATAAGAGTTTCATGATAAAAAAAAAAATCAGCTAAACTTTACGGAAAGAGAAACTAAACATTTCCTGCGTTGTGGAGTCATCAAGTTACACAATGTTCTTGAGACTGATGGTGTCCTCCTTAAACCCTTGAGTAACATGTTGCTGTTATTATTCTCTTCTCCTCTGACAAGCGTATTAGTAGTGTGAACAAAACTAAAGTTACCAAAATGAGGAGGACGACGCGGCTTAGTTTTTTTTTTTTCTTTTTTTTTGTCTATAAATTTATTCCGAACTTTAGGCTGTAATAAACGGATTTCACTAGTAAAGTAAATGATAAAAATAAAAATAAAATAAAATAAAAAGACTCTATTTTATTCCCTGTTAAAGAAGTGCATTCTATGAGTTGGACTAGAACTTGTTTTTAAATAATCAAAAGAAAAGAAAAGAACTAGAATAGTCATTTAATAATAAATAGGATTAGATGACTCACAGGTTTCTAATTGGAGGAAAAGTATGAATTTAAACAATATCTATTATATGTTGTATCACATTCTATCATTCAAATAGTATTGCAGAGTGAAAAGAGAGAGAAAGATTTTTTTTTTTTGTGCAATAAACATCATCATCAAATGTTTGATGTTATATTTTACCAGGTATTTATTTCTTTCTTTCTTTCTTTTTTTCTTTTCTTCTAATTTTCTCCTTCTTCTTCTTTATTATTAATATGGCAGGTACATTAAAATGGTATTCATGTTCAACAAATGATTTCCCACTTAAAAGACATAAAGTATCAAAAGCCTGTGAAGTATGTCGTGGTAAAAAAATGAAATGTGACGGCAGTAAAGTATATTCCGTATACAAAGAGAAGAGAACGATAATAACGTTTTTACATCTATTTACACAAATGCGTTTATTTATTTATCTATTTACACATATACTTTTATTTATTTATCTATTTACTCATAGAATTTCCTTGTCAAAGATGTGCAAATAATAAAACAACTTGTAAATATAATCATGATAAAAAATCAACTTCTACAACTACACAACAGCAGCAAAAGGAATCATTCCCTTTTATTCCCGTCAAAAAATTACATAAAATTCCATTTTATTATTATTGTAATTCATTACCGCCTTTGTTATTAGATTTCTTTAATAATTTACAGCAACAAAAGAGTTCAGTTTGGACTCAATTCTTTAAATTATATAATCAAGAAGAAGAAAGAGAAGATAGAATAGAGGATATAAACTCAGTCTTATTAAAGGAAGCCTTTAGATTATTTGTAACACACAACTTACTCTATGGCGCATTCTTTATTCAAAATAGACAGTATGAAACTACGAATAGAATGATCATTTATTGTATATTAGCCTTGACATTTTATTCTGCTTATCAGATTTCTTTATCAGATCAGAAACAAGATTTATACCTTTATTCAATTCAATTTTATAAAAAGGCTCATAAGCTCTTTTTTGAAGCCTGTTTCCCTACTGCAGTCAACCATGCTAAACAGATAGATAAAATTCAATTAATTCAAGCTTCTATTTTATTAGCTCATTTTCAATGTCAAGTGTTTGATAAAGAACAATCTTTTATGATGATTCGAATTGGTTTAGATTTAGTTGATTATATAGTAGAAGAAGATAAAGATCAATGTACGATCAAAGTATTAGATGCTTGGTATTATTGGTTATTATTTTATCTTGAAAAAAGAAAGACGGTGACGATAGAAGATGAACAGCCTATGATATCTCTACCTACCACTTTAAAGAATCCATCTCATATTTGGGCATTTAATGTGATAGATGCATATACCTTTTTTTTGAAAAGCATCTTGATAAAGAATAAGCATGAATCGATGAATATAAAGTCCATCAAGGTAAGCGTGTGTGTATTATATATATATATATGATACATTACATTACATCATTCAACTTTCTATACAATGTCTCTTTGTTAGGAATCTCTCGGCCAATTATTAGAATTATCATCAACTAAGAATACATACAATAATCAAGTGATTTACTTGTATAATCAAATCTTAACTATTCAAATATTTCAATGTATAAACGTAGATGATGATTCACATATACTTGACTTGTCAATTAAAGCTGCTCAAAATATTTTGTCTACTATCAAAAAGATATTTAAAGAAGAACTCATCATTACACGTCACTCTATCCATCTTCTTAGTCAATTCTTATCTTTATTCAACTCGAATGAATCTATACATGATTTACAGGCTGAATTTATTCAATTCCTTAAATCTCAGTTAGTTTCTTGTAAAAACAATGATATGTTAACTTTCTTTAAGTCTATATATTATCAATTTACTACTACACCTACACCTATTACTACTACTACTACTACAGAAGAAGAAGGTGTTCAACAAACAATCATGATAACTTCTATTCCTTCTTCTCCTTCTTCCTCTGACTTGTCTTCTACTCCTATAATACAACAACACGATCTTAATCCTACCTCACCTTCTTCTTCTCATGATCTCTTTACTTCCTCTCTACCCATCAAACCTTCTAATAATAGCAATATGACTTTATTAGAACAACAAAATATGATAGTCAAATCGAGAGGTAACATGGATCAAGAACAATTAGATAAATTATCAAGAAAATTACCTTCTTCTTCATCTTTTTTACGTCAACAGCAACAAATGAATGATTCATCAAATTATGTGTTTTCAACAAAGAATGAAGATGTCATACAACAGCAACATTATTATAACATCAACAAAAGATCGTCAGAACAGCAATTGACTCTACAACAGAATCATAAAAAAGATTTATTAGAACAAAGATCACGTCATCATTATTTATCAAATCATCATGAATTTATAAATATTCATCTTCCTCCTCCTTCATCAGATGACCTTATGTATTGGGTCTTGGATGAAGAACCACCATTTTATAATAATACACATTCATCTCATAGACGTCCTCATAGTCATTCATCATCTACTACAACTTCTTCTTCTTCAGATGCTCTCTTCTTACTTGCTAATAATAATGTATTACCTTTACCTCAACCTTCAAAGATATCTGGTTCTTGTTATAATACTATGTTAAAGCATGATCCACATACATGGTCAAAATTCTTTTTTGCATCTGAAGTGCAAACCTTACATTATCAACAGCAACAACAACAACAACAAGCGTCTATTCTATCCAATAATACATTAGATGTGATTCAGGAAGAAGAAGAGATTGAGTCAACTGTTCATACATCAGGTCAGACAGAATCTTCTTCTTCTACTACTACTACTACTACTGCTACTGCCAGTGCTGCTGCTGCTGCTGCTGCCGCTGCTGCTGCCACTGCTGCTGCTATCTGGGCTTCTACTGTCGTTGCCCTGAACCCTCAACAACAAGGACATTATTCATTTCCAACTAATAACAAAGAACGGAAAAGGAAAAGAGATGTTGCTGGGCATTGGATTAATTCTGAAAAGGTCTTGAATACTACTACTACTACTACACAAGATGAAGAAGAGTATTGGTAACAATAATAATAATAATAGTAATAAAAAGAGCTGGGCTAGATCCAACAAAAAAAAAATAAATATGTGTATAGTTATTTGTTTACGCAGTAACGGAATTTAAAAAAAAAAAAAAAAAAAAAAAAAAGATACAAAAATATATTAAAAAAGTAAAAAAAAAAAAAAAAAAAAAAAAAAAGGAATATTTTATCTCTTTTTTCTTTTTCCTTATATAAAAATAAAAAAGATGCTTAAGAATTGTTGTTTTTGTATAAATCTTCGGTAAGAAATAATGAAATTCTTAGTTGAATAATGAATATTAAAAACTTTTTCTTTAGAACTGCAACATTAGTTTTAGCAGTCTTGGGAGCCATTACTCATCTTTATGGGGCCATGACCTTAACTGCTTTATCGGATGAATTTGAAGAAGCTGATACAGGTGCACTCTTTGGTTTAACTGCATATTCATATTTTTCTGGTTTTGCATGTTTAGCAGGAGCGATAGGTGTCTTGAAGGTAAAAATGATATATACACTATTGCGTAGTAAACAAAAGACTAAATATTTTTTTTTTATTAGAAAAATATTAAACATCTTTGTTTATTTAATACTTATTATTGGGCAGATTTAGCTCTTCATACCATCTTTTCTATCGCTAGTGCTTATTTATTATTTAGTCTTCATTCAGAACTCTGTAAAGAACTTGTCAGTGAAGCACAAGATGTCGAGTTTGATATGTCAACCTGTGAATATGTTTACATTAGAGGTGCATGGTTTGTGACGATTGCAATGGCTGTTAACATGCTTTTGAAACTTCATTTTGCCTTCGCTATTCATTCTTATATGAAACAAGTCAAGAAAGAAATTGAAGAAGAACAAACTACTGAGGTCATTGTTATCAATAAGCCAGTTTATGACAAGCAACCTGTTATGTATGTTGCTGGACAAGAGTATGTTCCCAATGAAAAAAAATAAATAAAGAAATAAAAAAAAAAAAAATAAAGAATTATTATTGTTACTGGTAGTATGTTTACCACATAAGTTGTAAAAAAAAAAAAAAAAAAAAAAAAAAAAAAGGCAATGAATATAAACTCAGTCACGCAAGTTTAAAAAAAAATGAATGTAACCGACAAAGTCAGCTATTAATTAACCGTAAAAAAAAAAAAAAAAATCTCTCTACTTGTCCAGTATATACGCTTTTAAGATGAGAGGCAAGAAAATAAACTAGTATAGATTGCTGCTTATAAACTAAATGTATCTATTGAAATAGTAGCACTGTAATCTATGATAAAATTAAATAATAGATGCAGAAAGAATAGCAGTAATTCATGCAATATTTATTATCGCCGCTTCTTGTTGAAACATTCAAGTATCGTTTATCCTTTTTATTTCAAACCAACTTTAAAATAAATAAAAATACTAGTTAGGAACTACTGCTTGTTTGTTTTTAGTTAAATTACTTGTGGACAATCAATTTTTGTATGTCGTTTATTGTTATCATTTATAGGTAATGATGAACTCAAATAAGACACCTTTGTTCTCTTGGATGATCCTTCATCTGTAATTGTGATATATGAAAGAAATAACTTGATTGAATAACTAATAATAAAGTGATGATATAATGATTTTCTCCTTCTTTTTTTTTTTAGGGAATATTACACTGATGTTATTTAGTTTCATTTAAATAGGTTAGAAAATAGTTTACATGATGAAAGCATGATACGAGGATTATTTAAGGCAGTATAACAACATGGTCTACTTTATTATCCTTTTTTTTTTTTTGGTCATCTCCAAATTCCTTATCAGGTTTCTCAGATGATATAACTTTATGCTTCAAAATAAAGCCTTTTCTCTAAAATAAAACAAAAAAAAATCATGTGAGAATAAAAGCTTTGTTGATGAGAAGCGACTGTTGTGGATTCTAAGGCTATTTTTTATTTTCTTTCTATCAAGAGCAAGGAAAAGAAGTGACGATGACATATTTCGAGATAATAATAGAAATAGGATTTATTAGTCATTTTGTTGTGTATAATAATGGTAGTAAGGTCCTTTAAGAGAAGGGAAACATGCTCACTAGAAATAAAAAAAAATTTTTTTTTGTTCATGTTAAAAAAAAAAAACTGAGCCTAGATGAGATCAATGATCCTGTTTTAACAAATCGACCCTTCTTCTTCCTTCTGAAAGATGCAATCTTATGTATTGTATACATAAATGAATCAAAGCTTACGAAAAATGAATAAATAAAAAACTTGATTCTTTACTATTGATAAAATAAGAGTTGTAATAGAGATATTAACATTAAAGTAGTAAGTGAGTTTCTTTGATATAAATGACAACTATAATTCTAGTTTTATTATGTGCAACGACAAACATAAGCGATTAGCTTCCCTAAACTATGCAATGGTGTAGACAAAGTTGCTGCTGAAACCTCGTATTTATTAGAGACAAGAATTCAATGCTTGTCATGTAGATATTGTTTTCTCACCAAGAATCAAAGTAGAGCACTGTTTTTTTTTCTTTTTGGAGACTTTCTTGTATTGGATAAGCCAAAGTTGTATACCAAAACTAAGAAAAATAACCAATATTTCATACAAGATGAAAAAAGTAAAAATTCCATAAAAAATAAAAAGATGATTTAGGTCGATAGTGTTGTTGTTTTTCATATTATCTATTAGCACAATGAATCAATCCATATTAAGCGCATAACTACCTGCAAAAGGAAATTTGGATTTAATAATAATAATAATAATGATTGGTCAGTTACTTGTGGTAAAGTTTTATAAAGATAGGTTCTAAATACTATCTTTTTTTTTTGGATAAATACAAGCAATTTATATATCTTGACGATTTCAAAGATAACGCAATGATGCCAAGAGTGAAAAATGATATGCTTGATAATTCGCTACCTTTATACACAAGCTAAAAATGATTTGACGGCTGTGATACTGTCAAGACATGTTTGTGGAACTGAGAACTAATAACAACTTCCCTTAGTAGTAAGTGGGTCCTTGAAATAAACTATTTCTTGGTCTGAATTCTGTTTTATTGTTAATATGACAAATTGTCTAGAAGACGACTGGAACCAATAAGAGCAGTAAAGTTGTTGATATTCAATGCAGATCAACAACAACAGAAATATCAACTACACTAGTTTAAAAGATAGTTCAATATTATATTTAAATTATATTCTTTGTTTTTTTTAAAAAAAAAAATAGTAGTGGTAGTAGTAGTGGTAGTAGTAGTAGTGGTATTAGTAGTATTCAATTTAAACTCAGACATGCAAGCTTAAAATAAAAGTAATAGTTCGCATTATATAAATTGTATTTGAGTGAACATATTTATAAACAGGTTTTATTTTATATTTTTTTTCAGCATATTATTTGAAATATCGATTTATGCACCCAAAGTAGGGAAAGCAGTAGAATCTGATAAATTGAGGGTACCTTCTGTGCTGCGGTTATTACGTTGATTATTACGTCCTCCGCGACCTTGGCGTTGACCACCACGGGAAGGACGATGAGAAGGTTGATTAATTTCTAAATAAACCTTTTCCTTCTTATTCTTGCTTTTTAATTTAGTTTCAGTTTCCTTTATACATATAAAATAAAAAAAAGTGAGTTTTTTTTTTATACATATTTGTATATTTATTTATTTGTCTCTATACCTTGCCAACAAAGTATGCACCTTCTTCCTTTTCAAGAACTACAGCATCTTTCCACTCACTATCATCAACACCTTCATTAGGCTTACGACCTTGTTCAAGACGGAAGTTTTGAGTATTCTTTTTTTCTTGAAGGTATTCATCCAAAGTTTTTGTATTATCTTGAGGTGTCTCCGCACGAGGAGTACCAGTTTCAGCGGCATCTGGGTCATTAGGATCTAATACGTCATGAGCGCTATAAATTATTATTTTTTTTTTTTTTAAGTTTAGATAAACACGTTATAATTTTTATTATTATTATTATTTTACCCTTGGAATTCAGCAGTACCAGCTTCACCCCAACCTCTGTTAATCTTCTTTTCATTATCACTAAAAGTAATTGTTATTCTGTTTGTTCTATATATTATGTGTGTATATATGTATATATATATATATTTTTTTATTTGTCTAAAAAAAGAAAACTTACTAGATACCAGTACCACTGTGGCGATCAAACTGACGTCCACGACCTGCATATTCAAAGCGGCCACCAGATTTGTCTGATCGAGCAGGGTTTTCATGGTTATAATTAGAGGTAGATGCATCACCTTCAGTAGCCTCTCTACGACTACCACGATCACGTCTTGAAGGTGGAGAAACTAATGTGTGTATATAAAGGACCCCATAAGAAATAGATAAAAAAAAATACATGTGTGTACTATTATTATTATTTACCAGCAACTTGTCCACGTTGACTACTACGACGCATTTCACGTCTAGTAGGTAGTTTATCATTGTCCTTCTTTTGAACAGGCTTAGTATTACCAAGCTTATCAATTTCAGTTTCTTCTTCGTTTAGAAGAGCATTAAAACGGTTTTGTGAATATGACATTTTTTAAAAGGAAAACAGATATAAATAGATAAAAAAAAAAAGAAAAAGAAAAAGAAAAAAAAAGGAGAAAAATTAAAATAAAATAAAATAAATATGTTGATGTATACGTATTATTATTATTATTAAAATACATTTTATATGCGTGGAAAAAAAAAAATTAAAAGTCTTCTTTTTTTTTCATGGGCTTACACACAAGTAAGCTTTAATGATCCAATGAAATAAGAGCGATATTTTAAATAGAAAAAAAAGAAACACAAAGTCTCTCTCTTTCTCCTTTCTTACTGCATAAACAACTAAATAACAGAGTTTCAAAAAAAAAAAATAGTCTATTTTTTCATAATGACATCTTTTTTTTTTATTTGTAAATAGCCTTTTCCTGTTAGAAATTCAAGTTTGTTTATTACAAAATGTACGCGTCCTTGTTAAGTGTATTTTTTTTTTCTTTTATAAAATGTACCATCGTTTGTCTTTATTTATTCTTATTTTATCCGTTTTCTTTTTTTTTGTCCTTTCCTTTTTTTTTTTTTAATCTCTTTAATGAAATAATATGAAATTGTTTTTCTCTTCTCTTTATTATTGCTGTATTTGATTGCATAATTATTAATGGCGGCATAAATATTATACTTTTTTTTTGTTCCAATTATATTCTATATGTATTACGTAAGCATTTATAAAATAGAGGTATCCACATAACTAAAGTTTAAGAAGTGGCTATTATAGTCACTTTCATTTGATGCTGTTAAATGACTATGATTCGTATTTATTCCGGGAGACCCTACAACAAGTTCATTTGTAAACAAGGGATCAAAATTCTATAAATGAACAAGTTAGTATAGAGACACACAATGACACATGTATATATCTATAATTACTTCTGCTGCTTCAGGATCGGTCTATAATGATAATAAAAAATTGAATATAAAAGAGGAAAAAAGAAAAGACATTATTTTCTATATGGATAACTTACAACAATAGGTACAATGGGTGGTAATATTTCTCGACGTAATAAAGCATCCCAATCTATATTACGGAAGAATCGATGTCGACGAATAGCATCTGCCTTTTTTGGTTTTGATCCAAGTCGAGCATTTGGATTCTTACGTAATAACTGTTGAATTGAAAAAAAAGTTAGATAAAAGTCACATAACCCTATGACGAGTGACTCGTAGTGCACTAGTGACTAATTTTACCTTTGATAAGATATCTTTAGCATCAAAGGTTAAATAATAAGGCATTGGGATTTTTTTCTTTAAAATAGAATCAATCGTCTTTTGTCGATTATTTGAACTAAATGGAGGCTTTTAAAATATAAGTTTTATGTAATACGTATATCTATACATTACTTACAGAGCCTGTGATCATGTCATAAATTAATATACCTAAACTCCACCAATCTACTGTCAAATCATATTCAAGCCCCATTAAAATTTCAGGTGCCATATATTCAGCTGTACCACATATCGTATTTGTCTTTCCATCTACTGCTACCTTGGATAACCCAAAATCAGTCAATAAGATATGTCCTTCAATATCTAATAAACAATTTTCTGGCTTCAAATCACGATACACAATACCCAACGAGTGTAAATGTTCTAAAGCCAATACAAGCTCTGCAGCATAAAATACGGCTGTTTTTTCTTCAAACATACCCTCTATATCATCGTAGTAACACATGAATATATATATATATATATATATATAGGTGTATAAACTCTTATTCACCTTGATCCAAGTGACGAAATAATTCTCCTCCTACTGCATAATCTAAAATCATATGAAGTTCTGTTGGTGTCTGAAATGCATAACACAATTTCACAATAAATGGATGTCTCACTTCTTCCAAAATTTGTCTTTCAGTTTTAGCTTGAATAGCTTGTTGACCATGTACTATTAAAGATGCTTTCTTCAAGACCTTCATCGCATAAAGTTCCTTCGATTTCTCATGTTTGACCAAATAGACTTTACCAAATCTTTTTATTATTATTATTATATAAATATAGATGAGTATTATCCCTAGTTGTTCATCATAATTCATATTCACTTACGCTCCTCTTCCTAATACACAAATTGGATGAAAGTCGTTGCGATTAACTGTAGGGGTGGCTTGTTGTTTGTGCTCATTAGCTAATCCATCAAAATCGTGTTCAAGGATAACCTCATGTGTGACTTGAGCTAAAGGATCATGTTGTTTTCTAGGTGCAGGTTCATCTGTATCACTATTGTAATTACTAGGTGGATCATCTTGTTGTTGTAAACGTAATTTTAGTAAGGAATTACCCATCCCAGAGGGTAATTCAGTTGATGATAACTTGAGTTCATCCAATCGCTCATCTAATTGAACTATATCTCGTTTAGATTTAAGCATGACAAAGACAAAATAATTTATATAAATATATATAAAATAGGAAAGAGAAAATAGATTCTATATAAAAAAGGGAGGAAAAGTAAAATAGAGGATCCTAAGAAAGAATCAATTACTACCTTTTTTCGTAATGATTGTTAAAAAAAAAAAAAAAAAAAAAAAAAAGAGAGAGAGAGAGGGAGAGAGAAAAAGAGAAAACACTATAAACGTTTTTTTTTTTTTACACCCCGCTATAGGGGCAATTGTCATGACAAAGAAGAAAGTATGGGATTTGACTTGTAAGTTGATTTAATATGTCAATTAATAACACACACAAGCATTTATGTATGTACTCCTTTGTTTATGGAGTTGAGGTTAGCCTTACTATAAAAGGAGTAAAATGAAAGATTACATATAAGGAAGAGAGTACTTACTATTATATAATACTTTTCTTTATCGATATTTACAAAGTCATCGTATTGTATATATTATACTAGCTGTATATACATACATCGTTTTACGTACAAATAGTTTGAAAGAGGGGGGAGTTCTGCCCATATGGCTCTTATAAATCAATATCATTTTTTATTTTTATTTTTATTTTAGTAAACCAGAATAGATGCATGTATTAGGCCTCAATGATACAACATCTATCCCTGGAATGGCTTGATTTATATGATTCTAAGCTATTGTTGACAATGATTTTACTTTGCAGGATCAGCAATTCTATTAGGACTTATTAAGATAATATATAAAGGTAGAAATATCTCGGTTTCTAGTAAATGAAAGACTGTATGGTTCAAACAACTTATGTATGCTTCATTAGGGACTCTATGAGAAAAAACACTGTTCATGACGACTAAACGTCATCCTGGTATTCTGTACTTATTCAACATAATCATAATCCTAGAAATAAATTAGAGGACATACCTCAATAAGTGGTATTGTAGTACTAGGAAGTGAATTGACTTTATTTCAAGAAAAGTATCTAATAATACAATTCTGTGCCTTCCAGAGAAGAATTACGGTAGTATTATTAGTGTTCTAACTCTCCAGCTTTCAATTTTATTTTTTATTATAATTATTATCGCCTTTATGCAACTTGGCATAGTATTTCAATATCCTTATGACAAAGTCAAAAGATAACTCCATTTATTCTTCTGATATACGTTGTTTAACAATACGCACCTATAGTCCCTATATTTGAGTAGAAACATATATATAAGATGGGTATAGCTCTTTGATCTTTGCTAACAATAGGAAAGATGTTTTTTTTTTTTTTTTTTTTTTTTTAGATCTTCATTTGCTTAGTTGTCGTGATTGAAACTATCTTTTTATTGTTCTTTCAGTTCTCAACGAGAAGTATTATACGTATCATGATCAATTATTATTTTTTTTTTTTTTTGATCTCTAGGATTTGTGTCATTTTTCAAATGAAGATTCATCAACATCCGGTTGCAAATGATGCCATATCAGATTTTATTATTTTTGTATAAATCTATATTTTCTTTTCTTTTTTTTTCGCTTCTCGACCTTCATAATTAGGTCGAAAGAGAGAAAGAGAGGGAGAGTCTGTAAGATTAAAAGACTGTATAGAATCAATAAATACATTATTGAATCGAGAAATATTTAAAGTTTTGAGTTGGTTGTGCCACACAAAGTAAATTATTAAAAAAAAGTTCAAGTATAAACTAAAAAATGGAGAGGCGCAAAATAATCCAATAAGATTACTTGGAGCCTACATTGATTACCCCTTATATTTATTATTATTTATTTATTTATTTATTTATTTCCTTCCTTTTCTTTTATATATGGCTTTATCTTCTATAATTGAATATCCATTGCCTTTATTTTCTTTAAATAATATGAGTGAAACTTTGACTACATCTTCTTCTATTGCATCTACAACAAAAAAGCGTCATAAAAGTCATTCATTTCTTAAAGACATATCATTGTCTGCTAATATCCATAATAAACAACTGCCAAACCATCGCTATCAACATCATTTAAGTCGATCTACTTCAGATAGTGGTACGAAACAGTCAAAAGAGGCTTTACAAACAGCAACACTACCTACTCAATATAGTAACTCTACCCTTCATAGAACAACACCAGACAATCATCATGCGTCATCTACGAATAGTTTTCTATTTAATTTTGGACTCAAGTCATCAAGAAAGCAAAGCACCCACTTATCTTCAAAGGTTAGATTCAAACTTATTTCTGCCTCTCTCTCTCTCTCTCCTTCTTTCTTTCTTTCTTTCTCTCTTTTTTTTTCTTCCCTCTCCTCTATCCCTCCCTTAATTCCCCTATATTCATATTATTTCCTCTTCTCCCTCTCCTTATATTAAATGCTGATAATAGGAATTTTGTAAAGGTCAACAAACAAGATCTTTAAGTACGACAGTAAGACCGTTAAAGAACTTTTTAACCTCTTCAAAATCAACATATAGTCGACTTTCAATCATTAGTTCACCAACAAATAATCCAGGTAAGGAATTAACAAAAAAAGAAAGAAAGAAAAAAAGGGAGAGGAAAGACTTGCACAACATGTATACATTTTCTAACATGATTCATTTTTTTCACCTCCTCCATAGAAGCGGCAATAGCTATGAATCCTTTAAAGAAACATTCACAGCATGTTACAAGTATAACCTCCAGTAGTGAAAATTTAATATCAACAAAGTAATAAATAATAATAATAATAAAAATAAAATGAATCTATTCTTTTTTTTTTTTTTAATTCTTAGAAAAAAAAAAATAGACCTATTTTACCAGTTGGGTTACAACAAGATATCACCCGATTTGCAATGAATGGATTTGCTCAAAAATATTTCTCGACTCATAAAAAAGGATTATTTAGAAGGAGAGTTCCTATGGCGAAGATGTTGAAATGGACAAAAGTAATTTCAATAAAAAAAAAAAAAGATAAAAAAAAAGGCAAAACCAATAATTAATTTTATTTATAAAAATATATAGGATCCTATTAAACAACCTTTAATTATGTTGAACAAGGATCTCTATAAGGATGCGCTTAGATGCTTTAAAATGATTCAAACAATTATGGGTGATAGACCACCTCACAAATCACTACCACGACCTCATAATGTAATAGAAGATATACAGAGTATTTTGAGCTGTGGTATTACTAAAGGTCAAATGCGTGATGAAATATATGTACAAGTTTGTAAACAATTGAACAATAATCCAAATGGGTAAATATGATACACAATAATAAGAATAGAATAGAATTAAATTAATGTGTTTCATTATTGGGGAAAAAAAAAAGGGATAGTATTCGTAAAGGTTGGGAAATCCTCTGTATCATCAGTACTACCTTTCCTCCTTCAAAGAACTTGGAGACTTATTTAACTAGTTTTGTTGAACAGAATCATGCTATTGAAGAAAATCATGTAGGTATCATTAGTCAACATGTTTCAACAAAGTTAAAGCGTGCATGTATTAGAGGTGCAAAAGGAAAAGTATTGACAATTGCAGAAATTCAACGAGCCAAAGTAAGTGTGTGAGCAAGAAAGAGAGAGAGAGAATAAATAAATAGTTACTATCATTTGTAGGAAGCACCATTTAAACCGTCTGTATTTGGTGAATCACTCAGTTTTATTATCAATTTACAAAAAGATACATCATCGTTGCAAATACCTCAAATTGTACCCTTTTTAACAAATGCTGTATTGCAAGCAAATGGTAAATATTCAGAAGGTATATTTCGTGTTCCAGGAGATGCAGATGCAGTGACAGACTTGGTAATTAAAAAAAAAAACATAAACACACTTACATTACACATAGTATATACTATTAGTAGTTGAACACATATCATTTACTAAATGTTATTATTGGTTATTATCCTTTATTAACTAGAGGATTAAAATTGAAAATGGACATTATGATGCAATAGGCGTTACAGATCCAAATGTACCTGCTTCATTACTCAAGTATTGGTTAAGGGATTTAGCAGAGCCCATTATTCCTTCTAAAGATTACGAGGATTGTATTCAATTTGCAGAAGATGCAGAAAAGGCAACTACTATTATTAATCGATTACCTGATACAAATAGGCGTATTATATTGTTTATTATTAGTTTTTTACAAGTAAAATATATATGCATATATATATACATATAGAAAGAGAGAGGAGAAAGAAAGAAAGAAAGAAGCTATATACTAAATAGTTTGACTATAGGAATTTACATCGGATCCGGCTATTATTAAAAATACATTAATGAACGTCAATAACCTTGCTATGGTCTTTGCACCTAATTTTTTACGTTGTCCATCAGAAAGTTTAACAACAGTCTTTGAAAATTCGAAATATGAACAAGCCTTTTTAAGAACGTTGATTAATCAAATGGTAGCAGATGCCGATGCGTGTGCTTACGATCCTGATAATAGTAAGGCCATTGGAATTTTATTGCAACAATAATTGATTTATGTTGTATAAAAAAAAAAAAGAATAGATATTGTGTTTTTTTTTTCTTAGTATGTTTATTTACATTTTAAATGAATTTACGTGCATTATTACTACGTTGAGGATTAAGTTTTAAATAAAATACATGTTGAACATCAGATCTTTGTGAATGAGTCATACATCCATGAATTACAACAGGTGCTGTAGTATCACTAGGGGATGTTTGCTGATAATAAGTTAATCGAATTTGATCTCCTGGAATAATTTGGACAAGACCTCCCTATTATGTAATATGAATAATGTAGATTGAAATTAAAATACTTTTTTTTTTTTTTTTTTTTTTTACAACTTACAGTATCAACATGTCGAATTTCTATAAATTGTACACTAAAGGCAATGATATAAGGGTATTGATAAACAATATGTTCAGGATTACCTTCCCATTCACATAATAAAGGAAGTCTAAATAAAATAAAATAAAAAATAGTAATAAGTATCATTATAGAAATTCATCTTCTAGTTACTAACATACTTTTGTGGTCCTCGTTGAACTAATGATCCATTTCGGTTATTGACATAAAACGCAAACCTGTTATAACATAGTAAAAATTTATCATGTACACGATACATGGCCAAAGGTTTGATAGATTCTGCTTGTCTATGTACAAAATTAAATTGAGGGTCTCCCTTATCAGGTATATCTCTTCCTCCTACGCTCAAATTCTCTGGATCAATAATTTCAAATCCTCTTTCACAGACAATCAATAATTTAGATTTTAAGAAATGAACGTTACTTGATTCTGCCCCCACATAAAATTCCTAGAATAAGGTATAACATCATCAAGTTTATAAATATACATATATGTATATATGTATATATATGTTTGTACCTTATATTTTTTAAACCATAAATGACTGGATCTATTTTTAATCATAAACCCAGTCTTTGGCGTAATGTATTTCTGATTTTTGGGATCACGAAGATTATAAAGAGGTTCCAATAGAGTAAAAATACTAGATGTATTCTTTTTCTTTTTAAAGATAACAAGGTCCTTGTTATTATAAACGCCTACTTGGAAAAAATGAATATGTTGGCCTAGCTCTTGTCCTAAACGATCAATGGATGTCGATTTCTTATTATATGTAGTGCCATTGGTTAATAACATGTCAAGCGGATAGGCTGTTAGTGTTTTATCTAATTTGAAAAGAAAAAACAAAGAGAGAGAGAGAGAGAGAAAGCATACGCACGTGGGTATTAGATTTAAATCTACAATATATATGATAACTTTTTTTATTATTACCTGCTAAAACTATCAAGATATTACATTTCTCTATAATAGCTAACTGAGTTACATTTTCAGATGATAAAACTCGTTGTACTGTTGTTGTTTGACTATGAATAGATTTAACATAAATTCCATTATCTGTTCCTATAGCTAATTTCTTATCATTATTTATAGAAGCTTTATATAGATAGAGAAAAAGAAATATATATAAATATATATTTAAGATCAAACCCCCCCCCTTTTTTTTCAAGTAACCATATATGATATATGTATACTTACTAAAGAGAACTGTACAATTAATTCTCCCATTTTTAATAGCATTATTAGAAATGGTAGCTGCTGAGGAATATCTAAATGAAGTATCATCCAAAGTAATTAAATCATACACATCTTCACCTAAACGTTTTTTCAAAGACAATTTAGCTTCTTCAATAGCTGACAACCATTTCTGTTTCTCTTCTGATGTAGTACATACAAAATGGTAGACACCATCACGTTGACCCAAATGCTGTAACGTTAAGGGTAATAATAATCCATTATTGTTAGTCAATAACGCCGCACTACTATGAAGATAATGATGACTACCCCCAGTAGCGGCTATACCTATGGATGACGATGATGCTGACGACGACCCTAATAACGACATATCCTGACTACTATGACCTATATAAAGCATCTGTAGAGGAATGGGCCTCCTCCAGACACGGTACTCATCTTGAGGCGTTGCAGTCGTTGATTTTCGAAGCTTTGTCATCAAGACCAAATGATCAAAGACAAAAACGTGAATATCTGTTTTCTCCATTTCAATACCATTCATACGACGCCTCTTGAGGTCACCTTGATAATACAAACGACGATGAGGATCTGTCAACTGTAAATCTTGATATTCGCCCTGTTTAAAGTTGATAGCATCATTAATTTCAAGTATTTCAACACGTTTCTTGAAAAGAGCAGAGAGTGTATCAGAATGAGAGGCACATTTTTTTATCATGTCAATCGATTTTGTTAAATAGGCATGATCAGGATGTGTATTCTCCGTTTTTTTCAAAATGGCTTCAAGGAGGAGCGGGTAACGCTGAAGACGAGTTACTGGATTCAAGAGGAAATGACGCAAGGCTAGACGACGCATCCTCTTATTACGCTCAGTGTGTACAACAAATTTCGCAAATTCTGGGTTTTGACGCTCTTCAGCCTTAAACAAGTATTCTGCTAAAGCAACGCGAGGACAATAGCGCGTGAAGGGGTCCTCAAAATAGGCAGTGTGCTTAATGAGGACATCACCAATCATGGGTACACATATATGTTGCTGTTGAAGTGCTAAAAGGTCTCTAAGGAGTGCTGTACTGATATCAATTAGCTCTTTATAGTTTCCAAAGACCTGTGTGATAAATTCTTCGCGTCGCTTTGATGAGTTAATAATAGAAGGTTTATTTTCTAAAAGAGGATGAATGATAACCTCTGAAAGAGTTTCCAGGTCATGTTTATAGACATCCTCCGAATAGATCAGCTCATTGATTGCCTCTTGACGAGCAATTTCCTTTTTTGAAAGAGTGGATATAATTTCCTTAGGAGCACGTTGCGCCCATGCTGTATGTGACGTAGTAAGTTCCAACATGTGTGGTAAAGGAGAATCGGTCGTTATTGAAGAAGAAGAGAATCGTTCCTTTTGACGAAGGATGATTGGATTATTTTCAAATTCAGCAGCAAATATGTCTGGTTTATTAGGACACCGAGGTGCATAGCAACCACCTTTACCAGGTAAACAATGATAGGTATAACATTCTAATAATCCAGTCAAAACGCCTGTGGGTATATTTTCATTGTTGTTTTCGTCAACATCATCTTGTAATGTATAGTATTCGTCAGAGGAATTAAAGACAGTACCCTGGATAATTGATTTTTGGGAATAATGAATGGGGTCAAAAAGAGGCGGTTTGGATTTCATAAGGGCATTAGCTATTAAAATGCAATATCCTTCGGAGATACCATCTAATAAATTATGCAATATTTTAATTGCCTCTTTACCGGTAAATGATTCCGGATATTCGTTTGCACAAAATAATTCACGTACATGTTCTAAGCCTCGTACATGTCTAATAAACACTTTACTTAATACTGAAAGGAAAGCATAATTAGGTTGTTTTTGTTTTTGTTGTTGTTGTTGTTGTTGTTGCTGTTGCTGTTGTATGGTAATGACAGGACTGACTGTGACTGTGTCATCACGGTTAGTAAAGGAAGAAGAATTTGATGAAGAAACACTGTTAGAATGAGTTAAATTACTATTAGATATTACAGGCTGTTGTTTGCTATTTATTAAAGAAGAGTAATTCACCGTTGTCTTTTTTTGACGTATCTCTGAAGTATGTGCAAGATAAGTATTTGCATAATCAGGATATTGATCATGATAATAATTTTGTACAGGATAATTATAAGACATAGACAAATTAGGTTCCACAAGTGTGGCGGATGGCAAGTTAAAAGATGGAGCGACTGTAGTATCAGCATAAACTGAGTATGTTCGTCTATTAATCATATTTTGAAAACTATTATTATAATTCTATGAAAAGATTCAAAATAAATATGTATTAATATGTTATTAAAAAAAAAAGAGAGAGAGAGAGAAAGTTCACTTATTAAACAAAGCATACAGAAGATGGCTTTAAAGTAGTATTCGATCTACTTGGTAATGTAGGTGACTGTCTATAAGATTGTTGAAGTGAATGAGCCCTACTGGGTAACATGGGCTGCTGTTGTTGTTGTTGCTGTTCTTGAGAGATTTCAGAAATGTAAGAATCAACATCACGCATAAGACCATTTAAAGATGCATTTGTATATTTATTATCTTTATTTCGTAATTGAGACGAATTCCACATGTTGAATGAAAGTAAACATTCAAAAAAAAAAAAAAAAAAAAAAAAAAAAAAAAAAAAAGACGTTTTGGAAAAAAAAATTAAACTACAGTTATAGCTTAAAATAATAACTTTATCCATTGTCCTTTTTATTCAATATTACAACTACTTTTTACACACATAAAAAAAAATATAGAAGCATTTGTATATACAATAAAGACTTGTATTGTAGGAATAGACTTTTCTTTTTATAAGATCTACCTATCATACAATTTATACTCGAATTTATTTATCGTATTCCAATATTATAATCCCTAAAATTGTTGTTTATATATGATGATATATAATGAAGAATCACAATACAGAACAGATTACATAATAAGGTATACTAACTTTAATGTTAATTCTTCCTATTTTGTTATTAAGTTTATAGTTAAATGTATTATACTGTATTTCTATAATAAGTGAAAATACAAACTTGATTTGTTATATTGTATCTTTAGAATATTCGATAAAGTTTAACATTCGATTATAAAAAATATACATATATATTGATAAATTATAGAGCTAGGGGATACATAATAGTTTTTATTAATGTAAACCAACCATAATATAATATATAAAAATGCAAGGATTGCTTATGTAACAATGACAGTAATGTTGAAATGTTCCGAAAATCTTATGTATGACTTTATATTACTGTCGGAGTATATCTTCCAATTATCATCATGGTTCTTGCTACCATTAATGTTTCTGTTGAAGACTCATTCTTTATTCCTAGGATTTATTTATATATTAAAAACAATGGTTCATATGTATTTTTTATTTATTATGCTGCATTTCTCAAAGACATAAGATATAGTATATATAGAAATATATAACATATATACAGAAAGCATGTATATATCTTTTACACAGAGTATCTTTTTCTTTTATTAAAACTCAAATGCATGTAACAAAAATTAAACTATTATACAATATTTGATTATTATTTTTTTTTCTTTTACCAAGTAGCTTGGTTATCATGACTTCTACGATGATTGAATAACCAATCAAAATCTTCTCTAGAAATTATATGAGTATTTGAAGTAAATGGATATGTAGTTTTACTACTACTAGTGATTTCGGTTTCTTGAAGTTGACTAATTTTCTTAGAGATAAGGTCGATAAATAACTGCCATTGTTCAGTTGTGGTAAGATTTGAAGTGATAATATTTTATTGGTTTATTTGATTTGAAACTCTAGGGTATTTGTTAATTAAATAGGAAGAAAATCCATTCCATTGAGTCAGGACTTGATCTGGTGAATTTTTTTGGTTAGATTCTTCAAAGTTTTTGATTTCAGCAACAATAGCAGTAATGGCATCATTAGGATTAGTAACACTATCTGTAGAAGCAGATAAGGCTCTTAATTCTAAACGGATACTGCTATTATTATTCATAATGTTATTAAGATGTGTAGCATTGTTGGTACTATTATTTCCCGAAATAAAATTATTGTCTCGATTATAATCACCATTAATTATACGAAGACAGCCATACTGAGATAATCCTGTATTACAATCAGCCTAAAGGAAAATGTTATTTAAACCAATAATATATGTATACTTTTTTTTTTGTATAAATACCTTTTCTTGACAGCATCGGATACAAAATCTTTCAACATCAGGTTCAATCATACTAACAAAATATTTGTAACCTTTACATTTTGCACCAATAGGCTTGCCATTATCGTGGTTATCGTATTGTCCACCTCCATCAGTAGCATTTAAAGAATAGTGAGTACGATTAAAAAATCCAGTAACTTGTACATAACTGTCATTTTTTAAATAATAATGGGCTGTTGTAATAAATCCTATGTATATATATATATGACTAAGCACAAGATATGTATGTTATATTGTTAAAATTATAGATATACCTTCTGGGAATTCAGTAGCATTGTATACAAGACTTTTGTTAGTACAGAAGGGAATACCGTTATCTTCATTTAATGCAATTTCAAGTCCTGGTTTAGGAGGCAGGAAAAGACAAAACTCTTCTTGACTTACAATCGTTGTTAGTGGATAATAGGTAGATATTGATGTATTAGTAATAGGGACCGCATTTACGAATGAAGAAGAGGCAATTACAGCAGTGATAAAGCTTGAAAGGATAAACTTTCTAGTGAATAAAAAATACATTATATGTATATACAAAATAAAGAGAGAGAGAGAAAGGAAGATAGAAATGAGCTTAATTTATAATTCATTTTTTAACTCCACTGCTAATCTGTTATCGTTGTTGATAATAATTATCACATTATAGTTTGTTGCATAAAAATTACTCTTTATATTGCTCTTTTCTAAATAAACAAAACAAAGGATACTTACTAATATGATGAACATAATTACAAAAAAATGAAGAAAGGTATAGTTTTTTTTTTTTTTTTTTTTTTAATTAATTAATTAAATCAAGTTAGCAGATCAGATCTAATAGGAGCAAGTTAAGGTTTATCGTCTCTGTGAATTGATACCATAACAATAAAGATATGGAATTTGGTATTAATTGTGTCAAAAGGTAGAAATACAAGACTATAGTCAGGCTATTTTTTAAGTTTAGTGGATAATAATAGATAAATCACTACTAGTAGAGTTGACAATATAGAATAACCGAAGGACTTAGCATTTTCAATAGATATAATGGCTAGGTACTCTGAATCTATTTCTGATGTTAGTACGCTTCTAACCTCTTTCATAGTGTCTCAGTACTACTATAGATATCACTCCCTATAAAGGTAAAATATTCATCTCCACTTATAATATCTTTATAGAAACTTTATATCCATTTACTCATAAAGCTCCAATTCGGACTAAAACTTTATGTATATATACTACAGCAGAGTATTCCAGCATCTTATTTTTTTTCTTTGTTTTAGTTATTTTGGTGATAATTGTATTAGAAATTTTCGCAGAATGCGTCAATATAATCTTATCTTTGCCCTTTTGTAAAATTTTTGAATATTGCCTCGAGTAATCTTCTTTTCGTGCAGAAGCAACATCTATTTATATTGTTCAGAGCAGATTCTTTGAAAGTCAAAACGTGTCAAATCAAGTTATGTGGTGTCGGATGGAAACCTATTACTGTGTTTTTTTCTTCGAAGAAAGATCATCTTCTTACACTTACATTAGTATTTATGAACATTAAATTAACCTAGAATACAGTAGCTCTATGCGTCATTTGAAGTGCTTTTTTAAATAATATATAATCGGCCTTCCTTTTTCTTATACGATGTATATGTATATGTATGTATATATATACTTAATGGAGTATAAATCAAATTACTTATTCCAAATGCACCTTCTTAGTATCATCCCAATGTTATTTTCAAATATTTCGTAGAATCCTACATTATCATCATTCCTGCATTCACACTGTATCAACAGTTTAACAAAAGTGCCATGACCTTGACAGCTAAATAAATTAAAAATAACAGCGACAAAGACTATACAACAAATCAATTCTATATTAGCAACTTTTTTTTTTTTTGATTTTAGTTGTAATAAATAGGGTCATCATCATTGTATACAACAACAACAACGATATGATAGATTTCAGATTTAAGATGGTATTTATTGGACAATCAATTTATTTAATTTTTTTTCCACGATAACATTAAACAGTAAAAAATTTCCTTTTTAAAACTAAAGCTTTCTTAAAGAGGCAGAAAATAAAATGCCTACTATTGCCTTGAATTACTTTAGAGTATATTTTTGTAACTTTGACGGTTGTGCTATTTTCGATGGCAGTAGGATTTATTTTACTTTTTATCAATGCTCTCTTTAATAGGGTTTAGGAAAAAGCAAAGATGAAGGGAAATAAACATATTTACGGCTTTATTTCTCGAGCATTGTCTGAATAGTGATTAGCTAATGATAGATTTGAAGCGTAACATTACTATAAAAGTCCTTTAGACTGGTTTTCATGTTTCTTTACCATTAATGTTTTTTTTTCTACCTAACAGTCTAAATTGTCCTTGTAATATTAGCCTCAGGCTTGTTTTTTTTTTTTTTTTTTTTTTTTTTTAAAGAAGCTATCTAACTTTCACTAGTATTTAATAAGTCAGTTCATTTTGTTATTTTTATGTTTATTTTTCACTGACACAGATGTTTATTTAATGTCTAAAAGATAATCCTTCAAAGTATAAACTGTGTAATCACATGCTCAATAAAAAAAAAAGTGGAGTTGCTATATTTTCTCACAAAGATGCCCTCCCCCCCTTTTTTTTTCGCTCTTCCTTTCTTTTCCTTTAATGTATCAGCAACAATATGAAATATTTATGGATAATATTTTTGAACCACCACCAGATTATAGAAGAATGAATACAGCAGCACTATCATCCCCTACTTATGATAGTAGTAATACATCAATAGAGAATGACGTTATTCCTCAGCATCCTTCTCGGTCGCCTCTTCATCATCAACCTTCATTAACTGAGATAGTTTATGAAGACTTGAACCGAAATAATGACATGAATGAAGTTGAAGGCAATGAGAGTATTTATTATGAGACTACTATGTCTACAATTAATAATGATACAAGTCAAATAGATAGCTGTAGTATTGCTACCTCGTCTTTATTTACCGCCATTGATGAATCAGACGATAATGACGAAAATGAACATGATAGTTCATCTAATAATAGTGACGCCTCTACTACAACGACCGAGAAACCTATAAAATTATCAAACATTAATGAATTAATGAAAGACTTAAATATTCAACATGATGAATGGGAAGGTATCATATATATATATTATATATAATGAAGCTTTATGTATAATAATAATACATAGATTATAGACCAAAGTATAAAGCATTAAATGATTCATATATCAATACAAAACATGGTAAAACTATTTGCAGTAAAAGTAAATATTTACTTAATTATTTATAATAGAAATTTACAAAGAAATATATACTACAATGCAAAAAATACATGAATTAGACGATGACTTTAGTAACGTCAAATTAAAAGTATTTCAATTCAATATGTTAGAAAAAGATTATAAAGAAATGACGAGACGACTATTATATCAATGTCAAGAATTAATAAAACAAAAAGAAGCATATAAAAACGATCATTTGATTACAACACTAAGAAAAAAAAGTAATCACACACCAGATATTACATAATATGTTAGGGATTTACTTTCCATATAAATAAATATATAAATATTTATTTAATATAGGTCAACAACAGAATAATAATGAAAAAATAAGATTAAATATTGGTGGAAATGTATTTGAGGTATTCCATTGATTTATACTCATGAAAAAAGATATTTACTTTAATTATTGTATGTAGACATCTTTAAGTACGTTACAACGTGACAGAAATAGTTTATTGGCTGCTATGTTTTCAGGTAGGCATCCAAATATGATGTCATCTTTGGAGGATGATGGATCCTATTTTATAGATCGAGATCCTTCCCATTTTCGATTTATATTAAATTATTTAAGAGATTTAAGGGTAATAATAATAAAATAAAAAAAGGTTTTTAAATCATGAATATAGTATTCAATAAATTTTTATTATCTAGATTCCACCTACTATTTTACAAGATTTAAAGATGTAAATAAAATATAACATTTATACTTTTTTTTTTTTTTTGTTACTCTATTTATGATGAAATTAACATTTCTATTTAGTCGTCAAGAACTATTACAAGAAGTATGTATCTATAAATTATATTTTCAGATATTCATTTTTTTTTTTTTTTTTGTATAGGCAAAATATTATCGAATAGAAGGACTTGTAAATTTGCTTCTTGAATAAGATGATCTCTTTTTTTTTAGTTACACAAGATATAAGTTTATAACCATAGCAACTCCCCTTTATGTTTTAATCGTTTTTTTAACCTCCAACCCCTTAATTTTGGCCCCTTCCTTTATGAATAGTTTAAATTTATCACTATTTATTATTATTGCTATTCTATCATTCACTATTTCTGCTCAGCAAAATAATAATTATAGAAATAAAGTAACTATTGGTCAGTAATATAACGAATACTAATACATTATATCCAACTATTAATGTCATTTTTTTTTATAGATGAGAATCATGGTTATGGATTTTCTGTTAAGTATTTTGATAATTATAAAGTAGTTGAAAATTTAATTACCAATGAAAAATATGCGCTTGTTTGCTGTAATCAGTCATTATCCAATTTTACATTTTCGGGATATCATGCAGTTGTAAATACACCATTGAATTATATTGGAGTTGAAAATGAATTAGAAGTTTTACCCTTTTTTGAGGTATTTATTATGTAATATATATTGTATATATTAAAATATACTAATTCTATTGTATACTGATTTATAAATAATATGTATGATAGCTTTTAGGTATAAGTGATAAAGTTAAATTAATTAATCCAAGTGCAAATATAACATCACCTTGTTTTAATGGAATTAATTCAACGACAATAACACCCGTCGAGGCTATTTTCACAACCAAGTCAACAACTACAGTAGGTGGTCTACCACACTATATTAGTATTTCCTCTGCAACCAGTGAAAACTTGACGCCTATTCAGGTACTATTATTATAAAAGTAGTTTATATATATATATATGGGTAACAAATGAATTCTTTATTTTAGCAATCAGCTTGGATTCTATTTATCGCACACTTTTTTGAAATTGAACAACGTGGATTAGATATTTTTACTTCAATTTCAGATAAATATCAATGCCATCAGTCTAATTTGAAGAAGGCAGGTACAAAAAAGATTGCATGGACTACATATGATGTTATAAAGAAAGTTTGGACATTGAATTATGATTTATATACAAGCAAATTAATTCAAGATGCAGGTAAAGAATAGATGATATTAGGATAAAAGCAAAGTATATTAAAAGTATTCATTATTATTATTTTTACTGTTTAGGATTTGAACTTATTGGAGTTAATAAAAGGACAACCAGCTTTCAAAATATAACCTTATTTCATAACCAGCTTCAAAATGTAGAATATATTATTGATAATACGGATTTTTTGAAATCAGAAATTTCTTATGCTGACTGGCTTTCTGCTATCGAATTGACACCTAACTCAAATAAGTATGACTTTTTGACTTTACAGAACGTATACCGTACAGATAATTTGATTAGTGCATCAGGATTTTCAGGTAAAAAAAAAAAAAAAAAAAAAAAAAAAAAAAAAAAAAAAAAAAAAAAAAAAAAAAAAAAGAGAGAGAGAGAATGAAAAGGAAAGAGGGTAACTCATACTTATATATATAGATTGGTCTATTCGTCATCATGCACGAGCGGATCTTGCTCTAGCAGATATAATACATATGGTTTATAGTACTTATGAACCTAGTTATAATATGACTTGGCTTCGTGCATTTGCACAAGCTGATGGTCCTAAGTTTATTACAAATGAAAGTTATCCTAGTTGTAGCGCAACAAGTCAAATGGAGCGATTAAATTTAAATAGGTGCACTTTACAACCCTTTCAACCAAATAAAACAAACAACGATGAAATAATATTAGAGAATCAAGAAGGAGGAAGTAAGAATAGTAGTCTATTATCATCCACAAGCAGTAAAGTGGGTGTAGCGATTGGTGTTGTAGTAGGAATAACAGCTATTGGCGTGATCAGTTTTTTTGCATATCAAAAACGAAGAGTAAATAGATTGAAGGGAAAGCAGGAAGGACGATTTTATAAAATGAACGATATTGGTTCTTCACCCTAAGTTTGCGAACTTTTTTATTTTATTTTTTACCGATAGTGATCATTATGATTGTAGTCGTCTTTATAACTAAGTCAATAGAAATAAACCATCATTTATTAAAGGATAAAGGGGTCATTTAAATAAAACGAGTGTATTGTGCCTCACAGCATCATATTTATTCTACATTCAGTTTTAATAATAGTTATTGTTAGAGTATTTGAGAATTAATAATAATTATACTATGTAATAATATCACATACATGATGATAATAATGGTAGCACGTGAATAGCTGGTATTGTAATAGATGGAATATCTACCGTGAATTAATATTGACTCGTTGCTTACCCCAAATATAATAATTTGTTATATTTTTAGTAACAACGACAGTTCAAGGAGAAAAAAGAATAAAAAAAATAGTTTATTGTATACATAATTATTCGGGCACCTTTTTGTTACTCCTGTTTTTTTTATCTATCCCTTTTGATATTACTACGATATGTCTACTTATAATGTATCATATGAGTACATGCATTGTTTCAACGCAATGGATGAGATTTCAGAGTCTGATCCTATGGAAATTGAAACGGTCTAAAATGACTTATACGGCCCTGTCGATTTGGAATGGCACTATTAGGGGCAGCCAGGAGTAAGCAAGAAGGTAGCGGAACCCGACATTAAGAAACTTATGGATTTAAGTAGCTATGAAGGCTTTCTTCGTAACATTTCTATGAGCACTGGAATACTAGAGGCACATGCTAACGAAAAGGAAGATAGTAGCTCAAAACTATTACCTGTTAAAGCGTCTACTGAGAAGATTTGAGGATCCTACAGATTCTATACTTCAGAGTAAATACAAGAGCTTCTTGGCCTTGCCATTGAGGGAGGGATTTCAGCAAGAAAGGTTGTAATGATAGTTGGCATTGTTGAGAGAGCAGTTCAGTATTATGTGAAGCTTTATAGAGATGATGAAGAGAAGCATTTTTTTGGTTTAAGAAAGTCTCGAACTATGGCATACTGACTTTCTCTATACTTTTTTATGGGGAAAAACCAGAAGTTATTCTCTGGCAGGCAAGGGAGTCATTACTTCAAGCTTTTCCTAAGATTAAATCGATTTCTCTTTTTAATCTTCACAAACATCTAGTCCAGCATGCCTCATTAACATTCAAAAGGCTGGAACGAATTGTAACTGCAAGAGCAACTCTTAACAATTTTAATCTACGCAAAGAAAGAGTTCTAGATTGGAGAGCAGATAAAAATACGGATTGGGAAAATAACTGCGTTTTTTATCAATGGGACAGGATAAAAGTGAGAAATACCTGCTAAGGCATTGCTTCCTTTGAACAGAGGCATCATTGTGACTAGAATGGGTGCTATCTGCGAAAAAGGGGTAATTGATTTAACCTTTCATAAACCAAAAGCTGTTCAGAAGAAGACTGCTGCTTTTAAGAAGAGAAAGAGGGGATATGGTAAAACGGAATATGTTGAGGTAAACGTTAGAGTTGGTGCATGTAGTGAGCATTTACTATAAATCTACATACTTGCTTCCTTAACTTATTATTTTTAAACCCTATTGAGTTGTTCTGATCAAAAGTCAAAGGAAGTATAAGGAGAGATTGTTTGACAATTGATGATAATTTGACTACTAGAATTATTGAGTCGGCTGGGAAGTTTTCGGTTAATGACTATGTCAATTGAATAATACATTTTTTTTCATTGAGCTAATACTTTAATTATATAAAATAAATACACCACCTGCAAAAAATAAAATAAAATAAAAAAATAAAATCACACGCAAAAAAATCCTCAAAAAATAAAAAGGTCAATATTTAATATACATTCTAAAATTTGAGGTTCTTTTTTTTATTACTATTATTACAATAATAATAAAGGGTATAAATATATTATAAATCCTTTCTTTTATAAATGTGATTTTTGTCCTTGTTGTTGATGAATATACCAAGCCATTTGATTTTCTTTAAGACTAAAACCGCACTTTTCATAAAATGGGACATTTTTAGTAGCACAATCCAAAATAACTAAGAAAAAAAAAGAGTCAAGTTAAGACTAAATCTAAATTTGAAAAATAAAAGGAAAAATTACCTTTGTAACAATCATTGACTTGACCAATATATTTTAATGCTTCAATGATTCTTAAACCCAATTTTTACCTTGATGAGAAGAATCGACAGCAATATCTTCAATATGACCTACGATACCATTTTTATGTATAAACTTATGTTCAATAAGAATAGTTCCAGTAGCAGCAATACGATTCTTCTTTTCATCTGTAATGGTCACAATGAAATCTATAGATTGCATTAATTTATGTGTAACTACTATTATTTAAATATGTTATTAATACATTACAAGTATCGTTATGTTTTTTCATAAACTGATATTGAGTATTCCAACTTTCAGAAGTATGTGAACCAACATCAGTTAAAACAGATAAGACATCTAAATAACCTCTATCAAAATCATTGGCTCGAAGTGGATTAAGTTTATATCCTTCAGGTAAATTTGACTGGACTTCTGGCGAAAGATATTTATCATCAAACAATCTATCTTCAATATTAATAAATTCTGCAATAGTAGAAGCAGCAGCAGTAGTAGTAGTAGTAGTAGTAGTCATTATAAGAGACGAAGGCATCTTTTCCTTTTCTTTTTTTTATTTTTTGCTCTTTTTTTTTTTTTTTTTTTTTTTTTTTTGTATGTGTATTTATATATTAACGTAATCCGCGGAAAACGTATAAAAAAGTTTTACATATTATCCTCGGAAATTGAACTAAATTTAAATTTCATATACCTATTTTTAGTCTCAGTTGTCGTTCTTCATCATCATCTTATTAAGGGCTTTCATAGTAGTCTCTAGTCTCTCCTTTGCTTACCCTTCTTTTCCTCCGTGAAATATGATATATTCAATAGAAGAGTTTTATTTATTGCTCTCTAATAACAATAGAAGTTGCTATGTACATAAAAATGATTTAATAGAAAATAAACAATTTGTTACTATGTTTACAGATTGTTTAAACTGAATTTATTCTTGTTAATAGTCTTTATTAAAAGATAAAAATAGAGGAACGAGTTTATTCAAATATATCGATAACGATGATGTTATACAAATAACCCTTTTAGCAAAATGACTTTCTTTTATGTCCAGTGTATACTTTATGATTAATTCTTCTCAGAAGTATTTTGTTTTTCAGAAAAGTCCTCTGATTATTCCGATCTGATAAAGATGATGTTTCAAGTATTATAAAACATGATTATTTACTACGCGCATCATAGATAAATATGAAAGTAGTAAGGGTAAATAGAGACCTTTTTTTTTTTCCTTCTTCTAATAATGGTCATCATCTATTATGTTACTACAACTGATTTTTTGAATAGTCTTTCTATTAGTTGAGTCTACGTCAAATAATTCATAAATAATGCATTAAATACATAACTCTGTCTATGCTCCTAATGATATAAAATCACAGCTTGTTCAGATAACATGATTCATGCTAGAGAATATATGTCTTCACAGGGATACAGTATAGACCATTATATTTATTTTAAGTAACAGTTGTCATAATATATCATTGTCTAATATAATAATCAAAAGATACAAATAATTATCTAAAGTATTGTATAATAATAAATAACTTGAAGTCACCAGAATAGTAGGATGCATTATTGAAATCTTTATAAAGTATATTTATAACTCAGAAGAACTAACCTACTACTGCTGCTGCTATTATTATTATTATCCTTTCATGGTTTAATTATTTTCTTTAGTACAAACAATATATGCCTTCTTTTAATCAATAAGTAGTTAATTTTATTAGTATTTATGGCTTACTACTAGTATCACTTTGCTTGTATTGCTTATTATTGTATATATAAATGACAACTACTTACTTTTCAAATCACTCCTATTATTTTAAAGAAAATAAAGACTATCTGTTTCCCAGAATGCAGTAATAAACAAGCTATTGCCATAATATTATACATTGTATTATCAGCGGAGAAGACTTTTTTTTTTTTTTTCTATTTCTCTCTCTCTTTTTTTTTATATATTTATTTTATTTTCTAGATAATACCCATATTACCTCCATATTGGTCTTTCTTTTTTATTTTCTTAAAACTTGTTATATATTATAAGAGCTTTTTTTTTTTTACTATATAGATAAATACATACATATTACATTTTCAAAAAAAAAAAAAAAAAAAAAAAAAAAAAAAAAAAATAGAATGTATCGCCTTCCTGACGAGATATTATTGCGTATTTTTACATTTCTTGTCAACGATGTTAAGCAATTAATAAGAATTAGTCAATTATCTAAACGCTTTTATAGGTATAAACACATTAAGTTTATCCATTCATAAAGTTGCTATATTCATTATTCCAAAAATATTAATATATACATGTAGAATAATTCAAGATCCCAAATTATGGTATTCAGCATTTCAATCAAGGTATCCTATTTGGGGTAATCAAGTAGCCTATGTTTCAAACTCAAAGCATTTAATTGATTGGAAAGACTTTGTTATTCATCTTATAAAGCAACAAAAGGCAACCCATGAATTTTCTTTTGAATTTGTTCAAGAACAGTTACAAAATCAAACTTCAGCAGGATTATTTAAAACTGGTCGTAAACGAAGAATAATGGATAACGATAATGGAATAACAACAGCTACGGATACCGCTATACCTACTTTATTACAAGACGAACATGAGGATGTTTCAATACCCTTTTGGATCCAAGATCCATTAGTAGTAGATATTGATCGTATTAGTAAAACAGGTATTGTGGCAACTGGCAAACATCGACGACGTATCAACAACTATGGCCACCTTCATTCAGAACATAAAATTTTATTCTGGGAATACCCTTCATGGAGATTGATTCGAACATTTCATTTGAATTTAAGTCCATCCGCATTAACATGTCAAATTATTGGTATTCAAACAATTCGAATGCCCAATACTAACGGAAAGGGAACACAAAAAGTGAGATTCTTTTCGTTAGCTGTTGGTCAAGCTTTAATGAATGGTATGGATGCAAATGATGGGAATGAAGATAGAGTGGATGTCTGGAAGGCCTTGTTTATATATCGGCTATTTCAAGATGGCTCTACTCAATGCGTTGCACATATCAAGATTGCTGATTTATTCTTAGGACGAGAGGTCTTTTTATTTTCTGATACATCTTGGTGTCAATTAAGTGATGGTGATCTTCATGACGACTTGACCACAACTTCTTCTAATAGCTCATCTAAATTGAAGGATTGGTTGAGAATTGTTTCCCCTGAAAATGTTGACTTTAATCCTCGTTTTACTGTATTTTTGATAGCAATGGGACCTATCTTTGAGCGTATTACAGGATGTGTGCAAATGGCTCGATTTGATATTCGTGGACAGCATAATATACTAGACCCTTCATTAGTACCTGTCATCTGGGATGATCTCAGTCACAGCTTAAAGCCCTTTATGATAAAAGAGGATAACTATACAAGGACTGAAAAAGGAGAAGAATGGTTTTCCTATAAACAACCAACAGAAATGATGCATTCCATTCGCTTAGGTATGAATGTCAGCTGTATGATTCATTTTAGATATCCTCCCGAGTTGAATCATTTGATTTGTACAGGAAGTTATTCAGATGACGAATTATCGATTTATGATTGGCGTTTTGGTATCAAAGTAGGAGTTTTACCTTGGAAGACAGTTTTAGTTAACAATGAAGATAATGATTCTGATTTTTTTACAAATCCATCATCATTAACAGAATTACACAATAATAATACTTTAGTCACGCAACCGCCCCGACATATACCTTTCGTAAGAAGAAGAAGTCTACAGCAACCAATGATACATGCATTAAATAACGCAGTGGAAGAGGAAAGGCAGTTTATTATAGACTTCAACAATGGTCATAACGAACTTTTGATACCTGATGAAGAAGAAGATAATGATGATGATGACGATGACAACGACGACGACGACGACGACGACGACGACGACGATGATGATGACGACGATGATGATGATGATAATTTAGGGACATTAATAGATGTTCGTCCTTGGGGATTAGAATGTACACTTGTTTTACCTCCTTATTGGTCAACAGTAGATAAAAATAATACTATTAACTCATTAGCTGAATATGGATTCCGCTTGATTGCTGTCGGTGATAATAGAAATGATAATACAAAGGATAAATTAGAGATTAAAGTATGGGATATATCTTATTTACTACGAGTCAAATGGAATCCATTGGCATCAAATAATGATAACTATGATCAACATAATGAGGACTATAACAGTAGTTTAATGTTTGAGTTATCACAAAAATTTTCATGGTGGCCAAGGCGTACAACAGAACTTTCACGATTAGCCATGAATATGGTAGGGCAACCCTTACATATAGTATCAACAAATATGTCTTCACGTTTTATGAGAAGAAGACGACAGATAGAGGCAGCAGCAAGAGCAAAATCTGCTCGATTACCTTATTCTCCACCTGACGGATTTCAATCCATGATTTTAGCACATACATTTGATAAAGATAGTTATCAGCAACGAGATATCATGCCTGTAAAATATACCGCTTATAACGTTTTATATACTTCATTGTTTCTTTTGACCGAAGATGGAAAAATGACAGTTATGGATATAGAAAGTGGTGAAATCACAGGAACTGTGGATAACGTGGCTGCGACGGCTTCTTCTATTGCTAGCAATAATAATAATAGTAATCATACTGTTTCAAGCCGTGTGAAAGGAATAGATGTAAATGTTATTGGTGGGAAAGAGGTAGTTGTTACTAGTAGAGAAGGCTTATTAAGAGGAACAGTGTTCTAATTATCCTTATGTATTTTATAATGTTGTAAATAATAAATATGTATAATCAATATTTATATATCTATATAAAGAAAAATAGAAACATAGTAATAACATTTTAATACGTTATAATAAGTCATTCAATATGAATTCTTTTTTTTTCTTTTAATTATACATTACACTACTTTACAAGTAATATGCATATATTTTATAAATATAACATTTGTCCAGACTACTATATGAAGATTAAGTAGGTACAACAATCAATTGGCTACGTATATATAATAATTGTAATAGAGAGATTTTCCTTTTTATTACAGTTAAAATCAATCAATCTACTACATCAATACCTTATCAGCTTGATAGCTAAACGTTATTACTATTATTGTTATATATCTTTTTTAAAATAGTACTATATGATCGTCAAAACGACCTTTGATGTATTCTTTGACTTGTAACGTACTACGAAAAAAATAAAAAATGCTCTTACTAGATAGGAAGGTCCCACCGAGAATCGAACTCGGATCACCGGATTCAAAGACCGATATGATAACCATTACACCATGGAACCCTTTGATATTTACGAATTTGATAGATAAAATATGATCAATATGAAGTAATTTTTGCCGGAATATCACGTGACTATCCGGTAATTTCTTCCTCCCAGACGTCGGACATGGTATATATTTGCTAGTAAAAAAAATGTAACACCTGCTTATATTTCTATAGCTAGAAGGAGACATTATACAAAGAGATTATAGCTATATGAAGCTTATTTATAATGTGAATAATATATATAAAAATATATATCTTATACCAATGATATTGTTTATTACAACTTAAGATGTTAATGTAATTTATTATTATTTTATATAATAGTTATTGTTTTGAAAAAAAAAAAAAGCCTACAGTAACTAAATGGGACATTGAAAAATTAAATATGGATAACTAGAGTAATTATGTATAGCATTGATAAAGAACCATTTAATGCCATATATTATTATTAATGCTATTACTGCTATTTTTATCATATTAAATTAAGAAAATCAATTGTGTCAAATAGTTTTGTATGCTAAAATTCTATTAAACCGAAACAAAAATGTTTAATTTAGACTGGCTATTGTCAAATCCTCTAGATCAGATATTTCTGATATGGGACCACTAATAAATATAGAGATAAAGGATATTTGTAGTAACTCTAAAGGAAAATAATTTTGTAAATTGAACCTTTTGGTTAAAAAAAAAAAAAAGAAAACAACAACAACTATAATTGATCTTCACAGACTTTTATTTTGTCTTTGTTAATGCGCTTTTTTCTTCCTTCGGTATAAAATATATATTAAAGGCTCTTCAATAGTCTAAAAAATAAACGAAAGTACTTTATTTCAATATAGAATGATATTATATTATGTTATGAATCATTATCTAGAAGACTGCAACGTTAGTCGAAGACAAAAATAAAATTACTATTACATGGATTTGGTAAACCATCATGATCTTAGAACAGCTATAAACTATAGGCCAAAGCTTTAAATAAATTTATTTATAGATTTATATTTAATAGCTTGAATATGAACTTTAGACTGGTAACTATTTGATTTAGTTAGATTATAAATACAGAGTATCAAATTATTCAAGTATGTTATATTTATATAGTTTGAAATTTTATTTCTAGATTATTATAGAACATCTACAATATATAGCAATTTTTCAAAAGTCTCTCCATCAAAATTGCAAAATACTTTTGGTTATGATGTACTTCATTATCATAGTTATAGTATATTACAGGATATAAACATACTAGACCTTTCAATATATATCATGCGTAAGTATATTAAAATTAAAGATTAGATATTCAAGTGCTTCAATACATATATGGTTCTCTGTGTGGAATATCTAATTGCTGACAATACGATCGAATAATTTTGTTTTATTAGTTAAATTTTTAATCTCTTTAAAAAATCAGCACAACAAAGTAATAATGAAAAAGAAACCAAAAACCCTTTGAAAAAGAGGAGGAGATGAAGAGAGCGTACTTTCGGATAGATTTTTTTTTTTTAGTTGATTTGTAAGCTTATAAAAAAGAAACTTTGAGATTGTTTTTTTTTTTTTTTTTTTTTTTTTTTTTTTTTTTTTTTTTTTAATAAGAAAAAACTATGGCATATTTTGTGCGTTTAAGTGGGATCGTACTATCTTCCTTATTATATGAATGTGCTAATGCAGAAAGAGATATTGTAAAAAGCAATAAATAATATTGTATACTTGACTCACTTTAAGCATACTAGGAAGGCTTCCTTTTAGGTACACTATCATTTAAAACTACTTTAACCAACGATGATTCATCAGAACATGCATTTGAAAAACGAGAAGATTTTATAAGTAAACACACACACATACATATATATATATAATGACCTTTCAGAATTCAATTTAACATTATATTAGTTATTCATGGATATCAAATACTTAAAGAGAAGCCTTATGATAGTAATGGTAATGTAGTGAAACATTTGTTTACTTCACAGCAAAAGGATGTGTCTTCTGTTGTAGGTTATTTTAAATTTAGAAGACAAACGGATGTTTCATTATCTGTACGAGATCGATTGTGGATGAAATCTTATGCATCAAATATACCACATGGCTGTATTGCCATCATTTCTTCAAATAATTTTTCTGATCCTTCAACTCAAACATTTGAATTTGCTTTTTGGGATATGAAGAATTCAGAAAAGTAAAAAGAAAATAATAACAGTTATAAAAGTCATTCACCGTTATACTTATTATTATTTTTTTTTTTTGTAAGTAAATTGCCTATTAACATTGCAAACATGAAAGAAAGTACACTTGGTTATAAAAGTTTCATCTCAAATGCACCACACACGTAATTACCAACTATCCTAATACCTAGCTCTTTTGCATTAACTTTCATTTTATAGAAACCAATTCCTGCCATCAACAAAAAACATTTCTGCTGAAATAATCGTCAAACAGTATGAAGACATGTACCAAACATCTATTCATTCTTTGAAAGAATATACAGATAAAATTATAAAAAAGGAGGCAAAATTACTAGCTTTAAAGAAGGAGATTTTAGAGCTTGAAGCAAAGAACAAGAAGTAATTACCAAGAATTGATTACATATTCTGATTAAGTGGTGTTTTGATTAAAAAACAGACAATAACAATGAAAATGCTTAGCAAAAAAAAAAAAATACTTTGTTATCTCCGCCGCTTAGAATTTTTTTTTTAACAAAATTAAAAAAAAAAATAACAACCTGTACTTCTGCTTTAACTTTTTTTTTCTATAATTAATAAATCCAATAATGAAAAGGGTTGTCAATTTCCAGGAACAGGATCCTATTGAAAAAGAATGGGAGTTTAAAGATAAATCAATCGAAAATAACAATAAAAAGAGAAAAACAAATAAGGAGCATAAGTTCAATGCTAAAAATAAATCAGGAAGTAGATTAGATCGTACTGATTACAAAAAAAAGAAAATGGAAATGTTAGAATTTAGGAAACAATTACCAATTTATTCAGGTAATTGATAAAAAAAATACTATTGATCATTTAGTGTAATTGACATTATTATAAAGGTCGAGAAGCCATTATACAAAGTATGAAAGAAACTGATACAATGATTGTTATGGGTGAGACAGGTTCAGGAAAAACAACTCGTAAGCATTCTTATTTCAAGAGAAAGATTTTTCTTTAAACAATTAATACATGGATTTATGTTTTAGAGATACCACAATTTTTAGTTGAAGCAGGTTTAGTATCAAAAGATTTAGGTGGTGTAGCTATTACACAACCTCGTCGAGTTGCTGCAGTCAATTTAGCCAAACGTGTAGCAGAAGAGACCATGACACGATTAGGAACTAAAGTTGGTTATACAGTCCGTTTTGATGATACATCTAGTCCACAAACCATTATCAAATACCTTACTGATGGTATGCTATTGCGTGAAATTCTATCAGATGAACTCCTTTTAAGATACAAAATTGTTATCCTCGATGAAGCACATGAACGTACATTAAGAACAGACATGTTGTTTGGTATGATTAAAAAGATTCAAGAAATAAGACAGAAAAAGTATGAAGCTGGAGAAAAAGGTATTCAACCTTTAAAGATTATTGTCATGAGTGCCACATTAGATGCCGAGAAATTCAGTGAATTCTTTAATAATGCAAAGATTCTTTATGTATCGGGTCGTTTATACCCTGTCGACACAATGTTTACAGTCGAACCACAAAACGATTATTTGGATGCAGCACTTGTCTCGATCTTTCAAATTCATGTGAATAATCCAAAAGGAGATATTCTCGTCTTTTTACCAGGTCAAGATGCAATTGAGAGTTTAGCTGCACTTGTTCAGGAATACTCAGCTCAATTAAGACCACAACAACAAAAATTGATGGCATGTCCACTATTTGCAGCCTTACCCCCTTCTCAACAACAAAGAGTTTTCGATCCAGCACCAGAAAATACACGTAAGGTTATTTTAGCTACGAATATTGCAGAAACAAGTATTACAATTCCAGGTATTCGCTATGTAATTGATAGTGGGTTAGCTAAATTACGTGGATTTAATCCAAAGATTGGCGTTGAATCACTTTTATTACATCCTATTTCAAAGAGTTCAGCATGGCAAAGAACAGGTCGCGCAGGTAGAGAGGCTGCTGGTGTTTGTTACAGATTGTATACCGAGAATGTATTTAAAGAATTAGAGGATGATACTGTTCCTGAGATTAGACGATGTAACCTTTCTTCAGCAGTTCTTTCATTAAAGGCAAGTGGGATCGATAATGTGCTTGAATTTGATTATATGGATAGACCTTCAAGAGCGTCTCTCATACGTGCCTTGGAGGAATTATATGCTTTAGGAGCTATTGATGATAAGGGTTGTCTCTCTGATTTGGGTAAACAGATGGCTGAATTTCCACTTGATCCAACCTATTCAAAGGTTCTTATTCAGTCAAAAGAATATGGTTGTTCATTAGAAGTAATTGCTATCATTTCTTTATTATCTGTTGATTCCATCTTTTTTACTCCTTCTGATAAGCGTGAGCAAGCAGCTGAAGCAAGAAAGAAGTTTCTTCATCCTGATGGCGATCACTTGACTCTTTTAAATGTACTTAAATCATATTGGGAAGTGAAAGGTGATATTGAATGGTGTAGAGAAAATTTTATTAATAATCGAAATATGAAGATTGCTATGGTAAAAAAAAAAGAAAAAAAAGAAAAATACAAATTATTAGTCAATATTGAGTATTTTTTAACAATTTTAATTAGGAAGTACGAGATCAACTTATTCGATTTTGTGAGCGAATTGATATGGATCCAAATAGTACATGTGGAGGAGAAACAGACAATGTCTTGAAGTGTTTCTTAACAGGCTTTTTCCAAAATACGGCACTATTACAGCCTGATGGATCTTACAAGAGCGTTGCAGGTAGCCAAGTAGTCAAGATTCATCCTGGATCTGCTATGTTTGGTAAACGAGTAGAAGGAATCATGTATAATGAATTAGTATTCACTACAAAACATTATGTGCGAGGTGTATCTGCTATACAGTCTGCTTGGTTACCTCAAGCAGCACCTAAATATTTTAATAATGTTAAAACAGCATAATAAATACAAAATATGTATATTTTTAAGTTACACAAATGCATACCTTTTATTATTATTATTATTAAATAGTGCCATAGTTAAGAACTAATATGAAACAGCAGCAAACATTTTATCAGACTCGATTTGCATATCCAACGATGGCTAATATAAAACCTTCAATTAGAACACAGGGAGTCTTTTCTTCTTATCCAGATAGACTTAAGCATTCTGATGATAATGCATTATTGTTACCAAAGACGTACATTCCAGCCAAAAAATTACGTTTTATTAGTCCTGGAAATGAGTCTGATGACGATGAATTAATAGAAGAAACTAATGAACAAGAGACCATTAAGATGAATGATGCTGCAAGTCAACAAAGTTTAAATATTGGAGTTGGGCCTATTAACGAAAAATGGCAAAAGACGATTCAAAGAAAGAATGAAGACCTAGTTTACTCATTTATTGAATTAAATAACATTGCAAATATGGATGAGATTTTAGTACCTATTAGATTAGATCTGGATATTGATTCAGTTAAACTTAGGGATAGATTTTTATGGAATATGAATGGTAAATCTGACATTCATTAAGATTCCTATAGTTAGATATAAACATATGTCATGTCAAATTTTAGAGCAATATATTACGCCTGAAAGGTTTGCTGAATTGTTATGTGAAGACCTTCAGTTAACGCCATTGAGTCGATTTATTCAACCTATCGCGGATTCAATTCGATCACAAGTTGTTGAATTTGAAACTTTTAGTAAAATCAACCTGTGCTTAAAACATACTCGAGTTATTATTCATGTAAATAAAATAAATAAACATATAAAATAATAACTGACTTGATAAAACATAGCTTGATCTACAGATAGGTAAGGTTAACTATCGCGATCAATTTGAGTGGGAATTGGATAGCAACGATGAGCAGACGAATGCGCCAGAAGTATTTAGTCGTCAATTAGTATCCGAGTTAGGAGTAGGTGGAGAGTATTTGCCAATTATATCCCATGCTGTCAGAGAACAGTTATTTAGACTAAAAAGACAATATACAGAAGAGGTAATAGGATATCATCAGAATGCATATATCTGACTTTTATATCTAGTCAATGATGGAAGGAGAGGTTAAACAAATACTTGATAATGGATTCCGATCTATAGAAGAAACTAGAGACTGGGAGCCACGTTTAGAAGCTTTATCTGATAAAGAACTAGAAAAGTCATTAATATCTCAAGAAAGAAACATTAGGTAAGGTTAAGCAAAGAATACAAAAAAAAAAAAAAAAAAAAAAAGAGAGAGAGAGAGAAACTAAGAGTTTTTTTTTATATGCATTTCTTTAGACGAATGAGAAGAGAAACACGATTCAGAAGATCGCTTCGTCATCAATAAACTTTGCTTCATATCGAAGATGATATAAAGCTATAAAAAAAGGAAATACATTTAGTAGCATCAAATGTTTGAAAGCTTTTACAGAATAAAGATAATATAAATCAAATAATTTAATTCGAATACAGTGATTCTCAATCTAAGTTTAATATCTTATCGTGTAATTCAAAATAGCTACTTTAATATTTAACATATCAGTGAAAACATAATAGAAATGGAGATAACACTCTGTCTTTTCCCTAATAGCGTATATTTATTCCTGTTTATAGTTTAACCAAATAAATTTTGGCAGCTTATAGAGATGCCTATAAAAGACATATTTTCCATGTGAACAATTCAAAGATATTATCAAAGACTGTATTGTTTATAAATCGATACGAAGGTTATTTTCAATCCAAAAAATTAATTGTCAAAGGTATTTATGGTAGGCTTATGAAAAGTTGCAATGTCTATCAAAGAATCAATATCCAAAAAGGTCAAAAAATAATATCCATAGTATCTTTTGAATTGATAGAGCCACTTATTACATTACTATTGGCATCGATTTCGATAAAAGGAAAACCTCTTATTTTACAACCATTGATTACAGTCATTTAAATAAGAATGCTAACATTTATTGTGGTAGAAGAAAGGAAAGTAAAGAAGATATAGTACATTCGAGAGACTTGGTCAAGATTGGAGTTCACCTTAATATTGCTTCTATTGTAGACATTTATAATAATCATAGTAATTTGGAAGAAAGTGTCAATGAATATACTTTGCTTTTAATTAGTATCTAAGTCATATACCCATCATTTATCTTATTTCAAAAAAAAAAAAAGAAACCAATAATAAATTTGTATTTTACTTTTATAAATGCATGAAGCTTTACAAGTATTCTTGTGTAAGGAGAAATAATACATTGCATTCTAGAATAAAGCAAATCAATCTAAATATTTATTTAGCATTTATTCGTGTGTCTGTTTTCCCTTAAGAATAATATAAAGTGTATTCCACTTTACTATTTCCAAGAACATAAAGACAAAATTACTGAGTGGAGTGCATGTAGTTTTTTTTTCTCCATACATATAGCAAACGTGACTATGTAACTGACCCCAGATATGAAATAAAAATCTGTCAAATAAAGAACTACTCTGCCCTCCCCCTTTATTTTGTTTTTATTTGGTCCATTATAACTATAATGACGTTTATGAGATCAATGTTGTGTGCCTCTTCATTATTAAAGGTGAACATCTCTTTTAATTTTTTAATTTTATTATAACATTTATGATTTACCCCTGGTTTAATTTAGACAGTATCTGTCCAAAAAAGAACATTAGCTACAACTATAGAAGCAGCCCCAAAAGGTAACAAAAAAGAATACCAAAAAAAACAGAACAAATGAATGTAAAATAAAAATAAATACTTATTAATTTAATCACTATAGTCATCCCTACTACTGTTCAAGCTTTTCTTCGTGATTTTAAAACCAATGAACCCACATCACTCATTGAGCTCGATAATTCAGTATTTGGACAACCCATTCGACGAGATATCCTCCATAGAGTCGTTGTTTGGCAAAGAGATGGTATGAGACAAGGCACACATTCAACTAAGACACGAAGCGAAGTACGAGGTACGTCCAAGAAATTGGCTCCTCAAAAAGGCCGTGGTAAGGCTCGTATAGGTGATGGCAAGGCACCCCATATTCGAGGTGGTGGTATCGCCTTTGGACCTAAGCCCCGTGATCACAGCACAAATTTACCTCGTAAAGTGCAGGAATTAGGTTTGCGAGTAGCACTGAGTGCTAAATACGTGCAAGACCAATTGGTGGTTGTTGAATCATTTAGTAATGTCTTCAAAAGCGAAAAACCTAAAACATGCGAATTGGATAGGATATTAAAAACGACTTATAATGATACACGCAAGTTGTTAATTGTCTTGAATTCATGTAATCCAATGATCGAATTGGCAGCTCGAAACTTGTCTAATTGTGAAGTGATTCATGTAGAGGAAACAAATGTCTTGGATTTATTGGCTTTTGATAAATTAATTATCGAAAAGAGTGCTGTCCAAACATTAGAGGAAGCTCTTAAAGTAGAATTATAATACTGTACAATATATGCCTTTTTTTTTTTTATAATTTTACTCTTTTATTGTTAAAAATGGAAATAAAATATGTTATATACATTTTAAAGACATAAATATACATGTGTATTTTTTACTCCTTATGTCTAGCAAATACTGTGTTTTATATAATATATATTTGAGTCAAACTTTTTTTTCTTAAAAGAATCTCTAAGCAGCAAATCTGGTCTTTTTTTACCAACCAGCACCGTTAGCAGAGGCAGGAGGTGCTCCCCAACCATCAGAGGTAACAGCAGGAGCTGCACCCCAGCCATCATTACCAGAAGCGGCAGGAGTAGAACTCGTAGCGGCAGGTTGGCCCCATCCACTAGAAGCAGGAGCAGGAGCAGGTGCTGAGGCAGGAGCAGGACTAGTAGTGGCAGGTTGACCCCAACCGCTAGAAACAGGAGCAGGTGCTGAGGCAGGAGCAGGGCTAGTAGTAGCAGGTTGACCCCATCCACCAGAAGCAGGAGCAGGAGCAGGGCTAGTAGCGGCAGGTTGACCCCAACCATTAGAAGCAGGAGCAGGAGCAGGAGCAGGTGCTGAGGCAGGAGCAGGGCTAGTAGCGGCAGGTTGACCCCATCCACCAGAAGCAGGAGCGGGAGTTGAGGTAGGAGCAGGACTATTAGTAGCAGGTTGGCCCCAACCATTAGAAGCAGGAGCAGGAGCAGGTGCTGAGGCAGGAGCAGGGCTAGTAGCGGCAGGTTGACCCCAACCATTAGAAGCAGGAGCAGGAGCAGGTGCTGAGGCAGGAGCAGGGCTAGTAGCGGCAGGTTGACCCCAACCACTAGAAGCTGGAGCAGCAGGAGCAGCAGGTTCAGAAGATCCCCAACCATTGGAGGCTGGTGTAGTAGCGGCAGGCTCAGAAAATCCCCAACCAGCAGCAGCAGGAGTAGAGGTAGCGACAGCAGGTTCAGAAGATCCCCAACCATTGGAAGCTGGTGCAGTAGCGGCAGGCTCAGAAGATCCCCAACCAGCAGCAGCAGGAGCAGAGGTAGCGACAGCAGGTTCAGAAGATCCCCAGCCAGCAGCAGCAGCATTAGGATCCCAATTTCCAGAGTCAAAATTAGAAGATTCAGCAGCAGGTTGAGAATCATAACCGCTATTATCATAGCCACCATAACCACCAGCGCCACTGTCTTCACCCTTAGAAGAATGACATTTGAAGCATTCAGTACGAGATGCATAGTTTACAGCAGAACATCTAAAAAAACGAGAGCATAGTTTGTTTAATAAACAATACACACATAATATACAGATAATTTAGTTAATATAAACTTACGAAGGACAGTCCCAGTCGCCATCACGTCTAGGACGAGGAGCACGTCTTTCACCACCAAATTCTCCACCAGCACCTTCAGGTTTAGCAGTACCACATTTGAAGCATTCATAACGAGAAGCAAAATTAGAAATACCACAGTCAGGGCAGTCCCAATCACCATCACGCTTAGGACGAGGAGCACGTCTTTCACCACCAAATTCTCCACCAGCACCTTCAGGTTTAGCAGTACCACACTTGAAGCATTCATAACGAGAAGCAAAATTAGAAATACCACAGTCAGGACAATCCCAATCACCAGGACGACCATTCGATTTTCTTCCACCACCATAGCTATCATTAGCGTTATTACCAGAATCCCAAGCTCCGTCAGCTGCGCCTGTAGGTTCAGCATTATTAAAGCCTTGAGGAGCACCAGGGGTGTTTCTTTCCATAGGAACGTATTCTTGACCGGCATAAGCAGGAGCTTCAACACCAGTATCATCAAGATCTTCATCAAAGGTTAAGTCATCGGTAACATAGGGTTGTAAGAAATCAGGAATTTCTTGGTTACATTCCTTCAATAATTTGGTCAACTCAGGAGCTAATGCGGCACTACGGTCATTATAGAAAGATGTAGCTAAACCAGATTTACCAACACGAGCAGTACGACCAATACGATGAATATATTCATCCATATCTTGAGGCATATCATAATTAATAACGTGCATGACATTACGAATATCGATACCACGAGCAGCAACGGCGGTAGCAACTAAAATAGGGCATTTGCCTCTCTTGAAAGCAAGAAGAGCATCTTCTCTTTCCATTTGTGTACGATCACCATGAATAGAAGTAGAAGGGAAGTTACGTTCATAAAGATAATGATCCAAACTTTTAAATTATCATAATATTAGATAAACTCTTTTTTTTTTGTATTCATATTTTATTTTATTAAACTTACCTATCAGCACTTCTCTTGGTTTCAACGAAGATAAGAGTACGGCTAGGAGGTTGAGCATTTAATAATGCACGAAGAGCCTCTCTCTTTTCATCCTCTTCAACGTGCATAATCTATAAAAAATAGTTGAAAAATTAAACTTGTATAATATATATATATATATATATATATATATTTTACCTTTTGAGTAATGGAGTTAGAGGTACCACCAACACGACCAACCTTCAAGAAGAGATAATCAGTACGTAAGAAATCACGAGCAAGAGCACGAATAGCTCTAGGGAAAGTAGCAGAGTACAAGAGAGTTTGTCTATCAGTAGGCATACCACTCTTCAAGGCAATAGTACGAATAACAGCTTCGAAACCCATGTCCAACATACGATCGGCTTCGTCTAAAATAAGATATTTAACTCTACTAAGTCCAACCTTACCACGTTGAATAAAGTCCATAAGACGACCAGGGGCAGCAGCTAAAACATCACAGCCTCTTTCAAGTTGACGAATCTGACCAATAGAGTCAGCACCACCATAAACAGCACTAAATAAAATAAAATATTAATACTTTTTTTTTCACAGTCTCTCTCTTTTTTTTTTCTGATTAAAGAGTATATTACCAAGGTCTAAGAGAAGATCTGTAGGTGAACTAATAATCATTAAAAGAATTAGATAAGCTATCATTTGTATTATTTATATTTATCAACTTACTCTTCTACATTCATCGAAAATTTGAGAACAAAGTTCACGAGTAGGAGCAATAATAAGAACGAGAGGCTCAGCCTTATAAGATCTGTATTCATAAGGGGCAGGTTTAGGTTTTTGAAGTTCTCTGGCATTGTAAAAAAGGGCGGAAAGGGTAGGAATAAGGAAAGCTGCGGTCTTACCAGAACCTAAAATAGTATTAATTAATATATTGTTGTCAATTTCCTCTTCTAAAAAAAAGTTTTTCTGTTTTAAAATAAAGCTTACCAGTCTGAGCACATGCCATCAAGTCTTTACCACTAGTAACAATTGGGACAGAGTATGTCTATCATTTGAATTAGAATCAATATATTATTATTTTTTTTTCAAAAATTTTTATTTATTTAAATTACCTGAACAGGAGTAGGAACAGCATAATGTGCAAGTTTAATGTTCTCCTTCATGACAGGATGAAGATCAGCCTCATCAAACTATATAGAGAATTTCCTTTTAGTTATCAAAGAATAAATAAAGATATAATAATAAGACTTACGCTTTTGATAGGGGGAGGAGCTTGACCACGTTCTACACGAATAGGAATTTTTTGATACTTTGAAAAGTCAAGGGGGGTTTGTTGATCAGCAGCATTTTGTTCAAAGAGTTCAGCTTCAAGAGTAGGATCACGAGGGGCCATACCATCTTCACCAATTGCATTTTCATTGTATTCATAACGAGCACGATTAGAAGCCCAGTTATAATTTCTATGTTGTAATTGTTCTTCAGTAGGTTCAGGACGAGGAGGACGTGAATCACTACCTTGTCTATAATCATTATTAGGTTGAGAGAATTCACCCTGATCATTGTTACCATTGCCATAATTGGCGTTGTTATTAACGCTAGCATCACCAGAACCAAATTCCATTTGAGCATTACCAGAAGAGAAGTCCATTTGTGCACCACCAGAAGAAAAATTGACTGCAGAAGAATCCCAAGACATTATATATTTATTTATTATATATAAACAAAGACTCCTTTATTTTTTTTTTAAAAAAAAAAAATAGAAAAAGAGGGAGAAAGTAGTCGTAATAATTGTCAAATTTTAAAAAAAAAAGCCATATTTTTTTTCCAAAAAAGAAAAAAAAAAAAAAAAAGAACTGAAAAAGTAACTGAAAAAGTTCAAAATAATAATATTTACATACATCATTAAAAATCAATCATATTTTATCTTTACTTTCAAATGCATCATCAACTACTAAACAGAAAACAAAATAGTGTCTTTAAACACTACAAAGAATAACACTTCTTTTTCTATTAACGTATTTGATTGTTAACTACAACATGAATACGTGCATATTATCCTTTTGTATGATATATTCAGCTATCTAAGAACAGTCATATATTGTTTTACGCGATAGTTAATAATAACAGTTTATTTATTTATTATTATTATTATTATTATTGTTTCCATCAAAAAATGCAGGGTTAATATACATGCCTCTGAAGCCAGCTCCATCATTAGTATTTCCTTGTTGATAGTTTTGATAACCTGTCATTCTACTATTAGTATTACGATTAGGTCTTATCATGTTATTAGCACGCATTGTATTAACAGCATTAGGATTATTCATCATCATCATCTCATTATATCCCATTCTTGTTGATGGAAATCCATATGATGGCATAAATCCTACCATAGCCGCTGCTGCTGCTGCCGCTGCTGCTGCTGATACAGGGAATCCACTGGATGAATTCATAGGCCCACCACGAGGTATCGTATTATTTGGCATTCGAGATGATTTGTTTGTATTTATTTCTAGTTTGAATACAAGTTATTACTATATCAAAATGAATGAATTAAGGGTTTTTTTTTTTTTTACCTTTAGACAAATGCTTGAATGGATTTGTTGAAGTAGTGAAGACTGCGTATACCTTTTTATGATCTAATTCACTAAAGTAAAAGTTAGTACATTGTAAAAAATCATATAGACATGTATGTATACAGTACGTATTATCAAAAATAGTTTTTGCTTGTAAAGCATAATCTTTGTTTGTAAATTCAAAAAAGACAATTCTAAATATGAAAATTAAATATAAGAAATCATGAATCATATATTCGCTTACCCTTTAGATTTTCCATTATTTTTATGTTCAAAAAATGTCATTTCTTTAATTTGTTCTAACAGATTGGCTTTCTTTAATGGCTCTTTTATAATTTTATCTGTTGTATACTAATTGATGATATAATCAACTTAATACATTTATAAATATAGAAACCGCAAGTTTAATCATTACCCAATGTAATTCACCAAGGTAAATAGATTGAGTTGGTTTTGTTGATATACCTCTCAATTGAGTTAGAGCTTGGGGAATTGTTACATTATTATTATTTTGATAAACTGCTGCTGATTGAACCTTTTGCTCTATAAAAAAAATATATATATTTTCATTCATGGACATGTGAATTTTAAGTATGTATTTCTTTATTATTATTATTTTTACCTTTTTTCTTTACTTCATCTTTTTGTTCTTCATGTCGAGGCACTTTCAAATTCTAAAAATTGAAATGAATGATATGTTAAGTATTCTTATCCTATATATAGAATGTACTTTTACTGATTCTTCTAATATTTCTTCTTTATCATCATTCGTTCTTGTTCTTTTATTCGAAGTAATAGGCTTCTCAGTTGTAATTTCGTCTAAAATATCGTCAGACTATGAAAAGGATGAATTACTTTATGTAATATATGTATATATATATCACTAAAAACACTTTATACCTGACTAAAATCATAATCACCGTAAATATCAAATTCTTCTTCGTCCATTATATATAATTGACATTCAGTAGAGAAAAAGAAGAAATAAAAAAGATAATGAAATGACCTATTTCTTGTTTTTACAAAAAAAAAAAAAAAAAAAAAAAAAAAAAGAATAAAGTGTGACTTTATTCATATAATTTGCATAAATATGCATCATATTAAGACAAATATTATTAGGGTTTATTATAACAAAAAAAAAAAAAGAGTGTAATGTATATTATATAAAAAATGAAAGACAGTACATAAATAGTATAATAAAGAGGTATTATAAGTTTAATGATATACATTTCTTCTTTTTCTTTCTTTTCTTTTTCTTTTTTTTTTTTTTTAAAAAAGAAAAAAAAGGAAGGAAGGGAGGGCATAGTAGAGTGTATAAATGTTAATTAGTAGATGTAGAGGAATACCTATGTATAATACACTATAAGTTAAATGCATGTGATGTAAAACAGTCATCTTACTTTTTTAAATTTGAATTTTCTTCAACAAGCCTTTCAACTTCTGCCAAGAGCTCATCTTGTAGTTTCTTCATATGTTCTAATTGTTGTACAGCACGACTTAAAAGAGCAGCTTTACTTAATTTTTTGTTAGCACAGCCAGGTAAGTGTTTCTTTAAGACTTCAAAACCATCCTTGATTTGTGCACGTCTTTTTTGTTCAGATTGAATATGAATTTGACGTCGAATTTCAGACATAGATAGTTGCTGTCTATTTAAATAAATAAATAATTAGCATATGAATGATAGATGTATATATATATTTATTATTTACTCTTCTTCATTATCATATGAATAATCGTTAGTTAATTTCTTAATATAATGGCTATCACTATCAGTTCCTGTCATACGTTTACGCTTCTTTAACGTTTGATTTTCATAATTTGATTTTGAATATTCAAGAAACTCGGTTTGATAGAACTCAACAGGTACTGTATTAGCACGAGCAATAGTTTCTCTCACTCTTTCTTCAGTTGATTGTTCCAGTGAAGGAGGTGGAACGAGAGGATTGACTAACAAAGAACGTTGCTGATTAGGCAAAGTACTAGTTGAAGTAGATAGATCACCCTTATTATGATTAAAATGAACAGCAGGCGGTGTGCGAGGTGAACTATAGCCAGCAGAAGAAATAGAAGACGGACTTCCTCTATTAATTAAACTATTAGCGTCTTGGTGCTGAGGAGGATAATAAGGATGATGATTTAACCAGTGTGGATGATTATTACACATATTATAATATTCTTGTTGCTGTTGCTGTTGTTGCTGTTGCTGTTGCTGTTGCTGATGATACTGATGACGATCAACCAAAATAGTATTATTATTAGGATAGTTTTGTGAATAAACTATATGAGAAGCTTGATGCTGTAAAAGAGTCGAAGGATTATTATTATTATTTATCATTGGCATTGAATTGACATAAGGATACTGTTGCTGCTGCTGTTGTTTATTCATATCTTTAAAGGAATGACTAGTTTAAGGAATGTAAAGGAATGTAGAATAATAGTAAAGGAAAAGGAAAGGAGAGCCTTTTTTTTTTTTTTTTGGTTTTAATGATGATCAGAAGAAGAAAAAAGCCTTTTTTTTCTTTTTTCTTTTTCCTTTTTTTTTTTTTTTTTTTTTTTCTTTAGTTTAAAAATAAAATTGGAGGGCCACCTACTGTTGTTATCCCGATCTATAAAGAATAATATTATTTAAATAATGGCAAGTTTCACATTTTAATATAAATGTTATTCTGTATATTATTTACAACTTCAAACTCTTCAAGTCTATAGCGTCGTGTCTATATCTACTATATATATATTATCTTGAAGGCAATTTCCACAAGTCGTGCATATCTTAGCTATCATAGTATTGACCTTCTATAAAATTATATAGTAAAGGCCTTGTATTTTATGCGCTTCATATATACACACGTGGTTGCTTTTTTTAATTTAAAAGAGAAAATAAAAAGAGTTTAATTCTACACGAGGTTTTCATATCGGAGCTTCCTTACGTTTTCAAACATGTTTGTCGTAGCGGTAGTTATTAGCTTATTACAATAGTAAAATAGGCAAACATACATATGTTTAAATGAAACATGACAACGATTGTTAATATTTTTAGAATTCTTTTTAGTGCTATTTGTTTCTTGGTAAAAGTTCTCTAAAATTAGAAAGATTTTATTTAACAGGATTGGATCTTTTTTTATTTATTTATTTATTTTATTTTTTTCTTTTCTTTTGATTTGCATCCTGTGGGACTTGGATTTATTCCTATTCATTTTTTTGATTTAAAAGTCATCAGTAAAGACTTGAGAATGCACAACTTGATAATTTATTTATTTTAAACATATTTGCGGTTTTTAAATTTTTGCTATACTACGGCTAGTAGACTCAACCGACCTTTGTCTTTTGACTTTGTTGAGAGATTGACAAGTTATGGCTGTCATCATTTAGAGGAACTAAATCTTTCTTTATTAGATCTACTACATAAAATGAGGATTTTGTTTTAAGCAGAATGAATATATATTATACTACAAATATAATTAATATAAAGAACGGGATATCGAGTGATAGAGAAGCATAAGAGATACATAAGACAGGATTAAAAAAAAAAAAAAAAAAAAAAAGTATGTCTATAATGGGTATTCTATTATAGTTATTAAAAAAAATAAGGGTAATAATACGGTTAGCTTATCCTTCCCCCACCCCCTCCCCTCCACAGTCTTGCACAGTAACCTGTATAACGACATCTTTAACACTTGTAGTTAGTAGTCATGTATTATCTTCATCTGCTATCTTTTGTTTCGTTTAACGCCTAACTTGATTTTCAACTCCCCTATTTTCTTAATTAGGTTTCGGAAAAGGGGAATAGATGATAAGGTACTTGGAATTATACCCGCAATAAGAAATAAGAGCTTGTATCTTAACTAACTTATGAATAGGTGTACTATCCATTATCAAAGACCATTCTTTTATTTTATATACATTAAGAACATACATCAGATTATACCATTAAGAAACTAAGAGATAGTGCAGATTTCCCTCCTCCCCACCTTCCTTAACCATTCACTTTTAGAACCTCGGAATGATGATGTTTAAAATATCTCTTTTTCTTGAGTACGACAGGTGTTGGGTTTCCAAAGATAAGAAGGCCAGTGATATCTTCCTTTCTTTTTTAATATAATGATGCTCTCCAATCATAGTCATATAAATATCCTTTCACGTATCGAATGTGACTTTGTCAGGCACACCAATAAAGAGACCCACCAAGATTTGGTTTTTTTTTTAATATGTAGATTCAAATCCTGCTATATTATCAATAAATACTCAATTTTCCATATAATCAAAATCATTTACGGCTTTCCATCCGAGTATCATAATTTAATTTTTCTTTTCTAAAATGTCAATATGAGCCTTATCTGATAACTTTAATACCAATTCGTAATACCTCAATAAGTACTTGTAAATAACTGACACAAACATGAATAAACTAAGGATGGCTATGATGAGGGAAAGTTATCCCTATTAGAACCAACGCTTTGTCAAGATAATTTTCATAAAATTGAATAGGAAAAAAAAAAAATACTAAATGTTCTTAAAACAACTTTTGATTTCCGAAATTGCGCTTCTCTAGTAGTTTGATCTTGTCTTTTTTGTTGAAGTTAAAATTTCCTACTTCTTCTATCACAGACTTTATAGTTATTACTCTATATAATAGTAGCAGTAATGGTGGTGGTGATTGTCTAGTTCATACTATAACATCAATTTTTTTCCTTTTCTTATACAGATGCAAAATTACCGTCAACAAAGGCATACCAAAGTAAAACTATTCATTTGACTTCTTAATATACTTTTAATATTATATACATCCTCCTAACAAATTGAAACACTTGTAGATACTTGTATTACCCTATGCTGTCTCTACTTGTTTACTCTTCTTCTTTATTTGCAACTCTAATTGGAGCTTAATAGCTGATTCGAGAATGCTACTGTTTATATCCTATTGTGGTGAGCCCATAATATAATGATTCGTAGCTAGTACACCAGTCCATCTTATAAGTTTTGTGATCTATACTCTTCATTCGGCATATGAATTGTTTGTTTCTGTTTTCATATCTTGGGAAATACTTTGACCTAAAAAAAAAACATTATTTCAAATATCAAAATACATCATAGTACAGTGCTTGACTGTGACAAATTTGAAAGTAACAGTAATCTACTTTATACAAGACATTAATACATATAAGGTCTTTTTATTTATTTATGGTCCAACACCAATTCACCTTATCTTTTGAACAGAGTATGATAATAGTTTTAAACTACTATAATGTATTATTCAATTTATACGTGTATCTATTTTACTTTACAGCTTAAAAAAAAAAAAAAAAGAAGAAGATTACATAGTATGTAATAACGAATATATATTGTCAAAGTAAACAGTATAATTACTACTACTTTTTTTTTTTTATAATACAAAAAACATAGAGTATAAAGAAATTTATCATACAATACATAGACATACATGCATATAAATATATGACGATTTTATAAGATGTACATTATAAGATAGACTATAATAGTAAAATCTATCCACTTTATCTTTCTTAGTAATTTCATCATAATACTACATCATACTTTAATATAAATAGTGATTTAAAATATACACTGTATTTCCTAAAAAAAAAAAATCAAAATCCGTCATTTACATTTTTTTTTTTTTTTTTTTTTTTTTTTTTTTTTAAATCTACATAAAAAAAAAATAATGAGCGATCAAACTTTTGCTGTACCTGCTTTACCATCCAAGAGAAAGCAACAAGAGGAAGCGAATGAGCAACAACAGCAACAAAAGTCGTTACCAATTCCACCACCACTCAAATATGAAAAACCTTCATGGAGTGCAGAAGCTAGTTTCAACTATCGGATTGAAGTTTTAAAAAATGGTCAAAGCATAGAGACGATAGAAGGGCCCAAAAAAGAATTTATTACAATCGGTCGATTACCATTATGTGATATTCTCATGGAACATCCAGTAAAGTAATCATACCCATTCTTTATGAATGGCATATATATATATATTAATGCCTTTATTTTATTTAGTCCATTTCACGTTATCATGCTGTCATTCAGTTTGATCACGATGGTGAAGCATACATTTATGACTTGGATAGTGCTCATGGTACAAAAGTAAATAAAAAAGTAATTTCAGCACGCGATTATGTTCTTTTAAAACCTGGCGATCAGATTCGCTTTGGAGAAAGTACACGAATATGCATTTTTGATTCAGAGAAACCCTATGATCCAGAAGCAGAAGCAGAGGCGCAAAAGGAGAAAGCGTTTAGACAACGACTTGCTAAAGCCAGAGGAGAGATAGTACCTCAAGAAGAGGGTGAAGATGAAGGGATTACATGGGGCTTTGCTGAAGATGCAGTTGAAGAGGATGATGATGATGATGATGATGTTAATAATCAAGAAGAGGGATATATGGGCATGCAGGATATTATGAATAATTTGGATAAATCAGGAGATGCCAAATTATTAGATATAGAAGCAGCCAAAATGTCAGTTGAGGATGCTAAAAGACGTCGAGAAGATTTAGATATTATGTATGGAGAGGATAGTGATGAAGAATTATATGATAAAAGTAAAAATAGAATGTATATATATGAAATATATTTATATTTGTACGCATTATTAAAATCAAAAAATAGCGAGAAAAAAGAATAAAAAGAAAGAACAAAAGGCAGAAACACATGAAGAATTGGTAATCAAGGAAAGACAAACAAAAGAAAAGATCAAAGAGCTTGAAAAAGAAATTGAAGAGAAAAAGAAACAAGAAAAGAAAGATAAAGAAGTAGAAGAAGACTTGGATGCTTACATGGAGAATTTAACTAAGAAATCTACACAAAATGAAAAATCAGTATTTGCACTTCAAAAGGAATTAAATAATTTAAAGAAGGTATGTATTATGAATGTGAGTCTAGTTCTAGTTTTATTGAATTACTATGATTATTATTTTAGGATCATGAACGATTAGTTAAGCTTGTAAAATTAACCAAGCCAAATGAAATATTCACTTTTATAAAAAAGACAAGTTAATAAAATCCATGTTCCTTTAAATATTCAAGTGCCATCCAAGCTGTTTGAACAGAAGGTAACATCATTTCTGCTCTTGTAATAAAACGTTTCAAGTCTTGAATAGATACATGATGAATAACTTCAATGCATTCTTCTGGATCTCTTTCTCTTGGTGAATCATCTTGAATAGGATCTAAACAAAGAAAAGGAATAAAGCGATTTTTACCCCACTTGAGTTCACTAATACCGTCATCTGTATAATCTTTCGGTAGTAAATTAATCCATTCTCCTCCCTTTAAATAAGATTCTTCTGATAATTCATGTTGAGCAGCTTCTAAGACACTTGTATGTTATGTAAGCATATTCAATGTATCACATATTGTTAGATTATTATTATTATTACCTTGTGTGTTTTCTTCTATCATATGAGCCAGCTACACAAGTATATTTCTAAAAAAAAAACACGTTGTACATAAAAGTTTATTATATTGCCCTATACATACATATTATGATTACATACAATTTCATTCGTTCCTTGAGCGTATTCCTTCAATAGAGTTGTAGTTTTCTACAAAACAAAGAATATATAAATATAACCGCATTTTCTTTTCTTTTCTTTTTGTATAGACTTATTATGACCTACAGTCTTTGTATTAAAAGTAAAAACGACAATAAAAGTAGGATAAGAGGTATCATGACCAACAACATCCCAATCGATGACACGTCCATCATTAAATTCTGTTGTTCGATTCCATACTGTAATGTACCTTAAGATAAATAAATAAATAACTATTCTGTATACTTTATTTCCTTCGGGGTACCTTTTATGTAATACTTTCTCAGAAACAATTTTGGCTGCTGTACCTTTTGTATTAATAGAAAGTGACATTTTAATATATAAAAAAAACTGTATAACTGGAAAAAAAAAAAAAAAAAAAGATCTGAGTATATGAATTTAAAAAAGGAGAAAAAAAAAAAAAAAAAAAAAGGGCAAGTTTAAATTTTAAAGTGCATTAAAATAATGAGAGTAAATAATAAAGTATAATAATGAGAGACTATTTTTTTCTTATTTTTTTTAAATTCCTGTTTCTTTTCTTTTTTCTCTTTCTATTATTATTATTGTTTCTTTTCTCATTCACGTATACAACTTGTTCTTCTTCTATTACACTAATAAAATATATACCAAAAGTTCCTTATTATTAATATACTAGTTACAATTTTATTATTATTAACTTAAATGTCTCAGTCTATACCAAGTGTAAATAGAATACATAAAAAGGGAGAGGAAAACAAAGAATATTAACTTTTTCTTTGTTTTTTTTTTGTTTTTTTTTCTTTGCTTTGCTTTACTTTCATTACAGCATTTTTTAGTTAACAATAATAATAGTTGTAGTAATGAAGATCAAAAAAGAAATGACATCTCATTTAGTCAACAACATCAACTAGACCCACTTGGTAACTTGGGTCAACAACGAGCAATAATAGATCAAAAAGATATGTTTTCTTTTTCAGATTATATATTCCCGTTTACTACTTTTCAACAGAGAAGAAGAAACTCAGCAACGACTCTATTACCTTCTTCTATGCCCTTTTATCGTGAGCAGTCATTAGGTTATAATAATAGTAGTAAGGAAGACAATTATTTGTTGCATACAATCATGCAAGAAGAAGAAGATAGTGATGAAATATCAAGTTCACTTGGATTATTATCAAGATCAACAAAGCCTTCTTCTTCTATTTGGAATCCTACTGTAAAAGAAGACAATGATTGGTCATTTCAAAGATATCATGAATATAATAATAATAGTAGACGTACTTCTATGCTTAGTACTGTAGATGATGAAATAAATGATATCAAAGAAAGAATGCGTCGATTTTCACTTGCACCTCCTTTAACGAGCACAAGGTATTCTATTCTATTCTACACATTTATATATATATCGAGGAAAATAATAATATAAAATTTATTTTATAGCAGTAATGATGATCCTTCTTCACTTTTTAATATTCATAATCAAAGACGTCATTCCTTTACAGGACCTACTATATTCTATAATGATACAGTATCCGAATTAGCAGTTAAAGAAAGATTATCTGAACCACCTATAACAGATAATTTGGGTAAAGGGACGAGATTAGACTCTGATATATTTAATCAAAAGACAACCTTATTTTACGTCGTTGAATTTAAAGGAGGAAGATCTGATTTATTTTACTGCCAAAAGAATTTAAATATACATGTCAACGATTTAGTCATAGTAGAAGCAGATAGAGGACATGACCTTGGTAAAGTAACAATGGAAGATATTACTAGACAACAACTTGAAGAGTTTTATTCCAAATTAAAAAATATATCAACTGAAGAAAAGAAATGGTTTACAGCCAACGAGATTTATATCAAATTCATCTTTAGACTTGCAAGATCGGATGAAATATCTTTATTGATCACTAAAGGTCAAGATGAGCAAAAAGCCTTAATCATTTGTCAAACTAAAATCAAACAAAAAAGGTTAAATATGCAAGTAGTTGATGCAGAATATCAATGGTAATCTATAGAGAGGCTTCAATATCATATCCTACCACTCACTCACTCACTCACTCACTCACTCACTTTCTCTTTTTTTTTTAGGGATCGACGCAAGCTTACTTTTTATTTTATAGCAGAAAAGAGAGTTGATTTTCGTGAATTAGTACGTGAATTATTCAAGTTATATAAAACACGTATTTGGATGTATAGTGCAACTTTTTTAAAATCAAGTCATTTTACTTCTTAATGTAGACCGATACTTAGTTATATGCCATATTATGAATAATATATATAAATATGTGTATATAACATATTATATACATATATATTTATATTACAAGAGTGTTTATAATCATTCAATTAAAATAAAGCATTATTTAATGTGCAGTTGATTTCAATAGATGCTTAAAAATTAGCATGGCTATATGGAATTATATTCTTAATTTGTGTAAGAGTTTTTTTTTTTTTTTTTTTTTTTTTTTTTTTTTTTTTTTTAAAGTAACAGATAAAATGAAAGCGAACTCTCATTAAGGACTCATCAAATATCAATGAGTTGAATGTTTATGCAAGTCTGATAAATAATGCTAAATGATGAATGTGATAAATACCTTGAAATAAATAATAACTTTTGTGAAAAAAAAAAATACAAAGGTGCAAACTAAATCATAGCGAATGTGGTCTTTAAGAGAGAGTTTTTTTATTTCTTGTGTTTGTAATGATGGTAGTAGTTTATAGAAGGTGTCTATTGTGTCAAAGACATGGTTCAAGAGATAGTCATTCTTGTCAAACGACGGTTACATTAAGATCAAATAATTCGGTATTTCCTTTAGAAGGCCGTTTTCTATTGGGTGATTCATTGCTTTCTCACATAAGCTGATCATTGTCTTGACAATCATAACAGAGTTTGAGAATAGTTATTTATATTGTGGTGTCTGAAATCTTTTAATTGTTTAAAATGACTTTTACAAGACGGGATAGTTAAACTAGTTTAGTCTTAAAATTAGTAGACGATGATCTGAAGCTTTGACTTTGTTGTTCACAAAGTTAGACGCGCTATTACTTCTAATACCTGTTGATCATCTTTATAATAAAAGCAAATCATTGTTTATTACGTAATAAAGATATTATTTAAATGTAATTAGTATATCATTGTATTTCAGAGCATAATATTCACTTGATTACTTAGTCGTCATTGTTAGAATTCTCGATCATATAATAATGATTATTATTTTTCGATATAAGAATATGACTAGTTATATTTAATTACGCATTTATAAATACACAATTTTATGAAATTCTTTATTATGCCAGTCTTTGTTTATTGTCAAGTTCCTACCACTCATCGTATAAAAAAAAAAAAAGAAAAGAAAAAACATAAGGTATTGCCATACTTTTGCGAATTACTGTAATTCGACAAGCTAATCGAGAACCTGCAGTAAACTTTTTTTTTGTCTTCTATAACATGTTTCCATATTATACTTCAATTGTCCAAATACATATGCACTTCCCCGGATAGGTCATGATATAGTCTATTGTATCGTATTTAGCCTTCACTTTTGCATTCTATTGAATTAGATTATATTTATTTTACTAAACAAAATTGGTTATTTAATATCTACAGTAATAGTTGTGTATATATTGTACTATAGACATTAATTCGGCTTCTTTATCTTAACATCATGAATTATAGCAAACTCATTGAGTAGGTTTATGTCTATAAATATATGCTTTTTTTTTTCTTTTTAAAAATTCAAACCATTTGTTAGTAATCTTAGTTCTATTTTTTAAAATAGTTTTTGATATTCAGATTGTCTCTGTAGCCATAGTAAAAAAAAAAAAAAAAAAAAAAAAAAAAAAAAAAATTGAAAATGGAAAATCGAATAGATCAAATCAAAAAAGGAACCACAGCTGACCATTACTATTATTATTTTAGTTCCATGGAAGAAACTACAGGAGTGGAAGTAATTTTGGGTATATTATACACAACTCATATTTGATTATGGATAATGTTCTCATTCGTAAATGCGTCAAGTATCAAATTACTTATTGAAAAAAAAAAAAAGATCTATTTGTTTTCTTATCAAATTAAATCGGATCTTATTTTGATCCATTGCTAAATGCTAACTAAAAAAAAAAAACGTTGAAGAAGAAATGTTACAAAGTATGTATTACCAAAGCATGCGACTAGATCACACCACAAACATATTTTTTAATGGTTTTATCACATATTTTGCATCACTGATTGAATAGTGAAAAACTATTGAAGTTTTGTATCTTTGGTTCTTACAAAAGCGACAAGCGTAAAAAAAAAAATGTGACAAAATTTCAAGATGAGAGAAGTGGAATTTTTAAAAAGCGACAATTTCTGTTGGCAATATTCGTTCTTAATCATACATTTAATCTCCGATCAAAATTGATTGGTATCGAGTAATGTTTCTTGTAAAAAAAAAATCTTTTTTTTTTATTCACTTTAATTATAGTTTGATTTTTCTTATTTTAAAAAATACATTTATTATACACATATACACAAACGTATAAATATATATATATACGCACATATATATATATATATATATACATAAAATCGATTAAATAGTTTATCATCATTTTAATAAAGAGTAACAGCAACAGCAGCAGCAGTAGCAGTAGCAGTAGCAGTAGCAGTAGCAGTAGCAGTATCAAACATTGAGCGAGTCATGGAAACTTCGACATTTGACTCTACAAATAAACAAATTATAGACAATCATTCATTAAAAAATGAAATTAAAAAGAAAACAGCTGGACTTGATAAAACAGTAGTAGTTTTATCACCCAAGACACCACCTGCAGTTACAGCTGCTCTCTTGGCTGATTCTCTTTTCCCACCTCGAAAACCTAAAAAGTCTTTAAAGACAACTAATGATGATGAGAATAACGAAGACGATGATGATGACGAACAAAAAATAAAAAAGAAGACCCGTTAGCTACTCAAGTATGGAGACTTTATACGAAAGCAAAGGATACATTACCAAATGGTTCTCGTATGGAAAACTTAACTTGGAGAATGATGGCTATGACATTAAATAAAAAGAAAAAGGCAGAAAAGGAGGCAGCAAAAGAGGATGATGATAAAATGGAAGAAGATAATTCAAGTTCAGTAACATCGCCTCCTCCACCAGATGATACAATTACCTTTCTCTCTTCTTCTGCTCCCCCTTACATGATGGATTTTATGGGAAATAGTCAGCAGCTGCAGCAACAACAGCAGCAACAACAACAATTACACCAACAAAAAAATGTCATGGTTCATGGTTCAACTAGAGCTACTATTCCAGCTCATTTATATAATAATGATATATACTCTGGAATTTATAATACGAATAGTATTACAATTCCTGTTGATATGGATATTTCAGAAGATCCAACTATATCCCCTCTTTCAACAGCATCTTCTTCACTTCAATATAATTATTTCAGTCAATCAGTACCTAATAATAACAATACTTTATTTAATAGTAGTCCAATTATAACCAATAATAATACTGGCTTATTATTCTCCCAACAACAACAACAACAGCATCAACAAGATATTGCATTTTTTGCTTCCACACCAACTGAAAATACACCTTCACCCGTTGCTTACTCTCCCGCAATAATAGGTGATATAAATGCAGGTGCCATGAGTTTTGAGGATTTATTAGCTATGTATTACGTAAATGGAAATACATCAGCACCAGGAACAACAACAGCAACAACAGCAGCAGCAACAGCAACAACAGCAACCAATAATAATACTGCTACGGTTGCTACTGATACAGTCGTGGCAACAACAACAGCAACAGCAACAACGCCGGCAATAGCAACAGCAACAACGCCAACAATAGCAACAACAACAGCAACAGCAGTGGCAATGGCAGCTTCTCCTTCGTCACCATCCAATATGTTTATCAATCATCATCATCATCATCATCATCCTAATGAAGCTCCGTCTTTATCTCATTTGTCAACTGGTTTCTCATCTTTACCCCAGTCCCAAGGTACAGTAATAATAATAAAATATGAATAAATATATTATATTATATGTATGTATATATATATATTTGTATGTATTTATATGATATTTAGATGGATTATTAATATCTAATGGACAACCACAACAAGCAGATTTAAATACCATGACAATAAATGGATTTACAACTTCGCATCAACACACTTTAATCGGATCTCCAAACCAACAAGCACCGCCAATTCCTCCGCTACCATCTCCATCTACTGATAACACTACTACTTCTAAAATTGTCATTAACCAAGATAAAAAAAGCCTACAAAAGAAATCATCAAGTGATCATAATAAAAAGGATAGTAATTCTACAACAAAATGTACCAATTGTGGTACAACCACTACTCCTCTCTGGCGTCGTAATCCAGAAGGTCAACCTTTATGTAATGCTTGTGGTCTCTTTTTAAAACTTCACGGTGTTGTTCGTCCCTTGAGTTTAAAAACTGATGTCATCAAGAAAAGAAATCGTAGTGGAAATAACAGTAACAGCAATAATAATAATAATAATAACAATAATAATATCAGTAACAATAATATCAATAACAACAACAGTAACACTAATAATAGCAATAGCACAGTGACAGCAATGTTACTAACTCAAAAGGATATGAATAATAGTAATAATAGTAGTAATAGTATTAGTAGTAGTAGTAATTATAATAATAGTAGTGCCATAAATATTAATAATGGAAAGAAAATGAACAATACATTTATTCAACAACAAAGTCCTATTATGACATTTACTAATACAAACATGAAGCCATCACCTACATCATTAGGAAATATGGTACAGATTGCACCTTTACAACAACAGAGCGGGGGTGGTTCTGGAGGCAGACCTATTACATTTACAACAAGATGGGGAACACATCAAAATATGATAAAGAGACAAAGGAGACATTCTATTGACGATCATAAACAACAGCAACAACAACATCCACCAATACAACAATCACAGCAAAGTGTATTTAGGATAGGTTCATTAGGAAGCAACAGTAGTAATTCACAGCAACATAGTTATCTACCTTCATCATAATCAATTTTTAATTTCATATTTTACTCTTCCTTGTCTTTGCCCTTCTCATCCTTTTGTGTCCACCTTTCTTCCCTTTCCCTTTCCCTCTACTCCCATCTCCCACCCTTCCCTTTTTTTTCTGTTTATTATTAATATATTATGTAATATATACATATGCATATATATTCAGGCGTTTATAGATATTTGTTATTGTTTAAAGGATTCCACCAAATCAGGTCATTGTCATACAACTAGAAAAAAAAAATAAAAATAAAATAAAATAAAAAATAGAAATAAAAAATGAGACATTCTTTTTTTTTTTTTCATTCTGTTTCTTTCTTCCCCTTCCTCCTCTCTCCCCCCCTTTTTTTTTTTGGTTTCAATTTTTATAATTTATTATGTCTTCACAACCAAGTAATGATAGATCAACTAGAATAGAAGAATATTATTCTTCAGAAGATGAAGAAAATCAACCTATTCATTCTTATTATACTACTCCCATATCTTCATTTTCAATTCCAACTAATCGAAGACAACAAAGAAATGATCATGAAGAAGAACTTGAAAGATCTTTACGTGAAATGAATTTAGGTTCAAATCCACCCCGTTACCTAAATCGTCGTCCTAGTAACCGTTTTCCTCATCATCCTCCTCCTCCTCCTCCTCCTCCTCCTAGACCGAGAATGTCTCGTAATTCAAGTTTTGAATATTATTATCATCATCCTTATGAAGAACAAGATTTACATCCATCACCTTATTTTATGCAAGCAAGACCTCCTCCATGGTTACATTCTAATTATCCAATCATCGATGATATGCCCACAACTCCTCTTTATAGACCTTCTCCATCTTTTATACCTCCACACCCCATCATGACAAGAAGAGGAAGAGGAAGAAGAATGCCAACAGAAGAATTGTATGACGATCCTAATAGAACTGAAGGTTCTTTTTATCATGACGTCAGTGAAGAAGAGAAAGAAGAAGAAGAAGAAGAGGAGGAGGAGGAAGGAAATTATCATCATTACTTTCAACCTCCAATGAGAGGAAGAGGAAGAGAAAGAAGAAGAAGACAATCGTTGACTAATAGACAACGAGCCAATTCATTTTCTTATTATGATATACCACCCACTACTACTACTGCCATGCATCCACCTTTACCACCAGCACCACCACCACATGCTCGATATCGTAAAGTTCATAGTGTACCTACATCACCACAAACCATGTCAGACAATGAAGAAGATCATAATGAATTCTTAACTATGTCACCACCAGATGATCATTTTTATCCAAAGCAACAAGAACAATATCATCATCATCATCAACAACAACAACAACCATTCCATTTAAGACGTAGTTTGTCCGTTAATAGTAGCGGCATTGTACCACCACCAAGACCAATACTTGTTCATCCAGGCACAAACGATCCTTTATTACAAAGTGCGCCTGTGACACCTACGATGACAAATAATAGACTATCTCCACCTCAACCACCACCTTTATTGCCTCCTCATCCTTGGTTCAATCCAAATGATTTATTTCCTCATCCTAATATGATGATGCATCCCATGATGGGTTTACCGCCTCCACCTATGATGCCGGCACCTATCTTACCAAATTGGAATAATACAAATGAGGCAGCAGCAGCGGCGGCAGCAGCAGCAGCAGCAGCAGCAGCAGCCGATTATTTACAATATATGAATGAGCCAAATCAACTTATGGCACGACAAGCTGCTATTCAAATTCAACAAACAAATGATGAAGAGAATAATAATCCTAATGAACAACAACAACAACAACAACAACAACAGCAACAAGAAATTATTATGCCGCAACAGTCAGCACCCATGTTACGAAGAGGTTTATCCATGTTGGGAGGCTTATTCGGTACTGATGCTGCAACTCAACCCGTTCAAGGAGTTAAAAAACGAGAAGCTAAATTAGCAGCAGAATATATGAAACTTGGTACCTTTTGGTGTTGGCGACAAATCGAGAGTGATCAGCCATTTGAATCCTTTAGTATACCGAATCAAAAACAAATCAAACGAAAGTTGGCAAAATCGAAAACTCAAATCATGTTGGTGGCTCGAGAGAAAAAATTACCTGGTGATACCTTGGTAGATATCGAACAGAGACGTGGATGTTGTTTAATACAAAGAAATGAGGAACATCATTTTATACAATTAGAGTTGAAAGAGGAGACTTATAATCCTAATACGGGAAATTTTGTATTTGCTAATAATAATAATATTGGAAATTAATAAATGCATAATAATAATAATCGACCACTGCTACCTTTTCTTTTCTTTTTTATTTTTGTATTGTGACTGTTTTCCGATTTATAAGTATTATTGGTAGAGAAAGGAGAGGGGGGGGAGGAGGAGGAGGAGAGAGGATCCATCCCCTTCTCTTCATTAAAGTAATATATTTTTTTCAAGATAAAAAAAAAAGAATAATAATGGATGATACATTGGATCAAGTACGTGAAAAATGTGCACTTCAACTTGACATGTATCAAAAATGTGTAGAAAATTATCCACAAAGTTGGGATAAAAGTTGTATTCAACAAAAGAAAGCTTTAACGAAATGTTCAGAAGAAAAGTAAATTACAAATAGATTGTGTTAGGTTTTCTATCTATACTGATTGTATGTATGTCCTCCCCCCTTTTTTTTTGCTTCTTCTAGTGTTGGCATCTTAAAATACGTTAAAGAACATTGTACGGCTCAAATTAAGGCTTATGACCAATGTCTTGCTGTTAATGCTGACAAACCCGATGAATGTATACAAGCCTTGAAGGATTTATATCTTTGTACTGAAGCAACGTCCATTGTCTATCGCGATCAACAAAAAGAAAAATTAAAAAATTCGACACAACAAGAATAATAAAAATGTTAATGGGTGGAGGAATTGCGTATTACATAATCAGTTTATTATTATACATGGATATCTTTTACACCTTTTTGGGAATAAGTTTCAAATTGTTTTCTACCCTTTCGAAGCATATACTCGATAGTTGCAAAATCTGATTTCCTAATATCATGTTCTCTAAACTCTTTACGTATGAAGGCATAAAATCGAGGTCTTGATTCCTAAATGAATAAACGTTAAAGTCTTTTTTTTTTTTTTTTTTTTTTTCCCCTTAAACAACAAAATTTTACTAGTGGTTTTTCTCTTGCTGCTCTAAAACATTGTCTATAAAAATTAATAACTTCGTTCTGTAACCCTGATCTTTTTATTAGTCCAGGCATAAGTTCATTTATTGGAAAAAGGAACAAAAAAAAAAAAAAAATTAGGGGGAGGGGGTAAATATGACATATAAAATTAAAACAATGACAAAAGAACTATTAAAATCCCGATATCAAAAGCATGAGGATGATTCATTTTTTTTTTTTTTTATTGTTGTAAAAACCTTCTTGAAGTATAGTATTGATTCATACGATCGCCACTACTACTATATTCTTGATAATAGCCTTCTGACATGGGGGATGTGAAATCACTAAAACTATTTATTGAACCCTCTGGATGATAACTTTCCCTTTCAGACTCGTGTTGTCGTCTTTTAGAACGTCTTATGGCAACAAATGCTATGATACAAATTAAAATCGCACCTCCAATACCGCCTACCACACCTCCAATAATGTCTTTATTTTTCTGACTTAGACCAGTATGATGATTAGAAATGAATTGTTTTTGACCTTGGTCTGTGTTTGGATAGGTAGAGATTGGACTAGATGATGAGGCAAGTGTCATACTTGTAGATAATGATTCTATGGGTGTATGTGTTGCTGTATTGCTTTCTAAAGATGTCAATGTAGTTTCTAGAATAGGAGTAGTCCTAATATCTATGAAAGAGGATGTAGTAGTTGCATCAATAAATAGAGTAGTAGTAGTAGTAGTCATAGTAGTGTCTGTAGGTAAATAAGTAGTCATATCTTCAGTTGTGGTAATAATAACAGTAGGAGTTTCAGTTGCAATAATAGTATCTATTGTTGTTGTAGGCTCAGCCGTAGTAGTAGGAGCTTCAGTAGTAGTTGCAGTAACTTCGGTTGTAGTAGGTTCAGTTGTAGTAGTAAGGGCTTCAGTTATGGTAGTAAGGGCTTCAGTTGTAGTAGTAAGGGCTTCAGTTGTGGTAGTAAGGACTTCAGTTGTGGTAGTAAGGACTTCAGTTGTGGTAGTAAGAGCTTCAGTTGTGGTAGTAAGAGCTTCAGTTGTGGTAGGAACTTCAGTCGTAATAATAAAATCGGTTGTAGTGGTAATTTCTGTCATAATATTAGTGGGTTCAGCCGTAGTCATAGTTTCAGTTGTTGTAGTAGTAACTTCAGTTGTAGAAACAGCTTTGGTCGTTGCCATAGCCTCAGTTGCCATAGCAGTAGTTAAAGTATTATCATCATCAGTAGTAGTAATAGTAGTAGTAGTAGTAATAGTAGTAATAGAATAGTCATCATTAGTTGTAGTTATAGTATTAAGAGTAAGTGTAGGAGTATCATCAATCGTATCTGCTGCTGTAGAAGAATATACAACTGGTGTTGCTGTTGTAGTGATAGCTGAAAAAAAAAAGTATTTAAAAACGATTAGAATATGTACATGTGTGTATTTCCTCCGAACAAACAAACAAACAAACAAAAAAAGAAAAACAGATATTGGTATACCATTTTCAGTAATAGCAATTGTTGTATCTGACATTATAATTATATAACTTGTATCAGCATTAAACTGTGTAACTTGTACCTAATAAATTACAAGAGAAAGAAAAAAGGAAAAAAAAAAAGGGTAGAAGCAAAAATAAATATTGCTTACATAAATGATAGTATTGTAATTTTGTTACTAATAATATTATCATTCATGTTATCATCATCTAGTAATATAAAAAATATTTAAAATTAGTAAACATTCAAGTTAAAATAACTGTTTAAAAGAGACTCATGTTTCAAAAATAAATTTGCATTGTTCAAAAAAAAAAAAAAGGGGGGAGGGAGGGAAACTGGATTTCAAAAAAAAAAGAAAGAAATCCACATGTCTTATCATATACCTATATAAATATACTACGCGTTTACTGTATATAACATTGATCTTTATCATTATTACTACTTGTATTCTTATTATGATCAACATATAATAACTTGTGATTCAATTCTATATTATTACCACTACTATTACTATTATCGTTAAATAAAGTGTCACCAATGTTATCATCCACACGTTTCTTTAAATCTTAATTATATAATATAAACAAAAAAAAAAGTTAAATAACTCTTATTTTTTCTTTTAAATATAGTTACAGTAGAGTATGGTATAACATGATGAATAAATCAAAGAATGAATACTAATAATAATTATGGGGTAAAGAGGAATAATAAGAAACAAAATTCTATAAATATATTCATCATCACGACGTTGTCTAAAAGAAGAGATTTTTTTCTTTTTGAAACTAAGCAACGAAAACAATTACGTAATAAAGTGTTACAACCCTTTGTAAAAAAAAAAAATAAAATAAAAAAAAGTGCCCTTAATAGAGTGAAGGATATATTCATATAGTTTGACTCTTTCATTTATTTTTATTTTTTTGTTTTCTTTCTCTTTTGTATATATGAATCAAAAAGGCAACAGTTCTGCCAATAATCGTTGTTTTTGTATTCCTTTAAGGTAAATCAAAATAAAGATATAAAGCTATATATTCCTTTTATCAATCGTACTTATGACTATAAGAACGAGTGTCATAGTTATTGCTGCTTGTTTATTTGTAAGTTATTCTCTCTCTCTTTTTTTTTTATGAAACTATTATATTCAAATATATTTTCTGAAATAACTTATTATTTTGTTCAACAAGTTATTTTATACAAGTCTTTTTATTTGGATATTAAAAGAATATAATACTAATACTGGTAACATATTTCCACACACATATAAAGACTTGACTACAGCAATATTTTATAATAATAGCGATATACGATAATCAGTTTTTAAAGCAACAACAACAACAACAACAGCAAGAGGGTTCATCAAGCTATCTTATTTTAGGATTATTTTGGACCTCGGTCATAGCTATCGGAGCTTGTATAATGAGTTCATTACTCGGTGTGATTGGTGGACTAAGAGTAATAAGTTTTTATTTACAATTGTCTATAAATGCTAATTGTCATAACAACGGCTACGATAATAATAACAATAGCAAAATAAGAGAATGGTTTATATATTCGGAATCCATTATGGGTTCATAACGACTTTAATTTTATTTTTATCGATTCACTTGTGTATTATCACGTTAGTAAAACAAGATTCGATTGTAGAAGGATGCAGAAAGATAATAATGGGAACATCACCAACAATAAACGTGATTAAAGTAGAAGTAGAAGAAGAAAACTCCTACTGTATTCAAGCGATAAAGCAGTTCTTATTGATAAGCGGTATTAGTTTATTCATGATTAACTTTATTCAAGTAAGAAGAACACTACAGTACATCATTATTATAAGAAGATTACAATTATTAAATATTATTATTATTTTTTTCAGATTTACTTTGGTTTTCTTATTTTTAGATTTGCAAAAAAGTTAAGAAGGAAGTTTCTTTCTTCATAAATAATCATGTACTATGCATATTTATTTTTATTCAAATTTGTTTACTTGTAAATAATAAAAAATCGTTAAAGTTAAACTCCGTTATTATTAATGAATCAGCGTGGATGTGTGTGTGTGTGTGTGTGTGTGTGTGTGTGTGTGTGTTTATGTGTGTTTATAGATGATTGTTTTCTTTTATCTTTTCTTCATTTTATTTCTTTTTCTTTTTTATATAAATAAATAAATCCATTCGTTCTATTTATCACTCGTTCTATCTATAATAATGACCTTTACTAATCAGCAACAACGACAAGAAGAAGAAGAAGAAAAAGACTATTTTCAAGAATACGATAATCAAGTATTTGACACTTATTGTAAACAAGAAGAAGAAGAAGAAGATTATGTAATGGATCCAAATCTATTTCAACTTATTCTTGACGTACAATCGTATCTTACAGAGGCACCTAAGGATTCTCCACTGCTTGCTCTTCAATATAAAATGTATACCTATCTTAAACAACGTGCATATGAATAATATCTTTCTAATTAACTCTAAAAATACCCCTTTCCTTTCTTTACTTTAATATATTTTATTTTATTTTAAACGATCATTCTCTTTGAGAGCCTCTTATTTTTATTTTTTTAAGGGAGAATTTATACTTTAATAAAATAAAAAACTTAATATATAAGCGAACAGCAGTAATTATCTGCATAATTTAATAGACTGTTAATTCTTCTTTCAGCAGCAGGTTTAATTGTGGAGATTAAATTTGTTTTCTGATACTTGACCAAATAATAGCAGCAGTAGCTTATTATAACTAATAATAATCCTCTTTACTTTTTTTTTTTTTTCCTATTGTTTTCTTTCTCTTCTTTCTTAAAAAAAAAAAGAAAAAGAAAAGACTATGGATAATACAATAGATATACATGAGGATTCGGGCCGTTATTTACAAGAATATATTCAAAGTAAATTTTATAATAATAATAATAGTAGTAGTAGTATTAGTGTATATGTATATTTATAGGCTTTAATAATATAAAATAGGTTTAGAAAATCTTCCTAGTGAAATACAATATCATTGGGCTGAGATAAGAAATAGATATGATCAAGCAAAAGGTATTTTGTACATATAGACACTATAGTAAATCGTTATTTATCTTTCTATTTAGCACCTGAAAGACGTATTAGAAGTGGTCAACATGATCTCGCCAAGATTCATAAACAATGGTTTACACAAGAAATAGATAAACGAGAAAAATTATTAAAATCTCAACCTATTTTAATACAACGAATAAAGAACGATTATAATAAACTAGAAGATCTTGCCAACGAAAGAGTATCTTTAGCAGAAGAAGCTCTTAAATTAGTAAAAAAAAAAAATATTAATGACAATTAGTTAATTTCAGTCAACTCATCTATTTCCTCTTACAAAATAATAATAATAATATTAGGTAGATCGTCATTTAATTCGACTTCAACAAGATCTTGATAAACATGATCGTGAACATCCTGAACTTGCACCTGTAAATACTTTACCGACGCGTAGTTATACAATAGCACATGGAAGAAGACGTAAATAAACAAATGATGGATAGTTATTTTTTTTTTTTTTTTTTTTGGAACTACGCAAAATAAGGGTTTACATTTTCTTTCTTTTTTTTTAATAGAATTTGATCTAGATTTAGATGAAGAAGATGAGGAAGAAGAAGAAGAAGAACTAGATGATGAGTCTTCAGTCAAATCAGGACTAGATAAAAACCGAGATAAATCACAAACATATCACATAAAAAAGTTAAAAGAAGAAGAAGAAGATAATTTATTAGTGTTTGATCCTGATTATTATGAAACCATGTTAGCTAATAGACATCAAAAGAAAAAGAAAAAGGAGGCAAGAGAAGCGACAGATAAAGAAGAACCTTTATATTGTTATTGTCAACAGGTGTCTTATGGTGAAATGGTTGCGTGTGATGGGGAGGTAATTCTACATGCATACATACATACATGTATTTATGAAATGATGACTAAATATTCTACATAGCATTGCCCTTATGAATGGTTTCATATGGAATGTGTTGGAGTAGAAGAACCACCAAAAGGTGCTTGGTTCTGTGAACATTGTTCAGCTGAATTACGTAATCATAAACGTAAAACTTCAAATAATAATCATCATCCTTTATTAAATACAAAGAAAATGAAGCGTAGAAAGGAATCTTCTGCTTGATTTCTTTCTTTCTTTCTTTCTTTCAAAAAAAAAAAAAAAAAAAAATTGTATAAATTATTGTAAATAATATATAAATAATCATGTTCATTTGTTTCTTTTTTGTATATATATAATTGTATTATTATTATTATTATTATATAAAACACGCTTTTATTTTTATTTTTATTTTATTTATTTAGTAGCTTCATTTTCAACCATGACTGCAGTTGGAGCACCACCAGCTTGTTGCAATGCACCACCAGCAGTCAATTTAGCATTTCCAACAACAGCTAAAATGTCATTCAAATTCTCTTTCCAAGCATTCAATGTTGTACTCAATTTCTTCCATTGCTCTGGACCAAAGACACGATAAATACTACGATGAACAATAACAGTCTTATTAAGTTGATCCAATTTAGCTTCTACAAGTCCAGCACGAATAACATCAATAACCCACATTTCAATTTCATCTTCTTCAATTTGTAAGTTACTAGCAATATCAGCATAACTTAATTCTCTTGAAAGATTTTCAGAACCAAGAGAAGCTAAAGATAACAAACGCATTTTATAAAGGTTTCTATCAGCATCCTTAATAAGTGAAGCATGTGTTTGTGCAAAGGATTGATATGTAGCCAAGTTGCCATTTAAAAAGACATCAAGAAGTTGATATTCTTCAGTTCCCTTCAAGTTTTGAATGGCTTTATATTGAAGAAGATCTTCAAAAGCAAAATAATTTTCCATTGCAATTGCACGAAGAATAATTTCTTTTGCAACCTGACTACCTTCTGTTTCATCATATGTTGTTAATTCCTTTAATGAAAACTCTAAAGCCAATTTTCTATTTTTTTTTAAACATAACATATATAAATATATTAGTTCAATCATCATAATCCTCCTACCCCCTTTTTCTTTTTCTGTTCCTTTTAAAAGAGAGAAAGAGACTTACTCTTCACCAGCCTTTGATAAAACTTGACTTAAATAATTATACAAGTTGCGTTGAGTTTGTTGATCAATACCCCATTGCTTTGACCAACTATCTACATATTCTAATTGACCATAAAGTGATTCTAATTCATCTGCTTGTACAGTAGCTTCAATTAATCCAATAAAGGCATTATAACGAAGGGGTGAATTACCAGGAAGGGCATTATACAAATTGAGTAAACTATTTTCAAGAAAAAATTAGATTAGATTTTCATTTTGACAAAACGTGTAGGACAAATATAACTTTACATTTTTTGTTTCAAACCAGTCTTGTTACTTTCGGTTTTAGTTAAAGTATCAATCAAGGCTTTGACAGCATCAGGACGTACAGATTCAGGAGAGCCCAAAACAAGAACAACGAGCAAATTGAAAGCACCTTCGACCTCTATTTATTTATTTATCCATATGAATATATACATGTGTATTTATATACCCTGTCAATATCTTTATAACAATATTACCTTTATCATTTTCAGTTAAAAAGATGGAAGCATCTTTAACAAGTTCGGCATAAACAGCTTCTTTTTTATCAGAATTGAAAAGTGATTTGATTTGTTGAACGTAAGCTTCATCTTCTTCACCCCTTAATTTGGAAATGTAAAGAGCTAAATCGTTAATCTACAAAAATTTATTAGTTATAAAATTATTGAAATTAAAGAAATGAAGAGAATAATAATAATAAAAAAAAAGACGAATGTTCCCTCTTTTTTTTTGTATTTCTTTCTTTTCTTTTTGCTGTAATATATGTTGTGTATCTTTTATACTGTCAAATAATTTTTAGATCGTAAAAAAGTGCATTATTATTGAATTGTCATCAATAACTGTACATTCATTGCATTAAAAGAAAAGAACATTCGTTTCTTTTTTTTAAAAAAAAAAATACTCTCTGTAATAAACATGCTGATACTTTACTTGTTCCTCAATACCACCCTGTACAAAGATGTTGTTCATGGTCATGTTTTTATTTTATTTTATTTTTTTTTAAAAAAAAAAAAGGGTAGAGAGGGAAGGTTGAGTAAAAAGAAATTTGTGAGTTTGTAACAAACGGGACCGGATTTTAGCTCTGATAAAAAAAAAAATAAAAAAAAAGTGGCTTGTATTACAGGATTTTTCCTTTGAAATTTAAAAAAAGCTGTTTGCTTTTATTCAACACTGGCACTTGGATGGATATTTATTATTTTGCCTTAATAAACTGTCTGATTGGCTCCATTTTTTTTTTTTTTTTTTTTTTTTTTTTTTTTTTTTTTTGCTCTAATTGAAATATAATGTCTGCTCATTTCTGGTGCTATGGAGATACAAATCCGAGAAAAAAAAAACCCCCCCATAAACCATAAACCATAAATCATAAATCATAGAGATATAATGATTAGTCACGAAAAGAGAAGGCCCTATTAAATAATTTCATTTATGAGTATATTAACTTGATGAGAACTACCCAATTCAAGCCTGAAAAATCCACAGATCCTCAAGATATACACCACTTTTCATAAAGTGTCTATCTATAGCCTTACAAATATGGCACGTACAATTTGATAATCAGTCCATTTTTTTTTTTTTTTTTGAAGCTTATAAAAGGCACATGGAACAAATGCTAATGATGTTGAATTTATCTTTTGTTATCGTTATTCGGATATTCTTCTCGGAGTATTGATAAGTTGAAGAAAGTGATAATGCCTATGTTTATTAACACCAAGGTAAAATCCTTAATAAATAACATATCAATAGAGTGCATGCGTATCGATGCTGACATGAACGAGATCTGTTTCATTTCTGATGGAGGTCTATATTATTATTGATTAAAGGAGAGAAGTGCTATAATATAATAACAGCGTAGTAGTATCCAATAAGAAGACGAAATGCTCATGCAAATAATATTGATCCCAAATACTGTCAGAATTCTTGGTCAATTCGCCTCCTCCCCCATCCTCCTCTTCAAAGCTAACAAACATGTTATTATATTCATCATGTCTATTTAACTGTCTTACAAAAAATTATTCTTTCAAGTTTCTTAACTCTGATAATAAATACTGGTCTTTTTTTTTTACCAGACAATTGACTCATCCACAAGACTGAACATTTATTATCGTTTTAATACGCATTCAGAATAAGTTTATGCATCGCTACGTAAATAAAGAAGTTTATGCTAGAAGCCTACTCGAAAGAGAAAGATCCCTTTTCTTTCCAACATATACTTTATATTTATCAAAAAAAAAAACAATAGAATAACTAAATTCACTTGCTGTCATCTTTTCTTTCTTTCTTTATTATAGTTGTCTAAACAGTGAGTATATCTTTTTCATTATTATATGATAATAGACAATAGAAGAGTAATCAAGAAGGCTTCTTGTTGAAGAAGAGAGAAAGAAAGAAAGAAAGAAGAAAAATAAAATAAAAATAAAGCATGTTTAAGCTCAGATTTATTATACATAATGATATGCTTGAATTTATATGAAATCAACATTCAAACCTTCTCTCTCTCTCTCTTTTTTTTTTATTATTGTTATTATTGAAAATTCTTTATTATAATAAAAAAAGAAAATGCATGATGCATTTCAAGTAACAACAGTAGTTGACAAATTAACTCGAATTGAATCTATTTTTGCACATGGTATTGAAAAAAAAAAAAAAAAAAAAAACCTCATCCTCATTCAATTCAACATTTTATTCATAATTGATTCAGGCGATAGACTATTAATTGGTACAGGAGTAGGACACTTGCTTGTATATGATATTAAAGAACCTTTAGGTATTCATCAACATTAAAATATATTATTGTCGTTAGTATTCAATTTGATTCTATATAGTTGCTGATGATAATGAAATACCTGAAGTTACACTTTTTCAAACAATTAAAACATTTTCAAAAAGACCTATTGAACAACTAGACATTATTAAAGAAATTGATGTTCTTGTTTCACTTTCAGGTATATTATAGATGTATATATAACATTCACAGCATTAACTGAGTCTAATAACACATGTATATACATACATACATATATGTATATAGATGGATTAGTCAGTCTTCATGATTTGCGTACATTTGAATTACGTATGGCACTTGGAAAAACAAAAGGAGCCAATCTATTTGCCATTCAAACCATGGTTGAAATGACACCTGAAGAGCAAATTCCTGTCTTAACCACACGGTTAGCAGTTGCAGTACGCAAAAAATTATTAGTCTTTGTTTGGAAGGATACTGAGTTTTATGAAACAAAGGAACTCACTATTCCTGACCGCATCAAGGCAATGACTTGGGTTGGCCTAACAAAGATATGTTTAGGATTTTCAGCAGAATATGCATTAATGGATGTAGAAGAAGGTCGATTAACTGAATTATTTGCACCTACAACCGGTGTTACAGAAGCAGGACCTATGAGCACTTTAAATAGTTTATACAACATGTCCATTGGTGCTCGTGGTGGAAAGCCAATGATTACAAAGATACCCAACAATGAAATGCTTTTGGCTAGAGATCGTAATATATAATCGCTTATATTTTATTTTGAAACAAGAATTTATTTATTTTTATTTTTATTTTTTTTGGCTTGTTAGATGTGAGTATCTTTTTAGGCTTGGATGGTACACCTACACGTAAAGTAGGTATTGAATGGTCTGGAACTCCTGAACAAATTGGTAAAAGAAAGAAAGAAAGAAAGAAAAAAAGAAAAAAAGGGATTATGCTTATTTATTTCTTTATTATAAGGCTATTCATATCCTTATGTAATTGCTATTTTACCAAAGCATGTTGAAGTGCGGAATATTCAAACACTTACACTTGTACAACAAATTGATCTTGCTAATACAAAGTTCTTAAATCAAGGAAAACTTGTCTATGTAGCCAGTACATCACAGATTTATCGTCTTACTCCTTATAGTTTTTCATCTCAGGTAAGAATAAGAATACATAAATCTACATGTATTTATACATATAAATATATATCCTAGATTGATCAATTAGTTGAAAAGAAAGAATATAAAGAAGCCGCCAGTTTACTTGATCAAATTGATGCTGTTTTAATTGAAAATAAAGAAAAAAAATTAAAAACAATACGTACGGCTTATGCTCATGATTTATTCACTTATGGAGAATACGATAAAGCTATCAATTTGTTTCAAGAGTTAGACACGCCGGCAGCAGAAGTGATCAGTCTTTATCCTGAAGTGATATCAGGTCATTTGGCAAAGGAGGAAACGTATCATCATGGAAGTGAGGGTGAGGAGGAAGAACAAGGATCTGCGATATCAAAGAAACATCGTGACCAATTAGAAGAGGAAACTAATATATCAAGACCCTCTAGTCGAGCCTCAACTAGAAGTAAAGCAACGAGTCAACTAAGCCAATCAAAAACGAAAAAAAATGAAATAGTCCCCTTAACAGGACTTCACCTGTATGATGCAGTGACTTATCTAATCCGTTATCTAACTGATAGAAGACAGAAATTAGCAAGAAAATTAAGCGCTCATAGTTCTGGGCCTGCTTCAGTTGCATCATCTACAAAACATTCCGAAACCTTGGATGATGATGAAGAAGATTTACTTTACCAAGCCATGTTAGTGGATACTTCATTATTAAAATCTTATATGATGACAAATGATGCTCTTGTTGGACCTCTACTTCGTGTTCAAAACCATTGTAATGTAGAAGAATGTGAAAAAATATTGATGGATAAAAAGGTAAAAAAAAAAAAAAAAAAAAGGAAAACGGTTTAATTAAAAGCTTACGGTTCAAATGTTACAAAATATTAGAAATACAAAGAACTTGTTGATCTTTATAATTGTAAGGGGTTACATGGACGAGCTCTAGACTTATTAGAAAAGTGAGTGGAAATTAAGGGAATTTTTTTTTTTTTTTTTATGTTGATTGTTTATCATTTAATTAAGGTTAGGAAAACAATCTGATGGGCCACTTAAAGGAGTTTCCCCTACAATACGATATTTACAAAAGTTAGGCTTAGATCATTTCGACCTTGTATTACACTATTCTCAGTGGGTTTTAGAAAAAGATCCTGAACATGGCATGGATGTAAATACCAAAAAAAAAATGGCCAAGTTTATGAACTTATTTTATTGTTGTTTAGATTTTTATGGATGATTTAGCTGAAGTCGAGACATTTCCTCGAGATAAAGTATTAAAGCATTTGGAAACTATTTCAAATGACTTGGCAATTCAATACTTGGAATACATAATTGAAGAATTACATGATGAATCTCCAGATTTTCATAATAGACTTGTGATTGCTTATCTTGGCAAAATTAACTTTGATAAAAAGAAAGGTATGAAGAAGATTAAAGTTGATTTGATAGTACTTTAAATACATATACATATCTATTTAGAAGATAAAGAAAATAAGAACAAGATAAGAACAAAGCTTATCACCTTTTTAACTGATTCATCTTGTTACAAAGCTGAAAAGATATTATCTCGGTTGCCTATAGATGGTATGTCAGATAATGTATGACTAAGGCCCTATTTCTATACATATTTATGTATATATATATTTTTTTTTTACATTTTAGATTTGTTTGAAGAACGTGCTATTCTTTTAAGTCGTATTGGACAACATGATCAAGCATTAGATATATATGTTTATAAACTGAAAAACTATGCCATGGCAGAAGAGTGAGAACATGAAGCATAATGTATTTGTACTATGTTGACCTCTTTTTATTATTATTATTACTAAATATAGATATTGCACTAAAGTATATCAAGAAGATCCTTTGAAAGGAGAAAAAATGTATTTGACATTATTAAAGGTCTATCTTAAGCCAACAAGTAATCAACACAGGCCGCTTATTGAACCAGCTTTGAAACTATTAGCACATCATGGTTCTCATATTGATGCAAGTGAGGTTTTATCTATTTTACCTGAAAAAACAAAGCTTCTTGGTTTGTTTCCATTTTTTGAAAAGTATATTCGAGAAGCAAACAAGAATCGAAATATGGACTTGATTGTTAAAAATCTTTTAAAGGCGGAACAGATACAAGTAAATAATAATAAACAAAAAAAGGACTAGAATATGTATTAATATATTCTTATTAGGTAGAAGAACAATTAATGTATTATAGATCAAGAGCCGTCAAAATTACAGAAGATCGTATGTGCCCTCAATGTAATAAAAGAATTGGAAACAGGTAAGAAAAAAAAAAGTATATAAATAAACCTCTCTCCTCATAAATTATATAGTGTATTTGCTGTATTCCCTAATGGCGTAGTTGTACATTATTCTTGTAAAGAAAAGATTGAACAAACTCAGTGGAAACTTATTTGAGATATTAATAAAAGAATACCCTCTCCCCTTCTCCTTTTTTTTTTTTTTTTTTTTTTTAACTTACTTAAGAAGGTAACGTGTTGTACTGCGTAAGGAATCAAATCGATAAGAAAAGAAATTGTGCTACACTTTTATATATGTGTAAGACACAATCAGTCATAACATGTATATATTATGTAAATAATAAAAAGGCATCGTATAAAAAGGGAGAACAGTCTTTTTTGTTTTGTTTTATTTTATTTTTATTTTTTCATTCTACAATCTATAAAAAAAAAAATGATTGCTATCAAAGCAACTGTTATCCTTATTAAATCTGAATATTACCGTCAAGTGAATCAACACTCTTCATTATTATTCGAAGATTTGATTACTGGAACTACAACTGTCATTGCGGGCAAGACTTGTGCTGTTTGTGGTTCCCGTCTGCATATGACAAGTAAGTCTTTGATAATCTCGAAAAAAAAAATGGTTGTATTCAATTATTTATATAGAGCATTGTCCTGTTCACCCATAATAATAATAATAATAGTTTCTTTATATGTGTATACATATATACATAGTTTTATGTATTATTTTTATTTTATTGAAATAAACATATCGTATATCTCACTCGTGCCACACACGTCCCCCTCCCTTTTCACATCAAGTTGGGTTTAATTTGTCAAAGCTTGTAAAATTGAAATAAACTCTTTTGGAGTATCGACTTTCCAATTAGCTAAAGTATTTCTATCTAGTTTTCCAATAAATACAGTAAATTGAATCAACTCAATACCACCCATTTCCATTCTTTCAAGGATACGAAACATGTCTTCATCAGTACGATCATCACCAGCACAGAAAATAAAGTCAATATCTGGATTTTGAGTGATGGCACGTTTAAGGATGATGCCCTTGTTCACCAATGTTGGGCGTACCTCAACTGTCATTTTCCCAATAACACATTCAACAGGTAATTTACCTACAAAGTTTTGTTCTACATGATTTTGTAATTCTCTAGCTTGGAAAGGTCTATGTAGAAAAGAAATAAGATAAGAAAGATAAGAAAAAAAAAAGAAAAGAGAGAAAGAGAGAGAGAGTGAATGATATAATATATTTACCCGTATTTTGGATCTGCCTTACGATAATGCCATGTTATAGAGCAATCCTTGTCTTCAATAAAACTACCAGGTGTACGCTCTGTATAATATTCAAAGATTTCTTTTACGTCATCCTTCCATGACATATCAACATCTTCCAAGAGACTAACCCACGTTTTGCTATTAGGATCTCTGATAAAACATCCATGTTCACTAGCTAATCCCAAATTAGGAATATCTCCCAACCACTTTTCAAGATATTCCTAAATAATAAAAAGCAAAATGATTCAGTTTTTTTTTTGTAACAGCACTAATAAAATAAAATAAACTTACCAGTCTTCTACCAGAAATAACCCATACAATATTATTAGGATCCTTTGCAATAGTTGTTAATACATCAATGACGTTTTGAGGTGGTGATGCATCATCAGGATCAGTACGAATAGAAACTAATGTGCCCTGTATAAATCATGTTAAGTTAGATAAGAAAGCAAAAATAAGTATATATATATATATATATAAAATGAAGCTTACATCATAATCAAAAAAGAAAGCACGTTTAAGCTTATTTTGATATTCAATTTTGACTCTTGATGAATCAAGTGAAGTTGTTATTCCCAAGTTACTTTTAGGAATATTGGATAATGATTTGATTAATGATTCAGCCCAATAAGCTGCTGTATGTGAGTTAACAAATTGATGCAGTTGCTAATAATAATAATCATAATTTAAGAATAAATACTATACATATTCTCTCTTTCGTTCTTTACCTTATACTTGATGACCTTTTCTTCTTCATTCATGGATAAACATTCTGCAATAGCACGAGCGACTTCTTTACAATCCCATGGATTCACAATACAAGCAGCACTCATACTATTGGCAGTTCCCGTAAATTCAGATAAAATAAGTGGACTATGACGTTCCTCTTGTGCAACCAAGAATTCAAAACTGGCCGTATTCATGCCATCAATAATGGGTGTTACTAAACCGATATCTGCGACCTCTAATAAGGCGTAATATTCATCGCGATCAATATGTTGATTAAACAAATTAGCTGGGGTAAACTCTAAGGAACCATGCTTGGAGTTAATACGAGCCACGATCTCAGTGATCTTATTTTCCAACTCAGGTGAACTAAGCACACCAGGTGACGTGACCTGGATCAAGACTACCCTTTCACGCCATTCAGGATAATTATCTAGAAAGGACTCAAAGGCTTCCAGCTTTTGATAGACACCCTTAACGGGATCAAGTTTGTCGCGACCGACAATGATCTTTTTACCAGCGTATCTTTCACGAATCGCTTTTGCCTTTGGTGCTACACCGGGACTACGACAATGTTGACGTGTTCTTTCAACGTCAATACCTATCGAATGAACCTCGACTTGAATTAAGGTACCATTACCAAGGATACCTGAGGGGGTATATTCATAACCCAGGACTCGAATACAATTAGATGCAAAATGTCGTGCGTAGTTGTAAGTTTGAAAAGCAACAACATTAGCACCCAACATACCCTGTAAAACCTCTTTACGATCTATTTATATCGATATATAAATATATGTACATACTGTATATATATATATGTATATATTTATATATTTACGTGGTAAACATCTAAAGAGTTCTGAACTAGGAAAAGGGGTATGAACAAAAAGGCCTACAGGAGCATCTGGTAAAGCATTTCGAATCATTTGAGGAACAAGCATTAAATGATAATCATGAACCCAAACTAATTAAATAACTTGTAGTATTAGTTATTGCATTGTGTGTATTTTATTTTATTTTATTTTAAATATATCACCACTTACTTATATCCCCTTCTTGATAATTTCTAATGGCTTCATCAGCAAAAATTTGATTTACTTTGACATAATCTTCCCAAAAGGAGAGTTCATTGACTTTATCAGACCACATTACGTAATGCATTAATGGCCAAAGAACTTTTATTTTTTTTTTTGTTTGGTTTTACATGTGAATGATGAAATTGGTTAGTCCTAAATAATAATAAAAAAAAAAGGAAAATTATAATGGCGTCATATGCATCTATTACCTTGTTTACTGTAACCTTCATAATGACCGTAGGATAATTTATCATCAATAAAGATGGGAATCATATCATGGCGTGTTAACAAAAGATGCTTTAAGGATTCTTTATCGCTATCCGAAATTAAATTTGATTCGATAGGTTGTTTTACGTGTTGTGATAAGACAGCACCTGTTCCTCCAATATAAAGTGTCTTGTGATTCTTTTTCACAGAATCAATAGCAGCGTACATGGCTGAGTGACCTCTTCGAGTCTTTAGTTGCCAAACGTTTGTTTGACCAAGAGCAATAATTGTCGAACGTCTTCTTCTTTCGAGATGTGAAATAGGAGTCGTATTGTTGTCATTATCACTCGTCTCCTTCCTTTTTTGTAACTGAAGATGGTTCAGCCTTTCTATCATTTCCTTGTCATTGTCATCATTTGTCATGTAACAGTTGAAAGGGATTTGATTTACAACATTAATCACTCTCCCTTTCAATACTTTGTCCTTTTGTTTATATTGAAATATTTCACTTAATCTTTTAGAGTCAATCATTACTAAATATTAGAAGGAGAAAAAAAAAAACAAAAGAAAATACGTACAAGAAATAAACAAATAAATATAAAAATATAAATATGTATATATATAAAAAAAAAGATTTATTGTTGAATCCCTTGCATAACAAAAAAAAAAAAAAAAAAAAAAAAAAAAAAAAAAAAAAAGAGAAAAAAGAAATAGAAAAAGAAAAAGAAAAAAATAAAATAAAAAGCATAATTCTGAGTTTAAATTAATTGCATTTCTTTTTTTTTTTTTTTTTTTTCTTCTTCCCACTAGAAATGAATATTTGAGTTTTAATTAGCACATACACACATAAATATCACCATGCTTTATAGTAATACAATATCAAATATAAGTTGACGGTTCATAACATTATTACTTCTTTTTCCCTCCTCCCCCCTTTTTTTTGTTTTTTTTTGTTTTTTTTTGTTTTTTTTTTTTTTTGTTAATTATTCAACAATGACACTAGATATTTCAGATAACCATTTTATCATTTTCAAGCATTTTTCAATTGATCCATGTGAAACGATACAAATCAAAAGATATAAAAGTTTAAAAACGGGTATAACAGTTATTCATGCTAACACTGAAGGTATAATAGTAGGTCATAAACAAGATTATTTTATGATATACTAACTTGTATCAATACACTAAAAATGAAATAATAATAATAAAAGGTCCACTCGTAAGTGGTTTTCTAACTCTGGCTACAAAAGGTATAATATGTAGAATAATGATAAAAAAAAAAAAGTTCAATAGCATCGTTAATAATAAAATATATATTATTACAGTATCTGATAATAATGGTTACCCTCATACGCTTGAACAGTAAACCTCTTTATATATACACACACACATATATATATATATATATATATATATATATATATATCGCTTGTAAATAATATTCATAATCATGTATGCCTGCTATTTAGTTTGATATTTCTTGGTAGTGAAAAATACCCTTACAATGTAGTATATTATTATACATGTATATAAATCTGTTTCTAAAACAATGTCTGTCATTCTAGGGTACTCTTGATTCACTTGCACCAAGAGCGTATGCACCAGGAATGAATGCATGGACAGACATAGATCACACATGCTATAGTAAATGACATAAATAAAAAAGGATTTTAAAGAAGAAGAAAAAAGAAAAGGGTGGATTAAAATAGTGTATTTATTATTATATAGCAATCACAACAGCAGGAAGCGATGGTTTTCTTCAATTATTACCGGTTTATGTGGATCACATATTATTTCCTACATTAACCGATGAAGGGTTTTATACAGAAGTACACCATATTGATCAAAATGGAGAAGATGCTGGTATAAAAATAAAAATAAAAAAATAAAAAAAATAAAAAAAAAAATAAAAATTTTGTATAACATGAAAATTTAGGAGTAAGTTTTACTATTCAATTTTACGGAGAAAAAAAATAACAATATAATTAGGTTGTTTATTGTGAAATGCAAGCTAGAGAAAATACAGTAACGGATAGAATGCAACGAAGATTACATCAACTTATTTACCCAAAGGAAAGTGGATATCAATATGAAGCTGGCGGGTTATTAGAAAACCTTAGAACATTAAAGATTGATTCAAGTAAGGGTGATAAAAATTATTAGATTTTTTTTTTTTTTTTTTTTTTTTTGTCTAACAACTGTAAATAGTCCGACAGTATCATAGTGAATTTTATACATCTGACAAATTATTCATTATAATTACTGGTAAACTTGATCAAGTTCATTTTTTATCTACTCTGGAGCAAATAGATAATGCAATCCTTGAAAGACGACAATATCAAAAGATGACCTCTAGTAACAATCATCATCATCCTTGGATTCCTGCTCCTTTTATTCCCGATTTAAAAGAGAATCAAGTTGAAACAATTTATTTTCTTGGTAACAAACTCGAAAATAGGGGTGAAATGACTGTTACTTGGCTCGGTCCAAATTGGAACCAATTCTTAGAGATTCAAGCAATTCAAATGCTCAACATCTATTTAAGTGATACCCCTATTGCTCCACTCAAGAAAGTCTTTGTCGAACGAGATGATCCTTACTGTACAGAACTAGATTTTAGTTTACAAGAAAGAAGTCGCGTTGCTATTACTATCATTTTTCAAAATGTTGCATTAGATAAATCTGACGATATTGTCTCTATACTTATGTCAACACTATCTCAAATCGTAAATACACAAGAGTTTGATATGCAACGAATGGCTACCTTAATTCATAAAGAAAAGTTAAAGGTATATATATATGTGTGTGTATATATATTTATTTATTAGGGGAAGAAGAAAAAAAAATAGTGTTCCTGAATAGTTTTAATTATAGTTTCTTGATGAGTATGAAACTCGGGCAACATATATGATAGCATTACCGGCAATTACAGGTAAAACAAATATATATATAAAAGATTATATTCATATTAATTTTATCCTTTTTGTAAGCATGTCTTTATGGCAATATTGAAAGTGATGATTTTATAAATGCTTTACAGCAAACAAAATACTTGGATATTCTAGCTAATTTTACAAAAGATGACTGGCTTTATATTATGAAACGGTAAATTAAACTATTGTCTACTTACATATTTATATAATAATAATAATCTCTCTCTCTCTCTCTTTCTCTCTCAAGTGTTTATATTGATACGGCTTATACTGCATTAATTGGAAAACCATCATTGGAACTGACAGAAAGATGGATAAAAGAAGAGGAATTAAGAATAAAGGCACAACGTGCGCGTTTGGATGAAAATAAACTAAAAGAATTGGACGCTCAATTAAGTCATACAACTCATGTCAATGAGGCACGAATACCAACTAAAATCATAGAAGAATTTCCTATACCTAGTATTTCCAGTATATCTTCTATAGAAGTTATAACTGCTATCAATCCATACCATTATTTAAAAGATACCGTAATGAATAACAATCCTGTTCAAATACATATTAATAACGATGGCCATGCACATGATATTCCATACTATATCCAATACGATCGTAAGTAAAATATGTATATATGTATTTATTTATTTATTTATTTATTCATTTTAATATAATATATATATATATATATATAGATATGCCATCTGCATTTATTAGCATTTCAGTCTATTTAAATACTTCATCTTTACCGTCACATCTAAGGCCTTATGGTCGTATTTATATGGATACGCTATTTGCTTCACCTATGCTTATAAATCAGACTAATTATCTTGATCATGTTGATGTAATTCGTAAACTTGATAGAGATATTGTTTCATATAACGCCACTTTAGGCTATCAATCATCATTTCGAGAATATATTGTAGTAACAATGAAGGTAGAAACTAAAAAGTATAAGTCAGGCATTAATTGGTTAAAGCATCTTTTATGGGATATACAATTTACACCTGATAGGTAAAAAAAAAAAAAGGAGTGATGAGGAGAAACGACTGATAAGATCTATATCTATTTACATCTACATTTACATTTACATTTACATTTTTAGATTAACGATTGCAATAAACAAGACATTAAATGATATCCCTCAAGCAAAACGAAATGGAAAGCTTGTTAGTGATTGGACTCTTCGTGCTATTCATACAGATATCACAAATTCTACAGAGGCTTCCTGTAGTTATCTTTATCAAGAAGCTTTCCTTCCTCGAGTATTAAATGAATTAAAAAAAGACCCATATCAAGTTGTTCAAGTGATGAATGATTTTAGATCTATTTGTAAGTAAGAATATATATATATATATTTTTGAATGTTGATTATTTTTACAATAATATTCTATTTTGTAGTATGTCAAGGGAAAAATTTAAGGATTCATATTATGGGGAATATTTTAGATTTGAAAAGACCAAAAAGTATTTTTAGACTTTGGAAACAGTATCAGGTAATTAGCGTTCTGTGTGTGTTCCTCTTCCATTAATTTAAATTTTTATTTTTTGTATAGAATAAATTTATAACATTGCCACCTGTTATTCGGTCAAAGGATACATTTGGTCCTTTTGGGAAAAATCCTGGTCATTGCGTAAGAAAACATGTCTTTTTATTTTATTTTTTAAATAACTAACTCTTCCTTCTCTCTCTCTCTTCTTCTTTTTTTTTTTTTTTTTTAATAGACATCAATTATTGCGTTGACTTCGGTGGAAAGTTCATTTTCGATTCATTCTACAATAGGACCTTCTGACTTTGATTCTCCAGAGATTCCATCCCTTCTTGTTCTGATGGAAATGTTACATGCCATGGAGGGCGTCTATAGTCGACTTATTCGAGGTATTGGTCTCTCCTACAAGTGCTGGCTTTCGAATTTAACAGAAGCAGGACTAATCACATTCTCAATCCTTCGCTCATCTAATATCTTTAGTGCATTTGAACATATCAAGAAGGCTACACATCAACTCGCTACAGGTCAATTAGAGTTTGATAGTTATGCACTAGAAGGCGCTAAAAGTAGTGTTATCTTTAACATGGCTGCTTCTGAAAGTACAAGACAAGTTGCAGCTACTCAATCTTTTATTAGCAAAGTCTTGCAACAAACTAAAAGACGTAAATTTGATTTTTTAAAAGAAATTCAGGTAATAAATATTAGACCTGTCTATATTAATGTAATCTCTCATTCATTTTTTTTCTTTTTTTTTGGGAATACTAAAAGGAGGTTACGATACAGGATATTAAAAATACACATATAAAATATATTCAGCCTATTTTTGATCCACATGTTTCAAATCATGTCATTGTTTGTCCCTACTCTAAAAGCCAAGAGATTGCACATTCATTTTTACATATAGGTTATCCAGCTCAAATTTTGAAAATTGAAGACATCTACGCTAAAAACACTTTTCAACAGCAACAGCAACAGCAACAGCAACAGCAACAGCAACAGCAACAGCAACAGCAACAGCAACAGCAACAGCAACAGCAACAGCAACAGCAACAGCAACAGCAACAACAACAACAACAACAACAACAAGAAGAAGAGGAGGAGGAGCACATCAGCTTAAATTCTCAATTACGACCATTTTGAATACTTTTTTGAACAATAGATGTAGATAGTAATAAAATCTATAATCGTATAATATAATTATGCTAGATATTAATATATCGCTGTTATTAAAAATTAGTAATTACTTCAGGAGGAATAAAGGTTAACGCAAAAAAAAAAGCTCTGATAAAATATCATTTAAAGTATTTATTATGAGACTTTTGCACGTACTGGGCTTGCATACAGTATAGTTTATCTTTTCTTCTTAGAATGGGGGGTCTAAAGTAAATTAATCAGCCTTAGAATTTTAGCTTTAATGTCAGCTTTTTTTTTTTTCTTGCAAACATATCTAAAATTAAAAATAGACCTTATTTTTAAAGATATAAATACTCTAAACTAAAACAGTGATTTTCGTGGGGGGGGCATAAAGAATTATTTAAAGTATTTACCTGTCATAATTATCCTTTTCATGTACTTTTTCTATAATAATTGCATGTAAATGTGTTTACATAGTTAACCTATTCTCTTTGTCATGTTTATTAGTCTTTATTAAAAAAAAAAAGAAGGGCGAGGAAGTTTAATAGAATATTATGAAATGCATTTAAAGAGTCATTTTCCTTTATTGCACTAAGAGGATCTTTAAAGGAAATATATATGTGTATTAGCATAATACAGTGTTGTAGTACTTTGATTAAAGCTTTATTACGTAATTATCTTTGATAAGCTTTGACTAGATGTTAAAACAAACATAGTCTTGTATTGAATAAGATCTTTGGTTTATATCCATTTATAAAGTTACAATTTTTGATCATGAATATCATTACTTCCTCCTCTATTCATCATAGTCTCCAAGACTTTTTGCGCTAAGGTTAAAGTTAATAAACCTTTTATTTATTTATTTATTTTTTCAACCATCTTATTAGTTCTTAATTAATAGTCTGTGTAATAAAATACATGAAAAAGTAGAGTACTTGAATAAATCATCGAGATACAAATAACTAACAGGGGAAAATCAAGCCTATTCTTAATGATATTTTGCTATTTTGACAGAATAGTTTTTTTTTTTGGTTTTTTTTATTTTTTCATTTTTTTAATTTTTATACATTATTATGGAAGTAGCATCTCGGAGTCATAAATGAAACAATCCATGTTTATATTGTTTTAAAGATCAGGGCAATGATAAAATAATGAATATAAGCAGCAGCAGCAGCAGCAAGGAGGAAATAAGAAGGATAATCATGGCCTTCTCCTTCTTCTTCTTCTTCTTATTGCTGCTATAACTGTAGTTGCTGCATGACTGCTAATTTTTCACTCTATTCCTTTTAAATAAATAACACTTTTATTAGTAATGAAGTTTAAGGTTAGACATGTAAAATTGACACTATGAATTCATTTCGTCAAAGGAAAAAGATATCGCATTTTTATTTTTTTATTGTAATAGTAGTAGTAGTAGGGCTATTTTCATAATGATACAAAGTCCCTTTTAGATGATGATAAAGAAGGAGGTATTATTAAATCCAAGAATATTTAATTGTCCGCAACAGATCCTATCTTCCTTATTTACTACATACACTATTCTAGTCGTCTTATTCATATTTAATCTTTTTTTCTTTCATTCCTCTTCTTCTTAATAGCCTGCTTCATGATGTAATTAAATTAGGTAACCATCGATAATATATGAGTGAAAGAGACAAGGAAAAAGTTGTAACTCTAAATCTATAACTGTGAGAAAAAAAGTGTAATTCCGATAATGTAATTTGATTGGGTAAGATTAAAAGATTTTTTTTTTTTCGTTTCTTATCACCTTTATTATCTTTTTTATCGCACGATGTTAATTTTTTTTTATTATTATTTGTAGAAAATAATTTTATTTGGTAGCCTTGTTAAAAAAAATATTTTATTTAAACTTTTTTTTTTATTATTATTTAATAAAAATATTATTAAATTCAAACTTTAATGACAATTCATTTATTAGAAAAGATGAACATTAAAGACGAAGATCATGTATTACCATCACCTACTCCCCCATGGACCGATGATGATAAAGAAGATAAAATGATGGAAGAGGATAAAGACAGTAATGGAATAACTGTGTGTGCTAATTGTGAAACAACTACTACTCCTTTATGGAGAAGGGATGCTAGTGGTAGAACAATATGTAATGCTTGTGGTTTATATTATAAATTACATTTAGTACATAGACCTGCTACCATGATGAGAACAGTAATTAAGAGAAGAAAGAGATGTTCTGCTAATGAAAAAGCAGCAGCAGCAGCAACAACAACAACAACAACAACAACAACAAGACCACCATCATCAACAACAGTACAAGAAAAACCAAGTCAACGTAGAAAATCAACTATTACTGAAATGGAAGAAGAAAGTCAACAGCAACCATCTGACATATTAAGACGAAGAAGGAGATCTTTATCACCTAGTTATAGACCTGTTAAATATACAAATAATAGCAAAAACACTAGTTTACCTTCTCCTAATAATAATAATAATAATACCAATCCTAATGATAATAATAACGGAGGACATTCTTTTGTATTACCTCCCCTTTACCCGCCTTCTTCTACATCACCAGCATCCTATGCTCATAGCAATAATAATAATAATAACACTACTACTACTACTACTTCTACTACTACTATTAGTCATCGTTACATGATGAATGATGATATTCATGTGTGTGCAAATACAATCGAAGCTCAAAGGGAATACAGAAATAGTTTACAGAGAGAAGTCACACGACTTACAGCCTTATTATCTGATACCGTAGCTATGTTACAAAAAGTGGACAACGCCATAGCTAATCCTATTCCTCCTGATCAAATATGTCAAAGATGTAATAAATATCCACCCCCTTCTTCTTTCTTAAATCTATCTCGTTCACCACCAGCACATCATTTGTCAACCACTCCTCCTCCTATTACAGCACAACCACCACCTATTGGCATCATGTCACCTTTTGTTAACCGTTCACATCGTCTTCCTCCTATCTCATTAGGCCCTTCACCGAGAACATTACCCCCTGTGCCTGCTGTTCCTTCATTTTTACCTTAAAAAAAGAAAAGAAAATTGCATATTTTTTTTTGTAATATATTTTATAACACTTTGTTATTTGTTTGTTTGTTCTGTTTAATTGTACTTTATTACTAGTTTTTTTTTTTTTTTTTTTTTATAAATGTTTATATATTTATAAAGTTAATATTTATAATAAATAGATAAAAAAAAGAATGAATGAAATACTCTCTTTTTTCTTTTCCTTTGTAAGCTTATTCATATAAATAAATAGCTATTGTCTTGATGATATTTCAGATCCTAATGAGTAGATATCCAAGCAAGAATTAGCTTCTTAAAAGATAAAGTTCAAGATCAAATGTTACTCAAAGTTAAAATAAACCATACAAAAGGTTTTAGAATACGATATATGTGTGTTTCTTTTGTTCTTTTTCATTCTTTTTTTTTTCAGTTATAATAATATAAAATGTTTCATACAATCCGGAGGAAACTTCATGATGAAAAAGGAATCCATTTCCTATACACATTGTATTGCTTATCAATCGGACATCGGTCATTTTGTAAAATATTTATGGAGTCTAAAAATACCCACTGGTAAGTCCTAATGCCTTTTTTTTTAGTTTCTAAGTAGGTTAAAGATTTTCATCACCACTAGGTCGGACGCTGAAGTAGACTAAAACTTATACTCTTGTCAAGTTGTGGTTTTATCAATCAGAAAAAAAAATATTAAAGAACAACACAATTCGCCTTATTATTTTTAACAATCTCGGTTGTGTAAGGAAGGTAACAAAATTTTCTAATTCACAGTCAATTTATAATGAATACTCAAAAGTCATAAAATAGTAAAAACACACACACACAGTTAATTTAATTGAATTTCGAAGAAAATACATTTTATTTATTAATATACAAAATAAAATAAAAAAAAAGTAAAATACAATAAATGAATAAACGCGTACATTACAAGAAGCATAGGCCCTAGATAAAGAATAAAAAAAGTTAGTATACTTTTTCCTTTTTCTCTCTCGGAAAATAAAAGAGAAAGGTAGAAGATCAGTGCTTCTTAGAGATATTTAGGTGTATATTTATATTTTTAAATCAGCAACACAGAATGTTGATCACAGACACACATTATCATCACTTCAACTACCTTTTCTCTTTCTTAATATATTTCGTTAACAATAAATTTACCTTTATATTTTTTAAAAAAAAAAAAATAACAAGGCATATTGGAACTAGCTCAGACATCGCCTTAGTGTCGTCATACCTCGAACCCTAACCCTTTCTCCTCTTTTTTTTTTAAAAAAAAATATGGAAAGGGAGGTTGTGGTATAGTATTTTTATTATAAAAATACTAAATTCAAAACGTTTACCAAAGCTTTCATCCTTGCAATATACTTTCTTTTTTTTTATTTTTATAAAAATAAAAGTTAAAAGAATAAAAAAATAAAATAAAAAAATTTATTACTGTATATAAAAAAAATTTTTTTTTATGACCACTACTAGATTTTTTTTTTAATATACGGAGCTTTAAAAACGTGTGTTTTTTTTTGCCTTTGAGTGGTTACGATTAAACATTTTTTTTTTTTTTTATTATTTTTATAAATTTAAAAAGCGACCTATGGGCACATAATATCTTTATTATATTGGATTGCCCAGGTCAGTTCAAATTATGTGAAAAAAGTATCTAAAAACCCTCTTATGGGACAAGAGGTAAAAAGGTAAAGGAAAGGAAGAAGAGAAAGTGAGAAAGAAAGGGGAATATTGCTAACAAGTTTAAAGAGACAACCAGTTGAGTAATTTTCTGCCTGGATCAAGAAGTGGAGGGGGTAGTTTATCGTGCATTAAATAATCTATTTCCTGTAGAATGGTACACATAACTGGCCAGCGATAGAACCAAGCAGAAACATCCTGAGAATTTCGGTGCTTATGCTGAGGGAGATGATTTAAAAGAAAGGAAAGGGGATCTGCAATTGATCGTGGCAAGAATAAACGAGTGTGCATGTGCAAGCATTCAGTGGCGTGTGACCGACTAAAGTGTACATGAGGATGATATGGACAGGCTTTAGGTATTCCTCCGGGTAACCAACCAAGACGCCATCGAATAGTTCGACTACGCTCACTGTGTGTCATGGGTAACCAGAGTATCGGGTCAATAATCAGATTAGGGCGGCAAGAGGAAAGCAAAACAGAATGTGTCTCGTCACGTAGTTGTTGAAAACTCTCTTCAAGAAATTCTCGACGATGTTTTCGAAAGGAGCGTTTGTCTAACGGAATGGAATTGGCGGCACAGAGTCTCCAGCATGATGTTTGAATGAGTTTATACCATTGAGTGTTGAAAGCGGAGGCGTGAAGTTCGGGAAGTAATTTAGCGAGCAAGGTATCATCCGGTAAGTCAATAGCACGGAAAACGAATTGGGCCTGCAGAATGGATACCCTAACCTTCATTGATGGTTGGTTTACCATATGAAGCATCACCTTTACTGACGATCGACTAGAGCCACCAAATATCCGTCTTATGCATGTGTTTTGACAAGATTCCAGTTGTTGGATATTCTTTGCACTAAGTAGACTAATAGCTAGACCATATTCGAGCTGTGGTCGGACTATCTGCGTGTAGAAGCGAGTAGCGAGTAACCGATCAAATCCCTTGGGATTAACCCCAATAGATGCCATTTGGTTCATTGTTTGTAGGGCTTTGTTAGTATTATTTTGTACTAGTTGAGCTGTATCTAAGAATCCTCCTATCTTGATGGGGATACCTAGATAAGAAAAACATTTTTGGGTTGGAATGGGGTCACCATATAAAGTGTACGGTTGCTGATTATCAGAAGGATCAAGGATTACACATTTACTAGGATTCCAGCGGTAGCCTAATAAATTACTGTTTTCTTCACATAACGATAATAAAGAGCGCAACTTTTCAGGTGCCGTGATGAGGACAACATCGTCAGCATACAACAAGCAATTAATCGATTGTACAAATTGAAGTGGTTGATCACGTATATTTGTTGGAATTGGTGATAGACGTAGAATATTAGGAAGATTATTTATGTATATTGAGTACAAAAATGGAGAAAGAATTGAGCCTTGAAGAACACCAGTTCTCGGGGAAAACCGAAATGAAGTAACATTATTTAGAAGTACTTCGAGATGGACATCATCAAAAAGATTTTTCAGGATATTTAGTAGTGGAGCAGGGGCATAATCAGATAAACAGTGCCAGATGTAGGCACGGTCTACCGTATCATAAGCCGATTTGATATCAAAGAAAGCAAGCGCTGGTTTGAAATTTTGTGTTTTGCGAAGTAAGTTACAAATTTCAGTCAGACAAAGGACCTGATCAAGTGTACCGCGAGCCTCACGAAATCCCCCTTGGGCAATGTCTAACGGTGGGCTATAAGTTATAAGATAAGGATACAGACATCGTTCAAATAGCTTTCGAAAAACTGATGTTAGGCTGATAGGTCGATAATTTCCTGGTTCGGTAGGTGCCCCTTTCTTATGTATTGGGACAATCTGAGCTACTCGCCAAGATAGAGGAGTATAGGACCATCGCCAGCATAGTTCAAAGAGAGACAGAAGGGTTGGAGCAAGTTTATTCGTTATTGGAGAGAGCATTTCTTGTCTTATATGATCAACTCCAGGTGCTTTTTTTGAGGGTAGATTTTTTAAGGCATCTTTGACGTTTTCGAGTGTTATAGGGCAGTCAGACACTGTAAGTGTATATGCATTAATATGTCGAGGTGTAGAGTCCACTAGCTCCATATAGGATGGTTGTTCAGGTAGAAGATGTCCAGAGTAGATTTGTTGGAGGTGAGCAGCCATAGTATTAGCCGAGTGTTGTGATCCATCCGTTGTGGAAAAGGTCGGTTTAAAAGTCCTATTTTTCCGAATACGACTGAATTTTGCAATAGCTTTTGTATATTCGCCCTGTGCCATTTTATCACAAAACTGTCGCCATGTTTCGCGCCGTCTTTGAATTATGAGCCTTCTTAATCGCGCCTTTGATTCTTGGTGAAGTAGCCAGTATTTTAAACAGTTCAAGCCATTTGCTTTACGCCATTTTCTGTAATAGTGTTCTTTTAGTTGAAAAACAGAAGTCATCTCTGGAGTCCAAAAATCCTTCAGATATGTATCATATGTAGTCTGATGTTTGCGACCACAAACTGTATCAAGGGATGCGTAAATTGAATTACATATTTGTGAATTGAACTGTTCGATGTATTCGCATGCAGAGTCTTTTTCGTTAAGATTATTTGAAGGTCTTTGTGAAAGATATGAATGTAGGGTATTGATGAACTCTGCTTCGTATCGAGCAGCTATATCCCTGTTTTTGAGCTTACCGAGAGACCATTGGAGACGTTTTGGTGCCAACGGGTTAATTTCATTGGAAAATGTTCTGGGGGAATCAAAGCTAAAAGTCATAAATTTGTGGTTGGAGGACAGCGAGAGATCATCCCGAATGTGGAGTTTGGGTTCGTGTAGCCGGGTGTTGCTGATGAAATAGTCAATTATGCTGGTCCCATGATAGGCATAAAAAGTTGGTTTTCCAAAAGCAAGCTGTTGGTTCCATATCGTTAAGTGTTGAGCTTCGATCCAGTTGTGTAAGCAACGTCCTTTGGGGTTGTAACGGGAGTCGCCTGTAACTGCGCCCATTCTTGCATTAAAATCACCACAGATTATGGTTGTAGTTACGTTAGCAGTATTCATCGGTAAAAGTGAGAGTAATTCAGAAAATTCTGTCTGATTTAAAGAAGGAGGGAAATAGCAGCAGTGTATTACAATTTTGGATGAGATTATAACGGAAAGAGTATGCTTAGTTAATAAAGGATGATCATGAGGAATATGATGTATAGGTAGGTTAAAAGTAGGGTTGATTAGGAGGGCTATTCCCATCTGTCCTCTATATGCATTAGGAGAGTTGAGTGGAAGACCATATGTGTGAAATTGTTTCCATTTAGTAGGATATCGATTAGGTGGTAGTAACCATGTTTCTGTAATAAATAGAAGAGAGGAAGTTTGAGCAATTTGTAGAATAGGTGTTATAGCCTGCTTAGGCAGGCCAGTGGCATTAAATAATGATATCTGTAATTTAGAACTCATTATTGAATATAGTTGTTGAGGGCGTCAGTTTCGTTGTCAAATTCCATAGTGAAGTCGTCGTTAGCTGTTTCAGGTTCATTCCTTTGAGTGGTTACTTCAAATTCGGACGATGTTAGATTTTTTTTGGACGAATTAAAATTAATTTTCAGATAGTTTGTTTACCTTTTTTGGATGAGTAAAAAAGGAAATTCAGATACAAATGCAAAAATGGGACAAAGACAAAGGAGAAATTAAATAGAGACAGAACGTTAGATGAGATTCAGAAAAAAAAAATGCTATTTTTTTTTTTTTTCGTAAAGACTTCTTACCTGCAGGTATCTTTAAGCTAGCACTTCACTGGAGTGAGATGTGGCAACCACATTGGAGGTGGCGCTTTGTCGTCGAAAGACATTCGGTCGACCATCATCGTTCCAATTGGATTCCGCGATAGTAAACATGTTTTTAGATGCCATAACATCGCGATTCCAAAAGATATTGCATTGTTTTACAGATTAATACCTGATGGACCTTGCAGTTGGCATGTTTTAGATTCTCCAGCAATTTATCGAAACAGTTGTTGCAAGTCTATGAAAGAAATAGTATATTATCAATTTCTGTGTAATTCGTACATGTGTGTATCTCAACCTTCGACGTATTCTATTCATCTATGTCCAGAAGCAACAACTCTCCGAGTTTTTCACGCCTCTTTAGCTGTGCGCACAACTTGTCTGTCACACTGTACCTTAGCCCTTTAAACTTTACGTGAGATTTATTCTTACGATCACCTTCATAAAATTTCTCTTTATGATTTTTTTTTTAATTATTATTCGATCTACTTTCCTTCAGCAACACAGCCTTGAAATTTAACAGTCAAGGAGCACAAGCGGAGATAATAACAAAGTAAGCCGTCTTGCTTCTTTAATTGCAAAAATAAATAGACTATAGAATTAAACAACAACAACAACAAAAAGAAAAAGGTGAAAGGCATGATTCTCATCATATAAAACTTGTAGTAATATTTTTTTTTCAAATATGTATATGCATTTCAAAAGCGTAAGAACATTACTTTAAGAGATAATTATGCTTGTTTTACAAAAAAAAAAAAAACGTTAATCTAAGCCATCCAATAATTTCAATTTATCAAAAATACATATTTTTTTTATTATTATTAGAAAAAAAAATAATAATATTATTATATCCATAGTAACTTTTTTTTTTCTACAAAATGCATAAAGAGAAAATATGCTATTATGTTTATTACTAGTATAAATAATCCCCCTAGTCATTCATGAATTTCAACCACATAATCTGAAAAGGAAAAGCAGTCTATCACTCTCATATATTTTTTAAAATCCCGTTTCAAATTTTTTTTTCCAGAAAAAAAAAAAAAAAAAAACTATAAAAAGGGTATTTACTTATGAAACTCTTTTATACATTTATATCTCACGAAATAATAACGTGGTCTTATAGTATATATATCGTGTAGCAGTCATTAATCTGTTATTTGATTATATAAGATTACTAGATAAAAGCAGACGGTGTAAAACCTTTGGTGGAGAATTTGCAAGGAAGCACATTGACCTAAGCCGTTCAATATAAATACATATTTTATAATTTATATAAATAAAAATGAAAAAAAGAAATATGATGTTTTGTGTCCAAGTGGTAGTAGACTTTCTTATTTATGAGTATTAGTTGACACTATTGTATTAGTCTTAGACGTATATATTTGTGTTATTAAAAAGAGTTAACTGTTGTAGAAAAGATGATAAGAAAGCTTCATGGTAAAGTTAACAAAAGATATTCCTTTTATCAAATGTAACGATTTGCCCTTAACTAAATATACACAAGATGACATAATGTATACTATTACAACAGATAATATTTGTATGAATTTATTACTTTTTCCCAAATAGAATAAATATGTATAGTCTTATGTTTGTCCATTTCATAGAAGCTATTTTTGTGTAAATCTTTCTAGTAACTAACTCTTAGTTAATTGAGCACTACGAAGGAAGATAATTCACATCCTCGAACATCTTTTTATATCTATTCATAGTACTCACTTTAGAGATACTGGTGATAAATCATAAAATAGTAGTAACTTTGATAAATGACATAATAACAATTGAATTGTATTCATTTCAATGTAATTCGAAAAAAATAAAATAAAAACAAAAGAGTCTTTGTTATGTACTTATTTGAGTGCTCTCGCAATCTGCTTCTTTATTTATAATTATCTTTATTATCCTCTTATTATTATTTTGCTTGAACACCTCCTCTTTTCTGATGATGCATGAGTTAAACTTCTACTATTGAAGTCAAGCATTATTTTTAGCAATAATAGAGAATTAAAGAATATAATAAAATCTAGTCCCAACTATATTAAAGTCAAAAAAAAAAAAAAAAACAATTGTCTTTATGAAAATAAACTCTCCTCATTTAATCTATTACAGTCTGGGAAACTAGGTTGGGCCAATAAAAAATAATTGGGTCATTCAAAAATTAAATTGGGACAGAAATACACCCAAATGAAAACGAGATGCAGATGCGAAAATGGAACAGAAATGTGATTAAAGAGTAATTTAATTAAAGTAAAGACCATTGCGCACGTAGTGGCTATGAATACATTGTTTTGCCCTAGCCAGTTCTGAGTATTATTTTGTATGAAAAAAAAAAAAAAAAAAAAAAAAAAAAAAAAAAAAAAAAAAAAAAAAAAAAAACCTCTTGCAAGAAAAGAGGAAAATGTATAAAAGTAAAGAGAAACAGAGTCAGTAAAAGAAATATTTGAACTACTACTAATGTGATTGATTTAACCAATTCATCAGTTTAACGCCAGAAATGATGAGTTCAGGAGGCAGTTTGTTATGGAGGATATAGTCCATTTCGTGGAATATTCAGCATACTACTGGCTAATGAACGGACCAAATACAGGAAACTTTAGGACGGCCGTTTTTTTTTTTTTTTTTTTTTTTTTTTTTTTTTTTGAAGGGAGCCTGTTCAGGACGAAAGAAAGAGGGTCGAGGATGATGTGTGGCATTTGAAAGTGGCTATGCATGTCGAAGCAAATAATAGCATGGTCCCAAGTAAGCCTTGAGTTTGAGTGGAAGACACAATGTTGCGGCTTGCCACCGAGGAGCCAACCAAGTCACCATCGAACATATTATTATTTTGGATCAGGAATAATTGTAAGTCATGCGTCATGCTAATATTCAAAATAAAGACTGAGTCTGACTTTAACCGAGAAAAAAATGCCCTAAAAGTATAATTCAGACAGATCGACAGCTTTGTCACTTTAGAACGTTTTCCATAAATGATAGAATTTGTTGAAATTTGATACTTTATTAGTATATGATCTGTCAGAAATATTTGCAACAACATGCTCCAGCGCATTTTACCAGTCGACTGTAAAGAAGCTGATGTGGTTCTATTGCAAAAAAATAACAAACAGTACAGATGAATACAGATGCATATCTAGCGAAGACGTAGAAATTTTCCAATTGGGAGATGCTATGAAGAATGAAAACTTGGCTGATGTTTCTCTTTGCAGGCTGGATCCCAACCAACATCAGGTTTTTGCTGCTGCTTATGAGGAGGGTGATGAATCCCATCAAATCAGGCGATGCTCTACTAAAGAGTACTATACCTTAACAGGGTCTATAAGACACGCAAAGAGAGAAACAAAAAGAACGTCTTGAGAAAATATGGAGGATATACTTCTCAACATTCCTACAACCAAGACAGCTATTCTTTCAAACTATTTGCAATACATAACTTATATCCTCTCACATCTAAACAGAATACTAGCATTTAACAACTTCTCAACTGCTGAAAGTCGCTTTCACCTATACCAGGGAGTTCAAAGGGACAGACAAGAAATGGCCAATGTCCTCATTAATGGTGGAAAAAAATACAATAAGGCCAAAAGAAAGAACACAAAGAAGAAGAGGAAGAAAAGAAAGAAAAGAAAGAAGAGGAGGGACAAAGAAGTGAAAAAGAAAGACAAAAAAGTTCCCCAGCAGACAAAGTGAGTATACTAGCATCAAAGCAGAGAGACAAACACTATATTCATTAACTATTATTTCAGGAACACTAAGAAGCTTTGGAAGCCCCAACCTTTCAAATACGACAAGAGTAAATTGTCTGTTATAGCTTTCGGAAATGGCATGTTCGGAAAAGACAGTGTACATTTGAAGGGTCTCAGGGTGGGAGTGACAGGAGTTCTTGACAAACAACTCAAAATAAGACAGAAATCAGGAGAACTTTTACATGCTTCTGTAGATGAGTTCAAGACTTCAAAGGTACAACAAGATTTACCAAAACTGCTCAAAGAATAATTTATTAATACTGTAAATATAGACCTGTCATGCATGTCTTCAAACATGCTTAACTGATGCTTACATTGGGTTGCACAGTGTTCAAACTTGCCAAAGTTGCGGAATAATGTGGCAACGCGACGTTAACGCGTCAAAAAATATATTCAATATCTCAAGACAAGTGATTGGTGGTCATGGGCGTCCACGGGAGTTCACGAGAGAACAATAGGTCTTGTTTTTTTTTATATTGCCGTCTCGTACACGATTTCTCTTGTTAAAGAGATTTAGATATTTACAAGTATGCTGTATCTATTTTTTTTTTTTTTTTTCGTCTAGAAAAAATCTAACATTTTGTCTCAATTTAACTTATTCTCCTCTGTCCCATTTTTACATCTGTGTGTCTCATTTTCATTTGGGTGTCCTATTTTCGTATTTCTATCCCAATTTTCCTGCTATTGTCCTAATGCTACATCCGTATCCCAATTTAATTTTTGAATGACCCAATTATTTTTTTATTGGCCCAACCTAGTTTCCTAGACTGTAGCCATATTCAATAATACCTTTAGTCTTATGTTTTATATCCAGCTTTAAATAAGTTGGTGCAAATCAGCCAATGACATTTTGACATGAGAAATTATGGAAATAATAATAATAATTATAATAATAATAATAATTTTTTTTTGTTACTTTTGTTTTCTCCTTTTTTTTTTTCATTGTTTTCTGTCCAAGTTGTATATACATTAAGGCATTTATAAAGTTAAATGGCTCAATATACATACGACGAACAGGGATTTAATTTTTATTATTTCCTCATTTCAGTTTTATCACTGGTCCTAGTGCCAGTAACAATTCAATCTGTTCACTCCTTATTCAAATCAAAAAGTATGTATTCTGTTTCATTTCTTACTTTTTACCCTTTTTTTTTTTTCTCATCTTGTTATTAGATAAAAAGAATAAAAATATTTGTCAATGTCGCACTTGTCAAAAAGAAAGAAAGAATGCGAAAAAGGCTAAGCCCAGTGTCATCAAGAAGCTCATGACAAGTCCCAAGTAAGTTTATTTTTGACTGTGCTATTCATCTTTTTCCTTTTTTTTGTCATTTATTTATTTGTTTATTTTTTTTCAGATTTATCTTCTTACTTATTGGTTGGATTGGTGTTGTTCTTTTAACTTTACAAGTTGCTAATGCTGAAGTAAAAAATGTTACTTGGGACCCTTATGAAATTCTGGGTCTTTCGGAGGTAACAAGCTTAACAAAAATGAATATGTATACACAAGTTCTCAACTCTTTTTTTTTTTTTTTTTTTTTTTTTTAAAGGGTGCTACGGTTGCTGAAATTAAGAAAACCTATAAAAAACTATCGCTTGTTTATCATCCTGATAAAGCAAAACCTGGAGAAGAAGAAAAGAATGAAGAACGTTTTATTGATATTACCAAAGCTTATAAAGTGTATTGTGAAATTTTAAAATGCAAGAAAAAAAAAAAAGCTCGAGTAAATTAACTCTATTATTATAGATTAACTGATGAAGATACTCGTAAAAATTATGAAGAATTTGGTCATCCTGATGGTAAGCAATCCTTTACCATGGGCGTCGCTCTTCCAAAGGGCCTCGTTGAAGGTAATGGCATGCTTGTCTTGGGATTCTATGCTCTCGCTTTTGGTTTAGGTTTACCTTATTTTATTGTAATTTAATTATAGATGAAATTAAGAGAAATATGGATTATTTATAGTTTTATTCTTAATAGGCTCGATGGTGGTATAGATCGCGTCGTCTTACTAAAGACAAGATTTTGAGTAAAACAATGGGCATTTTTGTTAAGGGCTTGAAGGAAAATGATAGCTTTAAAGGTAAAAGAAGAAGATACATTATATACAGAATAATTATTAAAATAGAAACCTATTTTATATATAGAAATCATCAATGTATTATCTGGTGCTTTTGAATTCAAGGAAGGTGCTGATATGCGTCAAGGGGAAGAAAAAACATTGGATAAAATAAATGGTGCTATTGCCGAGGAATTGATAAACAGATTTGGAGAAAAGTTTAATCGTCAAAATGATGAAAATATCCCTGCTTATCGTCGTAAAGCACGCACTCTTCTTTATGCTTATCTTCTTCGTATCAATATTGTATCAAAAGCAGAAGCTAGTAAGCAGCTCATAAAAGATCAACAGTTCATTGTAGAAAAGTCACTTCATCTTCTTCAAGGCCTTTTACAAATTTCTACTGTCAAACAATGGTTAAGCGTTACTTGTCTTATTATGGAATTACAACAACATATCTTACAGGCTACTTATTTCTGTGAATCTAATTTAATGCAATTACCTCACATCACAAATACACTTGTAAATCGTTATAATCATCGCCATCCTAAGAACAAGATGAATACAGTACAACAATTATATGCTATGTCTGAGAATGAGCGTAAAGAATTTTTGAAGCCTCTTTCTAATAATGATGAATATCTTGATGTTATGGAAGTTGTTCATCGTATTCCTCAATTGAGTGTTAAAAAGGCTGCTTTTAAAGTAATTGGTGATAAAATCATTACTACAGGTGCCATCATTACTTTTATTTTGAAACTGAAGAATGGTCAGGTGAGTGAAGTTGAAGTAGAGAATAAAGAAAAAGAAACGGATGTAGTAGTCAAAGAAGAAGAAGATGAAGAAGATGAAGAAGATGAAGAAGATGAAGCTATTATCCTTTCCCCTGAAGAAGAAGAAAAGAAGAAGAAGAAGAAAGATAAAAAGGTACTTCCTTTAGCTCATACACCTTACTATCCTGGTGAAAAGAAGCCTTGTTGGTGGATCTTCTTGGGTGATCCCAAAGTAAATCGAATCTTAGTTCCTCATAAAAAGGTGACTGACATCGTTGATGAAGAGACAATCAAGATCGCCTTCCCTGGTCCTCCTAAGCCTGGTGTCTATACATTCTCTCTTTTTGTTAAATCAGATACCTATGTCGGTACAGATATTCTTCAAGATATTAAATTAAACGTACATGATCCTTCTGATCTTCCTGAAGAGGAAGAAGTGGATGATACTATTTCTGAGCCTGAAGAAGATTCTATTGCTGGACAAATGAAGTTGATGAGAGAACAAGGTCTTGCTCAAGCTTTGGCTGGTGGTAGTAAAGATAAGAAGAAGGATGATTCTGACTCTGACTCTGACTCTGACTCCGATTCTTCTTCTTCTAATGAGGATGAAGATGAAGATGATGATGCTAACTATGTTACTGAATCTGATGAAGAATAATAACAATAATAATACTAATATGTATATGTATACATATATGCATACAAAAATCAAACTTCCATTATATAAACAAATAAATAGTCACTTTATTAGTTCTTTTCTTTTTTTTGTGGAGTTGCGCCAGCACGAAATAATGCGATTGGAGTAGGTGTAGCACCAGGACGTTTTAGGATAGATCGAGGTGTTTTAAAAGAAGGCGACCCACTATTATAAGTACTTCTTAATGCCTCCCCAAAGCCTGATTGAATCCTTGGTGTGAATCCTTGAGTACTTTTCCTTAATAAATGTTGTGCAGCAGGTGACATTAAACCAGCCCTTGATTATTATTATTTAGATTAGATACAGAAACATTGTATTATTATATACACATATATGGATTCCTTTATTATTACCCTACTCTTGGTGTCCCTTGTATTCTTCGTTGTTGTCTTTCTATTGTCTTTTTCCTATACGCTTTAGAAGCTTTTTCAGATAATTTCATACCTAATTGTTCTCTTTTTGATATTTTTGGTAAAGAGAACTGAGGTTCTGGAGTGTCTGAACCATTTGAGATCAATAAGGGAGTCCCCTCAATTGAACCCCAAGTCATTTGTGGTGTTCCTATACGTGATGGACTTAATGTAGGTGTGGCATCAACAAGATTATATCCTCTAATATTAGGTGTTGAATCGTCTGCTTCTGTTGATGATAGACCATTCCATTGCTTCCAAGGTGTAAGCGACCCATCTTTATTAGCTATATCTGATGGTGCTACTGTTTTATGTGTTGGTAAGGATGTATCATTTATCATAATATGGGTATTTTTATATTCAATCGATTTAGGCTGTCCTCTTCCTTCATTAGGATTCACCCAAGACTCACTTTTCCCTTCTGGGTAATACATGAGGGCATTTCTTGTTTTATATTTCCAACCCAATGGTGCCTTTTCGTTTGTTTCAATAGCTAATGTTCCTTTCTCACCATTGGTTATTCGTAAAGATTCGCGATCAAAGAACCATTTGTTCTTTTCTTTCACTTTTAAATTTGCTTTTTCTAATAAATCTGCAAACGATGCATTATCTTCACTGTTAACAAGAACAATTAATAAAAGGAAGAAAGAAAGAAAAAAAAAAATTCCAACTCTTTTTTTTTTTTTTTTTTTTTTTAGAGGAGAGATAAAACCATCACCTGGTATAAAGAGATTGAAACTGATCTAGAGATAAATTAAGATTGACTCTCTTTTCGATATCTGGCTCATCTTCGAAATAGTAGTTGACACTTTGATTTGAATCTCGTGGTTGAGCTAATAATACAAATGTAATTATTAAAAATAACTTGCAAATCTTTTTTTTTTTTTTTTTTTCTTTTTACATTTTTTTAATGTGGTAGCATTATGTAATGCTCTTCCTGCTTCCTGTAATTCAGCTAATGAACCGTTTTTTTGTACTTCCCAGTATTTCTGCTCAGCTTTCATTTTTGCTAAATTGGGAAAGAAATCCCGTTCGATGATAAGGCTAATGGCTTCGGTATAAGTATCTTCATCTAATACAACTGGTGTAGTCATGGTTAAAAAAAATAAAATAAAATAAAATAAAATAAAATAAAATAAAATAAAAAATAAAAAATAAAAAAAAACAAAGTAATATGGAAGCAATAGTGTTAAATTAAATTCAAATCACGTGACTGACCGTACACTAATGATGTGTGATGAAGAAAACATTGACTAACAAGCAGTATGCCTCTCACTTCACTTAAATAAAAAAAAAATGAATTATAAAATATTTTTTTTTCCTTTAGAGCAGAAGTAAAAATGATAAAGATATATTGCTATTAACTATGACTTTATTTTTATTTCATGTACAAGAGAAAGATTAAATTTGACAAGTTTAAGGTAGTACAACATACTTGATTATTGATTGATTAAAGTGAATAGTGGTGTATGAATACATGACACATATATCAAATGTAAATATACCTAAAATATCCTTTTTTTTTTCTCTACTTTTTTTTTTCCTTTTTTCCCCTTTTTTATCTATTATATTTATACATATTTTTTTTTTTGAAACTTCTTCCTTTACAAATATATACATATATTTATACATATATATAAATATATGTAAGCCTTTTTTTTTTTGTGTGTGTGTGTATATGTATATTTATTAAACATGACATCTGTTGCCCCTACCACTCAATGTGACTTTACTTCTTCTGTTAATAAGGAGTATAAAAAATCTCATATACATAAAAAGAAAACAGGAGCCAAAAGGATAAGATCCCTAAAAGTTAGACAGCAATTATTAGAGTATTGTAACTTTTCTCCTAACAAGATTCAGCCACGTTCATCAGCGAAGAGAACAGTCATCACTACTATTGAAAACAAACAAGAAGCCGATGAAGAAAACACTACAAGTCAATATGTCTTAACAGAAACTCAAGCTAGTAACATCTTGATTGATTTAGCAAATAGTCAGCAACAGAAGAAGGTAATAAAACTAAACAATATGAGATATGCATGTTCTATGTTTATATATTTGTGTGTGTGTGTGTAGAAATCAAAAAAAAAAAGATTAGTTTTTGATAACGGAACGTTGATGTCGTTGTGTTACAAATATTAAGGAGTAAAAAAGATGGGGGAGAAGGGAAGGATCAATAAATTATCTTTGAAAGTCAGAATAATAACTAATATTTCATGATACAGACAATGACAGTAGTGTCTGAAAAAGACAAACAAAAGGTAAATAGAGCATTATTAAATAAAGAAAAAGAAAAGACTAATATATGTAAATATGTACTTATAAATATTTATAGGAAAAAGAAGTAATAGAAAAGAAAAAAGGTAAGAAAAAGGGAAAAAAAAAACTATCAACTATACTTACATTGCATATAAAAGAGGTCAACTTTAGAAAGCCGGCAAGAATGATTGCAATCCCTAAAAGATCTATTAAAAAGCCCTCTTCTTCAAATATTCATGATCCTCTTGGCCTTCTTTTAGCAGCAGCAGAAGCTATTCATAATGAGGATAAACTGACTAAGAATAGTAAAATATAGAAACCATGTATATGTGTTTCATGTTTATATTAAATAGAGTCTTCGTATAGTAATAACTGTAAACAATCAACAAGAAAGAAAGAGAAGACATAATGATATAGATCCTCTTAAGACTGATGATAATAACACAAAGCATCCCGTTAATAAGAAACGTCAAAAAAGAACAGCATCTAACGTCAAAAATAATAGCAAAACAAAGGTAAATATTGCTTTTATCTATCTTATTTGCTTGGATATGTTTGTTTATTTGTTTTGTTTTGTTTTTTTTCAAAACATGTATAGCCAGCTAAAAAAGAAAATAACAAGGACGCCACTACAAAGCAACAAAATCAATCCATAGTATGTTTACTACAGATATATATCGATAGCTATTTACTAATAAACACTATAATATATATAGGAATATAGTCTTAAGATAAAGCGAAATGCTTTACATGCATATATATCATACATGATATATAATAGTAGTATAGCACAAAATAATACACCAAATATAAACAGTCATAAGGTAAGCATAAGTACATGAATGTATTCATATACTAACCTATTCTATATATATACTTCAAGTAAAACAGTAGTAGCAACATCAATAACCACGAGTTTTATCCTCTCTCCTCCCCCTCCAACTTTTCCCTACCATTATGACTATAATTCTTCTCCTCTATTATGGTTTTCACTATGACTACCATCATCATCGCAGTAGTACCAGAAGCGAGAGTCGCAGTAGTAGTAGTAGTAGACATTCTTCCTTCATAAAACGAAAAAAAAACGAAACAAAACAAAAAAACAAAAACAACAACTGGGCCACTCCTTTAGCAGAAAAGGAAAAAGAACCAACTTTTCTTATAAAAGAAGTATCTACGGTAGAATAATTACAATTATTTAATTGACAAATTTCCTTCAATTTGGAACCGAATCTTAAATATATTTGTTAGCTGACAGTTTTCCTTTCAACTTTAAATATATTTGTTAATAAATTAAGTTTTCATACTTGTATATACATTGATTCATAATAAACAGTGGGTAGAGTAAACAAAAGAAAAAAGGAAAAAAAAAAAAAAAAAAAAAAAAAAAAGAAATTAAAAAGTTTATACTTCCTATACACTTACTTCTAAAGGTATTATCAAGATAATATGAATGAATATTATGTTCAACTTGAACTTTCAATACTTTTGGCTCGGTAAATGTTAACAAGGGAACACAATGTGTCTATAGTAACTATGTATTTATTAATAGGACTCATAGTAAGCGGCAATCTGTACTTTGTTTTGAATAGAACTAAGAATATGAAAAGCCTTGAAGAGAAACAAAGATGAATGCAGATATATTACAAAACGCTGCTCTATAGAATTCTTTTTGATAGGGGAATAATGTCTAATATTTAAAAAAAAGTATGCTTAGTTTTATATTGTTACTCTAGGAATAAATCCATTATGTAGAGGATCGATAATAGCTGTCAAACAGGATTTAAGTTTTTTTTTTTTTTTTTTTTTTTTTTTTTTTTTTTTTCATGAAGCTTGTTAATTATTTTTGATACAATAAAAATAAACGTGTTTAGGCAGATATATAATGTTTATTTTTTGTTTTTACAAAAAAATAAAATAATGAATCTTTCTTAAAGAGAAAAAAGAAATAAAACTTGAAGCTTTAAATTTACTCTTCATCAGATTCTTCAGCAAGAGTCATGGCAATACGATCCAAATCTCTTTGACCATCTTGAGTAATCTTACGGCCACTATTAAATAGTTATATACATTAGTTAAAGTAAAATAAAATACTACGGTCAATCTTACCCCTTCTTATCCTTTTCCAAGACACCAATCTTTTCCAAAGATTGGAGAACCTTACGGTTGACGGAACCAGAAGCATTGACGTGGTGAGAGGGACGAGAACCACGGTTGACAGTACCACCGTGAACCTTGTTCAAAGCACCAACACCAACAGACTTACGGATGTAGATGTGACGAGCAACAGAGGCTATTTAAAAGGGGCATTAATATACTTTATCTATTATACAAACAAATGATAATACGTTACCAGCACGAATGTAATACCAGTCAGGGTCATAAGGAGCAAGTTCCTTGAAAGTACCAGTCTTGACAAGGTCAACCCACTTAGGGACTTCGAGCTTACCAGTACGCTTGAGATAGGCAGCATAGGCCTTGATGAAGGCTATAAATAAATGTGAGTATTAATATACTTGACTTTATACATCAGTATTTTTTTTTTAAGAAAAAAAAAGACATGAGCCAAGCCACAATTCCCCTCATTGATGAATTATTCAATTCTTTCTACAACAATTCCAAAATGTGTCTACTAGTTACTTTGTATTATACTTTTTGTTTTGTATTATCCATGTAAAAAATATGTTTTCTTTCCTTGAAATTCGATACATGTACAAATTTCACATTTAAGATTTTTTTTTTTTTTTTTTGTAAAAAAAAAAAATGGATGAAAATTATGGCTTTTGACTCATCGTCTTTCTTTTCTTTAAAGTTCTAATATTTTGAAGATATCGTACCATGAGGGTTAACGTCCTTAACAGTGATACCAGCCATAGTTATATAAGTTAATGCACTGAATTCGAGAAGCAAAAAAAAGAGAAGGCTTTCAAAAAAAAACTTTGGTTCTCTGACTTTTTCAAAAATTCAAAAAAAATTTTCCCTCACCCTAAGCGGTCGCTGCATTCGAATCACGTCACTTTTTGTAGTCACAAAGTTTTTTTAATTGCCGTTTTTTTTTTTTTTTTTTTTTTTTGTTATAATCTTTGTGAGCGCATAGTACCTAAATGATACTGGATTGCCCAGATCAGTTCAACAAAATAAGAATAAAAAAAAAAAAAAAAATAAAAATAAAAATCTCCCTTTTAAGAGACACAAGATAAAAAGGAAAGAGATGAAGAGAATGTATAGTATTCTCAGTTCAGATAGAAATCCTTTTTGTAAGCTTATTAAAAGGAAACTTTGAGATTAGTATTCTATTTTTTTTTCTTTAGATAAGGTGAAATGATAAATATTAAGATGACCTCTTTGTATAATTATATATAATAATTAATTCTAGCTACTATTTTTTTTTTTTTTTTTACAGCTAGTCTCAATTTTATTCGAATACGCTGTAATAAAGCAAATATGTATATAAATATATATCACAAGTACAGAATACTATTTGAAGGCATTATTATGCAAAGTATATAATGCTAAGATAAAAAAACACTTTCAGGGACAAGCGTAGAGAATAAATTACTATTGTAAGAGAGAAACAGGAGCTTATTAAACGTTACCCAAATAAAAAGATAGGAGGTGAATACTACTGATCATATACTGGAGAGCAAATGTCCTTATATGCTAAACTATACAACAAATCAGTATGACTATTGATAGAGAAACATAATCGAAGGAACTTGGTATTTTTTTTTTTTTTTTTTTTTGAATGCTTCTTTTATAATTATCAATAAAAAAAACACTATAAAACAATTAAATGTAATATTATTTACTAGATTTGATGGCATTTAGTATTGACTGATTAAGTCTATTCCTATCACTACTTTTCTCGTATATTTCCAAAATATAAACAAGTCATTTCTTTTAGGCAGCATCAATACTCGCTGCTTGATATACATATAAATATATATATATATATATTCATATATTTGTCCACTTGATGTAGTTGATTTGAAAATTAATAAGGAGACAACTGATTTACATATGCAAAAAAAAAAGGAATCAATCACTCAGCCACTTGTATATCATGAATTATTCGTTTTAATATCATAACAGAAATATTAAAGAAATACTAATCGTTTTATATAATCTGTTACAGAAGGAATTGTATATTAAGCAATAGAATTTGCTTTTTTTACAGACAAGATAGCAATAATTATACGGCTCTTTTTATTTCTTATTTGTTTTCATGATAAAGTACTGAGATCATCAAATTGATTCTAACTTGGAATAAACTCGTGTTATTTATATAATAGATAAATAGAACAAAATAATTGAATTAGAGGCATAAGAAAGGATTTAATTTTGCAAAAGAATGCTATTTATCTTGTAAGATGGTTTAATTCGCAAAAGTATATACAAAATAGAATCTATTGCATACATCTATAAAATAGGATAAATACTTCTTTTACTTAAAGCATATAAATAGTAACAGAATAATCATTCTAATTTGACGTAAAGATAAATGCATCTCTTATTCATATATACCGATTGGATGTATTATGTAATATAGGAAAAATAAATTGACCGATCCAATAACAGCGAGAAGAAAGCTAACTCAAATTTATTTTATTTTAATAGAATTCATTCTGTTTCTTTTTCTGCTTCTTCTTTTTTTTGTTCACACATACTTCAAAGTAACTTATTTTTTCTATTGTGTAAATTTTGAAAAGATATTTTTATATATACGCCTCCTTTTCAAATACATACATTTTACTCCCTTTTAATTTATCAAGTTAACTTTTTTTTTCCCTGTATATAAAACCTTATATAATATACACATTTGTGTTAATGGTTACTCTAATAGACTAAAAAAAAAAAAAAAAATCGACTTGTGAGTGTAGGCATATTCTATTTTTTGAGCCCTCTTTTTATATATACAAATATATCTTTATACATATCATTATTGCAATCATTAAACTTTATTTATTTATACGAAAAATAATAAAAAAAAAAAAAAAATGCCATCAACAACGAGATTAAGTCATCGACATCAGTCTTCTAATCTATCTTTCTCTTCGGCATCTTCATCTTCATCTTCTACTAGACCAGCATTACCACAAATTTTATCTAATTCTGCTACAAATGCGGTTAACTTTACGAGAAGTGCTGCTCCTACATCACGACGAGTACGATCACATTGGTTTACACATTTTGTATTGAACTGGCGTCGAAGTTCAAGATCATCTAAACTATGGATGGGATTTTCCATGACTTTTGTTATTATACAAATTATTACAAGTATTATTGTTCTTTTGATCTCTTGGGAAATGTATTGTGATAAACCTCTACGTGTCTTTGTTACTGTATATATTCTTCGTCAAATATTAATAACACCTATTCATATTTATCAACATTTAGCACCTCGTCGCAGGCCGACAAGCTCAATGATTTCCCCTCGTTCTAGTGCTCGAACTGAACTGAGTGAAGCTTATGCTCTTAATGAACGAAATATTATAAATAATGATCGACCCGTATCTTTTCCACCTCCAGTTAGGCCGACAAGTACAAATCGGTATCATCAGGCATTTGCTACGCCTCATCAACAACTTCATTTACCTTCTCAGTATCCAACTTCTTCTTTATCTTCTGCACAGATTACGCAGGAAGATATCATTAGAGCATGGATAGATAGGTAATAGCAGAAGAATTATATATATACATATACATATATATATATATATATACACTTTACTATAAAGAATTTTCCTATTAATGATCATGTTGGTAACATATATATATATATATATATATAGAGCTAAATCAGCTCTAGATTTATTTGCAGTTTTATGGTTTATTATTGGCAATTACATGTTATTCTCTTCGACTACATGTTCAGATACAGCAAAACCTCTTTATTATCTATCATTAGGATTAATTGCATACGGATATCTTATTTTATCAGTTCCTATCTTCTTATGCACCTCAGTTATCTTTTGTTTACCATGTGTATTAGGTATTCTTTCTTTCTTCCTTAATCAACATAGATTCAAATGATTTATATATATATATATATATATATATATATATATATTATATACATATATTCTTATTACTATTAGTGGGTATGAGGTTACTTCATGTTGATGATGGTGTCTATATGGGAGGCGCAACAAATGAAGAAATAGCAATGATACCCGTTTACCAATTTAAATCTACTAGTAATAATAATACATCTGAGACAGCTAATCAAATCAAACTGCTTTATCCCAATAATAACTCAAAGTTAAATGATTCAACTACAGTATATACAACTGGATCTACATTAAATGAAAATGATACTATAATTGATCTTAATGATATTAAACAAAAAGAAGAAGAAAAGAAGGGACAAAAATCAATACAAAAGAAGCTAGGACGATTGGATAAATTATGGCTTTACTTGGGCTTAATAGACTCACCTCCTACTGATATAAACGAGGAATATGAAATATTAGAGATTCCTGATGTCCAAGATCAATTATGTGTTATTTGCTTATCAAACTATGAAGATAATGATATTTTATGCAAATTATGGTAAACTTGGAAGAAAGTAAATGATATTTTTTTTTAATCAACCTTATATATTTATATATAAATATATAATAGGTGTGGACATCATTTTCATAAGGCTTGTGTTCATGAATGGCTTGCTTTAAACTTTAGATGTCCTATGTGTAAACAGGATTCAAGAGGAAAGGATATTATGATTGACGTTTAATATGTAAGACTTATATTACATAATATGATATTTATTATTGTATATTATTTATTATATACCACTATGTATATGTGCATGTGCATATGCATGTGTACGTGTACATGTACGTGTACGTATATGTATATGTGTACGTGTACGTGTATGTATATGTATATGTATATGTATATGTATATGTATATGTATATGTATATGTATATGTATATGTATATGTATATATATACGCACGCACACACACACACATACATATACATATTCTTATTTTATTCTACTTTAAATAATGTATACAATGTCTCAATATCCATGCCATACCTTTCAAAACACTACTGCTGCAATATTATCTACTAAAATAAAATTTATCACATGAAAATCAAATAGGGTCGTAGTGTTAATAGTCAAGACGTGTTGTGGAATGTTAATTCTCAAAAAAAAAAAAATAAAGCTTATTTAAAGACCAAAGGAAGGTTATCTTCTTTGCTTATTTTGACATGAACGTTAGATTGTTTATATCAATTTTAATAGCGTCTCCTAGAATTCATATAATTCACTGAATTGATCATCAAACAAAATTTTATACTCATGCCTTTCAAATATAGAAGATTTTATTTAAAGATGCTCAAATTTATTCATTAATGACTATATACACGCAAAGTACTATGCTAAATTTACGTTAAACAATTCCAATTGATTTCACTTTTACCATGTTCTATCAAGTACTCGTTTGCTTTCTTAAAATGTTTACATTCAAAGAAGCCTTTATGAGCAGAAAGTGGCGAAGGATGGACACCTTTTAGAATAAGATGTTTCTATTATCATCAAGTAGATTAAAAATCATTACGTAAAAAAAAAAAAATCATTTTCTTGTATTAAAACTTACATTTTTATTAATCTTGGCACCCTTTTTTTGTGCATGTGATCCCCATAGAATAAACACTAAGTTTGTCTTTCTTTCATTTAAATAATTGATAATGGCATCTGTAAAATGTATAGAAATAAATAAATATAACCATGTATTTTTTTTTTCAAACATGTATCTTCAATAGTTTATTTTACCTGTAAACTGCTCCCAACCTTGATTTGCATGACTTCCTGCCTTATGTGCTTCAACACTTAGACTGGTATTTAACAGTAAAACGCCTTGTTTAGCCCAATTCTCCAAGAAACTAGGAACAAAGAGTGAATATAGAGTTGACTTTGTTCATCTATTTATTTTACCCGTGATCTGGAATGTTGAAATCAGGATAATCATTCTTTATTGCTTTGTAAATATTGACTAGAGAAGGTGGCACTTTAACGCCTTTAACAACAGAGAAGCAAAGACCATGTGCCTGATTATAATTGTGATATGGATCTAATCATGACTTTTAAATATCAAAAGTTGACATCCGACTTTAAATTTTTATCTTACCTTGACCCAAAATCACTACTTCAACTTTTGAAGGTGGTGTGTAATTAGACCAACTATAAATTTGATGCGCTTAAAAACATAAAAATTATTATTTGGGTTACTATGTGTATATGAATGTCAAATAAAATAAAATAAAATAAAAAGACTTACAGGGAGGAAATACAACTTTTTTAGCCGCCAATTCTGCATTTAAAAATCGTTTCAACTATTCATACATCACATGTAATAAAAGATCAAAATTGATGAACGAAAAAAAAAAAAAAAAAAAAAATACCTTTAGAAAGTAAGGCTTAACAAGCTCAGGCGACAATACTTTCAACCACTCATAATTCATAGTTTTAATTTCAAGATCTAACAATTCTAGGGTTTCTTCATTAACATTTTTAAACAATGCTTTTGGATCTTTAGGTTTAGTATTAGGTACATCAACATCATTAGCATCATTCTCGGTTGATTTTTTAGTGGTATTTGTTGCTGCAGGTACAGGCTTAAACATAGAAAGAAGCGTTACTTGCTTTTTACTAGACGTCTTTTCTAGGTTATCTTCAGTTTTTCTTTTATTGCTACCTTTATTCATTTTATTTTAAAAAAATAATAATAAAAAAAAAGGGGAAAGAAGAAACGCGACTTGAAAAATAAATATTCATTTTTTTTTTTTTTTTACATTGCGCTAATAATAGTAGTGACTGAAGCCTTATACATTATTATTAAAACAATAACATGAAGGCATTTTATTTTATTTTATTATATTTATGAATGTGTTGTATTTCTAGTGTCTTTATCAGCACGTCCACGCTTTCGTGATGTAGCTTCTTCTCTTTCTTTTCTATAAGGTGTAGTTCTCTATAAATTAAAAATAGAGTATTAGTGACTGAAAAAAATAAAAATAATAAAATAAAATAAAATGGCTATTATATTTATTTTCTTTTTACCTCTACTACTGATGTGCCATCCTTGAAACGTGTCTTAAATAATACATTAGCATTATTAAACATACCATCTTTCAAAGACACAACTAAAAATTGTGATCCTTTAAATCTTGTACGTAACAATGAACCAATGTTTTGGGTATGTGACAAGTCAAGTGCAGCATCTACTTCATCAAGAATATACATGGGCGCTGGTTTGAATTGAAGTAGGGATAAAATCAAAGATAATGCAATTAATGATCTAGTAAATTATATAAGTTAGGTACAGTACATTTCAAGTAAATAGAGTTTGCTTGTTGGTTTTTTTTCTTTTCCCTTTTTACCTTTGCCCACCACTTAATTCTGTTAAGCTTTGCTTCCATACACCTCCAAGACATACTTTAACTTCTAGACCATCTGCTATTGACTTTCCTTCTGGTGCTTGTAGTTTACATGTATTTCCTTCTAATAAATCACCAAAGATTTCTGCAAAGTCTTTATTAACTTTACGATATGTCTTTTCAAGAGCTTCCATTTTATAATTTTCTAATGTTTGAATGGTATCTTCAATCTTCTGTTTATCTTTTTGAACTGTAGCTAGCATTTCTTTTAAAGCTGCCTCTTTCTTTTCCACACTAAGATTATCAAAAATAGATGAATTACATTCTATATATAAATAGATGAATTATGATAATTATAACTTACTTATCAATCATATTCATAACTCGTACATTAATCTTTTTACGTAATGAATCATGATTAACGCTTAATTGTTCGAGTTGTTTTCTTATATCAGCTAAACTAATATTTGTATAATCATACGCTGAACCAGCTTGACCAAATAATCTAAATTGAAGGTGATAAGTACATATTTATAAAAATAAAAACCATGCATTTTTATATCTTGTTTTACTGTTTTTCATCAGCTATCCATTCATATTGACTTTCTAATTCTTGTATTGTCTGTTCAGAGTGTTGTCTTTCTTTAATAAATCTTTCATTGTCATGTGTCAATTTCTGTATTCTTAAATTTAATTCAACAAGTTCATTGGATTTACGATCATGAATAGTACATAAATCATTAAATTCCTCGTTATGTGCATTCAAAATTCTATTTTCGCTTTCAAGTTCCTCTTTAGCGACAATTTCATCGGTCTGAATCTTCTCTATTTCCTCTTTCATAGCAGCTATAGATGCTTTATATTCAGCAATAGATTCATGTACCTTTTTCATCTCATTATCACATGCCACAATATCGGTCTCAATTTGTTCTATTTCAAGTTCAAATGTTTGTACTGCTCGTTGCATGTCTTTTAACTTGATGGCACTTTTCTTTAATTGACTCTTTAGTTTTTCTACTCGTTCAGTCATCTGATCTATTTTGGTGTCTTTGTTATTGTTAAATTCTGCCATTTCATTTTCAATACGCTTGCAATCTTCAAGTGCCTTTTCTTTTGCAATTATCGATTGTTGCATAATTTCCTCTTGTTGAGCAATTTGTGACTTTATTGCTTCAACCCGCATAGCCAACTATTAAAAAAAAAAAGGGGAAAGAGAGGGAGAGAGATAGAAGCAGTAATATGTTAGCCTGTTATTTATATCGCTACTACTATATACCTTACCTGAGTGTGTGTACTCTTACTCATACGTTGTTCAAGTAATTTCAATTCATGTGTTTGAAGATCTAAACATTGCTTATATTTGTTGTATTGTGTAATAGATTGTTGACAAGCTTCTATCTCTCTATCTAAATCCTCTAACAGTTGAGAATGGTGTTTTATCTCTGCGTGTATTTCATTTAATTCTTGTATCTTTACTAAAATACCCGCTGAATTGGGTTTAGATCCACCTGATAAAGTGCCATGAGGGTCATAGATATCACCATCTAATGTGACTGATTTGATACGTAAATGCTTATTAAATGTCACTTCCTTAGCTGTCTTGGCATCTTCACAAATAAACGTACTACCAAAGATCCATTCCATTGCTTCATATACCTCTTCATCAAATCCAATTAAACTTAATGCAAGGTGAACTTTTCCTGGAGCAATCTTCTCAGCAATAGATATTTTTTTTTCTGATACTTTTTGTCCTTGGATTTTATTTAATGGAATAAGTGTCCATCGACGTTTAAGTTTCCCATGATCTAAGATTTGTGCACCCACTTTTTCATTCTCGACAACTACATTATAAAGTCTACCACCAGCACAAATTTCAAGGGCAGTAGATGCATCATAATGGTCTTTATCAAGCGTAATTAATTCTGCAACTAGACCTTTTACTTGAGATTTATCAAAATTTGGTGAAGGTGATGTATATTCAAAATTAAGATTAGATAGTTTTCGAGATAAGGATTCTTGCTTTTCATATAAATCGTTTAACATATCTTGTTCTTCTCTCTTTCTACGTAGAAGATGATGTTCAGTTTCTGGATCCCAATTCAATGCACTCAATTTTTGCTAGTGTAAAATTATGAATGTTATTTATGTTGATTTACCCTACAGATCCCTATTATGGATAGTATTTATCATTTACCTCAGTTTCACTCATTTCTATTTTCTTTTTTTCTAATGCAGCAAGTGATCCTTGACTTTCTGCAAGCGCTTTAGCAGCTTGAGGTTCCTTTTCAGCAAGCTCCTTATGTAAATGTTTCATCTTTAAAGAAGCTTGTTCTTCAGCAGTAGATGCTTGATTAGCAGCATTTTTTGATTGTTGTAGTTGTTCCATATAGCCATTTTCATGGCCTTCTTCAGCTGAAATACCAGTTGTTAATGTTTGAATTAATTCATCTGTGCTCTTCATTTCTTTTGATTTTTCATCATATTTTTTTTTGTAAAGCTCGTATTCATCCTTGATTCTTCCATATGCCTCCCTTTTCTCATTTAAGCTTTCCTCCAGCTGGTTGAATTAGAAGGATATCAGTAACTATTTACGCATATCTGTTTTCTTTAAAAAAAAATCGTGTTCTAATTTTACCTCCCCTTTTTGAGTTGCTAACAATGATAACGTCTTTTGCTCATCTGTTGTAGAAGATTCTAATAATACTTTCTTTGCATTTAATCGAACGGACTGAGTAGAGCATTCTTTTATTTTCTTTTCCAAGGATTTGATCTTATTCCCACTCTCAGAATTCTCTTTCATCTTTGCAGAGATGGCCATTTTCTGTTCCTCAATTAATTTTATTTCGTTCCCTAAGACTTGAGCATTTTCTTTTAATTCATTAATTTTATGAGTCCTTGCATCATTGTCTGCTCCTGATTTATTCAATCTATCTTCATGTTTTTTATATTCATATGAAATTACGAGACGATTCAAACGCTCCATTTCAACTTCTGTCTTTTGGAAATCCAAATAGACTCTCTTTTCTGCACGAAGTCTGTCTAGTTTCGGTATAATATCTTCTAATAACAATGTATTAATTTCTTCTACTTTGCGTTCCTTTTTAGCCATCGTAGCCAATGCTTTATTTTTACGATCTTCAAACATCTTTGTGCCTGCAGCTTCTTCAACCATACTCAAGATCTCCGTTGGCTTCATATTGAGTACTTTAGTAATTCGACCTTGCATAATTAGAAAATGAGGATTGTTAATATTTAATTGAACTGACTGAAAAAGGTTTTGTACTGTTTGTTGTTGCGCATTATGACCATTAACAATATATTTTGTTCTTCCACCCATAAGCACCTATTTTATGAACTCGTTTAGAATGTTACAAAAAAGAACGAAAGAAAACTTATCAAGAGAAAAGTGCTTTTAATACCTGTCGAGTTACCGTAATTTGTTTGTATGCTTCAAATCCAACAGGGCTACGATCTCTATCCTCATTATTAAATACAACCGTTACTGATGCTTTTGTTACGCCTGCTTGCCCACGTTTATAGATCAGATCTTGTAAATTACTTGCTCGTACCTTAAAAAAAAAAAAAAAAAAAAAAGTAAATCAATATAAAATGTTTTGTACAGGAATTTAAAGTTTTAAAATCACCACTCTCTCTTTTTCTCTTTTTTGTTATTATTGTCATTATTCATTTTCTATACATGTATATTTTTTTTTACTTTACTTGTGAAAGGTTAGTAATACCAAGTACAAAACAAATGGCATCTAAAATGTTTGATTTGCCAGTACCATTGAGACCCGTAATGGCATTGAATTCAGGATCCCAACCTGTAATATGAGTTCTTGAAACATATGACTTAAAGCCTTCGATAAGTAATTCTTCAAGATACATTTCTCTATTTTTTTTTTTTTTCTTAAAAAAAAAATCAAATTGACTAAATAAGGATAAAGTGATGAATTTATTTTATTCACTTGAGAACAAAATTCAGACAGTTTGGTCGCGGTCACGTATTTTTTTTTCGTGTCTTAAAACGCCGCCAATGTTGTCAAAAGCAGCAGCAGCAGCAGTGACATGTTTGATCACAATGAAAAAAAAAAAAAAATGGGAGGGAGTAGGGAAAGGCTAATAGGGATAGCGCATATCTTTAACTTTGGACGTAATTTTAATAAAAAGAAATGGTCACAAACAAACAATAGTATTTTTTTCTGGGCTTATTGTTAAAAAAAATTAAACTTTATATTCAATAAAAAAAAACAAAGAAGTGTATACAAAAGTTTAAATTGCAAAAAAAAAAAAAAAAAAAAAAAAAAAAAAAAAGCATATTTGATAAATTTACAATGAGTAGAAATAATGGCTTTAAGTAATTATGTAATAGATACTTTTTTGTGTGTATTTTATATTTTACTCTTTGTATTGAACATTTTATCAGAAATAAAAGAAAAATGACATCCATGAGTTTATAATTATCTTTTATTTATTTGAATTGAATCCTTAAATGTATTAGAATTTGAACCTCATATTTCAAAATAGGTTAAAGTTCACTAAAGAAATATACAAAAACGACAAGTCAAATGGTGTAATAATATCATATTATAGGTCTTTATTGTTACCTTATTATTTTTACTTGAAAAAAAAAAGAACCAGTAAAGTCATTTTTCCTTTGTTAAATTCCTATTTAAATAGACATGAAAAAGATTATGCTTAATTTTTTTTTTTTTTTATAAATATTCTTCATACATAACAAATAACTTACATTCCTTCCAGTTAACTTCTTTATATCTATTTTTTGGTCTTTTCTTCTCTTAACATAGTTTACTTTTTCTTTTAATATAATTCCATTTTAATTGCCTTTTTATAAGGTATTTGTCTTTTAATCATCTTCCCATAGTTTGTAATATATTTATATATATATATTACTTTCATTACAATCTTACTAATCTATATACATATATACATATATATATATTTACATAGCATGATTTATATACCAGGATTTAGATGCCTTGTAGAAATCATCAAGGGCTTTAAACGTCGCAAATTAACACTGTTCTCAAAATTTAGCTTCCTCAACTTGGTTGTAGTCGAAGTTAAATTTGTTTATTCAATTGACCCTGCTTCATTTGTACCCAATGTATATCAACAACAGTCTGCTCAGGTTCAAATGGAGCCATATAAGGAACAGCAACAGCAACAGCAGCAAATGCCACATTCTTCCTCTTCTGCTTTGTCAAACTGTGTTGTATTCATGCTAAACACAGTTGTTAAAACTTTAGATTGTATTGGATTGGCAGGACAACTTGAATGGTTCTATCAACAACAAATTGAGGAAATACACAATCTAGATTTGTTGAAAAATCAAATAGCAACTAAAGGCTCCTCTGGTAGTAGTACTTTTGCTGATGTTACCACCTCTCAAGGTGCCTTTGTAAATGTTCCTGATGATTTGAATAGGAAAGATGCTATAGTACAAACAGACATGCTAGCATCAACGAATATAAATAACCAGAGTGTCGTTAGTTCTCTTCCTCTTCCAACGCTAATTGAAGATACAGATACCTCTGTAAATGATGATTCCTCTGGTAGTAGCATGATCACTTACTCTGAAAATAGGACCCAAGATGGAGGTATTCCTGTAGTTGTTGAAGGCTTAAATGATAATGCTATCTCAATTATGCCTCGTGTCAGCTTAGATATGGATAGGCTCTTTAATTCCAGGATAGCTCCAGAGCATAGTTCGGAATTGCTACATGTACTACTTGAATCTGAAGTTGCTAAAGAACTAAATAGTAGTACACAGCAACCCATTGTAGACTTACAGCTACCTACTACTACTACTACTACTACTACATTTAATCAGCCGCCTTCATATCCTCAACGATCCACCAACACTAGCCATCCTCTCATTGTTCAACGTTCTACTAATCTTTCGCAAGAAGAAATCATTTATATTAAATTAACCTCCTCATTTGTATCAGAACCCGAACAAGATGATGATGATTGCGTGGACCTTGAACGAATGGGTCATGAAATATTCAATATGATTCAAAATGAAGCCTCTTCTGGGCCGTTCACGAGAACACCACAGACAAGGGTAGAGTCTGCAGTACCCTATGATAGACAAAATGAAATAATTGATCTTGAAGCTCAACAAGTAGTTGTATTGCTTCAATCACAGGAACAACAACAACAACAGCAATCCTATTTAAATCCTTTAGGTCAACCACCTTCAGCAAATTATATCGTCATACCAATGGCTCCTGTTTTAACAGCTCCTCCTGGTCTACTAGTACCACAAGCCTATTATCAGGGATATCCAGACTATTGTCAGCAGCTTACTCATATATATCCTATAAATATCAATCCTTATTATAGTAATCTCAATCAAAATGCTTTTAATTATATGCCCAATGGTGCAAACAATTTATTCAACAATTCATCTTATCACTCTACTCTAGATAATTTTACACTAGCGCTTGTAAGATACATTAAATTAATGCTACAAGGTTATAGAGCAGAGACGTGTGTCCACATGCTTTGTCCAAAGCAACATTATACATTTGGTAAAAATCCTATTGCATCTGGTCTTAATGGTGGCATTTATCCTGTCGCAAGCCTTCAAGACCCGAATTACTTTAATTTCGTTATAAAACGAATGCTCTATCGTAAACAGAATAGAGTAAACGGTGATATCGACAATATCGGTTCATATGGTTTAAACATGATCTATAACGAAATTTGCATTCTTGGTACTTCTAACCATCCTAACTTGCTTCAGTTGGTTGATATCTACATTTATAATAATTCTATTCAAATTGTTATGCCTCGTATGTTATGTGATTTGAATGATATGCTCACGGGTGGTGATGTAGACGATTTAATGAATGAAGATTTGGTTATTTTTATTGTTCTCAAAGTAACGCATATATAATTTAAGGTTAATTTAATAGCTAACCTTTTCTTTTTTTTTTTCCTCTCTCTCTCTTTCTTTTTTTTTTTTTCTTTTTTTTTTACCTTAGGTAATCAAGGGCTTGTGTTATATTTATGATTTATATGGGTCTTTTCACGGTGATCTTAAAACTGAAAATATTTTTATTTCCAGATGGGGTGAAATCAAAGTTGCTGATTTTGGTTTTGTAACTCGAGTAGGAAATGAGATTCAAGGACATTTCGGTACTATGAAAGTAATAACAAAAAAAAAAGAAAAGAAAAGAAAGAAAGATAGATAGATTTATTTTACATTATTAGGCAATGGCTCCTGAAGTTGCTGATCCACATAAAACATTTAATGAAAGTGCTGATATCTGGGCTATTGGTATTCTTATCATTGAGCTCCTTGATCGTGGTCATCCTACAGCTGAAATTGAAACTAGAACCATGCTGGCTAATTCAGGTAATGCTTTTGAGTTACTAGCTTGTAGAACATCATCACCCAAATCAGAAAGAGATGAGTTAATAGATCCTGAATTCAGAGATATAATAAGATCTACTTTGGATTTAGATCCCAATAGACGACCTAAAATTCATGAATTAGAAGAGGTATAGAAATATATAAATATATTATATCTTAAACCCATATTTCTCAGACTCTCTTTTCTTTTTTCTTTTTTTTTCTTTTTTTTTTTTTGTTTTTCCTCGCTTAGTCTATGACCAGGCTTTTTGAGAGAAAAGCTACAATGAACGATGCTGATTATCAGAAATCTCTATACACATACGCTAGACGCCATACAGAATAATCCTTTTATTATCTTAATTTGTAATATTTTAAATGTATATTAATTAAATGTATAAAAATATATAGATATCTTTCTCATTATAGATATACATGCATTTATATTGTTTGGCTTTTTAAATCAATCCTGCTCTGAGTATGACTATGAAAGAATTGATCCAACAAAAACTAAGCTTCTTCTAACTAGTGTGTATGACTCAAAACACTCCTACCGAAAATAAAAAAAAAAAAAAAAGTTATTTCAAAGCCTAAACCATGAAATATACAATTAAGTCGAACCTAAACTTATTCAAAACTAAAAGTAATTTTTCCCAAATACAAGATAGAACATCACAGATTAGCCAACAGGTATAAATAGGATGAATTTTAAAGAATTAAATCACATTGTAATAGAATGAATTATATTTCTATTCAGTTGAACTTTTACCTATTTAGTTGGCAAGAGTAAAATATGTATATATTTATATAAATATTTATATTTATAAAAATATAAAGTACTCATTTATGATTAAGAAATATAAATTATCTCGAGCAGTTAATGAAGTTTATTTAGATGCTTTTGAAGAAACTACAAAAAGTTTCCTTTCTTTATTCTGGACTGAAATGATTACAAAGTTCTATCTTTATTTGTAAAGCAATGCAATTTTTTTTTTTTTTTTTTTTTTTTTTTTTTTTTTTTTTTTTTTTTTTTAATGAAATAAAATAATAAACAAATAAATAAAAATGAAAGGGCGACACGAAATTTAAAAAACAGATTTAAACAAATAAATATATATGGAAGTAAACCAAAGTGTCCACTTCATTTTCGTCTTCATTTTTCAAGATAATCATAGAATAATGCCATTTACTAAAAGTAAAAAGAAAAAAAAAGAAAACAATTTTAAAATTAATTAAATATATAACAAAATTTTAGAATATACTTTTGCTCCCCTTCCTTATACCAATCAGGGCGACTCCATTAAGCTTGAAGCAGATCCTAAAGGAAAGACATTCGCTTATACAAATGGAACATCAGTATTTATGAGAGATTTGGAGGTAAAAGAAAGAAAGAAATAAAAAGTTAAAAAAAAATGACATTAAACGGAACAAAAAAATAGAACCCCTCTTTAGCTACAGAATATGTTGGACACAAGTTCCAAACAACAGTTGCTCGTTATAGTCCAAGTGGCTATTATATGACTTCTGGAGGTAATTAGAAAATGTATTTACACGATTAAGAATGAAGAAAAACTAAATATATATATACATGCATGTAGATGCTCAAGGTAATGTTCGCATTTGGGACACTGTTAATGAAGAGCACGTCCTTAAAACTGAATGTCGCCCTGTCACCGACAAAGTTACTGATATTGCTTGGGATTGTGAAAGTAAACGTTTGATTGCAGTTGGACAAGGCAAAGAACGTTTTGGTCATGCTTTTAGCTTGGACACTCTTTCCTCTGTAGGAGAAATTACGGGCCATAGTAAAGTAATTAATGCCGTCAGTATTCGTCAACAAAGACCATTCCGTGCCGTTACTTGCTCTGATGATATGACAGTTTCCTTTTTTACGGGTGTCCCTTTTAAACATGTAAAGACAATTCGCGATCATACTAGATTTGTTCACTCTGTTCAGTTTAGTCCTAATGGTGACTTCTTTGTAAGTGGTGGTGCAGATGGTAAAATATTTTTGTATGATGGTAAGACGGGTGATAAGTTGGATGAACTCGTTTCCGAGGATAATGCACATAAGGGTAGTGTCTTTGCTCTTGCTTGGTCTCCTGATAGTACTCAACTTTTATCCTCTTCTGCTGATTACACTGCAAAGATTTGGGATATAAACACTAAATCAGTTGTGAAGTAAAGTATAAATTCGATGAGTTTTATATATCAATAGATATTTATTTATTTATTATTTTTTTTTAATACTATAGTACTTTTGAAATTAATTCAGCCCTTAACAAAGTCGACAACCAACAAGTGGGTAATTTGTGGAAGAATGATTATTTAATCACAGCTTCTTTGTCTGGTGAACTTAGCTACTTGGATAAAAACTCTGGTAAAGTTTCTCGTCGTATTGACGGACATAGTAAAGCTATTACTGCACTTACTGTTAATCAAGAAAATGATACATTCTTTACCGGCTCTTATGATGGCCGTGCCTATGGTTGGAAGTATGGTGAAGAGGGCGATCATACACTTGCTAAACGTATTGAAGGCGAAGGACATGGAAATCAAGTAACTGCTTTGTCCTTAAAGCAAGATGAACTTTTATCTATTGCCATGGATGATACTATTCGACTTGGTTCGAGCAAAGAATTCAAATACAGGTAATCTAATAGTATATATATATATATAGATGCATGTATTTATATATGATGTTAATATATATATATATATATATGTAATATAGTGGTAAGGCTGCTTCTACCGGATCTCTTCCTACTTCACTTTCTATTTCAGATAATAAAACAGCTGTTATTGCAACAAATGAAAGTATTGTAGTCTATAATGATGAGCTCAAAAAAATAGGTGAACTCAAAAACCCTGACTTTACACCTTATGTTACTGCTATTAGTCCTGATAGTAAAACTGTATTTGTTGGAAGCACTCAGGTAAATTAAAATGCTAACACGCAGCAACATATTTACTCATGTATAATTATTTATAGGATAATAAAGTTCGTATCTATGAATTAAATGATGGAAATTTAAGCCTTATTGGTGAACTTGTCAACAATCTTGGAAATATTACATCTTTAGCAGTACATCCTAAATTAACTAATCTTATTGCAGTTGGTGATAGTGTAGGTAAAATCTTTATCTATGATCTAGAAACCAAAGAGCCCATCATTCAGAATTGGGTCTTCCATTCAAGTCGTATTACATCTATGGATTGGTCTTCATGTGGTAATTATTTGGTTAGTGGCAGTATTGACACGAATATTTATGTCTGGAATCGTGAAAAGCCTTTCAAAAAAGTGGCTATTAAAAACGCTCATGTACATGCAGTTAATCAAGTACGTTTCTTGCATAAAGCAGAAGGCTTGACCATAATTTCAGTTGGTCAAGATTCTGCTGTTCGTGTTTGGGAAGTTGCTTTTTAAGTAAACCATTCTTTTTTTTTTTTATGTAATTTAAACAATAAAGCGAATAAGTTATTTATACATGGCATAAAATAATTAAGACAATATATTTTAATAAGACGAAAAAAAAAAAAAAGTTTTAAAATCAAATGTTGTTACTAATGGAGTAAGCTTCAATATACATATTGGAAGAAACTTTGGCAGGTAAGGAAAAAAAATCTAACTAATACATAGGCCACTATTTCTACTGTCAATACCATTAATAGTAGAAAAAAAAAGAGAATTACTATAACAATGCTTAGATTTAATATAAAAATTCAACAAAATCAAAATTAATAGTAGCATTACAGGAAATCAGCAGAGGCAAGCTGGTTTTACTCTACAAGGCTATAAAATGATGAGACTATTGAAGGAAGAAAAAAAAAGTCTAATTGTTACGAACGACATAAATGATATAACTTAACTATGTTCAAGTGTTGTTAATAAAAATGGAATATAAATTTAAATCGTTACTTTTTAGATATATTGTATTGATTCGTGATGTATGAAATAAAGCAGAAATAATCCTTTGGTTTTTGACTGGATGATTATCAAAGAGACTTCATAAGAATAATTATGTGTCATATTACTCTAATGATACTGTTATTATTACATTTAAACTAAAAGTAAAAAAAAAAAAAAAAAAAAAAAAAAAAAAAAAAAAAAAAAAAAAAAAAAAAAAAAAACTACGATGTCATTTTACTACTCCATTTGGAAATAAACAATATAACAATATTAAATACTAACTCTTTTGGCTTATATAGATCGTTTGTTACCTCTCTCCTTTTTTTTCTAGATTATTATTACATCACATTATATATTTATATAGTAATAATGATAATTAGGTGTATTATATCTTTATATGTTGACTATGCAATGAAGGACATGAACATGTATAATAGTGAATTGCTACTACACACATATTATTGTTCTTTAGTCATTTATCCTTTCAAAGAAGTTTGAATATAAAGCATATATTATACAAATATACATGGATTGATTTAACTGAATTTAAATTATATAAAAAAAAGGCTTGTTGCTGCATTAAAAAAAAAAAAGGTACACAAATCTGCTGCTTAAGTATAATACTATTAAGCTAATATTCTATTCTCTATTCCCTATTCTATTTAACAAGAAGAAGGCTTAGTTCAGCGTAGATAATAGTGAGTATATGATATTCCTTTTACTTTTATTATAAAGCAATTAGCAACGTAAATAAAATCTATAACGACGCCAAGTGTAAGACAACAACAAAAAAAGTTTGTAAACGAATTTTACTCCTTACTTTTGATTAATGTGGGAACAATAAAAAAAAATATAGACTCTTACCCTTGGTTCTTGGCCCTTTTTTTTTGTATATTGTCTATTTTCCTTTTCCCCCTGTTACTCTGTCTGTCTGTTACTACTACTGTAAATAATATATAAAGACTAACATGGCTGCACTGTTAAATGGCGTATATAGTTATTTAAACACTACAAATTTACACTTGTTGCGCTAATAATAATAATAATAATAAAAAGTAAGGAGAGAAATTAACTAAATAAAAGATAACATCTTCATGTGCTTTATCTAGCTTTATTTGGCTTTTTTTTTTTTGACGCCAAAGCACTGTGCAACACATATGATTTTTGACGTTTATTGTTCTCATTAACCATAAAAACACTATAAAACTATCCCTTGCTCTTCCGTTTCCACCCTCCTCTTTCCTTTTTCTTTTTTTTATCATTATATTTTTTTATTATTATTATAAAAATTATTATTAAAAAAATGACCTTCTCTTGTAAGTATCTTTATCTTTTATATGTGTTTAAATACTTTTTTTTTATTATAAAATAACGTGTATAACTAACAAATATCGTTATTTTTTTTTATATAAACATTCTTTTATCTTCTTGCGTTGGCTTCCTCTCTCTTTCTGTGTGTATATACAACTATATTCTACGATAATAGCTATTTCTTCTGCTGCTTCTCTCTCTGTTCCCCCCATTGCCCCCAAGGCAGATATGCCTCCTCCTCTTTTCCTCCCAGCCCGTTTCGGGAATAACGTTTTGGCTGCGTTGGCTACCTCTGTCCCTGTTGGTCAGTTGCCTCCAGGTTCCATGGAGATGGAGATCGAAGATGATCTCATGGACCTGGTTGATGAGGTAGAAGAACTCGAGGTTCTTCTATCTCAGATTGACCTGAACGATGATCCAATGGAGGGTGTTGTCTTCGGACACATCTGGTGAAGTTGGGTTGTTTAGGGGTTCAGGGGTAGTCCCCCTAAGGTGATTTGTGTTGGCTTTGGCCTGTTTCTGCTTGCTGGTGCTGGTGCTGGTGCTGCTTTTGCAGATTCGTTTTCCTCTGTTGATTTCTGTGGGTTTTTATTTTCGCGCTTTTTTTTTTCCGTTTTTCTATAAAAACAAAAAGTTGCCTCAAATTAAAAATTTGTTTTAAATAATAAAAATAATAAAAAAAAAAATAAAAAAAATAAAAGTATAAAATACTTTTGTAAAAAAAAAAACCTACTCTTCTCGCATGTCCAAAGAATTAAAATGTATTGAAAATGTGTTGCTTTTGCTTTTTTTTTTATTTTTCTTAAAAAAAAATGACTTTTTCACAGTATAAATTTTATGAGATTTTAATATAAATAAACAAAAGATGGATTATATGAAAAAATAAAAATAATAAAGTGTTTGTTAGTTTATAAATAAAGAAGATTTAGTTAGTTGATGTGTAATGGTGAAAAGGGGAAAGGCAGATTAATCGCTAACATCGTTAGAGGAATCACAATAAAATAAATAAAGTATATAGAATATTACACAAAGAAGAAGTGGTGTATGGTTTCTTGAGTGTGCATACAATTGAAAGACACAACATGAGACTAGAAACTAGATTTTATCGCCCCTTCTTTTTTTTTTATAGATACTTTCTCAGTTTACTTTTACAGTAAAATAATTAATTAATGATAAAGACCAAGTTGAAACTCACTCATTAGTGATGGAAGAAGAAAATTGATTCATGAAACTACTGAAATTCACTTCTATATTTCTTATTCAAACTTGTTGCAATAGTGATGTTAATGCCAGAATTTAGTGACGACTAAACATCTGTCAAGATTGTAAGTTCAACAAAGAACATAAAATATTAGAGAAGGGGCTTTAAAGCATGAAATTCTTATGTTAGCTCCTAGTTAGAAAATGCTGCGATAAAAGCTTTAACAAAAATAGATGTGCGCTATTAAATTGCATAACTGAAGATTAGTTTTCTATTTTGTTTATTCATGAAGGCTCATTCTACAAATTAGCGGAAAAAGCTAGTAACAACAACATCGTTAAAATGAATGTTTTTTATTTTTCTTATATAAGGCATACAACATTGACCGAATATTTGATAAAACACGATATCCACAAGAAATACCACAAGCTATTCAATCAGGTCAATTTCTAACTTAGACAACAAGCCATAATAATCTACCAACAACAGCAAATGGAGTGACGAAAATTAACAATTGATAGTATATATCTATTGAATTATTATGAATCCTTTCCTTAATCTATCAAATATATGGTAATAACTGTATAAAATATAGTAGAAAATTATCAGATCTGATAATTGCATGCGAAGAATATTTTTAACAGCCCGCCTACTAGAGATGACTATAGCACAACTTAAAGCAAACAATGAAATAGCCTCTTTTATAACAATACAAACTAATCATGTGAATTCAACTATGTTAAATCATTGATGTAAACAAAGTCATGTATACTTGAGTTAAACAATCAAATCACACATTCACATATTAAAAATACATGCATAGTCTTTATAAACTGGTTTACATGGTTTAAGTATTTGCTTTTTTTTTTTATTCATAAATAAAGATAACTTATGACACACTCATTATTTAATTATAAGAGCTACAATAATGGGTAATAACAAAATTATATCATATGAATTTTAATCAATGAAATATTTTAAAGGCTCGTCTCGGGACCAAATAGCAGTTCCATCAGTCAATATAGAATAAAAGTCAACATCTCCATCATTTGATTTATGGGCTCTGATATATAAAGTTATTAACAAATTTATATATATTTTTGTATGTGTTATATTTACCGAACATGGATATATTTCTCATTGCCTAAATGAATTTTTCCGAAATAATTGATACCATAAGCGACATCTTCGGTAGCATATTCGACTAGAATATAGCATTCAATTCGCTTTAAATCATCCATTTCATGAAGACCATGAACATTATCTAAATGGTTAAGCTTTTGTATACATTTGTATTGCAATATATACATGTATTCATTTGCTTAGCATGAATTGTATGGGATGTCTGTCCTTTTTTTCTTATTTAACTCACCTCGTGAAGCTATATAGTATTACAGTATCAGAATTATATTCATTAAACTGTTACAATTCATTTAAGAAGAACTACAAACCTTTTTAATAACTTCTTCTTTCACTTCATGGAAAACCTACAACATATTCATTATGCACAAATTTCCTCATTTTTATTTGTTCTATCATACTTACCGCTTTTCCTTCTTCGTCAGCAGGACGAACTGGACCCATATTGTTATGATTAACGTCAGACATTTCTTTTTATTGATTTATATAAAAAGAAAAAAAAGGGAAAAAAGAAGGATATGAATTACTGATGCATATATGTAATATTTGCAATTTTTTGTGCCACCCTAGTTCGGGCGAACTTACAATTTTGTTACAAACAGTCCTTCAACCTAAAATTAATATTTTGTAAGACCTTAAAACTTTGAAAGATTCCATTACAGCAATACAGTAGATGTATTATACACTGCCGATGAACTAACACTTTGGATTAATATTCTTTTCTTTTTTTTTCTTTCTTTCTTGGAATACCTACTTGAAATATTTAAAAGATATACAGAAACCACTTCATTAACGTGATACTAACAAAGGTGAATTATAGTTGTTGCTGTGATAATTGTAGAAAATACATCCTTTCTAATAATACAATGAAATAACTCCTTCTCACCATTGTCCGACTGAATAATATAGAAAATTCCGTTGAAATTGAGACAGGTCCTAGTTTTTTTTTTTTTTTTTTTTTTTTTTTTTTTTTTTTTTTGGCTTGCTTAAACGCGATTAATTTTAAGTGTGTATCGTCCATACTTTAAACTATTCTAGGACAATTACCTTAACAAAGGAATTTTTAAGCTATAACTGGTATTTATGTTATACAAATGGGAAAATGCTTTTATTCTTCGTCTTTGAAGCAGGCAACCAACTGTACTAGGAACGATTGAATTATGCTTCAAGAAACAGTAAGTCAATGGATCTTTGAAGATAATTTTAAATGATGCCACAAAAATATTAAATCAAAATACTTTATTTTCTTAAACTTATCGTAGTCATAGGCTATATCAAAATTTCATATGATTATTTGTGCTATAGTTTAATTCACTTACTGCATCTGTAAGTAACATAAAATAAACTTTACTTAAGCATTATCTTGGCTTGGTTCTTGTATTGATCGCTTATATATTTTTATATACTTTATCAAATAATGACAGGATTCACAGTGAATCTTTTTATTTTTCTACCACTCAACCTCGGATATCAACTCTTTTTATAATTAATAACTCAACTTAATCAACTTGACTTGTACTTTCACTCTTATTACACGATGTCCTAAACAAAGCTAACTCCATTTAAAATAGGATAAGCTTGTTTGAATAAACTTTGATTTCTTTTATATGTTCTGTAACAACTATATACGATATGCTTATCAAAAACATGAATCGATATAAAAAAGATTCAGCTTAATTTATATAAATATGTATTTGTATATAGATTTAATATGCACGTGTTATGTATTCCTTTTTGATACACTCGGTGATTGAACAGTAATGTTATATATAAAAGATGTATATAATAGTAAAATTCAATATAGTCTATATTACACATACTGAAAAGATTAAAATATACATGCTAATAGTGTTATATATTTCCCTTTTCATTTCCCTTTGTATATGTGTGTATCTTCTATTAAACTTCTTTTCATAATAGTTACACAGAATTGTAGCTGTCCTGGACTTCCAATTTTTCTTCCTTATTGTTCATTTATAACTCTTTTCTTCTTCTATTCGTTCCCTTTTTTCATTGCTGTTATAAATACATATATATATATATATTATACACACACACATATATATATACATATATAAATATATTTTTGAAGAAAAGAAATGGATTCACCACTACAGTCATCAACGCCTCTATCAGAATATATGAGATCACCTACATTAGAAGCTTTATATCATGACTTGGATATGTTTATTAACGAATTAAGTGCAAATAATGATGATAATGATAATAATAATAGTATTCTTGATACGAAAAACATACAAAGATTTTCTAATGAAATAACTCCACTTGAATTAAAACAATCCTTGGTAAGTTATTATTTTCTTTTCCTTCCTGTGTTAAACTTGTATTATAGGAAAAACGAGAATATACTTTTACTACTACAAATGATAAATTTGTAAGCCCAGACTATTCTCATGTACCTGACCATTCTTCTCGTTTGAATTATGAAAATAACAATACTATTGAAAAAGGAGAAAAGACAATTGCATCCCTATCTATTAACAGTAATAAATCTAACTCACTCATGTTGACATCATCTTCATCACCACTATTATTTCCTTCTAATTCCTCTTCACCTAGACTTACGCCTACTTCACCGCTCTCTCCTTCTTTTATACGAACAGATAACAGTACAAACACCAATTATACCAACAATGGAAACATGAGTGATGACTATATATTTACAACCAGATCTAGTTCATTAAATCGAGCTACCTCTTCATCTGGCAAATCCATCATTGTTCAACTTTCTTCTTCTTCTTCTTCTGCCTCTTCTCCTCGACTCCTTCATCATAAACAACCACTTCAATTCATTTCTAATCCAGCATCACCTCTTGCTTATGAAATCAAGATACCAATTTACAACAATGAAAACTTGATGGACATTCCCAATTATGCATTCTTGTCTTATATAGCAGAACAATTCATGGATGCTGTAAAATCACTTAATGAGAGAAGGAGGATTTATTGTTCAGCAGAATATCCTTCAAGCTTTAATGGTGAGGAAGCTATTGAGATTATCCGTTCCTTTTCTCCCCCAGAGCTCAGTGATGGCATTTATCAAGATATCGCTCAGAGTTTGATGTGTTCTAATCCACCCCTTATTGTCCCTATTGATTCTTCAGAGAGGTCCATTAGGAAAAATAAATTTTATGCAAACTCTACAGAGGCTTATACATTAGTAGAAGCAACAACATTGAATGATATGCAAGGTATTTATACCCCCTTGACACGATGCTATTCCATGAGTTGTTTGCCAGGTCAAGCAGGTTGTTACTCTGCTTCTTGTCCAAATAAACTCTTTTCTCTAAATGGGTCTATTTTTAAAAAGCCAAATGCTATGTCTGTTCTTTCCTCTTCCTCTTATGACACGGTAAATAGTATAAAAAAAAGAAAACAATATCCATATGTAACATAATTTTTTATTGAATAAATAATAGACTCTTTCTCGAGCTTGGTCAGCAACAGTACCTAAAGAGGTTTTAAAGTCATTACCAGATGATGAGATTAAAAGGCAAGAAGCAATACATGAAGTCATTTATACTGAGGATGATTATGTTCGTGATTTGAAGATTTTAGATAATGTAAACAAGTTTATATTAATAGAATGATATCTGAAATAGACTAACACTTCATTTTAATTTTTTTTCTTTATACAAGGACTTTGCTAAAGAACTTTTATCTTCGCAGTGTATTGAAGAATTCCGTAAAAAAGAATTTCATGATAAAGTACTCAACAATTATGAAGAATTACTTTACATTCATGACGCTCTTTATAAGGAACTTCGCGATTATCAGGCTATCTGTCAAGTCAATAATCCAAATGGTATTGTAGATAAAATTGGTGATATCTTTTTGCGTCATGTGTCTCGTTTCAAGAATGCTTATCTACGTTATGGTCCACATGTTGTTCTTGCTGAGTATTACGCTAAATTAGAAGCAGACACAAATATGGTCTTTCGTCATTTTATTAAGGCACGTGAATCATTAGCACAATGCCGTCGTTTACCCTTCCGTCATTTCATCATTCTGCCTGTCACACGTCTTCAACGATATGGACTCCTGTTAGGTGCCGTTCTTAAAAAGACCCCTGAGGATCATCCTGATAAAATAGATCTGACAGATTGCATTGAACTCATACGACATGTAGCTGAAGCAGTGGATGAAGCCACTGTAGGAACAAAAAACACATTACGCATTTATGAGATACAACAGCGTCTTCGCTTTAAGCCAGATGATATCAAAAGTCAACAATTACTGGACTTGAATCGACCTGGTAGACGATTAATAAAGGAAGGAGTATTAATACGTAAATCACATGTTGTAGAAGCAGTTGACATTCATCTCTTTCTTTTCGATCATGCTTTATTGATGACAAAAGTCAAGAAGTCTCCTACTAAGAAGGAGGATGTTGAATACGCCATCTCAAAGAACCCTATCCCTCTCCATTTATTACATGTTCAAGACGCAACAGAAGGATTTTCAATTGGCATAAGAACACTAAGCAATGCAAATTATACCACCTCAACCATGACATCTACAACAAATACGCTTACACATGTCAATAGTTCAACCTTTGGTGTTAGTTATCCCATTCTATTACATCACCTTGGACGACATGGTGGAGAGTATATATTATATGCAGATAATGCAGCGAGTCGGTTAGATTGGAAAGAGAAAATTATACAGGCTAAATCTATGAAGGAAATGGCAGAGATTGAAAAACGAGTGTTTGAAATACGTACATTAAGTGATAATACATTTGCGAACAATAATTCTTCTTCAAGTAGTCAGAATCATGGTAAAGTGACTTGTACAGTACCTTTTATTGGACCAACAGGTATTCGAATGATAGCTATTGGAACACAGCAAGGCATTTGGATGGGTATTGAAGGAGACACAAATACGATACGACTTGCTTTAACACTCTCTGATGTGCAACAAATTGCAGTATTAGAAGATCATCATATTTTTCTAATTTTAGCAGGTATTTTCAGAGCACTTTATATGTATCTATCATATTCATATCGACTTTTTTTTTTTTTTTTTTTTTTTAAATAGATAAAACACTATATGCATATGCACTAGATCCGTTGATTCCTAGGGAATACTTTAGGCCTCAAAGCACCAAATCAACACATGTTGATAAACCTCATCAGAAAATTGCACAACATATCTCATTTTTTCATTCTGGTATATGTAATGGACGAACGATTATAATTGCCATGAAAAAACGAGGGGTTGACAGTAACTTTAAAGTCTTTGAGCCTCTTTGTGGTGATTTACGCAATCCAGTCAACAGCCATAAATTCCTTAGCAAAAAATCTGGATTTTTTCAAAACAAGATACCCTCCTGGTTCAAGATTTGTATGGAATTTTATATTGGCACAGAATCTTATGCGATTCAATTCCTTAAAGCACGTATAGTCGTTATTTGTTCACGTGGATTTGAAATCATTAACTTGGAAGCTCTCAACATGAATCGTAATTTACCTGATATGGCCCATCCTGACTTTGCATTTATAGCACAGCACTCAGAGATACGACCCTTGGGCATGTATCGTTGTCGAGAATATTACCTGTTATGTTATGATATGTTTGCATTTATGGTAGATGTTCATGGTACTTTAGTCAAGGATGCTCACATCATTGAATGGGAAGGTGTGCCTCAATCAGTAGCCTTTTATTATCCTTATGTGATTGGCTTTGATTCAAGATTTATTGAAGTTCGACATATTGAAACAGTAAGTCATAATATAGTATTTATTTTCATTTTTTTTTTTTTTAATATGAGAGATATTATTCTTTCAAATTTCCTTGTATTTTACAAGGGAGAATTAGTGCAAATCTTGGCTGGTACAAATATACGGTGTCTTCAATTTATTCAGCATTCTATTGCACCTGTTATCCATGGCTCTATGGGACATCCATTTAAACCTGATTTTCAATATATTTTCCAATTAGCAGGTCTATTTGAACCTCCCCTTTTAACATAATGCATTATTATAGAAAAAAAAAAAAAAAATGAAAAATGAAAAATAAATTGAGTTTAAATCAAAGTCCGGACCAAAAAAAAAAAATGAAAAAAAAAAAATGAAAAAATAAAGGCAAAATAATGTGGAGTGAATTGTACATAGTGTAAAGAGAGCGAAACCAAAAAAAAAAAAAAAAAAAAGGACAAAAATGACACAGTTTATAACTTTCTCTTTCACTTGATCAGAATACAGAAAATGGTAAAAATGTCGTTTACTTTTATATATCCAATAAATGAATAAATAAATGGATGGATGGATGGATAGATAGATGGATAGAATCGAGAAATTAACACATTTAATTTTAGCCTTCTCAAAAGTCATTCATCACTAAGGTTAAGCTTGGAAAGGCTAAGAAGCAAAATCGTCCTTTGCCTCACTGGTTCCGTATGAAGTCTGACACCAAGATTCGGTAAGAGAATTACTAAACAAAGAGAAGAGAGAGAGAGAGAGAGAGAGAATACAAAAAAAAAAGAAAAAAGAAAAGATGAATATTAATCTAATGCTCATCATGTATTTTTTTTTATTTTATTTTAGTTGGAATGCTAAGAGACGTAACTGGCGTCATACCAAGTTGAACATCTAAGTAATGTTCACCAACAGCATACTCAACTCCCAAAACAAAGTTACAAATATCAAATCAACTCGACTTTTTCTTTTTTATTTTTTTAATTTAATTAGATTGCAATAAAATCAAAAAGAAAAGTGAATTTGATCAACATTATTTTATGCTCTTTTCTTTTTTTCGTTTTTTTTTTTTTTACTAGATTATTGAATTCAGGGAAAAAAAATAAGGAGGGGATTATTTAGCTTTTTTTTTTGTCGACATTTATTTACTATATATTTATATGTATTCAGTTAGTTATATAAGTATACATAATTTACACACTTAAAAGAATCCAAATGTATTTTCGCCAGAATAGCTACAATTTTTTTTTTTTTTTGAAAAGAAAAAGAAAGTAAATAATCATTTTCGTAGTAACTACAAGTAATTAAACTTACGTGATATATAAAAAGCCATCTTCATCTTTATGCTCTTCATATATCGCACTCATAAGAGCTATAAGAAAAAAAAATGAGTATATGATGTATTTTTTTTGCATTGACTATGCACACCCCCTAATCACACGCCTAATATTCATTTATCTATTTAATCAAGTTTACCTGCAGTGGGTGGTAGTATTTCATTCACAAAGATAAAAATAGCCTTTTCTGGACTTAACTTGATCCTTTTTCTGATCACATAAACAAACTGGCCCACAGTCAAGTCTGCAGGAACCAAGTACTTTTTTTTATCAATTGTAGGAATATCACTTTTTTCTACTTTTTCACATATAACTGGAATACGATCGGGATATTTTTGTCGAATTCTTTCCGCTTCAGCCTTACGTTTTTCTATTCAAAAGAAAAAAGATAATACAAATATATATATTTTTTTTAAAAAAAGATATATTTGCATAAACTACCATTTATTTATTTACTATACCAAAAGGGTGTTCATCCTTAAATTTTGAGCGCATTCTAATTTATATTATAGCTGTAGTAAAAAATAAAATAAAATAAATATGTGTATATATGAAAGAGAGAGAGAAAAAAAAAAAGGAAAAAAAAATATATCGCATAAAACGGATTTTATATATTCCTTTTGGGGTGTATGTGCGTGTGTGTGTGTGTGTGTACAATATGCATGTGATCACAATTAACCTGATGATATAAATTTTTGATGTTTTAATTGGTTTAAATTTATGCAAATATTTTTTATATTAAAATCCACTTTATTTTATTTATTTATTTTTTTTTTAAAAAAAAAAAGATAAGATGTCAATTGCAACAATAATTACAATATATACATGTACACATGTGTATACATTATTATCAACAAAATTTTTAAACTTTAACTGTTATTACATTTAATGTTATTTTCAAACTTAAAGATGTTCTTTTTTTTAAAAAAAAAATAAAAGAAAAACTAAGCATAAATATTAAAGAGAATACTTTAATCTTCAAGAAATGTCTATTACAAGTTGTCGTGAATATAAATTAGTTCAACTTGAACAGAATCAGGTTTATTTGCATTTGCTTTTTTTTTTTTCATCTTGTATAAAAACAGATGATGACAATCAGTCATGAACACACTCTTTTGCAAATTCAAAATATTTCAAAGAAAAGATAACAAACAAAAAAAAAGATAGTGTTATAATCTTAATTACATGTGTGATACTGTATACATAGATATTACGTAAGAATTGCCATATTATACACATATATTAGTATATTTAACAAGAATAGACAGTTGGATTACTAGTTTATGAATTTATGCTGTTAGTAAATCGTGAAAGCTTTATTTTCATTCTTTCTGTAAACGAATGCAATAGTACATCTGTACTGATTCTTGTAAGCATAACTAGTTCATTCTATCAAAAAAAAAGGTATCTTAAATTACTGCAATTATTTTTAACAATATCCTGTTTTGATTTGTTAACTTTATGCATATCATTTATCTGTTAATACTGAAACCTATCCTTTGATCTACCTTGTGTTTATATCGTAATAAATCTGCTTTTTTCATTTCCCAACTTTTTTTTTTCTTTAAAAAAAGTAGTTCAGTTTATATCTTATTCCGACCCGAGCAAATAATTTGATTTATTTGCATAATGAGAGGTGTGTGTATGTGTGGGGGGGAAGCATTTAAAATCTTAAATAACGTAATATTATAGATTTCATCTAAATCTATCATCTTTTTGCACGCTTCTATTTTTTTTTTTTTGAGCTTTGCTTTTTTTCTTTTTTTTTTTTTTGGTCTTATTTTCTTGTCTTGACATTGCAACATGCTTCCTCCATTAACTGATTCTATTATTGACAATGTTGGCTCGACACCCATGGTCAAGCTACAACTTCAACAAAATGGTATAATTGATTGATTATTATTATATAAATATGTATATTATTGACACATTCTATAAAGTGAGTATAGTCGCGAAATTGGAATATTTAAACCCTTCAGGAAGCGCTAAAGACAGACTTGCCAAATATCTGTTGGATAGTAAATACATAAATGAACCCTAAAAATATGTATATGTATCCTTATTTATATATAATAGAATATGAAAAAGAGAATCCTTTTCGTGATGCATCCAGAAATAAAACATTAATTATTCCTACTTCAGGTAATTTGGGTATCTCTTTAGCTACGCTAGCGGCTAAGCGTCATTATTATCGAATTATTGCTATATTACCTGAACGTACTTCAAGTGATCGCATTGCAGTATTAAAGGCTTTAGGGGTGGAAATCCTGAGATCACCTAATGAGGTTAGACCTGAAGCACCTGAAAGTGCTTATTCTGTTGCTGCTAAACTTGCTGAACAATTAAAAAATGCCATCATCATGGACGAGGTATAATATATATATATATAACATTACTATTTAGATATTGATCTATGAACTAAATATGTATAATAGACAAAACTACGTGATTTAACAGCTTATCATGAATTAGCACAAGAAATTATTGAACAAACTAAAACAATTCAAGTGGATTCTATATTTGTAGGTGCAGAATCAGGTGCCATGCTAACAGGCATTGCACACTATATCAAAGAAAAATTACCCAATATTAAGGTAAAAAAAAAAAAAGGGAGAGAGAGGTATACAATCGTTAGTCATGAATTCAAATATAATATTGCATTTAGATTATTGGCGTTGAACCTGCTGAATCAATTTTAAGTGATACAGAACCAAATTATCCAATCCGTCCTGTAAGTTATCGAACATATGTCTTCATTTACTCGCATATATTCCCAAAAAAAAAAAGACACTAATGTAATGTAATGATGTTTAAAGGATTGGAAAATAGAGGATTTGGGTAACAATTTTTTACCAGAAAGTTTAAATAAAAGATTAGTAGATGAATGGGTTAAAGTCTCTGATAAAGAAGCCTATTCTGTTGCACGTCGATTAATTCGGGATGAAGGCATTCTCTGTGGACCTTCATCAGGTGCAGTGGTAGCGGCTATTCACAAAACTCATTATACCTCTCCTGTTGTCATTCTAAATGATGCAGCAAAGAATTATACATCCACTCTCTTATCAGATGATTGGTTATTTGAAAATGATTTAGCTGATGACTTGATCACGCGTGAATTGCAATACATTTCACAGGATAGATACCGTGCTGCTAGTGTAGAGGATCTTCAATTAGCTGCTGCTGTCACTATTAACCCTAGCAGTACCGTTTCGCATGCATTTGATTTAATGTTAGAGCGTGAATACTCTCAATTACCTGTGATTAACAAAACGAATAAAAAGCTTGTAGGCTACGTCTCCTTGAGTGCTTTGCAAGATCAGTTGGAAAGGGGCTCAGTTCAATTAACAGATACAGTAGAGTCCTGTATGTACACATTTAAAAAGGGAAGTGAAGGAGTGAATAAAAAATATGAAATCATTACACCTGATACTAGTTTAGCTGAACTTGGTATGTATACATGTCTATATCAAATTACATGATATAGTAGTAGCTAACAAAACTTTATATACTATATACAATATGTATATAGCTAAATTCTTTGAAAGAAACTCATTTGCAGTGATTACAGATGCACATAGAAAATGGTGCCTTGGTGTAGCCACAAAATATGATTTAATTAGTTTCTTACATCGTCGTCAATTTTTATAAAATAAATAATTATACATGTTTTTTTTATTTATTTAGTTGTGATTTCTACTTCATATATGTATTTACAATTACGTAATGAGAATGTTTCCTTTCACTTATGCATCATTCCTTCTTTTTTCTATTGTTGTATTTCGACAATTTCATTGTAGTAGAGCTGTTATTATTAGCAAATAAGCCATCAATTAAATAAGGTAACAATTCTCTTCTCCACTGATCTTTACAAGCTTTCTTTGCACGACCCACAGACTTGGAGATAGCATCCCAAGGGATAGTAGCCATATCATCTAAACTTTTCACTCTTACAATAGCTTCTAAAAGATCCTGTCTTTCATGATCCTGCCATCGTGGCTTGTTGTTATTATTCGTAGTAGAAGAAGATATTTTATTAGTTGGATGATTCTTCATTCTCTTTTGAACTTTAGTTGTTTCGTTCACATGACGCGCATATTGAGAGGCAGTCAAGTTTAGCATCTTGAGACTACTATCTTGTTTGGATGTCTTATCTCGAGGAGGTCGACCACGACGATTTGTAATAAAACAACAAGAACCCTCTTGTCTCTGATAAGATGGTGTATCATTAAAGGAACCAGTCTCCTGCAATCTTAACAGACCTTCAATTGCCTCTACTTCTCTATGATCTTTCAAATTATTTACATTCAGTAAATGTTTAACTAACATGGTCTATTTTCTTTTAAAATTTAAATGGAATGGGGGAAAAAGGAAAAAAAAAAGATATACATATCAATTACGCTCTTTTTATATGCATATACGTCAAAGTATCCGTTTCCTTCCTTTTTATTTTATTTTTCTTTGTTCAATTCATTATGAATGTAATTGAACTTGGCTTCATTTTAGATAAATATTATCAGAAGCTATATAAAGTAATTGAACTATATTATTGTATGTATTTTTTTTTCTAATCATTGTGCTATAAATAATATATTATGTTTATTATTATTATTTTTCAGTGGTAATATTTATAATAAACGTTTGATATTAAATGTTAAACAGATTGTCATCACCATAAATCCATATAGAATCAAGAATAGTGCAACCCATCTTTTCCAATTTAATATTCCATTCTCTTTATCTTTAGAAGGATACATTTTAAAATAAAATAAGCCAGGTAGAATAAAGGAAATGATGGTTGAACCTGTTGAGCCCACAAAGGATAAGATGATATCAAGCTTCGAAATACTAATTGCAACAAGATAACTAGTAATAATAATACAAGTTGTAACAATGAAATGATATCTTCTATTTATATTTTTAGGCTGAATAGAATCTAATATCTTTTCAATGGACGCTCTACAAGGATGTGCTTGAAGAGGATAACTAAAGATAACTAATATCACAATAGCTAATCTACCATAAGCAACAAAATAGGTCTGTGGATCTAATTATGAAAAAACTATCATTAGATATCAAATGTAATCTATAAAAAAAAGTAATTCTATTTACATTCAAGAATTATGTTTCCCAATACATCTTTACCAAAACTAAGATAACCAATAATAGCTACTAGTTCATAGATACATGCAGCAGAGCCAATGGAAGTGCAAATAACCTTAACAATCGATTTTTCACTGTTATCTCTTAATTCATTATAGACTGAAAATATCTAATATGAATATGAATAAACGTATTTGTATATACACATCTATTTATATACAATAAAATATATCATGTAATAAACTTACATTTTGATGGCAGGTAAAAGCAAAAATAAATACAGGCAATTGACCAAATATTTTTGTTGAAAAGTGAAAATATTCAATAGATTCAGGAGGAGGAGGAGGATAATTAGGAGAAATAAAATGATATAAAACAATGATAACTAAATAAGCTACTGCAAATAAAGCAATCAAACTTGTGTATTTAAGTGAATCCAACTTTCTCAAGTAACTTAAGGGACCCACTGCAGTTATCATAGACAAGGTTATCCAAAAACGTCGGTCCATTAATAATTGAACCCTATCATCTGCATGATAGAAAAATGAACGAATTACCTTTTTTTTTTTATTTGGTTAATATATGCAAGACAATTATGTATATTTAAGAAAAGGGAATATTATTTACCTGTGGCATTAAATCACCTATAATAATTAAATAGCTAATTGCTACACCAAAGCATTTAATAGCAATTGCCATATCAAAAAAGATACCTAATTTAGGCCAAGTTAATTTTGATAGGGAAGAAAAAGATGCATTCCTTCCTCCTACTTTATGTGCACATCTTGATAGAAAGTATAATCCAAGACCAGATGTAAATCCTGCATATAATATCAGTAATATACCTGGTATCAATCCCATTGATGCCACTGCAGCAGGCTACAAAGAAGAAGAAGAAAAAAAAATCATCATGTTAGATTATTATATCAAACTAAGAATTCAATTTTGTAGAATAGTACCATAGCCAGCATGCCTGTTCCAAGGATTGTGTTGGAAAGATTAATAGAAGCACTTGCAATAGTTGCATTAGGTTCTTCAAAATCAACAAGTTGATCATTATTACATTCAAGTGATTCGTCTGTTACATTCGTTAATAAAGGGCTATGTTCATCTAATGAAGCGCCAACATCTGAAAATATAGATAATGAAGGAGCAGAAGATATTGATGATGTAGTTGCATCTTTATCTATAATACTGGAGTAATTAGGCATTTCTAACAAAAAAATAAAATAAAATAAAATAAAACAATAAAAGGATTATTAATAAAAATCATGAATACACAATAGTAGCTTTTTTTTTTTCTTTTTTTTTTCTCAACCTCCTTTCTCAACGGATCTACTATATATAGTATAGTCAGGATACTCAGCAGCAATGAACAAAATAGTATTTCACTTTAAGCTAATAGCAATAATATCTACTATATTTAATACTGTTTCTTTTTTTTTTTTTTTTAATTTCTTGAAAATTTAATAAACCATGTACATTCAAATTGAAGTAATTTTAGATTAGTGGATGTAAAAGACCATGCTTAGATCGATGAATATACTTTAAATATTCACAATTCTAAAGTACTTGAACAATAATATACGCATTTCATTTTATAATCAAAATTATCTCATTTAGATGATTAATCCAAGAAAAAATATTCCCCTCCCCGTATTGTAGAGAAGATGAATATAGAGAGTTATATATTTTTATAATGAAATATACACTATAATAGAATAATAACTATTATTGTTAGATGTTATCTATTGACTTGTAATCTCCTGAATTTAATAAACCTCTTCCTTTGATCTATTGTAAATGCATATTCAAGTTTATAGTGACAGATACGAATGAATAAGATATTCTATTTATTTTATTTACATGCAAAAGTAATTCTATTCTTGCTTCTCTTTCTTTCTTTCTTCTGCACATATTGTATTCTTTACTAGTCTATTTTTATGTCTTGATAATGTCTTCATATTAATTTTTTTCGAAATAGAGATTGCTCATTGTAGCTCAATCATTGTTTAGCAGTTGAAATATAAAAAAGTATCCATATACTATAAGATCTTCAAAGTAGTGAGTTGAGACAATTTAATTATTAGCATAGAGTTGCTTTTTCTAATTAGTGTATAGTAGTATTTTACTTGGCAATATCTTTTTAATTTTCAAATGAGCTCATCTTTGTTTCCCAAGATATATTCTAACTTCTTGCATTAAAAAATAGATGGAATAATCACATACTGTAATGAGTCAGGTGAATGCTAACATGATCTGTAAGAGAAATATGCCTACAATATCATCATTTTATTTTTAGGTAAGATTCATGTATACATAGGATATTCAGATATAGAAGTAGAAAGACATAGATAGAGATACATTCATTATCATCCTTTAGATGTATAAAAGGTGCTCGTTGAGGAGGAAGGGTGTAATTTATGTAGCTGCTTGTGGTAGAAAACAAGAGGAACTGCCTGCATCTGTATCATATATATTTATTTACGGGTGACTCTTGACCTTATGTATTTATTTGTCTATGCCTTCTCAACTTCCTAAGTCAGACCTAAAATTTGGAATCGTTATCATAATCGAAAGAACTAATGTTTCGCTTACTTTATAATTCTTCTTTCTTCCCGCCGTCAATCAGTTTACCTTTTTGAATGAGTTTATTCCCCTCCTCATTTATAATGTAATTATTTAGCTTGTCTTCTGTTTGTTTCTGGTATAGCAGTATAATGCTCTATAGAGCGCATGTATTAGTATTACCTTAGTTAAAAAGATAAATTTTGCGTCAGTTACCAAAAATAATGATAATAATTTTAAATAATAGCCAGATAAATTGCTTTTTAATAAACAATCAATATCTTTTTAACTTCAAGTGTATATTATGAAATAACTTATTTCAATCGAGTACCACGACTCTCTTCTGATTGATCTTCCAAGCTACCATCTTTCAATAAACTTGAATCAAAGATATTAAAAAGATATACAAATATAAATGTAAGTTTGCAAATATGCTCATAAGAATTCATGAATGTCTAACATTTCCAATGCTAAAGATTTTCCTCTAATGGAACGTATTCTTAACGGTATTATATGAAGATTTTTTTTTTCTTTGGGTTAATAATCGGTATTCTCAAAGCATTTATTCTGCTTTTACCACGATTGTATTTTTTTGAAAGGAAACTATCCATTGTATTTTGTGACGTTTCAATCAAATAAAGGGTAAAAAAAAAAATAACTGGTGGTAGAAAGCAGCAAACAAAGGGCACAGTTAGATTATTCATCAAAGATGTCCTTATTGAGATGTACAAGTTTCCCTAAAATGAAGGATTATTATTTAATTCTGGATAATGCATTTATACAGGGAAAAAATAATAATAATTAATAGGATGATTTGAGGAGCGTGGTTACACATGTATCTTATTACACTTCAAAACTCAACCCGATTGAACAATATTGGTTGGCTGTTGAAGAGAGAATTTAAATTACTATTTAAATAGTTACATACGATTAAACAGTAATTTTTATTTTAAAATGCATGACCCTCCTCCCCCCCCCATTTGAGCACAAGATATAATTAAATACATCAAATTTCCCCGGGCTGAGTCAGTTTAAAGGAATAAGGAACGAAAAAAAACCTCTTTAAGGATCAGGAGGAAAATAATTACATACACTATTTTCTACAAATTATTCGTGTAGTTTTAAAAATATAAAAATTGATTCAGGCTCAGAAATAAACTTCGTCCATTAAAAGGAAATAGTTTCGTGCAATTAAAGAAAAATATTTCGTGCAGTATCAGGAGCCTTTCTTTCTCACTTTTATATTCCATTCAGTATGAACTCTTTTATTCATGAAGACGGAAAAAGAAACATGTTAGACGACCAAGGAAATGAAGTCTTTACGATCGATATAGAAGTGAATGATGAAACTTATCCGCTTGAAAATGTAACGAACTTGAACCAGTACTTCAACGTAAAGCCAGTTGAGAGAATAGAACAAAGAAAAAGAAGAGAAGCTGCCCGAGGAGTTCAATAGTAATAACCAATCATCCGGAAAGGGTAAGAGAACCTACAGACACTATAAGCCTGAAGATAAAGAGCGATTTTTTCATTATTTACGAGAAAAACATGGGCGTAAGAGAAGCAGCTAGAGCCCTTAAAATGCCAGAGATCACTGCTCAAAGTTGGTACGAAAAAAGAAAGCCAGAATCCAGAGGAAGTAATTGAAAGAAAAAAGGGTAGTGGTAGATCTGTGGGAAGACCACCTATTCTTGAGAGAAGAGCATGAACAATTCTTGAAAGAGCTTATTGATGATAAGCCAAGTTTAGTTTTGGAAGAGATGATGGACAATCTGACAAGCAAGTTTGAGGACTTATCTATTTCAAAAAAAAAAAAACTGCTCTTTACAACTTTGTAACCAAAAAGTGCAGAATTAGTTTGAAGAAAGCACATTTCCACTCAGTAGAGCGAAACAGCCCTGAAAAAATTCAGGAGAGACATGATTGGGTAGTAAGGTGGAATGAAACAGACCTTGATTTCACGAGTAACTGCATCTTTATTGACGCGGCAGCTTTCCATATCAACATGAAGCGCTCTGTAGTATGGTCAAAAAAAAAAAAGGAAACCATACCGTTGTGGTTGTACCCAAGACAAGAGCCAAAACAACAGCTATTTTGGGTGCTATCTCTCCTTATGGTGTAGTAAACATCAAAGTAAGAAGACCAAGAGCACCTGTTCATTTGAAGTGGAGAAAGACAGCAGGTAGTACTCAGACTGCTGGAAATATTAAAGGCGGAACTGTCACTGGGTACTACTTTAATTTCGTTGCAAGTACCCTTGATATTTTGTATCAGCATAAGCAATTTAAGGACAATTACATTGTTATGGACAATGCTCCTATTCACAAGCATGCTGATATCAGAAAATACAGTGAGCAACGCGGCTACGTCTGTATTTATCTTCCAGATTACTCCCCTGAGCTCAATCCAATTGAACAATTTTGGTCAGTATGTAAAAGCAAGCTTAAAGGAGAAGAGCTTTTGCAGGAAGAAACATTATCGTCTAGAATTGGGGATGCATGCAACAGAATCCTTTTGAGTGATCTTCAAGGTTTCTGCGGATACTCAGCTGCTAGATTCGAAGACTGTTTGAACCGTAAGCCGACGTAGTTTTCTTGTTTTTTTTTCGTGCACTTCATGCAATAGTAAATCATAAATTTTTATTTTTAAACTGCACAAACTTTTTTCCTGAAGGTGCACGAAGAATTTGTATATTTGCTATACAGTGAAAAAAAAAAAAAAATGAAAGAAATTGGAATTTAATTTCCGATACAATTCTATTGTTAAAATTAAATTGTACGACATTTAAATGGCTATTAACACTAGATTCAAGTTTTAATCTTTAATTTTATTGGTTACGATGAAAGAAATATGTACGTACTCACAGTAAGATTAAAAAATTTAAATTAAGCATTTGTTTCATTATTGATTGCTTTCTTGTTTTTCTTGTTTTTCTTATTTTTCCTTTTTAATAGTCTTTTTTGTATATGTTCTGAATTGGTTAATATTTCCATTTACGTGTTTTGATAAGATTACAGAATTATGTGTATCGTTCTACTATATTGATTTTTTTTTTGATAATGTCAATTAAATTTTACACTTGGATCCTTCTTCTTCATCCTTTTACTGTTTCTTTTTTTTTTTTTCCCTAATATTACCATTCATTCATTCTTCTAAATTCCGCTCATTATAGAAGCTTCCAATTATGTTATTTGTTTATTAGCTGAAGTGACTAACAGTATGAAACTAAACTCCGCTTACCTTCTCCCCCCAATCAATTAAAAAAATAAATGACACATAGGAATTGTCCCTTTTTTTTTTGGTACATGTGTCTACTTGTCTTTGTTTAAATAAATACATCCTCTTCTCTTTCTTTTTTGTTTTATTTATTTATTTATTTATTTGTGTTACAAGATGCGTATCACATTATCTACAATTGTTGCCTTAGGTCTTCTGGGCTTACAGGCTGTGTCAGCTAAAAAGAACAAGAAAAAGAATGCTTCTTCTCACTTGGATATAGATTGGATCTCAGAACATTTAGGTACACGTCGTGGTTATCCTACTCATACTGTTCCTAAACGAGATAAGATTTTAAATGAATATAATGTTGAACAATATCAACTTATTAAGCGTCATGGTACTCGTTATCCTGGTGATGGTGACATTGAAGCCATCACTGATCTCCTTGCTAAATTAAATGGCACTTCTTCTAAGCTTACAAAATGGGTTGAAGGTTATAAAAATCAATACATTTCTGTTCGAGCCGGTCTTCTTGACACACATGGTCAAGAGGAGCATTATTCACATGGTATGCGTTTTGCAAAAAAATATCCTGATATCCTGGAAAAGTCCCTGAGTGGGGATACGGTTCAATTTGTAGCTTATTCTTCATGGTCCTCTCGTACCTCTCAATCAGGTCATGCGTTTTTAATGGGCGCCTATAAAGGACATGGAAAATTAGACAAGCAAAAAATGATGGCTATTCCTATGTTTAGTTATCCTTATAATGCTGATACCATGCTTGCCTTTCATAAACCCTGTAAACGTTGGCAAGCTACTATTGACCAGCTCACTAAATCCTATGTTGCTCCTCTAGAAAGACTTTACATGCAACCTATTGCTGATCGTTTAAGTGAAGAAATAAATATCAACATAACTACAAAGGATGTCAAGACGATGTTTAGTGCCTGTGGGTTTGAAGTGACGATGCATAATACAAAGGACACCTTTTGTAAAATGTTTACGAAGAAGGATTTATTAAAATTAGAATATTATGATGACCTTGCACATTGGAGAAAGTTATCTTATGGTGTTGAAGACCTTAATGGTGGCATGGCCTGTAACTTGGCCAAGGAGATTGTAAATAATATTGATAAGGCAGTAAACGGTAGTCGTTCTGGAACATCTTTCCCTCATCTTGATCTCAAATTTGGACATGATGAAACTCTTTTGCCTCTTCGTACTTTCTTTGGACTCTATAAGGACAACGTTACCCTTGCCTGGAACTCTTCTCAAGAGGTGATTGATCATCGTAACTTCAGATTGTCAGACTTCAGTTTCTTTGCTAATAACTTGGCTTTCGAGGTCTTATCTCCCAAGAAGAAGAACAAGAAGAATTTTAAAAAGAATTATTATGTTCGTGTCTTGGATAATGAAAGACCTATTGTCTTCCCTGGTTGTAGTCATGAAGTATGCCCTTATGAACAATTTAGAACTGCTGTAGATCCACTTTTAAATTGTAATTATGACAAAATTTGTTCACTTCAATAATCTTATGATTTAGAATAAAAATAGAAGTTAATTATTATGTAAATATAAAAGAGAAATTAATACTGCATTGTTGCTGCTTGTTGTCAAATTCCGACATTTTCTATTTTTTTTTTTCTTTTTTTCCTTTGTATTCATTTATAGTGTATTATTTGATAAAATATGGTAAATTCAAAATGAAATAAATCTCAAGTTTGATTACAACTCTTTACTATAAATTATTAGGTTAATGACAAAACTATAGGAGCGATTTCTTCCTTTTCCATCGTGATTCTATTCGTCTATTATTCAACTTGGACTTTAATCATGGTATAGATTGAATGAACTAAAAAAAAAAAAAAAAAAAAAAAAAAAAAAAAAAAAAAAAATAGAAATCAAATAAAAACTTAATTTTGTTATAGCCATTTGTAGATGAAGGACATCCATCTCATAATTATTTTCCAGATTGGAAATATGCTATCAAAATACCACTGTTAATCATGATAGTCGGCTTAACTATTATATTTACATTTTTATCACTCGTTATGATTAAAAGTAAAAGGACACTAAGGAGAACAACAACAACAACAACAACAACAACGACGACGACTCCAGCAAAAGTACTTTCTACTAATGATAAAAATTTATTTATAAACGCTTTTTAATCTTCAATAAGTCTACTTCCTGCTGCTGCTGTTGTACTATTAATCTCTTCTTTTGTATGGATAACAAAAAGGGTTTTAGGATCAAAAACAGAACACTTCCAACTGCCATTAAAATGAAATGACAATAATAAATCTGTCTCCAGACATGCATAATACGACTCACATAAAGAAGATCAAAGCAGGGAACAAGCATATTTAAAAATCCAATAGAAGCCAACCATGTACAAATATCGTAAAATGTTTTCCAGTATGGAATGGGTCTTTTTTGATCCAACATAAATAAAGGTCTAATCGTTCTACGTACTTGTCTTGCCATTAATTGTAAAATAGCTGCTATAATAAAAAAAACTATTATATATGAATATATATTTAAGGGAAAAAAAAAGGTAAATAATCAGGCTGGATAGATTTTTGTTTTATAGTATTACAATAGAAGCCTGGATGAAAGCCATGCCACATGGAAGATACAATATAGGTCTTCATAGTTGTATACATGGAATCTTTTGGATGAATTCTTTGGAATCTCAAGTAGACATAATGACGAAGCCAATGATTTGCGCCAATATTCCAATTCTCTGAGAGTTGCTTGTACGATTGTGCAAATTCACAATCTAACACGTTTACATTATTCAAATGATCCCAGCGAGGTTTCCCCTTCAGATCTAAGCCGTTATAGCCAAATCCTGATAATATACAAGCCCCTTCAGATAAATACCAAATACAATAATATTTGCATCTTGTTAAAAATCCAGATAATTGAATAAAGAATACCCTAAAAATAATAATAATGATTATAATTTTATGACAGACGTGTTAAAAACTATACTTGCTTTTTCCAAAAGGGTAAATAGGACCATTCAGGCTTTAATGCTTCAAAGTAATTGAATGTAGAACCAAAAGAGACAATGATGGATATAAAGATTAAACTTTTAACAAGTCTTCTTAATGCAGGCATCCAAGAGGAAGATGATCCTTGTCTTTCAGGAGTCATTTCAATAAAATGGATATAATCCATGTATTCGCAACTAGGTCCAGTTAGGAAACCACTAAAGAAGAATATCCAGCCAAAATATTGTAATAAAGTAGGTTCATGAACTATCTTCATTTTCTCTGAATGTGTCGAGATAGGATCGTTAGTAAAACCATCCATTCTACTAAAACCATACGAAGATAATTTTATAGTAATGATCATCATTGCCCCTGAATAATCGAGCTGAGTATCACCTTCAATGCCTTTTATTTGACGAACCATATGACTTATATAATAATAAATCCATCTTTCTATCCTTTGTATACAAATATATAAACTTACCAAATACACATACTAAGCATTACACATATAAAATTAATCCATGCAATAGTTGAATAGTAGCCTTTAAGATATTTCAAAAGTACAAAAGATAAAATAGAGATAAAAGCAATATGAATAAATCCATCATAGAGTTTTAATAGAAACAACATAATATAACTTGTAAAAATAACAGAGAAGAGATGTCTAGCAGATACTGACCGGATTTGTTTAAATAAAATAGCAGAAGGATACGTAGATAGAATTGAAAAGGCTAACTTTAAATGGTCTGGAGCCACTTGACCACCGAGTAAAGCCGATAGTTTAATGAACAAACTGTCCATTTTATAGTCAACAAAGATGGAAGAAATAAATAGGAAAACAAAAAAGAAAAAAAAAGAAAGAGAAGAGAAGAGAGAAGGGTAGCGTCTTATATATAGAAAAATAACGTGTATACATATATTCAAGGAAAAGAGGAAAATCGATATAACCCCTAATATTAAATAACTGTAAATAATAAACTTTTCAAATCCTTCTTACCTAGATTTTCTCTTTTCTTAACAAAGGATAATAAAAGTGAAATAACAAATGCTAAATATGTGTTCAGGATGTCTATACTTGATGTCAAGAACATCATTATTAAGCTTATATCCTGTTAATATAAAGAATAGTGTATATCTAAGCATATATAATCATATTAATTCAGAAATGTATGCAGGTGCTATAACATGCATTTCAATGACACTAATAAGAATTGTCAAGCTTCTTTTTTCTCTTAAACTGTAATTGTAGGTTGCTGTCTTTTATTATATATGTGTTTATAAAGGTCATTAAGTTCCCAATGCTGACAAGAGTAATATACCATGTATATAAGGTTTTTATCTATAATTTTGCACTGTTTAGGTACAAATTACCTCATTTTTCTTATATAAAAAGAACAAAAAAAAAGGAGAAGGAGGAGAAGGAAAAGACTTGTAAATAATATTAGATTTAAACATAAATTTGTCCATCATAAATTTATCATTCAGAATGTCAAAACAAGGCAGATAAAAAGCAATTGGATCACCAGAGTACGTTTGTTGGACTTTGATTAAATAAAATAATTGTTCAAGAAGCAGTACGCTTATTTTTCTTTGCAAGCGTTATAGTAGCAGTTCATAAGCACGAATTCACAAAGGAATTTTGTTTCTTTTGTATACTGAATTCTCTTCATATTAGTTCTTGCTTTAAAAGTATGTTATATTTATACCAACTATTATAGTTTATTACGTCTGTTGAGGACAGTTACAAAGCATACATATTTAATGGGTCATTGCATTCGTTTGAATTTACATCAAATAATATTAGTTCATATTGTAATTATATATATATATGTTTTTTATATGAATCATTTAACTTCATTTGTTACTTTTTTTTTTTTTTTTTTTTTTTTTTTTTTAAATCCAAAGATTTGTGCCCAAAATATAAAAATTCATTCCGCAAAATAAATAATAAGCCCGCAAACTTAAAGGTATTAAAAATCATTTTTTTTTCTTTTTATATATTTTGCTTCCATCTTTCTTCAGAGTAGATTTGTCGATCAAGATGTCAAACAAGATAGAAACCAGTCCTTTTGATGATCCTTCTAATCCATTTCAAGACCCCTCTATCACATCTGCTTTAAATTCATCCCGAACAGTAACTAATAATGAAGATGTAGCAGAAGAGGATGTACCTCTGAATGATTTTAATGCTACTAGTTTTCATCACATTGCCGATAATCGTGATCCATTTAGCAATACCAGTCAAACTACTTTACCTACTAGCAGCATTTTAAGTCCTGAGCTAGCTGCACGAGAAGAAGCTCTTCGACAAAAAGAACGCGAATTAGCAGACAGGGAGAGAGATTTAGAAGCAAGACAAAGAGCCGCAAATAATACAAGGCCTGTTAATAATTTTCCACCTTGTTTCCCTATCATGTATTTAGATATTGTGAGTGAGATACCTAAACAGCATCAACGGACAGTCATGTGGCTTTATAGAGAATGGCTTTTATTTTTGATAACGTTGATAATGAATTTCTTTGCTTGTCTTTGGGTCTTATTTTCACATCCTGCTTCTGTCACAAGTGCCCCTACAGATATGGGTATTGCTCTAACTGAATTATTTACACATTCTTTAGCAAGTTTCTTTTTATGGTATCGACCTATTTATAATGCATATATGAAAGAGAATTCATTATATTACTGTAAAATGTGATAAGTGATATAGATTACTAAATAATTGCTTCTATGTAGACTAACATCTATAAACATAGATTTTTATTTTATATTTAATGGATTTCATATCCTTTACACATTTTATATGGCAGTTGGTATACCTTCAACGTAAAGTAATTCTGTTATGTAAAACTATGAATTAGAACTTTTTTTTTTATTCTTTTTTTTTTTTTTTTTTTTTTTTGTAGTGGTGGAGCAGGTTTAATTTTGTTAGTAACATTATTTTCTGATCATTACATTGGACCTGGTATTTTAACATTAATATCTTCTATATGCTGGTTGTCGATGGGTATTTTGGCAGTCATTCTTTATAAAAAGACCTATAGTCATTATAAAGCTGCAGGACATACATTTAATGAAGCCAAGAATGAAGCCTATTCTCATATGGGGCGTTCTAATATGGTTAGAGATGCTGCTGTGAATGCCGCTTGGAACACTGCTACAACAAGACGGTGAACAAAAAAAAAAATACACATATACAAATATACATTTATGTATTTATGCATATAAATCACATGGCATAAATGATAACTGAATTTTCACATGTAAAATGAAAAAAGAAACGAAGGCATTTTTTGGGGTTTTTTTTTTTGGTCTTATTTTAAAATTTATCTTTTTTTCTTTTGAAATTATTTTTTTCCCCACATTTTTATATATAAACTATGCATACATTGTCTAAACCCATTACGACCATCTCATGGTTTAGACGACATAAGTTATTTGGGACAAGTCTATTTGCAGTTGTAATAGTTAGTTTATATCAAACTCAAAAATACTATAGAAACGAGTTTAATGGACAACGTCAAGAAACAAAAGAAAAAGAGAACTCTTTATTTTTCCCTGTTATGAATAGCAAAAATCAAAAAGTAGGCGTAAATGAAGAATTTAAAAGACAACTAAGTTTAATAGCCAAGATAATATTCCCTCATTGGCGTACAAAAGAGGGAGGTCTTTTAGTGCTTCATTCTATCTTTCTTGTCTTAAGAACCTATCTTAGTGTGGTAGTGGCTCGATTAGATGGTCGTATTGTCAGAGACCTTGTAAATGGACATGGGAAAAGATTTTTAATAGGTCTTGTGTATTGGTTTGCTATTGCTATCCCAGCTACTTACACAAATAGCATGGTATTTATTTTTGTAATGAAATAGACTAAACCAGACTGATAGATATGTATATACCTTGATATAGATTCGATATTTACAATCCAAGTTATCTATTGGATTTAGAACTCGATTAACTAAGCATATTCATGATATATATCTTGATCAAGAAAAGACATTTTATAAAGTGATTAATTTGGATAACCGTATTCAGGGAGCAGATCAGTAAATATTTTAATATGTGCATATATATATATAATGTCTTAATACTTGTTACTATAGATTTATTACCACTGATATTGCTAAATTCTGTGATACTTTGTCTTCTCTTTATTCAAATCTTGCAAAACCTATATTAGATACTATCATATTTAATTATCAACTTACAAAATCAATTGGTTTAGTAGGTATGGTAGGTTTGTCTATCAATTATATCATCACAGCCAGACTTTTACGTGCCGTGACACCTTCTTTTGGTAAATTAGCTGCTATTGAAGCCAAGTTAGAAGTATGTATACACATATACACACACATATATATGTATATACATATACAAGAGAAAAATACTTGATTAATTCTTTCTTTTATACATATATCTATGTATATGTTAGGGCGATTTTCGTGCTGCACATTCACGTATAATTACAAATGCAGAAGAAATTGCATTTTATAATGGTGCGGAACTCGAGCATTCAATTTTAAATAAAGCTTATCTAAAACTTATCAAACATATCAATTCTATTTACAAGCTAAGAATTAGTTATAATATGTTTGAAGATTTCTTAATTAAATATGCATGGAGCGCATTTGGTTTAGTCATGTGTGCCATCCCTGTCTTCACACCTCAGCTAACGTCAACGTCAACGACGATAACGCAAGGAGATGAAAATATAATGGTGGGTGCTCGAACAAAAGGATTTATCACGAATAAACGGTTGATGATGTCCTTAGCAGATGCAGGTGGACGTATGATGTATTCATATAAGGAATTAGCAGAATTGGCAGGCTATACCTCTCGTGTCTATAACCTGATCTCTGTCTTGCATGCCTTGCACAATAACCAATTTGATAATGGGGATGGTGTTGAATCAAACAAGAAACCTTATTATACCTTAACCAATATCAATGGTAGAGTTGTCATTCATGATAGTATTCAATTTGAACATGTACCTATCGTTGCACCTGCTCCTGGTGGTCGAGTGGGTGAAGTACTTGTGAATGACTTGAATGTTCAAATACACCCTGGTGAACATTTGTTAGTAACAGGTCCTAATGGTGTAGGTAAAACTGCTGTTGCTCGCATTATTGCTTCTTTATGGCCTGTATTTGGTAATATATAATATCACAAAAAAAAAGGGGGGGTAGGCTTATACTAAATTATATTCTTTCATTAGAGGGCACTTTAACAAAACCTTCAGATCATGATATATTTTATATTCCACAAAGACCTTATTTAAGTCTTGGTACATTAAGAGATCAGTAAGTTAGGACTCATATTTCTCTATATGACTATAATCATTTATGCTAAGTATGTATCAATGATAGAATCATTTATCCTCATTCAAAAGAAGATATGATAAAAGCAGGTCACTCAGATATGGAATTATTAGAGATATTAGAAATTGTTCATTTAGCTTATATTCCCGATAGAGAAGGAGGATTAGAAACCGTTAAAGAATGGAAGGATGTATTTTCTGGTGGTGAAAAACAAAGAGTAAGTAAAATGAAAAAAGGAGAGAGAAGGGTTTAGTTAAATGGACATTCTTACTATTATGACATAACGAACATTTATAAATTATATAAATATATGATAGATTGGTATGGCACGTCTCTTTTATCATCATCCCAAATTTGCAGTCTTAGATGAATGTACTAGTGCTGTATCTACCGATGTTGAAGGCTTAATGTATTCTCATGCAAAAGATATTGGTATTAGTAAGTGTTTGTTTTGTTTTGTTTTTTTTAGCAGAAGAAAAATTAATTTTTATGCAGCACTTTTAACCATCTCCCATCGACCTGCATTATTCAAGTATCATCGATTCTTATTACGTCTTACGGGTAATAATGGAAAATGGGAATGGGAAACAATTGGTACTCGTGAACAACTACAATCCGTTGAAAAAGAGCTTTGTAGTCTACAAGCAAAATTACAAGAAGTAAATACCCTGAAAGCTCGTTTGGCTACTATTGATCAAGAACTTTCTTTAAAATTATAATTACGATTATTTATTAAATAAATTGACCCATAGGCACTTGGCTTGTAGAATTGCTTAATTGTACGAAATACTTGACAAGTTTTGATTTTAACAAATGTGCATTTTTTTTTTTTTTTTGGTGGACTGACATTGAAGTGGCTGTCATTTATATAAGTCTTCTTCCCAGTCACACGCTGTAGAAAAAAAAATTTTTTTTTCCTCATTATTATTATAAAATAACAATTTTCTGTTCCTTTTCCAATTTTTTTTTTCTTCTTATTATTATTCTTATACAATCTTCAAGCAAAAAGAAAAAAAAAAAAAAAAGTAAGTGTAATTTCTGGTGAAGGAAGAAGAGAGAATTGTGTTGATGATAGCAAATCCCAAGTTCTATAACACTTCTTTATGGTTGACCGTTTTGGACAACCGGGTGTGATGTTAGGCTTTATTTTTATAGTCATAGTTACACTGAGCTTTTCTCTTTTTTTTTCTTCTTCTTCATCTTTTGTGTAAATGAATATCTTTGTTTACTAATCATCTTTATGTTTATAGATTCTTTGTCACTTGCTACTTTATATTTTTTTTATGTTAAAAAAACTTAATAAATTTTTGATTTTCATTAAATTCTTCACTGTTGCTGTTATTGTTTTATTTTATTTTATTTTATATATATATATATATATATATATCGTGAGTTTATGATTTTATCCTTCTAGTTCATAAAGTGAAGGAAATCAAAAATCCTACTCAGGCAAAGACTAGAAAGATATTAAGGGAGGGGAGCAAATAAAGAGGCTTGAGGATAGTTATAACAGTCACATAAAGTGTTATTGACCTAGAAAGTAGTGTTATATTATGTTGGATTGTTGTCATCATTGCGAGACCAGCAATCGAGTCCTTGAAGGAGTGAGCAAAAGATGTGTCATAGATGAGCCAAAGTAAAACAGTGTTGATGGAAAAACTTTTTTCTATTTCTTTTTTTGAAATAAATAAATAAAATAAAATAAAAATAAAGTAGGATTATTAATTGAAAAAGTAGACAAGTACAAACGATAACTAACTCATTTGGTGACAGCAGCAAATAGTATAAAATTTTATAAAGAGCGTTGCAGGACACTGGGGACATGAACTAGGAATTTACAGGAGCAAATTAACTTGATAAAGAAAAAAAAGGTCATTTTAATGATGTTGTTGTTGCTAGCGTTTTCCGCTAATTTGTAGAATGAGCCTTCATGAATAAATAAAATAGAAAACTAGTCTTCAGTTGTGTAATTTAATAGCGCACATCTATTTTTGTTAAAGCTTTTATCGCAACATTTTCTAACTAGGAACTAACATAAAAATTTCATGCTTTAAAGCCCCTTCTCTAATATTTTATGTTCTTTGTTGAACTTACAATCTTGACAGATGTTTAGTCGTCACTAAATTCTGGCATTAACATCACTATTGCAACAAGTTTGAATAAGAAATATAGAAGTGAATTTCAGTAGTTTCATGAATCAATTTTCTTCTTCCATCACTAATGAGTGAGTTTCAACTTGGTCTTTATCATTAATTAATTATTTTACTGTAAAAGTAAACTGAGAAAGTATCTATAAAAAAAAAAGAAGGGGTGATAAAATCTAGTTTCTAGTTTCATGTTGTGTCTTTCAATTGTATACATATTCAAGAAACTATACACCACTTCTTCTTTGTGTAATATTCTATATACTTTATTTATTTTAGTGTGATTCCTCTAACGATGTTAGTGATTAATCTGCCTTTCCCCTTTTCACCATTACACATCAACTAACTAAATCTTCTTTATTTATAAACTAACAAACACTTTATTATTTTTATTTTTTCCTATAAACCATCTTTTGTTTATTTATATTAAAATCTCATAAAATTTATATTGTAAAAAAGTCATTTTTTTTTTTAAGAAAAATAAAAAAAAAGCAAAAGCAGCACATTTTCAATACATTTTAATTCTTTGGACATGCAAGAAGAGTAGGTTTTTTTTTTACAAAAGTATTTTATACTTTTATTTTATAAATAAATAAATATAAATATATATTTTTTTTTTTAAATTTAAAGCAACTTTTTGTTTTTAAAGAGAAGAAAAAAGAAAAAAAAAAGCGCGAAAAAAAAGACAGCCACCAAACCAAACGCAAGACGAAGCTACAAAAATAGTAGTAGTAGTAGTAGTAGCAGTAGCAGCGACAGCAGCAGCAAATGTCCAACACCAGACCAGTCATCCATCGAAGAGGACTACCTCTGAACCCCTAGACAATCCAACTTCACCAGATGTGTCCGAAGACAACATCCTCCATTGAATCATCGTTCAGATCAATCTGAGATAGAAGAACTCCAAGTTCTTCTACCTCATCCACCAGATCCATGGGATCATCCTCCATCTCCATGGAATCTGGTGGCGACTGATCAACAGGGCCAGAGGTAGCCACGGCAGCAAGAACATTCTTCCCGAATCGGGCTGGCAGAAAACGGGGGGGAGGCATGGCAGCTCTATCAGCTGCCTCACGAGCAGCAGAGGAACGTGGTGCTGAGAAAACACCTATAGTACAGCATACACAAAGAGAAAGGAGTTTAATAGAGCCAACACAAGAAGATGGAAGAAGGAAGAATGTTTATATATAGAAAATAAAAAATAATATTCGTTAGTTATACATGTTATTTTATCATAAAAAAAAGTATTTAAACACACATAAAAGATAAAGATACTTACAAGAGAAGGTCATTTTTTTAATAATAATTTTTATAATAATAATAAAAAAAATATAATGATAAAAAAAAGAAAAAGGAAAGAGGAGGGTGGAAACGGAAGAGCAAGGGATAGTTTTATAGTGTTTTTATGGTTAATGAGAACAATAAACGTCAAAAATCATATGTGTTGCACAGTGCTTTGGCGTCAAAAAAAAAAAAGCCAAATAAAGCTAGATAAAGCACATGAAGATGTTATCTTTTATTTAGTTAATTTCTCTCCTTACTTTTTATTATTATTATTATTATTAGCGCAACAAGTGTAAATTTGTAGTGTTTAAATAACTATATACGCCATTTAACAGTGCAGCCATGTTAGTCTTTATATATTATTTACAGTAGTAGTAACAGACAGACAGAGTAACAGGGGGAAAAGGAAAATAGACAATATACAAAAAAAAAGGGCCAAGAACCAAGGGTAAGAGTCTATATTTTTTTTTATTGTTCCCACATTAATCAAAAGTAAGGAGTAAAATTCGTTTACAAACTTTTTTTGTTGTTGTCTTACACTTGGCGTCGTTATAGATTTTATTTACGTTGCTAATTGCTTTATAATAAAAGTAAAAGGAATATCATATACTCACTATTATCTACGCTGAACTAAGCCTTCTTCTTGTTAAATAGAATAGGGAATAGAGAATAGAATATTAGCTTAATAGTATTATACTTAAGCAGCAGATTTGTGTACCTTTTTTTTTTTAATGCAGCAACAAGCCTTTTTTTTATATAATTTAAATTCAGTTAAATCATTCCATGTATATTTGTATAATATATGCTTTATATTCAAACTTCTTTGAAAGGATAAATGACTAAAGAACAATAATATGTGTGTAGTAGCAATTCACTATTATACATGTTCATGTCCTTCATTGCATAGTCAACATATAAAGATATAATACACCTAATTATCATTATTACTATATAAATATATAATGTGATGTAATAATAATCTAGAAAAAAAAGGAGAGAGGTAACAAACGATCTATATAAGCCAAAAGAGTTAGTATTTAATATTGTTATATTGTTTATTTCCAAATGGAGTAGTAAAATGACATCGTAGTTTTTTTTTTTTTTTTTTTTTTTTTTTTTTTTTTTTTTTTTTGGACAATGTAGGATGTTAATCTAGGCCCAAAGAAATCCAGACAATATCATAAACATGTAAAGACAAATCGAATTAGGTGCAACAATTGTTTTTGATATGTGTAAATACTACTTTTAGCCTTTCATACTTGCATTGCTATTTTAATTCATCAATCATGTTAATTGCAATATTTACAACTTTTTTTTTTTGGCTTACTTTTTTATGATTCATTCAAGCAAGAACACTCGTACTGATGAAATTATAGATGTCAACTTTCTTCATATAATAGCATAAAAAACAAAAGAGGCTATAGTATGTTTTTGTATTTGTTGATTGTTATGGCTATCTTTTTTGCTGTACATCTTTATCTCATTTACCAGTATATTTACTATTGTTTCTGAAACATGATTTTTTTTTCTTTAAGATAGGTTAGAACAATGGTTCGCAGGTTTGTAAACCATATATTTATTTCTAAAAACTGATTTGAATGTTGAAGTAGAAATGGTATAAAATTCTTATAGTAGACAATATATAGGATTGCTTGTCTTATAAATTATCGTAACAGGCAGATTCAAGTAACGACTTGATCCCTATTTCTTTTTACTATTATTATTTGTCGTCTAGCAAATTACCCTATTTCGTTTTGCCTGTCTTATGAAAATAATCCTTTATTAAAGAATATTGTCATATCTACTCTACTATTTCTTACTGGAGTCGATAACAGCAGTTAAGACTGTTTCCCTCCCAGGATCAACGAAGAGAGGAATGTTTATTTATGATCACTTTTTTTTTTCATATTAAACTCATCAACTGCAAGAGTAAATTAAGACTGTTGTTTTCTTTTATAGAATAAAATATTGATCTGATCGTATAGTGTTACGAAACAAAACGTTGTTGCTTTTATTAGAGGCTAAGGCATTACTGATACTAATCTTTTGTTGTTGGAGTACATAATCCTTTAATATGTTATATAGGCTATCTTGGCAGCAACTTACTTATTACATTAGTAAAACAGAAGAGCGCCTTGTACATTCAGAAAATCCCACATATATGCTTTGAGCAGTATTGATTCAGACACATTCCATTTTTTTTATTTATTAACGGGTTTACATTAAATAGATTCATATAGAACGTATAAGTTGAATAAACAGTCAAGATGAATGTGTAGTATTCATGTTTTACTATTTGATAATAGTCACTCAACAGATGACATTTAAAAATTCCAATCATATAATCTTTTATAGTTCTTTTATATATATATATATATATAAAGGTACATCATTAATCAATTGTCTGAAATATTGAAACAATTTTTAATTTGAATTTTAATGTCTTAAAACTATCCTATCTTTATTTATCTAATATTTGACTGCCTATATCATATATAACAGACTAAAAAAAAAAAGCTATTTCATAATATAGTAAAGTAATAGTTTTATCATGTATAATCCAGTGCTGTACAATACTTTAAATTTCTTAGATAGCTTGTCACTTTAGTGTCTCAATTTTGATAGAGTAAAATACAACAAGTCCTTATTACTCCATAAAGGCTTTTTTTTTTGTATTCTATTATATTCTTGGATTAAATTCTCGAGAATTTAATGTATTGAGCATTTAGTGTTATTGGGGGGAAGGAGGAGGAGATTATGAAGTTTACAATAATAAGCATTTGTTTATTAATCCAGTGTTATTGATTTCTCTGTGCACCTATGACAGCTAATTGGTCAGCACGTTCATTTCCATGTACACCACTATGGCCAGGAACATAAGAAAATTGTACTTCTCCTTTTCTCATATTCATTAAATCCAAAGCACGTTCAAACAAATCTCTGTTTTCTACTTCCTTTCCATTTGATGATCGCCAACCGTTTTGTACCCAATTTTTTGACCATTTAGTAATTGCGTTAATAACATATTGTGAATCTGTTCTGATTTCTAACAAACCATCGTCATCTAGACTTTGCTCCAAGGCACAAATAACGGCTTGTATTTCTGCTCTTTGATTTGTTTGCCGAGGGCCTAGTAGAGGAGCACTTACATTGCGTGAATCATTCTCACCCCAATAAACACCGTAACCAGCTCGGGCATTGCCATAGCCATTATTTGATGAAGCACCGTCAGTATAAACAACAGTTACGGATCCAAGATCGGATTGATTAGTTCCTTCATTAGAAGGTATCACTTGTGCATACGCATTAGAAGGTTTATTATTATAGTTCTGTTGTGACAATGTAGAGGATGATATGGATCCAGACGCACAAAAACTTTGTGCCTCTTCATAGGTATTGAATTTCTTATAAACAGCACCACTAAAACCTTGAACATTAGCCTGACATTCAGTCCATGTACTATAAATGCCTGGCTGTCGACCTTGTCTAACTGCATAGAAACCTTGCTTAGCCATGATTGTCGAAATAACTCTCTTTTTAATTAGACCAAAAATATTGTTTAATGATAAAAATAGGTATACTGAAAAAGAAAAAGAAAAAAAAAAAGCCTTCCCTGAATAATAAACCACCAGTGAAGCAGCTTTATTATTTACTGCTAAATTTCATTGGATATAAATCCAATATTTAATTATATTTTACGTCTTTTTTTTTTTTTCTTTTGTTTGTTATGTCAGAAAACGATCCTTGGGATGATTGGGAAACTGCTGCAGATGCTGGTGTAAAAACTTTTCTTTTATTTCATTTATTTTAACAATAAATTGCTTTTTATTTCTGATCATAAATATATATATTTTTTTTTTCTTTTCTTTTCTTTTTCTTTTTCTTTATAAATTAAACATTGACATAGTTAATCGATTATAAAAAACCAGATCCAAAGACAATAACAACTAGAACAAATCAACAAATATGGCAAAAAGCGTAAACAGAATAGAATAGCTTAAAATCCAAATAAAGTTTCTTCTAATCTTTTATTTTAATAGTAACAATTTTGCTACACCGATCATCATCCACACCAATAATGATCTTGGACACGCAGAATATAAACCCCAAGTGAGTTAAAACATTTCAATAGAATTCAGAATTTTTTTAACAATATTTTCCATTTCAAGTAGATGGTCATCTTGAAACGACCTGAAGAAGAAAAAATCAAACAAAAGTTACAGAATGAAAAGACGATTGCAGAAAAACCCATAAAGGCCTTAGCGGAAAAAGTAAAAGATTATGAAAAAGCCAGACGTAAAATATTTGAAAAATTTGAAGACATCCAAAACAATAGAGCAACAAAGAAATAAATAAAGCAATAAAAATGATTCTATTTCGTCTTTAGATATAGTGTGTCTCTAGTTTATTATTCAAAGCTTTACCTGTCTTTTTTTTTTCTGTCTCAATAGATAGGGTTATAAATACTGATATTAAGTACATATTTCCTAGCGTATATTTATTTAATCGTGCTATGTATATAGTTCTACTAACAAATCAATAATACTGTTAGAAGAGATGATACATAAGTAAGAAAGAAAGAACTTTTATAGATATAAGCATAGTTTTAAACATGATACGGGTCTATATATCTTTGATAAAATAGAGCCCTTTAGACTCTATTCGTCAATGAACTACTAAGACCTCTTTGTTTTTTTCTATTTTTAAGAAAAGTTTACATACCCTCTTAGATTTAAACAAATTCACTCTGTAAAGTAACGAAAACAATCATGATGAAAGGGGGGGATTGAGTTAGCAAGAGTTAAAAAGTAACGGAAAAGAGCAAAGATTCTCAAAATAAGGGAAGAATTCTAACAGCCATTTTTAAGAAAAGTAGATCAATATATTATAATTGACTAGAATCTGATATCTGTAAATATAGAGTAGCATAGCATTTTGGCTTATAAAAATGATCAAATCAAGCATGTTCTTGTTGATCGTTGTCTCTACATATAAAATTTAGATTTGTACAAGCAAATATGTCTAATATTATGCTGCTTAAACTTACTTTGTCTTATCATCTTTGACCAATTATTCTTTTCTTGTTCTAAATGACTCTTTTCTTCTTCTTCTTTAATCATCAATACAACTTGTTCCTTTAGAAATGATTTTTACCACGCTCAAGTATGACAATCAATCAAAATCTTGTTATTAGATGTCGTCGGATTTTAAAAAACACTATAGACGATTCTTTTTTTTTTTTTTTTCCTGCTTTCAATGCTAATTATGAGAGAATCTTTACACTTTCCCCTAGAATATGGAGATCTATTAGTAAACAAAAAAAAAAAAAAAAAAAAAAAAAAAAAAAAAAAAAAAAGATAAAGCGTAAGTTTCACACTTATACGCTCGACTAGACTTTAACTTGAATAAATATTAATTTGAAAAAATTTAGTTCTACATGTAGGTTTGTCATACTGAGTTACAAAAAAAATAATCTTTTTAGAACCAATTGTATTATTAACCATCAACATTTCAGCTCAAGGAACCCTGCTACGGCCATTTTAGAAAAAAAAAAGTTGGTTTTTTTCTTTTTTCGTTTCGTTTTTTTTTTCTCTTTTTTTTTAAAAAAAACTAACTTATATAACAAGTATGCTTCCTATCTCTTCTCTTCGTAATGCAGCTACCATGTCAGTTAGACGCACTGCTGTTATGAGAATTGTTAAGCCATCTATTCCATTAACTATACATCGTACTTTTGCTACAGAAAATAATGGTAAGGAAGAAAATTCAAAGGAAGGTGAAGCTAATAACACCGATGGTGAAAATACACCTAAAATCGAATTAACTGAAGAAGCAAAGAAGCTGCTTGCTGAAAAGGATAAACAACTTGCTGAGATTAAGGTAATAATAATAATAAAATGGAGAAAGAGAAAGAGTGAAATTGAGTGGAATAAAGGAAAAGCTGAAAAAAATAAAAAATAAAATAAATACATAGGACGCTTATCTTCGTTGCCTCGCTGATCAAGAAAATATTCGTGAACGTAGTCGTAAAGAAATTGAAACAACTAAAGAATATGCAATTCAAAAATTCGCCAAAGATTTATTGGATACAGTAGATATTCTGAATATGGCATTAATAGCTGTCCCAACTGAATTACGATCCAAAGAAACTTCAGTTAAATCAGAGATTGCTACAGATGCAGGAAAGATACTTGATCAACTGACAAACCTCTATACCGGTCTTTCAATGACAGAATCAGAACTTATCAAGGCATTAAAACGTCATGGAGTTGAACGTGAGAACCCAGAAGGACAATTATTCGATCCTAATAAGCATCAAGCACTTTTCCAAGCTCCTGTACCTAATAAGGAGGCAGGCACTATTTTTGTTGTTCAAAAGATGGGTTATACACTTAAGGGTCGTGTGCTTCGTCCTGCTCAAGTGGGTGTTGTGGCTGAATCATCGTAAAAAAAAATAAATTGTATATTATAGAAACAATAATAAATGTAATTACGTGTGCATAAAAACCAAAAAAAAAAACTGCCTTTTTAATAGTTAAAAATTACATAAAGATAGCTAAAGTAAATGTTCCTTCATTACGAATAATAACTTGACTACAGTATAAAATCGTTATAATAAATTAATAAATGTTTGGAATTAGCACATTTACCTATTTTCGTATTCAATGTTTATTGTGGGGCATTCTGCTTTATCTTCTTGAATATTATCAAGATTACGTGCTGTATTAGCAATTGATGTAATAAAAGCTGCTGACTCTGGTTTTGCTAATCCTCTTGCTTTATTATAATAATTTAAGTTGAAATGTCATGACCTGATTTCAAATTTATTTACCTCCTAAACAAAATCCTCTTTCATCTGCCACTAATACTCCTTTTACTCCTTCTCTATTTGCTCTAATTTAATAAATTTTACATTATTCACAATGTCTCTTTTACTGCCTTTTTTTTTTTGGTTTTGATTTACATATTATCGAGAGTTGTTATCAGTTCAGATTCCATTTTAAATGAGTTTAAAGTAAAGAGAAACACGTTGTTTATTGACACATATTATGACCAATAAAATTGGGGTGTTCGTAGTTTGCTATTTCTATGTAGATTACACCACTGTTGATATATGGTAATACTTTTTTTTTTTTTTTTTTTCTACACACATATTTGTACTTTCTTTTTTTTTTTTTTTTTTTTTTTTTTTTTTTTTTTTTTTTTTTTTTTTTTTTTGACAATGGTCACTGTATCCGAAATAACAAGTTCACAATCACCTAATATTGCCACTAATAAAGATACACCTTCAAAAATAGATCTTAATGCGTTAGCAAGTAAACTTATATAAAAGTGACATTAAGAATTTCAAAAAGAGAGGGAAAAAAAAATTAATCTATTATTAATTTATTTATTTTAGATCTACCTGATGATCAGTTTTTTGACGCATTGAAAAAGAAATCTACAAATCCAGAAATAACACAAGAATATCGCGCAGTCCTTGAGCGTCTTATTCATAGTTGTGAAGTTGATCATCAAGTGGTAGAACAAAAAACAAAGGAAGTGGCTGAATATAGTCGTAAAATTCTAGCTGTATATGATCAATATCGAGTGCTAGAGAAGATGTTCAAGGAGGAGCATAAGCAAGTATTGGAAATATTAGATCAAAAAGCACAATTAGAGATAAAAGTGAAAGAGCAAGAGAAAATAATTGAACAAAATACAACACATTATAACGAACTAAAACAACGTATGGAGCTTCAAAGGGATGAATTTTTAAAACAGGCTACAAAACAAGCATTAGGAAGACGTAATATTGAAACAAAGTTAATGGAAAAGGATGAAGAATTGTCTAATTTGAAAAATGAAAATGATAAGCTTAAACAACATATAGCAATCTATGTAGGGCTTCAACAATTACAGCAGCAGCAACTACGTCAACAGCAACAACTCCCATATCAACAACAGCATCCTTAACAGCAATAATAAAAGTCAAGAGTTTATGTATCTTGCTTTGTTATTTTATTTTATATGTAAAGAATATAGTCTTCTATTATTATTATTATTATTATCGTTTTTGTTTTATATCATATAAAAGAATATTATCTATAATGTGTATAATTATATATATGTGGATTTAGGGTAATAAAAATGATATCTACTATAAATCCAATATTCTTTATTATCATACTATACTATACCATACATAAATGATTCGTTTTTGCCCCCTCCCTTTTTTTTTTTTTTCTCTTTAATTATCACTCTTTCAATGTAGAAATACTAGTATCACTATCATTTGCATTTTTTGGTAAAGGAGACTTGAGGAATATGGCAGCCTTTTGAAAGAAGGTTATATCTGAATCTTGTTGTTGTTTTTTAGTATGAGTGGATAGATCAAGACCTGTTCTTTCGTTTGTTAATGCAAAAGTTGATATTGATCTATTTAAATTATTATCTTTTGGTTTAGTAAGGCTTTTCTTTGTCATGAAGGATGATATAGATAGCGATATAGATAATGGTCTATGATTTTTGTCGTTATTCACAAGTGAAGGTGAATACATGTGTAATTTTTGAATCGCTCGTACTTCACCATGATCAGCTGCTTTACGATACCAGGCCATAGCGACATTTTGATCTTTGACAGTACCTATGCCCATTTCAAATAAATAACCTATGATATATTCCGCTTTCGGTAAACCCTGTTGAGCTGCCGACATGGCCCATGTGTAAGCTTGTTCAGCAGAGATAGTAAGAAGAGTAGAGAGATCTGAAAGATACCAAGCTGCTAATGCAAGGCAAGCCTCAGGATGATTCTGCTCTGCAGCTATGCGATAATATTGAATAGAGAGTTGAGGATGAAGATTGCAGTTGAGTTTACCCAATTTGTAACATTCGCCAAGACGATACGCAGAGGGTGCATACCCTAGGGCAGCGGCCTCATGATAGAGACTGACAGCGTAATCAGGATCATAAAACACAATCGAGTCTACACCCTTTTCATGAAGAAGGGCTAACTCATGCAATGCATGTGGGTATTGAACTGTTGCTGCTTCAGCTGATCGTTTGAGCCATTTATGACCATTTCTAGTACTACGTGTAAGGTTTAATTCTCCTTTCATCTCTGCTAATCCAAGACGATACATGGCTCCTGGATGATTTAATGCTGCTGCTTTCCTAATAATAGTATTTAATACACTATTTTAATTTTATATCTATTTAAGATAATATATATATATATACATACCTATAATACTGCACTGCTTTACTTTTATCTTTTTTTGTGCCTAGTCCCTCTTCATAACATTTTGCAGTTCTATAAAAAATATATATATATATTATATGAATAACTGATCTTTTGTAAATACATAAGAATATCCATCCTTTTTTTTTAAGATTTATATATGTAAAAAAAAAAAAAAAAAAAAAAAAAAAAAAAAAAAAAAAAAAAAAAAAAAAAAAAAATGCTGTCTCTCTCTTTCTCTTTCCCCTCCCCCTTATAACTATATATATATAAATACATATATATATGTATAGTTCCCCTCTTTTCAATGGTTTCCATATATAATATTATCTTATATTAATAGATTTCTGTAACTCCCTTTTCTTTCCTCTGATATTTCACTAAAAATAGATTGGCATATTTTATAAATTTGAAAGACACATACCTATACACTGCATCAGGATGTTTACGCTTGGCTGATTGAACAAAGAAAGCAAAGGCCTTTTCATGACTGTTTGTTGCCTTTAGGATACCAGATGCATACATATTTGCGAGATAATACTGAGACTCACTATGCCTTCGCATAGCTATCTGTTTTAATAACCTTTTGGCCTCTAAAATATAGGTTTGACGCTGTAAATTGATTTCCTTTTCATCCGGAGGAATCTTATTGTCTCTACTATCTAATGTACTTTCATTACTATTATAGCTACTGACAGTAGAAGAAGACAAAGAGGTTTGCATAGAGGGTTGCAGACGCTTTGCTGCCTCGACTAAAAAGATGGCAAAGTCGCATTGAATATCCATATCATTCGTCTTTTTCACGTTTTCCCGATACATATCGATTGTTTTGGGGTAGGAGAGTAAAGATGCCTTATCTCCTGGCTTAAGATGGGAATGATCAAATAGAAAAGGATCGTTTGAATTGTACTGTGAGTCTGTCAGTGAAGGTCGATGATGATGAGCATGCAATTGTGTTGTACTAGAGTTGCTGCTTACAGATAGAATTGCATTGATTTGTTTATTCGGTGGATCGTTTGTCCAAAAACTATTTTCGTCAAGTAATTCTATCTTTGTATCCATAGATGTTGTAAGTGTATCTGATAAAGGTGTTTTCAATGTTGGCATTATACTCACTTTGTAGATAGTATACACCTAAACAAAAATGTATTAATGTAATTCTTATCTTGGAAAAAAAAAAGAATAAATATTGATAAAAAATAAAAAAATAAAAAAGAATAGATACAAATATATATTTATATAAGTATGTATATCTCATACATATATATAGACTAGTTAAAAACTGTCCATATGCCATATTTCAAAATATATATGATTTAAAAAGAAGGGGGGGGAAGAAAAAAAGAGATCGACTGTAGATTATACATTATATTGGTAATTCTAGCTTATGTAAATTTATGTAGTTTTTTGTTGTTGTTGTATAATGCTTTAAGAAGAGTTTATTCGTAAATATATATATGCTCCATTTTATATATGATGATTATAAGACTAATTTATGATATTTGTTGATTATCTCCAGTACAAAACCTTTATTACTCAGAATATATAATATCATGTAAATGAGTAGGCTTTATTAATAGATATGTAATTTGGATACTACATGCATTAAATGGCGAATATACAACAATACATAGGATTGTTCCATATGAACATTGTATATACATGCATATTTGTATATTAATATAGAATAGCCAGTAGTTGATGTCTAGAAGATCTATGTACATATATTGAAAATTCTTAACTACTGTATTTTTTTTTTTCATTGATAAGATGGTTTATTAATACATAAACACACTTTTATATGTAATTGTAATGTGTTAGTGAATAGATTCTCCTATGGACTAAGTTTACTCACTTATTTTGAAGCCAATGTGTTTATATGCATATGATGCTATACATTATATATGTACATCAACATCTTGGCTATTCTCATTCTTTTAATGATAATAGCATCAAATAGTTATCATCATTTTTATATGTAGAAATTTGAAAAGAATTAAAAAATAAGTTACTGTGTAAACACACCATACTCTTGGTCTGCATATACAATCGTCTAAACCATGCTCTCTACTACGATAATAGTAAAAAAAAAAAAAAAAAAAAAAAAAAAAAAAAAAAAAAAAAATATACATATATATAATGAATACAAGTATCAGACAAATATTGATATGTCTAATTAGTGATTATGAATCCAATCAATTGATCCTTATACCATTTTTTTTTGGCAAATATATCTTATGATATGGAAGCTTTATAGTTTCATCTAGAACTCTTTTTGCTATATCATACCCTATTCTTTAATGAATACCCTCCTGATGTGATCAGAAGACTGAGTGGCAAAAATGTTTTTCCCGGCATTTCATAGTTATTTAGATATTTGAAAGATATTCTTCAATCTAATATGTCTATAGGAGATAGGTCGATTCTATATGACACTGTCTTTTTGTCAAATAGCTAGACTTATTGTACTGTATCTATACTTTCTTTCTTTTTTTTTTTTTTTTTTTTTTTTTTTTTTTTTTTTTTTTTTTTTTTTACAATGAATAAATAACTCGGTGTAGAAACATTATAAAACAGTTGAAAATGGACCTAACTCTACTGATACTGGGTATCTATAACTCTAATTGTTGTTATTTTTTTTTCTTCCTGTAAATTCCATTAAGGGTCAAAATTTCAAAGCATCATATTTTTAAGCTATCTTTTTTATAGCATCTAATAAATAACTATTTTGTGACAATATGAATAGACTTATTTTTATCCACAAAGTACCTTTAAAAACCATTGTATGTTCTTTATATCGTTGACTAATTGTTCTATTTATTTTAAAATTTCAATGTTGCCTTTATAGTCTATTGAGGTATATACAAGTCAATTATTTTAAATAGTGGCAGTGTCGTAATAATAAATTTGTATCTATTACCATTGAACAAAAATAGTAAATAAATAAATGATCGTAGAAATTACTGCTCTATTTCATACCATCATTTCAAACTTTATCTCGTATTCATCATTTACTACCAGTCTTTGTTTACGAATTTATAATTGGATCTTAGTATTTATATATATATATATATAAAAAGTAAGCATGTCACTATTAACTTTCATTATGTTATGTTTTATTTAATAATAAAAAGAACATGTCTGCACATAAACAAAACTGCTTATAATTAAAAGTCGATCAACTTTCTTCAATTTATTTAGTATAAGACCAAGTACCATATATCGTGTGTTATTAACAGTATTAATTTTTTTGTATAGTAATATTTTTAGAAATCATGGAAATCATTTTGTTACCAATGACTGTACTTTCTGCAAATTGATCTTTAAAATAGTTTTGTGTTTCTTCAAACCGTTTTTGATATCCTTCCATACTGCCTAATGAAACAGATTCTGCCCAGCCTCTTGCACAAGTAACAAATTCCATATCATCCGGTCTAATGTCTTTACGATATAAAGCGGCTTGAATAGCATCATCTAACATGGCTGGATTACGGAATAAATATTCTGTAATTCCCCTATGTGTAACACGTATAAGTGAGTTTATATTTCAAAAAAAAAAGTCTCCCTTACATCCATAATCTGAAAATCGGCGTCTGGCAAACCATATGCTCATAAGGATTTAGTCCTAGTTTATGCCAACAATCTACCATAGCTAATAGTGATAAGTGCGAATTAGGTGTTCTCCTTTCTTTGGGAATCTTGGAAAGAGAAAATTCATCTAATATTTGATCGTCTAATAAGATAGGGACATGGTCCTTTTGAAGGCCTCCAAAGACAAAGTCTCCAGCTTTTTTAACTCTTGCTCTAAATTCTTCTTCCTTTTCCTGAATCATCAATTTAAACAAGTCAGCAACACTAAGTGCATATTGTGTAATTTGAACTTTAGCTATAGGATTCATAATGGCTAGACCTGCGTACACATGCCATTTATTACTATAAATGCGCAAAGCAACATTCACTTTAACATTCTCAATTCCACCTACAAAATGCGGTAATAACCACTACAAACAAAAAAATAAGTGTTAAATTATTATCATCATCATCATTTTAAGACATTTTACAGGGAATTGATTATTAGCTCTCCAGGCGCTTCCCATAGATAAAAATGCAGCATGAGTAACAGCTTGAGTATCTGCTGTGATACGATCATGCTCTTCAGCACTAAGATGAACTATATTGGACTTGAAGCAAGATAAAATTTTAACCACTAAATCTAATTTTTCTTTAGTTCCACGATGATTAATGACAATCAAGGGCTGTCCTTTAGGGTCAACTGCAGGCCCATGCATAGAATGACAAGATATAATATGAACATCCTTTGGTAAATATTTTTCAAATGCTTCAATTTCAGGTTTTTTCACTGAAGTCTAAAAAGTTTGATAAGCGTATAATTCCATGCAATTTTTATTTATTTACCTGACCGGCAACAATGGCACCAATTTTAGTAGCTAAGGATATAGTTAACACAAATGATCCATATTTGCAAACAGTACTTCACTTACCAGGACCATATTGTTTTACAACAGAATTAATATATTCTGCTTCAACAGAATACATTATCCAATCACAACGTCTAGATATATGATACCCATCAGGTAAAACACGAATATTTGTTCCTTATTTTTATTTAATACATATACATCATCATTTTTGATTATCTATTTTGATGATACCTTCAAAATCCTTTTTAAGACTTTCATATTTTTCTGGAAGATCACACACATTAACACTGATGAATAAAAAATAAATAAATAAATAAAACGATCCATTCTATTTCTCATTTAGACATGAAGTTGCAATTACTTTACTTTTTCCAGCCAGCATTTGAAAAAGTATGGGCATAGAAACGACCCATACCACCAGCACCAATTATTCCAATCTCTATAGTTTCTTTTTCATTCATTATATTAATCAAGTGAATCAAAACGTGAAAAAAAAAGGGACAAAAAAAAATTGGTATTTTTTTTTCTTTTTTTAAAAAAGGGTATTTTTAATTTCCTCCTAGTTTAATTTCGCTTAAAAGCTTAAATCGCATGAAGATATAATTCCACTGTTCTGTTTCCACATAGAAAATATTATTTTGATCCACTTTTAGCAAGAATCTAGTTTCATGGATCAAAAAAAAAAAAAAAAAAAAAAAACGTTTATTGGAATAAGGCTCTCTATTTTCTCTGTATATCGAATATTTTTAAGTGACAAATACTAGTTCTATAGTTGTGTTTTTTTTAGAATAATTATTAAAGGCTAACGTTTTATTGCTTACATCAAGAAGAATAAAAATATATTGAAGGAAGGTAGCTTCATTTGTATTTGGGTTAAAGGAGTTCATGATAATTTAATTGCTATTTAATGTCTACTGCTTAATTCATACATTTACTATGCGTATAATTTTTTTTTCTTTATTATAAAACACCCGAGCATCTTCACATTATTGAAAACCAAAATTTAGCAGTAATAGACAAATCCAATAGCAAATATAATAAATATGAGTCTATCAAGTAATACAACCTAGAACTAGACACATGGTATTTTTCTGTAGTAATATATTGTATTATTCAATTTCTCTCCAAATAATGTTAACTACTATTGCTCTTCTAGTATCCTCCATCCCTACTTGCATAAATATCAAGTCAAACAAACGGAGAAAAAAAGATACTACTATACATGCCAATAAAGCTTCTCTCTCTCTTTGAAATAGAAAGCTTTCAACCAATATTTTGTTGATATCAAAGCCTCAAATGCGTAAAAAGTACACGTTTTAGAAGATGTAAACAATTATGTGTATTTTTTTTTTATTTTTTTATACAAATATAGATTTCTAGTGTGCGTATTAAATTTTATTTTCACTGATTTCAAAATTTTAAAAACGTGTTAGTTATTTCGGGGAAAGCGTTTCTTTTTCTCTTTTTTTACTTATTTGTTTACCACTTCATGATGGAAGAGCAAGTAACGAGAAGCGCTTGGCCGGATCCACCTAACTATTATAAACGATATACAGATGAAAACTTGGAATTATTAAACCAAGCAAAGAAAACTGGTCTATTTCCTCCACAACCAATAACATCGTTAATCCCTGAATTTCAACTAGAAGCATTAGAACCACCAAAGCCTCCTACTGATGAATATACCGTTTTCGATCAAAAATGGCAGGTAATTTGTGTATGTGTATGCATAAGGAAAGTTATTAATTAAATTATAATGTATTTAGATTAATGATCGATTACCAACATTAGAGGAACTAGGTGTTAAGCAGTTATATCCAGAGTCGTCTATAGGTAACAAGATATTTCAACATTATTATCATATAATTAACCAAGATGTACTTAGATCGTGTAAAGGAACTAAAAAAGCTGAATAGATCTTTAATTGTACAGTTTTTAGATTTATTAGATGTACTCGTTAAGAAGCCTGATGAGGTAATTAAGAAAAGCATAACTTCTAGCTAAAATGATTCATATTATTTTTTTTTATTAAATAGTTTGGTGTATATATTGAAAATATAAGTACTATATTTATTAATATGCATCATATCTTGAATGCTTATCGTCCCCATCAAGTAAGTTACATGTGTGTGTATATGGCTTCTTTTTTTTTTCCATGTACATAGACTTATTTCTGCTCTAAATATTATAGGCAAGGGAGACTTTAAGATTGCTTATGGAACATCAATTAGCAAAAAAACGCCAGCAAACAACTGAATTAAAAGCGTAATATTATCTTGTAGAATATGAATAACCATATACTAACTTCCTTTATTTAGTAAATCAAAAGAAGCCTTAGCTTTTCTTGAGGGGCTTTAGTATTAGGCCTTCTATTGTATATATTATATTTTTTTTTTTTCGATTGTTTTTTTAATAATTTATTGAATAAATTGACTACCAAGAGAAAATAATAAAAAATGAAGTAAAATATATTATTACAAATAGCTAAATAATACTGTTTACTCTGCATGTTGGAAGCTGTCAATTTATTCAGCAGTATCTAAATACAAATTAAATGTGTAATATGACTTTATACTATAATTCAATTTGAATTTGATTAAATAAATAAGAGGAATATACCAGTCTTTACTAGTACGAGTTACTTTGTTAGTATGCATTAATAAACATAAATACATACATACCTTAGTTGTTAATTATCTTTTCAATATTAGTGCAATATGTATAGATATATGTGTATACAAATATTTTTTTTTATCTCTACACAGAATATCAATATGCTTTTAATGTGACTTTTCCAGCTTTTTTTTTTTTTTTTTCTTTCTTTCTTTCTTGACATTTAGGAGATCATGAATATTATACCTTCAAATCACATTAGACCTGCAACCGCAAAAGTTTCTTTCAAAACATTCAAAGATCTGAATGTATCACCTGGACAATGGACCAAGATTCATTATGATCGATCAAAAGTAAGACTTTGAATTAGATCACTGAATTCAATTTTTAAATTTATCGTTTACAGGCATATTTTTGTTCTATCTGGCCTGCTAACGTTGCAGATAATACTGTCTTGATTAGTACATTATTAGAAACTAATTATTTGCAAGAAAACAATAATGGTAAATTAGACAAAGATCATCTAAAGTGGGTGCATATCCTAATTTATACTTTAGGAATTTCCGACATTATACCCCTTAAGAATACATCACCAGCTATTAAGGTGAACTTGAGTTATGAATTGGGAAAAAATATGAGTGAAGATGATCAATTAGTAGAATTTGGGTTTATATTTGAAAAAGCAACAGAAAAACAGAAGTATATGGTATTATTATTATTATTATTTTGAGAGAGAGAGAGAGAGAGAGAGATGCTTATTAAGTTTTATGACTTATATAGTCTTCTCTCTTTAGTATATAAGAAATTTACTTGATGGGAATATAGTTTTAAAAGATATGACAATATCGAAGTCGCCTCTTTTTTCAGCTAGAATTATTTCAACTTATCCTGAGAATGTGCCTGTTTTAGTTACTTCTGCTAGTCATCTCATATTAACAAATAATGAAACAAATAGCTTGTTATCACTTGAAAAATCATTAGAAACTATGTCGCTTTCAACGAAAACGGATGAGAAGTCTTCAGAGGACATTTCTAGTCTTGAAAAAGCATATAAAGCACTATATGAGGTTGTTTGCTTCCCCTTTTTATACAAAGAGTGGATTATGAAGCTAGGCATTGAATGCCCTAAAGGCGTATTACTCTATGGACCCCCTGGTGTAGGAAAAACGTTTTTAGTTTCGACAATGTCAAAACAATGTAATGCAGAATTGTTTATTATACAAGGACCTGAAGTATTTGGTCCCTATATTGGTGAAAGTGAAGAGAGATTAAGACACAAATTTACAGAAGCAAGAAATTATGCTCTCAAGAATGACACACCTGTTATACTGTTCATTGATGAAATTGTAAGAAGCAATATTGACTGATAAAATCGAAAACTAAACAAAACAAAAAAATGTTTTTTTTCTAGGATGCATTGACGCCTCGACGCGATAATTCTCAATCACATGAAAATAGAATGGTAGCTCAATTATTAACATTAATGGATGGTGTTAAATCAAGAGGAAAATTAATTGTAGTAGGTGCTACAAATCGCCCTAACTCTATTGATCCGGCTTTAAGACGTCCTGGAAGGTATGTTTAAGAATAGAGACATTTAAATGTAAACTAATTTATTAGAAAAGATTCGATCGTGAAATTCATATGGAGCCACCAAACATAGCTGACAGACATGCTTTATTTAAGTTACAGACGAATAAAATGCCACTAGATGATACAGTAGATCTTGGTAAGGATTACATAAACTTTTTTTTTTTTTTTTTTTTTGCATATAGATCATGATTAGATTGATTTGTTTTTTTATGAAAACATAGATACTTTGTCAGCTATGACAAATGGATATGTAGCTGCTGATATCAACTCCATGTGTCGTCAGGCAGCTATGTTTGCTGTTCAAAGAGCTAGCAAACAGAAAGATACGTAAGTGTGATGCTCCTACCACTATCACCACCTCCACCTTTTTTTTTTTGTTTGTTCTTATTTATATTGTCTTCTAATTGACACTCTATTTATATAGTGAAGTCTTTGTGAATATGTCAGATTTTAAATCTGCATTCTCTATTGTTGGTCCCTCAATGCAAAGAGGATTTCAAGTCCAAGTTGATAAAAAAAATTGGACTGATGTAGGTGGACTTGAAGAAGTGAAAAAGGTATATAAAACAGTTGACTATTATATATAATAATTTACTAATGATTATATTGTGTAGAGATTGAAGCAAGCTGTTGAATGGCCATTACTATATAAAGATGCGTTTAAAAGACTAGGATTAAAACCACCTCGAGGCATATTACTTTATGGTCCTCCTGGATGTAGTAAAACAACGTTAGTTAAAGTAATTGCATCCTCTGCCAATGTGGCCTTTTTGTCAATTAATGGTGCTCAGTTGTATTCTCCATTTGTAGGTGACTCTGAAAAAATAGGTTAGTATATTTGTATAAACATATATATATGTTATCATGGACTTTGGTTCTTAAACCCATTTTAGTTCGAACAACTTTTCAGAAAGCTAGAGCATCGGCACCAGCAATTATATTTTTAGATGAAACTGAAGCTATTGTAGGTAAAAGAGATATGGGTAATGGTGGTTCAAGTGGAGATAGTGTACAAGAAAGGGTATTATCTACACTTTTGAATGAAATGGATGGAGTTGAAAGCGCAGAATCAGTATTAGTTGTGGTAAGTTATTTGAGACAAGCAATACATACATTCATATATAATATATGTTTACAATAATTCTAGGGTGCTACGAATAGACCTGATATGCTGGACGCTGCATTAATGAGACCGGGTCGATTTGATCAAGCTATTTATGTTCCACCGCCTGATGAAAAGGCAAGACTAGAAATTTTGAAAATTCATACAAAGCATATGCCTTTAAGTGAAGACGTTAACTTGGAAGATATAGCACATCGAGTGAGTATATATTTATGTGTGTAATATATTGTATTAGTAGTCGTAGTATATTCATATAGCTTTTAAAAGACAAATTTTTACACAGGTGCAGACTTGCAAAATGTATGTCGTGAAGCAGCTATGGAAACCTTACGATCTTTTCAAACAGCAGCATGTGTGGTAAGTTTATCTCATACAACTTGATTTTATGTTTACCCTTTCTTTCTTTTTTTTTTTTTTTTTTTTTTTTTTTTTTTTTTTTTTTTTTGTAGAACATGATAAATTTTAACAAATCATTAGCAACTATCCCAGCCTCCCTTAATGAAGAATCTATAAAAATGTATAGCAAAAAACCTCATGTTTCTGAGTAGAATAAATTATGTTTAGAACAGAATCAATAAATAAATAAAGAAAGAAAGAAAATAGTAGCTTGGAGATAGTTAATTAATGTTTAAAATGTATACGTCTACTTTTATATAACTTTTTTTAAACAGCATAGAATGATAAAATGGTATCTTAATTCAAATTAAATCAAATAAAGCAAGCAAGCCAAGCTAAATATTTTTCTGTAATTGTAATTGAATCCAAGGGTCATTTTCTACATCTTTCATTTTCATACGTAAAGCAGGATCTTTTTGCAATAACTAAATTAGGTGTAAGAATTAAGTCTTCATTTCTTATTTTAATTTTTAATTTTACCTTCGAGATAAACTGTCTAGCTCCTGAACTAAGATAGCTTGGAAACAAAATTTTTGCTTCTATAATTCGTTTATAAATAACCTCGGGATCAACTTTATCACTATCGTTTTCGTTTTCAAAAGGAGCCTTTCCCACTAATAATTCATAAGCTAATACACCTAATGCCCATACATCTACTGCTTCGTTATGATATTTTTGTTGAACCATTTCTGGTGATAAATAGTCTAATGTACCACAGAATGTTCTTCGTCTATAATCCAGGTTATTATAAAGTAATGTTCAAGTTGTATTCTATGTTTATACCTTGGTCTTGGATCATAAACTGCCCAACCAAAATCGGCTATCTTCAATGTACCTTCCTTGCTAATTAAAACTATGATATATATAAGATAGCTATTTAGATTATCATTATATATAAATATGTATATACTTTACTATTCTCTAATTTTAGGTCTCGATGAAATACGCCGAGTCCATGCATATAAGCCATTGCATTAGCAATTTCTACTATATACTAATATATGTAAATGTTAGAATATAAAACTACTAAAGCACAAATATATAACAATTTACATTTGCAGTTTCAGATTCTGAGAACTTCTTATATGCTTGTAAGCACGTATGAAGATCACTATCACCACCATATTCTAATACAAGATAAATAAAGTCTTGATTATGAAAGTAACCGTAAAGATGGGTTATATTTTCATGGCTATAGACATTGTATTAGTAATGCTAATATCTATCAATAAATATGTATATATATTATATTCTTACTCTAAATGAGCTTGTATCTCTATTTCTCTTTTCAAAAAATGAACCACATCTGCTTTTTCCAACTGTTTCTTCTTTAGTACCTTTAATGCAACAAGTTGTTCTGAATACTTTTCTCGTGCTAAATAAACTACTCCAAATTTGCCTGTTCCTAAATGGCGACCCACTTCAAAGTCTTCGATAGTCCATTTTGTCTTTCTTTTACACGCATTAGTACTTCTTTCTCTCTTTCTCTCTCTCTCTCTCTCTCTCTCTCTCTCTCTCTCTCTCTCTCTCTCTCTCTGTATATCAACTGCAGTTGTCTGATCCTTTACCTTTTTAATTCATTTATTCGCTTTTGTTTTTGTAGTAAATCAATTGTCTGTGTTGCCGAAGAATTTGATTCAACATCTGCAACATTTTCATTTATACCAAGATAATGTCGAACAATAGGTGTATCCATATACTCCGTATCATCTGCATTGTTTTTTCTTTGTTCTGAATGAGCAATTTGATAATAGTGATTTGATAATCGTTGCTTTGCATAAGTGAAGCTTGTAGAAGGTAATTCGTCTAATATATCGTTGTGCTTATGAATCCTATATGGTGAAGGGGTTGCACCTCCTAAACGTCTTGGTGTATAATCAACATAATCTGAATAGGCTGCTAAAGATAATTTTGATGATTCAGTCTCATCCATGTTATGATCTATATGTATTAAAAAATAAAAATAAAGTGGTCAAGAGCAATTTTTTTTTCTAAAACGGAGTTTTATCTGTTTAGGTCGAATCATTTAAAACAGAAGAGAAAACACAAAGCTACATCAACTTTCAAGTTAAAAAAAAGGGGGGGAAAGAATAAAACATAATAGCAATGAAAAGTATAAGTTAAGTTCATTAAGTTATTGATTATAAAATGGTTAATTAAACAATGGATGCCCAAGTTTTATAATTTATATTATCCAATGAATTATAAATAGTTGATCAATATAAGAGTCAAGGCAATGCTTAATGGGGAATTCAGAACTGTTGAGAAAAAAAGACATATTTTAAAGTTACGATAAGAATCCTTCAATTATACCAGTTATGTAGTAGAGTCTACAATGTATATATAAAATAGATTAGTTATAGAAATATACTTTATCAATAGTAACATTGAATGGAAAAGAAGTCCAGCTTTATATTCATAAATATTAGCTTAACTAAATAAAGTATTTTAGTAAAGGATCTTGAATTATCATTGACATAATACGTGCTTATTTCTCTTCTCTTTAAATAATGCTCATAACTAGCTGTAAAAGCAAAACTTATTTATACACAATAACTGATAAAACAGTCAGCTACATTTAGATATCAGAATTCATCTAATGTTATAGAATAAATATTCTTTACGCACTATTATCAATTGTCGCTGATTAACCATTTATACAACTAAATACTCGACACGTACAATGACTTCTTACTAATTTAACAATGTACAAATAGATATTAATCTCCATTGTTCTTTTTATCGAGTCTTTATCGTTATTGTTAAGAAGATGTTGACAATTTCTAAATTATCTTCCATAGTTATAAGCTAATATGAGAACTCCTCTTCTATCCTTTTTTTTTTTCTTTAAATATAGTCAATCTCCCTCATTATAGAATCATATTATTTGTTGAACTTACAATCTTGACAGATGTTTAGTCGTCAATAAATTCTGGCATTGACATCACTATTGCAACAAGTTTGAATAAGAAATATAAAAGTGAATTTCAGTAGTTTCATGAATCAATTTTCTTCTTCCATCACTAATGAGTGAGTTTCAACTTGGTCTTTATCATTAATTAATTATTTTACTGTAAAAGTAAACTGAGAAAGTATCTATAAAAAAAAAGAAGGGGCGATAAAATCTAGTTTCTAGTCTCATGTTGTGTCTTTCAATTGTATGCACACTCAAGAAACCATACACCACTTCTTCTTTGTGTAATATTCTATATACTTTATTTATTTTATTGTGATTCCTCTAACGATGTTAGCGATTAATCTGCCTTTCCCCTTTTCACCATTACACATCAACTAACTAAATCTTCTTTATTTATAAACTATCAAACACTTTATTAATTTTATTTTTTCCTATAAACCATCTTTTGTTTATTTATATTAAAATCTCATAAAATTTATATTGTAAAAAAGTCATTTTTTTTAAGAAAAATAAAAAAAAGCAAAAGTAGCACATTTTCAATACATTTTAATTCTTTGGACATGCAAGAAGAGTAGGTTTTTTTTTTACAAAAGTATTTTATACTTTTATTTTATAAATAAATAAATATAAATATATATTTTTTTTTTTAAATTTAAAGCAACTTTTTGTTTTTAAAGAGAAGAAAAAAGAAAAAAAAAAGCGCGAAAAAAAAAGACAGCCACCAAACCAAACGCAAGACGAAGCTACAAAAATAGTAGTAGTAGTAGTAGTAGCAGTAGCAGCGACAGCAGCAGCAAATGTCCAACACCAGACCAGTCATCCATCGAAGAGGACTACCTCTGAACCCCTAGACAATCCAACTTCACCAGATGTGTCCGAAGACAACATCCTCCATTGAATCATCGTTCAGATCAATCTGAGATAGAAGAACTCCAAGTTCTTCTACCTCATCCACCAGATCCATGGGATCATCCTCCATCTCCATGGAATCTGGTGGCGACTGATCAACAGGGCCAGAGGTAGCCACGGCAGCAAGAACATTCTTCCCGAATCGGGCTGGCAGAAAACGGGGGGGAGGCATGGCAGCTCTATCAGCTGCCTCACGAGCAGCAGAGGAACGTGGTGCTGAGAAAACACCTATAGTACAGCATACACAAAGAGAAAGGAGTTTAATAGAGCCAACACAAGAAGATGGAAGAAGGAAGAATGTTTATATATAGAAAATAAATAATAATATTTGTTAGTTATACACGTTATTTTATAATAAAAAAAAAGTATTTAAACACACATAAAAGATAAAGATACTTACAAGAGAAGGTCATTTTTTTAATAATAATTTTTATAATAATAATAAAAAAAATATAATGATAAAAAAAAGAAAAAGGAAAGAGGAGGGTGGAAACGGAAGAGCAAGGGATAGTTTTATAGTGTTTTTATGGTTAATGAGAACAATAAACGTCAAAAATCATATGTGTTGCACAGTGCTTTGGCGTCAAAAAAAAAAAAGCCAAATAAAGCTAGATAAAGCACATGAAGATGTTATCTTTTATTTAGTTAATTTCTCTCCTTACTTTTTATTATTATTATTATTATTAGCGCAACAAGTGTAAATTTGTAGTGTTTAAATAACTATATACGCCATTTAACAGTGCAGCCATGTTAGTCTTTATATATTATTTACAGTAGTAGTAACAGACAGACAGAGTAACAGGGGGAAAAGGAAAATAGACAATATACAAAAAAAAAGGGCCAAGAACCAAGGGTAAGAGTCTATATTTTTTTTTATTGTTCCCACATTAATCAAAAGTAAGGAGTAAAATTCGTTTACAAACTTTTTTTGTTGTTGTCTTACACTTGGCGTCGTTATAGATTTTATTTACGTTGCTAATTGCTTTATAATAAAAGTAAAAGGAATATCATATACTCACTATTATCTACGCTGAACTAAGCCTTCTTCTTGTTAAATAGAATAGGGAATAGAGAATAGAATATTAGCTTAATAGTATTATACTTAAGCAGCAGATTTGTGTACCTTTTTTTTTTTAATGCAGCAACAAGCCTTTTTTTTATATAATTTAAATTCAGTTAAATCATTCCATGTATATTTGTATAATATATGCTTTATATTCAAACCTCTTTGAAAGGATAAATGACTAAAGAACAATAATATGTGTGTAGTAGCAATTCACTATTATACATGTTCATGTTCTTCATTGCATAGTCAACATATAAAGATATAATACACCTAATTATCATTATTACTATATAAATATATAATGTGATGTAATAATAATTTAGAAAAAAGGAAAGAGGTAATAAACGATCGATATAAGCCAAAAGAGGTAATATACTTTCTACCACAAAGCAAATAATAATAAAAAAAAGGAAATATCAGTAAGTATGTAATTAATACTAGTTTTTTATAGTAATAATAATAATAATTTACAAGTAGAATAGTAAATTTTATTGCTCTATTCCCGTTTGAACAATTAGCACTAATACTAGCGTAAGGGCGTTAAGACTTGCAACAGGAAAATGTATCTGTTCTTTGATTTGGATGCTTTTCATATGAATCTTGTATGATAGGTACTAATATTATATTAATTAGGATGTTAACCTAATATCATAGTTTGTGACAGCAGATTATGATAATCAATTTAATAAGTTTTATCTTTATTTATTTTTTAACTCTACTCATATAAACTCAGGATAAAAATAAATATATCAACCTAAACTCTGTGATTGCAAATTAGATATGATTCTCCAAGTAGCCGATGGATAGAGAAGTCAAAAATACTAAAAGTATTTAAAAGAAGTATGTTTAGTAACGTAACCAACTCCTCCCCTAATAAATCACGTAAGATAGTGACCAAAGGCACCTATCTGTGGAAATTGAATTCATTTTAGTTAGAATGGATTCCTTAGCTGATTCAATATGTCGAATCAATCAGTTATATCTTTTATAATTTCTTGATGATTCAGAACTCATCATCAAGCAATTATTCCAAATACTGAAAGCTATGTACAATAATAAAAAATAATGCAATGAACACTATATTAGATAAAGTAATAGCATTAGATTTAGATGAAATAGGCCTCTTTTTTGAGTACAGTTAAAGCTAACAATAGCATCCAAACACAAAAAAAAAATAATCTCCCAACAGACAGTCAGTGAATGAGTAGTTTATCGTTAAAGAATAAGTACTATAAAATAATGAAGATTACATTTTCTGCGAAAACATCATTGTATAATATTAATTTTCTTAAATATGTATATACACATCACATATATATGTATATCAATATATATAAAAAAAGGCAGGTAAATTAACATTGCATATAATGTAATTGTAGGGAAGAGAAAGAGTACTTTCGGATTTTATTGTTACACGTTTGTAAATAACGTTTGCCAATCGGGTAATTTTTTCTTTTTTTTTTAAAAAAGAAAAAAAAAAGAATGACAGCAATAAGCATATAAAGCATCATCTAACAACTGTTCAGTATTGTTCTTTATTATTCAAAAATGGAGAAATATTATTTAGGTCTTGATCTATCAACACAACAATTAAAATGTACCTTAATAAATGAAAATCACAACATTGTCTGGGAAAAAGCCGTTAATTTTGATAAAGATCTACCTGAATTTAATACAAAACATGGCGCCATTGTAAACGATAATGTTGTTACATCGCCTACTTTAATGTGGGTTAAGGCTTTAGACTTGTTACTTGGTCAATTAAAGGAAACTTCTTACATTAGTCTCATTCAAGGTATTTCAGGTGCTGGTCAGGTAAAATAAAATATGCATTCATTGATAATAATAATAATTAAAAAAACTTGTACTATTTTTATTATTATTTAGCAACATGGCAGTGTTTATTGGAAACAATCAGGCATTGAACAATTAAAGAATCTGGATGATTCACAATCTCTTTTTGAACAATTACGAAACGCCTTTGCCATTGAGCAATCACCCATTTGGCAGGATGCAAGTACGACAGAAGAATGTCGTTCCTTAGAAAATTTAGTTGGGGGATCTCAAGCATTAGCTGATTTAACAGGTTCAAAAGCATATGAACGATTTACTGGAAATCAAATCTCAAAGGTATCTGCGTATATATCTATTATATATCTATTAACTATCTTTATTTCTAATTATACTCTTTTTTTGGGGGGGATAGATTTATCATAAAAATAAAAAGGCATATGATGAAACTGCTTGGATCAATTTGGTAAGCTCTTTCTTAGCTAGTCTTTTATTAGGGGATTTTGCTTCTGTAGATGCAGCAGAAGGTTCAGGCACAAATATGATGAATATTCATTCTCATAAATGGGATGATAAATTATTAACTCATTGTGGTGGTGAAGAATTAAGGAAGAAACTGGTCAAGGAACCTGTTGAAGGCGGTACTATACTTGGTCCAATTAATGAATATTATGTAAAAAGATATGGTTTCAATCCGAGTAAGTATGATAATACTTGTATTTTATTTTATTTTATTTTTTTAAAAGAAAAGAATAAGAGGTATAACAAATTTATAATTTTATTATTAGGCTGTAAAATATTACCTTTTACCGGTGATAACTCTGCTACACTTGTATCTATGAATTTAAGCGAAGGTGATTGTGTTATTTCTTTGGGTACATCAGATACTGTATTAGTTTATCTTAAAAAAGGGGCATCTGCTACCACTGAGTCACATTTGATGGCTCATCCAACCGATCCTAATGGATTTATGGGTATGCTTTGTTATAAAAATGGCTCTCTAGCTCGTGAATACATTCGAGATAAATATGCAAGGGGTAGTTGGGATACTTTTAATGAATATCTTACAAGCAAGGAAGCGATGTTCGATGGTTGTATAGGCTATTATTACTGGATGCAAGAAATTATTCCATTTGCTAAAGGCATTTATCGATTCGAAAATAAAAAGGCAGTAGAAGAGTTTAGGGATGAGTGTATCAATGTGAAGGCCATTGTTGAATCTCAATTTATGTCCATGCAAGTCCGATTGAAACGTATGGGTGGAAATACAATTAAACGTATTTTGGCCTCAGGCGGTGCTGCTACCAATAAAAATATTCTCCAACTTTTATCAAATATCTTAGGGTTACCTGTCTATAAGCAGAAGGGATTAAATGGCGCTAGTCTTGGTGGTGCTCTTTTGGCAAAATTTAGTTTGCAAGGAAAGTCCTTTGAAGATATGATGGCAGAATTCCCATCTTCTGGTTTAGAATTGGTTTGTGAACCTGATTTAGAAGTTACAAAAAAATACTTGACTTATGAAGGTCAATTTACTGAACTAGAAAATAGCATTGTTATGTAATAATAATGGTTTATTGTGAATATAGAATTCCTTTTTTTTTTTTTTTTGCACAAAACTTTTAAACATTGTTAGATATGGAAGTTATATTGAGTAACAAGTTTCATAATATGAGTGAAATGAGGCTTTTATTCATCAAGTGAGGATTGTAACAGATATTAACTGACTTAAAGAGGTACAAAAAGGTCCGGAAAACTCTTTTCGTAAGAGAGATGACTCCTGAATACACAATCCCATCATAAAAAAATATGGTTACCTTATTAAATGTTGAGCATGTTATAATATTTATTCTTGCTTAACAAACCATGGTGATTATGCCATCTATGTTGATTTTATGGGAATCTTTAAAAAAAAATTGCTATCTCCTTTATTTCTTCTGTGAAAATATAGATAACTTACAGAAGATTTCGTTCTTTTTAAAGGACTCGTACGGCCTTCCGTCTTTTACTTTGTGAAGAAAAAGGTAGGCTATCATCCGCAGGTCAATATTTGGAAACTTGTAAGCTTGAGAAACTGTATTGAATGGGATTTCAAACAGTAGCACTTAAAATATCTCTATAATGAATTCAGCCGTTGGTTACCTGTACTTCCTCCCCTATTTCACATATTTATCATGCAATCTGCTGATCAATTTCTTAAATTCATAGAGCTTAAAGAATAAACTACACTTGTGAGAGATAAAAGGGGATGATAATATAATCTATTGTACCTAATTCAAGTGTTCAAGTTAAAAGGCCTTAAAAATCAAGTTTTTTTATGATTTGATGCAAATAGCAAAATGATAAATATATTTTAATTAATATAGCATATAAAAATTTAATTAATAATAATAAAGTGACTAAATCTATATATAAATCTATATCAACGTTTAGGAGTATAGAAAGTCTGTACAGGAAAATCATTGAGTGGTGATGCTGCTTCACCAGAATAAAACAATCCGCTTCTTCTATCAGTAGACCTTCTTCTTTTGAATATCTTGGATGCTTTTTTCAAATTCCTGTATGTAGTTGAAATATATTTCTAAAAAAAAAAAAAAAAAAAAAAAAAAAAAAAAAAATTAGAATTATCATTTTTGGGTTTAGATTTGTATATATTTACAATATAATATAATAACTGATCTATTGATGTGCCCATCAAGAATTCTTCCAAGTCATCTTCATCTGCTGGTAAGAATAGCGCACTTTCTGTTTCCTTTACAGCTAAAATCATGTCTTCGTATTGATATACATTATAGAGAAACGCATTTAAGCCAACAACATCCATAGATATTATATGTTTATTATTTCTGTTTTTGTTGTTGCTGCCTTGATTATCACTGATGTTACTATGCTTATCATCACTACTACCTGGACTGTTACTATACATCACGTTGTTTATATTGCTATTGTTACCACTGTGTACGAGATATTGGTATAGGAGGCACTTGCTTGTACGAACGTTTTTATTAAATTGTATTCGCTCGATATCATCAGTAACACATGCAGGCTTAATTTCAATAGATGATGACTCAATATCGACTTCTTCATTTTTGTCATTCAAAACTTTGCCTGTCAATAACAAAGCAATTCTCCTTCCCATAACACCTTTATCTAGAGTGCCGTACTCAAACTCATTAAGCTCATGTTGAATTTTTGTAGCATATGATGTGTGTTCACCGGACTTAATCTGTACGGCACTGTCTTGAAGTAAGGTTGTAAGCACATAATTCTAATAGAAAGAAAATGATGCCTCAAGCTTATGCTTATTGATTTCTTGATATTGACATTGATCAACGATAAAGTCAATAATTGTGAATATCTTGAGCTCAAAAGATTCAGCTATCTGTTTATCGTCTCCTATTATTCTACTTTTCTCCCTTATTACATACTTATGTATTTCATTCATTGCCCCAATATTATTATTAGTATAGTATGAACGAAGTTTTTCTTTGATTTTAATCCATCTTTTGTCTGGATAATTATTATCAATACTAGTTGTGTGTTGATGTAGTATTGCTTTTAACTTGTTACCACCAATTATTTTTTCAACTTCATCTCTGTAATTTTTATCGATGGTATTGATCACCCCAGATAGCAACACACGTAGGTTTGATCGTTGCGTAACTGTTAAATTGCTAAAATTTTGAAGCCCATCAATGCAATAGTTGAATACCTTGTTTTGTAATGTTGTAGCTTCCATTTTTTGTATTTGATTTAGCCATATAGGCTCTCCTTTATACTATAAATAAATAGCTAAAGTTTAAAATCTGAATTTTTGTATTAAACATAACATAATTTATCTTACTAAATTATATAAAGTAGAGAATAACGAGCTTAGTGCGTTTTCTGTATTCACTGTCCCCACACTAATTTCACTCAATGAACGTTTAACTGACTGAGCTAGGATACTGGAAGCTACTGTATCAGTTGCTGTCATAAGTGTACTGGAACTTGTTGCTTTTGCTTCCTTACCCGTGTCATTGTCGTTTTTATTGTTTATTGATGTATTTCTGTGGTCTGAATGTATAATGTTGTCATTGTAATTGTAATTGTTATTGTTATTAATTTTGATATTGATGTTTGGCTGTAATGTCATGGTTATAAGATTTGTAACTTAATTCAATAAGATAAATAGGCATAATAGAACATATAGCGCGCTTTTATAATAATTCTGTCTATACACATATTTACTCTTGTGTAGAAAAAATGATTAACAAAAGTCCTACATCTAAAAAAATTTATCTTATTCTGCTGAATATAAATTTATAAAAATAACCTATCAAGTTAAACTGGAGTAAACCAAGAATAATGCAAGTACGCGTAATAACTGATTTCATTTAGAGTACACATACTAGTTATAAACAATAAATATATACATGAATTACATATCTATACTAATTAAATAATAATTCTCTTCTATGATTACGTCATCAAATAGAACTTATCATATTCATGACTCATCATCCTTATCTACAAAATATATAAATACTCTTACATTATTAACCCTTATTTTGTAATACAATAACTTATAACAAGAATTATAATTTATTTTATCTTAATAAACTTATTGACAAGTCTCAACGTACTTCTTCTGTTTATCTTCTTTTAGTTCTCTTTTACCTCTTTTATTTTTATTTTTATCATTTAACTTACCTAAACCACAACAATTCTTCAATCCAGTTTGCGCGAGCCTCAAGAGTCTTCTGACTATTTCTGTCCTTGGGATGGCGGGTGACAAATTTTATACTGAGATTGCAATCTTCTTTCATGAATTCAGCAACCCTACTCTTTTTTATTTTCAAACCTTCAAAGCTTTTGGTTAAATTTTCGACTGCATCCTAGATAACAGCTGAAGGATTCTCATCGAAAAAAGTTGATCAAGTGCATTTTGTGGTTCTCACTTAGTTGACTTGGCGCTCTGTTTGATGTATGATTCGTTTTTTTTTAAAAGGGTATCTTCTTCTCAGGGTCTCTTTCGTACTCTCCCTTCCACTTTCTCGCAGTTTCAGGATTAATGTTGGCAACTTTGGCTGCCTCAGCGGGTTTCATCAACTTTTCATGCAGGAAAAAGGAAATATCGTAGTCGATCTTCGTTTGTGTAAATGTTATAAGTTGAGCTTCATTCCTTCTTGATGGTTGCTTCCTGCATATCCGTGTCTTTTGGCTCTTCGTTTTCTACGATGACTTTTTTTTTTTTATATTTTTGATGTACTTGTGTAGATTCGTCAAATTAGTTAATTAAAAGGACGGATCTACAACAAAAGCAGCCGCTTCGTTACCAACATCATCTACAATCTCACCTCTGCCATCTTCATAAAAGAAATTCATCTCAAAACACAATGAATTCAATAATAAAATAAGAGAAGAGTCTAATTATTTCTAAAAAGTGGGAAATTTATTTTCTAAAAACTGGACAATTTGACTGTTGCTCTTTAAATGATAAAGCAATGTAATTCGTTCTTGTGTAATTTGACGGTCTCACTTAATCCTGGGAGAACTCGTTCGACCTTGAATCACTGTTTTTGCTGCTTATTCTACATACAGTAACACTGCGTTACCTGTTCCTAAACTGATGTTGGAATGGGTTGTACTGTACTTCCACTCTCAATTTATCAGATATTTGAAGATTCTTCCCACTTTTTTTTGTATGATTTTGGATACTTGTGTGAGGTTAAATTGCCCAGAGAAAGGAGACAGACTTGGTCACATGTTTGAGGCTAATTAGCCCAGCTGCTTGGAAATATTTTAACCAAACAGTAAAGCAATCACAAAGGTTCTTTATTCAAGCATTTAGGGATTACATTGATCGAGTGCTGAATGAAGTTTTGTATATGTTCAACAGGATCATCTTCACTACCTTCAATTATTCTTGAAGAAAGTGTTTCTGTATCTCTTCTTGTGATGTAACGTATTAAAGAGAAATAAAACGAGAAAGAAAAAGGAAAAGAGAAAGGTAACAAAAGGAAGTATAGTTTGAGACTGTTTTATTCAATAAAAGAAAAAATAAAAATAAGAATTGAAAGTTAAAGATTATTTGATGTCTACACAACTGCTTGTATTTATGTTAATGAATCCTAAAATCAAAGAAATAAAAATAGCTGTCAAAGAACATGAGTCATGAAACAGTGTTAGTATTCAGACATACATCTTGTTGATTCAAGAGACTGACTTATATAAATTATCTATTGGGTGTTATAATGATCTGATTAAGGTTTTAAATTGTTTGATCTGAGCTTAGGTTCCTGATGTCTATTTTAGTGGATCAAAGACGACTTGAATCCTTTGTCAAGGTTATAAAAATAAATGTTTAGAAATGATATGATGTCTTATAATTGATACATCTAGACGTTTGGATGTCAATATGTTTTATATTATTTACAAGATGTTATATACAGATTTTTTATTTTATTTTCAGGTTTATAGTTTATCCTTTATTATGTAATTCGTCTACTATAATATTACTTATGCTTATATCCAGAGCTTGTTCTATAACAATACTTGCCCTGATTAATCATACCCTTAATTTAATTTAAATTATAATCTACAAAGCCCTTTCCCTCATCATTAACAATAATTAAATATGTACTTATCATTGCTCCAATGCCTTCTTGAAAAAAAAATATAAAATCCATATATAAGCTTTATATGTAGAGTCATATTGAATCTAACCTAGATAGAATCATTTTGACCAGAAGCTGATCAAATTACTGGGTAATTTATTTCCAAGCAGCTGGGCTAATTAACTTCAAGCATGTAACCAAGTCAGTTTCCTTTCTCTGGGCAATTTAACATCACACAAGTATCCAAAAAAAAAAAATTCAAAAAAAAACTGGGCGAAGTTTTCAAACATTAGGTAAATCGAGAGCGGAAGCACAGTTAATTATTCATCCAAAAAAAAAAAAAAAAAAAAAGGCAAGCTGAACATCTAAAAATTGATTTTGATTTGTCCAAATATTGTTCGAATTTAAAGTAGAAATACTGTTTGGTAAATTCCTCATTGTCAGCTGTATGTATTGGTAATTTCTTCTAGAAAATGTTTTTTCTTTCTCAATTAGGCAAAAATACAATAAAAAAAAGGGCTTTTGCGGACTTTTAATACATTTAATTAGAATGCTTTATTACTTGTCCAATAAAATTTCTTTATTAAGTATAAGGTGTTCTTTTAATTTCTTGTAATTTCTACTACATTCGATCAAAACAGCCAATCATAATATTTGGAAGTTGCTAGTATTCCTAAATAAGACATAATTGAAATGCATATAAAAAGCATAACTTTTTTTTTTTTGAAATAGTTAATCTTTATCTTTATTTTATTATATTATATATTTAATTAATTAAGGAAAAAAAAATGTCTGGAGAAAAGTCTGTTGGTATTGATTTGGGTACTACATACTCTTGTGTTGGTGTTTGGCAAAATGACCGTGTTGAAATTATTGCAAACGATCAAGGTAACCGTACAACACCTTCTTATGTCGCCTTTACCGATTCAGAACGTCTTATTGGTGATGCTGCCAAGAATCAAGTCGCCATGAATCCTCACAACACAGTTTTCGACGCTAAGCGTTTGATCGGTCGTCGTTTCAATGAACCTGAAGTTCAAGCTGATATGAAGCACTGGCCCTTCAAAGTAATTGATAAGGATACTAAGCCTATTATTCAAGTTGAATATAAGGGAGAAACCAAGACTTTCACTCCCGAAGAAATTTCCTCAATGGTCCTTATCAAGATGAAGGAAACTGCTGAAGCTTATTTAGGTACCTCTGTTAAGAATGCAGTCATCACTGTTCCTGCTTACTTTAACGATTCTCAACGTCAAGCTACTAAAGATGCTGGTTTGATTGCTGGTTTGAATGTTCAACGTATTATTAATGAACCTACTGCGGCTGCTATTGCCTATGGTTTGGATAAGAAGGTTGAAGGTGAACGTAATGTCCTTATTTTCGATTTGGGTGGTGGTACCTTTGATGTTTCCCTCTTGACCATTGAAGATGGTATCTTTGAAGTCAAGGCTACCGCTGGTGATACTCACTTGGGTGGTGAAGATTTCGATAACCGTCTTGTCTCTCACTTTATGCAAGAATTCAAGCGTAAGTTTAAGAAGGATATCTCTGGTAATGCTCGTGCTGTTCGTCGTCTTCGTACTGCCTGTGAACGTGCTAAGCGTACCTTGTCCTCTGCTGCTCAAACTACTATCGAAATCGACTCCCTCTTTGAAGGTATTGATTTCTACACCTCCTTGACTCGTGCTCGTTTCGAAGAATTGAACCAAGATCTCTTCCGTAACACAATGGAACCTGTCGAGAAGGTCCTTCGTGATGCCAAGATTGACAAGTCCCAAGTTCATGATATTGTCCTCGTTGGTGGTTCTACTCGTATTCCTAAGGTTCAAAAGTTAGTCTCTGACTTCTTCAATGGTAAGGAACCCAACAAGTCTATCAATCCTGATGAAGCCGTTGCTTATGGTGCCGCTGTTCAAGCTGCCATCCTTTCCGGTGATACCTCTGAAAAGACCCAAGACTTGCTTCTTTTGGATGTTGCTCCTCTTTCCCTTGGTATTGAGACCGCTGGTGGTGTTATGACTGCTCTTATCAAACGTAATACAACTGTTCCTACCAAGAAGTCCGAAATCTTCTCTACCTATGCTGATAACCAACCTGGTGTCCTTATCCAAGTCTTTGAAGGTGAACGTGCCCGTACCAAGGATAACAACTTACTTGGTAAGTTCGAATTGACCGGTATCCCTCCTGCTCCTCGCGGTGTTCCTCAAATTGAAGTCACCTTTGATGTCGATGCTAACGGTATCTTGAACGTCTCTGCTCTCGATAAGACCACTGGTAAGTCCAACAAGATCACCATTACCAACGATAAGGGTCGTCTTTCAAAGGAAGAAATTGAACGTATGGTGAATGAAGCTGAGAAATATAAGGCTGAAGATGAAGCTGCTGCTGCTCGTATCCAGGCTCGCAACGGTCTTGAATCTTATGCTTATAATCTCCGTAACACACTTAATGATGAAAAGGTAGGCGGTGCCTTACCTGCTGAAGACAAAGAAAAGATCAAGAATGCTACAGATGAAACTATCAAGTGGCTTGACGATTCTCAAGAAGCCTCCAAGGAAGAATATGAATCTAAACAAAAGGAACTTGAAGAGATTGTGAATCCTATCATGATGAAGTTCTATCAAGCTAATGGTGGTGCTGCCGCTGCTGGTGGTGCTGCTCCCGGAGGTTTCCCTGGTGCCGCTCCTGGTGGTGCCTCCACTGACTCTACTGATGGTCCTTCCATTGAAGAAGTTGATTAAGTTTACTATTCATATTTAACATTTTTGTCATATAATTTGTATATTTTGTGCTTTTTTTTTTAATGTTTAATACTCATCCATTTTACCCCCCCTTCTACATCTTTTGTTATATATACATATATACTTTATTAAAATAAAAGAATATAGAATTAATTCTTAATGTAAAATAATAATTATTGGTCTTTATCATTTTTTTTTTAATTTGTTATAGGTTAATTAAACTCTATATTTTATATATTTGTATAAGCGATTTAACTAATATAAAAACAGAATAGATATAAATCAGGTGTAATGGTTTTTTTACTCGATAAACTAAACCAGATATTATAAAGTGTAATTAACTTTTTTTTAAAAAAAAAAAAAAAAAAAAAAAAAAAAAAAAAAAAAAAAAAAAAAAAAACTATATTTAAAATAGTGTATGTAGAAAAAAAATATGCCGCCAAAGCCACTGAACAATTCTCTCTTTTTTTATTTTATTTTATTTTAGTTTATTTCTTTTTTTTTTTATCCCCTCTCTTTCCCTCACTCTTATAAATTGATCAACAAATGGGTATTCACGGCTTGACTAAACTTATTTCAGAACATTCACCTAATGCCATTAAAAGTTATGAGATCAAAAACTTTTTTGGACGTAAAGTAGCGATTGACGCATCGATGAGTATTTATCAATTTATGATTGCTGTTCGTCAATCAGACGGTCAAGTGCTTCAGAATGAAGAAGGTGAAACAACAAGTCATTTAATGGGCATGTTTTATCGTACTGTTCGTATGGTCGATAATGGTATCAAACCTGTTTATGTCTTTGACGGCAAACCACCTACATTAAAGTCAGGCGAGGTAAGACAAAAAAATGCATTATAATAGAAAAAGAAAAGAAAAAAAAAAAAAAGACTCATTCATATGTATATGATTAGTTAGCAAAAAGAAAGGCACGTAAAGAAGAAGCACAAGCTAAATTAGATGAAGCTACTGATTTGGGCAATATAGAAAACATCAATCGATATTCTCGACGTACTGTCAAAGTAACACAGACCCATAATGATGAATGTAAGGAGTTATTAAGAGCTATGGGTATACCTTATGTTGAAGCCCCTTGTGAAGCTGAAGCACAATGCGCAGAATTAGCAAGATGCGGTAAAGTATACGCAGCTGCATCAGAAGATATGGATACCTTAACCTTCTCTTCACCCATCCTACTTCGACATTTAACCTTTTCGGAAGCAAGAAAGATGCCTATTGATGAAGTTAATTTACAAAAGGCTTTAGAAGGGTTAGAGTTAACAATGGAACAAGTAAGTGTGTGTGTTTTTTTGTATACATTTAGATGATATTCAATTCACATGTTGATGTATAGTTTGTCGATCTTTGTATTTTACTGGGATGTGATTATACAGAAACGATTAAAGGCGTTGGACCTAAAAATGCATATAATTTAATTAAAGAACATAAAACAATAGAAGAAGCTATCAAACATCTTACTCCAAGGTTAAAAGAAAATATTCCTACTGATTGGAATTATGCAGAGGCACGTAAATTATTTATTCATCCTGAAGTCACTCCTGGAGATCAGATTAATGTAAGTAAAATTTAAATATCCGATTTTAAGAGTACAAAAAAAGAAAAAAAAAAACTCATTTTCTTTCAAGCTTACCTGGAAAGAACCTGATGTAGAAAAAGTAGTTGAATTTATGGTGAAGAAAAAGGGTTTTGCGTAAGTATTTTCCTATATACAAATAAGTGAATAAGTTGAAGAAATTAAAATTTTCTTTTAGTGAGGACCGTATTCGAAAAGGTTGCGAGAAATTAGCAAAGAATTTGAAACAAGCAACACAATCTAGAGTTCAGGATTTCTTTAAGGTGTTACCATCAACACCCAAAAAGGTAAATCAACATATAAAATGAATATTTTTGTTTATTTATTTAATCTTTTTTTTTTTTTCAAAAATAGCGAAATGCGAAGGAAGAGCCTAAGAAGTCAACTGCAGCAAAAAAAAGTAGAACTAAGAAATAAATAGATAAATAAAAATCATTATTTGTATACACTTTTATTTCTTTTAATAAATGACTGTTTATTGTTCAAGAGAAAAAACGAGAGCAATAGTGCTAAAAATAAATAAATCAAACATAAAGAGATATATTCCTGTTATTTTACATAGGAAACAGCAGAGTTATGATGGTAAATAATACATGGTACATTTTATTCATACCAAGACCTTACAATTATTGTCATGGTGAAGACTAAACTGTTAGTAATAAAGGTACTAGGAAGATGAGATCTTACCTAATCTTCGTAGTTTGTATTACATTATGGCCAACGCTTTGGAAAAAAAAAAAACTATACTTTAAATAACAAACCTTAACATGATTTCTAGAAGATTTGTTTTATCAAGAACTCACTTTTATTATTCAATTCCAGCTCTATATCATAATGTTTCATATGATGATGTTGTCGTTACCACTGTTATTGGGAAAAAAAATTCTTTACAAAAAAAAAAAAAAAATATTTTATTTTATTTTTTTTTTTTTTCTATTACTTTTTCATTAAAGAAAAAAAAAACCATGAATAGAGGAACTCTTGTATTGTAAAGATATAATATTTTTGTTTTAATGAGGAATAAATGATTAAAAGTAAAGATAAAATTAGGGATATTGACGAGGCTGAATACCTTTTGGATCAATTAGGTGCACCTGATAAAGATGAAGACAAGTTAGTTACAAAGTTAAGAAATAGATTAGCTTTATTTTTAAAGGAAATTCGTGAAGGAGCTGAAGGTAAAATAAATTAGAATAAGTGGAAAAAAAAAAAAAAGTTGATATATAAATGTGTATTTTAGGTGCAGGAAAAAGAGATTAAATAAGGCCTAGAATTTGAGTCCATTTCATTATATGAATAAAAAAAAATAAAATAAAATAAAATAAACTTTTTACTTCTTCTTCTTCTTTTTATTTCTTCTTCTTTTTTATTTCTTCTTCTTCCCTTTTACGTTTATATATTAACAAAAGAAAGAGAGAGTGTGTGTGTGATAGAAAAAAAGGATATGCTATATTAACAACAAAAATGTCAGAACTTTCACAATTTTTATTAGAATCAGATATTCATTTTTATAAAGATTATGCAATACCAATAATTAAAAGTAACTCAAAATTATTTGACTTGGATGAATTTGATTCAATTTTACGCGAGAATAAGTCAATACCTATTGATCGAACTATAAAGGAGGCATACAAGGACTTTGAATTAGATAAAAAATCACAGTATGAAATGCATCCAAAATTTGGTCGATATGTAAGTGTGAAAATGATGTATGGCAGATAGAAGTGATTTTAATTAAGAAGGAATATTTATTATTAGGTCTGGGATATTGCTGATCAATGGTATCAAAAATGGAATGTAGTATTCTCAGTTGAACATATGTGGAATTGGATAAAACACGGGGTCACACGGTCCTCGGCGCAATTGTCAACTACGAAAGATCATATATTCGACGCCACTTATATTCAACCTTGGTTAAATCGTATTATCGTTCGTTATAACGTTCACCCAGATCATCAAAATTTATTACAAGATATTTGTAAATACATTGGTGATTGGCACCAATCAAATCGCTCTTTAACCTTACGAGGTTCCTTCAAATTAAATACAATACCTTTGTTTCCTCCTACTTGGTTTACAAATAAATCAAAACAAAACTGTAATCGAAGTGAAGGTTTAGCTCCATCTTATTTAGCTACTTTTGTTCCTCCTTATCGGTTAGAGCAACAACAAATACCTGAAAGATGGGATCAAGTATTCTTAAAAGGTTTAACTGTAGATCCGAATCATAAAGTAAATATTGAGTCTTATTATCATGATAGATATATATATATTTATGAAAGAATCTATATCAATATTAATACATTTTTTTTTCTTTAAAACGTATAATGACTAGTTTAATTTGGATCCTATCTTGATTGCTTCTGCTATTCCTATTCTGGGTTTAACTGTCAATATGGATGAAGAATCGGGTTATAGTAAATTATTTTTAGTCATGATAAAGGCAAAATATGGTAATTTGGAGGATAAAATTGAAAATGATGTGCCTGTGGATTATTATAAACCTTGTCAAATGGCAATTAGTATTACAAAGGATATAAAAGATTTGCATTGGAATTATATTCACGGTAACATTCATCCTCGTAATATCTTGTTAAACAATGCAGATTATTTAGGGGAATTGGTGGATATCACCTTTATGCGTCGAAATGATGATACTTTAAAGAATAATTGGTCTGGAAGATGGCCTTATGTGGCTCCTGAAGTGGTCTCGACTGGTCTGAGTACGTCGGCTGATATATATGCTTTAGGTATCATCTTATGGCAATTAATTTCAAGAGTCACTTTCCCAGGTGATGTCTTAATTGACCCTCATGTCTATCGTATTGAACCTATTCCAAATGTATTAAGAGAATGGGAAGATATCTATAGTGATTGTCTTCATATAGATCCTAAAAAGAGACCTAACGCTTATACCATTCATCGACGTCTAACTCATCTCTGTAATAAATTACGAAATAACAAAATACCTTTATCTAAAGAAACTCTTCATTATATTAAAGTAAGACGACAGGAGATTCATCAGTTCCTGGATGATTTAAAGACCTCTCCGTCTCCTCTTATTCCTTCTTCGCTATTAGACGGTACTACTATTACTACTACTACTTCTACTTCTACTTCTACTACCACTATTACTCCTACCTCTTCTTCTCATACATTATGCGAAGTGGGAAATCATGTCTTGACTGCTTCTGTCACTCGTCCTTCACATCAACGTTTAAACAGTTATCCAAATTTGATTCAAAAGTTTCCCGGTTATTCATAAAAAAAAAAGAAAAAGAAAAGAAATATCATATAAATAATTTGCTTCTTCTTCTTTTTTTATATGTATAACGTTTCTATTTCTATTTCTAGTTCTTTAAACTTTATATCTATCCTTCTAAATGTTTAATACATGTTTATATTACACAGACGGTTTTCTTTTATTCTACACATGTACAAGATTAACAAAAAAAAAAATGTATATCTATGTAATCATAATACAGAAAATAAAAAATAAACATTTTCATGTCATTTAAAATGAATACATTTATGATAAATCAAATCCAGCATCTGCATTAATAGCATATAATAATTTTCTAAAATAGCAAGGAAAAGAATAAATTAGTATTATATAATTGTATATATTATATATTTATTTATAAAATATACAGAAGGAGGACTTACTCTCTAAGAACTTCATACGTTGGATAATTTGGTAACTTTAATAGATTAACACAGGTGGAACTAGTAGGTAATCTTTCAGGATCCATACCTGCATTACGCAGACAAAATTGCGGTACCAGTTCCTTGAAACCTAAAAGAGGCGGTCTGGAACATGATGTAACAAACTTGACAAATTTCATACGCAACGTGTTATCAAAGGATTCTAAAGCTTTCCAAAAGTTTTTAACTGTCTTGTCATGTTCCATATAACCTGCAAGTACTGTATGAGCACGTAAATCGGCAAGATCAATTGGTACAGATGCACCACCTAATAAGATTTGTAATTCTTGCTGATTAAACATACGAAGCCATTTGATATCAATAATGGTAGAAAGGCCTTTAAAGAAAGCTCGGCATTGTCTCGCAATCTGTACGTTTAATCGATAGTTGGCAACTGAATAAATGTATTGAATTCGATTTTGATTTGTTACGGAGATATGGCTACCACCAGGTATTAAGTCAACTGTGGTAGATGTACCATCATTTTCAAAATGGGTACTTGTGAAATCAAGCGAAAGATCTTCTACATTTCCTTCATAATTTTTAACAGCTAATAAACCTTTATATAAATCTGGATCCAAAGAAGATAAATCATCCACTATGAGATTTATATCAGTAAATTAATTTATTCTTTTCTCTCGCTCTCACTCTCACTCTCACTCTCACTCTCTCTCTACTACTTACAATAGTTTACTTGTCCAAGACATTTCTTTAAGAAAAAGTCTGCAAATGCAACATCAAGTAAAATACCTTCATAAACAGCTTTACCAATAATTAAACCTAAAAATTTGAAATATTCTAATTGCTCAGCTGTAGACAGAAAATAGTTAGTGCATCGTTTTTTTTTTTTTTTTGGTATTATCATCTTACATTCTGTTGCATAGGAAGTAGGATTAGGATATAAAAGTTGTTCAGAAGTAACTGTAAAAAGTCCATAATTGGTATTAAAGGCCTCTTTAGTAATACCCGTTAAAAACTCTTTAAATACACCTCCTCCATCAATACCCGCCTCTTCTAATCCAAATTCATCTACAAAGGAAATAAATATCTTATTCTTAAGCTCAATTCCTAACGTATGTAAAGCATTAAAGCCATCCTCAAAGATATGATTTCGACGAACTGTTGCAGATGCCTTGTTAGGACGATTATAAAATTCATCAATATGATTGCGTTTCTTGTCATTATTGACAAACATACGAAAGATTTCAACACGTTGTTCAAAGGGAATAACAAATGGAATATTGTTCAAGAGGCCTAAACGTGGACTGATGATCGCTAATCGTCCCTTAGATAACATTCTTAATGGCTTCAAGGATGTATCTTTCTCTTGTTCGCTTTCTAAATTGAACTCCTCTGCTACTGCCTCACTTGAAAAATCATCAGTATCTAAATGGGGTATTAACCAATGATCTTTAGGACAAAAACGACGTCTTGAATCTCGCATATGAATGTGCTGCAATAGATGGGTGACAGTAGATCGTAATTGATTTAGCGAAATACTCGTAAGTCCTACCATTTTTGTCAAATCCATACTATTAGCACGCCAAAACATAACAAATGAAATAGTCTTTAATTGACGACTAAGATCGACTACTTGTGTTAATTCTAAAGGGTTACGAATATGTGAAGATCCTTTATCCAAAAATTCATCATCAGCCATCGTTAATAACAATCGTCCATAAACTTCACATAATAAGTAGAGTATAGACCAACAGCCTTTTGAATTCGTTAAGAGAAATTGAGTTGCTTCAGATAAACGAGATATAATATGACAGTCATCATTAAATAACTGAGCTTCCAATGATTTTGACCATGAAGACCATAAGATGGGTAACAATAGGTCTTGAGCGTTTGATAATGATTTGTAAAGTAATGTATTTAAAATGGTATCCTTCTTTGTTGGCCAACGTAAGATAAGGGTATTAAAAAAGCTAGAGATTGATTCTATCATGATATCATTCTCTTTATGAGTGATAACAAGTTGCATAAATTGATATAATAAATGACGAATACGTTTAGAGTCATAAATTGATTCAAGCCTTTCTTTAATCAAGGGCGATACAGATGGTACTAAACTAGTATTTGATACTTCTTCCATTTCAATATCTTCTTCCTCGTCTGATAAATCACTCTCTAATATGTAAGCATGTATATACATATATATATGTTTTAAAGAATAGATTAAAATGCTTGGGTTTTGTGTTATTATTCTATTTTATTTTACCTTGATTCATTATCTCAATGCTACTCTTTTCTAATGGATCAGTAAAATAGGAGGTAGGTAAATGAGTTAGTAATAATTGAATTACTTTGGCGTAATTTGTCTATCAAATTCCAATATTTATATATAAATATGTGTATATATATATATATTCTATTACTTTTAAGTCTACATAAAGAAAGTCTACATATTACTTACAAGTATATCGCCTTCTAAGGGCTGTCCATCTTCAGTATCTCCTAATGTAGTGATATTAATTAATAATCCTGCTATAGCTAAATCATCTAGATTATTTTGACTATCTATGAACAAAGTAGTAATCGTTTCTAAAAGATCTTTGAATGGTAACTGAATTGTTAACTGAGTTATAATTTGTTTATCAGACATATTATCTAACAAAAAGGGCACGGTAAACAATTCGGTTAACAGCATACGTAACAAATTAGCTCTTGTCATATAATTTTGCTTTATAGCATATTTTTCTATTAGAGATGACGTAGAATAGTAATAAGGTGGATAAAATGTAACTAAATTCATCAAAATAGACTCCATCATATGTATTTTATAGTCACTGTTCATAATACTATGTTTTATGCAATCGAGTAATTTGGTGTAATACAAGGTAAAAGTGATAATATGAATACGATTTTCATCTTCTTTTCCTTTAAAATATGTAGTTGAATCTAATAGATATAAAAGAAACTGAGACGAAGAAATTGAACTATCATAAAGAGAAGAAGAAGAAGGGATTTATATATATATATATATATTAAATCAATCCTTTCACTTTTAAAATGTTTGATTTACCTTGAGTTCTCTATATTTGGTAGCAATACTTTTTTAATCATTAAACAGCATAACCTAACCCATGAATCGACTGCTTCTCTTTTATTGCTGATATGAAACATGTCTTTTAATTTTTGATGGTTAATCTTGGCAATGTATTCATCGACAAGTCGACAATCTTCATCATTTTTTATTTGATAAAATAAAACAAGTTGTCGAGTCAACTGAAGTAATGTTTCATTATTCAAAAACTGCGCACTGTGTAATATTTTTTGAAATTCATTTCTTTGCTCATGTCTTGTTAATGAGGCTTGTTTACGACCTCTATAAAATGCCTAATGTCATATTAGCATTCTCCTTATATATATATATATATATATATATATATATGCATGTATGTGTGTGTGTGTGTGTTTTATTTTTATAATAATCCCTTACTTACTTGAATGCGTAATGTATTTTTTATTTTAAGACGTTCTTGTTCTCTTGCTTTTCGCTCATTTTGTGCTTTAAGCATAAGTGATCTTTTATCTTCCACTTTTTTTACACCACCTAAATTAATATTTCGTCTTGGTTTGTAATTGCCTTCAAAACTAAAATTCATTTTCTCGTTGTTTGTTTAGATTGACAAAAAAAAAAGTGAATAAATTTAAAGTAGTATTTTACAATAAAGTGTCGTTGTTGGCAAAAGAAATTTCATTTTCCGATTAACTCAGACTGTATCTTGTTCATTTGAATCAAATAATTGCATTCAAATTCCTGCTATAAAATTGTTTATATTAACTATCCTTAAGGAGACCCTTTGTTCTTTTATTTTGCTTTTAAACTGTCTAGATTCTCCTTCCATTATGCACATCATTTACCACAAGCTTATCATATGCACATGGCCAATTTATTCACTATATAACAAATGACTATGACATATTCTTTTTAGTGATTTATCATCTATTTCCCTCTAGAAGTCTTTCTCATATTTAGCTGGAAATTACTTTTATTTTCTCTTTTGATTAGTTAAACTAATATAAGCAATATTCACATATATATATATATCATGTACTTTATAGAATTTATCTTCTTTTCTTTCCTTTAAATTACGAGTTTCTTCACTTTCGTTTTGTCATATCCAAATAGTATGTCAAGTAATATCGTCGGACAATGTCACATAACAAGAGACTGTTATTCATATAAAACAGAAATAAGTTGTTCTTTGGCTGGGTTGTAAGATGTATCTAAAAGAAATGTATACTATTCATACAGCCAATTTATTTTAATAATGCTACCTACCTACCCCTCCCTTTTTTTTAAAAAAAAGAAAACAGCAAGTACTTTAGAATTCTTTCTTTATTCACATTAGAGGTTATTCTGAGAAGCTATATTCACGAAATAAAAAGCTTTAGTCAAGTTTTGATTTTCAGGTGAACAATTACATATGATGAATCTGTCAAACTGAACAAATAAAAAAGGGGGGGAGGGAATAAATATATACTATTGAATTCGATAACGTAGCTCTTTAATTAAGAAAGTTAAGGATAAAACGTTTTTTTTGACTAGTCAGTCCTCTATTCCTTATAATATCATATGTTATAGAAGAGGCATTTTATACCCTCTTCCCCAAGAGAGTAAAAAATAAAAGAAAAAAAAAAGGATTTATAATCAATACCTATGATTGTATCATGCAGAGCTTGTCTATCCTTCACTGTGAACTTTTTTTTTTTTAATAATAAACAATAAAAACTTTGGCTATATTCATTATTGAACAAGATCCTATTTATAAAGTGAAATGTAGAGAGAAGAAAAGATCAAACTAGACGCTCTCTATAAAATTATAGTATTTTTTTTTTTTATTTATTTATTTTTTCAAGTAAAGCTTGTGCAGTGAGAAACCAAGCATAAAAATGAGGGTCACGATGTCATTTTTTTTTTTCATTTTTAACTTTTTTTTTTCATTTTTTACAAATGAGACCTACAAGAAAAGCTGCAGTTAAAGCTGCTGCCGCTGTTGCAAGACCCATTTCACCTTCACCTATATCGTCTGAAGAAGAAGACATGGATTCTGAATCAAGAGAAATGGATATGGATGAAGAAGACGAAATTGAGGAAGAAGATGAACAAACGAATAATTTACTAGACGATGATTTAGAATCTTTATCTGAACAAGAAGATGAAGAAGATATGGTTGAAGAAGAAGAAGAAGCACCTGTTATTCGTAAACCACGTAATAATAATAAAAGAAAGAAGCCTGGTAAGTAACAGATTTAGATATATATGTATAAAGCATTAACATTCTTAATTTCAATTTCACAAGTAATTGAAACAGATAGTGAAGAAGATGATTTCTCTGATGATTTAGAAATTCTTAGGAATAAGCCCATGACAAAACGACAAAAAGCAAAAGCGAATCAAGAAATAGCTGAAGAATATTTAGAATTGCCTATGGGTATTTATATAAAAAAACAACAACAACATTGGCAATCAAATTATTAAATTACTTTTATAGATACTGGTAAAAAGAAACAACTAACAGAAGAAGAAGAGCAATTAAGAAAGTCAGAAGTAGCAAGAAGAAGAAAGAATCAAAGTATTCAAAGAGCAGAAAAAGATAAAGCAGATACTATTAATAGATTATTAAAGAAACAAGCATCAAAAAGTAAACGTATTATTGAAGATCCTACAGAAGATAAAGAAACACCTCATGAAAAGCTAAAGAGATTAGAAGATCCAAATCGTCTTCGATATATAAATACATCGAAAGGGAGCTCATTAAGTATACCCAATGTCTTTACAATTGAACAAATATTCGGGTAATTAGAATGTTAATTTATTTCCCAGCGGTTTTTTTTTTTTTTTCTAACTCTTAAATACAATCATAGTCATCATCCTTCTTTACCATTAATGTCTACAAAAAAATGTCAAGTTGAAGGTTGTTCAAAGGATCGAAAATATACAGCTAAAAAGAGTGGGAAATATGCTTGTTCGCTTGAACATTATAAAATAGTTGAATCGAACTAACTTTTTATTATATAATAATCAATTTGTTAAATAAAGACGTATTATGTATGTTTACGAAAACCTTCTACTTTATGTGTCTTAATTGTGGCAAAGTACATATCAGCCAATTCACGACATGTTTGATCTAATAATAGTATGTCATTAATTTCTATATACATTTATATGTTTGTATTTTACTTCATTTTTAACTTACAGTGATTGACACCTTCAGTTCTATAACATTCGTCTAATTTTTCCTTTATTAATCGAGCTTCCATAACTTTAACCCAATCATCACGGATTTTTTGGTTACGTGCAGCATAAACAGCTAAATAAAATAAGCAAATATAAGCAAACTATGAAATAGACTTGTTTGTATGTAATATTGTTACCTTTATGGTCATTAGGATCAACTTGTTCCAAAGAAGGAACACTAAAAATTAAAGGAAATTAGCATAGAAATCATATATACATGGGAATTGCTTAAAACTAACCGTTCAAATGTTTTATGTTCAGGATATTCCCAAGGTTCTGCAGCAGACATTATATGTATATACAAAAAAAATGGGGGGGAAGGATTAAAAAAAAAAAAAAGGTGTAAATGTATAAACAGTTATTGTTTACCCCGGATAATAAATGATAATCATTGGATGAACAGCAGGACAGGTCTAAGCGCCACCCCTCTGCTAAGATACAAAAAAAATGCCTAAATAGCAAACAACAAAAAATGACGCAAAAAAAAACTCAGCTTCACTGTAACAGTGTTTAAATTTCAAAAGATTTGGGAATACATAATCAAAGAGATATTTATATGTTCTTATTGTGGTTAAATGCTTTAAAAAAAAACTATCAGTAAGTTAATGACTACTAGCTAAAGATTCTTTATTACTTAAAGAAAAAAGGGCGATAAATATGTGTTTAAGGGTCACAGCTTTCACTAGTAATGAGACTGTTCTATGTCATCAATCTTTACACAGTAACAATGATAAATATACAAGCAAGTTATTATTAAATATAGGCTTAGTATAATTTATTCTTATACTCGAGTTATATGGCCTGCTTATTTTACTGAACATGTCAGATTTAAACAAATCAAAAATAGAAGGCTTTATCGCCCAAAAAAAAATCAAATTATCACATAATCAAAAAACGCTCAATCTCCTTATTATTTTACTGTCTGAATGGCATGTACTACTAAAGAAATTTGGAGGGGTAATGGCAGACTAGCGTTTTTTTTTTTTTTTTTTTTTTTTTTTTTTAGATGAAACAAGACAACACATAATAAGTTAAAGCGTCATAGTGAACTTAGATTGTTCCTTATCCTGGTGAGCAAACTTAAATTTATAAATGGTTCTATATCGTTTTTTTTTTTTTCTTTCTTTCTTTTAAATATTTTATTTTGTTCCATTTTTTCTGTCTGATTTTTTTTTTTCGATTTGTTTAAACCTAATCTTTGACTCTTTTATAGATATGATAAAAAAAGTATATTATATCTAGCAAGCACTGAAAAACTCAACAATAATGAAATAGAAGTGTACAATAAAGTTTCTGAATAAATGATAGATAAGGATGAAATTAGAGACATCATTAGGAGAATTGGGACTCGTAGAAAATATAAAAACAAAAGTCACTATGTAGATGCATTCCTAACCCTTTACAGGACAATCCTGAAGTGATGAAATTCTTATTTCAAGAAAGAACTATATATTACTAGTCATAATAAAGACATCTAGATTTATATTTTAGAGATAAGTTTTACTTGATTTAAAAAGTATAGTCCATTAGTAGGAATAAAATAATTATGCTACATAAATACATTTTTGCACTTCTTTAAAAAGTCACGCTTCAAGTCAACAAAAAAAAAAAAAAATAAATAAAATAAAATAAAATAAAACTTTTTTACCTTTTCATTCCTATAAATAAAGTTTTCAATGGAGAGGGCACAAGATCCTGAAAATGCTGTCATCTTTAAGCAATTTGAAGAAGCTTGTTCTGATTTCCAGGTAAATCATTAGCATCGAGATTTACATTCTAATGCGATCTAAACATACTATTTTGTATTCAAAAAAAAAAAAAAAAAAAAAAAAAAAAAAAAAAAAAAAGGTACCTGCAACAAGAGCAGCAGCTGAACAGGTATTAACACAATTTCGTCAAATTCCTAAAGTTTTGCCAGCATGTCAATACATTTTAGGTAATCGCTTATAAAATTGAATCCGAGATCTATCATATTAACATGTATATTTAGAGCACACTGCAAGTCCTATGGTTCAATTTCAAGTTGCTCTAGCAATTGGTGATATTGCTGTTCGAGATTATACACTTTATGAAAAGAGTGATTTGTTACGTTTGAAAAACTACATGATTGAGTTTTGTCTTCAAAGAGATAGGTATATTTATTTATTGCTTATTATAATATTTGATAACTTATATATACTATATATAGCCTTGTGAAATATGTGCGTGATCAGCTTGTACTAGCTGTTGCATTAATCACTAAACGTAGTTTATTTGATGTGTCCAATGAAGATAGAGAAGCCATCTTGTTACATGTTAAGCAACTATTGCAAATGAATACTGATAATGCAGTAAAGTATTATCCTTACCTTCTACTCTAATATATCTAATCTAATTTAATTTATTTTGTCTTTTAGCAAGTGCTTTCACTTGCCTTAGCTAATGGCCTTATTGATCAATTTTCAAATACAAAATCAACTACAATTGGTTTGACTTGGGAGCACCATCATAACTGCAAGCTTTTCTTTGAAAATACTATTCTGCTACCATTATTCGAAATGGTCATTACTAAACTTCACGAATTTGTATCTCAAGTACAACAGCTACCTGATAATGTACCTGCTATACTTGTTGAAATGCTTGTATTGATTGAAAAAATACTTCATTGGGAATTTGAATCAACCAATACCACACCTGTTTTACCTGGCACGTTTTCAAAGGAATCTAATTTGGATGATTTTGATAGAGAAGATGGACCTTCTTCTGTAAAGAAAACTTATGTAATCTTTCCTAAACAATGGCAACCTGTAATTGGTAGCAGAGAAGTTTTATGGTTATTTTTTATGGTTAGTAAGCTATTTAATATATATGTATATATAACTAACTTTCTCAATAGACTTACCGTCTTGTTCAAGATGAGGATGTTTTAGGACATCGTTGTAGACAATGTTTGATTCAGCTTGCTGGATTTCAACAAGATTTCTTTAATAACAATGCTGAAATGATACAATCTTATGCTACAACAATGATTCATGGTATTCGAAAAATGATAACAGACGTTACTGCATTCGGTACAAGTCCTGATGCTCTAGGAGAACAAGGACCTCAAATGTTAGGTACGATTCAAATGATTCGTCGTTTATTGGAAAATGTTTCACTTGTGAATCTTTGTGCAATTCCTGATTTTTTCCAGTTTTTGAATGAAGTTGGTATGATTACGATTAGTTGTCTTGGAGGGACTGTAGCTGATGTAGATGAAGGATGGCTTAGTGAAGCATGTGATGAATGTTTACAAACTTGGGTTAAAATGGGTAAGGAACAAAAAAAAAAAATGAAGCTAGCTGGTTATCTCTTGTTTTTTTTTCTTAACTTACTTACTTTATTATATAGCTGAAGTAATCCAACCAAGTGATCCACGCGGAAATGATGCTAAATCTGGATTAACAACTGAACAAATTCAGCATTTAACACAATATATGACGAATGTAGCTTATCAAGTTGTAGATGCATACATCAATACTCGTCTTGAGCGTGCTAAGATGGTTTTGAATGATGATGAAGAAGAAGATGAAATTGATGCTGGATATAAAGACTGGGATACATTTGGTGATCAGTTGACATGTATTGGTACTTTAGGCCGTTTAAATCCTCAGCCTAGTCTCATGCGTCTTCAGCAATTATTAGCAGAACGTTTTGAAGCATTTAAAGCATTTTTCATGCCAGATCATGCTGGAAATGAACATGATTTAATCTTGATTCATGAACAACTTCATTGGATTATTTTGATCTCAGCTTATATCCTTGCTGACACAGGCAAAGGTGAACAGCCCATGATTCCAGAGTCCTTAATGCAACTCTCAGGATCTCAAACATACGAACAAGATCAGGTTGTTCGTCTTTCTCAACTCTTTTTAGAGTTGTTGAGGTTTAGTTCTAACTTCAGCACCAATTCTATTGAAGCAGCTAACTGTAGTCCCCGTGTAGCAGAAACATTAATTTGGTATATGGAAAGATGGAGTAAATCATATGTATTATTAGATGAGAATGAATATGGATATATGAGCCCTAACATTGCAAGAGCCTTCGGTAGGCCTGGCCCTTCAGATGGACAAGGAATGCAAATTATTGTTTTTTTCATTGAACAAATGAAGACCAACTTTATGCTTTGGAATGCTGACCCTGATGTTTTGAATCAAGTAAGTAAGCAAAACATATATAAAAACATATATCAAAAAGAGGCGCAATCCAACTTGATGAAATTATAGCTTGTCAAATGGCTCCATTCATGTGGTACATCTAATAACCTCAAAAGTGGATTATTACAATCAGGTAAAATACATACACATATACACTTATATGTATATGTTTATCTTTGAATGAAAGCTTATAAATCTTCTATCATATATAGCCCATTTCCCCGAATTAGTTCAATTTGTAACACAGAATTTGGGACAATTGCCTGAAGTGATTCATAAGTAAGAATATTTGAAATTGTTTCTTTTTTTTTGTGAGAGAGAAGGGAAACTTCTTGAATAATATCTAATATAATATATCAATTTATAGCTCTCTTGTTCAAACCATTGCCACTATTTGTAGCTCTGCCGTTGATGAAGAAACTAAGAATAACTACTTTGGATTGATGTTTAAAATGATTGAAGATCGTTTAGGATCAATCCTTCATCGACCTGACTTCCAACAATGTTACCAACAAGGCGGAATAATTGACAATGTCATTAATGCCTTAGAAATGTTCGACGGTTTAGCACTTTCATGCCAATACAGCAATACACAAATCATATTTTCTTTTTCTGCACGATTCTTTGAAAGCTTTGTACAGCTTATGAATATCTATAAGATTGCACCTGAAATTCAACTAGCTATTCTACAACTCTTTTCTGATCTTTGTAATCGATTAGATTTTGGATTATTAAGTAATGAAGAAAAGCAAATGTTGTATCATACTATTATTGAAATCTTGAAGATATATGGAGCAACTAACCAAGGTAAAAAAAGATTACATTCACAAGAGGAAGAAGAAGATAAGCCCTATGCAGATATTTCGACTGTCTTGATCATATTATCGAACATTATGTCCTCTGGAATAGAAGACTTTAGTCGTAAAGGACAAGAACATTCAGATGTAGCAGATGTTGTTTTGTTTGGTGTTAACATAGTGATACCTATGATTGACTTGGAAATGCTGAAGGTAATTTTTTTTTTAAAAAAATATTAATATTAAACATTACTCTGTATATGATATGCTAAATATGCCTATTATATTAGATTCCAAGCTTATGTCAACAATATATTCGATTGATTTCTCATTTGATAGAGTTATTCCCAGATAAATTATCAGGTTTACCTTCATCCCTTTTCAATAACTTAATGGCTAGTTTGGAATATGGTGTCCGACATGATATTTCAGACGTAAATGTATTAACTTTACAGGCTATTGCTCCATTGACTATTTGGGCATATCATCAACAATTACGGGGCATTAGTATTGATTTCTTAAAGGAGGCATTACAAAAATTCTTACAAGAGTTACTTCATTGTTTATTATTCCAACATTTGGATACGAGTATTATAGATGCAGCCTCAGATGCCTTGCTTGCTTTGATTTGTATACAAAAGGTAACATTATATTATGTATATATGAATTATAACCGATCTATTTAAATATATACATATATTATTTAGGATATTTATATGATATTGGCAAATCAAATTATTTCACAACAATCAATGGAAATCCAAACACGCTTATTAAATGCCTTTGAAAAATTAGATCACGCTACACCACAACAAGGTACACCATTAAATAGAAATAATACTAAATTTAAGGAAGCATTATTGGCTTTCTTGATGAATGTTCGCGCTGTTTTAAGAGTTAAATAATACAAAGAAAAGAAGAAAGTATAATAAAAATATGTAAATATGTCTTATATAAAGTTTAATAAAACAGTAGTTGAATACTTGGGATACAATTAAAGCAAATGAAATAAGTACTTTCTAGTAACAGTCTTACTAAATACATATATATATATATATATATATATATGAATATATTGATACAAGTATGCATTTTGCTACTTTAATTTTTTATACAACAGATGCTTCTTATAAAGTCTCTTGGATAACAATATACTCATATATATTGCATCATTTCCCTTTGCTTTAAATTACCTCTCCTCTACCCTTACCCACAGCGCAACAAATACAAATATTTAACAGCAAGTATTTGACTTTGTAGATTCTTCTTTAACGCTACATTTACTCTATTTTCGTTCCAAATATACAAACAATTACTACTTTGAATGAATCATAAGCATTCATTTATAAAACATAAACTAAAGCGTCAAGACATCAGATCAGTTTTATTTATTACTTGGACTTGGATTTTTTTTTTTTTTCTAAATTTGAAGAAAAAAAAAATAGAAGAAAGGGTTATATATCAAAGAGTGAGTAAATAAAATCAAAGCATTGTTCCTTCTTCAATTTGATCATCAATTACTCCTTGACGTCTAATTAAATCGATTACAAATTCTGATATTGACTTTGCCTCTGCCATAGCACCCATTCCTTTTAAAGAAAAGAAAAAAAAATATGTCAAAATTGAAGCTGAATTCATTCAGTTATTCTTTTCTTTTACCTGTATCCCCACAAGCTAATCTTTTATTTATAGGCTGAATAATAATAAACTTAAGAATATCTCTTAAAATATCTAAATGCTTTGATGTGAAAGGATGTGTCCACATACTTGTATTCATAGCAGGGCAAGCAATCACAGGTTTTTTGACGTCCCAAGCGCGAAGTATACATGTCTAATAATACAAGAATAAGTTTTTTACGAAACAAATAAAATCTGGTTGCACTTACCAATAAATTATCACATAAGCCATTTGCTATCTTTCCCAATGTATTAGCATCTAATGGTGCAATCACCATTATGTCTGCCCAATTTCGTAACTAAATAATGATAATAATAATAATCAATATCTTGCATATAAACTTTGTTTATAAATTTACCTCAATGTGTAAAATTGGATCGCTAACCTTCCTCCATCCCTAAAAACACATGTACATGCATTAAATTAAAAAAAAAAAAAAAAAAAAAAAAAAAAAACGAATAATAAGAAATAATTAACTTACATTCCATTCATCTTGGTCCCTATATACATTACAGTCTATTTTCTCATCTTTTACAAAATGATAAGCTGCGTCTGTCAATACAACTTTTATGTTTATGTTAGGATACTAATTAATAGTTTAAGAAAAATTGTAAAAAAAAAAAAAAAAAAAATCGATTGAAATGAAAGTTGCTTACTTCTTTTAATAATTTGACAAGGATAGGCACCTTAATAGTTGCCACACTTCCAGTAGCACCAATAAGTATATTAGTCATATTGCAGGAAGAAAAGACAAATAAATGAAAAGTACTGAGTATAAATAATTTATAATTTTGTCACAAGCAGTGATAGCGCAGCATAAAATGCCAAAAAAAGTGATTTTGAAAGGTGTCTCGTGAGCTCCTTTTTTTTTAATATAGATACATGTATTCATGACTCTATCATCTTTCATGGTTTTATATAGTACTTCATTATAAGGTTTATTATTTAGTTGACCTGATGACATATAAATTTGCAAATAATAATAAAAATAAGATTTGCAATACGCATGTTCTCGGAATACTACTGTTACTAGACTTTTATGTAAAGCTTATTTTATGTTGAAGTAATTCTTTTTTTTTTTTTTTATTCTTATTATTTTATTATGAATTTTTACCTATTCAGCATATGAATACAGAAGGTAATATATATATATATGTATATATATTAACATAATAAAAGTATGTTCAGTTACTTGATTAGTTATGTATTTTTTCGCTACATAGACAATTATTTTAATACATGTCGTGAATGTCATAAACCAATTATGACACATCAACAAAGATCATTAAGAATGACTGGAACATTAAACAATGAGAAAAAGAAGAAACGTCAACAACAAAAAGATAGTAAATCTATTTTTATAAAGATAGATAAAATTTTAAAAATTGTGTTTTGTTATGGCAGTAACAAGAAATGGAAAAAGAACAATAAATGTAAAATAGAAGAAGTAGTAAATCACTGTAAATGTTCTTCTCTTCCCATTAGAAAGTTATCAGATTCATTGATAACTACTGTCAACTTCCATGCTGAACCATCGTCTTACGATCATCAGAACCCAACAGGTAAAAGTAATATAAATGATGTTACCTTTAACATAGACAGACATATATTTGTTTATATAGACTTTAGTACTGGTCATCACTGGATCTTTAGGACTGGTTGGACACCACATCCTAATTTATTATCAGCAACAACGGGTTTGTGTGATAACTGTCATGAAAGGGTTCACAAGGATTCAAGACAATGTCCACATTGCGGTGAAAATGTTCTATTCTATATATAATAGTATACTGTATTACGTAATAATATAAGAATGATATACATAAATTTTTTTTACAAAATAGGCTTTCTATATTATTATGTTGAAAAAAAAAAAGGGCAACAATCCTAATGTTGATCCCTTTCCTTTAATAATACCTTTATATAGAAAATATATCTAAATTGAGAATAATTAACAGGCAACTTTGTTCCTATGGAGATTAAGGGGAAGAGTGCTTCTTTTTTTTTTTAACAATATAGGGAATTATTCTCTGTCTGTGAATATCTTTAATGTATATTTACTTTAACTGAAGTTTGTGTTAAAGATAAAATACATGTATAATAAATATAGTACTAGTGTATATATAATTTTGTTGAATAGAAGGTTCTGTAATGTGTTTAATAATAGACTTCTTTATCTATAAAAGTCACATAATAGATTACCTGCCTTATAAAATATATAAATGTCAAAAAATAAAAAATATACGCAAGGTACCTGTTAAAATAGGAAAATTGAAATCGAATCTGTGTTTCAAAATCAAAAAAAAGATCTACAACATATTCCTGGTAAATTAACAAAAATGTAACAACAATAACTGCGTCACTTGATGTTTTTCTTTTTCACAATTTTTTATTTGTATACAAATATGGATCTATGATCAAATTATTTCGCAATGCTAAAAAAAAAACTATTTTTATAGAAAATTGCCTTTATTTATACTTTTTTTCTTGTTTTCTATAGAAGAAAAATGGAATATCTGTCTTATTAAAAAAAATAGCTTTTTTTGTTTCGTTTACTATTTTTAACTTCTTTTTAATACTAAGAAGTAAGGCTTCTTTTTTTTTTTTTGCTACTTTTTAAACGGAGACAAGTTCAATGTATATTTTTATCTTGAAGAAAAAAAAACTCTTTCCATGCTGTTGATTCTTCAATAAAATAATCTTTGTACAATGTGTAGAATAAGTTAACAATTCTAAATTTGGAAAAATTGTTAACAATTCTCTATAATTATTAATAAATAATGTGCAACCGTTTATTCAAGAATAATCTGGTCCAGATTGATTCAATGTAACATAATACTGTGAAAAGTGCGTTTACTCGTTTTTTTTTTCTATTCATAAAACGAAAGTTATACATCATTTGTTTTGTTTTTTGTTTTTTTTTTTTTTTTGAAACCCAAATTATAAAATAAATAGCAGTTTTTTTTTTTTTTTTCTTTTTTAATTCCGCTTTCTATAGTAGTTTCTCTCCTTTTTGCACATATAAAACTCGGTACTTTTTCTTTTTTGTTAATTACATTTTTCCTTTATCTTTTTTTTTTCTTCTTCTTCTCCTTTCGATCTATTTATCTTACCTTCATTTATAAAATATGACTTGGAAAATTACTCTTGCATCGATTGCTGTTCTAGCAGGTGTAAATGCAGTTACTACTAATTATACCAGTAATACTGATCCCACAAATATCACTCTTCCTGATATTCCTCAAGTTACTTCTCATGATCCAGCTCAACAATGTGTTTACTACAACTCTCCTTACACCATTTCTCCTTCTGAATGGCCTACTGTATGGGATATTGCTACTTCCAACGGTATAAATAAATCACCCGAGTTCCAAGCCTTATATAACTCCATTGATTGGACTAAAGTACCCAACATTCCTGTCAGAAAACTCACTGCTGCTGGTGGCCTTGATATGACAGGTTATGATGCTGTTAATGATCCTGACTGTTGGTGGTCCAGTTCTCAATGTAAGACACCCAAGACAGCAGGTATCAATGCTGATCTCTATGCTTGCCCCGAGCCTGATGTTTGGGGTTTAACATTTGATGATGGACCCAACTGTTCTCATAATGCCTTTTATGACTTTTTACAAGAAAATAAACAAAAGGCTACTATGTTCTATATTGGTTCTAACGTTGTTAATTGGCCATATGGTGCTCTTCGTGGTGTCAGAGATGGTCACCAAATTGCTGGTCATACTTGGTCTCATAAAATGATGACTACCTTAACCAATGAAGAAGTTCTTGCTGAACTTTATTATACTCAAAAGGCTATTAAATATGTTACCGGTGTTACTCCCAAGTACTGGCGTCCTGTAAGTTTATATTTACTCTTTCCTTTTTTTTTAAAAAAATAGCTAAACTAACCAACTATATACATACATACATACATACATACTGTTATTTATATAGGCACTTGGTGATTTAGATGATCGTGTTCGCTGGATCGCTACACAATTAGATTTAACTGCTATTATTTGGAACTTGGATACATTTGACTGGGCTGCTAATGTTCAACCTGGTGTTACTACTCAAACTGTTGATGACTTGTATACTTCTTTTATCGAAATGGGCAAAAACGGTACATTTGATCACAGTGGTAATATTGTTTTATCTCATGAAATTAACAATCAAACTATGGATTTCTTTATGAAACATTACCCCGAAATCAAGAAGGCCTATAGTCATGTTTTAGATGTTGCTACTTGTATGAATATCACACATCCTTATGCCGAATCTACAATTACTTTCCCCACTTTTGAACAAGTAACTGGAGGCTCTTCTTCTAATTCTACTATTACACCCGGTGCTTCAACAGTTTCTACTAAGGCTAATTCTGGTAATACCATGTATTCATTCAACAGTGCTCTCTTCATTGCTGCCCTCTTTGGCATTTTAGTTCTTGTTTAAATTATTTTCTTAATTATATATGTATACATCAAACAAACCATATATTCCTTATTAAATAGAAGTAACATATAATTCTCCTCCGTTTTCCCCCCCCTCCCTTTGATATCATATTATACAAAAATAATAAATTTGTGTATCTGTATATATATATATAAAAAAAAGAAAAAGTCCCGACATTAAATACCTTGTCTAACACTTAATTGGAAATGTATATTGGAGATACGAGGATATTTCCCTAATATATGCTAAGAATATAAATCTTTCCCGAATATTACAATAATGTATCTTCTTCTAATAGACCCTTAAAAAAATATAACATGCTTGTTTAGCTAAGCTATTTTTTTTTTCTTACTTATCTAAGCATGTCAAAAAGAAATAATCTGTGATAACGATCTACCGAACATCTTTCAGAATTATAATCAATTTACAGTTTTTTAATATATTATAAAACAATTAACCTTTGATATAAAATATCAATTTAAGTGAGTAATGTTAACTTATTTAAAGTTATTTCATTCTTCTATTATTATATGAGCAGAGAAAGATTCATACATGGAAATAAACCAGTAATGGATTAATAAATATCCATTTACTCCTCAAACACAGTGAATTATTTGTTAACAATGATTGTAATTGAATGACTTAATATCACACCTTATTCAAAGAATGGATAAACTGTTAGAAATGGCATATCAATATTTTAGATAATCATGATACGCTTGCTCGATCGATTAATGTCATGAATATTTGCTAACAATCTTTTTTTTTTTCAAATTACACTGTGTTACTCTGCTTTTATTTATTATGTAATATTACTACGGGTTATGGTCCAAATTGGCACTTTTTTTTTCTTGTTCCATTCTTGTCATTGAACTGCATGGTATTAGTTTTCAACTTATGCCCCAGAGTAGTATTACAATGACGATAAACTAATATACGTAATTGATAAAAAAAAAAAGAGGGGAATGAACCCCATACATAATAATATGCAATGTTATTATTATTGTGCTGTATGAAACATATAGTAGCCAAGTTGCAATAACTGTATGCATAATTCTGAAAATCACTAGAAAAGCTATTTTTTATAATAAGAACTTATTTGCATAAAGCTCATAATAAAGTTTTAAAAATTTATATACATATTCTTTCTTTGCGATTTGATTCATATTTCTTCTGAACTTTCAATTTTTTTTTTCCTAGTGCTTCATTCTTGCTCTTGTTTGAACTGCACTAAGCATATATATATTAACAACTCCAGATTCACTGATAAGAATGCATTAAAAAAATCAATAGGTTATAATCTCTTATAATAAAATTATTTTATTGCAGTTTTTTTTCTTTAAAAAAAAAGCTGAAACTCTCAAATACCCTTATTAAATTATCTACAGCTTCGTCTTATGATTGTGTATAGTTTTCTGTCAAAAAACTCTAAAAATTGTAGTTTCTTAAACTTCTTAAAATTGAACTTTTAGAATTATTGGTCAGGCTCTACTTTCATTTCCTTACTGTATCATACTGGCCATCAGTTTTCATTGTTTTGCGGTTGAAAGAAAGAAAGAAAAAAAAAAGCTTTCTTCTAATCATTATACATATTGGATACTATAACTACTCCCAACAACGCATAATCTTTCAGCAGCATGCAATTTTTTCTACTACTTTTTTTTTTTAACTACAGCTTCTAATTTGTTTTCTTTGAGATCAAGTTTAATTTGAATGGGGTCACGCTTTTTTTATTATTATTATTATTAATAGTTTCTTTTTTAAAACTAAGCGCATCTCTCTTCTCAGTGATGTAATACATGTCTATAATACCATTTTCTATAAAAGAAAATATATATTCTACTATATACATTTAAAAATGTTATACAGTAGTTCAAGCGCTAATAGAGTGGGATTTTTTTTTCTTTTTTTTTTTTTAACCGTATTTTAATTTGGGATCGGAACAAAAAGAAGGGGCCCAAGCTCTTTATATAAAACGTAGAAAATCTTCTATAGTAAGTAAATAAATTTCAAAAAAAAAAAAAAAAAAAAAAAAAAAAAAAAAAACACAGATTTTATTAATCATCTTTTACTAAGCATATATTATTAAAGCTCTTCAAGAAATTCAAAACTGGGTTTATTTATGGAACTTTTTACACTTTGAAATGACTATTGATTTAATAAACAAACATGTTTGCTTTTATTAGGATGTTGTATTCATTTATTTTTGCTAATGATATCAAACACGTTAAGCAGAACACAGCAACTTTTTTAGAATGATTATTAAAATGTTTGTGTCTATTGATCATTTAGAACGATAAAAAAGTTTGTAATATAAACAAAAAGACAGCATGATACATTTAGTTAACGGCTAAACCTTCTAAATTGGTAACAAAGTTTATAATTGCTTGTCTCCGTTGTAGTAACTTTGGGGATTTTATCGGCTAAAGATTTTAACTTACGGTTGATAGTGGTATGTGAAACTATTTATTTTTAAATGTTGCAAATAAGGACTAGCGTAACTCTTTATTCCTAAACTATTGCTATTACTGAAAATATAATAAATAATCTTTTCTGGAGTAAGTGACGTGTCGATACTGATTTATAGTGAATACTGTAATATCTCTATTAAGAGATGAGTATAAAGTAATAATTATATCTGAGAGGGATAAGAAAAGTATTAAGCTACTATTGAAGCATAGTTAGTATTGCTAATGAAGCGTATAGCATTTTCAAACTTACAAAAGATCATATAAATAAGTTCTTTACTATTTATGTATTCAGGCACTGTTAATCTGAGATTAAATAAGGAGCCAAATTATTACTTGATAAAAAATATCTTTCTGTCTTTCTGTCTTTCTTTTTTTTTTTATTTATTTATTTTTCAATAAAATAAGCTGTTATAGTTTACATTTTATTATTAATGCAACCAGAAAACTTGCCAACAGAAGTATTTGTACAAATCTTTAAATTAATTTACAAGAAAAGCTTGTATTCTTGTCTATTTGTATGCAAGCGATGGAATGAAATTGCAATACGTATATTTTATGAAAAACTTGACTTGACAGGGAAAAACATTGAAAAGCTACATTCAGTATTGCTTATAAATTCTCAACATCAAGTCCTTAAATGGGGTCCGTTTGTTAATGAATTGAGAATTAGTTATGATGAATATGAAGGGTCAAGATTCTTTGCTACAACAAGTTTAAAAGATAAACATGAAGAGGGGATTCAAAAATTATCACAAAATGAATTTCTCATGTTAATATCTAATATGATTAATGTAAAGAAAATTGATTTATCAGGAAGTATATACTTTGAATATTATATAAAACTTTTACGTCAAGTTAATAACTTGAGACAGCTTGCAGAAATCTCTAAAGATTCTCATTCTTTAAACCACTCAGAGTACTTATTAACATGTTATCACTTTCGCAAGACCCTGACCCATCTTTCTCTTTATTATTATGAATCGAATCATACTATAAAAAATGTCAACCGTGTTAATATCTTACCTGAATTTGAACAATTAACAAGCCTGACATTTGAAAATAATCGCGATAAACGTTTAACATTATTTGATATCTTGACCATTTGCCCCAATTTAAAAAGTCTTGTATACATCAATAACTTCCAGGTGCCTGATGAATATATAAATGAGTCGTTAATCAAGTTTACTAGACAAAATAAAGTTAAAAATCATAGGTTACAAAAACTGGTTATACACCATCCATCATTTACTGCTTCTTATATTAAATATATAACAAAGTATAGTCCAGTAAGTTTAGAAACAATTAAAATTTACTTAATGGATATAGATTTGTTTGATTGGTTTGAAGAGGAAGGGATGGAGAATATCCTTGATCTTGGACGAAGGATGAGTCTCGTTAAAAATTCACATATTTACACAAATCCAGAATATATTAAAAGAAAAGATCAAGATGCAGACACAGATGTAGAAACGAAAATGACCTACTTTTATAGTCTAATAAATGCCTTGAAGGGCAATCGTCCGTTGTACTGTAGTTGCACTTACAGTGAATTAAAAAGCAGTGAAAACATAATATCGATCACTGACAATAAATATTTAAGATTTCAATATGGAATTAACCATGAAAACTTTCCACCAAATACAGATATAAACAGCGAAGAATGGCTAGCAGACCCCTTTCATGATTTAATTTTACCAAACTTACATGTGTCAAAAATAGGTCTAGAGATAATCAATTCTTTTACTTTTTATATACTTCAAGATCAGCTCCAACAAATTCCTATTGCCTTATTAAAATATGCTTTCGACAATTGTCCACACCTTTCTTTCCTAGAGATCGATTGTATGAATGCAAAGTTAGAATTTGCTACCGGTGTCATATATAGAGGTTATAATCAACATTCAGGCTCGGGGAAGGCGATACACGAGAATCTCACTCGAATAAGATTTAATGGATGTGTTGGAATAACTGACGAAATGGCCTTTACTTTATCAACATATTTACCAAATATCGAAGGAATCATGATCAATAAAGGGTATCTAAACAAATGGCATCATCAAGATCGAATTAAAAAATGCCATGTAATCGATTTAACACCTTTCCCTCATTTAAAAAATTTCTGTTATGAAATAAATCAAGTTGTGGAATTAGATAATGAGAAAGTCTTTATGGAATTTTTATCTAACGACGACCCTACTAAAGATAGCTGTTATGAAGTAATTAAAGATAAGAAAAATATGTATGCAGTAAAAGAAACTGCAATGATGTTAAACAGACAAGAATATGCAGAGAATACTTCAATTATCACAGTTAAATCTAACCACGTTCTTGATAAGATTGTCGTGTATAATCATTATCGTCTTCTCTTTCGTTTACAAATGGGCAAGCTAGCTCCTTTAATAAAAGGATACGTTGATTGCCATACATTCTTGGATGAAGAAAATGAAGATTATGTGCATATATTTGATGACAATTGAATATAGTCTTCTTTGATTACGTTGAAAATATCTAAATCTACAGTAAATTAGTATACATACATGCATACATACATACATACATACATACATACATACATACATACATACATACATACATACATACATACATACATACATACATACATACATACATATACATACATATATCACTACAAATAAAACTCTAATTTCAGTATACTGAAATGTTACTGAAATTAGACATGTCAATAATATTTCGATAACATGTCAGTATTGTGAAAGGTAACCTTTCATAAACTTTTGTTTCATAACTCAAAGCTTCTATTGGATTACGATTCGTTAACCTTCGTTATTTATTTACGTTTTTTTTTTTTTTTTTCGCTCTTATTGGCCTTTACATTTAAATTAAACACTTACTTATTCGTTGTATTATGATACATTTGTTGACAAGATAGAGATAAAAAAACTGAGTGCAAAATGGATATCTTGTGGAGAACGGGGTTATTTCGCGACAGGAACAGAATGAAGATTTCTTGAAAGAAGAATATTTCCCATAGAATGTTTAAAGTTATTGTGTTTGAGCTCTCTGGTCTTTGCCCTGATTGAGAATTAATCTCAGTTAACTCAACTCTAATAAAAAATTAAATTATTCGTATTCGTGCTCAACCCAACCGGTTCTGTTATTTTTCTTGAAACCAAATAATGAGATCTAGCTTGTTTATATTTGTGAGTGATACAAGGAAGATGCTTTGTATTATATTCATTCCTCAATGTACTACTTGAATAAATTTCATTATATTGTATAGTGTATAGATAGTATATGATTATATTAGATAATAATGTGGATATATAACTAATAGATACACTCTATAATTCATTTATCTTTATCATTATTTCGTAACGTTAATATTTATTATAAATTGAAATCAACTAATCTTGTATGCATAAATTGTACAACTAATACACTTGACGAAAATAGCTTGGTCCAATAAAAAAAACCATCGGCTATTTTGAGAAGAAAGTGGGACAGCCAATGAAAATAGGACAACAATATGAAAATAGGACACTAATACGAAAAGGAGATACCCCTCATTTGTTTTAACCAATTTTTATTTTATTTAAAGCTTTTTTTTTTTTTTCCTTGCATTTATTCATCTTTTCTCTTCCTTGAACTTTCTTATTTTGCAATATGAATGAAGAATTTACTTTTGATGGTGAGACATTGCCTGTAATGATTCAATTATACATGGATTGGGAAGAGTCTGCAGTAATAAACGCAGAAAAAAGAAAAATGGCTAAGAAGCAGACTAGCTCTAATTCTAAAGGGCTCTCCCTTGACAACAAGAATAAAAGGAGATCGTACATCACAAAAAACGAGCTAAAAGTAGTAAACTTGATCAACTTGATGCAAGAGTTTGAGAATATGTCCATCCGTGAAGCAAAATATTATGAGTGGGGGCTCCCTAAATCAACAGCCATACGTAAGCTCAAAGAATGGAGCGAAAGGACAAGTAACATAGATGAGAATGGCTTTCCTGATACTATTACGATAGGGGAGCACAAAGGGCGGACAACAATACTTAAAGATGAGCACATTGTCTTTATTTTTGAAATGCTACTTAATGAGTCAACAATGACCGTTGAAGCTGTTATAGATCAACTTTGCGAGGAGTTGAAGAATATAAAAATGACTCCCAGAATCAGTAGCAAACCACATGAAGAAGAAATGCCGCCCTTACTTACAATCGTATCTTGCCTAGTTATTTTGCTAGAAATGCAGATACAACATCTTGCCAAAAGACGAAATGCTGTAACTCATTGGATTCATCAGAATATAGACTTTATGAATGAATGCGTATTCCTGAATGAAGCTGGTTTCAATAGGGACATGCATCGCTCTTATGGCTGGTCTGAAGCTGGGGGACCTTGCAAGATCAATGTTGAGACAAAGGGACTAAATGTCAGCATTTTGGGTTCTATTTGCAAGAGTGGCCTGATTACACTCTCCAGAAAAGAAGTTATTCTTAATACAGAAAGCAGAAAACGATCACGAACTGGGGAAACAGCTACTGCTACCAAGAAGAAGGGTACAACTAGCAACGACTTTCTCAAATTTGTAGAGCAAGTTTTTGCTACACTGGATGCAGCTAACATGAACTACAAGTATTTAGTCCTTGACAATGCGCCCATTCACAAACCTGTGCTTATTCAGGGCTGGGTGGAACAACAAGGATATCGGCTTCTGTTCCTTCCACCCTCTTCTTTTTTTTTAAAAAAAAATCATCCAATTGAAGAGTTCTGATCCAAGCTACAAACTGTTGTAAATAATGACCCCTCTTCAGTCAGACAGAAAGAAAGAGAAAATTAGTGAACGTATTCGCAAGGTGTCAGTACATATCAGTAGGGAAAATTGCAAGAGTTGTACACGACATTCCTTGTCATTCTGGCAAAGATGTTTAAACTGTGAAAAAGGTTTGTAAAGAACAAAATAAAGATCATATAACTCATTTTCATATTATTGACCCATTGTTAAAACAGGTATCCACTTTCTTCACAAGATGGCCCATGGTTTTTTTTTTATTAAACCAAGCTATTTTCGTTCACTGTAACTATAATATCAGTCGGTCCTTCATGACTCTGATCTGTATATTATAAGATATTATGTAACACATCATTATATTCACAACTAAAGGTGAATAATTAAATTCCAAAAGTGGCTTATTACGCTATCAAAAAGAAGAGAAAACTCGTTATCTCAACTTTTTTTTAAAAATGAAAGAGATAAAATAGAGTTATACTGTAATAATCTACAATCTGAAAACATTTCGCTTGATTTGAAAGCATATTGGGTTCTTCAAATCGACGAATTTGCAAAGGCAAACCCCAATATTAAAGTAAAATTCAATTTAATTTTTATATTTTAGCAACACAACAATTAATATTCTATTTTGAAGGTAATCAAAGACTACTATCTTTTTGATTTCGTTGATTTTGAAGTAGCCCGTAAAAATGTGAGTGTAGTTTTTCATTTAAAAAAAAAAAAAAAAAAAAAAAAAAAAAAAAAAAAAAAAAAAAAAAAAAAAAAAAAAAAAACCATTAATACAGCTAATGAATTGTATAAATTGTAGCATTTATTGTCAAATAAAATGAAACGGGATATCATGGAGATGCGTACTTCTATGGTGAATAGTTTGTTCGTTGTAAGTATAGTCAAACACTGAAGTTGAATCCATTTTAACTTATTATAGTCACAGAATGGACAAACAGAAAAAGGCGGTATCACTCCCCTATCAAGTGTGTCTATTTTTAAAAGACTTGAAATAGAACGAAAAAAATTGAACCATGAAGAAGAGCTTCATAAGATAGAGTAAGCCCATATATTTATTGCTTTATCATTGAATTATATATTTAAACATACTTTCTTTTAGTCTTTTATATTATCATATAATCGATTTTTCAACCTCCAAGCTCAGTAGTTCCACGTATAAAGTATTTACGAAAGAGGAACGCAAAAAGTACAACAATGATTATAGATCCTACATGAATATACATGCAGAAACATCAATCTCTGTGAAAGATTCTGTAAAGGTAATTAATTGAAAATTCAAAAACAGTATACTTGTCATCTAAAAATCGATTTAGAATGCAGGAACCATGAGACTAAAGGATCTATTAAAGAACGCAAAAATAGCAATAAGAAGTTCTAATGGTACCAAAAACAAGAAGAAAGTATTGAAAATTTGTAAATTATAGTAAGTGTGCCATTTTAGACAATATTATATTAATTACTGATGCCAACTATCAGTGGTGATATACTCGAAACAGATGACCAAAACAAATTTCATTGTTGTCTAAACGAAATTGAATACACACATCAATTCATTTACCCTGCTTTGAAAGAAGTTTTGTATGATTTTCAAGTTAGATTCAAACTGTAAGTATGATAATTACTATTACTATGCACTCTTTTAAAGTGTCATTTATTTTATTTGTTAGTGGAGAGCCTCATTTGCAATGTGCCGCAGCAAACATGAATGATGACCAGCGCACGCAATCTGGACCAAAAATGGATATCATTATGCTACACAAAGTACACCAATTTGCAATCAGCATTTGCGAGGTACACCTTTTACCAAAACGGTGTCGCACTTTTTAAAAAAATGATGTCGTATTTTTAAGAAAAAATAGTGTCGCACATTTTGAGAAAATAGTGTCGCATTTTCTAGAAAAAAGACATTGCATAAGTTAAACGACATCTTCTTTTTTCTCGAATTTACTTCAACAATGAGCTATAAATTTATCATGGAAGATGGAAACAGAAAAACTGTAGATGAGGATGGGAATGATCCTATGGAGATTGAAGATGAGGAGGATCCGTATAAACTTGATGAATTATCATCTTATACTGCTTATATGACAGTAGTATGAAATATGCTTGCTACGGAAGAAAAAGTTTAAGACGTTCAGCCAGAAGCAAGTAATAATAAAGAAGAAAAAACATATCATAATAAGGGAGACTCATCTCTGAAGGGAAACCGAAGCAACGAGGTTCAGGCACATGCTGTTCATTTGGTGGATATCTACCCGAAACAGAGCGCGATAGTTGTTGCCATACAGCTTAAACTGGAGCCAAGAACAGTCCAAAGATGGTACTGAAGTTGGGAGACTGATCCTGACTCATTATTCAAGACTGTCAGTCGTCTGAGAATCATCGAGCCGGAAGGTGAACTAGCAGAGGCAACATAGAATGTTGTTACTGAGTTCTATTACAAAGAACCTACTTCTACAGTTGGCTAGCCACTCGATCATATGACGCGTGCCTTTAATAATCTAGCAATTAGTAAGAGGACTCTTTATCAATACTTGGCTGATCTACGGCTATTCTCTTTAAAGAGAGTTCAATTAGAACCTATTAACTGAAATACTCCAGAGAGGAGTAAAGCTAGAAAGGAATGGGTAAAAAGCTTGATGGATAAGGACATAGACTACATGTCCAATTGTGTGTTCATCGATGAAGCAGGCTTCCATGCCAATTCAAGAAGAACTCAAGGATGGGCACCGGTAGGAGAGACACCTACTGTAAAGGTGTTTACAGCAAGAGCAAACCTATTATCAACCTTAGGAGCTATATCAGCTAAGGGACTAATTAAAGTCTGTCTGAGAAAGCCCATTCCGCTTACAAAAAAGCGAAAGTTGACAAAGCAGGGAAAAGTTGCTCCGAAAGGTACGGTAACTAATCATTACCTTAACTTTATCGAAAGCGTTTTGTACGAAATAGATAAGTATCCTGAGATGAAGGGACATTACTTGATAATGGATAATGCTCCTATTCATACATCCAAAAAAATTGGAGCACTTGTTGAATCTCGTGGTTATAGATGTATCTATTTGCCACTGTATTCTCCTGAGCTTAATTCAATAGAGCAGTTTTGGTCAGTTGTTAAGAGTGGTGTAAAGAGAGAATTTGTGCTCAAGAAAGACACACTCCCTGCTATTGTCGCCGATACTAGTATCAAGTGCGACATCTTAAATTTTTTTAGCACGACACCGTTTTGGCAAAAGGTGTGTCTTGTCCCAACTTTAAGACAAGCAAAAATCATTTTTTGGGTGAAGAACAAACTTGCAAAAAATATGGGAGCTATATTAAATCATATTGAAATGACTTCTCCCACCCCAAATGCAACAGCATTTAAAAAAATCAAGCTCACTCTATAGTCTGTAAGTTTATTGTAAGTAGCGCTGAAAAAAAAAAAAAAAAAAAAAAAAAAAAAAAAAAAAGCCTTATTGATTTGTAGAAATCTAATTATATTCAATATAAACTTCAGTGAATACACTTTACATTTATAGTTTGACTAGTATTGGATGTGGATACAGTGTATTTTTGTTAGAAAGATCCACTTCAATCCCAACATCATTGTCACTTCCGAAAAACCAATTGCCCCTGTTTTTAGGTTGGCTATGGAACTTAAACGATCTTTTTAAGCAAATGATCGCTAATATCAATACCTTCATCGACCTAAGTCAAGAAGAAGAAGGTTTTTCAAATTGATTCAAGATCCAGCTCCTCATCGTCATCCCTTGAATCAAACATAAGTAAAAGACAAAGATATAATTAGTTTAATATCTCTTGAAACTGCTTAAGTTTTTTTTTAGTACATAAAAATAAAAAAGTATACATCATAAAGAACAATAAATGCATGTCTTTTATTTGTGAACAAACATTACATAATTTGGAGTTAAATAATTATCAGGAACATAAAACTTCTTTCAAACATTTATTCTTTATCACAAAAGTAAGAAAAATATTTTATAATAAATTAGAAAGTTGAGTTTATTACTTGACGTATATTGCTAAAGAAGAAACATAAGCCTAAGACTGAAGCTATGAATTTAGCTTTTCGAACAAATTCTATAGATTGACTCTGCTTAAAATCAGAAAGAAACAGTACTTTTGCATTCAGAGTATTTGATGATTTACTTTAATTACTACATTTATAATATATAATCAACGTCATGGTGAGTATCGTGTTATTAAACCAACCAAAAACCACTTCACTACCTTCTATCCATGTATTCAAATAAACATATATATTCATATCTAGGGAATGATGTTGATTCCGAAAGTATAAAAATGGTGCAGACATCTATGCAGCTATATGAACTATGAGAGGACGTCCACTTAACAGGTATGAACCCAGCAAATAAAACTACCACGATGGTACAATTGTCAAAAACTGCAATAGCATTGAACAGATTGGCACCATGATAGTTACTTACTGATACAAGCCAAATGGGAGAGTCATACAAGTCCATGTTGTACTATAGAGAGGTCATTCCACATTTCCATATATATATACTGCGGAAGAAATATAAATTAGCTTCTTTTAGCATACTTTCAAATAGAGAAACTATTTTTACCTGAAGATTGTTATGATCAATGAAATGAAAAACAATTGGATAAGTACAAAATGCAATTCATATTATTGAAGAGAACAATTCACACAAGAAATTAGCAACAACCATATTGTGCACTTCAAACTTTAAACCATCAATAAAAACGAGTTTTAACAATCCAAATGACGTCACTTGGTGAGTTTGCACTTCATGAATACGTATACACTATTTCCTGAAATTATTGGCGCATAAGTTGGATCAAAGTCCGAAAAAAATTAGGCACAAAAATAAAAAAAAAATAGGCTCAGAAATTATTTTAAAATTGGTTCAAATGTTGGTGGATCAAGTGTGCCAAATTATTTATTTCTTTTAAATGGGTTTACGGTCTAAACAATCGCTAAATTTTGAGATAGAATACCTACAGAAACCTTGACGGTCACTGATAAGTACTCTGTTACAAGCATCCTTGATTCGCGAGGTTAATGTTTTTTCGTCTAAAAGTATCTCTCTCTTTATCTTACTCTTACATACAGACCAAAATTGCTCAATAGGATTAAGCTCTGGTGAGTAGGGCGGAAGATAAATACATCCATAACCTCTACCCTCAATATAGAGTTGGATGTCCTTGTTGGTATGAATAGGGGCATTGTCTATTACGATGTAGTAAACCTTAAATTCCTCATATTTATCCATAACGTCCAAAGTGCTTGTTATGATTGTAGTTGTTTTTATAACTAAGTTAATAGAAATAAATTATACCGAGTTTTCACAGACTTGTTTTCTCTTTCCTTATCTTTTGTACTCAAAACAATTGGTACTTAGCTTTTGTTATGTGGCGTTATTGGGTGGAAGACACTCTGCATTCGTAACCAAATTGTTGAAAAGAGGATAAAAACGACATCATCCTTCGCCTATGTTAAAGGATAGTGCGAAATCTAATCCACATAAACAAAGGAGGACTTGGCAGAGGGCATGCCGTTGCTTCAAACTATTACCTCTATTGAAAGTATATAATTTTATAGCAACTTCGTTAACCATTGCTTCTCAATAACGTCAGAGAATAAAAATGGAGAATAAGAGAAAAAAACTGGTTATCGATAAATTTGATGACGTATTTCGATGCGACGCGTCACTATTTTTTTGATAATTTTCTGATTTACACAGTTAAGCGCATTGTGATATTTCTTTTAAAATATCAAATAAAAATATTAGAAAATAAAAATAATAATAAGACAAAAGAGTCAACGAGACCGAACAATAGTTCTAAAGTCAATTATTTTATTTATGAATTTAAACTGATGGGGTATTTATAAGAATTGTTAAAGAGGTCTGAGGATAGGATGTGAATCAGAAAAGTATTAGTTACGACCGAATTAGGTATATTGTTGACAACAAAGTGTTAGTGATTTTAATATTATTAGATGGAGCGGATCAAGAGAGAGTTAGGATAGAATTTCTTAAATGAATTTATGATCCGCATGTTTAATCATGAAACATGACATTATAAGTCAGCTCATGACACGCATACACTCTGAAACAACTTTCTACTTTTTATCATCAACCAATATGCAAACTCAAACAAAAACTAAAAACACGAAAGTCTATGGACTCCAGAAGAATTACAAGTATAAAGGCTGGCTAGACTCGGTGTTGAATAATTCCAAGCCGAGACTTGACTATTTCAAATTTGCAGACACCTTTAAAAGTAATCAATCTGTGACCAATTGCCATTATAGAGATTTATTACAGACATTATCAAATGGTCAAAGTAATACGCTTACGAAGATTGTCTCTATTGCCAAATCAATATTTGATGTTAGTATATATTATCTAAGTGCGATGCATGCTGCAAATATTAATAAACTTTTAAGTGCAAAATGATGTGAAGTCTGAATTTGAAGAATAATACGCGACGTATTGGGAGCAAAAGGACGAATCAGGTATGCAAAGAACTTTGAGGATCCAAAATCAATGGACAATAAATGTCTCAACAAAACCACAAATAATGAAATAGTAAGACTTGCTGAACAGGGTCGTATTACTTTTATACATCAATGTGCGTTGTTATGATTGTAGTAGCCTTTATAATCAAGTTAATAGAAATAAACCATCATTTATTACATAATAAAGAGGTTATTCAAATAAAACTAATATATTGCGCCTCACAGCATAATATTCATTCCACTCTCAGTTTTGATAATAGTCATTGTTTGAGTGTTCGAGCATTAAAAATAATTATATACATTATATTATGTAATAATAATAATTCAATAGGATTATGACTGTTATATTCAATTACATAATTATTTATAAGTCATACATATTATATATAGATAGCTATAAAGATGAGTATTGTTATGTAATAATATCTTATAGGATAATAATAATAGTAGCATATAAATAATTGGTATTGCTATAGCTGACATGTTCACTGTGAATTAATATTGACGCGTCGCTTACCCCAGAAATAATAATTTAATATTTTTAGTAACAGCGACAGCTCAGGCAGAAAAGAATAAAAATAGATCTTATTGTAGGCAGAATTATTCGGAGAAAATATTTATGACTAATGCTTTATTATAGCAATATTTGCTTATCCAAATCATAGTTCTATTAATATCACTTACCTTGCAAAAACATATAAATAACCCTTTACATTTTCACATAATTTTTCCTTGTACAATTTTTGTATTATTCTTCTCAATAAAAACTACACGAAATTTTCACAGACTTGTCTTTTGTCTTTTTCTCTTTCTTTAACTTTTTGCTTATCAAAACATGCGTCAATCCATAGCAGCTCAACTCATCAATTTCATGAATTACTTAGGCCCACAACTTGGATACAGTTCCTAATGAGACAGCCGGAAAGTCAGGAGAAGTCAACGAAGCAGAAGAAGGAGAAGAAAATTGGACAGAAAGCGGTGCTGAAAGCGGTGCTGAAAGTGATACTGAAAGTGGTACTGAGGTTGCGTAACGGTAAACGGCAAATCTCGCATCTGACAAGTAAGTATTTGTTGCTGTTATTATATTCGTTCATTTGCAGAACTAAGATTGTCAATCGAGTAGAGTTGTCAGATTACAAATTATTGATTTATCATCAACAACGGCTCTGGATATATTGAAATTAGAGATCCCAATTGATCAATTTAACGCAATAATTGAGGCAGCCAATATGGATCCGGTTCCAATGTCCGCTTATGTCAGTGAGTTTAGCAATGCCCTCGATAAAGCGCCATTATCAACTCGTGCATTACGTGAAACACTCTATGATGTTGGATATTGTAAAGACTTTGACCTCGTCGCCCACGATGACGCTAATTTTATGGAAATAACGATACGGTACTTGTAAGTAGCACAAAAAGGGTTCTTTAATTGGCATATTGTTTATATTTACATATCACTAATCCGCACATCTGTAGCTTGGATCTAATGAGCTCTCCAAATAGCCCCTTGAATAAGATTATGCTCGAGAGAACAGCAGCTAGTTATCTGATAATCTACCTTGTAAACCAGTTGTTCATTGCCAATAATGATGTGATTGAACTAGGATGGCTGGGAAGAAAATTTTATTCTACTGACCGAAGCAAATTTGATGGAATTCTTTTTAAAGTTGGGAAGAAATCGATTAGCCCAGGTCTAATCGAATTTTCAGGAGGGATTAATGATAAAACCTTATCTCGAAAAAATTCAAAAGACATTGAAAAGCTGTATAGTAGTATGATCAAAGTTATGAAGGATGCTAAAACTAACCGAATGTTTAGCATGAGATGTTATGGTAATACAGCATCATATGTCTCCAGCTTATGCTAAATTTCCTTTTTTTTTTTTGTAATAGGTCACTACATATACTTTGAAAAGCTCCTTATATTTAATGATACGATGTATAGAAAAATCGACGCAACCATGGAGATCCCCAATACGCCAAGAAAACTAAAAGCGTTCATCAAAAAAATCCCATCAATCCTTGCGTGGAAAGAAGCTGTAACAAGCCATGCTCTTAATTTGAATTAGTTGATTTGTATATCCATCACTTATGAAGCTTTAAAAATATAAAGAAATAAAGTCATTCAATACCATTATTTATACTTGTAATTATTTTGACGAGAAGTTAGTCGAATTATTTGCAAAACAGTGGGCAATTTATTTTCAAAAAGTCAGACATGTGATGGCACGTAATACAATAAAGAGAAATAGAAATAAAAAGAGAACAAAAGGAAATATAGTTTGAGATTATGTTTATTCAATGAAAAGAAAAAATAAATCAAAAAATAAAAGAATTAAAGGTTAAAAATTATTTTGTGTCTACACAACTGCTTGTGTTTATACTAATGAATCCTGAATCAAAGAAATAAAAATAGTTGTTAAAGAACATAAGTCATGAAACAGCGTTAGTACTCAGATATACATTGTGTTGACTCAAGAGACTGATCTATGGATTATATATTGGGTGAAAAAATTATTGTTTGATATGAGTGTATGTTCCTAATATTTTTTTATATTTTATTTTATTGGATCAAAGACGACTTGAATCCTTTATCAACGTTATAAAAATAAAATATTTATAACTGACGCGATATCTTATGTAGTTGACACATTTAGATGATTGGATGTCAATAAGTTTTATATTATTTACAAGATGTTATATACAGTAAGATACAATGTCTTTTATAGTGCTACTTATGCTTACTCTATATTAATATGATTCATTCTTATAACTAAAATATTGAACAAAGTAAATCTCCAAAATGAAGATCATTTTAAATACAAACTAATCGGAGAGGCACGTAAAGTCACGTGATGCTTTCCAAATTAGGAAGGTGTGTTTGTAACTATCCGTTCATTACCTCATAAATCAACAAAGAGGAATTAGCTCAGCGGTAGAGCGGAAGATTGCAAATCTTTAGGTCCCGTGTTCAATCCACGGATTTCTCTCATTTTTTAAATTTTTTTTAATGTCCTCAAATATTGTCATTTCATTGTTATGAAATAACAAGACATTCCATATACAATGATTTTAGACGTAAAACTAATTTCTTTTCTTTTCTTTTGCTTTACTATTTTGAAGTTACAATGAATATTACAATTGTACCGTTTAGAAATAATTTAAATAGTTTATTTCGAAAAAAGATAATAATAATAAAGACGCCTTCTCCCTCTCGTTTTCCAATTAGTATGTTTAGTTATATAAACATTGTACGTACTTCAAAACCAATATACGACACTATTGTCTCCCCTTGCCTTTTTTTTTTGACATTAAAATAAAAACAGTATACAATCAAACTAAATATCAACATTTAAGTTAACTATCAAGAATTAATTGAAGCTACAGTGTCTCCAGATGAAGAGAATAACATTTTATTTTTTAACTTGAGAAACTTTATAAACGTTAGAATTATTTTAATATTTGACAAAATATCACCATTTTTTCACCTGAAAATAATTTATTTTGATATGAATAAGAAATGTGTTGAGCTGATTCCATTTGTTTGGTTTTTTTCTCTTGGTACTAACTGCTGCCCCCTCCCCTTTTTTTTTTTTTTTTTTTTTTTTTTTTTCACTGAGAACTCAGTATTGCTTGAAGAACCTTATTAATCCATTCCTCTTCTCTATAAAAAAATAAGAAGGCAGCATAATGATATAAGATACTAAAGCGTTGTTAAAAGACCTAACGATATAGAGGGAAAAGATGGAGATATTGTATAAACTTTCTAATTAAAGGGATCATAATAATTTTCTTCATCAAGAATTAAGAAATAATATATATTATTATACTCTCATTTTCTTCCTAAAATATGTTTTAAAATCAAATGTATACAATATTAATAAATTCTAAGAAAAAAAAGGAAAAAGAGTTTATGTATTATGTATGCAGTAAAATTAAAACATATTCTGTTTATATTGCTATAATAACTATCATAGATTCACATTGACTATTATCAATTATTGTACAATCCTACTTTTAACAAATTTATTTATACATGTAAAATGAATATCTTAATATCATGGCTTAGTGATATTGTCTTCTTCTGTTGTAGTATCACCATCTTCTACAGGGTTAATATCATTTCCTAAAGCATCCTTTTTAAGAGTAGTACGTTCTGCCATCCAACTATACCATTCTTCTTCTGTTTTACCGTTCAAAATGGCAACAATTATAACAGACATATTATCACATCCAACTGCTCCTCCATCACTATCTGGTGCAAGACAATGATCCATCATTTGCTCACAAATTTCCTCTAATCTTATATTTTGAGAGAGTTGTTGTCGAATATAATTTACAACTTGTTGATTTGTCATACAATCCCAAATACCATCGCATGCTAAAACAAAAAATTCGTCTTCTTCAGTAATTGCGTGTTCAATAACATCTGGAAAACAAGTAACTGCTTGTTCTTTTGGAGATAGATTACTATTTTGTTTAAACTCAAAGTCGCCAATAGCACGCGAGAGTGCAAGATTACCTATGATATTTAAATAAATATCTAAATAATTTACTAGTATTTACTTACCATTGACACGTCCAAATTCAACAAAGCCTCCAGCTTTAACAATACGTTGACTTTCTGTAGGATCAATAGGCTTGTGATCATAAGATAAAGGTTTACTTTTGCCTGCTGTACTAATTATTGCTCTCGAATCACCTGCGTTAGCCTAATAACAAGGTCAATTAAAAAAAAAAAAATAGACATGTATAATTAAATGATTTTTGTACACTTACAACAAATATAAATTTTTGATCAGGAGTCACTAAAGCAGTGACAGCTGTACATCCTGAAGGATCATAGGAAAAGTTTTGATCTATTTTTTTTTTTTCAATTAATTATCGACAGTTTTATTTATTTATTTTAAATTTTTTCCGACTATTTTACCTTTCATCAACTCATCATCTAGTTTCATATAAGCATCTATTAAAGCGTTTGAATAATCTTTTTTCTTAAAAAATCTGATCCAACTACGCGACGATGAAGTGTTTGTCCAGTATGTTGAGCAATTGTTGAACCTTAATGAACATTGTTATATACTTGTCAATGATCTTTCTTTCTTTCTTTTTTTTTTTTTTTCAGACTATTAAATTATAAATTTACCTCCATGACCATCATAAACACCAAAAAAACTTGCATTTGTATTATCAATGTTTAATTCAGCACAATGTGCATCTTCCATTGCTTTTAAGGTTTAAATTAGATAACAAGATGACTAAATAGCAGAAATGATAAACTTACTAAGTCTCCATCCTTGCATACATGAGAGACCGTATGATAAATTTTTGTTTTTCCCTTGATGAGTTACTTTATCAACGATCGGTTCAGAAAGAGTTTGCCCCATGATCAGTAATTGCTCTTTTAATGCTTGTCTAATTTATTAGCATTTAGTTTTCTTTTTCATTTTCTTTATAAACTAAAATAAAATTACGATCTTTTATATTGTCTTAATATTTCTGGCTCGTATTTAGCTTTCTTCTTTTTTGACTTTAAGTCAAACGCTTTTAAAAAGAAAAATCCCAATTTTTGAAAAAAAAAAAATGAAGTTAAAAAAAAAAAAAGAAATAATATCACTAAAAGGGTATTTCTTTGTCACACGTTCAGTCTGAGTAGTAGTAGTCCTGAGATTTCTTAATAAATTTTAAACTTAAAGTGAGACACATTTTAGGAATTTCTAATCTTTTTCTTTTTTTCTTCATTAGAGAAAACAATTCAAACTAGTTAACATCATTAGATGTATTGATCATTATTGTTTTATTTATTCTTTATTTTAGCTTGCACTAATTCGACAAGTAGTCTGCAACATGTTTAATAATCAACTGTTAACACTATGCTAAGAAATGAATTAAATAAATATTTTTCATTGTTACTGATAATAATCTAAAAGAAAAAGATTGCAATATGAAAAAAAAAGAAAAAGATTTATGTTTTATTTTGAAATCTGATATAAACTGTTAAATAAAAGAATGAACAAACATTATTTAAAGTAATATTTTATTGAATTAATCTGAGTCGTATAGCCATGAATTTTATCAGGTAAACACTTCTTAACGGGAATTATTGTAAATAATGCTAGTGTGTAATCATTAAACGATAAAGCGAGAATTATAATCATAACGCGAATTGTAATTATTATATGGTATCATTAAAATAAAGCGTTACTAACATATATACGGATAATAGGAATGATACGATTTAACATTCAGGAACATTTGTTAGTGAATATATAAAATTGATAGCTTTACTGAATTGAATGAGTTATTAGTATTTATTTTTATTTTTGAAGGCATGCCTTCCACACTGCTTTGATTGCCCAGTATTATAGTATTGAGGTTCAAAGGAAAAAAAAAAAGTTACAAGAGAAAAAAGTAAATCTATCTAAAACTAATGACAGTGTTTATTAGCAAAAAAATGTCTATTAAAAATATTGATAAATATATTACTTTGAAAAGGCAACATCAATAGTAAAATGTCAAATAGTTAATAGTATAGGGACTAAAATTATACGGGATTTAAATCAACCTCAAGACCTCTTAAGAAAGAGAGAATGATATATATGAGATATTTTAGTATAAATAAAGGTGTATTAACTACAGAAGTTACAGCTTTAGAGTTGTAATTGAAGAATATATATAACACAGGGAGAAAAAAAAAAATTAAAAACTTAAAGCAGAGCGATACGAACAGCAATCACATATCCAAGCTTTACAATCAAAATACAATTACTGCTCGGGTATCAAAATATTTTCAATTGAAAGCAATGAACATTAGACAGTTTCCAAAAAGCGATTAAAAGACGTCCTAGCTAATATTGATGATAGAATAAAGTAAGTAAATAACGGATAATTCATTATAAGATTTACTTCTTGACATAATTTGGAGATATAAAGTGCTTTAGAAAGGTCTACATCCTCTAGGACTGACAATGACATAGACTGTATCCATGCTATCATAATTACCACTTGGTGCTTCATCAATTTCATACTTTTGATAATCCAAATATAGCTCAAATGGAATCTTCTATTCAAATTCTACCCAATTCGTTATTTTTTTTTTCTTCTGAATATGACAAAAGTAGAATAAGAGAAAGATACACACGTCATTGGTATAATCAAAGAGGTAAGATGACAAAAAAGCGGAAAATAATACTGTACTTATGAAGAGAAGCTTTCTAAGTTATCTTTTGCAAATTATAATATCATTATCACTATCTATGCACAAACATATATGTATCATATAAACATGACTCTTTTGGCAATCCAGAAATTTACTAAATAATGACTTACTACCTAGATTATTCTTCCATATTTTCGCAACTCGGAGAACTGGCTAATAATAGAGTAACTAACAAAGTCTAATATAATTATAAAAGATATAGTTTAGAATACATTATAATAGTTTCATGAAGAAAACCCCATTTATACTCAAAGAAGCATGCATAATTAGTTTAATCCATTTCTAATCCTTCCTTTAAAACGACAATAGTAATAATTAAGTCGAATGATGCTATTTTTTTTTTTTTTTTTTAAAAAAAAAGAAAGCATTTTATATTTATTTGCATTTTATTTATTAGGTTTACTGGGTATAATTTCCGTTTTGAGAACTCTATTTGCTTTCTTTCTAGGGACAGGTGCTATATGTATACAAATAAATATATAAATTACTATTTCGCCTGTAGTATAATTTATATTATATCTTTAAAACTTACCATGTTTGTTTTCTCTAATATAGAATTTTCTTAATAATATAATAGCTTCTTCATAAAAAAAGCCTCCTTCTGAGGGATATCCCTTGGAGTGGCTAGTATCTAATCGCGAACTAGAGATACAGAATTAAAAACAATGCAAAAAAAATGTATATAGCTTTTCTATATTCATTATTTACTCAGAATGAATGTTGAATACAGATCCATTGCCGCCAAATTTTTCATTGCCACAACCAAAGTAGACATGTCGAATGCCAATTTGTCGAAGAGCTGAAGCGCACATAATACATGGTTCCACCGTTACATACAAATCTATTTTTTCAAAAATACTTTTATCATTTTCTTTTAAAATAAGATCAATAGCTTCAATTTCTGCATGTCGAGTAGCCTACATTGTATAAATGTTTAATCACATATATATTTTTTTTTCTTTTTTTTAGAAAAAAATAATACATTAAGACTTTCATTAGGTCTATTACGACCTCTAGCTATAACTTTTTCATTATCTAATACAAAAACACAACCAACAGGTACTTCCAAATTATCATAAGCTTCTTGCGCCACAATAAGGGCTTCTCTCATAAATTCTGGATCATATTTTGACATTAGGTAATATAAGGATATAGGGTTATTAAACCCCCCAAAAAAAAGCTTAATTAATTATAAGAGCAGTCACTTGTCACTGCTTTTTTTATTCCACAAAAAAGTTTTTCTTATGTAACATTTAAAAGCGGAAAGGCAATCAAGAATTTATTATTTCATTTTAGTACCTGTACCTGTGATCCCTTTAATATTATGCAAAATAAAATAAAAAATGAGAGTTAGCTGTATACACTTTTTGCCAAAAATAATGCCACAAGGAAAAAAAAAATAGTATTGCATTTTCAAAAAAAAAATTTTTTTTGTCGCATATAATTGGATTAAATTCTAAAGTAACAAATAAATGAGTTTCTTGTAGCCGTAGTCTTTAAAGCTATTAATTATCTGATCTATCAAATGATAATCTTTTATGTTAACACCAGGATGTTTGTAATAAATGTTAGAGGCTCATCTTTTAGTTATCTCTGCTAGTTCTCCCTTAGATATAATAATCCTTTGCGTGGTATATAGTTTTAAATAATAAGTCTTATAAATATTGAGAATAGTTTTTTTTGTTACTATATTGAGAAAAAGCTATTTACAACCTTTTTTTTTTTTTTTTTTTTTTTTTTTTTTTTTTTTTGGAAACAGCAAAAGTAATACATGACATGATTATGGAATTGTACTACTTTAGTTTACGTATATGTGTATATAAGAGCGTATAATAAAGGAAATCTTTTTAAGGTTTCTGTTTCTTCTTCTTTTATAACCATTCCCAATCAGATAAATGCGGACATCGTTTTAACTCACAGTATCGTTTCATACCAACCCCTTCTTTCTCCTTTCAAAAAAAAAAAAAAATTGACACATTTTAAAGAAAGTAAATATATCTTGATAAAAGGTGTATTGTTATTTATGGTCTTGTTTGAAAGTTGAGTTGTATCTTTTTGATCAAAACAAGGCCGTAGTCATTTATGCGCAACATTTGAAGAAAGAAGTGGAGAGAAGATTAAAAAAAAAAAAAAACCATTTATGCGCCGAAATATAAATAAAGCTTCTATTTTCTTTCTTTATTTTATTTTAGAATTAAAGGCCCCCAATGTACTCTTATTAATTCATCTATGTTTTTTTTCTCCCGTTATATTATTCATGTTCATGAATGAATGAAATTAACTATTTTTATTTTTAAGACTATGTTAAATACACATAGTTGAGCCTATTTATATGAAATAAAGGTATAGATAGTATATTTTTATTATTATTAATGTGAGACGTATTGATTAATCAAGTCACTAATTTGCTGGAAATAAAAAAAAAAAAGCATATTTAATAAACGCGACCAAAAAAAAAACGCGTTATATTACACCGAAACGTGTCATTATCATTAATTGAATTTCAAATAAGGGATTCGTATTTTAATAATCGGAATAACATAAGTGTGTATGTGTGTGTTTGTGTGTGTATGTGGGCGCGTTCCAACGCGATTTTGACATGTTTAAAAAAGTGTTATTGGCTAAAGTATTTTGTTTTTACGTGTTTTTTTTTATTCAGCATATAAATACAAATACCAATTTTTCCTTAAACAGCCCTCCTTTTTTCTTTTTTTTTTTCTTTCTTTTTTTTTTTTTTTTTTTTTTCCTGTTTCTGTTTCCATCTTTACCCTTTCTTCCTTCTCTTTTCTTTCTTTGATAAAAAAAATAATTTTTGCTGTAATCATTATATCATTGCCATGTTTGTTATCAAAAGAGGTAACTTATCGCTTTATCTTTATTGTGAATACATATATGTATATAGATATATTGGCTAACAACATTATAATATGATTAAATTAGACGGTCGTAAAGAAAAAGTTGCATTCGATAAGGTAACGACACTATAGAAAAAAGCCTTAATATCACTTTTTATTTCTAATTTATGTTGTTTTTTTTTAATAGATTACTGCAAGAATTAACAAGCTTAGTTATGGCCTAGATACAAACTATGTTGACCCTGTCAAAGTAACTCAAAAGGTCATTTCCGGTGTCTATGAAGGTATCACTACTACAATGCTTGATACTTTAGCAGCTGAAACTGCTGCTTATATGACGGTATCACATCCTGATTATGCTATCCTTGCTGCGCGTATCGCTGTTTCCAATTTACACAAAGAAACACAAAAGGCCTTTTCTGATGTAATTCATGCCTTGTATACCTACGTTAATCCTAGAAATGGTAAACTCTCCCCTATGATTTCCGACACTATTTATAAAATTGTGATGGATAACGCTGAACGTTTGAACTCTGCTATTATTTATGATCGTGATTTCAACTTTAATTTCTTTGGCTTTAGAACTCTTGAACGTTCTTATCTTTTACGTATTAATGGCAAGATCGCTGAAAGACCTCAACATTTGATTATGCGTGTTGCTGTTGGTATTCATGGTGAAGACATTGATGCAGCTATCGAGACCTACCATCTTATGTCTCAAAAGTATTTCATTCATGCCAGTCCCACTCTTTTCAATGCCGGTACCCCTCGTCCTCAACTCTCCTCTTGTTTCCTTATTACACCTAAATCAGACTCTGTCGAAGGCATCTTTGAGACTCTCAAGATTTGTTCCAAGATTTCCAAGAGTGCAGGTGGTATTGGTATCAACGTGCATGACATTCGTGCCACGGATTCCTATATTGGAGGCTGTAACGGTGAAGCTCATGGTTTATTGCCCATGCTTAAGGTCTTTAACAGTACAGCTCGTTACGTTGATCAAGGTGGTAACAAACGTCCTGGTGCCTTTGCCATCTATCTTGAACCCTGGCATCCTGATATCATGATGTTCATGGATCTTCGCAAGAACTTTGGTCGTGATGAGATCAGAGCCAGAGATATGTTCTACGCCCTCTGGATCCCTGATCTCTTTATGAAACGTGTTGAAGAAAACGGTAATTGGTCTCTCTTCTGTCCTCATGAGGCCCCCGGTTTGGCTGATGTCTGGGGCGATGAATTTGAAGCTCTCTATATGAAATATGAGAAGATGGGTATCGCTCGTGAAACGATGCCCGCTCAAAAGCTTTGGTTCCATATCTTGGAGGCTCAAACCGAGACCGGTAACCCCTTCTTACTTTATAAGGATGCCTGTAATCGTAAGAGTAATCAGCAAAACTTGGGTACCATCCGATGCAGTAACCTGTGTACTGAGATCGTTGAATATTCTAGTCCCGATGAAGTCGCTGTCTGTAACCTTGGTTCCCTTGCTTTACCCTCCTTTATTGAGAATGGTGTCTATGACTTTAAGAAACTTCATCAGGTGACTAAGGTATTGACGAAGAATTTGAACAAGGTGATTGATGTCAACTTTTATCCCGTTCAAGAGGCCTATAACTCCAATATGCGTCATCGACCTATCGGTTTAGGTGTTCAAGGTTTAGCGGATGCCTTTATCTTGATGAAGTATCCCTTCGAATCCCCCGAGGCAAGAAAGTTGAACTTGCAAATCTTTGAAACCATCTACCATGCCGCCCTCGAGGCCTCCTGTGAACTCGCCGAGAAATTAGGTCCCTATTCCACTTATGAGGGATCCCCAGTCTCTAAGGGTATCCTGCAATACGATATGTGGAACGTGACCCCTACTGACCTCTGGGATTGGGATACACTCAAGGCCAAGATTGCTAAACATGGTGTTCGTAACTCCCTCCTTCTCGCTCCTATGCCTACCGCCTCTACCTCCCAAATCCTTGGTTTCAATGAATGTTTCGAACCCTATACCTCTAATATCTACATGCGTCGTGTGTTATCAGGTGAATTCCAAATTGTCAATCAATGGTTAATGAAGGACCTAGTCCGACTTGGACTTTGGAATGATAAGGTCAAGAACAAGATCATGAACGACAACGGATCTGTACAGAACGTACCTGAGATCCCTGATGATCTCAAGCGACTTTACAAGACGGTTTGGGAAATCTCTCAACGTACGATTATTGACTTGGCAGCTGATCGTGGTGCGTTCATTGATCAAAGTCAAAGTATGAACTTATTTGTGGGTAAACCTAACATGGGTCGTTTGACCTCCATGCACTTTTATGCTTGGAAGAAGGGTTTAAAGACAGGTCAATATTATCTTCGTATTCGTCCTGCTGTCGATGCTATTAAATTTACTGTGGATCAAACTGTAGTTGAAAACTATGAAAAGGAATCAACTGAACAAAAATCAGAAGAAAATGGCAAGAAGACTGAAAAGGGCAATGATACTACTATAAAAAGTAAAATTCCTGTAGTTTGCGATGATGAAGTGTGTGTCAGTTGTAGTGCTTAGAATATCTTTTATTTTTTTCATTTTTTTTTCCCCCCTTCTCCCCTCTCCTCCCCCCATCTTTTATACTTTTGTAATATTTTATAACCCCCCCTCATCTCATCTCATCTCTTCCTTTCATCCTTTAAACATAATAATATCAATCATTTATACTACAATATAGATAAATAAATAAATAAATAAATAAACAATAGTAATAAACATGTATATTTAATAATTTATAAATTTATGAAAAGATAAAAAATAAAAGTATACAAAAAGAATAAAACAAATAATGACTAGAAAAGAAAGGTTAATTTTCTTTTACATACATAGAATATGATTTGTTTTTGTTTTTTTTACCTATAAATAACAAAGGATGCCAAGCATGATTCCAAACTCTATTTTTAATTTGTTGTTCATAACGTTGACTTGCTTCTTTAAAGAACGCAACATGGACCGTTACACGTTCTTGTAAAAGAGAGATACGAGATTGATTTGACTGAAATTGAGTGATAGAATCCGCTAATTGATGGTTAACAAAGTCCAAAACTCGCTTGGGTGACTCAAATTGTATATTGAATGTATGATCCATAAAGGTATCTAAAGATTGATCTAATTCTAATAATTGATGATAATAAGTCGATATCTCTTCTTTTGCCATATTGATTCTACGAATAAGGCCATGTATATTTTCTAATTGACAATTCGTTTTTGTTTCAAATTGACTTAGTATATCATTTGCACTTCTAATAAAAAAAAAAAAAAAGAAAGAAAGAAAGAAAGAAAAAAAAAAAAAAGAGCTAAGTGGAATTTTCTCTAGCAAGCAAGTATATTCATATTCATATTATTATTATGTTTACATGTTGGTTATTGAAGGTAATATTCGATCTTCTTCAGTATTATTTACTCCATTTTCTTCCTTTAATATAGAAACGTCTTTTACTTTAGATGACTCATTTGCTATTCTGAACTGATGATTATGTTTTAATTTGACAAGATTCATAAACATCATTTTTTCAGAAAAACATCGAGCGGTGAAACGTAAATGAGTATGTTTTGTTATCAAGAAGATAGTATTGTCAAATCTATTTTTTTTATCATCAGTCACTGTGCAAGAGGCGTGAATCCAACCATCATATAGATTAGGTTCATTAGAAATGACATCACTTAGGGTGACTTTTTTATTGTTTGAAAAGGTATCGTTTGTCGAATTAGAGGAATTAGTTGAAAGCGTCGATGTCTGTTCCTCCTCCTCCTCCTCCTTCTCCTCGTCGTTGTCGTTGTCGTCATCTTTATTTGACAAGTCTTCTTGAGTATCATCATCAATAACTAGAGTGTGTTTCCAACTTTTGAACATGGTTTGAATTCTGTTTGTTGAACGATCATCACTTGATGCTGTTTGTTTACGAAGCTCTTGTGGAGAAACATGTTGAAGAGGAGGAGGATGATGAAAATAAAGAAAAGCGAGTCGAGAAGATTGGAGAGGTAAGATGGCGATTGTCTTTTCTAATACACGTGCCAAGACATAAGAATGCATCTTGGGCCAATAAAAACAAAAGGTGTCAATCACTTGGATATCAAATTTCTTTATTAGTTGCTGTTGTTGTTGTTGTTGTTGTTGTTGTCTCTTTTCTGCATATAATGGTTTCGTTTTTTTTGAATTATTATTGGACAACCAACGTCTTGTATGTGCAAGATGTGCATAAGGGTCAATATAAATAGGATTCATTAGGGCTACACAATAAGACTCATTGTTTTCCTTGTGAAAAAAAAAAAAAAATATTAATTTAACCTTTCTACTTGTGGGTGATAATTTAAAAAAAAAAAAAAAAGCTTATTTTAAACTCAGTAATCCATCACCTTTTTGTTTGTTTTTTTAACATTACATAATAATGAAAAAAAAAAAAAAGAGAAAAAAAATTTATTATGATTATTTCCTTTTATTGATATTTATAAACCCATATTATACCTCTTTAATTATTATTATTTGTTAGTGTTACAGTGAAGAATTATTATGGTAATTTTTTTTAAAAAAAAGATAAGATCATATGACATAATATAGCTTATCTTTAGCAAATAAGAATAATAAACCTTCTTTCCTCCTCCCTCCCCCCAATTTTTTTTTTGACACTTATTTTTCATATGTGTGAGAATTTTTTTTTTTCAAGTGTAACACAATGCATTATTCATGTTGATGAAGAATAGACCATTTACTTGATTCATAATTAGCAGCAATATCACAACATAATGTCTTTCTTGAATAATAAGTAAATCCATCATGGAGAGCAAATAATAAAGGTAATTCAAAATAACGAGAACCATCCAATCTTGTTATTAACATATCATGATTTAGAACAAGTAATTCTTGAGTATCAGGAAGTGAAATACTAAATCGATGTCCTTCTTTATCCATTTTATGACTCTTTAATGGACCATAAGCACCAAGCCAAAAGGTGACTGCCTTTAAATAAGGAGCAGGTTCAATTAGATTTTCACCCGTGATGTTTAAAGAATGAGATGAAGCGATATATTGAATAGAAGAAATGATTGGATAAGGTATAATAGATCGAGTTGTAGGTGGAGAAGGTGGAGGAGAAAGTTGTTTCAATGTTGTAGGGTGATGATTGAATGAAGCGGATTGTTGTTGTACCTCTGGATAATGACATTCAAATTTAGAAATACCTATGATTGTCCAGCAAAGGTAATCATCTACTCTTTCAGTCTTATCCTTTTCCATTTTAGAAGCAACAAAATTAGTCCAAGCGTTTGTATGTTGATAAGTAGAAGAAGTCATTGGATTTCCATTTGAATTTAAATATAAAGGCGTAGTTGTAGAAGCTAATTGAAGTACAATCTTTTGCATTTGACTTACTAAACCATATGAATCATCATGTATAATCTGACCTTTATTCACTTTGCGAATAATAAGGGGCGGAGAAGAAGTGTTTGAATGAATATCTTTTAATATAATTTCCGTACCATACGTAATAGCTACACTACCATCATAGCCCCCACTAGAAGACCTTTGTCCCAGAATGATGATTTCAAATGGAGACCACGAAGAATGCTTTGCACAGAATTGGTTATTTTCAGTGGTTAAATATTTGGTGCGTACAGTTTGAGAATTAATACGATTAAATAAAGAAACGTATGAATGATTAAATAAACACGTTGAAATATTACGTGACTTTGTTGTCTTTTTAGATGGCTTTGATATGATGGAAATTGGATTACTATAAAACGTTGGATGAGGAGGATTGTTGAGATGAACTCGAAGACAAAATTGTTTTGCCTTTGCTGTACCATTGACGAATAAATATTTGAAACTCCCCTGTTTATGTTCATCTAATAATGTACGTTGCTCTATTAAAGGTGATTGTGTGGTTTCGCATACAACTGACATTGATACAATTGGATTTTGATTTGTATTTGAAATCATCACGATGGGTGGTGGACAAAGAAATCGCTTCTCTGTACCATACGATTTCTGTGCTATAGATGCATGATAACACGTCATCGTCACTAGATCTTTTCTCTCTTCTTTATGATAACAAGCTCTCTTTAAAGGACGATTCATTTCATTCTGCTCATCATGATTGTCTAAAATGCTTTTAATAGACATAGCTTCTTGTTGTATATGATGACGTTTTTTAGAATAGTCGATTACAGTTAAAAGTGATTCCATAGGTGTCATATTGATTAATTGAATCTTTTTACTAGAACCAAAAGATTGTTCTTTAGAGATGATATTATATTCCTCCATTTTTTTTTTAATAAAAAAAAGAAAGATTAAAAGGGAAAAGTAATGTGAAATAAATAAGGATTTTTTATATAGAAGATTCCTTTTTTTTTTTTTTTTTTTTTTTTTTTTTTTTTGGGGGGGGAAGAGGAAGGACGGACAGAGAGAGAAAGGAACAAGTGTAACGAAAATACAAAAAAAAAGGGGGAGAGGGAAAGGATCCATTTTACTGATAAGATTTTATTTGGTATTTTTGATCTTATCACGTGGGATATTTTTATTATATTTTATATAAATATGTATTTTTTTCCCACAACTATATAGTGATTGTGTTAATGTTATATGATTATTATTATGTAATACATATATATGGTTATACATGTACAAATGCATTTGCATATTTGCATGTGTATATGTATGTATGTATGTATGTATGTATGCATGTACGTATGTATATATGCACATTTGTATTCATCTATTTACATATATATATATATATATCATACTAAAAGTAATTACATGTATAGTGCTAGTACACATATATAGGATAGATCTACAATAAATACACGATATATTCTTAATTTAGTAATGATAAGAATATTTACTTAAACTTATTTTGGTAGGATCAAATATTTAATATGATGGTTAATGAGCACATCATTGTATTACCCAGGCTAGTTTTTTCGAGATTTACGAATATGTATATATATATAAAAAACGCTTGTAAAGAGACAAACAAGTTCAGTTGGACAATCATCAATCAATTCTTTGTAAGTCTAGAGGAAAATGTGTCTTATCTAGTGTACTTTTTGTAGGATAGTAGAAAAGAGGATCGGCTAACGGTAAACTCAAACAGAAAATATCTTGGATATTTTAAAGACTTGCATTAGGAGAAGATGTTCAAAAGAAAGGAGTATGGATCCTCAGTTGTTTTAGACATGTATAAAAAAAGGAGTATATACATGTATATATTGACGTTCAGTAACATGTGATCTATTAAAATGACTATACAGATGATATACACACTATTTAAATGTACCACTAGATAACCAACCAGGATTCCCATCCATTGACGCGACTACCTTCACGATAAGTTATAGACAGCTAGAGTATAGGAACAATAAGTAAGTTAAGGTCGACAAGTGATGTAGGAGAGTATAAAGTCGCGACCATCCCGGAAGTTACAAAAGTCTCATTTATACTCTAAGAATCCCTTGAAGGCATGTTCATCTAGGGGTATTGGAGCTTTCAACGTAAGGTCACCATCACAATGCTTTAATAATACCATTGTGTGTTTATATTTGACTCTTTGAAATATGGGAAAGTAGTGTAGATAGTAATGTGGTATTAAGTAGTTTATTAGTATCGAGCTTGCAGGATGGACATGGTAGACTGATTTATCAAGTGAAACATCCTCCATTACTAAAGGTCGAGGGAATCCATCAAAGCTCCTTTCTAATACATTTGCTTTCATTGAAGGTACCCTATTCCAGCTGTGAATGAACTATCTGTGTATAAAAGCAGATGGATCAGAGTCTCAAGGATGAATACCTATAGAGATATGTTTAAAGTGTTTCGTTGACATTATTTTGTACAACTTATGAGATGCCCAAGGCTCCTACTGCTTTGAGGGATAAGGGAACACTCATGTATGAAATTAGAACCTCTTCCTTTCCTTTCCTTTATGAATAGTGTATATATAACTTTAGTAAGAGTCTCTTACAGTTTATCTCTGACACATACTATCATAGACTTCATAAAACAAAGGTTTCTCGTGTATAAATAATGACTGTTATTTCAAGTTTATAACATAGTCTAGTAGTCATACATTTTTTTGTTTTTATTGTACAATTCATAGTAATAATAGATTAGTATCTTTCTTTTTCTTTTGAGTTAATGAACCCATTCTTTTTAGAAATGATTTACTATTATTATGAGTGCTTTTTGATTGAGGTATAATGATGGCTTCATTCTTTATAGACATATAAATACTCTATTATAAATGAATATATAAATAAATAAATAAATAGTCTCTTCTATTTTCATGATATATATCCCTATTACTTTTAAATAATCTATTAATTCCTCTTTCCATTCTTCTTCTCTAGATACAATCTCTTCTTGTTCAAGTAATGTTGATATCGTATTCTTACAGAAGGTCTCCACCGTCATTTTAGTATGATGATGACTAAAATGAATAAGATAAAGATCTGTATTTAGTAACATAACAGAATAAATGATAGTATAAACAATATCTAATAATAATATAATAGGTTATTAAAAAGAAACTATTTCTTCTCTTCATGATAATAATACCAGGTCTTTTAAATAATGTATGTTCTTCTATATGCTGTGACCAATATCGATAAGCAAAGGCTTCTAATATTCGATCTATTTCTTGTGCCTCAGCCTTAAAATAAAGTTTAAAGCATAATTTTCTATTATTATTAAGTAAACAATAAATTCTATCTCATAATTTTACCTAAATGATTCAATTAAGCTTAACTGACTGAAATCAAATAAGCTCATATATTCTTTCAAGACTCGATGACAAAAAGGATCTCTAATAATAACCAAAATTAATGAATCAATTTCCCCATTTTCCTCCCCCTTTTTTTTTTTTCTCTTTTACAATTTGCCAAGATAGCTTGCTATTTCCTTCTTTTGTATAAAACTTTCATCTTCCATCCATAATAAATGACAAACATGCTTTACTTCTTTTTGACTGTTACTTTCATGAATTATATCCTCTATAGATCCGAATATATTCCCGCTTAATTTCCATAATTCAACTGAAGGTGAAAAAAGATTCGCCCAGTCTACTTTAAATCCTGACTTGTGTTTCCATTCTAAAAGTGCGGTTGCTATATCATTATTATTATTATTATGACCTTCTTCTTCTTCTTCTTCTTCTTCTTGATGCAAACTAGAGGATCGAGTAGGTGGCGTAATCATTAGCATCTGATGTTGAGGAACAGGCGGAGGAGATGAAGGAAGAGACATTGACTTTACTGGTGAAGATTGTTTATTCTTTCGTTCCTTTTATAATAGTTATTATATACTATCCATTTTATTATATTCTATAATTGATAGTAATAATATTTATGTCTATTCAATTATACCTTATTAAGATGTAAATGAGTTAAAGAACTTGATCTTGTCATTTTATGAATGGGTTTTATATTAGTTTGACATTTTAAGTGTTCCTTATAATAATGGTGTGTAAGTGATTGGCTTCTCACAGGATTCATATTTATTATTACAAAATTAAAAATTAACTAACAAAGAAAAAAAAAAATTTTGAAGAAGGTTTTAATACTACATTATAATCGGGCATAAAAAAAAAAAACCGAATTTTAACATAACACTTTAAATTCAGATCACATATAAAAATTAAATTTCAGATAGTTTACTTATCTTCTTTTCAAATAAATAGAAAATAAAGTGACAATAAAAGAATTAGTTTCAGACAAATTGTGGGAAGAATTAATGGACAATATAACTTAAAAAAAAAAAATCTTTTCTTTCTCCTCAATAAGGGAATCTTTAAAAGCTATGAAGATTGCTTATTTTAGAAGGAAGACGAGGAGTCTGCTTTTGTCCGAGTGCTTTACAAGTTTTACAAATCAGAACATGACAGTCGCGCTCTTCCTCCAAGGGATCTATTTCTACATTGTTGACATATCTGTGGCATCAAATATTCTTTAATTACCTCCTGTCTCTCTTTTTCTCAATACGCGTCAAAAGACTCCTGTAACACCATATTTAATTGTCTTACAGCTTAACAAGGCCTTTTTTTTTTTTTTTTTTTTTTTTTTTTTTTTTTTTTTAAAAAAAAAACATTCCTGATCCAAAGGCCACCAGAGGCGTCTTTGTTTTGTTACGAGAGAACATTTTTTTGGCCTTCATATCTGCACCCTAAACAATTGGTAAATAAGTATAATTATTACAAAGTTAAAACCTCCCACATACTTTGCTATCTCTTTATTACTTTGGATCTACTCTTTCTTCCTCCATTCTCCTTTACCTTTGCTTTTTTCTTTTTCTTATGACACTTTTTTTTTCATTCGTTATATTTAGTCCCGTACGTTAATCAGCATGTTCCTATGGTGCTGTTTGCTGACCTTGTTACAATTGAAGACAACTGTCTTTAGCTGTCTTTAGAGCCATAAAATACAAACAAGATAGCCAATATGAATATAATAATAATAATAAGAATGCAATCAATATAGACAAGACAAGCAGTACAATGAGATACTTTAAGAAAAGGAATGGTTTATATCGATTTACTGCTGGATGAATTGGCTATATAAACAAAGCTAACGAATACTATTTTTCCATTTCAATCTACTCAAGGCGTCAAAAGCGTATTCATTGTCTTGTTTGATAATAAAGAGTGGAACAAACCAGACGCTGTACAAAAAAAAAAAAAAAAAAAAAAACCTAACCCAGCATGAAAAATATATAGAATTCCTATTATTATTTACAAGTTCGTCATGTGCAAAGATCACTTCTCTTTTTTTTTATATATATAACAACAGTAAGGAAGACAAAGACACAGAAAAATCAATAGCAAATACACTGTTCTATGGAGCATCAAAATAGAGCAAATATAAAAGAATCGAGAAGAAGAAAAGAAGGAAAAAGAAAATAAAAATAAAGGAGGGTAAACTATGACAGGCAACAGACCTGATATTGCTTTTATCCTTTATAATGCACTTTAAAGAAGGGAAAAGTAGCTGGCAGATCTTGGGACGGTACCTGTGGATGAGTTTCTGATAGGAAAAGTTTGTATTGACTGCTTTTTTATAGAGAAATTAGCATGTAGAACACTATGGAATGTATCAATTCATGTATAATATTGACTGCAACTAGTATATGAAAAAAAGTACTGGAAGACCTTCAACTTTAATAAGACTATTATTAATTGCTATAACAAACACAATTTGCCTCTCTTGAGGTCACAGATTTAAAGGTTAATACATAATCTGGATTTTAAACATTGTTTTAATAAAAAAAAGAAGCATAAAAACATTTATCATTGGATAGTTATCACGTGATACAGTGTATAAATAAATATATTCATAATATATGCAAAAAAAAAAAAAGAAAAAAAAAAAAAGACGAGGGAAAAGTGTGTTATAAATAAATAAATGGTTTAGTTTTTATTAATGCTGGTTTCTTCTTCTGTGTGTTCAATTTCTTTTACTCCACCTTTTTTATCGTGATAAAATTCTGAACATATAGTTGAGTCACGCAAAAAACTGGAATGATTTGGTTTTAATGTAGGTCGTTTATCATGCAGCGCATCTCCAATTGTGCTTGCCAAGGCTCCAGATACATGATTTTTAGTCGGTTCAAATGTATCTATTTCATGCTTTTTTATATTATGTATAACTTGAATAGGATTACCAAATCTAAGTGAAAAATGATCATCTTCCATAATAGGATCTCGAATTTCATGTTGAGGTGTGTGTGTACCAGACATTTTCTTTCCTTTTTGTTGACAAAATATAAAGAAGAAGAAAAAAAAAGGGTAAAAATAAAAAGGTATTTTGTTTATATCTAAAATACGCACATTGACAAGTATGGTTAACATATCTGAAACAGCATGACGTGACTTTGTCATTAACCACACTTTATTTTTCTCTCTCTCTCTCTCTTTATTCTTTTCTTTTCTTTTTTTTTGAACATATTAGTACGTTCAAACCATATATTATATTTGTATTGAGTAATAGTGATAATAATAATGAGTTAAACTCTTTTGGGAGCTTGGTGTGATTTGATTATATCGTTTTTTTTTAAACCAGGGTTAGATATTTTTTTTTTTTTTTTTTTTAAAAAAAAAAAACTCCAAAAATCTTCTATTATGAGTGGATAAATCGAGGTAGTAACAAAGACTTGCCTTTGTTATGTTACAAGTAGTCCAATTTGTGTAAATAGAATACATAGGATGACTTATTATAGAAGAGATACATAAGACATTATTTAAAGCGAGCAATATAATTGTGTAATTTATAGAGGATAGAGGTGTTTATTGGGACAATTTCTTTATATATTATTTTTTGTATACCCCGCATAATGCCTCCAGAGCCAAGATACTACTGAATCAAGATGATAAATACCCGTATCTATATTCATGCCATCTACAGTAAGTGCACTTAAGACAACATCTAATATTAACCTATATCTTTAGTGATGCACAAGAAAAGCTTATTTATCTCCTATTCTAGGTCATCGCTCTGACATTGTGGTATTGGGCAGCTCATAAGGCAAAGTTACAAAAGAAGGATATAAAAGATGCCATTTTTTTTTATATCAGGACTGTCAAGGGTATACTATATTAAAATCCTTCTATTTTTTATTTTTCCCTGTTGGATAAAGAAGCTATATTAGTCGTTAGCCATGATATACTTGGAAATTTATATTTAGGATCTAGTCTCTAAAACAAATAGCTTCCTTTTATGGTTTAACATACAAACTCTATTTTTCAAAGCAATCACCGAAGTTAGTTTATAAGAGTACATTTATTTAAATAAACTTGTGCATATATTAATTACTATAATCAATTTCCAATTTAAAAATCAATGTTCTCATGAAATAAATACGCTTTCTCTTAACCTATTCACAGATGAATTAATAATAATGCGGTACACTTACTTTATTGTTACAATTGTACTATGCATAAATGTTTCAATTTTGAATGTTAGTGGCAAAAAAAAAAAAAAGCTGACAATGAATCAGAGAAGTTAACTAAATTATATTCCTTATTAATGAATACTTCATTGAATTTATAATATAGAAAAATTGAAAAGCTGTTTTATAGCTTGAATAACAATATGAGATTTAAAAATACAAATAGCATTGGTGAAGATTTTTTACTTGTTTGTATTTTTTTTTTTTTTTTTTTTTTTTTTTTTTTTTTTTTTTTTTTTTTTTTTTTTTTTTTTTTTTTTTTTTTTTTTTTTTAGAGCAAAAATGCTGTTCCATATAGATCTTTGACTAACTAATGTTCTACAATCAAGCTTTTCAGCAATGCACAGCTTGTTTAAACTTTCATCACGGGGAGTGAAGGTAAAAGTGATGATTGTTTGTATAGTTATCCATAACTATGTGTTTTCTCTTCAGCACATCAATATCTTTATAAAAATTATCTCAGATTATTTGGATCAGTTGCAAATCCTGCATAAGTTATACATACGATTACTATGGGCACAGTTTTCTTTTTACACGGATGTTTGTAAGTTTATCTTTTATAAAAGAGATATTAATTATATAGTGTAATATTAACGCATTCCTTACTTACTCTGAATATTACCATTCCATTGATGTAAAAACGAACTGATATCTCTATTGGCACTCATACCATGACAAAACAATTGGCTTAATAGAGTTGCTGGATGATGAAACGTATACATTGTCTGCTTCCAGATCTTTCGCGGAAAATATTAATTATTTGTTGTATATATATATATATATATATTTAACATCATCTTCAAGAGGTAAGTTAGGTGATTTTCTAGCATAACCTAGTACTACATGCCTTTCTTCTTTCCATGTTTTTAGATTAGTCTTATGTAAATCTATCTGATTAATAATAGCTTTAACAGATTGGACTATTCACAAAGTTGAGAATTTATTTACTTTTTTTTTTCCCAATCTTATTTGATAAGTCATCCCAGTATTATTAATTTTTTTTTTGGTCCAATACAAATTAAGGGATGCGTTCTAACACTCTTCACATTATTTTGTTTATCTTTTATACGCCTACGCTTTGCTGCCAATGAAATGAAGTAAGGCTTTATTTGATTATTATTATTATTATTAAAGAGTATTTATATATCATTATTTAATGTGTGCTTTACTGAGTTACGCTATGGAAGTAATTAAGAGTACAAATCAGAGCTTAATCCCTGATATACACATCTTTTACCTAATAGCACAATAGATATTTATATATCCTTACTAATTAAAAAAATATATTCAAATATAGATCTTCTACTAAAGAAATAGAACTTACACTTGTTCAATACCATTTAATCAGTATATCAGTTTTTTCCCACTTATTTCAAATTATATATATACATACATATTCATAAAAAATATTGCAGAGGCCATTTTAATGATTTGTCTCAATAATTATCATGTAAAAAGAGATATTAACAATCAAAAATTGAATGTATAATAATCTATTTCCCCTAGTAAAGTAATCATTCTACACGACATATAGAAGACATAGATCTGCCAAAATTGTAATTAAACACCTTCAACAAGTAATTTGAGTATATAATGAGTATGTTAATTATGCAGTAACGTATCTTTCTCTCTCTCTCTTTTAAGCGCATTAACTAAGAAGCTCTATTATGATTAAAGATAAAGGAAAAGCAGACTGCCATACAGTAAAAATGTAAATATTTAATAAAAAATGGTATACACATATATTTATACATATTTGATATTTATCCCTTTATTTTAAGTTTCCCCTGAAATGTTGACTTGACTAAAGATCTTTTTATAAAAATGTATAAACATATATATTATTCTTGCTGAATTAGACTATAAACAAAAGGAATAATAATAATAATTAAAAGAGATATGTGTATATTTTTTTTAAGGAGTAATTGTTGGTATCACGTTTGTTTACTATGTTTATTATGATAACGATTAGTGTGCTATTAAGATTATCCAATTAGATTCATTACAGAGATTGTGACGCCTTTTTATGACAGTTGAAAGCATATGATAACGGATCAAAAAAAAAAAAAAAAACTATAAAAGGAGGTCATTTTCATGCCCAAACTTGCTTTTTTTTCTTTTCTTTTTCTCTTTATACAATCCTTTTTTTTCATTTGTTGGCTTGTAAAAGGGCTGATGAGTGATTTTTTGGGATGGCTTCATAGCTTAGTTAGTATTTTGTATGCTTTCTTTCTGGATTATGCTCACCTCTCCAATGTATTCTAAAAACGATGTAAACCATCATTGATAAACATTACGAGTACCTCCGGGATAAGTATATGGGATACTGCGACGTTATGGGGCCTATTTTTTTTATTTATATATTTATATAGCAGATTTTATTATAAATGAAAAAAAAAAAAAACAATATAAATACAAATATTACGCGTATAAATAGCACGTAAAGAATATCTCACTAAGAAGTTAGTGATAATTAGTTTTCAAGTAATACATGCAAACTTTCTTTTTTTTTTTCTTTGCAGATCAGATGTAGTATAAATTGTACGTAAGCTCTAAATGCAATATTTATTCCTTCTTAGAGCAAAGAGAAGAATAATACAATATAGACACTCTTTTATTATTATTTTTAGAAGAGTGGATGCGTTTTATGTGTATATGGATTTGAAGATTTATATAGATCACTGTCACGAGCTTACTTAAAACGACGTATTACTTGAGTAAACAAAAAGATCATAAAAACATGTAAAAGTGTTCATTTGTATTTTTCCTAAATCCGCAGGTCTCTACCACAATAACAAGAGAACCAGTACTTTATTATCTATAGCATATATCATTCTGCTATACAGAACTATTCTCTAGTTCAACCATCTTGAACAATTTCTTATATATACTTAGCAAATTGAATCCCTAAATAAAATACATTCAACTTGACAAGTGATATTCAGCCCATAAGGACTATTACTATTTTATCTAAATGATTTTGTAATTAGACACAAGTTAAAATACTATATATAAAAAAAAAAAAAAAAAAAAAAAAAAAAAAAAAAAAAACTATAACGGCAGCCGTGACATATAAGTACTTCCTCACGTTTAATATGGTAAACTTAGTTTACTACATACTTTTCATCTGCTACATCTTAGGTTTATTTTTATTATTATTTTATACAAATATATATCACACATTCGTATAACTGCTTATTAATGATCGTTATCCTCCTAATAAGGAAGACAAGTCAACTACTAAAAAAAGATATTTTTTTTTTTTTTTTTTTTTTTTGAGCCCAGTCATAACTATTTTAAATGAAGCAGTGGAGTAAACATAGATTTTTTGTATTTTTATTTTTATCTTATTTATTTAAAAAGACATAAATGCGTGCTGTCATTGTTAAAAAACCTGGTAAGTCATCCAACAATTTCACCCATTGTTCAATTTATGTTTCGTTTACTTACATTGTTATTATTATTATTTTGCAAATAAAGGTGATGCGTCCCAACTTACACTTGGTGAATATGAAAAACCTACTTTTACAACAGATACTCAAATTTTAGTCAAGGTAAAAAAAGAAAAAGAAAAAAAGAAAAGAAAAGAAAAGAATACGAAATATAAAAGACGTTATGATTGAGCAATAATTTTTGATACAATAAAGGTGAAATGCTTTGCGCTCAATCGTATGGATATTTTACAGAGAGAGGGCAAATATCCTGTACCCATTGGTGGAAGTCCTATTCTCGGTGTCGAGATTTCTGGTACTGTTGAAAGTGTTGGAAAAGAAGGTAAAGAGGAAAAAGAAAAGGGATATCATGCACTTATTTCATTATTCTAATCTATATATTACTTATTAGTGAAGGAATTTAAAGTAGGTGATGCTGTATTTGGTTTAATGCCCGGAGGCGCTTATGCAGAAGTAAGTTATAAAACATAAAAATAAAACATAAAATAAACATTATTTTTAATAATAATAATATATATAGTACGCAATTTTAGAAGAATCTTTAGCAATGCATAAACCAGAAAATGTATCTTTCGAAGAAGCATCTTCAATCCCTGAGACTTGGTTTACTGCTTACCAAGCATTATTCTTTGTAGGTGAAATGCAAAAAGGACAGGATGTTCTTATTCATGCTGGTGCTTCTGGTGTAGGCATTGCTGCTATTCAACTTGCTAAAGAAGCTGGAGCGTAAAGTATATGTGTATATGTATATTTTAGAGAAGGAGGGAGGAAAAAGAAAGTTAGAGATACTAATTATAAATTCCTTACACACCTTTTATTAGTAATCGCATTTATGTTACTGTTGGGTCTGAAGAAAAAGTTAAATTTTGTGAAAGTATCGGTGCTACAAAGGCTATCAATTATAAAACTGAAAACTGGTCAGAAGTTGTATGTATTCATAATTATATAAAAAAAAAAAAAAATTAGACATGTATATTAAAAAAAAAAAAATCTTGATTAGATCTTGAAAGAGACTGATAAAAAAGGGGTCAATGTCTTGATTGACTTTATTGGTAAGAACTATTGGAATCAAAATATTGAAGTTTTAGGAGTTGATGGACATATGGTTATTTTGGCTTTTATGAGTGGTAAGTACTATTTATCTATATATGCTTCACGTATAATGCTCATTTACTGTTTTATATATTTTTATAAAGGAACACTAATTGAAAACTTTGATATTACCGCATTACTTCGTAAGAGATTAAGAGTAAGTATAATGAAATTGAACTATTTTGCATTACTAAAAATTGTACTATTTGTAGATCGAAGGTTCCAATTTACGTGCTCGTTCATTAACTTATCAAGCTAAATTACGTGATGCAATCTATGAAAATGTGGTTTTAAAACATTTTGCTCAAAAGGACGGTATCTTGAAAGTCTTTGTTGATAAAGTATACGACTGGGAAGATATTATCGATGCTCATAAATATCTCGAAAGTAATCAATCAAAGGGTAAAATCGTTGTTAAAGTGACTGAAAACTATTAAAAACACATACAAATAAAATTCCACATGCAAAATTTCATTCTCTTTTTAAAACTATTATTTATTTTAAATCATATATCGACAAAATTTATTTTTCCTATAAAATAGAAAGAAAAAGAACAAGTTAGTAAATAAATAATTATTTATAACCTTTTTCACTTACAGGAATTTCAACTTCACCAGCATCAATGGCGTCGCAAAGATCCTTGGGGCTTTGACCATCAACAGTACAACCAACAGAGAAAGCAGTACCGAGAATTTCCTTGACAGTACCCTTCAATTCACGGGCGTAAGACTTGAAACGCATGGTACGAGCAATTTCAATAACATCATCCAAAGAAATGTTACCGCTGTGCTTAATGTTCTTTTCCTTCTTACGGTCACGAACGGGTTCCTTAAGAGCCTTGATGACCAAAGAGGAAGCAGAGGGAACAACGGAAACTTGGGCTTGACGGTTTTGAATGGTCAATTGAACAGTGACACGAAGACCCTTCCAGTCCTTGGTACCCTTGGCGATATCTTCACCAACCTTCTTGGGAGACAAACCAAGAGGACCGATCTTGGGAGCAAGAGCACTGGAGGCACCAACTTCACCACTGAATTAAAATATAACAAAAGCAATGAAAAATGAAAAAAGAAGAAAAAAAAAAAGTTAATAAAATAATCCCAATTGTGTTTGGTTTATCTCCCATTTTCAACATGCATATATGTATATATATATTTCTCTTTTGATCACAGGCTTCTTTTTTACTTAAATCATCCCCCCTCCCCAAATTTTTTCTCTTTTACATTTTAAATTGATTTTTGATGAATGCTTACCCAGTGGCACGAAGGTAGATAATCTTAACTTCAGTGGGATCGAACTTTGGTGGCATCTATTTGAAATCCGAATTTCAAAGTTGAAAATGATGACAATGCAAATATAAATATTAATAAAATAAAACAAATATTTTTAATGTGAGTACTTTTGATCAATGGATGCATTCATATTATTAATGGATGTTATGATATTCGGTACCTTTGAACGTGGAGAAAGAAGGTATATTCAAACTTTGGCAAGACTCTTCTTTGATTGTTGCCAAAAATGGATTGGAATTAATTGGATAATAATTTTTAAACACCGGATACTTTATTTTAAGTATAGAAAAAAAAAAAAAAAAGGCGGTAAGAATATCATGTTATTTCTTTTCACGTACTAATTCATGATTAGAAGATTAGCATCCTTATTGAATGGAGGCATTATCAGTGAATTATTTACTATATACCTGAAGAATTATACATTACTGTTTATCTTTACATTTAAAAAGATGATTTCTTCAATTTACGTATATTATTTTATTATTTTGTATCGCATTGAAAAACATTAAAACAAAAGGAGACCATTAAAGAGGAATTAAATGCGCTGTTACTTGACAGGAATCTAGAGTAATCATTTGTAAATAACTCTACAAAGTTTAGAGCGTGTATTAGCTATTAGAATTTTCAACTTCTTAGTATTAATTGGGTCAATCTTTTTTCTGAAGCTTTCTATCAAATTGATCAATTTAATACCTAACGTTATTATAATATTGCCTTTTTTCTTAATAAAGGTAATAATGATAACATATAAAGAGTGTACGAAAGAGTGTATGAAAAAAAAACATTGTTAGTGGTTGAAATCTTTTGATTTCATGATGAATTCTAATTTTACATTTATTTATAAAGTATATAGCTATACAGCATGAAGCACACTGTTAAGAGAGAGAAAAAAAAAGCTGCTAATACTATTTACTACTTCGAAATATTTATTCTTTAAATAGATATAAAGTTAAGACAAGTATAGATTGTGTTAACATAATGATCCAAAAAAAAAAAGTCATATTTTTCTAAACAAACATGATGCTTAAAAAAAGAATATAGATTACATAGAAGTCATGGCAGCATCAAGACTTGTCATACTAGTTCCACGACTTAACCTGTATGGTGAATTATGTTTTTTGCTTAATGAAGGACTACTACTACTGCTATTAGAAGTGGTAGTATTTGCTCCATTAGAATGTGACAATGATCCAGAGGGTATTAATGGGGAATAAATAGAAGCTGCTGTAGTAGTAGTATTTCCATCAGATGATGATAGACTATTCAATTTTTGTTGTTGTTGTTGATGACTGTAATCTAACAATTCTGCTTGTGATAAACGATAAGAAAGTCTATTTTGTTGCTGTGTAGCATTTATGGATCGAGATGATTGTCTTGAACGCACTGATGTAGGTCTTGATGGCTTTGGATTATTTGATAAATTATGTAAATCTAGAAATCGTTCAACAAAATCAGCAATTAATGGTTCTTTCATGGCTGATAGTTTATATTCTTCAAACGACTATTTGAGTTGTTAGTATATATAAATGAGTATAAGTGCATGTACTTACTAATTTCCCATCACAGTCGACATCAAAATCTTCAAACATACAATCAATTGCACGCTGAATTTCTTCTATTTCATTCTCTTCATCCGACAACATTCTTGACTTTTGAATAAAAGATTATGCATGAGTATATAAAGTTGTTTCTACTAAACGTTTATTTTTTTTTTTTACCAATTGTAGCATAACATGCTCTAATTCTTCTTTTGATATAAAACCATCTTTATCCACATCATACAGTTTAAAAGATACTACAAAAAAAAAAAAAAGAAAAAAAAAGAAAAAAGAAAAAAAAAAAACTTAGTAAAAGTAATCAATCTAGAAGATTACATTATTATTACATCTTAATTTTTCTTCTGGAGTTCCTCTCATGAAAATACTCAATCCATCTACAAATTTGCTTTTATTTTTATTTTATTTTTTCATATATTAAAAAAAATGTACATGTTATTGTATTAATATTTGTTTGTTTTACCTGAAATCAATAGATTGTTGTTCATCACCGCCAAATGCGCAATAAAGCCTTTGTAAAAATACATCGTCCATCATAGATACAGTTGGTACATATTGTTTAACAGACTTTTTTTTTTAAATATATACATATATATATATATATAATACACTTAGTATATAATGCATATTGTTTAAAGTTAACCTTACATACATCTTTAAATACATTTTCAGTAATATTGTTTTGATCTTCTTTTTTCACGTTTTGTCGGAGATCGTTAATCTCCTTTGTCGAAACTAACAAAGATGTGTTAATAAAGATGTCGAATATAATAAAATGTTATTTACAATGTGTCTTTTTAGACAATGTGCTATTTTCTTTGCTTTTTGTTTGTCCCATGATAACTTTATGAAATTAAAGAAATGATAAAATTTATTTCGAAATAAAAAAAAATAAAATAAAATAAAAAATTATATGTTTTTATATGTTTTACATCATTATCAGTCAGATTTAACTACTATTTTAGGACTTTACATTCATTTGTGATACCATCTTCTTCTATAGTATTTCACTTGAGTCTCCTTTAATAAGTCATTTGGTTAACAATGATGCTCTCTTATAAATGAATACATCTATACACATATTAAATTACACTTTCTAAAGAGTCACTTTATTTTATTAATTGCCAGGACATATTATAGTATTTCTCCACCTTTTTTTTTTTTTTTTTTAAAAAAAAAAAGACTCAATGTGAGCACATAATATAGAGTGTATATCGTTTTGCCCGAGCCAGGTAGGTTATCACAATAAATTAAGAAAACTAAAAATCTCTTAAGAATGAAAAAGAAACAAATTATAAAAATATTAGTAGAAGGAAAGACATCAGTAATTATAGAAAAAGAGAATACACCAGATAATGCTATCATCATAAACGGTCAACATAAAGCCAAGAGAGAAACTTTGAGTCAAGATCAGGTGTAATATCAGGAGGTACTCCGTTAAGGAATAGATAATACATAACAAAAAAAAATAATTGGCTATCGTATATTCCAGAGAAAGTCTGTAGAGTGTCAATTCCTTCATCCTTATTTGAAATTTGGTCGAGTAGAAATACATTACATAAAAAAAAAAAAAAGTGGATCCTTAATGGTAGTAGGCATTTGTAGTTATCGGCACATATATGGGCATATAACAACCGCATATACTCGAGATCATCTAATATTTAGGTGATAGATGCAGTGTTTCAGTTACTCGTCAGGCAACCCAGTCCAGGTGATATCTAACTTTTTGGCTGCGTTCAGTACGAATCATAGATAACCACGTAATGGGGTCAACTTCAATCTTTGTATGGTAGGAAGGAAGGAGAATAGAGGCATTAGCAGTACTGTTTTGTTGGGTAGATATATTTTGCTACAATCAGTTTTAGCAGTCAATTCGGAAGGATCAAATATTAGAAATATTATCAACCATTGTTGTAGAACATAAGATCTAAATAAGTGATATAGGGATTTTGTATCATTAGGAGTAACTACTGCTAGACGAATGAATGCATAGATAGAAAAGTGTCATCAGAGTTTTGTAACAAACGGCGCAAAAAAGTTACCTGTAGAAAGTATGCCCTTTCTTACATAATTGGTTAACTGACAAGATATATCATCACTTTTTGTAGAGAACCAAAAGCTAACATAGATTATATGACGAATATACTGGTTTTAATAATCGTTCAGTTGTTTATATGAGTTTTGAGGTGAGGGATCTAATTTGCTAGTCCATATCAAAGGAGTCATGCTGGAATGGCAAACATTCTTTTGAATAGTATAATCCTGCTAAGCGAAAGCGCACAAATCAAAACAGGAGAAGATGGAGGAGGGAAAAGTAGGAAAGAGGATACAATAGTCTAAAGAAGCTATAAACATAAGAAGAGACAGCAATGACCAAAGACCTCTTTTAAAAGATTGGAACTAGTGCCATTGATTGTATTTGGTGATGGTATGTAAAATAAGAATCCAGTACCAATTGGAGGAATAATTTCTGGCACTGCTGATATATAAGGATAAGGAATTGGAGTAGAGATCAAAGTTATTTAAGTCTTTGGTGATTGGTATTAGTGAATTTAGTATAATTAAAGTATTATATATTGTGTGGTATTGTACGAAGCATAAATTGCTTGTTTAAACTTTAAAATCTGGATATTAAATATGCAATAGTTCTAAGAAAAAAAAAAGATTCGCAAACACTAAAACTTCTCATTGAGAAATACCCTTACAGTGCAATCAAATACAAAAACTTCAATATACTATGGAACAGGTAAATCAATGCTAATAAAAATAGGTTTAATACCTTATTTTCTATTTAGGATGGAAGGGAAAGGTCTGCCATTGTTACTAGAGACATTATCGTAGAGAGTATGGATTTCTTCTTGGATAATTGAAATAATTGCATGTAAATGTTCCTTATTTGTTTAAAAACTAATATTAATTTATTCTCTTTACTCTTTCTCAGTTCAAATCCTACCCCTTTGATTAAGGCACTATAATAGTAAGAAAATATATATGTATTTATTTGAAAACAATTGATAAAGCTTAGATAGTTATATCATGCATACAAATAAACTATTTCTTAAGCTTACATAGGAATAAAAAGCTACTGAGCACATGATTTTAATATTAAACGAAATGTATGAAAAGTTACAAAGATATTAATTGAAAGTTTTGATTCAGAATTACTGTATGTTTCATCCATCACATTAATTGAGAATATGCCAAATATTATGTATTAGCGAATATTCAATGGTTTACCCTTTAATCAAGTATTATGTAGTTTAACTATATGTTTTTATACTTATAAATAATAGAATATTAGCAAAAATGAAAATTCGTATGCTTTATATATATATATAAGAGATCCGCTATAGTGGCTATTGATATAAATTTCTATTATATTGTTGCTTTTGGATTCTTTATTGACCATGTATATAATTGATTACGTTAAGGGAATAATAGCATTCATCGTAATTTCCTTATTTGTATAAATTATTACGATAATTGCAATTGTGGGTAACATTCTATAACTAAAAGGCGAGCTGTCTTACTTTCCGCTTATTTTCTGCTACCAGTTCCGACTTTGATCAGCATAACAATAAGGCATTGTTCTTACTGTAATTTAAATCCAGATGTTTTTAAACTTTTTTTTTTTTTATCGTCAATTCATGCTCAGTTGATGAATGGATATTCAGTGATAAAGAAGTTCTTATAAGGAAAATAGATATATCTATAGTCCTGCTTAATCAAATATATAAAATTATTGCAAGTGTCTCTTATAGTATTGAGTGAATTACTATTATAGCAATGCTTTTTTTTTAAAGAAAAAATAAAATAAAAAAGAAAGCTTACAGTCATAATAAAACACTGACAATTTCTACTTACATGAATATTCACTGACAAAAATGGTATATAAACTTTACTTATTTATTGATTTTTAAATAACTTGAATCTTTTTATTATAAAAAAAAGCTTCTCAAAAATCAAAATAGTCTTTTTATAGATGATAATAATAATAAAACAAATAGAATTTAACTCTGTTATTAATCTTTCTTTTAGAAGAGCTGAATCAAGCTTCGGATTGTGCAAGAAAATAGGCGGTCAATGTAATTACCTTTATAATAAATTTCAATATGCTCAGCGTTATCTTCCTTGATTTATTTTGCAAATTTTGCGTCATTATAGGTTTCAAAGTAAAATATGAATATTGCTTATTCAATAATAAGAATGGTCATCATTAATAATTTGGATAAAATAGCCTGAGATTGAAGTATATTCGTATAAATTTTGATCCGTTTTGAACAATAAGCGTACGGCAGATTTCTTCCCCGCGCAAATTGAAAAAAAATATAAATATTTTAGTACTTGATTTTTTTTTTTTTATTCTTATTTCTTTTTCTCTTTTTTTTTATTCTTCTTCGTCTTTTTTTTTTTTAAACAATGTCGGTAGAGAATAAAGAAAAGGACGATAAAGTTATCGTAAATGATAATGGTGTGCCTTTATATAAAAGTCAAATGACAGCATTAGATGAAAAGTTGGATAAAGAAATTGTATATGAATTCGGTGGGTCTGTAGGCGTCCTTGGAATGATGATAGGTTTCCCTTGTTTAATGTATTATCTCTGGGTTTGTCTCGAATATCATCAAGGCAGTCTTATTTATCCATCTTCTTTTACAAAGGATGATATTATTCTATTTATATCAAGGGAAATTATTGAAAAAGTAAAATTGGGTGCTTACCCTACTGCATTTGCTATTAAGATCTATATGGGCTATGTTTTATTTTCTTTTATTTTGGCTTATATTATGCCTGGTCCTGTTGTTCACGGTACACCTCTTCCTACTTTAAAGGGAAAAAGCGTAAGTGTCATTTATAAAATATGTAAAGGGAAAGAAAGAAGACTGATATGTGTATAGCTTCCTTATTTATGTAATGGTTTATCATCTTGGTATTTAACACTTGTTACTGCTTTTGTTCTTCATTTTACTGGTATTTTCCGTTTGACTTCTATTGTTGAAAATTTTGGTAGTATCATGACAGTTGCAATTATTTGGGGTTATACCATGTCAATTCTTGTTTTTATTTGTGCTTTTATGAATGGTACTACACATCGTATGTCTGGTAATTTAATTTATGATTTTTTTATGGGCGCACCTTTAAATCCTCGAATTGGTCATGTTGATTTGAAAATGTGGGCTGAATGCCGTGTACCTTGGCCAGTTCTTTTCTTTATTGGTGTTTCATGCGCCTTAAAGCAATATGAAACACGTGGTTATGTTACTGCTCCTGCTGCCTTCCTTGTTCTTGCTTACTTTTTATATACAAATTCAATCCAGAAGGGTGAAGAGTGTATTCTTACATCTTGGGATATGTTCTTTGAAAAGGATGGTAAGTTGGTTATGTATTTTATTGTAGGAAACAATAGCCCTTATATATAATTTTTCATATTTGTTAGGTTTTATGTTAATTTTCTGGAATATGGCTGGTGTCCCTTTTACTTATTGTTATTCAGCTGTTTATCTTAGCAAACTCGAAGAAACTACAGGTATTGTTGTAACTCATAGTAAAGCTTATACTATCTTTTTATATATCCTTTTACTTTGTGCTTACTATGTCTTTGATACTGGTAATTCTCAAAAGAATCGTTTCCGTATGGAACAAAATGGTACCTATATCGATCGTAAAGCCTTCCCTCAATTACCTTGGGGTAGAATTAAGAATCCTACTTATATCAAAACCAAGCAAGGTAATATGTTATTGACTTCTGGTTGGTGGGGTATTGCTCGTAAACCACATTACACTGCTGATTTATTCCAATCTCTTTCTTGGGGATTAATTACCGGCTTTGGTTCTTTCTTACCTTATTTCTATTTCACTTTCTTTTTTGTTGTACTGACACATCGTGTTACTAGAGATATGGAGCGTTGTGCAAAGAAATATGGTAAAGATTGGGACCGTTATTGTGAGAGAGTTCCTTACATCTTTATTCCTTATGTTTTCTAAAATTTTGTATACTTTAAGAAAATTTCTGCATATTTTAATAATAAAAATAATATAACTCAATAGAAATGAGTTTATGTAGACTGTTAAATATAGAAAAATCAAGTTCCACATGGATTTTTTCCAGTTTCATCATGTTAAACAAGCAAACAAATATACACACATGCAAAGTATATAATAATGTATACAGCAACATAAAAAAAAAAAAATTTTTTTTTCTTTTTTATATATTTATATTTCATAAGCTGGTAATTCATTATCATGACAAGAAACAATAAGAGAATGATAAGAAGGTAAATTGCCACTGCACGGCTGATATCCAAAGTAGTCATCATTTGTAAAAGGATTACAATTAAGTGGAGGCGTTATAGGATAGGACTCCTCTTCAATGGGTGAACAGAGTGCAGGATTAGGAGAGTCAACAAGATAAGGTAAACCAGAATAAGGAAGAGAGCGCCATGCGTTTTCATAAGTCGGTAGTTCATTTATATTATCATCTTCTTGAGGCTTTTGATTTATGATTTCAATGGGTAATGAAGCTCTTAATTCAATAATTAGGCCTTGCTTATTAATAAGAGACATTGTGAATTTTAGTTTATGTTCTATTTTAAAGTATGGATTGTATATTGTATCACATTGTATCGAATCAAATGAAAAAGGTACCATTATTGTCTCTGTTTTTTCCCAGTGTAACCCTTCTGATGGAAAGGCTTCATCACGAAAGAAACGAATTATACGTGATTCTGTACGATTGCTGATTGTAGTATATTCTTTAAAAAAGCAAGATAAATAACGTACTCGTAATTGCTCATCTGAGTTTTGTTTGGGTGAAATTAAGAAATGAATAGGAATTTGCTCTCCTCGACTAAAAGCTTTCTTTGGTATACTGATTCGATAATCAATTTTATTCGGCCATTCATTCGATATCTGTAATGAGCCACCTCTGTGATAATCATAAGGTGGTAACAACTCTCTAACAATTCGAATCAGCTGTCGGTCTACTAAATTGGGTGAAAATGCGGGCCGATCAACGACGGCTTTTAACTTGTACAACAACGAGCCGTAAGAATTAGGATCAATGGATTCTCCTAAATTCCCGGGAAGAATATATTCAAAAGGATATTTATATACATTGTTTGGTGTTAATAAATGTAACTTTTTATGTTGATTCGATAAAAAACTCCAATGATGTTCTAAAACAGTTGTTTCTTTTTTATGCTGGTGATTACCTAATATTCATAATCATTTATTAGTACTATTAACAAAAAAAAAAAAAAAAAAAAAAAAAAAAAAAAAAAACTCCCTCCTTCCATATATTTATTTATTAACCTACGTTCATTCCATTGCAACTTCAATTTCCCCGTAAAGCTCAAAGTAATTGATTTGACTTTTATACTCTCCTTTATACGCAGAATAACGCAACCCCGTAAGACACATCCTACTGATTCTTCAGGACTTCCTCTCAAAATAAGTGTGTTGTTTTCAACATGTATTTTCAATTGATAAGACATAGTATATAAAACGATAATAAAAGAAGAAGAAGAGGGGAAAAAATAAAGATATTTTATGCGTCTAAGAACAAAAAAAAAATCTTTCTTAGACTGACGGTAGTTCAAAGAAGTTGGTCTAGATCTTTAAAACGAATAATATTCGTTTGTTTGTTATCAAAATTAGAATCTGATATCTCTTTTTGTTCCGATAAAATCCATACGTTTATAGATTACTGCCCTGAAATATTAAATTTGACAGCAGCGGCTTTTAATTATTTATTGTTTTAATTTTAGAAAAAAATATAGTTATTTATACACAAAAACATTAGAATCCAGATCCCATCATTTTCTTCGCTTTCTTTGCTCGATACGCTTCAATCGCCTTTTCACGCTCATTTTCTAATTGTATACGTGCTGCTGCACTCATATTTTGAAGTTTTCGTTTATGTGATGCCTTTAGTAATTTCATGTTTTCATCTTCTTCTGATTCATAACCCGTTTCTTTCTTTTCGGTGCCAGATGACGATGAAATAGCTTGTTTAGTTTTAGACTCAAGCATCTAAAAAGGAGTATAAATAATAATTATTATCATAGTGTTATTTTACTATATATATGTATATATATGTATACCTCTTTACCACGCCCGCGTGCCTTTGGTAATTTATTAAATACAGGTGGCGCATCAGCTACTTCACCAAATTTAACATTATCTTTCAAATCATCAAAATCACGTCCACCATACATTTCTAATTCTTTTTGACGCTTTGCAGCTAATTTTTGTTTTCGTAATTCACGATTACGCTTTTTTCTATCACTTATCGGTTTTGCTGCTTTTTGTGCTGATATTACATCCTTTTGATATTCAAACTCTACTCTTTGTACAAAATCTTTTAATTTTTCACCTGGTTGAATTGAAAGCTTATTCTATAAAAATTCAAATAAGGATCTCTTTTTTTTTTGTTATAATAGTGCCATACTTGTTCATCATTTCTTTCACGATTTAATTTTGCTTCTTTTTTCTCCTTTTGTTTTTTTAAAGCCATTTCTTTAAATTTTAATAAACGGAAAAATCCCTTTGGTGTATCATCATTACTCGTTTCATCTTTCTTTACTGGTAAGTCAACCCTAAATTGAAAATTAAAAAAAAACATTAATAAATCTAAAAGGGATGCGAACATTCTTTTATAAGCATTATTTACTCAGCCTTTCTTGCTTTACGAACACTAGCTTTTGCTCTTTTATGTGGCATAATACTGATTGAATAGTGTAAAATTGATCAATTCAACTTTTTTTGTATTAAAAAAAATAAAATAAAATAAAATAAAAGAATTCTCAATTAGGAAATGCAGTCACGAAAAGCAGCCTCGATCTTTCCCCTTAAATCACAAAATAATTCTCATTTTTTATTCATAATGCATGGTTATTCTTATATTCAATAAAACATCGCATATGATATGTTATACCCGTTTCAATTCGGATTGATGATTCTGAATTCTCTTCAAATACTTCTTTCTTTTTCCAGGTTCTCACAATAGGTGGCAAATATTTATATTGTGGTGAATCGAATTGAAGTATTTTTTGACAACGATGACAAGGTTTAGTAAACAAATCATGATAACTTATAAACCAGCTCTATAATTCATTATAAGAAAATGTGATATATGGCAAATTATATATATATAAATATGTGCTTACAAGAATATTATATAATGATTCTTTTGCATAAAACGCTAGCATATCTTCAAACGCGTTAGAAGCTAACAGATTTAACTTTTGAAATACCAAATGCTGAGATTCTTGCCATACATATTTCTAACCGTTACTATGTTAATAATAATAAAGGACAATAGTAAAGTGCCTAACAAACCTCCTCTTTAACGCTTTTAATAACATATTGATGAATGATTAGACTGTCTGAATTTTGATAATATTCTAAATCTAAAATTGCTGCTAATGCCTTACGAGAATAAATCTAAAGCAAATTATAAATTAATAAATTACTCCTCTCTCTCTCTCTCCTCTTTGACTTGATATGATTATACTTTAATACAACACGTTGAACCTGTAAGAGTCTTTCTCTCTTCATTCACAAACGTAATTGAGAAATCAATATCTTCGGGTTTATTATCTTTAATCCACTCGTCAATATACTTTGTAAAGAACAATGGTCTATTTTTAAAAAAGAAAGTTACTTTTCCAGTATTCTTATTGAATTATTTTTTTTTTTACATACTCTTGTGATAATAAAGTTGGTCTTCGTTCAAATGTAATAGTTGCAAGCTCGCTATTGACAGAGGAAAAAAAAATGAATATTGAAACTCTAAAAAACTGTTGACTTTTAATTACTTATAAACATGGTCTGCACTGGCTTTCACTAAAGATCCAATCTCTTTTGCTTTTCCTGTATCAGCTAATTCTTCTTTATATCTATTTTCCTCTTCTACAGCTTCTTTTTCTACTTCACTGTAAAGTGTGTGTGTGTTTTTTTAATGATTATTACTGTTATTGTCCTAAAGATCTATTTACCTCTTTATTAAATTCCAGTTGAATTTATTTTCATTTGCTAATATCTGAGCATGTTCCAAGGCACCTACATAAAAAAAAGGGGGGAGAGAGAGAGATTAATTATTTGTTATACATGTATATCTTTTTCTACAATTTGTTCATTTAGTTACCTTTCAATTGCTCTCCTTCTGTAGATAGATTATTTAAATCTCGCTTGACATTACGAAGACTTTCACCAAAAGCATGTACGAAATTGCTATTTTTTTTATCTGATTGTACCAAGTTTGTAAATTGTTTAAGAGAGGATCGAACTTCTGATACCTTGTTTTGTATTATTAATATTGAATTATGCATGTATTAGTAGGCATTTATAGTAAATTGTAATGATCAACACTACATACAGTAAGTAATGCATGATCGATATTCATTATATCCTTTTCAATTTCACTTAGTGATCTATTTGAAGTCATGTTTGAATTATTCGACAAATAAATGCTATAAATAAGAATTCTAAACTAATATATAAAAAAAAATGTAAAAAGAAAAAAGATTATTACGCGATATTCAAAATAGCCTTGTATACATTATTCAAAAAAAAAAAAAAAAAAAAGTGGTGTCTCAAGTCGTAGTTCTAAATTAATTCAACAGTAATTTTTTTTATTTTATTTTTTATTTTTACATAGATTTCTTCTTGATAGTTTGCAATCATAAAATCATGCTTGCAGGTTTAAGAAGTCAAAAAGAAGCAGGAGATCTTCTTAGTACATATTTACTTCAAGGATGGGTATGCTATATATACATAATAAAAATATATAGGGGTCATGTTTATAAAATAGATTTTGTAGGTTATGACAGATGAGATTTGTAAGATTGATGATTGTTCATTTCCTTTAATGAGATCAAAGGATGGATCACTTTCTTTTTGTACACATCATGATGAACTTCCTGCTAATGGTGCTAATCATCATTATGAAGTAAAGCAAAAGAATATTAAAAATGAACAAGCACAAAATTCAGATCCCCTGAAAAAAGAATCAACACAGGCAACAGTTGATTTTACTGAAGAGGAGCTACGCCTTCGTCGTGAAAGAAGAGATCAATCATCAAGAGCATCTCAGCTTATTGGACAAAAGATGCTACAGAGATGGACCTTACTGAATGATCATTGTCCAAATGAATCTTGTTATGCAGTAAAGTATTACTCAGATATATATTATTATAATACTTACAGTTTATAAAAAAAAAAAAAAAAAAAAAAAAAAAAAAAAAAAAAAAGATTCCTTTAGTTCGTAATCCAGAAACAAATGAAAGATACTGTGTGATTTGTGAAAATGTTATTTTGACAGAACAAGAAATATTAAAATATAAAGAGCAAGAAGAAGAGAGAAAAAAGAAATCCAAAGAAGTTAAAGTTCAAAAGCCTGTAGAGTCGCCTCCTGTGATAAAGGAACACAAAAGACAAAAATTAGAACCAGTCAAAGCTAGTTTTTCATCCAATCATACTATTTCCACCCTTTCAATGAAAATGAATGAATTATCTGAAAGAGTGGCTTTATGTCATGATCCTGTTGAGCTTGAGCAATTATTTAAATCAATCAAACAATGTGCAAGCGCAATAAAAGCTTGCAATGAAATAAGCAAAATTTGTGATCAAACCTTATAAATAAACATTACTGTGATGGTACAAAAAAAAGGCTGTTCGTTACTTAATTTTGTTTAGGAAACTGAACTTAAAAAAAGATTGCAGCTGTGATCCTTCTTTTTTTTTTTTTTTACGGGGGAAAAATGTATTATAATTAGCCAATTTAGTCCTCTTTTATTGTACCTTTTTCATTTCATATCTGTAAGATATTATTATTATTAAAATTTACAGATACTAATGTTTCGGCAAATCTTCTTCAAGTCAAATGCACTACTACCACGACGTTCTTGCCACTCTATAACACCAATTCATAGTTCTCGTTTTCAGTTATTGTGTAAAAGAAAGTTTCACTTTACACAGCCTGTTCGTATTCCCATAGTTCCTATTCCTGCTGTTATCCTAGGTGCCCTTAAAAGTGGGAAACTAGTTAGTCTTATATCCTTATCATCAAAGACGTCCTTAACATTATTGCCCCATACATTTCGTAGACAAGGCAGTAAAGGTGTTTTAATAGCAAAGATATTAACTGGTATACCATTATTTGGCTTTGCTTTATTGCTTCTAATTGGATTAGATCAGGTATAATAAAGATATATACACATACAAAGAATAATCAAATTGTATAATATTAGATGTAAAACAATGAAATATGTATTTGTTTTCTTTATTTAATTTTTTATTTTTTTTTCATTTAAGGCACCAAATACATCTCGATTACGGCTTATTTATTTAACTGAAGAAGAAGAAAATGAAATTGTAACAGCAGAAATAGATGAATTATTAAAAGCACATCTGGGCTTAATAGTTCCTAAAGACAATGAAATAGTCATGTGGCTTCAAACCATTGTAGATAACTTGACAATCCATGCAACTGATGATATTCGTGATCCTATTAGACAATATACAAAGGATAAAATTGCTCCACAAAATGAGCAAACAAAGGTTTTACCGCTACCTGCTGATATAGATGACCTCATTGTCTCTAATGACATGCAACAGGAGGCGACAGAAGTTAGACCAACGATTCCTAAGCGCAATTTTGAAGTCAATGTCATTTGGGACTCGAGTACTCTCAATGCCATATGTGTAGGCTCTAATATCGTTGTATATAATCTTTTACTTGATTATTTCGATTATGATACAACCAAGATAGCTGTCATATTGTCTCATGAGATTGCTCATTTATTACAACGTCACTTTGTTGAACAACATGGTTTTGCATCCTTAATGTTAATGCTGGGTGATATTAGCCGAGGTGTATTCTGGATGGTTACTGAGTCTATGGGCCCCTATGTGAATCAAAAGATAAATGAATCTATATCCAATTTTATTATAAGACAGACACAAACAACGTACAATAGAAAGTTAGAGAAAGAGGTATTATCTGCACTTGTAAATATAACATAATATTAAATATACACATACATGCATGCATATATATTAGGCAGACATTGTAGGTTTAAAGTTATTAGCAAAAGCAGGCTACGATCCTAGAGCTGCTATAGATGTATGGCAACGTATGGCTGAATTAGAAGAAGAAAAAAGTGATGAGGAAAAGGATAGCATTGGGAATCTTATTGCAAAAGAGTTAAGTGATAAGAAATCAAAAACACCATTATTACTAGCAGTAGAAGATGAAGAGAATAAAGAAGCAAGTATGAAGCTTGAATATAGTATAAAAAAGTATTTAGATACCTTAGTAGACTCATGGTTTGGCACTACTCATCCTCCTAGTATGGAAAGAGTAGAATACATGCGTGAACATATGGAAGAAGCAATAGAGCTTTATAATGAAGCGATAAAGTTAAATGGACCACCTGTTGAGTTTGTATTTAGTACAAACATGGATAAAGAAAAAGATAAAAATCAAATAGAAATAATAGAACATACTATATACAATGTATTGGGGCATATCGGTCAATGGTTATCTACACTATACCCATTGTCTGCTACTAGTAAGACTTCCATTAGTAAAAATAACCCAATATTGGAAAAAGCATAAAAAGCTATAAATATTTATATTTATATTTATATCCTATTTAAAAATATTATTATAAATACATTAACACTATTTTGAAATATACATGAATTAAATTTTGTATAATAGTTCTTACTTTGTTTTGGTTAAAGCGTTTACATAATTATGGTAGTTGTGTCATCGGATTTAACGTAGCACAAAATTGATAATATTCAATACTTTCTTTATTTCTTCCTTTCTTTTCCTCTCTCTTTCTTTTCTTTTCTTTTCTTTTCTCTTCTTTTTTGAAAGTGATATGATCTCACCAGACACAAATGTATTAAATGCTGAGCAAACAAAGAAAATATTAGAAAGATTAAATAGTTGGAAAAATGGTATCTGTGCTAATGGAAAATTAGCAAGTCAGTCATGCTTTGTATTAAAGCAACGACCTCATATCTATATTCATCCAGAACCGCCTCAGCAGCCAAAAAGTATAACTACAGAGATAATTACTGAATGGCCATGGGCAGAGAATTTAGTTGAGTCTGGAGCTATTACAAATTTGAATGATGATATGATGATAAAGACTATGTCTGACTTCTTTATGATATTTCATTATGATAAAGACCATACGAATCATTATAACACATTACATTTACTTCGGCTCTATAAACATGCCTCTTTTAATATTGACAATATATATCGACCTACGAGAGCACTTGAAAAGAAGTTACAACAAGTTTTACATGAAACTAATCGAGATTTTCAATGGGAGCAACTTGTTGAAATGTGGAATCTATTTGGCTATTTATGGCCTAGGAAAATTATAATAGGATATAGAACCTATCTTAAAAAGACATATCCATTTCGTGATATCATTGATGGAGTAAATGGTTATTATTACAATTTAAGTCTTCTAAAAGATGAGTTTGACAGCTTACCAAATCATCTCGTATTTGACTTGAATCAGTTCTTAGATGATTGTGTCGTTATATCTCGACTCGATATGACACCTATACATGAATTATTTAATGAAGAGGCCAAAAATACTATAAATTCTATTATCAATGAAAAATTTACGAAAATACCTGCCTACTATCCTGTTAAATTCTATAATATATCCACTCATGGTTATTTGTGCTGGGATCCAGTTATACAGCAAGACCCTGTCTTTGGAGGGAATCAAGATTATTTGATTCGAGCTATTACGGCCGATCATTCTGAAATAAGAAAGTCGCCTGAATGTCAATATCTGTGGAGATTCACTTGGAAACCTATTATTCAAGCAGATGATACAATGAATTCTACAATAAAACATCGTAATGAAACCATTCGTGGTTTCAGTAAGTTATATATATACCCTGCATGTAAATCCACTCCTCCTTTCAAATCTAAACAAACCAATTATTATTATTTACCAAAAATACATAGTCAAAAGCAAGATCATCGCTTGCAAATTCAAAATAGAATGACAAATGAATTAAATGTGATTGAAACTAATAAATGGATGTTAGTCTGTCCTCACCGACAATATGAAGCAATATCTTCTCGTGAAGAGGTTTCAAAGTTAAAAAGCTTACGCCTACTACCAAGTCATTTATTGAACTTTAAAGAAGAATTACAACTAGATTGGACAGTTGAATATCCATATAATGGCTTAAAATATATGACAGATACGCAACTAAATATAAAATTGAACTTTCACGAATATATTAGACGCATGAAACCCGTATTAAATGGCGATATTATACAACTACAACAGGTAGGCTTGTTGACTGCTTTTAATCCTGCATCCTATCATGATCAACAATCACATAAAATAGATAAAGATATAGTACATCAGCATAATACAGCACTCCAGCATTTAAAAATGATGAAAGGACTCATTGCTCGTAAAGCTAGCTTCAAATCTAAGAATAAAAAGATTGTCTTGTGTATCAATGAAGATATTACGAGAGAACTTGGGTCAGAGACAACATTTTGGAGAGTAGAATTGCCTAATGAGTTTGATATGTTGAAACATTCAGACAGTCTATATCAATTACCAATAAGCAAAACTGACCAAAAGTATGAGCATACATCTGCATCATCTAACAAAGGTGAGTTATATATAAATTCTTGATGAATTGAATGGCAATTAATTATTATTATTTTTTTTTAATATATTTGTATACTGAAAAGATGAAGAAAATGGTTTTACTTTCCATCATTTTAAGGGAGACAATACTACAACAAAGCGTTCATCTTTAAGAAGAACAAAATCGTTAGGATCTTTGTATGAGAAGCAAAATGTAACTTACATTAGCCCGAACTCGGATAAAGCAGCCTATTTTGAAGGACTTGTGCATAATAAAGAAGCATCAAATTTACTAACTCAATTTTTTAAAAATGCATCATTACAACCTTTGGCTCAATTTGTTAAGCCAGCCCGCACAAAACCACCAGCACAAATATACCATTCCAGTCCTTCCCCTTTTACTACAAATCAACAAAAGTTTATTTAATTTTTTTTTCATTATATGTAATATAGTTCAATGTATTCTGGGTTTTTTTTTATTTATTTTATTATTATTATTATTTTAATAGAACTTATTTAATCTTCTTCATCTTCATCATTTTCTCTGAAACGTGGGTTCTAAATTGAAAATGATAATTAGATATTGCATTAATAATAGCTTTTAGATACTTACTTGTTCTCTTGTACGTTTACGAGAATCAATATCTTCGGTTTCCATTTTACGTTTATAGCCTACAATAAAGTTAAAATGAATAACCAAGTTTATACTAGTGATTCTAAAACTATATATATTTACTTTGATTAGCAGCTGCTCTACTCTTGTATTCATCAGCACCACGGGGAATATCTTTAATAGCTTCATAATTTTCTTTAATATTACGCTCGCGCTCTTGTTCTAACTGCATTCGTATACGATGACCCCAGCCACCTCTACCGACATCATACTCTGTACGATATTCATCTCTAACTTGTCCACCACTTTTACCACGACCAAATTGTCTACCTTCTCTAAATCCAGGATCAAGATCGCAACGAATAACACGTTCGTCCAATTTAGTGCCATTAATATATTTCATACAATCAAGAGCATCTGAACGATGATAGTACCTAACAAGTAATTGAATTAAAATTTACATTCTGAAAAGCAATATAACGACTATAATTTACTCAACAAAACAAAAACCACATGGTGTCTTTTGATTACGATCGAGCCCCATAATAATACGTTTAATTTCTCCACATTTTGCAAAAAGTTCATAAATTTGTTCTTCTGTTGTAAAAAATGATAAATTGCCGATATACAGAGTTGCTGTTGTAGAAAGATCGTCAGAGAGTTGATTAGAAGATCCCTATTAAAATTAGAAAGGAAGGAAACTTATTTATACAGAAAATCAAAAATGAAATTAAATAGCTTTAGAGCTACCTGGTATAATTGGTCACGATAGCTTGAGGGTACAGCAAGTGAATTAATTATTGTAGCCATTGTAACTTTATAAATTACAGGAAAAAAAAAAAAGGAATTGTTACAGAGACAACAAAATATGTTTCTATATAGCGGAACAGTCACAATAATACTACCCACTTTTCCTGTCAAAACTGCATAACGATTATTATGTACTTTTGTTTATTTCAGCAAGAATTATAAAGGTTTATATGAATACTATGATTTTGAATATAGTACAATGTAAATAAATTTATTTTATTTATAAATAGCTAATTTAAGTAGCCTTTTCTGAATTTGATTCCCCCTTTTCAGCAGCAGAAGGAAAAGGCGCTTCTTTACGAGAATCATCTAGTAATCGGTCAATGCCTTTTTCCTTTAAGGTTTGCTAAGTAATTAAGAAAGGGAAATCAGTCATGTATACACACACACACATATATATATATATAAATATATATATATATTAAAAGTAAAGTTAATACCATGACACAAGCTCTATAATCTTTAAAAAGATCCTCACATTCGGGTGTGGTATCACCTTTTAAAAACTTTTCTGAATACCATTTATTAAAACAGTTGTCATACTTTTGCTTAAGTTCTGTACAATTAGGACCCACACTTGAAGACATGGAGAAGGTATATGTATAAAAAAAAAAAAAAAATAAAATGATAAGTAGTGAATCATTTTTTATTTTCCCCAACAGCTAAATAATGAATTGCTGTGACTAGGGTGGTCTCTGAACTTTTTTTTTTGGAGCGAGGTTTTGTTATACTTTTCAGTTTGCCAATTAGCTGAATTTTTATAACATAACATCACATGAAATTATGGTAACATGTATGAATTAGAATAATCAATGACCATGATTAGTGTACAAAGATTGAGCAGTTAATAAATTTTATTAACATCCCCTTTTTAAAAATTAAATTGAATGCCCCTTTAACAAATTTCCTAAAGGTACAGCTATTATTAAACTCTTTAACAGTGTATAAAATACTGAGCTTCAAAGAATACTAAAAGTGTTTGTTGCCTTTGATATTAAAAGATCTTCCTTTCTAAATAATGTACATCGCAAACATTGTTTTTTTTTTTTTTGATGAAAAAAATAACTATAATCTTTTTGTTTGCATTTCAAGCAACTTCTTCCATGAAGACATTAAGTTTAACTATTTTCCAACTGTTTTGTTTTAAGAAATAGCTTCAAATCTAACTATAGAATTGGCACCTGTATTTGTACTTTATTTTAACATGAAATAGTAAATGCATGGATGAACTTTTATCTACGAAAGTTTAAAATTTATTAAAGTACATAGTAGTCGAGATCAGTGGTTTATTAGTACATTCACTGGTTTATTTTTGTTGATAAAAAAGAAAGAAAAGATCTATGACGTTGTTATAGTAACGTTATAAATGTCTATTATGAATCAACATATAAGAGAACGAAAATTTATCTTTAATCAACAATGCTTCGGCTGCTACCATAAATTATCCCACGGTCAACATGTAACGTTTAATATATTTAGGTTAAACGTATTACATGCTTGATCCTTACGACCACTGACAATTCTTTATTTGTATCCAATTAGAAAATTCCCTACATTTGTTAGTCTTTTCATAACTATAGAAAACATCATATAATTACAGATCAAAGAAGCAATAATCATGTCGTTGATAAATTAAAAAAAAAAAAAAAAAAAAAAAAAAAAAAAAAAAAAAAACCAAATTGCTGTACTTCATACAAGTAGCCACTTTCCTCTCCTTTATTATTCTATAAAACTTTGTCGAGCAAGCGTATTTTGTTTATCTTTAAAAGACCAAAGTAAATAGCATTTATACACAGTGAAACATCTTTTGTGTAGCAATTGAACTGCAGCAGGATGTTGTATTTGATAAGTGCCAAGTTAAATATAGTATTACTAACGTGTATTGTTAGAAGAGGATAAAGATGTTGATATGTTTTATGTAATTAGTTTAATCAAGTCTTTTTATCACTTTATTGTCAGTATCCTTCTAATTACAACAATGTCATTATTACTATTTATCTACTCTATCAAATTAGAACATCGCGGCAATTCGCCAATTGTTCCTCCGACGTGAATCAAACAAAATACAAGTGTAATAAAAAAAAAAAAATTAGATATTCTAGTCTTCGGGTTATTTTTATTCCTCTTTTCTTTTTAATATATTTTGCAGTAAAAAAAACAACGTATTATTATAACTTTTTTTTCCCTTGTTTATATATCTATATAAAATTGGGAAGTATTAAGAACACATCTTTTCGAGCTTTTTACCCTGTAGGTTATCTCTCTGATTATTTTTTTAAAAAAAAAAAAAAAAAAAAAACTACTATAATGAATAAGATAAACGAACAAATTATTACTTTAGATAACTTGGATGAAAAAATAGATTCTAAACATGAATCTATTTCAGAGTCAAGCAATAATCAATCAATTTCAGATATTAATGAAGGTAACATAACTATTCTCTTTTAAATATAATCTTACATATTTTTATATATAAACAATAGTAGTAGATCAAAAAGATATACAGTTATCTGAAAATGAAGATGGACTTCCTCCAGCCACAAATGAGGATGAATATGACGGGGGATATGGTTGGTTTATTGTGCTTGGCGCTTTCCTTGTTCAAGTTACTACTTTCGGTACATTCACTAGTTGGTATGTTAAACTTATTAATATTTATACGTATATAATAGATGATAAATCTATGATCTAATATATTTATTTTTTCTTAGGGGTAATATAATGTCATAATTTTATGATCTATAGTTAATTTACTTAAATATGTATATAAATATATATTTATATGTGTATATAGGTGTTATGCAGGATTACTATGAACAAAATATGTTTCAAAATATTCCTAATGCTGCAGTGAATCTTAGTTTTGTTGGAACAATATCAATGGTTTGTATGAACGTCTCTAGTCCCATTATTCAAATCTGTGTTTCTATTTTTGGTCTTCGATGTATTTTAATCGTGGGTACTATTTTTGTTGGACTTGGTCTTGAAATGGCTGGATTTAGTAGTCAAATATGGCATTTATATATTACTCAAGGTGCAATTTTTGGTATTGGAGCATCTAGTATATATGTAGCTATCATGAGTGTTGCACCACAATGGTTTACAAGACGTAGAGGTTTGGCTCTTGGAATGATTGCTAGTGGATCTGGTATTGGAGGTTTAATTATACCTTTTATTATGACTTCAATCAACAGTAGTCTTGGTTCCAGTTGGACATATCGGATTCTTGGATTCATTTGTTTAGCTTGTGATATCATTGCTTGTATTACCGTCAAGGAAAAGAAACCTTCCTCTGTTAAACTTAGAAAGAAACTGTCTCAAATAATCAATTTTTCTGTTCTTAAAAATACAAATTATGTTCTTTTTGCTGTTGCTTCTAATATTGGCTTATTTGGATATTTTATTCCTTATTTTTTTATACCTTCGTATGCTACATACCTCGGCCTTTCGAATTCTCAAGGTTCTGCTCTAGTTGCTGTTACTGCTGCTTGCAACTTTGTTGGACGCATCATTACCGGATTCCTTGCTGATAAAATTGGAAAGATTAACACAAATTTATTATTTACTTTTATTACTTCTCTAAGTTGTTTCCTTATCTGGACTTTTGCTGAATCATATGGTTCACTTATGGGGTTTTCAACTGTCTTTGGTCTTACAAGTGGCTCATTCTTTGCCTTACTTTCTCCTATTACTGCATATCTTCTTGGTATGGAACAATTTCCTTCTGGCTTATCTCTATTACTTCTGACAAATGCTATTCCTGTCTTTGGTCCTAATATTGCTAGCGCTATAGAAGCTAGTGTCAATTCTTCACCTTTCTTTAGTTACAAAATGTTTGCTGGTGTTGCTTATTTGTTATCTACCATATTACTTGTCTTTCTCAAATTGAAATTTAATCGTAATATCTTTGCAAAGGTTTAAATAACGTAATATACACATCCCTATTAATACAGAAAAATAAACATTTATAGATCTTTCATTTACACATAAAAGTTCAATATTTGTATATGTATATAATTTGTTGATGTTTTATTCATGTTTAAAAATTTAAATATAATAATGTAGAATAAGTTGTAAATACCAGAGTTAAAAATTATTAAAACCTTTTTTTTTTTTGGATTGCCAAGTCTAGGAGAATAATTGGTGTTTTTTGAGTATACTACACAAACCTAGATCAACAAGTAAATTAAAGCAGAGACTAATTGGAATATTTAAGAAAGGCAGGTCAATTTAATTAACTATACTTAAACCATCTGCGAAAGAATAAAATGTGTGTATTTTATTGTGGGTCATATAACAAGCTCAATATCAAGGAATTTCCTAAAATCATAGATGATATGAAAGATGGGTCGAAACATGCTACTCTGATGGCTCGAAAAGACCCATTCTGCAAAGTACAAAAACAATCCACTCGTAATCTTTTTAAAGCTCATACGTATACCAAAAATGAAAGGAAAATTATATACGAAATTTATGATGAAGAAGAAGATGAAGCACAAGTAAGACAAATATCAAGCATGTATAACTATAAAAAAAGATTCTTTATTGCTATATATTTTTGTAGATAACGTGATATATGGGTTGAGAAAGAAAAATAATAAATCAAACAGAGGTAAAATACGTGAAATATAAAAATATTATATCAGTCAAAGCTAATTGAGGGAAAAAGAAAATTGTATATGTATAAAATGTTTGCTATTTATACTTTTTTTGTATGATTGTCTTATTAATGGTTTATCTGTATAAGCTGTATATCAATACCTTTACATTATATTAGTTTCTATAGTCGGGTTATACATTATTGGGTGATCAGTCCAATATATATAATATATACAATAGTTGTAATGGATACATATTTCTTCCTATTACTTATTACAACACATCTTGATTTATAATATACGGTATTATATTATATCAAGTTCAGTAGTTAATGTATATTGACAATTATTGTTTATATTCGAGCTTTTGACAGCTGAATTATAAGTATGATTAGTGGTACCTTAGCTTCAGTTTTAAAATTGTCTATTACTGTATTTGTATCAATACTAGTGCTGTGTAGTTTAACTATTAACATTATTCTTGTATATAGCAATATTATGAGATTACTATGATTATTTTATTGTTATATCATGTGCAAATATGACAGTGGTTAGTTAAACACTGAGAAGGAGGGAGGATCCAGAGGAGAGTTGAACTAAAAGTCTTACTTATACTTAACAAGATCTCGACAAACGTGATAAATAAAAATTTATGTAAACGTCGTTTCGTCACTTCTTGAGGTACGAGATAATATCAGTCAAAGACTATAAATTAAGTTTTATGTAATTTTTTGCTTATTTTATTCGATTTAATTCTTATTAGTATTAATATTAAAATTTCTAACTAATTAAGTTCACATGAAAATAAACAAAACAATAATATATATGTTTTTTTTTAATTAACCATGTCAACTTCTTCTATATTCACATATGACACATAGTTTTGACTTCTTCTTTCTAGACTCTAAGTCCTTTATTGTGGATTTAAATCTTCTTTTATTCTGCCTGCCTATTTATTTTAAATGATAGATTGTATTCCACTTCTATTGACTGCTTATTTACTTCATCATCATTAAACTGGTCATAAATGGTAAATTAAAGACGGCTCAAATTTTAAGTATTTTTGTAGTGTTATTAATAAATATTGATTTTATTACTTTTATTCGTAATTTATACGAGTTCGATATTTAATACACTCTTTCTTAAATTACATGGCACAGTTTTTTTTTTTCAGTTTGGCACAACTGTCGACTTTTGTTATGGCAAATTTTTTTTTATTGATAGCACAAAATTTTAGCATTAAAGAGCGCCATCATATTAAAGTGGCTGTTTATCAAAACACAAATGCCGTTTGGATACAGAATAACGACAAAGGCCTCGCAAGTCACTGTGATGGTATGTAATAAAATAAAGAAAAATAAAAGAAAGAGACAAAAGAAAACAAAAAGAAGTATAGTTTGGGACTTGAAAAAAAAGAATAAATTAAATTAAATTAAAATGAAAGAATTAAAGATTTTTCAAAGATTATTTTGTGTCTACACAACCACTTGTATTTATACTAATGAATCCTGAATCAAAGAAATAAAAATAGCTGTCAAAGAACATAAGTCATGAAACAGTGTTAGTATCCGGATATACATCTTGTTGATTCAAGAGACTGATTTACATGAATTATCTATTGGGTGTTATAATGACCTGATTAAGGTTTTAAATTGTTTGATTTGAGTATAGGTTCCTGATATTTTTTATATTTTATTTTATTTGATCAAAAATGACCTAAATCCTTTATCAAAGTTGTAAAAATAAATATTTAGAAATGATACAATGTCCTATTTAGTTGACACGTCTAGATGATTGGATATCAATAAGTTTTATATTGTTTATAAGATGTTATATACAGTAAGATATGATATCTTTTATTATATGTTCAGGCTTATAGTTTGTCCCGTATTATATAATTCATCTTTTATAATATTACTTATGCTTATGCCAGTGCTTGTTCTATAACAGTGTTGATAAGGTAAAGATAAAAAAAAAAGACAGAATAAATCTGTGGAAACTTTATATAAAACTTTTATTATAAATTGAATAAAATAAATGAAAAATTGAATGAAAAAAGTGAATTATAAAATGAGTGCAAAATGGATCCATAATTATATCTTGTGGAGAACCGGTTACTTTGCGACAGAAACAGAATGAAAGAAGAATATTTCCCATAAAATAATTAAAGCTATTGTATTTGAGTTCTCTAATCTTTGCCCTGATTGAGAATTAATCTCAGTTAACTCACTCTAAGAAATATAAAATTGTTGGTGCTCGATATACCCAGTTATTTTCCTTGAAACCAAATAATGAGATCTCGTTTGTTCATACTTGTGAATGATATAGGAAAGACACTTTTGACATATATATTTATATTCTAACCAGCTTCTTTATATTATATTCATTCCTCAATGTACTACTTACATGAATTTCATTATATTATGTAGTGTTTTCAATTAGAATAGAGATCTCATAGATAGTATACGATTATATTTATAAATCAGTATTTTAGACAATATTATAATAATAATAATATATATAACTAATAGATATAATCTATAATTCATATATTTTTATCATTAATAACTCCTTACACTATGTTTTGCTTATCATTATTTCGTAAAGTTAGTATTTATTATAATATTATTTTTCTCATCACAAGAATATCTTATGAACTGAAATCAAATAATATTGTATGCATAAAGTATACAACTACTAATCATAATATCATTCAATCCTTCATGACTCTGATTTGTATATTATAAAATATGATGTAATACATCATTATATACACAACACATAGTAAAAAGAATTGTTTTCGTACGTGTAAATTAGTGTCGTCATCATGTGTGGTTAAAACTCCGATACGCGTTTCGGTAGTTAAAATTCTATTTTAAAGTATTGCTAAATGTCAGATATTTTTAAGAGTAAGTAATGCTTCCCTGAAATTAGACGTGGCTAAAGTTCTATGTCTGTATTATGCCTAAAGTATGGGCGATTATCTGGAAACTCCTGATAGAACTACTTTAAAAACATACGTTGATGCAAACCAAAGTTCTGTAAACGCTTATATCCGCCAATTTGATAAAGCAACTGATGCTACAAAAAACCTTCAAAAAAAAAATTCAAGCAGCATTCAGATCTAAACATCCCAATCGAAAGAGAAGCCCAGATGTGATATTTCTTTTAAAATATCAAATAAAAAATATTAGAAAATAAAAAATAATAATAAGACAAAAGAGTCAACGAGACCGAACAATAGTTCTAAAGTCAATTATTTTATTTATGAATTTAAACTGATGGGGTATTTATAAGAATTGTTAAAGAGGTCTGAGGATAGGATGTGAATCAAAAAAGTATTAGTTACGACCGAATTAGGTATATTGTTGACAACGAAGTGTTAGTGATTTTAATATTATTAGATGGAGCGGATCAAGAGAGAGTTAGGATAGAATTTCTTAAATGAATTTATGATCCGCATGTTTAATCATGAAATATGACATTATAAGTCAGCTCATGACACCAGACATCAAATTAGACATAGAAGAAGCATGGACAGAGACCAAAGTACAAAGAACTGCAAACATTCAAACAAGCCGCGTCGCAGCTGCTCTATTGAAAGCCTGTGGTAAAAAGGCGGTCAATTTATTGAAGGTAAATTTCAAGAAGAAATATTCGGGGTACTTTAAATATATATCTTTTTTTCTCCCGATAGAAAGCTCCACCCAACTCAGATGAAACTACTGCTCATGTCCCTATTGAAGCAAATGCTGTTTGTAATTCTATTCAGTCTGCAGGTCCATCATATACTGATATCTCCAATGCTTTTGTTTCACCCTCTACTGAACCTGCTGCCAATACTAGTACTGCGGAAGCAAATGGCACTGCTGATAATCATAATACCAATATTATAAATGATAATGTAGTGTCTAGCAGCAATGTAGAGGAGGAAAATACAGAGAAGCTGCTTTTTGTATTGACCGAAGATGAAGAATTCAAAAGTACAATTCTAATCAATGAGGATACCCTAGAGTGTTTTAAGCGTTTTAGGGAGTTCCAAGAAAAGTTTTTCAAAATAGTTAAAAAGAAAGGATTATTCATTAACAGGGATTTATTCCAGATACTTTAAGTCATTCTGTCCTTGCACATTTGAAAACACGATTTTAATATATTTTAATAGCTCTTTGTATAATATTGTACTTTTGAAGAAAAACCATGCATACCCTCAAATAGACTTTTCAATGATAAATGATTAGTTATCGGAGGAGTTCGAATCCTGTCCCAAAATTGAAAACACAATCTTTATGGAAATTGTTTTGACAGCAAAAAGTTAAAGAAAGAGAAAAAACAAAAGACAAGTCTGTGAAAACTTCGCGTAGTTTTTTATTAAGAAAAAAATACAAAAATTGTACAAGGAAAAATTATGTGAAAAAGTAAAGGGTTATTTATATGTTTTTGCAAGGTAAGTGATATTAATAGAACTATGATTTGGATAAGCAAATATTGCTATAATAAAGCATTAGTCATAAATATTTTCTCCGAATAATTCTGCCTACAATAAGATCTATTTTTATTCTTTTCTGCCTGAGCTGTCGCTGTTACTAAAAATATTAAATTATTATTTCTGGGGTAAGCGACGCGTCAATATTAATTCACAATGAATATGTCAGCTATAACAATACCAATTATTTATATGCTACTATTATTATTATCCTATAAGATATTATTACATAACAATATTTATCTTTATAGCTATCTATATATAATATGTATGACTTATAAATAATTATGTAATTGAATATAACAGTCATAATCCTATTGAATTATTATTATTACATAATATAATGTATATGATTATTTTTAATGCTCGAATACTCAAACAATGACTATTATCAAAACTGAGAGTAGAATGAATATTATGCTGTGAAGCGCGATATATTAGTTTTATTTGAATAACCTCTTTATTATATAATAAATGATGGTTTATTTCTATTAACTTAATTATAAAGGCTACTACAATCACAACAGAAATAATACAGATATTTAGGGTGAGGCAGCCATGAATGGAAGAGCAATTCCTGATAGCATCTAATTAAATTTTCTTTGATTAGGGTGACATGAGCGATAGGGACGAATTAAAGATTTCCTTATTTGACGTTTACAAAAAAGCCAACAAACAGGACAGAAGGCTCATAGATGTCATGATTAACCTGTACGTAATACACATAAGTTTTAGGAAATACAATCTACTACTAGCAAGCAATAATTTTTAATTTCTAGTTTAAATAAGCTTCCGAATGAAGAAATTAAAGAACACGACATTGAAGGGCAAGAATTGATAGTGAACTATACAGATCCTATTATCAGTCCTCTGCTACATGATCCTGGCCATGACAAGCTGTTTATTTGGTAAAAAATATTTATAATATAATATACTTGACTAGCAATAAAGATACTGACTCTTCATTCAATAATTAGGTTGAATCGTACTGTATTGCAGAACTATGAGAAACGCCCTGATGCTGGCTGTGTCGCTTTAAAAGGAAAAAGACTCGATCGTTACGTCGGTTTTGCCGAAGTCAAACCAGATTATAAGAAGAAAGACACCGTTAAAACGCATGAAGACTTGCTACGACTGTCATTGTTTGGCATGAACGCGCTTGAGGAACATAATTCAAAGTGCATCTTGTTGATGCAAGTGGTTAATTCGCCATATACCGCCGTCGGACTTGGAAAAATAGATTTTCCTTTTATGGTAATACCACTAGTAGTGATAACCTACAGCTAAAATATGTTGGATTGTCCAGTCTATTAGGAACGAAGTAGAGAATCAACCAATAGAAGTGGAGTACAATCCACCGTATAGAATTAATAGGCAAAATAAAAGAAGATTTAAGCCGATAGTAAAGGATTCAGACGTGAGAAGAAAGAAGTCAAAATTATGCATAATTTGTGAAAATAGAAGACGTCGGCATAATTAGTTGGCAACATGAGAAAATCAAGAAGACAACACTTATGCATCTTTACTATAATCACGATTTTCCCTGTTGTCATATAAACTTTATTGTTGTAGCAAATTTAATATAAATATCGAGAAATTATTAATTTTGAATAAAGATAACCATTAAATATTATAAAAAGTTAATTATATTCTTTGTTATTTTTGCTTAATACTATCTAAAGTTTTACTCTTTCGTATCTCAAGAAGTTAAGAAACGACAAAGTCAATATTTTTTTCACTAGTAATATACTAGAGAGCCATTTCCATAAAAGAAAATTACATTATTCAAAGTCCGACGGCGGTGTATGGGGAAGGATACGCCAATTCTATTGGACGCATCACGTGACTTTTTGCTCACTGCAGATAAATGTCTAATTTTACAATTGTAAAACAAGACTGAAATGTGTAGTTTCAGTCTCTTTTCAGTCTCTTTTCACAATTGTAAAATGTGTGATTTTACATTGTAAAACCTGACACTGTCAGTATATTTTAACAATTGTAAAAGTGTCTAATACAACAATTGTAAAACAATACTGAAATGTCTAATTTTACAATTGTTAAAAGTCTAATTTAACAAGGTTTCACTTGACAGGTCAGATCTGTTATTGGCTTTATTTCATTATATTTTAGGTAAAGCTGTATAACATTATAGCCTTTTATTGGCCTTTGCATTTAAAATAAATGCTTTTTTATTCGATATATTTTGTCATCTTTAAAATACATTTACTAATGGAGTTTGTATTGTTTTTTTTAAAAAATAGTTTGATTTGTCTTTATTTATTCCTTTTTAGGATAATAATGTAGATAATAGATATAATGCATAATAAAAAAAATATATACACGCTGCGTATAGACAACGATGAGGAAAGGATAGCTAATA